TAATCCCCCTAATCCCTAATCCCTAATCCCTAATCCCTAATCCCTAATCCCTAATCCCTAATCCCTAATCCCTAATCCCATTACACCTGACAACGTATAACCCTTACACAAAGTAACTGAAATCTTATTACAAAAATCATAATCTAGCTTTCTGTCAAAGGATATCAAGATTAAGGTCATACCCTTTCATCGAGTCCTCGAATATTCCGGTAACTCGTGGATAGGGGTATTCTCCATGCAGCTAGGTAGCTCTGTCACATAGCCTCGACCGTCCAACTCGCTCGGTTTGCCCGAGGACTGGACATGGCCAGGTTGTATCATCAATATTTCCGTGATGGGTGTTTCCTCTTGAGGTGGTTGCTTCTGTGAGCGACAACGCATGAAATACCAAAATAAGGCGATAATAATTGCTAACCCAGCAACGCCACCAACCACACCACCTGCGATAGCGCCAGTATTTGAACTAGAAGAGCTACTCGATGCTGGGGAGCTGCTCGACTTTGGGGTCGCGCCTAGTTATATCAGAGTTGGGCTCATACCGAGTAAGCAGGATTTGAATCTTACCAGGTGAAACTACCGACAGCATCTGCGCATCGGAATGGGTAGGATCCCCTTTCCCAGCACACCCAACCCCCACACGGCTACGAAATCCGTTTTTTCCCTGCTCACAACAGAAATATCCGCCGTCCACAGTGTTTCCAAAAAGATCCCAGGTTTCGTTGGCGCAGTGTGCTGGTTTACTGATTGTCTGTGTACAGTCTGCTTCATCCGGACAACACACGCCTGTGTTTTTGTCGCTACAATCTCTGCTCCCGGGGCAGCATCGAAAGAAAATTTGCCCTGTTGAAGAATCATTCCATGCTTCAGTACTGCATTCTCCTAGGAGGCAGGAGCCATTTCTGCGTATTGCGAATCCGTATGGTGGATCCCACTGGGACTTAGACATGATAGGAAAGAGACAGAATAGACTTCGGCACAACCCACTCTAACCCGGACCCAACCCAACCCAACCCAACCCAAAATGGGTTTTGGGTCCATTGCTTCGACCCAACGATGGGTTTTGGGTTATAGCTCATAACCCAAAACCCATTGGGTAACCCATTGGGGCCCCAATATAGTGTAAACCAGACAAACAGACTTCTAGCGTATAACTGCATAATTAATGCATTTTTTGCTTGTAATATTGAGTATTTTACTTACAGCGCTCTTCTAGAAAAAATGGAGAATAAATCAAATAATTGAACCAGGATGTATTTCTCTAATATTGCTCAAAATCATCATCTGCCCTGCTCTTACGCTTCCTCCCTGAGGCCCGTCTCTGAGTTGCAGTCTCTGGTAACTCTGGCTCTGTCACCTCTATATCTATATCTATTAAATGAGGAGATGTCTCTCGCAGTCTATTATCTACTCCTTCTTCCTCTTCATTATCACTAATCAGGTCAAGCTCAGCATCCTCTATATATTCATCGTTCTGCTCCTTCGCTGACTCAATCTCAGCTAGTGTAAAGAACTGCTCAAGCTGCTTTGCCTCAGCATCCTTAATATTGAATCTTGTTGCACATAGAAACAACATAAGCTCCTCGATTGTTTCGGACTTCAGACGACCACGGCGGTAGTGACAAACATCCCGAGCAGTATTGAAGAGCCGTTCGACACCAGCACCAGTTGCTGGAATAGAGAGAATATCGCGAGCAAGTAACGCGATCGCAGGGAAACGAGATTGGTTCTCACGCCAGAATTGAAGAGGTTCAATATCAATTAGATCTAGTAGTATAAATATATTAGTATTATCCTATATAGGGAAGAAATAGATCATAAACATACCACTATCGAGATATTGAGTCATCTCATCACCAGCTGGTTTTGCGGATATCTTGTTACTCTTTAGCATCATGTTCAGTCTAGAACTAGATGATGCTATTGTTGGAGTATTAGTCGATCCTTGATTTATTGTAAGGCGCTCTTGATACGGAATCAATAATTCCTGGAATGATTTCCGGTAGGTATCACGCCAGTGAGGCTCCCAATTATCAGATTGAAAGAACTGAAATCTGCTGTCAGGTGCCAGCATTGTCCCAACTGCATAGATATGTCCTTTGAGATTGTCGGTTTGAGAGTAGTACTCATCAAGTTTCAAGCGACCAGCTATGAGTGCTTTGAGCATGTCTGATTTCCATGGAACACGCTTGCGTTTAAGCAGCGCCTCTGCTTCAAAAAAGTGATCAAAGAGGGCATTGTAAATCTTAAAGACAAGATGTGTGGTGACCTCCTTTGTCTTCGAGAGCTCTGTTGTGTAGTCAAAGAATGGCCGAGTGATTTGTAGAAGATAGTCAATTTGACGCCATTCTTGAGTATCAAGCAACATCTCCTCACAGTCATACTCCTCACAGAAGGGCTGGAAGAAACTACGTAGTCTCTTTGCACGACGAAGCATCAAGAAGGTAGAATTCCACCGAGTCCTTACGTCCTGGATTGGAACAAGCTGGGATCCCTTTTCTTGAAGTCGGAGAAAGGCCGCCTGGCGTTGCGGACTTGCATGGATATACACAGCAAGATAACGGACCTTGTTTAAGGTGTATGAGATCCTCTGTGTCTGGTGCTGAGCATTTGCCTTTGCTGCAGATGACTTCTGGTCAGTCCACTTTGTTTCTGCATTCTCATTTAGAGGGATGGCCTTTAAACGATCAAGGAGCTGGTTCAAACAAAGCTGGATAACATGGGCAAGACAGGGTATTCGGATTACTGTCACATCGCTAGAGAGCGCCTGCTGAATAGCCTCAACCATTGTCTTGTTGTTGGTTGCATTATCAGTTGTGACTCCAAATACCCGATCCTGGATCTTGTGCTCAACTAGAGTTTCAAGGAGTACACCACTTAAATTTAAACCGGTATGGGAGCCATAAAGTGGTTTAAATCCAAGTAGAACCTCTTGGTATACCCAGTTACTGTCAACAAAATAGCCAGTGATAGCCATGAACGCCTGGTTATATGGAGAAGTCCAGCAATCTAATGCGATCGAGATTTTTGCGTCGTTGGGTAGTGTTTGGAGGATAGATTTCTGTCGTTCTATGATCATATCACGTAAACGACGACGTATTGTGGTAGCAGAGGGTATCGGAGGGAGAGATGGTGCAGAGCGGGCTAATCGGAATAGCTTGTGAAATGTTGGATGTTCGATGAGGTGGAATGGAAGTCGATTGAGGGTGAGAAATTGGAGAAGATGCTCTTCCCATGCCGATTGTGAAAAAGGAGCCTCTGGTAAGCCGTGATCCTATGTATCCAGGAGTGTTAGGGAAATCGGATAACTAAATAAAGAGGTAAGGAGATACTACTTTTTGAAGGAACTGGGTAATTTCTCCTTTACCTCCCTGTTGAGCTTTGCGACAGCCTGCTGTCTTTAAATGCTTCAACATTGTTGATGTACCATGATAGCCCTTTCCGCTAGGTGATGGAGAATGGGGATGCTCTAGGATCTTTGAGCAGCGCTTACACATCACCTTTGGCGCACCATCTTTGGTATAGGCAACTTGGTCGAAGTTGCTCCATATGTTTGAATTGCGATTTGAATCCCAGGAAATCTTGCTTTTCTGCCCATAGTCGGTTTGTAGCCACCACTCAACCCATTCTTCATATGCCATATTGTCATAAAGCACATATGCCTTTCTCCGATCGGGGCCAACGCGAGTAAGAGAGTGTGGAATTGGTAGAAGGTTGGAGGGCCGAAGGAAGTCAGTATCAATAGCATCAAAAGGCTCAATTGTGAGCTGGCTACCAGATGGGGTTGGAACTCGAGAAGAGGGTATAAGATAGCTAAGGTTATCTGTATCCGCATCGTAAAGAGTAGGTAAAAAGTCAGAATGCTGGCTTTGGGACATTGCGACCGAAAAGGGGAATACTATAGAGGTAAGGGGGAAAGGCAGAGAGAGTATATACTTACAAGAGAAGGGTATATGAACAGTAAACACCTTAGTCCTATAGTAAAGTAGATAGATCAAAAGGTATAAGCTATAATGTTGTTTGATTGGCTATATAAGCTCTATTTAAATGGGTCTAACCCAAGAGAACCCAACAGGACCCAACAGGACCCATCAAAACCCAAGAGAACCCATTCATAACCCATCGAAACCCAAGAGAACCCATTCATAACCCATTAAAACCCAAGAGGACCCATTCATAACCCACTCCCCCAGAAGATCCCTCAAAAATGTTTCATTTACCCTCCCAGAAGAACTTTTCTAACCGCGGTCAGAGATAATAATATATACACCTACACCCCCTAGAAGGGCTTTTCTGACCGCGGTCAGAAATAATGACATATACACCTACCTCCCAGAAGTGATTTTCTGACCGCGGTCAGAAAATATAATTCGGAGCACATATAATAAGTTAAATATAAGAGAAGAGAAATATAGCTTTAATATAATATCAATTGTATATAAAATCAAATAAGAATAAGATATTTCTATTTACATTCATAGTTATCCTATAATATATACATACTCCCCTCTACCACAAATATATATTTTCAACAGTCCACAGTCAATAAATGCTTAAATTAATAGAACACCACTATACTACGATTAATGTGAATTTTTATCAGTAATCAATATAATACAAAGCCTATTAGCTTCAAATTCAGGGTAATTACATAAATTTTCCAACTTAATATTGTGATAATGTAGCAATATTTGATGAACAAACCAGAACAGCTGTAAAAAACAGTAATTTATTTGAATGACTTAGCATTGTTATGAACGCCAAGACCTATCTTTTATGCAAAAATGGGTTCAAATGGGTTATTATTGGGTTATTGGGTTTAACCCATTGGGTTTTGGGTTGGGTTGGGTTATAGAGGGCGGAACCCAAAACCCAATGGGTTGGGTTTTGGGTCGGAGACTCCGACCCAAAATGGGTTCTGCCGAAGTCTAAGACAGAATAAACGAAAATTGATTTGGAAGAGTGGAAGACGTGCGCGACGTATATTGACCAAAGGGGAGGAACATAGGACTGAAGGAGTAATGATCAAGTTTGGAGAATGTTGAATTTCAAGGGCCAACCGAAGCGATAAAAACAGAAAGAAGAGGAAATTTCAGGGGTCTTTTACGTATGTAGTATTGATAGACAGACTCTGCGCTCGGGGCTACATTGGCGCCGCTGTGTGTAGGTGCCAAGAGACCAGCTGTTCCAGATGCGGGCTCATAGCCCAATGATGCTTACCTGTAGCTCACCTGAGGGGGGCAGTGCGGCCCCGGGGCCTCGCGCGACCGTAAAGCGGCTCTCACCCAACTGAGTACTACATAGCCGCACATGTCACACACCGGCGGTGACTAAGTAGTGGGTGCCCACTAATTAGTAAATTTATATTCAATAATAAGTTTGATTCTCCTAGGTGGCCCTTTTCTCCCCCGCCCTTTTGCTTTATATTGTGATTTGAATACTAGGATAATGTGAAAATGTACGGGAGGTGGAAGGATATGTTAGTTAAGGGACGTACGAATAAAATTACAACTAGAATATGAGGACCTGTGGTTTGACGCCGAAAATGACCGCTTTTGAGGCCAGAAACGGCTGTCTTTCCACCCATAAATTTGGACTTCCGGCCGACACTCAAGGTTCATGTTTACGAGGGGCGTCAGCCGGATCTCCATTCGCTGCATAATCTTATGATCACCCGAGTCTGCAGCAGCCTGGTATTAAATTCCTGATGCAAGAATCGAGCGAGGCTAGTAGCGTGTGCGGTAATTTCGCCGTTGGCCCGCATTGCTTAGGTATTGCTTTGAAGGCAAGTGGGCACCAAGGCATTTGCGAATAACAAAAATAGATCTACGCCATCAGGGGCTGGGCAATGCAATATCACATAGGGCAAACGAAATGCAGATCGCGGGGAAAAAAAATTAGCACTTACGATGGATTGACTAGCGTATATATGAGAGGCCGAGAATGTCAGCACTGCAGAGTTGGTTGTAAAAATGACCACTATCTATTAAGGCTCAACCGCCCGTAGCCACAATGACAAACCTCCTTTTCCTCTCCATTTCCCCGCCATCACCTAAGAAGGTCTACTCAACACCTATATACTAGAGACTACTTCGGTGGACCAAGTGATATCGCAATGGCAACTCCTCCGCCATATTCCGCTTTACACGACAGCCAGAGCGAATCTGATCTCGAGGTCGATAGGTTTGAAAACCAAGCCAGTCCTCGTATGTCTGTTTATAGGCATGCCAGCGAGAGTGAAATGCGCGTCTCAGAAATAGACGGTATGACTGTGCATACTCAGGACCTGCAAACGGACACTGAAACAAAGCGACCTGGGTTCGATTGGAGCGGGTCCTGGGCATGGGAAATCGGATCTGTTACCCTAGCTGTCGTGGGCCTTGTTCCTTTGGTTGCCTTTCTTGTCAAAATAAACAACACCTCATACAACACCTGGGAATATACCGCGTCCCCTAATACTGTCGTGTCAATCATCGTCACCATTACCAAAGCCGCAGTGCTGGTCTCGGTGTCCTCATGTCTCGGCCAGCTGAAATGGAACCTATTTCAAGATCCAGCTCCACTATATCACATGCAGGTTATTGATCAGGCAAGCCGGGGACCCTGGGGATCCTTGGAAGTTTTACTGAGGGGAATATTTGGGTCGAACACAGGAAGCCTGACTTATGTTGGGGCATCTCTAACGGTTCTGGCTCTTGCGGTGGATCCATTTGCACAGCAAATTTTGACGTTCCCTTCGCGAACCGTTGCTACACTGAATGCCACTGCATTTGCCCAAACCTCACAGCAATGGGACTCCACGAGCGGTTCGGATGCAAGTGACGTATTCCTTGAGCTCCAGCCGACGCTTTTGACTGCAATAATGAGTGGAATCTTACAGACACATAGTCCTCTCGAGCCTCAATGCGATGCAACCTCTTGCGAATTCCCAGAGTTCGTTGCACTGGGGATGTGTAGCAAATGCGAGGATGTCACATCTCGAACAAATCAAAAGTGTGAGGTGCCAGAATGTTCAGCCTTTTGGGATCATGCCCACCCGGCCTTCAGGGAAACCCCTACGAGTTGCAGCTACCAATCTCCGAATAGCTTCACTTTCGATTTTGTTAGATTTTACTGGGCTTCTTATGGGTTCGGCAATGTCACGTACGACAATATCACCTTTCAGATGTACCATTGGAGTTCCCTTCCTAGGAAAAGCGACCCAATTTTCGACATTCAGACACCAATTATCTCCCTCATTGAGATAGACTATACCAACCCGGTTTTCTACACTCTATCCAACGCGACAGCTCCCCCAACAAAGCCATTAGTAACAGAATGTGCTGTGTACTTTTGCGAACAAAGATACTCCGCGAGCTCATACCTGCCTGGAACCCAAAGTCTGCCTGGCATCCAAACCAGCCGTCCAATGCATGTTGTTGATACACAGCAGCTCATTGCTACAGATGTCCCCGAGGAAAGTCGCTATCATTACTCACCATATCCCGTTCACTTTGCACCCCCAAACGGATCAGCAACCCTATCAAAAAACACGTCCTACAGCATCGATCATCGGACGTTCAACAGTTTCGAACCTACAATGATGAGAATCTTCAATAGCACCACTATATCTGGTAAGGAAGTATCAACATCAGATGTGTTGAATTTGGCAACGTTTCTGCGCAAAGGTAACCTCAGTCAACTACTTGATTCAATGTCCACTAGCGTCACTAATGTCCTGCGCGCCAATCGCCTGGGTAACAAGATTCTGGGGAAGACATTTCGAGTCGAGACTTTCATTCATGTTCGATGGCCGTGGATCATTCTTCCGGTTACTGTTACTCTGGGATCAATCGCGTTGCTTCTGGGAACTGCAATAGGAAGCAAACACCGCACGGCCATGCTGTGGAAGTGTATGGTGCTTCCGTTATTATCAAGCCATCTCCATATTACACCGGAGAATGAGATCGCATCTGTGCGCAGCGTGGATGGAATGACTGATACATGGAAGAAGATGCGCGCTGTAATGGTACAGGATGAAGGGCCACTTACATTCATTGAAAAGTAATAATGTCCCTGTGTACGGTATATAAATGAAGATAGAATACACGAGTTATTGAATGAAGTTGTAGATGGTACATTATGCCCTTGTAAAATAGGTGAGTCAAGTCCTGTTCGATTGCAAACGAACGAGATCACTAATACTGCATAGGTTTCAGTGCGCACACCCAGTTCCCTTGCGGCGGAGTTGATGAAACTTATAAACTACAACCATCCCCTGGCTATACCTGCTCTCGAACTGCTCCACCTCTACTTCAACCTACGGGATTGCTACATCCTCAAATCTGCCTAGAAGATATAACTCGAGGAAGAGCAGCGACAGCTTCAAGGGTCAAATGAGTGGCTCGCAAGCGACAGCGACATCCTTCTACAGCTCTATGATGAGCAGACATTGATAATGTTGGATCAAAAGCGAGCAGTTCAAGTCCTTTGTAATGGCGTGTTTTCATAATTGCAACCGAATGAGACTCAAGCCTGCCATGCTGATGGGCATTGATTAAGTCTCATTGTTGTTCAGCGCGGGTGGGCGACAATGACACCTGCATAGCTCTGCTATCTATTTACCCTCTGTCCTGACTATCTCCAAATCTCCCTGACTCGTTGATTGTGTGAGAAATGATGCAAAAAAATCGGTCAGACAAATCTTTTGGTTCACATTGACATTTCCCTCTTCGATCAAGTACCTAGTGTAATGGGGAAACCGCGCCACATCTCTCACCTGCGCCACATGCGCCCCAGGCTCCAGGGCTATTTATCAAGTTACGGTTTCTTTGGACCAATCAGGGGCCGCGCAGGGTCTGTTCAAAATGGTGTAAAAATCTCTGTCTTTTATTACATGGATCTCCGCCCTTTTTGTCAGGAGCTGTAATCACATGATTTCGCTATGTAGTGTAGTGGGGAACGGCACTACGTCACGTGACCTCAGCGCCCTATATATGGCAGCAGACCGCTAGCTCTACAATACAGGCATCTTCCTTCTTCCCCTCCCCCCAGGGCCCTCCTCTTGTAGAGCGCATTGCTCTCTAGTGGCGTACCTGGTTTACAGGCAGGTGCGTCCCGCTTCACTAGGTAAAAGCCTGGGTATTCTGACTAGAATATGTCTAGGCAAAAGCGAGATTGACCATGCTTTCAAGTGTGCGGGAATGATTTTTGCTAAGGTTCTCTTTCACTACTGGGTATTTACCACGGAGGATAGTCTGGATTCAAGGATTGAGCTCTTCATGTATTCGCTATTCTGGTAGAACTATTTAGGACCGCCATATAACCGAACCAAACTAAACCAGACTGTGTAAGGATAGTTCTACTTTATCTTCCGAAGACCTAAGCAGTCGCAGCTTCAGGTTGTGGCAATTTCGAAATGGGCTTTTCACACAGTGCAATCAAGGAGCTGGCGTTGGTGATGTCGAGGGTCCTGAGATCAGCCTCCAGCTCAGAGCGCACCCAGTTCCTTAACTCAACTGCAGCCAATGAGTCCAAACCGTAGGCCATAAGAGGCTTCGCAGGCTCCATCTCAGTCTCAAGGCGAAGAATCTTGGTGAATTGAGCAGCCATCAGCTCCATGGCCAATTTTACAAGAGCGGATTCATCCGCCCCAGATTTGTGCATCACTAAGAAGGCACGAATAGTCCGGTCGCCGTTGTTTGCACCATCCTTGCCTCCCGATCCACCAGCTGCGCTCTGTCCAAAATGGTAACCGAATCTTGCCTCTCGTATAAGATCCGAGTCGTTGGGTAGTGGGAATCCGATACCAGTGATCAACTGAGCACTACTCAACGCGTTGATCGGGGACGAAGTTTGCTGTAGGATGGAAATATCAAGTATCTGGCGTAGTGTGCGCTCTTAAATTGGTGTCCATTGTCGTTTGTCAAAGTGACTGTCCATACCACCCTGTTCAGCGACATATCCGACGTCTTCAATCAGTCCAAGGTCGACCGCGTTAGCTGGTAGTCCAAGGGACTGGCGATAGGTGGCAAACGCATCGAGGAAAGTGTTTGCAGCGGAGTAATTGGATTGCCCCTTTTTGCCAACAATTCCAGAAATACTGGAAAGCATGGTGAAAAAGTCAAGTGGCTGCTTGCGTTCGAGAGAGACATTGTGTAGAGTCCAAGTGCCCTGGATCTTGCCGTAGATGGCGGTCTGGTACTCTTCCAGCGTCATGGACTCGTACGGCTTGTCCTAGATTGTACAACAGAGTCAATAAACAGACACTTGAGAAGGGGGATTCATAATTTAAGTTACCCGAAGGATCATAGCTCCCTGTATAACTCCAGCAATGGTCGGCGACGACTCGCGGAACACCTTTTTCAAGAAATCAACGTTGGCGACATCACCCTTCGCTTCGATCATCTTGCAGCCGTATGACAAACAGCTCTTGGCCGTTTTTTGCGAAGCTTAATCTTCAATGCCGCTGCGCGATAACACGATGATACGCTTAGCTCCATGTTGAGCCATATGAATAGCCAGATTGCCGCAAAGCCCCTTCAGACCACCCACAATCAAATAGGAGGCATCACCACGAAGCGCAAGCGTTTGGGTTTTTGGTCTGATTGGAACCTGTACATCTGGAATCTCCCCATCAGAGATGACCACCTTTCCCATATGACGACCACTGCGGATGAAAGCCAAGGCCGAACGGATGTCGCCGAAGCTAAAGGTTGTGATTGGGCTGATAGGCTTCACATGGCCAGCATTAACCAAATCGAAGATCTCATCCAGAAGGTCGGCGATTAAAGAATCCGAGATGTCCCTGGTGTAGGAGAAATCCATGGCCCTGAAGGAGCAATTCCGGTCAAATGGCTCCATCGACAACACATTACGGTCGGCAATATCTTTCTTTCCAATCTCGACGAATGTACCTCCGTCTGCGCAGATTCTCCAGGACTCATGAAGCATATCTCCAGTAAGAGAGTTGAGGATCACGTCAACACCACGACCTTGGGTTGCTTTCAAGATTGCAGCAGCAAAATCCGTGTCTCTAGAAGAGAAGATGTGGTCACGAGAGATGCTGAAATTGTCGGCGAGGAATTGTCGCTTCTCTTCAGTTCCGGCTGTAACGAATACCTGGATTGAATTTAGTACACACTGAAAAGAGAAAGGAGAAGGCGGATACGACGTACCTTTGCGTCTTTATGTTGAGCTAGCTGGATTGCCGAGAGGCCAACACCACCCGAAGCCGAGTGAATAAGGACAGACTGCGAAGATATTAGTATGTATCAAGATAGTGAATAACAAATCCTTACTTGTCCTTTCTTGAGATTGGCGATGTGATATAGACTATAGATCGAAGCCAGGTAAACCGACGGAATCGTCGCCGCTTCCTGTTCAAGATAAGTACTCTGGAGTTTAACTTGAAACATACAATAAACACACCTCAAACGACATCGCGTCGGGGAAGACATGCGCACGTCCGACAGGGACTTGAAGTCGATTGGCGTAGCTTCCGTTATTTAGGAAGCAGACGCGGTCACCAACCACGAAATTCGTGACGCCACGTCCCACTCTTTTCACGATACCAGAAGCCTCATAGCCCAGAGTGTACTCGTTCTCTGGCACAATGCCCATGGTAACAGCAACATCCTATCATCACAGTCAATATTTTTGTGAAGGGATCGTACCACATATGTGATACTCACCTTGAAATTAACACCGGCAGCCAAAACCTCAACCTCAACACGGCCTTTCTGCACAGATAGCTCAGCAGTACTGTTCTCTGCCCATGTTAGGCTTTCGAAAGTTCCAATACGCTCTGCTCGCAAGGAAACTGCGGGTCCATGTTTGTGCAGCTCCTGAACAATTGGTTCGGCGCCCTCTTTCACGTCTAACTTGAATTTGTTGATGGCCTCGTCCGGAACAAGACGGTGTACGTAAAGAATGCCACCTCTCTCGGCGTATTCTGTCTCGATAAATTCCTTCTGTCTTTCCGACCGGAGAGACCGGAGAACCGTATCAATTGCCCATTCGTTTGATGCGACAGACGATTTCTCGGTATCTAGAGTGGTCAGCTTGGCATTCCGGTCTTCCATGCGAATCACTCGGAACAAGCCGTGGGCAAGCGCTACGTCGGGGTTAGTCACTTGATGCTGTGCACCTTGAGTAACCCAAAGCAGCTGTTTGCCCGAGCCAATGAGCACTTTAAGCGACTTCCATTGGTCTTCGTTGACCTGCGTGAGCAATGAAGATGAAAGCTCATCGAGGACTAGAATGACACCGTTCGGTGTTGATGACGATATGGAGAGTGTCTGCTCATTAATGATCCATCCAGAGTTCTGCAGCCTCTCGCGTAAGGATGATTCAAGTGCCGGTGTGTCTTTTGACAAGCGCACGACATCTAGATTTAGGGAGCTCTTGGCGGCTTGAGTGACTGGGTTGAGAATTGACAAGTAAGACTCAGTCCCAAATTGAGAGCCAACTTGGAAAACTGGGTCCGAGAAGGAAGATCGAAGGGTCTCTTCAACCATGTCAGAATCATTGGGCTGGAGAGGGGTGCCTTCAACATAAGCAACCGTCTCCTCTTTCAATGTCACAAGGTTAACTGAGGTGGCCGAGGAGCTAATTGAACTGGTAGGAGTGATTGCCTCCGAAGGTGCCTTGCTGAGTTCAAAACCCGGGGTCACCGCTGCTTCTGAATCGGGCGTTGACGTTCCCAGAGCAAAATAGCTCGCGTCGCGTGAAGTTGGGGCCAGGTGGTGTAAAAGAAGTAGATGACCGGCTTGCTGAGATACAAGAGACTTGAGCTTCTGCAGCAGAACACCCAACTCAGATCGCGAAACCTGTCCAATCTTCAAGATCACGAGATCAAACTCAATTTCCGGTGCACCTAATCGCTCAGCAGTAGTACTAGCTAGCAGGAATGAGGTATTGTGCCTGGTTCCGTGCTGGGTTTGTTAATCGATAACGCTCTTTGCATCCGATCCAAGGAAGGTGTAGTCTAGGTATGCGGTGCGGGAAACTCGATCCTTGTTTTTGAACCATAGGGAGGATGTATCATCGTTGATGAAGTTGATCTCCAAAACCTTAAGAGTTGGCTTCTTGTGCGCGATAAGGTCAATCACAGAGTCGACAGACTTCTCACGAAGCTGGCTAGCGGTCAGGAATGTTACATCCGGCTTCCATGTGATCTTGTCGAAGATGTGAGGGTCGACCTGGCTGCCCACATCCAGCTTCGCAAAGTGAAGCCCGGTCATCTTCATTAGGAGACTGCCGGTCTCCGAGTCATACACAGTGCAGTTGGCAAAGTAGCTCTTGGTTTCCTCAAGTCGGCCACGGCCGGAATATCGCGACTCTGCGAGAGAAAGTCCGTTCTTCAAACTGTGAGGAACCCTGTTAATGATGATATCATCTAAAATTGAAGGCACCACAACCGAGTTGGGAGAGCCTCGTTCTCCAGCCCACAAAGAAGGTGTGACGGTCTGGAAGCAGCCATCAAGTGAGGCCGGATGAATTGGGTAATATGACTGGGGTGACCACTTAGATGGTGGCTCTGTCAAAGAAACCAGACCACGTCCATTCCGCTGGCCACTGACAGATTCGACCTGAATGAGCTTCTGGAAAGCAGGCCCGAAGCCATAGCCAATCTGACTCTGAGCCTTGTACCATAGTTGTCCAGAAGTAGGTTGAGTCAAACGTTGAGAGTCAGGCTGTGCAATTTGACTGTCGATGGGGACTTGCAAGCGGATAAGCCCGGACGAGTGTTCGACCAAGTTTCCCTCATTCACCGATGAAATCCTGAAATCATGCCAATCTTTGCTCCCCTGTTGTTCGGTCAACCACAGCAAGACCTCAGCATCTTTGTCGTCTTCAAGTACAAGCGCTTTGTCAAATCTGACGTTGCGTAATCGGTATGCTAGTTGGTTGGGGGAAGTAACAGCTTCGTCGGGGTCGGTCGCGTTCTTCTTTTGCCACATCGCTTCCACTGCCATGCAGATAAACCCCGACCCGGGGAGCAATACATTTGCGCCCATTTTATGATCCTTCAACCACGGGATATCGGCCATGTTCAAAAGCTTTCGCCAGCTGGGTGCTTTCCATGAGCTACCAAGAATCTTACTTCCCAGCAAGTCGTGATTGACATGTTTTTTGAAACGCCAATCTTTACTGGCAGAGTTTTCGTGCCAGTATTTGATTCAGTGGTTCCATGTGTAGTTCGGGAGATCAACAATAGTTGAGGGATTCCTGCTCTCGGCAAATACTTGATTGACCTCGTCAAGTCTGATTGATGGATGCCCGGCGATGAAAAGTCGGCCAGCGAGATCGAACAAAGTGGATCCAGCGGCTTCACCCCTGGCCCACGAAGCAGAGTAAGCGATGTCTGCACCACCTGCCACAGCTTTTCTTATTTGAGCCAAAGGTCCGGCTAAAGCTCCTGATGGGCCGATCTCAATCAGATAATTCGGGGTCTGGCCGTTTGGTTGAGAAAGCATAGCCTGTGTAGCTTCTGCGAATCGGACAGGTGAAATCATGTTTGTCTTCCAATACAAAGCATCAGTGGTACCGGTCTTCTGGGTTCCCGTCACGGAGGAGAACATCCAGACATCCGCAGAGCCATTTGAAGAGACAAAGTTGTGCTGCAACAAATTCTCGTACTCCTCGCCAATCGTGCTCATCAGCCCCGAATGATAAGCCAGATCCACTTGCAACAATCTAGCAAAGTGCCCATCAGCTTGAATGTCACTTTTCAATGACCCGAGAGCCGCGATTCTACCGGAAACTGTCAAGCTGCTGGGGCTGTTGAAACAGGCAATCCAGGCATCCAATCCATACTTAGTCAAGTACGGATTCAGAGGCTCGACGCCTAGTCCAACAGCAAGCATTCCAACATTTCCTTCAGCCTCAGCTTTGCGGTTCACGGCTGCCCTTCCACGATAGAATGCAGCAATGATAGCATTCGATCGGCTCAAAAGTCCTGCCGCATATGCCGCCGCAATTTCACCGGAGGAATGGCCGACAACACTTTGCGGCTTAACACCCCACGTCTCGAGAATGTCGATAATGCACAGTTGTAAAGCCGTCACCAGAGGCTGGGAGAATTCTGGCTCGCGAAGACGTGCCGCACTACGAGGCTCAGTCAATTCGGCTGTTGTCATGTCAGTTGTCTACCGAGGTATCAAGGGAAACAAGCAAGGGACCATACAGATAAAAGACCATGTTGGCGGATCTGGCAATCTCTGCAGAACATCGTCAAGCTCTTCGAGAATCGAACGTGTCCATGGGAAGAATTGGAGAAGATCTTTGCCCATCTGCGGCCACTGCGCGCCCTGTCCTGTGAAAATGAAGCCAACACGTGGTGGCTCGGGGCTCTTTTTCCCCAAAACGAAAGAGCTTTCATCCAATTCCGTATTCCGGGTCGTCACAAATTGTCGGCGCCGTGGTTTGCCTTGTTTGCAGGGCCCTGCAGGATGTTTGATAGACCTAGATTAGGAGCCTCGCTCGCCCTCTTTCCTTCGTCTCCTCGTCTCAATATCATCTAAGTTATCGTACATGACAGCTATCCTAACACAAATGCTCGATAGAACAAGCGCGTTCGCCGTTCAGACAGCGTATACGCCAGATCGGGAAACTGACTTTGACGCGAGGATTGATCAAATGATCCAAAAGAGCCTTGATATTAGCACGCAAAGAGACTTCATCGTTAGCGGAGAAGACAATTGTGTACGGTCGCTCGGCACCCTCATCCTCCAAGTCAAACTCATCATCTTCGGAAAGATACGATGAGACATGACGCGGGCCATCCAGCAGCTTGGCTTCTTCAAGAACGACGTGTACATTCGAGCCTCCATAACCGAAGGAGTTGACACTCGCGCGACGAATGGAACAGGCTGGCCATGGAATCGCCGTCCGAGTAGCTTTGACTTTGAAGCCAGCGAAATCGACTGGGCAACAAGGACTGTGAGCCTCCAATATGGGATAGTATGTGGGGAAGATGAAAGTTGCACCGACTTTTGGGGCTGGGGTTCTCAAACGTGGGATTCCCAGGGATGATGCCTTTCTCCATCGCCATCACCGCCTTCATAACTCCCGATATTCCGGCTGCCGGCTCTGCGTGCCCAACATTGCTTTTGATCTGGATACTATCAGGAGTGTGTCAATCATTTTGAATTTTCCACGACAGTTACTCACCGAGCCAATTATGAGTGGCTTGTCAGGAGACCTGGTGCTTGAAAACACCGACGCGACGGCGCCTACCTCCGTCGGATCCCCGGCCTGATATACGTCAACGATAAACTTCAATGAAGCATGTTTGAGGATGAGTTATAGTGTTACCTGGGTGCCCGTTCCGTGACACTCCAAATACGAGGTCTCATTGAAGTCAGTAATACCCGCTCGAGCGTACGCCGCTCGGATGGCGACTGCTTGAGCCTCCGCGCTGGGGCTAGCGATACCGGGAGTGCGGCCATCGCTGTTGGTAGAAGAGCCTCGGATCACACCTCTGATCGGATCTCCATCCCGAATTGCATCTGACAGTCTCTTCACTATGATCGCACTGACGGCTTCGGCCTTGACATAGCCGTCAGCAGACTCAAAGGTATGACAGAGACCGCTTGGAGAGTGGGCATTACCGACTGCACCAATGTCCATGACATGCTCGGGATTGAGGTAAAGATTGCTGGTTGCAATGATACCTGCATTCATTTCTCTTGTTTGCAAATAGCGACATGCCACATCCAAGCCGACAAGACTACCCGAGTAAGCAGTATCGATGGTCATACTAGGCCCTTTCACGTTAAGAAAATGGCTCAGTCGGTTAGCCAAAATAGCACGCCCAACACCAACCGTGATACTAGATGGACGATCTTCCGGATCTCTGCCCTGCATATCACCATAATCTGAGCAACAGCTATGGCTTAGTAATTTCAAAAAGCAAGGCCATCTGCAGATGACATACCGGAAGCAAACGATCCCACAAAACATCCAACCAGAGCACCATCAAGGCTCTCCAGAGTGATACCGGAGTTTTCAAGACCTTCGAACACGACTTCCAGCATTTGACGTTGATTGGGATCCATGGAAATTGCGTCGGATTTCGAAATTTCGAAAAACGATGCATCGAAGTCAGCCGGGTCAGTATCTTCCAGGAACATACCACCTAGAGGTCGCATAGTGCGAGGTTTGAGTGATCCGTCCCAATGGCCGTCAATATTGAATCGAGACTTGGGAACATTGTTTGATGCAATTCCGCCTCGTTCCAGAAGATCCCATAGCATGCGCGGGCTTTTGCTCTGTCCAGGTAGTCGGCATGCAAACCCAACGATGGCGACAAGTTCTTGCGTAGGAGAAGACATTTCTAGATCTATAATGATAGGACGATGGAAACCGAAGTCCAATAATTGAGAGACGTCAAGGGATCCTGACTACGGAAGTTGTGTTTTATTTCGTCCTAGTGAAAGTAAAGACAGGGCTTTGAATTTGGTGTCGGGACGGTGCCTTCTTCAATTATTCTCGTAACACCGGTATGGCTATCGATACTCTGCCTCTCCAGATTACTACGATTACTACTAACCTATCGGGACAAACAAAAGTACCCAAACTATGTATCATCATTACCTCTGGCCAATTTGGCAAATGTCAGCCATTATCTTCAGCCGCACGCTATGCTGCTTCCAGATTGTTGCTTATAGGTATGACATACATCAAAATCATCATGAACTTCCTTTCATGAAAGAAACCGCAATCGTTGTTTGGTGTCCCATTGCCTAGAATCGGCTCTATTACGAGCTTATCTAGCATATGCTTACAGAGTATCACCCGTGAGGTTGCAATAGGCTGCATGTGAGACATGACCGTAAGCTACAATCTTTCCACGTTGTTTATGCAGCTCAGCATTGCGAAATTTCAGTCACAGAAAAGTGGGTTTTGCGTGGCAAGTCAGCCAACAGGTAGAGTCTTCGGATCAAGGCATATCAAACTGGACCACCATACTTTTCACTCTCATATTGAAAGATTCTCCCACCAGAACGCAAGGATTCTCCAAGACTCATCGAGAATCAGGGCAAGATGGCTCCCATTTCAAATTACGAAAAGGTCGAGTTCATGACAATTGATGGCACTACTCTTAGAGGATGGCTGTATGCAGCAAGTGGACGAGGGCCAACGATCATCATGACTCCCGGCGTGGGTAGACCATGAAAATCTCAAATTGAAGTTATACTAAATTGAGTTAGTTCAACTGTGTGAAGGAAATGCTATTGCCTGAAGTTGCAGAGAAGTTCCAGTCACTCGGATATACAGCACTTGTTTACGATCCGCGGAGTATCGACGACAGCGACGGTCTTCCTCGAAATCAAATCGACCCTCTCAAGCAAATTGAAGACCTTGCCGACATTGTGACCTATGTAACTATGCTACCCAGTGTCGATCCGCGTCTCATATCACTTTGGGGCATGTCATTCGGGGGGACCATTAGTGCATGCGCCGCTGCCGTTGATCGTCGAGTGAAAGCACTGGTCATGGTCTGCCCTATTCTGAGCTTCTTCAACCCGCAAAAGCGTGAAAAGGCCTTTGCGCAATTGATCAAAGACCGGCAGTCCCAGCTGCGTGGTAATGAAGCCTTCACCCTTCCGCCATTCAACAGTAAGGGCGAGAATCCGATTGGAATGGCCGGGTCGGGTGGCCCGGGCGGAGTTGAAGCCTACGGATTCATGAATGCCGTTCTCGATCGGGGTGCGCCAAATTTCCGAAACCGCATTACCCTCCAGAGTTATTACAAATTAGCCATGTGGCAGCTCAAGGAGTTGCTTAAATTGGTTGATGTCACCCCTGTCATGATGGTTACGCCGGAGCTCGATGCCATGTCACCTCCGAATGAGCAACTTAAAGCTTTTGAAAAATTTCAGCAACCAAAGTGATTCTTCTTGGCGAAAGGAAAAGGTCATTTGGCAGTGCTAAGTGGGGAAGGTTCAGATGAGATTTTAGATTCTCAGATTGATTTCATCAAGTCCGCATTTGAGGGAACCCTGGAAACTACTAGCTAAGACAGATTTATCAATATTGAGTATCACATACTTGCAACAATCAGTATAGACTTTCGTGGTTTTTTGCGCCGATGTCAAGTTCCATTACCATCAAGTTTGAGTTGATCTAAATTCATTCTCTGTTTCAAGATTCACTAGAGAAAGGAAAAGCGTTCTTCATGTTCAGTTGCCTAGAACTCAAATCCCTACAAGCATAGCTCTCCCCGATCTGCGGCGTTCTAAGTTCGTTCGACTTCAATAGGATGGTAATATCTCTAACTGAGATAAATCACAGCGACAGTTTCAGCTGATCCCAAGTCGTATTCCAGAAATGTGCTACAATATCGAAACCAAAAGGGGTGTCAAGTTTTCAAAGTCACCATTCCCAAAAATGCACCAACTAGTTACAGCAAGATTAGAAGTAAGCAAGTTATGCCAAATTCGAACTAGCCCAGTTAGCACACTTTGCTTATATTTCGCTGCTTATACTGCTTATTTCTGCGGCCCCGTATTACGTTGCTTACCTTGCATACTGCTGACCCTGCATGACGCCGTCTCAAGGACATCACTCTGTACAGAGCATGGCTATTGGAGTGATTCGTAAGGATTATTAATTTCTGGCCATTCATGAGATCAGAATCAGTAATCTTTTCTATCGGCAGTGACTTGCTTTAATTCACTTTTGATTGCGTGATGCTTCGGGGACTATTACCAAGCGCATGGTCACAGTGGCTTAAAGCGGCCAGCGTCAATAACCCTATTCGACTGCACTAGCACGTGAATGCTTCGCGTGGAGCCTCATTTCTTGACCAGCAGAAAAGTGAAAGACCGTTACGAAGTACTGGGTACTTTGTAAAGGAGATGTACTCCGGACTCCATGCTTCGTAGGACTGTCTACAATCAGGCACAATGGTCCATTCCCCCTTGCGAATTCGGGTTCATAACACTCGCCGCTTTAAGCCTGCTCGGGCAACACAACAAAGAAATCGGCCCGCTGCCCGGCTCTCGGCGACAATTTGACGATGACCTTGCAGCTATTAGCAAGCTATCATAATGACTAGACATCGTGATTAGAAATGATAGCACTTGTCAAACTAAGCATCCTCATTTTGTGTGGGAAACAGATAGGTATTTGTTGTGACTAACGCGTCTCTCACTCCCTCTGACAATCAACACAACTTCTTTTCTCAAAGTCGAGTTTTTCGATTTTTCGAGTCTCACCAATACTCCCACTATTGTCCTCATCACCGGTGCCAACCGCGGTATTGGAAAAGGCATCTTGGAACTGTACCTCAAGAAGCCCGATCACACCGTCATCGCTGCGAACCGTGACCCAAGCCACACAAGCTCTCTCTCTCTCTGGCTGGTCTGCCCAAGGCTGAGGGTACTACGTTGCACGTCATCAAAATTGATGCTCTCTCTCCTACTGATCCCGCTGCGGGTGTGGAGGATCTAGCCTCCAAGGGAATCACCCACATCGACATCCTGATCGCCAACGCCGGTATTGCTCTTTCTTGGCCAAAGGTCACTGAGGTCAAAGTTGCCGATATCCAGAAGCATGTCGATGTCAATGTCTATGGCTTCATCAATCTTTACCAGGCTTTCCGACCTCTCCTCAAGGATGCCCAGGCTCCCAAGTGGGTAACCATCGGCTCTAGCTCTGCTTTCCTGACGGTAAGTCTCATCAATTGGTTTGTGTTACCTATAACAAGTCCTAATGTTATTCACAGTAAGTGAAACGTCAATACTGGTCTATCTACCCTTGGAGGACGGCTCTATATATCTGGGCTAGAATGTGTTAACCATTCACAGGAACTTCGTTCCCATGCAAAATGCTGCCTACGCTCCCACAAAGGCTGTTCAGCACTGGTACACCAAGGCAATTTCCGTTGAGGATTCCTGGTTAAACGCCTTCCCCATTGACCCTGGGTATATTTTGATACCTCACCCCTAAGTTATTCCTTCATGTTGGGCTAATCATGACGCTGTGAAATAGCTGGGTTCAGACTGATCTCGGCAACCGAGGTGCCGAAGCTTTCAGCTTCGAAAAAGCCGCTGTGACCATCGAAGACAGTGCCGCTGGCCTCGTCAAGATCATTGATGCGTCCACCTTGGAGACTCACAGTGGGAAGCTGTTCAAATTTGATGGCGATGAGGAGCCTTGGTAGACAAAAGGTAGTCCTTGATCTGTGATTCCAATCGTCATGTTCGGTACTTGGCCCTTGTGAAATGCCCGAAATAGAATGGACTATTTTCCTTTCTATCGTTTTGTCAATATGGATTGACTACAATGAGATTATCTGTTTTAACGTTCTACAAATCTGCTACGAAGAAATCTGGTTTTCCTCACAGAGCCATCCCAATGACTCGTAGTTCATCAAGTTACTTGGACACCTTGGGCGCTAATAACATATTAATAAACCTATCATTGTCCTGATTTTCTCGAGTCCATAAGGCCTTATCTGAGTCTCGTTTTAGGACAAGGCTTTCCATTAATCTCAGCTTTAAGAATAGAATGTTATGTGTGATATGCACTCCCAGGCACAACCTTGAGAGGTGGATCCTGTCCCGGGACGAAACCTTTGGCAGACAACCCACCTCGTGTATTATTCCAAGGGGTCCCATTGCGCAGACATCTAAGCAAAAATAGACTGAAGAAGCAAAATCTCGAAAAGAATATATTCTAAGCTTCACTTAATGTTTTGGTCGAGACTTTGAAATAAGTCCACAGGATAAAAGGTTGGAAATCCTTAAGCACCGGCCGGGCAAAGTCTGCCATCAGAAGTGACCTTCCAGTGCTCACTTCCCACGGACGCTGGTCCATAGAGTACGAATTTTGGATCATACTTCTTTTTAATCTCCAGTAACCGAGGGTAATTGCTTCCAAAATAATCTGCCTTCCAGGTTGGGTTGTCGAAGGTCGCTTCATTGAGATACGTACCACCATTGGGTGTGATAGATCTTAAGAGGTCCTGATTGTGATTCATGTGTGCCTGGTGTTCGAGTAAAATGTCGAGTGGAAAGGTTGGTGCCACGTAGACGTCCATATTGGCCGAGTACAAAGCATCACGCCAAGCGGGAACGACAGCATTTGATTCGGGGGTATTGCCTACTCGAGCATGTGTGACGTTGGCAGCGATGCCGTTGATACGGTATCCTGGCAGTGCGGTGATATTGCGGTAGGCATCAATCAAGCCAGAAATATTATCACGAACAGTGTCTCGGGCAATCAGTCTTCCACCAATCGTTGAGTTTGTGAGATAGTCTCCGTAAGGGAGATCTGGCGTGTAGTAGGCGAAATGATCATAGTAAGTCGGCTGTTCGTTTGTCTCGTAGGTATAGGTAAGGTTCAATTCCTCCAGGTCTTGGATGAATGGATCAAATTGCGCTGCGACCGCAGACTCTGGTTGATCGGGTAAAGCAGCGGAGTAAAGTGTGAAAATATCACTAGTGATGCCGAAGTAATTGCTGATTCCAGGAAGATCATCCCAAACGAGGAGCCATTTGTGCCATGCCTCCACAGCTGCCCAGTATGTGCCATTATCACCATTATTTTGGAAAGTGAGCGATGCACCGGCAACGATACCATCTGGATGGGCTTTGGTGGTTTGTGATATGACAACAGCATATGTGCCACCGCCACCTCCATTTAACGCCCAATATAGATCCTGATTCTCGGTGGTACTGGCAACGAGATACCTTCCATCGGGAGTCACAACTTCAAATTCCAGTGTGTTGTCTGCAGCGAGACCATAAACACCTTCAAGGGCACCATGGCCTCCGCTTTGAACGTATCCACCGGCAAGTCCAACTGTCGGACAAAATCCACTGACGCGAAGTCCGTTATCGGCGGCTTCCTGATATACGTCGAACGCTTGAACGCCTGCACCGAGCTTTACCGCCGACCCGTTGTAGCCTGGACTTGAATAATTGAAGAAATTGATATCTTTCAAGTTATGGGTCCAAAGAGCTAAGGATCCCGCACCGGTAGATCGGCCAAGGAAGTCATGCCCGGTATTCTTCACTTGGATTCGAATATTGTATTCTTGAGCAAAATTCAATCCCGCTTGCACATCTTCAACCGAGCTGACATTAATCGCATAGGATGCTATGTTTCCCAGTGTACAGGAGGCATTTTGCGATGTAAACGGGCTGCAGGAGTTGTTCAGCCAGTATGGCGCCATAATATTGATAGGGTCAACAAAACTAAGAAAATTAGTCAGACGAAGGAGATTACTTCGAGCACACATGCAAATTAGACTTACTAGGATGGTGGATTAGTCCAGTTCGCTTGCAATGCAACACATTTACCCTTGTCATAGGTTGTACCATGACATACATCTGCAAGTGGCCTTCCTGCAATCAAATTCCCTTCAATTGACAGGTTGAAGTGCTGCCACTGCTGAAGGCTAGGCCATTCCCGATCTCCAGGAAAATAATGACATCCAGGACCGTGAGGCGCTGCAAGTACCCTTGGCAGAAGTACCATCAGGTAAGAAACACCAAGAGCATCGTTCGCAAACATTCTCATTTCTGCCATGAGGATAATGCTTTTTGAGCCTCTAGATATTACGGAGCGTTTAGTCCTTATATATAAAGTCAATTAGTCTATTCAGCCCCCACAAAGCGCTCAAACTGGATTTGCAATAATCCTTCTATCCCTCGGGTCATGCACAGCCATGATACCGAGAGTGAATAGACTTCATTGGACTGCATGAACTATCGATTACTTTGCACTTCGTATCCTCATGCAAGTTACTCCGTACTCCGTACCCGCTCTCTTTTGCTCAGCATCCATGGATAATCCCACTCCCGGCGTATTTGAATTTATGAAACCAGACGTTGCCCAGATACGCTATTCTACAATCCTGTAGCTTATTGTACGGCCCCATTCAGTGCTTATGCAGTCAGCACCACCTTGCATACGGAGTATTTGAGCGCGATTACGTGCATATTACGGAGTACTCCGTACCAAGGGGCAGTGCCCCTAATGTATTTCACAAGCGAGCACCACACCCCACCAAAAAAAGCGGGATGTACAGTCCTTCCCAAGAAGTTTCCTTACACCCTAGCTCCCACACACAGCACAGCTTGTTATGCAATCTTTTTGCTGACAGAATGCTGATTTCCTAATCCTCTGTACGAACTATATCACCCTGCCGCCTCGATGATAGCCTTGATACACCGAGGCATACTCTCAGATAGTCTACGTAGGGTGTCTGGGTCTATTTGAGACCAAGCGGTCTGGGCAGCTGCTGTTAGATACCCTCTCGTCTCTTCATTATTAGGGATATCATATGACTCAGGAAACATCTTCAATAACTTATCTTTTCACAAGAATTCCCCTTACAATGGTGCGACGTAGTTCAGAGACCCCCACTCCCACTCCTGGGGGACAAACCGCCCTATGCTCCTCGATCTACCCAACGGAGTATATAGGAAATCCTCTTTCTGATAGCCAACGGGACTCGTTTATGTCCACTGTGTCCGCTTCCCGTTGTGGCCGACGGACAGCGCCAGCGCCCACACACAGATCTCACTACGGAGGATGCCAATGACGATAGAATCCGGCAAAGGTAAAGCCCGCGTGAGCTATATCCGAGCTCTCGGCTCTCCGCGCCCAACACATCGACAATGGTCTACCTGATGCCACCTTTGACCTCCACGCAAAGCATTTCCGTCGCATGCTCAATGGAGATCGCCGCCTGCAACCTCTCCGCCCAAAGAGTATTCGCAATACAATCTCTCGTACCTCGGCCATTACCCTTTCAGAGAATATCCCACAACTCCCCGCCCAACCACCAAGGCCCTCGGAAGCCCAGAAAAATGACCTCAATCATGCCATCGCTGCCCGCGTCGCCTTCGCCGGGTTTCTTCAAATCGGAGAGTTCATACTCAGCAGCCGACCGCAGAAATCCTCAGGTCTTCGCGGGTACCAAATTAACCCGAGGTGGTATCAGGTTCTCCCTCACCATGGACCACGTCCTCCTTGCCTTGAAGCTTGAAGAGAAGCAAGAAAGACAGAACCCTCGAAAGTGTTAATACTGCCCTAGCAGCGACAAGCGATGCAGCCTGCCACGTCGAAGGCCTTTCCAAGCTGCTCCTCCGTGACTCACAAACCATGACTGCCCCCTTATTTGCGCTCTCTGCTGGGCCTTTTTCTTCATCTGCCGTCTCACGTGCAGTTATCTCCAAGCTCCACCGTGTCGGGGAAGATACCACAGGACTTAAGGGTCATAGTTTCAGGAAAATTCCAGCAGAACACGCCTACGATGCAGGCTTAAGAAATGATCACATCCAGGTCCTTGGGCGATGGTCTTCAAAAACTCTTCGTCTTTACTTACGACAGATACGACAGATACCTATTTAGACTCTCCTACAGAATTTGGTTACAGACACACTGATTGATAGTCTACACGTGGAAAGAGGATCATATTTCTAAGCCTAATCATCTCAGTCTATCAGCCTATCAGCCTAACAGTATAATAGTCTATCAGTCCAACAGTCTAAAGCATAAGCCACGCCCCATATGTCACTGCTCCCCATCACATGTTATCGCCCACGTGATCGCTGACGATCCATCGGCGGCTCGACATTGCCCATATACGGACATTTGTGTGCTTTGGCATTGACGTCCGCGCCTCCCTGGAGGAGCATCACCACTCCAGCCTCGAAGGCTCTATCTACAGACATGTGCAATGGGGTCCAGCCAGCATTGTCATACGCATCAAGTACCAAACTGCGCTCGTACTTGGCGCGATGGTCGAGTAGATGCTGGAGTATCCCGAGTCTTCTGTGCAAAACAGCCCAGTGCAGTCCCGAGCGACCTTCACGATCGTACACGGCTATTTGAGCGCCGTGGGAGAGTAGTAGGCGGACTACTGAATCATGATCTTCAATGATCGCGTGTATCAAGGGAGTTCGACCGTCACTGTCTTGGTTATTCACATCCATGTTGCCACGGAGTAATAGGACTCGAACGATCCTTTCGTGGCCCTTCTGAGCGGCAATGTGAAGTGCATCAATCCATCCTTTGTCGCTTCTTGCAGATCTAATGAGTTCTAGTACCGTATCGTCTTTGTGGGAATGTGGTAACTAGAAATATGGGCTCTCTGGGCGAATGTCGGAATCGGATGTTCTGCGATGGAACGGCGGGCTATGGCTATTTTCGGATCGAGGAAGCGACCTCATGGGGTTGCTTGATGTGCTGTTGGAGAGCGCCGTGCGTGAAGAGGGGGCGGAGGAGTTGCTGTGAGGGAGAGTCGCGTGTACTAAGCTTGGCTGAAGGGGCGATGGATCAGACAATGGAAAGGAGAGGTCGGGGTTGATTTGATCCCAGAACGGGTGGATCGCGTCGAGATCGAGATGCTCTATGGACCCTGACCTTGTGCTATCAATCTGGGTTTCGTTTGGAGACAGAGTTCCCGTCCGTCTGGGGAGTGCATTCGGGAACGCCGGCGAGGAGTTGATCGGGATGTTCCCGTTGTTGACAGTGGAAATCGACTGAGGTGGTTGAGACGTCTCTAGAGCAACATTGTGCGCCGCCCACCGCTTCTTCTCTGTCAACGAAACCCCGATCAGTGGGATGATCGACATAGCTTGGCACTTGCTGGATACTGAATACGGAGTACTCACCGCGGAATTTGCGTAGAGCTAGGCGATTCTGGTCGCGTCGCCGCTTCGCCGAGTCGCTCATGAATTGCAAATTGACATCCATGGTCCCTCAAATCAGTGCGATGAATCAACAATAAGAATAATGTAAGTGTCTTCGATGTGGAAACTCAATCGCTTCGATCTCGACCGTGTTGGAGGAACGGCTGAATGCAAGATAACGCCCCCCGCCAAGACATTAGCCTCCCCCACTCTTTTCAAAGAGGCTCCTCATTCATCCTACTAAAAAGTTGGTATTGCGAATATGTACTTCCCTCTCCGGAAGTAAAAGACCGAGTCCGAAGAGCCTTCTCCGGAAGGAAAAGACCGAGCCCGAAGAGGTCGAATAGGGGGGATGCATAAGTACGAAACACCGGTTCGTGGGGCCTGATAGGCTCGGTCCGTGGCGTTGCCGTGTTGCCGCCCTAACAGCGCCCTAACAGCGCCTCATAACATACTCCGTAGCCTTGCCTAGGATGGGACCTGATCTCGCTTCATTGATCGGTTTGTACTCCGTACAGAGGGAAATCCTACAGCCAACGCTTCAGAAAAAAATTGCACGGCGCTGATGGGCCAAGCTGCTTAATGTCCCTCTTCAGCGTACAGCAGATTCCGAAAATAGATTACCCACGACTACGTTGGTTTTACATTTATTTTCTTCTGAGTGAGAACAGAAACTAACTCCGTGGTGCTTTTACATCTAGCTTATGATCAAAACTGGGGGCAAGGGAGCGCAAACATTGGTTGAACTGGTTCCGTCAATATAGTATGGATGGTTTCATTTACTTTGGGCGAGAGCCAACCATTCATTATGTTGCATGGGTTCCCACTACCCCCACCTACATGGGACTATCTCTCACTCAGACGACGGGGGTCGTACCACTTCACAGTACCTGTAAATGCTGACACTTGCGAGCACCTATTTCATAACTTCACTTGCTGATACATTTTGCCAATTATTGAGTGATCACCAAAGGTCCACGAGAATGCAGCGTCTGAAATGGCTGAAATTGACAGTATAGCACCTGACCGAATTGCCTACCGTTTCCATCTCGTGTCACCCAGGCTGTGACGCGTACCACCTGTATGATGTGTTGTACTCGCATATGATTCCAACTTATAACTGGTTGAGCTTTAGCGGGCTTTATGATTGGTAGAATATATGGTTGGTAGATTATGTAGATAAACAGGATGCATTAGAGAAAACCTCTACAGTTCCTCGGGAGTTTATTTTGATTTCTTTCTGATATTTCTTTTTGCTCACATGAAAATTAACTCGGCTCTTTCGGTGCCATACTGTAATGCCGTTTGACTAATTAGTTCGCTACTATTTCATTGAGCAAGAATTAAGAATCAAATTCAGATAACTGTCATAATGTAAACCATGACTCGTTATAGAAGATACTAGAATTAGACACAGATATACAGTCAAATAGCTAACTGACGAGAATGTGGAAGATTTTCGAGATCTCTCTATATTTGGTTGATGGTCGACGTGTTGAGAGAAATGACAGGAGGGAGAGAGAAAGAGAAAAGAACGCTTATTAGTGATGTTCTTAAGCCCCGCGAACGGTACTAACCAGTTTGAGTTACTAAATACCATCTACTCAAAGCATCAACTTGATGAGAGAACTACTCCGAAGAATAGAACTATGGAAAACATAGCTTGATCTGGGGAAAAGAAGAGAAGCCAAATACCGAGATCAACATATTTTAATGGGGGGGGAACCGCGCCACATCTCTCACCTGCGCCTCATGCATCCCAGAGGTGTTTCTAGGCCCGTTTTCATAGCATAGCAATTCAAGCATTCTACACCTCTCTGAGAAACAGCATCTCTTTCCTATTCCGGTAGCTCCTGAGGTCGTAGGTGAATCATGATCCTGACAATGAGCGCTGTACCGGCGAAGAATAAGCCAGCAACCATATGAGTTAAATCTGATTGCAAAGTAGACACAGAGATACTAAAAAAAGGATCAGAGTCACCTTCCTTCTATCCCACTGCACCTACCTCGTTCAAAGCAAGAAAAAGCAGTATACTGCCGATCTCTGAACGAAATATCAAGTATTTGATTTGCGATATGCTTGGTTCATATAGATCACGGGATTGCTGGAAGCGGGTGCTGGTTGACATGGACGCCTTAGCTTTTGCGGGGCGTTCTTGGGTTGAGAGGCTAAACTCCATCCGGCCAGGCAGTGCGATCTCATGTTCCTAAGAATGACACGCATATACCACTAAACCCTTCCTGGGCATCTAGAGCGAAGTAAATCTGGATCTACTGTCGGGTGTTCAGTGAATCCAAGCCTGTAATCCAGTCCAGAGCAAAGCCTTATCAACTTTATCAAGGTTCTGTATTTACCTGGTACCCGATTGGGGTGGATGAAATACATGGACGAGATTTCTCTAAGCGAGTGGCTGTGAAAGGCATTCGAGCTAATTGTATTTGCCTAGCCAAAGAAAGTAGATAGGTTTTCCTCTATCATCACGTCCATCCAGCCAACAAAGGTCTGTTGTGATGAGATATCCGCGCGCATCCACACTCCCTCCACGATCTGTTTGGCGTGACCAACCGAATCTAGACCTACATAATCATGCAGGTCTTTTATCCTCTGCATAACAACAGACCTCCAATAGTTTATGCTTTCACTGTGGCTGAATAACGACATGATCCCCTGACTTTGGTCTTGACAGGTTAAAGGGAGCAAAGGCACATCAACTGGCCTTTCTGGGTCCGCTTGAAGAGCACTTCCCGCTATGATCAAGGGAAATATTTGGATTGCTTTTGTTCGTGACGTATGTGGGATAGTTGCAAGTAAAGTCAGGACACTTATTGCGAGAGTGACCAATATGTGCCTGAAATTGCCTTGAGGCCGAGAACCTTCTAAGCCAAGCAGAGCCGGGAACAAGCGATAAACTTCAAGGAGTATCGACAACTGATACACTTTACCAATCAATTGGAGGTGACTGGGTGGAGTAAGAGCATCGCCTGTATCCTGAATTTGATCTGCTGATAAGACCACAAAGGAGCGTGTGGAAACTTCGATCTTCCTCGCCTGGTCAAGAAGAGAGCGGTAAATCTCTCCCTCGTAGACAGGGGCACCAGAGAGTTGACCCAGTCGATTTAGAAGATGCATCTGCCTTGAAAATGTCCCCACTTGCGCCAAGTGGATAAAAAGCGGAGTGCTTATTCCGGTCAGGGGATGCGAGCGACGCCTCTCTACACAGCTCTGCGAATTCCAAACATCCCACATATAATCCACAGTGGCGAGATTCTGATCGATGTGAAATGATGCAAGGGACCCCCAGAAGGCTATCACTCCGACTAGAAACATAGTCTGTGGATGGCCAATGGCGAGACAGGTAGGCCCCGTGGCGCTGCTAGTGATCCATTTTTTGAAAAGTAACCGAGCACCTTGCAAATGAACAAGATCCAATATTGTTACATCGTGCCATGTCTAGTCTCTATTAGTGAAACCTCAGGTGGCCAGTAGACGAAGACTGTAACTTACAGAGGTCATACCGAGGATAATAGCAGACAGAATCAAACCAGCAGCACTAGAGTGCCTCAGTGCCGATATTTCGTTGTCGGTATCATTCGTAGCTTGTGAGATACCCCGAGCCAAATGTGAGATGGCCTGCGTTCGATACTCTAATGCGTATCTTGGCTGATGTTTTTCACGATGATACAGGTGGGCGGCAGACATAGCGAGCACAGAATTAAGGAGAGCCGGTGAGCGCGGTATGAGCTCTTGCACCAGTGATCGAAGGGGATTTTTAGCTGAGTCAAAGATTGATAGAATACCACAAACGCGAGAAAAGTAGTACCGTAGCAGTCTATCACTTTCTGGTTCTGTGGGGACGTATGGAGTGGGACATTTTGCTTCTTCTGGGTACGTCCTCTCACTCAACATGGCCCGAAAACCCGAAGGAACATCGAAAATAGTGTGTGTCACCAGAATTTTCTGGGCTGTTTTCGGCCCAGTCGCTTGTAGGGTCTCCGGTCATGGAGAAAAACGCTGGGATGGAGGTGTGGGCAGTCAAATTGGCGGAGGCAATCGCATGTTCCAACCGCATTGCCCCGTCTAGAAACCAGGACAAGTGAGTCTCAGTCGGTTCCCCTTCGCTTCGGGGAGTTTCGACTGGGAAGTGGACTTCATATTTATCAGACCATTTCAGCTGCCTATTATACCCAGGACATTGCTGTCCCCTTTTTTCACACCCCGAACACTGCGGTACCTTTTCGTCGCATTTGATATGCTTGAATTGGTCAGAAAACGTCGGGTTCTAGTCAAAGCTGGGGTGTCTCACTCGTGCTTTGCAATTCTGGCATCCAGCTTAGCTTATTGTCAGCACCATGCTCATGCCTTCGAATATAACGGATCTTACCGCGCGACTTTACTCGTCTACGAAGGCTCGCAATTTTGCCCAAGGGCATATCTGCATGGGTATTGATGGGATGTGAATTCATTCGGCGGGAATTCTTGACAGGATGTTGCAGCGCAGCGGAAGCCTTCGGTGCCTAGGTGCCCAGGTGCGGGGCCGCCTTCCCCGCCTTGTAGATAAGTCCGGGAGATTGATTCATTGATGTACATTCTTCTTATTGGACGCTGCGGCTATTTGTCCAACGAAGAAAGGTAAAGTTTCAATATTATCGACGAGAGAGCACCGCGGACATGTACGATGTTGTAAGATTGTAGAGAGACGAGGAGAAGAAGAACAAGAGGGAGAGAGAAGCTCTCGCCATCTGCGCTATCTACACCTTCGGGGAGCCTGACAAACCAGGCAAACACCAAACAAATAACTATGGATCAAAGATGCACCTCCCGTGTTTCAACCATCCTTGCTGCATCCGTCTCGGCTAAAACGGTGGCATATGAGCCAAAGGACATCTGAACCAGTCTCGCCGGCTTTGGGTCCCAGCAGAAGAACCGGCCCGTCGAGCGCATGTGTTTAAGATCAACAATGACAATTGACTCGACAGGCATGATATCTTCGGTCCAGAATAGCAAATACAACTTGTCATCCAACTTGAGCATCTTGCAAGGCTCTGTGTCTACAAGTCCCTTTTCCGTTCCGCTGAGGCAGTGCCAGCTAAATGTCCCCTGATTCAGGTACACATGCTCATACGCGTCACGGGGCGTGTATCGGTAGAGAATATGTTTGCCAATGAGGTCTGCCGTGGGTGCAAAAGGTGTGACGGTCGTGCGTCCCTCGATCGAGGCATCGGTGAACTTGGTCCAAGTCCGCTTCCGTCCATCCTCTCTGACATGGAACCCAGAAAGCCCGACGATCCCTTGCCCAGAGGTGAAATTGAACAATAGAGTGACTTGTTCTTCATAGTCGGGCTTGTAGAAGTCAATAAAGAATATGCCCGGCCGCACTTCGAAGGCTTTGTACTGCGCGGCTCCGCTTTGCTTGGTTTGCATTACTTCCCATCTCAAAGTTTGAGCATCGACAAAGTTGTGTGTGATGCATGTTCGGTCTGTATCCGCAAGTATGATGGCAAGGGAGTCCCCAGAAAGCTTGTGCGATCCAGCCATCAGGTGCTCGCGAAAGCCGACTGCAAGGGATTCCAGGTTCGGCCATTGAGAGATGGGGATGTAGCCCGGGGTCTTGTTCGCAGCAATTTCAGCCATGATCAGAAAATACTGAGGCCTCTGTTAGTCACCATCAGGGAGGAAAACTATGGAGTCTTTGTACCTGATTTCACTTTCTGGGCTCAGATGTGGGAAGAATCGGTGGATGCAAGACAACCCCGTAAGTTCATCGCTCGTGGTTTTATACCTAGGCATCCTTTCAAGGTCAATTAGAAAATACCAGCTACTCGAAGAAGCTGGAACCTGTTTGGTGATGGACAAAACGCTCGGCTCTGGTCCGAAGGCCCCACCTCGCACTTCATGTCCTAAAAGGGTTTAGGGCAAGTATAGTCCAACTCTGCGGTCTTGGATCGTCATGTATGAACACCTGGGCACGAGATGCGGCCAGTGGTATCCTTCTGAAAGTGGCGATAACTCGCGAAGCAACTCAACAAACACGTTCCCACCAGGACAGTGACTGAACACGAACTCTTCAACATCACCGAGGCTGGTGATTGGTATCTCCTGAGTCCTGAGGTCGCTCTTTCGGAAATTTCTCCTAGCATCTTTGCAACCTTCGCCAATCACGCCTTCGAGGGTACTCCTAGAAGTACAAGGCAAGGCTCTTGAATCTAGAAAGATCATGTTCAGTTTGGTGCGGAGAGAGGACTTCTGGTTGGTGAATGGAGTTTTCCAAATGACCTCACTCTTCGCGGAAGTTGAGAGGTGCTAGGGTACTAGGTAGACGTTTCATTTGTCCGAAGGTAGTTCACACAAGATCCATACATCTAAGATGTTATGTTCAATCATTCTAGATGACCCTCTATTGACTTTCCACTTCTTAAAGAGGTTCATTTATCCAATCACTAGAGTACACCACACCGCTGTTCCTGAAAAGCGCCGTCATAGGGCAACGGCGCTCAATCTCTGCAATAAATTGTTGGAATTGAGGGTTATTATTACCCCCTTCCAAGTTACTCTGCACCCGTGCTTTCAAAGTGACGCTCTTCCAGTTCGGATTTCCTTCCTTGCCCCACACAAACACTTCTGTGGGCAGATTTCCCTCTACCTCAACATTCCACTCGCCAATCGTGATACCAAGATCCTTTGCAACGAGAGACCCGGTAACCTGGTTGCAGGAGCTCAAGCTAGCCAGGGAATAGGCGATTGGGGAGGGATGAGACTCCTTCCCACCGAGAACGGTATAGGCATCGGTTGAGAATTGGAAGGGCTTGCCTGGGATGGAGACTTTTTGTACAAATCCGGTCCCTGTGGCGGACACTTGGACGGGGATGGTCTGGAGGCGAGAGGAAGAATTGGAGAACTGGCGCAGGCCGGAGGTTAACCTGGAAGGGCAAGATCGCCGGGTGTTCATGAGGGCTTTTTTCATTGACTGTGACCGAATGTAAAACATGCTGAAGTTTGTGTATAGTGGTCTGCTGGGGGCTTTTTCGGTTGAGGGGTTGGATCCCGAGGTCGTTCCACGGGGAGGATGAGATCGGCCTTGAAGGCTGAGCAAAGATGCTGACAGAGATGCTTTGAGAGAATCAGAATCAGAAAGGAGGTTGATCCCTTGAATATTCTCGCACTGAGATTAAATACCTCCACTGGGATCCCAAGGTCCCCAGAATATAGGCTCCTTGTTGATTGCCTGGCAGCTGGTGCTATAACCCGAAGGTCCTCAATGACTTTTGCTAGTGGAGTGAACATTACATATTGTAATGAGGAAACCGCGCCACATCTCATGTGCGCCAATGTGGCTAGTTTTGGCAGGTTTAGCTCGCGAGCGTGTAGTTTAGCAACTCAAGCATTCTTCACATCTCTGAAAAACAGCATCTATTTCCTATTCCGGCTGCACAGGGGGGCTGCTTAGCTCCCCATGATCCCCGTCGAGCACTGAGCACCCCCGTCGTCTTCTCTGCGATGTTAGACCGCCGGCGCGCTCTTCCCAGCAAAATTCCAAGTTCGTTTATGGTATCATTTTGTGAGGGATTGTGCAGGGCGAGATTGTAAACATGCTGGGCCATGGGAAAATGAACTAGTGTCCTATGCATCTGAAAACCTTGAGATACTGGAGGCCAGTCAGAAATTGTACACAAGTCCAAAATTCTACGAAAAACACTGTAATTCCAAGAGTTTTCCCTCGGGCTGAACTGCCCAGGCGTGGGAATTGAACATGTTAATGGGTACAAAAGGACCACTCTAGGTAGGTCTCTGTTGTTGTTGATCTTCAAAAGGCTGCCCAGTGTTGTAAGCTACGAAGGAAATAATTGCCAACGAGCTAAAGATTCCTCATGGATATATGCTGGCTGGTCAAATCGTTGGTATTGGAGACTGAAGAGCTCAACTTGAGACAATCAACACTATTCCAAGGTTCCTTTCTGCGTGCTTAACGTCAGATGCTCCAAGTCCAGAGGATTTATGTCAAAAACAAAAGATATAAGCAAAGTAAATACTTCTGGCCTAGCGGAGAAACACACACGGGACCACCATGGCAAGGATCAAGATATTCGGAAACAGCGCGGAATTTAGAATTTACATTGATCTTGCGGGAGCAACATCGGCTGGAGTCCAATCACGATCAACGGACCCGTGGACTTGTCCATCAAGCGGGTACCAAAGGGTATATGTATGTTGGAAACAACCTTGGAAGTGATCGGTCGAATACTCCTTCCTCAGAGGATGGAGCGGCTAGCCCCGAAAGCAAAACGTAGGTACCAGTCGCTGCTTACTCGTTGCGCATACCTATCTATTACCATAACTTCCAACCTTGGAAGGTTCTGCGGGTTCTGAATCACCATAGACTACCTACCTGGGCATTGTTTCTCTGTCCATGGGTCTGCCGACTTCCAAGGTTAGGTAGATTACTTAGAGAGTCTTGCATATAGGCTTTTCTCTCTTGTGGCTATTGTCAACTGAATTATGTACATCTCCCAAGGTCTTGCCCAGATGCATGAATGATCGCTAAGTACATATTAAGAATGATGTGCTGGGAAATTAACGGATCCACGGCTCGTGCGAGTAAAAGAGAGCTTCTTACTTCTCCTGTCCCTCTACCCCAAAACTACGTATATTTGTCACCCTCCGTTTTCAGCCTCCTCGATAATGGTGGAAAACTTGCTGAGGACTTGCTTCAAGGCGGGTCTTCGGATAGGTTTGCTGTTCAATAAAGTGTCAGTTGGTCCTTCAAGCTGGGAATGTCGACGAGAGCTACCTTATAAACATATCCATTCCACAATCCATGCAGTCTTTGATATTGCTTTCCTCGGCAAAGGCGCTGAGTGCCACAATAGGAGCAGAGTACCCCATCTGCCGGATAAGCCGAGTGCTCTCGAGTCCATCGAGTACAGGCATCTGGTGGTAATCAATAATTTGTGACATTTCCCCGGAAACGTGGGTTTACTTACCTGGATGTCCATGAATATCAGGTCAAAAACTTCGCCTTTTTCCATGTTTGACTTGACAGTATCATATGCCTCTTGGCCATCCTTGACAATTGTGACGTCGTAGACCTCCTCAAGGGCAAGCATTCTATCGATAATCAGATCATGGAATGCTAAGTCAAAGACCTCGAGGACTCACCGTCTGACAACTTCCTGATTAACGGTATTATCCTCAGCTACCAGAACACGGATCTTTTTTGAACCATCTCCCCTATCGATGGAACTATGGTTTGGTGATATATTGCCACTGGTGGGTGGAGGGGTCTTCGGAACAGTTGGCGCGAAGAATGGTTGGCTAAGGCCTACCAAACGAGGTTGGATCTCTGATTTCTCAAACCCCGGCGCATGGGTATCATTTCGTATTGAACCATGATTTGAGGGCGTGCGGACTGCATTGGAGAAATCCTCCAGCGAAAGAACGCTGGGGGTCCGTGATCCAGGGACGCTTCCGGTGCGCGGACTTGGGATCACTTCTCTCACATATCCCAGTGGGATTTTCAGAGTGAACAATGACCCTTCAGCTTCTTTGCTATCGAGCAAAATTACGCCTCCCATGATGTGAGACAATTGCGCACATATACTGAGACCCAGGCCAGTCCCGCCGTACTTGCGATTCAACCCCAAGTCCCCTTGTACAAAAGGGTCAAATATCCGCCTTTGTAAGTGGCTGGGTATGCCTGGTCCATTGTCTTCAACCTCAAATTGGAACATCATTTGCCGAAGGTTGGGCTTAGACGTCCTTTGGCCTTCGCCCTGGCCTTCACTCGCGCCTGCAGTGTTGCGGATGGACGAGCTTGCACTGGATACGGATTGGGAGCGCAGTTTAGAGGATCGTCCGGGCACATTCCTTAGAGGGGCAATGCCATCAATGCTCGAGACCTCGTCCACTAGGCGGATGCGAACCTCCACTTTCCCATTCTCTGGTGTAAATTTGAGACTGTTGCTAACCAAATTTATCAGCACCTGCAGGATGCGATGCTGGTCGCCCCACAGTATCATGTCTGCCAGTCGGGGTTGGGCTGGTGTCAGTTTGGGGTGATCTGACGCTCCCTCACGGCACACGGTGCCCTGGGGATCACTGTTGTCCCCGGAGACAAAATTCACACTGAAGTCAATATGTTTTTCGTTAACCTGGTTTTGGAAGATGATGGCCAGTTGTGACCGCACATCGGAAATCTTGAATTCCTTCTCCTCGATTTGAATCGCTTGGTCAATTTGATTCTTGCTGAACGTGAGCAAGTCGTTGAGGAGGTGTAGTAGAAGATCGCCAGACTGGTAAACCACTTGAAGCGACTTTTTGATTCGAGATAAGTCATCCTCCCCCATGCATACTGCACACATGCCCAGGATGCCATTCAGGGGGGTTTTCAGCTCATGGGAAATGTTGGCAATAAACAATGTTTTGCTCTCGTTGGCAGTTTCCGCCGCCGATTTGGCTTTTTCAAGCTCTCGGGTTCGCTCGACTACTCGCTCTTCTAGTCGTGCATACTGGATGGTCAGCTCGTCCGACATTGCGTTGTATGTTTTGGTCAACTCCGTCAATTCATCGGTGACGCAATGCTTGCGCTCTTTCACTCTCTCTGGAATTTGAAATCCGCGAGTAGGTCCAGAATGCCCGATGCTTGTCGAGCTATTTAGCCATCCTGAGGGTCGTCTTAGGCGTTTGACCCATGTCGCCGGAGACCCTTTCTCGTCCATGTGCTCCTCGATCCTCTCAACCGCCTCTCCTGGCTCACGTTCATCTCCAGTAACTCGAGACTGGGACGCAGGTGGGGCTTCAATTTCAGGTTCAACTGATTTCTGGGCTGCCGCTCGTAGCCTTCTGATCGGAGCAACAGCCCAATGTGTTAGCAGGGGAACAAGAATGATGATCGCGCCCGCTGTGCCGAAAACGCAGGCGATGATGATTTTCCGCAGTCGAGCCACTGGAGCAAAGGCTTCTGACTGAGATTCCTCGACAAGCAAAATCCACTGGACGAGAGAATTTTGTGGACGGACAGCGCCTACTGCAACCCGAATCCCCCGCTCATTGGTCGTGGACAGGTCGCTGATGGCTTTGCTTTCATCTGGGTACGACTCCAGCATCACTCGCAGGGCCAAAGGGTATGTGGAGAGTACAAATGGAGTATCGGTTGACATTCCCGCGTGTCGGCTGGCTTGAGTGGGCAAAGGCGTTGGCTCGAAAACATAATGGACCTGTGCTCCATGCAAAGCCTCGGTCTGGGCGCCAGATGTAGACGTGGCAGGTTGATCGGCCGAAGAAAAGACATTTGCCGATCGGTTGGGTCCTAAAAGAAGCACTTGGCCACTGTTTCCCAATCCATCTCGGGAGCTGATCACATTTTGGAGATTCGCGGCACTCGCAACCACACTGGACAATCGATTAGCCTCCACCACCTTTCCCCATTCATGCTGAAGTTGCAACTCACGTCATGAATCCCAGGATCTCGGTATTGGAGGTGTTGTTAACGATCGGTAAAGTCAAAGATACGAGTGAGAAGGATGAGTTGACTTTGAGCGGCCCTAGAAGCAGGGCCGATGCTAATCCAAATGTATAATCGGCGAACGCGTAGACCGTGGGGTTTGCACCTTTGCCCGTTGCGCGATACGTTAGGTTCGGGTACAAAGAGGGAGGGTAGCCCAGTCCAGGATGTCCCAGCTTCACGGAAGTCCCATTCGGATAGGTATAGGGAAGAGTGATGTCGGGAACTGTATCACTCGTCACATTTAGTAAACTCTCAACTCCTTCCTCGCCATTTTTGGAGTAGATGATAGCCTGGTAAAGACTGAGGTACCCCCTGCCCCCCAGCGCGGATTGGACATCTGCTATGGAATTCGTCCAGTTCTCGGCCGAGGAATTCCCAGCGTAGTAGCGTCTCAAGGCCGATTGAATTAAAATGCGTGTGGCGAATGTCTTACACGTTGTTTCCAGGAGATCCAGATTTGAGGCAATCTGGCTCGCCTTGATGGTTGCGACGAGCTCGAGGCCCTGCGACCTGGAAACACATTAGAAGTGATCGAGCGGCGATGAACGGACCACATACTCAACGCCGACTATGAAATCATACGTTGTAAACCACTACTCTCCCAGATTAGTGAACATCTCGATTCAACATGTGCTGGCACATTTACCGTTGCAATCGCCAGCACAGCAATCCCGGACACCGCGGTGAGTAACACGAGCAGCGCCAGCTGCACAGCAATAGGAATCCTCATCCGGTCATAGTCAAGCACGAGAGCCCGAGTTCTGTCGACAGGGTCGTTTGCAGGGAACAGGAAAATATTGCATTGATGAAAGTGTTGGAAGACCGGGCGGGGAGAAGTCAGGTCTAGACGGGACTAGACGCATCCAGTGGTTTTCCGGGGGACTGGGGGGAGGAAATGAAAAAAGGGCCATAGCTGGTCGCTTCTCATTCGCTGGACTGCTGTGTCCTAAAATTATCGAGTTGGTGAATAGGTTGGCTTTGCAACGGGGGCAAAAGTCGAGACAAAATTGCCGACCGTCATCCGCCATTGGACACTTTCCCCCTCTTACTTTTTCCCACTTCCAAGGCGGTTGTTAAATCACTTGACGAACTTGAAACAATGGACTATAAATTTACGGGCTTGCGATGAGTCCACGGGCTTGGAGAATAAACAGCTTTGCAACCTTGGCCCTTGGAGGGCATTCTGATCGAATATCACCCAGCCGTCTCGAGCGGAATTTTCATACAATCCAGGTACCTCGGCTCTTATCACATCATAAATACTTCAAACCAAGAGCTTACCAAAAGCAGACACAGCCAAATGGACCAAAGACGTTCGAAAGGGTGCCCTGCTTAGCTTGGCTTGTCAGTGGTGGTGGCATTGCTACTACTCTTCATGGTACCAGCTTGATTCTCACTGCTGACTGATTTTTGATCGGAGGTGACTTTGCGATAAACTATCCCCTCTAAGAAAGCCACCAAACTGGCCATGAAGAGACTGGTGGAGCTCATTTGAGGTTCTCAGTCTGCACTCTCATCCCATGCCGACGGATACCGCCCAGTTGGTGTAGGTTTGGTTCCTGGTATATCGCGCCAAGCGAGCAGAAAGCTGGAATAGCCCACCATTGCTGATGGCATTCTTTACGTTATACCCGGCCTGTCAGGGGAAGATTGGCTAGCGCAGGCCATCATCGCAAATCTCCATACCCCCCCCGGTGGGAATTGGGCATGGAAGACACCCTCCGCAAGGCTTGCCCAATAAGGAACTGGAGTATCCTGGAGGTAGCACAGCTCTGCAGCAGTCATTGCAGCATTACCCTTCGCCATCTGGTCGTCATTCCCGAGATACGCACCGTAGCTGGCGAGGAAGTAATCATTGTCTCTACACCACCGGTACACACCCTGGGTCACAGCTCGATTATTGGAAGTGTCTCCTGCATAATACCGAATCTTCAATCATGGTCTGGAGTAACGCACCGCCTTCTGACCACTTCTCGCTGAGGTGGCCGGGGATATGGCCGGTGTTGTTCGAGGTGTAGTTGGCGGCAGTGGCTGCCGCATCCTTGAGGGACTCTGTACATATCTTAGATGCTGTGCTTGCAGGTGTCATCTCAACATACCCTTCTTTATTCCAAGGTATCGACGGGAAAACCGCAAACAGACATGTACGATTCGTATAGTAGAAGAGAGACGGGGAGAAAAGAAGAGGGAGAGAGAAGCTCATTATCTAGGTCTATCTACACCTGGGAGGAACCTGGCAAACAGGACAAACACCGCCAAACACAAGGTCAATAGAGGCCACTGACCCTGCCAGGAGTGCCACATTTGTTGCCGAAAGCCTGTCTACAACCATCCTGATATCAGAAGTGCAATCCAAAAAGATATCCAGGCCAGTTCAATCTCGGTGTGCGAAGTCTGCGTTTCATTTGTATGAAGTTTCAACTGCACTTTTCAGAATAGCCAAAATTCATTCGGGGTCAGAGGGGCCAATCTGCGATGCAGTGTGATTCCAAGGTTGTTTTGTAAATACATCAATAGAAACAGTTCAGTCACCTTCAATGGATTCCCACTGTATCCCCAATCCCTAATTCTCTGTTCACGGCTTAGCCAAGATTTCCTTCACTCGACCAATCATGATTACCCGACGATTATTTGGAAGGACAGTTGAAGGATAGTGAAAAAAGACAGTGAAAGAGGTCCCGAAGCCCTAGAGGCGATGGATCATGATAGCTCTCTTCCGTTACCAATCGAAATATGAGATTAAGCCAATACATAACTACTCCTTTTTGTCAACAACTGTTATCGTCTTTTTGGCCGCGCCACTGAGGCCCTGTACGCAGTAATTATGTGTGGTCGTGAGCTCCGCCTATAGAGTAGGCCCTTTCGGGTCCAACCTTGGAACCTTGGGAATCGAGACTGAAACTCAGAAGTCTTTGTCAGCTATTAGTTTGGCTGCGTCTATCTTTGTCTCCACTCGCTTCAGCATTCATATCAAACGACCCCCAGCGCGGCTTAAGGGCAGACCTCGGGAGCGCCATGAACAATATTGGAAATACCGGACTATGGGAAATCTCACCTACCACACTATACCCCTAAACATTATTACATTGAATCCATCCATATACAGAACAATTGAATGGAAAAGACATTTGTGAGAGATTTCCACGGTACTATACGCTAAGCTCTGGAGCTATACATGCGGAGTAGGCGAGATCCACTTGGGCACTTGTTGAAAAGGAGGTAGGCAATAGATATTTGGAAAGATATCTTGAATGTACAATATATAGTATTCGGTCCGGCCGTTCAAGTTTGACTGCCACCGTAAGACTCACTTATGCAGGTTATAGACAATGAACAAAACGCTTCAGAAGTACAAAATGATTACTGAGTGTAGCTGCAGCCGTTGGGCTTGGCAGTCTCCTCAACACGGGCGGCAATGCCAACACAGTCCTTGTTACCAGCGGGGTTGGAGACACCAGCAGAGGCCCAGATGCTCCAGGCACCGTCAATGCTGTTGGGGCAGGCAATCAGGTCGCTACCTCCGAACTGGAGGTGGCCATCCTTCTGGGTCCAGCCCTTGCGCTCGGCGTTCTTGGGAGTGGGCTGAGCACCGGTAGTGTATCCAATCTTGCCCTGACCTGTGTACTAATTAGTTGGGTGTAACAAAAGACAATGGTATCAAGAGGGTGGAATCATACCCATGCCGGAACGGTCAACGTAGATTTCTTGGGGAGTGGCAGACTGGTCGTAGAGGTACAAAGCACCATCGTTGATGTAGAAGGTAGCCTGCTGCTCCTTGGGGTGAGCGCAGCTGGCACCCTGGTTGGGCAGACCGGCAAAGATGCTGCTCTTCGCGGCGTTGAAGGCAGAGTTTTGAACGCCGCTGCCGGAGTGAATGGCAATGACACCGAAGGTCTTGGACTGAGTGGAAGGGGCAGCGGAGGCAACGGCGCTGACACCGGCGGCGAGGGCGAGGTTCTTGAGCTGCATGTTTGCGGTCGAAGTTTGAACGAAGAGGAGAGTAGAAGAAGGTTAAGAGTGGTTTGAAAAGCCGGAGTGATGAGATGAGAAAAGTTTGATATCCAGAATTGACCGAGTATTTGCCTCTTCTTATACTTCGAATGTTACGGAGTACTCCGTGGGAACAATCAAGTTGGGGAGGACGGAAGATGGACGCCACTGCCGTGAGGCCAATGTCTCACTCCAAGCGACTATTCTTGTATAGTGTGCTATTCTCAGTGCCAAGCATCCGACTATCCCGCAAAATGATATCAGTATGCCCGCTTTTTATGGGGCAGATGCTATTAGACCCTTTTAATGGGGCGATTTGCTTTCTGATGACTGTTGCGGTTTTCAGCATCATTCAAGTCAGCCATTCTCTCGTCCATATCAACTCATTTTTTTTTTTCTTCTCCCACGTGTACACAGCCATTGGGCTTCGACTATTGGCTACATTAGGCTTGTAAATACTGAGCTCGACAAGATCTCATTGACCCTGCCAAGCACCCACTTTTTCTCTCTTGTGTTTCTCCGAACAAGACCCATGTGGTTTGAATCAAGGCCAATCACAACGGGTCGGCATCTCGATCGCCCCTTACTCCGTACTTGCACCTGCACCGGAGAAACATACTGTACATGAGAAGATTAATTCTGGCTGTTCTGGAATTTCGGGCTCGTTACTTGTTCAAGTTTGCCCCCGTGGAAATAACTGGGAAAAGTGCAGTAGGCATGTCTAAAAATAGGAGTGGCTCAGCCTTCCCCAGTGTTTGGGCACTTGTTCTCACCCTTTTCCTTTCAGATGATCGACCTCCTTCGACTTTTAAACTCGGGTGTGTATGTTTGTACATACAATTGGAACACTCGACCTGATAGATCTGGTTGGCAGTTATTGAAATGGTCATGTGCCAGTAAGTCCGAGTAGACTCGTACTCGTACTCGATTGCTGCAAAAAGAGACCCTTGCACCCTCTGAAAGGGGCAATGATAGTCATGCAGGATATCAAGTCGCTCTTTCGTGGGGACCTTTTATTGGTATCGACTTGATTGCCTCAAACTTGCAGGGGGACATGACTTTACCGTCTTTACCAAAGCAAAAGTCAAAGCTGCACACTCGTCCAGGGCTTCGTATGTTGCGTATGATATGATTCCCAAATTGCTAAATCACTTACTGCTTGTATGAAGTACTGGATACTCGTATGTGACAGCCCTGGAGGTTGCGGCTTTGTGGAGCTAATCTACTAACACTCGGCTACCACTCGGCTGAGTGGACGCCACTGCCGCGGCTCCATATGCGAAGAATCCAAATTGCACGTTTGGTCTTAATTAAGGTCTTCAATTTGACCACGTTTCCAGATGAGACACATGACGATAGTACACAATGTACCGTAGTGGACGTTGCAAGACCCCGACGATCAGGTCTTGGTTTGGGGCTTGTGCCCGTCAATAAAATACCTCAATGGGTACTTTTGTCGCAGCCAATACTTCCAACGCTGTGTACTCGGTCTAACGCTCGGCTTCCAACGTTCTCCTTTCTTTTGCATCGTCCTTGCACAATACCCGTGGGTCTTCAGGCACCTTGCCGAGTATAAATACACCATTCACTGCCCTGCCATCCGTTCATGTTACCTGGAAACCTTCCGTGTTTCCATGGCTGCACTCCGTCTCACACCTAAAGATGATGACTTGCAAATATGGCCTGCTCCAGGGCTGTTGTGTGGCACATGGTTGAAAGATCATACAAAGAGCGCGTTGGCCTAGGAGATTAAACGCCTGTTATTGCATGTTTTTCGATCCCCTGAGGGTTGATAAATACCGTGGTAAACCTTGGAAGGAACCCCAACTACCCATGAGCTTCACTGGACGACTTAGCTTGTCTGGGCTTGCTTCTGGTCTTCCGACATCTCAAGTTACCATCACAAAAGGCCGCGTTGGATACAGTAGCTGTGAGTGGTAGCAAATCAAAATAGGTGCCGCTGGTGTCTCGACCAAGCTCTTCCTCATCTGCAGACGGGCCATGTCCCGAGCTTCTCCCTCTGTGTACTCCGAACAGACTCATTATGTTGCAGAGATTCGATACAGCCCGCGAGCCATGTACGGGAGGACATTGATCATAAGGTATCGTGAATCGATTGGGATTACTATATATACAAAATTCGCCTCTTGCTCCACAGACTACCATGAAGATGCAAAGCAAACAACGCTGATGCCATGGGATATAAGCTAAAGTGACCGGACCAACCAGGGCTGACGGAAACGAAGCGATGCAAGCACCAGCTTGAACACGCTAAAATTTGGCTCAAAGGGGAGCCAATGATGATTGAACAATAAATCTTACTCAGGGGCCGCGCAGGAGAATACACCGCCGACCTCTCCGTTTGCGTATTTGATCATCTAATATCGTGTTAGTGACTGGTTGAGCATTCTCCCAGGAATTAGACTTACAATATCATCAACACTGGCGTAGGTACCGCCGACAAGGATCACCATGCCGATCACAAAGATCAATCCATTGACGAAGATCAAGGCCAGGTTCTTGGGTTCCTTCCAGTTGCCCTCACGGAGGAGCATGAACCACATCATTGCAGGGAAGTAGAAGGTAAACCCAGAAATAAAGAGAGAGGAAGAGATTGAAAGCAAGTCGTTGAAGAAAGGAATCACTTCAGCAATGATGAAAGCGACGATAGTGGCAGCAGTGATCACAGCTAACCAGGTAATCCATCCCATTTTGGTATTGATAAAGCGAATGGGAGAGTTGGCGAAGATGCGACCATGGATGAGACGACCAAACACGACTGTGTTGATAGAGCCACTGATAAAGATAACAGGTAGGGCAATACCGTATGCCACGCGGCTAAGTGTTGCGCCCGCGGATGTAAGCGCAGGGCTTGACACATCTTGGCCAACAAAGGCGTAAATAAGAGCTCCAGTCACAGTGTAGATGACAATTTCAGTGATACCGAGGGCCCAGATAGACTTGACAAAGTCACGCGGGGTATGCATCTCATCCATGAAAGAAAATTGGCACATAGCAAAGCTGTAGGCGAAAACGATGTTGGTCACGGCGATAAATGCCTCGGTGAAGGTCAGGCCATCCTTGGGCCACGCAGACCATTCCACAGCAGCAAGTCCTCCGGGCGCATCGGTGCTCCTCACGCCGGTTCCAATGATGGTGATACCGATGGCAATCACGATAGAGGCAAAATCGACGTAACCGAGAATAGCGACCTCGGTGAAACTAGGAGGAATCGCAAGCAAAAGCAGGATGATGGCTGATACGACAGCGAAGACGATCGAGCAGACATCACTCTTCGTGATATCCAAAAATGCAATCGTTCCAGTTAGACAGTGTGAAGCTGTGAGGAAGATGAGCTGAAGGCCGAGCATGGCATTGACCAGTTCATATCCAAAACGGCCACAGTGCAAGCGACGGCCCATCAGGCGACCCGCATCGGCATAGTTGGCGACCTCGGGGAAGGCGAGCTTGACCATTCCGACGATGTAACTGGTGTAGATGGCGATCAGACCGATGCCCACGCAACAGATCACACCCGCCACCATTCCCAATGTTGCGAAGGTGGAAGGAATCGACAGACTTCCGAGGGCAATAGCCTCCACAATGAGGACAATATAGAGTCGTTTCCATCCGAGACGGTTGAACTTCTGGATACCGTGGTCGTAGACGTTGCGCTCAGCGTCGGTCATCTCCCCCACCATGGTACCTTCGAACGGCGGTGGAGGAGCCAGATCGGCCTTTTCACTGTCGGGACCCATCACCTTGTCATGGTCGTTGGGAATGTTTTCGATACCCATGATGTTTGTTTTGAAGAGGGAAAAGTGAGGAGTAGGGACAAGAGAGGAACGCGGGTATAAGAAGGGAAAATTCTCGAACTACTGAAAGCGGCGCTATCGGGAGGCAAAATTGCGGGTTCCCTTGACTAAGATAATTTCGTTGATTCTGCTTGGCTGCTCCAACACGTGGAGTACGACGCTAATCCACTCGTATGATCGGCCATCCAACGAGGTCACCGCAAACCGGTTTCGGACCCAGTGCGAGTGGGTTGCAGCGGAGCGTTGGACGAAACCCAGCCCGCGCCCCGAGAATTTCTGGGATTCCCGTCTCGCAGGATGATAAGAAGGTTTGAGGGAGTTAGGTAAAAGAAATAGCACATTGGATGCTCCTCGAGCGAAGACCGCGCTGAGGACCACCGAGCGCTTTGACGATGTCATACTATGGAGTCATCCCCGCGTTGTGCGAAATTGCGGGGGAGGCGAACAGTGTGTCATAATGAAGTAGAAATTCGAATCGAACGAGTATAGAAGCCATAGAAGGCGTAGAAGCCGTCAAGCTTTAGGATCGAAACTTCGCGCCACCGCAAGTCCGGGTGGTTGAGCCGAAGAGTCAGGTCCTTCCAATGAGGCGACTCAGTGGGCGACTCGGCGCAGACTGGGCGCAGATAAGAGTTTTGGGGGTCACGTGGTGCTTTGCAAACAGGGGGGAGATTGCTGAGTAAGCAGAGTGGCCAGTGTAAACAGAGCAAACATCACAAACATCACAAACACTGCCTCACTGCCTCACTGCCACTCCCACCCAAATGCTCACACACACGCAGACATCACCATCCTCAAACTTCTTCATAATTTGTAAAGTTCCCAGTTTTCTCTGCTCCATACCGTCTCCACTTCCCACCTCTCATCCCCAACAATAATTCTCCAGATTGGGGTCAATCTTGACTCAAAACTAGCGGTACTCGTATCTGCAATTAACTTCCAGGTGGACCCCGGGGAAAATAGCGCAAAGAACGTGTGATTCGCCGTCTGAACCGAACGCCTCACTCACTGCTGGGCCTTACGTTGTGGCTGGGTCTGGATGCTGCAACTGTTCAACCCATCCCATCGTCAACTTTCCCCGTACTCCAATTCAATCCGGGGACTTTGTACGTAATTCCAATTTCCCCCGACTTTCGCATCGATATTCCTGGAGAATTGAGGAGAGTAGTGTTTGGCGCTAATCCAGATCATCGGCTAGAAAGTCTCCAGAAATTACCGCCCTTTCGGCCATGATCCGCCATGAGACATTATTGTTTGATAATAGATTTCAGTTGATGCCCAAATCTTCGAAGATCCTCGTATATGCGCATTCTATCACTCAATGGCCATCTACGGAGTACCTTTGCCCCAAATCACTTCCGATAGTGGCCGTCTTGAGATAACCTTAGTCGTTTCATTTCCCAACCCCGGACAGTAAGGGGCAATTCGTGCAACCTTGGCTTTTTGCTCTACAGGCCTACTCACCGTACTCCTCCCGTATGCAAAGTACCTGTGCTTCCGCTTAAGTTTGTCCGGAATCCACTCAGGGTCATGCGTGTCTCCCTGTTCACAATGTTGGTCAATGTGTGAAGTGTCCGGTCAACGATCATTCATTGATGAACAATCCCCCGTGGCTAATCAGTTTGATTTGATCTTAGCTGCACCCGTTCCTCATTACAGTGCCATCTCTGCGATATCCCTGAACATAACCTGGATCACGGTTGTAGAGCAAGTGTTCATGTCGAGGGCTGCCTCTCAGCATGGACCACTGCACGGATGTACGGAGTACTCTCATGCCGCAAACCACGCTGTCTCTTTCTTATCCTTGCCAACTCCAGCTGCGTCGTCCCCCGGGGCCCTGATCACTCAGTTCACCTGACCACACCATTTGAGGATGGCTAGTGCCTCCTTTCAGGTCAACCTTGGAAGTGATTGTTCAAGATCATCTGCTAGATTCTAGTTGGTCTACACATGCGGAGAATCTTCGTTTCTTCCATTTTGAACACGCACCATTGGGAGACACGAGCCAAGTCTTGTGACTGGTACTGCAGGAATCTTGAAATCCACAGCTGATATACACCTCCAGGGCTGTGCGTTGGAATCATTCGGCAGATCTTTCATCCTCGGTCCTTGGGCTTAGAGAATGGCGCGCAAATCGTGCCAGGAAATATTTACCTCTACTGGTGAAAATGTTCTTTCGCTTGAATGCAGTGAGAGGGCATAAAACTACCATTTGCTTATGAGCTCTGCTTGAGGCATTCGGTGATCGAGTTTCCAACATATGCGACATTCTGCTCGTTCAATCCGGCGATCGATATCCGAGAATTACCCGCCATGTAGATGTGGTATTGCTCTACGGTTGGCATCGTCAGTCCATGTCAAGAAACCTGCCTGCAAAGTCGTCACTTACCGCGCAATTTCTGCACAATATCCGGAGATAACCCAAGGAATCCAAACATTCCAGATTGGCGAATGAGATGCTCCCAAGAGCCCGGCGCCCCTGTTTTGGTCAGCGATGCTCTTGTAGGACAGTCTTTATCTTGCTCACCGGAAGACACCAGCTGGTCATATAATGCCTTCCGCATCGACCGGATCCGGTCACTCATTGTGATCAGATCATCGTGCCAGGCCTGTCTGAGGGTGGCATCGGCGAGAATTGTACTCGCAATTCTTGCACCATAGGCCGGTGGGTTTGAAACTTCAGACCGTTGAAGCATTTCCAGCATTGATTGGGTCTTCACTGCGGTTTCTTCTGCACTAGTCGATAATAAGAAGCAACCCACTCGCTCACCTAGACTCTTGTTAGCGTGATCTGCCACAAACTTGGTCGCAGGGGAAAGATCAGGTACCATAGAGACCCATGTTCTTTGCAAAGGACAGACAAACACCCGCCTCCAGCTTGGTCTCCTCAATAAACAACCGAATGGCGAAGGCATCATCATCCACATTGCCCGAATTGAACCCTAGATAAGCGGCATCGAAAAGAGGAAACAACTGCCTCTCTTTAATTATTTGGGCAAGCTCCCGCCATTGTTCCTTGGTTGGATCACACCCAGTCGGGTTGTGCGCACAGGCATGTATGATGATGACAGAGTTAGGCTCAGCTGCTTTCAGCGCAGAGTAGTAGGAGTCGATGTCCAGATCCTTTGTCTCTGGGTTGTAATATTGAAAGGTTTCACACTGGAAACCAAGGGACGAAAACACCTGGTGGTGGTTGGACCAGGTTGGCTCGGGGATATAGATCTTGGGGAGTGTTGTACTGCAGGCCCTGAGGAGGAGTCCCGCCAGATGTAAGGCTCCGGTGCCGGAAAGACTTTGACACGTCGCCAGCTGTCGTTTGATTAGTCTTGTATTCAAACATGGCTTAGGTGTTGAGATTGAATCATACTTTACTCTCCTGCTTCGCGAACAGCTCTGCACCCAGGGCCAATTTGGCAGTCTCTTGGCGGAAACTGGCTAAGCCGACGATGGGCAGATACTCGTGGTTCAACTTCTGCGAAAGCAAGTCTCGACTTTGACGGACAGAGGGAAGAACCCATGGGTTTCCATTTTCATCGCGATATGTGCCTTGGCCAAGGTTGACCTTCTGGGGGAATGAGTCCGCAACGTACTGTGCAGTCAACGCGAAGATGGCATCTGGGGGAATATACCGAGCCTGGTTAAACCAGGTTTTATTTATTGCGCCAATAGTCATTGTGTAGAAATGATTTGAATAATACAAGTTTTAAGAGAGTTTCCTAACTACATAAGTTCTATTTAAACAGCGTAACGAGGGGTTGTCTTCAGACGTCGGGCCCCCGACCGAAGAACATTCCCTTTCCACTTCCTCCTTTTACAACTAACCACCCGTGGACTTCACAATTCACAGGTTCCCCCTCACTTCGGAGGAGAGCCCGAGTTGATCAAATTCCCATCAATCCAATGGGCAATGTTCAAATCGGGCCGAGGGTCCGAACAGAAGACTCCAAGTGGGATAGACCCAGGTGTTATCCATGGATGTGGGGGAGGGTCGGCCCTGGCCTCCGACCATGCTCACTCCAGGGCTTTTGATGCCAAACAGCTTTATCGATGGCTCGGATATAGAGCCGTTGCCCCTCCCCCTCATCTGAAGGGTATATATTAGAGATATACTCACTCCTTCTTGCAGGATATCTACCTACACATATATCATCATGGGTTCTCACGCTACTGTCTCTCCTCAGCCTCACATCCCGGCATCCGGTGTCTGGTGCCCCGCGGTCACCTTCTTCAACCATGGCACTGACTCGCTCGATCTCGAATCGCAATCCAAATATTTCGCTTACCTCTCCACGACTGGCCTTGCCGGTTTGGTAATCCTGGGCACCAATTCCGAAGCCTTCCTTCTCACGCGCGAGGAACGATCGCAGCTGATCGCAACCGCCCGAGCCGCCGTTGGGCCCGACTTTCCACTGATGGCCGGCGTGGGCGCTCACTCAACCAAGCAAACTCTGGAGCTGGCGCACGATGCTGCAGCTGCCGGCGCCAACTACTTGCTTGTGCTTCCCCCTGCATACTTCGGCAGGGCCACCAACATGAATGTGGTCAAGCGATTCTTCTCCGAAGTGGCCGCAAAGGCCCCGCTGCCCATAGTGGTGTATAACTTCCCCGGTGTCTGTAATGGGGTGGACATGGACTCTGATACTATCGCCGCGATCGCCAAGGAGTCCGCCTCCTCGCACCCCAGTGGACGCTCCAATGTGGTGGGTGTTAAGCTCACGTGTGGATCCGTGGGCAAGATCACTCGGCTAGCTGCCGAGTTGGCGCCCGAGGACTTCGCGACGTTTGGAGGGCAGTCCGACTTCCTGATTGGTGGACTCGCTGCTGGCAGCGTGGGCTGCATTGCAGCATTTGCCAACGTCTTCCCGAAGGTAGCCTCCCGCATCTATGCCTTGTACCAAAAGGGTCAGGTGGACGAGGCGGTGAAATTGCAACGGAAGGCGGCTCTGGCCGAAAGCCCGATTAAGAGTGGCATTGCCTCAACTAAACATGCGGTGGCATGCTATTCAGCCCCGCTCGCAGGAATTCCTGATGCCGCTGCCAACCTGGCACCCCGCCACCCGTACGAGGAGGTGGGCGAAGGGCCCAAAAAGGCGATTCGCGAGGTCATGGCCGAGGTCGCTGAGATCGAAAAAAGCTTGTAATGAGATATGTATATAAACGAAGATATTAAGAAGCATCCAGTTGTTTATGAATGAAGTCTTGGTCAGTGTGTACGGAGTAGAGAAAGACTGGTTTCATTCCTCCACAGGCCATCTGTGGCGGAGATTGTATGATCACGGCGCGTAGAGCAAACGCATCATACCAAGACTCACACCAAAGCTAAGCTCGCATTCAAGTCAATACCACATAATCTTGGCAACGAGTCATGGGTGCTAATCACCTGGGCATTCTCAGGTCCGTTCCCGAGGTCCCTGCCCAGGTGCTGACGCTGTCTAAATGGCCAAAGATTGAAAAACGGGTTATGATTGACCTCAGGATCTAGACCCCTGTGTCCTCTCAATCCACGATAAGAGTGAGAACAAGGCCAAGGCGCATAGCTGCATGTAATCCATGCAAGCCTTGGAATCACCATTCAAACAAACGCCTGGATCGGGAACACGTTGCACCGTCTTTATAATCTGCAGTGGAGCAGTACGCAGTATGCGAGGAAGTAAAGAGTATGTGTAGGGCACAGCTTACGAATTGGAAACTACAGGAGTATTAGGCATAAAACAAAGGGCAATCTCGACACCGCAAATAATGAGCCTCGGTTCAACAGGACTACATAAAAAAGAAAGAAAGAAAGAAAATTCTTAAAACATCGGCAGGGCCGAGAAACGATTACTGATCGGGCCGATTAAGTGGACCGTCGGGATTCTCACCACGTCTTCTTCGCCAATAGCCGGCTCTCTTGCCCCTTTCTGTCTTTTCTTTTCTTTTCTTTGCTTGCTTTTTTCACGTTTCTCTTAGGCAGCTTGATCTCTATCCCCCCCCACTTAGATCTAAACCAGCAGTCTCTCCGGGATTAGGTCTTTTCTCTGTCGTTTTGTGTCAATTAATGCAGTGATGCATATTAAATATGGCCAAAATGCTATCTGCCGAGGTTCAGCTCGGTTTCAATAAGAAAAACCTACTTCCTGATCATTATCACATTCATTTTCTTCTTTTCTCTCTGCAGATCACCGTTTGACAGCTGAATTTAAGCTTGTCCATTCACAATGTCCAAAGAGGCCCCCTCCGAGGCTGGGACCAAGTCTCTTCAATTACCACGCTCCATCCCCTTCTGGCGTCTCGTCACTGAGCCTGGTGTCATCACTCAAGATGTTGCCGACTATCCTTATACCGGATCGGGAACCGAAGATGATCCTTACTCCGTCAACTGGTTGCCCAACGACTTTCGAAACCCTCTTCAGCTGAAAACCTCACTCAAATGGTTCATTACCGTGGTTGCTGCCCTCGAAACCCTCGTGGTGGCTCTCGTCTCCTCCGCCTACACAGGTGGTATTGTTCAAATCGAGGAACAGTTCGGTGCCACCACCGAGATTGCCACACTGGGTGTTTCCCTGTATGTTCTTGGTTTCGCCCTGGGCCCTCTCATTTGGGCCCCCATGAGTGAGATGTTCGGTCGTCAGTCTGTTTTCATTGGCACATATTGCGGTTTGACCATCTTCTGTGCCGCTTGCATAGGCGCCAAGAATATTGAGACCCTGCTCGTCTTCCGTTTCTTGTCCGGTGCCTTTGGTTCCTCTCCTTTCACCAACTCAGGCGGTGTCATTGCCGACATGTTCATGGCTCGCGAGCGAGGACTGGCTCTGTCTGCCTTCGCATTGGCTCCCTTCCTCGGACCTGTCATTGGCCCCATTGCCGGTGGCTTCCTCGGCATGGCTGCTGGCTGGCAGTGGGTGATGGGCCTGTTGGCCATTCTGTGTGGTGTGATGTGGATCTTGGGAGCTACGCTGAAGCCCGAGACCTATGCCCCAGTCCTTCTTCGTCAGCGTGCAAAGACTCTTTCAAAACTCACTGGCCAAGTCTACGTTAGCAAATTGGATATCGATCAAGGACGTGTCACTCTGAAGGCTGCGTTGAAGACATCTATGTCTCGCCCGCTGATTCTTTTGTTTCAGGAGCCTATCGTCTTGCTCCTTTCTATTTATCTCGCCATCATTTACGGAACTCTCTATATGCTTTTCGGTGCATTCCCTATTGTGTATGAGCTTCACCGTGGATGGAACCAAGGTGTTTCCGGTCTTGCATTCCTCGGTGTTATGATCGGTATGCTCGGTGCAATCGCATACTCGATCCCAGAAAACACTCGCTATATCAAGCTTCTTGAGAAGAAGGGTGGCTATGCGCCCCCAGAGGCTCGTCTTCCGCCATGCATGCTGGCTTCTATCGCCCTCCCTGTTGGTCTATTCTGGTTCGCCTGGACCAATTCTCCCAACGTACACTGGCTTGCAAGCATCGCTGCTGGTGTTCCTTTCGGATTTGGCATGGTTCTTGTCTTCCTCAGTGTCTTCAACTATCTGATTGATGCGTACACCATCTTCGCGGCATCCGTTTTGGCCGCCAATTCCCTTCTGCGGTCCATGTTCGGATTCGCATTCCCACTCTTCACTAGCTACATGTATCAGAACCTCGGAATCCACTGGGCTTCCTGTGTTCCAGCCTTCCTCGCTCTCGCCTGTGTTCCATTCCCCTTCTTGCTCTACAAGTACGGGTCCTCTATCCGCACGCATTGCAAGTACTCAGCGCAGTCAGAAGCCTTTGTGCAAAGCCTTCTCCAAGGTGCAAAGCAGGTCCCCGAGGAGCCTACTGAGACTGAGACTGAGAGCCGCCCACAGGTATCCTCAAATGACGAAGCACTGTCACATTCTCAAAAGAAGGAGACATCTGCTGATGTTCAGTCCATCCACCAAACCCTGTCGCGCACTTCTACAAATGGCACACACACGATGCAGCGGGTGCCTACGTATGAGGCTAATCCTTATAACATTGACCGTGTCCACACGCGGGAGTCGTTCAAATAATCGGAGACATGCTACGATTTGGGCACTTTGGAGTTTGCAAGGGCATTTGAGCATCGCAAAAAGCTTTCCTCATCTTGAATTTTGATATTTCCCGGCGCTATTTTTGCTTCGGGGTTCATGGGTTGCTTCTATTCTGGGTTCATGGGTTGCATTCATCATAATTAGAGCTGATTAATGATAATTATCGAGTTAACGAATATAATCTGGCAATCACAAATATTTTCCGGTTTAACATTAGACTCCAGTCAGTAACCATCTCGGAAGCTCTGTTAGGTTGGCTTCTCGGCAAGTGTAGCAACAATAGGAAGCAGAGTAGATCTCCTCGTCAGAGGGTAAATATTCGAGTTTTAGAAAAGAAATGTCGATCTACTCTCTTCATGAGCCGTAGCACGCCGTAGCATAGCATGTGAAAGATCCACTGCATGCAAGAAGGTGGATAAGTGTCTGGGGAAGTTCAGATCTTTAGCCGTCGATCGTGCACGATCGTGTTATGAAAAGACTAATTGAAGAATTTCTCAGGCATGCAAATGAGCTCGACATACAAAAGGAGAATGATTCGAGTGAACATGAATCGATCGTTGGGAACTCACAGGGCTACGCAGTAACGTGATTTGCGCAGCGAGAGACTCATAGATGGAACCTTGGAACAGTACCCCTGAAGCCAAACTTGAAACCGGGTCTTGTAGCATTGATACCCTGGGCGTTTCCCAATATTTGACTCAGCCAGTGACTTTTATTCGACTGGTTGATGCCCCCAGGGATAGATAGCGTTGCCGTGTGTTCAGCCGCAATATTGATAGGACGGAAGTGGACGTGAGCTTTCTGAATGAGCTCTGGAAACCCGGCCAAGCTTCAGCTTCCGAAACGTTCAGCTACGCGTTCTTCATGTCCTCCATCCATTGGAATTGTGATTGTCCATGTCGTGGTGCGTCGTCGGGGTGGCTGAATTAGCAAAAAAACCAAGGATACGTGGGGAACCTGGGCCTGTCAAGTACCGAACATAGACAGCTCGCGTGGGGGCATACAAGATAGAAGGTAGGTCGGTGTGGGAGGACACGTTGAGATAAGACGTTCCAGAATTCGATATATTAGGTCTATCGTAAGTGCCAAACAAAAATCATTCCCAATGTACATCATACATGAAAATCTCACAAGCCTTTTTCGGCTGTGATCGTGGGGAATCCAAAATCCAGAAATAATAAGCCCAAAGCCCCATTGAAATACATCAGAATTCATCCAAGGGGGAGTGATACACTCAAATAGCAACGCACGCCAAAAATCAAATGACGATATGTACAGCCGGCGAAGCCGAGACTAGCGCCGAGAGACACAGCACAAGATGCCAGACTTGGCAAGGAAGTAGCATGATCCAATAAAGCGGAAAATCGACAGACCGGCGGTCGTCCACAGAATGGCAGCGAAGTATTTGGAGGTGCGGACCGTCGAAGTGTTCTGAGATGGCGAGTTAGCTAACGTCAGTGTAGGGTCGAAGGTGTGAAGCGTACCGTGAGACAGAAGCGAGTGATTCCTTCGCTAGTGATACACAAAACAAGAATCAAGTTACTGAAGATCCAGATCAACACTAGGTTGGTTCGGAAAGCCTTATAACCGTCATCCATGCTCCGTTCGTCTTGCTCCTCGGGCTCGACGTAGGGCTCCAGGGCCCGCTTGACAGTCGATTCAAATTGGCTGTCAATATCAGCCTGTGGCTTGTCGACTTCCTCAATGAAGTTTGACTTGGCGTCATCCTTCTTCGTCTCTGCGGTAGGCAACGAGTCACCTTTGTCAGAGCCCTTGGTACCCCAGGAAACATCGTGCCAGTTGCAGAAGGCGTAGACCATCAAAATGTTGATTGAGCAGGTCATGCCAGCAAAGTAGGCCCACGAGGACGTAAACATGTGCCATGGATCCATGTACATGAAACTAGCGAGGAAGTAGATACCGTAAGTGGAAACCAAGGCAATCAAGACAATACCAGCTCCAGAAGAACTGAAGAAGGACTTCAAGAAGGCACCAACACCATCGTCAAGAGAGAAATCGAGTGTTCCTCCCGTGAAGGCGTTCTTGACCAAGTAGAAGGACAAGACCATGATGTAGGTTTGAACGATACTGAAATAGATGAACGAAAGCGTGTATGCCAAACGTGATCTGTGGACAGTCAGTACTGAATCAAGAAAGCGCTGTTCTAATACACAACTTACCCTTTGGGTCGGTTTCCTAGCGCCAGAATAAACTGAAGCATCAAGAAGAACACATAGCCATATTTCAAGAAGTTGTTCACGATCGGGGTAGCCTCGTCACCGAATGGCCATCCCTTATTCTTGTTGGCGCTGCTGGGAGTTCCCACGAGATCCATGATAACCGTAGTGGTGAGCCAGAAAGAAGCTGTAGGGCTGTTAGAATCATAGCCACCAGAAAAGCCACGAGCAGGGGGAATTACCGAGAGAGAACCAGGTCATAACAAGACCAGCAAAATTGTAGGTCATTTGGATATGCAAGCAGAGAAGACGCAAAATGTTGTGCCCACTTTTGTAGATACGTCCAAAGTGCATCATCGCATACAGACTGGCAGCGAAGGATCCGTTCAACCATCGACGTCGCTGACTGATGAATTCAGCTGCACCTTCTGGTACATCGGTTTCACCCTTGGACGCCTTGACGTAGGTCAAATGCCATTTGAATCCAGCTTTGGCCACAAGTTCGAAGCACAGAATACGATCTTCCGCAAGGAACATGTTCTTCTTGAAGATATTCATACCTTCGATACCCTTCTTACCAAGCTGTTTGGAGAGTGTATGATCTCCATGGAAGTACTGCTCGAGAGGGCGTCCCATAATAGCTCGATAGCGGTAGGCGGAGAAGGCACCGGGCAACACACTGACATATCCAAACGCACTCTCGAGGGGTTTGTCCAAGATATTGGAAATCTTGTATTCGAAATTCTGAGCAGCGACGAGCGGATTCATCAAATTCTTCCAGCCTTTTCCTAACATGGCATGAATCTCGCCACAAGATCCACCCAGGTTCTTGTCATTGTAGAAGGATTCCCACAATGCAAGGAGCGATTTTTTCCCGGGCTTAGTGCCAGCATCAATCAAAATCACGACTTCGGGATTGAGGATTCGACTGAAACCGTTGAAAAGCCAGCGGTGGGAGTTGATCTTCTTGCTGTTCTTTTGCTTGAGGCAGAAAATCATCTGGACCGGGGGTAGGTTGCTCGATTCGTTACCCTGGGGCCGAATCAATTGCTGGTTCGAGGTGACGGAGAGCTGGGTGGTATATTCGAACTAGTGTTGTTAGTTGAGCTCGTTTGTAATCTACGGGGTGAGGGACTAGCGTCGCAGAGTACGGGCAAGTCGGATTTGGGGGCAAACTTACAATGTGGGAGACGGTTTCGCGACCATCGACAGAGCGCTTCATGATGCCATCCTGGTAGATACCAATGGTGGCCAGCAGATCAAGTGTGTTCTTGTCGCATGGATCGATACCATCGAAAACCAGACAGCAGACGATCTTCTGCCAGGCCGGTCCTCCCTTGTTCCAGAATTCAGACTTCTTCAAATTCACAATGTCCCGAATATTTTGCATGACACCGTGCAGCGTCCGCGCCGTCAAAACCTTATCTTCGTTGTAATAGGTGATGGCAATCAAAAGCTCGGTGTGTCGGTTGTACATAGCCGGTCGCAAATTGTAGCCGTTGCGCAAAGTGAACTCGTCGGGGTCGCAAGTGGCGGCGGTATCTGCATCGCATTAGCTCCGGTCGCATTTCAAATCCTCCATTTGATGGACTCACAGCGCAGGTGAGTAAATTCTTCCGGAAAACCTTCTTCCGACTCTCGATATTCCTTCTGGATGGCGTTTTGAATTGCGCTGGGGACGGGGTAATCGACACTCAGCACAGAGCCTTGGACCAGCTTGATCTTTCGTGTGGCGTAACGTCGGAGACCAGATCCAGGCGCCTGTCGGTTCTGCCAGGCTTCGGAGGGGGTCTCTGACATGGGCGAGTGGACGCCAGAGCGACGGTTCAGTCCTCCCGCTGACTCCTGGTAAGGGCCATCGGGGAAGATGGTGACTCCAGGATCGTGCAATGTGTAGCGGCGCAAAGAATCGGTCGAGGCATAGGGATCATCAAAGGGGGCGTTGAATGGGCTGGGTTGGTTGCGGTAGAGCAAGGACTGTTGGCTATCCGCATGGTCGTTCTTCTCCTCGTAACCGTAGGCCTGGGGCTGAGCCTGTTCCGTTCCGTTAGCACAAACTTTTATTTCCTGTATCTTTCTTCTTTTGTTGTTTCTTTTGGTCTAAATTTTGAAATCTTGCTTTTCTCGAATTTGAGATGGTCACGTACCGGAGCTTCGCTGACGTGGGGACCGTACAGGCTGCTCTCGCTCGCCTGGGGTGAATGAGATGATTCACCAGGTGAGTGAGGCGAGGTTCCTCTGTGTGGTGCCGCCATGATGCGAGTTCTCTCCTAGCAGATGATGTTCACTGCTGTGTCGTGTCTCCAGGGCTTCAATGATGGGGATTGCAACCCGAGGTGCAATTCAACTCAATGGCAATCTCCGACAGCAGATGAAAGAATGACGAGAAACTTTGGAGGCGATCTATCCAGAGATCGGGCCCGGACAAAGAGACTGAACGTGGGAGGGGATTGAAAGAAAGATCTCAGATGAGCGCAGGAGTGTCCAGATGTATAATCGACATAGCCAGGAGATATTTTTGGGGGTGGAATATGATTGGAGAAGACAATGCGGGCTGTGAAAGGGCGAATTAGAGTGGAGTCTCCCAGCTTCCTCCCAGCGCGCATTCGTCGTTCGTCACCCTTCGCTTGTGACCCACCGGGGGTCCTTTCCTGAGACATAAAGTGGCATTGCCGTTGTGACCAAAGAAGCATAATCGGTGGCTGCGACGTCTGCCAACCTCATTCAAGACCACACACCAATGCGGGCGTGAGTTGGACTCCGTGATCCGAGCCTTACTGCGCCGCACATAACTCGTCAGGTATGTCCCAGCGGGTCGGCGACGCAATGCGCCATGACATTGGCCCACCATCTCCCTTTGGACCCATCACAGGCTCCGATCCCCCAAATATCTTTGGTACACATATCCCTTTTTCGTTGTAGCGCGCATGGGGATCCTTTTAACATGAAACACTTTTTTGGGTCTCGGGGAAGTATTATCCTTCGACCACAGACCTCAGACCTCAAGGCTTTGTTTGGAAAGTCAGAGCGGACCCGATGACTGCCGAAGACTATGACGAAAGGGCGTCAAGGAGACGATCGGCCATGTTGTCCAGGGGCTGATTTTCGCATATGCGACTGGCTGGAAAATAATTGTCGGGTCCACTGTCACCAGCCATAAATGGGCATGTGGGGGAGCCTCTGATTCCCTCGGGAGGCGGCAAAAAAAAAAAAGGAAAAATGAGGAGGAAAAGAGACAGTGTCGCCTTCCTGGCGGGTCACGTGCCCTCTTATTATTAGATGCACACGTACGCAAGTGTGTGCCCGGTCGTGATCGGAGGTTGAATTTTGCTGACTATCTGACAAAGATTTTCAAGCTTACAGAGTGCAATGACTTGACTTTCAAGTTTAACACTGAAAGTTGCTCGTTTACTGTCTATTCTGAACGGACGATCTTAAAGCACCATTGTAACTAACTGTACGGAGTACAGGGCTACTCCACATAATTAGGTAAATCGTCAATAATGATATATCCAAGGCACTATTATATTCTTTACGCAACCTGACACATCGAAAAGTATGGGGTACTCGTTCCTCGTACCATCGATCCTACTCCGTAACTTCTAGGTATATTATGTATCATACGGACCTTGACCACGGAGCATAGAGTAAATCAGGTGAGGACCATACGGAGTGGAATACAACACAATTGCCCAGGTGAGTGAGGCACTTGGAACTGATTTTTGACTCTCCACCCATGTTGCTTTTATTTATAGTAACGCGGGCAACCTTGGAAGTATACGAAGTACATCACCCAAACCTTGGAACAACCTTGGACCCCGTTGAACTCGAGTTTGCTACTCTATACTCCGTAGTAAAGACACTTATCACTCAATCCATTCGTGCCTTTTTTTTTGGAAAAAAAATATTTTCTTGGCTGCTGCAGAGCTCGAAGATCACACTGTGCTCTTGAGCCTTGGCTCGGTACTACCGAAATGATGCCTCGGGCTTTGCTCCGAGAGCTCTACTATTGAAAGCACGCGTTCACATTGCATGATACTAAAGCTAGAGAGATGGCTCGAATTTGCCATAGGAGAGCCTGCTCGCTTCCTCGCAGAACATGTTGATTCTCGTAAGTGTGCTACTGGGGCACACCTCTCCAGCTCTGGTGGGTTACCCGAGGTCCATTGATCTACTTCGGTTTATACCCCGTCACCATGGATCTTTCCAACATGCGGGGTAAACATAAGACCTCGATTAGTTCAAACTCCAGTATCGCTCTCTTGGATTTAGGCGCCTTTTGTATTAGGTGTTGGCCCAAACCCGCTCCATTCCTCCTCGATCAGTAAACTTGCAAAGAGATGTCATCCTCGAGACCCTCATTTGATGCCTTACCGTTGTACAAAGACGGACCCCATGGTAACGCTTGGGGTATGTTTGGCGAACAAGATCAACTCGGGATGCTGAACTTGTTGACACCTCAGAATACTGCTGCAGCCGCCCGTGAGATTATCGATGGCGTGCGCGTCTCAACGGACTGGGCTCTCAATAGCATGGCCACGCCCTGCTTTGGCCGGTCTGCCTTTGAGCATGTCGTCAAAAACAAGTTTCCCCGTGCAGTCAACGATGATATATTGGTCTTCAACACCCAGAGTAGCTCTCAGTGGGATGGCTTCCGGCACTACGGGTCCAAGCAAGGGGCATTTTTCAACGGATGCACTCAAGACGATATCCAAAACTCTACAAGAAATGGGATTCACGGTACGCTCTCCTCCATGTGTTGCTCCAACAGAACCTGAAGGAGCGAGAACAAACCAAATTAGACCAAGCCAAGATTAACAATTGAGCTCTTCACGGCCCGGAATTAACTTCTATTTCTTCAGTTTGGGTTGAGAATGGCGGGATCGTTGGACGGGGTGTCCTCCTAGACTACGTGGCCTGGGCAGAGGCCAACAGCAAAACAGTGAATTGTTTTGAAACCCAATCCATTCCAGTCGAGGTGCTTCGAGAGGTTGCGGCGAGTCAAAACACCACGTTTCGGCCGGGTGACATCTTGTTCATCCGCACTGGCTGGACTAAAGCGTACGAACAATTATCCCCAGAAGAATGTCAGAAATTGGCCGACTATGCGGCACCACCAGTCATTGGGGTCGAATCCTCGGAGGCCATGCTACGCTGGATCTGGGATCTGCAGTTGGCCGCGGTGGTGGGCGACATGCCGAGCTTTGAAGCATACCCTTGTCAGAATACCGATTGGTCCCTCCACGAATGGTTGCTAGCAGGCTGGGGTATTCCCATTGGAGAGCTGTTTGATCTTGAACGCCTGAGCCAGGAATGTCGGAAAAGAAACCGCTGGACTTTTTTCTTTAGTAGCGTGCCTCTGAAGGTAAAGACGTCCCGTCCTGGGTGCTTTTTGGACCCGCAACTAAGCATATGATTTCCTGCAGGTCCCTGGTGGAGTTGCCAGTCCCCCCTAATGGTGTGGCTATTTTTTAATAGTGATGTTCTTATACGCATCTAGTCTTCGCCGATCGATGCACAACGGTGGAGAGTGTTTTTATGGCGTGTACTCCGTAGTGCGCACATAGCAGCCCAATTGATCGGTCATTTGTATGCTTGCCAAATACTAGTTACCATTCACATCCTAGGGCTTCATGGGTGATGAATATCCATGTTTTCAGTCTCACTTTGTGGTTGCAAGATTTGGTCAAGACTCAAGAGCATCAATGGAGCCTTCGTTTTGCGTCGGGCCGATAAGCGGGGAGCGGAGCCGCCACCTCCTCTCCTCTTTGACACTTGAACCCTCGCACTGCTATTGTACCCTGAGCGTTTGATACCACACTATCCAATAAATCTGTCTCATGCAGCATGGTATTGGGTAACGCGGGTATTTCGCGGCGGTCGGAAGACCGCTCCAGACGTTCAATGGTAGCGTACGTGGCCTGACATTGCAGCCCCGGGGGTGATAGTTGCATACTAAAACGAACAACAGATGCAATCGGTGTCGGAATAGAAAGACTCGCTGCGCTGGCAACCCCCCTCAGCCCTGTGCGGCTTGTGTGGATGTGGGTAAGCAGTGTGTATACACGGAGGCCGAAAAACGCGTCTCAATAACCGAGAGGTTAGTAAAGTCCAACACCTCTGCTGGTCTTTGCTCACTCACCTCGTAGCCATTATCGCCAACTACAAACGCAAAGCCCAGTGCCTCGAGGTATGTTCTGACACGGTGTCATACATACGCAAATTGACACCCGAGGTAGAAAATAGCCATCCAACGCCCTCTAGTGAGCCACCAACGTCTGCTCGATATGCCGAAGGCGAGCTACCGCCTGCTTCCAGGGACGATTGGTGGTACAAAGGGACTGATAACCTCTTTTTGAACAGATCTGGGGAGCGTCGTATGCATTAATTCTACCCATGTGGCTATGCGCTCACCATGCTAACTTTTCAGATTTTGTGGGCGCTTCATCTACAACTCATTTGGCTAAAAGGTTGAACCCTGGATCAACCAACTTTGCCTGGGATGTCCGCCCGCTGTATGATGACCCGGGATCGCTCAGGAGGCCCGTTGGCGGTGCTCTGCCCCAATTACCACCATTCGAATTCGCAAAGCGACTATTCTGGGTGCAGTACACTTATATCGGGACTATCTTTTCACTGATAATCCCCTCTGAGTTTGAAGAGAGGCTTGATCTGGTGTACAATCACCCTCTCGACTTTTCAAATCGCGAATCATGTTTGGTGTACTGTCAAGCTCTATTGGTGATTGCATTCGGCCTCATGTACAGTGTGAATCAATGGAACGGCGATGACGGCCCGCCGGGCTTCAAATATTTCAAGCATGCTCTACGCTTTTTGCCAGATATCCATGAAGAGGGTTCTATTTTCTTTGTTGAGGTCCTCTGCTATGTAGCCTACTACATGCAGAGTCTTAACCGAAGAGATGCAGCCTTCCTCTATGTGCGTATTACCTACATCGGCATTTTGTCCAACCGCTGACCACCACAGGTCGGACTTGCTTTACGGATGGCGATTTCACTAGGTCTTCATCAAGAGGTTTCGGATCCCACGATAAGCGAGGCAGACCGTAATCGTCGACGTCGAACTTGGTGGTCTGTTTACAGTTTGGATCGGTGAGTTGGGAAAGATTGTCGAGCTTGAAAAACACATTTAACCATCAAAAGACTCTTATCAGTGAAATCCGGCAATCCCATTACAATCCACGATGGGGATATCGGGATAACCTGGCCTGGAGCGGTAGTAAGTTAGATTAGATCTGTTTGTGGGCCCATCTAACTCTTGATCAAGGACGGATCGACTTTCGACCCATGGCCGTCCACTGTGCTCACTCATTACACCAAGCTGTCACGCATTTTAGGACGGATTGGTGAAGGTGATTCATTTCCTCTTCTTTGCTTTCTGCAGGACTAATCGATGTGATTTGAAACAGAAATCTACAGGAAGAAACCGGGATCCGGATCCAACCTCATTGCTTCGGTTCAAAGTATCACGAATGATCTTTCCAGCTGGTTGAGACAAGTGCCGGATCGCCTTCGTATAGACTTTGCCGCCCTAGAGACCCATATCAATCGCGAAAGTGTGTCCATCAACCTACATTTTTACTCCTGCGTGAACATGACCGCGCGTCCATTGGTCTTCTATGTGATTCAACGAAGACTTGATGCAGAAGCACAAGGCTCTGTCACTCAAGACTGGAAGGAGGGACTTTCCCCCAACACAGTGGCTGTTATCGACAGCTGTATCACGGCAGCTCGAGCTACTACTATGATAATGGATGCAGCAGCCAAGCACAACCTCATTGGTGAGTAATCTGGCTGCCTACCCCCTGAATAATCCTGACTGAACAACTCTCCTAGCTACTTATGGCTACCTCGATGGCGAATATATCTTTTCCGCCGCATTGCTTCTGGTGATGGTCAACGCCGCATTTCCCCCTAACGAAACCAGTGCGCGAGCCATGGATACTGCATTGAACCTTCTCCGTGGGATGGCAGATCGTGGAAACATGTACCTCGGGTCTCGTCATACTCTTTTGTTGGAACTGAAGGCAGTCCTTGGATCGAGGTCTAATTGCATGAATGAAACCGTCCCCGGGAGCCCTGCGGGCCTCAAGCTTCCAGTTACGCCAGCGACCGAAGACGGCGCAACCGTAACTGAACGTTCTGCTCCCGATGTTCAGTTGTCCAGTTGCTCAGCTATCCCCAACGACTGGTCGCAGGAGCCAGACCTCCCCTCTTTCCAGGACATTGCTTTCCAGTTCAACGTCAATGATGATCCAGCTCTTTGGGAAGGGGCCTTGGATCAAATCGACATTGATATGGATACGGATTGGATCGAAAATCTCTTAAAAAGATAAACAGATGTATTTTTTCAGCACGAGATGTATATTCTCCCTAAGGTTCCAGGGTTACCTATTTTCTCTTGAAATCCATACCTAGTAAATCTTTAGAATGTCTGTCCACTATATACCTGGGCACCCGTGGACCTCCAGGGCTGGGCCCAGGTAGGTTTTCTATATAGTAACCTTGGAACTCGTGGACATATATCGTAGTCACGGCCATGTCTCCAGGGTTGTAATAACCCCTACACCAAAATAAAGTAAACACGCCCCTTACAAAGTCCACGGCAGCATTGATCTCGGAGATTGAGATCGGCCTGCAGTCCCTATCACCTTGAGTTAATGGTAATGGTCAACTAAAGGAGTATCACCACCGCATTATCTCCCGAGGTCAACTTCCCCGCTTCATCGGCCCGAGATAGTCCCATCGGGATTGCTCTCCCGACACGTGACACGCATCTACACTGAACACCGGCGATATCAGCGACCTCTGATTGCGACATACGTGGATATAATGATCCATGACCCCTTCAAATAAAACTCATCTATTGTTGATATTGCCTGACGGACGCCCATACTAGTCCTCACATCTCCTCTTTCCCTTCTCACATTCCTTCACTCACTCCTTCACACCATGTCCACTTCAGGGAAACTCACCATCTCCATTGACCGTGGTGGTACATTCACGGATGTTCACGCTATTGTTCCTGGTCGTGCAGATATAGTGCTGAAGCTTCTATCTGTCGACCCATCCCATTATCAAGATGCCCCTACTGAAGGCATTCGTCAGATTTTGGAGCTGGCCACGGGGGAGCCACATCCTCGAGGCCAGCCTTTGAAGCTGGACCGTATTGGCTGTTTGCGCATGGGTACAACTGTTGCAACAAATGCTTTACTTGAACGCAAGGGGGCCCGCTCAGTACTGCTCACTACCAAGGGTTTCCGGGACCTTCTGAAAATTGGCGACCAATCTCGCCCTGCTATCTTCGACCTGTCAATGGCACGCCCGGGAGTACTTCCTGAAAGTGTTGTTGAAGTCAACGAGCGTGTGCTTCCCTGTCACCCCTCCGCAGATGAAGATTGCTTCTCGAATTGCCGACTGGTTGAAGGTGTCACAGGCGAGAAGTTCCGCGTGGTGCAAGAGCTGGACCTTGCCCACGTGCAAACAGAACTCCAAAGGCTCAAGGAGCAAGGCTATCAGTCACTGTCAGTGGCACTTTTGCATTCTTTCGCATACCCCGAGCATGAGCGTCAAATCGGCGAACTGGCTCAACAATTGGGATTCTCGGTCACCCTCTCTTCCCAGCTTCAGCCCATGATTAAGATTGTGCCCCGAGGAATGTCAGCCGCCGCCGATGCCTACTTAACGCCTGTTATCAAAACCTACATCGACTCCATCTCTGCAAGCTTTGAAGGTGGTTTGGAGAGCCAACAAGACTGTCGGTTTGAATTTATGCAATCCGACGGTGGTTTGGTCGATTTCCGCAAGTTCAGTGGACTCAAAGCTATTCTTTCAGGACCCGCTGCCGGCGTGGTCGGATTCGCAGCTACAAGTTATGATCCCACCGAGAAGACACCCGTCATTGGATTTGACATGGGCGGTACCAGTACCGACGTTTCGCGTTATGATGGTCACCTGGAACATGTGTTTGGGTCTAAGCTTGCAGGTGTTTTGATCCAGTCCCCCCAACTTGATATCAACACTGTCGCTGCTGGTGGTGGATCTATTCTCAACTGGCGCAACGGTCTCTTCTACGTCGGACCCGAGTCTGCAAGCGCTCACCCTGGCCCGGCCTGTTATCGTAAGGGGGGGTCCTTTGACGGTGACAGATGCCAACTTGTTCCTTGGGCGTCTCTTGCCTGAATATTTCCCTAATATCTTCGGTCCAAACGAAGACCAGCCATTGGATACAGAAACGACTGCACGACTGTTCAATGAGCTGACGCGCAAGATCAATATCGAGCGCCGACAGCAATTCCAGTCGGAGTATTCCCCTGAGGAAGTTGCACTTGGCTTCCTCAAAGTTGCAGATGAATCAATGGCCCGACCTATTCGCAACCTTACGGAAGCCAGAGGGTTCGAGACCGCATCCCATCATCTGGCTTGCTTTGGTGGTGCCGGTGGCCAGCACGCTTGCTCAGTGGCTGATTCTCTCGGGATTTCACGTATCATCATCCACAAATACTCCTCCATTCTATCAGCATATGGCCTTGCATTGGCAGAGGTTGTCAAGGAGTCACAGGAGCCAGTATCTTCGGACTACACGTCCTCTCACACGGCCCTTATTGGAAGATTTGACACCATGGCAGCGATCGCAACCAAGGAGATGGAAGACCAAGGTTTCTCCGCTTCTCAGGTTCAGCACGAGCAGTATCTGAACATGCGATATGAAGGGTCGGACACCAGCCTGATGATCCTCAAGCCCACGGATTCAGTTGATTTCCTCGAAGAATTCCGTGTTCGCCATCGCCGTGAGTTCAACTTTAATTCCGAGCGTCCAGTTCTCGTGGACGACATTCGAGTTCGAACAATTGCTTCCTCCAAAGTGCGAACAGAGGAAAGCCCCCTGGTTCAATTAAAGGCAGCCAATATACAAGATGTTACCACAGCGCCGGCTAGTAAAAGCTCGGCCTATTTCGATGGCCATTCAAGTCGCATTGACACACCAGTTTATCTGTTGGATGAGTTAGCGAGGAACTCCCGCATTGCAGGCCCGGCTGTCATCATCGACAACACGCAAACGGTCGTGGTGGCCCCCAACGCAGTGGCAAATCTGCTCGATACTTGCATTGTTATTGATCTCAAGGATGAGCCTGCCCTTTCCGCCGGGAGCTCCCTGTCATCGGGTATTGATCCCATTCGACTCAGCATCTTTGGGCACCGTTTCATGTCTATTGCGGAGCAAATGGGCCGCACGCTGCAGAAAACTTCTGTCTCTACAAACATCAAAGAGAGACTCGACTTCTCTTGTGCTCTGTTTTCGCCTGATGGCGGGCTTGTGGCCAACGCGCCACATGTGCCAGTTCATCTCGGTTCAATGCAATTTGCCGTGCGGTACCAGCATCAGAAGTGGCTAGGTAACTTGAAGGATGGCGATGTCCTTGTTTCAAACCATCCTACCTGCGGAGGCACCCATCTGCCGGACATCACCGTAAGTGACATACGCCCTTTCTATCATCTCAAACCTTGCTAAGAACATTCAGGTCATCACCCCCGTCTTTGATCGACCGGGAGGCTCCGAGATTATGTTCTACGTAGCCTCTCGTGGGCACCATGCTGATATCGGCGGCATCTTGCCTGGTTCGATGCCTCCTAAATCAACCGAGCTGTGGCAAGAAGGTGCCGCCATTGAAGGCGACAAGATTGTCAGTGACGGCGTTCTGGATGAGGCTCGTTTGATTGAGCTTCTGGTCACCAAGCCCTCCCAATATCCCGGTTGTGCTGGAGCGCGCTGCATCAGCGACAACCTTTCCGACCTCAAGGCACAAATTGCCGCCAACACTCGCGGTATCACTCTGATTCAAACGTTGTTCAATGAATACGGAACGCAGACGGTGCAGAAGTACATGTATGCCATCCAGGCAACTGCTGAAACCGCTGTTCGCAACTTGCTGAAAGAACTCCACCAAAAGTTCGAAGGAAAGCCTCTGGAATCGGTGGACTACATGGATGATGGCACCCCGATCAAACTCAAAGTCACCATTGATGGCAACGATGGATCCGCTATCTTTGATTTCGAAGGCACAGGTCCGGAGGTCTATGGTAGCTGGAATGCTCCCATCGCCATTACCCACTCGGCCATTATCTACTGCTTGCGTTGCATGATCAACGCAGATGTCCCGCTGAACCAAGGATGCCTGGCGCCAATCGATATCCGTGTGCCATCTCCCAGTATCCTTTCCCCGACCAAGACGGCCGCGGTTGTGGGCGGTAATGTCGTTACTTCCCAGCGTATCACTGACGTTGTCTTCAAGGCTTTCCAAGCCTGCGCTGCGTCTCAGGGTTGCTGTAACAACTTGACTTTCGGCACCGACCCCAAGCGTGACCCGTCTACCGGTGACGTGGTTACTCCTGGGTTTGGATACTACGAAACGATCGCCGGTGGCAGTGGTGCCGGTCCCACTTGGAAGGGCGAGTCTGGCGTGCAGGTGCATATGACCAACACGCGTATCACCGACCCAGAGATCTTAGAAAAGCGTTATCCAACTATGCTTCGGCAATTTACTTTGCGCCAAGGCTCCGGCGGACAAGGCAGGAACCCCGGTGGTGAAGGTGTTATTCGTGATATCGAGTTCCTGTCCCCCATGAAGTGCTCTATCTTGTCGGAGCGACGTGTGCATCAGCCGTATGGACTGGAGGGTGGACAAAATGCACAAAGCGGATTGAACCTCTGGGTCACGCGCGACGATGAGACTGGCGAAGAACGCATCATCAACATTGGAGGCAAGAATACCGTCGAGATGAAGACTCACGATCGAATCGTGATCAACACTGCCGGTGGTGGTGGCTGGGGTGCTGTATGATTTGTAGTTTCTTGAATGCGATGGCATATTTTGAATAACGATAAGAATAGTTTACATGGACATAGTACTACTATAATGACCTTAAGTTTTTTCCCCTTATAATTTGGACTTTCCAAATGCCGGCCGCCACATCTCATTCTCTAGTCGGCTCGTGTTGATCATCTCTGGCCGGAGCTGATCCAACGAGGTGACTCCAAGCATCTTCATGGTGATCTCTACCTCTTCAGCAAGAACTGCAATGCTGTTAGTCTGTTCCAACGTTTCTCATTCTTGACTTGAACCACCACTTACTGTCTGTACATCTTTCCACTCCTTCGGCGCCATATGCGGCGAGAGCATAGTAGTATGGACGACCAACCCCCACAGCAGTCGCTCCGAGACATAAAGCTTTGAGAACGTCGGCTCCGTCGCGAAGACCGCCATCAACAAACACTTGGAGCTTGTCAAATGCTTCCGGGTAATACTTGCGGATTTCCAGAAGTGTCGTCAGTGAGCTTGGAGCAGAATGAATTTGCCTGCCACCGTGATTGCTCAACAGAATTCCCTGGACACCACGCTGAACCGCCAGCTTCACATCTTCGACGCTCTGGATTCCCTTCAAAACAAGTGGACCGTTCCACTCCTGGGCAATCCATTTCAAATCATCCCAGGTAAGCCCGGCATCTACTGAGCCTGGAACCTGCCGACCTCCAAATGCGGGAGCAAAATCGTTCTCGTTATGAATATCTCTGGCATTCTCAGTCTGACCAGTCTGGAGGTTTTCTTGGGCTTGAAGGTATCGATCTGCAGTACGCTTGCCCAGGGTTGAAGTGTCCACGGTGACCCACAAGCTTTGGTACCCTGCAGCTTTCACTCTTTGAATGAGAGACTTGGCTCTCGCTCGATCCTCGGGGACATAGAGTTGAAAGGACAGATTGGAAGGACTCTGATTGTTGAGGAGTCGCTGCTCCTCCCGGTGTGCATCCATAATTTCCTCCAGGGGCTTCGTAGATGCGGTGCTGATCATGGTGTGCATTCCTTTGCGTGTAGCTCCTCGCACGAGCAAAGGCTCGGCGCCTGGGTGTGAGCTGCCTAGGGTTCCCATGGCCGATACGAAGAAGGGGAATTGTGAGGTATTTCCCAAGATGGACCTCCTGGTGTCCATTCTGTCAACTTTTCTCAAAATCCGAGGACGGAAGTTGATCAAAGACCAGTCATCCAGATTGGAGCGCATTGAAAGGCCTGTGGCTGCGGAGCTTGACGCGTAAACCCATGACTTCTCCGGAAGTACGTCCTTCGCGACCTTCTCGAAATCTGTGGTAGAAACACAGAGAGAGAGATGGGGGTGTTGTTTGCCATGATTTCAATGATCCTTGCCAAAGCGTGCGATATGGTCATAAGATACTGAAGAGAGCAGAGAGCAGAGAGCAGAGAAAGAAGAAGTATGAAAACGTTCTCCAGAGTGATATACTCCGGTAACCCCCACACACACCCCACACCGGGGCCGACTGCCCGAGTGCCCGATCTCGGCCCCGGCTTCGGGGTTTGACTGACTTCGGCTTCCATTTTGAGTAAAAGCAGTCGCCGACCTGCGTTACACTCTAAGCGCGAATATATGCCGAATTTTCCGTATGACCTGACTGTCTTCAATTTCTTGGACTTTTCTTTGGCGTCGGAAACGAAGTCCCGTCAAGATCCAGCCATTTTCAAGACAATTCCTCATCATTCATACGCGAGCGCGGGCGGTCGAAGCATAGAGCCCAAGCGCCATTGCTACTAGATAGCTTCCAGGTGGTGACTGCCGCTTACTGGTCAGTGATCTAAGATCTATTTGACTTGGTGTGAGCGTTTCTTCTTGAAAGCCGTCAAAGATAGATTCAATACTTGCGGGATTCTCCTCTTTTGAGCTTCCATTGAAGTTGGTGGAGTGGCACCAATGATTGAAGTTGTCGGTTTCATCAGCATGGAGCCAGGCATAGGCACGGAAGAGGTAGTACACCTCTGCCCATTCTGTTCGAGATGTGAGGCTTGCCTCAATTCACATTGAGCGACAGCTTTGCCATCTGCTTTCTGAGAATGGTCGCTAACAAGCCATCAATCTTTCATTTATTCAGTCAGATACTCACTTCTCGAGATTTGTGGAGTATAACAACAGCGGTTCCCACGAAAAGAGCTAATATGGCTGTCAGGCGCATAGTGAACATCAGGATATCAGAGTGTAGTATATGAAGTGATGAGTCCGTGCAAGCTATCACTGGTAGATACTGATGTCAACTAATTGATCCTTAGACGGATGACAGCCCATTTACAACGAATCTTCCACCTCATCCAAAAGACCCAGAGAAACAGGCCTTGACATTCATTGAAGTCAAGGAACCACCAATTATGCGGTATGAGACATGCCGAGGACATCCAAGGGTTCATTTGTATTGGCCTAAATTTGGTCATCAGGTTTGAAAGATACAACGTGGTTGAGCTGTCGCTGCCATATTCTGACGTCTGTGGTCATCGTCTTGGTGTCAATGGAATGTGGAATTGTATGGTATTGCCATTCCTTTGCATTTCCGAAGTTCCCCTTGTTTGATCCCCGTAGATAATTCTGCTTCCATCTATACACGACCTTGAGAGAAATGGGACTAATGATGTCCCTGGAAGCCTGGCAAAATACAGCACCGATCCTAATTGGAACGACAAATTTCACGGCTAGCCTTGGAGCGTACCTAGCCTTGAAAGCATACCTATACAAAGATGTCTAGGTGGATGTTGAATACTTCTTCTTTCCATCAGCTGTTCTATGTAGTTGTTCCAACCTTGGAAGTTCATACCTCGAGTCTCCCAAGGTCATCCCCAACTTCCCAGGTTCCAAGGTTATATACAGCCCTGGAGAATAATGTTCTGTGATTCATAGGCCGCGCCTGGGGCCCACCATGATACTATAGTTTATTCCAAGCTCACGATAGAGTATCTTTATCCTACACATACGGAGTAGCAGTTTATCAATTGTATGTTCACTTTATACATAAAATATGCATAAACTACTCTGTAAAGATGACTAAAATGACTAGAATAATTTATGTGAGATAAGTGACCTCGGGAAGGTCACTAGTTTTACTAACTCCGTACATCAGATACTGCAAGGAACATGTAAAAGTGCATATGTACTGCATGATGGACCTATAGGAGCTGTGATGCAGCGCAGCGCAGGCACCGGAAGTACTCCGAAAGTAGTCTTAGTAAGCATCACATGCCGAATCTGTCAATTTGCTTCTTTCAATTTCATTTCAGCTTCTGCTTTTCTTTTGGGACTTGATCTTGGTTCTTCTTTGTTTCGCTATGACTTTCCCTGTGCCTGGCTAGCCATGGCCATCACTATCTGAACCCTTGGGTCGCTTCTCCAATCCCCTTGTCGTCAACCCCCAAACCGAGAACCACCCAAAAAAAAAAAAAAGGACAGAAAGATAAAGCTACGGGTCCATCACATACTGACTCGATGCCCAAATCACCATCTATTGTGTTCATTGCCAGGTGTGTATAGGATCTGGGCTTATCTTCCACTGCTAATTTTCCTGAAAAGACATGGCGCCCGCCTCGATGCTGCAGATAAAGATTGGCATTTGACGGCCCCAGAGCCCTACAATCCACCCCTCTCCTACGGTGGGTGGATGCAAGCTCGTGCTCTCGGTGTACGCATATCTAGTCTCCTCAGAAATCGGGACTTCACCGGGCAGGAGCCCGAGGGTCAGCGCAGCCATCGTCCGACCTCGGATACCCAGGCAAAACCCACCCCCGCATCCTCGGACCTGTGTCACCGATATAACGTCATTATCCATACCTCTCCATTTCTTCGGTGTCTCCAAACCGCAATAGGAGTCAGCGCGGGTATCAATCAGCAAGCGCCGACCGCAGAGGCACCCGGAGTCACCAGCCCATTTTCTACCAATACCATCCCAGAAACCTCGAGCCCCGATACACGATGTTTAGTTCGTGTCGACGCTTTCCTAGGCGAATGGTTATCACCGGACTATTATGACCAGATCACGCCCCCACCAGGCTCGGACAGAATGGTGGCGTCTGCTAAAGGAGAACTAATCCGTCGTGCCGAGGTCATCCCGGCAGCGGATGGGTCGACACGGTCGCTGTCAGGTCATTTCCCCGGCGGCTGGGGCAGTCGCTCCCACCCTACCTCGCCGGCCGAGGATGAGGACCGCCCCTTGCAACAAAGTTTGGAACAAGGTCAGCGCCAGCGCTCAAGCACGTATGATACCCTACAGAACCCTATCAACGCCAAACGCGCAAAGCAAACCCTCGGCCGATTGAACACGGATCTTTCGCCCTCTCCAGACACATCCTATGTGCCCCCCACCCCAAGCTATGCTGTCTCCGCCTCGGATCCAATCCCTACAGGCTATGTTGCCCATGCGCGGAATGCATGCACAAAGATTGACTACCAGTGGGACAGCATGCGCACACCATACTGGGGCACAGGGGGCGAGTACGGCGAAGAATGGAGTACTATGCATGAACGTGTTCACGATGGGTTTCAACACATGATTGATTGGTACCGAAAACAAAATTCACCTCAGCCACGTTCCACAGAGTCTTACGACACTGATCGCGATGAAGTCGAGACGGAACCAGAAACGGTCCTCATTCTCATCACCCATGGCGCGGACTGCAATGCTCTGATCAGTTCGCTGAATGGACATTCGGTCCTCGTGGATATTAACACAGCTTCTCTCACCATGGCTGTGCGACGCAACCGTGTCAAGAACCCCGCAGCAGACATGGACCCCATGTCTAAAACTTCGGAGCCAGACAACCAATCGGTGTCACGGGAATATTCCTTGCAGTTTGTGGCGTCGACTGATCACCTGCGTCCGGGTATCAACCCCTCCCAGCTGACCTCGCTGGCATCTCCCACCGCGCCGGCAGTGTCGCCGCCAGTCTCTTCTTATCGAAATCGCCTTGGCGCTCGTCCATCGCTCCAAGGCTCATACAACAATGCGCCTTCCCCTAGCTCCAGCTCCAGTCCCCGCGGATGGACCATGGCAACACGTCCATCTGCGGCTTCTCGTGGGGCAGGTGGGGCAGGTGGGCTCTGGGGCTCAGTCGCTGAGAAGACAGCCGAAGTGGAAGACGACTTTGTGCCGGACTTTGGAGATCGACCAGCCAGCCAAGACTCGGCAATTCCTGATCGGGCTGCAGATTGTGGCTGGGTCAAGCAGCTCCCGCAGCGAACACAGTCACAGCGCGGTCTATGGGGAAGTGCACAAGATGACCGTGACGGAGGAACAAAACGACGATGGACCGTGACGGAGCAAAAGCTATGAGATCTTATTATACCAATTTTGCATGGCGTTTGCTTCAGGATTGTTTTGGTTTTGGTTTTTTGCTTGTCTTTTATTATGAGAACACGACACCTTATTCCCCAGGCAGCAAGGCACTGATGTGGCGGTTGATGACTTCCCCCTCATTGTTTGTTTCCCTTGCTCTTTCTGCTCTATATTCTCAACTCTTTGTTTTCTCTCCAATCTCTCTCTCTTCTTCAGCTCCCATAGCCTTGTTTGGAATTCGGATATTTCATGTCAACCCTTGAGACCGACGGTCTCTCCGTCACCCATTCTTCTGATCGCTCCGGATCTCCGGATCTGCGGCTGATCCATTACAATGATGTTTATCATGTCGAGTACGCGCTTGTTCTCCTCTCTGTCCCCAAAAGCTTTCTTCTAAAGTCAAATCTGTAGAGAGGGCTCCGCAGAACCTGTTGGCGGTGTCTCACGGTTTCAATCCCTTGTAAACTATTACCGCTCGCACGCGCACTTTGCCGGGCAACCCGATATCTTGACATTCTTCTCCGGCGATGCGTTCAATCCGAGTATTGAAAGTACAATCACCAAGGGCAGACATATGGTCCCATTCCTGAACACAGTGGGCACCGACGTCGCATGTGTCGGTGTGAGTATGACGGCCTAGCTTGCATGCATGTACACCGCTAATCTTTCCAGAATCACGATCTTGACTTTGGAGTGGCCCAATTTCGCCATTTGGCAAGTCAATGCCATTTCCCTTGGTTGCTCGCAAACGTTCTAGATCCATCATTGGGAGATGACATCCCAATCGCTGACTGTGGAAAGACCCGCATGCTGACTTCATCAAATGGACTCAAGATTGGCGTGTTGGGTCTTGGCGAACGTGAATGGTATGTCTTTGTCTGGATAACCTACGTGCTTGACTGTCCGCTGACCCGGGTCACAGGCTCGACACGATCAATGCGCTTCCGCCAGATCTGATCTACCAATCTGCATCTCAAACAGCCCAGAAACTTGCGAAACAGCTCCGAGAAGGTGGTGCGGACCTTGTTGTTGCTGTCACCCATCAACGAGAGCCAAATGACTATAAATTGGCAGAAAATCTTACCCCTGCCCTGGTTGATATCATTCTAGGGGGGCACGATCACTTTTACGCCCATGCCGTGGTTAATGGGATCCATGTCATACGATCAGGCACTGATTTCAAACAATTGAGCTACATTGAAGCTTTCCGCAAACCAAATGGTCTCCCTGGCTGGGACTTCAACATCACGCGGCGAGATGTGGTTCGCTCTATTCCCGAAGACCCCGATACAGTGGCAATGGTTGCCCGATTGGGCGCTAGCCTCAAGGCCAAACTTGACAAGCCCATTGGCTTTACGGTAAGCCCACTGGACGGTCGTTTCTCCACTGTGCGGCAACGTGAATCGAACCTCGGCAATTTCGTCTGCGACCTCATGCGATTCTACTATGCAGCGGATTGTGCCATGATGGCAGGTGGCACCATTCGCGGTGATCAAATCTACCCGCCAGGGATCCTCAAGTTAAAAGATTTGTTGAACTGTTTTCCATTCGAGGATCCCGTGGTTCTGTTACGTGTTCGTGGTCATGCACTGCTGGCTGCGCTGGAAAATGGAGTAAGCCAGCTTCCCGCACTCGAGGGCCGATTCTCACAAGTCTCGAACATCAGTTACGGGTTCAAGTTGGAAGCACCGTCCGGATCTAGAATCACGTTCGCTCGGGTTGGCGGCCAGCCCCTTGACCTGGAGCGCGATTATGTTGTCGCTACGCGCGGATACATGGCGCGAGGGAAAGACGGGTTCACATCCTTACTGATTGAAGCAGAAGGAGGCGAGGTAGAAGAGCTTGTGAGTGAGGAAAACGGCGTGCTGATAAGTACAATCCTACGACAGTATTTCCTGAGCCTCAAAGTACTCGGGAAATGGAATCGTTGGAGTGCCAGTCTCCGCCGCCATTGGGGTACTGTGCACCGTAATTTGCACGGCGAAGGCTGGTTGAAGCCACCTTCTGCTACTACATCTCCCAAGAGCGAGAAAAAGGCGCCGGGAAAGAGACTGGAACGGCCTACACTTCAGCGGACATCACGAGCAGCATACTACTATGGTCGATTCCCCGAAGAAGTCGAGTCTCAGAGTCAGGATACCACGGAGGTTGAGACGAACGGCAATGCCATGGACTCTGACTCCGATGAGGATCCAGACATTCTGACTTCGTCGCGGCCAACCACCAACTATGTCACTCAACCCGCGCGGTCCTCTGCCGAAGAAGAACATCGTCTGCAAATAGCGCGGCGGGTTGTCCGCAAGTGGATGCGACACGCTGGGCTGCAGTCTAACAGTCTGAACACCATGGACGGCGAAGGGGAGTTCACTCCGGCCTGGACTTCCGGTATCTCTCCGCGACTCGAAGGGCGGATTGTGCAAGAATAAACTCGCTCTTCTTCATGCCTGTTTTCTCGTTCTTTTTCTTCTTTCTTTCTCTCGGTTTCTCTTATCATTGCTCTCGGACCTTGTTCTTGCTAACTACTTTCTGTCATGTTTGTGTTATGCATATACCATATACGCTGGTTATAAGCCTGGTGTTGTTGTCTTGTAGAAATGCATGAATACTCTGAATTACGTCGATGATCAATCAGACTTCTGCTTATGGTGCTCCTTTTTCAAGAGATAATCGCCACCCATCCAGGCCTTGTAGACTCCATACAATCCACTGAATGGCCAGACATCCCACAGGGCACGCTTGACCATCCCTTTCCAGCCGCTTTCAAATTCTCCTCGGTGCGCCCCGGGCAAATCTTCAGGGCGCACTCGCACCTTGTCATACAAAGTGGGAAGATGCTGAGCATGGTACTTGCCTCGTAGTGCATCATATCCATGCTTGTCGTAGATGGTCCAGAACTCATCCTCTGTATAGTAAGCATGTGCATACAACCATTTTTTGCCTCCCAGGCTCTGGACCTTGTGTTCAAGTTGCCGATTTTGTGCCACAAACCTGGCCTGTTCGGTAGTTACCCCGGGGCCCCAGATTCCAAAATTCAGGAGCGTCTTCTTTTGCGCGTCCGTTTCATCTTTTTCACTGTCAATGGGTTGTCCTTCCAAACCCCCGGCACTTCCTGGGGGTAAGGGACAGAGCCAGAGTGGATATTGTCCAAAGTTTTCAGGGCGATCCAACCAGTCCAGGAACTCAGCGGCAGTAGAGATGGGCACTCCAACATCCTGGATGACATACCGCCGGCCCAGTCCACTGACATGTAGAGCGTGATACATCACCCTGGTGTACATGAAACGATTGAGGAGCCAACGCGTCACAAAGGTGAATGGGACACAGAAGTAGTGGAAGGCATAGCGCGCAACCCAAAACCCACCCCGATCGTAGCGGAAAAGGTAATCTGTCAAAGGGATATAATCCACTGCATGTGGCATGTGAGAATCGACTCGGCCGAAGGCCCCGGACGTGACACGTTGAACATGCAAGTAAAACCAATCGTCTTGACGGCGTGTGAAGCGCTGGAGTTGTACAGGGGTATGTTCGACCTGTCGTCCCGCGCAAATGACGATTTCGTTCCGAGAGTAGACGATGCCGTCCAAGAATTCGGTCTGGGGATCCGCGCCAACCTCTTGGAAGATTCGCACCGCATCTTTCATGTTGGAGCTAGCATAATATTTTAATTCGACGAGAGGTTCTGCCTTCTTCAGGCGAACTTCCAACAGGGTGACCACGCCGAGAGTGCCGAAAGAGGACGCCGCGCCCCAAAACAAGTCCGCGTTGTCTGACCCCACGTTCCCGACGCGATCATTGTATGCCTTCACGACTTCTCCATTGGCCAACACCATCTCAACCCAATTGATGGTGTGATCGAAAAACCCCTCTCGAAACGAAGAGCTCTCACCGGACGTCCCCGAGAAAGCACCACCCGTGGTGATTCCCGGGAACTCCGGGACCACCAAAGGTACTAAGCCATGGGCGCTGGTGGCAGCCACCAGCGCGTCCATGGGGACATTGGGCTCAACAAGCGCTGTGTACCGGTCGGGGTCGATCTCGAGGACATGGGTGAGGTCGGCAGTGCTGATGGTGGTCGATGCAGAGTGGTTGGAAGGACGTGTACTGTTGGTTGAGCCATGGTAAATGCGGAACGGTTGTTGGCGATGGTAGAATTCGGCCGCCCGCGCCGAGATCTCTTTTACAGCAGTGGAATGATCCATGCCCCGGAAGCTGGAATGGAAAGAATAGGCAGGATATAAAGTGCAAGGTAGGATGCAAAGGATGTAAAGGCGTTGAAAGTTACGGGGCGAGCTTAGGGCTTAGGCACCGGCATTCCTTAGGTGCTTTATATGTAGTGTTAGACAAGTAAAGCTCGCAACACAACATCTTTGTTTTATTGAGAAACAGAACTAGGGTGACATTCATATTCGCTGAGGTATCATGAAACATAATTTTAACAAAAGAAGAGTATGTCCTTATTGGAGTCCCACTGGACGCGCTCCTGCAAGATTGACAACGCGTCCTCCCCCTCCGAGTCCATTCGATACTCGAGGCTGAACCCACCCAGGGACAGTCTTGTCGGTACTTTCATGGCCAGATATCGTTTGCCACACATTCGGGAAGCCCGTCGGCATGATACCTTTCAGTTTGGCGCCCGGAACCGCGAATCGGGGCTCGCGGTGGAGGAGGTATCCACCCATGAGCCCTTGAGTGAGCAAGGAGGCTAGAATTGACTCGATCTCTCGCATCAGCGGAGACTTGTCTGGTTCCGCGCTGTCTTCGGGAATGAATTCATATGGATCGAGTTCATACTCCTCATAGTTCGTGTGTGAATTGCTCTGCGCTAGCGCACCCGGTGCAATGGACGTAAGATGTCCTTGCTTATTGTAGAAGCCACCTGGGGCAAGATAATCACGATAGCTGTTCAATATGTCTTGCTCAATCGAAGGGTCATCGCTGCCTTGCCCTCCTTCTAGTCCTGTGTAGTCAGGATCCACGGGCTCGGCAACGATTTGAGAGCCATGGATGTTGGAGTGAGGTGCGTGATGGGCGACTCCGTTGGTGGGTGGTATATGTTGTGATTGCAACCATCGCGCAGCTGCGGCGATCTTTTTAAGGTAGAGGATAGGAGGTGGTCCGCGTTGCGCCTGCGCCTGCGGACCCCCATAGGAGCCTCCGTACATGAAGACTTTGCGGGAGAATGACCGCCACACAAGTACTTCACATCGGTTGCGGAGTGCGAGGAGGATTCCTTTGCGTGCGAACCACTGGGCGGTTGGTGAGCCAACGGACAGATGTTGTCGGAAAGCGAGGTAATCTCCGCGAACAATCAGTTGACATAACGGTTGGAAATGTTGCGCCAGTCCCTGCGCCTCGGGTCTTTTGAGGAGTGCCTGGGAGGGGAACCGGCCGAGTATAATGTTGCATGGAATGAGGTATGAGAGGATCAAGTGGCGTTGGCTGGTAGCCTGGCGGTGGCATTGATCGTAGGAAGATTGGAGGGCTATCTGGGCGGGGTAAAAGAGGTTGTTGGCGAGGAGGTAGCGTCCGAGATAATACAGGTAGGTGACACGCTGCGAGGCAGGGAAGTAGGCTAGCGGAGGTGATTGCGCGCTGATACTGGAAAACATCTGTTCTGCATTTCGCAGTTTCCCGCACTGAGATCCACGTCGTTAGTTCTGGTTCCTGTGCTTAACAGGACTCGGAATGCGTACCTGGAAAAGCAGCTTCAGACAAAGGTTGGCCATGAGATAGATGCCGACGCGCTTCCCCTCCGGCTTGCCAGCCGGCCCAGGGGTGCCAGTTCGATCGGTAAGACATTTGATGAAAGCTTCGCGCACAACGTTGGCAGACTTTTCTACCAATGTGACCTTTTCCACGCTCTCGCCTTTGTTTGTCTCACCTTCCGTCCGTCGAATGTGGGCGATCAAGTCCGGCCGGCGGTCCAGACCCAGAGCCAATTTCGCCAGAACTTTTGCTAGGTATAACACGGTGGGGAGAACGACGACGCCGAATTGACTGTCACCAAGGGCGAGCACGCACTGACTGCGGTTTTTCAAGTCAGCCTCCAGAGCCCAGTAGTTGGGGGTCGCAGTTCTTACTTTAACAGCGCCTTCAGTTGGTTGTATGTTTCCAGGAGGTTGTCCGTATTCATCTCGCGTAGGAAGCTCAGGTACATCTTCACAAAGACCGGGAAAGCAGCCCATGAAGAGGCATTCTTGGTTCGAGGGACAAGACGCTCGCATCGCTGGCGAATATCGGCATCTGCCTTGTGATTGTTGGCATAGAGCTGTCGAAGCTCGGCGGTCATCCGCTGATAGATCTCCGACAACGGTGGTTCGAGCTGGAGAAAGTCCTGGAGTTTGGAGCCATCGCGATTCTGGACGATTTCCTGCAGACTGCCGAGAAATTGGTCGAGAACGGGAGTTGGGCTCATGATGAAAGAGCAGCGCGCTCAGAGGTACCGGAGCTGCACCAGCAAAAGTCGACAAGTGGATCAATGACTGGTCGTCCTTGTACTCCGCAGTGACCGAGCTGATTGAATAGAGGTCCGCGGGCTCGGTGCTTCGGGCAGAATCCGACCGCCAATTGTATAGGGTGCCCCCACTGGGAGCTTGGGGTTTCTCCTGGTGTTAAAACAGTTGTCGGGCGCTCAATTTGAATAAAACAGGGTGACAAATTCAGGGCAATTATTATCACTCCCAAGGTTGACCTTTCTGTGCTAATGTCATGGGATATGTGCCAGGAAAGAAGAGAACTTTTTCAAGTTGAGCGGCGAGCCGGGCACGGGCAAGGGACAGTACTGGGTTGTTGATCCTTTAAGAGAAAAGGAACAATATGAAAAATGTTGGAAGTCTTTGAAGATGAATACGAAAGAGTACAATTGTCCGCATTTGAGCACGATGTCACTCCGTATTCATTGTTCCCAGAGTTGAGGTCATCGACTTTAGAGGCAGCTCACCTCGGGCATACTATACAACTGTCAACTGCTATGCACATTGTCACCAACTCTATTGAGTAGCCATTGTCGTTTGTCCTCATGGCCATATTCACAATTATCGCAACTCTATTGGTTGACATATACTGAATAATAGCACCATCTTCCTTTGGTGTGAATTGACTGGCCTTGAGGCTCCCAGTCATTCAGTCCAAGGTTTTGTACGGAATAGATGGGCTTCCAAGGGCCAAGGCTATGGATGGGCTCATAATTCCAAAACAAAAAGAAAAAGGGAAGAAAAAAAAAAAAAAAAAGCCACAGAACCGCCGAAAAAGCTGGAGAATCAAGGGCCGAAGGACATATGTCATATGCGCTGTGTAGTATGTACTATCACAAGCATGAGAGGTACATAAAGCGGACATGAACCCACAATGTCACCATCAGCCTACACAGGTATGATTTCAAGCTAAATGGAGTATTTCCACATTAAAATGGAGCTAAAACCGACCTACCAGGGGCAATTCGCTACACAGACTTGTACACTTGTACTTGGCCAAGTTATGCCCGGCGCAATCCAGATTTAGCCTCGATGATGTCATAACATGCTTCACATGTAAAAGACCATCCGCTACAAATATTTCCCTCTTCGTCCACAGGTTCAGCTTCGCTCTGTATTCTTCTAATTCTACATCACAATGGCAAACGACTCGGTCCTGTCGGCCCTGTCGACCCTCATTCGACATCCTTTTGTCGAAACTTTTACCTGGTTCTACATGGCCCTCCAGACCGTGCTCACCTGGATCTTCTCTCCGATCCCCCTCCTCCAACGGCCCAAAATGAAAACATCCCTCGCAAGAGAGTTGCAGTCATTGGTGCTGGCGTGACTGGTGTGTCTTCTGCGGCACACTGTGTTGGACATGGCTTCGATGTCCAACTATTTGAATCTAGAAACAAAGAACAGGGCCTGGGTGGTATCTGGAGTGTATGTGTTTCTCAAGTCAATTGCATAAACCGCGGGCTAACAAATGTCTCTAGAGAGTCAACTCCACCTCCGCATTGCAGGTCCACAGTCTCATGTACCGCTTCCATCCATCAGTCAGCTTCAATACTGCCTATCCCACGCAGCAACAGATCAAAGAACAAATTGTTGGCCTATGGAAGCGCTACAATTTGGAAGATCGCACTGTTTTCGATACAAAGATTACCTCGGTGAAGCAAAACAACAATGGGAAGTGGATTATCAACGATGATGAAGAGCAGTACGGCCTCTTTGATGGCGTTTTGGCTACGGTGGGTGTGTGCGGCGACCCCAAGATGCCGCCTCTGCCAAACCAAGACAAGTTCAAGGGCGAGATCTATCACTCCTCTGAGCTGGACGGCAAGGATGCTAAAGGCAAGAAGGTTCTGATTGTGGGTGGTGGCGCCAGCGCAATTGAAGCCCTAGAGTTTGCCGTCAAAAATGGTGCTGCCGAGATCGATGTCCTCTCCAGGTCAGACAAATGGATCATTCCTCGAAATGTCCTTGTGCAGTCTTTATTGGCTTGCAATATCTTTGGCCAGGAAACCGCGCTTTCATGGATCCCCGAAGGTCTGCTACGCAAGTTCTTCTACCGCGACCTCCAGGATATTGCGCCGACGGACAAGGGTGTTTTCACACAAACACCGATGGCCAATGACGAGTTATTCAACCAGATCCGTGAGGGCAAGGCCCACTGGTTGCGAGGTGATATTGTCTCACTGGAAGAGAAGGGTGTTTCGTTCAACTTCCGATCCAAGGGAGTTCCAAAGGGAGGACCTGGCCAGGAGCGACTGGTGGAAGGAGACATCATCGTCATGGCGACTGGCTTCAAGCGACCTTCGTTATCCTTCTTGCCCGACGAGGTGTTCGAGGAACCGTACGGTCCGCCTAGTTGGTACCTGCAGGTCTTCCCTCCCAAATACCCTGACATCTGCGCCAACAACAGCACTTATGTCGATGCTATTGGTACTGTTGGTAACATGCATATTGGAATCTATACCCGGTTCTTGCTCATGTTCCTTACCGACCCGTTGACACGCCCCACTGAACAAAGAATGAAGACATGGATTGATTTCACAAGGTTCATGAAGCGCCTGAGTCCTACGGGAGCATTCGACTTCTTTACCTATGCCGAGCTGATCTACTGGTACATGTTCGTTTTGGTTGTCAACCCCTTCCGCTGGAAGTGGGCGTTGTTCGTCTTCTTCGGCATTGGGCGTGGCTTACCCTTGATGGTCGTCGAGCAAGAGAATGCATTCCGCAGAGAATTGAAGAAGGAACGCAAGGCTCACAAGACAGAAAAGTCCAAGGCCAACAAGGCCAACAGGGCCAATAATGCGGACAAGGCCAACAACGCGGACAAGGCCAACAACGCGGACAAGTCTACCAAATCTGATTAAAGAAAATCCAAACATGTGATCCATTGGTGCCCTTACACGACGGAAGGAGAGGCAGTTCAGACAAGGGAGACCAACATACCTGTCCATACAGTTGAAATAATTTTCAAGAAAACAATGAAGCGATGATCATCACGTTATTTACACGTATCAAACAGAACTGCAAGTAGCGCTTGTATTTCCATGACCCAGAAACAACCTTGGAAAACTCAATCCTATTTAGTGTTCCTTGATTTCCGGAATCTTCTTGTCAATGCTAGTAGCTATGTTTCCACCTCGCAAGAAATAACCCGGAATGTAGCGATTCTCTTCCAGCCACAGTATGGGCCACAGAAGAGTAACTCCCACGACACAGAATAGGGTGGCAACGAGATGCCAACCATAGATAAGCCAATGCCCAATATGTGGCATAATGAATTTGACAAACTCTGATGACTGATATAGATCCTCTTGCTTGGAGATGTGATAAATCTTGCGATCTCCGTTAGTCGAAGCATCACTCTTCATCGGTTCGGAAGTTAGATCAAGGACCGTTGTGAGAGTCGCAGAAGCCACATGGAAAGGAACCAGCCAGATGGAAAAGATTTGGGACATATTGATGTATAGTTTGAGCTTTTCTTCATCGAATGCTATAAACAGAGAACAGTTAGAACCTATGCGTCTCAAATGTTATACATAAACCCCCAAAGCTTACCAATTGAATGAATTTCCAGCTCAATCCGCGGTGACATGATCTTGTACCACTGGAAGATCTTTGTGACCCACCATCGACTCCCTTCGAAGTGGGGAACTCGACAGAATGGATGGACGAAAGAGGCATTGCTGGTGAAATACCGATCAAGGACGGTTTCTTGCACCGAGGGCGGCGATTGTGTCAAAAGCCGGATTACGGTGGGGATCTCAGCGACTAGACAGGTCAGCGCAGTCCGGAGTGTGGAGCTTCGTGTTAGCATACCTGGATTCTCCATCTTGTGAGGTATGAAACAAGAGGTACACGTAGTTGAGGAAAGAAGAAGGAGAGGTCTGCGAGATCATGTTGTATGCCGATGACATCATTCACATGTGAATATCAAACCGGTACGGAGCACTTCGACCTTGGAGGCCCCGGACGTTCAGGGCTACGCGCCAACTTGGAAGCACCTGGGCACACAATGAATGAGATATTTAAATATCGTATCATCGTTTGAATATCAACTTTGAATCAAATGGGATCTACAGACAGGTGTCGTAATTGACTGCATTCCCGAGGTCAACGATATGGCAGGGTTATAGTTGCTTGCATCGGCATGCCGAATCATCGGGTTCTATCCATGGGGTAAGCTCAAAAAAGCAGACCATCAAATTCAATATATGCCACAGAATATGAGTATATGCAGTGCTAGATATAGACCTTGGAAAATCAGACAAACTCCAAAAAACTAGCAAGTGCCGGTATTCCGCCAGAGACGCCTTTTGAACACATGGATTTTCTTCTATCCAGCTTTTACCGCTTCCAGCTATCAACTTTCTTTCTGCGCTTGTCGAAGATCTGCCCCATACCCACACCATCACCGCGTTGCCCATCTTCATTGCGGGTTCTCTTCCGGCTCTTTTCCAGTGCCGCGCCACTGCCCTTTTGCTTCCGCGTGAGGCGCTCAATGTGATCGGCACCTGCGTTGAGATCCTTCCATTCATCGCCACCGTAGGTGGTATCTTTCCCACTACCTCGCTTGGCCAATTCCTTCTTGGTCTCCTTGGGCAAACGAACAAAGTTGGTTTCTTCGTAAGTGGTGCGTTCCTGCTCACGCGCCTGGTCCTTTCGGGACTTGGTTGTTCGGCCACCGTCAATGATCGTGCTACCAACACTAGGCTCAGCCATGGGCGCGGATGACATTTCGGCGTTGACGAAGTCGTCAATGACATTGGATCGAACGGGTCGACGGTCCTGGCGTTCGCGACGCTCGGTTGTAGGCAAGGCTGTAGGCATGATCTTCGGGGGACGGTAGATGCCATCACCGGGACCTTCCTCGCCTTTCTTGGAGGGCTGAGCTTGCTTCTTCTCTGCCGGGCCCTTGGAGAATGCAGAGACATTGGGTCGGTAGGCCATTTCGTCAATGTCTTCATCCCCTTCGCTCTCGCTGGAGTCTTCGTCGTCATCGGATGAAGCGTCACTATCCTTGGCGGCTTTGCGGCTCGTCTTAGCCTTCGTCGGTTGAATCTTCTCCGCCCGTTCCGCTTCTTCTGCAGCCTTAATGACCTTGTCCACCTGGTATTTCAACCGTCCTTCCAAGGGCCGAACACCTCGCTCAAGGTACACCCGAAGCTCAATCAACTTTTTGCGAATGTCATCTTCGAGGGAGTTATCCGCAGGTGCGCTCTTTTCTGTCGAGGAGCGTTTCGCGGAGACATTTCGTAGTTGGAAAATTATCAAGAAAACTAGGTTTTGCAAGTAGGATAGTAGGATTTCGCTCTTGGTATCGAGGAGAGAAATGCCATCTTGCGGGGGCTCGATCGTAGCCTCGGAGGCTGAATCCTTCGGGGCCTTAGGTAAGGAGGAAACCGTTGTTGAGAGGCATGTTGTCAGGGTCTCAAGCAACGTTGAAAGACTCTGAGGGCGCGCAGACGCCTGTGCTGAGGCCATTATTTTTAAGTAAATGGGTATGCAGGCGATTGAAGGTTCCGCGAAACAAAAAAATTTGGCTGTTGCCGCGATAACAGTCACGTGCGATAACATGATAGCCAGGCAGCAAGGCATCAACTTGGATTTCTTAGATCGTCATTGCCAGTCTGTCCGCAATTCGACCTTCGCATTTCATCCCTCTGCGCGCATTGTAATTTTTCCACGGATGAGAGTGTGATTATTTTCTTTCTGTGGGAGATTTCAACTGTATGTGTCAATATGTTCTCGCCACGCCATGAGTGCTTTACTCTACTCCTGCTGTTTCCAAACAAACAAGACTGACTAGAAGCCTCTCAATCTTCACAGCGACGCCCACCATGCGCTTCACCGACCGAGCATCTTTCCTCCTATCGGCTTTAATTGCATTGCCTTCTTTTACTACAGCCTTCTATCTCCCAGGTGTCGCACCGACATCTTACGATGAAGGACAAGCTGTTCCGCTCTATGTCAACCACTTGACTCCTAGCTTGTCCCGCGATGACCAACTTCATTCGGTCTTCTCCTATGATTACTACCATCCTGCGTTTGGATTCTGTCAACCGGCTGACGGTCCCAAAGATGTGCGAGAATCATTGGGCAGCATCCTGTTCGGCGATCGAATTCGCACCTCGCCATTCGAGCTGAAGATGGCACAGAATGAGACCTGCAAGTCAATCTGTGCTGAAACCAAATTTGATGCTCGCAGCGCTAAATTCACCAATCGCCGCATATCCCAAGGCTACAATATTAACTGGCTTGTGGATGGTTTGCCAGCTGCACAGCTGAACTATGATGGTGTTACCCAGACCAAGTTCTACAGCCCCGGCTTCGCTCTAGGCGATTTGGATGACAGTGGACAGGCTCTGCTCAACAACCATTATGATATCATGATTGATTATCATAAGGTGGGATTCGGTGGCAAGGACAAATATCGCGTTGTTGGAGTGCTGGTCCAGCCCGAATCTCGCCGGGACTCTAGGAACTCCGAGGAAGCAGGAAAGGCCGAGTGCGGCACCCAGGGTGAAGTCCTTTCCCTCAACGAAGATGGGGAGACTACAGTTACCTGGACGTACAGTGTCTACTGGAAAGAATCCCCTACCGCCTGGGCTACTCGCTGGGACAAATACCTCCATGTTTATGATCCCAAGATCCACTGGTTTTCTCTTATCAATTCAGCCGTCTTTGTGGTGTTCCTAGTGGGCATGGTCAGCATGATTCTCCTCCGGGCCCTCAAGAAGGACATTGCCCGCTACAACCGACTGGACTCGTTCAACCTGGAGGACTTGGATAGCACATCAGCCGCCATTGAAGACGGAGTCCAAGAGGACTCTGGATGGAAGTTGGTCCATGGTGACGTGTTCCGGTGCCCCAAGTCCCCATTGCTATTGAGTATCATGTTGGGCAATGGGGCCCAGCTGTTCATGATGACCGGCGTAACCGTTGGTAAGTCACTTCACGTAGCTTGGTCGCGTTCTTGTTTCCCATTTCAATGAAGACTAACATTTCTGTGCAGCATTTGCCTTGCTCGGTCTCCTCTCTCCCTCGAACCGTGGATTACTGGCTACTGCCATTCTTTTGATTTCTGCTCTCTTTGGTGGAATCGGTGGATATGTTTCGGCACGTGTGTATAAGACCTTCGGAGGCGAAGCCTGGCGTCGCAACATCATCATGACACCTCTCTTCATACCCGGCATCATCTTTGGTGCTTTCTTCATCCTGAACCTCTTCGTTTGGGCCAAAGGATCCAGCGGTGCTGTGCCGTTCGGAACCATGCTGGCTCTGGTTCTGATCTGGTTCGTTATCAGTGTACCACTAAGTGTGGCAGGTAGCTGGCTGGGATTCAAGCAATCGGTAAGTTAAACGCACGCACTCACCCCTGCCTTGTCCTGTCTCTGACATGTAAACAGCCAATCGAGGGTCCAACCAAGACCAACCAGATCCCCCGTCAGGTTCCCCCAATGGCCGGTAGCTTACGTACCATCCCGTCCATTCTGTTGACCGGCATCCTTCCATTCGGCGCCATCTTCGTTGAGCTGTACTTTATCATGACGTCTTTGTGGACCAACAAGATCTACTACATGTTCGGTTTCTTGTTCCTCTGCTACGGCTTGATGATCATCACCTCCGCGGCTACGACTGTGCTGTTGGTATACTTCTTGCTGTGCGCCGAGAATTACCGCTGGCACTGGCGTGCATTTGCCGGTGCCGGTATGACCGGTGGCTATGTGTTCGTCAACGCGTTGATCTTCTGGGCCACACGCGTGAGCTTTGGTGGGTTGACTGGAGCCGTGCTTTATGTGGGTTATTCGGCGTTGATCTCCTTCATTGTGTTTATCCTGACAGGTATGTCCCATCCGTCTCCCTCCGGTCCTTCCGGCTCTCTCTTTTCCCTTCTTCCTTTTCTCGGGGGTTTTATTAACATACTTCCTAGGTTCTATTGGCTTCTTTGCCAGCTGGGCCTTCATCCATCGCATCTATGGTTCCATTAAGGTGGACTAGATATTTCCGTACTATTTTGCCGCCGTTCATGTATCAGAAAGAAAATCTCCTTCGTATAGACTGCAAAATGAACCCACTTGTACATAACCACAGATGATGAAATATGTCCGATGCCAAGACTCCAGATGGTCTGGACTTTGTGTTGCCACCTTTTTCTACTCCGGACCTTAACCTTCTTGGTACTCTTTTGTCAATTGTATCTTGTTTTCCATCTACATTGTACACCAGCTTTCAATCAGTCGCTACATTGTCATTCCTACCAATTCTCAATCTCAAGTGGGACGCCCCCTTGCGTAGACTTTCCGCCACCGCGCGACTCAGCCACACATCCCGTTTCTACCCCGCGTCAAACTTCTTGACCAGTCCATCGCCTCTCTCGGTCTGGATATTTTATGCGCTTGGCATCGTTCTAGAAGGAATTTTGGAGTTCTGTGATCATGGGCAAGTCGTGAGTTCCACCGGTCTACCATGGCCCCCCCGAAACGGCCCCCGCGGGTTGCCGAGGGGCTCTGCTCAAAGTCCCAGACCCTTTGATCCTGCATAGTCATGCATGTGGTATATCGCGTTATCTTCATAGCCTTGCGCTAACTCACTCTTCAGTCAGTCGAAACTATCGCCGACGCAGCTCGATGAGTTGCAACGAGCCACACATTTCGATAAGAAGGAGCTACAGCAATGGTACAAAGGTAGGGTCTCCGCGTACGTCATATGTTCACATCCACGCGATCGCTCACAGTGCACCATCTAGGATTCCTCAAGGATTGCCCATCAGGCACCTTGACTAAGGAAGAGTTCCAGAAAATCTATCGACAATTCTTTCCCTTCGGCGACCCGTCATCCTTCGCAAATTACGTATTCCGTGTGTTCGACTCAGACAACAGTGGCATGATTGATTTCAAAGAATTCATCTGCGCTCTTTCAGTGACCTCACGAGGCAAGATGGAGGATAAGTTGGACTGGGCTTTCCAGTTGTATGATATTGATGGCGATGGGAAGATCACCTACGACGAAATGCTGGCCATTGTCGAGGCGATTTACAAGATGGTATGTTACCGCCGAGACGGAGAATATCTGTACCTAGCTCACATGTACGCAGGTGGGATCTATGGTGAAACTCCCCGAGGACGAAGATACCCCAGAGAAGCGTGTACGGAAGATCTTCCGGATGATGGACAAGGATGAGAACGGGAGCCTCGATATCGAAGAATTCAAAGAAGGCAGCAAACGGGATGAGACGATCGTTAGTGCCTTGTCGCTTTACGACGGATTGGTTTAGATGCTTGGGCAATGCTTAGGCGAAATACGGGCGCAATGTGAGGCATTCTCTTTGGGACGGCTATAGGGGATTGCATTGCATACTCCAAGGTTTTCATTTTTTTTAGTTGCCTTTGTCCCATGTGTATATTTGATACAACAATAACATCTTGGTATATATTGTCCTTGTCATCGAAGTCAACAAGCATAGGAGAGGAAAAAATTAAGATGGTAGCTGTCATTGTCCATTCACTGTCTCATGTATACATCACATCAAATCAGGTCCCGCAGACTACCAGCTCTGCATTCTATCATTGATGTACAGGGGTATCGGGAAGAAGAACCTCCAGCCCCCATGCAGGCGATCTAATGTACTGGAAAGCGGGTTAAAAAAATCAACAAAAAAAGAAACGAGTCTGGTCAGATCGAACAAAAAGAAGAAACTCGTCAGACGTAAAATAAAAGAAAGAGATCGGCCAATTCATCCAAATGCCAATGATAAAAGCACGAACTGCACGACATCCTGGGTGAAAGGTATGTAATTGTCCAGTTTTTGGAAGATGGACGGATTGTCTGGTGTAGCGGACTCAGACGCAGCCCAGTCAGGTGCAACTGAATCAGGCGAGAGAATATCAGTCGCATCAGATTCGGTCACAACAGATTCGGTCGTATCAGATTCAGACGTCACAGACCCGGTCACAATGGAATCATCGGCGGTCAAAGAACCAGCTACTGCGCTTGCCGGTTGTTTCTTGCGACTGTACGCCAGCAACGTTCGCATTCGGCGGCGACGGGCCATCACCGCCCCCTCGTAAGGGCTTCGCGATACGCGACCCCCCAAAACTAAAGCTCGCATTCCCATCCATACTCGGGAGACCGCGCGTTGACCCTTGTTTTGCTGCTTCAAGGCGCTCTTTCACAGCAGTGAGTTGAGCCTCGAATCTATAAAGAGGGTTAGATCATTGGACTGTATGATGTCATTGATATCGGGGAAATGTAAACATACCGGTGGTTGGCTTGGGTTAGCTTTTCTTGACTCTCTTGGAGCAAGGCTTCCAAGCTGGCAATGCGTTCGTTTCGAGCAATGAGCTTACGTTCCGCAATGGCGACCTCCTTCTTCAAGCTGCTGTTCTGTTCCACGAGCTGACGCTGTACATGTGTCAACTGCTCGAGGTTGCGCTCCAAGAAGGCCATCTTCTTCTGCTGGGCTCGGTTGTTAGATGAGCGAAGGACGTTGTTATATTGCTCCCGAGCATCATCCAACGAGATTTCCAACTCAACCACACGTTCACAGCGGTTCTGCAGGTCACGCATGAGAGACTTCTTCATGGCATCGAACTCGGTGATCTGCTGCTGCAGCGTCTTGCTAGCAGCGCCGTTGGTGGACGTGCGCGATTGAGTGTCAACCAGGGACTGTCGCAGTTTGGTCAACTCTTCATCTTTCCGCGAGATGTCGGATCGAAGCTCTTCGGCTGCTGTGAGCTCGGCCTCTTTCTTCGTGGAGTAGACTCTCTCCAAACGTTCCCGAATCTCGTCCACGTCGCCTTCACCCAGGTTGCGGGTGAGGAGAGCCTCGTATTCTTGTTGGAGGTCATTTAACTTCTGCTCCAAGTCAACGCGACGGCTGTCCTGCAGCTCGCCAAAGTCACTACGGTCGTTGACAGTAAGCTCGGCTTGTCGGATGAAGCCTTGCGTCTCGAGGAGATTCGTGCGAAGCTCAAGGATATCGTCGGGCGCGATCACTTCACCCTCGGCGCTAATTTGGTGAAGGGAATCGACACGTTGAATCAGATCTTGCAGCTTGCGCTCGTTGTCTGAGAACACATCCCCGCCAAGGTCGAAACCAGCCATCATCTTGGCCATCTTCTCTGTCTTCTTCTTCTCCTTCTCATCGAGCGCTGCAGTGGTTTCCTTGGCCCTCATACGGACATCCAAAAGCTGCTGCTTCACCTCGTCTAGCTCCCCAGTCAGCTCCCCATTAGCTTCACGGAGTCCATCCATAGTAATAGCAGCCTCCTTGCTCTCGTACGAGACCTTCTCAAGCTGCATGCGGAGCTCGTTGACTTCAGTGCCCAGACGCTCATTATCCTTGCCGGTTCGTGCACCATTCTCCTTCATAGACTTAAGCTCATCGCGCGCCTCGCGGAGGCTCCGTTCCACGGCAACAATGTGGGACTCTTTCTCCGAAAGCTGGTCTTGGAATTCGTTCTCACGGCGCAAAAATTCTTCCCGTTCGTCCTTCTCCAGCACCAGGCTGGGGGTACTGGATCGATCACCAACTCGTGAATCCGGGCGCGGGGTGTCTGAACGTGCAGTTTCCTGTAGACGCGATGGGGTACTTGGTCGTGGGGCGCGAGCCTCAGCCTTCGTGGCGCTGACAATCTCATTTCCTCGCGCGGGAGTCCAGTGTTCCTTTGGCACACTATCACCACTACGCCACATATTGATTTCTCCTTCCAGCGCGGAAATGTAGCTTTCGAAATTCGTCATCTGGCCCTGCGCCTTGCGTAGTAGTTGCTTCATCTCCGCGGAACTGAGCTCTGCATTAACCTTGGCCTTGTTCTTGATGGCCTTGGCGCGTACACCGAAACGTAGGGTCGATATTGTTTCCGCATCGTTGTAGCTGCTGGGCGAACAATTGATGATCAAAGTCGTCCGCGAGTTACCACCCAGTGATTCTTGGAGGATTCGGGTAAGTTTTGAGTCACGGTACGGAACGTGTGTTGATTTGCCATCGGTCAAGGCATTGATGACCATTCCAAGCGCACTCAAACTCTTATTGATCTTCTTCGCCTCTTCCAGGGTCTGACCACTTGCACCAGTCTTTCCAACCTTCTCACTACCAGCCAAATCGACCAAAAACAATTGACCACTCTTGGCAGATCCGGTCTCAACGTTCTTCTGAGTGACGGTGATGACGAAGATGGAGTGCGAGCGCGACGATTCTTGATTCATGTTCGTCGCAGCGACGGCGCGTGCCGCTCCTCCCCGGCGCATCACTTCATAAACCTCCTGCACGCTGGACACGTAAACTTCGAGCAGACCCTTGACGTACACCCCGCGTGCTTTCTCTTCGTGGACGGGAAGGTTATCATTTTGGGGTACCAGCAGATCGCGAATACGCTCCATGTAGATCTCCATATAGCTGACCCGAACCGTGTACTCAATGTTGCTCGGGCTTGTCAAGATACTGGCGAAGATTTGCTCGATCATTCGAGGGATGATACCCTTCCCGATGTCGTCGTCAATGTCGGATCCCATCATTGTATACGATTTTCCGGCACCAGTCTGACCGTAGGCGAAAACAGTTCCGTTGTATCCATTCAGAATATCGTCCACCGTGGGCCGGATCGAGAAGTCGAAGATGTCGTTTTGCGCAGTGTCCATGGGGAAAACGCGGTCAAAAGTGAAGGCGCCATTTCCCTCTTGGGACTGAATGGATCATTAGTGACAGCTCTTCGATGGCTTCTGCCCGCGGTCCCTACTCACCTGGATGCGACATGACTCCTCATTCTCGAATTCGACGATCGGCTTACCACCAGAGGACAATTCGACTTTGTTCTGCGGGCGGAATCTGGCGACAACTTTTCGTCTTGAGTCAGTTCGTATTCCTCCGAGTATTTGGGAAACAGTTCTTGTGCATACCCTTGATGGTGTTCGACCCCGCGGACCTGTGGAACCACGTCAGTGAGGCGCCGCAGCATGGTCGAGCGGTATACTTACGCCATGGTTGTAGAGAGCAACTTGGCTATGACAAGCTCAAGCTAATAGAGAGACCCCGTGAAGGGGTTGTGCGGGGGAAATTCAGATGTGGTTCAAGGAGCCTGTTGCGGTGTAGTCGGAGGGGGGTCGTCAGGGGCTCCACGTGCACCGTGGAGCAAAGCCAAGGAATGAGGGAATAATACAATCAGACCGCAAAGAACGAACGGTCCGGAGTGAAAACAATTCAACTGTGCAGTATGAACGCGAGAAGGGTGGAATTGTTGACTTGTCGCCCGTTTGGGATTTCTTGGCCGACCGCCCCGGACTCGGGCAAACATTGCAGATAAGCTTAATATCTAGCCCTACACTACATTGTATACCTCCACATGGACATTCTTTGTAAAGTCACTGCGATCTACACTATCCGCGCACGCTGGATATAGCCAGAGTATGCAATAAGGGATCGAATGATCGAGGGTACAAAAAAAAGCAGGCTAATGCATTAATGCAGCTGTAGAACTGAGCTTGTACAACGTACCGAGGAAGACACACCGGGCAATGACCGGAGCGTAGCCAGAAAGACAGAAACAACGAAACTAAACATGTGAAGAAAACAAACATGAGAATCCATAAAGGGTAAATCAATGACCAAGGCGCCGAACACCCTTCGCTGTGCAGATCAAACGGTCAAGTTGCTGTGCTCTTTTTCAAGATCTCCAGCCCACTGGACTCGTTTCAATAGTTTTCTTGTCTTAATCCTCCCAGCTCTTCTCGACGGTCTCGCGAACACGCTTGGTGTACTCTTTACGGTTGTCTTTGTAAAGGTTTGAGGCCTCGACGTTGGCCGGGGACGAAGTGTTGGGGTCGTTCAGCAGACTAGAGTTAAACACAAAGAAGTCAGGACGTGTGAGACTATAGCAAGCAAATTGACTAATCTCACCTTTGGATACTGGTAAGAATAGCTGCGACGTCATATGTGGGACTCCAACGGTTCTGCAGGATGTCGAGACACAGCTCACCAGTTCCGTAAACATTAGGATGGAACATTTGGCTGATAAACTTCACCCCGGGAGGCTTGTTTGGATATTGTTCTTCGAAGTTCATCACGAGGCGGAAGGTGCCATCTTCGAAAGGTGTATCGGCGGGGCCAATGATGACGGCATTCCTAGAGATGATGAGAACCATTGTTCAGATGACTCAATGTAAAGATACCACCTACCATGTCATAACATTATCAGCTACTGGGGAGGCTGAGACACCGGCTGGAGGGTCGGTTTGCATACGCTGTGAGCAAAGAATGTTAGCGGAGGCGAATCTCAGACAGAAGAACCTTGGATGTCACAATAAAGTAAATGAGACAAAAGGGGGCGGAGATCATGACTGATCGGGATACGTGCTAGCGAGGAAAGCTGCCAGTAATAGATGGAATGCCGGATGATGAAAATGTCATTGACTGCGTACCTTGAAGTCCCGCATGAGACGGCGGCGGGCGGATGTAGACATGACTCGGGGAAGGTGAGGTTGTGACCGTTTAGGAACTGAATGGGGAGCTGTAGATTTGAAGCTGGATATCTGGGCCAGCCACAGTGGTCGAGATAGACGAGGTTGAAGTGATGCAGAAAGAGGATAGGAAGTCTACCCGATACCTATCAGCGGCGCTATGGAGGGGAAGATCAAACCGGAGGAACAGTCTATATGGGGAAACCAGCCTAAAGACGTTAGACTGACAAACGATAATTCATGACTCAGCGTCTATGTCATACTTCTACTTAGGGTAGGGATCGACAGCCTCGGCCCAGGCGGAGCGGCGGTTACAGGCGGTTGCGCGGGCGGATACATTCCGATATACACATGCAACTCCTCTCATTACCCTTTGATCTCTCCTGTTTCTTTTTTTTCACGTTCTCTGGAGAACAGCTTTTGAACATCATCTCACATATCAAACCCAGCAATGATTGCTCCAAGCCTCCCTGCTCGCATTCCTAAGCGGGCCTTCCCCGCATTTCGCGCCCAACGGCAGTTCAGCTCCGCACGACCGATGTGCAAGGAGGTCCAGGAGGCTTACATTTTGAGTGCATCTCGAACACCAACAGCGAAGGTTAGTCAGCTCTAACTAGTAACTGAGATTCCTCGCTATAACTGATATTGCCAGTTCAATGGTTCCTTTGCTTCTGTAACAGCACCCGAGCTCGGCGCTGTTGCTATCAGATCCGCACTCGAGAAGTCGAACGTGCCCACCGATAAGATCACCGACGTATATATGGGAAATGTCTTACAAGGCTCAGTAGGGCAGGCCCCTGCTCGTCAGGCATCCATCTTTGCTGGTCTCCCAGCCACTGTTGAAGCTCTTACCGTTAACAAGGTCTGTGCTTCTGGCTTGAAGGCAGTAGCCCTTGCCGCACAAAATATCCAGTTGGGTCTGGCAGAGGCACAGGTAGCCGGTGGTATGGAGAACATGACCCGCGTTCCTTACTACATGGGACGCGCCAGCCAATTGCCCCCCTTCGGCGAGATCAAGTTGGAGGATGGTCTGATCAAGGATGGCTTGTGGGATGTATACAACAAGTTCCACATGGGTATCTGTGCGGAGCAGACTGCAAAGAACTATGACATCTCGAGGGAGGATCAGGATCTATATGCAATCCAGTCATACGAGCGGGCCCAGCAGGCATGGAAGGAGAACAAGTTCGCTGATGAAGTTGCCCCAGTAACTGTGAAAAACAAGAAAGGGGACATCATCATTGAGCGAGATGAGGGCTTTGAAAATCTACGTGCCGATAAGCTGAAATCTCTGAAACCGGCCTTTTTGCGAGACGGGACAGGTACCGTCACTGCCGGCAACGCTTCCACAATGAATGATGGTGCATCGGCTCTCATTTTGGGTAGCAAAGAGCTTGCTCGCCAATACGGTTCCGGGAACCGTGCTCTGGCTCGTATTGTTTCCTCGGCTGATGCTGCCATTGACCCTGTGGACTTCCCAGTCGCCCCCGCTAAGGCAGTCCCAATCGCGTTGGAGCGAGCCGGTATCACAAAGGACCAAGTGGCAGTCTGGGAGTTCAACGAGGCCTTTGCGGCAGTCATCAAAGCCAATGAGAAGGTCAGTGCTATACCTGTTCGATTTTTCCTATTCGCGTCTAACAAGTCCCTTAGATTCTCGGGTTGGAGAACGCCAAGGTCAACATGCTTGGAGGTGCTATCTCTCTTGGCCATGCCTTGGGTAGCTCAGGCTCACGCATTCTCGTCACCTTGCTTCACCAGCTTCAGCCTGGTGAGTACGGAGTTGCTGCCATCTGCAATGGCGGCGGTGCGGCAACTGCAATGGTCGTGCAGAAGCTTGACCGGGTAGACTAGTTCCCGCAAAACCTTGCAGTAAATACCGATACCCTTCAATAAAACACATAGTCAGAAACAAATCCCTCGGTTTGGATTAATTACTGGGCTTTCGCCGTAAAAAAAAAAGGCCTCTGAATAAGTGGTTTATTCCCACGGTAGACTGCAACCATCAACTTCCGAGGTGCTTCTACTACCCAACGCCGAGCCCGACTCCAAGCATATTCCGCTATTTCTTCCTTGTGCCTCCAGGGCTCTGTCGTGTTTTTTCTTCTTCTTTGCGCTTTAGCTCAAATTGGCAATCTGCGAACTGCATCCATTCTTCTGATCATACATATCCCGCGAAGCTTATTTGATATCGACACCTGATTTATCAGGCGTCGAACTAGCGCGAAGAATGCCTCAACATACGTCTGATGTCGTTTCTTCTCGTCAAGACCTACGCGACTATCAAGCATTCGTCCCCACAAAACAATGCCGTAAACGCCAAGCTAGCAATAAGACCATGCTGAGACCGGTTGCTCTATCAGTATTCCCGTCCTGTCGAGAGGCCATATCTTGGTCGGCAGACGGCGAGATCGCTATTGCGGCTGGTGACCACTTTCAAATTCTGGTGAGTATGTTCTTCACCTGGCCTTTCCAGAGTTCGCTGACAGCTTCATAGACACCAACAAGTATTAAAGATGCAAAAGCTTCCAGTTCGGAGCCAGAGTGGACCGTGACTCGTGTGCGAGCTAATCTATTCACGAATGCCGAATGGCCCGCTTTCCTCCCTGGAGATCGGGATCAATTTTCAATCGCGGCAGAGCAGTCAATAGCCAGTATCATTGCTTTGGCTTGGTCACCAGCAGGGCTAGGCAAATATCGGCGTTGTGTGCTGTTGGTGCTGACATCCAATCTTGTGCTATCCATCTGGGAACCTCTTGGTCTGCAACAAAAGTGGACGCGAGTCGGAATTGTCAACCACGCATTTTGGCCACAACCTGAACATTCCCAGGACCCCACGGACCATGGATTCCGGAAGACTGACATCCGATCTTTTACCTGGTGTGATCCCCCGAAGGCTTCGATATCAACGTCTGAAGGATCTTCCACTCTACCTGCACTCGAAACCCGATGGGGGGCCTCTCTACTGGCTGTTGTCAATGACTTAAATGAGATCAGCTTGATACAATTTTGCAGAACAACTCCAGCCGATGCCTCTTCAAGACATTATGAGCTTCAAATCTTGGCGACCCACATCCTCGAGAACCCGGAACGTGAAAACAATCTAGTTTGCCCAGGGTCTCTCTTCGAGAAAGCTATGAGGGAAAGAGAGCGGACTACCTCTCTATCTTGTGGTCCGTGGATGAGCCCGAGTAACGAGCCTCTTGGAAACTCTGACCGCCACGTTGCCATGATAGCTGCAGCATGCGGAACACAACTGCGACTTCTCAAAGTTGAAGCCATTTTTGAATCATCGAACCAAAACAACATACAGCAGTGCACATTGTCAGCAAGCATGGAAGAGCATCCCATAGAGCAGTCAAATGAGGGCTGGGCTCAGAATAACGTCACTGGGCCCCTTCGATGGCTTCACACGGTACGCTCAAACTCTCTCATATTGATATTGGTATATTGTTCCCGGGCTGATGAACTTGTTATAGAAGTCGTCCACAACCATGACTCTAGCTGTAGGCATTATGGCCGGCCTCATCACCATCACAATGTCTCGCACTATGTATAGCGCCAGCAGTTTCAATCTCGGTGACTTGAAAGTGCGGGAATGGCCGATCTACGAGCCAGAAGACGATGACGACCCTGATCTCAAGGAAAGACATCTGGAGCCAATCTATGGTATGTGTTGTGTTTTAACCGAATGCCCTCCAGGTATTGACCATTCTCGTTTAGGGATGCTTCCAGCAAGGAACGAACGAGGCGACGCTTGCAAACTTCACTTGGGTACACTTGGCGGGGTTGGACTCGCCACTGAATTGAACCAAATTCAAACTGGCGGTGAACTGCAGCAACCGCAGTGGAAACGCATGCTCGATGAATTTCAGGAACAGTATGACTTAGACCATGATATTGGGGGAATGTTAACATCGAGAATTTGGGGACTGGCCACCTACCGAGGAATCACAGCAGCCATTTTCACCAACCACCCAACGGACATGGTGGAGTATCGAGTTTCTTCTGATGATGTCTCTACGCTTGTCTTTTCCGAGGAATTTGGGCGCATTCCAAATACCCGAGCCGTGTTCACTCCACGAGCGCCTGATGGTCAAATCCCTGGCCACGATCGTGTCGGGGGAGGTGATATCGTTTGTGCTACCCGGTGCTGACGGTGAGGTCGACCCAGACGAAGAAACCCAACGACTAATCTATGTTGTTGCTTGTCGTGCCATTGTGGGCGAAAGCGACAAGACGCTTCGGGCCTACGCTCAACGCTCTCTGGAGCGTTTGGCAATAGTGACAGGCGCGGACCTGACCGAAGAAATTGGTAAATGTCATGGGCCCCCTTCTTTGATAGCTGCAAAATCCGCAGATCATCTTTCCGGGCCCGGGGGTCACGTTTACGAGAAGTGCGAAGTTTGCGATGCAGGGATTGGGTGGTGCTCGGCCCAGCAGGCGCGGTGTTCCGAAGGCCACATCTGGCGTAAGTCCAATATTTGTCTGCAGCTCCTTTAGTCAAGTTCAATCATTAACCTTGGGTATATGTACACAGGACGATGCGGGGTGTCTTTCCTTGCCATCCAAGAGCCTGGGATATCCAAGTATTGCTCATTCTGTGGGACGGAAGCGCTCGACGAGGAACGTGTGGCTTCCACGCCCGGTCACGACCTGGGAAAGACAACCATAGGTCTCTTTCAAACATTTGATACCTGTCTGTACTGCGCAGGGAAATTCCAGGCAACCTATTAGCCGCGCTATATAGAACACCCAACGGGAAAGCAGCAAATATGATGACGACAACCTTCTTGTCTATGTCTTCAAGGGGCCATCTGCGTCAACTCAAAAAGGGTACCCGCGATAGGATTCCATTCATCATCCCACCGGCGAGAGCTCTCTTTCTGGGCACCTATCCGCAGACTTTCCAATCTGCCATTGTTCCCGAACAGCTCCGTCAAGTGCTCTGCCAATTGATCTGGGCTTCCGAAACCTAATCCATTAACGCCCTCTGTTACCAGCTCGGGCCATGCTTCGAAACGATCCCACCCAACAACTGGGAGACCTGCCCCAAACATGTCCACAACTTTCATGGGGAGATCTACGCCACTGCTGCTAGTATGCAGACTGACCCCTAATGACGAAGAAGCCAAAAGTTGAGCATAGTCCTGCACACTCAACCAAGCAGTCCGAATAGTAACCTTATGAAGCTTGCCTGACTTTTCAAGGCCAGAAATTTGTTCCAAGTACATTCCCTTTTGTGGGCCCTTTCCTGTGATAATGGCCAAAACTTCAGGGAGATGAGTGTGTGTTGTGGTTGCCAACTCGGAATAGCGAACAAGAGCATCGATGAGCACCGAGAAGTCCTCGTCTGCGGTCCACGAGGTTGAGCTCACAAGAACCCGAAGATCTCCCTTGAGCAATGACTGGCGCACTGTGCTGGTTTCCGGGAGCGTTTCAAGAAATGCTGTACGAGTGGCGGGGTCAAGAATCGGGCTAAAGTGACTGGCGGGACGATCATGGAGTGGTAGAATGGGACTCTGAAGGTCGAAATCTCGTTTGAGCACAGACTTCATAGCATCTGTGACGCAAAAATGCGCTGAGGCAGACCTGCAGAATACTTGTTCATACCATGTTGATAGCCTCACTAATGGATGATGTTGGCCAAGTTTCAAAGCAAGAATGGAATACCCAAAGTTATGCCAATCTATTACTAGCTTTGATTGTCTGAGGAAACAGACGAGCGAGGCAATTGCGAGCGTTGGGATGGAGGGTGGGTTCTGTCGCAGTAAAGGTGAGCACCAGGCATGTATACGATCTCGTCCTTGACCATACCTGGACTAAAAGCCACTTGGAAGGCTTTGTGCTATATGCGAGGCATTTCCACAGACAAGCCACTTGAAAAATAACCTTCAAGGGTCCGTAGATTGTAAATAGCATCTTGTTGCTAGTCTGTAGAAGAGCGGGGTGTGGGCGGAGCGGAACGATGGATATTCTGGGATGAGACATGATTTCAGGGTGAGGATCAGACTCTGTAGGTATTGCAATTCTGGTCAGTTTGCCTTTTGCATACAGTAAGGGTGTTCTGTGCGTACCCTTGTATCCAATGATAACCACATCCCCGCCCTGCCTCGCAATGCTCAACGCATGATATTGCATGCGAGGACTTCGGCCAATGTCCCCCAGAACCAGTATTTGCACACTTGTCTTAGGTGTTTTATCGTCTTGAGACCCCGCTGCGGGGTTCGCTTGCTTTGGTTCATATTGCGACGGAAGCAATAAGATCAAGACAGTGATGGCGGTTGACAAGCAGAACGCTACGCTGATGAGTGACTCGATCATGTTGGCAAATTGATCACAGATCTTTCTCAAGTCTCATGAGCCAGCTTCTGGACATCTTCAATTTCCAGTCTCGGGCGAGGTCAAGGGATTAGGAGGTTCAAAACAAAAGCGAAACGAAACCTTGGAATGGAGATGTCATCGATAAGCCCACACGTGATTCCCCTATCGATACGAGCACCTTGGAGACAGCGACCTTCTCCAAGCCAATCCCCTGGGCCCTGGCGCTTGTTTATTCCAATTATATTGCTTTATCTTCTTTGCTGTGCAATGCTGTACCTGCAGCTAAGTTGCTAAAACTGAGCTTCTGCGCTCCACTCTCCATATCTTGGCAGCCATCTCCTATCCAGTTTGCGGCTTCTTGCGCATTGTGAGCGTCTAACCATGTCGACGGGGGCACCGTCACCTAGCGTGGAGTCAATCCCTCCTTCTAAACACAACCATGGCCACGGTCACAGTCACGGTCGCGGCCATTCTCGAGCCAACCGATGGTCACAACCTCCACCCCTCCCCCGTCCAACCGAAGCCCACCTTCACGAGCTTCCCGAGCCGATCAACGCCTTAAACGCGAGTTATTCTTACGGACATACACATCAAGATTCTGGTTACAGTCATCAAACTCATGCGCACGCCCATTCGCATTCCAGTACGCTCCCCAACTACGACCACAGTCATAGCGTGTCATCTATTCATCATGATCATCACGATGGTCATGACCACCACAACCATCATGCGCATGACCACGGTGCAAAATGTTCCAATGAGTCTTATGGAATTGCATCCGCGGGCATACATCAAGAGGCTGCTCGCCCCTCCGAGAAAACGTATGTGATCCAAGATCCGCTTGAAGAACTTGGACTAATCAATCTTATAGTCAGGAACTGTTGACCGGTGCACTTATCGTGTTACCATGGGTTGCATTATCGTGGTATCAAAGACAATATACCCAAGGAAAGAACACAGCGAGCGAAAAGATCCCCGAGGCCACATCTAGCATACACATTACGCATGTCAACCAGAAGGCTTGTCTGTTGACTGCTATAACCCTACTCATCTTCGGTGGCGGCCAAATACTACGGTCTCGTTCATCAAGCCACTCTTCTATCAACTTCCCAGCCACCAATGCAAAGAGTGCACAAGCCTTGGTTTCTCAGATCCTTTCGGTTGGGATGCCCATTTTCGCAGCATTGAAGATCGGGGGCTTTCTAGTTGCGTTTGCGCTGCTTCTAGCAGCAGCATCGGGGGTTCCAACAGCACTCGAAAGAGACCCACGTAACAAGGAACAATATAGTCGGAAGATGTTATCAGTTGCACTCCTTGCCGTTGCCGTCATATCGAGTGTTCTCGTTCTGAACAATCCGTGGGACTCATCTCCAGTTATGGGGTATATCGCCTTGTTGGGATCAATCTTTGTCATTCCTCCCCCATTCCCCTCTCTGCGTTCTACAGGGCCCATTCCTGAGCCGGGGCTTGTTGTCCCCCAAGCCAAGTCCACGGGCCATGATCACTCGGCTGTCGTCATCACAACTGATGCACCATTGGCTGTCATTTCCGGTGCTTCCCTTGCACTATCGACTATTGTACTCAATCAAGGTTTTGCCTTTGATGTCTCGGATTTGGTTTACATCGGTATCCCTACGGGTCTATTTGCTGTCTCCCTTATGACCTCGCAACCTGCGAGTCTCCGCTCGCCAGCCAAGTCTGGACTTGCAGTCTTTGCCGGGATTGCAGCTTTGCTATGTGCACCACATTCTCAAGATGACTTGCTCGTGGTTTATTCTACGCGTATCATGTTCGCGATGGCCGCTTTCTTTGCTTCGCGAAGAGATGACAGTCATTTGCACGTAGATGCGCATACCCACAACCATTCTCACAGCCACAGCCATTCGCACGCCACCTCAGAATCCACCGGAATATCCAAATGGCTGCTTCAAAAGAGCGAATCATACCCACTGCTACACAGCATTCTGAAGGAGAAGGACTCACGTAGTATCTTCTACTTCATGTGCCTGAACTTCACTTTCATGCTTGTTCAGCTATCATATGGATTCCTGACTGGATCATTAGGACTTCTCAGTGACAGTATTCACATGTTCTTCGATTGCCTGGCGTTGGTTGTTGGTTTATGTGCTGCGGTCATGAGTAAGTGGCCGCCAAATGTTCGGTTCCCCTATGGTTATGGGAAAGTAGACACCCTGTCAGGGTTTGCCAATGGCATTTTCCTCATGATCATTAGCGTGGAAATTATCTATGAAGCGGTGGAACGTCTTTCCTCAGGCAGCGAGATGCATCGCATTGGTGAGCTGTTAGCGGTCAGTGTTGCGGGCCTCGCCGTCAACCTGGTCGGAATCTTCAGCTTCGAGCATGGTCATGCGCACCACGGTCATGATCACGGCCACGACCATGGAAATGAGAATATGCACGGCATTTTCTTGCACATTCTGGCCGATACCCTTGGATCAGTGGCTGTTGTGATCTCGACCATCCTTGTGCACTACTCTGGGTGGTCAGGCTACGACCCATTGGCCTCATGCTTTATTGCCATACTCATCTTCGTATCGGCGGTTCCTCTGGTGTGCAGCACAGCCAAAACCCTGCTCCTTACCCTGCCAGCCGATACTGAATACAACGTTCGAGAAACCCTTTCGGGAGTCAGTACCTTACGAGGCGTGGTCAGCTATACGGTGCCCAAATTCTGGCTTGATGACACTGGCGCAGCGTCGTCTGGACATGGCCATTCTCATGACCATGCTCATGACCATGCCAGCCATGGAGGTTGTGGGGGCGGCCATGAACATAGCCATAGCCACAGCCACAGCCACAGCCACAGCCATCATGACCATGACCATGACCATCAACACGGTCATGCCCACGATCACGATCACGATCACGACCATGGCCATGAGAAGAAGCCTCAAAATGTGTTTGGAGTGATTCACGTCATTGCTTCACGAGGCGCAGATCTGGAAGATGTACGTCAACGAACTGTGGACTTCCTCCGAGAAAAGAACGTGGACATCCTGGTTCAGGTCGAGCGGGACGGCGATGCGCGCTGCTGGTGTGGTGTCGGAAGCAAAGGCTTCTGATATGGCATGATTGGTATTTCACCTGCAATCACCTTGCCAGGTGCACTACATGTAACAGACAGATGTCTATATCTCTTGTACAGACAAGATTGGGCCAACCTGACAGAAACCCATCTGCCGCACATAGTCAAGCCTTCGGTTTTACACAGGCCATATATTTCAATCTTCATGATCTCTTCACGTCGCATGTAAACCTTGGAACCCATTGTACATCCACGGGTCTCCGATCTTATAGAGCTTTGAATGCCTTTCCACCAACCTTGGAAGCTATCTACTATGACTTCCAAGGTTGCACCGAGCCCCTGCATCACTTCCAGGGTTTGTCGAGCAATACCCTCCAGGTTATATCCGCATGCTACCTACACACTATTCGGGTGACACAAACTTGGAATCATATGGGGCCTCGGCAAAGCCTCTGGTGGGAATTCAGGACTACGAAATGCGTGATATGAATATGCGCGCGGGCAAAGCAGCTCCACGCATTCTCCCACCGATCGAAGCATTGTGTTGCCCCTCCCGAGGTTCAAGCAACAACTTAAGGAAAGATTCCTGTATTGGTACAATTGAAAGAGTTACATTAGAAAATGCTGTCCTACCACTTCCAAGGTAGATTTCCGGGCATTCACTGCGTGTTGGTATCATTTATACCTATATCTTCCGACACCTGGGCACCTACTGTTCACGATGATCATTCTGATTCAATATTTGTCTGGTCACTTCTGCTTCCAAGGTTCTGTCTCAACTTTCCAAATGTCTTCAGCTTCAGCCTCAAACATGGCATTCGTCGAGGAAGTTGTGCGAGGAGGATATAGCAAGATATACGAAGGGCATACAGTCTTCCTCACTGGAGGCACCGGATGTCTGGGAGGCTGCCTCCTCTACAAGCTCGCGTTGCAGCTCCCTACGCGCAAGATATATGTCCTAGTCCGCGGCAGCGCTCAGAGAGCCCTCGAAAAATTGCAACAGACCATGCCGAATCACGCGCAAGCCATTGTCTCTTCTGGGAAAGTTGACTTCGTCGTTGGAGATATCAGACAGGCCAACTTTGGAATTGACTCTTTCATCCTTCAACAACTCCAAGAGCATGTGACGCTGGCCATCCACACGGCGGCCAAGATCAAGCTCGAAGGCCCCGTCCGCGATGCAGTCGAGATTAATTGCCTTCCTGCGTTGGAGATGGCCCGGATTGCCTCGCAATTCCGCCGACTCAAGCTACTCGTTCAGATTTCGACTTCGTACACCAACAGTCATCTTCCCGATGGCCCTGTGTTAGAGCGCATATATCAATTGGAAAGCGAAGAAAGCCCAGAAGGGGAGCTGGCGTCTATGCTGACACTAGACGAGTCGCCGCACCGAGCCAAGTTCTCATCCAGCTATACCCAAGCAAAGCATTTGATGGAACGTCTGCTACTTTCTCGCTTCCCGCTTCTTCCGATTTTACTGTTACGCCCAACAATATTCGGCCCTGCATTCCGACATCCCTATCCACTATATGGATCAGAAGACTCCACGCCGCTCACCAAATTCACTCAAGTCTGGTTCTCTGACCGAGGGGCCACGCAGGTCTGGCATGCAACCGAGGGCCATACAACCGGTAACAACATCATTGACGAGATTCCGGTAGACTTTGTAGCAAATGCGTGTTTACTACACGCAGCGGCCCGCACAACAGGAATCGTCCAGGTAGGGTCCCAGCTCTACCACCCAATCACATTCGACGAAGTCTTCCGGTTGGGCTTGGAGAATGCCGCACCGGAAGTGCAACGAGATTTCCCAAAGATTGTCTTCACGACGGACCGCAGCACCCCTCAGTGCTTCCTTGCCGAGTTGATTCAAGTAGGAACGCGAAATTGGTTGTTTGATTGTGGACGGTCTTACTGGCTCAAACAGGTGGGTGGACCGTTGAGCATACAGGTTTGCAAGCATGAGGCGGATAGTTGGAATTTAGTGCGGACCCATGGCGTCCTTGGAACTGTAAAGGAGAGAGCTCGAATTTGAAAGAGGCGCCTAGTATACATGTGAACTTCAGATTGAACGGCGGCTTTCCCAATGCATAGTGTTTACATGGTTTTCTCAATGCCAGAACTTTTTGATGAAATACAAGATTCGGAGGCTGCTTTAAACTTCCGATGGCCCGAGTGCAATGGTGTCTCTTTTGGGTTAAGGACGTCACTCTGCTTTTTGCAGCTACCGAGAGAAATTGGAACGGTAGCTTGCGCCATCGGCATGGGGCTATGGCATCGTCATGGCCGTATATGGCCGAAGATGGGTTTCGATACCGGTTTTTTTACATCGCCTAATGCCTGACCGGTTTTCTCCACAGAAGGGTTTTGGCGGATGCGGTTATATCCAGACCAGCTCTCGAGAGCAGGTCGAGAGACTATTATCTGAGGCTTTCAAAGTTGACTATTTGAAAGACAGAAATGGATCTTCGCCCTCCAGACATTGATTGGTTTGACGGAAGGCCGGCTTCTCAAGCCTAGAGAGCTAACCCACGCTAAGATTCCTCAGAGGGCCATCTTATTCTGAGGCCAAGCCACCGCCTTTGCCCACTGAGCATCAGCAGGATGCAGAGTCTTGAGCAGTTCAGAGACCAAAGCTCGTCCTGAATCACGGGCCCACCAGTGCTGACCATCTAGCTCGCCAAGCAGTACTCCCCAATGCATGAGGATCAGCAATGCTAGAGGCTGTCGACGTCGGAGATTGTCCACGAATTCTTTATCAACCATAGCTAGCCAGGCCAGAACGTTTGCTGCGTCTACTTCGTTGGCAACTCGGGTGGAAAAGTGGCGCAGATAGGCGATGGCATCTTTGTTGATCTGGTGCTGATCTGGATCGATGCTGGCGAGACTTTCATCATTTAGAGCCCCCAATCGTTCAAGAGCAATCTGGGTTTCGCTGTCCAAGCCAACTGATTCTGGATCCCAATAATTTCTTCGGCGAGCAAAAAGCTCTAGTTTAATCCAGGATTCACCGATTCTGTGTATTTTCTTCACGCCCTGTAGAAGCTCGAATACCACGACAATATTCTCAGTAATGCTTGAACTCTCCCCACGCGCGGAGCTCACCCTCGGAAGGGCTATGCCTATCACAGTGGTGATGATAGACTGCGCCAAGACAGCTTCGCAGTTCATTGGGTTGATGTGATCAACTGCAAACCGGTATGGTGCAAACGTCAGACTGTGGTACTGCAGGGCCGTGTCAGTGTACGCCAAGGAAGCGGGTGGTTCCAAGGTGGCAGCAATGTGGAGAGCTCCCAAGGCCAGAATTCCATTCATGAGAAAATCATATTGCAGAGCCAGGCGAGGAATGGCAATTTGCCAAACATAGTGTCCAGAGTTGGAGGTGCATAAGCTCTTGTATGTCTCTGTAGAGTATTTGTGCATCAACTCCAATTCTCGCACCCCCGAAACATTCGGGGGAGTAGAGGCTGCAGGGCTAGGGATCCCCAGCGGTTGCGGGGGACTTGGAAGAACCGTCGCCAGCGGGGCCGGGGTCTGGTCACCCCGGGTCTCCGGCCGAGACGATGCTCTGAGATAAGAGCATGTCAGTTCCCGTGAGATACAATTGGAGCACGGTGGCCCCTTTTCGTCACACTGTGTTTCGTTAGTCGGTGTAGTGGAGCCTAGCCATGTGCTCGAAACCAACCTTGACGCGACGTCTTTTGCACTGATCACAACCCTGGCGAGACTTAGTATGGGCCCTGCGAGGAGGCATCTCGGATACCTCGGGGCATATAATCCATGTAACCAGTCAGCTCGAGACCTTACACAACGAGAAAGGTGTCCAAGCGCGGGAAAGTGAGGTGATGCTGGGGCGGAGCCACGTGACAGCCTATAAAAAGATTGCAACACAACTGCTCTTCTGTACTTCTTCTTGCTTCTTGCCTGCCTTCTTTCTTCCCTGAGAGGTCTTAATTCTTTATCCTCTTATTGTTGTGATTCTAATTTGTGGCCTTCTCTTCTCATGGGTCAGTTTCTTTTTGAATCAACCGGTTTAGCTCGGCTCTCCTGCACAGCCGTTGCACAGCCGTTATTGGCGTCCCTGCATATTCAATGTACAAGTACGCGCCTTTCTCTGTAATCAGGGAACCACCAGTTCCCTACAGTGCCGTATTGGAAAGGAGGGCTATTTACCGAAATAGGAAATAGAAGGATCTCGGATCGAGCAGCTTTTAATTCCCCGAGAGGATCCAAGCGACTTTGATAGTGGGGGTACGAGAACGAGAACGATGGCGACAACGACAACGACCGCGAGGGCCAATAGCAATGCAATGCGAGATAATTTCATCCTGTTTAAAGACCCACCCTTTGACTGCTGTCGCTGCGGTTCCTTGGCCCCGACCGTTCAAATAGTCGACCTTCCCGATAGCGAGGTTGAAGAAAGAAAAAAACAATCAGTATGATTTGATAGCTTCTATCTCTCTTCCACACTCACACACGAAGCTGTTGCTTCTAGATTACTGTAGCTGGGCTCTTCTTCTCTCCCTCAAGTCATCAGGCCTTTCCCTGTTGTCTCTCTGAGTTGCCCTGCTTACGGAGGATCATTCCCCTATCAATCCGCTTCACACCATGGCGTCTTACGCGACTTGTCATGAAGTTGGCCCGTTGTGCCCCGTTGAAGCTACGACATATGGCTATTACCCCAATTTCGGAGGCAATGTGTTCTTCACTGTCTTCTTTGGTATTCTCGGTATAGCCCAAACCGGTCTTGGGGTTTATTATCGGACATGGACATTTTTGACCGCGCTCCTGATCGGCACCTTCATGGAAATGGCGGGATACATCGGACGAGTCCTCATGCACGATAACCCTTGGTCGGGACCTGCCTTCAAGCTCCAGATTGTGTGTCTAGTGTTGGCGCCTACTTTCGTCGCCGCCGGCGTCTACCTGACTTTGAAGCATATCATTCTAAGCCTTGGGCCTCAACATTCTGCCCTCAAGCCACGTCTCTTCACTTGGATCTTTATTGGCTGTGATATTGGATCACTTCTCCTGCAGGCTGCTGGAGGTGGTGTGGCTGCAGCTGCCGGAAACACCGACCTGGATATGCTCAAGGCTGGAGACAACATCATCATTGCTGGTATCGCCTTCCAGGTTGCCACTATGGCTGTTTGTGGAATCTTCGCTGTCATCTTCTTTGTGAGAGTGTTTAAGCGCGGCGATGGATTCGCAGGCGAGAAGAGCCTCGATACAGGCCTTTCGACTATCGTTCCCAAGTGGATGCCCTTTGTCGTGGGCGCCGAGGTTTTTGCTTATTTCACCGTGTTGATTCGGTGTATTTACCGGTAAGGCACGCCCAAGGAAAGGACATGGGAAGAAAATCGCTAACTAGTTCTCACAGTCTTCCCGAGATGGCTGGTGGCTGGGGAAACCCTTTGATGCAAAAGGAAAATGAATTCCTCGTTCTTGATGGAATGTAAGTTTTCATGGTGTACACTCACAAGTAGCTTCGCTGACACTTCTAGGATGATTGCCTTGGCTTGCTTAGCCATGACCCTCTTCCACCCAGGCATCTTCCTCCCATCTCTACGATTTCCATCCAAGGCCCGCGCCTAAAGCAATCCCCATCTCTTAGCATGTCGCCTGGCCTTGGTCGATCTTTTGATGTTCCATGAGTATATCTGATGCCGGCAATCGATCTACAATGGATACTAGGTGGCGCATATTTGTATATAATCAACCGTCCAATCTCTGTTAATAGAACCAACTGCATATAGACCGTCATTCGAAAGTATGACGATTCAAGGATACCTATCCAGATATTTTGTTGATATATATTTCCTGGGGTCCTATTGTACACTCAAGCGGCTGGCGAACGGCTTTCCAAGGGTCTTCCGATGTCTTTCCGTAGGTACCCCGAAGCCTTGGTGAGTACTTTTTCCACACTATGCGGGCACGCCCTACGCACAATCCATACTCCAAGGTTGAAGAGTGTTATATTGGGAAACTTATAGGTCGAAGCAGATATGTAAAGCCTCGAAACAACCAGAAATATCGCAAGAAATGCATAGCAACCAAAACCAGACACTAGTAGCACCGCAGACGGATGCTCTCTTGCCCTATGCAAAGAAACGCCGCTGATCAAACCGAAGAAAGACAACTCAAAACACCCGACTCATTAAACCGAAGACTCCGCCACCGTCGAAAGTCGTTCACTCGTCCAAGCTGGCACGAACGCACTTGCGGACGCGCTTCTTGAACTCGGCTGGATCTTCACGCCACAATCGGGCAGCCTCAACGTTGGCTGGACTTTCGTCGTTCGGGCTGGAGAGCATGGAGATGACGGAGAGGAGGATGGTTTCGGGGGTTTGCACGGGAGACCAGCGTTCGGCGGCGGATTCGTAGCCGTATTTGTCCTCTTCGGGAGGGTGCAAGATAGAGATGCAGACCTCGCCATTCTCGTAGACTACCAAGCACTAGGTGTGAGTTTATCATTTGTAGGGAGAATCGGCTTTCACGGTTGACCTACTGTTGGGGTGGAACAAGGAGGATTCAAACTTCATTGTAGGAGGACGGTGAGGGTACTCTGAAGGAAAAGTGAGACGTGCTCGGAAGTTACCACCTGTGATCGGAGAGGGATGTTAGTTGTCTCTATAAATTCGGCATCATTACGATCATTACGATCTATGTCCGTCGGTTTGCCACGGTCCTCAAAGCTTCGCGTGGGCATTTTCGATGTGGATATCCGGACAATGAACACATACCCCCATAGAGCTTCACATCATCCGAAATCATAAGCATCACCTCCCATTCAAAGATATTGTTATCCACCAGACCGCAACTGATCCCCGGAATGTCCTTATCGGATTGCATTTGTTGCAGCTGGCGGGACAGCATGCGCCCAGCGGGGGTAGTTGCCATATCGAGGGACTGGGAAGTCGAGTAACAAGTAACTATGTAAAAAAAGAAGAAGCACGGTCAGGAGGGCAAAGAAGAAGGGACAGACAAAGAGGAGAGATGATGAGGGGTCTTTGCAAAAATGAAGGCGGTGTGGCCAAGAACGGAGGGGAAATCTACCTTGGGAGGCGGTCTGACTATACAAGCACGTAATTAGACTGGACCCTGATACTCTGGAAGAACGGATGATTGCTGGGATACAAGTGGTATATAGTTAGGATCAGCTAAGTATGAAGATCTCTTTGGTTCTTGGGTTCTTTAGAGCTGGAGCATTGAAACATAACAGCATAGGATATAGCAAAGACACAACACGTATTGGCTTCTCGTTTCCACAAAACGAGAATCAAGAGAGAGGGGTTTTGCTTTTTCAAAACAGATTCAAATCTCTCAACTGATTTGGAAACCAGGGGCATTAGATCCAGCAGGCTTGGCTGTCGTGAACATCAGAATGACTTGACCACCAAGAACCAAAGAGGCAAGGACGCCAACCGCCACCTCAATGGCGAAGGTCTTACCAATGACCTTGGCAAAGCGGACACGGGCAGCCCAGTCAAAGGTAGTCCAGGCATTCATGAGCCCAATCTTGCCACTGCCACCAGTGATGGCTGGGCTGACCTTGCCGCCAAAGGAGCGGTCGAAGGGCACGATGGTCTCATCTTCTTCAGGTAGCATGGAAGCAGCCACACGAATGAAGATCACGCGAGCAGGCATGGAGATCAAGAACGCCAGAATAGCAGGGATGACACTAGCTCCCATGAAGCGGTACAAGGTAACCATCGGGGGGACATCATCTCCAAGGGTAGTATCGAACCAGCCGAAGAAGCTGGCCAAAGACATGGGCAGGAAGAAAGCAGCAGAAGTGAGCACATTCTCCAGGGCAGCAGCTGGAGCAATCTTGATCCAAGTCTTGTAGCTAGGGATGCGCTGGTAGAAGCGCTTAGGAGAGGGCTCAGTGATAACGATGTGAACCCAAGCCATCTGCCACGTAGCCAGGGCGACGCTCAGGAAAGACTGAACAAAGAATTGGCCGATGAATGAAGTAGTAGAAACAGGAACCCAAGCAGACAGGAATCCGTTCAGGCCGACGTAGGCCATGAACATTCCCATGCCGCGGAAGCGGGACCAGAAACCGGCACGGGCGCGCAGGTGCTGCACGGTGGTGCGGAGCTTGCTGGTGATGGGCTTGGGGGGAGTAGGGGTAGCCAGCTCGGCATCTTCGTCGTCCGGCTTGTTCGGGTCCGGATTGGAAGCAATCCGAACATAGATATCGGGGTTTGTGTCTTCCACCGCGGCCAGCGTGGCAATTACCATACCATAGGTATATTCAATCTGGAAGAAATTAATATCAAATAAGTCTATTTTATTTTTCTAAGCAGGGGTTGGCTGCTTACACTCCAGAAGATAAAGCCGAGGACGATGACGCTGATGACGAAGAGAGCGACCAAGCCTCCATTGGGCTGGTCGGGTTTCTTGTCCTGGAAGCTGCCGATGGCAGCCTCCGTACCTCGACGCATGAGGGTACTGGTGATGGATGACATTTTGTATAAAGTGGAAGATGGGGGCGATACGAGGGGAAGAGGACCCTTTTTATCGATACAAAGACCAGGCAGCACACCACTAGCGCCGGAATCCACGGTACTCTGACGGTACCTCAAATGTGGTGAGGATCCACCCCAAAAAAGATGTACCCGGTCTGTAACTCCCTCTTTATCTCCGTTGTGCCTTGTCAGACTCGAGTTGAAACACTCGTTTGCTTCCTTTTCTTGTGTGTCTTTTTACTTGAAAGTCTAAGCATTTCTTCTCTGTTTAACAACTCGTCATGAGAAACATCACAAATACTCCGTACCGCCACTTGAGCCCCAAATGTAAAATTAGATTCGACCAATTGCTCCGTGTCGGCCATTGGCCCCCAAATTGTTAGCGCTGCGACGGATCAAAGTTCTGTTAGGCCGCGAGCGGGCCACTGCTGTGATGGGCGAGGCTGGCCCGTCAATTCGGAGAATCTGATAGGCTCGTGCATATATGCACATATACGCGAGGGTAAACGGGGGCCAAGTGAAATGATATTCCCGATTTGAGCCTCATTGATCCAGGCAAAGTGGATATCCACCTCTCACCTTTCGGTGGTCCAGCATTTCGGTCTGACCTTTCTCCATGATTCCGGTCTTCGTTCACAGTGGGGAGTTTCCCGTCTCTGATTGGTGAGTATCGAATGAGGACTTTGTAGCTTTTACACCGTACACGCTAGGCATTTTCTAATGAGTTGGCTTTTCATAAGTACTAAAGTATCACACTCTATAGATCGGACTGAGGTCTAAGGCAACCTGTCAAATGGTATCCGAAAATGAGACAGAACACGCTGCAAAAGAGCAAAAAGACAAGGTATATACACAAACTTAGTCAAAGAGCTTCTTCATGCCCTTGTGTGCCAGTTCCACGCCGAGGAAGGTCGCCGCATTCGCAGGCACTGCACGAGCGAGGGCGGGTCCAAATCCGGGGAAGAAGGCCTTGTAACCACCGCTGGCATACACCGAGCGGATCACACCACCGATGGTGGGCTTGCCCGGGGCGCTCTGCAGGCGGGACTTGACGGTGTCGACGGGGAAGACCGGAATCCACATGGCGATACCGGCCGCACCACCGGCCGCCAACACGGCGGACAGGGACAGTTCACCAGTCACATTGCCGTCGGCATCCTTAGGGGTCAGCGACCGCTTGATGTACTCATAGGCGGCGAAGTACGCAGCAGAACCGGGACCGTCACGCGCCAGAGTCATGGCGCTACCCCGGAACACGCTGCGCACACCACCCTCTTTGTAAAGTTGACGCACAACGTCCAAACCGCCAGAATACTTGGGCTTCTCGCCGGGGGCGAGGGTCTTTTGGCCCTGGATCTGAAGCAGGACCTTGACGCGCTCAAAGGGCGCCGTGATCAGGGTCATGGGGATGGCGGAGAAGAAACCCGCAGCAGAAATCTGGGCAATCGAGTACTGCGGGGTGTCGTGCTTCACGGGGACCGTGGAGAACTTGTTCACGAGGGTCTTACCCACGTCATAGCCCTGGGATTGTTAGCTTCCGACCGGGGTCGCATCTCCTCAATCACGTACCCAAAAGCTGACAGCGACTATGCGATAGCGTTAGCGTGGGATTCGGAAGCAATTGGGGAGCTGGCATCGTGGAAACTTACACATGGGAGTCACTCCGACAAGCGGGGCAGTAACACCCGCGTACAATCCCTAAGCTACAATCAGTCCCGATCGCGGGAGGTTCAATATCTGAGGGTCACCATACACGCGCCAATCCCTCGCGGGCAACAGTTCTCCTGACCACATCCATCGCACCTGAGTAGATGCCCTTCTCGGCGGTCTGCAGACGGACCTTCACCAGGTCGAAGGGGTGTCCCACGACCACAGCACAGAGACCACCAGCTGCACCAGCTGCTAGGGAACGCAGCTGGACAATGGTCTGGTTGACGGGCTTGGTCTCGGCGACCTTAACCTCATCTTTGAGCTGCTGCGGGGGAGAAGTCGAGGTCGACATTGTGCGGGCGGAAGGGGTGGAGGATGTAGGAAGTCAGGGAATAGTAAAGAGTCAGGAGAGAGGTAGAAGGAAAAAGATGAGTCGATGTAGAAGTTGCAAAAGTAATCCTCCACCTTGGGTAAAAAAAAGGTATGACGGAGACAGACCGAAGCCGACGGGCGGTTTGGGCTGTCCGGGGAAGATGCCTCGGTTCGGCTTGCGGAGAAACCGGGTTTCCGCTATTGTATGGTAACTATGAGCAGGTACGGAGTACAGAGTACAGAGTACAATAGTAGCTAATGGAGCTCAATATCGTGTTGATTCACGCAAAGTAAGAGAAGAAATGTAAAATGACCGTCTCAACATACTTTATGTCGGTGACCTCCGCAGTCCGGATGAACGGGAAAACACTCAACCACTCCAGGTTTCCCCGCGGAATAAAGGAAGGCGATATTTTGACTTTAAATGGACTGGTGCAGGTATCTGGATGACCACGGGGGGTGGTATATAGTGTCTAGTATATGAATGTCAGTATATCGCACGTAGAGCCGAGTATCCTCTCTTTTCGATCACATGCAATCTCGAGATCTCACATGCGAGTACGCCTGAATTTGAAGGCATCGACAGTGCTGAATAGTTAGTTAACTAACTAGAGACATTAGCTATACTCTGTTCTTCTGGTCTTCATGCTCATTTTCGAAGTGCCATGTGTTTAAACCAGGGAGAAACTACAAGTCCGTCGGTGAGAGCTGTGAAGCACAAGCATAACCTTGGAAAGTAATTGCAATGGGTGAACTCCAAAGGCCTTCCAAGGTTGGGAGTGTGTAACCAGTGCAATACTTCGTGCTTATGAATGGTGTTACAGGTGCGAATCTACTTCATACTTTATTTAAATCATGTTCACAGCCATGGAAAGACATGTCATGAGGATTCCATTAAGTCCGGTCAACATTAAATTAACAGCTCCGTGGAGCATGTGTAGAAATAAAACTAATTGTACCACGCCTTCGCTTCATTCCGGCACCTGTACAAGCCCAGAGAACGACGACGCGAATCGTAACCCCTAACCAAAACACAATGCAACTTCATGGAAGAAGCTTACAGGGCAAGGAGAGCGACAAGGCCAAGGGCACCCATGGCACCACCGCCAACAGTGGCCATGGGGCTGGCAGCACCCTCGCTGGAGCTGGGAGCAGCAGAGCCGGAGGCGTCACTGCTGGAGTCGGAGCCGGAGCCGCTGCCGGAGCCAGAGTCGGAGTCAGAGCCAGAGCCAGAGCCACTGCCGGAGGTCTCGGTGGTGGAAGAGCCGCTGCTGGTGCTGGTCACGGTCATCATGGTGGAGTCGGAGCCGGTCATGGAGCCAGTCATGGAGCCAGTCATGGAGCCAGTCATGGAGCCGGTCATAGAACCAGTCACTGAGCCAGAAGCACCGGTGCCAGTCATGGTGCCAGTGGTGGAAGCATCAGAGCCGGTCTGAGTACCGGTAGCAGAGGCATCAGAGCCAGTCTTGGAGCCAGTGCCGGTCATGGAGGTGGAGTCGCTGCCAGCACCGGCGCCGGAGCCAGTCTTGGAGGAGTCGGAGTCGGAGCTGGAGCTGGAGCTGGAGGAAGAAGAAGAGTCGGAGCCAGCAGTGCCGCCTATCATAGAGTTAATATATACATGTCTTTCGCCGGGTGGATGATACATACCAGGGCACTTGGCAACAGCCATAGCGAGGACCTTCTCAGCATCATCGCTGGGGCAAGCCTCCTTGGTGCAGTCACGGATACCGAACTTGTAGTCATCGGTCTTGCACAGGCAGGCCATGTCGCCGGACTTGCAGCCGAGATCAGAGGCCTTGTTGTTCATGTTGGAAACACACATGGTCTGAAATAGATTAGCCATTGCGCCTCGAGGGAGACCATTCAACGGAAGCTTACAGCGCATTCAGTGGCAGAAGGGTCAGCGGCGACCATACCGAAGGCGGCCATCAGGGCCAGGGCGACGGGGGAGAAGGACTTCATGATGAAAATTCTGCGAATTGATGAATGAAAATGGGAGATGGGGGTATAGAAGGTATTGTAGGTATCAAATCAGGCAGAATGATTAAATGTGAAGTAGAGAGAATCAAACAAAATCTGGGGCAGAGCGGATTGTTTAGTTTTTTTTATAAAGGAGAGCAAGCTCAGGGCAATCAAACTCGGCAACCAGCCACCTTCGGGAAAGGAGGACGAAGCTTGCAGACGACCAATCATCATAGTGGATTCAACCAAAAAGCAAGTTGCTACCCAGTCAACGTGGCTCTGATCTGGCCCGTGGGCTGATCCTGTGTGAAGCATGAAGTCATCGACCAATATGAGAATCTTGGATCTGCCCTACATGGGAAGGATCGGCCGATAGCTTGCACCCCTTCTCCACACGCTGATTATCATAGGCGCGTCCAATCGACTAACTTTTTCGTCTCCACATCTGTTGGGCTGATTAGTTTCGGCTTTCGCCAGGGATTCATTCCCCTTGGAGAGTGCTGCCCTCACCGGATGGTAGGCTGTGAAAGCGACTGCAGCGTGAGCTGTCAATAGTTCATGATTGAACATTAACTTGCTAACAAAACAAAAGAACTGAAAGCTTTTGGCCCCCACACTAGTCAAGGCAAAGCAGGATCGTCATTGCGAACCAAATCGAGGTTGTACAGCAACTCTAAGTTCGGATAATTGATGGATCCAGTTCGATCACACTAGTATTTGATAAAACTCTGCCACCTGTGGCGTTTCAGCCACTCCTCGTCTGTCGGCTCTCGCTCTCGCTCTGCTATTCTCCTCCGTACTTTCATAAGATTCTCTAAAAAGGTGGCAAAGTATGGAGTACAGGGGTAAAGTGACGCTGTCCGGGGTAAATTGCACTGTGTTTCATCTCCAGGTTACTACAGGTATGCTTATCTCCCTCGTCTCGAATGCTTCAAGTCCCAAGGTTCTGCTGTGTAAAGGGATATCCCTACCCAATCTCCCCCGGAGATCGGTGTTTACCCTTCTCCTTTCTTTGCTTTTTTTTTCTTGTTTTGTTCCACTTTTTTTGGATGTTGATCCTTTCACCTGCCCCATTGAGAGGGTCGCTTCAAACTATTAAACTGTATCACAGTTGATTAATTCCAAAGTCTTTCTCCAGGCCATCAACTCAGTAGATCGGGTTTGGTAGAGGATTTGGTTAAGATCTGCCGTGTCACGCATTCCAAGCAGGATCCCGTCGGTGGCCGTATGCTTTTTCTTTGATGGAAAGTGCCTGTCGCACACCGCCAGCCAAGCACTACGGGCTCCATGGCTACGCTGTTGGTCCGAGGTACGGAGTACTTTTCCAGGGTCCCTATGGAGCAGGTCCGGACCAAGTTGAGATATGCACGAACGCGATGTTCAATGCCTTGCTCCTTTGCCACATCCCATTCAATAAATTATGATGGGGAAAAAGATTGCACAAGTCGTCAGTCGATCAGGTTTGAATGGCTTCTTAGCCTCTTGGCCCCATTCATCTGACGTCTTGTACATAACTTCCTAGCCCTACGGAGTATAAAAGTTGCTAATACCAGACTCCATGCGGCGTACGTCGTACCAATTACAAGGTACGGAGTACTCCGTGCATTATCCAATTGAGCAATACTCCGTATTGGCCCTGTCAACTGGAACAGGTTTCATCTGCTTGCTTCCTCCACTTGATGGTCTGATGCCCTTCGTGCACAAAAAACCTCTCAGGGGCTTCGATCAAAATCAGTTGACAGAGAGTATGGAGTAACTGATAAGGCGACTCTTACTCCTTACTATTCAAGAATTGTTTGAAAGAAAAAGACTGCAATGCTCAAAATGAAGCCAAATCACCCAATGCCCATGATGGCAAACTGGGAGAAATAATTCCTCGGGCCTGTCCTGGCCCCCGGAGCGACCACTCTTCCCGATCGCACAGGCCAGAAATTCGTCGCGAACCAGGACGCACCTTTGATGTCTCATTCAAATCTGCGGAAGACCAAGCGATTCAGCCGTGTTCGCAGGTGGCGGACCAGTCACTCGGCTAGCATGTTAACACTAAGTCGAGCATGAACTACGTGACTAACTCTTCTCCCAATTTGTTGTGCTATGCATACAAAAGTTGGAGTTCAAATGGAAGGGGGTTCGATAGGAAGCTGACGAGGCTATGGCGACGATGGCGATGTTACATCGCCTAATCTGCTGCTTTTATCTTCCCCGCTCCAAACATCAACCCGTGGATTTCACCCAAACACACAATGGTACTACGAAGAACGAGTGTTCTTGGCCCTGAATTCGATGGCTTTGTCCAGCAGCAGATGGACAAATGGAAGGTCCCTGGACTGACCATGGCCATCGTGCACGGTGCTAGCACTTGGTCGAAAGTACGGAAGCCGGTGTATTCATGGAATAGACGAGTGATGTGCTAATCTCCCCTAGGCTTATGGAATGGCTGAATTCCCCGATCGGGAGATGACTACCGATGCTCTTTTCTCGACGTGCAGCACAACTAAAGCTTTCACGGCGGCAGCGGTTAGTCTGGTCATCGACGACAGCCAATATACCGATGCGCCCTTGAGCTGGGACACGCCAATTTCATCCATACTGCGGGATGATTTTGTGCTCCATAACGACTATAGCACACTTCACACGACCATAGAAGATGCTCTATCACATCGCTCGGGACTCTCAACTCATGACGGCTGCATATCTCTGGCGCATCCTCAGAGACCACTTCGGGAGGCAGTGCGAAACTTGAGACACCTCAAATTGGCTTACTCGCCTCGCACTACCTTTTCCTACAACAACAATATGTACATGGCGACCTCCCATCTACTGGAAAACATCGAAGGCCGGAGTCTGGGCGAGATTCTCAAGGCCCGCATCTGGGACCCATTGGGAATGAGCGACACATACTTCTCTGCGCAAGAAGTACTGCAAGACCCGACCCTCGGTCCTCGTTTTGTCAGAGGGTACACCTGGGATGTCGATACGAATTCCTACATATCGGAACCTTACATGAGCGACGTCGCCGTGTCCGGTGCCGGTGCTATGGTGAGCAATGTGCTCGAATACACCAAGTGGCTCCGTGCAATGATATATCAAACGGGTCCCATATCCTCACGGGGGTATGCTGAGATATTGAAACCTCGCACAATAGTTACGGATTTGGACGAACTTGTCGCACCCCCGTCCCCACATCACCTCTATGCTCTGGGGTGGTTCGTCGCCAGCTATCGCGGTGAATCACTATACTGGCACAGTGGCAGTTGGGCTGGATTTGGCATTATGGTCGGATTTCTACCGAGCCATGAATTTGGCTTTGTCATGATGGGCAACACGACCAATGCTCGCAATGCACAGGTGGAGATCTACATGCGTCTCCTAGACCAGCTCTCTGGTGCTGGTCCGGGCTCGAGCTCTGTCCCTTGCTCACTGGGCCACGCGGCACCTCCCAAGAACAAGCGGGTAGCTGCATCTGAAACCATGGAGGAGGCGATCAAACGGCTCTATCCATTTCTGCCTAGCCCTTCCATTCCGCACTCTCTGCCGGTCCAGCAGTACGCAGGTCGATACGTGCACGCCGCATATGGATCCATCACGCTCAGTGCTCAGAACGGCTATCTGTGCGCAAATCTTCTGGATCGTGTTACGCCTGCGATCATCAGTCTGGGCCATGCCAGTGGGGAATTCTTCGTGGCACACTACTATCAGCCCAAGACAGTCGGTTCTCTGTCTGCGTACTACTGTGTGGAATTCCTCATTGGCGCCAATGGGGTTCCCACCGCGATGGGCCTCGATATCGAGCCTGCCTTGGAAGAGAAGATTTGGTTTGAGCGTAAGTGCTGAATATACCGACCAGGCGACTACATATATTTCCACGGGGCTGAGTGGGACCTGCTTGCACCTAACGGTGGAGATTCCAAGGTCCCATTGAGCCTTCGCGGGTCTCACTAACACTTCAATTTAAGATCCCAGCCAACTAACAAGTTTCCAGGCACATCGAATCCAAAAAACAAAGATGCCTAAAGTGATCCAACTCGGAGCTCGACAGACAAGTCCTGTATTTGCTCCACTTTTCTCTTCTTCGCTATTCCCGACCCGGCTAGCTTCGGATCCACCACGAACAAAGAATCCGATCCGACCAACCAGAACATCCCAAATTGAACGTTCAAGAAGCAAAAAGTATGACCGACGCAGGGATCGAACCTGCAATCTCTTGATTCGTAGTCAAGCGCCTTGCCATTGGGCCAGCCGGCCGGTGTAAAGTTGGGCTTGAAGATCCCGCACTCTCGGCTCGAACAACCCGTGCCATTCGGCTATCCGGGCTGCTTGATGGAAGATTCGGCTGAATTGTGCGATAATAGGGAGTGCGTCAAGCGTGAATGAAATTTCATTGATTTGGCACTCATTCATGAAGTATGTCGTAGAAATGGTTGATCAAAAGGTATCTGAAGAAAAAGGAAAAAGTGTATAATGTAGTATATAATGCAAAACGCTGAAAAGAAGCAAAAGTCATGCGCCGTTTTCGAGTTATACCGACTCGGTGACATCCGTTACAAAGACATTGGGTACCATAGGGGACTTCTCGGAAGCTGTACCCTCTTCAGTGGTTGGCCGAGCCCGGGCCTTCCAGCCCAGACGCACGGCGAAAGACATGACAAGGTGGCCAAGGAAGAACCCGACCAGACAAGCCGCTAGACCAGCGACGGCACCCATCACCGCCGGCAGGATGATGGGACGAGCAATGCGTCTGAACGAGCTACCGGGGCGGTGGTGGGGGTGGTTTCCACGGTGACTGGAATGCTCTGGCGCAGCCCAGAAGGATGAGATGGAGAACTTGTGCGCAGACTCAATGGATGGGCGAGGAACCGAGGCAATGGCAGCAGGCGAGTCAAGTTTAGCAGGCTTGTCAGCCGTGTCGGCCTTGTCAGTCTTAGTCTTGACGTGGTCGAACAGCGAACCAAACTGCGTGTTCCAGTACTTGACGACCCAGGGACGGCTCTTCTGCGAGAAGCGATCATCCTGATAGCCTCCACGGGCAGGTTCAACCCGAATGCGGGTGATATGATGATCACCGTCCTGGTAGGTGAGCATGTCGACAGCAACGGCATTAGGCGAGATCAGATTTCCATGTAAATCGAGCAATTCGACCCGAACGCGCACCATGCCTGCGACGGCGCCGACCTGGTCTGTTGATAGTGGGCGGGTGTCGAGGGTGTATGAGAGGTCGACTGATTGGTCGGTGGGGGAGTCTGCTTCGTAGAGCGGGGCGCGGAGTTGCATGGTGACTGAGGGAGGGTAGACTTGGTTTTCATTTGCGTAGAGGCTCCCATTCTGGATAGACCAATTGATAGATAGTGTTGTGCGCACGCCATTTTCCAGACTCTCGGGGGATGGCGCAAAGGGAAGGCGAAGCTCATGAGCGTTCGGGATTGATAGAGCTAGGGCACTGCCGAGGCAGAGGATGGACCAGAACCGCATGGTGAAGTGCGGGAACCTTGAAAGTGAGTGTGTGAGGGAGTGTGTTAAGTATATAGGCAGTGATCGAGTATGGTTAATAGTTAAAAGAGAGAGAGAGAGAGAGAGACAAGGCTGTAAGGCTATAGAGGATATAGAGGTGATCGAGTGGAAACGGAAGAACATGGGAGCCTAAGTCAATATAAACGCAAACTCTACTCCGTAGCCTACCCGATTCGATATTTCTAAACATAAAGGTACTTACGGAGTACGGAGTATACATCTAAGACATTGAAAATAATGCAATGGGGCCGAAAAAAAGAAGGGTCCCGAGTGAAAGCTTAGCGCTCAGCTGCGCCCCAATTTTCCTCTACTTTGGCCCGATTTAGTTGGCTGAGACGCGAGCTATTATTATCCGAACATTTTCACTAAGCCGTTTGCCCGGCCGCCCCGAGTTAAGTACGGAGTGCTTTTAGCTCTGTTTGCGGTTTTTGCTAGTGCCCTTTGGCTCTTTAGGATTTCGCCATTTCTAATAGTTCTTTGTAGTCTATCAGTGTTTGCCCTGAGTCTGAGTCTAATGTTTCCGAGGCTCTAGCGTTTGAAGTGGAATTGCAACTTGCAATGCGCACCCTTACAATCTGGACCGTCGCAGTCGAAATTGTGAATATTGAAATTCTGTACTCCGTCCTCCGTCCACCGTACTTCATAGTTCCTAGGGCCATTCTCATGAAAGATCGACAAGGACGGACCAAACTGACCCTGACCACTAGTCTCGGAAGCCGAGCCAACGGCCTATCGATGCAATTCACAATGTAAGACATCCGATGCCAAATGGGGTAAAGAATGATTAGATTTTTCCCTTTCCCCTCAGAATGAACCCCATCGAGATGCAGGATTCCCGCGCCCTCGAACGACACAGGGTCAAGGTTTACAGGGATTTTGCAGGGTTTTCAGGCGATAATTGGCGTGGATCAAGCACATTTGATAGGATCACCTCGAAGAGACCCTGGTCCTTTTGACAAATCGGCCGGGTCTTGGCGCAGCGCGATAGCCACTGGAGCTCTCACGCCTTTGCAAGTCCACCCCCGCAGCTACCTCAACCCGCAGTTAATACGAGCACCTGCATGGAAAACACAACATTGAATTCAGACCTGCGTCTGGATCTCTGTCGCGTGAACTCTACTTTGTGCAAGCACAACTAGTTGCCAAACTGACTCATTCGCTAGCGCACTCTACCACGTGAAGTCTGAGACTGGGAAAGGATTATTCGTTTCTATATGCGAGCCAATTGGGTTGTTCTTTCCCCCAATTGGCATTGATCGTTACATGCGACACATTATGTCCTATATACAGGCCATGTTGGCGTGTTAAGTGGTTTATACAGAGAAATACGGCGCAGGCTGCCAGAACGCACAGCGCGCGTTGTTGGTTGAATCCGGAATCGATCGAATCTGCTTGGTCTCGAGGCTCATAAGCTGACCCTGCGGACCCCACGGTTTGATGGTCGGCGCAAGGCTAGAGGTGGGTACACCGTGCTCGGCGAAGCTGAGGAAGTAGTCCTGCATCGCCAACGCGACAGTGACGTTGCTCACGGCCATGAGGGGGTTGGTGGAGGTGCTGCTAACCTCGGTATTGCCCTCGTTGTAGAAAGTGTACGCAGCGTCCTGTCCGTGCAGTCCCGGGGCGATGTTGAAGGCGTAGGCGTACGTCTGATTGTACGCCCGGTTGAGGTAATTGGTGTTGCACTGGAAGAGCATATCCGAGACAAACAGTGCCGAGCGAGCGACCGAATCGGCATACCCAAAGGTCCCATTGTAGACCGCGGGGTAGAGAATATTCTCGACAAAGTTAAAAACGTCCTTCATGATATCAGGGGCCAGAGTGGACAGCTGGATGCCGAGTCCAGAGCGGTTGTAGCTCGCCGGGTTGGTGAAGAGCAATCCCTCATCCGCCACATGCCCAACCATCAAATTCACATCGTGGTGGAAATTGCCCTCAAGCAACAGCTGACCAGGCAGAGCAGGCACGAAAGTGCCGTCAACGGCCGGACCATAAGTGAACGTTCCCCACTTGGACTTGATCCCAATCTGGGCTGAGTTGGCAGCGATCACCTTGTCCGAGGACAGGGTGCGGGCCTCTTCAATGGTGCTGACATTCAGGAATCCCAAGAACTGCTGCAGAGTCTCTTCCTGCTGTTCTTCACCGATGTAAGGCACCCATCCAGGGCTCTGGACAATCGCCTGCTGAAAACGAGGGGAGCCCCGCTTGCCGCCATAGGCCGTGAGCTGATGCATGATCGAACCTCCACCAGCAGACTCTCCCATCACAGTGACGCGGGACGCATCACCGCCGAACAAGTGGATGTTCTTGTGCACCCACTCCAGAGCGAAGCGCTGGTCGTGGAGGGCGGCATTAGCAGTGCCATTGGCGTTGACGCTGTCACCACCGAGCCAACCAAATGCACCCAGCTGTTTTAAATGGTCAGTAACTATCTCTCAGGCCATAAGACGGGCAGTCATCTCTTCACGTACTCGGTAGTTCATCGCGACGTATACAACACCTTCGTGGCCTGCGATGGTGCTCCGTTGGACCAGCCCACGAGCATCATTGGTGGTCTTGTCTCCAGCAATGTATCCACCACCGAAGATCCACACCAGCACAGGTGCCAGATTTTTCCGGTTTGACGTGGCCTTGGTGCGATCAAAGACCTTCTTGGGAACTGTGACATCGAGGAAGAGACAATCTTCCGAAACCGAGGCTTCTTGCTTGGTAGGTGTGTACGGATAGTCCGAGATGTCTGACGACCCATTGAAAGGCACGCCGGCGAGATAGTCCAGCACAAAGGTAGTCTGAGCCCCTGACCAAACAGGTGCCGCCTGGGGACATACTCGGGGGACAGAGCCATTCTGGATGTGTTGGCGATTCACTTTCGGGGCAGCCGGTGCCCGGAATCGAAGATCTCCCACCGGGGGAGCTGCATAGCGGATATTGTCAAAGTTATAGAGGCCACTGGTAGTCTAGAAAGATGACGTTAGCATAAGAACAAGACTAAACAGGCAACAGCGATCAGGAGAATGACTTACATTGTAGGAAAGCGCTTGGTGACGTTCATATCCCAAATCAACAATGGGCAACGTAGAGGCCAGGCAAGCTGAAGCCAGAGTCAACCATAGCACCACCATCTTGAAAGAAAATATACACGCCCAGAGATCAGGAACAGCTGCAGCTCTTTAGTAAACATGGTCTCGGTGGGCCACGGCTATGCGGCCTCTGATTCAGCCGCTAATCCTCCGACGGCGTAGGGAGTGGAGAGTTAAACATCCAACAAAGATCAAGATACGGAGTACTAGTCAAGAATCGTACTGTGACGTTGGTTTACGCCGATCCACCTCCAATAACGGAGGGCTTCGGCAACTACTGTGGATTCTATGTAATTATGGGGGCCCCTTACGTTTTGTGCAGATTTGCTTTTTTTCCTCATGGCTCTGTATGCCACATTGGCTGCAGCGTGATGTCAAGATCGTCCATGGAGAGGCAAGTTTTTCTAAAGTGAAAAAAACGCTCACGATGTCCAGATGACAGAGAATTTTCTTCTGCAACACACGGCAAGGCAGCACAGAGCCAAGGTACAAATTGCGGAGCTCACCTTAGCTTTGCCGTAAATGCACGGCATAGCGTAAACGCGTAGTAGCGTAAATTCAAAGACCCAAAAGGCACCCCGAAGATTAAAAATTCAAATCTAAAATCTAAAATTTAAACCATAGAATGGTTGACGCTACAGTATATGGACTCCGTACTCCATACAGAACTCATTCATCGAGACTTTGCATTATGGAGGTGGAAGCTTCACCTCTCGAATCTTGTAATCGAACATCAAGTTTGAGGGAACCTCGTGCTCGTTCTGCAACTTAGTCGCCGACTCAACCCCTGCTGCAGGCACCCGGTATTCAAACCGGTGCCCAGGAGACGGGACAGACCCATCCGGTAGCGAATATGGAAAGGGGAGATACTCAGGCAACAGGCCCAGCTGAACCAGCACGGTCGCTTGGTCCCACGCGATATGTTCATGGAACAAGCGGTCACCGCGGATATTGACCACGGAGGTGAACGGCACCCGGAGGTGTTTACCAGTAGGGGGAATACCAGGAATCCTATCAGACTGTTCAGTGTGTCTCCGGTGGGAGGTGATTAGGTCGACTCACATCCAGTCCATCTGCTTCAAGTGGGTGAAGACGAAAATGAACTCATCGACGATTCGATCCGTTCCTACCGTTCGGCTGATCAATTCCAAGGCCGTATCGTCGGGATTGTTGAAGATGAAGTGATTGAGGTAAAAGTGACTCAATCGCGATCGCCCAATACCACCAGTCAACTGTTTGTTGTTAGTTAACACTTTATACTTGTAGCTCGACTCAATTTTGGGTCGCGTACTGTGGGCACATGGTTGACGTATGGTTCCTGAACCATTGTCGCCATGGTCTTCTCCACCGACCGATCTCCGAATTCGAAGTAAGTGTGCTCATCCCAGATGCTCTCGAGATCAAAGAAAGGCCCGCCAAGGTGCTTCTTGATGAACCCCACGCTGCGAGTGTGGGCCACTCCTGCTGTGGAGATCTTGAACTCTGAGTGTCCTGGAATGATGAAGTTGGCTCCGACGATGTCGGGGTAATTGTAAAGTACCTGCCCGTCCTTCTTCTCCTTCTCTTTCTCTGTCGTACTGGGCGAATGAAGAAGGGTTGGCAGAGAAACATCCCAGTTGTCGAAGAAGATAGCAGCAGCAGCTACTCTCCCTGCCGTCGCCCGTAAATGCTCTTCGAATCCTGCAGCATAATCGGATTTGGATCCATACACTGTTTGAATGAGCTAACAATTACTCTGTGAAGGACAAGCAAACAGACACTCTTACCTATCAAACCGATCTTCTCACCGTCACAGCCTTGCTTGGTCAACTCACACACGGCCTGATCGATGAGGTCTTGAAGCGGACTCTCAGTGGACTGGTCTAACGTGATTTGGGCCACCGTGAAGCTTTCCTCTGCCCATTTCTTCAAAGGTTCTGGGTCCAGTGTCTTGTTATTCTGCTGACAGATCACATAGCAAAATGGCCGTACTAGGATCAGTCCTGGACCACGAGCACATCTTGACAGCGGTGGTTGAATGGTCAATGAGTCGCTGAGAAAACACAGGTCGGACATGATTAAATTAAATGAAGAATCTCGTAGATCACCAGTCCACGTTGCTCTGATTCTTGGGAAGCGTGAGGAATATATATCCGGGTGACCCCCACTCTCAAGCAAAGCTTACGATACTCCCGAGGTCTACGGGTCCGCACCTGAGACTAGCCTGCGTTCTACAAATCTGACAGCCAACTTTGGAAATTATATGCAAATACCCGTTTTGGGCAATCGAAGCTGTTGGATGCCCACGTGACCGGAAATTGAAGAGCTCGGCCCTGGCGGTGGCTTCGTTTCCACAACTCAACAATGAACGCGCTGGTCCAGTCCGCCCTGACTGACGTCGAATCCAAACTCAATGCCCTCCTAACCAGCCTCACAACCTCTCCTACTGCAGCGGGAGCCCCCGCCGCCGCAGTCGCCCTGCTCGAAGCCGACGATGCGCTGACCTCCGTCATCGAGACCCTCCGCCAGCACCAGGAAAATCACGCAAAGATCTTGCGACTACGGGAGGAAGCACAGCAGCTGGAAGATCGCGTCAAAGGCATCGTGCGAGACATCGCAGGATTCGACAAGGAGATCCGCACAGCGTGTGGGGACGACGGTGACAGCGATTCTGATTCAGACTCCGACTCTGATGATGACTCTGACTCGCGGGACAAGAACGCGATTCCGCGGGGGATCAAGGGGATTGACTACAAGTTGTTATTGGATTTCGCGCGTCGGATTAGCAAATACAACCACGAGGCCGCAGCAGATGCCGCAACGGGCATCGTGAAACGACAAGAACTGCACGCGACCGACAAAGATGTGACAATGTCAGGCACAAACGGCGAGCCGACTGAGAATGGCGCAGAGCCAGTCGCATCCGTCACCAAAAACGCGACACAATGGCTGGACGAGTCGGCCAACGTCACACGCGAGGTTTACATGCTACCCTACCCGATGGAGGAACGGATACGAATGGGCCTGATGGGACAAGTCCAGCTCGCTGCCGGTGAAAATCCCGAAAAGGAGGTAGAGCGATTGCTGCGTGAAGCCGATGGTCTCGGAGTCGCCGAACCACCAGCTCCCGTGGAGCCAGCGGAAAGCACAAAGCAGGCGGACGAGGCTGCAAAGGCCGCAGCCCATGCTGGATCGTCGGCTGGATTGCCTCGGGCGCCTGCTCCCTCAGCGCCTGCGCCCAAGCCCAAGGCGATGCTGGATCTTGATCTCTACGATCCTGACGACTCTGACGATTGAGCTTTGTTCTCCAAGCGGGCGTTACATTCCATTCTCATAATGATACCAGCTATTACAGCACAAAAGAGGATTCCAAATCAATCTTTCGACATCCATTGATAACTAGTTTGCATGTCTGGGGTGTTGAATGGACAGTCTCTGGATCTTATACGAACGTCTTGTTACCGAAGCAGAATCAAGATGACTGGTGGCACCATGAGGTTGTCAATGCTAGGCTCGGAAATCTCGCTTTCTTGATTGACACCGCGTCGATATGACTATGAGAAAGCAGTTGACCAATAAACCACACGACGAACGTCGCTAGCTCGACGATGGAAAATCCCAACAACTCTCGGTGGCTAAGAGGAGCCCTTGAATGACAGTGACTTTCTAGATGCGGGATAGCAAGAAGCACCCAACACCAATAGAAATGCGCCATTCAAAATCAGAAGGACAAACTCTCGTCATCTATGCGTAGAGGGACTCCTGGGCAGATCGTGTAAATGAAGGAGACTATCGGGTCTACTCCGTACAATGTACGCACTTGGTAGAATTCTTTGCAAGAGAAATCCAGATGGAAGACATTCAACCCAGTGCGAAATATAGGTAGTGCATCTATACCGCCATGTTCATGACTGCAGCAAACGAGGCCGATTCCTCCACTCAGGAAGAACCGAGCAGCTTCTACGAGTTCCAAGGTTGATGATATATCTCCGCAATTCCAAGGTTCACCGGCATAAGCTGCAGGTGAGCTGGGGCATTACACCCAGCCCACCTGTTCAAAGCTCGTCAAGATCATAACAGAACAGCATTCGCATCGGAACAGGATCCCTCCGGCTTTGATCAACTTTGATCGCACACTGGCTTTCAAATATCGCCATCACAGGTGGTCCCGACAAATCCCACCCCTCCCCACGCGGGGTGTATCTGGGGATCGTGAAATGTGCTCGTAGCGGAGCCTACTCCGGACCCTCTTACAATGACACTTTGCGTCAATTGGAAGTCCAACAGAGGACAAAGTTGGGCTCAGACATGTCGGGTTCTCATTGCGTCCTCTCGTGGGTCTCTTCCCCTCAATCTCCAGATTGGAGGGGAAATGGTACATACTGCATGACTCGGTGTATCGTCATAAGCCCCGGATGTCTCCTCCACACCAGGAACTCTCGCGAGAAAACTCGGTAGAGTTGATCTGAGCCAATATATGTCTGTGCCCGGACCAATCGGAAACGACAGCCTTCACTCTGGACTGTCACTTTGTTGGAGTTCCGGCACTTTCTTGGACCATGCCCAGTGTTTGCCGTGGTAGTTTGAAGCATATAACCAGGCTCGGGCCCTGGGCCATTTACACCCAGAATGGCGATCCTTCACCTTTGGATGCGATTGTCCTCAGAGCTTGAATATCTTTTGTCTATCAATTTTCTACAATGAGTCACCACGAGGATCATGCATCCGATGCTTCGGATACGGACGTCGAGAAGCAGGACGACAATGACGGCCAGGTTCGCTCTCCTGGAGGAACCCCAAGGTCCACCCTGCAGAGGAAAGAGGGAGCTGGGCATGACAAGAATGAGCTCAAGCACTGGGAATGCTACGATAAGCTTGGGTATTCCTTCCCCTGGTGGAAAAAATGGGGCATCATCTCTGTCATCTTTGCCGTCCAAACATCCATGAACTTCAATGCTGGGTTCTATGCCAGTAGTGTCAGCCTCTACGCGAAGCACTTCAACATTACCGAACAGGCCGCAAGAGTGGGCCAAATGGGCTTTCTCGTTGCATATGCATTCGGCTGCGAGTTCTGGGCGCCTTTCAGCGAGGAGTTCGGCAGATGGCCCATCATGCAGCTGAGTTTGTTCTTTGTCAACATATGGCAGATACCCTGTGCACTGGCTCCCAATTTTGGCACCATCGTCATCTGCCGTATCCTTGGAGGCGTATCGTCTGCCGGCGGCTCCGTGACATTAGGCATGGTTGCTGATATGTGGGAGCCGGAGGACCAGCAATACGCCGTGGCATTCATCGTCTTGTCCTCAGTGGCAGGATCGGTGATTGCTCCAGTTGTCGGTGGCTTCGTGGCCACCTTCCTTTCCTGGCGCTGGAACTTCTGGATACAGTTGATACTGGGCGGGTTTGTGCAGATATTGCATTTCATGATTCCTGAGACCAGATGCAGCATTCTTATCACCAAAGAAGCCAAGCGACGCCGCAAGAATGGAGATATGGTGTGGAGTGGCGATGAGATCACAAAGACTCGAATGTCCTTCCGCTGGATCTTCATGGTATGGGTGCGCCCGTTTATCATGTTCCTGCGTGAGCCAATTGTTCTGTGTCTGTCACTTCTCAGTGGATTCAGTGATTCTCTGATTTTCACATTCCTTCAATCGTACACTCCAGTGTACAAGCAGTGGCATTTCAGCACCATTACCACTGGACTCGCTTTCCTTCCGTGAGTCACTAATTCCTTCACCTCGGCATTTGACTAATTTCTTGGGTGCTTAGACTCTTGGTGGGTTATATTATCGCCTACGTTTCATTCATTCCATGGATCCACCGGCATTGCCGGGTTCGAGAGAAAGATCCAGATGGCCTTCAACCAGAAGCTCGATTATACTGGTTGCTATATGGTAAATGCTTTCTATCCATTAAATGCCACCTTACTAACACCTCACAGTGGCACCTCTACTGTCCATTGGTCTATTCGGGTTCGCGTGGACAAGTCTTGGCCCGCCTCAGGTCCACTGGATAGCCCCCATGATATTCTCCGCTCTGATCGCCATTGCCAATGTAAGATCAGCTACAGTCTTGTTCACATACGAAGCTAACCGGAGAGTCTCAAACAGTACGCAATTTACATGGCCACGGTTGATTATATGATAGCATCGTACGGACCATGGTCTGCCTCAGCGACAGGTGGTAACGGATTTGCTCGCGATTTCCTGGCTGGCATCGCAGCGATGTATTCTGTACCCAGTAAGTCTCCTACTCATTCTTACATTTGAGAAGACGTGCTAAGCGATGCGCAGTGTATGAGCACATGGGAACAAAACACCATCTAGAATGGCCTTCAACGTTCCTGGCCTTTATGGCCATCGTCTTCACCATACCGATTTACGTGTTCTACTGGAAGGGACCCTACATTCGTGAAAAGTCACCGTTTGCACAGACTGTGGCGGCCGACAGAAAAGCAGCTGGCCGCAGGGTTTCTCAATGTGGTTCTGGAGATCCGGATCCCGTCGAGCGGTATCTGTCACGATCTTCCAACGAAGCTTGTGCTCGTGCTCATGCTCATTATTGAGTGATATAGGCTCAGTGTACGTTCTTTTGCTTTATTGCTGACAGATCGATAAAACATTTAGAGATTTATGAGAGACAGTTTAGAAAAGAGAAGAACGAAAAGTTTGTATATTTACTTCTAGAGAAGAAATTGATTGCCCGTATTGCTTTTGACTGAAGCTACAAAAGAATTGTGTTCGTTATTCTCGTTCTATAGATGAACTTTGATAAGTTTGCTTGCCTCCTTGAGGAGGCGCGGGAACTGTGAGAATTTCAAGGTTGTCAATGATATGATGCAAGAATGCTATCACCCCGCTGGGGAGGCATGTCATGAAGAGCCACTCGGAAGTGATATCCGATCCGTGGAAGAATTGGGTTGAAATGATTGATATGTGTGAGTGTAAGTACAGTCTTGAACCAAGCAAGAGCCCGCTGACCACAAGGAGACAAGACAGTAATAAGACATTGCCGGATTTAGACCCCTTGATCCCAAGAAGTCTGGAGTTTCTGAACAGCATACTCGGTAGCCCAGCCTAAGTCAGCTTCCACTCCACGTAAGAGGTCCACTATAATCTGGTGTTCCTCGGCGCTCTCTAAGCATTGTCCGACGGCAATTAGAATCGGGACCATGAGCACACGAACGCCACCCTGGGGGCGACCTAAAGCAATTCCACAAACTTCACGAGAACGGAAATCGACCTCCTTCGTGACCTCTCGATAACCCTGCAGACGATCAAAGGCCGTAGAAGGCGCACTGATGATATCTGCCGGTCGATTGAGCAACAGAGCTATCCGTCCAAAATGATAGTGCTGTATGGCAGCAGCACTTGTTGTCAAGCTGTGGAAAATTTCAGGGAATGGCAGGTGTTTCCCTTCTGTAGTGCTAGAAAGATCCTTGGGGCGTTCAACCCGCACCGAAGAGCGGAAAGTTTCTGGTATGTTCTCGAGCCATGTTTGAAACTCGAAAGACAATTTGAGCCAGGTGTCTGTGTCGGGATATGGCGGTTGGCTAGCAGTCGGTGATAGCCCTTGGCTTTCAGGCGAAGTTGCTGGCGGAGACCCTGTCCACTGCGCAATCTGAAGCTGCTTCGATCTTGCGAGAAAGTTGATAACCTTTGTATTGAGCCAGATCAAACCATTGGCCGTTTGATCTTCCCGCGATAGACTTGATCCACTCTGGTTGAATACAAATTCTTTCTGATCATTGATCGTGATACCGGCCTTGCGCCAAAGAGTCAGATTCTCTGGGTCTAGATTCGTGGGGGATCGAGTGAAGTAGGAACCAAGATAATCCTGGCGAGCAAAGTTCCAGAATGCAGCGCGCATTCCATGCGAGAATAAAGCCGAAGTTGCTGTGTAAACCTTTGTCAGGGCCTCAAACAACGGGCGGATAGGAGAGAGTTGCCTGAAGTCAATGGTTAGTATGAGGAAACCAGGGATCTCGGGTCATTGAAGATTTCGGGGTCTGGGTGTTGCCAGTGACTTACATATGCCATTCATCACCAGGCATATCTAACAATCTGTACATGGTGAGGATGGCGGCTGTGGCTAGCATTTCTTCTGTTTTTCGGATTACAGCCACATCGTCTGGGTCTTCGCTCGTAGGCTTCAGGAGTAGTTGGTTCCGGGGAGACCTAATCCATCGATGAATTGTTTCGAAAGGTGACTCTAGGACAGCTGAGCTAGACACGGATGTGTAGCCGTCAGAAGTAAGGTTGTTCAGCTCTGAAGCTGCCAGGTAGTAGTAATTCGCTGCTTTAAGAAACCAATCCACCTGGGTCGCATTGGGGTAGACTTCGGTCGTCGCGGGGCTTGTGAAAATTCCGCCGTTCGGGGATGTGACACCCTTGACTCGTGCCAGATGCTTTGCTGCCAGAGCTGCGATGGCGTATTTCACAGAAGCGTTGTTAAGGGCTCGAATAGGAGCATACACGGTAAAGAACTTTCCCGCATCGGACAGATCCAGCCTAATGGAAGAATTAGAATACCGATCAAACCAAAACCTTGAATGATATATCATACCATGGACCGATAACCTCAGAATAATGCCTAGTGAGGAACCCAATTTCATGTTCGGTTCCAGTCATAAGCTCCGAGAAGATATCTTGGAATTCCTCCTTCTCGCTCCGGTGGGATGAGCTCTCTGAAGATTGCACTCCACGGATCCCAGGGCTTTGGGTCATATTTGAATTCAGTGTATGTTCAAATGTTGGGAATCCCCCAGAAGCTCGTGGGGAGATCGAATTGTTAACTGTGCCTGGCGTAGACACATTGCTTTCCCCGATGTCAAGGGGTTGATGAGGCGTGTATGTAGTATTGATTGCTTCCAAAGGATTATGAGTGTGTTCCGAGGACACATTCTGCTCGGTCCCTGATTGAGTAGAATCTGGCATGTCCGTTATCATTGGATCATCCCTTGAGACCAGTCTTGTCTCTTCCATTTGTAGATGGAGAGGGCTGTTTTGCTCTGGTGGCTGATTCCACTGCAAAATTTGCTGATGAACATTTGGCTGAGATTCTTCTAGGTGTTTAGATTCCGAGCTTTGCTCTATTGCTGCCTATTTCGAGATATGAGCGCATAGGCAGAATGAGATGGACCGGGAATCGGACATACTCTGCTTGAGGACCCCCCAGAGCCTGACCTTGAATGAGCATCTTGATATGGAGCATATCGCCGCCTTACTGTTGCTCCCTGGTCGATAAACTTGCGTGTCTGAACATACCCAGGGCAATCGACCCCCGCGGTGATGCACCGCTGGCAATGGGGACGTGCCTCATCACACTAGCATATGTTAGATAAGAGCAATGCAGCATCTGGATGATATATGTTTCACCTTCAGATGTCTCTTTTTGCATCGCTCACAAGCCTTGTTGGATGGAACACCCGGCATTGTGGAGTGGTTTAGTGGTCTTGAAGCCCTTGCTGCGTTTGGTGTTGTATCAAACTCCGTGACATTTGATCACAAACGCTCCAGTAGTTCAATCAATATCCATATTCCGATAGTTCCGATGAGTCCATGTTCATTTGAAAATGTGTAGAAACCTTACGGAGTAGAATGTGGCTAAATTGAAGGCGTGCACGTTGAGAAGAATGACTAATCCTTATCTCGGGATTTGTTCGAGACAAGTTCGGTTCGGGCGTGTGTACAGCCGTGTTTAGTGGCCACCCCGCTAATTTATATTGCCGGCAAAAGGTTAGTAAGCTGCTCCCCACGCCCGGGCGGGAACCCATATCGAAACAATCTTCAGGAATCATATTAGGGGAAAAGAGAAAAAGGGAAAAAGGGAAGAAGAAAAAAACAAGAAGCAATGGAGAGTGAATGGGAATTCTGCCCAGTCAGTAGTGCAATATCAAATCGTGTTTTTCTTGTTTGGAATGAGTTAGTTACCTCGTGGTGAGGCCGGATCCAGAGGCGGAAAGCCCATATTGTCGTGATGGCTCCTAAACCCGTCTGTATTGCATCATCGACACTTTTCCTTTGTACCTCCGAGTACTGTCGTCATTCCATCTCACACAACACAATGCTACGGACACCAGTTCTCGTGGAGCAGGGCAAGTCTCCGCCCTTGTTTCGATCGATTGAAGAAGATCTCGTCCCCAGCCAGATCCGCTGGGGCTCCATTTCCTCCACGCTGCCTGTTCTTTCAGGCCCAGAGCAGGTTCGTGTGTATCACGATTGGATCGGTCTGTCATCCAACAAATTATACCACGATAATATCTTATGAAAAAAATGCTGATATTTCCCAGATGCTGGACGGCCCCATAATATAGTTTGCTGGGAGTGCCGTCTACCCGACAGTCTGATTGGCTGTCAGACGTGCTGTAGATCCTACCACACAGCATGTCTCCAAGACGTCGTGCGGTCTGCAAATAATTTTCACTGCCCGTCTTGTCGGGCAAGATCTTGGGATCATGCTCCGCCTCAGTTCTCTACATTGTCTCCGGCACCAACCAGCACTCGGAGCGCTACCCGAAGCGTCCGTCCTTTGCAAACCCAGGATTTGCCATCAACAACAGGACCAACTCGGGATGATGAATCGCCACGAGGATCGCAGCGCAAGTCATCCGGGGTTCCAAAGATGACGCATCCTGCATTAAACCGACTTGATAAACCCAATGCTGATAGCACACCCGGACTATCTCCTGTCACAGAGATGTACCCTCAACTTTTGGAACATCTAGCCTTGCCACATGATGGCACAGACCAGGGCGCTCAGTTCAAAAATCAGTTGAGCTTGGCGATGCAAGAGATTGAATCTCACAGAGTATCAATGAGTGAGAAAGCCAGCTTGCAACAAGAATACCTGAGAATGCAAAAAGAAAACATGCAGATCAAAGCGTACCTCGATTCCGGATTGTCTCGCGAAGCCACTGCGGTTGCTAGCCCGTCAACAATCTCGCACAGCATCACAAGACCCCCGTGCAACGAAGCGGGCAATCCTGGGATAGCATTGCCCTTGACTTAATTTGACCGACTTCGCTTTACCGTGGTGAAAAGCAGGCGTCAGCACCATTTGAGCACCGTTTGAGCACCATGCTGCGCTTCAACACCGCAACCCACATCTCATATATTCTCAAGGTCGGCTCCTCGTGCAATCGCTATTCGAAACTAGCCCGAAGTCACCGGGTTCTGAAGAACCAAACTCGATGTTCTAGATGCATGGAACTCAATCTCCGCATTTCATATTGAACGGTTCATCGCACAAAGCTAATGTCACCTTCAGCCCGTCTATTCAACACGGTATAACGCGGAGAACGTTACATGACTAAACTTGAATACTTCGGCGGTGGCTTAATTTCGGAAATGACGGATGTGACCGAAACGCGCAGCAATTTCCCCGCAGCCAGCTCGGAGTAACTGAATCCTCGGACTGCATTGATCGACAGGCCAAAACTCCAAGTCTAGTTGACCTTTTGATTTGCCTATTTGGGTATATTCCATGAGCATCATTGCGGTTACTTCCGCTAGCCACTTTTCTCGAGGCTGTGGGTATTTGTACATTCACACAGATGTGACACCGTCAATTTAGCCGATGCTACGGAGTACATACAATCTCTTTGGATTGTCATTTGGCCCAGGATGGGATTGGCTCTTTCCTCGACAGGCAACTTACATGCCGATCAGTGCTGGAATGCCTTCCCCCGCAACTTTTCGCCGACCGGTAAATAAAGAGGTTCAACCCCTGGACGCGTTAATTCTTCAAGAGCTGGATGATCTGGCTTGTGGACGGTGAAACACTGATTACTGATCTCACCATGGCACCTTCATCACTCCGCATGGGGCTCCTGAGTGGAATCACAACCATCCTCTATGGGTCTAGCATCGTTGCCGCGAATGATCTTTCCAATGATTCTGATCTCTTGAAATATGTCGATCCCCTGATTGGTACAGCGAAGGGAGGTTCGTTATAGATCATATCAGATCTTTCAGCTGGCCAGTTCTGACAATTGCCCACAGGCCATGTTTTTGCGGGAGCTACTTTGCCATATGGTAAGATCTCCTGGCGACAATTCAGATAGGAACCAATACTGACAGACACAGGAATGGCCAAAGCAGTAGCAGACACGGCGGGCGAGAATCAGGCCGGCTTTGCTTATGACACAGAGGTTGTCACTGGTTTTTCTCACATGCATGACGATGGAACCGGTGGCTCTCCGTCTATGGGAAACTTTCCTATATTTGTTCAAGCGAATTGCCCACATGATGATCTCAATCAATGCAAGTGGCAACAGTCTGATAGAGCATCTGCTTGGGACAAAAAATCTGTTGAGGCTCGCCCGGGATATTTCGGCATCTCACTAGCAAACGGTGTTCATGCAGAAATGACAGCGACGAATCGATCTGCTCTGTATCGATTTAGTTTCACTAATACCAGTGAGGCACTCAGTCCGTTGATACTTCTGGATCTGATGGATCTGCCCCAGTCACGGGAAAATGGAACCGCCAGCGTTGACCCAGAGACCGGTCGTCTCACAGGAAGTGGTGTTTTTGCCCCCAGCTTTGGTATTGGAACCTACAAGTCCCATGTTTGCGTCGATCTCAAAGGAGCCGACCTCCGCGATACAGGAATCTGGGCGAAAAACAAAACCAACAGTGCAAGGAAGACGCTGGAACTCGGAAACAATCTGAATTCCAGAACTTCAGCTGGCTCATTTGTCAGACTCAAGGCCCCCAAAGGCGACAACATTCTTGCTCGCGTTGGAGTTAGTTTCATCAGTGTTCAGCAAGCATGCTCTAACGCGGAACGAGAGCAACCCGACTGGGACTTCGAGGGCACCGTTGCCGCAGCCGAATCCGCCTGGAAGAAGAAGCTGAATGTTGTATCCGTGGATGCAAGTGGTGTGTCATCTGATCTTCAAACAATTTTCTGGAGTGGGTTGTACCGCACAATGCTCAGCCCGCAGGACTATACGGGCGAGAACCCCCTATGGAAAAGCGACGAGCCATATTACGACAGCTTCTACTGGTGAGTCCAATCCCATCACGTACGATATTATCCACATGCTAATGCTATGGATGTAGCATCTGGGACTCTTTCCGTAGCATTCATCCACTGCTGACTTTGGTTGACCCCCAATCCCAATCCCTCATGATCCGCAGTTTGATTGACACGTACAGACATGAAGGGTATTTGCCCGATTGTCGCATGTCACTTTGCAAGGGAAACACACAAGGTGGATCGAACGCCGATGTCGTCATAGCCGATGGGTATTTGAAGAAGATTCCCGGTGTCGATTGGGATACTGCATATGAGGCTGTTGTAAAGGACGCAGAGGTCGAGCCACCAAATTGGGACGTTGAAGGCCGCGGTGGCCTTAAGAGCTGGAAGAATCTCGGCTACATACCATACCAAGACCATGACACAGATGGGAAGGGTACTCACACAAGAAGTGTCTCGCGGACTGTGGAGTATGCTTACAACGACTTCTGTATTGCTGAAATGGCCCAAGGCATGGGTCTTAAAGCCGACCAAGAGAAATACACGAAGCGATCTGGCAACTGGGCTCACGTTTTCAAAGCAGACCAGAAGTCAAGCATCAAAGGTGTCGACACTGGGTTTACCGGGTACCTTCAGCCTCGATTCATGAACGGCACATGGGCCTACCAGGACCCGATCTTCTGCAGTCCACTTCTGAACTTCGACTCTTGCTATCTTAATCCTGATGGCCATGAGACTTACGAAGGCAGTGCATGGATGTACACGTTGTATGTTGCCACTCAACTTTTGTTATGCGATCTTTTTAAATGCGTACTTCTGCTGACCTCAATCTACAGCTACGCACCCCATGATATGGGATCTTTGATCAAGACTCTTGGTGGCGCTGAAGCCTTTACCTCCCGATTGAGCTATCTCCACAGCTCCGGACTGCTCTACGTGGGTGACGAGCAAGCATTCCTACCCGTTTACCAGTTCCACTACGCTGGACGCCCGGGACTTTCGGCGAATCAAAGTCATTTCTACATCCCATCCCAATTCAACACGACCGTGAATGGTCTCGCTGGCAATGACGACAGCGGAGCCATGGGATCCTTCATCGTTCTAAGCATGATGGGTGTCTGGCCTGTAGCCGGGCAAGACGTCTACCTCATCACTCCGCCATACTTCAAGGAAGTCAGTATTCGCAACGATCTCACCGGCAACGTTTTCACCATTCGAAACATCAACTTCGACCCAAGCTATAAATCGATCTTTATACAAAGGGCTAAGTGGAATGGCAAGCCTTGGACAAAGAACTGGTTTGCCCATAAATTTTTCACGGAGGGTGGTGTGCTTGAACTTGAATTGGGTCCCAAGGAGAGCGACTGGGGAACTCATCGCGAGGATCTTCCTCCTAGTTTGAGCGAATACGAGTGAACTAAAAGTGGGGAATCTGATCGATTGGAGGCCATGGCTCTTGAGTCTCAATCCAAGGCTCTTGGTTTGATTTGTAGATGCCTCAATGCCTCTTATTTGAATCATCAATGGATACGGATATCAGTTTCATCTCGCCAGCTCAAGGAAGAGTGTAACCTCCATCGATAACAAGGTTCGCACCTGTCATATAACTCGATGCGTCTGAGGCGCAGAAAACGTAGGCCTAAACGGTAACGTCAGGACACTGCTTCAGGAACAGGAATCAAGTACATACCCCCTTTAACTCATAGCAATCAGCCATCCTCTTGGCAGGAATCATTTCAAACCACTTCTCGCGCCATTCCTTGGGGTGAATATCAAGAATGTCGGTAGCAATGAACCCAGGAGAGATACAGTTCACACGACAGTAGTCAACCCACTCGACAGAAAGACACTTGGCCAACTGAACAACTCCTGCCTTCGACGCGTTGTACTTGTTCTTCGTTAGCGAAAGTAGATGAATCTTCACTGCAATGAACTTACCGCGGCCTGCTTTTGTGGAACATTTACCAAGGTTGCACTAACAGAGGCTGTGAAGATTACATTGCCGTAGCCCTGTTCTTTGAAAATTCGACCGGCGGCTTGAGCAGAATAGAAAGCCCCATCCAGGTTCACTTTCATAATCTCGCTCCATTGATCGGCTGTGTAGTCTTCGGCGGCAATGTTCGAGACAATCCCCGAGTTGACGACCATGATATCAAGTTTCCCAAAATCCTTCACGATTTGCTGAACCACAGCCTCGATCTCAGGCTGGGCGCCCACATTGGCTTGGTAAGCTGATGCACGCACATTGTTGGAGGTTGCAATCTCGGCTGCAATTTGGTCGGCTGTTGTAGAGGTGTTGTATATCAACGCGACCTTGGGGGCATGAGTTTGCGATTAACAACCGAGAAATGTGTAGCTCACATTTGCGCCAGCTTCCGCCAGTCCTCTGGATACCTCGAGGCCGATTCCACGAGCGCCTCCTGTGTTTGGTCGTCAGTGGCATCATAGAGAAGCCATCTCAGATCACTTACCTGTGACAACCGCGACTTTACCGGTGAGGTCGAATGCCTTCATGACATGTTGATTTGGGGGCTGAGTGAGTACCATTTTGGTCTGTAGATATGGGGTGATGTTAATGATACTTGCTGTTGGAAGAAAGCAAATGCTGGAGATAGACATGGTTGTGTCCCCCGCATCGGGTCAACTCCGATAGGGGATTTGTGGTCCGAGATGTTGGATACACAATGCGAACTGATCTTCAGGGTGGTAGTGATTCCGTTTTGTAGCATAACTCAACACTTTTGTTCCTGGTCAAGTCGGCTATGGGGTTGAGTCGATGGTGATAACATAGCATGTTTGATATTGATGCCTGAAAAACAGGTTGTGGTCTTGATCCAGGAAGAATATGATACTTTGCCAACTCTACCTGTAAATCAACAGTGGGAGTGACTAAGATGATTCCTTCGATGTAGCGATGTCAGGATGTGTATCAATGTCGCGTGTCTTCTCACGGTTGTCACGTCTCGACAGGCGATGATTAACTTTCCTGAGGCCCTTGAAAAGACATTTGTTTTCACGGTTGAGCTCATAAGCCCATAGCAGAGCGAGGGCTTCAGTAGATGTTGTGCTTGCCATGCTGGAGGGGATGAAGAGGGAGAAGAGTGTGGCCCGCAGATGGGTCGAGGTTTGGAGCCCTGAAGGTGGGCTCAATTATGTCCGAGGCTTTTAGTGCCCACATCAAATACGATATGTGGCCAGGCAGAATATAAAATTGCCTGTCGTTGAAAGTTGAAGGTCTCTGTTCATATAATTGTAGCTAGAGTGAACTACTACGTATAAAGTAAGCCAGTGAATAGTGGCTATGTAAATGTCACTAGCTGATATACTACCGGGAAAGGGTGGACGAGCAGGATGAGGAGAAAGAAGGGAAGCAAGAGAGTGTAAGATCAAATTGGCGCTCTCCGAAAAGATCATACATTTGCCAAAATCGAAGAAATGATCTGAAGGGTGTGTTTGTTTCGCGTTGAAAGGACGCGGGTTTGACAACGCGACTTTCTCTTCCTTTTCCTCCCTCTTCCTCTTCCCAATCCTCTTACACTCTCGTCTTTCCAGTCACTCACTCGATTTTGTGACACACTTTCATTATGGCACCCAAGACTTCCACCCCTACCAAGGTGGTCAAACGGACCCCCAAGAAGACCCCGACCAAGCCTGGTCAGATCAGGGATACCGAAATGAAGAAGAACCTTTTGCTTCTCTGGGTCGTCTTCAAGACGTCTGGAGCTCACGTGAGAATCATCTGGGGCTTGTATACTGGTCTTTTGAAACGTACTCACATTCAGAATCCAGGTCAATCTCGCTGCGCTCTCTGAGCACTTCAATATCAAGCCCAATGCCGCCCAGATGCGTTTCACTCGCCTTAAGAAGAAGCTGGAAGAAATGGAGGCCGCTGAAGCTGAGAAAGCCGGTGATGCTCAGGCCACCGCTGCCAACGATGCCGATGCCGATTCCGATGAGGGCGCCGATGCAAAGCTCGACTCCGGCGACAGTGCCTAAGGGCTGACTGGGCAGCACAAACCCGAAACCATGAGAAACTTGTTATCAATGGCAGGTTACTCTCCGAGGACAAAGTGCGTGATGTCTTTCATTTCCCTGTTTCTGGTTTGATGCGTGTGTCTGGGCCTTAGCGCTTCAGAGGTGAATAGATCCAATCTACTTTCAGAGAAGTTTAATACAAATCAAACATGCCTTCCACGGCCCTTTACTTACTGCTCGTGTAGAACCACACAACAGAGGTGGGCCTTTGACTCTGATTGCGGCCCAGCAGGCTCATATACAAGGCCCCAAAGCAACAATCATTTGTGTCTTCGTGAAATTCACGTCCATTACTCAAGTACCTCGAAGCGAATCAACAATATGAAAAACCCACCCAGATAATGAACACTTAAAATTCTTTGGTTTTTATACGCTCAAGATTCTTGACTGGGTGTAGGAAAATGGGAGGAAGACAGAGTCGGGGGTTTTGCGTTTCCCACTGCAGCCTGTTAGCACGTATCACATATCACCAAGAATGAAAGATAGTCCCACCTCTGTGGCTCCATCATAACCTAGCCATGCTCTATAGAGCTTCTCGGCAAACTTGGAGTTGAACATGAACGTCGAGTTGAAAATGATGTCATCATGCTGGCCCCAACTCCAAATGCTGTCCATTCCAGCATTGACCTTGCCAGGCTCACCGGGGTTAGCACGACGATTCAATTCCACTGGATCCCATTTCGAGTCGTGGTAGATTGGGTGGGGAATCTGCACGGCTTTAAGTCCATAGTACAAAGCCCAAGAGATGGGTGACATCTCCGATGCAAGCCCGACTCCCAGCTGCACTTTATCTTTGTGCAAAAGAGCAAGTAGTTTTGAGGAAATACGCGACATGGCAACAACAGCTGCCCACCGTGGGGTCCCTTGGTCTTGGGGGAAGTTGAAGACACGATCACGGAAAGGCCAGTCCGTGCCAACTGGGTTGAAATGCGGCAGCCATGTGATGAGATCGGCTTCTTCGCCAACGCCCCAGGTGCCAGGCTCGTCTTCTGGATGCGCAACAGGGGGATTGGAGGCAGTTCCTTCGATGTCAATCCCTTCGGCTGGGTGAGGGCCCCAAATGCTATCATGCCCGGGCATTTCCTGATCCACCTTGTGGACGAACTCTTCCCAACTACCATGGACGTCGGGAATGTAGAAATGGGAATTGCGTTCCCATAAATACTTGCGTGGTTGTCGTTTCGCAAATTCGGTTGCGCGGTGCACTAGGTCATACATATGGCCAGTATATCGCGAGTCCATTTCAAATTGCCACACGTAGTCGTACTCGGGATGTAGTCGCGCAAAGATCTGCGTAGGCTGGAAGTATTGTAATATCGCCCTATGGATGCATGTCAGCAAGGCAATTCTGCAACATCCACCGCGAAACATACACGTGAACATCAATTTCTGGATACCAGTCTTTCAGCATGCTTGTGTTGAAGAACATTGCTAATCCCCATAGCTCCTGCGGTAAGTGTTCCTTTTTGAAGAGTTTCCAGGCCTGAGGATCATCATCCGCGGGCAGTTCTTCTTCCTGGCAATCGATCAACAGGATCACTTCATACTCTCCACCAGAGTAGAGTGAGAGCTCCATGACCATAGAGCGAATGTGGTACAAGTCGTTGTTGGTGTATTTCATTCCGAGCCACGATCGTAGAATAACAGCCGTCCGAGGCTGTATGAGGGATTCGGTAGAATTGACCGACTTTGGAGAATCGTAAGAGTCTGAATCCAGCGACTTGTAGAGAGCAACAGCTTTTCTGTCCGAGCTCTCTGCGGTGCGATATCTCATACTGTTGCGTTGCAGACAATCTTCTTGCAAGTTTGACCAGTTGACCATCCCCCAGTCTATCTCGGCAGCCTGGTAGGATCCAAAAGTGCCGTTCCAAGCATGGATTCGATTGTTTTCATCGCCCTGCTGAAGGCCATATGCGCCGTATCGGGAATATCGATCTGCGCAAAGAGTCTGGTTCAAATTCCATGACTCGTAGGATCCAAAAATTGGACTTGGGAAATCTGGGTCGATTGTTAGTACTTTTTCGGAGTTAGGAGGTTTGGGGATCGTACTGGAGGTGTTCCGGGCATATCCGCTCATCATCAAATCTTCATCGTTGCGGCTCAGAGGTCTTCCGTGGGGACCTACACACGCCTGATAGGAGCTTTTTGATGTAGACATCCATTGCTCCCCCTCATAATCCGGATAAGGGTCATTCACCACTTGAAAGTCATGAGAATACTCGGCAGCGTAATCGCGTGGAAACGGGTCCACGGGAATTCCTGCAGGGCTGAGACCAGTCAGAATGAACCTGACCGTGTGGCATGGCTTGGAACAGATGTTGCAAAACACAAGTACGGAGTGCTCACCTTGGCTTTTCTTTCAATGGTACTATCGCCAGAGCTTGTTCTCTAGTGTACGGAATCACCAGGAACGCTACCAGGAACAGGGCGGCGGCAGCAAAGCGGAGCTTCGGCAGTTCCAAGAGCCTCCGCAGCGCCACGAATATATGCATTCTTCAGGGAAAGAATCATGATGTAGGATAACGACGAAGCATTGGGGGGGTTAAGAAATCTCCAGGCGTAGCGTCTTGGCTCGGGGCCGGAAATCACTAGCTGTGCATGGTGGATATCGCCCATCGTGGGCAATTTGGCCAATGGTATTGGGCCGATTTTGCATACTGGAGACTTCCGAGAGGCCAAGACCGAACGAATGGCGAGTGATAGTGGAGGTGATATCTCTCTGTAGGCTTGGCGGTTCAAAAAACGAAGTAGCCTGGGAAGAACTGATGTTCTCAGGGGGAAATTCCATGGTCAGCCCTATCACCTCGCCCACCTCTCGGGATCTGCCGGATCTGCAATCTTTCTTTGGCATTTTTTCCCTCTGCGTAATTTTTTTTATTTAAAGTCAGATTGATTGCATGAAAATTTGTTGTTTGTGTTCACGGAATGGTATATTGACTTATGTACTTGAAGGGGATATCGTTATGTACTCAAACAAAAAAAAGGATGCTGGTCCAATACGACATGGATTCAAGCATCCCAACTTTCAATATGGTTACACGTGGTCGTCGCTTTCATGAAAGAGACTCGCTGGTTGCCGCTCGCCGACCCCATCCACTGAAGAAGCCACCTCCGTTCGTAGGAGGCGTCCCAAGTGTCTTGGGCGCTTCAGGGGGAGATTGGTTGGCCAAGTTGATTCGTGAGGTCGACAGTCCCACCAAAGAATGACGGTTATCAACCTTTGCTCCTTGAGGGGCACTGATCATCTTTCGTAATGAATCTAGTTTGCCCTTGACTTCTTCGAGTTCCTGTTTAGCCACTGCCTCGGCGGTTTTGGCGTTGACCAACTCCATGAGCAGCGCTTCATCTGCTGCTGGCTTGTTGTTCTCGGTCGACAAGACGGTTTGCAGACCCAAGCTACTAGTGCGTTTATTGTAGGTGGGGCTCTTCGTCTTGGTCGAATTGTTACGAGCAAGTTTGAGTTCGCGAAGACCGCTGGTAGGAGACTGTGCTTCGTCGACTGCGGATGAGGGGGCAGTGTCTGGAGGTGTGTATGAATCCGGGGTTTTGAGGGTACGCAACTCCCGGTTCATGCGCTCGAGTCGCTGTCGGTCACGGTAACCGTCCTGAATTCGACCACGGGCTTCCCGTAGCTGTTCCTTGAGGGACGAGTTTTCCTGCTCAAAATCGTCAATGCGACGAGATAGGTTCAGACAGCGACCGGCCTCCACTTCATGCATTTGCTTCCACCGAGTGACGTCGTCATTGAGCTGAAGTTTCGTCTGGGTAATGGAGATACGTCGAGGTTTTGCTGACTCGAAGCGGGCCGTGGCTTTTGCGACCAATTCTTCCGACTCTGCACTATTTGATTGCTCCCGGAGTTGATTCAACATCTCCTTGGCCAGAGCGTGATCTTCTTCACGCTCCTCTCTTTCTTGCTGGATTTCACGGGTGAGATCGGCTTGTTGACGCTGGAGATCGCTGAGCGCCATCAACAGGTCCTCGATTTGAGTGTGAAGATCACGGTCCTTGTGGTGTGAGGACATGGTGGACTTGACGCGTGACTTTTGGCCATCGACGCTTGCTGTGGCCCCAGATAGATCAGTCGCGGCAGTGCTGGCATCAGAGGCGGTTTCGATGGAGTTAAGGGTAGATGTCAAGCTTTGTTTCGAGGTGGATCGGCGTATGGTGCTATTCGTGCGTGGTGGGCTGGTGTTTGGATTGAGTGACTTGACCGAGTTATGGCTGTTGGACGAGCCTGCCCACAGGCGGCCGAGGAAACCAGAGGCCGTGGCTTGCATTTGTGACGCAGAGACTCCCGCTGAACAGCCTGTAGATTGGTTGTAGCTGGCTTCAAGGGTCTGCAGGCTCTCGTTGGTCACAAGAGAGGTAAGAGACACGAAATCATTTACGAGATCATCTGCATTGAACGCGTATCTGCACCGAGTTAGTAAAGTTAATTCGTCGCGTTTCGTCGTGTAAGACTTACGTATCCCACAAGCTTCGAGACAACAACAATTGCATGACGTCCTCAAACTCGGTGCAGGCAAGAATCCTCTTTTCGTTTCGCTGCATCAAGGAAAGCGCAACCCTCATCAGAGTCTCACAAGCGCCTTCCAAGAATATCACATCATAAATTCGAAGCAGCATTGGTAGGGGACAGGCGACGGCAAAGAATGACAAGAACCACTGCGATACATACACAGGCTCAACATGCAGTGACTCTAGATGTTCGAACAGGGCAGGTCGGTGACGTGCCAGCAGATTTTGAAACTGGTACACATGGAGATGAAGACCCGACAGATCCGGAAGGTAGCAAGTCCGCAGGTTGTAGTGATCCATGAGACTATTTCACGGGTTAGCATCAATCCATCGCAGTCAAGCTATTGTCAAACTTACCGAACAAGGACACAGAACGCCTCAGCATCGGTCATGTGCATAAGAAGCGGACCAACTACAAATCCAAGTCCTTGACAATACCCAATCTTGGTATCATAGAGACTGAAGCATCGCAGCACTCGGGCGAGCATTTGTTGACCCTCGCCATTAGGATCACGGAACATCTCGACATTGGGGAAGCTGCGACCGATGTCCTTTCCAATCAACCCATCATAAGGGCTGCTTTCACCCTGGAGTCGTTGAAACTCATTCAAAAGGTTAGGATCGCGTGCGCCCGCCAGGCTGGGCCACACCACACCTCGCAATGGAGGAGGCACACCCCCTTGGATCTTGTTGGAGGTCAATGTCGGCAATCGTTGAGCGGTTTGGTGGTAATCAGCGACAAGGGCAGCCCAGAACTCTAACTCGGTCATCGGAGGTGGTGGAAGCTGGGAGTATCGCAGCTCTGCCCTCGCTGGGTCCTTAATGAGCCGCTTGATCTGATGTAACGATTCGGAGCGAGATTGGCGCTGGTGGATCTTGCCGTGAGGAACATCGGGTATTCTTGATTTGGGGTTTGTAGCCAAGGCGTTGTTTTCTTGTTCAAGACGGGCGAGAAGCAATGCGGTTGACTATAATCAGGACAGGAATGTTAGTGTTCCATTCCAATTCCAGAAGCCGGCGCTGTCACTCACCTCATCCGATCCCTCTCCACGCGGTTCTTGCTCTTCCGTCTTATCGAGGTTCTCCCAGTCCACCTCCGTGTCAAACATCTCGCTCTGCTGTCGCTCGCCGTTCGCGCCTGGCGTTGGCATATCATCTTCCGGGGTGGGAGTTGTCCGCGCCGCGTCCTGAAGTGGCACCGGGCCAAAGGACTCCTCATTCTCTTGTTCCAGATGGGTCATCTCCACTGGGGTCGGGGGGATGTTGAGCGTGCACCAATCCGGCTGGGTGTGCTCTGAATTGGACTGTTTGTCGGACAACGCGACAGTAACCATTGAATCGTGGTTTAGCGCATGGGGGACGCTCGGGGATGTGGGTTCTGCTTCCATTGTCGCGCGGTGTACTCCGTACTCCGTTCTCTGTATTCAATATCCAGATATCCTCGATTCGGCGCGTAAATGTCGAATAAATCAAATCAGCTGCATGCTGTTGCAGGAATGTAGATGCAATGTATGTGAATACCGAAGTCTCCCGCTGAAATGCACAGAATCACAGTAGCAGTGGACCTTATGAGAGTCAATCCGAAGGCTGGAGAAAGAAAAAGGGAGTCAGGAGAGAAGCCCACCTATTTCGCTAGCCCCCCCCTTTAGCTTTCCCCTCCTGGAGTCTCGGCTCCGTCGATCATACACCGACTGTTTGACCAGTGAAATCAATATATTACTTTGTATACTATTCTGGTCTCAAAGCATGACTCAGGTCTTTCCTATACCACTTACAAACTACGAAGCACCGAGCATGGTACAGTGTTTACCATGCTCTATTCGGAGTCCAAAGTGTTTTCCAGGGGTCCACTGATCTCCAATTTTTGTGTATGGGTCCACTGTTTGTATACAACATTACAATGGGCTTGTAGCCAATGCCGGACAACAGACTGCTCTATCTTTGGCTTTCGAACTCTACTTGGGTCTGTCAATTTGCCGCGGTACGGAGTATTTGAAGACAATTTGGCATGCAGGTACATTTGTACGGCGGCATTTCATCTGCATACAACAATCTGAAACTCTGTGCTCTGTAATCCTGTATCAATTGGTTACGGTGAAGTGCCCTGATATAGGTTCACAAGGCTGTGATTGGGTGGTGGCATATCGTTTTCTAGTCTGATTGGTAGACATACTAAAGTCTCACCCGTAATACAGTTACCGTCCCCCTGCGGGCTCTCAAAGCGCTACAAAAAAAACAAGGGGATAGCGGCTGGTCTTAATTTAATACTGAGTACGCCGAATTCCCAGTTAACATGATGTACGGGGTACTCTGTACGGAGTACTCCGTATCAGCACATTGCTCCCCCTTACTCCAGAGTCTTTTGTGATCTGTGACCTCTGGGAGAGAGCACCAGGGTGAGTCGCACGTGACCTATTGATATGCTCTTATGTAAGTCGTGACTCATCTTGGTCACGTGCCAGACACCGAAACCTGCGATAACAGGCACAATGGTGGGAGATATCGATTTCAAGCACAGATTTGCCTTGCCTTGTCATTTGACCAAATAATTTCACTCGAAAGACGCCAACCTACTCACCAAATCCTCGTGGTTGAGCAAATTGAGCTTTTGAAGCCACCCAACATGGCGGACGCTGTATGTCACACCCTGCATGTCTTTTTACCGACCCTCCCACATTTTCTTTCCGACCCCTCGGCCGCCACCCATAATTACGCCTGAAAGAGCAAGACCGGGCTCTTTGATACCCATAACGCTTACTAGCTCATTTTCTTTCGTTCTCTCACAACTGACACCGCTTTTTCTTTTTCCCTTAGGAAATCGAGACTAAACAGCGTAAATCCGTTGCCTTCAGTGAAGGTTCGGTCATCATGGATACCAACGGCCAAGTTACAGACGCTCCCCCGGCTGAGAAGCCCACTGGCGGTACGAAACAGCTCCTCAATTCCGATCGCGCATTCGAACTAACGCTTGAAACTGTATAGAGCAAGAAGTCGATGAGGTGACTGAAATGTTCAAGGGTCTCTCAAAGAAGAAGAAGTCCACCAAGAAGTCCAAGACCGAAGCCGGCGATGACGAAGAAACCCCCCGCTGCCGACGGCGAGTTCGACCCCTCCGCCCTGAAGAAGAAGAAGAAGAAGACATCCAGCAAGTCCAAGGCCCCCAAGGACTTTGACGCCCAGCTCGCTGAAGCCGGTGTCGACGACGATGAGGCCGCCGAAGAGACCCCCGAGGAGGTTCCCGAGGGTGACCCCGAGGCTGGTACCGGCATCTGGCAACACGATGCCACACAAGTCATCCCCTACGCCCTTCTCGCTTCCCGCTTCTTCTCCCTCATCCAGAGCCACCACCCTGATATGCTCTCCGGCGGCTCCAAGTCCTACAAGATTCCTCCTCCCCAGTGCCTGCGTGAAGGAAACCGCCGAACCATTTGGGCCAACATGAGCGAGATTTGCCAGCGTATGAAGCGTTCAGACGACCACGTTATGCAGTTCCTCTTCGCCGAACTTGGTACCAGTGGCAGTGTTGACGGTAGCCGACGTCTAGTCATCAAGGGTATGTTTCCTTGAGAGAGGCTTTTGTGTCCAGGCTCATAATTCTGGTTCCATTTACTAATCTCCCATTAGGCCGATTCCAGCAGAAGGGTATTGAGAGTGTTCTGAGAAAGGTACCGATACCCCCTCTTCAAAAGCTTCATGGGGAACACGCGCTAACAAACAATCTAGTATATTGTCGAGTACGTCACTTGCAAGACCTGCCGCAGCCCCGATACCGAGCTCAGCAAGGGAGAGAACCGTCTGTACTTCCTTACCTGCAACGCCTGTGGTTCTCGTCGCTCCGTCGCCGCCATCAAGGCTGGTTTCCGTTCCCAGATCGGCCGCAGAAAGCGCGTGGGTTAAACGAGCTGGAATTGTTGGTATCATGTGTTGGGAAAACATCGCTTATCTCTTCTTTATGGCGTGTGACTTATGAGAGCTATCTATGGGGCTGAAAATGGGTCCCAGCTCTTTGCTAATCTCCAATTGTGGAGTTTACGAGACGAGCAAACGATACGAAGAAAGGAAAATAGTTTCTGATGAAATAGACTGGTATTATCACATCCTTTCGCCCCAGCCTAGAATGTTAGGCACTATTGAATTAAGCACAAGCTACATAAACACAATGTTGGCGCATTGCAGACCATACGCCCTGGAGAAGCGCCATTCCCGAATTTGAATGCACTAGAATCCACCAGACTGGGATCGTCTGCCATAATCGGGGAAGAATCCCAGGTTGAGACAGACGAACCGTCGGAGAATGATGAAAATCAACTGCTTGATAACTAAAATTGTGCTGTGAGACTCACACTTCCCTGATGATCCGGTGTTCTGATCTCCAACAAGTGAGCAACCCTGGAAATACGATTGCACAGCCCCCAGTGGACCAAAAGAGAGGTCTAAAGGCCAAAGGCGAATTTTGCTGTCCTGTGAGACCTATATAGGTTCTGGTGTTTTACGCTGCTCCCCTGCTTGGAAAAGTAGGTATTCATAAAGGTGTCTTAGCTTTTCCCATGCGGGAGGGGCTTGGAATGGGGGAGAGGTCTCTACTTCAATTGACCTCTTGTCTATTCCGTACTTTTCTATCATACTCACGCCAATTTCACAAAGTAAACTGTCAATTCAACCTCAAGAACCACAGTTCTGCTCTAGGGCAGAGTTTGTGTACTTTGAAACTATGGGTCGGCAAGCAGACTTCCAAGGTTGGGATATAGTTGAGTTTAGTATGCCGCATGGTACTCCGTATATGCATACTCATCTACTCTATACTCCGTGGTTTGATATGTAGCACACACTGATGAAAAGTCCAAGCAGATAGCAAGGTCACCCGCTCATCTCCATAACTTTGTATACAGGTAAGACCGCAGGCTGTTTTTAAGCATCTCATTCCCTGGCCCCAAAGTTGTTATCTTGCTTGGTAGCAAACGGTGCCGATAAAATAGATCGTCAAGCGCTCGGGAAACTGCTTAGATTGGATTCATGGATGTACATAGCAGGTCTGAACCCTTGGAAGCACCAGTAGCTGGCCTATATACAATGGTCAAAACGCAAGGGTTACAGGGTTCGACCCCTAGATGGCCTCGTGACTCGCTTTTGTACCTGTTCACATGATTTTGGAAGTCAGGCTCCAGGGCTCACTACAGAACTTCATTGACTATCAAATTTGGAATAGTCCAAATATTTGTGCCACACCTTGGAGTCTTGGAGTAAGTGAGTAATGAACATAGGACGAACGTTAACTCAGCCCTCACAAAGCCAACACTGCAGGTGGCCTGCTCATTCTCATCGCCACGATATCTCTCCCTTGGTCAGAAATGTCTAGCTCTATGGTCCGGGTATCAGAGGTGATCTGCTGAGACATGCTGCAAGTCTATCCGTACGTTTGCGGGTTAAGATTTCTGCACTGAAGATACCCGCTGTCAAAATCCACGCGACTATATATAGATCCCACCTCATTAGCGATCCAAATTGATAACGTATGCGATTAGACACCTGGAAATGAGCGGTTGGTAAGCTCAATCTTAACCACCCGAAAGCAAGACTAATGTGATTCAAAAATAAATTTGAAATAACCCCATATGTCCAAACACGCATCACCGCAGAGCTGAACCGTCGTTTGTTGGTAAATTTCCTATTTGGGACTGACTTGCAGGCGGTGAGGAAGAAGTATGATCCGAGTGGCTACAAACTGCCCACCGCCCTGAAAGTCGGGGCAGTCGCGTATCGGGCAAAAAACAACAGAGCGCTTCCCCTCTGCACCTCTCACTCGTTTCATCTGCTTTTCACCATTTATCGGCTTGGAGCAGGTCGAGTCTGGATTGCTTTGCAATTTAGACATTCCCATTTCAACCCCAGAATCAATCATCATTTCCAACCTCAGCTAGAGTTCCGCACATCCTTCTTTTCCCGTTCAGTTCATAAATTTCCACACCGAGCCATCATGGATGACTCCATGATGGACGACTCAGTCTTCGAGGATGAAGCGAGTGGCTCTGATTTTGCGCCCGAGCCTGCGCCGGTAGGAAGCACATGCAACGCCCTCAGATGTTCCCTTTACTGACTCGGCGCGTCTCCAGAAACCCAAAGCTAAAGCGGCGCCTAAGAAAGCCGCCGCGAAGCCTGCCGCCAAGAAGACTACCCAGACGAAACTCAACATGAAGCCTGCTGCGAAGTCTGCTGCCGCTAAGAAGAAGGCCCAAGACGACAGCGAGGGTGACTCTGATATTCAAATTTCGGACAATGACTCTCTCTCACAAACACCACCGAAAGCCAAGAAAGCAGCTGCCCCCAAGCGCGCGGGCTCAAAGCCTCTTGGCGATATTGAGAATGAATCTCACGGCGGAGATACCCCAGCCGACGACGCAGACAAGTCTGGCAATGCCGCAGACAAGTATCAGAAAGTGAGTCCCTTAGCAAACAGGGAACGAGAAGAGAGATGAGGTGCTAATTTAGATTTCTTTCTAGCTCACTCAACTTGAACACATCATTAAACGTCCTGATACATACATCGGATCCACCGAGCGCACCACGCAGCAGATGTGGGTTTACAATTCATCGACCGAGGTGATGGAGTTCCGCGATGTCTCTTTTGTTCCCGGTCTATATAAGATTTTTGACGAAATTGTGGTGAACGCCGCCGATAACAAGCACAATGACTCGAACATGAGTGAGATGCGCATCACAATTGACCGCGAGGCGGGTGAGATCAGTGTGTGGAATAACGGACGTGGTATCCCCATTGAGATTCATTCCAAGGAAAAGATCTACGTCCCAGAGCTCATTTTTGGTCACCTGCTCACATCTTCCAACTACGACGACAGCCAGCAAAAGGTCACTGGTGGTCGTAACGGTTTCGGTGCCAAGCTTTGTAACGTTTTCTCGACGGAGTTCAGTCTGGAGACCCAGGATTCCCGCCAGAAGAAGAAGTACAAACAAACATGGACTGATAACATGACCAAAATGGGCAAAGCCAAGATCACGGACGCCAAGGGTGATGACTACACCAAGGTCACCTTCAAGCCAGACTTTGCCAAATTTGGAATGGAGGGGATTGACGACGATTTCGAATCTCTTGTCAAGCGCCGAGTTTACGATTTGGCGGGTACAGCGAGCGTTGCTGTCAAATTGAACGGCTCGCGTGTTCCCGTTCGTGATTTCCGGAAGTACATGGAGATGTACACCAAGGCCATCCGCAAAGAACGTGGTGATGAAGGCCCTCCCGCCAAGAACGAAATCATCACCTGTAGCCCAGATCCTCGATGGGAGGTTGGTTTTGCTGTCTCCGATGGATCTTTCCAACAAGTCTCCTTCGTCAACTCCATTGCGACAACGTCAGGTGGAACCCACGTCAACTACGTCACTGATCAGATTTGCAATCGCCTGGCGGATCAGGTGAAGAAGAAGAACAAGACAGGAGCGACATTGAAAGCGGCGCAGATCAAAAATCATCTATTCATCTTCGTGAAGGCCTTAATTGTGAACCCGGCCTTCACCTCCCAGACCAAGGAACAATTGACGACCAAGGCCAGCCAATTCGGTAGCAAGTGCGTTCTTGATGAAGAATTTTACAAGAAGGTGCTGAAGACTGAAGTCATGTCCAACATCCTGCACTTTGCGGAGCAGAAGGCCGACCAGATCTTGAAAAAGGGTGACACTGGCCGTCGCTCGCGTATGAATAACCCTAAGCTGGTTGATGCCAACAAAGCTGGTACTAGGGATGGCCACCGTTGCACTCTCATTCTGACTGAGGGTGAATCAGCCAAGGGATTGGCCATGGCCGGCAGAGCAGTTGTCGGTCCGGACTTGTTTGGTGTTTTCCCCCTGCGCGGAAAGCTCCTGAACGTCCGTGATGCCTCCTTCGACCAGATCTCAAAGAACGTCGAGATCCAAAGTATCAAGAACTTCATTGGACTGCAACACAAGAAGGAATACACAGATACAAAGGGACTTCGGTACGGTCATCTAATGATCATGACTGATCAGGATCACGATGGCAGTCACATCAAGGGTCTTCTCATCAACTTCCTCCAAGCTCAGTTCCCCAGTTTGTTGAAGATTCCGGAGTTCTTGATTGAATTCATCACTCCTATTATGAAAGTATGGAAGGGAGATCCCAAGAACCCGACCAAGCAAAAGTCGTTCTTCACCATGCCCGAGCACGATGCTTGGCATGAACTCCACAAACACGAACGTGGATGGGAAAACAAGTACTATAAGGGATTGGGAACCAGCACTACAGAGGACGCTCAAGTCTATTTCCGTGATCTTGATCGTCATTTGAAGGAGTTCCACACAATGGCAGATGGAGAGTCACAGCTTATCGAGCTGGCCTTCTCCAAAAAGAAGGCAGATGAGCGAAAAGAATGGCTTCGTCAATATAAGCCCGGAACCTACTTGGACCACTCCGTTGACAAAATTTCGTACACGGATTTCATCAACAAAGAGTTGATTCTGTTCAGCATGGCGGATAATCAACGTTCCATTCCCTCTGTCGTCGACGGCTTCAAGCCCGGTCAGCGAAAGGTGCTCCACACCTGCTTCCGCCGCAATCTCCAGAAGGACATGAAGGTCGTCGAACTGGCTGGTTACGTATCTGGAGGCACCGCCTACCATCATGGTGATGCATCCCTCCAGCAGACCATTGTCGGTCTTGCTCAGACTTTTGTCGGCTCCAACAATGTCAACTGCCTGGAACCCAGTGGAAACTTTGGTAGTAGACTCCACGGTGGTAGCGACGCTGCTAGCGCTCGTTACATTTACACTCGTTTGTCTCCATTCGCACGAAAGATTTTCCACGCTGCGGATGAACCTTTGCTTGTCTATGGCCAAGACGATGGGAAACAGATTGAACCCGAGGTCTTCATGCCCGTGGTGCCCATGATTCTGGTCAACGGTGCAGATGGTATCGGTACTGGATGGAGTTCCTCCATCCCCAACTACAATCCCGAGGACATTGTGGCCAACCTTAGGCGTCTCATGCAAGGCGAGGCTACAGAGCCTATGCAACCTTGGTTCCGTGGATTCACTGGGGAGGTTGTCGCAATGGGTGGCGATCGATTCAAATTCAGTGGTATCATCAGGGAGTGTGGAGACAAGGAAGTTGAGATCACAGAGCTGCCAATTCGTACATGGACCCAGGATTTCAAGGACAAATTGGAGGATATCATCAAGGCTGAAAAGGTTCCTTCTTTCATCAAGGACTACAAGGATTATAACGATCACACCAAGGTCCACTTCATCATTCAACTTGACGAAAAGCACATGAAGGGTGCCTTGAGTGAAGGCTTGGAAGAGAAATTCAAGTTGACCAAGTCCATTGCCACAACTAACTTGGTTGCTTTCGACCCGGAGGGTCGCATCACCAAGTACGCGACCGTTGACGATATTCTCAAGGAGTTCTTCGTCATTCGCCTGAAGTACTATGAGCGCCGCAAACAGCACCAACTTGCCGCTATGCAGAAGGACCTGGAGAAGTTCAGCAACCAGGCTCGCTTTGTGAAAATGATCATTGATGGAACCCTTGTCATCTCTAAGAAGAAGAAGCCTGTTCTGGTCGTCGAATTGAAGGAGAAGGGTTTCAAGCCTATCTCCAAGACGGCCGAAGCTGCCAAAATGGGTGAAGATGAACCTGTGGTCGAAGAAGGCGAAGAGTCGGAGGATAATGACACCCAAGCCCTATCGGGCGCCTTTGACTACCTTCTGGGTATGCCTATGTGGTCCTTGACCCAGGAGCGGGTGGAGAAGCTCCTCCGCCAGATTGGCGACAGGGAGATGGAGATTGATACCTTGATCAAGCTGTCTAAGGAGGACATCTGGAACCGTGATCTGGATGAGTTCATCAAAGAGTGGCGCTCACAGCTTGAGGACGAGGATCGTCGTGCTCGCAAGGCCGCTGGCTTGACTAGCCGTCGCCGTGAATCGACGAAGTTGCCCACCGCCGGTCGCGCGGCTGCCTCACGCAAACGCAAGGCTGCCAATGGTGACGACCCCGAAGATGAAGACTTCGGTGCACCGAAAACGAAGAAGGCTGCTGCGGCCAAGAAGAAAGAGCCCAAGGCCAACAGTCTGACGGCATTCCTCAGCAAGCCATCAGCCAATCCAAGCCCATCTCCTGCGGCAGGTGGAAGCGGGAACTCAGATGATGATTTCGATATGGACATGGAAGTTCTCCCCAAGAAAAGTCGTGCCGCGGCGAAACCCAAGACTCAACCTAAAGAAGAAGACGATTCCTTTAACATTGACGAGGTGCCCCAAGCCTCGAGATCATCGGCTCAACCAAGCTTTGATCCATTCAACATGGATTCCGACATGGATATTGACGAGCCCCCAAAACCCAAGCCTGCCGCAAAGGAAGCTGCCAAGCCTGCCGCTAAAAGGGCACCCAAGGCCAAGCCTAAGCCAAAGGTCGACGAAGAATCAGATGACGATTTCTTGGATATTGCCAAGGAGACAGCCAAACCTGCAGCATCCTCTCGCGCCCGAAAGCCAGCAACCTATGCAGTGCCTAGTGATTCAGAGAGTGACAATGGTGATGATCTGCTTGGAGATGTAAGCCAGATGGTCAAGGGCATTGGTGGCGACTCGACTGCTGAGTCTCGCCAGCTCTTTTCAGAGCGGCCCCGCTCCGAGAGTGCAGCGAGTTTGAAGGCTGCCATCAGATCTCCGTCCAAGGTGAACGACGAATTTGACCCGGACGAGACCGATTACAGCAAGCTGATCCCTCAAAATTCCCCGCGCCGCTCTATTCAAGTCAAGCCTAAGGATCCAAAGGTCGACAATGAAGCAGATGAGGACGATGATGAGGACGATGAACCAATCAAGCCAACTGCCAGAGGCAAGGCCGCTGCGAAGCCCAAGGCCGCTCCTAAAGCTGCCCCCAAGTCCAAGGCTGCTCCGAAGGCTGCTCCGAAGGTTACTTCAGAAATTGTCGACCTTGATGATGAGGACGAGGACGAAGAGGTCGTCAAGCCGACTTCCAGGGCCAAGGCCGCCCCGAAGGCCGCTGCCGCCGCCCCAAAGGTCCGTGGTCGACCCAAGAAGGAACCGGCCGCTAAGCCCGCCCCCAAGGCTGCTCCTAAGGCTGCCGCTTTGTCGCCAGCGGCCAAGGGCTATGCCTCCAAGCAAGCCAAGAAGAAAAGTGCCGATGACTACTCAGAAGATGACATTGACGCCATGGCCAACGACATACTGGATTCGCCAGCAGGGAAAGTGAATGTCTCCGATGACGAGCCCGTTGTCGCACCTCGTCGTGGCGCTGCAGCCCGCCCCGCTCGTCGTGGTGCCGCAGCAAAGAAGTCATATGTCATTGAGGATGACAGCGAGGATGACCCACTCGCTGATGATTTCGATGACGATGAAGACGAAAGTGATTAAACAGAACTCAAGTAGTGAGGCCCCATGCCTTTTTTTTTTTTTTACCTGCGTTGCTTTCTATCGTGTCCTACTTCGACTATATTCTGTTTCCTTTTTATTTGCAATTTTTAGTTTTAGTTTCATGGGTATCTTAGGGAGATCTAGTCGAGCCTAAATGGCGAGTACGGTTGTTTAATCGAATTTGACTATTCAAAGTGCCCCTGGCTCAATGACTAGTATGCTCGAAATGCTACTGGTCACCTCTAGACTACTTGAGTAGAGACTGGACTTGGAAATTCGTAGATTGGCCTCTCAAAATTTGCTAGATGTCGAAAACGAAGAATAAAAGCAAACGCCATCAACGCCAACAAGAGGCCTGGAAACGCCCAATTTCCCTGAAATGCACATATTTGCTGCCGCCACCCAAGATCACCTCTCGTCCTCCAAACACCACGCAAGTTTCCCAGTCATCAGATCAATGCCTTTTCAAATGGAAGCTCGGCGTCGCTTGGTACCCCGAGGCAAGTCACCATGAGAACGAGATTTGATATGTGAACGGGTGGTGCCCTTCTCGTCAACCTCGGTCTCAGCTTCGTTGCTCTCAAGCTCATTCTTATGCAAATGAAGAAGAGCCTCTGCAGCCTTGACCTCGCGAGCAAAGCGAGTGGAGCACGGAGGGCGCGAAGGTCTAGACTTTCGGCTTGGGTTCTTCTTTGCCTGCGGACTTGGACTGGCCGAGGTGGCCTTGCTTTTGTATAGTCCACCGAAAGATTGCTTGCCCGAACCACGATAATCCTCGTCATCATTGTCATCATCCATTGTCCAATCTTCATCCGAGTCCGTGAGGTCAGAATCACTTCGTCGAGTATCAATATCGGAATTCCCGTCGATAGCCATCTTTTCCTCCATGTTGATGTCCAGAGAGGGACAGTTCGGTGTGGAATACACATTCGAAGAGCCGTCGCTATCGGTGTCACTTTCCTCGCTCATCGCACGGGATTCATTCACTGGGCGCATAGCATCAGAAATGGCGCGGATGAGAGTCTTCGGAGACGTGACTCGAGTCCGAGGTGGATCGTTGATGCTCCGCGGGGGGTTGACAGGAGTGAATGTGGAACAAGGAGACTGGCTCTTCGGTGAGAGCGAGTAAGGCTCGGTGGACGAGTCACGGGCACTGGCAATACTGTCTGCGTATCTGTGGCGGGGATACTTGATCGGAGCCAGCTTTACGGAAGCTGCCTCGTCATTGTCAAAGCTCTTCATCTCACGAACTTGTCGGAATTTCGGAGCTGGGGCAAGCACGGAGCGTGGTGAAGGTGTGTTCTCTAGAGAGCGGAAGTAGTTTGCCTGTTCTGTGGCAACACGTGTGATCTCAGTGTCAATGACCATGACACCGAAGCGCCTCTTGTCCTCAGGATCGATACACATGGCAGGGAAGTCGGGTCCAAACATCGGGGTCAAGGCGTGTCGAATCTTCCAGCAGAATGTTGCTGCCAACGCTTTCGCAGCATGGTAGGGCATCCAGTAGCCTGCACATATTGAAGTCAGTAAGATAGCTATAAAAGAGGGGGAGAGAGAGAGTATCACCCACCCTGAGCTAAAAGTGCTCCACCAGTGATACTGTGGCAGATTTCACGAAGGCCGTTATTCTGTGCGAGTACTCTACCCGGTGTAGTCTATGAGGAAGGAGAAAGGTCAGCTTGAGACTTGAATGGGGAAGATTTGCGGACCGACCTTAGAGTAGCCGTTGCATTTGAACAAGTGTGTCATTCGAACGATGCCAATGTTGTAGTCCCACAAGACATGCCATTCCTTTTCTTCGCCGGGGACCTGAAATGTGTACTGAAAGACTGCAGATGAGTTAGATTTGCATGCTATGCCAAGCGAGTAATGCATACCATTAAAGCTATCGCGGCCAGTCCTCTGCTGAAAGGTCTTCTTCTCACTTGCATACGGGATTTGACGAGGAAAATCCGCAATATTGCCCATGGGGCGCAGTCTGAACTGCTTATGGTGCTTTGCTAGCTCCTCATCCCGCTCCTCGTATGGGGGAAAGCGACAAGTGCCCTGGATCTTACCCGGAAGAAAGACTGGGGCATCCTTGGGCACTTTGCGAGGCTTTTGGCTGGAGGAAGAGCCACACAATGCACCCCGAGCCGGGCTGTCCGGCTGTGGGTTTAAGAGAGACTGGATAGGAAGCATGGATGGTAGATCCAATCAAAGTATGAGGGTGTGTGTGCTGAGAGCTTGGTAGAAAGGAAAGTAAGGACGTTGACGAGAGAGGAATACGAGTCGGGAGGGGGCAAGAAGCAGCTTAATGTCTGAGTGGAACATCCGTTTTTTTTCTAGAAGGTCTGAATGTTCTGAAAGAAGAGAGTCAAACCTCAGAGACAAAGTCAAGCAAGAATCCCAAACCTTTGTTTAAAGGTTCCTGCTGAGGGTGAGTACAGGTGTTTGCTGGCACATTCTGACATCGAGGAAGTCAAAGGAACGGTGAAAGTCCAGCACTCGGAGTGTCTGACACTCGGATGGCCTCACCGGTACTTCATTGATTTTATCACAGTTGGACGAGTCCCCAAGCTGTTTGTCTTCTCCTACGCGTGGACATTGGATCCCAATCATCTTCGACTTTGGACTGGCTACGGTGTAGTGTGAACATATCCAGCCTGGTAACCCAATACCGGTGTAATAGAGAAAGACTATTTGAGACCTACGTATGTCTTTGATCTTTCGATACATTGCCTGTTTCATTCGTATGACTGCGACTACCCTGTGTTAAAGGGCAAAGCATAGCCGTTTCAGGGACCATGTGGATATCCTATAGATCTTCTTTTGCAAATGCAGATACACCGCTGAGCAGAGTTTGACTGAAGTAACAAAAAAAGGGGCACTACTTTTACTGGATTTATCATACTTGCTTTTCATCTTCCTGTGCTAGCTTTGCAACATGTACTTCAAGCAATAGCCCTCAAGCCCAGCCATTTTTCACCCTATATAGTTTGTTCATAAGCGCATCTGGTAGAACCATGTCAGGTTAATCTTGGCATTGTACTAGGGTCAAGGAACTGCAGCAACCGGAGCATAAGGATACCAGATTCGGGGCCCAATAAGAGGCCCCATACCCCATGGTGGCTCGACAGAATGGGCATCAAGAGGTCTCAGATCCGCGGCAAGCTGCAGAGAGACTCACTCCTTGTATAACGGGAGCCTGCATTTTCTGGCGAGTCTGTCCAGTGCATCTGAGAAAAGCTGTGCTGCAAAAGATAAACTTCTGACGGGATCAAAGGTTCTAGGGAATGGACAAGGATATCTCTTGACTGGGGTATATTACACGCTGCAATGCCATGCTCAATGTATACTGCGCGCCAGTGTGATGGGAACACAATGGCTAGTATAGCTGACCGATACCCAAGTGCGTTTGGGCAGTAGACGGATGGGGTAAAGCTGATTCTCACAGACAAACCAAATTCCATCTCACCACCAGCCATAAGATGATTGGTTTCAACGGACCAGCTTCGACCTTCTGCTTCCTGTTCCATCTTCTTCGGGCCTTTTCTGTCAAATCAGAATTTCCAAGTGGGTTTCCACTCCGCGAGTCTGAGCATCCGTAGACCGCTGCTTGGAACGAGTCTGGGGGCTTGCATCCGTCAGAGACATTCTCCGGGGGTAGAGACAGCAAAAACCGCTCAAAGAATGTTCCATGCAGGCTTCTACGCAGAAGTCCGACACGTTGGTGGCTGTAAATCCACTTTTTTTGTTTGACATATCCATTTTTCCTCCTCCCCCAGCTCAATGTGACCGGCATAGTGCCACACTGACTTCTGCTAGCCCACCTTGTACTCTCCAACGGTACCCACCTATCCGCCCGATGCAGCCTGTGGAGTTTTCAAAGGTACCAGAGAGCCGTCCGCCAATCAGTCCCGGGCTGGGGAAGTGGTGCAGTGCACAGCAGGAGAAGAAAAAAACGGTGCATATAGTGGCTGCCAGGACGTTATACAATTTAGCCAGAGTTGAAAGAGATCGAGGACCAAGTGCCATGTTTCAACACAACTGGTCTGGTTCTAGTTTTCGAGGAGGGCTCAATCGCATTGAAGGTCCACGACGTCCAAATGAGACGAATGAGACGAATGACCCAGAGGAGAGGCTGGGTTTCCAATGTCTTAGACACTCTGTCCGTGGCCAGGTGCCTCTCTAAGATTCTAAAGAGCGGTAAGCCTGAACATGTGTGTCCCTCAACATCTGCGACGCGTCTCAGATCCCGAGCTTCTGGAAAAGGGGCAAGAAACATGTCTCAATTGGGATGCTGCTGTTGGTGTTCAGACCTTTCGGTGGGCTCGTCTTCCCCTTCGGCTCGGGCAAGTACTATCGAGTGGGAGAATTCTCTCTTTCAGATTTTGTGAGAAGTGTCTCATTTCGCTTACATGCTAGAAAGAAGAAAATGATCATTCTATCCCAGCATCCAGTCACGGAAATAGTCTCATGAAAGTACCCGACGAACGGTGAACTAAAGAGCGGTATACCCTCCATGAGGCAGGACTCGATAGCAGATCTAAGTTTCAGCCAGACGAAGGCTTGAAGCCGATCTCAAAGAGGTCCAGGCCTCGGCCAGTCGAACATTGAATATCAGACCCGAACCCCCTCAGATGCCATGGAGTGTCAGGCAACACTGTACCACGGGCCTCGAATCTGGGGTATATGGGGGAGAGGAAGATCCGAGCACGACTGAACAAGGCAAGTCTTCGAGGGAAGGAAGCACAACGATGGGAAAAGAACCGTCGTCACAGGCCGGTCCGAATCGCGATGCGGCGAATAGGGAGCCGACTCGGTGGACCGGGATGAAACTCAACGGCTGCCTTGCACTCAACACTGAGGCATGCAGATGAACAACTACCCAAGTGGGCTCTAGCTTTGGCTCATCCGTTTGGTTCCGAGAAGCCACGGATTAAGCTTGATTCCATTACGGTTACTACAATATCCGGGGGCACAGTAGCCGAGGTCCCTGCGCAAGGCTTGAGGACCCGGACGTGCTTAATTGGGGATGAGTATGGAGGTATGTAAATCTGATTCCATTAGAAACAATATCAACCCGAGAAAAACATAGACAGGGATGTTGAAAGAAAAGTGGACATGTAAAGATGCCCGGGGGATGTGAAAGGGAACCGGAGAAAAATAATGAGAACGAAGAGGGGAAGGGGGAGGGTAAGAGAATACATGAAACATGAACGCTAATCGCTCAAGAATCTTGCATAACTTTTGATTCGTCGTGGGCATGAAGATTCAGCTTGGTAAGAATGCCTCGAGGGACCCGTAGTCCGCGGGCATCCCAAAGAGGTAAACATTTTGTGCCTTCCTGCATATCCAATAAGAGATCATGACTAGAAAAAAATGATATGCATTTACCGCATACTTTCAAACGGTAGCCCGGGTCCAAGAAACGGCTTGAACTGTGTCGTCAAAGGACTCCGCCAAGACCGAAACAGCTTAGATGGCCAGAAGAGGCTCGCGGTCACCAGCCTGCTCTGCGGGCTCGATGGAGGCAACAATGTCGGAATCGAGCGCCTGGGCGACAGGAGCGGTCTGGGGAGCTGCGGGGAAGTCCTCGGTCTTGATAGCGGGCTCAGCAACAGGAGCAGTGAAGCTCTGCAGGGGCTCGGTCTTGGCAGACTCGGAAATGACCTCGTGCTTGATAGGGCTGACAAGCTTGGTAGCCTCCGGGGAGGTAGAGCGGCGGGAGCCGATGTATCCCTGGGCCTTGGAGCTGTACTCGCCGACATACTGCTTCATCAGACCGGTAGCCTGAGAAGTGCGCTCACCAGCCAGGTCGCGAAGCTGGTTGGTCTGGTCGTTGATGATTTCCTGGGCGTTGACAATCTGCTCGTCGATGAGTTCACGGTTGCTGATGTAGATGAGGGGAGCGAAGTAGGTGGTGGTCACGGCAACAACGGCCAAGCCCCAGAAGGGAACGAAGCGGATCAGCCAGTAGCCAGTGAAGGCAGCAGTGAAAGCCTTGAGATCTGATTAGTCTCTACTCGCTCATGATCAATATCACCAGGTTGAAACATACCAAGATAGTGTGGAGGACATTCTCGGCAAACAGGATACGCTGGAACTCAATCAGGAAGAAGTCCACCAGCTGCTCAAGGTCCTCGAGCACGGCCTCAACGGTCTCCTTGGGGATGGTGTAGTAGCGGCGGGGGCGGAACCCACTGGCGACTCCACGCTTGAGGATGACATGACCAGCAACCTCGACAAAGGCCGTCGCTGCAAATCGAGTGTCAGCCCACTTCCGCTGGCGCAGATCACGCGACCAACTTACCTCCCAAAGACATGTACAGGAACTTGAAGACCCAGCGAAGGAGAGGCAGGTAGCGAGCGGCGAAGATGAAGCTGATCACACTAGCATATGAAACCGCGGTCGCGCGAGGTTGCTCCCACTATATAGCAAAGTCAGACCGGACCGTCATCTCAACAAAGAAAAAGGGCTCGCGCGACGACTCACGCTCAAAAGGCTGTAAAGGAGCGAGTGGTAGTCTGGATGAATATCAGCAGCTGTTCCTGGGCGATTTCACCGGTCTCGTGACATACGGGTCAAAGCCTGGCCTTCGGCGGTTGTGGTGGAAGGGGTCACGCGAGAGTTGGACAGATCGCGAAGCTCGTCGCCGGTGCGGGAAGCTTCGGACTTCACATTATCGACAATAGGGCCTATTCCAAGATCTGTCAGTGGTGGTTCCAAGCTAGTTTCTGGCGCAATCTCCGCTTACCCTTGGTCACAGCATCACTGATGCCTGAGCGTAAGAGGGGTCAAAATCAGCAACTGCCATGAGAGTAGACAACACAGGGAAAGAAAAACAAGTGGCGATACTGTCATACTGGTTAGCATCTCACATCGTCAGATTGGGACGCAAGTTGGTCTTCTTACCTCACTGCCCGTGTTGGGGTAGGTCACGTCACCAGAAGCCATAACGGTGTAAAGACGGTTGTAAAGAAGCGAGACGAGAGGATGGGAATTAAGGGAGTAGAAATCGTGAAGAGCGTAACAAGGTCGAGATCGTGTAGGGAAAAAGACAAAAGGGGGGGTTGTTTTGATAAGTAGCTGTTCCAAGAGATTGTCATGTGCGTTGCCAAGCCCGAGCCACTATGATGCAAAATGAGTACCGAGTCCGGATTCCGTTCTTCCTTGCTTTGATATGCTTGCTTTGCTGTCTTTTGTGTTCCTCGTTCTTTATTTTTTGGTTTTATTCTAGTATTTTTCATTCTCTTTCTATTTACGACCCTGTTTTCTATGTTTTCTGTGTTTTTCTACAGCAATTTAAGCTTAGCGCCATCGATTTCGCTTCAAAGGTACAACATAACCTTGGAAAACACATCCGCTGACATCAGAGTTAATGTTGTCTACGGGTACTGAGTGCTTCCCAGTTATATACTCCATGTATAATAGGTACCAGTAAAATGCTTCATATACCGGCCTGGAGTCAGGGAATACTCTTCTTCCGGGACAGTCCGGACAAGATACGCCTTTCGCGTGATTGGGCTTAATTATCCAAGATGACAGTGAGCATAATATGTGCATTACTATCCATGGATGGTGCTGGTTTGATATCAATGCACGTCCATTGGTGGGCCCGGATAGACATACACATCCCCAAGACCTAGACCTCCGGGAGCTATATAGAAATACGAAGCTCTCCAATCTTTGGAGAAAACCTTGGGACCTGACTCATGGGGCTAGATGCACGGGGTTCCCCCTCAACTTCATGCCTAGTTTGATTGGCCAGTGCCTTTAGGCAGCATGACTTCAGCCTCATCCGGAACAACTTGTTTATTATTCCGGACACTTCCACACGTCTTTCCCATCTGAACCCTTGGAAGTCTATTTAACTTGCGACTAACTCTGTGTAAAAAGAAAAAGAACGACCTTGATTCATCTCCTAGAATGACAGAGCCCAATCTTTGCCCCGCTCAGTTCACTGACTACCACGAACAGACTCAGTGTGGCCTTTTCTCCCGTCTTCCGGCAGAAATCCGTTATGAGATATTTGCCAATGCCCTGACAAGTGCTCCAAATACTGCTCTACCGCTGGAGCAAGACGAGTATTGCACCCGGCCAGGGTATGAGACTCGGCACCGTACGTATACCGAATTGCTGCGAACCTGCAAGAAAATCTATATGGAGGCATGGTTCATGCCGTTCATCTGCTCAGAGCATGCCTTCTTGATGGCACATTCAGACCGAACCCCGGAAAAGGCTATCACAATCGCGAGGATGCAACAGGGCCTGGATCTGATCCATGACCGACATGGCGAGGTGCGAGGTGGTCATGTCCGTGTATTCCCTCAGCTCTGGGCACTTGAGGGCACGAGAGACTTGAATGGGATCCTCGGCTTGAAACATTTCTACCCCACATCCATCACAATCACAATTCGATACACCGACACCTGGATGTGGGAGACAAACGAGGCCTTACATATCAATGGATCTTGGGCCAACAGGGTGGTGCTACCACCAAGTGTCACCAGATTCTGCATCGATATCGAGAGCATCGAAAGACGCAAAGACGAAGTGGACTGGATGGCTGATCAAATGGCCGACCAGTGGAAATTCAAGCGCGGAGACCACACCACAATGGTTGCAGACAAGTCCGATGTCGCGATATCTAGGTGGACAGGTAGCTCAGTCCTAGGCGAACGTCGTTGGGTTCGTGATGAGGTAGCACCTGGTCAGCTTCAGTATTATGTCAAGAGTGTACTCTGGCACCCTTCTCAGGAGTTGGAAGGTCGACACCATAATTGTGCTCTCGCATTCGCTGGAACTCGACCATCGCCGCGAGACTTTGAGTGGAGCTATATCAGTCAGGATTATTTGAAATTTGCTCAAATTCCAATGAGTTTGCCAGCCGAGCAGGTGATTGCAAAGTGCATCGCTGATGAGTACGACGAAAGCAAATGCTACGGTACTGATGCCTACTATATCTGTGGGCATGGATATTCTGACGATGAGAGTGACTCGGAGTGATGGCGGTCATGTTTGCGCGTACAAAATGGAACAGACTTTACTGGAGGATCAAAATGGAATGCATCATAAGGAGCATTGTTGTGCGGAGTGAACTATCAAAATTTGACTCGTCCTTCCCGTGCACGGCTTAGCCAAGACTCTTATCAGAGCCGACGATGGTCTTTCTATTCATGCGTTTACATTTTTCTTATTGAAATGAGTGCGCAGATAGTCGGAATGATCTGGCGATCACTCCAGGCGGAGTCTGCACGTGGCACGAAGTAGTGATCACTCTCAGTGCAGCATCAAAGAATGCAACTCATACTCAGGGTGTTCGTTCAAAGAAATTAGGTTTCAAGGAGGACGGTTCCCATGAGTGACTCAAAAATCTCCTCTTCCATAAGTGCACCGAACCTGTTTCTTGTCAGAAGCAAATCACAGAGGGAATTTTGACTGGATTGGCGCAGTTCAGTGGAGCAAAGTACTCACCCGTAACATTTAATGTGTGGGATCATGGCAGTTCTCAGCATGTCGAGTTTATCACAAGGTAAGTTCTCAATACTAAATCGGCTAACAATCCTGTTCCAAGCCTGGACTGGAGTGATGTAGCCATTCAGACCAAGAGATCCCGAGAGTTCAAAAAGCTTTTCGAGCTGCTGAGCGGGAATCTCCCAGGAAGTCTTATCATGTAGCACAGAAGGCGCTGACGATAACAAAAGTCCTTGCATAGACAAGGCATGTCCAGAGGGCTCTTCTTCACCTAGGGGCTGCGTGTGGAAGAGGCAAGGTTGTTCCAGACTGTAAAATTAGACTATGAATTTAGAGTGCCGACGGTCGACTTACGATAGCACGAAGTCCACACCCATCTGAGCAAATCTTCGATTGCCGAGGAAATATGAAGGCTTGGGCTGATGGTTTGCTTGTAAAGTATCGATTGGTTGATCGAACAGATCATGTACACCCTGGATTTGAGGGTTTCCCGTTGTTATATTGCAACACTGAGCGACACTATGGTCACTCTCTACCTGATACTCAGGGACCTTGACCAAAATTTGCTGATTTGAGCCACTATCACCCACTAGGCTTACTTCTGCCAATGCTGGATTGCTTTGAAGAATGTGTGGAAGAGGGATTGAATACCGGGCCATGATTTCTTTGAGAATAGTGTTCTCTTGATGAAGACCTCGAATCTCATCCATTGCGGAGAGGAGTCCATAGAGTTTGTGGAGCTCATCTTCGAGCATACGACAGTTCTTGTCTTTCTGGTCGCGATGTTTCCTAAGAAGTAGTTAATAGGGAAGGCTACCCTTCACATGTCGACTCGCCTCACTTCTGTGCTCGTCGAACTTGCTCGCGCCGCCGATCATAATTGCCTGTGTTATGATCTTCTTTGTTTGTGTCTGAAGATTCTGTCGAGCAAGTGATTAATAGAAAGCTTCCACGCCAATAAGCGGGGTCGGTTCCGTATAGCCGTTCATACCTGTGCGATAAGCGCTCACTTTACCCATTGTTTTGAAAATTAATTGTATATAGAAGTCTTGTGGATGTGTATATTTTCGAAATTTGATTCGGTGACAACCATCAGGGCTTGCAGAATGTTCCAGAGAGGGAGCTCGGGGACAATGACGGATGGGAAAGCCCTAGCATTCAGTTAGGCACAAATAATGATTACTCAACCAGTTTCAAACCCGTGGACACGCGGACCCGTGGACATAGGATAACCCAGGTATAGAGCAAAAGCTGACCCGTTGGATTGATGCAAACCCCGACGTAGGCGGCCAAGGCCATAATCCTCTTCTAGCTTAGATGCGGTGCTGACCCTCCGGCAGAAGCTTCACCCAATAAGGGCTCCGGTATGAATTAAAGGCGGGGGTGAAAGGAGATCCAAAGGTAGAGCGATCCCATCTTACTGTGCAGTTCCATGTACTGCCCAGGTGTAGCTGGGGCCGTGGCAACCTGACACCCGTGGACCACACTTAAAGTGGGCCCAGGCAAGATGATTCCAAACTAAAAGTGGGCCGGAGTAAAATGATTCCATACCCAATATTCCCGACAAGCAAAATGGGTGTTAAATGCGCGATCTAAGGATTGGGTTGCTTGACCTTACGGTACTGATAGTATGAGCCATGGGAATCTACAATCCACTGGGCAAAAAAATAAAGACATTTGTCTGGAAACCTCCCCATTTACCCTCCATGGCTGTTCTAGTGTACACTACCCAAGCATCATACCATATTTCAAACACATTTCGACCTATATCAAGAAGCCGACCACCTATACCCGCGGCAGAGAGTTTCTTGGTTAGGGAATGTCATGCTGATTTCATCGGAAGGCACTTTTTGTCACCAACAATTTGCTATTACGACATAACCTCAGACTACTCGTACTAGATACACACACCGATCGTCCCTTCAAGGAAAAAAAACTAAGATATGTTCAGCAGATCTTCATTATTCGTGTTTATATAGCAAGTTGGCCACCTCGGTCCATGACCTCGGCTTTATTTGCACAAACACTCTGATCATGCCTCTGGTAGCCCTTGATACATTCAAAGCTCTCCCTGGTCCGAAGGGGTCATGCAACCGGCCTCGATGTTGTTTCCTAGGGGATCCAGGACAAAGGCACCATAGTGATTAGGATGAATCTGTGGCCGAAATCCAGGAGCCCCGTGATCCTTTCCTCCAGCGGCAACTGCAGTCGCGTGGAAAGCATCCACAGACGCGCGATCTAGGTGCACTGTTAGAAATAGAATCTTTGGTCGATTCGGTAAGCAGTTATGATAGACTTTACATACCAGGTGCGACGAAAGCAACATGTGCTTTGGTTTCAGACTCGGTGGAGGCAATTCCCACAACCCATTCAGGACCCTTGCTGCCAAAGACCACCCAGCCGTTTGGCATAGTGGAAAGCTTCTCGTTGCCGAGAGGCTTCAGAGCCTGGCTATAGAATTCGACAACTGCGGCATGGTCAACTGTGTTGACTTTGAGAAGGACGTGTCCAATAGGCATGGTGTAATAAACTTGCTATAAGAAGATTGAATGTTGAGAGTTGAGAGTGAGTTGAGGGAGGTTAAGAATGGTGTCTTATGGGAGATCTGGGAGCGACTTTATATACATAGTCAAAAAAGCGTTTATCAGGAGGAATTGCGGCGACCTCGGGATCAGTTCGCAATTCCAGGTATGTGTCACCAGTTCATAGTGTAGGTCTACCTGTGGACGTATTCCCGAATTTGGTCGAAGGCGATACGAGATGATTCCAAAGTCAATGCATGATATGATCCCACAGCCAATGACCTCGGATCAAATGATTCCACGGCCAAATGATTCCACGGCCAAATGATTCCACAGCCAAATGATTCCGCAGCCAAATGATTCCACAATGAAAATTACACCGCGAATTTCGTTGAAGATCCCGCCCGCTGTACATTTGAATCACCATTTGTAGTCTATAAAGTTATAAGCCAGATCACCAACTACTCTGGTCCTGGGTTGGTGTCACACCACTGTGACATGGTGATATGCGAGTTGAGATCGAGATCGTTGCGCATGTCGAGTATCAGAATGCAAAACAAGCTTGTTGAAGCTTTATTTCCGGTTCGAGTGTATGAATGAGAGGTGGCACAAAGAACACATACCACTGGAGAGGAACGACGGTAGAAGCACGCAAGTAAACGAGGTTCACTACAGAGATCTTGACGTGCTTCACCGATTGAACTTGATCATTGGGTTCAAATTATGTACATTTCTGATTTGGCTATTTGGTATCTTTAGTAAGTTGCTATGTCTGATTTTAAGTAGCTCAAGGATTGCTGAGAATGCCCAAGTATGTTCCAAACAAGATCTGCGCTTTCTGATTCCGGCAATTGGAAGCGTCGACGAAGCCTGAGTAGCCAAATAAGTAGTACAGAGTGTTTGTGGTGGAGTGTGAGATAGAGTAAACCGCTGCTGGGCGGGAATGGTGGGCGGCTTGGCAATGCGACACGTGATCTCGCGCTTTTCTATTTTGGGCGGTATGTTTTGATTCTACTATCACCATCTCCATTCCGGCCTGCGCGACCCGCAACGCACCCGTGGACGACATCCATGCGCTCATGCAACACTCTTTTACAATCACTTGACTTCGATCCTCCTTCGCACTCCGATCTTTCGACGTGAAAACAGCACATTGTTGACAATATGGCCGCGGCAGGCGCGAGGGCGCAAAAGCCTGTCGGCTCGGCACCATGGATTGCAGCAGAGAAGGAAAACATGGCCGACCTAGTGGAACAAGAAATGGAAGAGGTGGAATACCCCGTTCGTCATGAAATGGCATGGTTGAACGAACATATGACGGAGATTTTGTCCACAGGCCAGACGTGAGTCGCGACCGCACAATGGTTCATGTCTTCCCAGGACTGACAATGACCCAGAAACTTTGCGGATGTGTTCAAGACACCCGGAAAAATGAGAGGCAAGACACCTCGAACTGCCAGGAAGCGTGCACCCGAAGAATCTCGAGTGGTGAGTATCCAAGGTGTGAACACGAGATCAATCCCACCAACTAATCACTCCTTACAGCCTTTAAGCGAAATCTTCTCATCTGCCCAGAAACAGTTAGAGAACCATGCAAGCCCCAGCCCGTTCATTCACCGCGTGGTTTCCAAGACCGCTCCTGTGGCAGCGTCCCCCGTGCCCCGCACCAAGGACGCGACGCAGCAAGCCTCACAACCTGAATACCCTGACCTCACAGCGAACCTGAACTCATTCCCCAAATACAACACAGACTCGGGCTACCATGGCATGTCCGATGCTGACGAAGTGGTATTACCTGACGTGCAATCAGAATCACAGGCTTCAACCCAGCCTGCTACCCAGCCTTTAGAGCAAGATGAAGAGATGGACATGGACACGCAAGACATCGACACTTCCGCTGTTCAACAAACAAACGAAGAGTCTTTCCATTCCGCGCAAGAGGACGTTCGTTCTCGAGGAGGAACCGTCGAACCAAACAACAAGGATCCGACCCCGACCCCGACCCCGACCCAGGAGCGGACCAAAGCGCCAACCGCAGCGTCAGCCAAAGAAAGTAGCGCTGAACTGGGCTCAACTCCAGTCAAGAAGACCAAGTCGAAACCCAAAATGAAGACGGTGGAAAAGCAACAAAAGAAGGAACCTGAGTCCAAGGATTCCCCTGAACCCATCTCGAGGCCCGAAACATCGCCGGAGAAGATGCCAGCGCCTCCCGTGGCTGCGCCTGTGGAGGTTCAGAAGGATCGGCCGGAAGACGAGGTAATGGAAGATGCAACAGAAGATCCCATGAAGGACGACACTGTTCTCGATAATCTCGATGATATCGGTTCTCCCTCGGACGGCTCTACTCCTGAGCGGCTCCCTGTTCGGAAAAGTAGCCTGAGCTTTGCATCTCTACCTGCGCGCGAGCCATTGAAGAGCTTGGGGGGCTCGAGACTTTCTCGGACAAGCCACATCGACATCTCGAAAATGAACAACCCCCGTGCCAGTCACTTTGGTAGGCAGACCGGTGGCCACAAAATGACCCAATCTGCCGCGGAAGAAGACACTAGCCCCGGTGCTATGGATATCGATCACGAGAAGGAGCGTAGTGATGAGGCGGAACCTGAACAGGCTACCAGAACGCACAGCAAAAAGTCCACTCAAACTTTGCACGAAAGAATCAGCATGTTGGGCAAATTACAGCCTGTTTCTCGTCCACGGAAATCGATTCCGTCCTCTACTGGTGTTCCAGCTGGCCAGGTTGCATATCCAGACCTTGCTCCCTCCAAACCCGAGACCAAACCCGAGCCTTCTGGCCACAAGACCCAAGAAACACCTGTTTTGGAGCCTACTCCAGCTGATGATGACTGGATCAAGCCCCTTAGCTCTCCTCAGCGACCCGAATTTAGCAAGAGCAAGACGACCGGCATCATGGAGAAGCTTTCTGAGCTTGAGAAGGAGCGGGCAGCAGAGAAGAAGGACATGCCGAAAACAGAGCCCGAGCGTCCAAAGTCATCTGCCTCCATTTTCTCCTCTCCACGGCCACACGGACACCAACAGAGCGCTTCCCTGTCTCGGATACCCGCCGATATATCTACGACACCCACAGGGTCTCCCAGGCGCTTCGACGGTCATATCAGTGCTTCTAAGCTCCGGCTGCACTCGATTATGAAATCCGCTAAGGGGCTGTTCTCAAGCACTGGAAACACACCAAAGTTAGAACCCTATTCACCGGAGCAGCCGCGCCCTCAAACGAGTGCTGGTGTTTTCAACCGAAAGATTGACTTCGAGGCCCAACCAGTGCAGCCCCCTAGTCCCACGCGTCAGGAAGGGCGTCGCACGCGAAGCTCGACTGAGAAAGAACAAAAGCGGCGACAGCATGAACGAGAGGAGCAGGAAAGAGAGGAACAAGAAGAGGAGGCGCGTGCTGAGAAGGCCAGGGAGCAAGAAAAGCAAAAGGCCCTCCAGCTCAAAGCTGCTCACAACAAATCCTCAGTCGAACCAGAGGAGAGATCAGGGCCCGTGGTGTCTAAGAACCCTCAACCACAGCGCCAGCAATCCCGCGAGCCTGAGTCATCTCGAGAGACGAGTTCAAGATTTGCCATTCCTCAGCCCAAGCAAACCGAGCGCCGACCCCTCAAGCCAACCCGGGAGACCTTGCAAAAGCCAACACCGCAGCCAATGTCAATTCGTGTGGGTAGTACCTTGTCTCGTCAGATTGCTATGCCTGCATCCTCTGTCGCTCAAGAGTCAAGTATTCCCGCAGCTGCTCCTGCTCCTGCTCCTGCGCCCAAGCCAACTCTGAAAAAGAAGGGTAGCAACACTTCCTTGCACACATCCTCTTCCGCGGGTAGCTTCAAGAGCTCTATCTCAAGTCAAACCCAAGCGGCCCAGCGGAAAGCGCAGGTGGCTAGCAAGAAAGAGCAGGAAGATCGTCGGAAGGAGGAGCAAAGGCGTGAGCTTGAACGCAAACGTGCTGCTCAGCAAGAAGAGGCACGCCGCCAAGAAGAAGCTCGTCGACAGGGGATGAGGAGCCGTGCCGAGAGCCGTGCGGAGGCTGACCGAGAGCGCCGTGAACGCTCCGCTCAGGAAGATCCTAAGAGAGCTGCTCAAATGGAAGCGATTAGGAGGCGCCAGCAAGAAAATGCACGGGGTCATGGAAGGCAAGGTAGTCAGCAGATCGCCAACGAGGTAAGCGTGCCCGCCTATTTGAATGTCTTCTGGGTAGCTAACACCGCCAGGGGCCCATTCTTCAACATGAGAAGCCATCTCAGTCATCTCAGCGTAGTGATCTGGGTTCTTCTCGTCCCCCTTCTCGGCTGGGTGGCTCTATGCAGCCACATGCTCGCATCAATCCCCCTGCGCCCAACCCTGCCAAGCCGCCCAAGAGGGTCATGAACGATGACAGTAGCCATCGACCCGCAGTCTCTAAGCCCAGCAATGTCCAATCGACTGGCGATGCCAAGCGGCGCAAAACGGAAGATGAGCATAATCCTATGCAACCCGTCCGCACGATCATGCCGGGACCCCCTATGCCTGGACAACCTATGCGTCAATCATATATCAGAAAGGTTAGCATCACTCCCTCATCCCTCTCAAACATTGTATCACTGATTTGCGAATTTCTAGCCATCTATCTCTACATTCAATCATGGACAGTCCTCCATGGCCCACCAGTCTGGGTCTTCCATCTTCAAGAACAGTGCCCCACAGCGCCCAGCCCACCCCGGTGAGATGGGCAAGTTCGCGACAGGCAAGATTCCCTTTGCTGAATCCAACCCTGCACCTCCGCCGGCCGCACAAAGGGCTCCCAACTCTGCCCAGCGCCCGGCAGCCAAGCCATCTCCCAAGTACCCCAGTGGTGAGAATGTCCACCTGCCGGAGATCAACACCGACAGTGAAGACGATGATGATTCCGACTCTGAGATGTTCCCTGTGCCCAAGTGGGCTCAACCTAAGGAGCTGGAGGGTCTTCTCCGGCAGCAAGATGGTATGGAGGTTGACTCGATCTTTGGCCCGATCGCACCCTTCTCTCTCGAGGACACCTTCAAGGCAGACAAGAAGATCAAGAAGTACCGGGATCGTACTAGCAGTGCTAATTGGTCTGGTCCCGATGGACTTACCCAGGAGGAGATCCGAAAGGATGTGGCGGATCGACAACGGTTGCGACTCAATGGTGGATGGAGTTTCAATTCGTGAGCGCCTTATGGTTTGCATTGTACATCTGTAATTACGCCGTTCTTGAGCAGGTACCATGGCGTTGCTGGATATTTGTTATCGTTCAGTCATTTGTCTTGAGTTATGGTCTTAGACAACAGCTGCATACAGGGGCGCAAAGGTTTAATGAATTAACTACTTCGTCTCTCTACTTCCAGGGTTCTTTCCTAGTGTTTTTGCGAGGCTGGCCTATATCTCATCAATATTGCCACCTCCGGGACTAGGTATGAGGGCTACGCCATAGTGCCAAAATACCGGGATTCTTAGTTATACCCGCTATGTCAAAAGAATTGCACGCGATCGGTGTCTACTTTCGATGTGGGTCCGTGCAATTATTTTGAATCGTCAGGCCTTCGCAATGTTGAGTGAGCAGGTTCTTTTAGATTGATGATCTCAAATAACGGAGCCACTTACATGAATTAGCATCATTGGTCTAGTGGTAGAATTCGTCGTTGCCATCGACGAGGCCCGTGTTCGATTCACGGATGATGCACATTTCTTTTTGTTTTTGCTCTTCATCTACCCTCAATCTTTCTGGCTTTCTTTTTTTTACAGTGCCAGGGTTTTTATTTCCCAGTGTGTAGGTCAAAGGAAATTAAGCACATAGTAAGAAATAAGCCTTCCAAGGTTGGAACTGTCGAACTGAGTTTCAGCTGAGCAGTTTTCATGGATATATACTTGCTGACCACGGCACAGGACCAGTGAACTTGAGCCCTGGAGTTAAATTGGAAAGCTTACCTAGATTCAGAAAGAACCTTCCAATGTTGGTACGAAGCGTCTACCTAGGTAAGATGGCCCAGAAAGAAATAGGTAATCTTGGAAGCAAGCAATGGTATGTCTGGTTAGATTTTGTACTTTGGCATTCCCATCCGGCCTCCAGGGCCCGGAGGTGCTCAGTGAGTCTCATGACATGAGAATCCATATATGATAAGAGGAAAAGCAAAATCAGGAACCCCGCCGATCTAATCCGCCCTCCTGGGCAACGCCCCCATGAATATATAATACACGAGATTCATCCTTGCTTGAATATGTGAAGAGAATCGACTGCAACACGTTACTTACTTCATGACCGGCTCAACTTCATCTGCGCCCCCATTGGCATCCTCGTCCATGGCATCAGGGTTCAAGTTGGCCGCATCAGGAGCAAGACCAACCTGGGTTTCGTGGGAGATGGTGCGCCATCCAAGCTCACAGTTGGAATCCTTGATATACTCGGACATAGGGAACTGGCCAAAAGTCAATATAAGTTTGATGCGTGGTTTCTCGAGGAACAAGAAGACGGAGTGATGGGAGAGTACGTACGTAGTGGTCGTTCTTCTTCATGGTGGCTACCCATGGGACATTGTCAAAGGTGACGGCGCGAATACGGAAGTATTCATTGTCGGGAATTGGGACAACTGCACGAATAAAGCTGTCTAGGTCCGGAGTAGGGACACCGTTGACGGCAGTGAGGAAATTAGTGGGGCCAAGATGGTAGTGGTAGGCTGGGGAGCCACGGCTCTGGGAAGGCGTATTAGTATATATTGCATTGGGTAGACTGAATTTGAGAAACTTACTCTCGAGCTGACATAGACCTCGCTGTGAATCTTGGAGATTTGCTGGCGGACAGCGTGATGGGGCTTTTGTAAGACAGCACCGCAGAAGACGAGGGCACGATCTGTCTCAATATCCTGGGTTGGCACCGTGTGGACGCGGATTTTCATTTCCTTGCCACTGCGCACGATCAAGGCATCCAGATATTCCCGTTCATACATGACATCCAGCTCGGAGACACGCGTGACGAGCTGGCCATCCAATGTAAGGATGATGTCAGCTTCTTGGAAGCTAGTGTTGGGGTCCACGGTAACAGCTGGGGATGGGCTGTCAACCTTCCGCACCATGAACAGCTGGTGTCGAGACGGGTTGGCCTCTGAAACCTTATTGATCCACTCTTGCGAGACACCCATGACGCGAGCCTGGCTCATCTGCACAACGTAACTCTCCATATTGAGAATCCTCAAGGATGGAATTACTCCTTCACAGATCTTGGATGTGACAGGCAGGAGACAAGGTGTGTTCAGACCGAGGTAGTATTCCACGTCCTTGTGAGAGACGGGGGAACGCTCGCCAATGTAGTTCAGCCACAAGGCCTGCACCACGCCATCTTCGCCGATCAATACGCCGTTTCCGCACTGAGCACTGAGCCCAGTATCAACAGTGACGGCATCCAGGTTGATTGCACGGTAGCGGGGAGCAGCAGTACTGGGAGGGATGGACACGCTTGTGACGTCAGTGACCGTGGTTTTGGCGGCGACAATCCGATGATTACTGTTGAAGCCGACAAACATGGCTTCTTGGCCTGGCTTCATGTAATCAGTGCTGAGCTGGGCGCTCTTAACCGGAGCCTTGACAAGGCTCGGGTCATATTGGATGATGCTGTAATTTTGAATTGGGTGCAAAAACACCACCTTGGCGCTGACAATGATAGAGTCAGCGACAGTGATATTGATATCACAAAGGTCAAAGGGCACAATAGCCCGTGAGACCAAAACTAGGCCCTGCTCGGCATCGATGACAAGACCAAACCCAGTCTTTTTGGACTGTGGATATCCGTCCAGCTTCAATGGCATATTGCATGCCACACGCACGAAGCTGCGGACGATCTCGGCCGCGGCCGGTTGGCTGACACCGTCTAGCTGGATAAAGTTGGCCTCCATTGGCACAGGGGGTTTGGCAGGAATGGGATCAGCAAGATCAGAGAAGTCCCATACACCAGACTCGTCGTTGCGAACCGCCAATCGCATCGCAGGGCGCCAGTGGCGGTCGATATAAACAATACTAGTTGCCTTCGAGTGAAGATCCTGGATGTGACGATATGAAACTGCCACGCGGCTGCGATCGGGAATGTTCTTCATAACCTCTATGAACTCGTTGAGATTTTGAACTGCCTTTTTGTCAACGGACTCAACGATCCATCCAGCAGACGTGCTGTCTAGCTTGAAGGAGCCAGTGGATTCACAGATATAAACTCCACGAGTGGCGATGACAAAAAGACGTGCCTGTTGATAGGACAAGTCATGGAATATGCCACCAGCCACAGTCACAAATCGATCGGGGGTAATTGCGTGAAGATCTCCCACCTCACACTCGACTTCGACATCCTTCCCGCCTCTCTGTACAAGCAGCTTGACAGACTTGCCGACGCTGTTATCTAGAATTTCATCGAGACGAATAAATCGGGTCAGAAGCTCTCCATTGACTTTAAGAAGCACGTCCCCCTCCAGCAATTTAGTATCACCAGGACCCTCGGGGAGAATGACCTCTGCTGCAAGCATGTTTGTTTCACCCGGGACAGCTGCACGCACAGCAGCCTCCCATTCAGGGGTCAAGCCAAGACGACGACATTCATCAAAAGGCCTCAGTACCCACTGCGTTTGAATGGTGCCACGAGTAACAGGCTTGCCTTGGCGAATGCACTCCAATGCACGCAACGGGCGATCCAGCGGCAAGAAATAATCAGTTGAAGCGCCATCAGTTCGACCACCAGCCTGCAGGGCAATTGCATGGCCCGCAATGTTGACCACAGGACTTCCCGAACTACCTCCACTAGCCGCGGCTGAAGCTTGTATATAGTTTGTGTTGAAATCGCAATAGCCCTCGCCATACTCAGGAGCATTGCGATCCAGTCGACTGATTACACCGGAAAGAATACTGAGTTTCTCTCCGGCATCGTTGCCAACCAGACGAATTTCAGTGCCTACTTTTGCTCCTTCCGGATGAAGCTCAAGCTGGGTAAGATCCATGTAGCGGATTTTTTTGGGGTCGAATTGTAGAATGCCGAAATCGTGAACAGGGTCTCGGTATACCGGCTTGACATCACACTAGCAAAAGATTTCTTAGTATTTGTTTCCGTGTTACTTCAGACAGTGTGAATCGCGAGCTTACATCTTCGTGGTTAACAAATACGCAGGAGCCCGTGAAAGGACCGGCCCCAACAACGTGGCGATTTGTTAAGATATAGCCACGCTCAGCATCCACGACGAATCCTGTGGCTTCACTGGACATCGAGGGTTCAGTATCGAACGACACTGGTTGGCAGAAGTGAATAGAGACCGCACACTTCACGACCTTCTCCATCGTTTCCTGCCATTCCGGCGAATCTGTCTGAACAACAGCTGGTGTGGGCGCCTCCTCCAGCTCTTCCTCAATGTTGTAAACCATTCCATTGACGGGTATGTCGTCATCGGGGGAGCTAGCTGTATGCTCTAGCTTCAGCTGCTTGTTGGCGGGAACCGCAGAAGGGCTATGCATGCGCTTCGCGTGACGAGTTGAACCAGCCATTTTGTCCGAGGATCGTAGGTTCACACCAGAACGGAGACTTTTGAAAGACGATATTGGCTGAGAGGACCTTGTGGTAAGGTTTGCTTTTGGGATATAACTGAAAGATCGATAGCTTCGAGAATGCGGACGATGCGGAGTAAAGTAGGAATGTAGTGGCGCCGTTGGACACCTCGAGGTAACGTGTGTTGGGACGGGAACTGTGATGGAGGAGCTCCTTCTGCACACAACCGGCAGATAACAAGACATCCACTACACAATTGGAGGCGACCACGCGCTGAGCTTGGGAACAAAGCGACAGAGAGTGTTGGAGGCGGAGAGCAAAGGAATGATTCTGATTGGTCACTGTCCAATGTGATCCCATGCCCCCCTTCTCTCCTGCGCCTCAGCTATGATGTATGCGCCCTGAGCCGCCAACTACATTTTTGCCTACAGGTATAACCATAGCCTTCTATCCATGTTGGGAACGTGAGTTAATACATTATTGGTAAATTACAAATGCTTTTTCGTTCTCGTGATGTGACAGTGATATCTTGAACCATGGTCCATTCCAGCGGCGCTACACCCGGGACCCTATTCCCACTCTTGCAACGTGATCCCTATTCCCACTCTTGCAACGTGATACGTTCGGTCCATCGGCTAGGTATGATGGGCATTGTGGAGGGGGTCCATGCTTCCGGTATGCATGGTGGGTGCCCAAGGGGTCGGACCGGTGCCTACCACAAGGCTTGTGTGATGCTTCATGTAGTTGCCCTGCCATGCGCACATGGTTCCTGTAGTTCGCCATGGATAAATCAGGATGGAATCAGAGGCATGTCATCCCATACTGAGGATTTTATGTTTCTCGGCTGTCTTCAAACAACCGAGTCGTTCATAGCTCGTGGGCTCGGTCCCCCGTTCGGGCTGAGTCTTTGGGGCGTGGAGGTCTTTCCAGATCGAGGAAAGAGTTCGTTGAGTTTGGCGTATAAATCGTTCAGAGCCGGAATGTTGGAAGGCGGTGTCATGATAGCCGGTGTCTGGGGGACGACACCCCCTGCCTTCTTCGCTCGATCAGCGATGGTCGCAAGGTAGGCAAGGTTGGCTTGCAAACGGCGCATGCAATCCATATATTCTTGACTTGGCTTCTGATTTGCCTTGGAGGCATCCGCCGGCTCAGGTGCCGGTGAATTTGTGTCCGGATTGGAAGCAGGACCAGCCTTGCCAGCGGTTTGGAGATTCACCACCTCCTCCAGAAGAGCGGAGTTTATATCGAGGAGAACTGCGACACGAGCCTTTTCACGAGCCGCAAATTGCGCTTGTGCTTGCGCCTGTGCATGCGCCTGGGCCTGGGCCTGAGCTTGTGCCTGGGCTGACGCCGCGGGGGACGCGCCGCTTTGTGGAGAGTTTATCTGCGAAGGGGGCTTGGGTTGTGTGCCGAGCAAGTTGTTGGCTGAAATGGATGCCATGTTTTGGGAGAAAGTCTGTGCTACTTGAGATGGCATATTTGCGCCGGAGGTGCCTTGAGGGGGGACGAATTGTCCCATGGGACCGGGCATGGGGGCTTGGGTGAAGGGCGCTGGATAGTTTTCCATTGGTGCTGTGGATATGCCTTCTGTCAGCTTAAGATACTTGAAGTTTGAAAAAAGACGTCAATATTCCCAGGCAGCGAGAGGAAAAGTGGTAAGGGTAACATTTGAAAAATGCCAAGGATCACGGAGATATAGCGTGGCCAGTTTCAGCCTAGCTGGAGGGGCGGTGACACAAGCGTGACGGAAGAGGTTTGGGGGAGAACATGCAACATTGAGCCTCATGCCATGCGTGTTTGAGGGTAAATTCAACCCCACTGAAGTGAAAAACATGACAGGTGCTCTGTGCAAATGACAAGTGACAGACAAAAGGGGGAGGGGATGGGGACCACTAACCAGAGGATTGGGGAAAGCCTGAAGGAACCATAGATCCACCAGGTCCAGGCTGCATTGGCATGGCCCCAAATTGTTGAGTGGACGGTGTCTTGGACTGAGGGTATGGGGGAGCTGGGTTAGGGTAGAATGGCATCTGTTGATTTTGGGGGCTCTGAGTCGGGACGGGATAGCTGGCGGGATAGCCAGTGTTGGGATCCATTGTGTATTGGACCATGCCGTTAGGCCCTCTTTTCACCCTGTAATATTCCTTCCCTTCAGCGATCCCCTCGATCTAGGGGAGCTACTGCGATAAGCTGGATTGCGCCGCACGGACGAGACGGTGAAGGCTCGGATTCCAGGGATGGGAGGGTTCTTTGACGGCCTACACACACACGAGGATCTGGACCGAAGAAAATGCGTGTCTGTGATTGGCCCGATTGACCAAAGGGCAAGGATGTTGGAACGCGATCGGCCTCAGGGCTGGAGACTCGGAGCAAGACAGATTTTGGTTGTGGCCCGGATTCAGAGCGATCAGCCGTGGGCTAATGCAGCGGAGCCTTTTCGGCAGTGGGGACACAGGCTCAAATAATATTCGATGCAGACAGTTTTACTCGAAAATCAAACTCGAGACTTGTCCCTGGCGCACTTGTGAGAGTACACTCCTAGGTAGCAGCGTCAACAGAAAAGTGACATTCAATGAGGTCACGGGGTGTTGTTGCCTCAGGCTTGGATTCTGCCTGAAATATCTGGATTCCAACAGTCCCTCTTTTTATACTTCGCGGCGTGGACCGGACTAACTGTAGTAGTACAATGTACTCCGTACGGAGTACTTCGACGGAGTCCATACTGATGTCACTAACATGTTTCAGAATGAGTTCTCCATGAACAAATTCCAATCCCGAAATTTACAACTATAAGTCCATTCAGCGTTAGTGGCAATGAAATGGATATTGACTTACGGAGTACCTGATAGAATCTCTCACCTGGAACGAGAGCGAGTACGGAATACGGAGTGCGTCCATTCGCTTTCGCTCAAGCATCGCTTAGGTGGAATAGTTGGGATCTTTGACGTGTCCCGATCCGGTAAATCGATGTCCTCACGTTATGGGTCTTCGCTGGACCGGGATTCACGTGGCACACTGTGGACTGACACTTGAGCATCCTAATCATGTCTGCCATGCCGACGTCAGTGTCCCTCTTCCCAGAATTACCTGTACGAAAACCTGGAAAATTCGACGTAGTTTTACAACTGGATTTCACTCCATATCACAATTGGGTACAAATATATATGAGGGCTGCCCCTCATCATGTTTGTTTATACAGAGTATAAGCATAGGTACCTTGTGGTATAAGGGCTGGACCATGATTAGCGACTGTGTTTTATTTGCTGCGTTGACACGAATAGACAACACCATGCCGAATTTGGGTGATTTTCAGCGCCAGAACCATCTCTCGGCTCGCATAAAAACCCCGGGAAGGGGTAAAGTACCATAAAAAAAGCTTCCTTGAGGCCGAAAGCCACTTCAGTCAAACACCGAGCGGTACGGCATATCCCGAAGTCACATCGTCTTACTATGTAGATCGATGGTGGGCGGTGATCTACGGAGTAGATGCCACGGCTCCCGCCGTGAAACATGTTCGGGCGGTCCGATTGTACACGATTCGTATGTTTGACATGCAAAAAGTGGATTCGATGGTACGTTCCGTACTCCGTTGTACTAGCAGAAGTGATCAAATTGTCGATATTGACATGTCAGGAAGTAGTACTTTAAGCGAACGCTGCGATCTTCCTCGAAACAGTAGACAACCGGGCGATCTTCTGAACTTTATTCATAGTCAATCGGTGCCTCCGACGATCTGCATTGCATTGGAGGCATGTGATCCGGTGTGTCAGCATACGATCTTACCTTGGAACTTTGGAGGTACAATGCATGGATTATAGTAAAAAGAGGGATACGTCGATGAGGTAGCTGTATGGGGTATGGATAGGTATGATCATAACCACAACAGCCCTGGAGAGCACTGTTTGCCTAATGAGTAACTCACAATCCAGCGGCATGGCATTGCGAGATAGCCCTGGTGGTACCAAGGTTTGTTAGATGTATTTGAACCAATGCGGGGGTTATATATCCTGGACGCTACATCGCCGTAGCGTATATAGTGCATGCAGAACGCTACAAAGGGTGCTGTGGGCCACGCTCATGCGCCCTTTGGATACCGCTCAATCGATTTGAGAATCCCATTTCCAGGAAATGCAAGTTGAAGATCCTTGTTTTGCCCGAACTGGGGCTGAGTTTCGTTAATTGACACCCTTCCCACAGTTGAGCAACCGGTCAGCTAGCCACGGGCCCCTCCCTTGCCTTTGTCTCGGCACATAGTGGTAAATTATTGATTTTGAGCCACCTTCATTGGCTGGAGCTCATTCCACCACAACATACGTCCTTTGTCGCTGAAAATACATTGTAGGGCTGAATACTGTTTGTCGTTTCTGGCACAGAGCACAGTGAAATTCACAGATTGCCGGAACAGTATATCCGATCACTTTTTCGCTGTCCCTAGCGTCATGGTTTTGGTGGGGTTCAACTCTCAATCAATCACATTTCAGTTCGGGCTCGGTTCAACGGATGCCAGATAAAGATCCATAATTATTAGACTTCATGTTCTGGGTAGCTTGAGCTTGACAGCCTCCAGGGCTGCTGTATACCAGTCCCAAACTCAAACTCGTGACTTATTCGCTCGATCTGCAACTACAGTTAGTTTTGTATTACGGAGTACACGGAGTACAAGGAACGAGAGTTCCATTCGAAATATTTGTCATGAGTTGTGGCTGAGGTCCACCTTGCTTCATATGACTTGCAGACCGGAGTTTTTAGGTGGATGTTCTCCGGTAAATGGGCGCGTTCAGTGGTGTCAAATCAGATACGCAGTATCCGAGCCCTAATCTGCCAAGAGGACCTTATACAGTATTACCACGAACATGGAACCCACACCGTTGTACCACAGATTCCGGATATGGTAGTACTAATAAAAGACGTAATCGGTTTCATTAAGGGGTTACTTAGTTGCTTGTCAGGATTGGACAGTCTGTGGAGCTCTCCATCGTGGAAGGAACAAACGCTCCACCCAAGTATCGGGATTGCAATTCAAATTTCTCCGGTAATTTGACCGAGGAAGTTCCATTTGAAGTTGCAGAAGGCCCAGACGTTGAAAAACGACTAGGATTAATTTATGAGTAGTACGGTGGCAAATCGAACCGGCTCCGTATTTGCTGTCTGGATCGCATCAATTTCACGCCACCAGCTGTGTCGTTTAGAGGGCCATTTCTAGCCAAACGCATAGTGCTGATCAGCCCTTGGAACTTCGGATTTGACTTCTATCGACCTGAATATATACAATGCCCGAATTAACGCCGCTCGGCCGACGAACTCGATGTATGCTATGCATAAATATCGAAAGAGACGCTCGTAAATGCCCAGCCACAACATGATGCATAATGCATGGGGAGGATTAAAGAGACAATTCCAGGATCACGTCCGACTCTCACTCGCTCCTGGCTAAAAGCGAAAATACGAACAGTAATATACGGCATTGACTAGTTAGTCTTAAGGTGCATCGAGTGCGCCCGGATCCCGATTTGGATAGCACATAATACTTTCATCCAGTGTTATGTAAATGGAAGAATTTAACTTCAACCTACCGACAAAAGTACCCATAAGCTTCCCCACTAGCAATAACGAGTGAAGCGTTTAGGAGGTCGTTGACGAAAGTAGAGTTAATTAACCTCGTTTTTGCGAGTGGATCGCCGGATACATCTTCCCAAGGCAGGCAGCTACTGGATCGTGTGCCTCGACCGCCGTTGACATATCATCAAACTTAAAGTGAACAAAAAACGGCAATCTCGAGGTTAGGTGGGGGAAGGACTGAAATATCAACACTCCAGGGAGTTCTTTGTACGGTGTCTGGTTGTCACGAATGCCAGCACAGAGCTTCATTAGAAAGGCAGATTTCAAAAATGCGGCTACCCGAGATCTCTAAACCTAACGTTGTCTCAAAATGAGATAAACTTTGACTGTGTTGCTCTAAACAATGCTAGGTGGGTTTCACACCCCAGTTTGACCCTTGGAACTACAGAACTAGCACGGCAGTGCTTGGCTTGTAGCAAAGGCTCTAGTATTCCGAAAATCATAAAATAATCTCGTCTTGTTGACCAAATACTACCCTAGGCCACTAGTGCCGGGGCTCTTGTCTCAGATTCTTGATTCCTTGGAAATGATGCGAGGATTCCACCCTTTGCAGCAACGGTGCGTCGACTTTGCTTTTGTTCAAGGACGCCCCCTGCAATGCATTGAACCACGTCACCTTTCATGCTGCTTGACCAGGATTTGACCTCGGCCCCGGACCGCTGCAATGAACAGCCCCGGAGGCTGCAGAGAAAGGCACTGAATCTTGTTGGGGAGGCAGCGAGTGGAACTGCAAAGCGCCACAAACGTTTGCCGATCTTCATTCCAAGTTTTCGCCTGGGATTTCCGTCACCAATGCGTGGGATTGGGCCGAAATATGGGGATTTACTCTGTCATTTAACGGGTTTCGTTTCGGTTCATCCTTGGGTCCAAGTGCATTTGGTTAAGCGTCCAGGGGTGAAAATCAAGTAAGAAGTTAAACAGTCTCTTAAAGTACGGAGTAGTAGCCCAGGTATTTGCAGTGATTAGCCAGAGCCTAGAAAATTCCACAGGTGAGTATCTCGAAATATCTTTTTCCATGAGTCCCCATTTAATACGGAGTAGTCAGGCACCAGACTGGCGATCTGGCGTCTACACTTGTATGGCAGAGCTGTATGGTTTTGAAGTTGTAATGAGGCATCTGAAGATAGGAGATAGGCTCCAAGGGGGATGTTTCAGTGGATACCTCTAACTATCGGTACTCTTGCGCAATAGAAGCATTCCCGTGGCTCCCGAGGTTCCTCCCGATCGTGGGTCGATGCTCCTCCGTAAAGCTGGTATGGATTGAGCGGTGATGTGTCGATTAATGACCAATAGTACTCGGGGAAATCTTTAGTGGTCGCCGAACATCCTGACAGACCAATGATAGGGAAAAGGAGTCCGAATTCCAAATATGCATCTCTTGCGTTCCCACCAGAAGTTATCACCCGTTTTAATACTGTATTCACGTTGAACTTACAGCGCAGATCAGACCGTTTCCGAATTAACTGGATTATTTTTAATCCTTTAAAGCACACCTCCACATTTGACTGTTCCGTCCAGGGCTAGAGCGCCACAGCTGAACAGGTCGAGCATTGTGGCTGTGTATGATTGTCCATATTTGTGCCCATCGTCTCGGTTGGTACCCTTTGATCGACAATAACAACTTGGCGAGAGCCTTGTTTAATGTGTATTTTTCTTCTCGAGGTGTACTGTCCTCTGTTAGCAACACTACAAAGACAGACCAATCGCCCGAGGGAAGCTTCTTTCTCATTTGTCGTGAAGAGGTAACCGACCTAGAAGGATAGCTACCCAACAGGGGCTCGATTAGTGGGATTAATAACTCAACAAACATCAGAAGGTAGCGCCGAGCCACTGTGTGTTTGTTCATCGATTGCTGGTTCTGGCAAGATGTCAGAAACGATGACCGGGCACTCGACAAGAGAGCGGCCGGCTTACCCTCATTATGCAATGATCTATATTGATGCGGAAGGAAACCTTTGCCAGCGCTCTTCCGCATCGGTGGCACAAAACATGCAGGATATTATCTCCCCCACAGTGGCAGGAGAATTCTTGAGGGCCGTGGCGAGGTCAAGAGAAGCACATGGAGCCCAATTCCATGGTGAGTACTAATCAAAACCAAGCGGCGTGAGGCGGGCTGACTCGAGGTAGCCCCCGTTGCTCTACAGCCTACACAGGAGCCACAATCCAACGAGCATAGCTCCACTATCTCGCAAAGGGGGCTCATGGCCCACAGTGGACGTGCCGTGAGTGGTGAGCAAATTGGAAGGATTCCAACCGAGCAGAACCCTCATCTCCAGCCGGCAATGTGGCCACAGTCTAGTAACTCTTGGTCACCTCAACAAGAGCAAGCAACTGGATCTCAGCCCAGGAAAAAGCATTTTGGGGGCCGCAGCTTGAATTTGTCTTCGCACCAGAGTGCTTCATTGTCTGTCGATGAGCCTGAGATCTTGCGTCTCTATTACGAGAAAGTTTTCCAGAATCTCCAACAAACAAACTGCCGCGTGATCGCAAAGGCCTATATCAAGCTGGTCGAGCCTCGAAAACAAGTCAACTATCCCTACAATGGACGAAAAACCGTGGACGGAAGAGTCCAGCAGCTTGATCCAGAAGCCACCAAGCCGCCTTGGTGGCCGATCGGAGTCTGTCACCGGGAGCCAGATCATCTCCCCAAAGTTGGTAAGATCAGAACACACAACGATCTAGGCATTCTGCAAAGAGCTGACGCCGATTAGAGCGCATTCGTCTTCTCGTCCATATCCTGTGTGACTTACGTGAAAGCAATGGGGTCACTGCCGCCAGGCTCAAAGAATGTGACCAACCCATCCGACGTCAGATTCTCCCGGCCGATCGTTTGCAAATCCTGGATGAGATGTACCGAGTGCGTGAGGAGGAGGAGAAATTTCTAGATGGCGTTCCAGGTACCAAATCTGGCCTAATCACTGCAGTCCTTGGGAGACTAACTCACATGCCACCCTCGATAGATTGCGAACCAAGCGTGTTGATATCCCGCGCGAACCTTCCCCCAATAGTAGAAGACACATCAAGCGGACAAAGCTCACCGACCGACCCAGAATATGCCCACGGCGCGAAATCCGACTGCAGCGATGATACCCGAAGGATCGATACAAGCCAAGTCATTGTGTCCGCCGAGAATCTCCAGAAGAGAAACCCATGCTACCCACCCAATCCTTACACCCCGACCATACACCCGGCGATGCATAATAGCCCAGGCATACAGTACCAAAGCACCGAGAGCTCGCCGCATGCTTCGAGCTCGCCACAAGAATTGAAGAGAAAACGCGAGATGTTTTCTGGCACACACTTGGTCGATCGGACCCGTCAAATCGGCATGGCACAATACCCCTTCGCTGGCAGCTCGAGCGTTCAGCCGTCCATGGAAATGTTTCATCAGCAGGCTCTACCAGAAGAAGTTGCCCAGGCGGTTGCAATTACTGAGCCAGCTCAGCCAGCAGTGGAAGTGCTGCCAAACGATTTAATGATGCCATACGGGTACCCTTATTATTATAGTTGCTAAGCATTCAAAGACAGACTAACGCCTACCATGTCTGATGATAATGTATCTCCTTTGTTAACACAGAAGACTGTTTGTCTTCATGGAGTATTCGCATATTCGCATTATAACTGCAGAGGAAAAATTATTTTCGGAGTTCTCTGGATATACGATATACGGCACGACTGTTTTGACATCCGCAAGGGACATTGGGTTCCGATTTGTGACTATGAACCACACATACTGAGTCAGTAGTCTGACTATATCCGACTAGGGACAACTGGGCTGTTTCTTATCGTTTTGGCCCATGTGCAGACAACAAACAGCTCACAGGCATTGTGAATACCAGTCATTGAAGTACTTGCAACTTCCACTCGCACATACAGTGCTACCAGTCCATCCTGATCCTCCACACTGACCGTACAACGCAACACCAGTTGAGCCACCAGAGCCTGCCGTGGTTGTGGTAGTAGCAGCAGTGGCAACGGTCGTAGTGGTTCCAGTAGAAGCAGCTCCACCTAGAACAGACAAGATACCTGCATAAGCGGGCTTCTTGGCTAAATTCTCATCCCAGGGCAAAGCTGCGCCTTGACCAGAGAACACACTGGGCACCCAGGAGTACTTGTCGGTGTAGTCCCAAATAGTCACGCCAACACACTTGGTGTTCGCAACACAAGCTGCGACAGTATTCTGGTAGTCGGTTGACTGCTGCGCGAGCAGAGCAGCAGTAGATGGCAGAGTCATCCGGATATCAAGTTCTGTATAAGCAACTTCCACCCCGAGGGCCACAATAGCAGCCAAGTTCGTAGCTTGTGCACTCTGGCTGGGTGTGCTTCCAACAATAAAGTGTGCCTGCAGACCGACTCCGTCAATCTTGGCTCCATACTGCTGTACAAGCTTCACGATCCTCTGAGCCCCTGAGGACTTCGAGCCGGAGGATTCGATGTTGTAATCATTGTAGTAAAGCTTGACATCCGGGTCTGCCGCAGCGGCAGCAGCAAATGCAATAGGAAGATAGGCTTCGCCAATTGTCTGGTAGAAGATGTTGGTGCGATAGGTACCATCTTCGTTGAGTGCTGCAGATTGCGACATTGGTTAACCATACTGAGCTGATCGGCAACCTCCTAACACAGGACTGACCTTCATTGACAACATCCCAAGCATAGCATTTCCCCTTGTAGTGGGTAACAACATTGGTGATGTGGTTTTTCATGACCGCAATGAGGGTTTCATTGGTCCAGGTACCGCTAGATACTACGCAAGATCAGCTCACATTCCATCTCTATAGTGTAGTTTCTCCATCATGCAAGCAGAACTTACCCCAACTAGGCAGTTGGCTATGCCAGACAAGAGTATGGCATCTCAATTTCTGGCCATTCGTAGCTGCGAGGTCGGCAACGACATCTCCCTTGGTGTAAGAGAAGGTGTTCTGCGTAGGTTCGATAGTATCCCACTATGTAAAGTCAGTTTATTTGCCCAAGCCATCGAGCAGGAGTCCTCACCTTTTGCGCATTTCCAGGAGTGATTTGACCGAAGTCATCGGTGTTGCTTAGCTGTGCCAAGTATGAAGCATCAGTCAACTCGGGGTTATCGGTGGCGGAACCAAAGTAGAGTTTCCCTTTGGCAACAGCAGACGTGTGTAGACCAGCCCCATAGACCCTTACAAACAATGTGAGTTCTCTTCAATGAGATTCGAAAGGGGTGGCTTAGTTCATACCACTGGGGGAGAATGCTGGCCAAGACCAGGGTTATTTTGGTCAATTGAACCATCACAACGACGTGGAACTGCTCGCTGGTAACTCACCAAAAGTTTTCGAAAGTCTTCAAGATCAAAAGACCCAGCTGTTCTCTCAGGCTCTTTTTATAGCCCGGCGCCATTAGAGACAATCAAATTATCAGGGTCTTGATTTGGATAATTCCAGCATCTGCGCCGGCGCTAGGCAGTTTCACATTGAGTATGGCATTTTCTCGGACCAGTAGCCCGTGGCATAGTTGTCGCGGCCGTTCGAACTAGTCGCATAATCTCGATTAGTGCTAGAATCCCCGAAGAACATAACTCGAGTGCACCGAAGCGATTCCCCCATAGGCTAAAATCTAGATGCGGAGGGCGCATCCATGTGGGCCCATTGAGTCCTGCAGAAAGACAGACGGAGGATATTCCGCATCTTCTTCACGGCAAAACAATCGCTTGATTGGCTGAGGTGCTCTTCCAGAAGAGCTCTGGGCAACGCATTTAGGGCTAAATAAGAACCGTCGGGTAAATGCGCACTTCTCCACTTCGGCCAAATCTGGGGTGTCGATCTCTGTCGGTTTCTCCGCGGCGCGCCACTGCCAAAAAGGATAAATGGAATCCAAAGGCTAAATGGATATCGACACCCTGAAGACCCGAAGAAGAGAATTATTTACCGTCACTCATGAGTAAACCCTGGCTTGCGTAATCTGAGACAGAAGGTAATACTGCGGGCGCTTCTACTCTCTAATAGACAATGGAAGAAAGCTTGCTACATGATTCGACTCAGTGCTGGCTGTGACCTTGGACGCAATGGAAACTTTTGATTTCAAGATGGCGTTGTCATCTTAACGGTTCATGTCTATGGAGTTATACAATGCATCTATATACACAAGTCAAACGCTTTCGTAGGGTATCATCAATTTTTGAACGTCTCGCTCAACACGCGGCAAATATGACAGTGACCGGATTCTTCAGCAGAAAACAACAGGTCAACCGTCCCGGAGACAATTTTCCGGAGACCACAATGCCACGGGTGATGAGTTTGGCCGAGTGTACACAGCTTTGATAGAAAGCGATATTGTGAGGTGGGTTGATTGGAGGCTGGACGAAGGGTGTCGTACGGAATAACGATCGTTCAGCCTGACTTGCGAGCCTTCATCTCAGCGATAAACTTGCCGGTCTTCGAAAGAGGCACAACGTAGATGTTGACGAGTTGATCAATAACCTCGACCTTTCCTCCAGAGAGAATTTGAAGCAAAGGCAGACTTTTGCCCGCCTTGATGAGACCGCCAGTGACGGTCTGCATGAAGCACTCTACATTGTTGACCGTGTATTCCTTCTTGATGTCCCAAGGAAGAGGGAAGATGTAGTCCAGGTGATCCGAAATGGAGTTCATCTCCGAGAAAGACTTGATGAAGTCGGATTCCGCCTCCATGGGGTAAAGGAAGACAGCGGGGAATTCAATGGTGCTTTCTGGGGAGAGAGGGTCGGGAACCAGTCGAATCTTGGCATCTTCCAAGTCAGGGGGCTGCTCGGTCTTGCGGGTTCGGATCTGACGGGCTTTCAGGGCTGTGCTGAGCATGGTGTTCTGCTTGCGAAGAAGTTCTTCTTCGGCCCTCTTCCTGGCAGCAGCGCGTTCGAGTTGCGCTTTGCGTTCGGCGATCTTCTTGGACGATTCTTGGAGAGCCTTGCTTTCGGGATCAATTGCGAGTCCGCGCTTGACGGAATCCTCAGCCTCCGCGATTTTGTCCAGCTTGAACAGTGCCAATGATGAGCGATAATAGGCCTTGATATTCTTCGGGTTGATCTTGAGAGAACCAGCACAGTCGAGGGTACAAGAGCGGTAGTTGCCTGTGGTTGGAAGGTGAGTAATAGCTCCTAGAAGCCTTGAAACCACACGCACCTAATTCCAGATTACACAATGCACGATTGCTGTATGATGCCTCCTCCAACTTTACCAGCAACTCGGCTTCTTCCTTGGGATCTTCTGGCTGCTCCCATTTGTTTTCTTTAGCATTAATGACAGCGAGAGCCTTGGTATAGAACTCCTTGGCATCAATCCACTTGAGCTCTTGAACGGCCTCGTTTCCTTGTCCCTTGAACGTGTTGGCAACCTCGGCCCGGGTTCCTTCGTTTTGAAGCGCCTGAAGAGCATCGAGAAGAACGTTTTCGCCCTCTGTGGGATTGTATATTAGCCAAGTTGTACCGTCGCGCTCGACATGAGTAACATACTCTCATCACCGGCGTTTTCGATGTCAGTCATGAAAAGAGGTGTCTTGTTCATCATAGCCATCAGCTCTTCGCTACTATGTGACTGAATGGCGGCGATAGCTGGAGGAAGCTCCGGTGCGTTCGGATCATTCTGGCGCGCCTTCAGTCCCTCCTCGTTGATTGGGAACGGAACGTCATTGCCAGGAGCGAAGGCATCGAATCCTGGCTGAGGGAGGTTTTGGGTGACTTCGGGTGGAGCATCGTTAAGATTGAGCGACTCGTCAAAGTCATCCGGAAGCTCTTCGACTCGCGACATCGTGAATACTTGACGCCGAAAAAAAGTGATATGCTTTCGGAGATTGGAGATCTTCAATGCTTAGAAATGCCTGCACGGAAATGTGCAAACATTGCAAACATGAGGGGGGCTGCCCTACCCTAAGCCCTATTACCGAATTAGGCCAGTAGATAACAGGGCCTTATCGGTTATCAGCGAGCGATAAGGAGATCAACCTGTGGACGGTACGATATACACTTGCTCGAATATGACCTCTTGAATGCACAAGAGACATGCTTACATGGTAAATTACTAACTCAAGCATCTACTGAGAACAGCATTGCACCCTGAGAACGAGGCTCTATAGGTTGAAGCCAACGTCCTGAAGCCAATGGGGCCTGTCCCAGCGGGCTGTGAATGGAATGCTTGTTACCTACCATGTTGCAGCATCATTACAAACAAGACCCCAAGACGCAACACTCAGTGGAGCGAAGGTTTTACTCCTCAAAACCCATGAAAGAAGCCTGTACTCCCCATATCCCAAACCAGACCATCGGCTCAAGCCCGAAGCAAGGCTAACCCCGCATTTGTCGGATGGAAGACCGATCTGATATAGGCTTTATGTAGACCTAAATAACAACATGAAGAAAGACCTATTCATCTGGTTAATTGACCACAAACAACCCTCAACAGCACAAGTATGGCCGAAACATTCAAGATTCTCGTCCTACCTGGCGATGGCATTGGCCCAGAAGTGATGACCGAAGCCGTCAAAGTACTCAAAGCCTTCGAAACCCCTGAGCGTACCTTTACCATCCGTCAGGAGTTGATTGGTGGCTGTAGTATTGATGCAACTGGCAAGACTGTCACAGACGACGTCAAGCAAGCAGCGCTAGACTCAGACGCCGTTCTTTTTGCAGCAGTCGGAGGACCGAAATGGGACAATCAACGACGTGGTCTTGATGGCCCTGAGGGAGGGCTCCTCCAATTGCGCAAAGCCATGGACATCTATGCAAATTTACGTCCCTGTTCATCTACCTCACCAAGCGTATCGATTGCCAAGGAGTTCAGTCCGTTCCGACAAGACATCATCGAAGGAGTGGACTTTGTCGTCGTGCGCGAGAATTGTGGAGGAGCATACTTTGGCCATAAGGTTGAGGAGGAGACCTATGGTAAAATACCGTGAATACCCATTAGCCCTGATGACAAGCTCACGATATCACCTACAGCGATGGACGAATGGGGCTATTCCGAAGCCGAGATCCAGCGTGTGACTCGTCTATCCGCTGAGGTAGCACTGCGTCACGACCCGCCCTGGCCCGTAATCTCTCTAGACAAGGCAAATGTCTTGGCTTCTTCCCGGCTCTGGCGTCGCGTAGTAGACAAGACGATGGCAGCCGAGTATCCACAGGTCAAGCTCGTGCATCAGCTTGCGGACTCAGCATCTTTGATTCTGGCAACAAACCCACGATCATTGAACGGTGTCATTCTGGCTGATAACACCTTTGGAGATATGATCTCAGACCAAGCTGGCTCGATTGTTGGGACTTTGGGGGTGCTGCCGAGTGCTAGTCTCAATGGTCTGCCGGGAGACAAAACACTGAAGACACGACCATATGGACTGTATGAGCCCACACATGGCTCTGCTCCGACGTAAGTTTATCCTCAAAGGAAGACGGGAGATATTCTTACACTCTGATAGTATCGCCGGACAGAACATTGCCAACCCGGTTGCAATGATCCTCTGCGTTGCTCTTATGTTCCGGTATTCTTTGAACATGGAGGCTGAAGCACAGCGTGTAGAGGATGCGGTGCGAAAGGTGCTAGACTCGGGCCTTCGCACACCTGACCTGGGAGGCAAGGCGGGAAATGTTGAGGTTGGAGACGCCATTGTCTCTGCGCTATAGGACCGCCACAGGTAATATGACGTGAATGGGAATGGATGTGAAGATCACAATACCCATGCAGTCGTAACATGCTATTCTGTGGCTACTGGGGCTCTATGTCAACTCGTATTGAATTCATCGCACCGTCTTTCACCGACTTGTCCTCGCTCTGTCAGCTTCATTTCCTGGAGATTCTCCTGTATTGTACCTCATGCCTGGCTTAAAGAGAAATACTCAATGGTAGCCCATGAGTAAATTAACAAACAAACTATTGCCTGCAAACGGATCTCATGGCGTTCTAGACGACTTTCAAGGTTGACAGCTGGTAGCTCTCGTGCCCCGAACTTCGCCAGGGCTCTCAGATAATCTACATTGGAGCCCCAGTTCAGAGAGCTTTCATCCCCGAAAGTCTGGTTGAAGGAAATCAAGGCCGTTGAATAGCCCTTTTCGTAACAGAATACCTCTCTGCCTCACGTTAACACCAAAGAGTGGTAGATGTGGCTAGAGCTTATTGTATAATTCATACCGTGAGACGGCCGCAAATCTATGGTTCGCGATGATTCAAAGCTAGGAACTCCATGCGAACATGATTGTGTATGAAACGCAAGCTCAATGAGTAGAGGGAGTTTCTAACAGAAGTGACAAAGAGACAATCCAGTTGATCAAAGCCATGACACTCCTGGCGCATTGTGTCAAAGAAGAATCATATTTGATATATGAATGTATCTAGAAGTCGATAAGTAAATGTTCCTACCTCTTCTCTCTACACCATCGCAAACCGACTACGTTATGGGTGGGTCCAACTTACCTCGAAACAGGTCATATACAGATGGTAGTGCTGGATCATTCTTTGGCGAGGATATGAGGAGACTGCCATCACCTCCACACAGGGCCTCTGTTGATTCTGCTCACGGGACAAGCGTTCCACCCCGAGAGCAATCCACACAATCGCTCCAATCTTCAATGAACTCACCCCAGCGCGTCGCGTCTAGAAATGTGAGGCCACAAACGCGATCTATCCTGCCCCGCGAACAATTGACAGAACCGCCCCAACTTTCATCCAATTCACCTCCGTACCAGCGCGTCACATCTGAAAATTCGATGCCCCAAACTCGGCCCATCCTACCCCGAGAGGATTATGTGCAATCGCCTCAACCCCCAAACCACTCTTCTCGAAAGCGGTATGCCGCACCTGATACTATGATGCGGCAAAGAAATCCAACGTTTCTCAGTGGAGCGCGGCTTGGATTGTATGGCAATGCCACCCCAGAGGCTCTTGCAAAGCCCGATCCAATCCTCTACCCAGGATCCTGTGCTCGACGACTGGAAAATCTGGAACACAAGAGCCATCAGGCGAAAAGTGAGCTCATGCGATCCATCAGTGCAGACATCAGCGCAACGTTCATCTGCATAAAGCAACACATCGAAGCAGGCACACTCTCTGGCGACCAGACCGATGTGATCGAAGACGCGACCCAAGCCATTTACGAGACCGATATCAGAATGCGACGCTCGTTGAAACGGGATGTGCGTCGCCTGCGCAAGGAGAGGAACTGGTCTCAACGGCAATACTGCAAGTTGGCTGCGCAACTGGATTCGCTGGTCAATGCATACGAGACGAAAGTCCAAGGGCTGACGACAACATTGCAGGAGATGAATGGTGAGGTCCAGCAGTTAAGAGAAGAAAGGGATCTGTTGCTGGCATCCTTGCAGGCGAGAGGGCCGCATGTTCCCCAGGTGAATGAAGATGGGGGTGATGGAGATGAGCCAGGAAAATAGTGTTGGTGATGAAATCGAAGAAACGGGGGCCGAAGTCAACGTGGAGTATTTAGCATGTCGGAATATGATGATCAGTGGCAGAAGACAATCGGACTTTAATTTTCGGCTTCTTGATTTCTCTGTTCCTACGTAAAAGACGTAATCTAGCATCAGTTCTTAGCGCCCAGGGGGCTTTGAGGCATATTTGACTCGCGTTGTCGAGTCACTGTCTGTTTATTCCATAATTTTCCTTAAACCAGAGACCACCATCCAGATATAGATTGTGTCACGTAGTTTCAACCCTGGGATGTGGATCGGCTTATGAATTCCGAGGCATATGAACAGGTCGGTAATTGATCGGAGGCGAATGATCCCCCTTATCGCGAAGCTCCGGATGAATATGCGAAAGATTCAAAATGATGTGGCGAACTCGAACCGGAAGCGATTATCGGACTCAAACATGGAAATCGAACGCACCCGAAAGGCTATTATAGCAAACCATGAAGCTGAAGGGAAGCGCAAAAGCAGAGCCCGAAAGGACCTCGGCATCTCTGCTTTGAATCCGCGCAGGCTGATTCGGCCCGCGGATCCACCCTCCTCCGCGCATGTGGGCATGTGGACAAGAGAAGTCTGGAGTCAAGACCCTTTTTCATTCCTTTTCTTCTTTCTCGTTTTCTGAGTCCTCTCTTATCCCCCAAGAAGCAAACCGAAGTCGATCGAGTTTGTTGCTCCAACCACTTTTTCCTTCTCCCTCCAGACATTTTACCCCGGATAACGTTATCGGCCGAGAGCAAATATGAGCACTCACGACTATGAGGCCGTCCGCAAGGACATCGTTGCCCAGTTGAAGAAGCCCGACTATGACGATGGAAGCGCAGGTCCCGTTTTCGTGCGTTTGGCATGGTATGTGAAAAAATCTCCCACCGCCAATCTTTCCGGCCCCCGGTCGGGATTTCTTGCAACGCCACTGACACCGTCCCCCAGGCACTCCTCCGGGACATATGACGTTGAATCCGACACAGGCGGTTCCAACGGAGCAGGCATGCGATACGAAGCAGAGGGAGGCGACCCAGCCAACGCGGGTCTGCAACACGGACGAGCATTCCTAGAACCGGTCAAAGAGAAGCACCCGTGGATCACGTACTCCGACTTATGGACACTGGCAGGAGTCGTGGCGATCAAGGAACTGGGTGGACCGGATATCCCATGGCAAGGGGGACGGACAGATCTGGTTGATGACAGCAAGGTGCCCCCACGCGGACGGCTGCCAGACGGTGCCCAAGGCGCCGACCACCTGCGCTTCATCTTTTACCGTATGGGCTTCAATGACCAAGAGATTGTAGCACTGACGGGAGGGCATAACCTTGGACGGTGCCATGGCGATCGCAGCGGGTTCGATGGGCCGTGGGTGACGAACCCGACACGATTCTCGAACTCGTTCTTCAAGTTGTTGCTCCAGCTTGATTGGAAGCCTCGCAAGCTGGCGACCGGTATGTCGCAGTTTGTGTATGAAGATCCGGATGCCGACGAGGATGAGGAGCCCTTGATGATGCTGCCGACCGACATGGCGCTGTCAACGGATCCCTCATTCGCTCCATGGGTGAAGCGATATGCCGAAGATAAGGAACTCTTCTTCGATCATTTTGCCAAGGTTTTTGCCAAGCTGATTGAACTGGGTATCCGACGTGATGCTCAGGGTGCTGTTACCAACACTGACGGTACCCTTGGTGGTTATGTCTCAGCGCCCAAGAAGAGTGATACTGCGACTGGCCCACCTCGGGCCCGTCTGTGAGAGTGTATTGTTAATAGACCATAGAATATGAATATATATGTTAGAAGTGGAAAACACAGAGGAAGAACAGAACGAAGAAGAAGAAGAAGAAGAAGAAAGGGGAGTCTGGGGTACTTGCGGGGAAGCCTCTCATGTACAAAGTGTATTTACCCCGTTTGGGGCGGAGAACCCCGTTTATACACAATTCCTCGGTTATGTCTAATGGAAGCCTTCTGATTGGCCCTTCTGCATTTAAGCTAGTATCAACTTGTATATCTTTACTTTCAACCTTTCGTGTTTACTCTGTACATTACTGTTCCCTTGATATGTTGCTCTCAAGGCTTACAGGCTAATCAGAAATTACTCAGAGGCTACTCAGAGGCTACTCAGAGGCTGTGTCCACTTGGGCACCGGTTTCCGCTGGACTTCTCACTATGAAGATCATACTTCCAAGGTAGTTCATCTCTAATTACTATAGCTCTGAGACACTGCAGCTGTTTCAGTCCTAGTCCGAGTCCCCCTCCGAGTCATCACCGGGCATCCAAGTGGGATCATCGTCCTTCGCCTTGCCTTTCCCTTTTCTCTTCTTCTGACTCCTTCTGCTGCTGGTTGATTTCGTCCTCCCCCTCCTCTCTTCCTCTTCCTCTCTCTCTCTCCTTTCATTTTCCTCTCTCTCCCTCTGTTCATCTTCCTCTCTCTCTCTCCTTTCCTCTTCAGTTTCCTCTTCATCATCTGACTCTGCACTTTTCTTCATGGCTCCAGTATCCGCAGCTTGCGGCTTGCTGGCTTCCTTCTTCGCCTTTCGCTCATCGATTTTAGCTTGTCTTTGAGCTTCTGCCTCAGCCTCGGCAGCTTTCTTGACAGCGTCTGCTTTTTGTTTTGCCTTCTCATCCTGAATGGCTTTGGACTGAGAGTAAGCGTTGCCTCGCTGCTGTGCGGTGGAGCTCGAGGCTACGGTCGGAGGGATTCTTGTTGTGACAGATTTGACAGTGGCTCTTGCTGCTGCCTGCTCTTTGGCCTTTTCCTTCTGTTTGGCTTCCTCTTTGGCTTTTTCCTTCGCTTTTTGAGCCTCATATATTTTGATATTTCTCTCCCGTATTTGTTCCTCGCTTTCGCTCTTTCGCTCCTTCTTCTTTTCGGACCACCATTTGTCCTTCTTTCTTTTAAGGTAGGCTTGCAGCTCCTGTTCCTTCTGGTGATTTTCGTAAGCTTCCCTTTGGCGGGGGTCGATGTTTTGACTGAGCATAACGATGGCTTTGTGCTCGCCACTGGTTGTTTGATCCGATCCTTGATCATATGCGTCTGGCATACTGGTATCAGATTGCATCCTGCGTCGTTTTCTTCCTTTGGGCGACGGCCATGTAGGAAGATCGGGGAACTCCAAAGCACCGTCTTTGGAAGGTTTTCCTGAGGGCCATAAATGCTCATATGAAGAGAGCCAGTCCGGGGTGTCAAGCATGGATTGAAACAAGTGGGTTTTCAGTATGTCTTGCATGCTTCCCTGGGGGATTTGTTGGGTTAGGATGTCATCGTCCATCATTGATGATTCAAGAAAAGCAGAGATGTCGAAGACTGGGGCGCTGGTGTTACTGTACAAGGATGGATCCAGAAGTGACTGGTCAATGACCGTGGGGTCAATGAGTGCAGGATCAAGGGCTACATTTGTAGCTGAGGGATTCTCTAGATCATTGACGCTAGGGTCTCCATCCCACCCCCAACTAGGGTTGTAGTCTGTGAAACGCTCGCCCATGTCAGACAGAACGCGGTCCCACGGGTCAAATTGAGGCTCGGTGGATGGTGGAATCCAAGCAACGTGCGCTTCCAGGACGTTCTTGTCGCTTTGAAGAATGCTTGCCATGTCAGACACGGCAGTGTGGGCCGATGCTAAAAGTTCACTAGACGGATCCATGATTCGCTCGTAAAAGAGAAGTGGGATGGCTCTCTGATTCACCCATTCATTGGGGACACGATCTTCGGGTTTGAAAGCGGGCACACCACCCAGCAAGAGACCTTTGTTGAGCTGACTGTCGTACATCATGACGTTGGTTTCTGTCTGCTCGCCTCGGTTGGAATCGGTCCAGTAGACACGAGCATGTTCTTCGTTGTTGTAGATGCCGCCAAGCCAGCGATAGTGCGCAACTCGTTTCTTGTCGTCGTAGTCAGTATACTTGAATGACAGATGCTGGGTGTGATTTCGTAATCTTGTCTTCACATCAAAAGTCATGACTAGACGCAATGGTAGCTGGCCTACTCGTCTTTCCCCGGTGACGCCGAGGGGATCACCACAGCGCTTGCAGCTGAATGACTTCCGATCATAGAAGCATCTCTCAATCAGAGTTCCCACGGCCACTCCTTTGTCATCACCTCTCCTGTATCCAGGCAAGATACAAGAACCCTCATGGTAGTTGATGAAAGATTGGGTGTTCTCGCATTTGCAAGGTGTTACGCGCTCAATATGATGATAGCGGAATTGCGATATGCTTTTCGTGACCTGAGACCACACAGCCCATGGGGGAAGGGGCTCTCCCATTCTCAGGTGAAGTTGGCCGTCTATGAATTTTTGAAGAAACTCATCACGCGCTCGTATGGCCATTTTCTCATCAAGGATCTCCCAAGCGATATTTGTAGCCTCAATGTAGGATTTTTCGATTTCCGTGAACTCGGCGGATCGGTTATTAGCGCGATCAACCCTAGTACATCCGACATCCAGGAGCCTGCCTACCATAATCACACAGTCCGTAGCACAGGAGTCTGCATGCCAGACAGGACCACGGCCTCGAAGGGGAAACGACGCCCCTTTCGAATCCCACTTGAACGTTATTGGCGATACCCTGACACTTGAAATGTTGCTGAAAGCTCCTATCTTCATTTGTAGTAGATCTTTGAAACGGTGTGCTGTGATATTTTTGACAGGCTCGTTGCGTGAGGGAGCAGAAGGATCACGTTCAAGATCAGCATACACCACCTGCATCAAGGCCTTTTCGATTGCTTCGGCGACAATTTGATGTTCATAGACAGGTTCTGCCAGTTGTATGATAGGGCCAACCTGTGGTTCATCGGGTGGTGGGGAAACGTATTCAGGTTGCAGGCCAGGCTGCCACGTCCACTCTGACGGATCACGCCGAGAGGCAAAGACAGGTCCCTGAAAAGCCTGGACGGTCGAGGCAGGTGGTGCAGCTAAACCTCGATAATTTGGAGCACTCGGAGAGAGGCTTCTTTTTCGCTTCCTAGGTGTAGTCTGTATATTGAAAGAAGCTTCTAGGTCTGCGTCGAAAAGATAATCCGCTTGCTCATACCAGGGTATTTGCACCAGCTCTTTATCAAAGACCAGATCTTCATCGTCTGGGGGCATTTGCAGAAACCTATTTGCTGCGAAGTTGATACCCGGGAAGTGTTGCTCATTGCCGAAAGGCTGATCAACCATCTGCTGAGTTACAGTCGGCTCATTGAAACTATCTGCCGAGTACATATATTGTTGGATGACGACGTCGGGGAGATCTAGTGGTGCATCGAGAGGACGAAAATAGGCGGGTAGAATAAACGCTCGGTCATCTGGTTGATTTGGGAACCATTGGCTAAGAGGTGGCGGTCGTGGAGTAATATCATATCTCAAAAGTCGAGGGCCGGTGTCTCGGTCGAGGTTCAACAAATCTGCGTAGCTCTTTGGCCTATGCTCGTCTTGCATATACCAGAAAAGCTTCCACAAGGCCTTGGTCAGAGTTGTCTGATTGTGTGCCTTTCTCGTTGTTCTGGCGGTCTTCTGGTTCTGGGCCCAATCGATCCCCCAAAAGTAATGTTTCACCAATACCCTCAACTGCGACACCTTCACAACACGACAGTCTTCAACCCTTCCATACAAGACATCTAGAAATGCCCAGGTATCTGGTGGGTCTGCAAGAGCTTTGAAATCATATAGAGGCAAAGGCTGAGGCGGCTGTACGAGCTGTTCCGGCTTCCTTGGAAAGGGAGTAGGACCGCCCTCGCCAGTCATATCGGCAAAAGGTGTATGAGTCAATGTATTCACTAGATTTGATCAGATTTTGCTCGGTCAAGAGCACGATTCGAATGCCAGTATGGCTAGCGTTGTCTTCAAATCTTGGAAATTTTTCATCGAGGCGATCGAAACTGAGCGCGAGCCATGCTCTTTAATTCCCAGTGAAAGGGACCACATTGTCGAGTGCCCGAGTTTCAATGTCATCTTTTCGAGGTCAAAGAACATAAGCAGCGGATTGTAACATACGGCCAGATATGAGTTCAAAGAACGCCAAGTCATGTTCCGTGGTAAAATTTTGATCCTCAGGGCACAAAGCACTTGAATCCATAAATGCTGACGCGGGCATGATTCTAAAATTATCTGACCGGCTTAGTTCCTTTGGCTCAAAGAACTGCTTTTCGTGAAATCATGTTCTTCTGATTCCACTATTGGTGGCACTGTCCTACTGAACAAAGAGGGTCAGGGTCAAGTCACGGCGGCCTCGGGCTCGTGGTCCTGAGACCCGATGAGAACAAAAACGAAGAGAGAGAAGGACGTTTGTCTGTGCCCGGAGAATGAGCGATAGTACTTTCTATAGTCTATAGACTGGCTCATCATTCTGATACTGAACCTTTTGATATCATATCTTGGGTTGTCCACCTAAGGCCGGTAAGATCATCTGACTATATAATGTAAGTACACGGTTCTAATCCAGTGTAGGGGAACCTTGGAAGGTTTACAATACACGGAGTGTAGAAAGGTGGCTTCTTATAAAGAAATGTCCTGACCATCTCCGGGGAAGCAGGTTCAATCGCAGTTTAATGCCGACAAAGAAAGGCATACTGTAAAGTACACGTAATTATATTAAAATAACCGTATTAAATACGAGAGAAGTGAGCATGTGACTTTACCTGATCTCCGCGCTAGCCGCATTAGGCCTAGCACAGAACAAGCGAGCCCTCGCCCCAATTAGGTTTAGTGTCAAAATTACCCGATCCCACAAGGAAAGTCGCCTAGGTCGGACCTTCCTCCTCTCCATCCCTCTGTCGACAACCATAGCGATTCCGCCCGTCGCCCATCATGTGTACGTGCCATCCCTATCAATCTGAAAGCATGCTATGCTGCGAACACGGAAATACCGAACGATGAAAAAGAAATTGTGGCACAAGCGGCGGAACTCGAAATTGAATATCGGCTAACATGGATTTTCCACTACAGCGCTCGTGTCCGGGGAAAAGAGCAACTTCCAATTCATCTTGCGTCTCCTCAACACCAACGTTGATGGAAAGCAGAAGATCATGTACGCGCTGACCCAGGTCAAGGGTGTCGGTCGCCGTTACTCCAACCTGGTCTGCAAGAAGGCCGATGTCGACCTCAACAAGCGGTACGTTCGCACCAACCCTCCTTTGAGAAACCAACCCGCCTCTTTGTGTTATTGGAAGATATTGGATAAATGAGTGGAGGAGTTCGGGATCAAATCGACATGGATATCGACAAATAGGGGCGGGGTGGAAATTATCGCAAACGATCCCACAGAACGGAAAGGCTGACTAGATGTTTCTACAACAGTGCTGGTGAGCTTACCACTGAAGAGCTGGAGCGCATTGTCACCATCCTCCAGACTCCCACTCAGTACAAGATCCCCTCTTGGTTCCTCAACCGACAGCGCGACATCACCGATGGCAAGGACACCCAGGTTGTCTCCAACGGTCTCGACTCCAAGATCCGTGAGGATCTTGAGCGCTTGAAGAAGATCCGCTCCCACCGCGGTCTGCGTCACTACTGGGGCCTCCGTGTCCGTGGTCAACACACCAAGACCACTGGCCGCCGCGGTCGCACCGTCGGTGTCAGCAAGAAGAAATAAACCATTTCGTTCGTCTTTTTTACCGGGGGCTCTTGGAGGGATTCCGTTATTTCCGGTGTGTTTCAATGGGCATCCGTGGGACTCTTCCAAAAATTTGAAAATGAATCATACCAATGAAATAAACGATCTCTTCGTCATCTTTCTAACGGCTAGGCCATCGCGACCCGATTTTTCTTACACGTCAGCTTCGTGGTCGCTGGCTTAGTCTCCGTAGTCCTCAACTGTCTAGATCTGCCTTGATATTCACACAGAATTCGTAATTATGGGGTACAGAGCAGATCTCAGCATATGGCATATTGGATTCGTACTATCTTTAGACAAGTGTGGAGTCAAGCCAAATCCCCCGAGTTGTCCCACTCTGGGGCCACCCTTCCAAGGTTGTAGATTGTATGAGAGCACGCATGCTACCTAACGGCTGTATCCACCTTTGGACAAAGGCGTGTTCTCGCTAACCCATTACCAGCAACGTTCCGTCTACGCTTGGTGTATCTTCATATCTACTTTAATCTCCAGGGAATCCATGGATGTCGCTTTGCATTCAAATTTGATTGATTCAAAATTGTATAGGCATATATGTAAGAAACAAAAGCGAAAAGACCGGGATCAGAAAACAGGGCAGTACTGATTAAGCGGTGCTCTAAATCTAAGCTAGGGTAGCAGATTGTATGCAGACAGGCATAGAATCAGTCGAGCGTAGCGAATTGATGATATCGTCAACACATCGCGTCAACAGTCTAGATCAATCAATGATTTAGTACCACTCGCCGCCGATCCAGCGGTTGAAGAACTCAAGACCAGCCTCGGGCTGATCCATGGGGACCATGTGGCCAGCGCCGTAGATACGGGTGAAGGTAAAGTTGCCGTGAGACTTGATCTGACCGATCTCCTTACCAACGTGCTCGTTGTTAACGATCTTGAGAGGCTTCAGCTCCTTGGAGGCGAACTCCTTCTGACCGGGCCACTCAAGTGCGTTGGACCAGGCCTGGTTACCGAGCCAGTTGCAGATGAAGTCAGCATCACCGGCATAGATCAGGACGGGGATCTGCTCGAGGATACCAGGCACGAGGCGGTGGTAAGGCTTGAACCAATCTCCGTTGAACAAGAAGTTACGGTTGATGTCAAAGTTGCAAGAGTCGTAACCATCGACCTCAGCACCGACGGCATTGCGCACACTCTCTTGGCCAAGGTACTCGCTGACCCAGCCCATGCCCTTGTAGCAAAGGTTGCTCGAGTCCTCGCACTTGCCGCGAACGTCGTAGACATTCTGGCCGGTGCGCTGGTAGGGACCAATCATGGCGTTGTTACAGTAAATAGAGGCGGGGACGCAAACCCAAGGGCTCTCGCTGTTGTAGCAAGACTGAATCATGCTCTGGCAGCGAGACAGGGAGTTGTCCATGGACTGGCAAGTACCCTCGTCAACGACAGCGGGGTAGCCACCATCGCCGCAGGCCATGGGGCGGTAGTACTCGTACTGAGTAAGGCCATCAGTGAGACCGTTACCAATAAGAACAGACTTGAGGTTGATGTTGCGCTTCTTGTGGGACAGAATCTCAGAAGCCATGACAGGGATATAGTGACCGGCGTAGGACTCTCCAGCAATGTGGAAGTCCTGCTTAGCGTACTCGGGGAATTGCTTGAAGAACAGGGTAAGGAGAGCGTAGACATCCTTGCCAGCAGCAACGGTGTCACTGACGGAGGAACCGCTGTAGGAGTAGCCGACGTTGATGGGCTGGTCAAGGAAGATAACAGAGGCATTGTTGTTCCAAGAGAAGTCGTTGTAGATGGGCTTAATGTTCTCGCCGATGGAGCTGGGACCAAGTTCCAAGAACAATCCAGTGAGGGAAGAGCAGCCAGGGCCACCGTTGAGCCACAGAACAACGGGGTCGTTCTTGGGGTCGTTGCGAGACTCGAAGAACCCTTGTTCGCGGTTATTTATTGTATCAAATGAGTAGACGGATCAACTTACAGTAGAACAGGTGCTTGTCGTTCTCGTTGTCGTCAAGGTAACCACTGTACTGCTTGACGCCAGGGTCGATGCCGAGAGCGCTGGGGTCGACCTTCTTAGCACGGAGGCTGAAGGTGTCTAGCTTGCCATCGACCTCACGCTCCTTGGTGCCTGATGCACCCTCTACCCAGACGCTCTGGACATCAGCGCCACTGACGTGATAGTCCCAGTGGGAGTCAGGGCGGCGAGTGTGCTTCTTGGGCAGGGAAAGCATAGGGGCGCTTTCCATAGATTCAGGGAAGTAGTTGGATACCTCCTCCCAGAGCTGACGGGCCTCGCCGGAGAGGTGCTTGAACTGATCAGAGAGCTTGGAGAACACATCGGCGCCCTGCTGGGCGACGTTCTCCGCATATTCCTGGTGGCCTCCAAGAACCTGCTGAAGGGGGGGGGCAGCTGCCGAAGCAGCTCCCGCCAAAAGAGTGGCAGACAGGAGTCTCATCGCCAATTGTGTGACAAAGCCACAGCAACAATGATGCTAATGATGGGGGTGTAGATGGCAGCGGGTACCTTGGAGTCTGGGGTCAGGCAGCTCTTATCAGTAACCGTTGACTGATGAACCACTTCAAGATGAAGCTGATAGGGATAATGCGTACACTTTGTAGATACCACAAGGAAATGATAATTGATGTAAGAGTTGGGGATGGGGATGGGGATGCAAGAAGTCCTGCACTTGGAGATGAGGAGAAGCACCCTGGAGCCGATGACGCCGAAATAGGGCGATAAGCGGCTGGGCCAATCAGTGGAGATCCCCTTGAGTCACGAGGACTCACGGGATCGGAGAGGGGCATGTGCTTCCTGACTAAGCATTCGGTTTTCTTGGCAACAACTTTTGATATCATCAGCCTGAAAACTTCAGGTTATATTTCGTCTGATTTCTGGGAAGCATTCCACAGTCCTGACATTCTCTGCCATCGCAGAACTCAGCGCCTCTTCTTGAAATACAAGCGCAACACCAGCCCGCAGCGGCTACATCTCCAAAATGCCCATCAACCAACCATCCAACCAAATCAAATTCACCAATGTGTCGGTGGTCCGATTAAAGAAAGGTACGTCATAGCGCAAACTTGGTCACATGGTTTATTACTGACGCTCTTCTTCTCTTAGGCAAGAAGCGCTTCGAGCTTGCCTGTTACAAGAACAAACTCCTTGAGTACCGCTCAGGCGCCGAAAAAGATCTCGACAATGTCCTCCAAGTCCCAACCGTATTCCTTTCCGTGTCCAAAGCCCAAACTGCCCCGTCTGCAGAGTTAGCGAAAGCCTTCGGAGCTGGCACACCCAGGGAGGAAGTGCTGCAGGAGATTCTTCGCAAAGGCGAGGTGCAAGTCGGCGAGCGCGAGCGCAAAGACATCCTCGAGCGAGTGGAAAAAGAGGTTTTGGACATCGTGTCTGGCAGACTAGTGGACCCCTCCACTAAGCGCGTCTACACATCCGGCATGATCCACAAGGCTTTAGATCAACTAAGTTCGGCCAGTGGGCAGCAGCAGACACAAGCAGGAGACAACGAGGACGAAGATAAGTCCGCGCAACCGAAGAAGCCCCTTTGGACCGGTGTCTCGTCAAACCGCTCGGCGAAGAGTCAGGCGTTGGATGCTATGAAGGCTCTCATCGCATGGCAGCCGATTCCTGTGATGCGGGCACGCATGCGCCTTCGCGTGACATGTCCTGTGTCGCTATTAAAGCAGTCTGTCAAGGCCGCCCCTGGAGCCGCGGCGAATAAAGAAAAGGAGGCTCCTTCTGGAAAGAACAATAAGAAGGGTGGCAAGGGAAAGAAGGGCAAGCGGGATGATTCCGATGTCGAGGATGGGCCATCTGATTTGGATGCACCCAAGGCACCAGGCACGGTCAAGGATAAGATTTTATCATTGATTGAATCCGTGGAGTCACAAGAAGTTGTCGGAGGAGATGAGTGGGAGGTCGTTGGGTTCGCTGAACCCGGAGCATTCAAGGGCCTGAACGATTTCGTGGGTAACGAGACCCGCGGAAGAGGTCGTGTTGAGGTCCTTGACATGTCGGTCACCCATGAGGATTGAATTCCTTGCTTTACTATTTTACGGGACTTGCACATGACACACCGACATGATTGATGACCAAAAGTTACAAAAGAAATGCATTTACATACCAACTGATCTTCCTTTAGCGTGGAACCATTGCTATTCTCTCGCTAGATGGCTCACAAGCACTACAGTAAGAACTCTGAGATCCACGATCTCAAGCTATTCATGGGCGCTGAAGAAACATACAGTCTTCCCAATCGTCAAGTTGTTCACGGCCCATTGTAATTTGTAGTATACCCCATGGCACTCACCGAAATAGATATTTCTTCATGGAGGGAACAGAGTCGGAGCGGAACAAAATGCCAGCCTAGAAGCTAGGTGAGAAACTTGACGGACCAGGTTGAGGGAGTTCACATTCATGAGCGGTGAAGGCGCGCGAATAATTTCTTACTGTCTACTCCGTACATTGGATTGGTCCTCTCTTCTCTTTCACACGAGGTTACTATCACAATTGCTCTTCTTTTGGGTGGACGTTAAAGGCTTGTTCGCTGACTATCCATAATTGCTGAATGGTTGGCGTTGTCTGTTTGCCCAATAACCCTTGCAAGTACCTATAACTAGGGTAGCGAGACAGGGGGTAAGAGAAGCAAGACCATCTCTTCAGCATTATACTTGCATTGCAGAACCCGACCTTGGAACCTGGACTTTACTTGCATGATCTACCATGGAACCAATTTCCTGGGAACCAGGTATAGAGTGTTGCGCCAAGGACTTTTTCTTTTTCTCTCATGAGAGGCAGTTGGTTGATTAACTATGTAACACGATGTGAACTAAAAATATACAGCCTGGAAGAGACAGAAAGAGAAAGACAAAAAGACAGGAGCTCAGGAACGCCATCAACACCATCAACACAATAAGGGTATTTCCAACAGAAAGGTACAGAAAGCAAGCCATTACTCCTCAAGCATTCATCCGGCGCATGGCAATATTATCACAGCCAGTCACCATCAGAACCACATTCTTCCCAGGACCGAGCTCTTTAGCGAGCTCGAGAGTTCTTGTCACCGCGTGACTTGAGTCCAGACCAGACAGGATCCCCTCGTGGCGCCGAAGTGTTTCAAACCCATCCAGGGCCTCCGCGTCGGTAGCCGTGGAAATTTCGATACGGCCAGACTCCTTCCAATGAGCAATTTCAGGGCCCACGGTGGAAATATTCATGTCTGGCGAGATGGAGTGCGAGTCGAGGATCTGGCCATCGGAGTTTTGAAGCAAAAGAGTCCGCGCACCTTGAAGTACACCAAGCTCACCTTTTGTCAAGGCAGCGGCCTGGTCAGCTTCGACACCCACCAAGCGGACTGTTGAGTCCTGGATAAAAGGCCTGAACAAGCCCACTGCGCCACTGCCACTCCCAACGGCGGTGACGAGGGCATCCGGCTGGCTGCCTAGTGCTTGCATTTGGGATGCAACTTCCTCGCCGAGAAGGGCTTGGAACGTGCGAGTCAGGGTGGGCAGGGGACTTGGCCCCACTGGACTACCCATGAGGTAGTACGCAGACTCGTGGTTGCAGACCGAATAACGCAGCGCCTCTGTGATGGCCGCGCGTAGGCTACCCATGCCAGAAGGGGTGCGAGTTGTCAAGACCTTTGCTCCAAGCATTTTCATCTCAAGCACGTCCTCCTCTTGAGAATTAGCGTCATCTGCACCCATGACAATCACACAGCGCAATCCCAGGCGAGCGCACATTGCAGCAGTGAAGTTCCCGTGTTTGGCAGAGGCACAGTCAGTGACGATCTCTGCGCGGCCCATGCGTTTAGCTACCAGGAGCTGACCGATGATGTTGCGGGATCTGTGAGTGCCGTATTCATTCTGGTCCTCTCGCTTCAGCCAGATGGTGGCTCCTCCGGCGAGGGCAGTCAACTTTGAAGCCGTGTGCAATGGCGTGAGGGCACGGTGAAACGTGGCATATTCTTCCCAGAACGAGGGGTCGGAGATTGTGGCTTCGAAGAATGATGTCAGCTCGTACAAGAATCCCATTATAGATTCTGGTGCGAACCGGCCTCCGAAGGAGCCGTAGCCATCGAAGCTCAGCTGTGGAGCCCGCAGAGTGCCATCTGCTTGCAGGATGGGGATATACGGTGTGATAGTGTCCAAGGTTGCGGTGGACTTGGCAAAGGTCTTGAGGATTGGGGAGGAGGGGGCAGTGGTGGCGGAAATTGTTGTGGCTCTGGTTTCGCCATTTGATAGAGTTGTGGACTCGGTGTGGGTGCTGGATGTGCAACTTGGGGAAGAATCAGAGACCTTGGACATCATGCTATCCTGTCTCTGTATGCAAGGATTGGCAATACGGGTAGTCTCTGGCTGGGCAGTTGCTATAACCGATGGTTTTGGTCGAAGACTGTCTTCCCTCGCATCTTTCTCCGTGGAGTTGGTTCCCCGTTGCTTGGGGGTGGAAAAGCAAAGAAAACGGCGCAATGAGTGAAGCATAGTGAACTTCATTCTTTTCACATAGACTGTAGAGATTGACAAACGCCGCAAGATGTTTCACCAGGTATAAAGAATGTATCTCCCGTGCAACTTTGGAGAAGCTGGATATATGTATAAGGGTATATCTTCACGGTGGGCATGGGATGCATTAAATACGAGTTGCTCTTGCCATTTGCAGTACTTTTCAACTGAAACTTATCTGTCTTTTTTTTTTTTTTGGAGGAATCTCAGGTTCCTGCCCAATTCAGCCATTATGATAGGCCATCTACGCCTGTTGAGGTCGCTTCACCTCGCATGACCGTGGATCCTCTTTCCAAGTCCCCAATCATGGGACTTTTCGGCATTAGCTTCCTTCTCTGGCATCCTATTTCTGGAAGGTCAACATCTAGACCAGGATTGCTTGAACGCCATTCCAAATATTCGGGATTCTTCGAGATGCAATGATCCGCACTAACGTGCTAGCGTCAGATGTAACCTGATCTAGCATAATCAAAGGTACCATTTCTAGATTACGATCAAGGCTTTCCAGCAACGGAGAGACAACCCTTTTCGGTGCCAAAGCCGTGAAGACAGATTGAGACATAAGGCAGAATTCAACATATGTTTAGTATATGTTGTACCACAGTCCACTCCGCCCCGACATCATCTCGTCCCAGTTTCAACCTGCCTTGGCCCGGGTTTCAATGAGCAGTGATCAATCACTTCCACGTGTTTTGGTGTGTGTTACCTGTTCAAGCGCTGCATCGAAATCCCGATAGCCGTCAGCGTCATAGAATTCACACTCTATTTGAAAATTTGGAGATTTTCCCAAAGTCATTGTCTTCGATTCGACGTATCAACTTCTAAATGCAAAACCACGCTATTAGCCTGTGGGGCTTCCGTGCAAAGACTGCTTGACGCCACAGTTCCTGTTCATCGGGATTTTTCTCTCAGCTCCGATTCGAGGTCAGCTCTTCAGCTGCAAGATGATCCAGTGTCCGAGGAGCTAATTCCGTGGTCTGGGTGGACTATTGACAGGCTAAGAGTGACGATCCACGCCTCCGATGCCCCAATGTTGCCTTGTCAGGGCTGCCAAGATCGTGGCAAGGATGCAAACGCACGCTAGCATTGAGCATGAACAGGCGGTATAGAAGAAGATGCTCTATCAAGTTCGGATGGAGCGCGATCATCCTGTCGATCCGGGAAACTTGGGGGCCAAATGATGAGTATATGCCCTAAACCTCCCACCGCAAGTCTTGGTGGATGAGAAACTGACAGAGCACCCAGTCCATCGGCTAGATACACGTAGGCGTCAAGCCAAGTACTGCCCAATGACAAACTGAATAGGGTGTTTGGAGTCATGTGATGAGCATACAGCTTTCTGAGGAAACTAGCGGGAGGATCAGCACGTCAAAAATGTGACACCTTCCATTTTCGGGATTCAACCTCCACGGGGCTCTGTTTGGCGTTGATTTGTGACGTTTCCAGAAGTTTCGCCAATATTAGGCTGAAACGCTAATTTATATAGTGCAACAGTCCTCACATTTGACATCCTTTCAATTGCAGTCACTACGCAAACATTTCGGTCAGATCAGGTGACTGTCCTACAATTCAGAAGTATACTCGCCAATGTTTTCCCAATACTGTGCTACGTCTAGTAAATTTTGTTATCTTCAAAATTCGAATATAGCTCCAGCCCCTATTTCCTAGCTCATGTATCAACTTTTAAAGAGCAAGCTCTCCTAATCGCGGCGTGATGTGATAAATAAAAAAAAAGTACAAGTACTTAAAAGAGAGGGTGGTCACCTGACCGGACGGAGATTTTGGAGTAGAATCGGGTATATGTATACATGGTTTTATCTTTGTTTCAAACTAGAAAATCAATCAATATCATTCATGGTGGTGTCTCTAAAACCAATTTGACGGGGATTCGGTTAGCCATCTCCGAAAATACTATCTTTCTTGAGTTCCAGACCTCGGGAGTTGAATCTAGAGACAGACACCCAAGGAGCGACATCGGGAGCACATAGATGACATTGACCTCGGGAAGTAGACACGAGTGAACTTAATGAAACAAGCAAAGTTTAAATATTCAAATGAATCTTTCAATATCAGCAGCAGGCCCCAAAACCTCCAGTCGAAGAGTGTCTCAGCATTTGCCACTGTTCATGGCCACCTTTCAGCATCTCTCAGTCCACCATGGAACAGCCTATTATAAAGTTATCTAACCTCAAAGCGACAGCGTCAATCCATGTACTAGACACAAAACCCAGCCACTCAAAAAGAGAATGAGCAATACTAGCGAAGCCAAATCGAAAAATCATTACTCATTTAGAGTGATGTGCAACCTTAGCGCGGGGAAGAAAAGCTTGGCTTACGCGGGGTTAGTTCGATCCTTCTCGAACAGCTGCAGCCCGAGATCTGGAGGCATCTGGAGGAATCTAGACCTCTACATGTTGTAGTCTGTGCCTTGAAATAATGAGGTGGCTTTAGCCGGAACTTACATTGGACTACATCGCACTACGTGAGCACTTGCAAGTATCTAGCAACATTCGTTTTCTCTAGTTCTAAGAATCCAAAAATTCTAGCGTGTATATCGTGAAGAGTGAGAGGCTCACGAAGCCTCCAGACCAACCAACCGGACCGAAAAACGAGTCAAAAAAAATCCTTAACGGGTATACGCTCATATGCAAATGCGTGACAGATAGGAAAGATGCGGGTCGCAGAGAGCGACCGCGGCGACGGTGCGTGGTTGCGCCGTCGGATGGCCGGACAATGTCCGACCGTGATCGAGGATCAAAGGATCGCAGGATCAAGGGCACCAAAAAGGTGACAAGGTGGAAAGGGTCGAAATAAGGGACATCGAGTCCGAGAAAGGGAGAAAAGGATCACCGGGATGTGAAGAAGATAATCTGTAGAAAGGGATTGACGATCAAGCACAGACTTGAATCTGAACGGCATTCAAGGCGCGAGTGAGATCCTCAGGGTTGAAAGGAACTTGTTTCCGGGCGGAGAGGATACACGGCGAGGTGTAACGCACGGACTCCTTGAGATAGGCCTTGGGGTCTTTGTGATCCTCAGGGATCTCATATACAGAGGCTTCATTGAGAAGAGTTCTCATTGAGCCACTATAGCTGGAAGGGTTGAGGACGGTGGAAGACTGGGAGCCTGAGTCGACGGCACGAGGGGATGTTCCAGGTTCGGATTCCTCGGATACTGGTGATTAATTAGTGAGATGTTCAAAAATTCGGATCGATCACATACACCCGACAAGGAGTACGGGGAGAGGGGATCATCTAGAAAAAAGGTGGAATGCGTACCTGGATCAACTGAGTCAACTGGATCGACCGAATCGGGTGAAACCGAATCAGAGACGGGAGAATCGGGAGAATCGAAAGTGGCGCATGGCGACAGGGATACTTCGAAAGAACGTCTCTTCTCCACAGTTGCCCCCTCAAAAGACCAAGCGGCCAAACGTTTCTGATGATCCCGATCGAAGGGACCCTTGAATTTGGAAGGGGGACACTCGTGGCGGCGGTAATATTCGATTTTGGGCTTGGAGGTGTCGGATTTGGATGAGCGGAATACCCGCTTGACCTTCTCGCGGAACGTCATATCGGAAAGTGAAGTTAAAAAAGGATCAAAATTCAGATTCAGATTTGAAAAAAGTTCTCAGATCAATGCGGGCTTCCTTTTGAAAATGCCTCAAAGGTGCATACCACTCCCGGGGGAACGGACGCGGGTGTGCAAGCACGAAGAGCGGGGATGATGTATCAGGAACTGTGTGCTCATTCTATAGAGTCCCTATAGAGTCCTAGAACAAGTACAGCAGCACAAAACCAAAAGAGAGAGGGAGAGGGGAGAGGGGAAACAAGTATTATGTATAATGGTGGATGCAACGGCACAGATAAGACCCCAGAGCGTCTCCGGACCTATTCCGGTGAAGCATTGGGGCAAAACGATACTACTCCATACTCCGTACTTACTGGTCCACTGTCTGTGCATATATTGTATAAGTACGGAGTACTTATTTAGGTCATTGATTTTTATTGTATCTTGTATCTTGTATCCTATTGATTATTGATTGTGTTTAACATTTCTCACATAGTATGTCAGGAACATGTACACTAAGTTAGGGTGAGAATTTCCACCAGGAAAAAAAAAAAAAGAGGAAAAAAGAGGCCCACGCGAGGCAAGTCTTTTCCGGTCCAGAAGATGACTGTATTTGGTACAAGGAACCGGGTTATGACAGTTTATGCGCGGGTATATTACCCTCTCAACTTAGTGTGTAGCACTAACATATACGAGTACGCCTTGTTTTGCACTGTTCAAGTCCCCCTCCACTTCCTACACAATTATGGAGTCTCCTACTCTTCTTCGTATCGATCGACCCAACCTACGTAGTTACACGTACTTGGGCGACCAAGTGGCGTACTGCAGCGAAGAATTCCAGAAAGATGGCCGATCGGCCACGCCGAGAGCCTCAGCGTTACATCATACCTGAACACGATGTTGTACCTAAGGCGATGTGTAATGGGAACTTCCAAATCAATGACTCGGCGAGTCGTCCAGTAAGATCCGATTGCACCGGAGCTAAACGGGAAGAAACCGGAAACAGAGTGGATTCGGATGCACTCCTCGCCCCGTTTTGCCTCCACTCGGCACGTTTGTGCCGGTTAAACGCCTGGTAAAGCCCTCTGGCTCATCATGCTAAATTATTCGAGTCTCTCCATCGAAGCAGCCCGGTAGCTCAACAGCACGGGGGCTTCACCACGCCGAGTGCGGGACCTTCGGGCCCCACTTTACTCCGGCCGGCTGGCCCAATGGCAAGGCGCTTGACTACGAATCAAGAGATTGCAGGTTCGATCCCTGCGTCGGTCAACTTCTTTTTTGTTTTTTCTCCTCTATATTTACCTTATTTCTTATGATTTTCTTCTGAAACGTGACTATCCATCATCGCGGGGCTTCAGTTGCTTTATTTTAAATCTCTGTAAATATCAGATCTTGTTGATGTTGTTCAAATGAGGGCAACTGAAAGGACACGAACCTGGAAAGACGCTACGAAGTAAAGATACGCTTGTGGCGTGGGGGCGAGAATGCGTCACCGTCATGTTTTCATAATACACGCTACACAAATAGATAGAGATCTAACTTGTAGATAGATCTGGCATTCGGTGTTTGGGAGATAGGCTTTGTGTCAGCTTCCAACATCTACTTCGATAGGAGTGATCGATCAACTTTGAGGCGCCTACTCCGCACTTGAAACTTGCCTCGTTGATGAGTTTCAGCCAAGAATACTCTCACTGGGGTATTTTTTGAACGATCAAGGACTATATCATCTCAATTGGTGTGAACGTTTGTTTCGCAGTGATTATAATGGTCGGCATATGACATGCACATCATATCTTTGCTTCTACTACTATGATATACCACCGCAATTTCAAGGCTGGTGATAGATCGCCTGCTCATGTATGCCTAGTGACATAATTAGATAGACTGTTTTAGATGCAATGTCTCTTTACTGCGGGGGAAGGGAGGACTTCATATGAGAGTAGGTATCGCAAATGCTCAGTCAATAAACCTATTCAACCCTTTCGGTTTGGTTTAGCTGTCTAGTGTTGCTTTCCATAATAGGCTGTAATGATCTAGGTGCTACTGTAAAAGCAGCCGTGGGACCTGGCACGGTGCTTAACACGGTGCGTCTAGGGCTGCCACCGGTATACGATATTCTAATTTGAACGTCGGATTGAAAAGCAGGAAGCACGCGGATATGACCATCACGAGCCCTGGACAGCATCATGCAGGCCTGTTACTGCCCAGGTGTTTTGGCAAGTTGTGAAAGAGTTCCCACACTCTCCAGGACTAGCTATGGCTCTCGAGGTCCATGGTTGTCCATAAACAGTAGGGGCACAACGCCCAAGAGAAGACGCCATTGGAAGGTCCTCTTGATTGGTTTCCTTTGAATTTGCTGTGTACTGTATTCCTCGACCGCGAAGCCGGCCCAACCCATGGAATTCGATGATATAGAGCCAACACGTACACCGGATATCACGGCAGTATCCAAAAATATACATTGCCGCTGAGGCCGTACTCCGAATGTGAACTGGGCCAACCCAGGTGGTTCCAAGGTTGAAGTATCTACAGTATGTACAGTACTAACCTAGGGCTTGGAGCCCATTAAGCTCGGAAATTAGCAGACTTGAGATGAGTGGAGACCAGTCGAATAGGACGGACGGTGTGTACACAATGCGCCTGTACTATGGAGTGCGGGTGTTCTTGTAACTCCATGATGACGGACATTAATTTTGATCTCTCCACTTGATGACCACATTCAGACCATAGCGCTTCGTTATGATCTCATTTTGGCCGTTTCCACTGTTTTTGCTACTTCCGACCGCTTTACTATTTTCGTCCGTATTATGATCTGCCGAATGATGTAATTGGCTGTTTACAGTCGACCGCCACCACCGAGAATGTGAGGCTGTTCTAGGGGCCAGAACCTCCAGGGCTACAATGCAGGTTGAAGTATCTACGACTGGGGAGTACCTAGATGTGCCCTAGATAGGCAGATATCTAGGGAAGAAGCGAACTAGTGAAGTACGGCGTACAGGTATCCTGCACCTACACTCGGATCCCTAACGGCCCCTAGTGCAGGCACAACCCTATTTACCCGACGCAGGCGTTAGGGCTGGCCAATGCATATGAAAGAAGTCATTGTACAGTACTCTGTATGAGGATGAGCAAAGACAGAGAAAGAGAGTATATTTAGACCATAGAACCAATGCGATGAAACATCTATTTTAGAAAAAGCCCAAAGAAAAGGGAAATTAGTCAGATACTTTAGTGTTCCAAAGTTTCGCCGGGAAAGAACGACACAAACTCAGTCGCATACCCCATCCCTTACTTCCTTACATTACACTCCTGCCAACCATATTAGAGTAAGCACATACCCATTGCCGTTGACATATTTCATCTCGTACTTCCCTGACATCTTGCGCCAGACTTCAACTGAACAACCATGCCTAAGAAGGGAGGAAAGAAGAACAACAAGAAGGGCGGCAACAAGCCCGCAGCTGTCGCTGCCGCTGCCGTTGACAAGGTCAAGGACGTTGTGTAAGTGGATTGATCTCTTTGCGCATCGCTCGCGTGCCACCTTGCCACATTCTGACTGTGCCGCAGCACCCCCGACCACGACGTCGAGGACCAGTCCAAGACCGAACAGCCCGTTGAGAAGACCGAGCCCGAGACTGCGCCCGAAACCGCGCCCGAGACCGCGCCCGAGAGCGCTGAGACCGCGAAGGCTGAGACCAAGGCTGAGGCTCCCGCGCCCGCTGCGACTGAGAGCCCCGCTGTGTCCGAGCTCAAGGAATCCACAAAGGACACCCCAACTCCCGCAATTGAGAAACAGGAGTCGGTAGACCAGACCGTTGAGAAAGCGCAGGCCTCTAAGCTCGGCCAGGTTGGCGAATTGGAAGGTGGCGACGCCGCCGGCACTGGTAGGACACGTGTCAGTCAATCTGGTGATATTTTTGAGTTAACATTTGAACAGCTGTCATTCCCGAGGCGGCCACCAAGGAGCCCGCGACTGACGTTTCCCTGCCCGAGCGTCCCAAGACATCCGAATCGACTGCGCCTGTTGTTGCGCCTGTTGTTGCGCCGGTCGAACCCGTCACCGCACCCGAGCCTGTCCCTGCCCCCCCCAGCCTATCCCTGCCGAGAACATCGAGCACGATGCCGCGCATGCCAAGCGCCCGTACGAGAAGCCTATCTTCAACAACGAAGAGAACTTGAAGCCTACCAAGATGCCCAAGACCGACGAGGAGCAGCTCGTGGCCAGCGCCGAGGAGGACAAGAAGACCATCGAAAACCTGGCCGGTGCTGGTCCCGCCTCGACTGCTGCGCACACTGCCCCTGAGCCCGTGCCCGTGCCCGTCAAGACTGAGGCCGAGAAGGTCGCCGAGGCTCCCAAGGTGGAGGACAAGAAGCCCGAGAAGGTCGAGGCCCCCAAGGCCGAAGAGAAGAAGGTTGAGGCTCCCAAGGAGGCTCCCAAGGAGACCCCCAAGGCTACTGAGAAGCCCGAGGAGAAGATCCCCGTCGAGACCAAGAGCGCCACTCAGGCTGGCAAGGCCCCAGCCTCCAACCCTGACGCGGTCGCTGCTGCCAACGCCGCCATCACCTCTTCCAAGAGCGAAAAGGCTGCTCCAGTCGCTGTCGACGAGCCCCAGAAGCCCGAAGCCGCGCTGAAGCGCGGTGAGGAGCCCGCCCCCAAGGCCGAGACTCCCAAGGAGACCGAGCCTGAGACCAAGGCCGAGGACAAGGCGCAGACCTCCGAGACGAGTGAAGAGAAGGAAAAGAAGAAGAAGGAGAAGGGTGGCTTCTTCTCTTGGTTGAAGCGCAAGTTCAAATAAACGAAGTAATAGGCTGCACGCTGTATGATATGTACGCTGGGGATGTTTGTTTTTTTGTTTTTTCAAGTCGATGATACACCAGTTAAAATTATATATCAGAAGGAATGGAAATGTTTATTGTTTTTCAATTGTTCACCGCTATTGTCCACGGGTCCGAGCTGTCTTAGCTTTGCTTTAGTTCATGCAATAGTTATATGGGGGTTGGTGGAGTTTGACGTGGCTGCTCCACTGCCCAGGTGCCCAGGTGCCCAGGTGTTCGTGGACGTGTTCAAAGCCAAGGAACTTCAGGAGCTTCCAAGGTTCAACATTGCAAGATCACAATAAAAAGGCCAAGATGACTTTTAGCTTTGAAGTAGGCACCTCTAAAATTGAACAGGCTTCAAATGCCAGGTGATTGTACTCAAACATTGTATTCACTAACTAACCAGTTCCCTGTCTTAACAATCAACCAGTGCGAGCAAAGTCGTAGCCAAGCTCCGAGCAATCCTCCAATGCCCAATCCTTTGCAGCAAACCAATGATACGGAACACGGGATTTGGAGTCCAATTCCTGGTCTCCGGTGAAGCCTGCGCGAGAGAATCCTCAACTCCACTCAGCTGGAATTCATCAAAATGCAGATACGCATCATCAATGCTCACCATCCCCTTGCGTAGATCAGTGAAATACCAGAAAGCAGCGACGATGATACCGCAGTGGTACAAGCAAAGAGGGATGTAGATTGCCGATTCATTACCAATGGGAAGCGATCCAAAGAGATTTTGAATGAGAATGACGTGCAAGAGACAGCGCTTCGCGTCTGGGGATCTGATCCATTCATGCACGTGGGGGTAGGCTTTGCACGAAGCTTCGTAGCCTTCACGACCAAGGGCTAGCTCAAGGGTATCGAAGTCGACGTGTAGCTGGACGAAGATCGAATGCCAGAGTATGAGCAGGCTCACCCAGGATACGGGACTATTCGCTGGAGCATATTGCCTGCGCCAAGTCTTCAGAAGAGCATGGCACTTTGACACATCACGAGATTGCTCGACGGCTAGAGCGCTGATCGATTCCAGCATGCCAGTGAGGACAAACTCCGAAGTGTGATCGCTAAGAAAGGTCTGTGTCGGGGAAGTGGGTTTGTATTGGGATTCAATCATCAGCGCTTTCCAGCCGCTCGCAGTGGTGACCATGAAGAGCTCTTCGGAGGAGATCCGAGGGATAGCATCGATGGATTGACGGAGCAGCGGCGGGTGGTGGTGAAGCTTTGCTAATTCGGCGTCATGGATGTGTAGGCCAAGCACAATTCTGTCGGTGTTAGGCTCTTTCGCATGGATGTTGGGAATGGGAAGCGCTTACCGCATGTTGATCTCAATATCCAACCATGTCTTCCATACCTTCTCTAGAGCCTCTCCTTCCACATTGATGAGATTGATGTCCAGGTGCCCCCGAAAGAAGATTCTCTTTTTTCGTGCCCACTAGATGGGCGCATCAGTTAATGCTTAATTGCGGTGTCTGATAGTACTCACAGCAATCAGACTTCCATGGAATACATCGATCAAGAGCAAATCCTTCGGTCTCTGTTTTCAGGTCAGTATTAGCATCTTGAATGGTAATGCATGAAGAAGAATGAAGACAATGTGATAAGACCATACCCCCATCAGCAGACCGAATGTCTGTCCCAAGATTGAAGCTTGTAACGCCATGGTAGATATGTGTCCGGATTTTGCCAGATATTTCTCCCACTTCTATCGTTAGCCTGTACCTGGTATCTTTGGAATGGGCAAATTACCGATGACAGTATGACTTTATTGAGCCGCTCGAACAGACTTATGCCATGAGAGATCGCGCTACCGGACCCGGCAAAGAGACTGCCAACCGAGCAGATCGAAAGTACCAGGATCGAGCGTTCTGCTCCGGAGCGGAGTGTGGGCGCATGGGCGATTGGGAAAAGACTGTGGAATCTGGAGAAATAAATCACGATACAAAAAGACTAGGAAAACGTCAGTGAATCAGCAATAAGCTTGAAGAACGGTCGATCTTACGAGAAATTGAGCTGGTGGCAAGCTGCCATCCTGTACGTGTGGTCGCAGCCATTCGTGAAGGTGATCGCGGTAGGACTCGTTGATATGACCATCAGGCTGAGAGGGCTGAGAAGACTGAGAAGGCTCAGGAGTTGCATCATCCGAGGTGGGCGAAGCTTCAATGAAGGTATGCCATTTTCGTTGGATCAAGTTCATACGGTCCTCTGTCAGCCCGTCAAAGCTTGTGACACGATACTCCGGGTCAGACACATCGGACATCTCGAAGGCGGGAGGAATGATAGATGGTGTGTGTTGTAATAAGAAGCTCACGGCATTCAAGTCGAATTGATCACTATTCAAAAGATATTCCCAGTCGTTCTCGAGTTGGTATTCCCACGAAGGGGGCTGAAGGTTGACGTGTTGATCACTCGGCTGTGGGGAGAAAAGAGAGTTGGAGGAAACCGTCTCAGACTGGAATACAGTAGTTTCTGGAATGGAAAGAAGTGAAGTAGGATGGGCAATCGACGTGCTGTCAGGCGGCGACATAGGCACCGTCGTGTTTGCCGTGATCGACTTGGTGAACTCGAGAGGAGCTTGCACTACCAAAATATCATTTTGATTTTCTGTATGATTCCCACTGGGTAACTCGTCACTGCACTCTACACTCCCATATTTAGCATTATTAATTGAATGAGATCGTGAATGTCGCAGCAAAGTATCCCTTTGAACAATCAGTTTTGGACTTGAATCAACTCGGTACATTCAAAAACACTTACTGTCGAGCAAATGCCTTCTGACATACAAGACAATTAAATGGCTTCTCTTTTGTATGAGATCGAAGATGTCTAGCTAGATGCTCGGCCTTCTTGAATGTCTGATTGCAGACTGGACAGACGCGTTCTTCCTTGGAGGTCTTCCGCCTCCGCCGGGCCTTGGTTCCCATGTACGGTGATCTTGACTGGTTCCTTGCAATGTTCTGCAACATTCTATAGAATAGGAAAATGTAGAGACCTCGAGATAAGATAGAGTAATTGTCCCAGCAGTAAAAATGATTCAGACACATTTTCCCCGCTCCAAGAAGTGGCTGTATCCGTATATCCGCAAGATCTCCATAAAACCCTAAAGATGCATAACTTTATTCAATGCAAGCCTTGGAATATCAGTGACAGGCGAACGTAGAGAACAAAGAACCAAAATTGCCGAGTCTGTGTATACTGGACAATTCTAGTATTCCACAGCTGTGCATGTTTTATGGCAGAGGGGACCCATAAAGGCTGGATCTATTCTAGCAAAAACTGAAAGGGCATGTTAGAAGTATACAAAGCCTATCTACCTTCGTACCTCCTTGCATGTGGATATTGAAGACTCCCAATATGTCAGATACAATTAGAGCCTTGTTAAATCTGTTTCGTTATATGTCTATAGCCCGTTTGAAAGCAATCAGTGATGTTCAATGCACATCTAGTCCTATCTCCGGGTTCCAAGGTTACCTCCGAATGTGGGGTCTATTCTGCGGGACCTATGGATGTCAGGAACTTCAAGCCCTAGAGATGCTTCTGGGTAGGCTTCCTGACTGCTGATTTACAACTCGGAATTTTTCAATTACCAAGGTAATACGTACAAGTTCAATAGCGTCCGCTACGGCGCCACCTAAGAGCGAGCTGAGTCTATTTACTTTGGACAAACAATGCGACTGTTTTTGTAATAAAATAAATATTCAAATTTGCAGGAATCAAAATGGAATATTCTACCTAACCAAGCTGCTTCAAGGTTTACAAAAATTCCAAGCCTGGAACTTTGTAGTCAATTTGATGTTTGAATAGACCCACCTCCTAGCCCAGGCCAACCTTGAAATGAGGTAGCAAGATAATCTTTGAACCAAGGAGAGATTCTGACAGACTTGCTTGAGGATTAGTTAGCCATGTTGTGCTCGGAAATTTGAGAGCATAGAAGTCGCATCGATGAGATAATAGCTGCATGCTTCCCCGTGTGATTCATGTTCCTTCGTGATTCGATCAGCCTTTCCTGTATCATGTCACACGTCACACGATGGACAATTGGAAAGTATTCAGAAGGCATTTGGCGGACGACAGTCGATAGAGGAAAATCAGCAGCTAAGCTACTCCCGACGAAGTAGATGCGATCAATTAGTGTGATCATCCTGCCCAATTTCCGCTCTGCAAGGTAGCACTGCTGGGCATTCACATTGGGGAAGACGTCGAGAAGATACTCTATGTAATGTCTGAGCTGGCTTTCGAATGAGTGCCACAGCTCAAGGTAATGATCCTCGCAGTTGGATACGTTTGGGGCTTCCATCGTGATGAGTAAAGAGAAAACAACCTTGGAAATGAGGAGTGTTGTGTGATGATTGACTCGAAGCCTGTGAGGCAGCTCTAGTCTTATATATTCAAGTCGCGACAGCCACTCGAACCAAGAAATCAACCTCCATCAAAGGTGAACAATGGCATGGAAGCCTGGCTTTCAAGATTGCCATTGTGCTCTTTGATTTTGATGAAGTACTTTGTTGGGGTTGATCTCTTAGACTTGGTAGAGCGGTGCAGTCTATGAAATCAAAGACCTTTGTGATTGGTACTCAAAATAGAACACGCATTCAAATTCATTGATGCAAGCTATTTGCGGATCAACAGTCCTTGCTAGTCAAATCCGTAGGCCTGATGACAACATCCGCTTTTCCCAGCGTCTCGACATACTTTTGCGAGCGAAATCACAAGAACGATGTATCTTGCCTTTAAATTGTAATATATGATGTAAAACTGGGATCGATGTAATATAGAATGTCCACCTGGGCGCATCTGACGATATCCACGGATTTGTTAAATCGGGGCGGGGAGACGGATTACCCCCCCCCGCATATCGGGATAGCCAGCCGACTGATAGCCGACCATCACTTCGGATGTGAATGACAAGTTCGACAGATGTTACCTTAGGTTACTTGAGGTATTCGAATGAAGTGATGCTCTGAAATGGAGGCTTGTTGTTCGTTCGACCCCTCTACATCTATCTCTCATAATCTTTCAGGGGCTCCCTCTCCTTCCCTCGATCTCCGCCTTCCTCCTTTTTACGAATGCCCTCCGAGTCAAATTGGAGCCTTTGATCTGAATTATGGACTCTGAATCTGCGAGCCCTCGGGAGTCTCTCGGAAAGTTTCAAGCAGTTGCAATGGAGGGGCAGAAAAGCACCCTGATGGGACGCGTGCTCTCCTCACCCGGCTTCGCCGAAGGTGAGATCCTTGCGAGCAACACAGCTCTCAGTTTCTGGGGAGGGGTCAATCCTCTAACGGGAGTTGTCATTGACAGCCATCACCCACTGGTGGGGCTTTCCATGAAAGGAAAAGTACTTGCAATACCCAGTGGTCGCGGATCCTGTTCTGGGAGTGCTGTGATTCTAGAATTGTTCTTAAGCGAAAGCAACCCTTGTGCACTTATTTTCAAGCGAGAAGAGTTGATCCTGGCACTCGGGGTTATCGTTGCCCAAGAGATGTTCCAGAAAACCATTTCAGTCCTCCAAGTCTCGCACCAAACGTTTGAGGCGGTCTTGCGTCTCAAAACATTGCAAATCAACGGAGGCCATATTGTACCGATCAATGTATCAAGCTCAGTACCCAGTTCTATTTCACCGCCACCAGATATCGCGTCGGACTTCTCCTCGATCACGCTGACCGCACTTGATCGCGAGATGTTGAACGGAGCGCAGGGAAGAGGGCCACAGTTCGCGATGCGGGTCATTCTTCGCACAGCCTTGATCCAAGAAGTCACTGAGCTGATCGACATCAAGCAAGCACACATTGATTGCTGCATCTATACCGGTCCAGCTGTGCTGAAATTTGCTCAGACCCTGCGTGAATGGGGCGCGAAAGTTCGCATACCCACAACATTGAATGCAATCTCGATTGACAGACGATTATGGCAAGTACAAGGTGTCGACCCGAATATTGCAGAGCCCTCTGAGCAATTGGCACAGGCATATCTTGATATCGGAGCCAAAGCAAGCTTTACTTGCGCACCGTATCAACTGGAAAGCGCACCAAGTCTTGGGGATAATATCATGTGGGCCGAGTCGAATGCCGTTGTCTATGCGAATAGTGTTCTTGGGGCTCGCACCATCAAATGCCCGGATTTCCTCGACGTCTGCGTTGCATTGACCGGTCGATCATTAAACACCGGATGCCACCTTACCCAGCATCGAAAGGCCAGGCTTCAAATCCACTGTGATGCCATAGAAGGATCCGATGATGCGTTGTTCCCTCTTCTCGGGTACCTCGTGGGTGATATTGCCGCAGATGGAATTCCAATTGTCACTGGCTTGGAGAAGACAGTGGCTACGACTTCGGATCTCAAGGCTTTTGGGGCAGCATTCGCAACCACCTCCAGCGCCCCCATGTTTCACATCGCAGGAATCACCATCGAAGCTCGGAGTGAAAATGAAATAGAAGCACATCTACAAGACATTCCAAGATTCAAAGTCACGCGATCGGACTTGGCCAAGCAATGGATGTCGTTCAATTCTAGGGGAACAGAGGAGGATACGCCGATAGATTTGATCTCACTCGGCAATCCTCACTTTTCATACGAGGAGATTCAAACACTTGCAGAACTCGTCAAATCCCGCACCAAAGCCCCTTCAACCACATTAGTGGTGACGTGTAATCGTGAGATCTACTCACAAGCTTGCAAAAATGGATCAATATCAACCGTGGAAGAATTCGGAGGACAGATCATCACCGATATTTGTTGGTGCATGATCCAGGAACCCATAATTCCTCGAGAATCGCAGACTATCATGACCAACTCGGCCAAATATGCTCACTATGGTCCAGGATTGACTGGCCGACGAATGCGTTTTGGGGGGCTGATCCAATGTGTCGAAGCTGCTTGTCTAGGGACTGCAAGAAATTGTCTTCCTCCATGGCTTGAAAAATCGAATTAGAAGTCGGTGAATAGGTATCACCTTGAATCACATCTTGTGTTTTCTTTTTTTTTAACTCATTTGGAAGGGGCTTGTGATTCTGGACATTGGCAAGAAACAAATCGGCGTCTCCCCAACATATAGATAGCAGCCACTAGGCGATTTATTGCCTGTGTATTGACAGCCCCGAGGTAACTTCAAACAGTGAGAAGTCATTCAAGTATTAAAACAGTGTCATTTTGTGCTACGAGCATCAAAGTAGGCCCCGCATCCGCCTTGCGGGGTTGAACAGGGTCCTTGGCGTTGGTTCGGGCCTCGGCAGATTTCATTGTGATATAAAGGCTGTCCATCGTACTTGGATTGACTTCCCCATTCTTAAAATTATAACGATTCTCATAATGACCACAATCCCTCGGAAGCTATGGGAGCACCCCGACCCGCAGTCAACCAGAATGGCTGACTTCCAACGACAATTGGAGAAGTCGACCAACCAGAAGTTCAGCGTGAGTGAAGCGGCTTCTTAGATAGCCATGACTGACAACTCTTCAGGAATTCCACGACATGTATCAATATTCAGTCAACAATCGATCGGAATTCTGGGAATTCTGCTGGAAATACTTCCAAGTGATCCACGAAGGCACATACAACACGGTAGTAGACGAGTCCGCTCGTATGGACAGTATTCCAGAATGGTTTGCCGGGGTCCGACTCAACTTCGCAGAGAATCTCCTCTTCTCGCGCGGTGGTAGCAAGACCGGCAAAGAAGATGACAAGATTGCCGTCAGTGAAGTGCGAGAAGGTGCCGCACACGAAGTCGTCCATTTGACCTGGGGCGAACTTCGCCGACGAACCGGAGCGCTGGTACAAGCGATGAAGGCCAACGGCGTAGTGCGCGGTGATCGGATCGGTCTCTGTGCGGCGAACAGCATCGACACGCTACTTGTGTTCTTGGCTTCGACTGCCTTGGGTGCGATTTTCTCGTCGAGCTCGACAGATATGGGCGTGAAGGGAATCTTGGATCGATTGATTCAGATCAAACCGCGCTGGTTGTTTATGGACGATTTTGCAGTTTATAACGGGAAGAATATTGATCTCCGGCCGAAGATTCGAGAGATCGTTCAGGGCATGGCGTCTGTGACTGAATTCCATGGCGTCGTTTCGCAATCTCGATTCTCTTCACCCGCGGATGTCAGTTTTATTCCGAGGACGCAGACTTGGTCTGAATATCTCTCCAAAGCAGGCGGTAATGAGAGACTCGAGTTTGAGAGGGTTGGATTCCGCGAGCCATTCTTGATTGTCTATTCCTCTGGCACGACGGGGCAGCCAAAATGCATCGTGCATTCCGTTGGTGGAGTATTGCTGAATTCGAGCAAAGAGGGCAGCTTGCATAGCGAGCTAGGGCCTGATAGCGTTGTCTTGCAATATACCACCACTGGCTGGATCATGTATATGAGTGCCGTGCAGACGCTTCTGTTTGGAGCGCGTGTGGTTCTTTACGATGGATCTCCATTCATTCCAGGTATCACGGCTTTGATCACTCTCGCAGCGCAGGAGAAGTGAGTAGATTCTAAGGTTTTACGACAATTGACCCCAACGCTAATCTTGACAGGGTGACACATCTTGGGATCTCTCCTCGGTGGTTGCATGAGTTACAGCAAGCTAAAATCAAACCGCGCGAGATGGTGGATCTAAGCTCGTTGCGGGTTGTGACAAGCACTGGCATGGTCTTGCGGGATGCCCTATTCGAATGGTTTTACGACGAGGGATTCCCACGTCGCGCTCGCCTGAACAATATCTCAGGTGGCACTGACTTGGCAGCATCGTTTGCTACAAGTAATCCTCTATCGCCCGTCTATGTTGGAGGGTGCGCAGGTGGGTCTCTCGGCATTGCCGTCGGGGTTTACGACCCTACCATTGAAGGTGGCGATGGCACGAAGGGAATACCTGTCGACGAGGGCGAGCCCGGAGAATTGGTAGCCACGTCTGCATTCCCTACCATGCCCACGATGTTTTGGGGCGACCAAGACGGCAAAAAGTATTTTGATGCCTATTTCAGTAGATTCGATAGTAAGATTGCCTGTCTCAGATGTATATGCACATTTGAGTTTTGTCACTAACCCTTTTAGATGTGTGGACGCATGGCGATTTCATTTCAATTCATCCAATCACCAAGCAGATCTTGTTTCATGGACGCGCCGACGGGGTCCTCAACCCCTCGGGAGTACGATTTGGTTCCGCCGAAATTTACCGAGTGATCGAGGGTCGGTTCTCTGCAGAGATCGCCGATTCGATCTGTGTCGGCCAGCGACGGCCCAACGATACTGATGAACGCGTCATGCTGTTTTTGCTCATGAAACCAGGGGTGTTGTTCACACCGGACCTGGTGGCTCGAGTAAAGACAGCCATTCGTTCAGAGCTAAGCGCCCGCCATGTACCGATGTGGGTGTTTGAAACACCTGAAATTCCGGCAAGTGAAACCCACTCTTCGACCACAGAATTGGAAGACTGACCCAGATCTACGTCATTCAGACCACGGTAAATGGTAAGAAAGTGGAAACGCCCTTGAAAAAGATCGTGTCTGGCCAAGTGGTCAAGCCCTCGGGGACTCTATTGAACCCAGATAGTCTGAAATTCTACTATCGATTCGCCGAGGTGGAAAAGCTGCGCGAGAACAAGCTCTGAGTGGACTCTTGGGCCCCGATGGCGCAGATCCCCACAAATACTCCCAACGTGGCTCGTCTCAGCGTGGCTCCCACACGCTGCGGGTACTTCGGATCGTCACAGGTTCTGCCAAGCTTTCACCAAGCTTTAGCATTGTAGGGATCGCCTGGGATGAATCTGGAGTAAATAGATCGAGGGAAATGAAGATAGGAAGTGCAGATGAATCAGGAACATTTTCAAAAGGAATTGCTAGGGTATAAAGCCTAAAGAGGGAAGTAGAAGAAAGTGTAGAGGGGAACAAGAGGGAAGGGCTGAAAGTGGTCCGATGTGCTGTACGTCATTCCCCGCAGCGGTATTTATTGTTGTACCTGCTTGCCCCCTCTTCTCTACTTTACCGCATTCTTCTGATCCTACTCCTTTGACAGCTTTTGTTCTTTCGTGTAATAAATATGGTTCACCTTGCCCGTGTGAAGACTGACAGCGAGGCCGCTCCCTTGTCTCGTCAGTTCGATACTCTCCCGGCGCCTGACGAGAATGACTTCTACACCAATGTCTACGGCAGCCATTTCGCTGCAGACCATCTCAATCACAACGAGATGCCCGAGAGAGAGATGCCCCGACAGATCGCTGCTCGGATGATCAAGGACGAATTGAGCTTGGACGGCAACCCTAAGCTGAACCTCGCATCTTTCGTGACCACTTACAGTAAGGAACCTCAGTCCCCTCCACACAGACATAGACACTGACATATAGACTAGTGGAGGAGGAGATTGAACAAATTATGACTGATTCATTCAGCAAGAACTTCATTGACTATGAAGAATACCCTCACTCCGCTGAGATCCAGAACCGTTGCGTCAACATGATCGCCAGACTATTCAACGCGGATACCTCCGACGAGAACGCCATGGGAACTTCAACCATTGGATCGTCCGAAGCCATCATGCTCGGCACCTTGGCCATGAAGAAGCGCTGGCAAAACAAGCGCAAGGCGGAAGGCAAGGACTTCTCGCGTCCCAACATCATCATGAACAGTGCCGTGCAAGTCTGCTGGGAGAAGGCTGCTCGTTACTTTGACATCGAGGAGAAGTACGTCTATTGTACCGATACTCGGTTTGTGATCGACCCCAAGGAGGCAGTCGATCTGGTGGACGAGAACACCATCGGAATCTGTGCTATTCTGGGAACCACCTACACGGGAGAGTACGAGGATATCAAGGCCATCAACGATCTGCTTGTCGAGCGTAACATTGACTGCCCGATCCACGTCGATGCTGCTAGCGGTGGCTTTGTCGCTCCTTTCATCCAGCCGGATCTGGAGTGGGACTTCCGCCTCGAGAAGGTGGTTTCTATCAATGTTTCCGGCCACAAGTACGGTCTGGTCTACCCCGGTGTGGGATGGGTCGTCTGGCGTGCCCCGGAATATCTCCCCCAAGAGCTTGTCTTTAACATCAACTACCTCGGTGCCGACCAGGCCAGCTTTACCCTGAACTTCTCCAAGGGTGCCGCTCACGTCATTGGTCAGTACTACCAGCTGATTCGTCTGGGCAAGCACGGTTACCGTTCGATTATGACCAACTTGACTCGCATTGGTGACTACATGTCATCAGAACTTGAGAAGATGGGCATGATCATCATGAGCCAGACCAAGGGCCGAGGTCTTCCTCTCGTCGCCTTCCGACTTCCTCCCAGCTCCGATCGCGTTTTCGATGAATTTGCTGTCGCTCATCAGCTGCGCGAGCGTGGCTGGATTGTCCCCGCGTATACCATGGCCCCCAACAGCGAGAAGCTGCAACTGATGCGCGTTGTCATCCGTGAAGATTTCAGTATGACCCGATGCGACAGCCTGCTCCAGGACTTCAAGCTCGCCCTACAAACATTGGAATCTATGGACCATTCCATGATTGCCAAGTACAAGGCGTAAGTTGCTATCTAAACTGGCTCTATCTGATGCTAACGATTCACAGACACATTGAAAGCCACCGCGCTCATCCTAGACACCAGCACACTCACACCCACTACAAGGATGAAAAGCACTCGCTGCAAGGAAAGACTGGAAAGACCCACGGCGTGTGTTAATATAGAACACTAGTTCGTGTACCACGCTCTAAGTTGCACAGAATGGATTTGGGTGAAAATCATGGTTGGCTTCAGCACAGCCTTATGCACTGCGTACATAGAGATGTCTAATGAGACGTGATATTTGCTGTAACCTATGACGTCACACATACGACTTATATACTAGCTGAAACCCCGGTCCTCGTTCACTCATCACCATTCACCATCATGCAGCGCATCTCAATTGAACCAAGTGCTCAGGCTCCAATAAGGGATCTGCCTCCTTTGACTCACACCCCACTCCAATTGCCCACAGCAAAAGCCACCAAACTTCATCCATCCGAACCAGACACCAATGCATCTCTTTTCTTTGTTGGGACAGCCACAACCATCATGTTTGTTCGGCGCTCCAACCCATATGGAAACTGACTAATTGATGCAGCGAGTGGGCCGGGCTCAGGGTGATGACCGATGTTAGCTCTATGCCTCTATGTCTATCAGCTGAAGCCACAAACTAACCTTGTCAGCCTAACTTCCTCCATAAAGGCGATCACGTCCATCTCGGCCCTGGCGTATCAAGTCAACGGCTAACTGACCCAGCTCTTGACCTTCACGAGCTGCCTCGAATTGATCTCATCCTTCTCTCTCATTATCATGAGTGAGTATCTTCACAACTTGATCGAGACCAGACACTGACTTTCCAGAGATCATTTTGATAAGAAGGTCGAGACCTCGTTGAGGCGTGATATCCCAATTATCACCACGCCACATGCGAAAAAGCATCTCACTTCCGGTGATGACAAATTTACGTCTGTGTTTGCAATTGATCCTTTTGAACAGATAGACGTCGACATCCAAGGCCCACAAGGCGTCAAGAAGCCCGGACTACGTGTGACCGGGATGCCTGGCAAACATGTTCCCCCTAACCATCTGATTGAGGGAATGAACACCCTGGTCAACGCCGTTCGTGCTAAGTGCCTGATCTTGCGTCCTGCAGGATGAACATTAATGCCAATAGATCCCTCCCACCAACGGCTGGATGCTCGAACTCGGCCACGGCACAGATGCCGACTTTACATGTGGCTATCGCATCTACATATCGGGCGATACTCTTATGGTAGACGAACTACGCGAGATTCCCAAGAAGTATGCAGGACAAAAGATTGATCTCATGCTCGTTCATCTCGGCGGAACTACCATTCCTTCACCCTTGGTCGGAAGGCTCATGGAGCCATTGGCACTGATGGTAACCATGGACGCTGAACAGGGACTGGAGTTGATACAGCTCATACAGCCGGATATAACGATTCCAATCCATTACGACGACTACGACGTATTTGCCAGCCCGCTTGAGGATTTCCGACGCCTGGTCGAGGCAGCAGGGTTCTCGCAGCGGGTTGTGATCTTGGACCGTGGGGAGCAGTACGGCTTCCAGGTCCGAGAATAGGAAGCTAATAACGAGGCTCAGCCTACGTTTTGGGGGCCGAAAAAGTTTCAAATGCACAATCTCCACTGTCTGTTGCTTCGCCTCTGATTATTTTTGGCTCTGAGGAGGGGGCGGTTTATATTTGCGGGACCAAGGGGACCGAAGCCTCGTGTTGATACGAGGCATTGAAGGTGAGAGGGGCCGTGTTCTTGTGAGGTGTTCCGAGAGTTTTCTTTGACGTATTTACAAAGAAAAGATACCAATCTGGGAAGTTGTCTCTGCGTAACCACAAGATGATCTAGATCTACTCCATACTTGTTCAGTGCCCAATTTCCATAGACACAGTCCAGATGAGTAGACTTAAAAATTGTCTAGAAACTAATTTTCTGTGACTAAAAATCCCCAATGCGGAAATAAACAACACCTAAGCACCCTGAAGCCACGCAAAAGGTAGAGTGCGAACGTGTAAGATCATTGTTTACGCCCTAAGAATAGAACACCTACGAGTTGCCGATCCCGCTCCAAAGTCCCCTCCTTCACTCTCATCTCTTCATCGAAGCTATGCGCCTCTTTAAGAGAAACAAGTCGCCGACACATCATCCAGTGCGAAGCGCCGAACAGCTGGTCCCCGCGTTGACTCCACACCCAGACCCCGTCGACGACCGGCGCTATTCACAATTTGAGTACCAGGCGCCTAGCCAGTCTCAGTCTCACTCGACTCCCCAATCCTTGAGTCGATCTCAGAGTCAGCGTCAGTCCAAGTCCCTGCGTGACCGACCGACCGTCAACGTTGTCCCTGAAGAGCGTCACGATAAGGGTCACTCTGTGCGACCCTCGAGTATTCTCGAACGCAGTATTTCTGTCAGGGGCAAGACCATTTCCAATCCCATCTCACAGCCTGCTTCACCTCGAGTCTCACACCCAGAAACCCTGAACGAGATCGACGAATTCTCGCATTCCTACTCCGAGAACCCCTCACCGGTGACCGCGCAATCCTTTGAGCCGCGCTCTGCGTCTCTGGCCTACCAACATCAACAAACCCCCCAGCGAGGCCCCCGTCCCTCTCACCCCGCGCATACACCGGACAACGAGCGGTCGCAACTGAAACCAGTCAAACCCCCACTTCACACCCAGCCCCTCCCCTCGCGGGCCAACGACGCGGAGCAATACACGCGCCCCTCGCCCACCGACGTCCCAGAATCCCCTTACCACGAGACACACCGGGGCTTTACTCCTCAGGACCCGGTAATGACTACCCGGCCCCCATCCCAGTTCGAGCCGCTTTCCCCCGTCCAAACCCGTAATCCTGACGCCATGCAGTCTCAGGGACAACCCCAGGCCCAATTCCAGTCGGACAAACCACCTGCAGCTTCCCCGCAGCAGGATCGCAGTCGGCCGGGCAGTGTGTCCAACATGCCTGAGAACGGTCGGAACACACCCACACACCGCCGCGAGGATTCCGGGGAAATCGATGTTCGGGCCTTGCTTTCAAAACACGAAGAACTCCGTACGTCATTCCCCTTTGCCTTTGACTTTCCTCCTTTTTTTGGTTCTGGTTTTTTTCTTGGAAAACATACTGACCGTGTCCAGAGTTAAAATATTCCAAAGTAAAGCGATACTACTTCGAGAAAGATGCGCAGGTTCAGCATCTGCAAAACACGGTAGCCCACCAGCGGATGGCGGTGTCGCGCACCGTTCTCGACGATAACGAGTATACAAACCGGTTCCAGCGACTAGACGGAGCGATTAAAGACTTGGCATTTTCAGTGCGGAAAGATTGGCGTGGCATTCCACCCTGGCTTGGTGGAATGGTGACCGACGAGGCACTTTCCACTGGAACAAAGGAAATGACCCCGGTCGGACGAGCGATCATCAGTCGGTGGCTAGTAGAAGAAGTCTTCCAGCGACACTTCCACCCAGCCTTGGAGCCCGCCTTCAGCGTGCAGCTCAAGAACGTCGAAATGAACCTCCGTCGCCAACGCCCGACCTCAGACGAGGAGCGCGATAACGCCTCTGCCAGGCTCTCCTACTGGCGCCGCACAACCTTGGACGGTCTGAGCGACAGTCTGGTCGGCCAGGACGCAGAAGAACACCGCGCTGAGCTCGTCGAGCATCTCATCGTGGAACTAGCTGCCTTTATGGGCGCGCAGCTGCACGACCAAGCCCACCCGGGCCTCGAAGCGAGCGTGCGAATGATTATCGAAAATTCAATTAACATCATTGAGAAGATTCCCCTCGAGGCACGGGACGTCTGCGTCGATTATTTCCCGCCCGGCGTCTCCCTCGCAGATCAATATATGAAGGTCGAAGGCCAACTGCCAACTCTCAACCATCCACCCCCTCTGGAGACAGAGGAGGAGTCAGAAGAGCCCAGCGCTGCCGTTGAGAGCCCTTCGCCCGCACAACAAAAGTCACGAAAGTCAATGTTTGGAGCCCTGATGGGCCGCAAACCCGTGGCCGTCGATAATCGTCCGACGCCAGGAGAAAAGGAACCGGATAACAGCCCGCCACGCATTCGCTACTCGGCTTTCCTGGCAGTCGAAGTGCGTGGTAAAGGGCCTGCGACAGTGTTGATCAAGTCGCCTGTCTGGTTGATTGAGTAAGCATTGAATTTATCCTGCCTAGAGGTCTAGGGGGGTAAAATATATGAATGCTGTACATACAGAATGGTGTCACATGCTGGCATGGACGATGACTGCTAATGACCTTTGATATCCCGAAGCGTTTGAAGTGATGGTCCCTTTTGCGTATTATTTTGGTTCTAGAGTTTGAGAACAGCGATTGCTTCCTTTGGTAGGATCCAATAAGATATTCCTTAGCATTTTTCAGTGCATACTATGGTATCGTAGATCCTTTCCAAGGCTCACTGTACATCGCGCAAGCCTACTTAATCATTGAGTGCGCATATCTGGGCAAATATCCGTGGAATGGATTTCCAACTGTAGAAGATGTCCAGGTGCTCTCCTTCCAAGGTTGATTCAGTCTTTCAACATCCATGGATAGATATTGTGATCATTTTGGGTGACGACATTTAGGGCTGAGACTAAGTTTGGGGAGGGGAGGAAACCTTGGAACAGGACTATAAAGAACTTCCAAGGTTTTCTGGACATTTTACTTCTACCCGAGACCGCGGCTCTATCACCACCTTACATCTGGAAATCCCTTGCAGGTTGTACCCATACCAACCTAGGAGATGATCTACAGCATATATGCAAAATGTTCAATGAACCAAAATCACTATTGACAGTCTGATGATATCTACCAAAGCAAGAATATACAAGGCAAAAACACACCTCACCCGGGAAACCAAAAGCACAAGTGTATACAAGATAAGCCATGCAGTACAAAAAGACAGCATGAAATGATGTAATTTGGGGAAACGACAAATCCCGGGTATAGCGCGCGCCAAGCTATGACAATACAAAAGGCGAAATGAACACCCCCGAAACGAGTGACAAGAATAAAGACAGATGCAAAAATGATAATGCTCAAGCATGGGGGAATATAGAATGTAAAACGCAAGGACAACTGCAAGCAATAGGAAGATCATACTTAGCAGATGCTACTGCCCTGAAGACGAATTCAAGTGGAAACACCGTTCGCATTGGCAGCCTGCTGCAGCACACGAGGCCAGCGGGAGATCAACTCCACATCATCGAGGGCGCCCTTGCCCTGGTTGCGCACGTATTGGGTGCTGGGGTCCACGCGAGGCTCGTAATCCCAGATCGAAGGCGTGCCTTGAATCAAAGCGGAGTATACGAGACGGCGACGGCGCTGGGAGCGCAGGACATCTTGTCTGATCTGCTCGAGATCCCAGCGGTTGTTGGTTTCTTCGATGAAGAAGGCGAGGATCTTGGCTGGATCGGTTGTGTTGGGCAGAGCAGGAGGAAGCTTTGCGGGGCTTGGGGTGCGTGGAGGAGTTGGCGAGGGGAAGGGATAGTCAGATGTGGCGGAGGCGCGCTGGGGGATTGGCGACGCACGAGGGGTGTCGTTGGGAGTGGGAAGGTTGACAGCGGATACAAGACCGTTCTTTCCAGTGATAGCGGTAGGCTTGACAGACAGACCAGCTGCCAGGTTGACCTTCTCTTCGGGGTCTTCGACCAAATCGAAGAGCATGGGTGGGTCGATGGCGGAGGTGATGAACTTCCAGCGGCCTTGGCGGATCATCATCAGCGGGGCCTGGGTGCCCTCGCCCATGTACTCGCCATAGACCGTATCGGTGCGAAGACCCTCGCCACCGGTCAGGTATGGTACCAAGGAAACACCATCAAGGGGGAGCTCGGAGATCAGCTTGGCGCCCGCCAACTCGGCGAATGTAGGGAGGAGATCCATAGTGGAGACATTCTCCGAAACACGCTTGGGAGCAAAGTGCTTGGGAGCATGCACGAGGAATGGCACGCGAGCCGAGTTCTCGAACCAGGTCATCTTGTACCACAGACCGCGCTCACCCAACATATCACCGTGGTCACCGGTGAACACGATGATGGTATCCTCAGCCAGACCTGTGTTATCGAGTACACGGAGCAGCTTGCCAATGTTGGTATCGACATATGTACAAGCAGCGTAGTAAGCTTGGCGAGCGGCCCGAATGCGGTCATCCGGCATTTCCTTGTTGAACAAGTCAATGCACTTGAGAACGCGCTGAGAATGCGCGTCCTGCTGATCGTGAGGAATCGCCCCATTCTTAGGGAGCGGGATCTCGACGTCATTGTAAAGATCCCAGAATTCCTTGGTCATGGCATATGGGTCGTGAGGGTGGGTCATAGAAACGGTCAAGCAGAAAGGTTGCTCGTTGCGTTGGCGCACGTGGTCGTAAAGATATTGAGTAGATTTGTAGATAACCTCTTCGTCGAAGTCCAATTGGTTAGTGCGCACAACAGGACCGGCCTCCATGACGGAAGACATGTTGTGGTACCAGTCGGCGCGGATCTCCTACATTGACATTAGTACGGTGTCACGACCGGAGTGTACCCGAGGTACTTACAGGTTCATCCCAATTGACAGACCAGCCATAGTCACCGGGGTAAATATCACTTGTAAGACGTTGTTCATAGCCATGGAGCTGGTCCGGGCCACAGAAGTGCATCTTGCCGGCCAGTGCTGTGTGATAGCCCTCGCGCCGGAGGTAGTGGGCATATGTCGGGGTATCGGCGGGCAGGTCCGCTGCATTATCGTACGCTCCAATCTTGGACGGCAGCTGTCCGCTGACCATCACAAAGCGTGAGGGAGCACACAGTGGTGCATTGCAGTATGCCGAGTCGAAGACCACGCCGCCCTCGGCGAGGCGGTCCAGGTTGGGGGTCTTGATGGGCGAGTTCTTATCGTGAATGGACAACAAAGGCGCGGCCATCTGGTCGGCCATGACATAGAGGATGTTGGGCTTCTTGGTCGCCATGGTGAATGTGAGATAGATGCAAAGATGAAAAATGAGGTGAACCAGAAGGGGAGGGCGGGGGGATGTTATATGAGGCCGAGTATGTGGGGAACAAAGAGGGAAAGAAAAAAGAAAGAAAAAAAAGCAAAAGAGGAAAAAATAAGACAGCTCCAGTCGAGGGCAAAAAGAGCGAACCAAAAATTTGATTTTATGAGGCCAAGACGCAAATTGGAAAAAAAAAGGAATGAACTACTATACTTCTGTATTATATCCGTAATTATGTTACTAGCTTCTGGCCGATCCAGATAAGTACGGCAGACAACCACCAGCACCTGACTGGTGATGTATGAAATGCCTGCAGAATGTACAAGATCTCACTAGAGTAGCTCCCGCCTGCAATGTAATGAAGATCAGGGGAGCAGATCCGGCACTGACGTATTCCTCCGCAAGGAGCGATGGGCTCATTTGGGGCGGCGATGGTGTGATTGAAGATCTGATTATGAGGTATGGTATGAAGACCGTATTGTGTTACACCGTCCTCCCTTTCTCCCGACGTCCCCGTACTGAGATGCAATTTCACTCCTCCGTACATAAGTCAAACACTTGGCGATAATTCCCTATCACACGACCTTGGGGTTATCGTAATAGTTCAGGTGGAAACCGAGAGTGCCGAGTTGCCACTTTTGACTGATGGGGGCCCAGGTGTTACATCCGTCACATTGAAAGGAATTGTCCATAATACCGTCGCGTTACCGCCAGTCCATGTAATACGACTGCGAATATCTTCCCCCTGAAAGTCATAATGCCAATAAAAATATTTCCCGTTCATGACTTGGGTTTTGACACCTTGTCTATCTTCAGTGCAGTTCCTACGTTCACTCGACCCCGGAGTGGATAACGGCATTCAACGCCCGAGTCCATGGCAGCGTTTCGGCTGTGACAAACCCTGGTGGTATCTAGCCGGTTTGGGACTAGATCATCCCGGAGCCGAGCCCTAGTGAAAAACTTTGAACTCCACTGGATCGTGTCAGTGACCTTCAACCAATCAGCATCGCCCATTTGGTTTGTTTTCCCCCTGGGATAGCTCAACCCGGTTAGAGGCGAGGCTTAGGGGCAGAGGTTCCACTTGCTTATCTGCGCCTCCAATCAGAGGAGTGGATTTCATACTACTGAGAGGGAAAAGAGACGACCAGCGAGGACCCGACAGGCGGAATGACCCGCGACACGTCTCCTTAACGCCCAAATGTGCCCATCTGTCGTATGCCCATGACACTGCCTCCTTATACAGATCAAAGTGAAACGATGAAGGAGTACGGAATATACACAGTAGCTCCACAATTTGCAATCCCCCTTTCGGAGCACGCCATGAGGAGCGGTCTAAGATCATCCCCGGATTTACACTGTTTACGTACTTTCGACGGTCACCGCCGTTTCGCAGCTTAGGCCACGTCGGAACCCACTTGTGTGTTCCCTCCAAATGGCCACGTCCTTGCACAGGATGCTTTGGCCTGATGCAGGGTGGCGTAAGCAGTGTTTTATGCCTTGATTAGTGTATTTTCTCCGTTTCCTGTTCTATAGGTCATGGCGCTGGCCACGAGTACATGCAAGTACTCCGTAGATCTCGTGAATGACTCGACAATTGTCCGCCGCGCATGCGCTGGGAATTTTCAGAGGTATCACAGCAGCTAACCTAAAACGCATCCACCGTCACTGTGCTGAACCATTGCTCCAATCGCGGTCGTCCACTTTGGATACGGGTTGGAGTCTTGATCAGTGGTATCCGATTGTACAGTGTGATAAGTATGCCTTTGAGGCTGTCTATGGACTTCTGTTTATTCCGTGGTGTTTTATCTTCTGCCTTTGATGCATATGCTATGTGGTGCCGGTCTTTCCCCCGAGTATAGCAGGATGTGCATTGTCAAGATAACAGGACATCTGACTTCGCAGATACCCACTGAGGCATGGCCAACATGTGATCTCGACTTGCATGTCGACCCCGACACCCATACAAGTGTAACCTTGGAAGTCGTCTTCGAGGCTTTACTTGAACTTGATGAGCCACTCGGGCAAGCGTAGACGGCCTGGGTTAGGAGTTCATTATGGGACACAACGTTTGGCTCTACGAAGTGGAATTGGAATGAATAAAGTCCCCTGTTTTTGTATTTTCTAACTTTTCCATTGACATAGCAAAAGCAAAATGCAGACCGTGGACCCCCATCACAGCTTCCAAAATTAAAGATGGAGCCCACGGGGCATTGATTAGTGCAGTCCTCCCCTGTTTTTGTCTTTTCGTTTTTCCATTCAAAATTCAAAGGCAAATCCCTCCCTGCCTCCCGTTTGATTTGCAAGATGAATCACATGGCCAAAAATCGTCATAATCTGTATCATCCGGTTCGGCGTTGATGTTCAGAGCACCAAGAAAAAGAGAGGGAGTTCAAAGAGAGCTCATCGTTAAATCTAACCACCAGGATGAAATGGAATCCTCTCTTATCATCAACCCGCTGAAGGATTCGAGCATAAGGGAGAAAGGATTATGGGAAACGCCAGCTGTTGCTTGAGTCTTTGCGATTGAGTTCCATGAAGGTGAGGAAATCACCAACTTCTGGTAGAGTGTCTTCAAAGAAAAAGTTGTACACCCAGTGCAAATCCTCTTCAAACTTTTGAGGGGAGGGCTTAGAAATCGACGCGCCATTTTGATCGAACAAATTGCCTCTCTTGTCCCTCCAGATAGGCACATTTGGGACGACTTTGTGGCCGCGGTGTTTTCTCAAGTAAGGGACTCGTTGTGTCGAAAGAGGCCTCAGTCTGCTGATCTGGCGTTCGCTGGACACAAGACTGGAGAACTTTGGCCAGTGGCATTTGTCGAGCTTGGTTAGATTGCCGGGCACAACCTCTTGACGCTCAACATAATCCATCAGACCAAAATTAGGACCGTAGACCTCGGCTACGCCTTCGTTCAGCGAGATTTGGCGGACCAGATTGCGGGTTGTTATGGCATCTTGGAGACTGTTCCGCAATGGGTTTCGATAGATATTGCGAAGTGGAGCGTCACCTCTCAGGTAGAAATGCGCCATTGTGTCGATATCAACCCTCGGGTTTTCTTTGCCAATGTGCTTGGCATCAATGATATGGTGGTGAATAAGTCGTAAGGCGAGCATGTCCCTCCGACCGTCAAACAGGATGAGAACTGTCTTGTCCCCCACATAGCGAAACAGCAGCTCTCGAGCAGCGTCGCGACCTTCAATCGCAGTTTGGTCTCTGTGAGCACTTTGCAGCTCAGCCCATTCGATTCCAGTGAACCACCTGTCGGTGTGCACAAGCCGGACACTCGGCCATACCAACTTGTCGATCAAAATCTCCCCAGAAAAGTAATCAATGGCAGTAAGCTTGATCAGCTCATCCTGGCCCCAGTCATTCTTTCCCATCTGGCAGTCAATGACGACGGCGTTGCGGTAATCCACTGGCTTCTGCTTTGGAGTTTCATGTAGACGCCATGTCTTATCATAGAGCACCGCGTCATGATATTCGTGTCCTGGGCCAGCATGACATCCAGCTGCTTCTATCGCCCGGTGGCAGCAGTCCCATCTCTGAAAAGGATTATTGTGTTAGCCATTGGACTCAACAGTGGACCAAAAAGAAACAGGAAACAACTGGCAAAGGAGTATTGATCGCCATCACTTACCAGCGAGTTTTGTATGACTGTTGGGTATCCAGTGTGACCCCAGCAACCGAATTCCGTACGTGAATCCCAGTACTTGAGGTTTTCATCATGGATGAAACGCGCGCTGTTCTCGGGGGTCCAAAGGATCGTGTCAATCTGACATTCTGGGTCCCATTGTGTGTCATAGATTATTTCCTTCTCGCTCCCGAGCTCTCCAGGCTTCTTTGTCCTGTAATGCCAGTTGTTAGACATCTTGATAGCTGTTTCTGCATCTGCATGAAGCCGCCTCCGAAGGTGGTCCCGCTGCTTGGAGCGCTTGGCCCTGTCGGGTTCCGGTAGAAGTTCTGAACACATTGAAGTTAGCCAATCTCAGTTCTGTAATCAATAAAAATGATAGATAACATACGTCGACATGGCTTGCACCAACTCTCCTCACAAACGTCTCCCGGATGGCCGGGGTAGACTATGTCATAATTGCTCTGTGCTAACGCGGTCCGGCTTTGGAATTGCTCGATTTGAATCCCCAGAATGTCAGAAATCTCGGCTTTCCAATGTTTGGCCATGCACCAGAGGTGAGCCCATTGGACCTCGGACCATTGATACGATTCCAAGGTGACTGAATGTTGGAGTGAGCGTCGAATCCAAACCTGAGGCTCGTCGCTGTCTGGTTCCCACCTCTCTGGGACTCGCACGTGTGGATTTGTTTGTCTTGGCTCTTGGAAAGAAGAGTCGACGCAAGACCCATTTTGGGGAACCTTGTTTGAGTCCTGATCTGGCTCATCGAAACTCTCCGGTAGAGCGAATTGACACATCGAAACGTATAGTTCGGAATTGTACTGGAAGGCATAGACTTGCTTCCACCCTTTGGTCTCAGCGAGACTGGCAGTCTGCTTTGGGGACGCGGGCCTCTTATCAGCCATCTGAGTGGAGGGGGTGCCATCCATTGTGGTGGCAGAAGATTTGATCGACGAGACATTTTCTCTCTTGAGTGGCTGTGGCTGTGTCCGAACCATGCGAGAGGTGTCTGGCGAGTTTGATTTCTCCGAGACGATTTGGGATGTAGTGCCTTTAATTTTCGGAGCTTCCGTGGACACGACCGGGCTACCTGTGAGTGGTTTCTCCCGATTCTTGAGGGTATTCTTGTGGGGCTGCTTTTGAGATGAAACAGTCTTTTTCTCCAATGAAGTTGCAGGTATTTTGGCTGTGACTTTCAAGTTTCCCTTGGTGGGAGCTGCCGCAGATGAGGCTGAGCTGCTCGCAAAAGGACTCTTCTGGTCTTTCAATTTGGCTGCCGCTCGCTGTTGCTTCAGCTTCTCATCCGAATCAATTTGAGATGTGGTTCCCGCACTTCTTGGTGGTCCTCTGCTCGCGATGGGTTTTTTCTGATTCTTGGGAGTGGTGCTCGCGATTTGGAGATCCAATGTTTTGGGTTTCGGCTCCGAGGTAGGCTTCTGTGGTGCACTACCGACTTTTTGAGTCTCTTTGGCGGAAGATCCAGCAGGTGACGTGACAGTGCGCTGTTCATCGGCCTTGGGAAAGCTCGCGAGTAAACCTTGACCAGAGGATCTGGCAAGGATCTGTTTCATTATGTCCACGGAGCTTGCTTTGGGCGCATCTCGTGGAGCTTTTTCCTGTTTTTCTTCGAGCATCATGGCGCGCATGGAGGAAACTGGTAGCTCTTCCCTACTGTCGAGGAAGTCACTTGAGGTCTTCTCAGAGGGCTTGTCAGGCTGCCCGACGGAAGGCTTGATAGTCTTGGGGGGACCCATGTTTCGAGTCGTGTTTGAGGCAAATGAAATGACGAGTAGATGATGGTGTAGATGGAAGGATAGATAGAAGGAAATGCTAGAGATGAACAAGAAAACAGAGTAAAGGCTGAGGTAGTCCTTGGGGATTCTTGTCTAGGCAACGATGCAATTTTTCCAAAAAGTGAGGAGTCGTCTCACGACGTATGGCTGTGAGTCCAAAAGTACGAATCTGTGAATGGAATGATAAGCATGGGCGAAGAATGTGAATGGGAGATATGAGTACCAATATGTGATTGACCATGAAAGAGTCATTCACGCCGCCAATGACGCGAGTGACATTACTGCATGTTGAGAAGAGACTTCTCGAATGCCAAGGTGATAAAGGTCAAGGGCAGATGAACTGCCCGATGAGGCCTGCGATGAACCAAATCGCAGAGGATGAAGTCTAGGATGAGCACAATGAAGATTGAGGATGATGAAACGATGGATGAATGAAGGTTGGAGAAGGTTGAAAGAGGAAGAGAGAGAGAGGGAGGAGAGAAAAGAGACAAGTAGAACTAGGCGAAAGATGACGAGCACGTGTGGTGTGAGGGCACAGGGAAGCCCTAATCAAAGTGAGAGCGGCGAGGAGTAGCACTTTAATCTCTCGTTGGACTCCAAGAACATCCCACGATTTTCACTCGACATCAAATACTGCTACTGCTGAGCATCTTACAGAAGAGGCTACAATCATCCACCATCCATGATTGATGGTGACGCTTCTAGCCGCTACACCTGCACTTCAAGACTCTGGCATCTAGAATGAGTGTTCCGCAAGTGAGCCTGAGAGTCTCTGGAACCAAGAGCTACACACTATGTTTGGTTGGATAGGGGTGCATTATCATTGGGCTTCTATATGGCTACCACAACTATCCCGAGTATATCAGAAGAGGCTTGGAGTCATGTGTTGGGGCAATATTGAACGGATGCTAAGGAAGCTAGGATCTCCATCTCGCGCGGCATCTATGACCAAAGCTCACACTTTGAGGCTCGATCATTGAGCATCGTATATTGGAGCTTGATGTCCTGGACCCCTTTCAAAGGCTTTAGTCCACTGCCAGGCCAATGTAAATGGGGACGTTGCAATGAGATATAGTCCCTGAAAGTGCTCGGTATGAGACGTGGACATCCATGGATGCCATTGATCGTGTCAACCACAAATTCACCGAACGAGTACGGAATGTCTTCGTGTTAAGCTCAAGTATTACTCCACTAACGGGTCCAAATACAGGGAATTGTACTATGATGTGATGGGCATACTTTGTTGAATGTTATGGGCTCATACATATCAGCAAGAATAGGGAGCAGATGGAAGAGGCGGGCTTGCAGACACTGAGGTCAAAGGCTCACATTTTGCCGGGCCAGTAGATTGGAGATATACGCTGTGGCAGTAAATGGCTCCACCTATGCTGTTTGAGACGGTCGAATCATGAATGATAGAATTTTTTTAAAAAAAACATGAACTCTGTATTATGGAATGAAATATTAGGAAAGGGAAGATGAGAAGTCATGCCTAATCCACCTTGATGGCGCTGTCCGAGAATATTAGCATCTGCCATACAGATTCATAAACAAGCAATCTTACCTGTATACCCGCCGAACGAAGGCGTAGGCGGCCAAGAAACCAACAGTTCCTGTCAAAAGGCCATACACAGCGCAGGCAAGGAAGCTGTAACTGAAGAACAGCAAGCTTGAAACAAATCCAGTGACGTTAAGCTTGAAAATGTAATACCAGATGCAGTAGGCAAAAATCCAGCATGCGCTGCTGCCGCCGGTGAGGAAGCTCTGCCACCACCAATGGTAATTCTTTTAGGGTCAGCATGGAAGTCTGTATATCAGTTGCATGGAATCTTACCTCGGAGCAAAGCTGGCTGTATGTGGCGATCACAGTCACTTCAACAACAGTCACTATCAGGACAATCGAAACAGCGCTCAGGAAACCAAAGACATAGTAGTAACCAGTCTTGTCCTGCCAGAGGTTCTTGAACACAAAAAGTAATTCGATGAAAAGAACCGCGAAGGGGATGAGACCTGTTAGTATAGGACCGATGGGTACGCGGAGATACCAAGGCTGGGACGGAATTTGCCGAGGGATTGCATTCGTCTTAAGGGGGTGTTCCCAAGGTGTTGCCCGAACAAAGCCAACCCAGCTGCCAAGGTATACCAATGGGACTTGGATAAGCAGCCAAAGAGCAAGCAGGCCGATCAAAGTGCTGAATGGGATTGCTGTGCTAGATGCTTGCGCCCAGACGAACAAGTTGAGGAGCAAAATGAGGCAAAAGGCAAGACCGGGAAACAGCAACGCAGTCTAGAATGTAAGTTAGTTGAGCTCCGTCGAACACAAAAGCAAAAACGTACGATGAAGGTGTTTTTGCGCCAAGCTGTTCCGCCGAATGTTTTGTAGAGTCTGCCCGAAAAGTAGCCGGAGAATACTCCAGCGAACACAAAGAGACCCATGCCGACGCTCACAAACCCACCGCGGAAGCTAGGGTTCAAGACGCCGAGGCAGCTGAGAAGAAGCAAGCCAGTTGCCATGAACAAAAGCTGCATACCAGAGCCAACCAACGGAGCGAGAAGGCCACTGTACGCGGGAATGCGGAATACGTCGCCATGCAGAAGCTTCCAGCCAGCAGTGTCTTCAAGGGCCTCGTCGTCCGAAGCGTAGTCCGCATCACGTTCCACATCTTTCTCTTCCAAAAGTCCATCGCCTTTCTTCTCCCCGGATCTGGCGCTCTTTCGTCGGGATTGACCCTTGGCCTTGCGATCATCCATAGCACCGTCGCCACGGCCCTTGATGTCGCCCTGCACGGTACGACTCCAGATGACAAACACCGTCACTCCCAACACGGTTGAAATTGTCAAGGAGTTGAGAATGGCCAGCCAATGGGTGATGACACTTTCGCTTTGGTTTGTGAAGTACAAATCCCAGCGGCTGGCCCAGTCAATCTTGGTGTCTTCACGGAAGTAAACAGAGTAAGTATAAGGTATCTTCAGCATGGCACCATCGTCATCTTCGTCATCTTCTGGGACGTAGGATAGTCCAGAGTATTTTTCTTGCATCCGAGAAAGGTTGGGTGGGAGATACAATCCCAACCCATCGGTATCCTTGTGAACAGACTTGGGACAACCACCCTCTTTGCGGTCCTCTGCGGTGATACTCTTCGGATAAACCTCAAATCCAACGATGACTTTGCCCCCTTCTGGTGCGCTCCGCCAGCGGATCACGATTGTGAAGTGGTTGTTGATGAAGTACCGTGGTTGTCTGCTGACAGGAGAGATATCCCGATATCCAAGCTTAAATCCCGAGGCATAGTATTTGCGACTCCGATCAACTGTGACGAAGCTCGTAGCCCCGGGCAGGTTGTCCGCAATCCACTCGATCACATATCCATCTTTGACGAGCTGGCGGGCCCACTTCACGTCCGAGCGACTGATTTCACGGGTGCAGAGCGTCTGACATTCAACATCCTTGCCCATGGCGAGCTCAAAATCAGATGTCATGATTCGATCGCCGCGCAACACCTCTCCAAGGTTGAGCGAGATGCTCTGGCCGGACCCGAATGGTGAACCGCCGTGTGTTTTCCCGCTCGGCGGGCAGACGAATGGGAGGTCAAAGTAGGCATATTGTAATTGGGTATTATCGGAGAAGATCTTGTTGACGAGTAATGGGATCGGATCGTTGTCGTTGTACCGAGTTACTGAGTATCCTGGTGGAAGAGCACAATGTCAGTGTCCAGTACGCTACAGACAATACGCCAAGGGCTTACCAGGAATATAGAATGCACTAACGCAAGATACAAGCAGCAATGTCCACAACGTCCACATTCGGGGACACAGTGGTACAGAAGCCATGATCAATGCGTTCAACTATGTTTCTTCCTCGGCGGGACGGATGGAGGGACTATCGAAACATGTACACGGTGGGGGAGTGCGTCCGCAGCTTCAGCTCGTATGGTCGTGATGCGCGGAGAAACTTGTGGGGTGCTGGTTCAGACTTCCTTGATATGAGCCCTGTCAAGTAGTGGTTCGGGGTGGACAGATCGACCGGGCGCGTAGTGACGAACTGTTAAGGGCCAACAGATAGCTTCGGATTCAGTCCAAAAAGCGTTAAACAAAAACGAATGAAACGGCACTTAATGCCACAAAGACACAAAGTATTAAGAAAGGGGCTTGAGCAACTTGAGCTTGGAATGATCGAAGGACTCTGTGTCAACTTCCCCCGGACTCGGCCAGATCACCGATTATCTAATGCTCCACATGGGCAGCTTGAGGAATGTCAATGGCCGCACTCGTAGGTATCGCTGGGTTTCAAATTAGCTGGGCCAGAAATCCTGTAGACTACCTAGGTATGTTCTCGTTCAAGCGATTTTCCAGAGAAAAGCTATCTATTATAGGGGTCGAGAATTACCCGAAAACTTTTGTGATGGTCCCTTTACGACTCTTTTAGGTTTTTTATACTTCGCGCGCTAGATGGGGTCTCGCATATATAGTGAAACTGGAAACTAGATGTCATATGGCAATATATATGAAGATAAAGGGTCCATTTATTTAACAAAGAAATTAATGATGGAGAGGAAAGCAAAAATCACGAGGAGCTATAGGCCAAGAGCAAGCACAGATAGCAAAGGTATGGAGCAAGCAAAGAGACAGCAAGGAAGCGAATGGAATCACATGGCAATAGCAAGCAAACAAGCAAGCTGCATATGCACATGACGAGAGAGAGAGAGATATCAACAATAAACAATAATTAATTCAGTGATCACGGCTTAGCCAAGATTTTCGGCCGTACCGAAGGGGTTTCGGCGAACCATATTACTATTGATCATGATGACTCGACAATTAGTTGGAGCCTTGGAAGGACAGCTAGAAAGACAGCTAGAAAGACAGGCAGAAAGATAGTTAGAAAGAGCCCCTGAAGGTGACCATACTCGCAAGCTTGACACTTACAGTCAAACTGGACACTCGAGGCTTGAACACATTGACCAGTCTTCCGAATCATGTTTGAGCCACCTGAACAGATCTTGGATCATTCTTTCCAACCTTTCGATAGTGATCACAAACTACGTACAGATTGATTCCAGTAGGTCTTGGCTTACCTTGAAAGTCCCGGGCCGGCCGGGCGTGTTGCGAGTACAGAGTGTTAATTGAGTTAGTTATCCCAACACTGATATATTGCAGGCTCCCAGCTTGGGACATCCACAGAGACTTTGGAAGCTAGCTGTGCCAAGGCACTATGGAAGAAGACGAAGAAGACGAAGAAGAGGGTCATATTTAAAATTTTATCGGTTTGCAATCGATATTCTCGGGTCATTACCGCATATCCGGAGAGTAGCTAGAAAGTTCAACGCAAGCATGCTAAAGAGAAAAGGGAAGTGAAACGTCGTAGATACTGAGGGAGCATGTCGCCCCTACAAGGAAAATGGAGTACATCACGTAAAGTGATCGCAAGGCTGTGATAGAAAGAACAAGGGCTGCTCAAGATCAAGGGCCGCTGAGGAGATACTCAACGGCTCCCTGAACACTGCCGCCCGACCGTCTCAGTGCTTCAATATTGCGCTCGAACTCATAAAATCCCATATCGTTCAATTGGCGAAGTTGGTCCGCGAACCGCTCCTCTGGAGGGCGAGTGTCAGGAGGCTGTGGAGCCCCAAAACCACCCCCAAGACCACCAAAGCCACCACCGCCGCCGAGTAGAGCCGCTAGAGGGTTTGCACCAGCAGCACCGCCTTCTCCGCCTTGTCCACCCATACCCTGCATCATTTGAGATAATAGCGCTGGATCACGGAGGAAGGGGTTGTTTTGAGGATTGAACGGGTTGGCGCCACCCTGACCCGCTTGTCCAGCAGCGCCGAATGCAGCCGGGTTGAATAGCGAAGCGAAAGGGTTGGCAGGAGCTTGAGGAGTCTGCCCCTCAGCAGAAGCAGAGCGATCAGTAGATTCGGCTCCTTGTGTCTCGGGCTGAGTTGCACCAGGGGTGCCAGTGGGCTGGGCGGGGCCGCCGAATGGGTTGGCCCCGCCGAAAAGGGCACCGAACGGGTTAGCCCCGGCCCCCCCAAATGGATTTGCAGGCATTCCAAATGGGTTGGTCGGTGTATTCTGTTGTTGGGTGCCTTGGTTTTCCTCAGCAGTAGTGTTAGTGACCCCAGGGGCGGGGAATGCGCTTTCACCACCGGCACCGCCAAGTCCGCCACCCATTCCCATGGCACGTTGCATTTGCATCATCTGGCGGATAGAGCTTGGATCGGTCAACATGCGACGGAATTCTGGGCTCTCCATCATCTGGCGCACCCCGGGTCCCATATCACGCAGCATGGGGTTCTGCTGAATCATCATATCAATCATGGCGGGGTTTTGAAGAGCTTCGTTGATGCTGGATTGGAACTGGGGGTTCTCAAGCATGGTGAGCATAGAGTCGGGATCAGGGGGAGGACCCATCTGGAAAAAAGAATGAAGATTAGTAAACGCTGCCGTGACGAGGCTTGCATCTTGCATCAACTGCGGATGCCATCAGGAGTTTACTTACCCCACCATCAGGACCAAAGAGTCCAGCACCAGGGAGCTGAGCAAATCCGGCATATCTAGCACCAGTGAGGCCAGCGAGAGGGTTGTTGCCAGTTCCAGCAGCGAGATTGGTCGGCACACCGGCTGCTGCTGGAGTTGGGGTTGTTCCCGAGGTAGCCCCGGCCGGGCTTGGCTGAGCAGCTGTGTTCTGGCGCGTTTGGTTGCTTGCAGCACTCTTGACCAAATGAATGGTATGGCCATCTTTAATCTTGTAGGTATCGAGGGTCTCGGTGTCCTTCAGGACTCTACCCGAGTAGATCAATCGCTGACGCTCTGCGGGGGTATCGGCATATTCAGAGCTGGCAAGCTTCTGCTTGAGATCTGAGACCAGAGTAGTGAGAGGGAGGGTCAAGGTAAATTTGGCATCTGTGGATGATTTGACCGTGAACGTGATCGGAGCCTCTGCAGCAGCTGTTTCGTCGGCCATGGTTGGAGTATGCAGTATGCACGAGTGGGGTGATCGGGCGATGCGAGGTAAAGAGAAGATTATCGCCTAGTGGGTTGACGAGGACAACACAGATCTGTAATAATGTAGTCTGATATCCAATGGAGATGGTGTTTCAAAGGAGATGACGAGGCAAGAAGCGTAACGAACACCACGGAGTACTAGAGCGTTATCATCCAACGGGCCGGCAGTTCATGGTCGGTCACAGAAGGCGGTCGAAGCTCCCAGCCACGTGATCACGCTAGCGAGTATTTTCTTCCTCGTGTGGCAGCTCGCCTGCTCTTCACCTCTTGCACTACGCGACTTTATCTTTCCCCGTGGCAAGTGGAATTGAAGAGGTGTTTCACTTTCCTCACTCCACCTTGCAGCAATGGGACTGATGTGATATTCAATTTCCCAACATCGCAATCGCATGTGCAAACCTTTTCACTCTCTCAGTGCCGGGAAACCGGACAGCTAGTTGCCCACCATGGCTACCACTTCCCACATGTTCATGTACTCTCTTACTGTCCAGCAGCCAACTGCAATTACTCAAGCCATCTTGGGTCAATTCACTGGAACAAAAGAGCAGCAAATCATCACCGCGTCCGGGTCGACTTTGACTATTCACCGGCCGGACTCTGCACAGGGGAAAATCACCCCAATCTTCTCCACCAATGCCTTTGGCATCATTCGTTCGCTGGCGTCCTTCCGATTGGCTGGTAGTAGCAAAGGTATGTTCTTTTTAATTTTCAAACCCCTTTCCACTCCCTCGGAGTTCAACTTAGTGATTCTTCAAGCTTCCCGGGCAGCACGGTCCTCCACCGAATCGATCCCTTGAACAAGGGTGGAAACCTGCCCTGGACAGCGATGTTGATATTCGCGAGTCTCTATTTGCGGGCTGTGCTGAGTGATCATTATAGATTATGTTGTCATCGGTTCTGACTCTGGCCGCATCGCCATCGTCGAGTACACCCCTGCGCAGAACCGGTTCACTCGCATCCATTTGGAAACATTTGGAAAGACTGGAGTGCGCCGTGTCGTTCCCGGACAGTATCTTGCAGTTGATCCGAAAGGACGTGCCTGTCTGATTGCGTCCGTGGAGAAGAACAAACTGGTCTATGTTCTCAACCGCAACTCGCAGGCAGAGCTCACCATCTCTTCACCCCTCGAAGCTCACAAAGCGCAGACCTTGGTCTTCGCTATGATGGCTCTGGATGTTGGCTACGAAAATCCTGTTTTCGCTGCCCTAGAGGTGGATTACTCAGAAGCCGACCAAGATCCTACCGGCCAAGCCTACGAAGAACTCGAGAAGGTCTTGGTGTATTACGAACTTGATCTTGGCCTGAACCACGTTGTCCGCAAGTGGTCTGACCCCGTCGATCGCACGGCCTCCATGCTTTTCCAGGTGCCTGGTGGTGCCGACGGTCCTAGCGGCGTGCTGGTGTGCGCGCAAGACAACGTCACCTACCGACACTCCAACCAAGAGGCGTTCCGTGTTCCGATCCCCCGTCGCAGCGGACCGACGGAGAATCCCGAAAGAAAGCGCTCAATCATCTCCGGAGTCATGCACAAGATGCGAGGAGCCTTCTTCTTCCTTCTTCAGACTGAGGATGGCGACTTGTTCAAGTTGACCCTCGAAATGGTTGAGGATGACAACGGACAACCTACCGGAGAGGCCAGGGCTCTGAAAATCAAGTACTTCGATACTGTCCCTGTTGCCACTCACCTCCTCATTCTCAAGAGTGGTTTCCTCTATGTCGCCAGTGAAGCTGGCAACCACAACTTCTACCAGTTCGAAAAGCTTGGTGACGACGATGAAGAGATCGAGTTTTCCAGTGACTCTTTTTCGGCCGACCCTAGCGTACCTTGTGCGCCGGTCTACTTCCAGCCCAGAGGCGCAGAGAACGTCAATCTCATGGAGAGCAGCAACTCGTTGACACCTTTGATTGACAGCAAGATCTCGAATCTCACCCAAGATGACGCTCCTCAGATCTACACAATCTGTGGTTCTGGAGCTCGCAGCTCCTTCCGCACACTCAAGCATGGGCTCGAGGTGTCGGAGATCGTGGCCTCCGACCTCCAGCACGTACCATCAGCCGTGTGGACCACGAAGCTGACACGCTCGGATGAGTACCACACATACATCATTCTTTCTTTTGCCAACGGCACTCTTGTCCTGAGTATCGGAGAGATTGTCGAAGAAGTTTCGGATACCGGCTTCCTTTCCTCTGCTCCTACTCTCGCCGTGCAACAACTTGGAGAGGACTCGATGCTCCAGGTTCATCCCCGTGGTATCCGCCATATCCTTGCCGATCGACGAATCAACGAATGGCCTGCTCCTCAACACCGATCCATTGTTGCGGCTGCCACTAACGAGCGCCAAGTCGCCGTGGCACTCAGCTCTGGTGAGATTGTTTACTTTGAATTGGACGCCGATGGAACTCTCGCAGAATATGACGAGCGTCGACAAATGTCCGGCACTGTCACTTCTCTCAGTCTTGGAGAGGTCCCAGAGGGCCGTGTCCGCAGCTCGTTCTTGGCTGTTGGCTGTGACGATTCGACTGTTCGCATCCTGAGCCTGGATCCCGACTCGACTCTTGAGAACAAGTCCGTTCAGGCCCTGACATCCGCACCATCTGCCCTTCAAATCATGGCTATGGCCGACTCCAGCTCCGGAGGCACGACCCTCTATCTCCACATTGGTCTTTACTCTGGCGTTTACCTCCGTACTGTCTTGGACGAGGTGACTGGCGAGCTTTCAGATACCCGAACTCGATTCATTGGCGCCAAACCTGTCAAGCTGTCCCAAGTGTCCGTTAAGGGTCAAACTGCCGTGCTTGCACTGAGCACTCGTTCATGGCTCGGATACTCTGATATCCAAACCAAGAGCTTCATGCTGACCCCTCTGGACTACCCTGGACTTGAATGGGGATGGAACTTCTCCAGTGAGCAATGCGAGGAGGGAATGATTGGTATCCAAGGCCGAAACTTACAGTATGTTGATCCCATCTCTCCTATTCCCCCATCCCACTCCCTTGATCATATGATGAGAAAAAACAATCCGAACTACTATGTGGATCAAACCTTTTATTTTTCCAATTGTTCCTGCTGAGATCAACTTCACATCTTGTTACACTACTGAGTCCGACGCATTCTTGACCATGGTACTGACTTGAACTAGGATCTTCGCTGTTGAGAAGCTTGACAACAATATGCTTCAAGAGTCCATTCCCCTTGCTCACACACCGCGACGATTCGTCCAGCACCCGGATTACCCGCTCTTCTATGTCATCGAATCCGACAACAACGTCCTCTCCTCTGCCACCCGCCAGAGACTCATCGAGGACTCCCAAGCCCGTGACGGTCAGATCGCAGAGCTTCCGCCGTCCGAATTCGGATACCCCCGCGGAACCGGTCATTGGGCTTCATGCGTTCAAATTGTTGACCCAATTACCACCAAGTCTGTTGTATACACCCTTGACTTGGAGGATAATGAGGCAGCAGTCAGTCTCGCTGTCGTGAGCTTTGGTGACCAACGTGATGAAGCCTTCCTCGCCGTTGGAACCGCCAAGGATATGGTCGTCAGCCCTCCCTCATCCTCGGGAGGCTTTATCCATCTCTACCGCTTCCAGGAAGACGGCCAGAGCTTGGAATTCATCCACAAGACCGCTGTCGAGGAACCACCCCTTGCTCTCATCGGCTTCCAGGGCCATCTTATGGCAGGTGTCGGCACACAGCTCCGCATTTATGGAGTTGGAATCAAACAGCTGCTCCGCAAATGCCAGAGTGATGTGGTGGGCAAGACAATTGTCGGCCTCCAAACTCAGGGAAGTCGTATTGTCGTCAGCGATGTTCGCGACAGTGTCACGTACGTCGTTTACAAGCCTCAAGACAATGTCCTGATCCCCTTCGCCGATGACTCCATTGCTCGCTGGACTTCGGCAACAACCATGGTTGACTACGAGACTACTGCAGGAGGTGACAAGTTTGGTAACCTTTGGTTGCTGCGCTGCCCTCAAAAGGCTTCCCACGAGGCTGACGAGGATGGCTCTGGTGCTCACCTCCGACATGAAAAGGGTTACCTCCATGGAACCCCTCACCGTCTTGAGTTGATGATTCACTACTACGCCCAGGACATTCCAACCAGCATCCACAAGACTCAGTTGGTTGCTGGAGGACGTGATGTCGTGGTCTGGACCGGACTCCACGGCACCATTGGAATGTTTGCTCCATTCGCCGGCCGTGAGGACGTCGACTTCTTCCAGCTTCTGGAGACCCAAATGGCTACCACACAACCTCCACTCGCTGGTCGTGACCACTTGATGTACCGTGGTTACTATGCGCCTGTGAAGGGTGTCATCGATGGAGATCTCTGCGAGATGTACCTCCTGTTGCCTAATGATACGAAGATGATGATTGCAGCGGAGCTTGATCGCTCAGTTCGCGAGATCGAGCGTAAGATCTCGGTAAGTCCGAACCTTGAGTTCACCTTTCCATTGAAAATTCAACTAACGATTTACTTAGGATATGCGAACACGCGTGGCCTATTGATTGCGGTTTTAGCCCCGGCGTTTTTTTGCCCTGTGTTATCGGGCTCGAGATACCTTTTTCACATAATGGATGATGACTTGGTGGCTTCAAAACCACATGCAACCATTCCCTTTTCCCGCCTGCACGGCTTTCGTAGAACCTGCAACCCCACACAGGGGCCATTTAGACTTTTGGTCGTCTCTTTCCTCGCTCGGTTTGCCGCTCCTCTCGGCTGATCTTGAGCTGGATGCATCTGGTCACTTTTTAAGTGCCGGTTTGTTTGAGACAAGAAGAAGCGTGAAAACGCGTCGACGCTTTTTGAGTACGATTTGATCCGCAATGCACCACGGGTCTGCGTCGTAATTTATCAGTCGGGACATCCTTGTCATATCATTGTAATTTCTGCAGAATCACAAATTTATTTTTCAAATTAAAATCTTCCATCTTTCTGTATTTTGAATCTATAGTTTTCGGAACTTGATGAGCCGAACTGGAAACGTCTACGGAGTACTCCGTGCCCCTTAGTAGGCTACAACTGATCGAAAGGTTTACAGCCTCAATTCAAGTAGAGCAATCCGCCGTTAAAATTAACATTGATCTCGTGAACATATGAATATTAAACTATTGAGTGTGATGAAGCCAAAATGCATACAAAAGAAGGCCAGAACGGCAAGACAACATGCTTTGACAATAAATAAACAGAAGGTGGGTATAATCCGAACGAATAGAAGAAATGAAAAAAGAAAAAACCACAGAATTATGCAGAGAAAGGAGGGACTTTTTGAGGTTGCCAGAGGTATCAAAGATCTTGTTGGCAAGCAAGAAAGAGAGTTGGGTGTTTCGAGTCTACCGTGCTGCCATCACACCTATTGTCTCCGAGTAGCCAGGAGGAGCGAGGTCGATGACCACATCGCTCACATCACGACCGGAGAAGTCGGTTGGGGAGGTCACGTTGCGAGGGTTGAAGAATTCATCGACCTCCTCTTGAGTGACGAGGAGACCAAGGGAAGACTTGATGGACTCGGTGTAGTTCTGACTGGTGAACTGAACAGGCACACGGAGGGATATGGTCGGTGTCATGATGTTCGCGGCGGGTGTGTGGTAGCTCAAAGAGAGCTCGAGGGAGTAGGTGCGGGAGATGAGGCAGGAATGGAAGGTCGGGATGAAGGTCTTTTGCTTTGGAAGCGTGATGGGAATGACGACCGATGCGGTATAGTATGTATCACCCGTGAAAGTGGACGAGGGACCCGTTGATGAGGAGTCAGATGAGGATGAGGTGGTAGAGTCGCGGCGAGCATCGGAGGTATGTTTTGTCCATTGCGCTGAGGCGACGCACATTGTTGACAGGTGAACAGCCTCGGTGTATAGACCGCGGCCGACTTGCGAGAAAGGAACACCCGTCCCGGAGGGGAAGTCTTCCCACGGCGAGGCGCTGTAGAAAGTACTTGCGCGAAGCTTGCTGGTCATTGTTCCGAGTGGCGGCGGTGTCTCTTTCCCAACGGGTTCGAATCGCAGGTTCACGGTGGTGACGGTGCTCACAGTGTCGGATGGTTCGCAGCTTGGAGGAAGCAATTGGATGGGCTTGGGTTGGGATGTCGCAGCAACGAGACGACCCAGAGTGCCTCGCAGGGTTCCACGCTTGACGCTCTTCTCCTTTCGCATGCATAGTGAAGATGTCCCAGAGAAATCGACAGGAGGCTCTTCTTCCACGACTGGGATGATGCGAACCTTCTTGGCGACACCGGCAATGGACTTGGCTGCTTGGCCATCGTGTCGTTTCTGGTGAAGCGATGCCCGCACAATATAGGCTACTTGAGACATGTCGGGGGCCATGTCATCGATGAGGGTTTTGCCATCGCTCGCCAGCATAGGATCACCCAGGGTTGGCGGTAGCATAGTATGAGAACGTCCCACATGGGTGTTGTTTTTGTTGTGGGAGCAGACCTGGGGCAACAGACGGTCTGGCACGACAAAGGTGAAAGGGAATTGGTACGAACGACCACCTTCTAGCATGCGAGGGGTTGGGTATTCGATATCCTCAATTGGCTGGCGCAACTTGAGGAACATCTGCTGTGACCCCGTGCGACCAGGGCATGATGCTCGTTCAACCGTAGTTCGAGATCTCCCTGTTTATCGAGTCAGCCAAGAATTCTCAAGCTTGAGAGGTGGAGCACCGGATTGATACCTTCAAGAACAATTTCAACTTCTTCGAATCGCGTATCATGCTCCGCGGTTATGGTCACAATGCCTTCGATGCTCTCCCCGTCGTATAGGCATTGACCCGGCTCGGCTTTTGACCCGTCAGATCGATTTCGACCTTTGGTTGCGATCGTCGAGTCCATGCATCCAACTTCTCGGAGCCAGAGCTGAGGATCGAAGTTGCTGCCGACATCTTTGCAGAAAAAGTTATAGATGGGAGAAATTGAGGCTTTGAGTCCTATGGAAGGGACAGCCGACACCGACGAAAAATAGCAAGAATGTGAATATCAAAGGGAATTTGAAAATGTACTTTAAAAAGAAAACAATACTCCGAGGGGAAAAAAATAGTAGTGGAGCCGTGGACAACCGCACTGGGGACGGAGGGGCGGTTGTTATATAGGAGGATCTTAACATACACCAAGGTTCTTACAAATTGATACAACTGATTTTACTGATTTAATTGACGTGAGTCACAAGTCCAAGCCATTTACGATGACGATAATCCACGTGTAGTCTAAAAAAGAGAATCGGACAGTGTAAGGAAAGCCGAGCCTGAAGGACATCCACGTAAGGAAACAATACGCCTGATTGGTGGACCGGCAATGAGGAGCCGTCCCTGTTCACGCCCTTGGATTGACATTCCTTCGAGTCGACGACGTACATGCCGAGACTCGTTCCGTGCACCTGACTTTTGTGAGGCGATTACGTGTACGAGTGTACGAACAAGCGATCACTCAATTTCTCTCTATAACACCCATGGATAACTGATATATCTACTTTTTGAGAGCTGGAGAGTCGAAGCTCAAGCGTGGGTCAAAAGACAGAGAAAAAGTGGAGAAGACGCCTTACTGCGACATGCACGCCCTTTGAGTCTCCACTTAATGGTCCGTTCACATTCTCGAGCTTGATGATCGCGAAGTGGCCAATCATGCCTTGCTGCGGAGAAACTCTCAGCGGAGAGACTGGGGTTGATTTCAAAGCCATATCTCGTGTCCCTTCGCCGTTTGTGACTCTTTCCAGCTTCACCAGATTTGTAGCCATAAAATCACGAATCCACGAAGCCATACTGTTTCTCGAGTTTCCCTCGGGAAACATGACGAAAGGGCCTAGTTTCGGGAGACCCAGAATTTTCCGACCATAACCGAGTCGAGATGGGCCGAAGTCGCGCTTCTTTTTTTTTCTCTCAATTTTTTCCCTTTCATCTTTCTCGGCGTGATCGGAGAGATCGGTGTGATTTGATGGCGCCATTGGATTCGGTCTAAAGAATCGGCTTCTGCACTCAAAATCGGTCTACCGACGTCACGTTACCTATGACGTAGCCACGTCAACTTTCTTATTTTTATGCTTCATATACTTCATATGCAAAGATGATCAAATGATATATGCATCATTCTAATAGTTTGGTTCAACGTACCTACATGCACGTTATCGTATTCAACGGTTTCGCTAACGTCGAATCCTTCGCGGTTGAATATGAGTCAGTCGCTTAATAGCTGAAGTTAATTGACCTACCTTTGCTGTATAAAAGAGCAATACCATACCTTGCATTTCTATAATCTCGTACAAGTATCCCGAGGTTACAAAGAGCATCATTGATCTCGAGACCTTCCGAAATCCATCTGATCTGTGGTCTCCACCCTTGACACATCGAAGAGCCCTTGCATCCATTGTCCAACTCTTTCGTCAGTATGTCTACCAATCGGGATTTCACCAGTCCTGACAAAAGCTTCGACTACAACGAAGAACTCCCAGCTGATAAAGCCCAGACATGGACTCTACTTGAAACATACAGCAAGATCTCTTCAAGTCAAATCGAGACCCATCTCAAAGATATAGTAAGCTCCTCTCCTAACCATCATATCATCCCACCACTAACCAGTTTGACAGCGTCAAAAAGCCTGGAATGTCTTTCCATACGGCTGCATCGGCCGCTGGCTATTACTCGACTGCGTGATTACATCACTACCAGAGTATCCCACCATCATCGAGCGCGTCAAGTCAGGCGACATCCTTCTCGACGCGGGGTGCGCATTCGGCTATGTGCTTCGACAAATGGTTACCGACGGCGCCCCAGCAACCAACTTGATTGGAGTGGACCTCCGACAGGAATTTCTTGATCTGGGGTACGAATTGTTCCAAGACAAGGGGTTCGAAGCGCGTTTCATCGCAGGTGACTTGGTGAATGCCGATCCGTCCCTTGCTGGGATCGCTGGTACGGTTGATATCATTCATGCTGCGGCCTTGTTCCACTTGTTTGGATGGGACGATCAGGTTGAGATCGGAGTGCGTTTCGTTGAGCTTCTCAAGCCGCAGGCGAATGCCTTGATCGTTGGGAGGCAAATTGCAGATCTTGAGCCGTTAGATCCCGTTGAGCATCTGAGGCAGGGGCGGGGGTGGTATCGTCATAACTTGAGAACTTGGCAGATGTTATGGGATGTCGTTGGAGACAAGACAGGGACGCGATGGAAGGTTACCGGGGTGGTGTCGGAAAGGAGGGGGTTGAACGATGTCCCTGGACCAAAGGCAGGGATATCCTTTGCGGTCTACAAAGTCTAAATTGTGAGTCCAACGACATGTACATTCTAACTCATGTATTTGAATCTGATTTATGCTAAAGGATAGCACCTTTTTACCGCAAGCCTGTGCGAAAATGCAAAACCTCATCGGTGCTTCTTTCACCATACAAACCAGGTATGAGAATATTTCAAAGATTCCAATGCTCATTCTTCCGAATCTTTCCACCCATTCTATAGATCAGCACGGGAACGGGGACCAGAGCAAGAGCGATGAAGCCCAACAGAGAATTGCCCCAACCGATTCCCATCTCATGATACATCTGCGGCCCAGCCAAAGGAAGAAAAGCAGCTACAACGCTGCGCATGACCGAGAATGCCGCGAGTGCGCTGGCAGCATATTGCGAGTACGCGTCGACGATATAAGCTTGCGTGGTCAGCCAGATACACTCGAAGCCAATACCGAAGAAAACCAGTCCGATCACTGGCACGATCCAGAAAACGCCCTTCTCGCTGCTCCAGCCGTACAGGAAGAAGGCGATTGGCAAAAATGGAGCGCAGTAGATACAAACGGGCAGCCGCATCTCAGCCTCGTGTACTCCGGCATTCAGCTTTGTCTTATGAATGACTGATCTGTCGGAGCATGTGAAGAATATCGTGACGCCGATGATGTATCCGACCAAGAGTGCAAGGTAGACGATACCAGTGATGCCCGTCGACCAGCCGTAGCCGTCCTCGAAGACGATGGGGATGGTATTGAAGAACAGGTAGAGACACCCATATGCGAACGCGATATAAAGAGAGACGCCGAAGACAATCGCGGAGCCAAAGAGCAGTCGGAAAGGCCTGACTAGGCCTCTCAAGAGAATCTCCTTCTTGGAGAGAGTAGAAGCATCGTCGGTATAGCAGCTCAGCAGCTCAGGACGACCAAGCTCTCTCCGCAGTGCAGCCGTTTTGGCTTGGATCAGAACCTGATGATTCGTCTCGCAACTAAATACAGCCATAGCGACAACGACCAGAGTTGCAGGGATCAAAGTAATCCAATTCACCCATCGCCAGCCAATCTTCTCCGAAACGAAACCTCCCACCACTGGCGCAACCGAAGGTCCCATTATCGGCCCAAGCATCCAAACAGCCATCGCTCTACCTCGCTGGTCAACGGGGAACATATCCGCGACCATAGCTCCCGCGACTGTCTGCGATGCCGATCCACCAATGCCCGAGAAAAATCGAAAAATAATAAGTGTCTCTAGCGACGGTGCAAGAGCGCAACCAATCAGCCAGGCGCAAAACACAGAGCTAGCAGTTATCATGACGACATGACGACCATATATCTCAGAGAAAGGCGAAAGAAACAGAGGTCCGACTGCATATCCCAAAAGGAAAATGCTCACGGGTATGGCGCCTTTGGTTATATTGGTGACGTGGAATTCGGCCTCGATTAAAGATATCGCTGGCGCGATGATGGAGGATGCGAAAGGGGTCATGAACCCAATTGCCGAAAGTAGGCCTGTGATTAACCACTTCCGCCTAGGTGTGAAGTTTAGAGGATTCTGAGGGTCACTCTGAGATTCCCAACCCACGATGCCGTTGCTCAGGTCCATCAAGTGCTTGATTGAGACGTTTGTTGGTGGGCTTGACCTTTCGATATCGCCAATCCTGGTCGGATATTCGGGGTTCTCATTGCCGCTTTTGATCTGCGGATATCAGCAAAATTGAAAGCCATCGATTTCAGGACAGGTAGATACCTCTTCTTGTCGAAGGTCTTCATCTCGTATGACAGCCACTTTTGAGCTCATGCCGCTTGAGATCTGAGGCTATTGGCCAATTTAGCGAAGTAAAGGAAAGAGGAAGAAAAAAGGGAATGGAACGAGGAAACAAAAAAGTCGTCAACACTTGCGAAAGCCCAAAGTCCAGAAATGACAGCCCCAGACAATATTGACTACTTTCATTTGTGGGACTGACGGCTCCTAAAGAGAAAACCACATCACGACCTTCCATCTGGCGAGGCCGGAAATCATCCGCGATGACCCACTTGTCAACCACAAGGCGCGATGTTCTGCAGTTGAGGATGAGGTTTCTGTTATAAATTTGGCTTGGCTCTCGGGGGCTAGTCGAGACCCGCTTTCGCCTGTGAGAAATCGCGGGGGGGCCGTCCCACAAACCCGTCGTTACCTCGGAGAACTCCCCTATACTACGTTATCATTGGGACGTGCATGATCGAGCCTATTGAATACACTAATTGAGTAAAAATCGTACGTCGGAACAGACAGGCCCGGCACCGAACCATTAAAAAACCCGGGTGGTCGCATCCGATCCGGACTAGGCTCTTACACGGTTGCTTAAAGCTTTCAAGGCTCACAGCACATGAAAGGAGCCGGAAAGAGCGGGGGAGAGGGCCGATAGAGAGTTTCAATTGTTGCTGCCGCCGCCGCTGCCCCAAAGCCAGATGTACCTAGACTCATAAAGGATTCAACTTGATGAAAAGCATGTAAGCTAATTTCCAGCTGGGCATTCGGGGGGTCACCCGTTCAAAGATCATGCACAAGTAGGGCAAACAAAATATCGATGAATCTTGGAACCATTGAAATGGCCTATATAAATGGAAGACCACGAATCGTGGTTGTTCCTGAGAGCTCCCGTATATCCATGGATAACTTCGCATTATGCGGAGTATCAGGAACCAGACCATCTAACCGCTTTCCAAGGTTTCCATTCTGCCCAGGACAATATAAAACTCCAATTGACTTCCAAGTTTTAACATAGTAGGTAAATATGACCCGCACGGGAAGTCAAATATTTGTCCATCGCAAACTAAAGTAGGACCCAAGAAGGCACAAATCCTCATCTATAGCGAAGCAGTCCGAGGTGTATGTTTGGTCCAATCACATCCCACGAACAAGACCCGCACGCCCGCCCCTCGGGGTTTGTCAAAGTCTCTTGCTGAACCGGGATATATTGAAAATGTGTACGCATTTCTTGAGAGCACTAGAGCCTCATTGAGGGTGCTTTGATTGGTGGCATTGCGTCACATCAAGATGAGTGCAAATGATACGTTTCGTCATATGCTCTTAATCGGCTTCCCAGAGTCGATCCGACCTCGGGACAGTCTTTTTGAACTATTGTATATCCAAGCTTACCAAAGTACTCCACCAACTGAGATGTTTATTCAGTAAATTTGGTGTTCCGGCCTTAGTATACCCTACTGATTCAATCCCGACCGTACTAGCATATGTATGTCCCAAGTATGCACCCAAAAACCCGATCTAATCACAGATTCCCGGTGGTTAATTCTAAATGACGGGAGTGTAGACCCCGTGAGGGCCTAGGAAATTTGATCACGCGCTCAAAGTGCTATGCACTAAATAGCTTGAATAGGAGGGGGGGCATTCAGGCACATGCTCCGGTCGCATGGCTCAGGTGTTACATCAAAGCTGCTCAAAGGACCCTGGTTCCTACAGCCGAGCCGGCGTCTTCGTTTCAAGTCAGCAGCCCTGAAGACCCTCAAGATCCTCATTCTGATCTTCATGTCAGTCTTCATCTCGAATACTACCATCTAGTTACATTCTCGGAGATCTAGAGCTTGCTGCTGCAACATCCGTGACAAAACCCTCAAACAGCATATGTTCCGATCATCTTCTCTTCCTTGTTTTAACGCCAAAACCCCAGACATCGGGACGACAATGTCACCCATCCTCAATTTTAGAGGCGGTTGATTGGCCAGTGTGTCGCCCGGGGGAGTTCTTGAAATTATCACCAATGCCCAGACTTTGATGTCTGAATGTTACAGGGTGTCACACATGGGTGCCGCAGACCTAAGTACTTGTATGGGTTGATAGATAGTACGCAGCCCTTTGGTCACCGAGGCAGGTCTCCAGATGATGTGCATGAATGTGCATTAACCAGCCAAAGAAACAAGCCATTGTAGTCGAAGATAATGTCACCTGAAAGGAAATGAAAATTTAACCTTGCATTGTATGTCATTAACCTCTGCGGGACTGCTTTACATTGTCCCCACGGAGCTAACGGGGTATCGAAAGGGAAAGGAAACGAAATCAATGGCCCAATGGCCCACCTCCCCCATGAATTAATAGGCAACGAGGCTCAACCTATAAATACCCTGCACTCAACCTCTCACCTCACCTCGATTCTTCTTCTTCACCCCTTTTACTCTCTCAACCTTGACAGTCTCGCTGGCACGAGCCCCTCTTAGACAGCAATTTGCAGATCTTACACTCCTTCATCATGAGACTTTTCGTTCTTTTCTGGATAGGGCTCAGTTGGCTGGCCAATGCTGCCTCTATCCCCCTCTTCGAGCTAACGTCACTGAGATTGAGTCTCGGGACGTCAGCGACGTCAATGGCTTCCGCTCTGTGGCTTATTTTGTAAACTGGGTGAGTTCGACAAAAGATTATCTATCACGGTTGAGCATTGTGCCATGAGCTTGCTAACCCTCAATATTATTAGGGCATCTACGGACGCAATTTCCTGCCTCAGGATCTACCAGCTGAAAAGCTCACCCAGTACGTGTCTTGATTTCCAACAGTTGATCTCCATATTTATTCAAGTCTAACTCGACTGCAGTGTTCTTTACGCTTTTGCCAACATTCACGCTGATGGATCTGTCTTTCTTTCCGACACCTGGGCCGACACTGACAAGCACTACCCAAGCGATTCTTGGAATGATTCTGGAAACAATGTCTATGGCTGCATCAAGCAGCTATTTTTGCTCAAGAAGAGGAACCGCAAGCTGAAGATTCTCCTGTCCATTGGAGGCTGGTCCTACTCCCCCACCTTTGCATCCGCCTTCGATACTGATGCTGGGCGGCAACGATTTGCCGACACTGCAACTGAGTTGGTGAAGAATCTTGGCATAGATGGAATTGATGTTGACTACGAGGTGAGTGGAAGAAGTTTCCCAAGCTGGCTATTGAAATTCAATGTTGACCTCGTTACAGTACCCCAAAAATGATGACCAGGCTGACAAGCTCGTCGATGCACTTCGCCGGACCCGTGAAGTGCGTTTACCCTCAACTTTTGCAAAAGACCCGACTTACACCTTTTAGGCATTGGACAACTACAGCGCACGAAATGCGGGCGGTTACCACTTCTTGCTTACAGTCGCATCTCCAGCTGGTAAGCCACAACTTGGCACTGCTGTTTTGTCAATCAACCAAGCTGACGTCTTTAGGTCCGGAGAACTACCATCATCAGCACTTGAATCAGATGGATCGCTACCTCGACTTCTGGAATTTGATGGCTTACGACTACTCGGGTAGCTGGGATACGATCGCCGGCCACGACGCCAATATCTACTCGTCTAACGACAACCCAGCCAGCACGCCATTCAACACCGACCAAGCAATCAATTACTACCTTTCGCAGGGTGTTGCCTCTCACAAGATTGTGATGGGAATGCCCCTGTATGGCCGAGCATTCACCAACACCAATGGCCCTGGAAGTGCATTCAACGGTGTCGGACAAGGAAGTTGGGAGGCGGGCGTGTGGGACTACAAGGCTCTCCCCCTTACTGGCTGCGGAGTCACTGAGTTGAACCAACCAGTTGCAAGCTACTGCTACAACCAAGGACAACGACTGCTTATCAGCTACGATACTCCTTCCATCGCTCGCCAGAAGGCCCAATACATCCAGTCCAAGGGACTTGGTGGTGGCATGTGGTGGGAGAGCAGCGCTGACAAGAAAGGAGGTGACAGCTTGATCTCTACGGTAAGCCTCAATGTGCACTTTGCAGTTACAATTACTGACGTATCTAGGTTGTGGACCAACTTGGAGGCAATAACGCTTTGGAGCAGAGCGGGAATCAGCTGAGCTATCCTGCTTCCAAGTACGACAACTTGAGGAATGGCTTCAACTAGGATACTCTCATTTCTCGAAGTTGAAACATTCGGAGAGTACTTTCATGATTCGAGGAGGAGACACAATTTGCATTTTGTTGCGGGGATCCCTTGATCGCCTTGATGGCCGATTGGGGACCAAGCTTGTCAGGGCATATCTATCTCACACAATTTATGGAATTGAAGTCTAAGGTTGATTTTTTGAATAAAGATTCTTTTGCGTGATAGACATCGCTCGTCCCAAGGTCAAAACTTCTCAAGCAGAATATTACGTAGCCGGTATGGATTTAAAACAACATGACAGTATAACCTCAATCCCATGAGAACACAACTCCAAAGCTCTGTGTGACAGCGGATAAACTTGGTCTCATCAAAGCGCCCAAGACTTGTCTTGCGCATCACCAACGTGAGTGGTATCACTCAGAGAACCAGCGGAAGGGGAGATACTCGAATCACCCTTCCCTTCATTACCCCGAACCGCTTCAGTGACGACCTTGTTTCCTTTCAATCCGCGATATACATCCCGAATCTGTTGAATGCCACCGTCGAAAATAGGATAGAAGATAGCAACCAGCATACTGAGCCAAAGCCAGATAATTCCGACGACAACCCAGGCGATATAAAACTTGGAAATGTCAGCCCGCAGCACAAGAAGATTGAGCTCCAAAACTTACCTTTTTGGAATAGACATAGCCGGACCTGAGGAAACGTCAGCAAAGATTCAATACCGGAGATTATTCACAGATATTTCCGACTTACCCATACATAGGCAGTGGCCAGATGACCCAATGACCGAAAAAGGTTGCTGCAGCCCAGAAAGCAGCAATGGTTGCCCATCTTTTCAACTCTTTCTGATTGGGCCCAGAAGAAGGCCCGCCGTCCTCAATACTACCTCCGGAGGCCTCGTGATGATGGGCCGTTGTCAAGTCACTATCCAACTTCTCAAGGGAGAGCTTCTCCTTCTTGAAATCATCCCAATTATAGTTTTGTGGTCGTATAGCCGTGATTACAACCGAGTATAGGATTGGCGAAAGACACGACGCGACGGTCCCATACATGCAGGGAAGGACCTCTCCCGTTGAAGCGACGGATAACTCACCGCTAAATCGCTTCGCCAGACCAAGCCACACGGCCAAACCCGTGGCGAGACCGAGAATGGGCGCAAGTATTGCCGCAGCTTTGCTTTGGCGGCGCCAAAGGATAGTGAAAATCATCGGGAAGATTCCCGGACATGTCACGACACCTGGAAAATGTTAACTTGAGCACACAACAGAAGGATATACGGCCACATACCAAGCATATATAGTGTCCATCCTAGATTGATTCCCACGTAATGGAGCATTGTACTGAAGCCAGCCGAAAACGCAGCGAAGAAAATAACACCAAAATGACTGGCGCGGATCAAGTCGAGGTCGGTAGCTTTCTTTTTGAAGTACTCGCGGTATACATCGAAGCTCAAAATGGAGCTAACGGCAATAACTTGCGCGGAGAGAGTCGATGTACAGGCCATGAAAGTCATGAGGAGAACAGCTGCCGCGCCTCCTTTGCCCGCGAGTGTCATTGCCGCGTAGGGGGAGAACGAGACCGTTGCTGACCTCATCTGTGGTCATTCTCTGTATTCGGTTAGAGATGCAAAGAATGTAATAGGAAGGGTGGTTTAGTTTACCCTTGGGAAAGTTGGGAAGTTAGGCTGATTCTCCAAACCAAGGGCAACGGAACTCATGACTGTTCCGAGGCCCCAGGGAATGGCGAAGTAGGCTATCCCACCAATAGTGTAGCCAGGAACTACTGAAGCGGGGGAAGCAGAGAAAGCCTTGATGAAGTAACTTGTATCCATCTGAAATTTGTCAGAAGAGCCAATGTTGGGATCTCGGGATTGCTGGATCACTCACAATGACCAGACCAAAGTTGCCAAGGGTGTGCAGGATTCCAAAAAGGATTGCCTATATATTATCAGAAAAACCTTCGCATTGGAGAGGAAATGAGTCTCACACTCTTGGAGGTCATGGTCAAATAACTCCCATCCTGATTACCAGAGACTGGATTCCTCTGGGCAGCTGCTTGAAGAAGTTCGAAAAGATCTCCCACAGAACCAATTTGATCGTTTGAAAAAGCCTTGACGGAGAAGTAACACGCGATGATCATAATAATGGCCGTATGGAAATAATCGGTCAGGAAACTGTGGACAAGTCAATAGCTGTTTGCTTGTCGCGGTCAGAATACTTGCGTCGCTTTGATACCACCAACAAAGGTATACACTGTCACTCCGACCGGTAACAAAAACGTAGCTGCGATGATATGCATTCCGGTACTGGAATTGTTAATAAAAGAATGAGAATATGGCACAAGAAAACTTACACTGCAGTAATGACCGCAGCGGCACCAAGCAGCATGTTTGCACAAGCAAAGATATTATTCACCAGACAAAGAATCATAAACACCACATGAGCAATACGTCCTTTCAGATCATTAGCTTTAGGCACAATCAACCAGTATTCTCATCTTACCATATCGAATTCTGACAACTTCAAGCGAAGTATGCGCCTCAGGAATCTTCCTCTTACAGGAAATTCCCAGCAGTGCAAAGAACACAATCATCGGACTGCAGCCTGCTGCAAACCAGAATGGCCCAGCGACACCATAGTCGTAGCCCACAAATGATGATCCCAGTAGAGATGTTGACCAAAGCCAAGACTGCAATTGTTAGCCAGCGTTGCCTCGAGCGGGTAGATCAAAACTGACCGAAATCACAGCGGAGGCAGTGAGGCCTGTTCGAACTGTCCGGTTTGCCGTGATAAACCTTGTGAAGTTAGCATAATTCAGAGAAAGAAGATTTTGTTCCCACATTTCAGTCTTTTCATTATCTTCTCCGGTGGTTTTCTTTAAAACCCTGGTGATGAGCATCATTGCTGTTTGATGTGAGCTTTAGCCTCAAAGTTCGGATGTGACAATAGTTACCCAGAGCTATGATGACTCCAATCACAACGACAACGACATACCCAACCGCCTGAGAGAGGGGCGGCTGGACTGTCGATATGCCAGCGCGAGCTTGTAAATTGGACATCGTGCGTGGGCACACCTGGGCACCCGTGGACAACTAAATGGATTAAGAGATCAAGTCACCAGACGTGGGGTATATACCAAGTAGCTAATGTAAACTCCAGATAGGCTAGATACCGAGCGGGCGGGACAGGGTTTTATGTACTCTAATCAATACTTGTAGGTAGATCATGTTGAAGCTACGTCCTAGTTTTTGAGGGTGTTCGTGATAGGATCCGCAATGGGTTGATTCACACGGGCGATGAGGTGCTTCAGGAGCTGCTGGAATCCTCCCAGCTTGATTAAAGTTTGCCAATATGTATGATATCACACATGTGATTGATTCAATAGATCAATACATGCAAGTACACACTTTCAAGGTGGCTTCATAGAAATTCACTTGGTCCCGCGAACACCTCATTTCAATAGCTGTTTAAGTCATTGAAGCATGTCGCATGTACGGAGAGAAAGAACAATAGAACCAAACCCCAAAAAAGGGCAGAATCCCAGTTCTAATTATCAATTATTGACGCCAATAGCGAGAAAGCAAAAAGAAATCAAATGTGGTAACCGAGGAACTGCGAGCATTCCGAAGTTTGTTAAATCACATCACCGAGGACCTACCAAACATCTATATTTCTCGGGCGAGAGACTCGCCGGCATGAGATTTAGGACAATCTGCATAATTCAAGTCTATTTGGGCTGCGACCAATGAGAAGGCTAGATTACAGCCCAAAAAGACCCAAAATGAGTGTTGATCCATGATCTCCCGCACGCCATCGCGGCCCACTGTGATGCTACACTTGTGACGCACGCGGGGTGATCTTTGGGTGTTTTATAAGGCATCGCCTGTCTAACGCCCGGTGAATATTTCACATAGCTTCTGGCTGAAAGGCATAATTTGAATTCACTATGGCTGCCGAGACACCCCGAAAGTCACTCATCCTCAATGCCTTCGTGGAAATGTGTAAGTAGCTCAATTTCGGGAACCCGCATTCCATTCAATCTCTAAAACAAATTTAGGCAGCGGCCACCAGTCGCCTGGGCTTTGGCGACACCCAGAAGACGAGTCGCATCGCTTCAATGATGTCGACCACTGGGTAGAACTGGCACAGCTTCTCGAATCCGCCAAATTCCACGGAATCTTCATCGCAGATGTCCTCGGTATGCGCGAAACACCCACTCTCGAACATCAAATCTGATCAATTTTTGTACAGGCGGATACGACGTATACAAGGGCCCGAAGAACCTCGATCCTGCGGTGATCTCGGGTGCGCAGTGGCCGGTCAATGAGCCCTTGGCCGTTGTTCCTGCCATGGCGGCGGCGACGAAGAGCATCGGTTTTGGTGTTACAGTCACAACGACATATGAACAACCGTATCATCTAGCCAGGCGACTATCAACAGTCGATCATCTTACCAAGGGACGGTATGTTGCTAATCTCCGTTTCATGTTGACCACGCTAATGTAAATCCACAGTGTCGGCTGGAACGTGAGTCATTAACGACCTGAGTAAAACTTACCTCGAATAAAGGATTTTGACAACATCTAGGTCGTCACAGGATATCTCGATTCAGCAGCTCGCAATCTAGGCCAAGCCGAGCAGCCACACGTAAGTCCAACAATCCAAGGTTGCGACCACCTGCTAATACCCTATAAGCACGATGACCGCTACCTCCTTGCCGAAGAATATATCAAGGTGACCTACAAGCTGTGGGAGTCTTCCTGGCGACAAGACGCAGTGATCCGAGACCGCGAGCGTGGAATCTACACAGACCCAGCAGGTGTGCGAGAGATTAACCATGTGGGCAAATACTACAATGTTCCTGGGCCCCATCTATGTCAGCCCAGCCCACAGCGGACACCAGTGATTCTCCAAGCCGGAACCTCCAAGGCGGGCAAGACATTCGCAGCACAGCACGCCGAAGCTATTTTCGTGGGAGGCCACAGCCCATCAGTGGTAGCGAAGAACGTCAAAGAGATTCGCGAACTGGCTCAGAGTGAGTTCGGTCGTGATCCCCGAAGCATTAAGTTCCTTGCTTTGATCTGTCCCGTTCTTGGGAAGACGGAAGAGGAAGCCGTTGAGAAATTCAAGTATTATCGAAGCCTGGGATCAATTGATGGTGCTCTTGCCCTGTTTGGTGGATGGACTGGTATTGATTTGGATACTTATGGGGACGACGAGGAGCTGCGTCATGTCGAGAGTAACGCGATTCGGTACGTGGGACTGATCTATGCTGTGAAATATGCTGACTGGTTTAGATCTGCTGTCGAGGGATGGTCAAAGGCAGCGCCGGGAGTCGCTAAATGGACAAAGGCCACTGTCGGCCAACATATTACTGTTGGTGGCCTCGGTGCTACGCCGGTCGGCACAGCTGCTCAAGTCGCCGATAACATGGAGCGGTGGGTGGAAGAGGCCGACGTCGACGGATTCAACTTGGTAAGAGAGTATTTAAGAATTGGCTTGTGAATTTGGCTAACCTCGATGTACAGGCATACGCGATCAAGCCTGGATCTTTCAAGGATATTATCGATCTTTTGATCCCAGAGCTGCGCAAGCGTGGTCTTTTCTGGGATGACTATACCGTCCCGAAGGGGACATACCGAGAGAACCTTTATGGAGAGCCAGGCCAGTCAGGTCCTCATGCAGATCACCCTGCCTCGAAGTATCGGTGGAACGCTGGGGTTGACGCCGCGGACGCCCCGGTTCCTGAAAACTAAAGCTCATTTTATCCGACGCTGAACCCAGAGAATCATGTAGCCTACTGTCCATCAGTGCATAGTCACGAAATACCATTGCTCCCGCCGATAGAAACGAAATCATATCAAAGCTGAAAAATCAATTTTGAGCACAGAGTGTATCCGTAGACAATATTCTGTGTAGGTTAAACTATGGACGCCAATAATGCGAGTTTTGTACAATCATAACACTAAGTTAACATATCATCGAGACGCTCACCAAGAACCTTCTCGATCTGCTTCACCCACTTCCTGACTTCTCTCTCGACATTCTCATCTTCATCCTCCATGAGCTCACTGATGTAAGGCAGCATCTCTGGCAGAAGCGCCAGCCATTCTTCACCCAACTGCTCAGTAAGAGCCTGCTCAGTCTTGAGGGCAGCGAGACGAGTGAACGCGCTGTCTCCACCGGCCGAGCTAGCATTGGGCGCGGAGGAAGGACGGAGATACTTCATCAAAGCGGAGTTGAGTTCCTTGTGGTTATCCGTGGAATCGGCGGCAAGAGCCAGTTCAGTAATCGTGGGGACGACGTCGGCAATAACCAAGTTGGAGGTGGTGTTGGTTGTTGCATGGCCAAGTTGAGAAATCAAGGGACCGGAGATGCTAGCGAGGTGCGAGGGGGATTGCCAGAATTCTAGGGATGTCAGTTCCTGCATTGGATGAAAGGTGAAGGGTGGAAGCTTACCGTCTTGATCATGCTCGAATGACTTGCGGAGCATGCGAAGGGCTGCGAGCCAGAGAGACTTCTGGGCCTTGGAGGGTCCAGTAGTGCTCAAGATGCTAACAACGTTCTCCAAGATGTAGCTGGAGTAACCGGTGACGATGGACTATGGCAAGTTAGTAGGCACACTGATAATGTGAGAAGAGTGGAACATACTTGAAGGGTGCCGAAGAAGACCTCCAGGAACTTGTAGAAAGTCGTAAGACGCGAAACTTGGGCCTGCTCGTCCTTCTTGGGAGCACCAGTGGTGGCCCATTCGACGAATCGAAGGAAAATAGGACGGAAGGTGCTGTCGTTCAACTTGTAGATCATCTTGATAGTCACGTCATTGAGTGCAGACTCAGCCTCATCAATGGCAGATGATTCGAAGATCGCCTTTTCTCCGAGGGCAATCTGTTCACGACGTAGGTCGAAGGCCTTGAAGAGGATCTTGGTAAGGGTGCCGATGTTCTTGGCGATGGTGGACTTGGGGTGCTTGTCGACGGCAAGAGTGACAACCTCCAAGAGCTCATTGACCGCGATGGGGCCGGTTTCGACAGCGCGCTGCCAGTTGCGATCGACAGCGCCGAGAGTGGCACTCACATCGATCTTGCGCGCCAGCAAGCGAAGAGATTCCTGGCGACTCTCGTCGCTGCTCTCTTCAATGTCGGCATTAGCAGACTTGAACGAAAGCATAAGTACCTTGTCCAGTTGACCAGCGGAGATCATGAATGGCAAGTGCACAAAGAGGGCAGAGAAGAGTGTGAAGATTGCATCGTGGAGACGAGAGTTCTCCTTTCCAGAGACCAGGCTCAGTTCGAGCAACTCCAAAGAGCGCTTGAGTGTGTCTGGAAGGGCGGGGATCATAGCTTGGCCAAGAACCTCGGCCATGGAGGCCAGGCAGAGGATACCCATGTAGCGAATGCGGTCATCAGATTGGCCGAGGCAAGATTCGCTGGCAACAACTCTAGCAGCAGCAATGACCTTGGACGGGTCCTTGCGGCCGTACTTGTCGGTAATGCGATCAATGCACGAAACAGCAGCATGCTTGAGCAGAATATCCGGGGAAGACTCGACGATTTCGACCAGAGTAGGAAGGAAGTCGAGCACCCGGATTTGCGACAGGTTGTCGCGCTCAGGGGTCTGGCGAAGACGGTTCTCAAGCAAACGGAGGACCTTGCGACGGAGTTCGTCGTTGGGACCCTGGAGAAGAACCTCAATAGTGTCAAGGAAGTCGACAAGAGATAGAGTGCTGAATAGAGAGCCGAGGACTTCGCCGCAGGCCTGGCTGACGGGCTTCATGTTCTTGACACCCTCGCCGATGTTCAATACCTGCTCCAGTACCCGCGAGAAACAAGCGCGAGACTGGTCCGCAATTTCACCTTCTGACTCGAAGGCTGTCTCAAGCTTGGCCTTCAAGGAAGAGTGCTTGAACAAGTGAGCAAGATCGCGCAGAAGATCAGTGGAAATACTCTGGGGGTCCCGCCCGTCGTCGCTATTAATTCCAAGAAGAACCTGAGAGATACCAGGTTTGGGCTTGAAAGCATCGCTGATCAGCATGAGATACTTGCTGTAAGTGGTGAGCTCGACAACAGGTGTAGTATCAGAGACAAGCCCAGTCATAAGAGTGAGAACATCCTTATCAGTGGAGTACCTGTTGGCAAGCATCGCAAGAACAGCGAACAAGAAGTCCTGAGTTCCAAGTTTGCTGATAAGGGCATGGAAGAGTCGCAAACGGCGGTGAGAAGGAATGTGCTCGAAGGCGGCTGTAAAGCTAAGCAGCAATTCAGAGGTGCCAGAGACCACATCCCGCTTCTGGCTGCGCAGAGACTGAATGAGAGCCGGAACAACCTGATCAATGGTCTGGTCGATGACAGAAACAGAGTACTCATCGTCCTTGCGGAGGACACTGGTGCCCATGAAGGTGAAGATCGGCATTACACTGTGAAGGACCAGCTCCGGAGCAATGACGGACAGACTGCCAACAAGCAGAAGCGCCACGTTCTGGACTTGGGGGCTGTCCGTGGTGCGCACGCAATCCACAACCAAGTCGGCGCGAATAACAGATGTATCGAACTTGGGCTTGACAGATCCCTTTGAGTGATTGACGATAGCCAAAAGACTTCCCAGGGTCAAGCTGAGGAGGTAGCTCATGCCGGATTGGATCTGAGATTTGAAATGGTGAAGCGCCGCAAGCGTCTGGAAGAGTCCATCGGCCAGCTCGGGATGAGCTTCGGGCGAGGAGCTGTCGACAATTTCCAAAATGAAGGTCATCTTGTCCATCAATTTTGTCAGCTCTGCTTCGTCCTTGACAGTCATAGCGATCATGTTGTTTTGGCTGGTGCGTCTCCGTTTAGGGGCAGGGCCGATTGATTCAACATCCGTAATAGAGACCGGGATCTTGTGAACGAATTGCTTCAAAACGGCACCAGAAAGCTCAATTGTGCGAAGGACGTTGCGGCAGTTGTTGACCAAAGAGATTTTGTTGGCTGACACACCGAGTGAGATGTCCAACAGTTTCTCAGAGGCGATCAACTGTCGGTCTTCGGCAACCTTGCTCCAAATATTCTTGATCTGCGTGAAGCAAGCAGCGACAAAGGACGAGCGCAAAGAGTCACCGGAGCTTGCATTTGACAGCAGAACATCCAATGCGTCTTTGTGCTTTGGTGTGACCACAGCCGTGATCAAAGCCTCGGTCTCAGATGAAGTGATACGCTCCTTGCTACATATTTCTTCGACCTCTCTTTCACTCAGACCCCGCCACTCCTCAAGTAAAGGAACCAGCTCATCGGTAAGATTAGCAGTAGAGACCTTCTCTACACTGTTGATTAATTTCAGTAGGCCAATCTTAGGGGAGAAGACCGGCATGCCATTGACATGAGAGCACAAAGAACTGTAGAGGCTGAGGCGGAGTGCCTTCTTGAGCTCGGTTGCACCTGAGTTCTCGGAAAGGACATGACCGCGAAGGGTAGCTTCCAATGCGCGATGAACGTGGTTAGGGTCGAGAATAGACTCCTCCAACCCGGGAAGAAGGGCACGCTCCAGAACCTTTTGAGAGTCTTTGTTCGAGAGCCACGTAACACTTGCAGATTGTTTTCCCTTTCCATATATCGTGTCATGGGCCCACGGCTTGGAATTCTCGGAGGCCTTTGAATTCTTGTACAAGGATGCAATGATTGCCAAGACTCCAGCAGTCTCACGACGAATGCGCTCCGAAGGGTCCGAGAGAGCAACAAACAGGAATGGCAAAAGAGCCTGGGGATCGAAGTCACTGGGAGCGGACGAAAGGACAGATGACACAATGTTCAGGGCCGCAATCTTGGTTCCGATGGGGTAGGGGCCGGACACAACTCTAATGAAGAAAGACAGGAATTGGGGTGACTTGGTGGCCTGGGATTTTCCCAAAATGGGCAAGCTGATGAACTTCTCCACATTCTCATCGGAATCGGGGGCCAAGGCAAATACGCGTACCAGGTTGTCAAACTCAATGATCGACTGCCGTGAGAGGAAGGATGAGGGGAACAAAGGCTCCTTGACCAATGATTCCAACGCTGGTGTGAATGCATCCACCTCGGGCTGCTCATCTGCGTCGGCCATTTCCACATCCTCAAGAAGAGGAGTCGCGACAGGTGCTTCTATGACAGTTTGAAGATTGTGCTCGAGGGCCGGTATGTTGAACGAAGATTCATTCAGTGTCTTTTGGAAGGTGGCTTGGAGGGTCTCGGAACGATTAAATCCTTGCACGAGCTCTGCAAGTTGCGTTTGGGCATCCAGCGACATACCGCGGGTCTCATCGGCGTTTGAAGCAGCTTCGAGTACCAAGCCCATGGCTTTGCCAATCTCATCCTGACCAAGAAGCTGACGCTGGAAGATCGAGCTCAGAATTACGAGACGAGCGTTGTCTGGCCTGTGGAGGTCAGTCAGACACCCGGCAATGATCCCAAGCAGCAATTTGGATGCTTGATATTGTGTAGCAACTTCAGAAAGCTGGCTGACGGGGTTCTCAAGACGGAGAATTCCCTTGAAGACCCTCTTCGGAATCATGACAGTAGGCTTCTGTTGGGCGAGGACCGATAGGCAGATAAGTCCTGATGTCTTGGTGTCTTCAGTCCAAGAGCGCACAACGCTTTCCATGAGCCCTTCGATGACTTCATTCGAGAGGAGAGCCTTTTGTGCCAGAACAACACAGATCATATAACACGCAACAAGCAACTCTGGCACATTTTCAATGGTAAATGCAGAGCTGAGGACTGGGAGGACCCGCAAAAGGATGTCCTGATGCTTGTCCTGCTCTGCCTCCCTTTTTCCAGAGCGAGCACCGTCAAGCATGGTTGCAATTGCTTCAGTGACAAGGCCAGACCAAAAAGTAAGCAAGGCATGGCTCTGCGCGCCCTGCCGGCAGACTCTCAAAACATATTCGTTTAATTCCGCAAAGAAGGATTTGTTTGATGCTGCGCTGTGGACTAGTGGATGTCTCGGCGGGTTGATAAGGCTAGACTGGTAAGGGCTGAGTATTTTGAAGGACGGTCCAAGGTTTTTCGGGAGAATCGAAAGCAGGTTGAGAAACAGCGGTGTTGTATGATACGGTAGAAACGTCAACAAAACGGTTGTCGTGTTGAATTCGTGAACCCTGTCATTTAAATTAGCCATCTCATCCACAACATTTCTTTTCCTCTCCATCTCCCTCTTTTTCATTGAGATCAACTCACCTAAATCTCCTCACAAGCCAATCCACCGCTTTTACTGCTGGGCTCAGCTGCAATCTGCCGCCTACCAGCGCCAGGAAAGCATCCACCGCAGTGTCCAGTTCCTTATTTTGTTCTGAATTCATCTGACTGCGATCTTCCGATTTGCTTTGCTCGCTGAAGATCGTGCGATCGAACTCCGTGAAACGTGGGTCCAGTGTGCATAACTCTTGGAATCCATCATAACAGATGTCATAGATTGCGTCAAAGTCTTGGTTTGCAGCAATCTTGTGGTCAAATATCAAAGACTGTGAGTGGGAAATCCTTTGCGCCTTCAGGTCGAGCTCATGCCCAGACCTTGCTGCGATGTGCGACAGCTGCGCGGCGAGGGATGTTGTCATGGTGTTTACTGGCCTGTTCTCCGTGCAAGTTGTCTGTGTTGTTGTTCGCTGCTCACATAAGAAGACAGCGCTCCATATCTCGTCTCGGCCAGTGTTTGCCGGAAAAAACGCAGTTTCAGTAAGTGAATATCAAACGCCTTTCTGAAGATCTCCGATTGACTTTTTTTTCTGCCACACAGCCCACCGCCGATAATTCGGATTATCCCTTTTCCGAAGTACTTCTTTCCTCCCAAGCACCAGTCGGTCCTGGGCCAGAACAAGGCTCGTGAATTCTAAGTGTTTGTTGTAAGATATGACCTTTTCACAACTCAATACTCCGTACAGCGATTTTGAACAATTACCTCGGCGCCCACGTGCCCAGGTGGCGTCGGTGAATGACGTAAGGCTGTGCCCGACAGTTTAAAGCTGACTTTCGTATCACCTGACAGGCTTCTTCTCTCATCGGAGAAACGTTTATCCGGTTATCGATAAGCACAATCTCACGTGACCAGCCTCGGATTCCACGATGGACTCGCAGGTGAGTAGGATCTGTGTTGGCATATTGGACTATGCTCAGTAAGCTGATTTTGAATGCAGGGTGTTCCTCGGTTCTCTAGCTTTCGCCGCCCCGATGCTGCTCCAGCCGACGTCACCGGCGCGGGCCCTGGTGACGAACGAGCGTCGTCGCCGAATTATGGTCGTCGTCGTCGCAATGGTCGACGTGAAAGCAGACGTGAAGGCAGAAGAGAGCGCCGACGTCTGATTGAAGAGCAGCAACGTGAAGGAAGCCAACATTCGCTCGTTACTGAAAGCGATGGAGAGAACGTGACGGGCACCCCGGCAAACGCGACAAACGCCCATCCGAATGCCAACCATGCCACCATCGCAGCCACCTCTCCCCCCGGAGAACACCCTCTCTACCTCGAAGATGCTCGAGGCGACCCCCGAGTCGCTACCTACGGAATTTCTCAATATGATGTTCCCTCCTATTATCGCCAGGGCGGTAGTCTTGTTCTCGGTACCTCAGGTCAGCGCATAACTCTCGAGTCTCGTCATGAAAACGCCCTTGTACTCCACATCCCCTCGGGACCAGCAGGAGACAGGCCCCTCCATGCTATGAATATCTCACGTTTGCCTGAATACCCGCGTGATCAAATTCGCCCCAATCCTACAGCCACGGCTAATGAGTTTATCACCCCCGAACACCTGCGTGATTTCATCTCTACTGAGGCCCCGTCGCAGCCCGGTGCTCCCGCAGATGAAAATCAATTCAAGGACTATCGTGCTGTTGAAATCCCTGGTCAATCCCGAACGGCCACAATCGAAGATTTCGATGGCAAGAACGCCGCTTTCGCTGCGGCTGAAGCTGAAGCTCTGGCACGCAATGCCGAGCTAACCAAGATGGTAGAGTGTGATCCTCAGGACATCTCCACGTGGTTATGTCTTGCCGAGCACCAAGAGCTTGTCATCGCTGGTACACGATATGATGACCGTCCCCTGGATTACTCTGAAATTCAGCTTGTGGCCAAGGCTAAACTGTCTGTGTATGAACAAGCGATCCAGGTGAACTCTGGAAATCACAGTCTAGATCATCTCCTCCTTGGCCGTATGGAGGAAGGTGCAAAGATCTGGGACTCTGATGAGCTCGATCGTGAGTGGGAAAAAGTTCTCTCCTCCCACTCTGAATTTCTCAGTTTGTGGATCGAATACCTTGACCACCGCCAGACTGAATCGGCAAGTTTCTCCTTGGAAACTTGCTACAAGACCTACCGACACTGCTTGCAGTTGGCCAACGAATTCGGCTTTGGGTTGTACAAAAATCAGATCAGATCGTACTTGTTCCTCCGTATGACCCTGCTCCTTCGGGAGTCGGGTTACGCAGAACTTGCCGTCGGTCTCTGGCAGGCAGTCCTCGAGTTTACATGCTTCCGACCCACTCATCTCACGGATCGGGATCAGACCCTCAAACAATTCCAAGATTTGTGGGCACCTTCCAATGCGCGGATCGGAGAGCGCGGGTGGAAAGCTTGGAACAGTGGAGAGGCATCCCGGCGCATGGATGACGACCGCCATAACTTCGGACCCGTCGCTAGTCTCCCAGACTTGTTTGGAACTTGGGCTAAAGCTGAAAGGGAGCTCATGAACAAAGGCCAACTGCCGAATCACTCCTTTGATAAAAGCATACCCTGGGACCCACCTTTCCGGGCAGTCTTGTATCACGATGCCAAGCAGATACTGCCCTATTTCTGGGATTGCACGGATAACTTCCATCCCTTGATCAATGGGTTCCTTTACTTCTCGCATCTTCCTGCGTTGGCGTCGGAAGAAAACATACGCGGCACCCGCTTGTGGAGTGGTGATGAGTTCCTTCGGAACGAGTACATGGATGATTCTCAAAACACCATCGCGGACTGGATCAAGTTACAGCAATCAGGCGAAACGACTGCCAACGAGCCTTTTGCGTTTCCTCACCAGAACTTTATTCACATGACAGACACCCTTTTCGCGGATCCCGAGCATTGGTTCTCCTCTCTCTCTAAGTGGGCTGAGAACACCTCTCACCCATCATCCGTCATTGATCAACACTTCACACGTCGAGTGGTTTACGGTCTAGCTGATCAATGTGGCGATCAAGAATTAGCTGAATACTCTATTGCACTCACCTTTGCTTGCGACAAAAACATGGGCAAGAGATATGGAAAACATGTCCAGAAACAGCAAACCACAAACCTGAAGATTATGAATACGACCGCGCTCATGCAGTGGCGTACCGAGAACTACGATCAGGCCACCAAGGCTTGGTCGAATGCATTGACGATTTCTCAAGGCTTCAACAGCACAGAGGTCGTGGGCTCTGCCTTAATCTGGATCTCGTGGATCTGGGAACTTCTTCACACAGGGCAAGTCGGCCGAGTGGCCTACCTGTTACAGGCAATGCCATCCGGAGAAGTCGATATGCAAGCTTATGCGGCAGCTGATGAGATCAATATCACACCCGCCAGCTTTCTTCGGCTCGACCGTTTCCTAATGGCTGCACAGCAGAGCGCCTTTAACTTCGCCAACTCACAGGCTTACGCAGCATACACCGATTGCCACGCCATTGCTCTTTACATTATGGGTGATCCACTCACGTCTATTCTCAAAGACTATGACATTGCGTTCGCTGCACTTGACAAGCTTCCAGAGGACACCAAGGTCTTCACAGGTGAGATCCTGCATCAATCCCGAGCCCGGTTTATCCACATGTGGGTGGAGACAAAGAGAGGCCAGTTCAGCCCGCGCGAAATTCGTGAGCGTTTACTCCAAAGCTTGCAATGGTGGCCCCATAACACGCTTTTCTTGTCTTTGTTCAAGTGGAATGACGCACGGGTTATCATGATGGACCGCACTCGCGACATCTTTGAGGTCGCCGGAAGAGGTGCGAACGCTTCGAACGACCCCAACAACCTCCACCGGGTGCCCATCACAACCCATCTCTTTAGCATCTACATCGAGATGGGGCGCCCAGTGACTTTTGGATCGACCTCCCACTCGATCCGAGCAGCATTCGAGCGGGCCCTTGCCGGCGCGGGTACCTCCGTCGGAAAGATCCCACCCCGCAAGCATGTCTACGAGCTGACGAGTTCCGTGTCGGCCCAGAACAGCCTCACTTTGTGGAGGCTCTACTTCCTGTTTGAGCTCTACGCCGAGCAGAATGTGACCCGCGCCCGCGAAGTCTACTTCCGGGCCGTGCGCTCCTGCCCTTGGGCAAAGGAGCTGTACATGCTCGGGTTCGAGCACCTCCGCGCCGACTTGACCGCGGCGCTCCCCGGCTCTCGGGGGACTTCCGGGGACTGGCCACCCCCCCAGGGACTCACCATCCCTGAGCTCCGTGCTATGTACATGGAGATGGCGCGACGTGGACTCCGGATCCACCACACCGTGGATGGGTACTGGGGGCGCAAGGACGCGAACGGTGAGGTGAAGGAGGAAGGCCACGACGAACAGGTGGTGAAGATGGAGGGCGCTGAGATGTAATAGCCCTGTTGGGGGAGGGTTGGTGCTCAGACCACCCTCCCCACTTATGTATCATTCCATTCTGAATGAATTTGCCGGCCCCAGCCGCTTGTCCTAGTTGCAATCAATTCAGTAATCCGTAATGACTTCGAAGTGAGATCGTTGAGCTTCACTCCGGCGCTCACGCTCACTTAACGAGACAGATATGAGCTCGGAGAATTACTCTATCAACTATGAGCTCTAAAATTGATAGACGAAAACTGCATGGACTCCCGTAAACTTGTTCGAGATCAACGAGTTTAGCTACAATTTCGCTAGGCCACTGGAAAATATAGTCGCCCATGGATGCCCAGGTGGCTGCTTAATTTCAGGGTCCAAGGCAAGCCCTTGGAATTGACCAACGACACCTGGACAATTCGACTCCGCGAAACACGCTGAACAAGTTGGTCCCCGACTCGTCTCTTACTCGTAAATTTTCGTTACTTCCCCGTTGCTTTCTCGTTGTGGTCCGTTACTTCCTCCAGAGGTCATTACTATCCGTTACTTTCACGTCACTTATCCGTCACTTGTCCGTCACTTTTTCGTTGCTCTTCGTTACTTCACTGTTACTCTTCGTGACTTGTTCGTGACTTGTGGTAGTATAGGATGGATATTCAGTCTCAGGGACTTAGCAGAAGATCCACTCTTTCATATTTCCAAGGTTCCTACCCCGGGGTCTGGCACGGAGTAGAAATGTCCGAAATACAGTTGTCCGCCTATCTAATACCTATTGCATTTCCTATTGTGTTAATGGTAGTTAACAGCTGCTCTATTCCATATAGGGTATGTTTACTCTTGGAAAGATGATTCACAGCTTAGACAATTAGCTTATGAGCTTATTGTCATGATTGGGGCGCATTCCAAACACCCTCCCACAGGGCTGCGCCAGGGCGATAGACTATGGTTTCAAGCTCACTTCTTGGAACTGCGCTCGCTATAGACAGGCTGAGTTTGCTATACTTATCCTCCTGTTAACAACAGAAGATCCTTGGAAATGTGAATCGGGTTTAAGCAAGTAAATAAACAAGCATCATTGTTATACTCACGGGCGGCCAAATGACAATTATAGTCGGTTCTACACCCGTGGACAGGAGTGGTGATATATTGGCTTGATCTGAGAGATTCCTATATCGCCATTCCTTCTGTTAATACCAGAGTTGATCAATATTTACTGGATACCACAACTTACTATTGAAGATACTATTGTGTAAATCATGGATATCTAGAGATTTAATTTGACTATCTTTTTGATTACCTAGTATAGTGGGAAGAGCGCGCTGGCGGTCTGACATCGCAGACAAGACGACGGGGGTGCTCAGTGCTCGACGGGGATCATGGGAGCTACGCAGGCCCCCAGAACACCCAAATAGGAAATAGATGCTGTTCTCTAGAGAGGTGTAAGATGCTTGGATTTCTAAACTATGGGATTGCGAGCATATGCTGCCAAAATTAGCCACAGTGGCGCACCTGGGAGGTGGCGCGGACTAGGTATCCTTTCAGCTGTCTTTTGAATTGTCTTTTAAGTTATCTTTGAAGCTGTGTTTTGAGCTGTCACTCCAACGATTTACTATACAGTCTATGGGTATTATGTATTTTGATATCAATCGGTAATAGGAGAAAGCTATTGTCATGTAGTTATGACCGACCAAACCTTGGAAGAAAGTTGGGTAAGCCGTGAACCGGGAATTAGGGAGTGGGGATAAGTCAGGCTTGGTATAATAATAATAAATCTGGCGGAAAGATAGGTGGTCAGAATGAGAATAGGGCCCTTTGTACCCAAGACCCAAGATTAATCGGACACCACTAGACTTGTTACTTGCTCGTGAGGCTGCCAAAGCTTCATAAAGATGAAGTTTCAATCAACAAAGAAATTAATGACAGAGAAGATATTGACGGGAGAACCACAAACAGGCATGTACGATAATGTAGTTTTATTGGGGACGAGGAGAAGAAGAAAAGGGAGAGAGAAGCTCTCGCCCAAACCTTCGAGGAGCCTAACAAACCAGGCAAACACCAAACAGAAGGGAAGAAGAAGTAAGAAGAGCTATGGAAAATGAGCAAGCATGAATAGCAAATGAAACGAGCAAGCAAACAAGAAGCATATGCATAGAAGCGAGAGGAAGCAAGCAGCACATAACGTGAAAGATAGTGTGATACTCAGAAGCATGACATTGCTTACCCCGTTACTTGCTAGTTACCCTAAATCTATACTCTAAAAAAGAAAGCATTCCAATGTTTCTAGATTGATCACTGAGACAACCCGTGGACATGACTAGTGAACGTCAGGTGGATGTTGAATTTTGGTGGAACAATCAGTGGAGAAAGGCTTTAGTGACACCAATATTTTCCTATAATCATACCTAAATCCTTGATCTGCAGGCGCAATGGAGCTAATAGTCTGTCGGAATCAGAAATATAGGTACTCGAAACGTCAAAACTATTTCATCATAACAATACGTGTGGTACATGATATACTGCCCGGGCATGTCATTGATTTTAACTTCACAAGATAAATCGGCATCCATGTCGTCAAGGTGTCTTGCTGAAGAAGCGATTCTCTGGCTTAGCAAGACCAAAGTGTTCCCTCAGTGTTGAGCCTGTGTACTCATCCCTGAAAAGACCTCTCCGCTGCAGTTCCGGAATCAACTTGTCAGTAACCTCCTCCAGGCCCTGGGGCAAGAAAGGAAATGTGCATGTGAAGCCATCCGAGGCCTTCTCTCGCAACCAAGTCTCCATTTCTTCGGCAATGTCACTCGGTGATCCCAGGAATGTCAGCCCGGCATATCCTCCATATCGTTGCGCGAGTTGACGGATCGTCAGCCCCTCTTGTTTAGCCAATTTCTCAACTGATTCTCTGCTGGTCTTGCTCGCGTTGGTTTCGGGTAGGTCTTCAGGTAGAAAGCTGTCAGGATCAAGCCCACTGACATCGGTACCGAGGGAAATAGACAAAGCAGCAATAGCAGTGTCGTAATGCACCAGACTGTCCAAGTCCAGCCTCCTCTGTTGCGCATCTTGCTTGCTGTCCCCGACGATAATCATCGCCGCAGGCAAGATCTTCAGCTGATCTCTCTTTCGTCCCGCCTTCTCAACTCGCTCTTTGATATCAGCGTACAGCGCCTTCGCACCCTCGATGTCCTTTGGGCTGCAAAACACCACTTCTGCCGTCTCGGCTGCAAGTTGCTTTCCAGGCTCACTTTGTCCAGCCTGTACGATCACAGGCCAGCCTTGTGGAGGCCTGGCGATATTCAAAGGGCCGCGCACTTTTAACTCATCACCGGCATGATTTAAAGTATGCAGCTTTGCTGGATCAAAGTATTCTCCCGTCTCGATGTTACGCGTGAAGGCATCGTCGGCAAAACTATCCCAGAGCCCAGTGACAACATCGTAGAACTCGCGAGCACGCTTATACCGGTCACCGTGAGCTAAATGCTCATCGAATCCGAAGTTGTGGCTTGTTTCCGGGTTGCCTGTGGTGACGATATTCCACGCAGCTCGTCCGCCGCTCAAGTGGTCAAGACTGGCAAATCGTCTAGCAACATGATACGGTGCATCGTATGTAGTACTTGCTGTTGCGGCGAGACCAATCTTGTCGGTGACGGTAGAAAGAGCAGAAAGTAAAGTAAATGGCTCGAAAGAGGTGACTGTGTGACTGCGCTTGAGGGCCTCGATGGGCATGTTCAACACGGCCAGGTGGTCAGCCATAAAGAAAGCATCGAATTTGGCCGCTTCAAGCTTTTGTGCAAACTTTGCGATATGCTTGAAGTTGAAGTTCGCATCCGGGTATGAGCCTGGGTAACGCCATGCTCCGGGGTGCAGCGACACTGGCCGCATGAAAGCCGTGAGATGAAGTTTGCGCGGGGATTCAGTCATTTTGATTTTATTGATTGCTGTAGAGAATTATCAAGTAACCCTCGAAATCTATTTATTTTATACACAGTATACCCCGCCGTCAGACCTCAGGGGTCGATTTATAATCCTGGACATTTGGGATGGCGTGCTTAGGGCAGGCTGGTTGCGCGAGCAGCTATCTACTTCCCGGATTCCGGTGTATCTCTACCTCTCCCTGAAGCATTCTACGTCGGGATATCAAATCATCATAAAATTTGACATTCCGTGACATCCGGAACGGTAGTATTATTACCATCCCGTTCAAGGCCTGGCTAGTTGAGTCGATCTGGACTCCTCAATTGTTTACTTTGACCACCTGCTCACCCGCACTCCATGACAAGTATGGAAACCTTTGATCTGATGTTGACACAGAACTTTAGAATAAATTCAGAGAAAAGTTGTCTCTCTCGGACATTTTCTCAAAGCCAGCGTTAAAAAATGCTTAGACCATAGGGATTCAATGCCATGCCCAGGTGTGTAGTTCCTCCTCGCCAGCCCTGGAGCTTACCCGGCTTTTGTACCGCTTGGGATCCACCGGCCTGTGTAGATGATCCACATTCCCGCAAGACGCGATTTCCTCTTGACACCTGGTACGGCTCCTGAGAATCCGAAGCTCCGATGATAAATAGCACAGTAAATGGCCAGAAAGGACAAACTAGGAAATAACACTATCGCAGCCTTGGAAACTATGATGAATATCCATATTTCACATTCCTATCCCAACATTGCTTCCGATATTAACATATAGTATAGGTCCCTGCTTGCTCGGTCTGAACTCGAGGGATCTGAGTAACAAGAAAATAGAAATTCGTGGCTCGTGTCGTTCGTATACAGAGAGTAAAAGGAACTCCTATGAAGATAAGACTAGAAGTGCTCTTTCCAAAATTTGAAGCGCACATCTTTTGTAGAGGCAGCCTTGGCCGCATCGTTGATTTGCATCGCGGCAGTGTTCGGACCGCAGAAGTACACACCAATCTCGGTAGCACCGGCGCTCTGCAGACCAGTCATGTAGGATTGATTTAGCAGACCGAGACGCATAGCCGTGAAAAGACGATTGAAATCCGGACGACCGAAATTGGTTCGGCTCTTGAGTTCGGTGAGAGGGTCGAGGGCTTGACCGACAGAGTTGAGATAAATATTCGCAGCGGTATCGGCATCCAGGCGTTGCGTGAGGTATGTGTGGATGCGCAAGAACTCTGTGCTTCCATCGGTGGCGGCGGCACTGGCAGACTGTGCCTCGAGAGAAGAGAGAAGAGCTTGGAACCACTCGAAGGACGAGGTATCTTTGCAGACCCAAATGAACTCCACACGGCGTAAACGACGTGGCGGATTGGGACTTGAGCGGAGATGCCAGATATTCTTGAGGATGGATGCCCAGGGTGTCACGCCAATGCCAGTTCCGATGAGCACAGCAATTTCGTTTTCGAATACGTCTTCTGCGGGAGCTCCATAGGGCCCGTCGACTCGGAGTGAGGGCATGGTTTGGCCGTTCTGTAGAGCGACTTCGTACATCCCGTTCGGGTCAAGGCCTTCTAGGTCTTTGGCTTGGGCGGGACCACATCCGAGCGCGTCTCCGAGGTCGCGTGTAAAGTCTCCTACTTGACGGACGTGAATGCTGAGGTAAGGGTCGAAGGGGCAGGATGTGATGGTGAAAGGATGCCATTGGGTGCTGGAGACGTCGGGTACTTGGATGAATAACCACTGTCCAGCTTTGTATTTCATGCTTGGCTTCTTGAACTGAATTTCCATGGCAGCTGAGGTGGATTAGCGACTTTTCAACGTGATGACTGAGAGTTGTCTCACCATAAGGATGTCGGATAACTTTTGTGATCACCGTGTCACGTCGAGCACGAATCTCCCTGTAGAACCGTTCGAAGAGATACAAGCCCCCGATTACCAGTTCCCATCTCCATCCTTCGTACCCGAGGCAATGATTCCAATACTGCTTTCCTGCCAAGGGGGATACTGGATCGGCGGTATCTCTGACAAAACATCCGGTGGCATGGGTGTATAGGGCCAGGATGAAAGGAATAAAAAGGTGATGCCCATACCAGAAGGTCTCATACGCTTGTTGACGAATACGGTGATGAGCTGTGGTGTACATCAGCATCATGCAGAGTAGCATGACATGGCCAGTGATGCCACCCGCTTGAGTGAAGTGAATCTCGACGGCCAGCTCCGGGCGAATTTGCTGCTTTTCGATATTGTAGAAACTAATTCCAGGTTAATGATAAGATCATCCACACTCGGTAAAGACATACTTGACATAGTGGGCAGCAGTATGAATGGCGGTAAATACCAGTATCGCATAAGCTATCTGGCGATGGAACCAAGCTGACTCGTCCAGTGGTAGCCATCTAATCTGTGGCCTGAGCCATCGCAGGACGTTTCGACACATCGGGAACAAGATCAGAGTGCAGTCCACTGAAAGGACCAGACCTGCACCTCGCGAGATCCAGACTGAATAGTTCAGAACATTGAGGGCTGCCAATTTGGGGTTCGATACCTGCAGGTACCTGTGGCCAGTTAGCCATGGACTCAGGGCGGATGATCAAAATACACACCATCCCAGAGCGAAGAGACCAATGTGAAAGCCCCAGAACAACAGGTGAAAAATAACCTTTGAGATGGTCCAGCCATTTCTCTTGAACCAAGATTCAGTTGTTACGGCCATCCTTCGCGATTTTGAGAATGCCGACCAGCGACAAATGGACAATAGCAATCAAAGGAGTGACGAGGTTGACCAGCAACCCGGTAATAGACACAAAGGAAAAGGCTAGCGACGAGCGCAATTGAAAGCGTGTCGTTCGCAGTGAGCTTTTCCTAATATGTGAGATAGAATAAGTTGAATGTTGATGGTCGTTGATTCTCCATGAACCTGGCCCGAATCACGATCGGGGAGACCTCTCTTCGGGGCTGAGGCGCTCGGTCAGGATAGCTTAGAGCTAACCGATCATGTGCAGATGCAACTCTCGGTGATACTGCACGTCAAAAATGCCAAAACACAAGGTAAAATTGTGTGCCGAAATGCGCCGGTTATGGGCCTGCAGTGATTGTCTCTTGCACGGAAGTGGCTTGAGAGATACCCAGTGGTAAAGCAGAGAATTCAGCGATTATTCTAGGCCAATTTTGACATGGTTGTTGTCAGTATATGGATTGAAACAAGGCTAAAAGGGAAGATGGAGGTTCAAAAAACCCCAGTGTTGTGGTTTTAGCTGCAGGGGTGAGGGGGGGCCGATCTATAATTACTTCCGTCGCTTCGGGCCCTACAAAGAAAGCCCTGAGGGTCTACGGAGTACACTACGGAGTACATCATTTCAAACTTAATTGTCTGTGCTTTAGACTTTTAAAATAGTAAAAAGAGCAAGTCTAGAAGTGTGAAAAGCAGGAATCCAACTTCTCACTTGTCGTTCAATGTTGCCTGACCTCTCGACTTCTACGAAATGGTATCTCTGTTGGACTTGGCTCATCCTTGGGACTGACTGTGCTAGTCGAAGATTTAATTAATGATCTGACCACTTTGCTATTTTTACGACCGTTCGTAGCAGGTACACCAATCAGTGAATGCAGAGGCAAGCGGTCCGTCCTACCACCGTGCCACATCTGGGCATCCCCCGCGAAGCGAACCGAAAACGAGATGGTAACTGAGAATACGGAGTAGCTTGCGATACTATCTTATCTGGTCACTCTTTCACTTCAAGTGGCTTGGCCATGTGAAAGGTAGAAAAGCGGGCGAGACTAACCAAGACCAAAACTCCGAACGAGGCGAGAGGCTGGTGAGAGATAGGACGGACCGTGAGTGGTCAGCGCCGGTTGAAGCCAGGATAAAAGGCTGCTGGGGAGACAGCCTATCACAAGCCTCCTGCAGGCGCTGCTCTTCATCACACGGGAGCTTGGAGGGTTAATAGTCGGTGACAAGACCTGCCATTCCGTTGAATGACCCTACCATAACGATGTACGCATGATAGTAGCGTAAGCTTGAGTTTGACCCAAATATAGACATTTTGATCGACCTGAACACTTCATCCAACGATCCCCTCATGAAGACCTTGACCCACTTTGACAAATTCCAGATACAAATTGTAAGATTCTGGAAGAGACTGGTATTGGCCGAAATGAGGTTTGTATCAGGGCTGCAGTGGTCATCTGATCTGGAAAGTTCCAAACTCACATGTCTCTGCTACAAAGCCCAGAGAACCCGTAGAATCTCTGGATCATACAATTTGAATGTGAATGAGACCTTGGGAGATTCGGGCAAAAAACCTCTCAGGGCGCGTGCAACTGCAGGTCATCACGCCAAGCCCCACCAGCCGGGCCTCTGATTTGCAGACACTAACTTCACGATCCGCTCCGTCACATCTCCACTCTCCAATCACACTGCGCTGACCGTTCTTCAAGAATCACCGAAGAGGGGAATGTCCAGAATTCGCCCTGCTTGGTGGGAGCGATTGGCTGAGGTCCCATGGCAACCGTGCGGATCACAGACTAGTCCTATTTCTCTACCAACCCCAGACGTGCATCACCTCTTGACGCACGGCAGTCACATCCTGGCAAAAAAGTCCCACTCTGTCAATTTGAGTTATGGGCTATCGGAGGGGGTCTAAGTATAGGCTCTTATACTTGGTCCCGCCTGCACGCATGTGGCTCCGATAGCGGTTTTTTCTTCCGCAGAACCATGCAATCATAACCATCTCAAGCAACAGTGTTGAAAGATCAATAACTGAATCATACGTATACCTCTATGGTTGACCAGCGACGATGAATTGATGCCTCTATACGTCACAGCCATCATTGTCTTGTGACATTTGACGCCCAGTGTTGGCTTTGCACTTCGTCCGCAATTAAAATATCTTACCTTCCGAGGTCCTTCGCTGGACGAAGCTCTACCCAAAATTACATTCACAGTCCCACGCAATGGGTAGACTGATCAAGAACCACTGGGGGCGATTGATCATTCTGACTGCCGCAGCTTGTAAGAGTCTCAACAGCTCCAGTCCAGCTCTTACTGACCAGTTCGCAAACAGATCAAATCGCCAGCGCCGTCGAAGGCTTCATCTGGCCCAAAGTGTTCTTCGACTTTGTATCCAGAAACCTCGATGCGGCCGTTGCACCGGTTCCCGTCCTCCAAATCCTCAACCTCTTAATGGGTCTTCTAGGCATAGCCTGGGAGTGGCCTCTTAAACCATTCGCCGGCTCAGCGCCGCACCGAAGCATCGAAATTCGTCTCATCATATACCCACTCAGCGCATTGCTTGCAGCACTTTTATATCAAGGCACCGATCCAGCAATATACTATTTGGTTGGGATAGGTGTTTATTTCTGGGCCTACAGTGAAGGCGAGGTACGTTTGTCCTATACTTGATACTGGGTTTGAAGCTGATTGATTGTATAGGTCGTTTGCCCGGAGCCATGGACCTTGCCGAAACGGCGTGGATTACTCAAAGCATAATGATATGTCTAGCTTATGCATTGATTGCGCGGGCGCAGATCTTGTATATAGAGTAATGTAACTATAACTAATGAATTCACGATGTTCAAGAACGCAAAATTGTCTACGCGCTCGTGAAGCCGTCCTTTTTCGGCAGCGCCTAATGAAGATAATGACAGATTGTAAATCCCATTTACTTTCAAACCTGAACAACCTTGGAATACAATTTGCAAGATCCTGAGCATATATGACGACGGTGCTTTCTTCAAAAAAAAAAAAAACATTGTTATCTTAGTCCAACAGGTGCCTGATTGATGCCTTGTGACGGAGGCATCATGAAGTGATCGCCACGTGATGCGCTCTTCTGACTCGAAATTGAAGCTCATTGGCTTCCTTCCATAACCTCAAAATCTTCAAAGATTCAAAGTGGCTATAAAGACTGCCCATGCCCAGGTGGTGCTTCAATGCTACCTAGTGTGCCGATGTTATTTCGAAATCAAGACTAACAATTGCCATTGCCACTGACAGGTTCCCGAACTTGCAGAACAAGCATGTGTCCCACAGAGTCGCAATCCACAACAAGGGAAGACAGCCATACCTCTGCGTTGGCTCCTGACGATGTACCCGTCGACGATGTACCTGTCAACAAACTTACCAGCTTCCATGGTAGACTGCAGCACTTCTTACACAGAGGTAGCGACCAGCGCACCGAGAGCACATCAAGCACGACTGCAGCCATAACCCAACAATCGCTCAAGTCCGAAGACACGGATACGCCAGATCAAGCGAAGATCACCACATCCAGCCCGAAGCGCAGGAAAGCAGTTACTCAAAAAACCTCAACTACAATCTCTCGACCACCACGCACCCGATCCACCCCAACCTCCTCCCCAAACAAACGCAAACGCAACACACCCGCACCCCTCGGTCCAAGTGCCTCCGAATCCCTCCTCCGCGACACAATTCCCGCGAACCTGATTCTTCTCCTTGTAGGCGTGAATCCGGGCATCATGACCGGCATCACGGGATACGCCTACGCACACCCCTCCAACCTATTCTGGAAACTCCTCCACTCTTCAGGCATAACAAGCATGCGCCACAAACCCGCAGATACATATAAACTCCCAGGTCTCTACAGCGTGGGCAACACAAACATCGTGGAGCGACCCACGCGCGACGCCAGCATGCTGAGTCGCGCCGAGATGGACGCTGGAGTCCCGGTTCTGGAAGCGAAAATTGCTACGCAGAGACCTGGGGCTGTCTGTCTTGTTGGAAAGAGTATCTGGGAGGCTGTTTGGAGGGTTAGGAGGGGCAGGGGTATTCGGAAAGAGGAGTTTCGATATGGGTGGCAGGAGGGTGAGAATATGGGCGTTTGTGAGGGATGGGATGGTGCCCCAGTGTTTGTGGCTACGACTACAAGTGGGCTTGCGGCTGGGATGAAGCCGGCAGAGAAAGAAGCGGTATGGGCGGAGCTGGGGGGATTGGGTTGTTAGGAAAAGACTGGAGAGAGGATTTGTTCCTGAAGTGTTGAAAGATGAACCTATAGATTGAGATTTGCTGAGCTGTGTATGATTCAAGGTTGTTGTTTAAGTATCCTTTAGACTACTATAGAAATTTAATGATACGGCCTGGCTAAAGAGTCTGAATAGTGTTCCAAAATTGTATTGTATTTGTAGACAAGTAAATGTCTCATCATTCATTATCTCATGATATCAGGTGCAGAAGCCTGTATTTCAATGCAAACCCGAAGCATCCCCTCCAGGGCCATTCCAGGGTGGAGACAAGTGCGACACCAATTGTCGCGGGATACCAGGGATGATCGAGGTAGGGATATCTCAATCGAGTCAAGGTGGGGGGTAATGGAGGGGTGCTCCAGCCCCCGGGAAAAGGGTATTATTTAGCGAGAGGTGCCCATAGCTCCCTTGGAGTCGTTCTTGCCGCCCTGACGCTCGCGTGCCTATGGATAGTTAGTCCTGTGTTCGTTGTATACGAGACCCCGCAATAGGTGAGGGGACACTCACAGTAGCAGCCTGGAACTCGCCGCCCTCGAGGATCTTGACCATGATGGCATCCTCATCGGTTGTGCCGAACTCGTTTTGGAGAGCGGCCTTGCTGGCGGTATCGAGGACACCCTGGGCACCATGGCTATGGGGCGTTAGTTGAGCTTGAAGCTTGGGGGTGAAGGTTGCAGCTTGGAGCTGGAGGACTTACGAGTGAGTCACGAAGATCTTCCAGCCGTTAAGGACATCGGCCAGAGCGATGCTGCGGTCGTTCTTCCACTTCTGGAGGATCTCAAGGTCATCAACGAAGACAATGAAGTCTTCGGAGCTACCCTTGTAGTACATCTTAGAGGCGGTTTCGTTTCCACGAGGCATGATGAAGGTTGTGAGGAATTGGTTTGAAGAGTTCTAGTAGAAGCAAAGAGTTGTTGGAGATGAGAAGATTAAGAAAAAAAGGTAAAGCAGAGCGAAGGTAAAGCGGTTTAAGTAGAGCTCGCTCAGGTGATGATGGCCGGTGACGTCACTATATAAGCTACCAGATGAAGCCGGGTTGATCGTGTGAGGTGTTAAGGAGTCGCGAAATTATTGATTGTCAAGGTGGATATGATTATTTGTCCTTTACCTCTCTAATCCCGCACCTTTCCTATGATTGTTGCACGGTGAATGCCAACTATTGCACCAGTCGACGTCATAGTAGCTCCCTGCCTGGTGCCGGATCCGCTGTGACGCCAAACGTGGGGATATTGGCAAAGGAGTGGCAATTGCATTCCTAAAGCTACCAGCCACGATTACGTGACGCCAAGTTAATAATATGAATGGATTCACCCCTGGACTCCTCGCTTGTATCACATACATCCATCCTTGGCTAACAATAGTGGTGTTGCCTTCATTTCCCCATCACTCAGTCTGAGAGCGGGGCTTTTTCAGCTTCCTGGGTGCCAAGGCACTAAACAAACTCTTGGGAGATGGCCATTTCTTCGGAAACTGGGCTGGGTCGGGACTTCCGTCAGTCTCGCTGTGAGGTGATGTCGCCTTAGACGAACCCATGAACCGGTGCGTTGTTGTGCGGTCTGGCGTGGTAGGGACGCGGGGCTCAATCTCAATGTCCTTTTCCTCTCTGCCATCATATCCATAACTACTGCGTCCGATCTCCTTGTTTTCCCCATCGTGCTCCGAGCGAACCTCGCCTGAGGGCTTCCTTGGTGTAAAACCGACAGAAGCTGACCGCCTATGGAACGCGGTGGAAATATTCAATCCCCCCATAAGTGGGCGACGTCGAAAGAGATCACCTCTGCCGAGAACCATACCTGGTGTTGGGAGAACATCACGCGGCCAGATGTCTGTAATCAATCGCTCCAAACGGATTCGATCGATTCGCCGAGCAACTAATGTTACCAAGGAGCCCTCGGGAGGTGTCTTAGGACGCTCAATTTCACCCTCGGCGTGGGCTACTGGCTCTTCGACATGACGCGGGTAGTGTGTTTTCTTGATAACCACATGCCGAGCCTGGTACTTGCAAGTGATTGACGTTGCGTCCACACATGATCGCCGAGCTAAGGAAGAAACTTGATACTGCATCTGGTTCAGAGGCGCTAACAGCAGCGTTGAGAAGGAATGGGTTTCTGGTGCCCAAGCCCGAGGCTGAGCTGATTCGGTCAGTGCCGCGGATACCCTGAGAATTTCGGTGTTCCAGTGCTTTTCCTCTGCTGCCGAGGAAGCGCTGAGAACAAACTCATAACTAGCACCTTGGTGCTGGAACAAGAGCTTCCACGAGAACATACACCCATAACAGCACAACCCTGCTAAGTCAGATCATTTTCGACATCATGCCTGATTTGTGTGCATACCTCGTCCATTTTGCAGCGCATCAATCTTGACCTTATCGAGGCAAACACAAGCCACAGCCTCCAATCGGCGCAAGTCATCAACACCCTTCGCAAAGAGCAGATATCGACTGAACAGAGCACAGACCATGAACTCTCCGGTTACTGTGGTTTCAGTTGCTTGGTAGGTATTTGCTTGGTAGGCAACATGAAGTACGCCGCACAGGGTCATTACGCCTAGTTCTTGGTAAATGTTTTGAAGGGAGTGATTCTTGAACTTGTCAGTCATTTTGACCTTTTTAGGAGAGCGGCCTGCTTACTGATTTTGAAACATCGACCTTTTGCTGAAGAATCATAGTCTTCGAGATACGGTCTTTGTAAACTGGATTTCCCGTCGCCACGTTCACGTGTGCTACCACCCTTCTTGTGCTTTCCAAAAATTGTTGGATTTCATCATGGGCAGACGGACAGTCACTAACAGGGGGTCGCTCTGAGTAAATCCTGCAGCATGAGCGGGTATTTACAAAGACGTTGAATAGGCTGTAGTCCTGTAAGCAATTGAACCAATCGCCAGAAGCAAGTTTTTTTCCAACCTTGATCAGCAAGTCATTCAAGGTCATTGATTTGCTATCGTCGTGTCTCCGTCGTTCTGTGGATGCAACCGATTTAGCCATTGCCTCAATGCCTCGATCGTATATTGTCCACTCGGCAGGTTTCCGGCGCAAAAGAGCAACATCGTGTGAAAAGAGCTCATAATTGGCGCAGTATTCCTCATATGCAGAAAACGAACGTGACTATGTAGAATGATTAGCTAGAATGCACCTTCAAGACCGACGCCGACCTGCTCACCAGCTCCTCTATGTTTCGTGCGACGTCTAGTGCCTCCGTTGGGTCTGCCGTAAGTGTCTTGAGGCGCTGGTTGATGGATGCTTTCATTGTTCGGCTTCTCAACGACCGCTGTTGAAATCCTCTCAAGCTGCCCAAGTTCGTACTCAGACGCTTTGAGATGCCCTTGGATGTGAACTCCAAATCGCTTGCCCGCTGAGCATGAAGTGCTGACATCGGGGATGCCGCTTGAAGCTTGGCCAAGAACTGTTCGTGTATATGGAGTATTTCCTGGACATTGTCGGATATCTTGCGTCGAATGTTGAATATAGTCAGAATCTGCCGTAGCAAAAGAAAGAAAAGATCAGTAAATCCGAGCACGATTCAAGTTTCGCCAGAAGGATGGCTTACACCAGTGAGAGCCTTCAGACCCAACACATAATCACATTCGGTTGTGACAAGCTCCCTGAGTATATGACGCCTTCTAGTCGCGCGAGTGTCCGTAGCCTCATCTAGATGATGACTCGAGCTTGGGTCCGGCGAATCACCGGAGTTACCCGACTCTGAGAACACACTCGCAGCTGTTCTTCCGGGTATGCTTGTTCCCGACTGCAGCATGCTCTGACTTGCGACGCTTGTAGAGGCTGTCAATACAGCGCCGAATTGCGACGAGTCTGACACGCTAGAACGTCGATGGTGTGATCCATGAGACGAAGAATCCGACCAACCTTCCACATACCGCCGCTGGGTTGGAATGTCATGTTTTTTTGGACGGAAGCTATCGTACCATCTTTTGAAAGGGTGAGGTACCTGATCAGTGGGAGTCACTCCACCGCTGCCCTGGTCTTTGTCTTCAAGATTTTCGTCTGCCAGCAAACTTTGCCTTTCAATATGTGCGTGTTCTGCCATCCCAAGAAGTGATCCAGGGATCGAATGAAAAGCTCAGAAGCTGGCATAGAGAGACATCTGAGCCTTCGAGGCCAGAGATCTTCGCGAAAGAGCAACGGGCGCTCTTTCCTTGTCTACATCCCCGGCAATGTCGAAGGGGGAAAGAAGCCGGAGATTGCGATTCGGATCTCATCCATGTACGTCATGATGAAAATCCACAATAGCTAGGTGGTTGAAATTCAAATCTCGCAATTTGATGATCTCTTCCCGAATATATCATTGGTGTTTATCTTCCGGAGACTGTGTAGTTGAGAAGTATACTTTGAGTGCCAAGCATCGCCGCTTATATAAAACGGTTGGAGCTTGGGACCCACATCATTCTCCCACCTTCTCCAAGACCTGTTCAACTGGCATCATGGACGACATCCACGCTCCAACCGTGGCCTCCGGACCTGCACCCGGAGCCACTCCTCGCGATGTATCCAAGCTATCAATGCCAGACCTTATGCAGGAAAAGGTACGCATCGAGGAGGAAATGTCGGCGCTCAGTAGCGTTCTCCAATCGGTAAGATTCCCCTCCTAGAGATCTCTCTGGCTGTTTCTGACTGCTCTCTTTGAAGCATGGGGTGCGCATGACCTCTTCCCTCACTACCTTCGATGGCTTCCCCCGCGATGATATCGACATTGCGCAAGGTATGCCCCGCAGTTCGATCGGCGAGGACTATCGCTAAGGGAATATAGTTCGAACAATACGCGTGCGCATGATTCACCTACGCAATGACCATAAGGAAGTAATGCAATATCTCGAGAAGGGCGTTCACGCACACTTTGCCAATCTACAAAACACACCCGATGCCAGCCCAATCACGAATGGCACCAGCCACCCTCCAGCTGCGCAGGCACTGCCAGACCGCTCTGCTGACAGTTCCACTGCTTCTGGCACACCATTTGCAAAGGTCAACAGTGTGGTGACAGGAAGTCCAGCAGATCAGGCGGGTCTTAAGGCTGGCGATGCAATCCGAAACTTTGGGGGTGTCAATTGGTTAAATCACGAGCGCCTTACCAAGGTCGCTGAGACAGTTCAGCAAAATGAAGGGGTATGTCATCATTCTGCAAGCTTGAGTTTTCATTCAAATATCCGCATGTCTAACATACTCTCCTTGAAAACAGCGGGAAGTATCAGTGAAGGTGAGCCGGAAGGAAGATACTGGTGCTATCACCGAGCTAGATCTCCAGCTCACTCCTCGGCAAAATTGGGGAGGACGTGGCTTGCTCGGGTGCCACTTGGTTCCGTTGTAGAAGTGCTCAATTAAGATTTACAACGGCCCGAGTGATACCATCTTGTACATCGATGATGCGCTGTTCATGACTAATGTGAAACGGATTTCTTTCCTTGTGCTGTTAACGGCCCATTGATTTGTAAAGAAGGACAGGTCGTTTAGGCTGCAAAGCCGCTGATAATACCGGAGGACATTGAGCCTGACCACCAGCCTAAAACCAAGCGTGGAATATAGCTCAATCAAGACAAGGCCGAGCCAATGAAAGAGCAGTAGAGTAAATCGAAAGCAAATGAAAGAGCAAATTGTTCATAACAAAGTGGTGTTATGCCCCCCCCACTACGTCAGCGATGGCCTCAGGCACAGGGACCTCACGTGACCACCACCAACGGGGCAAAAATTCCATCCTCCTTCCCGGCACCCCTCTACTCTCCCTTTAAAAACAACAACATTCCCCCTCATCCCCACGAGACCCATTGGAACTTATTTCGATCAAGTTTCATTTGAATCGTTGATTTTCAAAATGGCTGCTCAACCCACCCCCACTTTCAAGCTCGTCCTGGTCGGTGACGGTGGTACCGGAAAGGTAAGCGCATTCAAACCTCGATCAATGATTGTTGATGGGCATGGGTTCAGCTCTCATGGATGACCGACGCTGGTTTGGATATTCTTGATGGCGATATTGGAATCGCACTGAGCCTGCCCCGCGCCTATCAACGATTCACACTCTGCGCCCAACTGCCTCACCGCGACTTCATTACTAACAACCTTCAAAGACCACTTTCGTCAAGCGTCACTTGACTGGTGAATTCGAGAAGAAGTACATCGCCACTCTCGGTGTCGAGGTCCACCCTCTTAACTTCAACACCGTATGTCATATGCCCCGCCGAGCCCCGCTTCGACATGGCAATGATCACTAACACCCCAAACAGAACTACGGTGCCATCCAGTTCGATGTCTGGGATACCGCTGGTCAGGAGAAGTTCGGTGGTCTCCGTGACGGTTACTACATCAACGGCCAGTGCGGTATCATCATGTTCGACGTTACCTCCCGCATCACCTACAAGAACGTTCCCAACTGGCACCGTGAGTGACCCCGCAACTGTGGATGGAAATCCAAACGACCACTAACACATTTATTTTCCAGGTGACCTCGTCCGTGTCTGCGAGAACATCCCCATTGTCCTCACCGGTAACAAGGTCGACGTGAAGGAGCGCAAGGTCAAGGCCAAGACCATCACCTTCCACCGCAAGAAGAACCTCCAGTACTACGACATCTCCGCCAAGTCCAACTACAACTTCGAGAAGCCCTTCCTCTGGCTCGCTCGCAAGCTCGTCGGCAACCCCCAGCTCGTACGTCCCGCATGATCCCTGCGCTTTTCGATTTATACTAACAACTGATACAGGACTTTGTCGCTGGTCTTGCCCTCGCTCCCCCGAGGTCACCGTCGACGAGGCCCAGCTTGAGGCCTACCGCAAGGAGATGGAGGAGGCCGCCCAGCAGCCCCTTCCCGATGAGGATGATGCCGACCTGTAAATCGGTGCATTCAGCGACGGGTCCACGAAGTTTCCGACATGAGAGTTGGGAGTCGCCTTTTCCTGACCCTCCCCGAGCTCTCGCTGGGTAGACAGGAAGTCAACGACCCCCGGGGATTGCGTTTTTTATTTGGGTTTTGCTATTGCAAAAGCAAACTGTCCTTCGAACCACGATTCAATGAAAGCGGGAGGGCGGTCGTGTGAAGCAACGGATGGCTCATGCATTTTTTTTGATTATTTACCCCCCTAGTAGTTTAGACATCCCAATTGTCTTTTTCCCCCTCCCCGAAACGAGCAGCACGCATACAAAAAAGCATGTCCTCACAAGATCTAAAGTTTTCATCTTTGACAGATAGATTAGATCTTTCAAAATCTCGAGTTCTACTTAAGAGAGCACTTGGGTTGGAATGACTTCATTATCGTAACTGTAAGACTGCGACCTGAGTGCCACTTCCACTCGCGGCAAGCACGAAACCATCTTCAAAAAACGCCTGGGTATAGCAAAGATCGCGCCCTGGAAAACCGCGCCGAACACCACATGGAATGGCGACAACAGAGAAAACCAGAGAAAACACAACAAAACAACAAAACTTAGGCACAAGGACCAAGGATTAGCTCCACATTAAACGCTGCACGTCATGAGATCGGTCGAACGCAACAAAGTAAATTGCAAACTTCAAATCAAGCACATCACAAGTCACGAACACCCTGTGAGATAGTTAGCAAGGAACAAGAGCAAGAGACCAATAGAACATACAAAGAGGTAAGCCAATTCCCGTGTGTCCAGACGAGAGACATTCATAGTACCACCCTCATCGAGAGCACCACTGATCAATTCGCGTTTCTGATCCTGGAGCGTAACGATGCGATCCTCGACGGTACCCTCAATCAGCAAGCGATGAACGAAGACCTCTCTAACCTGCCCAATACGATGAGCACGATCAACAGCCTGGTCCTCGATGTAAGGGTTCCAGAATGGATCGAACATAATGATATGAGAAGCAGCGACAAGATTCAGTCCTGAGTTTCCTGCTTTCAAAGAGACAAGCATGATCTTGCAATTGGGATCGTTGGTGAATGTCGTCACGGCATCATTGCGTTCCTTCAGGTTCATGCTGCCGTCGAAGCGAGTGGAATTCCAGCCGTTGCGGTCGAGAGGAACCTGGAGGAGATCGAGGAGGGAGGTGAATTGACTGAAGATGATGGTTTTCTCACCCTGGCCACGGTCTTCATTGGCTTGGAGAATTTCAAGAGTTTTGGTGATCTTTGAGCTGGGGAACCACGTCTTTTCCAAACGACGAAGGTACTTCTTTTTCTCCGCCTTGTTCTTGAGTGAGGCAGTGCGCAGTTCGGCAAGGGATTTCTTCTTGCTGCTTGATTCGCCCCCTTCAGTGTCGCTGTCTGAATCTGACGACTCAGTGCTACTTGCGGTGGCCTCACTGTCTTCGGCGTCGGCTGCGACTTCTTCGGTGGTTTCGGGCTCAGGAACTGAAGTTGGGTCGTGGACCTTTTTGAATGAGACGGTATCCGTGAGCTTCTTGGGGTCCACGGGGCCTCGGCAATTCTGGCACTTGATGACAGTATCATCGTCGAGGTTGACAACATTTGCACCCGCCGAGTCAGAGATACGAATCCAACATTCTGAGCATACATGATGTCCACAGGGAATGTAGATGGTTGCATTCTCCACACTGTCCATACAGACAGGGCATGTCCCACTCTCTTCATCATCGTTTGACATGATACGTTGCACCACAACAGCGGTCAGGAGTTTAGCGTTGGCGATCTTGTCAACTCCAGGAGCGGATGTTGCGGCAGATGCGGCAGCATCGGACCGGAACTCCTTCATGAGGAGGGGATGGCAGCATGCTTGCCGAAGACGGAGAAGGAGCACCAGGACATGACTGTAGTTTCTACCCAGTGTTCCAGCATCTAGTAATCGGTTGATCTGCCTCTGTGTGTTTGTGTCAAGCTGGCCGTAGACTTGCGATTCCTTCTCATCAAACAGAACGTGCACCTTTTCAGTGACCTTCGGTGGAAGTTGCAGAATAGGCTCGCCATCAATTTTAGAGGCCTTGGTTCGTCGGAGGCAGACAGACTTGACGAGTACACGGAGTTGCTTCATCACGTCTTCTCCACCCCAGCCTGATTTGATACGGCTCACAAAATCCTGCATGACAAGGGAAGTTAGTGACGTGGATAAGTAGACGTGATGCGACGCTGAATACTAACCTGTTTGAACTTTTTCGGGTTGTTGTATGGTTTAATGCGCAAGAATCCTAGCAGAGACTGGAAATCTTCGAGACGGTTCATCATGGGGGTACCGGTCAAACACCAACGGTAGGTTGAATTCAAGTGGCAGCATGCAATGGCAGACTTGGCAGCTGGGTTTTTGATATTCTGTGCTTCGTCGATGATGACACGATGCCACTGAGCCCCAGGGCTGAGAGGACCCGCCCTGGCTTTCACTTCGCTCACCAGACTAGCATCGCGACCCTCCTTCTCCATATTCTCCCCCTCAAGCAACGTCTTGTAGTGCGCCATGAGAGTGCCATAGGTTGTAATGACGACATCGTACTTTTTCAGCTCTCTCCAGGGCCTTCGTTTGGAGTGATAGATCAGAACCGCCAATTGGTGGACGCCAGTTTTCACATGGCGCTCAATCTCCAGCTTCCACTGCTCCATGAGAGCCTTGGGCGCGACGATCAGATTTGGACGTCGGTTTTCATCTTCAAACGGACGGGCGACCATGAGCGCGATCGCCTGAACAGTTTTTCCAAGACCCATGTCGTCTGCAAGAATGCCGCCCTTGTGGCTACTTTCTTCCTTGGCTTTCATCCACTTAAAGCCAACCTTCTGATGCTTCATCAAAGTCACACGCAGAGCAGGAGGTGTCTCCTCGTTGTCTGCTTTGGTCGCCTCGCGGATATCCTTGATGCCACCAAGCAAGTTTTTGATATCGTCAGGAAATTCTCTTTCATTGTAGGCCGCGATGTCAACATCGTCATCAAACATTTCTTGCTGTTCGCGGACCAGGTCAAAAGTCTTATCAAAGTTGTCATATGGGTCATATTTGCCAGCCTTGCCATATGGGTCATACATGCCAGGGAAAGTCCCTGGCATGGAGCCTGGCGTGCCTGACCAGTACATAGACCCTGGCCCATCACCATTATATGACGGCTTTGACCAGGGAAGATTCCTAGCGGTCGAAGTAGTGTAATTGGGAATATCGGATGGGTCGGTGATGTAAAATGGTGATGCATATGAGGAGGAGGAGGAGGATGGCAGGTAAGGATTGCCCAGGGCTGGCTGTTTGCCCATCCGAGAGTTGCCCATCCGAGAATTGAACGAATCAGCTGTGATTTCTTCAAACCCATCATCGGAGCTCTGGTCATACTGGTTCAACCGGCTCGACGGTAAGAAGGGAGTGTATTGCGAAGGGCCCCCGAACCCATTAAAACCGGGCTCTGGTTTAATCGGCTGGGTACGGTGAGGCATATTCCAAGAAGGCTGGTGTGTGAGGTTGTTCGGAAGCGGCACACTATCCTCTTCGCATTGAAGTGCACGAGCTAGCTCCGCGTCCCTCTCAAGTTGGAATGCCGATATGATATCCTTCTCTATGCTGTCACGCTCTTCCACGAGATCTTGAATTTCTTCATCGTTGAGTGCCATGCTGATCAAGTTCCCATATTGCTCTTGGTGTTCGTCGATCTCTCGTTGCTGCCGTGCGTCTATCTCGCCGAGTTTGGACCGACGAGAGACAGGCTGCGAGGCAGCACTTCGCTTCGCTGGACTTTGGACCGGGGGCGAAGACCCAGATGTGGGACGCGGGCGCTTCCGGTATTCATCCAGAGAAGACAGAGCCGGCGAGCTTTGCATAACCGCCGGGCTCCGAGATGCAGTGGCAAAGGGCGAAGGTCCCGCGGAAGACCAATGGGGCCCTGTAGCGAACCCGGCAAATCCACTCGAAGGCAAAGGCGGAGGCGCAGGCGCAGGCGCAGGAGTATGAGTATGAGCTGATGCTTGTGGAATGGGAGTTGCTACAGGCGGAGTTATGGCAGCTTCGGGAGGGGGAATGGGATCACCCAAGAGCTCTGCCAGCTGAACTTCCTTGGCCCTGAGTGTCTCCCTAATCTCCCTCAACTGCTCGCACTCGCCCATGGTTGTGAGGGTGTCATCGCGGATGAATTTGTGGAGATCGATTTCCTCCAACAGATCTTTGATTTGGTCCTCCTGGGACTTATCAACTGGGGCAGCCATGACTTAGCAGCCCGCAACCACCATGGGAACCGATTCGATATTATTGGGAGAGGCGGGGCTTCAGGTATTGGCAAAAAAAAATATGGGTGTGGCAGATAAGATCAAAGGTAGATAAGTAGGCCGCAAGAGCTGCAAGTGCGATGTGTTCAGGGAGGATGATCTGGGAAAGTCAGCGAATGTTGGGCATTCAGAGCAAACAGCAGGAAGAAAGGCGGGTGGTTGCAGGCGCGACGGGGAAGCCAAGCATGCAGAGGAATCATGCGCTTCTGTCACAATTTGGTCCTTAGGAAGCGACACAAGTACGCACATCGAGTAATTTAGACGCTGCACCCGGGTGATGGGATGACGACTGTCGCAGGAGGGTCGAAGGTGCGATGGCAAAAAAGCGGCTGTCAAGGGCGACCAAAGAGGATCAGAGATCCTGTTTCGCAGACCAGTCCGATCTGAAATTGACAGGGTTGTAGGTTTTGCGATACATCAACTCGATGGGCCACGTTTGCTTCGGCGGGGTGTTGAAAGTTCTACATTGGCCAAGATGTCATCGTCAGAAAATGCCAAGACCGTCGGATTTATTTGAGCCTCACTGACTCTGGGTTGTCGAACGATGCTCTGTCAGCCTTGTGGTGCAATGATCTATGCTTTTTCTTCATTACATTTCGATTTTGCACCAATTAGAAAGACATTTCGCGAGATATTGCCCCCCCGACGCTGCAAACTTTCGAAAGTTTGATATACAAAGCGCGTTTCTTATCATCACGTGAGAGGAACGCGATAAAGATAAGCAAGCAAACAGGTCAAACATGTCAAACATGTCAAACAAGCAGGAACCACCCAGATCTAGATTGTTACCAAAGTTGACCATCTTGACAAGCCATTTGGTCAATCTAACCTCCTTTGCTGCCTTTTCCTGCATTTTATTTCCTGCGTTTCCTGCACCATTTCAAAGCGATCTACCTGTTCCACAAAAAAGACATCTGGAAAGACTATTTGAAAGACCTTTGGAAACATCATCATCGAGCTAGTCAGCGTTACGTTACACCTTGGAAGTTGACCAATTCAACATTGCGACTTGGTAGTGAATGGCAATAGCGCGCTCGTTTCGGTACAAAATCGGCCGATGATTGTTCCATTGCCATATATCTATCATCGTATGTGGTCCTTGACAATCTCTACCACATCGCCCAATGAATCTATCACGAAATCCGGCCCCAAAGTCTGACAAGCCTCACGATCCCCATATCCATACCGACACCAGCAGACTTGACTGCCAATGTTCCTTGCAAATTCAATATCTGCCATAGTATCACCAACTACAAGTACCTTTTGCCCCGCAATCCGCACACCGTATTTCCGCTGGAGAGCGGGGGCCAAAACATCCGTGAAACTCGAAGGGTCTGGCTTGCGCTTAGCACCAGGGGTTTTGTCGCCGACAATCAAATCCTCTGGTACCAGTCCTTCTAGGCCGTTTCGTTCCAAGGCGGTTTTGACAGCGGCAACGCCTTTGTTGCTTACAATGGCGGTGGGGATTCCCAGAGCAGTGAGCTCTGTCAGGAGGTCCTTTGCGCCGGGGAATGCCTTGACAAGCGCTTGGCCGTGAGTATTGTAGAGGGCACGGTATTTCTCTACCCACTCATTCTCAACAGCTGGCGTAAACTGAGCTGGATAAGGGTGTAGAGTAATAAAGGTCTCTGTCAGCCCGGCCCCACTGGCAATCATGCGTAGGACCTCATCCTGGGGAGGAGTATGACTCGGAAGTAGGGCATCGAAAGTAAGTTTGATAGTCTGAGAAATTGACTCATGGGTATCGAAAAGGGTTCCATCAAAATCGAAGATAACAAGGGATGCCATGTTGGAGAATGGGTTTCTCGGGGTAGTGAGAGAAGTTAAAGTTGATCATGGGGAAGCATAGCACTTGACCCTTGATATTGCGACATAAAACACGCTAAACCTCGAAAGCTGTACCTTGGGAAACCTGCAACCATGATCTTGCAGCATTTACGTGACTCATACGAATCGATCTCCAGGGCTTACATTGGGTACCATTGGGTTTCAAAGAGATAAGATATCTGATTTGTTTCCATACATAATGGCCACAGAACGAACATGTCATGCCGCCTAAGCCACCTAAATACCCGTGGACTCCTCATAAAATGATTTTAGCCTTGCCTTATAGGGAGAGGAATCCATACCCACCGCCTCTATACTGCGCTTCTAGCTAGAGTGGAATGTGAGGGCTTCTTTCTATCCGTATCAAGCTCTTCAAGGCTCCAGACCATTGTATCTTCCTCTGTCCAGCCAAGGAGGAGGCCTTCATTCGGCTGCCACAGCTACGCTACTCGATAGGACCCTAGAATCCGGGACTATAGCGGAGCTTCGACCCCCGGACCGCGGAAGAGAGCGACTATGACCCGATAAAGGACGAGGTCAGTGGCTCAAGATTTAAGCATGCTAGGGTTTGAAGTTAGTTGCAGGGCGCATCCGCATCTTCGATGTAGACCCTTCCACCCAAAGACCCCGATGCAGGAACCGTTCTTGCGGTGCGACTTGACGAGTATAGATGGGCAATTCGGTACCCTCGTGAGAAACTGAGCGATGTATTGTCAATTCTCGATGTTTCCGATGCCATGCTCAATGAACATTCGTGCTGGGCCAATGCGCAAATCGGTCAACTCCATAAGTGAGTCTCGCTCTTGGGATCTCCCACGATAGGGCGAATGGCAAAACCCTCTAGTAGCACATTCCGCCACGACAAGCGTTGCCTCAAACACCATCATTTAGTTTGGTACAGCAATTCTCGGAGGATTGAACAATCCAAGGTACGTCCAACCGTTGCCTGCTTCGGCGCCAGCAGAGCTCCTCAACCATGCACGTAGTTCAAGGTAGCGTGCAGAAGATTACGAAGGGCAATACATGCCATGCAGCCCAGTAGCATCTTCATGCATACACCCCAGCCTCCCTTCGTGTATCCAAACTCGAAAGTGTAGTTCTTTTATTGTGCGTATAATGCGACGGTGCTCTGATGCTACCAACGCAGTGGGAGCATATGCTAGACGCAAAAATCACAGCGCGATCATACACTCCAATGCCCTGGGTGTGCGATGTTTGGCTGAGTCGACCTGAAGAGTATGGAATGCGCTGGCAGCTTCACATGAGTCCAAAGAGGCCAGAATTTGGCCAAGGCGCAGCCCAAGACTGAGGTGTTAAGTCCCGGTCTGTGTACCATCATTCCTGGTAGTGTGCGGTGTGCGGAATATGACGTCGGAGGGTTAGCGGAGCCCCGAGCGATGGGCAGAGACGGTGCCGTGTGTGACCCCAGTGCGCGCACGGTGGAGTCGGCGGAAATGAGAGTCAAGCGTTGTAGAAGACCTGGGACGGGTTCATAAGTATGCAGATCATCATCAAATATGGAGCAGAGACCCAGACGGAAAACCTGGGCACAAGATCACAGAGAGCTTCCTCGGTGTGGAGAAGGAAAAAAGTGTGGATGCACGGGGCCTCGGCACGGAGTTGGGGAGTTCACATGCGCATGTCATCATTTATAGGAAAGTCACCTCCCGCTCTCTTCCTCCATCCGTCCACACATCATGTCTCTCAAGAAAGGTATGTTGATGCTGTCCTTCCCCCTTACCGCTTCATCGCTGACCCGCAATAGATTCTCACCCTTCATCCGTCGCCTTCGACGTCATCAACCAGACGCTCCAGGCCAACGAGGGCGACCGCAAGGATGCCCTCGAGAAGGCCAAGGCCATCGTCGCTTTCAACCTGAAGAACGAAAAGGGCGAAGAAGCCGCGTGGTACCTCGACCTCAAGAACAAGGGCGAGGTCGGACACGGTCTTGCTCCCCAGGGTGGCAAGGCTGACGGTGAGTTTCACTTCCGCTGCGATCTGCTTCACGTGCACGTACTGATTTCATCTCATTATAGTCACCCTCAACCTCTCCGATGCCGACTTCGCCCAACTCGTTTCTGGAAAGGCCAACGCCCAGCGTCTGTTCATGGGTGGCAAGCTGAAGATCAAGGGCAACATTATGAAGGCGACTAAGATGGAGCCCATTTTGAAGAAGGCCCAGGGCGCCAAGCCTAAGCTGTAGATTATATACCCTTTTGACAATTCACAACAAGTCCCGTCGGGCATTGAATACTACAAGTTCCAAATGGAGGACATCGAAAGGAGGTCATAAACATGGACTTTTCAGGATGTGCCGGACTAAATATATCGATTTTACAAATCGCGTACATGCCCTTCCCGCGAAACTTTTCCCTGATCCAAAACCACGAAGTAATTCGCGTCTTTGACAGCCTCGATGCGATGTGCGATCGTGATGACGGTGGATTGCTGCAGCTCCTCCCTGATAATCTGCTGAATTTCGAGCGAAGTCTCCTGGTCAACCGAAGCAGTAGCCTCATCGAGAATGACAATCGCACTGCGTCGCAGCACGGCTCGGGTAAGGGCAATGAGCTGACGTTGGCCTTGGCTGAGATTCCTTCCACCGGCCTCAATGTGTGTTTCTAGATGCCAATTGTGCCGACTGCAAAGTCGCTGGAGAACTTCCGTGCACTGCTCATCGGAATATTCTTCCGTCGGATCGAGATTCAATCTGATGCTGCCGGGGAAGAGGACGGGATCTTGCGCAACGAAGGTGACTCGGGTGCGGAGTGCTTGTGTGTTCACTTCGGCGACATCGATTGCGTCGATAAGAATCCGACCAGACTCTGGTTTGATGACGCCGAGGAGCGACATCGCCAATGTGGATTTGCCGCTGCCGGTACGGCCGGTGATTGCGGTAGTAGTCCCCCCGGGTATGCGGAGAGAGACGTTTGTGAGTGAAGGGTCAAGATTCGTCGCATAGCGGAGAGTCACATCATCGAATATGATGTCGCTACTGTAAGTCGGCCATGCGGCTGGGGGAGCAATGGACCCCGGTGCTTCTTCTTCGATATGCAGTAGCTCATCGACACGTTCCACCGACACGAAGTCCATTTGAAGTTGGCCGTATTGTTTGCAGAGGGCATGAGTAGAATCGACAAAGTTGTTTGCAGCGATGAGTACGAACGCTATCAAGCCCGGCGTTGTGTTTGTGTACAGAGCCAAAGCTGTCAAACAGAATGTGGATAGTGCAGACAAGCTTTCAAACCGATACATGAGCCAGCTCTGGAGCGACCAGTAGAAATGGTCCATGCCTTGGAATTTGTCAACGACTGATATGACTCGGCTTTGGAAGCGAGACTCTGCGCGGAATGCTCGGACGGTAGTTAGGCCGTGTAGCAACTCTCCAAAGTTGGAGAGAAGAGGGCTTAGTGAGACCATTTCGAGTCGCCGTAGACTCTGAGATGTAGGGAGGAAACGAAGGAAAACAGTCACAAATGCTACTGTGAGGACAAGAGAAAACACAAGGAACACAGGGGTAGCGGTGGCAATCACCAAGACAGATGATATCCAAGTTATAGCTTGGAATGCTATGGCTTGAAACTGCTCACTGATGTTGCCATCAACTACACCGATGTCAGATGTCAGGCGGTTCATCAGCCGCCCGAGGGGAATGGTATCTAAAAAAGCCCGGTTAGAAAAGTCTTTTGTCAAGAACCTAGAGCTTACCAAGGTATCGGAAAGTGGAATGGCTGACGCGGATCAGAACTTGTCGGAACAGCGATTGTCCAGCACAATAGACAATGATCAACATCAATAGCTGCGCGACCAGCAGTGTGGCAGCCTGAATTGAGATGATTCCAAAGAAAGTCCAAAGCCACGGTCGAACGTCCTCGCGCGGAAATGGTAATTGGACAATTGGGCTTCGAGGCGTGAACCCTGATTCCAATGTTGAAGGGATTGACCAGCTAGACAGTCGATTCACATTCAAGTCTGGTAGGTTACCTGTCACCATAGTGGTCTGCTCATATGCTTCTCCCCACCCCTTAAGGAACCACGATTGCCCAACGGCCATCAATCGGTAAACTGCTAGAATCAGGACGAGCGCAAGCCACCATCGGTATTTTCCCGCTCTGATGTAGTTCCAGTAAACGCGAGCTTTGACTCCGCCTTCGGCCCTATGCTCTTTCTCAATGAACTTCGTGGGGACGGCCGCTGCCTCATCTTCAAGATCAATTGCCGCTTCAGGTTCATCATCAACTTCGACAGATTGTAGCAATGTGTCGGATTGACCGACTGAGATAGCCTCTTTGTCATAAACAACAGCATGTCTTTCGGAGATGTCGATAATCTGATCTGCAAGTTGGCGAACCAAAGCAGTTCGGTGTGTGACCAAGACAACTGTGCGATCTTTCATCAAAGGCCCCAGAAAGCATTTGCGGACCACAGATTCGGCAGTGTTATGATCAAGGGCAGACAATGGATCATCCAGGAGAAGAAGGGGAGAGGCACTGTAGACGGCTCTTGCCAAGGCGACTCGTGCCTTTTGGCCACCCGAGAGTCCAATACCATTTTCACCGACAAAGGATAGATCGCCGTGCTTGAATTGTGAGAGATCTGGAAGTAGAGCACATGCTTCCAGTGTCTGCTTATACCGCTTGTCGTGGTATGGCGCAGAGAAGAGAATGTTGTCCCGAATACTCATGCTCTGTAACCACGGTGTCTGCGCACAGTATCCCATCATTTGATTCGGAACGTGCATTGAGCCGCCAATCTTATCCAGCTCCCCTAGAATCGCCTGCAGAAATGCCGTCTTTCCGGCCCCGACCTTACCAGTAACGACAGTCAGTCCTTTGGGGATGTTGACATTGATATCAACCAGCACCGGGGTGACCTTTTCTGGCCATGCAAACGAGCAAGACTCCATCAAAAGACTGGTCATCCTTCCTGATGGCTCAGAAGGCATGATGTCTTTATCAGGCTCAGACATAAAATCTTCGATGCGACCAAGAGCGATGGAAGCATTGATTAAAGAAGTGATGAGACCAGGGATATCTCGCAAACGGCTTTCCAGCATAGAGAACAGTTGCAATGCAGGGAAAATGATGTCGATTCGCAGCTCGTGCCCAGCCAGGAAGGTGTAAGCATACAGTGCAACGACTGGAAATGCACCACTCGCGAAAGCGTTGACGAAGCGAATCATGATGCTCCACAGACTGGTGACAATCCGAATATTCAATTCGTGTTGCCGAGCTTCCATCACTTGTCGAAGCCAATGGTCTTGCCATCCATACCATCGCAGATGACGGATTGCCTCAATGAACTGGGACGTGATTTGAAGCCTAGTATCTGTGGCTGCTCGTCTAACACGTTCCCACCGAAGGAGAACTCTAGTGATGAATGCGTTGATTGCCTGCGCGACCAATACAGCCAGTATTCCGAGGAAGCAAGAAGGGCCAAACAGTGTCCAGACGAGAACGGTAGCAATTACGAGCCCCAACGGCTGATTAATTAACGAATCCACTTCCCAGAATCTCTGTGCAACCTCATAGACATCACCTCGCAGTAAGTTGAAGATCTTGCCAAGCGATGCAGCTTCCTTGGCTTGCTTAGGTGGGGGGTTTCTTTCTTTGGGAGATGATGCGCCGCCAAAAGCCTTTGATGGGTTTATTAGGGGCTGCATCCACACGGGACACCATGTCGTCGTTCATGTCATCGGTCAGGCTGTTAGACACTTGCGGGTCATCTTGAATCGTAGACCCAAGGATATTTTTCCTGGAGAGTGCCTTTTCGTAGACCATCATAATCATCTCTCCCCTAGATCGTTCGTACGATCTTCGGCCATACCAGAGGAGAAGAACCTGGGATTGAGCGGCGACGAGCCTCAGTAGAAACGAAAGGAAAGCATATGTCAGAGCGACGCGTTTCGGGCGTGATGGGTCCTTCATGGCCTGCAACAATTGTTGCAACAAAACGGGAGTTGAGAAATCTAGCCATACCCATCAGTATACAAGGCAGAATGAAGCGCTCTGGGGATCGACTTACCGCACAGCAGCTGGATAGTCGAAATGGTCGATATGATGAACACGTCAATTCCATTCGCCCGCAACAGTCGACCCAGGACAGACCCGCGAAGCTGACGGAACTTCTCGTGTAAACGGCTGTGTTGAAACTCAAACCCGAGGAGCCAAACATCATCCTCATTCAACTGTCTACTGCGCCCAGCTGAAATGAGAGGTTTCATCCAGGACACCGTTAGGAATTGCCAAAGTCGGAGGTTGTCTTCGGGTGTGCGGAAATCACTAGACGGGTCCTGACCGACGGCGCTGATATCCACTGATGGCAACGAAGGCTCACGGAATGGCATAAATAGAATCGTCGTGGACGCGGCAATCGCTGCAATCGTGGCAGTGTACCGAGCGGCAACTTTGAATTTCAGGCTACCATCTGGACGAGTAGCCAATGAAAACTCGACTGCGGTGACCAAGACGTAATATACCAATATGGGAATTTGACAAGCTCTTGGCCGCTTGAGAGCAACGAGAAGCAATGCTATTGCCTAAGGAATGTTAGTGGTTTTCTCGACAAGCAATAATTAAACTTCATGAAGGTATCTTACCCAGGAGAACACAAGCACAACATCAGACCAGTCAGTGACAGGGGGAGTCAATTGAACTAGATCCGCAATGAGACCAATTCCTGAGAATATCAGAAGAGTGATAGTCCATCTCAAAGATTGTTTTGGGCGCTCCAGCGGGAGTTCCTGGGAGTCATGCTGCTCAGAAACGAACGCTATAGTCCATTTTGGGCGCCATGTAGAGATCTGCCCCAGCAAATGGCTCAATGCAATAAGCAAAATGCTGATTGCTGGGATGCATGCGAGGTACGGCAACGCACAAGGTGACAACCATGCATTGTGCGAGTCCTGGATTGGTCAGCGGGATATGAGTCAAAGCAATGAGTCCCGGACCATACCCAAAGGCGATCGCACTTCCACCCTGGGATTTCCCGGAGCAGAGGTGTCTGATTCATGCTTCTGAAGAGCGATGCCAGCCCTTGACGCGCTGTGGTATTCCAAGGATCCCCGGGGCCCCCATGAGGAGTGGGGCTGGATTAAGGTTCATCCGTTGGTCCGTGCCATGTATATCTTCGATGCTTCGACCTTCCTAGGTGATTTGTGCAGGAGAGTAGGCTGTAGTTCTGGAGGCTATGAGATAATTCAGTTACACGATGTCACATGTACCTGAATGCCACTTGGGAAAATCTACTTCCCCAGGCTCCAAAGATGAGATGTCACCGAGAGATGCCTGTCTGTAGATCTACCTGTCTGTATTTGAATGATCTCATTATCTGTCGCGACATAAATTACAAATGCGGTCGCCAGAAAGCGATATAAAGTACCTAGTAGCTTTGAGGGCCAGTTAAAATACCAAATAAGGGCTGCCTGGCATAACAAATACCAGCTGGGTGAGGTGTCGCATGTCCTGATTTAGCGCCAGCTTAATCCCAAAGGGCCCAATCCTCTCCATCTGTTGGGTCAGTTTCCTTCCCGAAGTACTGGGTTCGAATCCTAGTCCCGATGTCCAGCTGAATTTGTTATCTTTTCTTTCTTTTTGCTTCCCTTCCTTTTTCTTTTCCCTATCCAAAGCTTGTTGGCAAGGCATCTAGGCTACCCAAGCATATCAACTAATGCAAACAATTGGTAAAGAGACCACCGCCTGCATCTGTATTCTCGGGTATACATGTGTATCTGGCTGTGAATACCAAATGATGGATCTGTTTCATCGGTTGCACGTAGTCCTTTTTTGATCGAAGAATACTAGGTAAAAAATGGGCAAAAACGATAGTTAAAATAGAGTGAAAGCTTTCTATTGTCAATTCCAGCCTCGGAAAGTTTCTTTCAGCTACTATTTTCTTTCTCTTTGCCGCGATTCCACACAATTTCTCAGCATCAATATACCCAACCTCCATCAACATTGTAGACTGCCCCAGTGACGAACGTTGCTTCGTCACTGAGCAGAAACGCAATGACTCTTGCAACCTCCTCTGCAGAGCCAAGTCTTCTCTGCGCATTTGCTAGGATGCCAGACTCCACGCGTTTCGGATCGTTGTGCGCAGACATTGGTGTGAACACAGTGCCTTTTCATTCGCAGTTCCATTAGTCTCTCGTGTCGAATTCTCAATGCCCGAAAAGACAAATATAAAGTCCACAGCAGATCAGAGATATTCACCACTTACCTGGAGCAACACAGTTGATACGGACATCTCTGTTTTCTTTGGCAGTCGATTTCGAGAAAGCAATGACGGCAGCCTTGCTGGAGCAATATGCAGAGCTATTTGGCATGGTGATCTGACCAAAAGTACTAGCCGCAGATACATGAGGGTCAAATTATCAGCTTGACAACCTTGAAATAAATCACACATGACCAGATCCAGATAGTTACTCACAATACTACCCCTTTTCATCACCTTGAGCTGGGCCTTCATGCAGTTGAAAACGCCGAAAACGTTAACAAAGAAAACGAATTCCAACTGCTCTCTGCTCAACTCGGTAGTCGGAACTGAAGGTCCTAGAACTCCCGCCATATTCACGGCACCATCAAGCTTGCCAAATCTCTGCACTGTCTTTTCGATCCAGTCATTCACAGAGTCTTCATTGCGGACATCAACGCGGGTCGCAATATGCTTCTCAGGACCACCTGGCAATGACTCGATGGCCGTCTTTAATGCTTCCTCGTTGAGATCAGCCATGGAAATCTGAGCCCCCCGAGATGCGAGTAACTGGGCAGCTGCAAGTCCCATGCCACTCGCTGCGCCGGTGATAGCAATCTACTGATGGATCAGCCATTTGAACCGGTATAGATAACTGCGAGCACTTCAAGCGACCTACCACTTTGCCTTTGTGGGAAGCCATGATTGCATCCATTGATAGAAGAATACACGAGAGTAAAGCAATGCGGTGCCCGGGCCCTTTAAATTGGCCCTCTTCGGGCTCAGTTGCACTTGACCTGATAGATATCGCGTCGGACTCCGAGCCGAGACAGTAAGGTGGAGATATCAAAGTGGAGACCGAAGCGGAGATGTTTGATATCCTCGAATTGGCCACAGATTTATACTGCATAAGGGATTGAACTGTGTTTTGCACATGATCATACTCCAATTAGCTGATTGATTCGACTTATGTCCCGGACGGGACTGGATCAGAGACTGGCTTGCGAATACGAAATTGCGGGGTTGGCCTGCTGTTCACAGTAGCCGCATGGACTTCCATCAATGTACGCAGTTTCGGAAACAATAAACTCTGAAGGATGCTTCAGTCAAAGTGAAACCGATAAAACCTTTGTATTATCATAACACAATCGACTCAGTATCGAAGCGAATCCGTAAGGCTGCCGTGCACCTCTTCGAACGGAGTCCAATGTTATCTCAGATAAAACAAAAATTCTATGTGCGCCCGCAATTGTTTGCCAATAATGTGTGCTATACATCCCAGGGTTTCTTGCATGTTAAAAGGGAAACGAAAAGTCATCATGCTCCAGTTGCTCCGCAAGCGCAAGGATGTCTTCAGATCCCGTTTCAAAGGGGTCTAGAAAGCCATCCGAATCGTTCCAACCAACCTCGAATGAATTGGAATGATTGTCATACTGCGCTTCATGTCCAAGATTTGGAGTAGATAAAAGCTGGGATGTGCTCGCAGAATCCGACGTATATCGTGGAACGGAAAATGATTGAAGGGATGCCATAGAGACCTGCCTTCGCTGAGCATCTAGAAGCGCCTCTAGATGAGTCAACTCTGCCTTTCGCAATTTAGCAACTACATTTCCCTTTCCGATCATCTCTTCAAAAACAGCTGACATTGCACGACGCCATCCAGAGTCCAGGACGTATGTAGGAAGAATCGCGCTGAGAATTGAGAGGAGTACCGCTGAAGAGAAGGCGTACTCCAATGGAAACGGAAGGAAGGTTTCTGGGAGGAATCAGTAAGGATGCGCTGGTCACATAGCGGTAGATACAAACCAAGCATCTCGCGATCTAACATGTTCGATAGAATGCGTAAGGATGTCGTTGCGGACTGAACCGACTTTTCAAGCAGTTTTGCGATTGGGCGAGGTAATAACCGCAAGTCAAAAGTGCTAGGAGTCACACTCCGGATAAGAAGCCAAAGCACCAAAGGTCGAGTTGCCAATACAATGCACTGCAAAGTGAGTCACTAGTGTTGTGTTTGGAGATTGATGTGAACTTACATGGTGGTGAGATAGCGTGATGCCGTAGAAAATATGAGGGAGCTCTCCTCCATTGGCTTTGAAGCTAGATGTGACCTCGTCTATCTCACGCGAGACCTCGGCCAGCTTATGTAGAACCGAGGTGATACTGGAAACAAAGTCAGGTCCCATGTTTTCGTCAAAGCTATAAATAGCTGGAATGAATGAATATAGTCAGCCAATATCTCGAGCAGGTGGGAAGCAGATAGGCACATGAACAGAGCCAACGTACTACTATAAATCATTGAATTAATCTGCGACAGACGACTTCGCAATGCGAGTGCTTTCGTGGGCATTGACAGAGACTGTGTATCAGGTAAAGGCATGGTAATGCTGTTTAATGGGATGGTAGGAGGGCATCCAAGACCTGCTGTGAGCTCTTGATCGATCACGTATATTGTCCACCATACGTTACTGCAGCGAGTGGTAATATCAGGGTCTATGACGTCTTCCGACAACCTGCGATGGAGACCATCGTGGAAGGCAAGACGGAGAGCTTGACCAATCTGCGTCGCTCGTCAGCACCGAAATGTTTCGGACGGATGGACCAAGGTATAACATACATATTGATATGCCGGGGACCGCATGTCGACTGACTGGAAATACAGCGCAATCAGAGCGCAAACCTCAATGGAAAGCAAAGCTGGACGCTCATCTTGTAGGAACGCCACATCTGGAAGTAATGACAGCGCGCGTGTCGCAAGATCAGGCCCAGAGGGTGAAGCGGTTGTTTGATTCGGGTAGGAGATAAGCGCTTTCCCAAACGCGATGACTATCAGGTACTTGATAAACCAGAGGAGATGTGTCTGTGCTGTTTTTAATGGATTCTGGTGGAATTCATCAAAAATTCTCAAGAAATTCTTCTCATCCACAATTCCGAAAAGCTCACCTAGGCGGAACTTGACTGTGTTGTACAGGAGCAACGCATGGTCTACCGGTGGAAGCCTGACCAAGTCGTTGGAATCAACTTCTGTCTTTGGCTGCCAACGTAGGCGGAAGGCGGTGCCATCCAGGTTTAGTGGTGCACGATGCGTCGTTGGATAAGAGACATCATCTTCCAACAGCCTGAAGACGCGTCGACAGAATGACCATGTGGAAGTATGTCCAAGAAATACTGTGAGGCGACCAGGGTAAGCAATGAGACGAGTGACTGAGGTTGAAGGCAACATACAGAGGCGACGATCATCCGAGCCGCTTACATAGGCCACGTCCCTTGCAACGAGAGGGTTGTATGCTTCCGGGAGATTGGATGATTCGCGTTGAACACGGTTGTTGGGACGGGTCGTCGGTTCGGCCAAACCAAGACTATCACGGGTCGTAAGGTTATTTGCTATCGACGGGGTCAGACACGAACTACGTCAGTAGCTTTCTGCAGAATGGCCGCATACAGTCAATGTTCCCGCGCGGCAGTGAACTTGGTGTCAAAAGGTCGTTGTTTGTTATCGCTCTCGCTCTCGTATCTAGAGAGGTCGGCGTTATCGCCGGTGGATCGGGGTCGGAGACCGATACCGACCCCCGCCAATTTGGCGGCCTCGGGGTAGTGGAAGTGCCCTCAGATGACAGGGCTTTGAATTGGGCAACTTGACGCTGCAGATCCTGTAGATAGCGCTCTGGCACTGACACGTGAGCCTCGTCGGCAGGGAAGACGCATGTATCGCGGCGACGGGTGCATCGCGCACAGGGTCGCGACCCCGAGCACCGAACCTTGGCAGTCCGACATTGCTTACAGCTGGTGAAAAGTCAGTATAACCATTGCTGTTAGTGAGAGATTTCTTACGCGTGAGCTCGACGAGAAGGGCGCGAGGCTTCGAATGTGTTCATTATCGGAGGTCTGAGGAAGTGTAACGCGGAGCAAACTCCGACCCATCATCCCCGAGATAGCGAGGATCGGGCCTGGTGGGGTAAAGATAGCAGATTGGCCATACCTGGGCACTGTGTATTAATTTTGAAAACTTTTACTCTTTGCTGGTGATCGCGATAAACTAGGATGCTGAGATTACTGAAAGCTGATGATCATGACACAATGTGGTATCGAATGCTGAAGGCCAACTGTATACTCCGTACATTTGCATCGATGAGAACGCGCACTACCACAATAAACTCTTCCTAGGTTATTATTCCGTTTTGCATTGCCGAGCTCATGAACGAGGATTTGATAACTTTGACCTTATCCGCCTCCACGGGCTTGGGAATTTCCTTCCCACGGTGCTTCGGTAGCTGATGCAACACTTGCCTCAGGAGTGATGATGTGACACAGTCGCAAACTCGCCCATGTGCGCTCTTGGAAGTCCACATTACCTCTACAGATTCTCGAGAATACTCCGCACACATAGACTTGTTGTAACCCATCACAAATGCTGAAGTCATGTGCGGAGTACATCGAGATACTATATCACATCGGCCGACAGCCAGCCGGGCAGCCCCACATCGCTCCCGCGGCACTCATCCGCCGCGGGGCCGTAGAATCCACTTGGATAGTGTGTCATTCAACTGTAGCATTTGATTGGAGACTACTTGGGAGCCCATGGGTAACATGCGGGGAATGGCCCTTGGTGTCACCTGGGGGAGACTATAAACATTCTGTTCGGGCGCTGTAAATGCCCTTGTGTTGAGCTCCCCGGTAGCCATTTCACTCAGAACAAACAGCCTTGAAGTACTACGTAGGAGAACCATGTCCGAGATCAAAGATTCAAACCCTTCATTCGTCCTTGAATCGATTCGACATGTTAATTTCCGAGACGTACCCATCCCTGAAATCAATGATCCATACGATGTGATCGTTCAGATCAAACAAACAGGGATCTGCGGGTACGTACAGCTATCTTGAACGCCTGAGACATTTTCGCACCAGCAATATTGACCAAGGCGCTTATCTGAGCAGCTCAGATGTACACTACTGGCAGCGAGGCCGCATCGGAGACTTCATCCTCAACTCCCCTATCGTCCTTGGACACGAATCCGCCGGAACAGTGGTAGGCCTAGGAAAAGCAATCAAGCATCTCAATATCGGCGACAATGTAGCCATCGGGCCCGGCGTTCCATGCCGTCACTGCTCATATTGTCGAAGTGGCTCATACAACTTATGCCCAGATACAGTGTTCGCAGCCACCCCTCCCCACAACGGCACGCTTTCGAAATACTTCAAAACTGCCGGTGACTTCTGTTACCCCTTGCCGTTTCATTTGAGTCTCGAAGACGGCGCTCTATGTGAGCCCGTTGCATGTGCTGTTCAGATCTGTCGTGTCGGCAAGGTTCGCGGTGGACAGACGGTCGTCGTGTTTGGGTGTGGGCCCATCGGACTTTTGGTACAAAGCGTGGCGAAGCAGTACGGAGCGAAGACTGTGATTGGAATCGACATCAACCACAAGAGACTGGATATGGCGATGAATGTCATGCAGTCCGCGGATGGTGTCTTTGAGCCACCGCAGTGGCCGAGAACGGACCCCCACGACGCAGACGCAGAAGTGGCTTTCTATGGGGATGTTGCTGAAAGGATCAAGTCGGAATTCAAATTGGGAGATGGCCCTGATGTCGTGATAGATGCTACTGGGGCTCAGAGTGCCATACAAACTGGTGTTCAGCTTTGTAAGAAGGGCGGCATGTTCGTTCAGGCTGGCATGGGACGCGAGGTACGCCGACGCTGTTGAACAATCGACCTGAGCTGACAATCTCGTCAGAACATCGTCTTCCCGATCACCACCGCCTGCATCAGAGATCTCACGATTAGGGGATCCATCCGATATAAGGCTGGAGTATACCCTGCCGCCATCGATCTCGTGGCGAGTGGTCGTGTGAAGCCTCAGAAGCTCGTCACACACAGGTATAAGTTTGACGAAGCCGAACAGGCATTCGAGAAGGTGAAGAACGGAGGGGAAGATGTTTTGAAAGTGATCATCCACGGAGTGGAGTGAATCAAGAAGCCAACAGGAAGCTTAAAATCGAGAACGAGCTCGGGTTTTGAGCATCTCAATCTGATCATGAAAGTTTCATTGTCCGTCTCAATATCCGAGTCTTGCTGTGCAACAGAAGAACAATTTCATAAATTTCCTCAATGGAAGATCCGACAACAGAGAATCTCTCAATGGTTCCAATGGTGTTCTTTTGTAGAGTATCAATGTCCAGAACTAGATGCGTCAACGCAGGGCTGACAGAGCTCAAAGTAAGGAGAATGATTGAAGAAAACATGCTAGAAGAAAAGCTTAGCTGACCGAAAAGATGATTAATGGCAGTTGTAACATACGTATGAATGATAATTTCCGCGCAAAATGATGGATTCATCAATCTGCGCGTTGAAGCCTCCAAATAAGCCCGGCAATTGGCTATGCTAGCCTCGCATTGCTGAAGAATCATTGGTGGTACTTCTGTTTCCGGAGACAAATCAAGGGCACAGAGAAGGAATGGCCTTGTGATGATATCCTTTGCAGAGTGAAAGCGATGGAGCATGTTTACCCGAAGACCAGTAAATCGAGATTCATCATTCATGTCGGGCTTGATGGTCCGTGGAAGTAATTCGAACCAGTTGTCAAGTTGTCGATCGAGTTCCTGTGACACGCTGAGGATATTGGAAAGTGACTGGAAGTCATATGAGGGACTATCACTCGAAGCCGGTTGGAGTCCAAGACTACGTCGCGTCCAGTCACTACCGTACATGGTATGGTGAACGCGATTGAGGAGGCGACGAACGGAAAGTTCCGCAAGAAAAACATTTGTTTCTTGGGCCTCGTGATTTGCGAACGACGGAAAAGGGGTCAGATCAATGACATGCTCGATTCCACTCCGAGGTAAGTGGTGTTCTGCGATCAAATCACTGAAGTACATGTCAGCAAATGTTTCTTTGATCTGGATGAGAAGGCTAACCATTCGGTGTCAAAGGCTGCCCAAGACAGTAAGATTATACTAGACTTGAGGTCGTGGTTATCAGGCGAAGCCTGGCTCCTATAGAGCGAAATGAATTATTAGTAAAGCAAAATTAAGAGAAGACGTGGGGTCGATCAAGGCTCACCGGCTGTTCAAATATTGAATGCTGGTCGAAGCCATGTGTATCAACTTCCAGGATTGGAGAGGTCGCAGTAGAAACCCGAAGTATTTAGATACCAATATCAAGCTCTGGGGTAGTGTGATTGTCGGACAAAATGACAGCAGGTACTCGTTCATCAATATCTGCAACGCGGGTGAGATGTAATCTCCTCCAGGTACCCAGTATGCGGAAACTGATTTTGTTGGATCGGTCTGTTCGAGCGCGGCTGATCCCAACGCGAGAACTGCGAGACATAGTGCAGAGTCACAGTCGACCTTCAACCCTGACCTGATATGGCGATCATACAAAGCCAAAAATTGATCTTTGTCCAGGATCGGCATCTCAATATGGACGTATTTGAAGTATGCCTCCACGAGGGGAAAAGTGTTCCCTTCATCAAGTAAAGGGAGTTGTTCTGTGTTTATTGTTCCCGGGACGAAAGACAGCTGGGGAGGCATGTGCCGATTTGATTCAGCCCGTATAAACAGATCAGGTGGGAATTCCCCAAAGAGAGTTTTCACTTTATTCATATGCAGCATATATTCAGTAGTAGTAGTGTGGCCCGTTGGGATACTCATAGGAGGAATATCATGTTCAGGCGGCATGAAGGGAGAATTAGTGCTGTTGATGAGTCGAGAAACGTCCACTGGATTTGGTCGTGACGGTGAAGATATCAATACTGAAGGCTGAAACTCTGCCCTTTCATTCTCAGAATGAGCGACAGAAAAAGAGAAGCCATTTCTAGTTTCACCGGTTTGAGGAGTTGGAGGAAGCCTTGGGGTGTTCCACAAAAAAGTTTCGACTGCGTCAAGGCGTCGAAAAAACTCCGAGGATGAAGTCTCTGATCGAGGCCTGCAAGAGTTAGCAACCACTTCATCACGACATATCTGGAAGTCTCATGCTCACTTCAAAGACTCGGGCTCGTTATATACACATTCCACGCCCGAGTCTTCACAGAGGCCGCACGACGGAACAACGCCGTTGCATCGCCGTTTCCTGGTTGGTCAGTCTCGGCAAACAAACGATGGGATTGTGGACATACCGCCTACGACAATGATTGCACGCAAGTGAAGCGCGTTTTCGAGTGCTATCCATGGACAATCGGTTATTCGAACATTTGGGTCAGCAATGTCGATGTAGATGATGGCGGGAAAACATCCGCTTTCGTCCCGCATTAGTCATCTGACTCGGGGCCGCCAAGACCGCATCACCGACCTCCGACGGCATCCCGGGAAACCCAAATGCTCGGCGGACAACGCCATTTTCATTAGTTCGTCGATCATTTCGAGCATATTGCTAGGCGAGACGCTTGACTAAACTACTCACCTGCAGAAAGACTATCTTGAAGCCTTGAAATGGCCTCTTCACCGGAGTCTGAGCCTCTATACTGGAGTATAGTACACGGGAAGTATTATCTTCTCCGAAACCACATTTCTTCCACAAACAAAGCTTGCTGTCGATAATTTGGCCTCAGGTTTGCGTTCTGAATTGCAATGAGAGCTCTCATATCGATATCAACGCCAAGCAATCTCACACTGGCCGCGTGCAAGTTCGCCGGATTCGGCACGTGACATTCCGGGCCGATAGCATCGGGAAAGTGGGGCTCCACTTACTTCCTTCCCCGTTCAGAGTTTTCTTGGCTGGGACTGGGGTAGTTTCGTTTCTTTTGATCTTGTCATCAGTCACTGAATTGATCGTCACCATCTCAATTGAGTTGCGAAAGGTTTCGACTTTGTCGAACTACCATCATGAGAGACGAAGAATCTGTTCCCGTTGACAAGAAAGATGTCACGGGTGGAGCCTATGAGAAGGACACGGACAAGCCTCTGGATGCTAACACGCTGGAGCCCTTCGGGAACGAGGAACATGCGGAGGTCAAATATCGGACCATGCAATGGTGGTAGGTTTTGCACTCTGCTTTGAGAATTGTGAACATTGATATGAACATGGCTAATCGTGACAAACAGGCACTGTGGAATGCGTGAGTGCTTTGTCTCACATATGACGCATTTTGAAAGTTCCAATCTCTAACAAAAAGACCAGTCATGATCGCTGAGAATGTTTCAGTCGGTATTCTATCTCTGCCATCCGCTGTGGCTACCCTGGGAATGGTCCCGTACGTCTTTTATCTTAGATTCAAGGGTGTCTGACTAACCTCGAAATACAGCGCTGCTATCATGATTCTTTTCATTTCGGCTCTTTCATGGTACACGGGCTATGTCATTGGCCAGTTCAAGCTCCGTCACCCGGAGATTCACAGCATGGGAGATGCGGGCGAGCTTTTGATGGGTCCCTTCGGCCGTGAGCTGCTGGGACTCGGCCAGCTTCTCCTATTAATCTTCCTCATGGCTAGCAACATTCTCCTGTTTAGCACGTTGATGAATGTGCTGACAGATCATGGTACCTGCACTTTGGTCTTCGGTGTTGTGGGATTGATCATCTGCTTCTTGGGTGCCTTACCGAGAACTATGGACAAAGTCTACGTGATGTCCGTGATCTGTAAGTATAACTATATCTTTCCAAGGTACCTCCAGCTGACATTTACGCAGCATTCTTGAGTGTCTTCGTGGCTACAGTCATTACCATGATTGTCTCTGGAGTGGAGACAAAAGAGCATGTTATCAATGAAGTCACCACAGAAGTCGGGTTCCGTGAAGGTTTCCTGGCTGTGACTAACATCATCTTTGCTTACCGTATGTTGAAACCTGTGTTCTCTCTTGGCGATGTTCCTATGACACGAACTTACACAACTCCAGTTGCCCATGTTGCCTACTTTGGGTTTATGTCTGAAACAGAAGACCCACGCACATTCAACAAATCGTTGGCAATGCTGCAAATCATTGATACAGTCTTGTATCTGGTTGCTGCTTTGATTATTTACCACTACGTTGGACCAGATGTAAAGTCGCCTGCCATTCTCTCCTTGAGCCCTTTGATGAGCAAGATTGCCTGGGGTATCTCGATTCCAACTGTGAGTTTCGCCTCCTTATATCTAAGATTGATATGCTAATGCACAAAGACCATTCTTTCTGGTGTCGTGCTGGGACATGTTGCTTGCAAACAAATCTACGTGCGCATTTTCCGTGGATCTGACAAGATGCACAGCAACAGCTTCGTCTCCGTTGGTTCCTGGGTTGCTATTTGCCTGGTGATTTGGGTCATCGCCTGGGTTGTTGCAGAGTCTATTCCTGTATTCAACGATCTCCTGAGCCTGATTGTAAGTTTTGGCATCCACTCGTTTGTCGAGAAACATTGGCTAACCAGTCATCACAGAGCGCTCTATTTGGAAGTTGGTTCAGCTGTAAGTCTACAATTCGAAATTCGCCCGCAGCTCAAAGAGGAATACTAACATGGGCATTAGTTGGACTTCCTGCCATCTTCTGGCTCTACATGAACCAAGGGCGATATTTCCAAAACTGGAAGAAGGTGGTTCTGACCATCACCAACCTCGGTGTTCTAGCTATTGCATTTGCTATTGTAAGCTTTGTTTTCCTGCTACCATCGACTATTGCTAATTTTCCCAGTGTGGGTTAGGTTTATACGTATCTGGTGTGGCCATTCACAACGACTCCGGCACTTCAGCTTGGTCCTGTGCCAACAACGCTTAAAGCATTATTTGTATCATACTCATCTATGTAAAACTGAATCATACATGACTGCATTTTCAAGACTTTTGCTTCTTTTTCTCGTCGTGAAGAATGCCACGTTCCTCGACCATCGATGAAATTGCCTCTCCAGTTTCACCCCCCAGCTTTGAGAATCCCTTCACCACCCCATCCCTGTCACCAGGCCTCATCTCTTGGCTCATTTTGAATTTGCCTTGTAGTTTATCAATTCTGATCTGCACCCCGACAATATTCCTCTGCAACAACTCAATGTACTTTTCAGGTGCATCGGTCACTTTCCATGGTTGGGGCCTCTCTCCGCCGGTATAGCCCATGATCGATGTTTCGGTATGCTGTGACAGATCATGCAGTTGCTGCGCAAGAAATTTCCCGGCCTCTGGGCTTTTTGAGTCATAATAGAGGGAAAGTTTGCCATAGACTTGGACAGCAGAATAGTTCCAAGTGGGAACGACTTTGCCTGAGTCGGGCTTTGTCTCAACATAGTATTTTGGTGTGACGTAGTGGTCGTGTTTGCCGTTGAACACTACAAGAACATCCTGCTCCAGTGTGATCACATCATCCTTGTTCTCCAGGGATTCGATCATGCCCTTAACTTGAGGGTTTTGTTTGGCAATGTGAGCTCGGAGACGTCCCTGGGGAGCGGAATCGTCGCAATCTTCCGGGGCGTCGAGCACAACGGGTACATGGGTGCACTGCAAGAATTCTTGAGAAGAATCGATGCCGGTAATCAGCATACCCAGGGGGTTCTCTCGAATGAATTGAAGAAGCACAGCAGTGTCCGTCTCGGCATGGACGCTTGGGATAAACATTTTGCGATGGGTATTCCACGGATGAGAGGGTTGGCGTGAAGAGCTGATTTCTGGGGGCACGAGAACTAGCCCTTTATAAATGCTAGAATTTTTATGACTAGATGAAAACTATTGTGAGTCATGAAAATAGTGAGTTTCTCCATCTCAAACTGATCTCACACTGGGCCTGGTCAGCGCTATACCATGATCAGATAATGTTGCGCCGATAAATTTATATTTGCAACATGTGTGGATGTGTCTCCAGCCAATCATGAATGCTGCGAAGGGTGATTATTCCGCGAGGTGGAAATCTAGAATTCACTTCGTACCTTGCATCGGTCTGGCAGGCTCGAAAGCGACAGGATCCATAGGTGGGGCACTAACCAGTGCAGAAGCCAACCATAGTTCACCGTCGCTCTCGTGGACTCCATTGGGTATAGCGCCAATCCATTTCCCGGTGATTCTACATAAGGTTCGTGGGGCAAACTTTGAATGACCCAAAAATGGAAGCATAAAACAACACTTGGAAGGACATTTAAAAGACACGTGAAAAAACTTGAAAAAAAAACTTAAGAAGATACTTGAGAAGACATTTGAGAAGACACTTGAGAAGATACTTAAAAAGATATTTAAGAAGATACTTAAGAAGACATTTAAAAAAACACCTAAAGATACTTGAAAACATATCTCTCAATATCACCAGCATTGCCCTCCCCCGACTATAACGGGACATGGGACGTGGCATCTTAATGCCGATGAGTTGGCAAATTGGTGTGCGGCGTACAAGCGTAAGTACCAGAATGAGGAAAGCAATATTTGGAGCAGATACTAACTATTCTATTATTTTAGCCAATGAAAACCAATACTTCCTGCGCCTTGATAAAGACCTTGAGATATTTGGCGCGGTCGTTGGAGCTGTTTCGACTCTTCAGACTATTGTTAAAGGAGGATATTGGTTGTATAATTTCTACCGGAAGAGGGGCCAGGAAAAGAAAACCCGGGCGGATCTTGAGACGGGCCTAGGTATTCCCAAGAGAAAGTCCGCTGAGGACATGCTCTCGCGAGCTGAGCATGCCGATGGAGGTAAAGGACTCCGGCGCCGTTTCTTCAACAAGACCGACTAGAGACTGGACAGTTGACCAGTAAAACTTGTATGAGTGAAAATGTATGCTTCTATGAAAATGTTCGGTTATATCAATGACTTGATTACCATCTGCTTTCCTCGGCAGGTGTGCTTCCATCTAGTACTACCACACACCTAATGAGTGATAATACATATACGTTCCCGACGATGAGCCCGACGGACCCACATATATAATTAATTCCATGAATGCCTCGAAGAAATGCTGGGCGCGCTGCCAATTTCGGGATGTGGGTTTCTTGGGGGGCGCTGGAACCACCCAGGTCCAAGAATCTCGATATGTAGCCTGGAGGCCAAGTCGGAACCGGAAATAATTCTTCACTTTCTTTCGTGAAGGCCCATTTAATAAGATGTACCAAATGCCTACTGCTTTATCGTAGGGCATGATAGGCTCATATCTCTGGCTTCTAAGGAAAGCGAGATTGTGACATCTTAACCTCCTGTATGATTGCTGTACCAGGGCTTCAAAGGTCTCGCGAGTCTCCTGGCGTCCAGGTAAGTGTACCTTCATAGGCCCAAAAGTACTGTCAAAAGGGTGAGATGGCCTGCGAATATGCTTCCTCCAGGAAAAGTCATCTCGTTTAAGAATAGGGCCTAGGTCAACCCATCTTGTCATTATGAGCGCCGCCTTAGAGCTGAATGGACAAAATTCAAGCTCGGCGTTCACCAAGCAGTATCGACAGGTAAAGTTAAAGCAAGTCTGGTTTCCGTCCTGGAGGGATCGTAGCACTGTGCTAGGGGCGACCTCGTGGGTGGCCATCTCACTCATGATGGCCTTGTTGGGAAGGGTGTTGCGCAGAAAAGCAAACAGCGTTTGGTGAACACAAATTTCGTAGTTGTCCAGGGGATGGCCAGAAGAAACGTAGGGATTGGTCTGAGAGAGAAAGTCGGCCTGTTTGTCCAAAAGTACTATGTCTTGCATCCGAATTTGGAAAGCGAGTGGCTCAGGGCATACTTGTCCCTCTATTGAGAACAGCGATATCATTCCAGGGCGCGTCTGGTGGTAGCAACCTTCTGTAAACGATAGGGACTCAAGGCTAATACCAGAGCCTAGCCCATGATGAAATCTTTTCATAGCAAGCCTGATGTGTAAAAATGACAGATTTGACGTTTGGTGATCGTCCCGCGAATGGGTTCTTAGGCCGTCTTTCCAATTCTTGTGGCTTTGAACACATGGAAGGTCACGGGTTCTCGGGGTAAACCCCTGGATTTCGAATCCATCGGAAGCTTCGTACTGGTGCAGAATGTTGCAAATATCGCAGGCAAAGAATTGCGGGAGATCGCATTCTAAACGTCTTAAGAGCGACCACTTTTCATCCTTTGTCGATAGAGGTCGAATTTCTCTATCTGCCTGAGATAGGTCAAAAATTTGACGGTTGCAAAGAGCAAAACAAATGAGATCAACAGGCGGCAGGAATTCAGACACCGATGAGATAAATCTCGTACATAGTCCGGCGTAAGAGCTGGTTACCCCATGTAGGTGCGTGGTTTTGGATTCGACACAAGCGTCTAAAAATATCATGGCGACAATCGACAGAGTGCGTTGAGCTGAAAAAAGTTAAAAAATGAAGAAAGTGCAGGCGCGGCAGGATAAATGAATGTTGCGTTGAAGCTTCCAAGCTTATATCACTCTGACTCTTCCTTGTACAAAACTACCGAGTTTAGTCGCGGCCACGAGCCGGACCTTATTTTAAGGTTTCATTGTTTGTCTGATCTTGGAATACAACTCCGGCTTCCTAAATAAGAAAAGTGCCTAAATCTCTTCCTTGCAACCCTAGTCCTGACACTTTGGATTATGGCTTCTGTGGCATGCGGCTCCCCGGGGCACCCATTCCCGGAACTTAGTGTATGAGATGCATGGATATTGTGGGGTTCTAGGGTGCAACTCCCCGAAAGGTGGCCCTGGGAATCGGCCACGGCGACAACTATTGGTAGGCCTGATCCCACCTCACGCCATAGGTATACCGCGGACGATGTAGGAAGAATACCATTTTGAAAATAAAAGATCATGATAACCCAAACGACCCTGACCAATTTTGGAGTTGTAGACCTGCGTACTATGGGGTGAAGACACCACTCCGAAAGCTCGGATAGGTGCTCCGCCGTTGCCCGCCATTACCCCCACAGTGGCAAATCCAGACCAACACACATCGGTCCGGATCTGATCCATTCAACCACCTTTCCTCCCTGGGTGATAGGATGATCTCCAGCCTTGCCTTTAGGGTGTCCAATGTACAAACCTGCACCGTCAAGGCCAAAGAAGACCAACATCGTTCGGTCGCGTAACGGCTGCAAGGGTTGCCGCGAACGTCGCACGAAGGTACGCCAAACTCACTGCCTCAGACTGAACGAGAGCTCACGCAAAGAAAGTGCGATGAAAAAACACCAGTATGTGGGACATGCTCTAGACTCGGGAAGCATTGCGAAAGAGTGCGACCTGAGTTGAAATTTCGAGTGGTGACGGGCCCGGCGACTGGCACACAGACGGATCTTTCCGATTCTGATGCAAAAAGCACAACATCACAGGTCACCAGTCCTGGCGATGGCTCACATAACCATGAGTACCCAGCTATCGGCGGCAGTCTCGTGCGCTCGCTCCAGCATACCGAGCGTGATGTCTTCTACTCAACCTACTGGGAGGATCACTGCCTGCCAGCACTGCCCCCGATGTTTCGCTCAATATCTGAGCTACTCGGATTTGCTCCCTTGAGAGGTGCTATTCTTGCTCTTTCTGCGTGCAACATCAGCCGCATTCAAGCCGAACAAAAATCATCGGCAAGCTTGATGAGCGCAGGGACTTATCGACCAAACCTGCAACACCAAACGCGCAGTCAATTATACTATTCCTCGGCGATCAAGACCTTTACCTCGCTCACTCCAGCCGACTATACCAATAATCTTCCGGTGATCTTGGCCATACTGGTTACATTTGGCTACATCGAATCATCGATGGGCAATTTCGACGGTTTCAAATGCCATGTTCAAGGGTTGTCGGCATTTCTTGTCGAGCTTCGGGAAGGCACAAACGATCCACTGATCAGGGATCTTCTAGCTGCGTGGTTCCAATCGCAGTTCCTTGTCTGGTGGGCGCGTGCATATTTCAGCTCCTTGGACGTCCAACGACATCTGCCATCCATCCATATGCCAACTGTGCTTGCTGAATCCCCTGGCTCGCTTCATGAACGACGAGCAGTGGTTTTGAGCATCTTATGCGAATCGCATCATGTGAACACAAAGGAGACACTAGGGTATTGGGATCAATCTGATATGTTGACAATGACATCATTCCAGGGATCCCAGGTGGAATTCAAACCCCTTTGGGTGGTGCAGCTGGAAGATGCTTCCACAAGACTGGACGCCTGGATAGCGCACTTACCGCCATCAGAGCAACCGATACAAGATGCAGCGTCACCCATGTCACCCATTTTGTTCCATTCCCACGATGCATCTCTCAATTTCGCTTACTACGTGGCTGCCCGCATCATGCAATGTACATCATTCTTGCACAGCCTTCAGGCATACGATTCGCAAAGTCTCCACAACGGATGCTTTGAAACCGAGAACTGGGTTCGCCTACTGCTACAAATTTCTCAAGGCGTCGACATGTACACCTCGATTACCATGAACACCTATACTATTGGCTTTTCGGGTCTGCTACTAGCGGCCTCTCTCCGTTGTCAGGACCTCTCACTTGGACTGGACATCGAGCAATGGCTGCAGAATCTCAAAGATATGCAGCCAACAGAAGAAGGCGCATTTCCAATATATCAGACGCTTGCCGTTGTCAAGGCGATTAATCAACAGAGAATGCTCGGTCGCGACGTGTTTGGTGTCTCGCAGCCAGTGGACGACGGGGGTGGGAGCCCGAAATTCCACGGCTATAACAGTCAAGTAATCAGCAGCCTGTTAATGCATGGTAGGTGGAGAGACTCTGGCGATTTCTTTACAGAAAAAATGGAGCTTGATATATGATGTGCAGACTCTGCACGGTTTTGTAGTAATATGTTGAAAATACTTCCCAGCTTGAACTATGTAGAACATTTTTCTTGGTCATTGGTCCAAAATGGTTAAGTCAACGTGAGTCAATCTTGCACGAAGGTAGTAAAGACTGGAGACGGCGATAAAAATCTTCGCATAGAAAGCGCGTCCTAGAGGTATGGCCAGACAATTGGAAAGCTAACCTTCAAAAACAACCTTGTGGGTCATCCAAAAGACGGTCCTCTTGTGCTTCTTTCGGATTGGAGGATCGTTCTGGCACACCCAATCGGGCAATGATGTGGGCCGTCATGGGCAAATCAGGGTCGCGGGTATCAGAAGTGAAGCTGTGCAAATCAAAACAAGTGAACCGGTCCGATGCACCATTGAACTGCAAAGCCGATATTGTAATATCTCTGAGTCACTATACGAGATCTCATCTAAAAAGGACATCGTTGTCGAATTGTTGGAGTTTCGTATTTTTCAACCTGAGTACTACCACCGAAAATGCCCCTGTCAATCAGTAATTTACTTTGCATACCCACGAAAAAACAATCTAGATGCAGGGTTCAAATTCATCTTGAGAGTCCGAAACCTTTCTACACACCCGGGGATGTGGTCAAAGGAACCGCATCCATTTTGGTTCCACGCGATACTGAGCTGGATCATGTCCAAATCATTTTGGAAGGTATTGAGACATTACTCCCCTTGAGCTTCATGGTAGCACATTGAGCTAATCGGTTTCCTTCATCTTGTTTTAGGCAAGGTTCGAACAATGGTTCCTCGGTCGTCTCAGAACAACCGGATCCCTTTCACCCTGGAGCATATTTTCCTTCAACTGAAGCAGCCCATCAACGAAACCACCTTCACTCCAAAACACGTCTCTCCGTCTATCGACCTGCACGATATCCCGTTTCTCTTCACCATTCCAGACCGATTGATTCCTGGGGCATGCACGCAGATTAAGAACGACACGCATGCCGGCCATTCGCATACAGCCCTCCTGCCATCACTAGGCGACCCGGACATCAGCTTCGGAACAGCATTGCCCTGTGACATGATGCCAAAATCTGGCCAAGTCACATATAGAATTCATGCTTCTGCTTTGGCCTTTACATTGTCTACCGAACGGAAAGCAATGTCATCGACAGCATCAATCCCATTATACGTGATCCCAGTGGCATACGAGGGATCTGCGACACTTGCCGGAGCATCCAGTCAGATCGTACACAACAGCTCTCACATCAAGCGTGGGAAGCTTCATGGGACCGCAGGGAAACTATGGATCTCGTCAGAGAAACCTAAGCCCATGCGCTCACCAATGCGAGGGTCCTCCACCGATGAATATGGAAGTACCTCAGTCACCGTCGATGTCAGATTCCACCCTGCGACGCAAAGCGACCTGCCTCCATGTCTTGACACACTAAAGCTAAAGCTTCTGTCCTGTACGTCTCTCGCAGTTCCTGCAAGTAGACTGCACAGCGGATTAAGCAATGTGTGCTTCGCGCATGATCAGCGATGCTTCTATAACGATACCACAAACCTTCCAACGATGGACATCAAATCCGCACAATGGACCAAACATGTCTCGGAAGATGGATATGATAGCGATGACTCAGTACACGGTGCAACAACGCATGGCATCTTTTTCACCGCCCAGTTAATCGTGCCTGTCGTTCTTCCCAAGACCAAGTTGTTTGTGTCTGATTTCCAGTCTTGTGTGATTTCTCGCTCATACTCCCTTGATCTCTCTTTAAGCTACCATAAGGCTGGGATAAGCCTTGCTACCTCGAGGTTATCTCTCCAAGTGCCCGTGTCAATCCATGAGTGCGTAAAGAGAAATGCACTCGCCAGTGTTGAGACTGATCGCCACGAATTCGAAAAGCCGATCATCAACACTGATCTTTGAAGTTAGACTCAAGATAATACCCGTCAGCTTCAGGTGTTGGTTACGTTTGGCAAATTCAACTGTTGTCATAATGTGAAAGTTTGAATCATAGATTGCTCATAAAAGCGGGTTTAAAGTAGGGTGTAGCGCGCAAAATTCGATAATCTTTGGAACACCCAAGAATACCTGGCTCTAGGTAGTTCGTGTTTGCCCACAGTGCTATATAAAGAAAAGAAGTATTAATAGGTAGTAAATAGTTGGATGGACAGCTAGAAAGACCCCGAAAAAGACAGCCAAGTTGTAAATACTCCCCAAGTTGATGTCCCTCTCTTACGTTACCAGTCGAAATTAGGTTTTACATATTGATCAATTTTGATGTTAATAGAAGAGACATTTACATCGCAAGCAGAACACCGATCAATGCAACCCTGAAATAAATTATTGCATCGGATCAGCCCACTCCGCCTGAGGTCTCCGCTGGTGATCCCCGCTTCAGTGGGATTGTCCCGCCTCACATCCGCCCGACCTCCGTGTCCCCCGCCCATTTCCCCCTCCTTCACAAACACTCCCAGCTGACTCCCCTCGGCTGACAGACCGCCGATATTTTGGGGAAATATATTCGCGTCGTCTTCGACATCGATCACCTCGCCGAAATTCTTCTCTCCGCATCTAGCAGATAGCTAGCCTCCATAGTCTATATAGTTTTCACTCTCCATTGAATCAGCTCATCTCCGTCATTTCCTACAGTATCTGTCTCTTTTCTGGATATATACAAGGGAATCTGTTTCTCTTATTCGCAGCGTCACTTTTTCTACAACAATTATTTGGATCTGCCTGGTCGGCTTTAACGCATCAACATGTCAAACCAAACACCTTCAACAGGCGCAGGAGAGGATCAGCGGGCTTCCCTTACCTCCAGAATCATCCCTACGATGACACTTTCCAAGGGCACTAGCCCGCTTACATGCCCTCTACCTCCTGTCCCGTTCACCTCCGCCCGCGAGCGAGCTGAGGCACGATTCCAAGTCCTCGGCAAAGCCGTTGTGACAGGCGGAGCGGGGGTCCTCGGTCTGATCTCCGCGCAAGCCCTGCTCGAGCACGGACTGTCATCGCTATGCATTATGGATCTACCACAAACACTTGAGGTATCGAAGTCGCAAATTGCATCGCTCGCGTCAAAGTTCCCCTCTGCGCTCATTTCGCAGATCCCACTGGACGTGACTTCGACAGATTCTATCAAAGCAGCATTTGATACCGCAACTGAGAGAATGGATGGCATTGACATTCTCTGTTGCTTCGCTGGAATCCCTGGATGTCAACCCTCGTTGACAGTGACACCCGACCAATTCAACAGAGTGATCGACGTCAATCTGAATGGGTCCTTCTTCTGCGCTCAAGCAGCGGCAAAAGTGATGGAAGCCTCTGGCAAAGGAGGCAGCATTCTACTAACAGCATCGATGTCGGCTCACTACACCAACTTCCCACAGCCGCAGGCTGCGTATAACGCGAGCAAGGCTGGCATTGCGCATCTGACTCGTAATTTGGGTGCCGAGTGGGCTGTTCATGGAATCAGAGTGAACAGTATCAGTCCGGGGTATATGGACACTATACTCAATGCTGGAGATGGGTTGGCGGATATTCGAAAGGTGTGGGACGAACGCTGTCCTATGGGTCGAATGGGAGATCCCGAGGAGATCACTGGCGCTGTGGTACTCCTTTGCAGTCAGCGAGCTGGTCGGTATATCACTGGCGCTGACATTATTGTCGATGGTGGAACTTTGACACTGTGAGGTTTTGTGCTGACGCAGCGATAAAGCGGCACAAAGACATCTTCTTCAGGGGTCCCTGGACCTACATTGACGTGTTGTGGACCATCGGGTCTTTTTGTACTTCAACCACTCAGGAACTCTCAATATGTTCAATAATGCTCAAGCATATCTAATTTTAAAACAAACACCAACGACCATGACTTCCTTTTCTCCCAGCATGTATGTTCTAACGGCAAATGTAACCACCATCGATCCGAATATCCGAGCCAGTAGTGTATGAACTAGCATCGCTAGCGAGATAAACATAGGCTGCCTTCAGCTCCTTAGGGTCAGCTTGGCGACCCATAGGAATCATATCCTTCCAAAGCTGCTGCACATCCTGAGGCACAAAGTCACCAAGGCCAGTCTCGATGTATCCAGGCGAGATACTGTTGACACGGGCGAAATCCCTCCACTCATTTGCCAAGGAGCGAGCCATGTGGATACATCCTGCTTTGGCAGTATTGTATGAAGTCTGCTCTTGAGGATAATTGACAATGTGTCCAGACATCGAGGCGGTAATCACGAAGCTTCCACGGCCACGCTCCTTGAAATGCTGACCCACTGCCTTAGCGCAGTAGAAGACGGAGTTGAGATCCGCTTGAATAATGTTCTGCCAGTCCTCCACTGATCCGTCGAGAACACCTGCATCAGCGGTGCGGCCGGCGTTTGCAATGAATGAATCGATTTTGCCGAAGTCCGCAATGATGTTCTTGACAAGATCTTGTACTTCGTCCCACTTAGAAGTGTCGCACTTGTAGGCTTTGGCTTGAACGCCGTATTCTTCTTTGATGGCCTTGACGTTGGCCTCGGCACCCTCGCCGCGGGAGAAGTAGGTGATTGCGACATTGGCGCCGACCTCGGCGCAGCCACGGGCTGCTTCGAGACCGATACCTCTTGGGCCGGAGGCGCCAGTAATGACAACTGTCTTGCCCTTAAGGCTGAGGAGGTCCAAAAGGGAGTTTGCTTGAGGGATTTCGATAGGCATTTTGAATGAGTAGTGGGAGATATTGCGAGGTGCGCTGGAAGACTTGAGAAGGGCAGAGGCTATTCGAGATATTTATAGCCTTGGGATGGTGGGGGATTTCACAGTCGATGCTGAAGCTCATAGTTTGTGAAAGCGCACTCTGTTCTACTTCCCGCTCCTTCCACTTTGGAAATTGTATCCACATTCTCCACTTGGCGGGATCACAGGCGGCTTCATCCCGCCGCACGCTGCCACGTAGAAGAATCGCCCAAATCTCGGTCAATATTGACAAAAATGACGTTGCCTTGGTGGATACGGGAGGATACTGTTATAGAGCGAGTTGCAGAATTGGGTGGAGAGCATCCTATGTTGTATTTCTATAGACATGAGCAACTCAGAAAATAGCGAAAGCATTTGGCGGACTCGCAACACCTCCCACGACCTAGACATTGCAATTAGCGGTGTCCACAATGACCAATTCAAGAAATTACAGACCTTCAATGGCATACTAGACAGGAAGAAACTATATCTCCCCGAAGCCTTACAATGTTCTGACAACTTCTCCAAATCAAACATCTCCCCAATTGGCGTCCCCCAACCCGCCAGTACCCACTCATGCAGATTGAAGTTGGGGTCAGCGTGGGCCCCCCGAATGGGCGCCCGTTCGAAGCTCGGGGCATCACCCGCCACCGCCGCAAACTGATGCTCCCACAGCCAGCGCACCATCGCCTCCGTCGCCTCGACACCGTTGAAATCGGGCGAAGATCGAAGCGCTAAGTCTTTGCGCTGCTGATCGTTTAGTTTGTTATACGCGGCTGTGAAACCACTGCGAATAAACAAAATATCGCCTTTTCGGAAATCAAGCTTGTGGTCTTGGACAACTTGTTTGATGTGCTCGAGTGTAATTGTTTCTGATTGAAGCGCGGAGACTGAAATCGAGTTTGTCGTTGCCCAGTCTGCATAGTCCAGGAGGATGCCACGCCCTGTGATTCCACCATGTTCGCACATTGCTGCTGTTGTTAGCTTTTATTTGCTTCATCTTGGACCGGCAATGCGTACAGTTAATTCCAATCACATCTGAGCTCTGGATTTCTTCAACGGTGTGTCCATTGTAGAATTGTTTTGATCGTTGGTTCGCTGTAATTCGTAAGTGCTGTGTTGATCACCACGCTTCAGAGGCAATACCATAATGTCTAAATCCATCCCACTGCGTTGAACCTTGACTATTGAAGCTTAAGACGTCATCAAAGATACAATTCGGACTTCGAAGCACAATTTCTTGCTTGAAAGGGTCACGGTTGAAGCTCGGATGCGATGGCATGCTAAGGGGCCAGTCGAGCGAGATGCGCACCCCGGTCCGAATTTCTTTTGCGGCTTCGACAACTCGCTCCGGAGTGAGCAAGTTCAAGGTTCCTAGCTGGTCATCTTTGCCAAATCTGCCCCAGGCGTTTCCGGGTGGACCTGTTGGGTCTAGAGGAAGAGAATCGAACAGAACTTCCGCTTCGGTTGGTTTTGTCATATTGCAGTATGCGATGTCACAGTGTTAGGAGAGAGAAAAGATAAGCCGCCAATAAATGCTTAGATGAATAGTTTAATTTGACTCGGCCTCGGGGTATCTTTATGTGCTTTTCCGAAGCAGCGAAACCCCTCATCTATGAGTCTCCACATCCCCGGATTTCCAGGCGGATATTAATCCGACGGCAGTACAATTACCCTGGAAGCATTGGGATCATTTCTAGGACACTCAGAGCATCTCACATTGGTTATTGCTGTATATTCTCTGATAGCTAAAATGTGAAGTATGCAATTGTGGCGGCATATGTCGCCAGATTGTCGCTGACTTTGGCGAGCGCCACGCCATCCTTCACAATCATGTAGGTTGTTCCAACAGTGTTCAGCCCGTAGACCACCAATCCACTTGTACTACCCTCGACGCTGAATATCATGCTCTGGCAGTTCTCCGGTAGAGGGAATGTGGAGCACGTAGTGCTGTAGTTGTTGAAGAAGCTGTAGAGACCAGCACCGTAAACGATCACGTTCTTGGAATCTAGGACTCGGAGACCCAGCGAGTTACAGTTTCCTCCTAGACAAGTGCTGTAATTCGGGTCTCTGAGTGTGGAGTTGGTAGGGTACGGGCTGTTAGCTGCGTTCGGGTTGGGTTGGTAGTATCTGTCGACCATCATCAGTAAGATTGCATGGGTGAAAGTAGCAGAGAACATACGGAGTTTCTGTTTGCACAAAGCCCGCTACAATTGAACCAGCGCCTGAGAACTGGTATTGGTATAGCGAGTGATGCTCAGAGCCCGTTCCGTATCTTTAGTTGATGTCAGCGACCAAGCCCCTGAAGGATTGTTGATGGCAACATGAACTTACAGCCAGACGTTATTTCCTTCCACGAGAAGACCACGTCCAGAGTACACCGAGATCTGGGTGTTCGTTGGACTTTCAAGATCATGATCGGCGGTCCAGAGCCATACATTCTCCAAATAGACATTGCTCGCTCCTTTCGTGATGTGCATGGACATGTAAGCCACCTGGCAGGCCGTAGAAACAGGCGCCGTGGTTGGGCATTGGGCAACCTGCTGCTGGGATCCTTGGAATCCTCCAATACGCGTGTGAACATCCCACATTCCCGATCCCACTGTTGCTACCAGGTTCCATTCAATGAGAACGGCGCCAGGTGTAGAGCCTGCGGTGCTCACTATCATGTCAGACCACTCAATTGACCCAGCTTGGCCTGGTGCACCGATTTGAATAACGGGAATTGGGTTGTTAATGTTCGACCATGTGCCTCCGGTTGCCATGATGACAGAGTACGCTTCGCCGACGATCCGAGAGCCAGGGGGGATGAACAGGGTACCAGTGATTTTGTACGTTCCTTGGTCGAAGAAGAGGATCTTGTTAGTAGCTGCCGCAAATGTCACGGCATTCTGAATGGCATTTGTATCATCAGTTGAGCCGTCTCCCTTAGCGCCAGAGCTTCTAATGCTCAGGAATTCGGATACAGCCGACGCTGCGTACTGGGGTTTGCTTTTGGTGTAGTACCTGTTCGAACCACTAGCGAGCAAGGCACTTGGGCGTGTCGGGGGAGTGAACGAGCCCTGGAAATTGGTAGGACCATTTGGTGTATACTTGTGACCCTGACCCCAGGCAGAGATTGTAGAAGAGCCAGTTGAGCCAGCGAGCACAGTACCGCTTGCTCCCTGCACTGCAACTGGCACATTGTTTAAAGCGATGTTTTCCAAAATGAGACTGCCGGTAGAGTTTGTCGAGCTCTGCCAAGCAGTAGTCACAAAGGTAGGGCAATTCTGGATAGTGCTGTCCAGAATATTTGCCGAGCCAACTAGCTGGTTTCCAACGCCACCGTTGCTGATGGATATAGCGGTCTGACAGTTGTTGATTACCAAGCCTTGATACGTCCAACCCCAATTCCAAATTTGAGAGATTGCCGTGACTGCGTTTGAAATCACCAAGTTGCGCATGGTGAATTGCTGGTTGCCAACATTGGCTCCGTACAAGCCACCAGTGATCGTCACATCGCTCACCCATCCACCGGACCCTAAATCCCAATCAGAGACACCAAAGAAGAGTGGAGAACATTACATACCGTTCTCGATAAAGATTCCTTGATGTTGAGTACCTGAAGCAGCACTCATCGCAATTTGAACATTCTGGATGCTCGAAGCTTGGCCCGTCGGCCAATGAATTCCAGTAGCGGCAGTGCCGGCAGGGATAGCAGTCAGGTCTAGTTTCAAATTGCGAATCTGTCTGAAGAAAACATTCGTCGACGTCCAGCCCTGGTTTCCATCATTCTGGTATTGGTCACCGTCAATCAGGCCCAAGCCGACGAAACCTGCAGTCGCTTTTAGAACCGGTATGGCATTTGCGTTACCGATCAGCTGGGTGAAATAGTAATCAATGATTGAGGATGAGATAATGTATGTGCCGGAGGGGAAGTACACTATCGCGGGGGTAGTGGTGGAAGATTCTCTGCTTGCTGGTCCGAAACGTCCTCCAGCACTGATGGCTGCGTTGATGGCCGCGGTATCGTCGGTCACACCATCGCCTGTAGACTTTCAGTACTGCTCATATTACATTAATATCACACGCCTACCTTTGGCGCCGTAATCTTTCACGTTACGAAAGACCACATATCCGGAGGGGTTCGAGTTGAAAGCTGCGATCCCTTGATGGGCTATATCTGCTAGCCAGTATCCGGTGTCCGCTGCTGCAGCTTCAACAACAGCAGCCTGAACCTTTACGGCGGCTGTTTCCACAGCTGCTGCTGGTATGGCAATTTCTGTCGGGGCATTGTAGGAGGTATATTGCTCAAAGGGGAGCATAGCCGAGCTGACTAGTTCATCCACAATAGGGAGGTCCAGCAGCTGGGCATTAACACACCCCACCAAAGGAAGAAGCTTGAACAAGTAGTACATGATGACAATCAAGCACTAAGCACAGGCCAGCAAGAGTCGAGAAGGCCAACAGAGCATGGGGGAAGATCACTGGGGACCACATGGCTTATGTAGATCCCTACAAATTCCCAAAAGTCAATGGACACAATGGCGCATGACAAAGGGGTGGAGCCCTGCGCCTGCATCTTCAGCTGAAAATGCAAACCGCCATGGCACGCTGAGATGCGACTTGAGACGGGGAAACAAGTCGGGGAAATAGAGCGTGAGCTACAATTCGTTACAGACCAGGGTCTGGATTGGCGGGTTCTGTATCCTCGCCAAACTGTCACGCAGGATCTCTCATCTCATGATGAAGTGGAAATGAAGATGAAAATGACTGCTGATCATTCCCCACCAGAGATCGAGCTCCCTGTATATAGTATAGCTTGCCGGTGGAGGCCAACCAATGGTGGGCCGTGCCTGGCCACATCTGATACATTGAAGTTGCAGAAGATCAAGCCAAAATCTCTAGTTTCTCGGGGGGCGTCACCGGAAAGGAAAGGAATGTGACTGGCATAATTGGGGGCTTTTTTGAGGTATGTCCACAGGTGCGACTCAGGGGTCAGGGATTTATCTCTCAAACACTGCGCAGATTAGACTCCCACTGTACCCGGGGACTTCGTATACTTCAAAATGAATCCTGTTTCGACATCTATACTAAAAATTAAGGTCAGAAGGCCAGTGGGATACACTGCGGGGAAGATCCAACTGCCCCTGGATGTATTGGGTCACACGGCTGGACTCGAACCCTGTAACACCTTTTGAAGTTCATTTAATGAGCATGTCACAAGGACGTCAAGTCTAGAATTACGTCTTGGGGCCAAGGCAATTTATACCGAATGTGACTAAACCGCTTTGAACTTGAGTCGTGAAGAACCGCGGGTGTACCTGGTCCTTTCCGCGTCAACTCAGAGTTACGCGGAAAGCCAATAAGCGTTACGAGATGCTCATTTTGCAGTTTGATATGTGCTCTCAGGCTCGGCACTCCGTAAGTAGTGTGAGGATTGCAAGGGGACTGTCCAAAGCTGCATACAGATAAGAACGGGTTTGGTTGACCGGCAATTATGAGCAAGTGCCGTGCGTGAATAACTGCAAGTACGGAGTACTCGGCACGGAGTACTCCATAATGATAGTACATGTCCTTTTTCTCCTTAGAGGACAAATCAATAGTTGAATCACCTCCTTCCGGCAAACAAATAGCTTCGACCCGAGCCAATGCCAAGACTGTTCACGTGACTGCATTTTTTCCATCGGTCTTCCGCCTTGGATGCTCGCTGCGAAAAAAAAAAATAACAAGTTTAAACCCTTCATTGTGGGCAGGGCATCTGAAAGGCCGAATACTAATATCATCCACGGCTGAAATAGATCCTGGATTCGCGTCACTATCTTTTTCCCACGAAGGCTCAGCACCGCGTGATCACCTCCCAGCTCCCAGCGCGACGGAATCGCGAACGTGCCACGGAATCACGAAGACCGTACAACCATCCAGGAAATAATCCAGACGGTCATTAAGCTTGTCTCTCGTGCAGATACAGCAACTTCCCACCGTTGTTGCTTCCCCATCTTGGCACGGAGTCGGAAGGAACCACGCCGCAAGAAAGTTCCGTGTTTCTATCGCAACCAAACTCAGGAGACAACACGGAGGCATAGTCGTCGTTGCATATTTGACGGCAGAATTTTTGACAGGGATCAACACCGATTCCAACGGATACGTACTTTATCGATCAGCTTTCAGTCGTTGTCATACACCCAAGATGCAGAAACGCGCAGCTTTCGGTGACCAAGGGTCCAAGGACAGTGATGGTGGTTTTGGACAGAGTACCCCAGATGAAAAGCCTTCGCGCGCGACCGCCGCCCAGATGGCTAGCAGAAAGTAAGTGGTTTGCGGGTGACAAAACGCGAGTTGGGCTAACCGGTGATCTTCTTCGAACCTCTAGAATCAAGGATGTTCGCAAACGTCGAACTCCTACACCCACAGCTGGCGGTGGTGCCGACACATCTTCATTCAACCCTTTCGCGGCACAAGCCCCGGCCCCAGCCGCAAATCCTGCCCCTGCTCAGTCAATCGGGTTCTCATTCGGACAGACACAGAATCAAAGCCAGAGCTTCCCGGGAGCCAGCTCGGGGCCCGCTCAGGGTGGATTATTCTCCTCGGGCACAAACGGTCAGGCCGGTGGTCAGCCATCATTTAGCTTTGGTGCCACAGCGCCCTCCTTCGGATCCCAACCCGCCAGCAACCCTTTCTCTGTAAACACATCATTCGGCGGAGACTCCCAGTCAGGTACCAATGGGTTCAGCTTCGGTGGATTCAATGCCGGAGGTGCAGCAAGCCAGGCCACCTCTACTCCTACCCCGGCTCCTGCTCCTGCTCCGTCCTTCGGCGGATTTGGCGCACAGCAAAACACCACCACACCTAGCTCCAGTTTGTTCGGACAATCTACTTCACATATCACTTCCCCTGCCGATGAAAGTATGCAGACTTCGCCAGACACCAAGCCCAAGGCAGGCTCTGTGTTCGCAGCGAAACCAGCCATCGGAGGGTCACCACTTGCCAACCCCTTCTCGAGCTTGTCTTCACAGAGTGCCGGCAACCCCTTCGCGCCGAAGCCAGCCGCCACAGATGATGCTGCTAAGCCCGCAGAGCCAGCGCCTTTCAAGCCTCTGTTTGGCGAGGCTGCGGCGTCGAAGCCGGAAGAAAGCAAGACACAACCAGCTACCACCAACCTATTTGCGCCCAAGCCTGCTGCGGAGGCAGCTGCCAGCAACCCATTCGCGAGTCTATCGGGACAGACTGCAAGTTCCAGCAATCTTTTTGCGCCAAAGACTGCATCGGAGCAAACTCCCGCGAAGCCCGCAGAGGCGGCAAAGCCCTTTGGTGCTTTGTTCGGATCGACTACGACTCCCAAGCCCGCGGAGCCTGCAAACAATCTATTTGCGCCCAAGCCAGCAACTGAGACACCCACTGCAAGCAATCCGTTCGCAGGCTTATCCACACCGAAGGTCACTGAAAGCGAGAGTGCTGGAAAGTCCGCCGAGGCTCAACCGTTCAAAGCTCTGTTTGGAACCCCTGCGCCTTCGAAGACATCCGATGCGGAAGCCAAACCGAGTGCCACACCTGCGTTTGGAAACATGTTCGCAACGCCCAAGCCAGCCGACGAGAGTGCGGGTGCAAAGACCTCTACTGAGGCTGCACCATCTAAGTCACTGTTTGGAACACCTGCGGTATCCAAACCATCCGAGGCCGGAAAGGATCAACCAGCTTCCCCTGCGTTTGGTAACATGTTCGCGACACCCAAGCCAGCTGCTGAGACCGCGGCCCCCAAGCCTTTGTTCGGAGCGCCGGTGACCTCGAAGCCGGCAGAGACCGAGAAGGAGGAATCATCTACGCCGGCGAAGACTCAACCATTCGGCTCACTGTTTGGTGCGTCTACGTCTTCTGCTTCGGCGAAGACTGGGGAAGAGCCAGCAGCTCCTAGCAATCCATTTGCGAGCTTGTCGGGCTCAAACTCATTCAGTGGTTCATTCGGCCCTAAGTCAACAGAGCAGAACAATAAGACCCAACCATCTGCATCGCCATTTGAATCAAGTACAGCATTGAAGACTGGAAATGAATCAACCCCATCAATGGAAAACAACAATGCATTCTTGAACAATTCAAACAAATTCGCCAGCTCGACTTTCAGCTCCACTCCAAAGGAAGATGCACCTCCCACCACTGCACCTTCTTCTTTTTCTTCTATTCCTTCTTCCTCCGCATCCACTCCCACCGTTCATCCTTACGACGCTTCCAACACTCGCACTGCCCAAGAAGCTGACGGTCTTTTCCCCAAACATTCCACCCCTCCCTCTATTCAATTCCCCGATATGTCTTCTGTCGGAAAGCTCAACTCGCCGCGCGAGGATGGTGACGACCCTGCAGCTAGCGAGATGTACCTGAAGCTGGTCATGGCGACAACCTCTTTCATTCGTCACGTATCCCAGTGCAATCCCGAGACCGATAATATCGACGAAGCCATCTTGTTCTATGCTGAGATTCGCCGTGAGTTGGGAGTTCCCATTGGGGCAATCGACCGTGAGGAAGAGAAGACCCGTGCCAACATCCGCGACACCGAGGCCGGGGAAGAAGCTGGAGCTACCGATCAGCCCACTCCTGCTCATCAACCAACTCCTCGTTCCGATGCCCCTTCGAAGTCGGATGCTAAAGCACCCAACGGTGCCTCTGACACCCTCAGCAAGTTCAAACAATCATTCTCAGCCCCCAATGGCCCTGCATCCCCTGCGCCCATCGGGTCGTCTACTCCTGCTAAGGCACCGGCTGCTCCTCTCTCGTTCACCCCCGCTGCAGCTCCTGCAATCGCCGCCGAGTCGTCCAGTGCTACTCCTGCCGCTTTTACCCCTGCCATCCCTAAGTTCGGTGGCGACTCCACTGCTCCCAAATCTAGCACCCCTGCGCCTGCTTTTGCCGTTCCCACGTTCGGCGGTGGCTCAACTGGTGGAATCGATTTCATGGCTGAATTCAAGGCCAAGGCCGAGAAGAGCGCAGCTGAGGAGAAGGCCAAGAGAAAGGCCGAGGACTTTGATTCGGAGGATGATGACGAAGCCGAATGGGAGAGAAAGGACGCCGAAAAACAGCGTGAGAAGCGAGCCAAGCACGAGGCTGCAGCTGGCAAGCGCTCTGTGTTTGTTCCTGGTGAAGGTTTCAAGTTTGTTGACGCTGAGCCTGCTGCCGAAACCCCGACTTCAACCCCTCCCACTGAGTCTGCTTCTACCACACCTGCCGCATCCCAGTCGCTCTTTGGCGCCAACACTGCGTCATCTTCTAGTTTCGGGGGCTTCAGCGCTTCGCCTGCCCCCAACTCTGTCTTTGCTGCTAAGCCTCCCGCTGCGTCTGCGTCCATGTTCGCTCCCAGCTCAACTTCATCTTCGACTTCCTCAGTCTTCGGAAGCTCTCAGCCAGTCCCATCCTCGCAGAACATCTTCGGTGGTCTCAAGCCAAAGTCGCCCAAGCGCAAGACCTCTACCGATGCCGGCAGTGACTCAGATGATGAATCGCCTGCCAAGAAGAGCAAAGCCTCAGCTCCCGCTTCCGCTTCCAGCAGTCTCTTTGGGCGTGTGTCAAACCCAGCCACACCCTCTCTCACGCCTCCCGCCACCAACCCCTTCGGTGCTGTCTCTCCTGCCACTGCACCTGCCTCTCCTGCTGCGATCAATCCCTTTGGCGCGCCTCCTACTTCGGATAAGCCTGCTGATACTGCTTCTGAGACTACCTCGACCGGTGTCGCTGCTACTGAGGATGGCGAGGGCGAGCCCGGTGAGATCTTTGACTTGGCCAAGAGCAACGTCGGCGAGGAAGATGAGAGTGTCGAGTTTGAGCAAAAGTGCCGCACCTTCAAGCTTGAAAAGGAAACTTCTTCCTGGACGCCACAGGGTCTGGGTAACCTTCGGCTTCTGAAGCACCCTGAGACAGGCCGTGCGCGCATGGTCATCCGTGGTGACCCTAATGGCAATGTCATTCTGAACACTCTTCTGAAGAAGGAGCTTGACTACAGTCTGACCAGCAACAGCGTCCAGCTCATCGTCCCGGAGGAGGGTGGATCTGTTTGCCAATATGCAGTCCGCGTGAAGAAGGAGCGCCTGCAGGCATGTTTTGACAAGATTCAAGAGATCAGATATTAAATTTCTCGACCCAACCTATTTATCTTTGTCCTCCTGAGATGGAGTGTATGTTTATGTCCCAGCGCATCGCCCCGGTTTGCATCTGCGTATCTCGTTTTGATTTATTTCACATCAAATGCACTAGTCATTGTTTTTCCCCTTCTCTCTTTTTAAAAAACTTTTCATTGGTCTTGGGCATCGGAGTCTCTAATTTGTGTCAAAAATGTGTTTCCATTTCTGTACTTCCAGCATCACATGGGCCAGGTCTCATAAATTTGAGAACATGGAATGTATTCTAAGTCAATAAAAAATAAACAGCTAATTTGGTTACTTTCAATGCTCCAAATCTAAAGTAAGTGGAAGCGAGTAGAAAAAGAAAGTGGCCAAAATTAGCCAAAATTAGCCCGGATATCACGGCCCCCGGTTTCCAGGGGCTCACTAGACGAACCCTAGGCCCAAACAGACCGCCGAAACAGACCCTTCGACCGTCAGCCTCAATCTTGCTAGTCTTCCAAGGTTTAAGCTAATTTCCCCTATAAGTCATGGCTTCCTCTCGTATAAGTTTCTTCTCAATTTTCACTCACTCTGTCACTCGTTAAACCAGTCACTCATTACCCCCCAAAATGAAACCCTCTACTCTCTCTTTCTTGCTAGGCCTGAGCCTCTCCAGCATTGCCAGCGCCCGCACAGACTTGGAAGGCTGCGTCTCCTCCGAAGTAGTCATCAACTGGGGCGCCAGCTACCTCTGGTACGTGCCTGGCACCGGCGAAATCTGCACATTCCTCGACTGCGGTGGCGGCCGCGCTCCACCCAAAACCAACCAGCCCGGCTGTCCTCTGTACTCCGGCACCGCGACTGTCACGGCAAGCTATATTGAGGGCTATGGGCCGAATGGCAAGCAGGCTGCTTCCACGACTACTGCTGTGGCTACTACCTCGACCTCCGCCGCGGAGAGTACATCTGACTCCTCTTCCTCTTCGTCCTCGTCTTCGTCTTCATCTTCATCCGCGACTGGAGGTGAGGCGGGGCTTCAGGCTCTCGCTTCGAGCTATTCTGTCACGGACTCTGATGGAAGTATGATCACTGCTGCTCCCACGAGCTCGCCTGCTGTTTCCATGACTACCACTACTTCGCCCGTCTCTAGCGACTCGGCTGCAGCGAGCAGCACCCCCACTGGTAACGCTGCTAATACCGCTGGGTCGGACATTGGTGCTGTGGCTCTGATGGCTATGGTCGGTGCTATGTTCCTGTAATTATATTCTTGTACACTTGGCTATATGAAAACAACATGTCGAACTATACACTGGAACGAATAATATGGTGTCTCAAGCAACACAATCTTTTTGGTATCATGCCAATATCAATTCCATCCAGAAACTCCTACCTAGCCTCGAAAGTTGTGTGGTTCGTAGATGGGGGGAATCTCGCTGAAAGGGAAAAGCAAATCCAGTGGCGTATTCATCATAAGCTCATAATCAAGTTCAGTCATGCTCGAAGGCGTAGTCTGTTCCAGGGCATCCTTTCGGCGCTGGTGCATAGCCTTCATCATCCGCCCTCTGGCAGCCATTCTGCCGTAGATCTCTGGGATTTGGGAAGTATTCGGATTCTGCTCCAGCGCATGTTGAAACAGCACGCGTGAATCGTCCAATTTGGCGAGCAATGCGTCGACTGTGCTATTGAAATCTATCGTGCTCTCCACGTATGTGCGATCCCACCCGCTGTGGTTGAAAAGGGAGAGCTGGGAGACGGTGACGATTGCTTTGCCGAATTGGCATATTACGGTGAAAGGGACATATGGGAAGAAGATTGAGGGTAGAGCGTAGAAGTTTCGGAAGAATGAGGTGGTGGATTCCAGGCAGCGGTAGAGGATGTCCAATCGCATCAGTGGGTGGTTACCGTAGTCAGACTCGGATGATTCTTGGTTGAGAGCGATTCGGTAGAGATGTATTTCCAGTGTATCGTAGTGGGTTGATAAGATGGCTATAGAAGATGTCAGACTAATGCGACAGCGTCGGGGTGCAACGGACTAACCACTTTGTGATGGGTCGCTCGTCATGTGGGTCTTCAATTGCTGGAGCTCGGCCTCGAGCCACCGAATACTCAGTCCGATTGGGGATGCTGAGACTGGTGAGTAAGGAAGATCGGTGCGATAGAGTGTGCAATGGATTCTCTCTGCAAGGTTCATCACTCGGACTAATTGTACCAAGTGGTTGTCAACGGGATATTCTGCGACTTGTTCTAAAGTCTTGCAGCATTCTTCGGTGTATTTTGTAAAGCGGATGATCGGTCCGAGATCTTTCACACATGTAGAGAGCCTTTCATCCGTTAGCTATCCAAGCATCGTCATGTGGGTGCCAGGTCACTTACATCGTGGTCAGATAATAACACCCGAGATAGGTTCGCCGTTCTTCCAATGTTCGGATTGGATTATGTGGGGTCTCTTGCATGGATTCTTTCAAATAAGTCATGGGGTAATTCAAGCTTTTTTGGTAAGTCAATTCCTGGTTCAACCCCAGACTGAGCGATTGGGCCACAAGGAGATGCACAAAAGCATCGAATTGAGCAGTACTGCGGGTCATATGCTGGGACTCCATCTCAGCTTTGAACGTATCAGCTTGACTAGCGGCGTATGCAGATGGGGCCACCGAGTGGCAGCGACTGACGGAGGTGAACCAAGCCGCATGCACGAGGAGTCCTTGGAGAAGATCCAAGCTATGTTCACCTCTCATGATGATATGGTCGGCGACATATTGCTGAACTGCAGTGGCAATTTCCTTTTGACGAGAAGAGCTTTGGCAGACTACCATCGAGATATTCAGAAAGAGAAAGGGCTTTTCTCGACGCACTTCCTCTGCGGTGACACTGGAGGGAATGATCAAGAATGGAAACAAGGGCAACATCTGCGTCCTGAAGATTTCCAGTATTTTTTTATCGTCGATGTCAGGTTTGACTGTTCTTTCTTCAAATGTAGAGTTTGACCTTGTGGTGCTGCCGTCTAATCGTTCTCTGGCATTGCGTTCGGAAGCAGCTAGCAGATCGACCATACGGTCCAATTTTGCCTCGAGTGCAGAAATCTCTCTATTGGGGCTGTCAGCACGCAGGGCACATCAGTATGACAAAACTCAACTTACGTATTACTCGCTGATTTTCTTGGGCGCCGATGAGCTCCGGGCGTTTGGTTTCCACACTCTTTACCCAAGCGGAGACAGCTAAAAGGAGTTAGTATGATTCTGCAAAGTAATTTGTAGTTCTCACCGTTTACAAGGGCCATCATCTTCTGGCAAACACCGCACCTTCGCCTTGGCACATGTGATACATGCCTTCGGGTGCCGAGCACCAACACTGTCCTCCATGACGGCGGTTTTCGGTGCGCTGAGCATACAATAATTGGCACGGTATGCCGGAGAGCAGTACAGGCTAGCCGGTTCGAGGCCAGTCAATATGGTCAGAGGAGAAATTGGAGCGGAGGCGGAACTCCGCTCCAAAATCCGCTCCAAAATCCGCCCCCAATTTAAAGCGTCATGTGATCTCGTGGTTCTGGTATACAACACACTTCACTGACCAATTTGATGATGGTCTATCAATATCCCAGGTACCTAGGTATTCCCTACAGTATTGTATGGCCGTGACTGGGTTGCCCGCTTCGTACACTTCAACAAAGTAGACCCACTCATGCAGCGCGGGTACTCTGCGGAGCCACTGCCAACTTCCAGCTTGATAGGCAAACGAATTTTTGACATGTTCTGGTCATTGATGGGAATAAGAAAGATTAATAAATCTACTGGCTCTGTCAAGGCTCATGGGTATTGTATTCTCTTGTCGACGGGTAGTAAGGTATGCTACCAATTGAGATTTACCTCACTATGAAACTAGTATGGAAATATATACTTGGACCAATTTGCCCCAGCGTTGTCCCGGCGGAATTCTTGATACGAGCAACGAACTCGAGAGCTAACAGCCAGCACAAAGTGTACACCGAAACCCAATCTCGCACAAGCAGGCGAAAGTATGTCGCAAGACGAATACTAGTCGGAGTAGACAGAGCTTATCGGCGAGATGACCGTCCCCGCAATTGGTCACTCCGACCACCTACTCCGACGACCCCAATTCTCCTCTTGCCCTCTTCACATCCTCAACAATGGCGACTTTTTTGAAGAAACCCCTCAAACTGGCTCTGGTGCAGCTTGCATCAGGTATGTACTCTTAGAATTTACTGCGCACCTCATATTAACAACATCTAGGAGCTGATAAGACCGTGAACCTGTCACATGCGCGGAGCAAAGTCCTCGAGGCTGCAAAGGCCGGAGCGCGATTGATCGTTCTCCCAGAGTGCTTCAACTCGCCGTACGGAACAGGGTTCTTCCCCAAATATGCAGAGACCCTTCAGCCCTCACCCCCCACCAAAGCGCAATCGCCCTCCTTCCATGCGCTGTCGGCCATCGCCGTGGAGGCCAACGCATACCTTGTCGGCGGAAGTATCCCCGAGTTGGAAACGTCTACCAAGAAATACTACAATACCTCGCTGGTATTCTCCCCGTCTGGTGAGCTGATTGGCACCCACCGCAAGACACACTTGTTCGATATCGATATCCCCGGCAAGATCCAATTTAAGGAGAGCGATGTCCTCACCGCGGGCGATCAGTTAACCGTGATTGATCTCCCAGAGTACGGAAAGATCGGTCTGGCCATCTGCTACGATATCCGTTTCCCCGAGGCTGCGATGATCGCCGCCCGCAAGGGCGCGTTCTTGCTGGTCTACCCGGGTGCCTTCAACACTACCACCGGCCCTCTGCACTGGTCACTCCTAGGCCGCGCTCGTGCTGTCGACAACCAAGCATATGTGGCGTTGTGTAGCCCAGCGCGTGATCTGGAAGCCTCTTATCACGCCTATGGTCACAGCTTGGTCGTTGATCCTAGTGCCAAGATTCTGTCAGAGGCTGAAGAGCAGGAGACTATTATCTACTCTGATTTGGATAATGATTCCATTGCTAGCATCCGCAGTGGAATCCCGATCTATACTCAGCGCCGATTTGATCTCTACCCTGATGTCAGTGCGGGTAAGGAATAGAGGGTAATTGTGTTCGAGGGACGAATATCTGAACAATCTATAGAATGTAAGCTATGGCCCAAGAAGTCTATATATCCTCGGAAATAAACCACCCTTCCTTTTATTATTTTTTACTACCATTTCATAATCTATGCAAAGTACGGAGTACTGTAGTCATAAAATTAAGGTCGTCTTGGCCTGAGGCACCAACTATGACGCCCGCTGCGATTCGTCAAGTGGTTGCCCCACCTTGACCAATCATATCCCCCACAGGCAAGCGAGACCGCACTGAATTTCGCACCAAAGTCGACCATCTCGAATTTCCCTTCTGAACATTCGACCACCTCCGCCCACCGTCGACCACCCCATTCAGTCAGTCTCCCTCTTACTATCCTCAATTTCTCTTCTAACCTCCATCGCAGAGATGTCCAACGTCAAGACCGGCAACAAGCGCTCGGCTATCGCCGACGTGGTGTCCCGCGAGTACACCATCAACCTGCACAAGCGCGTATGTTGAACACCCCCCTTTCCCAGTCTACCTGCGACGATTCGAATATACGAAGCGTTCTGGAGGCATATTGGACAGAGAACAAGAAACTTTTCCTGAAAATTGGAATTTGTTACGGAGAAGAATGTGTGCGGTATGTGTGCGTTGGGGTTGTGGGAAACTCACAACTCCCCACCGCACTGCCACCTTTGCCATGACCTACAGAGAAATCTGGAGAGAGCTTCAGTGCTTTTATCTGTCGTTGCAGATAGAGACAGCGAAGAAGGACTTGAAAAAGCCTTTTTCGCATCCACACATCCGAACCCGGAACACAAAAGAAGAATTAGTTTTATGAAGTCCACTATGGCCGAAAGACCACAAACATTCATCGCGCAGAGTTTTCTCTTGCAGATGGCATTCGGGCGGAAGACTGATTGTAACTTCTTTTCCGGACATATAGTGCCACGGCGTCAGCTTCAAGAAGCGTGCCCCCAAGGCCATCAAGGAGATCCGTGCCTTCGCTGAGCAGGCTATGGTAAGTTTGCATCGATCCTGATCCTGCGCCATTCGATTTGCTAATGCGATCAACAGGGTACCAAGGACGTCCGTGTCGACCCCCAGCTCAACAAGAAGGTCTGGGAAGCCGGTATCAAGGGTGTCCCCTTCCGTCTCCGTGTCCGCATCTCCCGCAAGCGTAACGACGAGGAGAACGCCAAGGAGCGTCTCTACTCCCACGTCCAGGCCGTCAACGTCAAGGACCCCAAGGGTCTCCACACCACCACCGTCGATGACGCTTAAGCGTGTCGTTTTCTGTGTTGCATCTATGATTCCATGTTCCCAGCTGGGGTTTGGTCCGGGTTTTACAAAATAAAAATACCTTTTCCCTTTGGGGCATCCTTACGAATTTCTTACTGTAATATGAATGGACAGGGCAATCTGCATGAACCTTTGTTGGTAGCCGAAGACCAGTGATGTCCATTGCGTAGTTTTAACCATAAGAATACCTTTGGCTATCTGTGCTCTAGAACTATAATCGGCTCGGCGGTCCTTAGCCTTGGAAGTTGCTTCGCATTTGATATCCATGGATAGCTCATCTTTGTCCTTGGCATAACTACTAACCACTTTGTTCACACTACGTTCTACCCAATACGGGTTGCTGCTCATTAGAATCTATCCAGTCTGCCTCCATGCCTTCTACTGGCTTGCGTGACCAAATTCTTCAAGAGCTAATGGGCGACGCAATGTAGGCACAGTCTGGCGTATCATCTCCCATGTTGGCGGCATGGAAAAAGAATAGTCGAAGTCGATTTCCTATGCAAAATCACACTGGTAGATTGGACTGGGTAGCAGATTCTTCGGCGAGGTTGATTTACCTTCAACATTCATCTCCATTTTGTATACACACGGAGACAATCAATTATATAGCAGCCATCGAATACCGTCGAAGAGGCCAAGGCGGTGAGCAAGCTTGATGAACTGCCGTAGGACATCATATCAGCTCTCTCCGGTCCGACAACCATCAACAGTTCCAATTCCCGTCGATCCTCCTACATTTTCTATCATTTCGATAATCCTCCTCATTCTCTGTGATTCCGCATATCGCGACTCCTAATCCACCGCCATGGAGTCCAAGATTCCTGATTTCCTCGCCGAGCAGCAAGCACAAGGAAGCGCAGAGACGCAACCCTACTTCCTAACCTTTGAAGACTACTGGGAGCGTAAACTATGGCACCAGCTTACAGACTCTTTGGTCGAGTTCTTCCGCTTGCCAGAGAGTGCTCCCCACCGCTTAGCTCTCTTTAAGACGTTCGTGCTCAGCTTCGCCGACCGAATCAACCAGCTCAAGTTTGTGTCACTGGGATTGATGGCAGCAACAGAATGCGGAGGTGCGTTTCATCCGGTCCATCCTGACCTTCGTGGATCTTCGCTCGATCCAGGATATAATTTCCATGCATGCTTACATTGTTCCTCCTTAGATGACCAAGAACGACTGGGCTTCCTCACATCCCTCGCCAGCAAGGTGGACACAGCCGATACACAGGACGCATATGTGTATGCGCTTGGTGATGTGGCGAACGTGAAGTTGTCGCTGAAGGACCTCGAAGGCGCACAGAAGGATCTGGCCACTTGCCAGCGGGTGCTGGACACCTTCGACTCAGTCGAGACCGTAGTGCACGCCTCGTTCTACCGAGTGAACGCCGACTACTACCACGTACGTAATGGACACGCCGATCCACGAACACTAGCTAACATATATCCCCTCAGTCCAAGCAAGAATTCGCCTCCTTCTACAAAAACGCCCTCCTCTACCTCGCCTGCATTGACTTGGAAGAACTCCCCGAGACCGAGCGCGCATCGCGCGCCTATAACCTCAGCGTTGCAGCCCTCGTTTCAGACACGATCTACAACTTCGGCGAGCTGCTCCTGCACCCCATTCTCGACTCATTGACCCAGACCCCGCACAACTGGCTCCGTGAGCTTCTCTTTGCCTTCAACCGCGGTGATCTGACCGGCTATGATGTGCTTGCCGGCAACATCAGCAAGAACAAGCTTTTGGAGTCCCACCGCCAATTCTTGTACCAGAAGATCTCGCTTTCAGCGCTGACGGAGATGGTGTTCCGTCGCCCTCCCCACGACCGCTCTCTTTCCTTCCAGGCTATTGCATCTGAGACTAAGGTGCAGCCTGACGAGATTGAGCATCTTGTTATGAAGGCTCTGTCTCTTGGTTTGCTGCGTGGGTCAATTGACCAGGTTGCTCAGGTTGCCCAGATCCACTGGGTTCAGCCCAAGGTTCTCGATATGAAGCAGATTGATGGTATGCGGAACCGTCTTAAGGACTGGGATGCCGGTGTCAATCAGCTTGGTCACTGGATCGAGGGTGCTGGTAAGGATGTTTGGGCCGCATAGACGCTTCTTTCTGTTTTGGCCATTTCTATTATAATGAATACATGGTGTGGTCACCTTTGTCATGACTATGCTTGACGGTTTAAAGATACGATTGTAGGATTCTTACGTATATCGATACAGTGTCCCTGCGTGTCTAGCCCTTGGTTTTCGCCGACTATTACTGAGTCCTAACCCAACGTTAGAGATGTATGGCCTTGTCACTGACTAATTGACTGCACATGTCCAGGTGATCTCAACTTATGGTCCCATTTGACGCCCTTTGGTATAAATTCTTGAATGTTGATATGTGCATTGACTAGCGACTAGAACCGAAACCCATAATCCTGAAATGATCGTAAATAGCACTGTGCCCTAGTCTCCACGAACATGCTCACATTGGAAAGACTCAAACTTGGGCGTATCAAACTTGTCCTTGTTATGACAGCCATCCGAGGTGTAAAGATTAGCATAATGATCAAAACAATCACAGTTATAGAGACTGTACACCGTGCAAAAAGCATGCTCCAGAACCCACGACTTGGGTGATTTCATCGTACCCTCTTTGCAAGGGGCCCAGCTCATCCCACCCCCTGTCCACCATTTGCAAGTCACATTCGTCTCGGTGTAGTCGGTGTTAATTGTATCTGATATGCTCTGACAGGGTAGTTTTTTGCCTTTCTCCACCTCGCCGTTGTATCCTGACAAGTGGTAGTAGTCGCCTGTACAGTCCTTCTCGCTATACCATGTTACTTCCCATGGTTCATTGTATGATCCATCCGCTTCGAGGGGCCCTATCCATTCCGCATCGGCAGTTGGCTTTGAGTTGTCCTTTGACGATGTACTCGTAGCGCTCTTGGTGGTGGATGTTTTTTTGGACGTAGTCTTAGCATCTGCCTTTGTCTCTGCGGATTTTGCTTCGGTTGTTGCTGCAGCATTCTTCGCTTGTGCAGTTGGAGCTTGAGGCTCGACCTCAGTAGCAGCACTAACAGTCGCCGTAACTCCAGCGGGTGGTTTACGGGCTTTGGCATCGCAGTAATCTGCACCGGTACCGCATTGGCCCCATGTAGCGCACTTGGAACGGTCAGATTAATAACATAATTACCTGGAGGGTCATTCCATGGGCATACTCACACATCGGTTGTCTGAGCACGGGTTTATAGTGCCGAGATCGGCCCAGTTACTGGGACGCACTGTCCCGGGGACTTGAGGGCCGCAGACAGCATTCGGGAGAGCCATGGGCATTGGTGGGTTACCGGCGCTGAGACAGATGAAATCACCCTGGTATAACTGGTTGCAGCCGAGCCATGCCCAGGTGTTTACGTTGAAGGCTTCGATGTCGGCTTCGGTGATGCCGTGTGCCTGGGCAATCAAAGCACATGTATCATAACCTTGAATGATATAGCTAGCGCAGAAGCCATCGGTTGGTGTTGGCACGGCTGCTGCGCTGGCTAGAATAACACTGAGAGCAAAGAACTGGAGGTTGATCATCTTGTCTGGGTCAATATTTCCCGAGTGGGCTGAATCTCTATATATATCGATAAAGAAGTGCAAGCCTTACAAGAACCGATTTTCAACCTTTTCTTTTGGCTGCAGTCGTCCATGGTGCTCTCGAGGCCAATTTGGGATATCAAACATCGTTTTGTGTGGTTGGTCAGAAGGCTTCGGTAATACAAACAAAGGATCGGGGAGTGATGCACCCGGAACCAGGGCTGAGATATGTCTTTGTTCCGATGATCTTTTCCAATTATAAGTACAAAGGCAGGGTCAAGTCCTTAGACTCTTGCCGTTCTTGAAGTCAGTGCATTCCTTCAAGAAACCACCTGGTGCCATGGACGTACGGTCATTGGACCAGAACCCAAAGATGGAGATTTCATCATTTCATGGATGTTGCATGAATGATATGATCAAGTACATTGATGATCAAGATCAATGGTTCCCAAGAAGGGAAGAGTAGAGGGTGGCCATATTGTTCTTGTTTCAGATCCCCATGCAATACGACTGCATGCCCAGGTGTGGTCGCCCCGGTATGATATATGTAGTATGACCACCGACACATGGCCGAGCTGACAGCCCGGGGTATCAGATCCCGGTCCCTCGTTTGTTCTTTGTCCAGGCCTGAGGTTTGCAGACAACCAATCGGATTTGTATTTATTAAATTCTATATGATCTCCATTCGGCATGTAAGACAATGTCGGACTGGAGTTTATCAGAAGATCGAGGATCCAAGCAGGACACTGCCAATCAACCAAGCAGGCCACCACACACACCACACTACGACCTGTGTCCACATTCCCCAGACATCCCAACCGAAGGCCGCCTCGGTGAGTACCATTTCGACGGAGATTCCGGTGTACCAGCAAACACCGAGGAGGACAGTCGGCGGGGATAGCAGGTTGAGGAGAACCAGGCCTAGGCCAGAAGTGGCGAGGCGAGCAGGCGCAGGCCCTTGTAGCCGGGTCACGAAGCTGAGTGGCGTGCAGAGGAGACCGATCAAGAATGAAAGTGAAAAGTTGAGGGTGGCAAGGGTTGAGAGTGAGAGCCCAAGGAGAAGAAGGGAGAAGGATTTGATGAGGTGGTATTGTTGGGGGATGAGGGGCTTTGATACACCCAAGCCGTTTGCTAGGATTGCGGCGAGCGAAAGTGGGAGAAGTACATTCACGCCAAGCACAATATAGGTAATCGTTGTAAAGTACTGAGTTGGTCAGTATGATCAGTTGTCGAGTTCTTAATTGGTTGGTAGACTCACCTGGTGGTTGATGTTGTTAAAGACCCATAGGGGAACAAGACCGAGCAAATGAAGTCCAGCAACAAGAGACAGAGGAAGAGCTAGTCTTCGCTCCGCGATGTTGCTTGGCTTTGCCTTTTCTTCCGCAGATGCTTTTTCGCCCTTAGGCTTGATGGGTTTGGTTTCGGGGTAATAACCAGTGCGCATCCACAGCGCAATTGCCATGATGGTGAAGTTTCCAGCCAACAACATGGCGCTAGGCAAATAGGTTCCAATGCTGACGAATCGATTTGACTGCATGAGCAAGTAGAAGAAGAAACTCTGGTGCAGGTGTTCCAGCAGGTTGTTCAAACTGCGGCAAAGAGACTCGATTGTCCGGCCGAGGGCCATTTCGTCTTCCCATCCTTCGCCCTTGGTTTGTAGAGTAATAGCGTCAATGTGGTAGGGCATGAAGCTGCTGTGTGCACCGGTGGCATATCCAAGGCCTTGCTTGGTCATGCCGCGGAACATGGTCTGTAGACGGTGCTCGTAGCTGTCATCATGGTTCCACATTTCCTGCAGGTTAGCACCAATGCCCATCTGTCCACCTGCGATCGCTACTGCAGTGTTGAAGAGGTCGAGATTGGGAAGTTGGCCATTGACTCCATCGTAGACAATGTGCAACGTCTGGAACCGATGTTCGAGGGGGTACTCGATGACCAAAGCGCCTTGCAAAGCTCCACTCTTCAATGGCAGCGGTTGCACTGAAGCTGGATGCATATCGTGGTATGCATCAATCCATGCTTGAGTGCCGGTCTTGCTGTCGGGGGTAATCAAGAAGATGATATCCTTGGACCACAACGACCACCCTGTAATAGGTGATTAGCATACAGCCCAGAGAATCGCAACCGCATTACATACTCTTGAAGTATCTAGCCAACGTCAGGGCCAGAGTGACACCATTCAAGTTCCGCTTGTCGTCAGCCGTCAGCCACGGCGCAACCAACACAATTGCCTCTGTGGCGTCACCGCGCGGCGCATGGATGATAGCATAGGAGTTCTCGCCCTGATGTGTGACTCCAGCAGACTTATACTCATATTTCTGTCGGGCGAACTTGAGTCCAGCCTCCTCGAAGATGGACTGCACCTTATCTGAGACCCTGTCGAGTGTCAGCGAATGGTTCGCGTAACCAGATGAATCGACATACCCAGCGGTCACTTCCGCCTTGTCTTTTGACTCATCGTTCAGAATCCCTTCCAGTTCATTTTTGTATCCTCGGAAGATGTTCTGCTCGCTGCCTGTGAAGTATGCATGGACCTGTCCTGGCAGTAGCGCATTCTCGGAGATGTAGGTACGGCGGGAGTATTCGTTTAGAGGTAGGAGAAGTAGCCAGGCGACACCGACCACGATGCAGAGGAGGGAGAGCAGTTTAGGGAGCCGAACGAATAGGACATGAGGGTTATTCCGCAGATTGCGGATTGCGGCTGGCTTCTTGTTAATTGATGTCTCCGAGGTACACGGAGGACAGGTGGTGTTTGAAGCTTACATTTCAACGCCATCATGTAATGACCATCGGGAGGTGAAGTTCCGTGCCGCGAGGGCCCTTTACAAAAGTAGGATAATTCGATTGAACTTGAAGTTGTGGAGAAAGAAGCTCCGTTGTTTATGCGCGGAGAAGGGGAATTTACGCCGAACGGCAAAGACCAACCATGCAATTAAATGGAGTATGCACACGCTATGCTGTTATCCAGGGCCCCTGTCTTCCGCGAGCAAAATATAAAAAAGAATATGGTGGAAAATATACATTAAAGATGGAAACGAAAAATGCGTCGTCAGTATCAGGCTCCCAGGCGCTGTGTAGATCCCATGAAGCTCAAGGGTGTTCCACTGCCACTGACGCCGGCGGGGTTATTGTTAGTGGGGAGGACTCCGTAGCGGCCGTAGGTCTTCTGGTCGACGGAGACATAGTGGGGCAGGCGTCCTAGGAGGTTCAATTTGCCCTCGATCCAGCGAAGGACCTTCTCGGGGGGCACAAACACCTTGAGATAACCGAGACCGACTGATCACAATTAGTTGATGACGTGGATAATTTATACGGGAAACTCACGAAGATAGCCAACCAGGATTGCACACAAGTGACCAAGGAAGCTGACGTTTGACATGAGAATAGACACAACAAGACAAGCAACCAGGGGCGAGGTCCAAGTAGGAATCTTGTATGGACCAAGGCTAGAGCAGAGATCTGTTAGACACATGACTGGAATATCTTGGTGTTTATCTTACCTGAAGTTTGGGTGCGACTTGTACGTCTTAATTGCTTCTGATCCGAGCAGAAGGAAAACCCAGACACTGAGATCCAAGTTAGTCACCGCACATCACACGACACAGCTTCCGTCAAAGCTTACCTTGCACCAACAACCGAGGTGTTGCCGTGGAGCAGACCTCTTTCAATCAAGATATAAAGACCAGCGGGGACGGTGGAAAGAGCTATCATCCGCCATTAGCAAATATCTCTTAAATAAGTGTCTCCGATACTCACGTCCAACAAACAGCGCAACAGCAGTCAAAGTACCATGTTCAGCCTCAAACCTCTCCAGTAACGGAGTAAGCGCCAGAGTATTGAACAAAGCATGCCAGAACCCAGTGTGAATGAAAGGGTAAGTGTTCAGACGGTACACTGATTATAGTCAGTATGCGCACGACGTGTCAACCCCAAGATTTAGACATACTAGTGCCAAGATTGATCTCCTCTGGAATCAATGCACCCCATTGCACCACACTCCAGATAGTCTGCAACTCAAGTAGCCAGAAGGCCAGAATGACCAACAGACACAGCCGGGTGAACAGCGGCAGTCGAAGGATGTAAGTCCGTATCCGAGCCGGATTAAACGGCAACGGAGGCAGAGCGGCAGGGGTGGCCATATTTGCGGCGATTGCGATTCACTTGAAGCCCAACAGGATACAGGATATAGAAATTGGCGGGACCGAAATGGAAACCGAGCGGTGGGCTGCGATAGACAGCGATCGAAGGAGAGATCAGGATCGCGGCCGGATGCCGGGAAGTCGACGAATGGTTCAGGATGAAACAAGACTCGAGCAAGACAGATTAATGACTGGAAAGGAGATCGACGATTAGTTTTTGAATTCTCTCCGCGCTAGATCCGGGCCGGTCAGGGATAACTCACGCGCACGCGACGCCTAAGTTGGGCGTCGAAAGAAGTCGGATTGCGAAGACCGAAACCGGATCAATGAGAAGATTTTTTAGGATCAATAACAGACGAAACACCAAATGAAATAGCAGTTCACCGAGGCGAATACAGTCGAGTCGATGGGGGGATCGGCCCTTTCGAACGAGCTGTTCGCCGACGGTACGCTCGACTGCGCGGACCAACTGTGCTATTCATATCTAAAGATCCGCATGTGGGATGTTTCCATGGATGCGATCAGCCGCATTTTGACTATTTATCAACTCGTGAATTGTTTCGAAGCTATCTCGCTAATTCTTGAAGATTTGCTATCTACATTCAAAGGTTGGACTTCTCACCGGCCAGGTGCTGGTTGAACCAAGCAATGGCCTGGCAGAAGGCCTGCTCCTTGGCCCACTTCTGCTTGGGGTCGCTCAGATCAGCGCGCACGGCAAATCCGTGGGACACGCCACTGAACAGGTTGATCTGCCAAGGCTGAGTAGTCTTGATAAGAGTCTCCTCGGACTCGTGGCGGAGCTGAGTAGTGAAGATGGAGTCGACCTCTGCTAGGAGTTAGCTTGTGCACTTCAAACGTATCGACAGGCCAAGGGAAGTCATCTTACCAGCAGCGGCAATGGAGAAGGGACCCTTGATGGCACCGAGCTCCTCGTGGGTGACGAAAGAGGGGTGAGCAGAGTAACCGGCGTCGATCTGGCCGGGCTTGAGATAACGGACGACGTACTACATCAATTAGGCTTGTCTGATTTGAGGCTTCTGTTCTCGGGATTTGAACGTTACGTACCTTGCCACCGAAACAGTAGCCAACAGCGCCGACCTTCTTCACGCCGAGAGTCTCACGGACATACTTGATGGTGGACTCAACGACGGGCTCGACGTTGGCGGGCTGGTGCTTGGGAAGCCACGCGGGCAGGTCAGCCTTGCCGGATTCCATGTCGCTGACCTTGATCTGGTCGCCCTGGAAAATATCCGGGATGACAGTCAGGTAGCCATTGTTGGCGAACTCGTCGGCGAGAAGCTGGGCATTGGCAAAGATACCGAAGATATCGGTCACGAAGATAACAGCCTTGTCGGGGTTCTTGTTATCCTTGGGGGTAGCGATGTAGGTGTTGACTGAACTTGGGTCAGTTTGAAGTTAGGTGATTCAAGTGCCCGTGTCGTGCTCACCTCCGTTGATATCCTTGGTCTCGCCAAGGGGAGTTCCTTCATGCTTGAAGCCAGAGGCGCAGCAGGCAGCGGGGGCGTTGGATGCCATTTTGTGAGATTGTAGATGGGGTATGTGATAAGTACAATGCGAGAAGTGCTGGAGGGGTATCCTTTATAAAACGTTTAGCCGCATGGACTTCAATTCCATCATCCTGCTCTGCTCCAATCACGGTGATTGAACGCTTCCGCTTCTTGGACCGACTCCACTTGCCCCTCGGCTCTTGAAGTTTTGTATCTTGCAGAAATTACGTAGTGCATAGGTGCCTGGGTGGTTACGAACTACATGCCCCCAAGCAATCACTGTAATTGGGCAGAGTTGTGCTCTTGCATGTCACTAAATACACTCAATCTATTTTATTGCACTACATGCCAACATCTTCAAAATTTGCAATTTTCAATGTTAGGCAGTTGGGTACGTAATTCGGTACTCGGCACGGGGTACGGAGTTAAGCCAATAAAGCCGACTATGGAGAACCTGAAGAAGCTTAACCTGCTGAAGACAAGGGGTCTTGTACTTTGTGGAGAAGAATATTATTTGACGTTGGTATTAAATTCCAGCTTCAATCCATGATATCATATCGCGTCCGTCATCCCATACGGGTGTCTCCGCATCCCCTTTGTCGTTGACATTAGTATCTAGCATGAACAGGTAAAAAATTCCTCAAATAACACGCGCCGCAGCATAAGCAGTAAATCATAGGTATAAAGGGGTATCAAATGAAAAACATCGCAGGTTATTCACGCAAATCGGAAGTTGAGTCGTGGGCGCTGGGTGCGCTTGACGGACCAGGCCTTGAGAGCGATGACCAAGACCTCATAGGACATGACAAAAGCACTGAAGCCCAGTCCGACGGTGAAGGTGAACATGGCATCCACCTGGTAAAACTCCATTGCTTGGATCACATTACGGGTCTAAGATAAGTCAGTAAAGATCGCGATCCAGAACAAGGTTGCTCAACTTACACTCAGCATGAAAATAAGACCGCCGGAGATCAGACAGAATGAAGCAATAATCTCCGTCGGGGGACGAGCCGGGAGGTACGAGGTCGGTGGTTTGAGGTACAACAGGACGTATGTCATACCACGGGCCATCGCAAACCCAACCAGCATGTTACCCCATTGTTTGTGCACCATAGTCGATGTCATACTATCCTGGTGGTGTGACCCCATCATCATGCCTAGCAGCATAATGATCAGAGCTGGCATGGGGTTCAAAGACACGCCCTGGGATCTAGGCGGCTGCCAGGCTTCATCCGAGTCACCATGAGCTGGGGTCTGAAGGACGGTGGTATTCAGCCAGTCGCGGATGAGAGTGGATTCGAAAAGCATGCCAGCCAGACCACCGCCGAAGAACAGCACGGAGATCGAAACATGCTCAAGGTCGGTGGGAGACCATGCCTCGCCCGCGTTGGACAAGTGTTCCAGGAAAACGTTCGTGACACCGTACAAGAAGATGACAAAAGACTCTGTTGCTTCACCGGAAGGAACTTTAGATTTCCAGCCCACGACAGACGCAGGGGGCTTTTTGTTCCAGGCCCAGCCGAGATCGGCCCAACAGCCCATGTAGCGGCCAAGAGTAAGAACACCGTACCAGAAAAAGATACCACCCTTTATAAAGTGTGCCAGTCCATTGAAGATCTCACGTCCTCGCATGATACCGCCGTAAGTCACACCGCCAGTCGCAAGGGCCGCAAACCCAAGGGGAAGAATAACCCGATCGACGATATTGTAGACAATGGTCAGTCCCTTGAGAACCGAGCCAGAGACCAAGCCAGGAAGACGCTTGGACAAGAACCGAGCAATCCGGTTATTAGCCAATCCGCGAGGCGCGAACTTGAGCAGATCCGCTTTCTCAAAGCCGTCATAGTCGGCATGCGACTCGGACGGAGACACAGGGCTGTGAATCGAGGAATTGCTATCCGTCCCTTGTCCACTATCCCTCGACCAGCGGTACTCATGGTTCCGGTAGCGATCATCATGCTCATCAGTTGCAACGGGCAAGAAAGCAGCATGTTCCGCATGTTCAACATGTTCATAAGAGGGCTTCGGTGACTCGCCACGGCCAGCATACGCAAATAGCAAAGCCAGGAGCGTTTGAACGAAAATAACGCTGCTAGCAACCCATCCGATCTTGTGATGAGCATTGTTCACGTAGAGGTCCGGTGTTTGGTCATTATAGATGATCCCGAAGAGGAGACCGAAAGCATTAACCACAGTGAAGAAAAACTGAGAAGGGATCGCAAGACGAGAGCGCGAAACGCTGAGGATGACAGCTTCGGATTGTTAGCTTTGCCCTGAGAGATCAGTCCACATTCCGAGACTCACCGACTGGGAGGATGAAGCACCAAGCCACGACCATGAGCGCGATGTGGGCTATCACGGAGCTGGAATGTTTTCCGTAGGCAAAATAACTCATAGGGCCGTCGGAGGTTCCAGGGCTAGCTGTTGGCGTGGGTGCGCTGTGAGCCATGTCCATATCCATGCCTGTGGACTCATGGGCGGTCGCGAAAAGGACAAATGCCGCGAAGGCGGCGGAAGCAAGAGGTCGCATTTCGAGTGGTGGATGCTATGTGCAGGAATGTGCAGGGGGAGAGCTTCAACCGAAGGTCGAAGCTCAAAGGTATGGTGACGTAACGATGCCGATGAGGTTCAAAGACCCTGAGGAAGCTATAGGGCTGAGAACACACTCGGAGAGCACTGGGGGGAAACGCAATATATAAGATTAGGACTTTCTTGGATTAACAATTCGGTAATAGGAGCAAATTACCTTATTTTCAATTATGTTGGAGAAATAAAGAGAGAAAAAAGGAAAAAAGAAAAAAGAAAAAGAAAGGAAAAAAGGTCGCCGGCGCTGATTTCCAATGCTCCATAAGCTCTGGGCGTGGAAATAAAATACATAGAAAAGGTAGTTACAGGGTCGTCAGGCTGTTGAACGTTGGGCATGATTCTGGTTTTTTTTTCTTCCCGGACTATCTATGCACTGAGGTAGTAGTATTGATAGTTGCTAAATGCACACTGGCTTCTCAAAGCACTTCACTACTCACTTTCACTCTGACCACCTATCTACTTTGGTCATATTGGGGTTCTAGTACTCTGTACTCCGTACTCGTACATCGGAGTACAGTACGGAGTAGAAGGATCTGCGGTCTTGGCAAAACTAATTCTTTTCGGGTTCGGGAGTCTCGGGAGCTATGACCCATATAAATTGTGACAATTTAGTTTGAAAAAGGAAATTCGGCCTTTCCGGAGTATTATGAAGTAATATAGTTATACGGAGTAGACAGGTTTCAAGATACAGATCCTGGCAGGGAGACTATGACATATTGGCCCAAATTTGGGATCAGTTCTACAGTATGCATCTCTGCCTTGATCAGTGCTTGGCCAGGTCTACTCCGTACTGATGACGTAGATGATCGTTTCCCTTTCGGGATGGGATTTGGTCCATACTTCTTTGACATACATTATAGTACGAGGCTCATTGATACTGTAAAAGAAAATCTGTAGGGCTATTGGGCTCACCACTTCCATCTCATAGGCTGTAGCTTACCTTTCATCCCTGTCTTACGGGTCCATGATTACCAATCCCAGCTGCGAGTAGTCAATCATACTCATATCCCACCAATCAACGACGGTTTTAGTAAAAGAAGTTAATCTCGGTCTCAATCCACCCCTTGTCAGGTGCCAGTCCTTCTCGGCCTCGCTTGTTCTCTTCTCCATTCTCCGAGCCGCACTTTTGACTTCACGTACGGAGTACTGGTTGGGGCCCATGGTCTGATTCGAGAATTTGGATGGAAGTGCCGGATCCTCTGTCGGATATAGTACTATTTGCTAGCCAACGGCGGAAATTCGGCAGACATACGGCACCTCGCCTGTGCATCGTAGTATTCTACTTGAAGAATCAATATCCACTTGACCGGATATTCGGTGCCACAAGCTGGTTTTCTCGAATGCAAACTTAGTTCTATCTTATAGTTATTAATTGTACCACCTTTTCGGTACTTCGTAATTCCACGGATATACGGAGTATGGAGGTAGTGAACTCGCGCTGCGTACTCCGTACACGATGAGGGATACAGGTCAAACATTGTAAAATTCTAACCACGGATACCGGACAGCCGTGGACAGGGTCGAGAGGCATCGAGTCCAAGTAGATGTCTGCACCCCATCATGTGGTGTGCTCCGTACCTTGTACAACACCAATAGCCTCATCGTGTGACATCAATGCATTCTGCACGTTTCCCTAGTAGGACCTTGCACCTACGAATTACTAAAGGGGGCCTGGGGGGCCTGGGGGCCAAGACCGAGCGCGCCGATCTTGGTTGGTGAGTCGGCATCCGCGGGCATCCGGCAACCTGAAGGCTAGCGTATGTCCACGCACCTGCACATCCCAGGATCTGCCCTGCGTCGATCAAATTTGCTACCTTGTGTCCGGAAGACAAAGTCCGTCTTAGTTCCGAGCGCCGAATATACTTCGCTGACTGCCTCGTGTTTTTGAGCTGTCATATGAGTCACTTTTGCTCATGCCATCTAGGCATAACCTTACGTTCAAACTGCATAGCGCTTTGGGACTTCTTACTTCGCACTGCGCACCGCTTTTGCCCTTGCGCATACCCATAGCCAGGGAACTGCACGTACTGTACGGAGTAGAGACGGTGTGACCTACTCATGCACGCGCATTTCACGCCAACCTCGCTGAACGGCTCGAAATATCTTCGCAATCGACAGACTCACATACCGCTGACATCCTTTACTTAGCGCGTCGAGGCTATTCCGTACAGACTGGTAATTTAGTATGATCCTTGGTACGGAGTAAAGAGTGGTTCGAAGCGATTTACATCAAACGATCGGCTCCACAGCTTCGAAGGATATTGCCGATTCCAGCTAACTGAAAAATGAACGCCCGGGACCCGGCACAACTGCCATCCGCACCTCGGCTCTGATCGAGCCGTTGTCCAGGGGTAATGGGCGTCCAATGAGCGACGTTAGGCCCTGGGCATCCCGTGCGATCAGCACAGTTGGCTTTGAGTATGCTCCTCATTTTCTGCACTGGCGTTAATATTTGTGTACACAAATTCCACATGTGTTTAGATCTCCGCCAAATTGCTATTTGCGTAGAGGACTCTATCTGGTCATAGATCTTCCCTATTGCATCGATGAAGGTGGAGAAAGTTGGCACCAGTGTCGTCTGAGTCGGGAAGTATTAAAAAATTACTAGTTGATCTATTGACAAGATTGAAGCAGGGCTCGAAATACCCCCAAGGTTTGGGGTGTTTTAACGAAAGAAAACCAAAAAGCTTCATGATCGACATGAGCAAATCTGGAACTCTGGGGCACCCGTAAAGATGGCCAGAACGGGGTACTTTCAAGGTTATCAATGCAAGTCCAGGGTTGTTATTTCATATAGTATGCCGGATTTATATAGTGACAAGCATAAATACCAGCTAAATGTTCATTTAGAATCATGTTCTATTGGCATTCTCCAGGGCTGGCTTGGAACGTGGATCTCAGACATGTAGCTACTAGAGTAGCCCGGTCGTTCCCCCGCAATGTAATATCAAATTGTGCTATGCAGCTAATCCTCGTGAAATTGAATAGAGTCCCGTTTAAGAAAGAGGCGGTTCTGATTTGAAATAGGAGTATGAGGACCTTGTTATCTCACTTGGATGCTATTGGTCTTTTTCATACGCAGTAACCCCACTGGTGTCTACTTCCAGGGCTCCAAGGGGCTGGTTGACCTTAAGCGAACTTGGTCACGAAGTGCCAGGAGAAGAATGTGGTCGTGAGTCGAACCTTTTCATACTGGTCACTGGACTGTGTTCAAGTACCGGGCTAAGGAAAAGATGCCAGGTGATCTTTACTCCGTAGCCTGATCAATTCTGCAGCTTCATAATAGATTACACTTTTACCAAATAATTCGGGATAACTCAGTCTCAGCAGCAGCAACTTGCGTAGATATTTCACCTGGTCTCCTCGCGAGGTCCCATTGTTGCAATGAATCCGTTTGTTCCCCAGCCTGCTAGTCAAGATAATGAGTACGGAGTAAAGCAGTAGTAAATTCGAGAAATCAGAAGCAACAGCATAATTGATAACCATTTACACTCGAGAATCATCGCTCCGTGGGTTCAACATAATTTGATTGTTCTGATAGTTCAGCCAGTAGTCCAAGTCGATACTCTTAGTTGGTTTTGCGGGGCTGCACGGAAGAAAAAGAGCACCTTCGTGACCTGGGAAGACACAGCCACAGAATGCTCGATAGGCTCGGTGAATACTATCAAAGTCTCAGACTATATGTAAGCTTACCTGGCCCTGAAATCAAATCATTGGCGGACATTTCCGATCAAAGACATTGGAAGTATAGAGAAGTGGAGCCTGAGGCAGCGAAATGTGGTGATCAAGGCCACGTGATCTAACCAAATACGGCTAGGGTCCCTCAAGCGAGTTGGTCCGTGCCCTATTCCCCATTGGGGCAGCACACAACCCAAAAAAATCCAACCCTAACTCGTCTCCGTCCTTTAACGCCCAACGCCAGCGACCCTCGTCCCGTCAACAAACCGTCAACTCCCAGGTCCTACCTCTAAACCGACAAGATGACTCACGAGAGCGTTTGGTACTCCCGCCCCCGCAAGTAAGTCGAACCTCTCCTCGAACATATCATACACAAATCTAACCGATTTCCCTCTCAGGTACGGCAAGGGCTCCCGCGAATGGTGTGTACACCCCAACCAACTCCCCCGATGAAAGACGCAATCGAAACGCAAGATCTCAGCGAAGAGGAGGACCGGAACCGCTCGACATGAGGAATAGGAATGCTAATAATTGTGCGCCTTCAGCCGCGTTTGCTCCCACCGCGCTGGTCTGATCCGCAAGTACGGCGTAAGGACAACCTGGAACCCAATGCATTCACCAAATGCAGCGTGCGAAATGAACCCCGCTAATACGGAATTTAGATGAACATCTGCCGTCAGTGCTTCCGTGAGAAGTCCACCGACATTGGTTTCAACAAGGTTCGTTCATACTCGATCATCCACCACTCGACATACACATACGCACAAAACACATCCGCCCACCGAATCCCGCCATGATCAATCACACATCGAACGCTCAAGGACTCAAAACTAACCACACGAACAGTACCGCTAAGCGACTACAAACCATGACCATTTCTGACTCCCACTCGAACCGTTCGCATCCAAATCCATCTACGTGCCCGGCTCGACTTCGGTAGCGTCCAGTGGAGGAATGTTTCAGACGAGCTCAAAAATGGCGTCTTTGATGTTTTGCGAGGATAAGGCACCGGCTGTGCCCGGTGTCGTCGGGTTGTGAATCAAAATAAAAAATTCTGGCTCGAGGGGAGGATTTGGGGTTGCGTGGAGAGTCTTGGAAAACGAGGATGTCTTGTTATTTCCCTCATCCTGGTTTTTTCTTATCAATTCAATGACGGAATTTTTTCTCTGGGAATCGCTCTTCTCTCGCGCTTTGTCGCGGGCTTCGGATTCTGGGCGTGCATGTGGCATTGCTTCGACTTCTTTGGCCCGGAGCGTAGCCTTGTGCCGTACGGGGATGTTTCCAGGTACCAGACCATGAGTCCGTACCAATCGTAGGGGACCTAAATACTTGTCAAGTTTGCTTGGGAGTCTAGGCCCGGGGTTGATTACAGAGGAGTGACACGCTACTAGCAGAAGCTCAAATCAAGAAGAACGTCAATTTTCACATTCGTCAAAAGTATCAACATAGAGGCCGGGCATAATAGTTCCCTTCCTCTGACTATGCTCGGCTGATTAGTTTGAAGGTTGGACAGTGGCTGTCACTTGCTGAGGATTCACGGGCTATCTATTTAGCTTTGCTGTCGCTGCGGAGAGAACGAAGGCTGTAAAAGAGGAGGTAGGCGTCCTGGCGAAGCACGTCGGCGACACCGGCGACAGTGACTTTGTTGTCGTCCATGAGGACCCACTGGGAGATCCCTGTGTTAGCAGATAGGCCTGACAGATATGACATGATAGACAAACCTTGTCGTCTCCAATATGAGTGTATGCAAAATAGTGTCCAGTGTCCATTGTTCCCTCGTGCACAATGACAGTCGAAAGGTCGTAGACGTATTTGGACATATCCACTGGAAGATTGTCTTTCCTCACAGTGTAGGGGAGCATGTTCAGACTAAGAGGGAAATCAATGTGACCAGTCATTTTTTCGGATGAGGAGGAGTTGTGTTCATATCGCTGTCCAAAATCAGTATACAATCAGCACCGAAAACAAGATGTTAGAACAAACCTTGAGTTGCATGCAGAGAATGACAGGGAGTTTTCGGATTTGGAGACGTTTTGAGGCACGCTGAGGAGTGTTTCCGCATTTCTCGCAGTGGTAAGCGGCGTCAGCATTGAGATCTTCGGAGGCTGTGAAGCTATCCAAACAGCCTAATAAAGTTCCGGTAGTAGATGCGGTCGAGCGACCGAGTTTACGTTTCTTCGATTGTTGTTGAACGTCAAGGCTCAGATCGGCCATGGGGTCATCGGTGTTGGTGGTTTGGCCACATTTATGACACTTGACGCTGCTGCGTAGCTCTCCGTAGAAAACTTGGTGGAAGAAGCATTTGCACTTTTCGTTGTGAGCTTCAGTGTGCCCAGGAGTGGAAGAATGGAGACCGTTGACGAGGAACTGGAAGTACTCGTGGGCATCTTGCTGGCGATATCCAGCCATTTCCTGTGAATAGATTAGCCAGCTGTCTAGCTGCTATGTCTAATCAGCTCACCTTTGAAATTTCCCAACCATTGTACAAAAGAGTGGCAGCAGAGACCGCTTCGTTCCTCTCGCCGCTGTTGAACTCCATGAAGACCTCGGCGGTCCCACAGGCTAAGCAGTTTTTCTCTTGGCAGGTGTGAACGTCGTGACCACCAGCGAGGAAGAACGCATTCAAGCTGGGCTCGTGAAGCAATGCTTGAACAATGACAGCCTGGTAGCAAGTCTGGCCCATGTTCCAAACACCTCGGGCCCCACGCTTAGCGCACGGGTTCTTGTAGGCATTGTTTTTGACATAGAGCTCTGAGGCCGAGTCCTCGGCCCAAATAGATCGGCCATCTATCGAAGATTAGAGACCGGCGGGTTGACTGATGTACCAAGTGGCCCAACACTCACCAGCGATTTGGGACTTTCCTGCTGGCCCTCGGAGTCTTTCCAAACCATGATCATAGATGAAATCACCACACTTCTGGCAGTGCAAAAAGCGTGTGCGTGATTCAATGTCTAGTAATCAGTGTCAGTACGATCTGGACTTATCGAACGGCAGCCATTGGCTTACAAAAAGCGTGTCCAGTTTCTGTGGTATGTGCCTGTCGCTCACTGTCCAAGCATACTTCAGGGCAACTCAGGCAGTGGGATTTTGGCTTCAGAGACTCCACAGTCCGAAGACCAGTGGTCTGGACAGCAACAGTGTCGGTCTTGGAATAAGGTGCCAGCGATCTGTCTTTACTGCGGAAGGCACTCCTGAATTGGCTGGCAATCTTCTCGTCTTTGTTGAGATATGCCGCAAGGTGTTCTTTTGGGAGTTAGCGGGGCAAGTCAACTTGTAAAGGCCATAACTTACCACAGCCAAAAGCGGCCTCGGACAGCAGATTTGCCGAATCAAGGCTCGCCATGGGGAACGACATGGGTACGGTTAAACGGAAACGGGAGAATGGATTAAAAGGGCAAAGTTGGGAGGTATATAGGATTTGGGGTCAATCAAACGGTAGAACATGCAGCAATGCACAGTAAAATAACGTCGATAATAGTTTCAGACGTCTACCCACGTAGATAAAAGAGAGGATGGCAACGGAAGGCCAAGGGAGAAGAAGGCTGGATGATGAGAGACCAGGTTCAGCCTCATGGACTCCCCATAAATAGGTCCAGCATTGCACTGTGACAATATTAGAGAAACAATCCATAAGAGATCTATAGATCAGATGGAACAATAGATTCAGATCAATACTCACAGGAGCAAACAATTAGGAAAGTGAATAGGAGCTAATCGCCGGGGGAACAAAGGGGGGTCAAACTCCAATAGGACCTTCCTATTTCCTGAGCCCTGACTCCAACATAGAGATAAAGGTCTGTATTGAATGAATAGCTGGTGGCTCAAGTTCTTCAATGTCGTCGAGGGTGGTTTTGCCCTCGGGCGGTGGTTTTTCGCCTGAGGTCCGATTTACCGCCGGATAAGAGATCGGATCATCTACGGAGATGACTCTGGCTTTGTCGCATACTTCTTTCATTACTCTGGGCTTTTTCTGGCTAGATCTTCGGAAATTTATGCATTCTCTTCACTGGGTATTTCTATGGGTATTTCATAACGTTCGCTCATTCATACTGGGTAGAATCACGACCCAGGTATGCGATCTAGTAAGGATCATGGAAACAGCCAGGTATAATCGTGATCTCGAGCCTTAATAGCACTAAATTGCACCACCGGGGGCATCCCTGAGCCAGCTGTATTACAATTGTCGCTTTACCGGGTACCAATGCCTCGGCCTCTAGGCAGTCCACTCGCACGACCACCACGAGCAGTCCCTCGCGTAGCGTAGCGACTGGTTGCTGCACCACGGGCAGTACCTCGCGACGACGCGCGCGAGCCTGCAGCATACCTAGATGTCGGTTTGGAGGTTGTGCTCGGGGGGGGTTCTCAACAAACGTTGTGTCCGTAGTCCTGCAGGCAAACGAGTCAGTTGGAGGGTATGCGATCGCATTGTGTAAACTCACATGAAAGTCATCTCGCCATCATCCGGTCGCACTTGTTCCGCCTCTTCCTCTAGATGGCTGTCAGCAATCTTGTTGCACTGAGCACACAGTGCAGCACTGAGCACGCTCTTACCTCTTTCCTGTTGCTCCTCCTCGTCCTGCTTGGCTTTCCTGAATGAGTCTCCGATTGGCGCCTGTCACGATATCAGCAAAGTCCTGGCAGATCCCAGCGCGTGCCATACCTCTGGGAAGTCCACGCAGAAAGCGTTCATGTTCAACCCGTACAAGAAGCTGGCGAAGCTCTCGCTGAAGCGCGTCAGGCTCTCATGCATTAACTGTAAGTGCATGAAATTGGCTTCAAGGTCGGCCATGGAGTCGGCCAACTCGGCGAATTGTGGTTCCAGGGCATTGATCGCGGGCTGCGTGTACCCTGAGTTTCCGATGCTGTTTCCATAGCCATGAGCCTCTCGGAACGATGAGCGCGAACTTGGGCGTAGGGGCGTAGTAGGCCTGGAGGTAGGACGAGGGCGTGATGAAGATCGTGGGGCGTCCATTGTGTGTTTCGCGTTTGGGCTTGGAGGGTCGAGTTTCAAGGCGAGAGCGGATGCGGATTGAAATGTTTTGGTCGGAAGTGTCACGCGACAACAACTGTGAAGACGCACAAGTACAATCTACAGTGTGAATCCGTATCGTGCACGGAGTATTCTGTAGTGGGCAAGTAGCTATCTCCCAGATTTGATAATGGAGAATTATCTACGAAATCAATTTAGGGGAAGATCTTCCCCGCATCGTCATATCCTGGATTCTGCCGCTGTCTCACTTTTTCTTCCTTCATAGACCTCACCCTCAATTGTATTGCATATGCGTGTGATTTTACGCCGTCTCTATCCTTCCGCCAAGTTCCCTGTCCCTCGGTATACAGTTGCGCGGCCATTCTCGACACAGAGAGAGACAAAACAGGCCTCGTCTTTTTGGTCTATCTCTCTTACCCTCGCCATCCTTGGAGGCGGCGCCTGGCTTCAGGATAAATACTACAATCCCAAACCAACCACAAAAGCATTACCGCAACAACCATCTCAACAGTCCTTCCTCGGAGTAATCGATACCCTATCCACGATGCCCGCCGAACCCGCCCCCGGAACTGTCGGGAACCTCACCCCAGAGCAAGAGGTCAAGCTCAAGGAATTCTGGGTCCTCGCTCTGAAGGTGTTTGGTCTGACACTCGAGGAACTCGAGGCTCCCGCTCAACCAGCCGCTGAGGCCGCGCCCGCCCAGGACAAAAAGAAAGCCAAGGGTCGGTGGTCTATCTGGGGCAAGGGCGAGGAAGAGGACTCGAAGAGTGGATCTTCCGACGCTACAAGCGTATCGGTCGCCATCGAGGATGACAAGTATGGTCAGTCCAAGGAATACAAGCAAGCGCTCGAGGACATGAAACCCGAGGAAATCCGCACAGCCTTCTGGAGCATGGTGAAGGGTGATAACCCCGACTCTCTGCTTTTGCGATTCCTGCGCGCCCGCAAGTGGGATACCAAGAAGGCGCTGGTCATGTTGATCTCTACGATGCGCTGGCGATTGCAGGAAATGCACGTTGATGACGATATCATGTTCAATGGTGAGGCGTTGGCTGTGAAGCAGTCGCAGGGCACCGATGCCAAGGAGAAGAAGAAGGGAGAGGATTTCCTGACGCAGATGCGTCTTGGTAAGAGCTTCCTCCATGGTGTTGATCGGGCTGGCCGGCCTATCTGTGTTGTTCGCGTGCGGCTGCACAAGGCTGGCGATCAGGATAACGAAGGATTGGAGCGCTTTACTGTGTATACTATTGAGACTGCGAGATTGCTGCTTGCTCCACCAGTTGAGACTGCGGTATGTGTCTCTGTATCATTGTATATGTTGCAAGCTGACTTGTCCAGACGATTGTTTTTGATATGACCGACTTTGGTATGGCCAACATGGTAAGGCTCCCAATTGTACTGTCTCCATTCGTTCTACGCTGACATATCAAAGGACTACGCCCCCGTGAAGTTCATGATCAAGTGTTTCGAAGCCAACTACCCCGAGTCTCTCGGCACAGTGCTGATCCACAAGGCACCATGGCTCTTCTCAAGTGCGCACCCCATCTCCATCCCAAACGCATTTCTAACCAACGGCAGGCATCTGGAGCATCATCAAGGGCTGGCTCGACCCAGTTGTTGCTGCAAAGGTTCATTTCACCAAGAACCGCCAGGATCTCGAGAAGTTCATCCACCCCAGCCAGATCATGAAAGAGCTGGAGGGTGATGAGGACTGGGAGTACAAATACGTCGAGGTTGAAGAGAACGAGAACCCCAAAATGGCCGATAAGGAAACTCGCGACACTCTGTTGGCTGAGCGACAGCAGCTCGCCAAAGAAATCCAGGATATCACCATTGAGTGGATTCGCGCCAGCTTCAAGAAGGAAACCGACGCTGCCTCCTCTGCCGAGGAGAAGCGCAAGGAGCTCGTTGAGAAGCTCCGGAGCCAGTACTGGGTCCTTGATCCATATGTTCGAGCTCGCTCGCTCTATGATCGAGTCAACATCGTCCAGGGTGGTGGGAAGATTGATTTCTACCCTGGTTCCGAGAAATAGACCGTTTGGGCTGGGTTTGGATCTGTTACATATTTAGAACGATTTTTGATTTGACTAATTACCTAGAGAATATATGAACAATTTTGTACACGCCTTGGGTTCAGTTATTTCAGATGTACAATGGGATATTCGGATGGTAAGGCGGGACAGACGACTTTTCAATTTTGTCAAACCCCTACGGTGGCACTATTCTTCTTGATCACTCTATTGATCGGCTTCAATCTTGGACTTGATGTCCTCGTGAAGAGCCTTGAGCTTGTCCATGTCCGATTCTTGGGAGGGCCATCCAATGGTCATACCCTCCTCCTCATTGGGCTTGGGGATCTAGTATATCGTCAGTACATCCCTATATCAGGCCAAACGATGCATGAGCTGTTGACAAAGGGGCAGATGAACATACCATGTGGAAGTGCACCTGCGAAAAAACAGTTGGTTAGCTAGGGTAGAGACTACATAGAGAAACAAGACTTACATGGTCCACAACCTGGTGGGCAATACGCCCGTTGTTCTGCAGGATATTGAAGTCTGAGGCACCAGAGGCCTTGGCAATCTTCTTTGCGACAGGCTACGAACATTGTTAGCTTCGCCAGCTCAGGGACCTTGCGGGCAAGGACCACATGGGTGCGACCAAAGTCAATTCGGGTTTGGAAGTATAAAATCTTCCGCTCCAAATCTTCATCTGATCCGTCGTCCACTTACCAAGATATCAAGCAGATCCTCGTCGGGGATATCGGTCAGCTTTGCACCGTGGAACTTGGGGATCACGAGCTGTGCACGCGGTTAGTTTTGTTTTCGTAAAGCTTTCCCCATCAGACAGGTATCGGAATGAATTCCGGTGTCTTTATTGTCAAGTCCAGCTGTCTGAAGCGGGCTCGGTCGGACGGTGCGGGGAAGATGGGAGAGGGCGACAACAGGACACATACAGCATGGCCACGGCTCAGAGGCTGGATATCGAGGAAGGCAAAGACCTTTTCATTCTCAAAGAGCCTGAACGAAGGGATATCACCTATAGAGAGGGCGTTAGCCGTGTAAGCTATCTGGTGCCCTGGATGACGTGTATGTCGAGCTCCGAACGCAAGTAGCAGAATGAGTGGATTGCAATAGTAGCTATAATAATATGTGAGATAGATAGACATACCCTTGATGATTTTGCAGAAGATACAAGCAGCGGCAGACATGATTCTTATGGGATTGATGAAGGTGAAATACAGATGAAGTTGGAGTTCAAGTCTACGGGTAGCGCGTGTTTCTTCTATGAATCCCACCTATCCCACCTTCCCACCTCCACACATTCACACATTCACCTATTCACATATTCACCAAATCCGACCACTTCAGTTTGAGCACTCCATATTCCGCCTTGAGCTGTAGCAAGTCTTTATCTCACTACAGGTTGTCGACTGATGATATTGGTCTGGTGCAGAGTATGAGGAAGAGGGGGAGAGAAACAGAAACAAAGCGGGGAGCTAGGTGATCGGAAAAGACCTGAGAGATTGCTTGAGGCAAAAGCAGCATTTTCAAGCCACTTGTGTAGCTCTAAATTAAGACAAGGAATCGAAATTTGGATATACAGAGCCAGAGTGAATAAAATAAAGTTGCTCAACGGGTGATTCGAACACACGACTTGCGGAGTGGGCAAAAAAACCCCTGTTAAGGAAGCCGCTATGTATAAGATCCAAATAAGGGGGAAGCCCCCGAGGAGTGGGACAAGCTAGTTCAGAACCCATTTCTTGCCTTTTACCAGAGATGGCCGTGGTTTGCCCACCAAACTCCTCTTATAAATCTTTGGACCAACACCGCGACACAGCCGTCGTTTGTTTTTTTGTATTTTTGAAGTGAAGACTTAGATGAGATTCGGATGAAGATCCTTCCCATCTTTTTAATTTCCCAACTTCAAAGCTGGGGGACGCGCAATGGTCGATTGAAATTCATAGGTGCGTGTACACAAGGACCGACAGGCCGTGTACCACCCACCACCGTTACATCCACACGCCCTCGAGCAACTCATTCGGCTGGTTGATCCTCAGCGCACTGCAAGTATTCCAATCTACTTTCTGTTGAATTGGGTCAATATGAAATTGGCGTATTTATCGACTAGCAATCATAAATTTTTGGATCAGTGCTAGTTCACAGTCATTCTATGACACATACACACGGGGAGGAGCATGAGGATTATACCAAATGCAATCACCGTGTAAGTCTCATGGCAGAGTTGAAAGTGATTCATCAATGCCATTAGATTCCCTCTAACAAACCTTAGATCACCACTGCTACCTCATTTGATATGAAATTAGTCGCTAACCCCTGGACTTTGAAAGGTATAGTTATGGATGTACGGAGTAGGCTCAAGTTGATAGTGATGAATAAAAGCCCGGGGGAGCAACGTCCAATCACAGGCGTTGTGTTGTCAGAGCATAACGACTATTTCACACTATATGGGCTACGCACGGGGTCGAATAGAGAGTCAGCAGCTACTCATCAAACAAAATAAATCCTTTCATTCTCAGTCTCTTGTCCTGGGCAGATTGAATTAGGAATGCTGGCGTAAATCGAGAAAGTGGTGTTCAAGGTGGTGATCCCAATCCGGACTAGCGCATCAGTCCCGTGCGGTTCTTCCGACTTGACTGCGAAAGACCATCGCACATCACCACGCCCTTGGCAACACTCCGCTCCAATTAGCTGGTCTCGAGAGATATACTCAGCCAGAGACCATGCAGAAGACCCGCACTATCAACTCTGCCCTGGGGGCGCGACCCTTCTCCGCCCCGCGGGTGCAGCTTCAGTTCCAGCGCAACCTCCAGGATGTGGCCATCACCCGCACTGGAAAGCCCCTCTTGAAGACTCAGGGTGGCCGGTAAGTGCTCAATTGACCTGTGAGACAAGACTACTGTACTAACTTAAGCCTACAGTTCCTCGATTGGAGGTAGCTAAGCCTTCCCATTTTGATCGACCCGGACTTGCTCACGCTCACACGATTCTAGGTCACACCGCGACGGTGTTCGGTGCCACCGGTTTCCTTGGTCGCTACATTGTCAACAAGCTCGGTAGGTCGGAGATTCACAACGGAGTTGGATCGTGGACTAATGGCCCGCAGCTCGCCAGGGATGTACCGTTGTCATTCCCTACCGTGAGGAGATGGCCAAGCGTCACTTGAAGGTCACTGGTGATCTTGGACGTGTCGTGTTCATGGTATGCATTCCGCAGAATTGCTATAATCTGAGAATTTATGCCTGACCCAGTCCAGGAATACGACCTGCGCAACACTCAGTCCATCGAGGAGAGCGTGCGTCACTCCGATGTTGTCTACAACCTTGTCGGTCGCCAATATCCTACCAAGTGAGCTCAATTGCAGTTGAATGATATGCTGGACAACCACTCACAATACTAGGAACTTCACCTACGAGGACGTTCACGTCGACGGCGTTGAGCGCATCGCCGATGCTGTCGCCAAGTACGATGTCGACCGTTTCATCCACGTTTCTTCCTACAACGCTCGCCGCGACTCGCCTTCCGAGTACTTCGCTACCAAGGTCAGCATTTCAATCGAGAATGCACATGAACGGAGGACTGACGTTTCTATAGGCGTGGGGTGAGGAGATCGTCCGCAAGATCTACCCCGAGACCACAATCGTGCGCCCTGCACCCATGTTCGGTTTCGAGGACAACCTTCTGCACAAGCTGGCTAAGGTTGGCAACGTCCTGACTGCCAACCACATGCAGGAGCGCTACTGGCCGGTTCACGTACGTGTCACCGAGGTGTATATCAATTTTACTTGAACGTACAACTAACCACCTATCTAGGCCATTGATGTCGGTTCCGCCCTCGAGCGCATGCTGCACGATGACAGCACTGCCGGTCAGACATTCGAGCTTTACGGACCCAAGAACTACTCCACAGCCGAGATTGCCGAGCTCGTCGACCGCGAAATCATCAAGAAGCGCCGCCACATCAACGTCCCCAAGGCCCTTCTCAAGCCCTTCGCCCACTACATCAACAAGTACCTTTGGTGGCACACTCTGTCCGCCGACGAGGTCGAGCGCGAGTTCATTGACCAGGTCATCGACCCGGAGGCTAAGACCTTCAAGGACCTCGGCATGGAGGAGACCGCCGATCTGGCCAACCTGACCTTCCACTACCTGCAGGGCTACCGTAGTGCCTCCTACTACGACTTGCCTCCTTCCACGGAGCGCGAGCGCCAGGAGGACAAGCGATACCTGCACGTTCTGGACGACCAGTAGTTTGTGTTTTTTAATGTGTAAATAAGCCGACTAGACTCAATTGATTTCCTTGTGTTGGAATTGCGCTCATTCAGTAGCCCTAAATAAGTCAGGTATATTCAATAATCAATATCCATCGTACTCAAATCCGACTACCTGGGCATCCCAAGTCTAAGCCCTAGAGCGAGCGATCTTATCGAAAATCGCAGACTCAATCCGGAGCTCCCCGCACGCTCTCCAACCACATCCCACCTAACACCACAATGCCCTCCCCAATCCTCCTCCTAAAAACCAAATCCTCACCACAAGATGGCTACGAGGAATTCTTCACAGCAAACAACTACGACCCAATCTTCGTCCCCGTCCTCGAACACCGCTTCCACAAACAAAACCTAGCAACAGTCCAAGAACTATTCAACAACGGCGCATTCACCTCAACACCTCACAATGCAAAGAAATACGGCGGACTCATCTTCACCAGCCAGCGCGCAGTAGAAGGCTTCGCATCAATGATTGAGAATGCAGACGGTACGCAATAACCACCCACATTTCTACTCTACGATCCCAGCTAACTAAGCCAGTCTTCAACGTCCCCTCCGACCCTCTGGTCCTATATACCGTTGGACCCGCCACGGCCCGGACGCTCACGACGCTGCGCGATAAACACTTACCTCATGCGACGATCCACGGTGCCGAGGCAGGCACGGGAGCGAATCTCGCGCAGCTCATGCTGGAGCACTATAACGGGTTATATGCGGGGCCTGAGAAACCGGGACTTCTATTCCTTGTTGGCGAGGTGCGGCGCGATATTATTCCCAAGACGCTTATGGATGAGTCTTTGGGGGAGAGGAAGATCGGGGTTGAAGAGATGGTAGTTTATGAGACTGGGGTGATGGAGAGTTTCGAGGGAGATTTTGGAGGGTGGATGTCCAGACGGAATGAGGGGGTGGTTTGGGTTGTTGTTTTCTCGCCGACGGGGTGTGAGGCCATGTTGAGGGTTCTTGGGCTAGGGCCGTTTGCTTCGGGGGCGAAGTCTAGTGAGAAGGTGTTTATTGCTACGATTGGGCCTACGACAAGGGATCATCTGAGGGATGAGTTTGGGTTTGAGGCACATGTTTGTGCTGAGAAGCCTAGCCCTGAAGGGGTTTTGGAGGGGATTAAACAGTTTATGAGTTGATTATGGAGTGAGTGTATTTGGTATGTAGCTGGCACAGATTGTATATAGAGAGACCCTCGCGAGCTACAAGTGAAAAGTCGGGGCAGGCAGGAGATATTTACTTGAACTCATAATCACATTGGAGTTACCTACTTCTAACATGTATCAATCACATCACGCTATCAAATCAAGTGCGTGCAAGAATCAAAGATATCACTCCGGTCAGTGGAAACAGTTAGATTTACCGCATAATTTCCTCGTAGATGAAGACTGTGGTCAATTAGCAAGATTCCTGAACATGAGAGAATGGGAGCTTACGCTTCAGCTGCTCTTTGCTCAAAGCATCCTTGTTCTTGTCGAAATCGAAGAATCCATCTGGAATAGGCGGCGCGGTGGGCTCATCCTCGGGGTCGTGGTAGGGCTCGAGGTAGGGGTGACGCAGGGCGTCTTCGACAGAGATACGCTTAGCCGGGTTGAATGCAAGAAGCTTCTCGAGCAGATCCAAGGCCATGTCGTTGCTCTTGGGGAACATTGCGCGGAAGGGAATCTTCTTCTTAAAGGGGAGGGAGCGAATGTATTCGCGCGCACGGCGGGATTTGATGCCGTAGTAGTCTTCCATGGTTGGTGTGCCAAGAACGTCCAGGATGAGGGTCAGCTGGTGGTGGTCTGTAACTGTTAGTCGTTATCGCAAACAACGAAAGATGGTGTAATCATACAATCTTTTCCTGGGAAGAGAGGCTTTCCGCTCAACATCTCGGCCAATATGCAGCCGACACTCCACACGTCAATGGCCTTGGTGTATTCTTTGAATGTCAACATGATCTCGGGTGCGCGGTACCAACGTGTAGCCACATATTCGGTCATGAAACCGGAGTTGTCATCAGTTGAAGCGGCCGAACGGGCCAGACCGAAGTCGCAGACTTTCAGGTCGCAGTTGGCGTTGAGAAGCAAATTCGATGGCTTCAAGTCTCGGTGGAGAACGTTGGCTGAATGCATTGCCTTCAAGGCTCGCAGGGTTTGGTAGATAAAGTATTGGCAGTGATCGTCTGAGAGATCTTGTGTACGGATGACTCGGTGCATGTCGGTCTCCATCAGCTCCTGCATACTGTTAGTCCCCATCCTTCTCACGCGCAGCTCTCAAGCTGACTCACTTGAATCAGATAGACTTCAGTGAAGCTTTCATAGTTCCGAGGTCGTTGGATGTCGAGGATAGAGATAATGTTTTCGTGGTTGAAGTATCGGAGCAACTTCATTTCACGGAGTGTTCGCAGACAGAACATGGAGTGGTCGAATGGTGTGATCTTTTTGATGGCGACCTTCTGGCCGGAGGGTTTGTGGATGGCGGAGCTACGGAGAGTCAGACAAGCTGCGGAAAGAGAGTCTCATCACTTACCAGACGACACCGTAGGCGCCTTCTCCGATGACATCTTGGATCTCATATTGATCGGAAACATTGAAAGAGATCTTTCGGGATCCTCCCGCTGGGGGGCCTTGTTGTCCCATGATGCTAGGTTTGCTAGGCTCTTTGAGAAGCTTAGTCTTTCGGCGATTGTTAGCATTCAAGATCCTCGGGAAGAACGCAAGCATAGGTCGGAGACAATCCATGGCGACGAACCAGGGAACGGGGAACGGGACCAGGTTGGAAACACAGGGACGAAAGACGTGCGAATTGGGGTTTCGCAATTCCAACCAGAATGGGGAGAGATCAAGAGCTCACATACCCAAGCTCGATCGCAAACGGTGCAGAAACAAACGCATCCAAGGGAATCGAGAGAGAAAGCTTACTTTCGTTTGCGCTGCAGGCGAATTGGATTGTGCTCAAACTCTCGGGGTTTGGCTTTGGGAGTTGTAGAGGTCGCACGAAGCTCTCGGGGATATTGGCAGGTACGGCGTCCAGACCGAGACCGAGACCGGGTATGGGGAGGTGAGAGAACCTCAGTGTCAGGTCACGTCAAGTGAGATCGGAGTCTAAGAATGTGGCATGTTAGTGGGATCGAAGGTGATGTGCATGGCCAAGGTGCCCCGAAGCGGGGTCATCCCCTGACGCGGATCATCAGGGCTCGGGTTCAGACTCACCTTCTCGCCTTTCTCGGGAACAAAGAAGGCAAAAGGAAGATGTGGGAAGGTGAAGGAGAGAAGAGGTGAACCTGGAGAAACAGCGGGACTCTCTCACGGGCCGTAAGGTGGGGCAGAGAGCTTTGAGGCTGCTCCGGCAATTTCGTGAGGGTGAAACCAAGTCAGTGGAGAGACAGAAGAGAAAGACAAGAGGTGTGACGTGTTGACGTATTAACGTCCAGGAGTTGAGAGAGTGACAAGAGAGCGTTAAAAGAGCGTCAAGAGACTGTTTTTCCCCCCTGTTCCTTCCTTTCTTTGGTTTGATGCTCGCGGAACCTTGGATCGTTGCTTTCCCATCTCCACAGCTACATGAGGGGTACCTAGAGCTATTGGGGTTCTGCCATACAGGGGCAAGGTAGTCTACAAGTACTTTCAGTTGATCCCCGCCACAGCGCCAAAAAAGGTGTCTGTCGCATCTGCGTTTCGCTCTCTCCACGGCGCTACTGCGTGCGCGCCGAAACTGGTCACAATCACTTCTCCACTAAAGTCGGAGGGTGCTAGTTCCATCCTGATTGGAGAACTCTGCACTGCCTGGTTTCACCATTGGAGATGGGAACACACTATTGGACTATACCCTAAAGGCTAACTTCTATGTAAAACAGACTATACGTATTTTTGGAATGAGACAGAGGAGACCCAAGAAGAAGAGAAGGAGAGAAAAAGAAAGTCATAGATACGAGTAGTCTATCGCCAATGCGATCTACTAGATAATTCCAAATATGCCCGCCATGATAGAAAACCAAACGCAATCTTCCCCGACGTAATGGTACAGGCAGTTCAACACAAACATAAGGTAAACCCGACAAGTTACTGGACCTGAGATCTATCGTCAGTGCGGTCCGACACTGTGGTCAGAGGACTCAAACCTTCTCCTGCAATGTGCCCATCCACTGATCCAGACTGACACTCTGGTCCGCGCGGTCCTCAACGAGCATGGTCTGAGCCCACAGACGCAGACCGGGCTCACCATCCTCACGAACCACGTACAGGTGAGGCACAATCATACTACCCACACCCTTGGCACGGTGATCGCGGCTCTTCTCAACTACCGCACGCACACGCTGGTTGAACTCGTTCTCAACATCAGGCAGGGTCTGCTTGCCAACGCGCAGTTGTGACTTGTCGGGGACGCCAAAGACATCCTCGATAAGCTGGGGAACAGCATCGCGGCCAACCCAGAGGAACTGAGTCTGTCCATCATCGATCAGATAAAGACCGAAGGGAACAAGGCGACCCGATGACAGGTTGATAGAGGGAGGCAGGATAATCTCTCCGGTTGCCTCGTCGGGTACACCAGCATTGTCAGGCATGTCATGAAGGGAATACATTCGGGGGTAGATGTATTGAATGAGAAGAGGTAGAGGAAGGGTTGACAGCAGACACAATGCCGCGGACCGCATATCCGTTGGGATCTGGGCAGACTTGCGAAGACCAAGCTAAAACAAAAGTCGGTTAGTATGGAAATGTGAGACTATTCACTTTGGATGAACAAAACTTACGTTCTTGATCATTGCGAGGAACAGGACGGGCAGGGCCCGCAAGTTGGCAGGGAACTGGAGGCCACCACCGCTGACGCTACCACCGGCGAGCTCCTTGCGGTAGGTCTGCAGAAGCTCGATAATCTTGGCCTGGAGGGCCTCACGAGCAGGGTCAAGACCGCTGCTCAAGGTACGTTCAACGGCCTTGTGACTGAAGAATGTGGCAATAGCTTGCTGATCAGCCGAAGCGTAGATATCAGCGAGGGTTTGAGTGGTTGGCAGGGCCAATGTCAAGACACGAATGCGACGCTCGCCGTTGCAAGTAGTGTGAAGAACAGCAGCCTGCATGCAGACGACGGGCTTGGTGACGGTCTCATCGATGGCCACCTCAACAACATAGGCCTGATCACGAGGGAAAGCCGGGAAGGCACATAGATCAGAGCTACGATTGAAGAAGTTGCCGTAGAAGGTGTTCATGCGCAGGCCTGTTGTAGCACGCACACGAAGAACGGCCTCGAGACCAATTTCCGAAGACAGGTAGTCAGAGAACTCGCAGGCAAATTTGATTGCATCCTCACTCCGTGCTGCATTCCATCCGGGGTAGAAGTATGTTTGACCACCGGTGTAACGGGGCAAGTTGCTGAGAGATGCGACATCCTGGTACTGAGAGGAGAAGAGGAACATGTCGACCGATACTTGAGCTTTTGAGCATTCGACCGCGAAGCTCTTGTAGAAAGAGTTGGCAGTTTGGAGCAAACCTGACTCTTTGCTGGTTCCTAGTACCTTCTTATCTTCTCTCATAGTGAGTGCTCCATGGCCAATGTTGGGCAAAGATGAGCTCAGAACTGTCATCTTTCCACCAACAGGTGAGATCAATCTGTAACCGGCGCGCAATGCAGATCCCATGGCGCAACTGTTATTTTGAGTGTGCTGGAACATTTCCTGCAGCTTGTCGAGGAAGATGTCGATATTCTCACGGCATTCGCTCAGCGTAACGAGGAGATCACCGGGGATCGGGAGGAAAGGCTCGTCCAGATCACTGACGACCAACATGCGGGGATCCGAGCTTGCTGAGCCATCCCGCGGGATACTGAAGTAATGCAGGCTCGAGTCAACGGCAATGAAACCGAGGCGAGTGCGGCGGTCTGCATTCGGGATTCGATCGAGGCTCTCCTTGATCGTGCGAGCAGTAGTGGCCAAAAGTCCGTTGGTCACTGATGCATAGCTCACATCAATCAAGAAGAGGTAAACCAAAGGCTGCGGTGGGCGGACCATGTATTCCTGGGGCGCAACAAATTCCACCATGCTGTGGTTCAGGTCGGAACGCAGCGCGCGATCAGCGGGCTTCTGCAAGGTAGAGTCCCAATCAAAGGCCTGCGGCACGTCGTTGGTCAAGTTACACATGTTACAGCGCCAGCGGTGTCCGTGGTCAAGGAAAGTGACGAAGGGGTTGATATAAGAGCGGCAACGTCGGCATCGTGAGATAACTTGGTCGGGGATGACAGGAATGGGGTCCTCGGCATCGTGGAGAGAAGCGTAAGGTTGAATGACGAGAGCGAAGGGCAGCTTGGACTTCTTGAGGAGGGAGTTCGTTGTCGGGACAGCGTTCAGCGTGGATCGCATATATTTCGTGGGGCAATTGGCTTCCGGGGATGGGTAAACACTGGTCTGTCAATTGTGTCAGCAAGACCTACTTCCGGAGCAGAGTCACGGATACACATACTCCCGGAGGCAGAATGACGGGAGGTGGAGGATAGTCCAACTCTGCGACATTGAAGGGTTGGGACCGAAGGTCGGTGGGGTAAAGCTGGTTGAGCTGAACTTGAGGGCGCATAGGGGCTTGGGCCGGCTGCGGGGGTGGCATGTGGTGCGGCTCGGCCATTCCCATCCCACCGAATTGTTGGGTCATCTGGTTAACATCGGCAGCCGGGGCAGCGGGTGAGTTGTATGCGATGGGTGCTCCGGGCTGCATCTGGCTGGGGTCCGCACCGTAGATCGGTTGTTGATATCCAGCAGCTTGGGGCTGTTGATAGGCACCGTAGGCGCCTCCAGCTGTCTGCTGTCCACCGAGGGCAGCATTGGCACCAGATCCGAAATCAAAGGCTTCGCCAGCGTACGCTCTCTTCTTTTTTCCACCAGCTGCGGGTGCAGGTCCCGGCGCAGCTTGTCCCGAGGCCGGAGACTGTGTGGGCTCAGGGACCCCGTAGGCGGGCTGACCGTACCCTTCCTGGGGAGGGAAACCCCCTTGTGGTGCTGCCATTAAGTTCGATTGGATATATGTGTGTAGAGGGGTTCGGAGGGAATGTCGCAGTGGTCAGGAAGTGGCTGCGATGGATATGAGGGTAACAGCTCCTGGGCCCCCACAATTAGTTTCTCGCCAACCAAACAGGGAATTTGTTACATACAGGGATTGCTGCACCGTCAAAAATTACCGAAGTGAATCACAAAGACGAATAATGAAGCACGAGACAGCTCACCAGGAGATACCAAGGGAGTGTGGGTGAGGCGGTGATGTCTACGGTGGCCTTTAGGTTGTGTTGCTCCAGCCAATCACGGGCGAGATACCATGTGACGACCAGATCTGAAGCTGTTTCTGCGGTAAATCGGAGAAATACGAGGAACTGTTGGATTTTAGTAGAATTGAGAATGTTAGGTGGTTTATTGGTCGAGAATATTAAAAGAAAATGGTCTTGAACATCGAGAGGGATCAGGCGATGTATACCTAGGTATAAATGTAGATATCCTTGCCTCGGTGTTCTATATATCTCGAGTACCTGATTACCAAAGTACCATATTGTACATAAACAAATATCGTGAAATGCTAAACCTAGAGATATATTGATTTTATCAAAAGTAAATTGTGAAGAAACAAACCAAGGCTATATATGCAGACCTAATGAAGTAGCACTCAGCCCTGAAACCGGAATGTACAGACCTTGAACCAACTGCTAAGCGCACGGCTCGACGTAGGGCGACGGTTGCCCTGCCAACACAACAGCACACCAAACTCCTCCACACGTTCCACAACCTCAGGTTCTGCATACATCGACAACTAGCTAGTTTTTGTTTCTTGGTTTCTTTTCTTTTGGAGGACTTTGCTGTTCTTTTGCTGTGTTCATTCGCTCCTTTTGGTTTATATTGCATTGGGATCCCTGGCATTGAATGAACACTCCATCACAATGAGTGTCCGAGTCGTCGCGCGTATTCGTCCCCTCCTCAAGTCCGAGCGAGACCTCGATGTCATCCTGCGGACAGGATCCTCCGCCCCAGCCGACTCCAAATCCCGACTGTCAAGTGTTGCCGACAAGCCCGAGAAGACCGACAAGAAGCTGGCGGCATTGAGGGACAGGGACAATGTGGTTCGCATTCCGAACCCTAAGAATGAGGGCGAGGAGTACGCTTTCCAGTTCAATGGAGTATATGATGCTGAGGTGTCACAGCAGGAACTGTTCGACGCAGAGGGTGAGTTGCGCTGACCCCAAGTTGCGATGGGATAGAATGTTGATTGAACGATAGTCGCACCGACCATTAAACACCTGCTGAACGGATTCGACGTGACACTCTTCGCATATGGAGTTACTGGAACTGGTAAAACGCACACAATGCGTGGTGGGAAAACACTGGCAGACCGTGGCGTCATTCCCCGTCTACTCAGTGGTATTTATCGGCGCAGCAAGAAGATTGAGAAGGACAGTGAGGGAAATACGCAGGTCGCAGTTGCTCTGAGCTATTACGAAATCTATAACGACAAGGTGTACGATCTGTTTGAGCCACCAGAGAAGCGCACGATGGCCGGCCTCCCTCTTCGCGACAACGGCGGGAAGACCGTTGTCTGTGGCTTGAGCGAGAAGCCTTGCACGAGTTTGAAGGAGTTCGAACAGCTCTACGACCAAGCCAACACAAACCGGTCCACCTCAGCCACCAAGGTATGTCCACACACAAACCGTGCAGGTTGGTCTTTGTCACTAATCACTGGACTCTAGCTCAACGCGCATTCATCACGATCCCACGCCGTCCTTGGTGTCAAGGTTACGATAACGTCGCCTGAGAAGGTTCGTGTCAGCACTGCTTCCGCCATTGATCTCGCAGGATCCGAAGACAACCGGCGGACAGAGAACGACAAGGAGCGCATGGTCGAATCAGCAAGCATCAACAAGAGTCTGTTCGTCCTAGCGCAATGTGTCGAGGCTATCAACAAGAAGCAACATCGTATCCCATACCGTGAATCAAAGATGACGAGAATATTGTCACTGGGACAGAACAATGGTCTGACGGTCATGATACTCAACCTTGCTCCTGTGCGATCCTACCATCTGGACACTATCAGTTCCCTGAACGTTGCCAACCGCACGCGCAAGATCGAGGTTCGCGAGGTGGAAAATGACCCAATGTTCAAGGGTCCCGCGCGACCAGCCCCGCGGCCATCTGTGACAGGTGTAAGACAGCCCTTGCGTGCCTTGACAGCTTCTGTGAATGTGAACATGCCGGCCCCTGCCAGAGACCCTGCAGAGAAGGATGAAGGCAAGCCAGTGAAAGCATTCAGTGTGTACTCTGATAAGCCACAGCCTAAGCTCGTCAACCAACTACGCAAGCCGGATGCGCCGAAGCGCACTTCTCTTTCCAACACAGTTTCCCATCTCCCAACAAAACCAGCCCGCCAGCCTCTTAGCTCTCAGTCTGCGCCTAGCCACGCCGATATTTCGGCTGCCAAGATTGAGGAGATGGTTGAGAAGAAGGTCGAGGCAATCATGGCCCAGCGAGCTGTGAGTGAGCAATCGAAACAGTCTCAAATTAATGAGTTGAACGAGCAGCTTCAAAAGCGACTGGAACAGCTGGAACAGCGCATTGATGGCACGGAAGATGCGCGCGCTGAAGGTCTTTCTTATCTGCTGATGGCTAAGCAACACCAGGCACGTGGCGAGGACGGCTCTGCGCTCAGAATGTACCAACTTGCCGCCCCTCACTTCCCTCACAACACGAAGCTGGCAGGCAAGATCGCCACCCTCAAGGAGCGTGTTCATGCCAAGGCCTGGGAGCAAAAAGCTCCTTCTCCCAAGGGCAGACTTGGAAGCATGCTGTCGCTGAAGAAGGAGCCAACAAAGACCATCGGGAAGCGTGGGGCCGAGGACTTTGAAGATGATTACATGGATCAGACTCACGGTTTCTCAAGTGACGAGGAGATGCCTCGCCGCCAGCACAAGAAACGCGCCTCCGCAAAGCTCTCTCAAATTGAAGAGAACCCCGAGTTCCTCGATAACGAGGATCCATCCGTCTCCCCTCGCACTTTACATCTGCTCTCCATCATCAACTCGCGGGATGTGAGTCAGATCAAGCTGCTTAAGGGAGTGGGTGCCAAGAAGGCAGAGGCACTTGTCGACTGCCTCTGCGAGATGGACCAAACAACAGATGCCGACAGTGGGCTTGTGTCAGAGCCTCAGTTCCAGGTCAACAGCCTGGCGCAACTGAGTCAACTGAGGGGGGTTGGAGTGAAGACTGTAGAGAACATGAGACAGGGAGTTTTGGCTTGATTGCATTTAAAGCCTTCGGGCATATACTGGGGCATAATGGGGGTTTCTTCTTATGCATCATCTTTCAGCGACGGTGCTAGGGCGTTTTCGTGTCTATAATTCATAGTTAGTTTAGCCTACCATTGAAATGAAACTCTTCTGCAATTCGCACATTCTTTACTTTAATTCAATAGAACGTTGTGCATATCAAGCGGAGTGTAGTTGGTGCTCGCGGTAGCTTCCTTCTATAGATTGATTTATGCGCCGAGTAGGTACAGTATGCTCCAGGCATTCGATGCAGCACCTTTGGGGAAACGACATGACCATCTCCTCTGCCAGCCCAAAGCCAAGATCAAGTCAGTCAAACTGGCAACAGTAATAAATTGATTGGCTCCGGCTTTGGCTCTCTGGGCCATCAAAGACCCAGAACCGCCAGAAGGCCCTTATCTTGGAGATGCAGCTCCTCGTCTAGCTTTTTCCAGACCCCTGCCCTAGCCTTTGGATCATCACAATGGGCCTTCGGCACGGCTTCCCAAATTCGATTGATATACTTTCCCCCTCCTCTTCCCCCGACAGAACCAACCCCCTGCGTCTCTGGGTTTGGTCCGAACACTGGATTAGTAGCAGCGTTGGTGATACCAAAGCTACCCTGTTTTGGGTCAATAGCCCAATACCTCAAAAGAAGACCGTGCGCCCAATCCAAAATACCATGATGCTCAAGAGCACTCCAGATCCCCGAAGCAACAAAGCCTGGATGGACTCCGTTGATCGTGATGTGGAGGTATTCTGGATGTTTGAGGAAACGAGATTGCATCTCCGCAACCCACATCTGAAACCACAGCTTGTTATTCTTATAAGGCTCACCGATCATTCCAGGACCACAGTCGAAATGCTCGAGGTCAAGACTGGCAATGTGATGAATACACGAGGTCGTGCAAACAATGCGTGGCTGCGCGCTGCGCGCCATAGACGGAAGGAGATGGAGAGTCAGTAGCACATGGGACAGGAAGTTAACCTAGACAGTCAGAGCCCTGTAGTCTGCAGGCAGGTTTGAGAGGCACCAACCTGATGCACGAACTGGAACCCATCTTTCGTCCAGTAGTGTTGAGGGGGCGGGGCCGCAACACCGGCATTATTGCACAGGATGTCCAGGGCGCGATCTGACTGCAGCCACCTTTGAGCGAAGGCTTCGACACTCTGGAGATCTGCCATGTCGATACTCCACCATTCAATAGTGGACTGGTGACCGTGTGTCTGGGCTACTTCTTTGATTTCCTGCACGGCGGCGGTGGGGTGCTGTTCCCATGTAGGTGGCTCGCGACAGGCAAGGATGAGGTTCGCACCCCATGCTGCGAAAGATTTGGCGGACTCAAATCCAACGCCGTTATTGGATCCAGTGACTATAATCCATTTCCCGACCAGATCAGTTCCTGGTACGTCGTGGTTTGTAATGGTTGTCGGGTTGACACCTCGTAGACCTTGGTAGATGTCGTAAAGCGAAGGAAATGGCATTCTCAGGAAGATGCAAGTTTGACTCTGGTTGGATTGAAAAGAGAAGGGGTTATGTCGCTGCCTTGTCCGGAGTCCGAGTAAGATGGCGGGGGAATTTCTAGCCCCCATTTGTCTTGGTATGTGTTTATACAACTTTGGAATACATTGATTGCCTCGGACTCATTCCAAGGTTCTCTTTTTACTAATCTTGCTTGAATTTATTAATTGATCATACAAGCCTTAATGCTACGCTTACGCGCCGACAAAAAGACGATGACAGTTATTTATAAACAGGAGTAGTTATGTGTTGGCTTCATCTCATATTTCGATTGGTAACGGAAGAGAACTATCATCACCTTTGGAACCTCTTTCTAACTGTCTTTCTAAGTATCTTTCTAATTATCCTTCCAAGGTTTTAACTAATCGCACCTTGAGTATAAAACCCCGTTTTTAAGTGAATAAGCTGTCTTCGAGAAAAATACTGCTTGATAGGCTCATCACTGGGCAGCGGCTCTCACTCTACGACGTACACGGATCGTAGTGGACGGAGGAGGGAACAGGAGATCTCCCACAACCATGTTCAGCGGCCTTTCCTTCAGCGGCTCCATATCATAATGGACGAGGAGATATGAGAAGAGTGATTTCATCAGATGGGATGCAAACCAACGACCAGGACTGCACATCATTAGCTGAGGTCACCCGCGAGGGAGCATGACACGTACCAGGAGTACTTAGAGTGGCCGAAAGAAAGATAAGTGTGACTGGTAGTCACCATCATGGCCTTTGGAGCATTTTCCTTCGGTAAGAAGCGGAATGGATTGTACAAATCAGGCTCGTCGTAGTACTGAGGATCAGCGTGGACGGCCCCGATTGGGAAACCAATCATCCATCCTTGTGGAATGTGTTGGCCGTTTGGAAGAGTGACACCTTCTTTGGGCATCACCATGCGAGAGTGACCACGAAGCAGGGAAGGGTTGCGTCGGAGACTTTCACGAAGTGCACTATCCACTCGATGCAATTTCAAGAGTGTGACTGAGCTGGTCCAGTCATCTTCTGTTTGGAAGGCAGAATCACACTCCTCCCGCAACAGCTGGTAGTAATTCAGTTGCGGATCAGAAGCAAGTAGATCGAGAACGGCGCCGCTGAACACCGCAGTGGACGAGGCAATAGATCCCGACATCTATTTACAAATTGTCAGTAAGGAGTTTTTCTGCGGCAGTTCAATATAAGTTAGGTGATCTTGTCATCCTTCATTTCGAATGCCGCACGGTACATCCATGTGATCAAGTCCTCCGGTGGAGTATAATCAAAAGATGGGTCTTCTCTCTTTCGCTTCATATTGTTGAATCGCTCCACGAAGAAGGGCCACAGGTACCTGGTACATACTGAGCGATAGTAGGCAGTTGGTAAAGCATAGAGGAAGCCAAGGACTCGCTTGAGCTGCCACGGAACCAATTGGCCAATGATGAGGGTACCTGCGCCAAACCAAGTAGCCAAGCGCTTGAGTTGGGCCATAAAGTGTCTGTTATGGGTCAGGACTGGACCGAAGAGAACACGTCCGCTCATTTGGAAGACGACATCGTTGAATGCATCATATACGTTCAATTCTTTCCACTCTTCCTCATCCATCCCAAAAGCTTCATCAACCGAACGACGTAACTCATCCATGAGGTCACCCTGGATCTTTCCTAGACTGCGTGTGAGGTGAAGCCGAAGGGCCTCAACGGTAGCCATCTGGGAAGTGAAGTCGAACCCAGGCAAAAAGTATTTGAGGCCCAGCCGTTCTCCGTGAAATTGCCCATGGGACAAAACATCATCCGGCTGATCGATGACCCATTTGATGTGTTCTATTGGAAGCATCACTTGGGTTTGGAAGCCGGTCCCAGGAAGAATCCATGGCATTCCTTTCAAGCCGAATTTGTTATAGCCAGAGATCATTGTCTTCAGACCCGATGTGTATTCGCGCAGGCATGCTCTGATATCGGCCAAGAACTCAGGTCGACGTCCGGCCCATGGGAGTCCTGAACTAGCTGAATTGGGGCGAACGCATGTCCGAATAGTCAGAGTCAGGAAAATCACCGCCAGCGCGACGTAAGCGCCTGCTGGGAAAAGATTCCAGTCTAGCATTTTGGTACCAACGGCAATGCAAAGAGCACAGGAAACCGAATATATGAAAAAGAGGTGAGAAGAGGGAGCCGATTGTACAGAATCCGTACGGAGTACAAGTGGGGGGGGCCCTCAGGCGGTTCTCCCAGAAGAAAAGCTCTTGGAAGATCTGCAAAGTCCAGCATTATGGTTCGGCCTGGTCCAAAACACGTCGGTGTTCATGGCTCCGTAGCTCCACTCCAGGCCCACGAACTGGTGTTTGATGCTTACCGCAATGGAAAAAGTCAGCCCGCGAATCCTGAGCTGAGCAATCAGATCCACAGCTTTACTACCATCTCAGCCCTGGCCCACTTTCTTAGAGCTTTGGGCAATTCATTAAATCCATTGGATATCCACATTTTATCGAGTCTATCGATCTGAATGAGACACGGCTGAGGTGGGTCTTGGTGAGGACGCTGCGTCAGAATCGATAGTTCGGCATGAAGCTGCAGGTATCTGCTTGTTCTACTCGCAAATCACATCTCGAGAGGTACTCCACACAGGGCACAACCGACACAAACCCAGGAAACTGACTAAAAACAAGAAACAAATGTTCCGAAATCCGCGGGCTGTGGATAGCAAACTCGTCGGATTGACCAGTAGATTCCTGTTGGCCGTGAATATTCTTTTTCTACTGCTGATCCGCAGTAAATCTGAGCTGCACCTTTGGGTTCCGTACTCTCCAACCCGGCTTTTCTGATTCTTGTGGCTCATCAACTTGCTGATTTTTGATTTAATTACCCCGTACTCCTTACTCCCCGGGGCCGTAGACCTACTCCGTACGAACCAGCGAGACAGGGCTCCCTCACACTTTCTGCTAAACTTTCAACATGTCAACAGAGACATATTGTGAGAATCCAAAGCAATCAGAGACTCTGCTTCTCTCTTCTACATTAGCCCAGCAAGCCCAACATGCAATTCATCAGGCGGCGAACTACTCAGCCCACCGCCAGCATGAGGACGGCCATTGGTGTGGTGAACTCAAATCAAACGCCACGATCACCTCTGAATATGTGATGCTTCGTCAAGCCCTAAATCTGGACCTGACAACAGATCGCGAGGCATTGATCTCGTGGTTCTTGTCGGACCAAAATCCTGATGGATCATGGTCAATCGCGCCAGAGTATCCGGGTGAGATCTCAACCTCAGTGGAAGCCTACTTCGCACTGAAGATCCTCGGCCTTACGCCAGACATGGCGGTTATGCGAAAAGCCCGACAATTCATCATTTCAGCCGGTGGCATCGCCAAAATCCGAATCTTTACCCGCATCTACCTCGCAACCTTCGGCCTGTTCCCTTGGGATGCAGTCCCAGAACTCCCGGCAGAGCTGATCATGATGCCAGATGCTGCTATGATTAGTATATACCGACTTTCTTCCTGGGCGCGCAGTACCATTGTACCTCTTCTGATCATCTCGCACCATCGCCCAATTTATGCTCTGCCGAATGGGAAGTCCGCAACGAATGACTTCCTGGACGAGATCTGGGACAACGCAGCACAAAAGAGCGTACCTTACTCTCCGCCTCTCTGGAATCTTATCAAATCTGATGCCGTGGCCTCGAGCTTCATTGTCATGGATAATATCTTGCACATGCTCGGTGGGTTACGCAATTCTCCCACTCGCACATACTCGCGCCGTAAATGTATCGAATGGATCCTGGAACACCAGGAGGAAGAAGGCGATTGGGCTGGAATCTTCCCGCCCATGCATTGTGGTATCATAGCGTTGTCTCTCGAAGGTCACACGCTTAACGATGATCCCGTCCGCAAAGGGCTCGAGGCTATCGAGCGTTTTGCATGGATTGATGCACGGGGGAAAAGAGTTCAAGCTTGCGTTTCTCCGGTCTGGGACACGATCTTGATGACAATTGCTCTCAGCGACGTTGGGCTCGGTGCCCGTGCCTCAGATGCAATTGAGTGGGTCAAGGAGCGGCAGATCTGCGGACCAGAAGGTGATTGGCGAATCTACAAGCCCAACATCACAGCAGGTGGATTTAGCTTCGAATACTTCAACAAATGGTATCCGGACGTGGATGATACTGCTGCGGCGATCTTGGCGATGGTCAAGCAGGATCCGAAGCTCACGAAGTCTTTATCTTCGATCACAAAAGCCGTGGAATGGATCATCGGCATGCAAAATGATGATGGTGGATGGGGCGCTTTCGATATCCACAACGATCGCCTGTTCCTGAACAAGATACCTTTTAGTGACATGGAAGCTCTGTGTGATCCGTCCACAGCAGATGTGACCGGGCGTATTCTTGAGGCATTTGGTCTTCTCCTGCAGAGAAACGGTGACCAATTCACAAGATTAGCCGAAGGTATGAACTTTGCCTGTGATAGAGGTATCTCATACCTCATTGGCACCCAGGAAGCCACTGGGTCTTGGTATGGTCGCTGGGGAGCCAACTACATATACGGCACCAGCAATGTAGTCTGCGGACTTGCTCTCTTCTCCCAAGACAAGAAAGTGCAAAATGCCTTGGAGCTCGCTCTCGCATGGCTGAGAAACAAACAAAATCCAGACGGCGGATGGGGCGAGACGTTGATGTCGTATAAGAGAACCAGTCTGGAGGGCGACGGCCCTTCCACTGCTTCTCAGACAGGCTGGGCTCTGATGGCGCTGCTTGCCCAGCCTTCCAGTGAACAGTCGATTGAAAAAGGAGTGCAGTATTTGTTGCGAACACAGACATCGTCGGAGCGACCTGACGAAGCGTCGTGGCCGGAAACTCGTTACACAGGAACTGGCTTCCCCAATCATTTCTATTTGGGCTATGCCCTGTACGCCCATTATTTCCCCATGATGGCTTTGGGACGATATGTGGCTATACATGGTTGAGAAACTACTTACGAAATTTCAATGTTTTTTGGGCGAATTTTACACGATTTTCTTATCAGCGTCAACACTGAAGGCACAAATGCCACTTGCACATATTGTGCTTTTAAAAGTTTTCTCTCGGTAGCAACGCCCTAACAGTGCAGACATTAATTGCAAATATTTGTTTCATTTGATCATATACAATCTACATGCATCTGGACAATTGTTCAGGGCTTAGGATCATCCTCACCCTGACTCCGTTCCAAGTCGACATCCTGCGCCAACGACAATTCCTGGGCTAGATGCCAGTTAGCAAGATGCTCAGCTCACATGGAAAAGAAGACTTACTGTTCCAAAGCTCAGCATAGATACCATCCAGGCTAAGGAGATCATGATGCGAGCCCATCTCAGCAACAACACCATCCTTCAGCACCAAGATCTGGTCACTATCGCAGATTGTGCGTAGACGGTGAGCCACGAACACACTGGTGCGGCTTTTATCTTTGAGGATGCTGTTGATGTTCTGGAGGAGGGCCTGCTCCGTATAAGTGTCGAGAGCGGAAGTCTAGTGGGCATTAGTTGATGCTTGACGATTACAGATGTGGTAGAAACTTACTGCCTCGTCAAAGAACAAAAGTTGCGGATCCTTCAAAATCAACCGGGAGATTGCCAGTCGCTGTTTTTCTCCACCGGAAATCATCATTCCACGCTCGCCCACGGCGGTCTGGTAGCCGTCAGGCAAGTTTTGGATTAGTTTGTGGATGTGTGCCCGCTCAGCAGCCCGGCGTACTTCTTCGTCTGTGGCATCGATCCGACCGTAACGAATGTTATGAATGATAGTGTCGTTGAAAAGAGGGGTATCTTGGGGCACCACTCCAATGGCTTTTCGAAGACTCTCGAGGCTCACATCACGAACATCCTGGCCATCGATCAAGATACGACCAGATTGGACGTCGTAGAAGCGGAACAGAAGACGGAGGATAGTAGATTTACCGCAGCCGCTAGGACCGACAATAGCAAACTTCTGTCCTGCAGGGATAGTGAACGTGGCATCCTTCAAGATGGGACGCTCCGGGTGGTAACCGAAAGTGACGTTCTCGAAGCGGATCTCGCCGCCATTGGTGAGCTGCAATGGCTTGGCGTTGGGTCGCTCCTGGATGGTGACGTTCACCTTCTGCAGGTTGAAGAGAGTCTCCATGTCCAGAAGAGACTGGCGCAGCTCGCGGTAGACAGAGCCCAGGAAGTTAAGGGGGACCGAAAGCTGGAAGACAAGCTGATTGACCATGACAAGGTCACCCACGGTCATAGATCCAGTGGCCACTCCGTTGCAAGCCAGGTACATCATTGCGGCCAGCGCAGAGGAGAAGATCATGTTTTGACCGGAGTTCAGGAATGCCAAAGAGGTAGTCACCTTGATTGATGCGTCCTCGTAGTTCTTCAGAGCTTTGTCGTACCGTGCAACCTCGAATCTTTCGTTGTTAAAGTACTTGACGGCCTCGTAGTTGATGAGCGAGTCCACGGCCACAGTTGCGCCACGGTTATCAGCGGCATTAGCCTGCCGGCGGAACTTGGTTCGCCACGCAGTTGTGGTGATAGTGAAGGCCGTGTAGGCAACCATTGTTGCTGTAGTGATTGCAGCGAATTGGAGGCCATATTGGTAGGTCTGCACAGATTAGTACAGAATGATAGATGATTCCATCGAAGACTTACGAGAATACCACAAACAAGAGATATCTCAAGTGCGGTTGGCACCACATGGAAGACCATAGAAGTCAACAGGAAGCTGATGCCTTTGGTACCACGGTCAATGGCACGGGTTAGACCTCCGGTCTGGCGGGAAAGATGGAAGTTGAGATCCAACCGCAACAAATGTTCAAACACATTTGATGCCACTTTCCGAATAGCTTTCTGCGCAACGCTAGCAAAGACTGCGTTGCGGAGCTCTTGGAACACTGTAGCTCCAATGCGGGTCACACCGTCTGGAATGAATTAGCGATAGGCCTTTCTCCGATATAGCGTGTGATACTCTGTCACATACAAGCGATGATCATTGAGCCGGCCACGGTGTATGCCGTTCCACCTAGAGTTGCAAAGTCCACATTCATTGAGTCGACGATGTTCTTAAAGTAGAAGGGAATCTCCACGTTGAGAATCTATAGCTGGAATTAGCTGCGCCCACTGAAGCTCAACAACGAGTGAACCCTACCTTTGCTCCAATCAGGAGTGACAGTGCCGATCCAACACGGAGTTTCGTACCCCAATCGTTCTATCAGCTATAGTTAATACCCGCACTCTATACCAATAGCGCATGGGTAATACCTTCGGCCATAGGTACTTGGCCATCTCCTTCATGATAGCCCAGTCTGCCTTTCGCTGTTCCTTGTTGGCGGCCATAGGCTCGCTCAGCAAGTCCTTCTTGGGTTGTGCCTTCGTCTCCCCGCTTTCCTTCGGCTTCTGGACAATATTGGCATTTTCGAGCTGTGATGGGGTGGGGGTTTGGACAGGGTTGGCTGCAATAGACGGGTCTTTCTTTTCGGATTTGTTGCGTAAAGGACCTTGGTCCGATGTGAATACTCGCATGTGAGTTCCGACTCGCGTGCTTCGAAGCTGGCCGGCGAAGCTCGGGTGGTATGCGAATGCATGCGCCGTGCGCCAGCAAGGCGCTCGTGCGGCTCTGAGCAGCATGGCTGCTTGTGTAATATTCTGCGACCTCCAAAAATAACTTGTTCACCAACTAAGGGTTCAGTGCATAGTGTGAGTGAGGAGGTTTGGCGGTGCGTAGCTCTCCGATAGCTGAGGGACCTTGGCCGCCGCGTTCGGAGAAATCGTCCACAATGCAATATGGGCAAATTGGTCCGCAAAGAGAGCAAAAGAAGAACAGATTAAATGAAGACCAGAGACAACCACCTTCTTAAATCAAAAGAAACTCCCAATGTCGCAATCCCGAGGGGCAGTTGTGTACGCATGTTCTCGGGAGCACGATTACCCGATTTCCATCTTGTCCCGAAAGTTGGAGACTGACGTAAATTCTCCTTCGATTCACAAACACAATGCGTCTCCAAACCCGGACTTTGTCCTGGACTCGGGTGGTCCCTCGAGCCCACAGACAAACGCGATGTATCCAAATTCGCGCGGCGCCCTCTGGGTCTTCGGCCAACGGCGACAGCCTGCCCCTCGCTAGCACGCCCAGCTCTGTTGAATCTCGGGGTAATTGAGTCTCCGGAGACTAACATTGAGATGGAAGCTGACCTTGAACACTCACAGATGCGCGATTTGACGTTGTCGGTGCTCCGTACTCGCTCCTTTCGGTTTCGCTCTCCGCGTCGCAAAATCTATACACACGACGAGGAACATTGGTCGGACTCAGCGGCAAGGCAGATAATGTATTTGGACCCGCTCACATACTGAATCGCATGGACTTTAATGTTGACGCATGATTTACGCAGGTTATCTCGACCTTGAGCGTCCTGGAGCCCTTCCGCAGGGCCGTTGTTGGAGTGCCTTTTCTTTACCAAAAGGTATGATACGCGCGACTCAATTCAACTCGACGCGAAATATAGGCACTGACAATCAAAAGGTCTCCTCCGCAACCCCCGTCACAGCTCTCGTTTCCGTTCGATCACCCAATACTTCGTTCGCTGTGGTGAACGTCAATGGATCAGTGGATTGGATGGTGGCTCAAAGACGGGCTTTGCTTGCATGGACGGGCCGGTCTCTGTCTATCAAGCCCACTATTAATGCAAACCTGGTTCGTTATCTCATACAATGTACTGTACTCGGCTAATTTGTGCAGAGTTTGTCTCATTGGGGTAGCTCTGAAGTCACCGGCAGAGGTTTAATAGCGCTGGTCGGCAACGGGCAGCTATACTCTGTTGAATTGAAGGAAGGAGAACAATACATTGCGCACCCCAGGTATGGAACCCCATCTTGTTTTCGTCGCCGGCATCGCTAACGAATCGAAAGCAATGTGCTTGCTTACACTATGTCCTCCAACCCCCCTCGCCCCTACCGCTTCAAATCCACCACCCTCAGCTTCCAAATCCCCGGGCTGAAGCCTCTACCGAGACTTCTGCAGAACGCGAAGTTCATTCGCGATGTGTCTGAATCCAAAGCATACAAGAGCACCATGCAGTTCTTCCACAAGCTGCGCACTTGGTCTCGAATGACCATCTGGGGAGACAGAGTAAGGCAGATCCCGTTCTAATTCAGAGCATAAGCTAACGTCCCACCCAGCTCTTCATGCAATTTGACGGCCCCACGACCATCCTCGTGCAGTCCCGTGGACCTCGCATCAACGATGTGCTGTCCGCGCAAGAAGTGAACGAAATCGCCAACGTGCCTCGCGGTCTCACTTCCGCCCCCTTCGAGGCCGAGAAGCCTGCCCGTGACATGGCTGAGCTCACGCGCTCTGTCGAGCAATTGGAGCAGGATATCCACGGTACCAGTCAGAGCGTCGAACAACTCCGCAAAGATGGAAAGGAGGCTGGCCGCGAATAAATAGATTGAGAACGGATCTGGAGTTCTTCACATTTGGGCTATGTATGGACTAGGGTAGGATGAGTATCACGTTGCATCCTGTACAGTATGGGCATTTTTTTCCACTTCAGCTCTTGTCGCCTTTAGTCAATAAACCCGCTGTCTGTTTTTTATACAATACTGTGGGCGGAAACGCCAGACTCATAACATAGAGGTTATTTGATATGAGCCTCACGGGAAATTGACAAAGCATTGTTAAATCTTGACTGATGCAGAGCACTAAAGTATCTACCAAGTGACAGGTACTGATGGTATATCACCCAACACTATACCATTGAGTCCATCACCATTGTAATGGTTCGGTGGTCAGGGTGGTGCTCATCGTAGTCACCCAAATTGACCAAACCTAACATATCAGGCCGGATGCAATAAGTAGCCAAGATGAGGGCACTCTGGATACCAAATTCTTCTCTCCCCCTCTCTCTCCATACGTGTCTCACTAATAGGGCCTCAATTTTGAGACTTTGAATGGCCGAAGGAGTTGCCAAGGTGCACGAATGCCATGCCTCTATCCGAGACGTTTGGGAACCTCCACTGATACAGAGTAGAGTGGTTCGTGTTTCGAATAACGGCCAGACTGATACTAAATGAATTTAGCCGGGTCCTCGAGCTCGAATCCGAAGCAAGGGATCGGGTATTGGTTATGGATTCTTCAGACTAGTTATAGTCCCTTTCTGATGAGAGGGTAACGACATGTAGCCACCTGGGCACCCTTGACAAGCTGAAGGCTTGATCCACAGATGGCTAGCATGAATGATTGTATCAAATCTTGGAAGACCAATAGATTTTAAGTCTTGTCTCTAAAGTTGTACTACATGTTATGTGTGGATTGGCATACTGTTACTACCTTGTCGGTGTAGCGGGAGCTTTGCTCCTCCATACTATGTTTGCCTAAGTGCATTATTGTATCACCAGCTTATGATGTGCTGTTAGTACGCAACTCGCACCAAATTGAAGATGAGGCACTTTCTTCCAAGCTTCTCGTTGTCGAACTGAGCCTTCTGGATACCCTGTACTGGATGCAAATGCTGCCTAAGTGCTTTTGTGGCAATTCTCTCACGCCTGGTAATTAGCTGGCACTGTGAGCCACTGCCATCCACAGTCCCTATCCCACTATGGAGTTAGTATCCAGGTAGGCTATCTGCACAAGCGAAAGACACATAGCGAACACCCAGGGCTAGCTCTCAGGGGCACGTTCGGTTACCAGACCACATTGAAACCAGCGAAAGCCGAAGTATATCCCCGTCAAATGCAAGCTTATGCCCAATATTGGTCAAACCTCGAATATACCGGGACGATCGAGGGCAAGTCCGATATCTGATCATCGGCCAATTCGAGAATGGGGTAATTCCGGTTCGGCCTTTTCGGGCTAAGACCAAATCTCCGTTGAATCTCCGCCGAATCAGAGTCGGGCACTCATTCAAGCAATGGAGCTCCATGGACACTCCGGGCCCACTACCGGGGCGTGAGAATTTGTGATTGGTTCAACCAGCTCGCTTTTGTTTGCAAATCACTAAGAAATCTCGTCCTCGGCCTTAGTTATGCGCGATTGACCGATAGATATAAGAGAGTGTCCCAAATTTTAAACTTAGCCTTTAATATAGAGCCTTCAGATTTCGACGGTCAACGGGCGATACCTTTTCAATCCATCTTGTTCAACGTCCTTGTTTCATCTGCACTCCTGCAGATGCGCCAGTATAAGTAGTTCTGATCCAAGTCTACACATTCTACGATCAAAGCCGACATGACGACTCACGAGAAAACGAGTGTCGCTCCCTCACTAGACAGCGCTCAGAAGACGGATAATGCAACTCCCGATACCAGCGTGTACGGAAATGACCCCGAAAAGCAAACGCCAAACTCCCTTGCTACTGGCCCGGCGCCCGCAACGCCAGCAATTGGACCGCCGCCAGATGGAGGCGCGCAAGCATGGCTCGTCGTGCTGGGAGCTTTCTGTGGATTGTTTGTTAGCTTCGGCTGGATCAATTGTAAGCGATATCTCAAACGACAACTCAGAAACCAGCATTCTAACCTTAATCAGGCATCGGAGTCTTCCAAACCTACTACGAAAGTCATCAACTGAGCAGTTACTCCACCAGCACAGTAACATGGATCACCTCTCTAGAGACGTTCGTGATGTTCTTCTGCGTAAGCGACCATCCCATTCCTAATCCCAACCCCTTACCACCAAACTAACCAACCCAGGGCCCAATCTTCGGCACAATCTTCGACAGCCACGGTCCCCGCACCATTCTCCTCGCCGGCACCTTCCTACACGTCTTTGGTCTAATGATGACCTCCCTCTCAACAGAGTACTACCAATTCATCCTCGCGCAAGGAATCTGCAGCCCCATCGGCGCAAGCGCCATCTTCAACGCCTCCGTCAACTCCGTCAGCACCTGGTTCGCCGCCCGCCGCGCCTTCGCCCTCGGCGTCACAGCCGCCGGCTCCAGTCTCGGCGGCGTCATCTTCCCAATCATGGTCACCAAGCTGATTCCCGAAGTCGGGTTTCCCTGGGCGATGCGCATCTGCGCTTTCCTCATCTTGTTCATGTTGGGTATTGCCAATATGACCCTCAAATCGAGACTCCCGCACCGGCCTAAGCCGTTTGATATCTTGAGTTTCGTGCGGCCGCTGGCGGAGTTGAAGTTTGCGCTTACGCTCGCGGGTGCGTTTTGTTTCTTCTGGGGTATGTTCTTGCCGTTCACTTTTGTGATTACGCAGGCGGAGCGATATGGCATGTCGGAGAACTTGGCTGGATATTTGATTCCGATTCTCAATGCTGCTAGGTATGTTATTCCATTACTGGGGTGGGAGCCGGGCGGGTTAGGGTTTGAGGTCGACAAACTAACAGGAGTATAGTATCTTTGGTCGTACGTTACCTGGCTACCTAGCCGATAAAGTCGGTCGCTACAACACGATGGTAATCACGATGTTCTTCTCCGCGATCCTCGTGCTTGCGCTGTGGTTGCCATCACGTGGAAATGTCCCCGCTATCATTTTCAGCGCCCTGTATGGTTTCGGATCTGGGGCGTTCGTCTCCCTTGCGCCGGCTTGCGTTGCACAGATCTCGGATCTGCGGCAGGTGGGCGTTCGCAACGGCACGTTCTTTGCGGTGATCTCGTTTGCGGCGTTGACTGGTACTCCTATTGGAGGTGCTTTGGTGCCGGATGTCTTGCACGGGGATTACACGCACTTGCAGATTTTCTGTGGTGTGGTGATGATTGCGGGGGCCAGTCTGTTTGTTCTGGCGCGTGGTGTCATTGGTGGATTTAAGCTTAATAAGGTGTGAGTTTGGCTCGAATATGCGAGCGGTTAGAAGGTTTTGCGATACCCCCTTAGATGTGATGTTAGTGTTTAATAAAGAGAGTTAGAGTTAGAGTTACCCCTGGATTAGCTGACAAAGTATTCGTGAAAGGAGAAAACAATAGTATCTTACTATGAGGACTCATATTTAGGTACTTCTACTCGATATAGGACAGGAGAATAGGAAACAAAGAGTAGTCAATAGATAACTCCGGGCGATCTTAACTTGACAGGCTAGACAGTATGCGTGATTAATTGGGGGAACCGTGCGCGGGCCAGAACTTCCAGAAGATGACAACCACGAGGGATCTTGTCAACCCTTAAACACAGCACACAATATTGTGACTTTACAGCTATGCAACTATACAACTATATGCAGAACAATCTAGAGTATCATATTTTATACCACATCTATTACTTCTCGCGAATAAAAACCCGAATAAATATAGTCAAACGCCTCGAACTCAAGGTGAAACGCACACGCATGTCGCGATACACTCGGCGCTAGTTCAACTCCACTTCTCCTTTCCCTCCAGGCCCTACTTTTCTCCCTGACATATCTTCCTGCACAATTCCCGGGGAACCGCAACCCCATCCATTCCTTCACCTCACACTCGTTGCACGTGCACGCGACCATTGCATAGCCGCCGCATCTTCCGCGTAAGTCTTCAGTACTCCGTAAGCAACACGGATCTCAATTCCACTAACACTCCCAGCCTTTCCAGTTCCCACCTTTTCCCCCAATCTCAATCCCAATCTCAATCCCACCTTCCCAAAGGCAATCCGCACATTCCACACACATTCACCATGGGTCTCATCGATAAGCTCCAAGCCAGTATGTTCTTCCACAACCACCACCATCTAGCCAACCCACCCTAATAACCCCAGAACTCGAACTCTACCGTCTCGAACAACGCTACGCCCGCCGCAAGCACCGCAGCAACTTCTCCACAGGCGCCCAATACGTCGACGGCGAATACGTCTACTCAGGCGCCAGCTCGCCAACGAGTACCGTCTCCAAACAATCGACCGGGACCTGGCGGCCCACGTGGGGAAGTCAGACGTCGCGATGATTGAATACCTCGTGGTTTAGCGCTTGCCTTTTTTTTTTTTGTTTTGGTCATGGTTATTGGGATTTTGATTGTTTTCTTAGCATTTCCTTTCCTTTCATTTCTCTACTTTCCTTTGGAGGTTGGACTCGCGTGACGATCCGCGGGGTCTGATTCTTGTACATGTTGTTTTCTTGGGGATCTTTGGGGATATCTTCTGTCTCTTTTTTTTTTCTTTATGAGTTTCATGTGTGGCCGGATTCAAAAGTGATTGGTTGCTTTCGCTTAGATTTTGGTTTGGTCTGCTTCTTTGCATCGTTTAGATGTTCGATTATCTGATTCGATAAATTATCCGCTTTGGTTTATTGGTTACTTGGTTGAGTAGTACGTAGTACGTAGTAGTGGTTTTCACTTTAGACGAGTGAATAAGGTAAAAAGGTATGGGTGATACTATTAAGAATAGCCGGTATTCACCGATAGTTCACCCCATGCTAGTTGGGCTAGTTAGATGTTCACATAAATACAGTAAGAAAGGCCTATGTAAATGGTTCACTATTTCTTCTTGCGGCCTCCAATGCCTAGCCGTCCTAGGTTCGGAAGACTGGACTTGTGTTTGTGTGCAGCTCCAAGGATGGAACTGCCTTTCGCTCCATGATCCACAGTGCGTCCGGCAGCTGGTCCGGCGCCAATATTGCCAGCCGGGGCAGAGGGCCCGCCGCGTGGAGCATCGGGAAGTCGGTTCTTCGAGCCATCGGCGGCAGCGGCAGAGAGCGCAGCTGTCAGGGTGGGGTTCTGGGCATCTGGATTCCGGTGGAGCTGGGAAGACGAGCGACGGGTGCGCTCTTGGACAGCCTTGAATTTGTCGAGGAGATCGACCCAGCGGATGGTGTTTTCATCACGAGTCTTGAGGCGGGTGCCAGTCGTACGGTCAAATGATGGAGGGGCGGCTTGGATGGTACTGGGGAACATTGTCTCAGCATCCTTCTTGGACAGGGGAGTAGAAACCTTGGGAGAGACCGGGGAACGGCAAGAAGGGACATACTTGCGGGGTCCGCTGTGAAGGAAGCCAATGTTGCTGACGCTGTTTAAACGGTTCTTGAGGGCGGCGAAAGCGGAGCTCTGGGGGAGGAGCATGAGGACGCCGTAGAGACATTTGTACAGGAATGGGTATTTTTCGGGTTCGAGGAGTTGGAGGCGGAGGTCTGCAAGATGAACTTGTTAGGACTGGAACTTATGGGTATGTTAGAGACGCACATGTGAAGACTGGAGATTCTAAGAGTTGCACCAGTTTGTCGATTTGGATCAGCATGTTAACTGTCATTTCTAACTCGGCACTGCACACGTGAACGTCAGCTGTGTCCTTTGGTTTGACTGCGATCTCCTTTCTACCCACAAGATCTGAAGGAGGTTGTATGCTTGCTCATATGCCTGAGCAAGGAGACAGAGGGAGAAGGTGGACACGGCGTTGTGGCACCATGACCTGAAGAGCGCAACAAAGAACAATTGACCATCCTGTAATCATTATTAGCTTTTGAATCCACATGATTAGATTGACAATCGCACTTTCGAGTCAAGATTCCTCAATCTCTTTCGCAGCTCCGAGAGCTCAGGAGCAGTGATTAGGTTATTGTTCAGATTCTGGACCATGATACTGGCAAACTCGAGATCCTGTTAAGGGTCAGCATGAAGAATCTCCCAAGAGTGGCGTAGAACCCACCTCTTCCTTCTCAAGACACTCTGCCAAGGTCCGATAGATACGCTCTGGACTCAAGTTGAGACAAAGTTGTCTGATGATCAGATTTCCACGCGCTTCAAGTAAGTGCCTGTCGGTGGAGAACAGCTGCAAGAGATTCACCATGAAGGATGTAAAATAGCTATCTTCGCTGTTCCTCGAAATCTGAGAGAGAAGTTGAAGGTCCTTCGTCACAACAGCATCTGAAGGATCAGACAGGGTCTTCAGCAAGGCTGGGAAAGTACCATCGTTGAAGGCCACGACCTTCCGCGGGGCTTTCTGATGTAACATGATGAGCCACCCGAGGGCAGCAACTCTAGTCTTGTCGTTTTCATTTAGGAACTGTAGAGTGAGAGAGCTGACGGCAGCCGCGTAGTCGAGATCCGTGGGAGGCATCGGTGTGGAAACACTGCTACTGCGAGGAGTTTCCGCGAGTGAATTTTCCCGTGTGTGTCTCCTCGTGTCAATACTCGAGGTCTCCGAGGGTCTGATGCCAGGTGTAGATGATCGACGCTCTATGGTCTCTTTGCTGGATGTAGCAAAGGGTGCTCTAGACGAGGTTGTTTGGAATTCCTCGGTTGTGTCGCTGGAAAGAGAGTAGATGTACTGCATGAGAGATGTGTTGACCTGATTTGCCGCCGCTCCTACTGAGTCTGAGCCGCTGGACATGGCGGGCAGCACTTGTGTTAAAAGTCGGGGAACAAATGGAAGGATGTCCTCGGGACTGATCTCGAAAAAGGCGTCAATCCAGCGAAGCGCGGTCAGTTGCATTTCCTCCTCTGTAACGATGTAAGTAGTTTGTCATAGCAGTCATGTAACAACAAGCTCACCATATAACGTGTTGACAAAGCCGACAAGGATATCTAGAATCTTTGGATGATCGATTTGAACATCCTGACCCGGAATCCAGTCGCCATCTGCTTGAATGTATTCGTCGGTAGAAGCTTCTGATGCAGAATCCTCCACAGCGATGTCATTTCTGTCGTCAATGGCGCCTTCGGCCTGGAGGTTTTGCTCTGTAGCACTGCTCGGGTTGTCGCTAGCGGCTGAATGTCTTTTGCTCTTTTCGCTCTTGCGGCTTTCTTCGATGCCCTTCTTAAGTCGCGTGATTCGCTTGATCTCCAGCAGGAACCGATCGAGCAACGCCTGGGTTGCGATGTTCACATCGTTGTTTGGTCCACCGAGGAACTTGATCAATCCCTCTAGGAAGTCAGGTAGATAGCTCACTAGCTCTAGATCGGGAATGGTGTCCAAGAGTGTCAGCCACGAGACCAGGAAGTTGCGAGTGAACGGCTGAATCACATGAATGCGCTCTTGTAGCAAAGGAATAAACCGCGCAAGAGAGAAAGCCATAGGAAGCTCAGGGTCTTCTTGATTTTCTGTCTCCGGCGTATCCTTTTCATTCATGTGTAGTATCGAAACGTACGAAGCCGCTGACTCGGCGACAATGTCTTTCACAAGTCGGTCGAGAAGCTCCGCGCCATTCTTCACTGAAAGCTCCGAGTCCGATGCAAGCTATGCCGCATGTCAGCGTATGCAACCATCCAGATATCACATCACTCCTTACCTTTGCCAGTGCGTCGAAGATCTCGTTGAAGAATAACAAGATTTCTCCCTTGGCAACCTTGGCGATGTTGTACATGCTCTCACATGCGTAGTATCGGACCCTCGCATCTTGATCGGAGAAACATGCCAGCACGGGCGGCACAATTTCACTTAGGTACGGCGCAACTCCATCCTATATCCCATGTATTAGTCTCAGATACTCCCCGGACATAGTCACTTATACACACCGATCCGAGAGCAATAGAGGCCGCAGCTAACCCAATCAACCCTCCATTCCGGGCGTGGGGCTGATGCACGGCGTACGCATAGTCATGGCAAAGCTGCTCAACGATCTTTTGTATTTTCTCATGCTCGTTCTGGAAAACGGAGTCGCGGACAATCTTCTCAAGCCTAGACAGATACCACAGCAGTTAGCGTAAACTCCTCGCTTCTTCCGTTGTGACAAAGAATCCGTACTCCAGAGCACCCTGCTTCCTCCTATCGTAGAGCTTGTCGTTCAACAGCCGTTGGATTGAATGATCCATCACCCAAAGCAGCCTGTGCTGCAATTTTCTCCTGGCTTGGTTGGTTAAGCAATGCTCATGGTGGGAGAGCCTTGGTAACGGTGTTGCGGTATTGAAGACGGAGATCGCCAGAAGGTCACGAGCTCACAAGTCGAGTGGGAGCCGTCGGCCTTTCGGGAAGATGTGCAGATAAGAAAGTCTAGATCATCGAGTAGCTAGATCGAATCAGGTTGAAAGGTAAATTTTATCACCGGGTGTCGAAGATGCGTTGGCAACGTGGAGGTGAGGAGATCCAACCGCGGTGTGACGTATTGTCAGCAGTTCCAGTGGAGCCTCCAGGCAAGCTGTGACCGCCTTTGATCTATATCCTACTCTGTACTCCGTACACTATGTACATACTACAAAAGACTTCATTGATAATCATTTGGTTGTCTTATTGAATTTTTAGTGATCATGATCGCTTCCGAAAACAAAACAGGTCATGAAAGAATTGTGAAAACGCTCCAAAATCAAATGCAACCCAAAATGTAGTGTCTAAGCTGCCCAAATTTGCCAATAAGCATGATCAGTGACTGATGTATTGGAAAATAGCAGAGACGTCCTGCTCTCCAGTCTCTTGGCGCAGAAGCAGGTCTTGAATCTGGTTCAACGGGCCTTGCTCGCCAGTGTTGACAAAATGATTCCACGAACTCGTATCTCCATACAGCATCGCTGGAGCCTTGATGTATTGCGTGCCATCGGGTCGACATCGCTTGCATTTGAAAGTATCATGTGTATCACTGCGAGTATCCGGCTTGAATTGGAAGAGTTCTCGTAGCGAATCCAAGGAGAAGTGGCGTTCCACATCTTCCGCAGAGTCAACGACACAGGTCGAAAGAGACTGTTTGTGAGATTGGCGCTGGAATATCTTCTCTTCGATTGAGCCGGTCGCAATGAAACGGTAGACGAAACAGTCCTTCTTTTGTCCGTCTCGCCACACTCGTGCCAACGCTTGCTGATCGGCAGCCGGATTCCAATCGGGATCGAAGAGCACCAGCCGGTTGGCGCCAATCAAGTTCAAACCGCATCCACCAGCCTTACTACTCAGAAGGAACACAAACTCTGGGCCATCCGGGTCGTTGAACTTGTCAACTAGTTTAGTGCGCTTTTTGATATTCATTGTTCCATCAAGCCTCAAGCAACCATAAGCACGAGACCGGCATAGTTTCTCGAACAGATCCAGCGTTTGGGTGTAATTGCTAATGAGAACGATCTTGTCGTTGGTGTCTTGTCGAATTCGGGCCAGCATGCGGTCAAGCACCATCATCTTCCCTGAGTACCAACTCTTGATCTCTCTGTCGCGGCCTCGAGCATCAGGAGGCGTGTAGTCTTCGGGGAAAGCATGCTCGCATCCTGGCAGATCCTTTTCCAAATCAAGAAGATCCGGGTGATTGCAAAGCTTTTTCAGAAGACCAATTGCTTTCAGTGGCTGACTGCCCTTTCCACGAAGCAAACTCTTGATCTCTGGGCTTTGAATGAAGTGGTTATATAGACCGCGCTGGAATTGCGACATGTTGCAGAATACAACATGCTCATACTTGACGGGCAAGTATTTTGAGAGGAGCTCATTAGTCCGGCGGATGATGAACTTGTTGACAACCCCAGACAACTCTTTCAACCGTTCATCTCCCAGCTTCTTTTCCTCATCTGTGCCTTCTGCATCTCGGCCCTTTAGGATGGGCAATTCAAACTTCTTTCGGAACTCCATTTGGGAACCAAGAACGTTTGGATTAGCGAAGTGGAGAAGAGCAAAGTATTCGGACAAGTCATTCTGGATGGGAGTTCCTGAAAGAATTACCCGACGGGTGACATTGAGTTGGTTCAGGGCCGTCCATGTCAGACTGTCCTTGTTCTTCAGACGGTGGCCTTCATCACATAGCAAAAGTCCAATAGGCGTATCATTCAAAGTATCCGCATACATGCGGAGTGTCTCGTACGACACAATGAGAACCGGTCTGACGATACCACGCCCTGATGCGATTGCCCACTGCTTGATTTGAGCTATAAGCTCTGCCTTGGTGGCCTTTCCATCTATTGCGAATGGTGTTGTGGCATCCTTTCCAAGCCATTTGACTAATACCATTAGTTGAGATGTTCGGATCGAAACGAAGCATCACTCACCCAATTCATTAGCCCAATTCCCGACCAAACTCGAGGGACATGCTATAACGCATTTCTGGATTGTAGTTTTCCCTGCCTCAGATGATTGTTTGAGAAGTGTCCACATCAACGCGATGCATTGAAGCTGCATGAGTCAGAGTCAACAGTCAAAAAATAACGATAGCTTGATTCGACTGAACGTACCGTTTTGCCCAGTCCCATACCATCTGCCATAATGCACCCATTGGCATTCTTGTCAACCAACCCAGTAACGCATCGATAAAGGAACTATTCATTTAATTGGGGTCAGCTTCGATCCCATAAGAACTTCGATATGAGACCATACCTTCACGCCCTCCACTTGATGTGGCCTAAGAACTTTGCACAATCTCGGATCGAGAACAACAGGCACCTTCGGCCGTTCTTCCACATCCTTCTTGAGGCCCAGGATATCAGCCAAACTTTTATGCATAATCGGTTCATCAATGGTCGGAGTTTCTTCTGAGGGTGCTTCCAAGCTTTTGGGCGCGGGTTCTTCAGCAACGTCATCCACCGTTGGGTCATATAACACAATAGCAAACTCTCCGCTTGGATCATGCAGCGGCTTGACGACAAATGTCGCACCGCGTCGCATACCCAATGTCGGGGCAGCCCGCCCAGCGCTGTACTCGCCTGTGTCTTTGTTCAACAACGGAACCTGAAATCGAGATCGGAAGGCCGTATCCTTATCCCTGGGTTTGAAGACAGGGAACTTATTTGCCTCTCTCGTTGCCAGAGCGAGTCTATCCTCGTTTGTGTACGGTTTCTCGCCATCCTCGACACTTCCATCGGCATTGGCGTAATTGACCTTTCGCTTCTTTCTCGATGGCTTCTCGGATGCTCGTGTTGGCGTCGCAGTTCCGGGGCATTTGAAAGGCCTTACTAAGCGATCGACCGAGGTCTGTGAGTTCACCGATTTGGGTTGTAGAGGGGTCTTGACGCCGCCGTCGCCACCAGCCGGTCGTGATCGATACCTTTAAGACCATATTAGTATCCCAAAGAACGGACGAAGGTGATATATCTCACATCAGACCAAATTCCAAACGAAGATATCTCCAAAACAACGCCTGTGCAATGATAAAGCTTTGATAGTTGTAAAGTTCGATGTTCAACGCGCTCCTGCCTCGCGTCAGCCTAGGCTTACAAACACCAAAATGTCACGCTTTCACGTGATCATCGGTGCCTTATCCTGCTTAGTCATGACCTGGGGGTCGCCAGCACCCCACTATCGGGGAACCGGGGGAGCTTCAGAAGATGGCTTGGGTATTTCCTTGTTCTTGGGTGACCCCTGTGCTATCTGATGGCTGCCGACTTCTGGGCGGGCTACCTCAGCGGAGCCATTGGCATCATCATTGGCAATCCTCTTGATGTTATCAAAGTTCGGCTGCAGGCCGGCAACGTGCATGCAGACACGTCGTCGTCCAATCTCAGCCGCTGGGAAAGAGCAGGTTCTCTTGTCCGAGGTCAGTCACCTTTGATTCTTAACGCCGTGGGGCTTTATCGAAACAATCTGTTGATTGTTGCTATAGGTGCCGCTGCTCCGATATTAGGTTATGGAGCTCTAAACGCCATTCTCTTTGTGGCCTACAATCGATCACTGAAAGCTTTGGACGGGTCTATATCCGATCCCACCAATCCGGTGGGGGCCTCCGCATACAACATCTGGCTTGCGGGAGCCGCTGGTGGACTGGCTAGCTGGACGATCTCGTCGCCGACAGAACTCATTAAATGTCGAGCACAGCTAGATCGCCGGCCAGAAGTGTCGTCGTGGGCGGTTGCCAAGGATATCTTCCGTACGCGCGGATGGAGGGGGCTCTATTATGGTGGAGGGATTACTAGTGCCAGAGATGCAATTGGCTACGGATTCTAGTACGGAACACACACGCCACCCCCAGATACCCCAGAGGAACTTAATTGCTGATCTTCGGCAGTTTCTGGTCTTATGAACTTTGCAAACGATTTATGACTTCTGATGATGACGGTCAATATCAGGCCGCTGTGAATATTTTGCTTTGCGGTGGCATCGCTGGCGTTGTTACTTGGGGCTCAGTATTCCCTTTGGATATGATCAAGACAAGATTGCAGGCACAAACTCTTGGCCATTCTTGCGGAACCGAAGGCCAGTTTTTGTTGCAGCAGCGACAGACACTGAACTCTTTCCAGATTGCGAAAGAAACCTACCGCGCCGAGGGCATCAAGGCATTCTACCGAGGTCTTGGGGTATGCAGCGTCAGAGCATTCATTGTCAATGCCGTCCAGGTATGTTTTTTATGGGTCATTGTGGTAGATCATAAGCTGAGATTCGAGCAGTGGGCAGCCTACGAATGGTTGATGAAGAGCTTCAGTCAATGGGGCACACAGGTGAAGCTCCAAGAACCCACGGTGGGTCTGTGAATATGTTCAAACCGGAGCGATGGAGCTAGAGGAAATAGACATGTCCGGACAAATAAAAACAAATACCTACCGGAACCCCGTTCAGGTTAGATTCTATTTGGTATTGAGGGATTTCTATTGGAAATACTGGGAAATATTGCTGGTAAGGAGGTAAATTTCGCTCAGATGCCGTTTTCGCCGAGTGTCGGCAGTTTCAGAGTTCACCCGAAAACCGGAAGAACGGACTGCCGGCGACTATCGGCAATATAAAAAAAATTGCCTCACGTGAGACTCCACCGATATGCATGAAGGTATTGAGGAATCCAACGTCGGTCTATATGGGAAAAACTTTTGTAGGTCGATTTGCAGAATAGATGATCGTGGTCGCGTCGCAAAGGTTGATATTATCCCAGAGGTCGGAAGGTTGCTGGTTTATTCCTTCATCAGGTCCGGATTCTCTTCTCGCTTGCCATTGTCGACGACACCGAGTCCGATCGCGCGTTCGGCGAGTTGTTGGCTGTGAGGCTCTTCCTTGAGGATCTTGAGTCTGAATAGAGAAGAAAGCGCAACTTGTTAGCTATGCGACGTGCTATTGGGGATGTGATATCGTGATATCGTCAAGACTCACCTCTTCTTGTGGTTCTTGCCCTTAGTGTGAGCCTTGAGGTTGTACTCGCTCTCAAACCATTTTGAACATTCCAAGCAGAAATGTCTGCCCAGGCCAGGCAGGTCCTCTACATCCTTGGAGCTCTTGTATTGCTCCAAGTGACGGGGAGACTTGATGTCGGCGAGGACTTGATCATAGTCTCTGGAAAAAGGTTAACATCGGGATCGCAGCAAAGACACACGTTGTACAGTGCCGAGGGTGAACATACCTGGTGCGACGCTTGTTCTTGATTTGCCTGAGAGCACCCATTGTAGCTGATAACCGAAATACCTCGGAGCTTCAGCCGAATAATGTTATCAAAATAGATGGTAAGGGTAAAAAATAATTATCACCGATTTCCGGAGTGAACGGTGAGGAAAGCGGGTCAGTAGTGTGAAGGGCAAGCAACAAAGTCGTGGAACGAAATTTCCGCTGACTGTGGGCCACGGGCAGCGATTCAAACGCCCGGGCTGTGATTGGTTGGCTATCAGACACGGCCTCTTGGCGGCGATGCGGGATTGTCGTCGGCACGCCTCGGCTCAATCGGTTTCGTCACTTGCCGTATATCCTGTATTTAATGACGTATGCATGCGGTAAGTTTTAGCTATGAAGTACTCCGTACTACTAAGTAGTTAGCATGGAATTTATCACTGGGTTTAAGATATATTGCAATGTTTACATATCAACAGCTAGCTGATTTTAGCTATGTAGCGACACGAAGAGCTTCCAGCTCTATGGGCATCAAGCTGGGGCGATATTCTCAGCCGTCAAACCCACATGCCGAGTCCAAGCAGGGTTGCATATGGGGTACAGGCCGAAACTAGAACTGAACACATTGACCTTTTGCCCTTGGTCCGAGATGAGTGACCAAGTCCTTGTAATTGGAAACTCCGTGATTGGTGGCCGAGTTATACCCGTCACATGCCTTGTATCGCCCTTACAACCCCGGGACACCCGTCCCCAGACGAACCACGCCCTCTCTGCTGTCCAGCGCACATGGAAAGGGCAGAAAGCAAGGGGATGGGGATAGGCCTCAGCGCATAAGGTCATTCTGCATCCCATTTTTCACAGTAATTATTATAAATTCTCGGCCTAAAGCAGCGTCTATCAAAATGCCCAGCCCTTCTTTGCCGTCGCATGCGGGAGGCTTAGCCCAATACGCTGTATTGTATCGCCCTGGTAACAGCGGTTACGGCTCTATGCCCGGGCCCCGTAGAATCTTTCTCCCACTCAAAACCAAGCTTTCGTCCTCTTCTTTCTTCCTGAACTCTTCCTCTCTCATTCCACTCTCCACTCTCATACTTTGGTGAAGGTGGTTACTTGCTCTTGGATGTTCAGTCCCATCTCATAGAGCTTGCATCATGATCTCCACCCGCCTTGCGCGCGCCGGTGCGCTGGTAAGTCTTATATCCCTACATCCTCGGCTCTGTGCGGCCTATGCTGCTGAACAGAGTCGGGGGGGATGGTCAATATGAACCGAAGGCTAACTCACTTCCCACTATAGGCCCCCAAGTTCCGTCTTGTAAGCAGCAATCAGACACCCAAGCTTCAGCCACACGTGGCGGGTTATATGCCGGCTTTGGCATTAGCCGCGGCACCAAAAAAAAATGCAGTTACTGACTTGTCAATGAATAGCTTTCCGGAACTCGGGCCTACGCCACTGATGTCCTCGACAAGAAGGTCGAGATGACCAACCAGGAAACTGTGAGTGGCTGCCAGACTAGCGCCTAACGGAGCGGATCGTGGAGTATGAACAACCAACAGTGGCTAACGCATTGGATATCAGGGTCACTACATTAACTACAAGAAGATGTCCGAGAACCTCGACATCGTTCGCTCGCGTCTGCAGCGTCCTCTTACCTACTCCGAGAAGGTCCTCTACTCTCACCTTGACGACCCTCACGGTCAGGACATCCAGCGTGGTGTCTCTTACCTCAAGCTCCGCCCCGACCGTGTTGCTTGCCAGGATGCCACCGCTCAGATGGCCATTCTGCAGTTCATGTCCGCTGGCATGGACCGCGTCCAGACCCCCACCACCGTCCACTGTGACCACTTGATTGAGGCCCAGGTTGGAGGTGAGAAGGATCTTGCTCGTGCCAACGACATCAACAAGGAGGTCTACGACTTCCTTGCCTCCGCCACTGCCAAGTACAACATTGGTTTCTGGAAGCCCGGCTCTGGTATCATTCACCAGATCGTTCTTGAGAACTACGCCTTCCCCGGTGGTCTGATCATCGGTACCGACTCCCACACCCCCAACGCCGGTGGTCTCGCTACTGCCGCCATTGGTGTCGGTGGTGCCGATGCCGTCGATGTCATGGCTGGTCTCCCCTGGGAGCTGAAGGCCCCCAACGTTATCGGTGTCCGTCTCACCGGTAAGATGTCCGGCTGGACCACCCCCAAGGATATCATCCTGAAGGTCGCTGGTCTCCTCACCGTCAAGGGTGGTACTGGTGCCATCATTGAGTACCACGGTCCCGGTGTCGACTCCCTGTCCTGCACTGGTATGGGTACCATCTGTAACATGGGTGCCGAGATTGGTGCTACTACCTCCATCTTCCCCTTCAACGACCGCATGTACGACTACCTGAAGGCCACCAAGCGTCAGCACATTGGTGACTTCTCTCGCGACTACGCTGCTCAGCTCCGCGAGGATGAGGGTGCCCAATACGATCAGCTCGTTGAGATCAACCTCGATGAGCTCGAGCCCCATATCAACGGTCCCTTCACTCCCGATCTCGCCACTCCCCTCTCCCAGTTCAAGCAGGCTGTTAAGGACAACAAGTGGCCCGAGGAGCTCAAGGTCGGTCTGATCGGTTCTTGCACCAACTCCTCCTACGAGGATATGTCCCGCTCTGCCTCCATTGCCCGTGACGCTCTTGACCACGGTCTCAAGTCCAAGTCTCTGTTCACCATCACCCCCGGTTCCGAGCAGATTCGCGCTACCATCGAGCGTGACGGTCAGCTCCAGACCCTCGAGGAGTACGGCGGTGTCATCCTTGCCAACGCCTGTGGCCCTTGCATCGGTCAGTGGGACCGCAAGGACATCAAGAAGGGTGAGGCCAACTCCATCATCTCTTCCTACAACCGTAACTTCACTGGTCGCAACGACGCCAACCCCGCCACCCACGCCTTCGTCGCTTCTCCCGACCTGGTCGTCGCCATGACTGTTGCCGGTACCCTCAACTTCAACCCCATCACCGACACCCTCAAGGACAAGGATGGCAAGGAGTTCAAGCTTAAGGCTCCCTCCGGTGACGGTCTCCCCACCCGTGGTTACGATGCTGGCCGCGACACCTACCAGGCTCCTCCCGCCGACCGTAGCGCCGTCAACGTCGCTGTCTCCCCTACCAGTGACCGTCTCCAGATTCTTGCTGGCTTCTCCAAGTGGGACGGCAAGGACGCCACTGACCTCCCCATTCTCATCAAGTGCCAGGGCAAGACCACCACTGACCACATCTCCATGGCTGGCCCGTGGTTGAAGTACCGTGGCCACTTGGACAACATCTCCAACAACATGTTGATCGGTGCCACCAACGAGGAGAACGGTGAGGCCAACAAGGTCAAGAACTACTTCACCAAGGAGTACGATGCCGTCCCCGCCACTGCCCGTGACTACAAGGCTCGCGGTGTTAAGTGGGTTGTCATCGGTGACTGGAACTACGGTGAGGGTTCTTCCCGTGAGCACGCCGCTCTCGAGCCCCGCCACCTCGGTGGTCTCGCCATCATCACCCGCTCCTTCGCTCGTATCCACGAGACCAACCTGAAGAAGCAGGGTATGCTTCCCCTCACCTTCTCCGACCCCGCCGACTACGACAAGATCAACCCCGAGGACAAGGTCGACCTCCTCTGCACCGAGCTCCAGGTTGGCAAGCCCATGACCCTCCGCGTCCACCCCAAGGACGGTGGCGCCGCCTTCGACGTCTCCCTCAGCCACACCTTCAACGAGTCCCAGATCGAGTGGTTCCACGATGGCTCTGCCCTCAACACCATGGCCCGCAAGGCTTAAACTGCTCCTCTCATGACTTTCCATTAAATCCTTCAAATGTTCCGTTATCACGGCCATTTGTGTAAACTACGTTCTCTTGTGTGTTGAACAATTCAGATACATGTCTGGAGGGTAGGATGTTGCAGACATTGGGTTGTCTGTGGTGTCTGCATCCCTCGGGCATACGAGGAGTTGCGCTCTGGGAAAAATTATGATCTTGTGTTTTTGTAGGCCTGCACGGCCTTGCGTTGATTCCCGATATTTGGGTGGGCTCAATGGATATATCTTTTTGATTTTTTTACATCGTTTTCTGTGTGTTAGAAATGGCATGCATGCATTGACTTCAAACAATCTTCTCCTTCGTAAAACGTATCTACTGTAGACATTGTTCCAAGGTTGGTTTCGCTGAAGGTATACTCCGTACATGCCGACACCACGCCAGACATAGGCAAATATCTACTTCCAATATTCCTTTGTATCCATCTCAAACTAGCCAATCTTGGTTCCAAAGCTGTTCTATTCATCTACTTGGGGATTTTATGAGGTCAGCATAATCACATTTGGGGGATATCTTCACTAGCGGACGATAGAGGCATTTCCCCCGTAGCCGAGGCTCAGCCCCGCGTTAACAACCGTGGAGAGCCGACTGCCTGAACTTCGTATCTGAACGCAATAAGCTCACCCAATCTCGTCAGCGTGGTATTTCCATCTCAGCCACAGCACAATCTCTTCCTTATTTTTGGCATCTGTCCGTGGGCCACTTCAATTCGACACCTTGGTCAAGACTACACATTGCCAGTTCCTCAGACACTTGTTGGTTACTGTCGGTGTCACGAACAAAGTACAGACCTCTGAATCTACCGAATATTTTCAAACAATGGCCACCCAGCTTGTGCATCTCCCAGAAGTGGAGCGCCTCAGCGCCTCCGTGGTGAGGATATTAGCCGGAAACCCGGGAAAAGTGAGTATCTGGCTCCAAAATATATACAAGGCATCCCTCTGCCCGACTCGATCACGGCAGAAGCTGACAAGCCACGGCGGCTAGTTCACACTTCAAGGTCAGCACTTAACCTGCAGATGTCCTATTCAGACTGCACTCTAACCCCAAATCAGGCACAAATACTTATCTAGTTGGTCGCGGGCACCAACGCATTCTCATAGACACCGGCGAAGGAAGACCGACATGGATCAATAACCTCCAGACGGTGCTCGCAGAAGAGAAAGCTACCGTGCACCAGGCCATCCTCACTCACTGGCACGGTGATCATGTCGGCGGATTACCAGATCTACTCAGAATCTGCCCCCAGGCACAGATCTTTAAGCACCAACCAGAGTCATCTCAGAATGATATTCAAGACGGCCAAACCTTTTCTGTCGAGGGCGCCACACTAACCGCCCTACATACGCCAGGCCATACAGTCGACCATATGGTCTTACTACTGGACGAAGAGAATGCAATGTTCACAGGTGATAGTACGCATGATCCCCTCCTCCCTCAAATCTATACTATACCACCATTACCAAGGCCGAAAAAAAAACTCACACTAGCAGATGTCTTGGGCCATGGTACGGCAGTATTTGAAGACCTCAAAACCTACTTGAATAGCTTGCACCGAATGCGCGACCGGGCCTCCGGTCGCGGGTACCAGGCCACGGCGCGGTGATTGAGAATGCGAGTGCGCGAATCACCGAGTACATCAAGCATCGGCAGCAGCGGGAAGATGAGGTGCTGCACGTGCTAAAGTACGGATCACTGGAGGGGACAGTGGTGGACATCCAAGGATGGACGCCTCTTGAGTTGGTGAAGCAGATTTACAAGGATATTCCAGAATCATTGCACCTACCGGCATCGCATGGAATTGCGCTGGTGCTTGAAAAGTTAGAGAGTGAGGGGAGGGTTGTGAAAAAGGACGAGAAATGGATTTTGAGCGAGAAGTCGGCTTTGTGAATGAGATATTGAAATAGTATATGGAAAGGCTTGAGTGTGAATATTGGGTGGTGAGGTGAAGATGTAGCAGACCAAGGCAGATTGGCGGCAGACGTCAGCGGTCGGTCATGGCACCAAAGCATGGAAGTACAAGACAGTTGGGAAGGACCCGATTCTGACTCTCTGACTGGCTGGCCTGAGATGCCTAATATCTCTCTCTTCTTTATTTTTTCCCTTCTCTCTCTCTTTTCTACACCTTCATGTAAGTGCTAGTGAAGAACTGCCATTTCCAAGTTATCGGAGTGACGCCAGGACATTCCCTCCACCCCCACCTACCCTTTTTTTTCTTCTCTCCCTGAGCTCATCCCCTCGAGGACTTAACCTATTTGCATTTTGCGCATGGAGATTGTGAATAAGCTATCCAGCTGCACTTCCTCGTTCTCTCTCTTCGAGCTCTTTGGAGATCGTTCGTCATAGGTTGGTGATCCTCCCCCGCACGAGACACCGTCTAATCGCATTTCTTTGGGAAACCACAGCCTCACCCCCAGCATTCGGCATTCGGCATTCAGACATCTCCATTGCATCCAATATCCCATTTCCACTTCCGACCGCTCCGTCATCATGTCTGACGAGCCCAACGAAGCCCGTTTGCTGCTAGTCTCCAATCGCCTGCCGATCACCATCAAGCGGTCTGACGATGGAAAATATGACTTTTCAATGTCCTCTGGAGGTCTGGTCAGTGGACTGAGTGGCCTTTCGAAATCAACTACCTTCCAGTGGTACGGCTGGCCCGGTCTGGAGGTGCCCGAGCCTGAGATCCCTGTCGTCAAGCAGCGCCTTAAGGAGGAGTATGGCGCTGTGCCCGTCTTCATTGACGACGAGCTGGCGGATAGGCATTACAATGGATTTTCCAGTGAGTTGGCTTTGCTGTGCACTTCTTCTTCAGCAGTGGGACTAATATGATGCTTCTACATAGACTCCATCCTCTGGCCTCTGTTCCACTACCACCCTGGTGAGATCACATTTGACGAATCCGCCTGGGAGGCTTACAAAGAAGCCAACCGGCTCTTCGCAAAGGCGATTTCTAAAGAAGTCAAGGATGGCGATCTCATCTGGGTCCACGATTACCACCTGATGCTTCTACCGGAGATGCTGCGCGAGGAGATCGGCGACAGCAAGAAGAATGTCAAGATTGGCTTCTTCTTACATACCCCCTTCCCTAGTAGCGAGATCTACCGAATTCTTCCCGTGCGAAACGAGTTGCTTCTGGGAGTCTTGCACTGCGACCTCATTGGCTTCCACACCTACGACTACACACGTCACTTCCTCAGCAGTTGCTCACGTCTATTGTAAGTGTGGATCACCCACGGTGGAGATTTCTTCTAACCCGGCAATCATAGGGGTCTCGCCACTACGCCAAATGGCATCGAATTCCAGGGCAAGATAATCACATGTGGAGCATTCCCTATCGGCATCGACCCCGAGAAGTTCACAGAGGGACTGAAGAAGGAAAAGGTGCAAAAGCGCATTGCGATGCTGGAACAAAAGTTCCAGGGTGTTAAACTCATGGTTGGTGTCGATCGCCTCGACTACATCAAGGGTGTCCCGCAAAAACTGCATGCGCTCGAGGTCTTCCTCAGCGACCACCCGGAGTGGGTTGGGAAGGTTGTTCTTGTGCAAGTTGCTGTACCCAGCCGGCAAGATGTCGAGGAGTATCAGAACCTACGTGCCGTTGTTAATGAATTAGTTGGACGGATCAACGGAAAGTTTGGTAAGCTCTCACCTCTACTTGCAAGATGACACTCAGTCTGACATACCCAGGAACCATTGAATTCCAGCCTATCCACTTCCTCCACAAGTCCGTCAACTTCGACGAACTCATTGCTCTTTACGCCGTTTCAGATGCCTGCATCGTCTCATCAACCCGCGATGGTATGAACCTGGTGGCGTACGAGTACATTGCTACACAGCAGAAGCGCCACGGCTCCCTGGTTCTCTCTGAATTTGCCGGTGCCGCCCAGAGTCTCAACGGCAGTATCATCGTGAACCCCTGGAACACAGAAGAATTAGCAGGCGCCTACCAAGAGGCCGTCACAATGAGCGATGAGCAAAGAGCTCTTAATTTCGCTAAATTGGATAGATACGTCTCCAAGTACACCAGGTATGTCATGCGAGCCAAACCCTCCCTAACCTACCGATGACTAACCTTCTCAGTGCATTCTGGGGTCAATCCTTCGTCACGGAACTGAATCGCATATCAGCGCATTCCGCTGAGAAGTTCCAATCCAAGAAACTGGCGGAAGAAGCCGCCGCGTAATTGAAGGGAAATCCAACTTAGACACGAACTGCACGAGGCGAATGTATGGGGAGTTTCCCCTGGTTGATTTTTGTATGGGTTTCTTTATATCTTTTATTCTCCTCTTTAAACCAAGATTAATCGCCGAGAGGTTAGATTATTGTGTGATTGGAGTTGTTCTTGTAATTATAGAGGCTGTTGAATGCAATGCATGTGGTAGGAGATAAACCACCAGCTTCCGAACTTGAAGCATTGAGTTTTAGTTTTTTTCCCCAGTAGATCTTGGCAAAGCTGATAGTTAAGGGAGAACCTTGGAAGAGAAAGTGAAAACAAAACACCTTTGGCATGCAATTGCTTCTGAGCAGCTCATGGTCATTTTGATAGAGTTGTATACTAAAGGTGCAAACAGTGCAAACGGGCTTCCCCGAGAAATTCTCGAAATCTCAACAGCCGACACCTTGAGCTCGCAACCACTGGAGGTCCAATTACCACCCATTTCATCCTGCGCCTTGCTTCCCAGAAAGCTCGAACCATTAAAACTCCACCAAAAAGCCAGAAGGAGCAAAAAACCACACACAATGACTCCAAGCCGCCTCCTCCGGGCGACGATGCCACTCCGAACCAGCTTCACGCCTCTGTCCCTGACACGCACCCCAATCCTCCAATCAACATCATACATTACCAGCCGGAGCGCTTCAACAAGTCCCCCACAAACCGCCGGCACCGAAACCCAAGCACCCTCCAAACTCCGCAATTACGCCTCAGCCCTGAAGACCGGCACCGTCGTCTCCGTCGGCCGCATGGAGCGCACCGTCCGCGTCCTCCACCGACACACACTCTGGGACCGCCACATCCGCAAATACTACCCGCAAGAAACCAACTTCCTAGTCTCCGACCCGGCCAACTCCCTCCGCGCCGGCGACGTAATTGAATTTTCGTCCGGTGCGCCTAAGAGCAAACACGTGCACCATGTCGTTGAGCGTATCATCACGCCGTTCGGAGAGAGCATTGCTGACCGGCCCGCTGTTCTGAGTAAGGAGGAGCGCGAAGCGTTGCGGGAGACTCGCTGGGCGGCGAAGTACCTTCGTCGTGAGTCGAGACGGCTTGGGAGGGAGGTTGATCTTGTCGAGGAGGCGAAGAAGGCGGGTGTGGAGGTTGAGGAGGGTCTTTCTTCTGCGCAGCTGATTCACAGAATCCATGCGGAGAATGAGCGCATTGGGAAGGTGAAGAGGCTTATTCAGGAGCGGACTGGGGTCGAGGAAGAGAAGAGCGAGTATTTGTCCTAAGGTTGAGCCTAGGCTTGGGAATATGTGTTCTATATTATTTTGAGGTCTCTTTTTTCTTCTGTCGCCTCTGCATTCTTGCATTGCATATCGGAGGCCATGTACTGTACTATACCGGTTCAATCTTATTTTGGCATTGTGATTCTTGTATTGGCGTTTGAATGGGTCTAAAGTATGAACGAGAAGGGGAATAGAGGGTGTTCCCTCGGTGTAAGTTGCCCAACAGTATACATCGTAACACATGGGCCAGTCCAGGCAACGAAGCCGTGAGGTCTAATGCCCTGATCGTGTGCAACAAAAAAGCATGTAAGTCACTGGTATCACAGAAATAACCAACTCCTGCCAAAAGAAAAAAAAAAAGAGAAAAAAAAAAACAATGGGCTGAGAGCCCGACTTCCAGACCCCCTCGGATTGGGAAGACCCCGGTCATTTAGATTGGGCGCGTGGGGGTGGAATGTCAAGCTGAAGCAGCCCGAAGCGATGTTCTTTGCTTATGACTCACTTGTGAGCCCCATCATGATGCAAAGACTCGGACCTTGAGGTCGACACTCCCCGTCGCGAGGACGCATCGAATGGACATTTTCGTCGCATTGGGGTCCTCCTTCGCACCGTTTGAAGCCTCGCCGTTGGTGTCGTTCGCACCGGTATCCTTGATTAATGGAGGCGCCCAGCGGATCGAACTGATGAAGTGATTGTGTGCGGGAATGGTGCGCACGCACTTGCCTTCTTGTGTGAGATCCCAGCAGCGCATGGTTTTATCATCGGATACCGAGAGCAGATACTTGCCTCCAGGATGGAACACCATTGCGCGAACCCAGTTATCGTGACCTACGAGGATCTTGATGCAGTTGCCGCGAGTATCCCAGAGACGAATAGTCTTGTCGCGAGAGCCCGTTGCGACGAACTCGGCTGAAGATGATGCCGACGGGGGTTTCTTGAGCCCTGCTAGGGGCGCGAGGTGAGGGTAACTTGTTGCCGGGGCGAACGCCACACATTCGATATAATGTTCATGGCCCAGGAAAGTTGACTTGGTCTCACCCGATGAAACATCCCAGAGACGTGGGACTCGGTCATCTCCTCCCGAGAAGAGGAAACGACCGTCTGCGGATGGCACTACATCTCGAACCCAGTCCCCGTGGCCTTGCATGGTCTTCACGCAGTACCCAGTTGTCACATCCCAAATACGGAGTGTCATGTCGCGAGACGCCGAAACCAATAAGTTTCCTGACATTGGAGAGCCTGCGGCCCCTGACGGGATGAACCGAACCGACGAAACGCTGTGATCGTGCCCGGGGAGTGTGCGAATGTTTTTATACTCGTCTGCTGGATCCCACAGCTTGATCGTTAGATCTGAGGAGCACGAAGCCAGAAGCGTTCCGCCGCGCGGGCCTCCATAGTCGACATCCAACACCGCTCTCGTGTGTCCCTTGATCGTCCTTTCAAGTTCGCCGAGCTCCCAGTCCCAAATTTTGATCGTGGTGTCATCTGAACCGGAGGCGAGTGAGGAGAATATAGGATGGAAAGCCACACAAGAGACTGGCGAGCGGTGCCCTTCGAGATCATGGCGCGGTGGTGCTCTCGGCAGCCAGGAGGCAGGATCTTGATTCCTTTTAGAGAGCGAAGTGGGTGTGGCGGTATCCAATTCGGCCTGGAGCGAAGCGCATCGCGATTCCAAGTCCATAATCTGTACCACGATGGCAGGTTAACATAAGGAACTCATTGGGCTGGATGTTCTCTCTCTCACACACACACACCTTCTTTTGTAACCGGACTACGCTCGTCCATTTCTTTTCCAGAAGACCCTCATATTTCTTAAGTGTAGTATCGTCGACTGTGATCGAGTCACCCAGCTCTTCTCGCAAGGCTGCGGAGCTGTGGTTCAAATTCACAGAGTTGAGGTAGGCGATTATTCCTTTATGTCTGTCGCAACTGTCAGTAATGACCCCTAAATGAGTCCAGAGTCACATACAGCTCCTCCGCCTGGCGCGGAGTGAGAAGTTGGCTCATTATGTAGCTCCTTTGTATTTTCGCAATTCGCTATTCAATGCGCATTCACCAGGCGTGTTTAGGAAAATCTGCGATGGAGGGGAAGCGGTGTCGGAGGGGGTAGACGGCGACGCGGCGAGACGGCGTAATTGGCGAAAACCCGAGAGGTCAGAAAAGATGCGAAGACGAGGAATTGCACAAGATCGAGAATATCCAAGATATATGAAGAGAGCAAGTGTGATCCACCGCGGGGTTCGGTCACAACAAAACAATCGTGCCAAGCCGCTTGTTTACTTCCCGATCCTCTCCAACTGTTTATTTTCTCCCCCGACGTCAACCCGTCTGCTTTGAGATACGTTCATTTGAGACATTCGGCTCTATCACATTGCCTCTGGTTCCATCGAGAGCCGAGACAGTCTACACTTTTTTTTTTTACCCTTCGGGCATCAACGACACGGTACGCCCACTCCCCCCGCAACAACCCAACACACTCTGCCGTTCCAGAAGATCTCCCTTGTGCTACTCGCAGGCGGAAATTTACAGTACGCTGATTCAACGGTCTTCAAACAGTCGCATATAGCTCGAACTTTCGGTAAAAGCCCATCAGCATGGCTGACGCCCAAGAGGATTTATCCTCCTTGCCCTTGCCCGACCGGTTTGCCCATAAGGTGCGCCCACCCCGAAACAGCGCGAGGATCGCATAAGATGACTGTACATTCTAATGCCATATACAGAACTGGAAGGTCCGCAAGGAGGCATACGAAGATGCCAAGGCACAATTTGAAAAGACCCCTGATGAATCACACCCGGTTTTCGTGCCATTTATACAAGACCCCGGCTTGTGGAAGGGCGCGGTTGCAGATTCAAATGTAGCCGCACAGCTAGAAGGTCTCGGGGCATACTGCGCTTTCTTGCAGTTCGGAGGAGTTCAGGCCTGTACCAGGTGCGCATCGACCCAATCCCTGGTTGACTTCCGGTTCCTGAACCCGCTAACGATGTTTCCATGTCTAGGACCCGCGGATTCACTATTGGCCCAATCGCAGAGAAAGGTCTGATTTCGACACGACCGGCCGCCAAAGCTAGTGCCCATGAAGCGCTGTTATTATGTGTGGAGTTGGACAAGTCGGATCCAGTGATCGAGGAGCTGCTCCCCACACTGTCACATAAAGTACCAAAGGTGGTTGCGGCCTCTCTTGCGGCCTTTACTGCCATCTATCACAACTTTGGATGCAAGATCGTGGACCCAAAGCAGACTCTGAAGGCGTTGCCCAAGGTTTTCGGTCATGCTGATAAAAATGTCCGAGCCGAGGCACAAAACCTTACGGTTGAACTTTACAGGTGGCTCCGTGAGGCTATCAAGCCTCTGTTTTGGGCCGACTTGAAACCGGTCCAGCAGGGAGATCTGGAGAAACTATTCGAGAATGTGAAGCAGGAACCCACTCCGAAGCAAGAACGATTTACCCGAGCCCAGCAAGATGCTATGGCTGCGGCCAGCGCTGCGCCCGCAAGTGAAGATGTTGACGAACCGATGGGTGAGGAGTTTGATGACGAGGGGGATGGTGTGGAGGTTGATGCCTTTGACCTGGCAGAGCCGGTTGATGTTTTCAAGAAGATCCCTGACAACTTCCACGATTCACTGGCTTCGTCTAAATGGAAGGACCGTAAGGAAGCACTAGACGCTCTTTACGCTATCATCAATGTGCCTCGAATCAAAGATGGGCCATATGATGACATTGTGAGGGGGTTGGCCAAGTCGATGAAGGATGCTAACGTCGCTGTTGTCACGGTGGCAGCAAACTGCGTTGATGTTCTCGCCAAGGGTTTGCGTACCGGCTTCGCCAAGTACAGAAGCACCATCATGGTACCCATGTTCGAGCGTCTAAAAGAAAAGAAGCAGATCGTGGCAGATGCTTTAGGCCAGGCGTTAGATGCCGTCTTCACGACGACAACTCTTTCAGATTGCCTGGAAGAAATCTTCGAATATACCAAACACAAGAACCCCCAGATCAAGCAAGAGACAGTCAAGTTCCTGGTCCGATGTCTGCGCACGACCCGAGAGGTGCCGTCAAAGCCCGAACAAAAGTCAATCGCTGACTCTGGTACCAAATTGTTGACCGAGTCAGCCCCGGCAATCCGTGAAGGAGCCGCCGAAATTCTGGGTACATTGATGAAAATCTTGGGCGAGCGGGCCATGAACCCATACCTTGACGGTCTTGACGAAATCCGCAAGACCAAAATCAAGGAGTACTTTGGAACCGCAGAAGTCAAGGCCAAGGAACGCCCTAAACCCATTGTGGCTCCTCCAAAGCCTGCGGCTCCGGCTGGCCGCAAGGTTGTTGGCAAGAAGCCGGCTGCTGCATCTGGACTAAAGAAGCTCGCTCCTGCAGCTGCACCCCTGCCCCAGAAGAACCTGCATTGAAGCCACCGTCTAGAGGCATCCCCTCAAAGCTTGGTGCTCCCAAGGCCGGCGGTTTGGCGACTCCCGGATCGGGTCTCAAACTTCAAAGGAAGCTCGCTGGGCCTGGAACAACTGCATCACCCTCAAGACGAGCTGCACCACCTCCCGAAGAAGATGTGGCTCCTCCACCAGCTGCCCCCAAATTTGGGTTAGGGCGTGGTCTTGCCGGTCGTCCCATCGCAAAGCCTGCTCCAGTAGAGGCTGCTGCTCCAGCCCCTCCAGCGGCCAACCCAATGGCTGCTGCAGATCGTGCTGAGCTGGAGGAACTTCGGGCAGAGAAGGAGAAGTTCAACCGAACCGTTGAAGAGATGAAATCTGAGCGCTCGAAACTCAACTCCACTATCACCGAACTCCAGAACCAGAACGCTCAGCTCATCGAAGACCACACCCGAGATGTCCTGAGCATCAAAGCCAAGGAAACACAATTAGTGCGGGCACGAAGTGATGCCGAAGCTGCAGAGGGTAGCGTACAAAAACAACAACGAGAGATCGAGCGACTGAAGCGTGAACTTGCACGAGCTCTTCGTGCGTCAGCCATAAGCCCACCAAACGCCACCTCCGATGCTGGCAGCATGGGAATGCCAGAGGGCTCCATCTACCAAGATCACAACGGCAATGCTGCAGCACGGTCAGGCCTTCACATGGGATCTCGATTTGAGAGCTCCCGTCGGAGCTATGCCTCTGCCAGCCCCGTCGAGGAAAACAACGGCGGCATGGACTCACCAGGCCTGGCCAGTCGTAACGGTGGCTTGGGTCGCCGGTTAAGCCCTACATATGGATACTCGAACGTCGGTAGCCCGACACGGTCATCGACTCGAAACTCCAATACCAACGCCGACGAAGAACAACCTCGTAGTACCGAGCCGGCAGAGAACTGGAAACGGGCCGCGGAAGTGACCAGCCAGTTGAAGGCGAGGATCGAACAAATGAAGGTATGTTTCAGATTAAGTGTGCATTTTGGAAGTTGCTAACATGAATTTCAGGTACGACAAGGGCTTTCACGACCTCCTGCTCAACGTTAATGATCGAATGACCGCATGTTTATGTTTTCACTATACACCCTCACTGTTTGTGTTTTTAGACGGGGTTCTCATGGCTTTCTTCAAAACGAGTATCTTTGGTCTGGGAGCATAGGGTGGGCCGTCTGTATTTTTTCTTATGGATCTTCGGGTCTCTGTAATTTCATACTTCTTTCTACGTCTTTCTACGCTTCTCTACACCGCTAGTGTCTAGTGTCTCTCCCCCGCAAAAATAGCTTTGAAACATTCACCCTGAAATGATGATATCACTTGGGCATTCTCTGAAACCGAACCTGGTAGTGACCTTAGCCTTCACGTACGATGTAGGACGGTGCAGGCATGTACCTTTGCACTGCAGGCTGCATAATGCCCGAGTAGGCATCCAATGATACCCCAGTGCTCTTCCAATGTGACTGCACGAGGTTGTCAAGCTAAGGCCCCACTAGTCGATTAGCCGTAGCTTAGTATTGGTAGCGTAGACATACGCAATTTTGGAGTTCCGATCACCGATAGCCCCTCATTTGCGTCAATGGTGTGACTTGATGAAGTGGCCACTAGTGCCCTATAAAAGCCCCTTTTCCCCCACTAGCACTGCCCCTCCTACACTCTTCCTCTTTATCCTACATCTTCAATCCTCACAACACTATCACAATGGGCTGGTTCCACAGTAAGTCTTCTACCTAATCCCATCTTTAGTCTTATATACTCATTCACGCAGACAACTCCGATCAGGCACAGGCCTACGAGTCCGTCCAGCAGGACGACTACCACCAGAAGCACGAACCCTCCAAGATCCACGAGCTCCTCGCCGGTGCCGCCAGCTACGAAGCTGCCAAGGCTTACGAGAACCACGTTGCCGCCAACGGTAAGCAAAGCACATAACACAATTCAAATCACCACAGGACATGACCACTGACATCTTAATAGGTCAGCCCGAGAGCCACGCTAAGGCCAAGGAGCTCCTCGCTGGATTCACCGGTGCCTTCATCGACCGCGAGGTCGAGTCCCGTGGTCTTGACTTCGTCGACAAGGAGAAGGCCAAGTACCAGGCCCGTGAGCACGCTCACAACGCCTACGACCAGCAGGACTACCAGTACTAGATCACTCATCGGATTTAGTGCAGAGGACGTTCATACGTGAAATGACAATGACTTGAAACTTTCCACAATCTCATAGGTGGCACTGGTCACAACCTTCTTGCATTGAGTAGGGTAGAGCTTCAGGGGTAAGATGCAAGATTGAAGCAAGCTCCGATGGGAACATTAAGATGCAAAGACATGTAGTGATGATAAGACGTCTACATAGATCTGTAAGGCGCTGCCAAGACGGGACTATCACTTTAGCAGAGAATATCTGGTCTTGGCTCTTGGCAGATGTGAGCCCACAAAGGCGATCATGAGGATTTGGTGAAAAATTTGACATGTCCCAGGGCCCGAAGTCCCTAGATTGATTATCTCCAGCCTTAAAACTATCAAGTCTATCATCCTCTTATATTACAATTACAACTACTGGCAGACGACATGAATGCCTGGTTCTGATAGTTCTAAGACCATAAGGTTGAACAGGTAAGAAATGCATTCATGGGTATCTGCAGAATTGGTACATAGGGCCATTTGGAGTTCGTAAGAGGAAAAAATATCTTTTTTGTTAGAACAGGATCAAAGTGCCCAAGAGCTCTTTCGTACCCATCTAAAGCTAAAGAAAATTGGCCGTCAATAGATCGTCAAGTCCTTGAACACCTTGGTTCCCACAAATTTTGGAGCCGAGCGCTTCGATTATGAAAACGATCCCGTCAAAAGACATCAAAGGAAAGCTGTAGTTACACAAGCTTAGACCTTGATGGCGGCATCGAGAGCCTTCTGCTTCTTGGCGATGCGGTCGTTGGCCTTCTGGCCCATGATACCACCACCCCAGTGACGGCGGGAGTCCTCGTTCTTGTCGGTGTAGCCCTCCTTGATGGTGGAGAGGAGCTTGGCGAACTCGGACTTGTCCTCGGAGCGGACCTCGGTCAGGGCCAGAACGGCGGAGGTCTTCTTGTGGACGACGGTACCGAGACGGGCCTTACCCTTGACAATGGCGTAAGGGACACCCATCTTGCGGCAGAGAGCGGGCAGGAAGACAACGAGCTCAATGGGGTCAACGTCGTGGGCGATGAGGACGAGGGAAGCCTTCTTGTTCTCAACGAGGCCAACGACGTGGTTGAGACCGTACTTGACGTTGTAGGGCTTCTTGGAGACATCCTCCTTCTTCTTGCCCTCGGAGACGGCGGTAGCCTCCTGGACGAGACGCTCCTTCTTCTCGACCTTGGTCTCAGGGCGGTACTTGGAGAGGAGCTTGAAGGTCTGGGCAGCGGTGTTGCGGTCCAGAGTGGCCTGGAACTGAGCGATGGAAGGAGGAACCTTCAGGCGCATGTTCAGGATCTTCTTCTGGCGCTGAAGACGGACATACTCGGGCCACTTGACGAAGCGGGACAGGTTGCGCTTGGGCTGGATGTCCTGGCCGATACCGAAGTTGCGGGAACGCTTCTCGATGAGAGGGTTCTGATAGGATAGGGGGTTAGTATCTTCGTTGACTCAATCGACTCCCAGGGAAAAGAAGAAACTAACCTTAGCGGCCTTCTTGCCAGTGCCAGCCTTGCCCTGGGGGTAGGGCATAGCGGCGGTCTTCTTTCCGGACTTGGGAGGCTATCATTGAGAAAAGAAGATCAGCGTGCTGTTCACCTGATGCTGCGTCTTCTTTGTACTCTAAAGGAGAACACAAGCCAAGCCGTGTTACGGGCATTGACTCATGCTTCCAGCCAAAATCATCACACGATGCAACATCTCTTTCGAGGCTGTGTGCGATCGGCGGAATTGCTTAGATCTGAGATCTGAAGCAAAAGCAAGTGGTCTTTCGACATTGCTGGGAACTAAAACACAAGTCTCCGAGACTACTCGAGAGACATTTCAAGTACTCACCACCATGTTGTCGACTGGGATCTGCGCTGGTTGACGGTTGACGGATGAGAAAAGAATCAAGTCTTGTGGATGCGACTTAATGAATTTCCCGTGGGTCGCGCTAGTGCCGCGCTAGTGCGGTCCCGTGATCAGGGCTAGGGTAAGAAGGTTAGGGCAATTTGTCACAGGTCATGTGATACATCATCATTATCACGTGATCCAAATCTCACTTGAATGTATACATTTGGGCTTGTCGAAGGGTCGCATGTAACTACAATAGACTCTCGGAGCCATGTTTGTGATTATTGGGGATTTCCATTGCCACCAATTTGCAGCATCTACATAAAGTCTATAAACATGTCATCTTCCAGCATCAATAATCGAAACCACATCATCACGTCCTAGTCCCAAGAAACAAGTCCAAAATGCTCAACCAGAACGCCGTAGATAGATAGATCAGGCCGTGAGCCTTCGAATATCCCATGCAGAACACAAACAGAGACCACTCTCACAACTCATCGCCATGCTCCCAACCCAGGCAGCGCCCCACGACCTAGACTGGCACTAGCAGCCTGGACGGCCTTTTTCTTGCCCAGCGAGCCTTCCTGGGCACGTACACCAGCGACAATCCTTTCGGTGTTCGTCTCAACAACGACACCACCAACAATCATCTCACCTAGCACCGCGTGTAGCGTCTCATATCCGAAGATAAGATCCAGCTCACAGACGTTCTCGAACATGCGGTCCAGACTCTCAACAAAGACTTGGATCAGATCGATTAGAGCAAGCGGAGACTCGGTGGATGTAGAGATCATAATGAATGATAGCGTTGCGTAGGTACGATAGGTGATTTGGGTGGGGGTGTCGGAGGGGCCGGTGGCCGAGGAGCTGGCGCCTTGGGAGAGGAGGGGTGGGAGGGGCAGGAAGTTACATGCGCTTGGGGGTCGTTGTGCAACCAGACGGTATATCTGCGCGATGAGGGATTGCTGGGTTTGCGTGTCCTGGTGTTCAAGGTGAGCTGGGGGTCCTGGTCGATGCTCGATGCGCCGGCAAGGCTTACCAGCTGTGTGTAGAACTTGGTCAGTCGGGGCTGGCCATTATTGTTGAACACGAGGACTGCGTTAATCATGTTGGCAAATGAATCTGTGACGAGGGAAGATGGAGCTCTGTAGCTTATCGGCGCAATGAATACGGAGTAGATGATGCGGTCTTGGCTCGGGAGACTTGCCCCGTGCGCCGATCTGGAGAAATTGATGTCAAGTTTACTTTTTTGCATTCATGCTGCTTGAGACTGTCCCACAGCCACAATGAATACAGCATCTTTATACAGGTGCTCGGCACCTAAAAAGTCGCTATTCACAACAATACGCGCCGTGTCCACATCCTCAAATCCTCACGCAAAGCGCCTCCTCAAGGACCTCACTCCCTCCGACCTATGTTACTACTGGGATACACAGCCTCCGCGTCCGGAGCAATTAGCTTTCGCCGACAAGGTCTTCACACCGTCACGGCATTCTCCCCTCAAGCTTTGGTCCGCCGCCAAATTCCGCACAACACCCATGTCGTCAGTCGAGCCGGAAGTCGCATTTCTGGGCCGCTCCAACGTCGGCAAAAGCTCGCTTTTGAACGCGATCATGGGCCAAGAGGTCTGCTGGACATCCTCAAAGCCTGGTCGAACAAGGGAAATGAATGCATTTGGAATCGGGGGCACAAAGGGTGGCGAGAACAAGGTGGTTCTGCTTGACATGCCCGGATATGGAAAGGCAAGTCGAGCTGAATGGGGCGCGGAGATTATGAAATACCTTCAAGGGAGGAAACAGTGAGTATTAATACCTTGTTACGATACCTGGGGAAATCGCTGGCTAACTGTGTCAGATTGCGTCGCGCTTTCCTGCTCATAGATAGTATGCATGGCATCAAGAAGACGGACGCAGATATCCTTCGATTGTTCCGACACCATGCCATACCACACCAGATCATCCTTTCCAAGGTTGACAAGTTTCTTGCTAAGAAAATGAAGACGATGAAGACCGGAGTGACAGCTGCTAACATTCAGCGATTGCAGCTGTTGCTGCAGGGTATCAAGCCGCTTGTCCAGCTGGACCCCCAGGCTGGAGAGGGGCCTGGCTCCTTGGGCGAGATCTTGACCTGTAGCGCAGAAGCTGATATTGGGAAGGGTCGAGCCCTAGGCATTGATGCTGTCCGCTGGTCAATCTTATCTGCTGCCGGTATTGATGGGAGCTTGGAGGGTGGACGTCCCGCGGCTCCTCCTCCCATTGAGCAACCATCAACTGTGGTTTCCAAGGTTGAAGGCCGGTAAAGGGGTCAATCATTTATGAACTCTTGAAATTGGTGGGATCTGCTGGTCAATGCCGCCAAGTCTACCGTCACCTCGACGAATAATTGCCCCAAGATACTTTATCTAGGATCAAATGGGGGCTTTCAAAACCTTCTCGGCGGAAGACTACCACACTCTCCACTGAGGTGTAATGTTCTGGGGGGGGGAAAGCATCTTCAGTCCACACAGAGGTGAGGACGAAAAGCAAATAAACATCGCTGGTTCCGCACCATGGCCATGCGATTTATATATACCCACACAGCTCCCATAAAATATATAATGAATCGCATTCATGCTGTATGATCCGAGAGTAGCTACGTATGTCGAACTATATCCCTTGATATACTTAGCGAGCACAGTTCCACCTGGAGAAGGAGCGACTTGGAATCCTGGTTTTTTTTCCAAGGTTGGTTCTCGGAATGCGCCCCAAGACCCTGATCGTGACCCTACGTGCCAAGATAAAAATTCAGCCCCAAAAGACTACCATGAGAACGTGGACCTTGGAAGAATCATACATAATCAATCTATTACAGTCTGATAGCGACAAAGCTAAAAAAAAGGAGAATTTGCAACAATCTACAGCCAAGTGCTAGCAGTGTGCTAGCATAGAATGGTATAGCAATGTTGGTGTTCCAACCTTGGAAATACGTGTCAATGACAAAGAAGACATATCATGCATAGGGAATGTCAATAGGTAATTGGGAATACAAAGTAAATGAGCTTACACATAAGAAATTGACACAGGAAAATGAAAGAGTAAAAGAAAAAAGAAATACGCCAGGCCCCTTTCGTAATGCTGTAACAAAGAATGCCGACCACGCTATGCAAAGGACGTTTGTTCCGATGGAAGACGAGAGTGTAAGGATGGGTATCGAGAATTGGGGGAATAGAGAAAAAAAGAGTAAAGGAAAATGTACGGACAGGTTCATCAGATCTGAGTCATGAAGCTCAGTCAGAATCATCATCTTCTTCAGCGCCGTTGACGACTTCTTGCCCCCGTCTGTTGACGACGATTCGCTTTGCGAGTTTGGTATCTGGGACACCGTCTCGGGCAGCTCCGAAGTCAAGAACTTCGATATAGGTCAGATTGTCGCGCTGGACTGCAGCGACACATCTGCGGTCATTGAATTTCACCTGCCACACACCACTGAGATCCGTGAGGAGGTCGCGAACACATTCACCGGTGCGCACGTCCCACATTTTCAACGTACGATCGGATCCGGAGATCACTTTTTGATCGTCGTGCTGGAAGCAGGTTATGGCGCCAGTGTGTGCGCTCAATGTGTTCTTGCAGTGGCCGTGCACGGAGTCCCATATACGGAGGGTGGAGTCGGCCGCGGCTGAAACAAGGAATTCATGCTCCAAGGCCAGCAGTCCGACAAGAGATGTATGGCCTTCGAGGTTATAGAGGACAGACCCATCGTCCAGTGACCACACTTTGACCATATGGTCCATGGCTCCACTGATGCAGCGGTTGCGCTTGTGGTCAAGAACAACACTATAAACCTTCATCGAATGGCCTTGAAGGGTATGCAAGGTTTGTCCGGTAGAAATCTTCCACACCTTCACGGTACAGTCATAGCTACCACTGACGAGAGTATCTCCGTGGGCTGCAATTGCACGAACTGAATGTTGGTGGCCTGAAAGGACACGGAGGAAGTATGGGCAAGCACTGTCTTCCACTACAGAGCCACTCTGGTAGTAGGATGGGTCACCAGACTTAGGAAGCTTCCAAACTCGCAGGCTTGAATCCCGAGATCCAGTGATGATCAAGGGTTCCTTTGGCATGATCTCTGGCTGGCCATTTGCATCCCTACCGATTTCAGTTGGCATGACGATTTGCAGACAACGCACTGTAGAAGTGTGGCCGTGGAATATCTGAGTACACCTGGCCCGCTCAATGTCCCAGACTCGCACCGTGCGATCAGTTGAGCCGGAGACCAGTGTGTTGCCATGATATTCAAGAGCCCAGACACCGCCCTCGTGACCCTGTAGTGTTGCCTTGAGAGCACCTGTCTTGGTGTCGTAGACATTGATATTGGTATCATCACTTCCTGTGAGAACCTTGTCAGCATCGAATTGCAAGCAAGTGACCACATGACGATCATGAGCACGGAAGGCAATGTGCTGAGGTTTAACATCTGGCTGCATCCATCCTTTGTGAATGGAGACATGACGGCGGTAGAGAACCTTGAAAAGAGAAATGCCACGGAGGGACGGCAATCCAACCTCAGCATAGGGCACTGCAGAGGCTGCAGCATTGGCAGCGGCATAAGGGGTCTCCGATGCAGCGATGTCTTTCCTCCAATCTGGGTCTGCAAACTCCCCACCAATTGCAGAGACCTTTCGCTTGGCAAGCTTGCGACTCGAGATACGCGTGTTTGCTTTTCTTTTAGGTCGTCTGTTGACGGGCAAAACTCCCAGAGGGCTTCTACAGCTGGAACCAGCGGTTGAAGGAACAGGAGAAGCTTCTCTATCCACGACAGGTAGTTCAGCAATGCTGAGATCTTCCTCGTGATTCTCAGGACCGCTGCACAACTGCCACCCCCATCCTTGCCTGATTGCTCGCTCCAGTTCTCCCTCTGAGAGTGAATAACCGTTACTGACGAGTAGGTTCTTCCAGCTCTTTTCGTCGGAGTTGGTAATATGTCTCCAACGCTTGGACACTTGCGCAGCACGGCACATAGTCTGCACATCAAGGTATTTGACGATGTTGAGGCTGAGCTCTAGAGGGAGAAGGGTGAGGAAGTCACACTTCAGAGTTGGATTGACCACATCGGCCACAAAATGCAGAGTTGGTTTGGGGCATCTCCTGAGGAACTGGTACATCATGTAAGTTTTGACTTCATCTGGTACGGAGTCAAAGAAGTCGAAAACTTTTGGCATATCCATGAGTGAAGACGGAGATCGCAAGCTGGCAGCAAGATGGCCGACTGACCGACCACCATCTCCATCGTGGAGTCGCAGAGCCCTAGAGAGACGCGAAACATTGTGATCTAGACTTGAATCTGTATCGTTATCGAAGCCTTCTGAGTCAAATGAGGATTCACCATGCAGAGCGTTCATAGCGGCGACCGGCGAGAGACTAGGACTGGGGAGACACATGTCTTGCGCCATGGCATTGTCGATCGCCGAAAGCTGAGAAGTCAGCTCTGGTCGCTCCTGTGCGGATTCCTGCGTATCATATGTCGAGTCATGGTCAAATGAAGCCACTTCTTGCGTAGATGGACAGTTTTTGTCCACTTCCTGCGCAATTGACTCTCCGGGCATGGAGCTGGACCGATTGCCAGACAAGCCGCTCTGCAGATTGAGACTTGGGTGGGACGTATGTGACCCCTTGGCCCCAATCTCAGAGGAAAGAGGCGACGGCAAAGGAGGCTCTCTTCGAGGAAATACCGCGCTGTGGACCCTCGGTTTCGGTGCCACATGCTCGCCGAGTCCCCCAGTGTTGACCTCAGTGTCGGGGGTGGCCAATCCAGCGGCGAGATGAGTTGGTGGAACGCCACTCTGGCGAGTGCGGCGTGTGATGGGTTCAGATGGAACCCGATTCGAGCGAGTCCGAGGCAGAATAAATGGTCGCGAATCTGGGATGGATACGGGCGAGACCGCACGGCGCCGAGAGTCGGAGGAGTTGCCGGAAGATTGACTCGTGAGATTCGAAGGTGCGAGTCGCTGAGTGGGGTTCTCGCCCTCGGAGACAAACGAATTCACCGAGCGAATCTGGCCATTTGAGGTCCGCAACGCCTCATTTCTCTCCTTTTGCTGTTGTTGTGTGAGCCTTCTAGGGCGATTAAAATGTGGGGGTGGCGGATATCTTACCTCGGCGGTAGCAGTTGGTGTGTCCTCGGGCTCGTGAAAAACGATAGACTTGTCGCCTATTTTGAATTTGAGATTCCTCAGTGCAGCCGGAGTAGGTGACGAGGCGAGGGGGTATTGTCGAGTGTCCAAATCCTTCACCGCACGGGGTGGTTTGATGGTCAGGGGTGGGAATGATGTGGTTGTAGTTGTAGTAGTTGTGACGACCGTAGTCCGAGTAGTGGGAGCAAAAGAGAACTGTCCGATAGCAGTGTCCGGAGGCCCTTGGCCTAGATCTTCGTCTCGCTCAGTCATCTCGTGGGATCGGTGGGATCGGGCGTGTTTGCGAGACTCGGGACTATGGGTCACATAGGAGGAAAGAGGTGATGGTACAGGCGTGTTGGAATCAGCAGTCGAATCAATGGAGATTTGCAAAGAGCCAGCATTTGAAGTCATGATAAGGCGTGTTCATGCGTATTAGAAAGGAACAGAGTCCCAGGTTGTTTGCACAAGCGTCCCTCATACGAAACCATCCGTGAAAAGATCAAAGCATTACAAAATAAAAGAAAGAGTATCAGGGGAAAGAAAACAAGTCGAAGCAAGGAAGTCAAAGGAAGGGGAGAAAGGAACAGTGGCGGCTGACAAGGAGTTGGGGCGGAGAACAACAATTCTTCCGGGTAGATGTCATGACCCAACGTGCACTTTTTTTTTCTTCTGCAGGGGTTGTTATTGTTTTCCCCCTGAGGTCTCAAATCCTTTTTTGACCAAATTATCCTTGACACACTTGGACTTGTTTCATGGTGTGTTGGGACTATCTAGTAATTTTACGTTGTACTGGAAAACAGAACTGCTCTTAGTATAGGAAACCTGAAGACCCCCCCCCTGGGGCTTCTAGACCGGCAGAAATCATGAAAGCTGGAACTGAAAGAAACATGAATATGATAAACTGTGTAGGAAACGCCAGGTCTCACGTCGAAACTTGCATCTTCTCAGATCACAGTCTTCCATACTGTTCCAAGCATTTGTCCCTTATATCAAGTATCACAAAGGGCAAAACCAGTTCTATTGTCCGTTGCCACCATGTCACGTGAAGTGGGGGCGCCGTGTCTTGGCGGTTTCCAAGGCATCTATTGATTACGTTACTATCGCTTAGCCTGACATTCTATGCGCTCTAGCCACTGTTTTGACCTCTTCTCCTTGTTTGGAGTTGCATTTACGTGCATTTCGGCTTCATATTTGATCCTCTACCATAAGAGAATCTTTGAGGATCTGTGGGTAATAAATAAACTATGATCAAGATCATCTTTTCAAGCCCTGGAGAGTCCACCTTGGCGCCGTTGGCGGAGAGGAATTGAACCTTGGTACCCTAAGATATATAGACCACCGAACACAACCTTGAAAATCAACCGAGTCACGATGTGGATACAATTTGGGCACATTTGTCATGCTCAAAGAAATTGGGCAGCAGCTTCATTCGCTGCAGCCAGTCGTTGCCCGACTTGTCGATCCCATTTTTAGGGACTTAGTAGTATCTTTCATCTCTTTGCGAGTGTTGCTACTATTTGGCGAGTTGTCTTCCAAGCTGGTGTGCCTATTCCTGGCTCTGCCCAGGTGGGCGAAGACATCCATGGACATAACAGGGCCACGAGGTACAGGCTGTTCACACTTTTGTCCGTAAACCTGAGAAGCTTGGTGAGCTCTGATACATGTTTGACATAAAATGAGTTACGAACATGGTTCATCTTGTCACCTAGGCAATCAGCTTCCAAGGTTCGCAAGCAACACCTATTGATGTTGTAGCTGTTGATGAAATATATCCATGGATGTTTTCCATTTCTCTTGATTTTTTCGTCCATCCATGAATGCGGACCCCCAGGGTCTTCCACCAAGAAATTTATCTCTCTTCAAGGCCATCTAAAATTCCAGTTCTCAGACATAGAAATAGTGAGAGAACTGCTGCTTTCACCATTCCATGTAAGTAATTTGAGACGCGTCGCCACCAGCAGTGATAGCTATAGGTACTTAAACCGGCGAAGGATCTTCAGCCTAAGTTGATGACCACCGGATCTAGTATGATTACAGAGTGAAAAGAGGGCTGAGAGACACGGTACATCATCAAGTCTGCATGTACAATCTGCGCCCTCTGTGCCTTCTTCGGATGGCGCCCCCGGCCGAACATCACAGAGTTACCAGAGACCAGGCATCAGAGAGGAAACTGTCAAGTGATTCAAAGATTCAATGCAGCGAAAATTGGATGGGTAATAACCAATGGGTTCAAAGGCTACTATTATACTCGTACTTAGCTCTGGATTTAGGCAGTCAAGACTACTTGTGTTTCTACCAGCATGGAGTATGTAGGGCAATATCGATTGCTCTATTGGAAAACTCAGAATAGCACACAGCCCGGTGTTAGTTGCCCTGACACCGAAACTGAAGAGCAAATACAACCTTCTTCGCGGTCAGGTAAATTCTTGCCCTTTTGAGAACTACTCATAGCGCAAACACAACAGAAAAGAGTTTTCCCCTGACACCCATGAGCCACAACAAACGAGAACGCACAGCCATCAACGACACAGGAGCTCGATACGGCACGATGAGCCGTGTGAGAAAATTCCAGGGTCATGATCGAACTAATCCAACGTCTCAACGGCGGATACGGAGTACGAGAGGGTACGACAGGTAGAGGCTCTGAAACAAGCTGCAAGGCTGTTCGGAACGCGGCCGTAGAGCGGGCGGTGCGGCCCATTGGGTTAAACTTCAGGAGTGAAGGACTTCATTGGGAAGGTCCAGCTAAACATAGCAGGAAAAAAAGCAAATCCAGGAGTGCTGCCGTAGACAATGTCCGAAAATTCGGGAGCCCACTTCTTCTAGAAGCACATTCGATGTTTCGAATTCAGCACAGTCCAGGACTGAGAAATTTGTCGCACAGCATTACCTGAAGTAGACGCGCTAAATCACTGAAGAAGGCAATTGAAGGAAAGATGACCCTGTATGTCTTTTACTAAATATAAGCATGGTTGATCCGCGCGCGTGTGTTTCAAATGTCGGGCCCCTTTCGGATATTTCGGATGACGCAAATATGTCGAGAGGAAAACAAGAGCAGAAAAACAAGAGAAACAAGCTATAGCACAAGGATCGTGCCAAAGTGGAATGTGGAGGATTTTCCAATGATCTACCTAAAAGTGGCGAAGAAGAATGACAATAGAGCATGTTCACAACCTTGGTTCCCAACCCAGGCTATTGGAGTCGACTATTGACGACCATCAGGGGGTTAACCGCACCATTAGCCATAGCCGCCTGCCAAACCACTAGTTTGGGTTCAATAGTCTACCCAGCTGAGGCAACAACTGTGGCGCACAATTGTATTCTATTCCACTCAACCTTTCACATTTCCCTAACGGCCTGCACGGTCGCATGTATGCCATTGTTTTCCGAGATCGACTCTGTATACCGGACTTCGTAGAAATGAATGTCCACGACTACTCCGTCCACACAACATGTTCATGTTCGAGTTCGTGTCCTAGCCGCATATCGCTTGGCACCCGGCATTCGATTGGAAGGGGACAAGTGGCTCATTACGTAGCCCTCGGCGGACCAATCAGTCTCAACAGACAAGGATCTCGATCTGAAAGAGATTGCGCCCCCCAGAGTGTCATCACACCTTGTTCCGCCTCGTGGGGCTAGGACACGGCACACGGGCTGGCGCACGGAGGCGTCCGATGGGATCTCCATGATCGGGCATTCTTAGCACGAGGATGTAACATGGCTTGCATGGGAGGCCTGGGCGATAATCACATAGCATAGCCCTGTTCGAGTTGACCCAGTGGGAACTAGGGCTGTCATACTGTCATACTGTCATACTGTCATACTGTCAACCCGTCAACCCAAATTGATTAAATTAATGTCTCAGCCCGTTCGAATGAACCAAGGCACCTGTACGGAGTACGGAGTACACCCATACAGAATTTGAGTTGTTTCGAGTGTGCCATGGTGACGATCATTACCAGTTCCTGGGTCTTTTATTTTTTAACCTGCGTGTCCCGAGGACGGATGAGTTTAAGCGTGAAGGTCCTAGAGCGGGTTACGCGGGTGGTATTTGTCACTGTGTAGAGATCTAGTAGGGGATTCTTCAGCCCCGAGTTTTTTTTTCTCTCGCGCTAAAACTGGGATGGTCTTTCACGTACAGATAACTACGATCTAAATAGACATTCCAGTGTATTGGGTCGATAAACGATCGATTTTGCCGATCCGCAGTCTCGCTTGACATTTGCCTTTTCGTGCTCCATAGTTCTTCTGGCCTCTCGTAGGCCACGATGAAATCCACAGTGGCAGGGATTATTCCCATTGTGAAATAGATTAAGCCCCTCGGAGGCGTCAATAGCGTAGCCGGGGAATTAACTTAACAATAGCCACGTTGTGCAGGTACGTTCCGGCGCAAGGGGCAAAATTCTCCCAAAGTACAAAATATCCCACCTGCATATAGCTTATGTGCCTAGAGAATAGACTGTGTGATGTATGTGAAGTATGAGTAAGAATATGAGACGATATTATGATGTATAGGGAAGAGGAGGAGTAGAGAGAGGAACAGGAGGAGTACAACCTTGGAACCACCCCTGACGGTGACTTTCACAAGGAAACCTTCGAGCAAACCGAGTCCGATCATTGCCTAACCTACACTTAACACCTTAACAATGCATGTCGATCATCCTTGTCACCACTTTGGCCCTGCTCCACTCGATTAATTGAAATAAATGAAACACGGCCGTGCCAAATCCTCTGGGCCTATGGGGACGTTCGATGGTCCAAGCCCAGGACGACACTCAGTGGAGCCGCCCCTTTAAGCCTACAAACCGATGGCCCTGCATTTCCCTTACAAAAACAAACCAAACCCCAGATCTTATGAGTTCATTGATTTTTAGCCTACCCTGACCCTACCTCGACCCTACCTCAATTTTTCTTGGTATGCAGAACCACCTGACCATGGCCTGTTGACTCGACTAATTTGACAGTGTGGAGTAAACAGTGCCCGAAGCGAACTTCGCCCGAGACCCGCAAAGTGACCGCATAATCTGCAAGCTGGCGGACTTTTTCCAGGTCGCACAGGATTTCATGAGCGATTGAATTCGGTCTTCACCATGGGCCACCGAGACATCACCCCCGTCCATGTGCCACTTCGCACCTCGAGTCGCAGACCGTCACGATCCGACCCGATGGAGACTCAGGACAGCCCCGGAGCTGCAGACCGACAGACCTCCAAAGCCCAACGCTTCTTTGGGACCGATATCACACTCCCACAAGAGCATGCCGGGTGGAAAGAGGCACAGAAAACTCGCCAACCGAGCTACATCAAGCCCACCAGTGCCCCGAGACAGAGCACCGCATTTCACCCATTCCCGAACGCTTCAGATCACATCCCAAAACCCGATCACAACCTCCGCGTGCGAGCTTCGTCGCCTCTTCTAGGCCATGACTACAAGTCACAAGAAGCTGTGCCACCGATGCCTAAGCCGAAAAAGGTCCACCACTCTGGTTCTTCCAACGCGCTCTTTTCGTACTTCAGTTCCAAGGAATCAAAGGAAGCCAAGTTGGCCGCGAAGAACCAGTCACTCCAGCCTGAAGTGCGCAATGGGCTGGGAATTGATCCCCAAGTGACGTTCAAACACGCCCCGGAACCTCCCAAAGAGTCCAAGCGCAAGATGCGTCCTCCCAGAATTGATCTCTCTGTCCTGTTCCCAAAGCCGCGTAACCCAGCCCCACAGACACTTCTGTCGCCTCAGAGAATGGTCAACTCTCCATCTTCTGTGTCCACGGGAGTGACAGATCGTCCATCTGACAAGCTTGAAAGACCCGTTTCAAACAGCGGCTCTAAGAGATATTCCGAGGCACCTCGACGAGCCTCGGTCACCAAGCACGAGTTTCCCAAACACGTCGATAACTCAGATTTACCGTCTATTGCCGAGTCTCGAAACAGTGGATGGTTCGATCAGCCACTTGAACGGACAGTGGGAACCAGTGAGATCGATGTCGCCCTCGATAGATACGCAGGGCGCAGATCACTCTTCAGCCGCTCCAGCGTATACACTACGAGTCGAGAGCATCTATCACCAGAACAGCCACGCCCGCAGGAGCCTCGCAAGAGCTCCAGGCGCCCCCGCACCCCCTCATCCCAGCCAAAGGAGATGTATCTCAGTCCTACCTCATATCCGGAATCGGTCCGTGCTCGGGGCAACAGTACTTCCCAGGAGTCTAACAAGACTAGCAAGACTAGTAAAACTACAAAGACCGAGAAGAGTTCTGTGACCAAGAAGAGCAGCAAGAGCACTTTGAAGAACAAGGATCTACAGAATACTAGCATCTTGTGTCTTTCATCTTCCGAAGACGAGGACGAGGACCAGACTCCCACGACTGAGCCTCCGCGCAAGGGAAGCAAGCACAGAGACAGCGTGGGTACCTACGATGAATCTGAGCCAGAGATCTATATGGCTGCCACGGCCAGGGCAGCCACTGCTACTGCCGCAAAACGGTTCGACCGGGCTCATTCCACCAGCAGTGGTGGGTCTCGTCAGACAGTCCAGAGTCAACCGCCACCTCCAGTGCCACGCCCACGTAAGGCTTCTCAGTCATCGAACGGCAAGTCCTCCACGACGACACGACGCACTACACAGACTCGTCGCTCAAGCGGAGTGCCCACCATTGCCGAGCCTGACATCCTCTCTCAATTTCCCCAACAGCCCCTCCGTTCTCCAGCGGAACTCAAAGAGATGAACCGACGCAGTCGCTACATCGCAGTGACCCGTCAAGAGCAGGATCTTCTCGAGGCAATGCGTATTCGCAAGGGCAAGGTCACACCAAGTCTTTTCAATGCCAACGCATCAGACAGACGATCTGTCGTCTCAGGACCATCCCGCGATTCATTCTGTGGATCCGACACCTCATTCTTGCGTCTCAGCAATGCCTACCCACCCTTCGACGCCCAGTCCCTCAAAAGCACAGCCGCATACAAAGACGGCATGGCATCATCGGGTTCCGACTCCGAGCAAAAGGGCGAAACCGCTCTTTCCTCCCCTGGCTTCAGCGCAGACTACTCCGAAAGCTTGCCTTCCCCCGCCACCAGCGCTGCATCGCCATTGACACCGACCCTGCCGATCCATCGCTTCTCACCCCTCCCTTCCCCTAAGCCTCCCCAAGAGGTCCTCCCCCCGCCATCCCGGAAGATCATAAGCAGCACACCCGCCGCCGCACGGATAGCAGCGAAGCTATCATGATCGACGGCGGTGAGCCGAAGCGCAATCTTCCTGTTTGGTCTTTCGATTTCGATTGGAATCAAGAACGTGCCAACATCGCCACTGTTCACTAAACGACACTCACTCCAAAATTTTCCTTGTACTTCCATTCACTGTCTGTATTCACACCGATTTATGTCCACTGCCACCTCGCAGCTTTTTTCCTTGTCAATTGCATCTCGGGTTGAAAATCTCCCCGAGCGTTCTCCACATAGACACTCTGTGTCCTCTATTATCCCACTATGACCTTTCTGTTTATGTCCCCACGTCTCATCTTTCTTTATCTGTGATTTAGCGTCCCAAGGGCTTCTTTCCCCCTCGTGCTTATGGTGGTTGCCTTTCTACCTCCATGTTTTTTTCGGGCTTCAATACTTACAAATAATACATCCAATGACCAACTCAATCCTCCCAAAACGAGTACTTTTACGTAGTTGAGCTCATAGATGAGTTGAACGGCGACTGGTTAGGATAGATGAAGGTTGCCTTATGATTCATGAAACATACTTCGTACGATTGCACTTGAACACGCGTGTGCGGAGTAAACAGTGAAATCATACATGCAAGGATGTTGATAATCTGCAGCGGGCTCCACATCGTGGCCCATCGTAAATTGTGGCGATCAAAGGGCTGAAACGCGGTCGGTTGTTGAATCAGTGCTGATAAGAATGAATCTCTGATGAATTCGAGGTGTGTAGGACGAAAGATGTATCCCAACTCCAGAACCCAACCCCGGTCGCACCAATGTGGGCTGATATGCCTATGCAAGCCCAAGCCTGGAATAGACCGGGGCTGGCAGGGCGGCTACCGACTGGATCGAGGCGCAGCTCAGTCTGCACAGCAACCCGAAGCACGTCGCGACAGGAAAGAAAAATGAGGTCAATGGGGAGATATTAGCGAATGAAAGACCAACGATGGATCCGAGATGAACGGCACAGCGTCATCGGAGTCCACAGTGGAACTAGTCGACCCAAAACAAAAACCCAAAGGTTCACAGGTTCTGGGCCCGTGATACACCGCCCAACCCCAGATTCAGCTCCCAAGGTTGTCTTTTGAGCTTCGGCTTGAGTTCCAGGTTTCCTTTGCGTTTCCCTGCTTTGTTTTAAAGTCTTTGAGTCACTCGTGTATAGAGTTACCCGTGATCGTCCCGAGCTCTGGCCGAGATCTACAGAGCCCCCTGGTTTGCGACGACTTTTCTCGCTCCCTTCTCACCTATCATCGCGCTCTCTCCTAATTACACCTGCGACGCTGAACTGCGCTGAGTGTCCCATCTCACACCACGGTTCTTGCCTGCGAACACCTCAATATGGGCGATCGTGCACAACGCCAGCCCTCGAGGCTACGGGCGGCCACCACCACTCTGCCGTGGATTCTGGTATGAACAACAACACCATGGATATCAGTTGGCTAGGATGAGGAGAACTGTTTAGCTGACTTGCGCTCTATGTAGATGGCTGCCGAGTCAACTGCTTTCGCACTGGTAAGTTGTTCTACTCTCATCTCCGCAGCAATCGCTAACCTCTGTTGCGCTCCAGCTAGCTCACTATTCACGAGTCATGCCACCAGCAGGGGGCAAACGATACCTGACATCCACGGCAGTATTTCTAGTTGAAGTAGTCAAGTTGGCTATTTCCCTCACCATGGCGCTCTATGACGTCTCGAAAGCCGCACCTCCATCCATGCCAGCGACATCTCTCTTCTTCTCCCTCACAAGCGCCGTGTTCTCGGGCGACAGCTGGAAATTGGCCATCCCCGCTAGTCTGGACGTGCTGTCCAACTCCCTCCTATACATCGCGCTATCGAACCTGCGCGCCGCGACCTTCCAGGTCACATTCCAGATAAAGTTCCTAGCCACTGCGGTGTTTGGGCTATTGTTGTTGAAACGGAGCATCCCCGCCCGAAAGTGGGGCCTGCTGCTGTTGCTCGTGGTGGGCGTGGCCTTGGTCCAAATGCCCGATGCAGGCTCGGAGCAAATCCTCAAGGACGATGCGAACCATCATTTCCCCCGATCGCTGGAAGAGTGGAAGGCAGTCAAGCAAGGAACTCCTTTGCAAAAGCGGTCTGCGACCTACGAGGGTATCGAAGAGGATCTATCGACCGCAGACCCGCATTTGAACCCCACAATTGGACTCCTTGCGACTATCGGGGCCTCATTGGCATCCGGACTGGCGAGTGTCTACTTCGAAAAAGTCCTCAAGGATAGCTCGAAGCACATTTCGTTGTGGGTGAGGAACGTGCAATTGGCGGTCTACTCTGTGTTCCCCGCACTATTTATTGGTATTGTTTTTCGGGATGGTGAGAAAATCGCCGAGCACGGCTTCTTTCAGGGCTACAATTGGGCGGTGTGGTCTACAATCATCGTTCAGGCCTTGGGTGGGATCTTGTCAGCATTCTATGCCAGCCATGCACAGAAAGATGCAAGGAGTCTGGGGACAACCACCAACATCATTTTGACCATCCTTGGAAGTGCCTGGCTCTTTGACTTTGAAGTCACTGCAAGCGTAAGTCCCTTGCGTTCTAGCTTCCTGAAATTGTCACCCTCGCATTCATCCAAACTAACTCGAGAATAGTTCATCGTCGGCACGGCCGCTGTTTTGGTCGCAACTCACTATTATGGGAACCCAACCTACACCCAGGCCATCCCCCGTCCACCTCCTATACGGATTGACTCCTATGAAAAAGATGCTGCCGGCCCCGAGGGCTCGCCAGTAGCTCCACCCAACGACTTTTCTATCAAATTGCCAACCACGCCTTTCCTTTCCGAGGGCGTGTCATCATCTCGCCCTACCTCTCCATCACCAGGCCATACGAGAGTAAGCTCAAGCCGACACGCAAGTGCTAGTGGTTACTTTGACGAAAAGAAGTGATTACTCTCACACATCGTTTTAGCTGCACATCGCCACTTGTGTATCGACACGTTGCACGGAAATTGATAATGGATCCCTGATAGAAGCGGATATAGCTCTTGCTACCGCAAAACTTTGTACCATTCCTCGCTGTTGCTCCTCATGATTTGGATTGGGCTGCTTGCTAGGTGCTTTTGCACGCCCGTCCGAATGGCTGCTCTTCGGCTCATGTATGCATATATACGAAGCAATGAAACACTTTGATATACCCCGAATACATTCATTGCTTGATCTCACAATTCTGAAGACGAACAGATACTGATGATATGGAACAGTGGCTTTGGAATCTCCAGTATGGAGTAGTGAGTAAGTCCACGTGCTGTCACGGGATCCAGATTTTGACTTGGTTGAATCCCATCGCCCTCGTCCCTCACCATCAAACATCATCTCATCATGAAAAGAAACAATCAGAATCATAGCTTTAAACCTTTTCAATTACCTTCAGAACGTTCCAAAACCTCTGACCATTCCTCTCCTTCAAGTAGCAGAGCTGGTGTCATTGATCAGAGACTTGTCGAGGGCTCCCAACAGCCACGCTATAGTCCATCACCCCCGAAGCTACCCAAAAGGCTTCTATCCCTTCATCATCATGAAGATTATGAAGACAGTTTAGATGCTTTCGGTGGGTATACCAATTACTATTTGCATTAGGTACTGACAAGGCACAGACTTGGAGTTGCTTGCTTCCGAAGACAAAGAAGATACCATCAGAGATTCAGGGCTTGGGCTGTCCAGATCAACTCCAAATCAGACATCCCATCAGCCGAGTCTCCAGCCCTCGCAGTTCTCTCGTTTCTTTGATTGTGAGTTGTCCTCTCATCCAATTGAAATCTCCATTGAATCAAAGTTGACAAGAAATAGCTAGCTCGAGCATCACGCCTTACCGTGGTAATGGATCCAGCTCTTCAGATCCTATCTTGGGACTTGGATCTAGCCCCCTGGCTTTGTTCCGCTCGAAACCCAAGCATCCCCCAGTGGGACAACCTGGCCTCGAGACCAACCGTGAACTACAACGGGGGGACCAATCTCCGCCGCAGAAGCCGCCTCCAGCAAACCAAGCCATAATTACCGCGAAGGGAACTCAAAGACACTTCAGCAACGTGCCACTATCGATACGAGGCATTGTGCTTGTATCAGTGAGCGACCTACCCGAGGCGTACCGCGCAATGTTCTCCTTCCCACTCTTCAATGCCATTCAATCTAAATCTTTCCACTCCGTCTACAACAGCGACGACAACATAGTCATTTCTGCACCAACGGGAAGCGGCAAGACAGTCATAATGGAACTGGCGATTTGCAGACTTCTCAACATCCTCAAAAACGAACGTTTCAAAGTCGTCTACCAAGCACCCACCAAATCCCTTTGCAGTGAACGCTTTCGAGACTGGCATTCCAAGTTCTCGAAGTTGAATCTCAAATGTGCCGAGCTGACAGGAGACACGGATCACATGCAGCTGCGCAGTGTGCAAAGCAGCCAGATAATTATCACGACACCAGAGAAATGGGACAGCATGACTCGCAAATGGAGAGATCATATGAAGCTGATGCAGTTGGTCAAACTGTTTCTCATTGACGAGGTCCATATCCTGAAAGAGACGCGTGGTGCAACTCTCGAGGCTGTGGTATCTCGCATGAAAAACATCGGATCGAACGTGCGATTCCTAGCCTTGAGCGCTACTGTTCCTAACTCCGAAGACATTGCGACTTGGCTCGGCAAGGACGCGACGAATCAGCATGTCCCTGCACACCGTGAACATTTCGGTGAAGAGTTTCGTCCCGTGATATTGAAGAAGGTGGTATATGGCTATCCGTCCAGCTCCAACGACTTTGCATTTGATAAAGTCTGTGGGTCAAAGTATGTCGCTCATTGAATACGTGTGCTACCGAATACTAACCATGGTGGTAGATTGTCGGAGGTCATCGAACAGCATTCAGCACAGAAGCCCATCATGATCTTCTGTTGTACTCGAAACTCAGCTCTCGTGACAGCCAAAGACCTGGCTCGTATTTGGAGTTTGACTAATCCTCCAGCTAGGCTTTGGAAAGGACCTCAGAGGCGGCTCGAAGCAACGAATGAGGACCTCAAAAGTGAGTTATCTTGTTTATTGCACAGCGAAAATCAAAAGGCTAATGGCAAAAAGCAACGCTGGCTGCTGGTGTGGCATTCCACCACGCAGGTTTAGGGTCCGAAGACCGCCACACTGTCGAAACGGGGTACAAAGATGGAAACATCAATGTGATTTGCTGCACCTCGACGCTTGCTGTTGGTGTCAACCTACCCTGTCACCTCGTGATCATCAAAAACACCGTCGGCTGGCAAGACGGCAGGTGCAAAGAATACTCCGATTTGGAGATGATGCAAATGCTCGGCCGGGCAGGGAGACCACAATTTGATGACATTGCCACAACGGTTATCCTCACAAAGAAAGACCGCGTCGCACATTACGAGAAATTGATTCAAGGCTCCGAAAGCCTGGAAAGCTGCCTCCATCTCAATTTGATTGATCATCTCAATGCAGAGATTGGGCTCGGCAATATCGGCGATATCGAGTCAGCTGTCAAATGGCTTGCTGGGACGTTCTTGTTTGTGCGACTTCGTCGGAATCCCACGCACTACAATCTCAAGGAGGGCGCAAACCACGAAGACGAAGATGATCTGCTGCGACAGATCTGTGAGAAAGACATCAAGCTACTCCGAGAGTGTGAGCTTGTAGAGACGGAGTCTCTTTCCTTGACTCAATTTGGCGAGGCGATGGCTCGATACTATATTAAATTCGAGACGATGAAAGTCCTGCTATCACTGCAAGCAAGAGCGACACTCTCTGAGATCGTGGGTTGTGCTTCCATTTTCCTGAGCCTAAGCTGACTCCATTTTAGCTCAACATAATTTCTCGAGCCTCAGAATTCCATGAAATTCGACTCAAAGCCAACGAGAAGTCCCTCTACCGAGAGATCAATCGAGATGCTGGCATTCGCTTCCCGATCAAAGTTGATCTAGCCTTGCCTGCCCATAAAGTATCTCTCTTGATTCAATCAGAATTAGGAGGCATCGACTTTCCCGCTACCGAGGGACTTCAAAAGCACAAGTTCACTTTCTATCAAGACAAAGGACTTGTCTTTGGACACGTCAATCGTCTAATCAGATGCTTGATCGACTGCCAGATCGCTCGCAATGACTCGCCCAGTGTCCGCAACGCATTAGAACTAGCTCGCAGTCTCGGTGCGAGGGTTTGGGATCACTCACCTTTGCAGATGAAGCAGATTGAGCAAATCGGTGTTGTTGCGGTACGCAAGCTCGCTGGTGCTGGGATTACAAGCATCGAGACTCTCGAAAGCACGGAGGCGCATGAGATTGAGGTGGTTCTCAGCAGAAACCCGCCTTTTGGATCGAAGTTGCTCGCGCGACTCAGAGAATTTCCGAAGCTTTGGGTTGCTGTGAAGTTGATTAAAAAGGTCAGTGTTGTATCTTTCTATAAGTGTCGGTTGCTGATGAGGTGTAGGATGTCAAAATCAATAGTGTCAAAATTCGCTTTGAGGTTGAGCTTGCGTTTATGAACGACAAGACTCCGGCATTATTCCAACGCAAACCTGTTCATGTGTGCTGTTTGACCGAGAGGTCAGATGGTAATATGATTGATTTCAGACGCATGAAGTAAGTCTACATGATACCTGACTGACGTTTAAGCCACTGAAACTCTTGAAAGTGCAAACAGGATCCAAGATCGTCTGAAGATTGAGCTTAGCACACCGCTGACGAGCCCGGACCAGTCAGTCAAGTGTCATGTAATGTGCGACGAGATTGGTATGGCCTTTTTCTCGAAATGCTACTTGGGGACTTACTAATTATCATTGACGCAGCTGGGACTTCCCGACAAGCTGAGCTCCAGCTTGATCTACCCGCCCACATCTTTGCGACAGTCCAAAAGAGGAACCCATATTCTCACGATGCAGCGAGACGAGTGAATGATATCCAAGATTCTACTATTGACAACACTCAGAATCCGTCGACGAAACATACGCAACCAGCTCATGGATTTACTGCCATCAACAAATCGAAGACAACGGAAGTCACTCATCAAAGCAGTTTGAACAAATCTCATGCCAATCCCAAACGTCGCCGAGACCTGGACGATTTTGACGGCGATGACTTGGAACTTGACGACTTCCTGACTGTTCACGATCGTCGCGATCAGGCAAGGCAGGCAAAACAGTCTTCCATTCACCAAGCATTACAACTGGATGATGCGGACTGGCTCTCGATTGCTACAACCACTCCAAGTCCACCAAAGCCAGCACACAAAACTGGTGCATCTCGGGAAGACGATTGGGCTGCCGAACTTGGCGAACAAGAGGACGAGGAATATGACCCGATCAGACTTCTCAATGGAAAATGGGCTTGCAATCACAAATGCAAGGACAAGACCAGGTTTGACCTTTTCTTTTACAAAGCGATGAATAAGCTAATGATAATAGTTGCAAACATTTCTGTTGCCGGGAAGGTTTGGATAAGCCACCCCCGAAGCCCAGAAAGCGGGCGGCGTCCATTACCCAAAAGGAGGTCGGCCAGCTAACTTTCCCAACCAATAAGATCAAATCAAAATCAGATAGCTCTGTCATTAATTTCAATACAGGAGGTGCTTCTACAAAGCATTCAAAAAGCGACCCTCAAAATCTTTTCAGCACCGCGAAGCCGAAGAGATCAACACCACAGTTGAAGAAAAAGCCCTCGATCCGAGGAAGACCCGCACTTGAAGAGAAAGACAAAAACATTCTGACGGTCAAGAAAAATCAAGATACAACGATGAAGCCCGCATCCAGTGATTACGGCGACGAAAGTTTCGACGATCTGCCGTCTCCATCGCAACTTCTGGGAAGTGCCACTAAAAGGCTCGTGAAAGTGGAGGCTTCGATGAGCGAAGTTCAGGGAAATATGGCTGGACCCACTGTTACTGACATCAAAGCCGAACCCCAGGGAAGTACTGGTCTATTGAATGAAAGCAAGGAGCTCCATGGAAGCAAACAGAGCAGGCCAACGACTCCCCAGGAACGCGAGATTATTGTGATCCCAGATGACACACCCCCACAGACCCCAGAGAATTTGATGCCAAAGCTTGAATCAGTGGCCTTCGATAAAAGCCCATCCGAAGTTTCAGAAGGGTCACAATCCAACCATCTGAAACGGAAGGCAACAGAGGATGAGACTCAAGATACCCGACGTCCCAAACGCAACCCATTTCTTCCTCCTTTCAAAATCCCATCTTTCATGATCCCAGATAGTACACCACCACAGAATACGGAGAGCTTGACGGAAGATGTCGAACCTCCCGAGCGAAACCCCTTTCTTCCTCCTTTCGAGATCCCGTCTTTCATGATCCCCCAGTCAAGGGAACCATCCCAGGAACTATCGATTGACCCCGAGAAACCCAAAGTGGAAATCAAAAATGGTGTGACGCCCGAGCCGCCAGTGCCAGTCGAGGCGCGGTGGGAGCCCGAAATCCCCGTGCCTCGCACATGGCTTGACTTGAATGAACACTGGCGCCTTGAGGATATGGATATCGTTGCGGATTTCAAAAACATTGTTGATTTTATTTAGGCCGCAATGCTCGACTGGGGAGAGGTTTGACACAGTATTATGATCCAAGCCATAAAAACTATTATCATTTGGGGATGGAAATTTGCTACGAGCTTGTGGGACCGAGGTGAATGATTTGATATGCGATACGGAGTACTCTGCACTGAAAAATTATTTCCAGTTATTTGCTATTCTAGGAGGAAGGACTATCATCATGGCTACTCATCGAAACAATGTGATGGATCAAAAATGGGCTTTTAGAGAAGCTTCATCCAGGCACGCAACGCATGTCTGGAGTTTATCTGTTAGACAAAAAAAAAAATTTTTTTTTTCATACATGTTGACTTCAGAATCAAAACTTTCCTCTTCGCTTTCCAAGGTTGTTCTTGAAAAATGTCATTGATCTCCTCCTTCCAAGGGTCTAAGATTACCTCAAAGCTTTAAACCGGGCCAACGTCGCGTTACATCAAAGTGCCCTTGGAGCGAGACTGGATGAATTGACTGACAGCCAAATGTGCAAGAGAATGATGCAGAGTTCATACACATAAATTGATTGCTCATTTCAGTCTTATTGGTTTATTACACAGATCGATCTGTCCCGACGGGACCAATCTAACTTGCCTCAAGGTTGTCTGGCCAACCCGTTGCAGCTAGCGCCAAGATCATCAATAGTCAGGCTGCCCTTCGATGTTTCGGACTCCTCAAACCTCAAGTCCCATCCGATCTCTGGTCCGAGCCTGGGCAATTCGTCCGCCACGCTTTGCACATCCTTGTCACTGGAATACAAGTCAGTATGAGATCACCAGACACCTTGTTGGATATACATACCCTCTTCCACTGACACAGATCACAACGTCCTGGCCCTTCTTCATTGCGCCGGCCAACTTGACACCGCTGTAAACAGCATGGGCGGATTCGAGGGCGGGAATGATACCCTCTAGCTCACTGAGGAGCTTGAATCCAAGAAGAGCTTGGGCATCAGTGGCTGCAATAAATTGAGCGCGCCCAGAGTCTTTCCAAGAGCTCAACTCAGGTCTGTGAAGACAGTCAGCAATATGTACTACCGCGAAATATGTGAAGCTTGCTCACCCAACACCGGCGTAGTCCAGCCCAGCCGAAATGGAATGGGTATCTTGAATCTGACCATGCTGATCCTGCAGCACATATGTCCTGCTTCCATGGAGAACTCCCTTAGTGCCACCGGTGAGACTAGCAGCATGCTTGTTGGTATCAATGCCATCACCGCCAGCTTCGACTCCCAGAAGCCTCACGCTTGGGTCGTTGATGAACGGATAGAACATGCCAATAGCATTACTTCCGCCACCAATGCAGGCAACAACCGCATCTGGTAGCTTGTGTCGTCGCTCATGCATTTGTGCTTTTGTCTCTTCGCCAAGAACGGTCTGGAACTCGCGGACGATCGTGGGGAAGGGGTGTGGACCGATGGCAGAACCAATGATGTGGTAGGCAGTATCCACTCTGGTGATCCACACGCGGAAACTTTCGTTGACGGCGTCGCGAAGGGTTCGCGAGCCTTGTTGAACAGGAATGACCTCGGCACCAAGGAGCTTGATGCGGAACACGTTCAATGCCTGTCTCCTGACATCCTCCTAAAAAGTCGTTAGATATTTTCACATAGCATAACATTTTTTGAAACTTGTAGTTGTGGACCTACCTCTCCCATGAAGATTGTGCACTTCATGTTGAACTTGGCACAGACTGTGGCAGTTGCGACACCGTGCATGCCAGCTCCGGTCTGAGCAATGATCTCGGTCTTGCCCAAACGGCGAGCCAAGAGAATTTGACCCAGAGCACTGTTGATCTTATGACTTCCAGTGTGGTTCAAATCCTCGCGCTTGAGCCAGATATTGGCACCACCAGCATGTTCAGTGAGGCGATCTGCGAAGTGCATGTGTCCGGGCCTTCCAATGTATGGGTAGTAGGACCGCATTTCCGCCCAGAAGTCCGGGTCATTTCGAATTTTATCAAATCCAACCTCCAATTCTGAGAGGCACCTCATCAGTGATTCGGGGGCATAGGAGCCTCCAAATTCACCAAAGCGAGCAGAGAAGAGCTCTGGGTCTCCTCCCTCAGCACTGACCATTTCTTCCAATTTATGAAGCACCTCTGCCTTCTCGCCATTGGTGTGGCTGGTACCATTGACTTCCACCGTGTCGATCGACCCATTAAGTCCATCCGATGGCGAGTTTCTCCTTCCGCAGACAGCGGCGCAGTATTCCTCCGCAGCTCTGGCTCGGTCTCCAGGGGCAGCCTCACTCAGAGTTGTGATGATTTGACTGCCAATGACAACACCATCTGCGATGCTGGCTACACTCAAGAAGTGCTCCCTTGTGCTGACACCGAATCCGATTGCAGCGGGGACATTGCCGGAGTATTTCTTGATGCGTGCCAAAAGCTTTGGTAGGCCGGTGTTGAGACTACCTGTTGCGCCGGTGACACCCATACGCGAAACCACGTAGACGAAGGAGTCCGCGAGCTTGCAGAGTAGTTGGAGTCGCTGGTCAGTTGTGGCTAAGTAAAGGGTCAGAAGCCAAGCTCGTTGAATAAATCAGGGGAAGACTTACAAGGAGCAAGGAGAGGGACGTATGACAATCTGTGTGAAAGTTTTAGCAAGGAATATTCAACTGGTTTGATTTTCGCATCATGACTTACCCTCCCTTCGCACAGTAATTTCTGAATTTGACAGCCTCGTGTGGGGGAAGATCCACCACAATGAAACCATTGACACCGACCTCACGACAATCAGTCATAAGGCGCTCTTCGCCATAACTCAGCAGTGGGTTGTAGTAGCCCATCAGCAGGATCGGTGCTCGGAGGCCTCTTTTGCGAGCTTCCCTTACCAGCCCGAGGGTTGTGTCTATGGTGACATGGTTCTTGAGCGCTACCTAAGAGTTTGATCAGTAAATGTGTTGATAGAATGCGGGGGTCCAACAAACATTGTTAGCGCTCTGGATAGTAGGCCCATCTGCGAAGGGGTCCGTGAAAGGCTGTCTAAATGTTAGAATCAAGGAGGTATCAGAGTCCACCTGGAAGATTTGAGACTCACAACACCAAGTTCAATGATATCTGTAAAAGTAAAGTTAGTATCAAAGCACGTGAAATGGTGGAGCTTATGTATGGCATACCTGCACCTCCAGCCTCCAATCCCAGTATAATATCTACAGACTCTTCCACCGTGGGAAATCCAGCCGTGACAAAGGTCACGAAAGCAGGCTATATGATAGTTTAGCGAAGTCTTCGTAGACTCGGGAGCCTCACTTCAGCTGAGATGATTCCCGTCAAATCAATACAACACATACACGGCTTTCAGCTTTGCATCGCGCAAATGCTTGCTTGATACCCTCAGACATATTGCAAAACAAGGAGAGAAAAGACTGTTCAGCTGAGATTGAAGAATAATCAGACTCGAATGCTCACAGAGTCAACCCCAACTGCTGCGGCCGCTACTTTATATAGACATCGTTCATCAACAACTCGAGCTGATCGTCTCGAGCCAGGTGGTCTTTCGACGAATGTGATAAGGCCACCCCTCACTTGCGCCATCGTGTCTTGTATCCCGAGGTCAGATCGTGGGACATTGGCCAACCACGACAGGGACATTGAGACGTCGTCGACGCCTCTTCTTCGAGATAGGTACAAACTAAGTCCATGCCTAGCCCTTAATGCCCCACATCGCCACTTCAACCTTTTGGCGAAGGCCGTGCGGACTGCAACCCCTCTGCTTATGCTTATGCTTATGGTGATCAACAGGCATTGGCACGCAGAATACTCGCGCTATGAGTCTTCTGGGTAGACACATGCCTAGAGAGCATGGAATGTACCCGGGTATGGAAAGTCCAGAGCGGTAAATGGTGTACAGAGTACGGAGTAAAGAGTCCACTACGGAGTATTAGACTACTCTGCACAGCCCGTACCATGTGTTTGTTGGCATAAAGACCACGTTTTAACTGAACACAGACGAAACGCTAGTCAACGAATTAGGTTTTGAGGCCTAGCGTGCATGAGAGGCTTACGAGATACCCAGGAACATCCCGTATCTGCAAGCAATCTCGTAGTCCGTTTTAGGCAATTGACCAATGTCTTTGACAAATGAATCTCACGCTGATGTTCCTACGAAGTATACAAAAAGACTATCACAGACCCCACAAAAGGGCCGGCAGGTGAGGCGGCTCACGGGGCCGCCCGTCTCCGATCTCGGGCAGCCCCACCGAAATGTGACTTTTTTGGGTTTTCTCCTTCTTTGAGCCCGTCAATCCTCCCCGGCTCCGTTTCCGGTCTTTACCCTATACTCCGTACTGTTGCCGTCATCATTCCGTTCGGTCACTTCCACCGGCTCCCTGTAATTGAAATGGTATTGTTCTACCCCGTACTCCGTACGGAGTCCTGCATAGTGAGATGGAATAAGTCAATTGTCCTCCGTACTCCGTGTTGCCCAGGTGCCAAGTCTGCCCTAAACTACATCTGACTATAAAAATGATGACTATGGACTAGACGATGCAAGGTCTCCACTTTCTGACTTGAAGATTCCTTAATGACTGGAGGATTTAATTACCCCCCAATTTGCCTCTTATCTTCCCGGGCATGCCCAGACATTCACGTCGCAGTGCGGCGTCCAACACCTGAAAGGAGATTGGTGACGCGGCTAGCAAATGCAACCCAGACACCCATTTTGGGGGCCGGAAATTACGTTTAATCTTCTATAGGCTTTAATCTCTTTGATGATTATGTTGTCCCATGGAAAGATCTGGGGCTGAAAGCGAATCAACGATAGCAGGGCCGAGAACCCTGTAAACCACCACACATGACTCACTGGACCATTTTCCATTTCAACTCAATTCCCTCGGTACTTGAGGTTCTTGCATATTCCAGCCGCAGCACTAGATTTTCAATGTGTTTCAATCACAACTAGTTTTAATACACTTCTTCATAGACAAAATCATACCCTTCCACATTGGCTCGCGTCTCGTCTCGTCTTTTTTTCGCAGTTCCCCCCAATTCCACCTGCCGGAGATGAAAGAGATGCAATCTGAGAAAAATGACGCCCCAAGTCAACCCATCACAACAACTGTTTCCAACCATGATTCCAATCACCTTTCGGGCAACATGCCAAACACACCCTCCGAAAAAAGCCCACCCGACGAGCCGGTAGATCGCAGCCAAGCCGAAATCGAACCGATTACAACGGACCCTGAAGAAGTAAAACCCCCTGAGATTGACGGCGGCTATGGATGGGTTTGCGTGGTAGCCGTTTTCCTGATCAATGCGCATACTTGGGGAATCAACAGTGTAAGAGCTCGCGACCTCCTGGCTGCCAAAGACCAGGTTTTCTAACATCCGCGCAATACAGTCTTATGGTATCTTTTTGGCCCATTATCTGGCCACCGATACATTTCCAGGGGCGTCGGATCTGGACTTTGCCTTTGTCGGTGGTCTTTCACTTAGCATGGCTCAATTAATCGCCCCGGTCGCAACAATCACAACTCGAGTATGGGGAACAAGGGCTAGCTTGGTGATTGGAATTACCTTGCAGACCGTGGCATTACTAGCAGCGTCGTGGGCAAAGGAGACTTGGCAATTGTTCCTCAGCCAGGCTTTATGTTTCGGATTCGGTATGGGAATGCAATTCAGTTCTACCGTTGGTATCGTTCCTCAATGGTTCACCCGTCGACGCTCCCTCGCAAATGGTATCGCAACGGCCGGGTCGGGTATTGGTGGTCTCATATACTCGCTAGCTACGAGCGCCATGATTCAAAGATGGGGCATTGGCTGGGCGTTCCGCATCCTCGCAATCGTCTCTGCGGTTGCGTGCGGTGTTTCTGCTGTTATAATCAGGGATCGAAACAAGGCCATTGGAGCTGTTCAGGTTGCCTTCCATACCGAGCTGCTGAAAAGACCCGAGTTCTTACTCACTTTGGGTTGGGGTTTCTTCAGCGTGTTGGGCTATGTGGCCCTTCTTTTCTCGATTCCGGACTACGCATCTACCGTGGGTCTGAACGCATCTCAGGGCTCCATTCTTGGTGCAATGTTCAACTTGGGCGGAGGTCTTGGTCGGCCTCTTATAGGATATATCAGCGATCGCTTTGGCCGCATCAACACCGCGTTGGCCTGCACATTCCTGGCGGGCCTCTTTTCTCTGGTTATCTGGATCTTTGCCAAGAGTTTCGGGGTTCTCATCTTCTACGCACTGATTTGTGGCCCCGTTGCCGCAACCTTTACAACCACAGTGGCACCGGTAGCCGCAGAAGTCATCGGATTGCAACTTCTACCGTCTGCATTGTCGATTGTCTGGCTGTCCTCAGTCACGCCAAGCACATTTGCCGAACCCATCGCCCTGTGGCTACGAACCGACAACGGAGAAAGCTTCCTTCACGCCCAGATATATGTCGGCTTTATGTTTATGGCAGCGTGCATTTGTCTTCTGTTCGTACGAGCTTGGAAGATCACAGAGCTAGAAAATGTTGGCTCTCCCAATGATCCTCTCAAACGGGACGCTCAGATCAGGAACAATGATGCTATGCTTCAGGGGCCAGAAGCCCAGGCTGCCGGTAGCGGCCCTGTTTCAAAGAAGGCAATGTTTTTGAAGGGGCTGTTCAAAATTTCTGCTGTTTAGTACATAGACACCTTCCAATTGGGCACTCCTACCTCCCACCTTGGAAGCTCGCCGGCGCTCTCCATAGATCTTTCTATTGGAAAACAAAAACCTCAGAGCAAGCGCTGTTTGAGACATGGCGGTTCTGAGGTCTCTGTGAATAGTACAAATATAACAATTTGGCCACATCTTTTACACCGATCCTAAGTCGAAGTCAGCAAGCCCGTTGAAATTAAGATCGTCCATTCCAAGGTTGACTTTGCAACAGAGCCGCGATAAGAGTTATGTCCCAGTGGCCGCAATCTGGCCTTGGCATTCCGTCATCGCCGACCGTCGGTAGTGCTCCAATGGTTCCGCTGTTTCTTTTCTTCTTCGTTTCTTCGATCCCTTCCAAGCGATTATCTCTACCATGCGAGCAAAGCGCCAAAACACCCAGCCCCTGGAGGACACCACTGTGGCCCCGGAAACCTTCACAGATGGCCTCCCACTCCCAAAGCTGATTGCTTTTGATTTGGACTACACCCTGTGGCCCTTCTGGGTTGACACGCACGTCAGTGCCCCTGTCAAGGCACGCGACAACAACTCTCGCGCTGTGGATCGGTAAGCGCCCCTATCGCACCCTCTGATGTATGATCTAACACTATTCAGCTGGGGCGAGTCATATGCTTTCTACCCCGCAGTATCCTCAATCGTACACGCCTGCAAACACCGATCGATCCCCTTAGCGCTTGCCTCGCGAACCCAGGCCCCAGACCTTGCGCGCGAAATGCTGAAATCCCTACATATCATCCCCACCTTCTCTGATAACCCCGCCGCCAACGCGAAGACCGTACGCGCCTTGGACTACTTTGACCACATTCAGATCTTCCCTGGTAATAAGACCTCACATTTCGCCAAGATTCATCAGACAAGCGAGATCAAATATGAAGATATGCTGTTCTTCGATGACGAAGCGCGCAATCGGAACGTGGAGACGGAGCTGGGAGTTACTTTCTGTCTGGTGCGGGACGGTATGACGCGGGACGAAGTCGATCGGGGCGTCAGGGCTTGGAGGAAAAGAAATGGTATCAAGCGGGAAACAGAGGAGTGATGTCAGGCAGTAAATATGGACAGACTTGAGATACCCCTTCGATGAACAGTGTATATAGACCAGCATCTCACAAAAGAGTTAACTAGAAACGTGATACTGAGCAATTCTCAGCTTCGATGATATCAAAATCTTATTTCCCGCTTTTTGTAGATCAATGTTCGTCATGATGCATGGCGTGATATGGGTGACCTCTTTGGTGAGAAGCAAGCGATATAAGGAGACCATTCATTCCCCCGCTCCGATCCCCCAAACATTGAAGGTTGATACAGTTACTCAAATTGAAGCAGTACTGGGGACCAATCATGTCTGCAGGAACCCTATACACCTTCTCCGGGTCTGGCAACAGCTACAAAATCAGGCTATTGGAAGTTTTTCTCAAGATCAAGCTCGACCATCAAGAACTTGACTTTTTGGTATGTCTGCTCGGGCAATCGTGAACATGGAGCTAACCAACAACCGAGCAGGCTGATCAGCAACATTCGCCAGAGTATCTCAAAGTGAACCCGCGAGGCGAGGTCCCTACTCTCGTAGACGAAGGAAAGACATTCAACGACTCAAGCTCCATCCTTGTCTGGCTAGCTGGAAAATGGAACGACGATGGCGAGAGCAAGGGCCCATCTTCTTATTGGTCCAACGATCTCTATGAACAATCTCAGATCGTGGACTGGGTATGGAATCAATGCTTAGCAAAACAAGCGATACCCTAGAGCTCCAGGATTTTGACTAATACTCGAGTAGCTCTCATTCGCCAACAGCTGGGTACAGTATGGTATGTATCCCAAATGACCTGCCAGGCTCAGAGAAGTTGAAATTAACACTTGCACAGGAGTTTTCACAAACCGTGCCATTCTGTCCTATAACGGTCCCTACAACGGTCTAGGAAACAATCAAAAGTGGCCACGGGAAAAGCTGGACGTGTTCCTCGAGGAGGGTGCTATTCGTGGCAATCATTCTCTAAAGGTTTTGGACCAGCATTTTGCAGGGAACAAATGGCTTGCACTTGATCGTCCGACTATCGCGGATATCAGTGTGTTTGTCTATGTTGCGCTGGCGCCAATGGGTGACATCTCTCTTCAGCCATATCCCAATGTCATATCTTGGATCGAGCGCGTGAAGCAATTGCCAGGTTTCTTCCCAATTGAAGGACTTGACGATCCACTGGTTCGTCGCAGATGAAAGAATAGTGCCAAGGTTACAGGTGGAGTTTTCTAGATGTCGACGGTCTCCGTTTAGTACCGAAGGCTCCGTACAGTTTTGAGTGTCTCGAGCTGTGTTTTGGTTGATTTATTTCGTGATTATGAAATTCAAATTATGTTCCGTGGAAATCGTGAGCTTCAGACGAAGAAACTGCTCATGTAAAGGTCAAGAGGAGGATGTGACTGCGGAGAAAGTTCATGGACATGGTATGCATTTGGTGGTTCCTCGGTCGGTGTATGGTTCAAATAGGGGTGCCTTGAAACTTGAGATTGCGAGAGACTAATAAAGTCGCCCGCTTGCAGATCAGAACTAAGAGGGTCATAGCATGCAGCAAGCCTTGCATCTTCCGCTTCGTGTAAGTCCTCACACAACGGGTATGGCCGGCTGGGCCCTGCCTGTCCCCCAATATCAGTCCATTCGAAGGTGGAAGGATTGCAGGATCCAAAAATTGGACCATAGCCCATTCGCCCATGAAGCTCGTTGAAGCAAGTGTCTGTTTCTTCTTCTGGGGATGAGAGGCCAGTGTCGAGGGATGTCTGGTGTTCGTTCAAATTCAGCAGCATTTCGAATGAAGCGTGTCTATCGGTATGCGTGTGTGCCGAGTCAAATCTGTGGATATAGTCACACGCGGAGGAAGGTCGATAATCTGATGAATGTATTTGGTTGGGCAAAAACTCGGCTGGATAGAAAGGTGGGACCAATGGAGTTTTAGTGCCATGTGGCCAGCTTTGGGAAGACTGCAAGTCCTCTTGCCCAGAAAGCTTCTTTTGATCGCACTTTGATATTTTTCGGTGCTCAGATGCGCTATTAAATGGCTCGTTGCCATCTGCTCGTCGACTTGGGGCATCCTCTTGTCGCGGAGTGTGCTTTTTCGCGTTGGTGTGGATTGTGTCTTCCCCGAGTGGCCTTGATGTCGCCTTTCGATACTTTCGTCCTTGACTATTGATAATTTTGAACTGCTCCGGAAAACCAGTGCATTTTGTCCCTCTTCTGGTACAACGGTCGCATTCAGGCTTGATGCCATCACACTTCACCAGAATTAGCAATTCTTCCCAGACAGCGCAGCCTCACTGCTCACCTTCACTTTTCTCCTGCGGCACTCATGGCAGCATGTGCTGATTGGTCCTGAATATACCATTTCCCAACGTCTGTCTCAAGGCTCAGTATTTTGATTTGGCTTGGGCAGGATAGAGATCAGTTTTGGAAGTGAGCGAGAATTGAGAGAAGAGGAGAGAGTAGAAGAATGACTCTGGGTTCAACATTATGCGGACTTAGTTTTATTTCTTGCTCCACCGTAATTCTTCAGGGAGATTTCGACAATTCGGTTTTCGTTGCCTCGCCTGCGAATACTCCGTCCGAGGTGCAATTTGGGAGGACCCACCAAGCACTCTGCATTCAACAGAATGACTGCTCGTGAAGGTGCCCGAACAAAGGATGGTCTGCATGATAGTGGATATACTATGTTAGTTCCTTCCTTACTATTTGACAGGATATTAATCTAAGCCAGTGAGTATGCGTCCACGCCACATGTCGGGCCAAGACCCGAGGTCCCTCAAGGAAGGAAGGGTCTTGGTATCCACAAATTCCGAATGAGGGATCTCAAGTGGATAGGTTTCGTATTTAGCTCTGCCGAAAGCTCGGTCTTCCCCGAGACATACCAAACTCTGCCAACTGTAAGCTGCAAAACCTCGTCACTCTGATAGCCCGTGTGTGGATGTTTATATACCAAAATAGGCAAACCGGCCGAGATCCGAGGTCTGTTCCGGACTTTGATCTTATCTGATTGTCGAAACTACTTCGTACGACGGCACCGTCTGATGAATGTATCAACCTCTCAGTGCTGTTTCATTCTCATAATAAACTTGGCAAATCAACATAGGCAACACATGTGTGCTGGATTGAGAATTATTTGAGGTCGTGTTGCATGAAGCGAATCAATTTTACACCATGGTTCTGAGATACTGTTGTGACAGGTCGATAACAAATCGAATCGACAAGCCCTGGAGTGGACGATGCTTTCTTCCCCGAATTATGCTTTTGGTTTAACATGAGTTCACAACAAATCTATATCAGGGTTTGACAAATGTGAGAAAATCCAAGGAAAGATCCTCGAAGAAGGAAGCCCCCGCAGCGGTTTCGGGGTGATTTGAGTCTGTGACGTTGCAGTAATCAAAGAAGTCACCCGCCTTCTCAATCTTCTTGTCAATCAACGAGATGTAATCAGATAAAATGCAGCTTTTTCCAGGACCATTTTGACAACCGCTGATGGGATAAACAGCATCATTCAACAAGATGCGGAGGTAAGGCTCATCATTTCCATCGCAGTCCATGACCTCGAAAGCAGTAGTACCCCGCATAGTGATAAAGTTCGCCACATTGTACAAGTGATGCGCTGGTATGTGGTCATCCGGAAGCAGTCCCTCCGAGTCGAAAATTCCCATAGCAGCGGTCATCTCGGCGAGCTGGTTGTCATTCAAGAAGGCCATGATGAGGCTCGGAATTTGGAACTCAGTGCCGTCGGCTCCCACACCCACTTTTCCAGGACCGGACTCTAGAAGGGAAAGTAGACTCTTCAAGAAAGGAAGGAAAAGCACTTTGGCGGGTCCGACTGAGCCGGGCCCGACTCCGTAAAAGTAGCTCAAGTCCTGCGAGTATGCGTAGTGGCGAAGCTCGCTTTCTGTGAAAACATCGCACCACGAGCTGAGTCGACCTGTGATTTGACTCTCATATGCACACAAGTAAGGGAAGAAGAGAACGTCGCTCTCTTCAAAAGTGAGGTTTCCCCTAATTTGAGAGTTGATTCGGCGTACAGCTTTTGGTAGCCACGTAGCCTGCCCTGCTTGTATGTAAGAACTATATTCACTACCATCGCAAAGAGCTGAATTCCCGGTTGGAAGAAAAGAGCACAAATTGCTAGTCAAACTCACAATTGGTCACATTGTTACCCCCACTAGAAGTCGCACCAAACGCGGGACATGAATCGGAAGGCCCAAGGGAATTTCCGATAGCATCAGGAGACCCCGTGGAGTTTACACTCACAACAGTGCCGTAAGCATCAGCATACTCATACAAGTAGCCATTGATGAACGCTCTCGCAGTCTGAACCACTCGAGATTCATTTACTGGTGATTTGTATTGGTTGGCCCAAACGTAGAATGGGGTACCATTTTCATAGAAGGTGGGATCTGTCGAAATGTTTTAGCTCAAAGATTCAAGACTGACGAAAAGTGTGATTACCCACATCTAGAGCGGAGTTGATAGCCGAGATCGCTTGCCTGGAGTTGTTTAGTCAACTATACTTTGTTGTGAAGATGGGATGTATACCTCTTTCCACCCTGTCATCGACTCCTGTGCTAGTTGCAAAGAAGGATTTGTCAAAACTGGCGTCCACTCAGTGATGAATTTGAGTGACCCTCGAGCGTCGAACCCGTCTTGCTGTGCCGCAGCCTGAATCTAAAGCGCAAAACATGAACATCAAACCCTAATGTTCAAATGAGAAATAGTTCAGCATTGCTCATACCTTGTCATGAAGCGTGACCCAGGACCCGTATGAGCCGGTATCAGGGAATCTATCGATTTGCAGGTCAGAATGGAGTTCAAAATCCGGCGAAATTGTATACACACCTACTACCATGCCGAACAAAATAAGCGGCCTGCCTTACAGTACATTTTTCCGGGACTGTGTTCTCGATTTTATTCACGTTCGGGCCTGGTGGTGTGTCAGTATACCTAGGAGACGTTAAAGATGAAACTCTTACTCACCTGCGAAATACGGCGAGTTCCCGCCTGCATAGATAAGGGGATTCGAAGAGGTTTTTGATGATGGAAACACGATATCATTTGCTGGAGCCAATGACTGACAAAGGCCTAACGTAGCAATACCTCCCAGGGCACACAGGACCATGCTTTTGGCCATATTTACCGATGTTGAAAACGAAAGCCACTCAACTTCTATAGCAACTTTTACACGTTGAGAAATTATCTCTCTTTATATAATGTTTAGTATCCATAACGTATAAACGATGCTAAAGTCCTAATTTAGCGTAATTGCATGAAGCAGGGTTCTGGCGGTTAGCGCCAACTGTCCCCTGAAAAGTCCAATGCATGCACGCCAACAGGCGACCCACGTGGCACGGCTAAATAACGCTTTTATAATAAGCGATGTAGACATTGATTCGCGTCACGGACTGTGTTCATGATTGTTCGAATTTCATATGATTGTTGCATACATTGGGGCTAGGAATGTGCCGGCGTGGACAAGCAGACCAAAGAGGATATCCTCGCGCCTGCTAGTAGTGCAGAACAAACCAATGTCATAATTTTCCGGATGCATTGTATGGACTCAGAGGGGTTGGTTGGTCGTTTAATCATAATGTGGTGGAAATTGCTGCATTAGTGCCGGTGCTGCCAAGGACCCATTGATGTGGCTTGCTGGATTGGTTTCGGTTACAAGGACAACTTGATACAAATCTTGATCTGAATCGAATTCAGCCCTTCTGTCATGCCTGTGAGTGAAGAAGATGTCAAGAATTGCGGGTAGCACTGAAGCATTGAGGTACAGCGGAGTTAACACTCACAGGTCCCAGTTGCTCCCGGCCCGTGAGGACCCAGCCGGGCTTCAGCTTGAGTACATCGTACCAAGGTTGCAACTAAGTACTGCATGTATGGGAGGTGTAGGTGATATATATCAAAATGATAAAAAGCATAAAGCGTAGGGGGGGAGTCGAACAGGTGACACCGACAAAAATATTCCACCGACAGGTTTCAGAAACCTCCGGGCATATATTTTCCAGAATTGTCAAGAGGTGGACTACCAGTGCGGGTGACTTGCCTAGCAGTTAGGCAGTGACTGCCCCGCTAGGCCACCCGCCTCTTGACAATATACCTATACCCTTACTTGCCTCTTGGTCTTGCTTGTTGGCCCGATTAGGAAGCTCCCCGGGACTGAGGACACTTCCATGAACCACTCTCTATCCCAAGTTTGCTCTAGAACACATGTAAAGCACCTCCTATCTATCTTCAAACATTAGACATCATTCTGGATGCTGCTGGGGTCGGAAGGAACAAAACAAGTGTTGGGGGGTCAGATGACCGCACAGGCTAGATAGGCCTCTCTCAGGACAGGTCAAAACCCCAGATGACGCAAGATGCTCACGCGTTGAGTTATTCTTCCCATATCACTTCGGGTGCTAGGGGGTTTGGATGACCGGAGTTCTTCGTGAGTTTTAGAACCAAATCACTCATGGCTGCTGGAAGGAGATTCTCAATGTCGTTGGTATTGGCAGCAATCATAACACACCAGGGGTATAAACTAGAAATACAGGCAACAAAATCATTTCTTCTTCACAGGAACCAGCATCCTACCAAGCACCTCCCTCTCCTTTTGCAAGACCATCAGCCTAGCATCCTCGATGACTTTTCCCGCCGGCGCCGGCGCCGGAACAGCTGTCTGCGCAATCCTCGCCGCATCTAAAACGGCTGAGCTCAGTGGCTTTGCAGCACGCGCCCTCTTCCTCCGCATCCCAGGCCCATTGCCCCAAACGACAAACCACTCGCCCACCTTTCCCGTAATCTCGCATGCGGAGCAGACTTTCGCATGGGACCCAATATCCGCACCACGACGGATAGTCGCCAACGCCTCAATTGTTGCAGATGAGTGAATGTGGGTTCCTGGCTCGACAGTACTCGAAGGGCCGATTGTGACAAAGTATGAAATGCGGGTTGTGGATTCTTTGCGTGTTGGCTCAGTGTCTCTGGACGGTGATGGCGATGAGGATCGACTTGATGAAGGTGGTGCTGCACCAATCACAGCCTTTTCACAAATGATGCAACCATCGCCGACTACAATCGGCCCTTCGTAGGTGTAGAACTTGGCGCGCGGATGGATTACCGTTCCTGCGCCGATGGTCACGGGATAGGGGCCTTGGAACACGACATTGTCTGCAATTGTTGATGTGGAGTCGGCTTTCAAAGGCGCTTTTGGAGGACCGGAGCTGGAGGAGCGGTGTGTGTTTGTTGGTGGCTTGAGAGTTGCCATTGTGTGTTGTGTTTGGGAGTCTGAGGATATGGGGGAGCTCCCTGTTACGGAGCTACGGCTTGCCGCTTTATGTGATTTGTCAGCCTGGTCTAAAGCACCTCTCTGGATACGTCCAAAAGGGAAAGGTGACATTTAAAAAACATACCTGTGGGAATAGCTGTTGTTGGCTTGCTTTTTGTCTGTAATTACCACATGACCCGAGAGCACCTCAGAAGCTGTAGGTTGAAGATTCATTGAACGATCATTAGGGTCAGAAAGCAACAAGACGCCGCAGATGCCGCACCTGCCGCATGAACCGCGGTCATCACGGATATCCTAAACATGACGGTCTAGTATATCTATGGATGAGCCCGTCTTTCTTTTTCTTCTGTCCAGGACCTTTGGGGCCTGAATTTATAAAAGACAGTTCAGAGCATATTGCATTTTCTGTCCCAGTCTTTTCATATGCATCCTGGGATACTTCCAGGATATCCAACGCACATCAAGCCCCTTCGGCGAGCACTAAACTGCATAATTCTATCTTTACGGCCCACTCATAAGGATTGCGCCTTTCCTAACCCCCTTGGCCAGGTACTCAGCATTACCATCCGGATTACTTTTCGTTGATTCTGATCTCTCGATGTCATTACCTGAACTTGACGGAAGGTGCAGCAACTTGGTAACACGCAGGAACTGGTCACGGACCCACTCCTGCTGCCCGGACCTCAGAACCCTTGTGATCAGCTCGCTGTAATCTTCCGAGAAAAGAGTCAACAGGTGACTCAGGGGATGCATGGCGCGCCACGGCCCTTGCGCGATGACATGACGCCTATGGTCGTCCTTTGACAGACACGACTCGAGCCCATTATTGTCCAACCGTGTCCTCTCTTTCAATGAGTACTGACTTGGAAGCAGGGTCATTGGATCGGTGAAATCAGATAGATTCGATCGCGTGTTTCGGTTGCCGAGGTAAAATGGTATGCTATAGCACACGCTATCGACCATTTCTTGGAGTGTTTGTTGGCAGTCGACGAGATCTGCATGGTCATAGAGAACATGTCCGTGGGCGAAACCAGTGCAGCCGTTGCCTGAACATACATCAATGGAGCTGAGCTTGATCTTTGCTAGCAGAATGCGTTGGAACCGCCATAGATTCCAAATGCTGGCAATTTGACAGGAAGGATACACGTCGCAGACAGACTGGTAGGTTGGTATGGAAGAATCAATATCTCGACCACTTCTCAGCCTCAAGGGTCTCCAATGATGCGGTACGTTTTCTGACCATCCCAGAAGCTCTGCATCAACTCGCTTGGCATCAGCTGTCCACTCTTTCATAAAGGGCCCCAACGACGTCATCGAGAGGCCACCCTGCTGCACAAATTGCGAGTATCTGGCCTGCAGTTCAGCCACAGATGCCCCCAAGGCATCGAGTATTGAGCTTGGGTTTTGTGGTACAGCCGTCGATTCTTTACTCTCAAACCATGAGTACACGATGCTATTCAGTGGCTTTTTTTGACGGATCGCGGTTGAGACCTCCGTATGAAGCATAAACTTCTGCAGGTAGGCGCGCGTTATCTTGTTCATGTCGTGTGGATTCAAAGAGGAGAGCAAAGATGCTGCGCCGTTGTGGTGTGTACTTGAAACCCGGCGAAGATCGTATATCGCAGACGCATTTTCGTACGTCTGCAACACCAGCACGGCTAATATAGTTGCCGGCTTCCTACGCTCTATGGGATCTTGTATTGCACTGCGAAGGCGTGTGATTGCCCGGGAATATGACTTTCGAGGTGATCGGAAACTGCTGGGGTCCTGTCGCCACAAGGACAAGATCTCTGAAGCCAAAGCCGAAACGGCAAGCGAAAGCACCGAGTCTTCTCGTTCCGCCCGATAGGCTGGTATAATTAACTCAAAGAACCCACGCGTGGATTCCATATCGCGGCCCATGCTGGCATAATGGCTGAGGTAGAATGACACGGCAGTGTCGGGTTCAGAAAGCCGTGAAGTCAAAGGCCCCATGACCTTCTGCTCTTGAGGATTTGACTCAGACAACCGGCCTGAAACGGCATATTCAACGATGTTCCGGCTGCGACAACCGACATCTTGGTTGCAGAACTTGTGGTTCTGGTCTTTGAACTTCAGCGTATTTTTGGCCCGATAGCCCCCACAGCGAAGCTTGAGGCGGTGGCACGCTTGGCACTCGGGTTTCGTTTCGTCGCATTTAACGCGGCGTTGCTTACAAGTCAGGCAGCCTCCGGAGCGTCCGCGGTTGACCATTGCGACATGCCGCAAAGAGAAATTCTGTTGCGATGAAGTCGATAAATATATCTTATGCGGCTTGGCGCTTTCGTCATTCGGCAGAGTCGGGCCACCCTGCTGGGGAAGTTGCTGACGGAGGCTCGCAGACAGAGCCAATGAAATGATGCCGTCGCAAAACCCCTACTCGATACGGTTTAGCTTGACAAATGACCCACTACGTATACCAACCTTGGAACCCTGAAAGGCAGGCATAGAGTATATCTCTTCTTTGGTCGCTGCCTATCTCTCGGAAATATGAGGTATAAGTAAAGGAGAGAGAAGATGCGAAATCAGAAAAATCATCAGTCAAACGGACAATTCACACTCAAAATCGGTTCAATTTCCACGAAGCTTCTTCATTCAATATTCGACATGAAACTACACTCCTCTGCCTATATTGGCCCATTTTTGGCCACTCTGCTGTATTCCCGTGCAGCTTCCGCCGCTTACGATACCACCAACAGCCCCCTGCTATTGTTGAGCAATGACTCCACAATGAACTTCGACTTGTTGACTCCCCTTGGTGAGTCCATCACCGGGGGCGGGGATGTTGGGCCTATTCTTGGTGCAGCAAAGAGCATCGAAGCCGGAAACATGACTTCCTTTAGCGAGGTCTTCTATAAGCTCGCAAATGACACCAAAGCCCAGGCCGAAGACCCAGAGAATGCTTACGACCCTCTCAATGTCAGAGACACCTGGTTCTCTGCTGCGTCGTATTTCCGCAAGGCCGACGTCTACCTCCACCGAAACTGGAGTAATCCGCTTATCAACAGCCTATGGGCCGAGCACATCGAAGCCTTTGACAAAGGAATAGCTTCTCTGCCTATTCCTGGTAAACGAGTTCGCATCCCAGCTACCGAGGGCAACTTTACCATTGAAGCTATCTGGTACTCTGCTTCCAAGAATGCAGATGATAAGCTACCGACTTTGATAATTGGCAACGGTTTCGATGCTGCACAGGAAGACTCTTACCATAACTTCGTGGCACCAGCTCTAGCCCGAGGATGGAACTGCATTACCTACGAAGGCCCGGGACAGCCTACTGTGCGTCGTAACCAAAATATTGGTTTCATTCCGGATTGGGAGAGAGTCGTCACTCCTGTAGTGGATTATGTTCTCTCAGAAAAGAAGAGCTCCGTGGACAAAAGTCGACTTGTTCTCATCGGTAACTCTTTCGGTGGCTATCTGGCTGCCCGTGCCGCGGCTTTTGAGCCTCGCCTGTCTGCAGCGGTCTTCATCGACGGCGTCTGGGACAATTATGTGGCATACACAAGGGAGCTATCACCTGAAATGCTCGAAGTATACGAGGCGGGAAATTACACTCAATTCGACGACATCATCCTCTCGGCTAGGGAGGCTGGGAAGCTGCCTACGGGTGCCGCCTGGGGCATCGATCAGGGTCTCTGGGCGTTCTACACGCACTCACCCTCTGATTTCTTCACCCAAGTCAAGCAATACAACGTGGAATCTTTCATAAATAACATCAGCATTCCTGTTTTTGTCGGTGACGCCGAGTTGGAGAGCAGTTACATTGGGCAGCCGAAGCAAGTGGCGGATGCGCTGGGCCACTTGGCTACTTTGCATACTTTCAAGGGTGTTGCTGGCTTCCACTGCCAAACTGGTGCTGGCCAAGAGCTTTCGAGAACTATCCATGCCTGGTTGAATAAGACTTTGGGCTAGGCTGGTGATGGTCACTGAGACTGGGTCAAGATTTGATGTACTTACTAGTATGTCTATCCGCTAGAGGCCTGTCTAGGTGGCTTCCAAGGTTGCACGAATCTGGAGCTAGAATTTACCTTCTTTGCTTTTGTGCCTCTGCGTCTGCGATGGGTCCAAGGTTTCGGCTTTTTCGCGGGTCTTTTTCTTTGTAAAAGCAGCCCGTAGATGTAACCTCCGAGGTATGGGTGCTACAACCAAGACTCGGGCTTCCAGGACTTTTCGCCCATCACGTTCAACACTATTTTCAAGGCACGGAGTAGAGAGAGATCAATTGCTGCGTTTCAAGACTATGTCCTTCCCGTAGACGATGTAATACCACCATCAACAACAAGTTCTTGTCCAGTAATGTACTGAGCTTCATCGCTGACAAGAAATAGTGTGGCATTGGCCACATCCCAGGCATCTCCCATCTTCCCCATTGGAACTTGCGCACTGCGCATCTTCATATATTCTTCTGCCTGACCCTCCGCTGAATATCTGGACACCAACCCTTTCGTGTAAGGGGTATCCATCAGTCCAGGAACAACTGTATTCAAACGGACGCCCTTTGGGGCATATATGACAGCGCTTGTCTTCATAAGCTGCATGATAGCAGCCTTTGTTGCAGAATACCCAACTTGGGGTTTGCCAATATAGCGCAGGCCAGCGATGCTAGCAACGCTAACGACTGCGCCTTTTCCTTGCCTTTCCATGATGGGAAGAACATGCTGGCACATCAGGAATACACTCTTGAGGTTGAGGTCGACTTGAGAATCCCATGTTTCCTCGGACATCGTAGCAGGACAGCCCGGCTCGGATCTCCCAACATTGTTGATGAGAATATCAATTCGCCCATGCTTGGCCATACACGCATCGACGAGCGCTTTTGTAGAAGTGCTAGATGTCACATCGGTTTCAACAACGTCGCAAGTTCCATCTTCGGCTTCGATGGCCGCTTTGGTCGAGACCGTTGAGGCAAGAGTGCGGTTTCCGCCGAAGATCTTGGCTCCTTGTCGAGCGAGTACAACGGCGATGGCGGCGCCAATGCCCCAGCCTTCTGAATGGCTTTGGCCAAGACCAGTAATGAGGGCGACCTTTCCGTCGAGAGATAGCATGATAAGGAAGGGTTGAATGTGTTAAGCCTTCGGTATGGAAGTGAGAAACGTGTAGTGTGGTTTTAGGGAAATCCTAGAAATGCTGCGCTTTTTGAAGATAGAAGGCGAACGGCGGCTTTTATCGCCGTGGGATATGTCATAGTGCGGGCTCTATAGTTCGGGTTATGGTGGAAGTATAGCGAGACGGGACCATCCCGACAGGTCTGCGGACTTCCCGCTTTTCCCCAGCGGCACGCTTCCGATATAAAACACGCACGTCGAAACTTCATTTAATTGTAAAAATTTCAAAGGCCATCTAGCAGCTGCAAGAGCCACTCTTTATTTGCGTCAAACTTCAGCCACATCCACCCCTAAAGCCCAAAGCCAGGTGTTGGTGGCACTAGACCCTGACTATGGCCACTTTCGCTGAAGAGGACTATGCCATTGAGAGGCCACTAGTCGCATCAACGGGCCTTAGACAAGGACTCACCTCCTATGGAGATGCGCACTTTTCTCTATTCCTAAGAAAGGTATTTATTAAAGCCCTCGGATACAGTGAAGACGCTCTATCCAGGCCAATTATCGGAATCATCAACACCTACTCGAGCTTCAATCCATGTCACGCCAACGTACCGCAGCTCATTGAGGCAGCTAAGCGAGGGGTACAGCTGAGCGGTGGACTTGCTATCGACTTCCCCACGATTAGCATCCATGAATCGTTCTCATATCCCACGAGTATGTTTCTGAGGAATCTTATGAGTGTGGATACCGAGGAAATGATCAAAGCTCAACCCGTCGATGCTTGTATTATGATTGGAGGTATTTGTTGCCTTCCCATTTAAGATAATGACCTCTGACCAGATATAGGATGCGACAAAACCGTGCCCGCTCAGATCATGGGTGGTCTATCAGCAAACAAGCCCATCTTGCCTTTGGTCACTGGTCCAATGATGCCGGGAAGCTACAAAGGCAAGAGAATTGGCGCTTGTACAGATTGTCGGAACAATTGGGCTTCCTTCAGAGCCGGAAACCTAGACGTGGAGGATATCGCTTCCCTAAACGAAGAATTAGCTCCCACGGTAAGACACAGCCGACCCAGTGCCACAGAAATTTCGAGGTTTTAATGACTTTCAGGCTGGAACTTGCGGCGTGATGGGAACTGCTAGCACTATGGCGTGCATTACAGCAGCCTTGGGGTTGATGCCTCTCCGTGGTGCATCTGCGCCTGCCGTCTCATCAGCACGACTTCGAATCGCAGAAGAAACAGGGGCAAACGCTGTGGCCGCAGCGGGCGCAAAACGTGCACCTCAATCTATCTTGACCAAGGAGTCATTTTATAACGCCATTACCGTGCTTCAAGCAATTGGTGGATCAACCAACGCCGTGGTACACTTAATGGCAATTGTGAACCGTCATCCCGACCTTTGTGGAAGTGGTGACATAACTCTCCAGACCTTCGATGACATTGGTAGGAAGGTTCCTTTGCTCATTGACTTGAAGCCCAGTGGCGACAACTATATGACGGACTTCCACAATGCAGGGGGCATGGTCGCCTTGCTGCACACTCTCAGACCGTTGCTTCACCTCTCCGCTATGACAATCAGCGGTGTCACTCTCGGCGAGGTCTTAGACAAGACCCCCTTCCGGACATTCCCATACTCCCAGGAGATCATTCGGCCATTAACAAACCCTCTCTATCCCGCATCTTCATTGGTGGTTCTCAGGGGGAACCTTGCACCTGGCGGGGCCATCATTAAGGCATCTGCTTCCAAAGACCGGCGCCTTCTATGCCACACCGGACCTGCTGTTGTCTTTAAGAACAGTGCCGATCTTGCGCTCCGCATTGATGACCCCGATCTAAAGGTGACCAAAGACTCTGTTCTTGTTTTGCAGGCGATCGGGCCTATTGGAAATCCAGGTATGCCTGAGGCTGGAATGATCCCATTGCCTCGAAAGCTTGCTGCCGCGGGTGTCACCGATATGCTGAGGGTGTCAGATGGGAGGATGTCTGGCACTGCTGGCGGCACTATTGTATTGCACGTCTCGCCCGAAGCTATCGTCCCGACTTCTGTGTTGGGAATAGTGAGGGATGGTGATATTATCACCTGCGACGCGACTCGGCGGATTCTCAACCTGGACCTAGACCAACAGGAAATTGACGAACGCCTTATGGAGCGAGCTGACAGTGGTGAGCAGTCTGCTCGCACAGATGAGATCAAGGTCAAGCGGGGATATGCCGGTCTGTACCAACGGTCGGTCAACCAGGCCCAGGAAGGGGCTGACTTTGATTTTCTCACTGCGGCGGGCCCAAAAAGAAGATAAAAAGAAATCAAACAAATTCTTGTTTTGTACAGAGGACGGAGTAATCGGCAGAAATGTCTCATTTGGGGAGAGAGAAAAAAATCAAAGTAGAGGTAGGAAAGGCTTGGGAATGCAGCCAAGATCTTTAACCCCAGGGAGAGACGTGGGCTACTCCGTACCACACGTTCAGTACTCCGTACGGAGTACTGCGTGGACTTGCATCTCGCTCGGTTGCCTCCAGGGTCTTTGGAGCCATGGGGGCTGTAGTGCTTTCGCTCGTGCAATAAGAAGTACTCCATACTCTGTGCGTCCTACTCCGTACTCCGTACATGTGCCTTGAAACAAGGAATCATCTGTCGCACCATGAGATTCATCAGATACGGCAACCAGCGACAATCACCATGAGCACGTTCCAGTCCTTATGGCCAAATCTGTGTTACTTCCGGATTTTCAGGCGCAATGGCCTCCACAGCATTCCTCATGCACAGTGATCCAAGTCACCAGCATCCACCGCCAGATGGCCAACCGGGTGTATTACCCCCTTACTCCCTACCTCCAGTCCAGTCAAACATAACGGAACAAAAGGACCGAGCTCTGACAACCACGCCAGAAAAGCTTGCTGCAGTCCTTTTTCAGCCCTGCTCAGGGTGCGGAGACTTGTCAGTAGTCAGTTCCCACCGCGTCATTACGTGCCACTTCGGCGGCTGAAATGTTTTGTGCAACGGATCAACCGCTCATCGCTACCTGATCCAATGCGCAATACACGACCGAGGTGCAAAGACAAGCATGCCGAACTATCACGTTCACGTCATTGGTTGAGCCTGCATGAACGCATTGGACAGAGTTCTCACGTCGCTCAGGGGGTTCTTGATCAGCAAAGATCGACATGGTCCACCTGATAGTTTGATTCCATCACAACTTTCTTTTGCGATCAAAGTTGTCAATCGATACGTTCACTCAATGATTGGATGAGTTCACGTCATTCCGGGAATGCTATGGGGTACAATGCGATGGTCAACGGCACAGAAGACACTTGTTGCGTGGGCCCCGCAAACTATCGGATCGCTTCGTCCCGAAGGTTTGGATTGGATTTGACCCACCTATCAGCTCTGCATTGCGCACGAAGCTGGATTGGTTCCTATCGCATTTAAGTGACATGTCGAAAATGCGGGTCTAACCATGCGAAGGGGGAGGGGGGCGGGCCGAATTGCTTTTTTTTTTCTCTTCGAGTGCTGGTCAACAAATTATGGCAGTTTTTCTTAGCTTGGGTTAAGATATTTGCATCTCCCCGTTTTTTTCGGAGATTTTGGTCGCGTTAAACCATTATGTCGAACATAACGGTAATTCGACTGCACTCTTGGAAACACACCATGTACTAACCCGCGCGGCAGGATAACGACACCAATATTGGGTCGTCGCGAGGCGATGCTTCCAGCACCTCTGGGGATGCAGTCGGCAGCCTCGTTGGCGGTGGCGGCTCGTCAGGTTCCGCGCTCATGATGACTCTATTACCAGCGCTTGTATATGCAATATTCTGGATCAGCTTGTTTCTGATATTCCGACGAACTCAGCGTCGATGGTACGCCCCACGGTCATACTTGCCCGACCTACACGAGCATGAACGAAGTCCTGAACTGCCATCTGGTTGGGTTAACTGGCTGGGCACGTTTTTGAAGATGGAGGATAACCACGTGCTACACCACTCATCCCTGGACGGATACCTATTCCTGCGGTTTTTGCGAGTCCTGGCCGCGACATGTCTAACAGGCTGTTTGATTACATGGCCTATCCTACTGCCACTGCATGCTACTGGCGGTAATGGAAACTCGGAGCTCGATATGCTGAGTTTCAGTAACGTTGCCAATCCCGATAGGTATTATGCTAATGTGATTGTGGCTTGTATTTACTTTAGTAAGTTCTCGCTGTGTCATCGAAAGCCTGGTCACTGACTAGTGCAGCATTTGTGTTTTACGTGGTCGTTCGAGAGAGCCTGTATTACGCCAATCTCCGCCAGGCGTATTTGAACTCACCTGCATATGCTTCTCGGATGTCATCCCGGACGGTCCTCTTCATGTCGGTCCCAGATGCGTACAAAAACCAAGATAAGATTCGACAAGTCTTCGGCGACTCAATACGCCGGATGTGGATAACCTCCGACTGCTCAAAGCTGGACAAAATGGTCAATGAACGAGACAAGTTGGCCGAGAAGTTAGAAACGGCAGAAACGAGGCTCATTCGAAGGGGAAACAAAGCTCGGTTGCACGCAATCAAGAAAGGACAATTTAGCGTGGAAACGAGCTTGGATTGCGAGTCGAGCAACCCAGCATGGTGTCATAAAGTCAAGCGACCCACACATCGGCTTAAATTTTTCGGCAAGAAGGTTGACTCTATTCATTGGTATCGCGCCGAACTAATGAAGAAGATCGAGGAAGTGGCTGCTTTGCAAGCAAAGCATCAGAACAACGAAGCTACTCAACTGAGCGCAATCTTTGTGGAATTCAACAGTCAAGCAGATGCCCAAATCGCACTACAAACCTTGTCACATCACCAGCCGTTCCATATGACGCCTCGATTCATCGGAATCTCACCCCGTGAGGTTGTTTGGTCAGCGCTAAATCTCAGTTGGTGGCAACGAATCGTACGGAGATTCGCCGTCCAGGGATTCCTAGCGGCGCTTGTCATCTTTTGGTCTTTCCCTGCTGCGATTGTCGGCATGATTTCGAACATCACATCGATTTGTGACTTGATCCCTTTCCTGAAATTTATCCTCAAGTTGCCCGACGTCATCAAAGGTGCGATTGAAGGTCTTTTGCCATCTGCGGCTCTGGCAGCTCTTATGTCGTTGGTGCCAATTATTTGTCGAAGTAAGCTTTCTGACATTCGCGATTTTACTTCGCTAACCTCAATTTCTCCAGTCTGCGCTCGACGAGCTGGTGTTCCTTCAAAAGCACGCGTCGAGCTATTTACTCAAAGTGCACACTTCGTCTTCCAAGTGGTGCAAGTGTTCTTGGTGACGACCTTAACTTCGGCAGCCTCGGCCGCTACACTCCAAATCATCAACAACCCCCTGTCGATCAAGGATCTTCTAGCGGAAAACTTGCCCAAGGCGACAAACTTCTACATCTCTTACTTCATGCTCCAGGGATTGAGCATGAGCTCTATGGCTCTCGTGCAAATTGCCAGCGCATTGGTGTTCAAATTTGTCACCACATTTTTCGCTTATTCGCCTCGTCGGTTGTTCCAACAATGGGCAGAGCTTGGTAGCCTTGGTTGGGGAAATGTGTTTCCTGTTTTCACCAATATGGCAGTGATCGGTAGGAAAGCTTGGACTCGAATCAATATTTACACCCGCTAACAAGCTGTTTTAGCTTTGACATACTCATGCATCGCACCGCTCATTCTAGGATTTGCTTTCCTTGGGCTTTACCTCGTATATCAAGCATATCGATACAATTTCCTCTTTGTCTACGACATCGAGATTGATACCAAAGGCCTTGTCTACCCGCGAGCTCTTCAACACTTGCTTACTGGTCTATATCTCGCGGAGGGCTGTATGATTGGTCTGTGTGCCATCAAAGGTGCTATCGGCCCGGTCATAATCATGGCTTTGTTCTTGGTCGCCAATATTCTGGCTCACATGGCTCTCAATGAAGCACTGGCACCTTTGAACACCTTCTTGCCAAGATCTCTTGACGCAGAAGAAGAAATGCTTCAAGAAAAAGATGATCGAGTGGCAGAGATTAACGAAGAGCGTCGCCCACGTGCTTTGGCCTTCTGGAGATGGTTCCATCCCAATGTGTACAAGGACTATGCAGCATTGCGTCGCAAAATCCGCCGCAATGTCGACGAAGTCTCGTATACCCCGGAAGAATTACGCACGGCATACTTCGAGCCAAGCGTAGCATCTCCACCGCCAACCCTTTGGATTCCGCGCGACAAGTGGGGCTTCAGTAACCATGAGGTTATGGAAACTGATAGCTCGATCCAGATCACAGACAAAGGTGCGCATTTGGATGAGAAAAACAAGATTGTGTGGGATAAATATGATCCTCATCTTCCACTGCGCGAATTGAGGACTCTATATTGAGTCTGGTTCTGCTATGGACCTGATCAATTAATGACTTTCATGACTTTCTTTATGTACATTAATCTGGAAGTGTTTTATAATGAGCAAATGAGATGCGGGCTATTACCTAACAAACTGAAAATATACCTACTGACTTCACATAAAGAATGCTAACAGCTCAGACCATTCACCTGCGCAAGTGTCTTGCTAGGCTCCCATCCATCCATGGATGTCCTTTGGATTTGACACTCGTGCAAAAGAAGACTGCGATTGGAATAAACATTTAGTTGAAAACCACTGCTTCTAGAAGAGCAAAATTTCCTCAAACAGTCAATGTGAAATTCACCGCGTTCACCGCGCCATTGTCTCGAGGGAAGAACTCGAAGGTGAACACAGTCGATTGGCCTGCCGATATCACAGAACTAATTGCCGAGGATGTGAGAATCAAATTTGAGGAATCCCAATTATACTGGCTACTATATGTCTGGTAACCGTCAGTATGACTTGTCTATATGTGGGAATCGAGGATTTCGACTTACGGCTCTTGCCTGTTGCAGGGGGCCTAAGTATGTGGTCCAATCATCAACAAGATATGTTCCACTCTTGGTGAGAGCTTTTACTGCAGCAATTGTTGGAAGACCTCCCCAGGTGATCGGGATAGACAGGTCAGAGCCGGAGACCGATGAGGCGACGGCTGATGTCGATGATAGAGTCGGTGGCTTCCATTGAACGATCTGAATGGTGGGTGAGGAATATCCACCAGAGAACTTCAAAGTTAAAGTAGCGATAATCCCTGGCGCTGTAGTCGAAGAAAGACGCTTTGAAAGATAAGAAGCGGTGAAAACGATGTTCGCGCCTGAGACGGAATAGTCTGTTCCTGACACCAAAGTAGTACCCGTAGAGTCACTTATGGAGAAGAGTGTGTTGCCATTGAAGATAAATGGAAGAGTCTGCCCCGTAACCGCAGTTCCGTACTGGTGGAAAATGTAGGCCGAAGATGACTGGCTCGTTGCTGAGCCGTCCTCTGTGCTATCTGGAAGACTGTTTGCAGTAGAAGCGGTAGACTTGGTGATAATCGAGAGTGAATTGGTATCACGCCATGTACTGCTTGTTCGATCCAAGTGGTCTAAGCCATTATCCCATAGAACGCAGGAAATGTCAAGACTTGCTGCAGTCTTGATCAAAAAGTCGACATATTTCCAGCGTGCAGCAGGTTCCGTGTTGGTTGGGGATGCGTCATATTCACCCAGAAGAAGGGGTACATTGGTGAAGTTATTGCGAATCAGCTGGAAGTCAGACTTGATTGTGGCTTTGTCGGCATCGGAGCCCCAAATGGTTTTGCCCCTACATAGAGTTAGCGTTGGTCAAAATTCTCGGATTTAAAGTCTTACCAAGCACTGAAGATGAAGTCGTCTAGTAAAGATTGACACGTCAGTTGCTGTCATAGAGTTTAATAAAACTGGCTTTACTCACAAGGGCTGTAGTAGTGGAATTGAATGGCGTATGGGTTGGAGAACCCAGAAGGAGCAACAAACCATTGCGAAGTTTTGATGCTGTCTTGGCCACCTCCCACTAAGGTGACAACTCTCTGTGGGTTGAAACCACCAGCATCGTTGATAGCCTGGAGGAAAATCTTGTTGAGCTTGTTGATTTCAGCAGCATCCGTCGCAGTATTGCAAGGCGGTTCGTTGATAGGCTCGAAGGCAACAAGGCTAGACTTGCAGGCCAATTTGCTGCCGATTTGATACCACAACCTGTAAAACTTTTCTTCAATCATAGTCAAGTTGGCCCCTGACTGGCTGACATCGGCCCAAACCCACGAGTCTGCACAATTTTAGCAAGAAGCATTGGTATCAGATGTCTTTGGGCATATCGTACCATGATGCACGTCAACGATGACATAAAGTCCACGAGCCACGATTTGATCAACGACGTCGGAGACCCGCTGTAGCCAGGTTGGGTCAACTGTCCAGTCTGGGGAACTTCCCGTGAAGTGATAAGCCCACGTCACAGGAAGTCGGACACTTTTGAAGCCAGCAGCCTTCACGGTGTCGAATGTGGATGCCACCACTGGGACATTGTTCCAGGATCCCTCGTCAGGAACAGCATCAAGAGTGTTCCCTAAGTTCCAGCCAGGGTGTAGAGCTGAAACAAAGCCAGAGGCAGAAATTGCGCTGAAGGTACCACTGCAAACTGCTCCGCTCGAACTAGCAGAGGAGATCTGCGCTGTGGTCTTTGTAGTTGTTGTCAAAGTGGTAGCTGTAGCGGTTGTTGTGGCCCGGGTAGTGGTCACTGCTGATGTGGTGGTAGTTGCTCCGGTCGTTGTCCCAGGAAGGCATTGGTAGTAGACTTGTCAGACGTCAGTTGTATTGATTTTGCTTGGTTTATGAGGTTAACATACAGGCATTCTGCGATACACAAGCAAATCCAGAGGCACAAGTAGTACTTCCTGAATATCCGCTTCCTCCGCCTGCTCAGATGTCAGTTTCAATCAGATAAAATCATATTTCAAGGCCGCAGGGGTGATACATACACTGCCCATAGCCTGCCACTTGAGCTCGTACTATTCCAGCAAGAGCCACGAGGGTACCCAAACGAAGAACTTGCATCTTGAGCTATGCTCTCGATTTCGATAAGCAGCAGTGTCTCAAGAATCCCGAGGTCTGTTTAAACTCAGCATCGACAGGATCAGGCCATTTATAAGTTCAAAGGTATCTTTGGAAGTCTTGGACTGGCACACTTTGATTGATCTATCTCTCTAGTAGCGCCAAGTAAGCTGCCTGAAAGTAATTTCCCCCAAGTCACAGCTGGTAAGCCGGATATGGAGGCTTGGTAGATCACTGGCGTGTGACGGGATGCGCATTTCTCAGGGCCATGATCATGTTCTCTCTTGATTCATGTTATTCTTCAGTCTTCATGCGGGCCGCCACCCCGAGCTACATTCCGTGCATTGTCCTCAACACAGATCATTTGATCCAAAGCTGATTAACGCACCACCACTGTACTTTACCTGTACCTGACGAACTTCTGCAATGAGTCTTGATCCTGCTCGGCCCAGGTTGCGTGCTTCGGGCTTAGCCATGTGGAGAAGACAGGACTAACTGCATCAGAAAAGGCGCAGTGCTCCATGGCTTCCGCCAATCAGCAACATTTCTCTGCAAGCCACTCCTTGAATTTCCACATTCTCGGAGAAATCACAGGGAGGCGCGTTCGGACAAGTCTCAATATGGATAGATGTCTTTGATATATTTCTTCTCAATAATAATAGATTAGCTCCGCTGCTGCAGGCGGTGCGGAGATGTTCCGTGTTCGTTTGTATGCAACGCCGTGGAGAATCAGGAACCAAAGTCAAAAAACGCTCCGAACAAAACTAGTATCTAGCAAATTCATGTCACATGTTACAAGCCTATTGAGCATATGTGTGTCTATGAAGACCTATCGCTTCGTCATGTTCATTCCGTCATTGTGCATTAGCCATAATGAGAGGCCGGGTGGGGTGGGCCCCATGCTGAGCTTCAATCTGTCAAGGTTCACATCATCACGCAATCTTTGTTTCGATCTCTGTTCATCCGGTCGGTACTCGTGGCGACGGATGGGCGTGGTCGATGGGAAGACTGTGAGTTGTGGTTTCTGCCAGGGTATTGGTTTCCCTGGGCACCGCTATAGGGCCTTCTATTGGGGGGTGAATATCGTGGACCCCCTGCAGCTTGTTCATAAGGTGGAGGCGGAGCGTTAGGGTCGTTAGGGTCGGGTTCGTGATGTGGCTGAGGCCCAGGGCGAGTTCGAAGCCCGGTGGTAATACTCGAAGTTCGATTAGGCACGTTGCTCATGCGGGGGGGAGGTGATGGGCGACTGGTAGAATTATTCGACGCAGAGTTGCGATTGCCCGTGTCATCTTGGGCCCGCTCATTTTCACGTTGCTCTTCTTCAAATTGGAGCGAGAGAGCATACGCATAGTCCGCATCACTTTGCTCCTGGGTCGGTTCAGGTGAATGTGAAGCGTCGTTGGCGTTTGTATTCGGGGAAGGGTTTGGCGCGGCGCTGGATGTTGTTGTGTTTGCCGTGTTGGATGGCGCGGGTTCAGCGGATGGGCCCGCGCCAACAGGGCGAAAATCGCCGGAGTAATATTCCGTATTGAAACCCGTTACATCAACTAGGGATTCCCAAACAACCTCAGCATGGCCCGCGTAGCCCGCATCAGTGACCAGGGTGTATAGTTGATGGGATGTGGGCTGTTTGTAAAGGGTTGAGAAATGGTCGTTGCGGAACAGAATAGAGACGGATCCCGGTTCAAGCCTGGTAGAAAGCTGCGTCAAGCCGAAAGGACTCAATTGTGTCGCATTCTCGATTTCTACGAATTGCTGAATCGATTGAATGTCCTCCATGTTGCTTTCTTCTTCGAAGGTAAGAGGCTCGCCACGCGTGGCTCGATCCTCCAATTCTTGTCGACGGAAAGGCAGCATTTGAATATCGTCATAGTACTGACCAGTCCGTGACATCGCCGCATGAGTAGGGCTAGACCAGGAAGCTAGCCAAGCGTGGATCAACGGGATGCCGAAAGTGCCGTACAATCGAAGATCACTGGTTTCCAGGAAGGTTCCGAGCCCATCGGTAGACTCCTAAATGTCAGGTCAGTATGTGATGATGTCTTGAATGTACAGTGTTTTCTTACTAAAGTCAACCGCGGGTTGACATTCATCCCGGTATGAAGCATGGTCAAAAATTGTGCTAGGGCCTCGATATCGGGAAACTCCTCGTCGGGTCCCAGACACGTTGTCAACTCTTCAAACATGGCTTCAATCAGTAGCCCGAGTGATATTTGCTCGCGAGTGGACAGGGCTCTAACGATCGGTGGTTGGGCTTTCGGGTTTGCCCGCAGAACTAGTGCGTTTATAAGAGCCAACAAAGGACATGGACCATTTTTGTTTTGGACCAGAATTGGAGATTCTATCAATTCGCCTGCCTGGTTCGTCCATCGAATGTGACGAATCGTGTATGTTTCCGACCTTTGCTCTTTCTGCCGCGCGGCTTCTTCTGGAGATAGAACAGGGGTTGGATGGGCTCCAGGCTTATCGGATGTACCCCAGGGTTGTTTCATGGAAGATTCAAGGTGCTGTGGCTGTGCATTCGACAACGAATCTGATTCTCTGGCGGCCGGTTCTGAGTAAACCGAGGATCCAGCACGAGATGCCGTATCCACCCCCAGGTTGCCCGTTGCACCGGGAACATCTAGATCGATCAGGTAATGAGATGTGGCGGATGTGGCATTGGATGGTACCACAGAAGGTGTCCTGATTCCAGCATCGGATCCGAACCCGTGTGTGTTGTACGGTTGGTGCGAACCTGTCGGTTCCACGACAACCGGCGGCTCATATAGATCAGACTTCTCCTCACGTGGATACATGCTGTGTTGGTTGGTTGCATAAGCTGTGTGTTGAGATTCCCACGGCGAAGTGTCATCAAAATGATGACCACCTAACACGGCCCGTTGATCATAACGATGTGGAGAGGGGTCCTCCCACGGGGTCTCTTGGTCTGGCTGATCTAGCAAAGACAAGCGAGCAGTCATTGGAATATACCCATCAGCTAGAAATTGTCAGTATCAAGAAGGCCCTCAACTGGTAGAGTTTCAGACGTACTATGGCTCAATGCTTCACTGTTGGTGGTCGCTTGGGAATTTCGTCCCCAATCATTCCTATCTAGAAGGTCTTGGGTATGTTCTGCTGATCTGGGTTTCAGGAACGGGTTGTTTGATTGAAGCTGTACTGGGAGCTCTCCCATGGATGTTTCGTCTGTATCGTTTGTCGAGCGCCACACATTTTCCGAAGCGCCTGTGTACTGGCCTGGTATAAGCGCATGTGGAACTGAGTCTCCGGTGCCGTTCCCAGGAGCTGGGTTTGTCCCATCATACTGGCCCCGGTGGCTATACTGGCCGGCACCGGCAGTAGTATTATCGGGTCTCCCAGCACTATCCGGCCATGAATTTGGCGGGTGGCTTGTCGGAGACCCGACTGGGGATCTTTGCGCTTCTTCTAGTGGCATCAGATCGAAAGCGGGCGAGGTGTTGAGATCGGGGGAGTATATGGAGTCTTCAGAAGGCAGCCGTTTGAGATGAGGCGGGCGGGTGAAAGATGGGGAATTGGCCGATGCTGATTTGGGCGAACGTGCGTCCGATCGAGCATTTGACTTGCTAATGTTCTGGAGACGTGGTGGGGGCTGTTTGCGCAGGCCCATGAAGACGTGACGGAAGAACGAGGTTGGATGCGGAGGGGTCGTTGGTTAGAATTCCCGTGTAGTTCGTTCGGAGATGCGATTCAGGTATCCAACAGGCTGACAATCTTGGTCACTTGGCCAGAAATGGTACCAATTTAGAATGAGGTTGAGGTTGAGGTTGCAAGATCAAAACAATAATAAGCCATGAGGTACAGGGTACGGAACGGAGTACGAAGTACTGAGTAATGGAAAACCGCCTTGCGCTGGGGCTGCAGGGGCTTAGCGTAAACGTCAATGATGAGCAGCCTTAGCCTCAGCTTAATCTCGAACATGCCATGTCCGACGTTAAGGGCAGAGTAATGACGGATGTGGAACGGAGGGGATGATATCACAGTTGCTCGCAGGCACCCGGATTCCTTTGGTCGAGCTGGGGAAGCTACTTGTATGGGTTTTACCGTTTGGGGTAGTCCGTCATCGACAGAGTGGGGGGCTGGGGCCTTAATACTGTATGGTACTGTCACACATTAGCACGGACCGAGGACAGAAGGGTACAAGCCTGAGTGCCGCGCTCACGCGCGGCCAAAAAGACGATGTTAGTTGCTTATAAACAGGCGTAGTTATGTATTAGCTTAATCTCATATTTCGATTGGTAAATGAACAGAGCTATCATCAACTTCGGGACCTCTTTTTAAATATCTTTCTAAATGTCTTTCTAACTATCTTTTCAATCGTCTTTTTGGCTGTCCATCCAAGGTTCCAACTAATTGTCAAGTCATCATGATTGGTCGAGAAAAGGAAGTCTTGGCTAAGCTGTGAATAGAGAATTAGGGATTGGGGATCAGCGTCAACAATAGCCTCCGGCGTGATATTCAGGCATCAATCCAGGCATTAAAATCCCGGATTATATATTAGTCCGAATTTTGGATTCTCAGCAGCTGATTGGCTGCTGGTTTATCGGCCATAAAGTTGCCCGCATCTTTTTTATGAAGAATGCAGTAGCTTTGACTGACCCATTGTCAGCATGCATTCCTATATTCGCCCTAACCAGTGGGTGGCTCTCAAGCTGCCATCAGATCAACTGAAGCTGACTCAGATTGTCCCCGATACGTGAGTGCTACGCTCTATGCGAATGATTCCACCACTAACACCGGATTAGCGTCATCAACCTGGGCAGATTCGGCAGCTTTGGCGCCAACCAAATTCTTGGGCGGCCATTTTACTTTACATTCGAAATCCTGGATTCGCGCGATGACGCCGGCCACCAATTGCGTGTCTTATCAGCAACCGAACTGCACGCAGAGACTCTTCTCGCCGACGGAGAAGGAGACGGCGAGGTCGAAGACCTAGACACTGGCGAGAATGGAGTGCCCATGCGGACAAATCGTGAAATCATTGACATGAACTCCACTCAGAAGTTGACGCTCGAGGAGATTGAAGAGTTGAAAAAGGAATCAGGTGGCGCAGGACGAGACATTGTCGCAAAGTTATTGGAGTCGCACAGCGCTCTGGACCAAAAGACCGCATTTTCGCTCGCCAAGTACACTCTACGCAAGCGCAAGAAGTATATGAAGCGGTTTACTGTGCTCCCGCTGGATGTGGGCCTTCTCGCCAATTACTTGATGGAAGAACGGGATGCGCAAAAGACCATGGAGCTGCGTGATGAGCACATCGGGCTCATTGGCTGCTGGGGAAATGTTCACCACAGTGGCAATGTCGATGTTGCCCCGGGCATCAAGCCCCATGGCCGCTATGCGGTGGTTGATGAAACTGCTGGACTGGTCGTGGCCGCTATGGCGGAGCGGATGGGAATTCTATACCCCCATGATGCAGAAGATGGACCAGAGGAGTCAGAGGAGCAAGAACAGCCTTCGACTGAACCGGCAACAGAATCGCAGGATGGCAATGTACCACCAAAGCCCCGGCGCGTGCGTCCTCAACAGTCGTCTGCGACTACTAACACCATCACTGTGTTCCACGCTTACGCACAACCCAATCTGTCACTTTTGAAATACTTTGGTTACGACACCAGCGATCCCGATGAATCTCACCCCCTCCACACTCACCTCAAAACCATCTCTTGGATGCAGCTGGTTGACCCTAACTCCGACCCAATTTACGCCAACGAACCGCCTGCTCTTGGGGCAGAGGAACTAGCCACCATGAAACAGAGCAAGCGCACAACATACTATCACAAACGCAATCGGTGGCAGAAAGTCAAGTCGGTCGTGGACGAAGGCCGGGCCGGTGACTTCGATGGCCTGGTCGTATCCACCTTGTTAGAGCCCTCAAGTGTCCTGAAGACTATGGTGCCACTTCTTGCCGGATCCGCTCCTGTTGTCATTTACTCGCCCAATGTCGAGCCCCTCGTCGAACTAATGGACATGTACTCAACGTCTCGGAGAACGGCTTACATTTCCAAAAAGCGAGAGCTCGAATCACAAGTCGATGAAGGCGAAACCGCCGACTTGACCTCACTCCAAGAGGAGTTTGTGGTTGATCCAACCATTCTTCTTCCTCCTACTTTGCAATCGTCGCGTGTGCGCCCTTGGCAGGTTCTGCCTGGCCGAACGCACCCTATGATGACTGGGCGCGGTGGTGCAGAGGGATACATATTCCACGGAATCCGAGTCTTCCCAACTACACAGAAGATTCAGGCTGCTGGTAATATTCGCAACAAGCGACGAAAGGTGGAAACGAAGTCCACACCGGCCAGTGATCGAGACGTAGATATGACGACTCAGTGATCATGAATGTACAACTATGATACCTCTTTCAAGTACTCCTAATAGTACCAGCGCGAATGCACCGTATACTCACCTGTAACTTATTTCATTGGCCACAAGATTCGACTCCTATAGCCTGAAAATAAACCATGCCTCCCACGCGCGCCATCCATTACGTCGGTCATCGGAGTGGCTTTTGGAACAAGTATCGATTTCATTTATGCGCTGAATTTCATCAAACAATATACAGCAACGCCTGCGTCTAGAGACTCTTGCCCATAAACTTTCTCTTTGTGAAACTGAGCCAGAACTATGAAGAGTCAGTATGATTGATCTGGGCGAAATGCTCACGCTGAAAACACTCACCTTTGAAGGTCCAACTCCACCGGGGTATAATCTAGCGTGTAGGCGAATGGCGATCTCCTGTCGCACTTGCGCAATGAACCTACAAAGAGTTCGGGATTAGCATGTATCCAAAGAAGTGCGCGAGCTGGTTGAAATCTCACTGGCGAAGAGTCTCGGCATCCTGGCGATCACGAGGGGCCTCGAAGGCCTGGTTGAGGGGGAACGACACATCACCAGGAATAGCGAAGTTGTCAAGTGCGGCGTTGGTAAGAGCCTAGAACGAGGTCAGGAAAGTCGGTTCATGTCGATTTTATAAGGTCAAACGGACCTTTTCGGCATCACGGGAGTTCATTGTGAGCTTGACCTTTCCCAGGCATTCACTGATAAACAGGGTTCCGTAGATGAGCATGCGGTCGGCGGGGCCATTGATTTCGAAATTGCGGAACAGGACGTTCGCGCGGAACAGCGACAGAATCTCATCGACGCAATCGTATGATTCGCTTTCTGGGGAGACATCGAGGTCGTCGGTGTTGGGAAGCGGGGGCAATGTGTATGCGGGGCCGCGAGTGCGGGTTCGGAGGGGGAGGATAGGGAAGTTTCCTATCCAAAGGGCATGTCAATTTGGGGCTCTGCGAATATCCTTCTAACGCAGAGTCTAGTGCAATGTCTAGTGCGCTGAGGGTCCGGGGTCTGGGTTCGTACCAATTACGGGGACATCGCGGTCCTCCAGGAAAATGGAGTGGTATGCCTAGGGGTATGTTAATAGGCGGAGATGGGAATATAGATCATATTCCACGACTTACAGGCATATTGAAGTCGACAATCAATTAAATTGTAAACAAGCGGAGAGATCGCGGAGGGACAAGTTGAGGTTAGGCAGTGAGGATGTCATCTGTGGAGTCGCCCCGAAGCTCCATGATTTTCCGCCCCGAACCTCTTTACGCGCCCTGAGCATTGCGCAACGCGTCACAGATCCCCCTCGGGAACCAACCAACACTTGCTGCCCGCGCGCGACCGAGACTCTCGAGGCTAATTTTGTCTCTTCAAAATGTCGGATCATGATGAAATGGACGTGGATACGCCCAAGGATGTGCAGTTCAGCTCCGACAATGCCAGCGGGAAAAAAAGAACCGCAGCTGATCTGCCAATTGAAGCTCAAGATAATCTCCCATGGTGAGTCGATTGCCCAGAAATACACCAAGTTCCTGCTAATTGCTTCTGATAGGGTCGAGAAGTACCGACCGAGCAGCTTAGACGATGTGTCTGGCCATCAAGATATTCTCGCAACCATCAATCGATTCGTGGACACAAATGTACTGAAATGAGTGCAAGCTGCATGATACCGTGGCTAATGCTACTACAGAAACTACCCCATCTCCTTCTATACGGACCCCCAGGGACCGGAAAAACTTCGACCATTCTAGCCCTTGCACGCCGGATATATGGTACCAAGAACATGCGCCAGATGGTGCTGGAGTTGAACGCAAGTGACGACCGTGGTATTGATGTTGTTCGAGAACAAATCAAGACCTTTGCAAGTTCGTGACCTCGAATCCTGTGATGGAACAAGAAGCTTACCAGACGTAGGCACAAAACAGATCTTCAACATGGCTCCTCAGGGCGGCGCCGGTTCATCTTTGGCAGGATTCAAGCTCATCATCCTTGATGAGGCCGATGCCATGACCTCCACCGCTCAGATGGCTCTGCGTCGCATCATGGAGCGCTACACAGCCAACACCCGTTTCTGTGTCATCGCGAACTACACACATAAGCTGTCCCCGGCACTCCTCTCGCGTTGTACTCGGTTCCGATTCAGTCCACTAAAGGAGGCCGATATCCGTACGATTGTCGACCAGGTCATCGAAAAGGAGGGTGTCCGCATACAGCCCGAGGCAGTCGACAGTCTAGTAACCCTGAGCAAGGGTGATATGCGACGTGCGCTGAATGTGCTCCAAGCCTGCTTTGCTAGCAGTAAGTCCTTGCCCGTCCCCAGTTGTATTCATTTTGACCAACGAATATAGGTATCCCACTTCCAATGAGAGATGCTCCGAAGGCACCTCGCCCCGAACCCGAGATGATCACTAATGCAACTATTTACGACTGTATTGCGGCCCCCCACCCGTCAGACATTCAAGAAATCATGTCCACCATTCTGTCCACCAGTGACGTGACTTCCTGCCTCAGCACAGTGCGCACCCTGAAGGCCACCAAGGGCCTTGCTCTTGCCGACATTCTCTCCGCACTGGCAGATCAGCTTCAGCAGTTGGATGTTCCAGCACAAACCCGCATCACGTGGCTGGAGGGTCTGGCTGAGATTGAATGGCGATTGGCTGGTGGTGGCTCAGAGGCCATCCAGACCGGAGGTCTCGTTGGAGTAGTGCGAAACGGCTGTGAGTTAATGGGCGACAAAGGTGTTGCAATGGCATAGGATGGAAAGGCAAAGCGACTTGATTTTCAGTTCATGATACAAATACCACATTTGGGTAGCATAGGCTCAGGCGAAATGGAAAAAAAAGAACTCTTATTTCCGAAATTCCGAAAGCCGCGCACTGAGATGCTTTTTTTGCGGCAGAACTTGCCCTGAAGAGCATGAGAACACGGCACTAACAGCATGGACGTAAAGTATGTCGAGATGGACTGGTGGGGAAAGGGTCCTGGGCCACTTTTTCTCCGCTATCGCAGCACCGCGGCATACCGCGGAGGTTGATTCAATTAGCTAATTGCATGCTATCGACCTTTTGACCTCCTCGGACTTGGCCAATGGCTTGGCTATGAGCTACCGCGCTAGATTACTCTCGGTCAAGGATCGGAAGAGTCCTCCCCGTCAGCGCATTAGTGTGGCTGCGATTAGGGTCTCGATGCGGCAGAACCCTGGGAAGAGGAGGGGAAACAGTGGATTTAATTCTCCACAAGTGACAGCTACATTGACTAGATAAAGATCGTCGTACCCCAGATCCCTAATTTCTTTGCTCGTTCACTCTTCAGTCAAAATGTGGTTCTCCGTCCAGTCTAGTCTTTTGCTGGCTGCTTCCCTTTCGTCCGTCGCTGAGGCAGAACGTGTGCTGGGTGCTTACATTTTTGCGCGCCATGGAGATCGCTCCCCCAAGATCTTCGGTAGCACTACTCTCTCTGATCTAGGCTACCGACAGGTCTTCGATGCCGGTTCTTATTACAATGACCGATATATCTCGGACAATTCCTCCAAGCAGATTGAAGGCATTAGTCCCGAGATCGTCAACCCTAAGCAGATCAGCGCTACTGCTCCAGCGGAGAATGTCCTGCAAAATTCGGCTTTCGGTTTCTTGCAGGGAGTCTACCCTCCTGTTGGCAAGGTTGCTTCCCAGACTCTGGGCAATGGCTCCGAGGTCGAGGCTCCGTTGGGCGGTTACCAGCTGATTCTCTTGTCTGAATCGACTACCAGCAAGGATGCCGAAGACTCGACTTGGTTGCAGGGCTCTAGTGGCTGCCAAAAGGCAACCGTCAGCAGCAACAACTACTTCACTTCCGACATGTACACCAAGTTGCTAGCCTCAACCAAGGACTTCTACAAGTCCCTGGAGCCCATGCTATCTGGTGCCTTTGCCACATCTGACATGACCTTCAAAAACGCCTACACCATTTTCGACTACTTGAACGTCGGCAAAATCCACAACTCCAGCAGCGAGTTCTCCCACAAGTCTGACCTGACCGACGATGTCTACCACCAGTTGATCTCGCTGGCCGGCAGCCACGAGTACAACCTCGCCTACAACTCGTCCGACAAGGTGCGCGCCATTGACGGTGCCGTTCTAGCCGGCGAGATCATGTCCGCCCTCAACGAGACCATTGCTACCAAGGGCAAATCCAAGTTGAACATTGGGTTCGGCTCCTACGGTACCATCTTCTCTCTCTTCGGTCTGCTGCAGATGCCTGCTGCATCTGTTAACTTCACGGGAATCCCCGACTATGCGTCCTCAATGGTCTTCGAGTTGGTAACCGACGCCGAGGGCACTGATTTCCCTACCGACAAGTCAGACCTCAGCGTGCGCTTCTTGTTCCACAACGGTACTATTACTGGTGGATCTGAGCCCACCGCGTACCCGATGTATGGTCAGTCCAGCGAGCTTATTTCCTGGAATGACTTCGTCACCAAGACCACTGAGATTGCTGTTGTCAACGATGACGAGTGGTGCACTATGTGTGGAAACACAGATGGAAAATGTGCCAGCTCTGACAGCACCAGCTCTTCTTCCGGCTCTGCTAGTGCTTCCAGCACTGGTGGTTCCGGTATGTCTCGCGCTGTGGCTGGTGTAATTGGTGCTATGGTTACCCTGGCAGTTATCCTTGGCTTGCAGGCTCTGTTCTTCCTTGTTGGTGGATTCCGCATTGCGAAGCGTAACAAGAACAGCCCTGACATGAGCTCCTCTCCTGTTGCGGAGGTGGAGAAGAAGGCTTAGGCTTTTGATCTGACGCGAAGACGATAATGGACCAGACCGATGATTATCATCTTGATTTATTTGCACCTGGGATTCAATTTGTTTAATGAGTAGTCTATGAAAAGCAATTATTTTAATCTCTATATTGATTATGACCTAGTTTGATCAATTCTATTTATTAGTCTGAGAACATGAGAGTACGAGGACGAAATCAAGCTTAACTTGTACTTGGGCAGACACACAGCCCTGGAGGTTATTCCAGGTTTTCATTGTCTCTATTCCTACAGCAGTTACTAGACATGAGCCTCCTTTTGCACATATGAAATTAAGCGAGCAAAGTGGATGTTTATCACTATCGGTGATTTTGTATAGATCTTTTGTGTATCAACGTGGAGGGTGGTCTAATAGCTTTCCATTTCAACAGACTTACGCCCGGCTTGTAAAAATTCCACATCAATCATAGAGCTCATTAATTCCCAAAGGCCAGGTTAGATCTCGTTTTGACTGGGGACGGCATGGCTCGCTGATAATTTGGCCTAGAGACGCCCGCAGGCGGGTATACACATTGACCCTACCACTGCTTCCCGTCGCTTTGCAAGGCATATCCCATGCACAGTGTCTTAGTGACAATAGCAAATTTGCACTAACCAAAATCCATCAAGTTTTCCGAGGCCAAGTCAAATGAAAACAAAATTCCGCAGATTCACCGCCTTAACGGTAGACAACTCCCCCTGTACAGAGCGGTTCTCCTTCTCCCCTCCCCTTATCAAACACCCAACATGCCCCGCCAACAGATCAACCTAGAGCCCTACCGCGACGAAATAGTATCTCTCTATCATGATGGCGTCAGTAGCGACTCTATCAGCCGCGCTCTCGAGAACCGACATAACATCCAGGTCAAAGAGCGCACCATCCAGACCCGCCTCCGAAAGTGGGGAATCCGAAAGCGACATCGCACGACAACCGGAGATGAGGCTTTGCACACGCGCATCAAGATCTTATTCTGGCAGGACAGACTGACCGACAAGGCTATGCTCAAAATGCTGCAGCAGGAAGGCTACGGTATTTCTGAACGCACCCTACGCAGATTACGGTTCAAGTTAGGCCTCCATATCAGAGCTTCATCAGAGCAAGAGCACCAGCAGGACCAGCGACAGATGCCGATCTTGATACCCATGCTCCCTCTGCACCTTGCGCCAGATGTCTCGCCAGTATGATCCCAATCTTCGAAGCGAGAGCGTGCTCCGGCTGCCATCGGTACTTTCGCTACGGCCCCATGAAGCGACATTCTGCATCAACGGATCACGGTCATACTGGATAAACCCTCCCCATGCGCCAACTCAACCTCCCTATGCAACCAACTAAGATCCATTGCGACTCGCTTTTCACCCATGCGCCGGTCATGATGAAACTGACGCGGCTCATCCGTTTTGACACGGCCTTCACCCTGGCAGTGAGCTATTGCAGGATTATGTGCGACTAGTCCAGGTCTTCGAACTGCTAAATCAAACTCGCGAAATCCTCGGCAAACTTCTGTCACCGCGAGACCTTGCATGTGCCATTCGGTGAGTCCGCCAATCTCCAACCTTCTACTAACAAGTTCCACCAAGGACTAATTTCCTTTAGAGCAGTTGTCCTTTTCGACTCTTTCTACAGCTTCTCGTATATCTCAGATTGCTGTCATATCTTCCCAAATGCGACAAAATTGAATGCCCATCCGCGGTGAACACAACCCGGGCTGGGTAGCCGACAACGCTTTTGCTCTCGTAGAAAGCTCTTGTAAAATATTGTTGTCTATAAGCTCATAAATCCTTATCTCTGACAATGTATCTCCGGAGTATCTTGGGGTGAAGTAAATCGGGCTGATCTCGATGCACATCACGTGCCATGACGTCCGGTTGAACTTTTGGTCGGAGAAAGTAATCGAGTCGCAACACTCTAGAGGGTGCCAGGTCCCCTACAAATACACTCGCGATCACTTCCGTGGGCTCGCCTCCTCATTGCCACTCATATCCCGCCCATCATGTCCACACAATACGCCAGCGAGCCCAATCCTACCGCGTCGGCAACGCTCAACACGACAATTGGCCCTATTCAAATCGCGCTCTTCGCAAACCAAGCCCCCCTCACCTGCAAGAACTTCCTACAGCACTGCAAAGACAATTACTATGCCGACACAATCTTCCACCGAGTAGCCCCAGACTTTGTGATCCAGGGCGGTGATCCCACCGGCACTGGATCTGGCGGCACGTCGATTTATGAGTACCCGGAATTCGAATACGACCCTGAAGCTCGGGATCCCAATGAGCGTGTGGTTCTCCACGATGAGCTGCACAGTCGGTTACGTTTCAATCGACGTGGCTTACTGGGAATGGCGAAGAGTGAGGATGGAACCTACGGCAGTCAATTTTTCATCACTCTGGCGAACACAGAGCGCGAATTGAATGGGCAATGCACAATTTTTGGACGCTTGGAGGGTGACAGCATATACAACGTCTTGAAGATTGCAGACGCGGAGCGCATCGAGGGCACCGAGCGGCCTGTGTATCCGGTCAAGGTGACCTCGTGCGAGGTGGGAGAATTGGGACCATTAGAGGGCAAGCTGAAAGACAGGAAGATAGTTTCCACATCAGCGAAGTCTGAGAGTGGTCCGCCAAAGAAAAAGAAGAAGGCGTCTAAGGGTGGGAAAACACTACTGAGCTTCGGAGACGATGAGGGAGACGAGGGGATGCCTATGCGCCCAGCGAAGCCTAAATTCAACACGAAATTGGTCTCGGATGTGCCAGGTGGAATACCAGAATCTAAGCCCAAGGCTCGAGCCGAGCCTCCATCACAACGGAAGCGGCCACGCTCACCATCTCCAACCCGGTCACCGGCCTCAGAGCGCAAGAAGCGTCCCCAGACCCCGGATCCAGAGACCCAACTTCCCGTCCGAGACCCGGAGTCGCCCTCTCGATCTCCCACCCCCGAAGCCCCCGCCAAAGAGTCTAAATTGTCGCGGACGAATGCTCAGATCGCCGATCTCATGGCATCTATGCGTCGCGACGTCGACGTCGGTCCCAAAGACACCGGCCGAAAGAAAACCGCACTTGAAGCCATGATCCCCGAAACCTCAATCCGAGGACGGAAGCGGCCTCCTCCAGGATCCGCCAATGGGTCCAGCCGCAATGGAACAGGGCCCAGCAATGCAGCAGAGCGAGAAGCACTCCAGCTCTTCAATGCCTTCAAGGCTAAGCTCGAAGGCGCCAAGCCCGAGCCCACGACATCAAACACACAAAAGACCGACAAGTCCCAAAACCAAGACGAGGACGAAGATGAAGAGGCGCAGCTTTGTGATCTTCATTTCATCGCAAATTGCCAATCCTGTCAATCATGGGATGACCCTGCGGAAGATGCAGATGATAAGCAAGAAGATGGGACTTGGCTCTCTCATGAACTCCACTTTGGAAAAGACACGCTGGGCAAGGACTTGGAGTGGAAGCGGCAGCATGGCGCCGAAGCAGACTCGCTGATGGTTATTGATCCGCGCGAGAAGGAGAAGGAGGTTGTCGGGAAAAAGAAGGGATTACAGCGTGACAGGGAGCGTGAGCGAAAACGTGAACGTGTTGGTAATTTGGAGTGGGACAAGGGCCGCTGAAGGCGATGAATATCTGCAAATGGAATACTACATGACTCACTTTGAGTGGGCTTTTTTACTTCTATCTTGTGCCTTCATTCAACTATAAGCACTAGGCCATTGATTCGTGTCATCGTAGGTAGGAGCTTGACTTTGGGATGGATGTCCTACCTAAAGTCGCCGGCAATAACGATAAATCCATTATTGTAAACAAGCACTGACGCGAACTTAGCCACGACATTTTTGACTATAACAAGCAGGTCAAAAAGATAGACTGCTACGATGAGGTTATCTCCAAAATATAGTGCCTCAGGCTCATAGAGCGGTACATACTTCCCAATCGGGCTTCTTACTTGGAGCCCTGGGGCCTGAGCGCCCCAGGGCTGACTAGAACTTTTCCCCCTCCCCCTATAAAAAGTACGCTATAAAGTTGGATGACACACTCTGTCGCTTTTTGAACACTCGTCAATATACACACCCGATGAAGCTGAATCGTCAGCAGTCAGCGCCATTCTTAAACATGTTCAAATTCCTCATGCGTTTATTTGGCTCAAGCCCTAAGTCAGAACCCACCGAGCCAAAACTATCCAGAACACAGAAAAGAGCACGGAAACGATCCTCCAGAGCATACCATCGACGAGTACGTGCCCGAGAACGAGAGCTGCTCCGTGCCAAGTCTGTGAAAATACCTTGGGAATGGACACCTGGTCCAAGTGGAGCGACGATGGCACGGATGGGTGGCTACCGTTAGACTGAAAACAAGATACGAAGGCTCTACGTCTACGGGGTATCAAGGAACAAGCAAAAGGTATCTCATTAAAAGGATTGGCAAAGGATCATAGATCATGAAAATAGGTTTTTACAGCCCTGAATATACCCTAGGCACATGAATAACCCTACATCAACAGATAAAAACGCCAAAAAATGGTGCGCCGATTTTTGAAAGTCGAGTCCTGAAAACCGTTTTGGACATGGGTGAAGATTAAGCCTTCCTGCGTCGCTTTGATGCGCTACCACCATCGTGGGTTTCGCCTTGATTTTCGGGTGCTGCTGGACTGGTGGCTTCGCTGTCCGTTAACTGCTCGATCACCCGTCCCGAGTCGTCGTAGCCGGACCCGTCGAAGCCATAATTGTAGGCTGAGGGGTCTGCTTGGCCGTGGGTGGATTCGAATAGATCGGGTTCGTTGGGGATGTGGTCGAAATCAAACAGGTCGTTGGTATCCCCTTCGTCCCCTGTGCCCAGGTTGTCTTGATTGTTCTGGCCCGTTCCCAGATGACTCAGTGAGTCATCTTGTTTCTTCAGCCCGGTGCTTGTGTCACCGATGTCAGTGAAATAGTCGTTGTTGAAGATTGTGTCGAGGTCAAGAGGTGGAGGAGGGACACTGCCATCCTGATCGATGCCTGGGATGGTGCCATTGGGGCTCAGCGGTTGGAGGAGACTAGTCAGGTTTTGAACGGAACGGTCCTGCTCGGCTTGCATTTTAACAAGATTGTCGATTTCTTGTCGGGTGCTGGCTAGTCTGCCGGAGTAGTTGTGGGGCATGGGTGGTGGGTTTGGCGAGATTAGCGCATTGTTGGAAGGCACGCCAGGCTGTTCGTTGGACCCAGTCTCGCTGGCCATGAGTCGAAGCATATCGGCACGCTGGCCCGCCGTGAGTGGCACATTGCCACCGTGGTTTTCAAGGGAGGAGAGCACATTTGGGAACTCGGAAAAGTTCGTCGCAAGCCCGTTGCGCGCATTTGAGTTTTGTATAACAGACATCATGTCCTGTTGGGGGAACTTTTCGTCTCCTTGGTGTCCCTGGGGGAGAGTTGAGGCGCCGGGCTGCGGACTGTGGTCAAAGACCTCCTCCACATGGCCAGGCTGAGCGGCGCTGGGTTGCCGATTGTGACCGCGAGACCTAGTTTCGTATAGGCCACTCGCTGCTGGTGAGATCGTTGAGGAACGAGTGCTCTCGCCTGCAGCAGGTGGGGCCTTCAACAGCAAGGGCTGTTTCTTCATTGTTCTCTGGCCATTGGGGCTAGTCATAGACCCCAATGCATTACTGAGATAATCATCATCAACGTCCACAATATTTCCCTGGTCTTGAGAAATAGCACCTGCAAAGGAGTTTGCTAGATTTTGTGTGCCATCCTGGCCCTGTAAACTGCGATTGTAGACAGTAGCGAGGAATGTGAGAATCGCATTGATAGAGTTCTCATGGCGAGTGTGCTGTTCCTGGAAGTTGGCCGCCTGGGAGTAAAGTTGCTCATGCTCCTTGCGCAGCCTCGTAATTGTGGTTGATATGATGGACTGTTGCTGGCGAATAGCTTGAAGTTCGCGATATACCCCAGAAAGTTGTTCATTTGGCACTGGGTTATCAGTGACCAATGACAATTGCGTAGGCCGAGGCGCACGGTTATCGCGAGGAGGTGGTGCACCCTCCTCGGCGTACTCGTCCATGTCGTTATCATCAACGTCCTCTGTCTTTACGCGGGTGCCGCCTTTGCTGGGCTTGCTGGCATGACCGCCTCCTGCATTCTTTGGTTTCTGGATGAGCCAGAGCAAATCCGGATGGCCCCGTTTGAAGTATGGGTTGGCATATTCGCTGGGGCTTTTGTTTTTTCGCTCACTGGCGCGCATTGAATTATCAGAAAGTCCGACCTTCTTGTGGAACCCGTACATGTTCAGCTGTCGGACGAACGAGGCGTAGTTGTTATGTTTGAAAAGTTCCGGAATCAAAGTTCTTGCAAATTCATCTTCATCTAGAACGACGAAAGAATTTCCATCGTCGGACCATCGAATTAATTCTGTATTCTTAGATTCATCGAGAAAACTGTATTCATTAGTTAGTTTGATTTCGCCATGGGGGATTGTAGGGCCTCATCATACCTGCTCAATTTTTGAACGAATGGTGGGATTTGCTTTCGCTTTGCCTGCGAATCTCTTTTCGCGGCCAAAGCTCGCCGGTAAAGCTCCTCGAGCGACTCTCCCCATGCGCCGCTCTCGCCATTCCCATTCGGTCCTCCGTTTTCGACATATGAGGCAGGCGGCTGCTCGTACCCTCGATTTCTGCTGACCATCTGATTCTGATTCGCTTGGCGCCGGGCGAGTTGGTTGGATGCTGTCGCAGCTGGTGCGGACGTATCTTGGGGAGGCGCAAATGCCGCAGGGTTGTATGAGTTTTCGGAGAGGGTGGAGGCATTGCCGGTATTCGCGGGGGGATTCTGGCCCCATTGTAAGAATTGATCGTTGGAGAGCTGAGAGCCGGGGTTGGCAGTGGTCGGGAAATTTGGGAGTCCATGTCCCATCTGTGGGAGGGCAACCGGGGCCGTTCCTGGCGCCGGTCGCTTGCGAGTGATTCCCTGTGAGCTCATTGTGGACTCAGTCGACTGTCGCAAGGCGTCTCTTATCGCGGTGAAGATCCAAGATCGAATTGAATGTCGGGTTTGTGCAATGCCTGGAAGTAAGCTGGTCGCGATGGATTTTCACAAGAGACAGGAGTACCGGATGCGATCTCAGTCTAGAAGAAGTCGTTCATCCAAGTCACTTTCAAATTTGAGTCAGGTGAAAGCCTTTGTGCCCAGAACCGGAAAAAAAGTGGATGCCGCTGATCTAGCCGCAAATATTCTATCGATGACGATGGCGATAAGAGATAAAAGGGCGCAACAGTCGACGACTGGCGAAAAGATCAGGGACCAGCAGTGATCAAACACGAGATGACGGTGGACAGGCGCGTGGATTGTCGAACGCTCAGATAGGCGGGCGCTCCAGCAGAACTCGCTGAGGCGGTGAACGATGATCTCAGGTGGAGGTGGAGACGGAGTCTTGTAACTATCTCCAGTACTATTGACAGCTGCGATGACTCTTCCCGTATAATTTAATGCCCGAGGCTTTCGGCAGGGAAGTTGTCCTGTGAAAATGGGAAGTAGTCAGCAAAGTGGTGGCATTTTTGAATATCTTATCAAGACGTCATATGTTACTTCGTGCTTGTGAGATCGATCATGCCGGAAATCCTGGTGGCGGCGACAATAATTGTCACTGATTTAGTTAAAACTATGTATGAATAGGCACAATTTGGGGCTCATCACAAATCCACCCTCACGGCAGTCATGTTCCAAGGTCCACGGGTTGGGTTGACTATTTGACTATTGTTTCGACTACTTCAACTAGAGCCAGAGCAAATCTCCCATAGATTCATCTGCACGACAATAAAGGCCAACTGTCGGCACTGATATTGTAGTCTTTTTTTTTTTTTTTTCAAATTGTAAGATCTTTCTATTTAGCCGTATCTTGATTTAATGTCCTGGTGGACGAGTGTGGCATTTACCTAGAAACCCAAATGACTCTCCGACGTTGATTAGAATGGCAATCCCCTCGGCGTTAAGTATGGTATGTAGGTATAGAATACAGTATCCACGGACTGATAAATCAATCACCGCGACATGAATGTTACCCTTGATCAAGCTCCGCATAGCCATTGGAGGTTTACTGGATATAGACCTTTGGATCCCAGTCTCGGTTGGAAAAGCCAGAGCGCATCTCTCAGTGTGAACATCATAGCTGTCTCAAACCAACACCATAATCTGGTCAATCCACAAAATCCCCGGTCAAGACCTGGAAATCTAACGATATCTGGCGCCACACTTCGGGCCGCTTTTTCGTGAAGCTCTCGACTAATTTCGGAGCGGCCAAGTCCTCCTTCATACGCTCTTCATTCTTGGTTCCGTTCAGCACAGTCACATCATCAAGACTCATAACCAGGGTGTACAGAGCCGCCTCCGGTGAGATTTGAACATGATGAGCCAGTTGTTGTACAGGTCTAGACCGCAGCAGGTCCGGGTTTCCTGTCAAAGTCCAGAAGCTTTGATAGATGACTCGATGATCACGGGAGAGCGATCGCACTAAACGATCGTAAAAGGTTTCCTTATAGAACCTGTTCTGAACCACCGATGGCTTCACGGTTGTTTGTCTTGAGTCGCAAAGCTCCCTCAAGATTGAAAAGTTGCAATTGGAGATTCCCAGATTACGGATTCGGTGGGGAACATAGGTTTCCAGGGCCTGCCAGGCCTCCAAGGTCTCATCCCAAGTTGTAAGTGGTGAGTGAATGACCACAGTGTCAATGTATGATTCATTCACAGAGTCTGGGTCTTCTTTTGATCGAAGATTCTGCAAAGATGACTTGATCGATGCATGAACCTGTTCAGTCACTGGCGCAGAAGGATCATATGGCATGTTGTCAGGGTCTTGTGCCGAGATGGGACTAAATTTGGTTTGGACCTGGCTAGAGTTAGTAGTCTGAGTCTGCGGGGGGTTAAAAATAGTAATTTTACTCACATATAGATCCTTTCGCTCGACAATCCCATCGGCAATGGCTCTGCGGATCCCATCGCCTACAAGATGTTCCTGGTAATGACGTGGCTGGGCTGCTGTGTCCACAGCTCTGAACCCAGCATTGATTGCCTTGTATACAAGATCTGCACTGCGATCTTTTTTCCAGGCTGTGCCATAGACGAAGACGGGAATGGTAGTGGAGACGGTGCCTTGCGTTGGACGCAGGCAATACTTTTCCCACATCTTGCTGACGCTCCGATTCATAGGATTTGCTCAAAATTATTGATCAAACACTTGAAATAGAACTCCCAATACTTGTGTCGATAAAGTACAGGGATCCCAGCGACCTCAGAGTGTTTTGATTGCGGGGTCGGGAGTCCAAGTTGATCATGATGTCTTACTAAGTACAGCAGTCCTCCAGGGCTCCGGGGCTTGGCGGCTGTGAGGTCATTCGTCGTTTTCTTGTCTCTTGTATGTCGTCGTCTATCTACATATGCTCTCTTCGTCCCCTTTGCTTGGTCTCATTCTGTTTGCAGTTCTAATCTTCCCGAATCCCGGGGTAAATCATTGGTTCATATTCATGAACATAAAAGTCGCTGGAGGCAGGGCCATTTGGGTTCGCGGTCCCCGATATTTCCGAACCTTGGAAAGATCCCGAGTACAGTCAAAATATTCTAGTCCACAGTAACAGTTCTCCAAGGGTTCTTGAAGAGAATTTCAAACGTTTCCAACCCAAAGCTTGAGCCGAACATCCTAAGGTCCCGTCATGTTGTGTTGAATTGGCCTGTCTATCGGCTATTGCGAACCAACCAAACACCTGCAGTAGATTCCAAAGCTATTTCCAGATTGTGATAAGGTACGGTGTAGTGACAAGCATAATGTCAAGAATCTTGAAGCCTGGGGACTAGAAGGGCTTGGCTTGTTACTCTGTGAACCATACGCCATCTATATATAGGAGCGGATCGGCTCCGCCTGTCGGCATCTCGCATAATTAACTCCACCCGTGGACTCTACTCACCTTCCTTCAGCCTGTTGACAACTGTGAAAGAATATTCCAAAGCTAATTTATGTCACGATGTCTGAGAATGTCGATTCAAGTAACGAAATCAAGGCTGCAGAATAATCGAGCCCAAAAAATATGCACCGACTGGCCCCACTGCGTGGCTTAGACCCTGGGAATTTGTATACGATCTCCGCGCGGGAAACCCTTTCTTGGCACCAAAACACACTTTGCAGGGTCTTTGTTTTCGTGCCGGAGACTATTCGGCCGTTGCAGCATTCAGCAGTAGCGTGAAGTGTACACGCCAATTTGTAGTCTCCAAGTCTATCTTGACCTCTGACTGGGCCACAACCTTGAAAACTTAAGAATACTGCGTGGCATGCACGATATTATTAGTCCCCGCACTCTCGTTGGTGCTACACTCTTTGAGTACTTGGACAAAAGTCTTGGCTGATGGAGATAAACCAGGCAGCTGCTTTTGCTGTATCAACATTGGCGGCCATTTGCTGATCGGTGGAGATATCAGTCTATAGCTTGATCTTCAACTTGCCTTAGACACCCATGTAGACACTACATGGGAGGCTTAGCAGCTCGGCTACTGAGTGCCCTGACTAACAGCGGAGGATACCGACAAAGAGCTCGATGCTGGTGACATGCGACACCCTGTTTAGATCGGCAGGGTCTAGGGAAAAATAATCAAATTTAGAAACAACCCTTGAATTCCATCTTGGCTTCGTAATATAAATATGAGACGAGTTTCGCTTGAATCCGATATCTATCCCAAGCAAACACACTCGATCATTCTTACGTTCTAAACAATCTCCATCTCAATACAAACATCAACAATCATGCGTACTCAGCAGCTTCTCGCATTCTGTGGCCTCATGCTGGCCGGCAACGTCGCTGTTGCCTCTAAGCTGGACCACGACGACGTTCCAAACCGCTGCTGGAGCGTCTGCGGTGATGTTGTTGGTATCTCCAAGAGCTGTGATGCCCGTCACGACAACGACTCTGCTGAGATCAAATGCATTTGTGACTGGGAGAAAGCCAAAACTCAAATCCCACTTTGTTCGGCTTGCATCACGCAGTATCAAACCGACAGACGCAACAACAGCACCAACACCGTCCGCGTCCGCGACCACGACCATGATCACGACGATGATGATGACAATGACAATGACAATGACAATGACAACGACCATGACCATGATCATGACTATGACGACGATAACGACAATGACAGGGACGATGATGACGACGATAACGGTACGTAAATTCTAGCTTCGAAGACCCCAGAATCTAACTTTTTCAAAGAGGCTCTTGACCTCGTTCACTCCTGCTCTCTAACCACTACGACCTACAAATCTACTGCGACCACTGCAAGTGGCTCTTCTACTGGAACCGGCACTGCTGCTTCTGCTACCGCAAGCACCACCGGCGGGTCCAGCTCTAGTGGAACCAGCCAGGACTCCACCAGCTCCAACTCGGGATCCGCTGAATCCTCTGGATCATCCGCGGGCTCTGCTGCCTCTTCAAGCGCGACTCCCGATGCGGCAGTTGACCTCTCGGCTCCTGGGGCTGTTCATATGGCTGGTGTTGTTGGTCTGATGGCCTTTGCTTGGCTGTGAGGTTGATCGTCTCGGTTGCTTTGAGGTGAACGAAAGAAGATTTGTATGAATGGATATACGGACATATCCAATGACGCTCTTTATGCTTGCAGACGATGTTTTGATATTTTGTTTTCAATGCTCGGTATACTCTATGGTACACGAGAATGACGAGGTTATATACGGTGGAAAGAAACCAGACTGCGATTTATGTTCCAAAGTTCCAAGGTCAACATTTAATTCATACATAAAACGTAATTCTAGGGTATTTGTGCAAAGCAAATGCTCTACATAAGTCACAAAAATTCAATCATACATCATTAGGCAAATCGACCCAATTGCCCCAGAAGTCATCATCCCACAGATCCTCTGGTGGCTCCTCGTAGTCCATGTCGTATACATTGCGATAGCAAGTGGCCTTAGCAGGGCAACTTTGAAAATCGTTAGCATGCACCCCAAATCCCAGATCGATACCAACTTACAACACGGGATCCTGCCCGAAAATGATATGCCACAGGTATTCGAAGACACGACCACTCGTCTCGTCGTCCAACTCAGTCGTCATCAGCCAATGATGATACGACTCATAGTCACTGCGCGGACGCTTGAGGACTTGCTCCTTAGTCACGGCGAATTGGGCACAGCACGGTGTCGCAACCATCTCGGGAATATCAGTGTTGTTGAAAATGCGGATCCAAGCACCTGCAAAGGCAAGCTCGGTTGTGCGTCCTGCCATTTGTCGGAATGGTTGGACTTCATCTGGACAGCCGGGACTCCAGTCGCAGCGGAGATTCAGATAGCCTGTTTTGCGGAGGTAGTCGAGTTGTAGTCTTTGGACGGTTAGGACGTTGTCCTGTTCCCAGAATTCGACGTGTGTGCTGTATTGGTGCGCGTGCAGGAATACCATGTACTCAGGTAGCTTGTAGTAGTTGTCCAAAATGTACTGGAGGTAGATGTTGCTTTCTTTGCCCTTGTTTTGTCCGACTGTGAGTAGTGCGTCCGGGTCATCGACTGTGTATACTGCATGCTGCCACCTGCGAGGGACATGTTAGCGGTTGGACATTATCGGAAATAGAACATGCGTACTCAGGCAGCTCATCCTCAAGCCAATTGGTGTCTTCGTAAGACATTTTGCCCAAGATGATTGTGCGATCCGATTTCGGAGTGATCTTTGGACGGGGCGGCGCGCTTGACGAAGGCGGATTCTTATGTTCGTTGCCTTGTTTGAGCTGTTGTATGGGCCCGAGCTGTTGCGCATGCAGCTTTTGCGAATTGGATAGTTTGTCGTACCACGGGTCTCCCCACGACCATTCGGCGTCGGGGACATCAACGGGAATGCGCTTCGTTTGCGCACTGGCGGACATTGGACGGGGCGTCGGTCGAGCTGTGGGAATCCATTTCCTCCGGGTCGGGTTCTTTGTCGTAGTAGTCGGTTCCGCCGAGACCAGCTCGATGTATGCGTCGCCATCTTCCAGGACATACGAATCGCGAGCGGAAGTCCTGCGATCACCACTATCTTGCCATTGCGAAAGCGAATCCAGATGAATCTTCACCAGCAGCACTGTCGCAACTAGCGCGAGGGCTATCGCGGCTCGTAATGTAGTCCTCATAGTCCAGCACGGGACCAAGTCGAGGGTGAATTAAAAACGATCGAAATGGCAGATTGCGAAAAGCCGGGACTTTAAAGACGCCAGTTCCCCACTCCGGGCCTTGGCTCTGAGCCCCCCGTCAGCTTGGCCGCGTGGTTCCCTGCACGCCGCAGCCACGAAAACCCAAGCCAACGTCAATTCTGTCAATCCTGCCTTAAAACCACCGCGCTTTCTAGCTGTTCTCTGTCAATTCTGCTTATTTTTCCGAGCATCAGACCGGCATATCCGACGCAGGCTCGTATCAGCGGCTTGATAAGTCATGATGCGGGCAAATGCAACCTCTTCCCAGATTCCATGTGGGTCTGACACTCGTCACCCATTCGTGTCGCGCGCACACATTCGCTCGGATCTTGTTTCATACTGAGGGATGATGTCGATCTCGGAGTCGATTTTCCCGCGCAGGGCGTACAGTATACATACTATGTGTACAACGGCAATGGACGAGTACGTACTCCCGTACTCGTATACGAGAAGAGAGGGAATCTCCGTGTGCCTGATCTGATCGGGCATTAAGTTAGCCAAGACCCAAGGCTGCATGAGCTTAAATCTGTTCGGCCAAACTGAAATGCAACGGTTCAACGGTCATCTGATTAACGTCATATGCCATTGCGATGCACGCGATCAATTACATCGCCATCGCGAACACCCTCGATTCGGGAGGGCTTGGCGGGCCTGATTTGTCAGGCGTCGACTCCACTCGGCTAACTCAGTGAACTAACTAACGTCGACTATCGATTTAATAGTTCCGAAGTTGCTTGTTCCTTTGGACTATCCACTCCCGCGCTGACAGATCCTTGGCTTCTCCTTAGTCTTCGTTGAAACGAATACGATGTACTTTTCAAGGGGCAAAGATTGTTTCAAACGTGTCGCAGCTGGCTGAGCTGGGGTTACACTTATGATGCCTCAGACTGATGGACATATGTATCGAGGTTGCACGGCCCTTCATTGTGCATGCTGAATATGCACTTGATCGGGGCTTCAAAAGATCCAAAATTGGATTCAACCTCGACGAAGATGTCTCATTTTCAAGACAGGGGACAATGAGTACTCCGTACTGCGAACGTAATGCATCGTCACCATATGCCTGGTAGAGCTCCATGTCTGCCTAAATTTACATCAAATCTCAATTTGTCAAGTCTCTGCCCTTCTGCTCGCAGATCTTAGTCGAGGAACTGCTGCCATACAGGGTAGTAGTCTCCCCCGTCTAAAAATGGAGCAGAGCGCACCGTGAATAGCGTTCTGATGGTCTCACTTACTGGCTGCAGGCCATCAGTACTCGCTCATCATCGTGCAACCCGAGGAATATGCATGGAGTAAAGCTGGAAGAAGAGACGCAAGCTCCTGATCATGGCACTGGAAGATCTTCTCCCTGCAGCTTGGGGTGCCAGGCTTTAAACGTCCTGACGGCATGCATGTACTGAGGACTTCACATTGGTTGCTGCCTTGCAAAATTGATGCTCCGGATCCTATCTAACTAAACCTGGGTCTTCAAGCCCGTTGTGTGTAACCCCTTAATCAAGTGCGGAGCTCGGGTTTTCTAGAAGCCATTATCCTTCTTCGTTGGGTTTATCTGAAACACGGTACATGGGAATGCCATTCGACCCGAACCGGCCCTTTCGTAGATCAATCCACTTCCTTCTTTGTTCTGGTCGCACAGAACACTCGTTCGGAGACAAAGGCAAAGGCCGTCCAGATCGCATTTTGCGAATGCGAAAGATATCCATGACTCCTGCGGGTAGTGCAGAAAGTCGCAGCGGGAAGTCAGTGTCAAACCCCCGTTGACGCCACCGAGCCTTCCGACATATTCTCAGCCATGATTACGGAGAGCAAGCCACCCGTCGAGAATACAGACCCAAGAAAGTCCGTAGTGTTTTCTAGCGCCACCCTGAGATGCGGTACGGAGTACTCCGTACTATACCGCATTCCGCGAGGGATTGTCGAGCCTAGTAGCAATCCGTACTTTTAGAGCTAAGTCGGAGCTCTGGAGCTCGAGCTCCACCGTCTGAGCACGCCGGACATGACACTGCCACTAAGGGTTCTAACCAGCATCTAGCGGGTTCTAGCTGGGGCCCGGCAGCCTGTGAGGAGCTTCGGCATTGGCGCTAGAAACGGGGGATGCGCGGATCGTGGAGACCACGCGAAAGTTCCAATTTCGTGGAGTGGGACCGGCGCTACAGAGCTGCGTGCCGTCAATCAGGAGCTGCAGATGCCGATGGGAGGAAAAACGAATGGAGTACAGAAGTCGATGGGCTCGAGTTATTGGTCCAAGAGAATTATTGCCATTTAATCGCTTGGTGGCTGTTCGTAGGGTGGCGAGTCGTGAGGCGAAGGATGGGGCGAGGAATAGGGGGAAATTAAACTTCAAGTAATAATAGAATGATATGAGAAGAATGCAAATAGTATTGTATTTGAACTCCTTTTTTTTTTCATTTTTCTCTCGTTGTTCTGTGATGGAGCGGAGTCGGCAATAAATGCACCAAACCAGTAGTGTATCGGATATACAAGTAGGAAAAGAGAGAGGGTTGTATCCATGAAATCGGTATGCGCATACCGAGTACGGAGTACTTCATACAGAGTAAGTACTCTGTAAGAAGTAAGTAGTAACCAAACAGGTTTACAATAGTACTCCGTCGAACCCGGACCCCTAAGCACGAGGCAGGGAGTGAACTTACAGTCATGTCATGCAACTCGTGCACATCATCCACGAGAATAAAAGAGAAGATCAATGGGAACAGCCTAATTCGGTCAGGGATACAAGTGCTCCGTAAGAAGTCCACCATGGCGGAGTCTGAAGCTAACGAGACATGGCGTGGTAAAAGGGCTTCGAGAGGGTCAGGAACATTATGATGACGGACAGGGGAGCCGAGCAACTGGAGCAGACTGGAGCAGCAAAGGGACATTCTGATTTGGCGGTGACGGGGGCGGATTAAACCCGATTTCCAACTTAATCAGGGGCGGATCTTCGGATGCATATGTACTGGGCGAATAGGGGGTTATGTGAGAGGTGTAATCGCCAGGAGTGTATAGATCCAAAGATGAAATTAAGACTAAAGTACTCCGGAAGTAAGAAGATATAATAAGATATGCAGGATCTTTGGAACGAACCAAAGATTGCGATCATAAAGCCATGGGGGATTATCTTTAAGATCAGAACACGAGTCTCATTGGTCTTAAATCGACAGGGGAAGGAGTCTACACTATTATAATACGGAGCCCTGGAGTACGGAGCTATAAGTTTAAAAATATAAAAATAATTAAAAAGGATTGGACTATTCACATCTACGATATATAAGATACCCCCATCGCTCCTGTGACCTGCTGCGACTTTATACATATTTAATCCCGCAGTGTCTCTCTCTCTCTCTCTCTGGACCTTTTTTTCTTTCCAACTTATCACCTCCTTACTCCTCTGTTCTTGGCGGATTTGCCTCAAAACCATTCTTTTCCGCTCTAAAAGATCTGTCAACTGGACTTGTTTGGCATACAGTGTTCTGGAGGAGGCAACCCGGAAAACTCGAACAAAAAGTCTTTTTTTAACAAAAAAGAAAAAAGAAAAACAGAGAGGATAAAAAAACAGGAAAAAGCAGGAAAACAGTCGAACTCATTCAACGCAACAAAAGCCGACTTGCAGAGAGTCGCAAAACACTTCAACGGGGGAAGTTTTTGCGTGGTCACTCTTCCCACCAGTTTTCCTCCCGGCTTTTAGTCCTAAACTTTTCCCCATCCGCACAATCCCGTCCTCGACGGTTTCTCTCTGTGCAACTTTGTTTTTTTTATATCTTTTCCTTTCGTTCGCTCTCATGGTGGAGTAGTCATTTATCATTTACATTGGTGGACATTTCTCACATTCCTCAGAGGAATTCTCGGCCATGAGTTATCAACAAGACATGTATCACGACCCAGCGCGCTCCCCTGGTTCTCAGCGACATCAACAACCTCTTCATCGTCAGCCGTCTCGACAGTTTGACGCTTACGGCGCCATGCCCAACAATCTCTACGAGGATCAAATGCGTTATGAATCCGCTCGCCTCGAGCGCTTGAACCCGTCTATTCAGAACAACTACGGTTATGACATTTCCGGCTCTCAAACTTGGAACCCCAATGGATTTGCAAATGCACAAAGCCTCGGAGGTATTCGGTCGGCTTCCGCCAGCCTGAAGCCTAACGCCCGGGGTCGCACTGGCCTGCCCACGGTATGTTTGGAGTTTTCCCTCGAGGAAAAAAAAAAACACCCCCCTTTTAGCCCGAGAAAGGCCCCCCAACTAACTGTTTTCTCAAGACTTGGTTGGATCAGCAACCAAACATGCCCCAGGCTTTTTCTAACCTTGGGCCTGGCCCGATTCAGAGCAGCGCGATGCGACCGGAGCCCTCGGCTTCATCTGCCGACGACGACGAATTGATCCCAACTGCGATCGTCATCAAGAACATCCCCTTTGCCGTGAAGAAGGAGCAGCTGGTTCAACTGATGACCGAGTTGAACCTGCCTCTCCCTTACGCCTTCAACTACCACTTTGACAACGGCGTGTTCCGTGGACTGGCTTTCGCCAACTTCACCTCGGCCGAGGAAACCGCGACTGTGATCGAGGTGCTCAACCACTTTGAGCTGCAGGGTCGGAAATTGCGGGTCGAATACAAGAAGATGCTACCTTTGCAGGAGCGGGAACGCATCGAGCGCGAGAAGAGGGAACGACGTGGCCAGTTGGAGGAGCAGCACCGTCCCATGGGCGGAGGCCCTCAGCTGCAGACTCAGAGCTCCATGTCTTCACTCACCTCGCACATCCCGGCCACTTCTCCTTCTCCTGTGTCGCAGCGCGGTCAAAAGATCGGTGGGTTACACTACCATTTAAGCATATTGAAAATTTGACCTTGCGTCGCTAACCTGTTTCCCCCGTGTTTAGATGTGGACTTGAACGACACCCAGACCCTCTCCTACTATTCGCAGCTACTCCTTTTCAAGGAGGACACCGTGCGCGACTCCGTGATCTTCCCCCACAACCTGACCCCCTCCCAGCGTCGCACGGTTCACACTCTGGCCCACAACATGGGCTTGGGCCACGCCTCTCGCGGCAGTGGTGAGCAGCGCCAGGTGCAGGTCTTCAAGATTGCCGCTGGTGCCAACGTCAGCCCACCCATGTCCTCCATCCCTCCTTCTGGACAGTCAGAGAGTGGCCGCCGTGGCCTCAACCGCGCGGCGACCACCGACTTCAGCGAGGCTCGCCAGGAAGCCGGACAGGGCGCCTTCCACACTCTGCGTAACCAAAACTCTGGGTTTCTGGGTGTGATGGATTCCCCCGGCAACTTCGCCAACGGCCAGAACCTGCGCGCCGCCAAGTCCTTTGCCGACCTGCGATCCTACACTCCCTCGCCCGTGCCTTCCTCCGCCAGCTTCCCTGCTGCCATGCAGACCAACGGCGCCCGACTCCCCTACGAGGGTGCGCAGACTGCAAACTCCAACACCCCTACCCTTACCCCTGCCCAGTCCGGCTCTTCCCTTGGCATGCAGCGGGATGACAACCTACTGGTCAACAGCCTGGGTGGCCTCTCCCTTGGCACCGGTATCGGTGGCCCCAACTCCAGCCCTCGTCGTCTGAGAGGCATGTTCTCCTGGGAACAGGAGAGCCAGTCCTCCAACGCCGGTGCCATCGGTAGCAACCGTGGCATGGGTATGGGCTACGAGGGTCAGCAGGAACGCATGCCTGTCCGCCAGCCCCGAGGCCCTACCCCTGACAAGGGTACTGGGTTTCGCCGCCAAAACGGCCACCAAGCACGCGGAAGCGATGAACTCCGCACCAACTCCGGAGTAGAAATCATCGTGGAGTAAACAGACGAATTATTGAAGATGGCGACCTCCCCTTTTTATTGCCAGCATCCGACTGATTTGCCGCGAGACGAATACGACTTGTATTACGAGGCCTTCTGCGAATTACCGGCTTACGATTCGATGAGGGATGACGAGATGACAACACAAAAAAAAAAAAGACCAGACAGTCCTTTGTTTCGCTGATCTAGCCAAGTTTTAGACGTTTTCATTTTTTTGGGGCAGCCCAAACGCGGTTTGGATGAATTGCTTTTTGCTTTTTTTTTGAAGACTCGCCACAGTTTCGCCAACGAAAAAAGAAAAAAACCACACAAAACTCTGGTCTTGTTCTTATTTATTTTTACTCTTTTCTCTGATATTGCGGGCGCCTTGCATGCAAATCCATGGCTTTTCAATTATGCTGTGTCTGGCGGAACGAACTCCACGACCCCGATTCGGGACGCATACGAAGAATGACACAAAACCCTCTTCGACAGAAGAAACGACAAATCCCAGCATTTTGCATATTCTTGTCTGTTTTGTACAGGTGAACTCTCGCATCCGTTTTAATGTTTCTACCCCGGTCAAACCGCTTTCCCCTAATCCCCAGGGAAATTCATGTTCGGTTCTTTCGGGGTGGACATGCTTCTTTTCTGCTCTTTTTTCCATTTCTTGCGTGCTCTGCTTTCTTGTCTTTAGTCTCGTGGATTCAGTGACCTGAAAACAACACTATACTGCCTTTGGGCTCACTCAGCTCATGCCTTTCCAGAATGCCTAGTGTATTTCTCTTCATGCTGTTGATATATCTCCCCCATTCTGTCTGAGGGTTATTCTCTTCATGTTTTGGTAGTGTGCAGCCAGGGGACCTTCCATTTTATTTCTCTCTCATCTTTGCCTTTTGTACTCAGAATCTCACAATTCAACTCATGTACCTTCTACAAACAAGTAGTCTGCGATATAATAGACGTTTTGAATGTGCGAATTTTGCTGTAGCTTCGCCAGAAAGTATGTTACAGTGAACTGCCAGGTACCCATTGCCTGACACTTCCAAGGTTTTGAAGGTTTTGTAGAGTGGTTGCTCGCTAGGTTTACTCCGCTGTGATCCCGACCTTGCAACCTTGGAACCACAAGTATGCAGCCCGAAACGCAGTTCATAGCATGATTTGAAGGTTCCGTTGTAACCTTTAGAATTCAGACGTCATAGAACAGTGCATCCATGATGTCTTTAGGTATGCGCTCCCGTGAGGCTATTAGCACATGGGCAGTTGAACATGGCAGCTCGGTTGGTACGCGGTGGAGGCAATATCCATATTGAAACATAAGCGAAGAACCATCTCTATTCTTTTTGTAAGTCTTCCAAGGTCAGCCTCTCCAGCTTTCATCCAGGACATTGTAATCAGACTGCTGAAGTAACCCCATTATAGCCCGATTACTAGAAAACCACCCATCCAACCCCGCCTCATTTCCCATCCACATCATCGGTTCCTCTCTCTGACTAGAATCCCGTCTGGCGAAATCGTATCCAAGGTCCGAGCCCAGAGAGTGCGATTCCGGTTGATGGACATCCCCTGAAGTAGGCGCTAACAGTCCCAATGCAGCGAGGTGCTCATCCATCTCAGCACACATTGGTGTCTGTCCTGGTTTCTGGGAGGTGCGGAGCTCTATGTAGCGTAGTGCTACGTTGTAGAGGACTAGGAAAAGACCGTACATCCTAGCAGCAGCATCTGAGACCGTTGGTGCCGATTTGATGGATTCGACGAAGGCGTGTAGATGAGATAGATAGCTTTGGTCTTGTGTTTCAATTACGTGGCAGAATATGATGATGAAGGGGGAAAAGGGTGCGAAGAGAAGGGTCCTGGAAAACCATTGAATTTGTTAGTGCTTTGCGACCAGATGAAGCGGGAAAAGGGTTTTCGTTTGGGAAATGACTTCATCTGGAGTTACAATCTTACCAATGAATATATTTGGCGAAGTAGATACTGCCATTCTTGCGTATCACATTCATACAGTCGTGATGTCTCTGTAAAGTTGCCGCGGCGACTTTGATGCAGTTTGAGCTGAAGGTTGTGGAGGTGCCTTTTGTTGGCGGAGCGGCCCTGTAAACCAGCGTGAGGAGCGATAGGCGAAGAACGTCGTCAGAGAAAGCGAAAAAGTTCATCAAGTCTTCGCCAGAGGTCTGGCTGGCAGTTTCAATCCATTGATTCTATGCGATATTAGATCCATCATTGATAGGCCATTCGTCACTTACGTGGGTATCGTGAGTTGCCTTTTCCAATGCCTGAAGGTCATTCACAAGGATTTGCACTCGCTCATGCCGTACTGTGTCGGGTTGAGCAAGGGAGGAAGGGCTGTATAGCATCGCGTAGATGTTGCCCTGGCACCGCGCACTTTCGATCCACAAAGGGAAGTATGCCATGACAGGCGCATGGCTGAAGCTGTTTACTGAAGGCCGAGGTAAAGTTATCTCACAGTCGGGAATAGTTGACGCTCGCCCAATGCGAAGTGATAAGCTTTTATCGAGGAAGTAGACGCTCCAGAAGAGGAATAGTTTGTATTGGATGGCATTTTGCGAATCAGCCCTCATGGACACATTCCGATGAAAGCCGAGTGTCTGGCAAAGCTCGGACGCCTTTGATGAATAAATCCAGGATATCGAAGGCTTCGAGAGCTCTATGAAGTGGAAAGCCTGCGAACGGATTAGGGTCCGCGATCAATCTTCAGACACGATACTCACACCAAAGATCAGTGCGAGAATGGCGCTCGAGGTAGCAGGTAGATGCAGGGGCAAATCAGCTAGCGCAGCTTCTAGATTGACTCGACATAGATCCGCAAAGCCGAAGTATTCTTCACGATGCTCCTCGGGCAGTTGGTACGCATAGTCCGAGAACAGAGAGTGTAGACCAGCGTTCACAGTAATAGCATCAGAGCTGGGGTAGTCATCAGAGAAATAGACACCGAGGCACATATCCGGAAATTGATCTAATTGAATGAATTCATAGATCCAACCTGTACCAGCGAGGCTCTGGGCTAAGACAAAGGCGGGTTAAACATGATACGTGCTCATCGCAGTCAAAAACCGGTACTCACATTTCGCAAGACGGATCAGGGCAACCGTCTTCTCAATAGGAGGAAGATTGAGGACTTTCACTCGGGGACGGTGAGTAGGGCAAAACCCAGAGATAGGTACTTCGCCTGTGATAGTCTGCTTTTTGAGTGTCGCAACGGTGTGAGCAAGTGCATCGAGAGTTTGTCGCATCTCTAGGCTGCAATCTTGCACGGAATCTGTGCCCACAAAGCTTTGCAGAAAGTCATTTGCAAAAGCCGAATGGGCAGTCAAGGAAGAGTCGCCTTCCACAACTGGCCCAGCAGCCAAGTCCTCCGGGGTTGCATGATCAAAGACTGCTGGGGTGGAATGCGACTCGTTGAATAAGGGCTGCTTTGTTCTTGGTAGCTGAGCTCTCCCGGGCTCGGGCTCAGGCTTGCTCACTTTGAGATCGTTCAAGATCTCGATTATGCCATCGAGTCTGCGTTCGATATGATCAATCTTTCTTTCACTATAACGCGCAAGGATGGTTCGTCAGATGTATCCGGAACTGAAAACCTAGCAAGATAGCTAAAGGGCCAAGAAATTGCGTAGGGGGAGCACATACTACAGAGGAGTGAAGTGGATGCGAGTGCGCTTCTCTTTGACCTTCAGCTCGGCATGTGTACAGTCAATGCTCTTTTGCTCGCAATGAGAACACGGATACTGTCGATTACACCGTATCTAGAGCAAATTAGGTTCTATTCTACCAATCGTAGCGTGGCGTCAAAGATATAGTACCTTGCGTGATCGACAAGCATCGCACTGATAATGAGTTAATAAATATATCGATCAAGGGCTAGGGCTAGGGCCCCGGGGGCCAAAAAGGATGACAAACAGCTCGCGGCATGAGATAATTCCGGTTTGTCGAGGGTACGGCCTCGGGAAGTTCGGATTCGCTGAGAGGATGTGTATCATCCATAGCTAGGGCGCAGAAGTAGAGACTAGATTAGGGCCCTTGGGTGGATAGACATAGGCGAGGTCGAGACGTCCAGAATACGTGTAGGGTCCCCGAATATCTGCAGAGGCTAAGATTGAGGTCCAATACTGAGGTCACTTATCCATTGGCCACATAAATGGTCCCCTAGTCCGAAAGAGGTGCCCGCGCGAAAGAGAAAAAGAGAAAAAGAGAAAAAGAGAAAAAGAGAAAAAGAGAAAAAGAAAAAGAAAAAGAACCCTTTCGGCATGAGTCAAGGATTCTACGAGCCATGAGTGGCTCTGACTCCCCACATCCATAAGGATGGCTCCACTGATCCGCGAATGTGGGTGGCGACGGAACCCGTGAAATCCACGTCCGACAGCCAAGTCCCGCTGATTGGGGCACTTTGTTGTATAGAACTCCATATCAAACCAACACCTGCCAAACATGCGGATACCGTAAATCGCGTCCCGAGATGAGAGACATCCCTTATCCTTAGCTATTGTCGGTATATAAAGCCAAATAGTGTCCTCAATTCCAATGAACCTAAGATTTCAGTTGTCCTTCAATCTCTACATACTCTGCCATATTGCTGAGTACCCCAATGGATACCGAAACGGTTGAAAACGAAAAGCGGCCGACCATTGTACCGACACCAGTCGAACCCGAAGGCTCGTTCGCCGCCTACAAGCGAATTTTCCTGCATGCCGGGCCTTTCGAGCTCTCATTACAGACCGTTGCATGCTTCGCAGCCGTTGCATCTGGTATCGGCATCGCTTTCCAACCTCTCATCTTAGGCCAATTTGTCACCAGCGTCACGAAATTTACATCATCGCAATCCTCTCCATCCCAACTTCGCTCGGAGGCGTCGGAGCTCGCTCTGTACTTCGTATACCTCGGCATTGCTCGATTCGTCCTATCTTATATCTACAATACTCTTTTCACCTACACTGCCCACCTCATTACTCGGAACATTCGACATGAATACCTCAAGTCAGCTCTTGGCCAGGAAGTAGCATTCTTTGATGTTGGGGCTGGAGGCTCGATAGCAGCACAGGCAACCTCCAACGGGCACATGATTCAGGGTGGAATCAGTGAGAAACTCGGTCTTGCTTTTCAGGGAATTGCGGCCTTTGTCACCGCTTTTACAATTGCGTTCGTCGTGCAATGGAAACTAACCCTTATATGCCTCTGCATTGCCCCAGCGACGCTCATCGTGAATGGTACTGCGGGCGGTTTCATGGGAGTCTATGAGAATCAAATTCTAGAGGTCAACGCAAAGGCTAACGTCTTTGTGGAAAGCGTTATCTCTAGCGTGCGGACTGCACATGCCTTCGAAATTCGAGACAGACTCGTTGACAGATTCGAAGAACACCTGTCCAGCGCTCACAAGATTGGCAGCAAGTTGTCAGTCATTTTTGGCACTTTTTTCTCCGCCGAATACTGTATCGTCTATTTGGGTTACGGTTTGGCCTTCTGGCAAGGTATTCGCATGTTCTCTAGAGGGGAGATTATGGAAACGGGGAGTATCTTTGTGTGAGCTGTCTCCTTCGAGTGACTTGGACTCTTTGCTAACGGCGCAGTGTTATTATGTCGGTTATCATCGCTGCCACGCAGCTGACCATGCTCACACCTTACATGATTGACTTCACCCGCTCCGCCACTGCGGCATCTGCTCTGTTCAACTTGATGGAACGCAAGTCTGAAATTGATTCATATGGTACTACCGGCTGTCAATTATCGGAGATTGTGGGGGATATTGAGCTTACCGATGTTACCTTTGCCTATCCGACTCGACCTGAAGTGAACGTTCTTGACAAGTTCTCTATGAGAGCCCAGGCTGGCAAGGTCACTGCTCTAGTGGTAGGTCAATCATGAATTCTGACCGTGTATAAGCTAAATCGTTCGCAGGGTCAATCTGGCTGTGGAAAGAGTACAATTGTTGGTCTTCTCGAGCGCTGGTATAACCCTGCCTCAGGAACTATCAAGTTAGATGGCCACCCACTCGAAGAGTTGAATCTGAGTTGGCTCCGAAAGAATGTCCGTCTCGTCCAGCAAGAGCCAGTCCTTTTCCAGGGTACCGTTTTCGACAATATCAAGCAAGGACTTGTTGGCACAAAGTGGGAACATGCCCAAAGGGATCAGCAATTGGAACGAGTTCAAGATGCCGCTACCGTGGCCTTTGCGCATGATTTTATCGTTAATCTCCCAAATGGTTACGACACCGAGATAGGCCAGCGCGGTGGCCTTTTGTCGGGTGGCCAAAAGCAACGCATTGCGATCGCTCGCAGTATCATCTCTCAGCCTAAGGTTCTGATCCTCGATGAAGCCACCAGTGCCCTAGATCCGCAAGCCGAAAGAGTCGTTCAGAAGGCACTGGATAAGGCTACAGAAGGCCGGACTACAATTGTCATTGCTCACAAACTTGCGACTATCCGGAGAGCTGAAAGCATCATCGTCATGGAAAAAGGCTGCATCGTTGAGCAGGGAACACATGATTCTTTGCTTGCATGTGGCGGTAAATATTCTCAACTTGTGAAAGCACAAGACTTGGCTGTTACAAGTCGGTTCGAGTCCGATTTGAAGTCAGAGTCTATCAACAATGAGAAACTGGATACCACGACGAAGCTCTCAGTCCCTACATCACGCAGCTCAGTCAATGACAACAACGGAAACATGCCACAGAACGACTACGCCAACTATGACAACTACAAGCAGCGAAACATCATTTCTGTCATATATCGGCTTCTTCGAGAGACCCCCGAGCTTCGCTACATATACTGTCTGGTCTTCATTGGATGTATAGTTGGTGGTAAGTAATCAAAAGTTCTCGCGTGCCATTTTCCTCCTTTCTAATAACAAAAACAGGAGCAACCTTTCCTGGCCAAGCGATTCTCATTTCTAGTGTGATTGAGATCTTCAATCTGCCAATGATGGAACTAGAACACAGGGGCAACTTCCTCGCAACCATGTTCATCGTCCTCGCGGCTGGCTGTCTGATATCCTACTTCATCCTCGGCTTCGCAACCAACACCGTCGCCCAGCATCTAGGCCATAAGCTTCGGAAAAACTGCTTCCACGACTTCTTGCATCAAGATATTGAGTTCTTTGATCGTGAAGAAAATAGTACCGGTGCTATTGTTACGCGTGTGGATTCAAACCCACAGGCAATCCTCGAGTTGATGGGGTACAATATCGGTCTCATGTTGATCGCTACTTTCAATGTTCTCGTATGTGCGGTTTTAGCCCTCGTTTACTCTTGGAAGCTTGGTCTGGTCGTTATATGTGCGGGTCTTACTCCATTGGTTGGTGCAGGGTATTTGAAGATCAGGTTGGACGCGAAGCTTGACCGGGATACTTTCAAGCGCTACTCAATTAGCGCATCTATTGCATCAGAGGCCGTTACTTCTATTCGCACAATTTCCTCGCTTGCGATAGAACATTCTGTATTGGAGAGATACACGAGAGAGCTGGATGAAGCGATCGCTGACTTGAAGCGTCCGTTGTTTGTGGTAATGGCGAGCTTTGCTTTTACTCAATCTGCCGAGTACTGGTTTTTAGCTCTTGGGTTCTGGTATGGATGCCGGCTATTGTCCTTTGGTGATGTTACCCTCTACGCATTTTTTGTCGCCTTTTTGGGTGTCTTCTTCTCCGGGCAGAGCGCATCGCAGCTTTTCCAATTTTCCACCAGCATCACGAAGGGTGTGAATGCCGCAAATTATCTCTTCTGGCTGAATGACCTTCAGAAAACAGCACGGGAGAGAGACGAAAGCCGCAAAGAGGGCCCTGGTGCAGTGAACGCCCTTGATCTAGACAAGATCAAGTTCTCATATCCTCGTCGACCCAAAGTCCCTGTTCTGAATGGCCTTGATCTCAGCGTACGTTACTCCCCCGGTTCTCGCAAATGACAACTAACCTCCGCAGATGAAAAAAGGCCACTTTATAGCCCTCGTCGGCTCATCAGGATGTGGCAAGTCAACTGTCATAGCCCTACTGGAAGGATTCTACGATCCATCCGCCGGATCAATCAATCTCAATTCCTCACCTCTACCAAGTCTCAGCCCACGCCTGTATCGCAACATTGTCTCCCTCGTACAACAGCAACCAGACCTCTTCCCAATCTCCATACGCGAAAACGTCGCATTGGGTCTCGGGTGCGACACCCGGGCTGATACAGAGGCAACAGACGATCAAATAGAGTTCGCCCTTCGAGCCGCCAATGCATGGGATTTTGTCACGTCTCTCCCCGATGGACTAGCTACTCTTGTTGGATTTGGCGGATCACAGCTTTCGGGTGGTCAGAGGCAGCGTATTGCAATTGCGAGAGCCTTGATCCGCCGACCAAAGATTCTTCTTCTGGATGAGGCTACGAGTGCTCTTGATACTGAGAGTGAGCGGGCCGTGCATGAGGGCTTGCAGCAGCGAAGGATGGAGATCGGATTACAGTTGCTGTTGCGCACCGGTTGAGTACGATCAAAGATGCGGATGTGATTTGTGTCTTTCATCAGGGTCGGATTGTGGAGATGGGATCACACTCTGATTTGATTGGCACGGGTGGGATGTATAGTAAGATGTGTGAGGCTCAAGCTTTGGACTAGATTTTAGTGGGTGTTTACTCCGTACAATGTGAGCAGTGTAACGACTGGTGTATGCTTAGGAGATATTTTGAAGCTTGAAACATCCAATAATGTCCGGAGTTCTTTAAACGCCAAGACCGTATGACGCGGTATCGTTTTTGTTTATCTCGGAAATATGCATGTTCGTCCCTGTCGATCCCCCGTGCTCCCGCGAGTTCTGGAGTTGCGAGGTGGAGTAGACTCAAATGTCGAGATTATTTGTATCATATTCGCCATAAAATTTGTTCTGTTTTTATTGCCTTTAAGATTGTCGCCATGCTGGATAGCCAGGAATGGCTCCTTACTTTAGGAATGTGATACCTTGGTTCCGAGCTCGGATGCATCATGATCTAGGCTGACTTGCTTACTGGCTCGTACATGTGTCATTCCAAGGTTATAATCATCGACAGCTCTGGAGGCACCTGGGTATCAGAATGTTTGTTGAGGAAAATTCAGGCAAAGTCAAGGAAAGAGTGTTATACATGTAACAAAGCTAAGAAGAGTGGAGTTCGAATCAGTATCAGTTAAATTTTGACTACCAGGATATTCCCATTTTCCCATTACAGCGCCCTATGAAATCGAAAAAAAGAGTTGAACACAAATGAAAGCAAAGACCGGGGAATATCAGAAGAATACATCAAAGTAGAGCGCCGTGAAGAACAAAGACGAGAGAGCCAGACGGAAAGAAGTGGATGTTCGAGGTGTGAATCGAAGACCCATCTCCCACATTCTTTTCAGATGTTGGTTTACTCGAGAAGACCACCCTTCTTCTTCTGCTCGACCTTCAGGAGGAGTGCACGGTTGATGCGGGGCAGCACACCTCCGAAGGCGATAGTCGCACGGATAAGAGTGTCCAGCTCCTCATCACCACGGATGGCGAGTTGCAGGTGGCGCGGGGTGATACGCTTGACCTTGAGATCCTTCGCGGCGTTGCCGGCCAATTCGAGGACTTCGGCGGTAAGGTACTCGAGGACAGCGGTCACATAAACAGCGGCTGGGCGGTGTTAGCAGGTGGACATGAAACGTGGGATTTAGGAGCACGGCATACCCTTAGCGCCAACACGCATCTTGTTCTGGGTGTTGTTCTTCAAGAAACGCTTGACACGACCACAGGGGAACTAGATAGGTTCAAAGTTAGCGTCGCGGTCTTTCGGATACCGGTGGACCGTGACAACGCGGTCGGCAGAGACAGATTATGCGAAGGCCAGAGGCTGTGACTGAGCCCACCCCTATTGAGGAACAATGAGGGGACCCCGACGCGTCAAAGGTAACTTCATCAAGCATCTCGGTGCCCGCATCGCAAACCCAGTCCCCCCGACACGTTGTCCTATCCACCGATGACTGAGGGAGCCAAAATCAGACTAACCTGCAGGCCGGCCTTTGCGCTGTGAGACTTCTGGGCCTTCCCCGCAGCATCACCCTTTCCACCCTTTCCACCGATAGATTTTCCCTTTCCGCCAGGCATTGCGAAAAATTAGTGCGAAAACGGTCGCAGAGATGTGTAGAGTAGGATGAATAAAAGATCGAAACGATCTGGCAGGTGGGTGGATGTGGAGACGATTAAGAGTGCGGAAGACACGCGCGTTGTTGATGGATGGAGAAGTCAGAATGTGCCAGCGCCGGTTGAGCCAAACGAACGGTCAACGCTAGTCCCAATCCGGTAATATCCTTCCTGGACGTTGGGATCATTGTGTTAGTTCTTTTCAAGGGTTCTCTGGTGTTAGTCATATATTTGTGATTTCGTGGCTTTTTTTGTTCCTCTGAGGAGAGGCAGCCATTTCGGTTGGTTCATGCGAGGAGACGCCGCCAGGTTAGTGTTCCCTCATCCAAGGGAGTGCAGTGTGCTTCCAAAGCATCTGCGGCAAGTTCACTGGTAAACCTCTCTTGGATGCCTGAAATCAGACAGCAATTCCAGATTGGCCTATAAAGGTAGCCCACATGTGGTGGTTGCTGGTCTTTTGCAAATAAGCTGGTCTGGTTTGAAGCTGGGCCATCACAGCTATGGACGAAGAGGGGATTTCACGTGACCCTTATCTTTCAAATGGTGCCTGAGGCGAGAGTGCAGGATCGGGAGATTTATTTCTCCGATGTGATCTTTACCCGCACTGAAGGCGTTATTCGCCGTCGAGTCATGTGACTGCAAGGCCGATAGTGAAATGCGGCTGCACTGTTTATCCGAGATCCCTGCGCTTCCAGAATTAATGCCAGGTGGCCCGCGTCCCCTTCAAGTTTTGCGTGTTGAACTCCCCCATACTCACCCATTTCTCCATATTAATCAACATCCGGCAACATGGTGTCTCCTCAAATGTATGTATTTATGATGCCCAAAATTACGTCGATAATGCCAAGTTACAAAAATTGACCATCGCAGCACCAACCTCGCCATCATCCTGGTGATGATGCAGCTGGCCAAGAAGGTTCCCTTTGAGGATCCTCAGGTCCTGCTGCTCGTCCGCGGATGCTACATCCTTTCCAATGTCCTGATCCTTGCCGTGACATTGTACACCCAGTACCAGATCAACGCCAAGAAGGGTATGCCGAACCGATCGCGTGCTCCATTGATTCAAAGCTGACCGCGACCCCAGATATGACGACCCTCAAGTATGTCGAGCCTGCCCCAATGGGTAGCACCGAGGAGCCCAAGCCCGTCACCACCACCAACATGGACTACGACAAGGGCCAGCTCCGCCAGGCGCTGCGCAGCCAGCTTATGGGTGTCGGCATGATGGGTGTGATGCACTTGTACTTCCAGTACACCAACCCCCTCCTCATCCAGTCCATCATCCCCCTTAAGGGCGCCTTCGAGTCCAACCTCGCCAAGATCCACGTTTTCGGAAAGCCCGCCACTGGTGATCTTGCCCGTCCCTTCAAGGCCGGCGGTGGCTTCATGTCCCCCGGTGCCCCCAAGACCGACAAGGCTTCCATCGATGCCGCCGAGAAGAACTGGCGCGGTGGTGTCAAGGAGGAGTAAATGGGATGAGATATTCTGGGCTATCAATCAATCCCATACTAGGTTGATACGGGCCGTGGCACCTTTGCCGAGTTCTTATTGTATACCATAGATCATATCCTTGAGACCAGACCTTTACTGGATCTGGATCATATTATTGTTAATCATTGACCACCTCCGTCATGCCATATGGCTAAGCTTTGTAGACTTGAACTGATGTTCCATCATCCCATGTGCATGTCGTACCATGGGATGGGACTTTTGCGGTCTTCTAGACCGAGATGGCCTGATGAGTGATTTCGTGAGGATAGTTAGATTTGGAGAGAATCCTGGAAGCTCCAAGGTTGCAAGCTTGTCAGCTTGCAGGTTTGTCAGCTTCTCGGCTTGCCCAGGTGCAATTAATGACGATTGTTATCCATGACAGCTGCTCGGAAGTTGAGATCTGGTTGGCTGTGATCTATCAGAATCCGGATAGGCCATGCCGTGGAGGCGAAAGAGATTAATCAGCCCCCAAGGTATTTCCTGTATAGTTGGGGACCCCGTATGTCGCTTGGATCAATGGTAAATTCGCATTTCCAATATTGAGCCAGAAAAACAAAAGCAGAGAAAAAATCTGATGGATCCCGTGGCGTGGGAGGTGTACCGGTGACTCTTTTCAGGGCAAAAGGGGAGCCACCGGTTGGATCACCATACTCGATCCGTCCACCGCAATCGAACCCGCCGAGCAGATGAGCTTATAGGATGCGAGGTAATTGTTTAAATTGCATTATTCCATGTTATACACTGTAGCGCATATACTTGGACGTTGATTTGTAGTCAAATAGCGGATTATTATGTACACTTAGTACTCCCTCGTACTTCGTACTGGACAGCTCGATGTTGGAGATAGTGCCACTCTGCCCCTCAGTCTCGGCGTCATCCACTCTCCACATCCTTCTTCCCCCTTCCACGGAATACGTTCCTACCTTCAGATTATCGTGATCAGCTCCTTGTAACCGAGCAGGCAGAACATTCACGAGAGATGCCCGAGGCATTATCATCAATCTAATAGTAATGACCCGAAGAGTGTACGTTGTAAGGACTCTCATTGGTAGACGGGAGGTACCGAGGGGCAGCGCAGGGCCCCAAATATCGTGACTCTTCCTGCTTTGCCCGGTGTATGAAACCGGAAATGGTTGCTGGGCAGATGTACAAGCGGCAACAGTCGGGAAACAGCTCACCCCTCCGATCTGCCCAGCTGCTCTGGGGAGGTGGGTTGCCGTGTTGAGAGAACCCCGTCCGTCTCTTCGGTGAGGGGTGATCTGTCCGTTGCGTCAGTCATTCATTAATCTTCCCCTCCCCCGCCAGACTTTTTTTTTTCTCTTCTTCTTTCTTCACACTCTCCAATTGAATCTTCTTTTTTAATCAACTCTTTTATCGTGAGTGTCGACCTTTCGTCTTCCATCATTCCTCCCCATCTCCCACCTCCCATCTAACCTGCTATCTAGTAATCCGCAATCATGGTTGTCCAAGTTGGTATCAACGGTTTCGGTCGTATTGGCCGCATTGTGAGTAGCTCCATCTACTGGTTCCATCGGTTCATCAGCTAACTGTCTCTCAGGTCTTCCGCAATGCGTAAGTTGCTCATGGAATAGATCCTCGATCCACGATCCCCGTCTAACCATCCCCATAGTATTGCCGACCCCAAGGTCCAGGTCGTCGCTGTCAACGACCCCTTCATCGAGACCCACTACGCTGTACGTTCCCCCACCCTATCATCGTCATTACGAAAACACCCCCCATCTAATACATCATCTAGGCCTACATGCTGAAGTACGACTCCACCCACGGCAAGTTCAACGGTTCCGTTGAGGCTGTTGAGGATGGTCTCGTTGTCAACGGCAAGAAGGTCACCTTCTTCGCTGAGCGTGACCCCGCTGCCATCCCCTGGGGTAAGGCCGGTGCCGACTACATCGTCGAGTCCACCGGTGTCTTCACCACCAACGAGAAGGCCTCCGCTCACTTGAAGGGTGGTGCCAAGAAGGTCATCATCTCCGCTCCCTCCGCCGATGCCCCCATGTTCGTCATGGGTGTCAACAACACCTCCTACACCAAGGACGTCAACGTCCTCTCCAACGCTTCTTGCACCACCAACTGCCTTGCTCCCCTCGCCAAGGTCATCAACGACAACTTCGGTATCGTTGAGGGTCTCATGACCACCGTCCACTCTTACACCGCCACCCAGAAGACCGTCGATGCTCCTTCCGCTAAGGACTGGCGTGGTGGCCGCACTGCGGCCCAGAACATCATCCCCTCCTCCACCGGTGCCGCCAAGGCTGTCGGCAAGGTTATCCCCGAGCTGAACGGCAAGCTTACCGGTATGGCCATGCGTGTCCCCACCGCCAACGTCTCCGTTGTCGACCTTACCTGCCGCATCGAGAAGGGTGCCTCCTACGATGAGATCAAGGCCGTCGTCAAGGCTGCCTCCGAGGGCGAGCTCAAGGGAATCCTCGGCTACACTGAGGACGAGATCGTCTCCACTGACCTTAACGGTGACGACCACTCCTCCATCTTCGATGCCAAGGCCGGTATCGCCCTTAACGCCAACTTCATCAAGCTTGTCTCCTGGTACGACAACGAGTGGGGTTACTCCCACCGTGTTGTTGACCTCATCTCCTACATCGCCGGTGTTGATGGCCAGTAGGAATCAGGACAGCGTCCTGGGGTCAGAAGTGTTCTTTAAGGTGATGAGTTCCTTGCTACGCAGTCTGCGATTGTGGGCGGATGAGGTGCCTTCCTTTTAGGGCTAAAATAAGATGATAACGTCATGTAATGAAACAACCACATTTTCAAGTTTAATTCTACATTTCCCGGTAATCTTTAGGGTAGACTTCCAATTTTAAAAAGATGTAAGCTTTTACCGATTTGATGGATGAGGAAATCAAGTCGTTTGCTACCGAAAGGCTGAACTGGAGAAGGAAGAAGAGAGGAGTAACGAGAGAGTACGCGCGCCTGCGCGAGCAAAAATAGATGTGGAGCCTGCCTTCCTTCCAACCACCTGGGTCACCTCTGTCACATACTCAACAATCACCCATGGACGCCTATCATCTCATCAAGTGCTGCACGCAAGCTTTGATTCCCGCCGTTTGCCGAAACAGCGTCAGTTTCCTGAAGTGGTAATCGACCCATCTTTTGCAAGAGGTCAAATTCTTTGCCATGACGATTCTATTTCGAAGACGAAAACAGATGGGAGGGCGAGTGAGCGAGTGAGAGCTCTACTACACAAGAGCCATCTCCTCTCCCAAATCCGTCCTCACATACCATCTCTTTCAACCTCCCCTCTCTAGAGTCATCAAACATGTCTCTCGCCTGCCTAAATTTCCTATTTCTAACACCTGCAGGAACGATCTTTGTTTTTTTACAAACGGCCAACTTCTTACAGAGAGCTGTCTTTAGGGCTGTCTTGTTGTCTCCACACGTTCCGGCGATCAAGCTTCATCAAGCTTGGCCACGCTTGACCACACTATGACAGCTGTGCCATTTGCCCCAGTGGACACTAACACCGCCCAATTTCAGGTGTATCAACAATTAGCGCCTGCAAATGGCAACCTTTTTTACACGTTTTTACCAATTCCGAATGAAGTTTGCATTCAAGTGCGAACATTCCTCGGTTCCCGCCATCATAAGGCGTGGAAGTGAAATTGGCGCCGCGAGCCCTCACATCGGTTTCCATGCTGGGTGATGTTTTGATTCCCGTACACATTTTCTCCATCCCCCGCCATAACAACGCGTGGAGGTGAAACTGAGACCGCGAACTCTCACATCGCTTCCCAGTTTGACTATTGTGTCAACCCAAGTACGCACATTCTCCATCCCCCGCTATTGCAAGGCGTGGAAGTGAAACTGGCACCGCGAGCTCTTACATCGGTTTCCATTTTTGACTATCGTGTCGATCCAAGTACACATATTCTTCATCCCCCGCCATAACAACGCGTGGGGGTGAAACTGAGACCGCGAACTCTCACATCGCTCCCATCTTGGATGATATTCTGATCTACATAAGTGCGGAGTTTTCTCGGCTCCCAGTACTAAGACAGGATGTTTCGATTCAAGTTCGGAGATTCTTCGGCCCCGTTATTATAACGTGTGAAAGCGAATCTGAGACCGCGAATTCTCACATCGCGGTCACTTACACTTCACCGCCCACCCAAGTCCTGTGGCGCATGGGTAAGGCGGTGGGTGGGCGGTGCACATAACCTTGGAAGCTGCTAGTTGGCCATTGTTATACATTTTTACGCTTAAACCTACCTCCAGGGCTGTAAATGTAGAAATATATGCGTGTAATATACAAGGTTCTGCAACTACGGCTGTTTAGGGTAATATATCTTCGATAATTAACCCGTACAATAAGGTGGAATATTCTGCCCAAATTTACTGCTGGCCTAGGTCTAGTTGGCGGTGTTTCCGGCGGTGAATATAGAAATGTCTGGCAATAATTACGAACCCAAAGGGGAGCTCTTGGACAATCGATTGCACTGCGACAACCTCCAGAGCTTAAAGGCGAAGTGTGGATGCAAGCACTGAAGTTCCTCGACCACCGGTATAAGAACCCCTAAAATCGAACTTAGCTTCGTCGACTCTCACACATCTCGCTCATACTCGCTTTACCGCCTTGACCGTGTGTTCCACATTGGGGCAGCTCAAGCTTGATCCACGGGTGCTTCTATATCAACGGCACATCCACTTTCCGAGGATCATCACGTACAACATACAACTTTCCGGGTTCATTTCTGCACCCTCTCACTAGCAAACTTCATTCCTGCGCAGCTAACACGTGGGACTTCCAACTGGTTGAGAAGACAAACTTCCAAAGTCTTCTTGTGCTTGAAAACAGTCCAAACACATCAACGCATCAACGGAAACCATCAGGGTTAGCCAGGATTGACCGCCATTAGTCTGGTTTTCCAGATCTATTCTTTTATGGATTTGATCCAATAAGCTCCCAGCTTTTTTACATTCTCTCCGACAAGCCTCCTGCATCATGGACGGCGACGAAGATACCGTAATGCGTGATACGCATACTATCCCATCTCTGAGTTCCGGAAACCCACGTACTCAGAATCTGCCCACACACCTCGGCACTCATCTTACTCCGATTCTTACCCCGTCTTTGAACACTCAAGCATCAACCTCGTCATCACCCGGCTCTGATCAGTCCCACTCTCGAACTTCCGGAATGGGGCCCCCTGACCGTATGGCGAAGGCCAGTGACACGGGCAGCTCCTCTGCAGATCAGATCATGAAGATCGACAGCCCTATTGAAACAAGCTCGGACTGGTCTGATGAAGAAGATCTGGTCAAAGCTGGCCTCCCTCTAGCGTCACTCGCGACGGGTCTTTGCTATGACCTTCGTATGCGCTGGCATTGTGAAGTCAAGCCAGAAAGTGACGTTCACCCCGAGGATCCCAGACGTATCTATTACATCTACAAGGAACTTTGTCGCGCCGGTCTTGTTGACGATGAAGAGTCCACTCGACCTCTGGCGCCCAAAACTCTTGAACGTATCTCGGCGCGTGATGCGACCGAGGCTGAAATCATGACCGTTCACACAAATGAGCATTTCGACTTCGTTCGGAGCACTAGTAGTAAGTTGTTGCTGATCGCGAGTTTTTCGATTTTTCATCTGACATGACTTGAAGGAATGCCTGACGAGGAACTCATCCTCCTCGAGAGATCCCGTGACTCAATTTATTTCAATAGTTTGACCTTTGCATCTGCCTTGCTTTCCGCTGGTGGAGCAATTGAGACATGCTTGGCTGTCGCCCAACGCCGTGTGAAGAACGCCATTGCTGTGATCCGCCCGCCCGGTCACCATGCTGAGCATGATACAGCAATGGGATTCTGTTTGTTCAACAATGTATCGGTTGCAGCTCGTGTCTGTCAACAAAGATTGGGAGAGGCCTGCCGGAAGGTCATGATTCTTGATTGGTTAGTTTCTCCGCATAATGATTATGCATAAGGGTTATTTTATGAAGGCTAATACTGACATAATTCAGGGATGTTCACCATGGTATGCTATCAATGCACCTCTTGTAATAATGCATGAACTTACATGAATTAGGCAACGGTATCCAGCAAGCATTTTACGACGATCCGAACGTTCTTTACGTGTCCATTCATGTCTACCAAGGCGGTCATTTCTATCCAAACGGTCCTGCGGGAGACTGGGATAAATGTGGCGAGGGTGCTGGAGTTGGCATGTAAGTTCAATGGAGTCTCTCCATCAAGCGCTTGTCAAGCGATACTAATATTCATCTTTCCAGGAATGTCAACATCCCATGGCCCGAGCAGGGCATGGGAGACGGTGACTACATGTATGCCTTCCAAGAGGTCGTGATGCCTATTGCGCAAGAATTCGATCCCGACTTGGTGATCAGTGAGCATTTACCCTTTCCCTTAATCACCTTTAGACAAATACTAACAGGAACAGTTGCGGCCGGGTTTGACGCTGCTGCTGGTGATGTCTTGGGTGGCTGTTTCGTCTCGCCAGCTTGTTATGCCCAGATGACACACATGCTGATGACGCTCTCGCACGGGAAGCTTGCTGTCTGCTTGGAAGGTGGATACAACTTCAAATCGATCTCAAAGTCGGCTCTGGCTGTGACCAAGACTCTGATGGGCGAGCCGCCTGATCGCCTGACTGGCAGCGCTCCCACAAAGGCTGCAGTTGAGACCGTTCGCCGGGTGCGAAGCATTCAGGCTCAACACTGGTCTCGCCTTTACCCCAAGAACACTATTGCCCGCACGAACGGGGACCGACTTCATGGTGAGTTTGCTAAAGAAACCGATTTTCTGTTCTGGTACTCATTCGTCTGTTAGATATCATCCGGGCCTTCCAGTCCAATCAGCTGTACGAAAACTGCAAGCTCACGCCTCTTTACGTTTACCGGACCACCATTTCACAGTCGTTCGACCAGCAAGTCCTGGCTAGGTAATGAGCAGTTCATTCTGGCAATGCTTAGACCTGCAACTAACACGCCTTACAGTCCCAATTACACCCACGCCGTTCCCCTCGTCGTGATTTTCCATGACCCGTAAGTGATTTCCTCTTGACTTAAAACCTGGCTCTGACTTCTCTCAGGCCCGAGATCATGGGACAAGCTCATCCCGTTTCTAATAAGATGGAAGCCCATAATGTGTGGTTGGTGAGTATTCTGAAATTCTCTAGCGCAGCAACACCTGCTAACAAATATGGAAGGCTGATTCTCTGAAGGGCTACATTAAATGGATCTGTGATAAGGGCTACGGAGTCATTGATGTCAACATCCCCAAACATATCACACGCGAAGAGGTAAGTTTTGTATGCATTTGTCTGCATGGTCTCTCGGCTCACTCAGGCGTTTTAGTCAAACGGTCGGTACGAAGGGGTCGATGACGACCGCCAGACTGCCACCGAACAGCTGGCCGCATATCTGTGGGACAACTACATCGAGTAAGTAACATCTTTATCATGAGATGAGTGTAGGCGAACATCTCACTGACTCATCTGCAGTCCAAACCAAGCCACGGATATCTTCTTCCTGGGCGTCGGGAATGCCTTCCACGGAGTTGTGAATTTGCTAATCAACCGAGGTACGTTTTATAACTGGAATATAATCAAACACCTGCTAACAGTCCCAGAAAACCTCTACAAGCGCTTGAATGGAATTGTCTCTTTTGTCGCAGAGAATCCAGTTCGCGCAGTGGCCTCCCATACCCAAACCTGGCTATCAAAGTGGTACCGCGAGGTGAGCTAATTGTGAACAATATTCCCTTTTCATCTTAACTCACACGTTTTCAGAACTCGCTCGTATTCGTCGCAGGCTCTCACGGTGTCTGGGAAGATGGCATGCGGCGTCCGTCCAAGCGATACGGAGCGCTGGTCAAGTCCCCGGTATCAGGATTGAATGAAATGCTTGAGGAGCATAAAGAGGCTGTATTTGAATGGATCTCCGAGCGGGCTGATGTCGTTCATGAGGAGACAGAGGATGAGGACGCTTGATTTGATTTGATAATAGTTTGATGGTCGATTGCGAGCGTGAGCATCGATCGCACTTTGACTGTGACTCTTTACGAAATTTACTAATACAAGATACGTTGAAATCGACCTCGCTTCAGCTTGTGGTAGTATGCCATGATTGCCAAATCCAGTGCTGCGGCAACGTATCTCCTTCATGAACCCTGGAAGTAGACAGACTTGATTGGAACTTTTGAATGGATATATTTGACTCGTAAAATCGGATGTTTTATCATCAGCCACCTAGCTTACTCAATTTCTTCTGCTCAGTTTTTATTGTTTGGAATCATTGCACTTATCCAGGTGTGGGAGGGTCAGCTGCCCCGGTGCGAATGATAACTATACAGTTGACTTTGAGACAGTTGGGCTTGGTCTGACACACCACCAACCACGTAACTGGGCTTCTAGCGGTGTACGTGCCTACATTCTAACTTAGCCAGGCAGCGATGGACCTCGGGAGTCTTTCTACCTTGGAAGGTTCAGACAAAGAGTGCCCTTACACCTATGCGGCAACATATTCAGAAGCCCAGATGGTATATTTAGTTCTTACCCGTTGTGGCGCTGATCTGCACGCCTCCCCATGTAACGATGTCTCAGTTGCTACCCCAGAATTCAAGCGTGGCACAACCTGGCTTCGCTTCATGACGCCAGGACCCTCTATTTTTATTTAATGCTCATATCTCTCCGCTCTTGACTTAAGTACCTCTCAAGGTTGTGCTTAATTATACATCTTATACATCAATTTTCGGAGCGAATGCACCTAACGATCGGGTCGAAGCGCTCTGAGACATCGTATTCTCTCCTCATAGGTAAATGATTGTTCTTGCATCGTGACTGGCTTCTCTAGTGTAGATTTTGACCCTGCTGAGCTGTGCGTTGCGGGGCTCTTGTAAGAAACCACTTCCGACTGCCGACTTCCGGTCCTGTGATGGATGGCCTAACCGCAGCCCAAGGACTTTGGCTCTTGGATCGGTCGAATCTGGAGGTTTGCTACCGATTGAGGGATTAGCTCCAACAAAATGTCTGTCTTCGGGGTAGAGCCTTTTCGTCTGCTTGGAAAAGTTAGAGGTGAGGTTGTGCTCAAGGCATAAGTATATAAAGGGCCATGTATCCTCACCACATAACTTCTTCTCACCAGCTTTATCACAAACAACATCGGGATCCTTGGAATCATTCCATTAATACAGAAACCTTGAGACACAATGCACTTCTCTACCGCCCTTATTGCCTCTGTGGCCACCCTTACTCCTCTTGTCAGTGCCGTTGGTAACGCCATTGTGACCAACAACTGCAACTTCCCCGTCTATGTTTGGTCGGTCGGTGGTAGTGTTGGCCCTAAGCAGACACTCCAACAAGGCGAAAAGTACACCGAGGCATTGCACCATGATGCTGCCTCTGGAGGTGTTTCATTGAAGATCACCACCGTCGACGATGGGTTATACAACGGCAGCCCTCAGACCAACTTCGCTTATACTTTGGATCCCGGCACTGTCTGGTATGATCTTTCGGATGTTTTTGGAGACCCATTCTCCGGAAAGCCAATTGTTGTCCGACCCACCGACTCTTCTTGTCCGAATCTCTGTTGGGCACAGGGTGTCAACCCCGGCGGCAGTCAGACCAAGAACTGTAACTCGGATGCTAGTGTGAATCTGAACCTCTGTGCCCCCCAATGTTAAGCGTCTGGGGCTGTTCCAAGCGCGGTTATGGAGATGCCAATGATTGGATAGCGTTGAACGTGGGGTTTGTTTAGACTAGCGGGGGTGGGAAAGCGAAGCCGGATTCCCCATGGGTTCGGCGTGTATCTAGCTAATAATGGGAAATGTTACTCCGTATTGACTCAGCCAATCCCTAATGCCAGTCTGCCTTGTAAAAAGACACCGTCACCTATCAGGCTCCAGAGATCTCTCAGGAGCTCAGAGTAGACTCCCCAACAGCGCTTGTTAGGGCTGGGCCTATCACCGCCTCGGCACACGGGCAGTATTCAAACCGCCACTTCTTTATCAGCATCAACGGCACTGTGACTCTCTTTCTGTTCTCATTTATCATCTTGCGTCTATACATATTCACACACTTATATTCTTCCACATATTTGAGCTCTCTGGAATTCCGAGCGCATTGACCTTATCAGTCACGTCATTGGTCTTCCCCTTGGCAACTGGATGCCTCCAAGGTCCTTTGCTGCAGCAAACCTGTGTCACAGTCTCACTCGCAGTCTACCCTGTCCTTATCCTGATTTGCTGCCACGCACGATCGTGACTAGTTCTCGTCCTGTACAGCCCAAATCTTCTCCGAAATCCTCCGTTTATTGGCGCTCTTTCTCCCACTCCGCCCCTACGTTCACCACAACCATGACTCAGATCGAGCGCATCACAGAGAACCTGCAGAAGCCGGAGCTTGATGATCGTTCTTACAGAGTTATTCGTTTGCCGAATAAGCTTGAAGCCCTTCTGGTGCATGATCCGGATACCGATAAGGCCAGCGCCGCCGTCAATGTCAATGTGGGCAATTTCTCCGATGAGGATGACATGCCAGGGATGGCTCATGCCGTAGAGCATCTGCTGTTTATGGGCACAAAAAGGTTAGCTCAATAATTAATCGTCCCTTCGCGACCCCCCTGTCAGCCGAGGCAAATGTTGATTTGATTGTTGTTGGCAGTATCCCAAGGAAAATGCATACAACCAGTACCTAGCTGCCCACTCCGGATCTTCCAATGCCTACACAGCTGCCACTGAAACGAACTATTTCTTCGAAGTCGCCGCTACGGGCGATTCCAGTGCCCCAAAATCCAGTGGAGAGAGCACTCCCGCCGAGGCAACAAATGGTAGCAATGGTGTTGTATCGAATGGAAATGGACTAGAGGGCAAGTCACCTTTGTACGGTGCCTTGGATCGATTTGCCCAATTTTTCGTCTCACCGCTGTTCCTAGAGTCTACCCTAGAGCGTGAGCTGCAAGCGGTGGATTCGGAGAATAAAAAGAATCTTCAGAGCGACCTGTGGCGGTTGATGCAACTGAACAAGTCTCTCTCGAACCCTAAACATCCCTACAGTCACTTCTCGACTGGTAATCTGCAGACTTTGAAGGAAGACCCGCAGAAGCGTGGCCTGGAAGTCCGCAGTGAGTTCATTCGTTTCTACGAGAAGCACTACTCGGCCAACCGCGCGAAGCTGGTTGTTTTAGGACGTGAATCTCTGGATACATTGGAGCAGTGGGTCTCCGAGCTGTTTTCCGATGTCGAGAACAAGAACCTTGCCCCGAACCGTTGGGATGATGTTCAGCCCTGCACCCCGGAGGACATGTGCACCCAGGTGTTCGTGAAGCCTGTCATGGACTCTCGCTCCATGGATCTATACTTCCCCTTCCTTGACGAGGAAGATATGCACGACACCCAGCCCAGCCGGTATATCAGCCATCTAATTGGCCACGAGGGTCCGGGCAGTGTCCTCTCTTACCTCAAGGCGAAGGGCTGGGCCAATGGTTTGTCTGCGGGTGCCATGCCTATTTGCGCCGGAGCTGCGTTCTTCACCATCTCCGTGCGCCTGACGCCAGAGGGTCTTAACAAGTACCAGGAGGTTGCTAATGTTGTTTTCGAGTACATCGCAATGATCCAGAAGCGCGAGCCCGAGCAATGGATCTTCGATGAAATGAAGAACCTTGCCGAGGTCGAATTCCGTTTCAAGCAGAAGACCCCAGCCAGTCGTTTCACCAGCCGCTTGAGTAGTGTCATGCAGAAGTCGCTACCCACCGAGTGGCTATTGAGTGGATCTCTGCTGCGACAATTCGACCCCGAATTGATCAAAAAGGCCCTCGGCTATCTCCGAGCAGACAATTTCCGCCTGGTCATTGTGTCCCAGGAGTTCCCGGGCACTTGGGACAAGAAGGAGAAGTGGTACGGCACTGAATATAAGGTCGAGAAGATTCCCCAGCAGTTCTTGGGTAGTCTCCAGAAGGCTTTGGAATCAACTGAAGCTTCCCGCACCTCTAACGTGCACATGCCCCACCGCAACGAGTTTGTACCGACCAGACTTTCCGTCGAGAAGAAAGAAGGCGTTGAGGCGACCAAAACCCCCAAGTTGATCCGCCATGATGACCGTGTGCGTTTGTGGTTCAAGAAGGACGACCGCTTCTGGGTACCCAAGGCCACTCTTGAGATCACCCTTCGTAACCCTCTGGTCTGGGCCACCCCTAACAACCTCATCAAAACCAAGCTTTACAGCGAGCTTGTCAGAGATTCGCTAGATGAGTACTCTTACGATGCCGAGCTTGCTGGACTCGATTACCACCTTTCGGCTAACATCTTGGGCCTGGATATCTCCGTCAGTGGATATAATGACAAGATGTCAGTTCTTCTGGACAAGGTCCTCAACACCATGCGGGGACTGCAAGTCAACCAAGACCGTTTCAACATCATCAAAGAGCGTTTGACACGGGCCTTCCGTAACGCCGAGTACCAACAGCCTTACTACCAGGTTGGCGACTACACTCGGTACCTTCTTGCTGAGCGCAGTTGGGTCAACGAGCAGTATCTTGAGGAGCTGGAGCACGTTGAATGTGAAGATGTGGTTAACTTCTTCCCTCAACTGATTGAACAGACTCACATTGAGGTCCTGGCTCATGGAAATCTCTATAAGGAGGATGCCCTGCGCATGACGGATTCTATCGAGAAGATTTTGGAAGGTCGCCCTCTTCCTCAATCGCAGTGGTACTTGCGCCGCAACATGACCCTGCCCCCTGGTACCAATTACACATACCCCCGTGATCTCAAGGATCCCGCCAATGTCAACAACTGCATCGAGTACTACCTGTACATTGGCATCTTCTCCGACGAAGGTCTGCGCTCGAAGCTCCAGCTGTTTGCTCAGATGACCGACGAACCCGCATTTGACCAGCTTCGCAGCAAGGAGCAGCTCGGATATGTCGTATGGAGTGGCGCACGCTACAACGCCACTACCCTGGGATACCGTGTTATCATTCAGAGTGAGCGCACAGCCCCCTACCTTGAGTCTCGCATCGAGTCCTTCCTCCGCGGATTCGGTCCCGTTCTCGAGACCATGTCCGATGAGGACTTCGAAGGCCACAAGCGCAGTGTCGTCAACAAGCGTTTGGAGAAGCTCAAGAACCTCAGTTCCGAAACCGGCCGTTACTGGTCTCACATCGGCTCTGAGTACTTCGACTTCCTGCAGCACGAGACCGACGCTGCCAACGTGCGTACCATTTCCAAGGCCGATCTGGTTGCCTTCTACCACCAATTCATTGATCCTTCCTCCGCTACGCGTGCCAAGCTGGCCATCCACCTGAACGCCAAGTCGGGCGCCAAGGTTGACGCGACGCCATCTGAGCAGCGCGCATCCCTCGTCACTGCCCTCAGCAAGCAATTGGAGACCGCCGGCGTCACTGTCGATGTTACCCGCTTCGCGGCTGCATTCGATGAGGTTGAGACCAAGGTCGTCGACAAGTCGCAGGTTCTGTTCGTCGTGAAGAACTTCCTCGCAACTGAACAGAGTCTACCGCAGAAGGAGATTGAGTCTGTCCTTGAGAAGCTCGGTCAAACTGTCAGTGTCCAGCTTACAGAACTGGGACTCGGTTCCAATGTTGATGCGCAGGATGCTGCTAACGGTACCAATGTGCCAAAGGCTGTCTTCATCACTGATGTTCCTACTTTCAAGGCTAGCCTGCCTGTCAGTGCTGGTCCAATTCCCGTTACGGATCTTTCGGTGTATGAGGATTTTGATGCTAAGCTTTGAGTTTTCTTCTGGGGAAGAGTTGGTGTCGGGGCGGTGCATACAAGTGAGAGGATCCGGTGTTGGTTGAAGACATATTTCACAGAAAGAAGATTAATTCAATATATTAACTATATTTACTACGGATGAGCCCATACTTGGAAGTAGCTGTGGGACCAACGTCAAAACCAAGGTCTCTGTACAGTGATTAGTTACAAGGAGCAACCCTAGAGGTGCCGCCTAACTATGTACAGTCTACTCCGTACTCCGTACTTTTCCAAACAATATGTAGTAGACCCACTTTGTGCCTAATCCAGGCTAGTTTAACTTACATACATTACGTTGATTGGTGATTGACTGAGTGAGGTCCAAGTTTCCAAGTGAGGTGATTGGCTGAGACACCGTATGACCCACCATTTTCGGAGGAATATTTGACCGATTCACCGCTCCTCCCTTTCTTACTTTCTGCCCACCCTCAAACATTTTGCCACGCTACCCTCTAAGCGGTGTAAAAAGCGGTGACAACCTTCATCTCGTCGATAACGATAACGCAGCTACGATGGGGCTTCGCCTCTGGAACCCCGAGCTAAGCCTTGATTCCTGCCCTGAATCAGCCTTGCCCGACATGCCGAGCCAGGAGACCGTGGGCCCGCAGAGCAGCCATTTGTGAGTTCAAGTCACCATATCACCATATCACCAACTGTGTCTAACTTGCTGCCAACATTCAGGCCGATTGTGCCGCGTTCCTTCACGGCTCGTCAGCCAGAGACCCTCCGACTTTATCCCCTTTCGAACTACACCTTTGGTACGAAGGAGAACCAGCCCGAGGAGGACAACTCTGTTGTGGAGCGATTGAACCGCTTGGAACAGCAGTATGAGGTTCATGGCATGCGCCGCACCTGCGAGGGCATCCTGATCTGCCATGAGCACAGCGTTCCCCACGTTCTGATGCTTCAGATTGCTAATGCCTTCTTCAAGCTGTAAGTAACTCTTCCTGCGCGACATGGCGCAATGGCTAATTGCTCAGGCCCGGTGACTACATTCAGCCCGAGGATGAGGAGATCGATGGATTCAAGAAGCGCCTCAATGAGCGCCTTGCTCCTACCGGTACCCAGTTTACTGGCGAAGGTGTCAATGGTGACTGGGAGATCAGCGATTGTCTTGCTCAGTGGTGGCGACCCAACTTTGAGACCTTCATGTATCCTTTCGTTCCTGGCCACTGCACCCGCCCCAAGGAGTGCAAGAAGCTGTACTTGATTCAGCTCCCCAAGAAGAGTGAGTGTCTTTAGCCTGTTGCTGCATGAACGAAGCGCTAACGATTTTACTTCACTTCAGAGGTTCTTTCCGTCCCCAAGAACATGAAGCTCCTTGCTGTCCCTCTGTTTGAGCTCTATGACAACAGCGCACGCTACGGTCCTCAGCTCTCGGCAATTCCTCACCTTCTCTCGCGCTACAATTTCGAAATGGTGGACGAGGAAGACAATGTAATTGCCGTGACACCCTTGGCTAAGGAGTTGGACCCTCGTACCCAGGTCGTTGACAGCCAGGGCAGCTCCAACAATGGTAGTGGCCAAACTGGCGGTGCTGACAATGACACTGGCATGACTGGTCTCGATGATCAGCAGGAAGGCCAGGCCATTGAGTCCCACCAGGGATAAATGCATTGTGACTTTTGACATTCCCCCAAGGGTGAATTGTTTTGCGAGATGTTGACTTGTTCCCAAGAGAGGGTATATCATCAAGGTATCAGGCGAATTAGCTTTGAATTAGCTCAATGAATTTACGAAATTCCAATGATTGAATGCTTGGACGACAGCCGTGTAGCTAATCTAAGCATTCTAATGTGTTCATCTTAGAATACCGTGGTGGATACGCCCAAGTCCTGTCAAAAACTCCCAGGCACTTCTACCAGCAATCCCGAGGCCAACGGTTGCTGCTATTGCCCGAGATTGTTCGGCTTGCAAATCGAATCTCTTGGTGAATTGTTGGCGCAGTTGAGAGATCTGCTTCTCAGCTATGGAGCTCCCCCATACAGTACGGCCAGAGCTAACTACCGAGCAGAGACCCGTCCTCCTAACCAAGTCTTTCTGTCTCCTCATCTTTTGAGCCCATAATTGCTTAGCCACCGCCCAGTTGGGCAACTCGAATAACCGCCTAAGTGTGCAATGTGTTGCTGGACGGTAAATAGCTATACCCCACAAACTGACCTTGTCTCACCTCTGGTCTCTTCTGGCAAGTCACAAACTCCTAGCATTTCCGAACGAAAAGAAAAAAGAAGAAGAAAAACATACATAGGGCCGGCGTGTCCCAAATAGGGTTACAGTACTAATGTCTAATAGGAACCTCGGAACTTCGTCCACGGGTACCTTGGATCCTTGGATCCTGCACGGAAAAAGCTCGGAAAAATAAGTACACAGTGCTAGACCATCTGTGATACTTCGGTGATCGGAGATCGGTATGAGATGAGATAAGATCGTCCTCAGCAAAGTTGGTAAGTTAAGTGCCAAGCATCTCGAGAAAGGAACCCGCTCTATCCAATTGTCGCCCGATGTATCCTCATCTGCAGTAAGCCCAAATGGCGCGTCTTCACGGAAAATATACTCCCCCACGGAGAACCCGACGGACGATGAGTCGAGTCCGTCCATGCCAGGCACAGGCACTACTGTACAACCCCTCACTGGCCTTGGCTTAACCACGTGAAGAGCGAACAAACGAGCGAGTGGATGAAGCGGCATGAGTGGGACCATGGAAGGATGAGAGGAACATACACAAGTACTCCACATCCTACACGATATAGCCCCCGTTCCATTGTTCAGGCATAAGCCCTGCAGCCACCAGCCACTGAGGACGATGTTTCGGTTTCTCCGCGCCGAGCCACATACCAGCATACGCAAGTTGCAGGAATGCCGCGCCGATCCTGTCGGAATTCCACCGGTCACGCGTGAAAATGTGCGCCATGCACCGGAGCAAAACCTCACTTTGGAATCACGTATGTGACGAGCGCACAGTACCCCGCTCCCAAAGGATTGACCAGTGGGGGAATTTCTGGCTCTGAACCGATCTATGTATGCGGATATCTAGGGATCCGGCATGTTTATAAGAAGCGGTGCCTGCATGATATGACTCTTGATATGCACAGCCGTTGAGCAAGCTCTGATTCGAAAGATCTCACGATGCTTCTGGTTGGTCGAATTTTGGGCCTCGCGGCCCTGGCTGTGTTGGCTGTGGCTGCTCCTTCGCGTCCGGTCCCGAGAGGTATGAGATTTTTCTTGGTTTGTGGGTTTCGGTAGCTAACAGCCCATAGATGTGTCGAGTAGTGTGCTTAGCCAGCTGAGTCTGTTTGCCGAGTATTCGGCAGCTTCATACTGCTCCAACAACATCAACTCGACTGGTAATGCTGTCACTTGCGCAGAAGGCAACTGTGCCTCTGTGCAGTCTGCCGATACAACAACTCTGTGGGAGTTCGACAGGTATTGACAAGTTCTGAGATGCGTTGACAGGCCTTTACTTATACAGCTTTACCTTAGGGCTTGCTCATATGGCAACGTCGCCGGTTTCCTCGCTGTCGATGAGACCAACAAGCTCCTCGTCGTTTCTTTCCGCGGTAGCCGAGCGCTCACCACTTGGATTGCGAACATCAACTTCGGCTTGACCGATGCGAGCTCTCTATGCAGTGACTGCGAAGCTCATTCCGGATTTTTGGAATCGTGGGAAACCGTCGCGGATGATCTGACATCGAAGATCAAGTCCGCACAGTCGACTTACTCCGGATACCAGCTTGTCCTTACAGGACACAGCTTCGGTGGAGCTGTTGCGGCCCTTGGAGGCACCGCATTGAGAAACGGAGGATTAACAGTCAGCCTGGTAAGCATTGCCTTCTTACATCTTCAGTCATCATACTAATGAAACTTAGTACACATACGGTCAGCCGCGCATCGGAAACGAAGCATTGGCTACATACATCACGAACCAGGGCAGTCTTTGGCGAGTGACACACCAAGACGACATTGTTCCTAAGCTACCACCTTCGAGCTGGGGATTCAGTCACCCCAGTCCCGAGTACTGGATCACCAGTGACAACGAGGCCACAGTCACCTCGTCAGATGTGGATGTGATTGAAGGTGTAGGATCCAAGTCAGGCAATGCGGGAACATTGAACCCAGATGTTGAGGCCCATAACTGGTACTTTGGACACATTGATGGTTGCCAGTGAGGTGGCACAAAACTCAAGAGTATGATTGACGAGATCTGCAGGGTGCCGGCACCTATACGCAGGTGTAAATAGCTAGTCCACCTGACTATAAACAGCATACATATGATTTGAAGTCGAGCAAATTTGTTTCTGGGGGTTTCCTTGTACCAAAATGCCCTGCACAAAAGACGGGTAATCCCACTTCAGGGCTAGAGCTCATTATAGTCAGTAGTGAGCATGGAGCACTATACTAGAGATCAACGATGTACTACCTCCGTGAAGATTACCCCAAAGACTGGGGGGCACATGTTTTCTACTATCTCCGCATGTCTGATGAGCCGCATGCTACCTGCATCAGTTAATTATTTAATTGCTTAGAAAGAGTGTAAGAATATGACTGTCAGCTGCCCCAAACTAAGCATTCTATGACAAAAATGTATACATTTTGGTCGATCATGTGAAAAAAACAGACTGCAAGATGTCGATTTGTGCGACGTTCACAGGTAGAGCCAATTATACTTAGACCATCAATATGTGGGAAATCGATACAGTGTTGAGAGAGTACGGAGTATGTGGTCTTGATATAGTCAAGTCAGGAGGCTGAGGCTACCCCGGACCACTAAAGCTCCGGGTGGGGGCCCTCAAAACTCCCCTGCGAATTTGCCCTCCGCAAATCCCAATGACCTGACCACCGGGCGTCGTGCCCTCCATCCACAATGCTATTCGCTCCAAGTGGACCTCAGAGTCCCCGTCGACGTAGTCGCATCAAGGCTATCTTCCTCACCATCTTCATCGTCATCGCCCTATACCTACTCTTCTTCGCAAATACAACCACCTCCAAGTTACCCGTCAAAACTGCAACTGGCACCTATGCGGATCGACATGGAGCTGCCACAACATCTAAACCTGCAGGCGAGCTGGCTCGCCCTGCCCCCAGTGGAAAGGTCATGGTCGTGGCTAGCATGAAGAAGGATGACACGTCCTGGCTGCGACAGAACTTCCCCGACTGGTCCAAGAGTATTTATGTCGTGGACGACAAACACGCACCGTTGACGGTGGCCTACAACAAGGGACGCGAGTCCATGGTTTATCTTTCGTGAGTCTAGTGTGCTGCAAAACATGGTCGCCGTTCTAACCAGAGCTCTTAAATCAGATACATCATTGACAATTACAACAATCTGCCGGAATCAATGCTTTTTATCCACTCGCAGCGCTACCAGTGGCATAACGACGACCCATACTACGATGGAATCCCGCCGCTTCAACACTTCCAGGTCCCATATCTGCAAGAGCAGGGATACGTCAATCTGCGCTGCGTCTGGACTCTGGGATGTCCGACCGAGATCCGCCCTCTCACCGATACGCACCGCAACGACGTCCACGCAGGCGAATACTTTAAGCATGGCTTCATGGAACTATTCCCCGATACACCAGTGCCCGAGGAGGTGGGTGTGTCGTGCTGCGCGCAGTTCGGAGTCTCTCGCGCCAAGGTTCTGGAGCGACCGCGCAGTGATTATGAGCGCTATCGTGCGTGGCTATCGACCACTCCTTTACAGGATGATCTGAGCGGTCGGATCATGGAATATTCATGGCATAGTATGTTTCCCTCTGCTCGGTTCAAGTTCAAATGCTAACAAATCCAATAGTGATATTTGGGATGAAGCCTGTGCATTGTCCAAATGCCAAGGAGTGTTATTGCAAGGTGTTCGGACTGTGCGATCTGAATTGCCCGTGGGAGGGCGGCTGCGATGACCGCTATGCTTTGCCACCATATTCCTCGCTACCCAAAGGGTGGCCCAAGATTGGATGGAAGGGTCAAGAACAGGACACCTCGCATGGACTGCCGGAAACTTGAAAGCGATGACAAGTTTGGCGAATCAACCATCTACCCCGACGCCCTGTGTCACCTTCCACTGCTTCGCGGATTCAAGTCACACATCTCGGCTATATCAAGGCCGTTGAATGGATGTACTGCTCTGTGGACACTCGAAGTCCCGCCGACACATGCCACTCACAAGTGAAGGCCGCGGCAACCGCATAGAAGATCTCTGGGAGAGGAATATTCTGAGTATATAGCAACGCGTGTCAAGATGTAGCGAATGTACAAGTATATAGGATCAGAGGCCGAAATCAATGGAAAACATCTCCACTTCGAGCTCAAGCATTACTAGACGCGCCCATCCATTTGCGGAGCCGAGGCTAGAATGATCTCCCCGCATCCGCTTCGAATCCAAACTTCCACTTCGACAACCACACAAAATGCTGATCATCGGTCTCACCGGCTCAATAGCGACGGGCAAGTCCACCGTGTCCACCATCCTCTCTACACCCCCATATTCACTTCCCATCATCGACGCCGACCTCCTCGCCCGCAAGGTTGTCGAGCCCGGCACCGCAGGCTACAAAGCCATCGTCAACTACTTCGGCCCCAGCACCCCAGACCTCCTTCTCGATGACGCACCCGAAAGCTCAGGCGGCAAGCCACTGAACCGACCAGCGCTCGGCCGCCGCGTCTTCGGCAGCACTGAAGAGCGCAAACGCGACCGCCAGGTCCTAAACGGCATCGTCCATCCCGCCGTCCGCTGGGAAGTCTACAAAGCTCTTATCTACCACTACCTGCGCGGCCAATGGGCCGTCGTACTCGATGTCCCGCTACTATTTGAAAGCGGCATGGACCTGATCTGCGGAACGGTTATCGTGGTCGGTGTCCATGATCCAGAGATCCAGATGGCAAGGCTCCGTGCCCGCGACGCCCACCTTACTGCTGAGGATGCGGAGAACCGGGTCCGCAGTCAGGGCGATGTGCGTACGAAGGCGACGCAGGCGGAATTCCGGGGGACGACGACAGCGCGGGGCGTCGTCGTCTGGAATGATGCCGATAAGGCTGAGTTGGAGACGGCGGTTAAGAGTGCGATGACCAGCATTGCGGCTTCCAGTCCTAGATGGTGGGCTTGGACGTTGTTGGTTGCGCCGCCGGTTGGGTTCGGGGTTGCTGCGTGGAATTTGGTGGTGAATTTTGCAACGAAGAAGGGCTGGGAGAGAAAGAAGCAAGAGGAGAAGGCGAAGCTTTGAGGCTGTCTTCTACTCGGATTCCCTTGTTGATTGGTATTGCATTGTAAATATTGTAGCTGTACTAGGAAGTGAAGTGACCTTGCACACGACAGGTCTTGATAGAATGGGTAATGATTGATTCGTTTCTATTTTCGTGAAAAAAAGACATAAATTGTGTTGTTTTATTCCAAGACGCCGTGTTTCATGCTTCGCTGAACGCCAATTCAAGAATTTCCAATAATCAGAAGTCGACTTCTAATGGCTCTTGCGCTTCTTCTTCTTTTTGTCGCTTGATGGTGCTCCCATCAGAGATGCCCGGCCAGAACCAGAGATACTGGTCAATTGGGATAATTTTATCTCTGCTTGTTTCTGCTTTTGCGCCTTGGATACCTTGACAAGATCGCCAGTGTTCGGGTCTTCCATCCACTCGTCTCCATTTTCATCTACCTCGGTACTCGGGGCGGGTCGTGGCTGTGACATGTCAGTAGGATAACTCGTGATTATGAGAGGAATGACCAACCTTTTCCTTGCGCTTGAAGTTTCCAAATGTCTGTCGTCCACCGGAGTGGTTGTCGTCATCGGCATCAAGCGAGTCTGCTGCCAATACAAGAGGCTGCGGCTTGTATTGCGGCGTAGAAGGCATATCCAAGACCCAATGTGTCTCACCCGCCTCTTCAGCAGCTCGTGCGACAGCTTTTTGGCGCTTTTCTTCTTCGGCAGCAAGCGCCGCTGTAATCGCATCCATTTCAGAGGCACAGGCGCTCTCAGCATCGGTGGAAAGACGAGGGCGTTTGCTGTGAGGCTTGGAGCTATCTGACGTGCTCTGGGAATCCTTGGAGGCTGCGTCTTTTGAAGCTGCAGCACGTCGCATGAACTGTGATGCCGGTTTTAGCTTGGTGTCTAGCCATTCAGTTGCATCATCCATACCTTCATCGTCAGGAGATTGGACGACATGCTTTTTCCGGCCTTGCCGGCTGGAGACGAGGAGCCAGACATGATGTACAGATCCAGCCAAAGCGATAGCTTGATTGTAGTAAGTAAAAGATGTCAAGCAAAATAAAATGAAGCGGCAGAAATTCAAGTGCAGAGTGGAGCTACCCAGAACCAGTAGGCGGTGATCACCCACCAAACCACACCTCGCGGATTATTCATTGCCGACCTTGAACCTGGTCCCTTGCCAACGCCATTTTTCCTCCTCCCAAACAACCCGTGGAAACTCGCCCAGTATGATGTCCTGTGGCCGCAGACTCGCGACCTTTGCGTCGGCTACCCCGCGCTTTGCCGTCCGCGCCTACTCCTCCACCGTGCCTCGTCTGAACGGCAGCCCCGTCGCCAACGACCCGACCCCGCGGAAGCCCTCGCCCAATGTCTCCGCTACCAATGCCGAGCCTACCGACTCCTTCGGCCGTCACGATGGCACCCTTCAGGAGTCCCCCGAGGTTGGCGAGCGTATCCGCAGCATGCAGGCTCCCAACCGCGCTACCACCTGGGCCTCCAACCAGCAGCCGCGCGAGCAGGCCATGGTTGGTCCTCGTTTCGAGCAGACCATCATGGAGACTCAGGTATGATCCGCTGCAATTTCAAGAATCTGGCGCAATTGGAGTGCGCTGGATCAATTGAGGCTCGATTGGCTAACCTCGTCTAGCCGCAACCATATGCCGCTATCGATCTCATTCACAGACAGCATGTTCGCTGGACAAAGTCCAAGGTCGTCAGCTGTGACGGTGGCGGTGGCCCTCTCGGCCACCCCAAGGTCTTCATCAACACCGACAAGCCCGAGATTGCCACTTGCGGATACTGCGGTGTTCCCTACGTATGTCCATCTCTGCCTATCTTGGCCAATAGCCATGAGACAATTACTCACCATGTTCACAGGCTCACGAGCACCACCGTGCTTACCTCAAGTCCCTTCCCGCCACCAGCTACCCCCTCGAGCCCACCAATGATGCCGCCGACGTCAACGAGGCCCAGCGTGTCACAGAGGGTGGTCTGGAGCAGCGATAAACCACTAGCATGAGATTTCCTTATTTGGCGTTGAACACTTTTTGCGTTTTTCAATTGGATTTGGGCCAGAGGCCGTGTACAGAATATCGATCAATGGACCCGCCTCGATCGTGTATCATGATATAGTCCTCAAAATGTTTGTACTACGACTACCTGAATTATGATAATCTCATACAATCGGGGTCAATCGGTCGACTCTCGCCAACAACCCCATTCAATATCCTCGTATTTGTGGTAATCGGAGCATCTAACCTAAATCACAATTGCCCGCGTTCCCCCGCATTAAGTCATGCCTTCTGGCCCTGGATCGTTGCGACAACCTTGCGGCTGTGCCGACTCGTACGGAACTCCAAATACCAAATTCCCTGCCAAGTGCCAGTCGCCAGACGACCATTCGTGATCGGAATATTTACCGAGGCGCCAATGAGCGCAGATTTGATATGAGCCTATCAGAATTAGCTTGAGGTCTTGCCGTCAACCCGCGACGGGCAACATAAACGCATACCGGCATATCATCCTCGCCCTCGGCAGAGTGACGGTACAAGTTCCCCTTCTTGTCCATGGGCGCGATGCGATCGAGAGCATCACTCATATCGGCGCGAACATCGTCGTCCCAGTTCTCGTTGAGCGACAGCGCACAGCTGGTGTGCTGCACGAACAGGTTCAGCATGCCGACTTTGTAGTCGCGGATCTCCGGGACCTCTTGGAGGACATGGTCGGTGATCAGGTAGGAGCCGCGACTGCGGGTGGGAAGGGAGAAGTTCTTCTGGGACCAAGACATTGTTGTTTGTTGGAGAGAGCTGGAGATCGCGTTGGGGAGAAAATAAGAGTGTAGTGGGGTTCTGATGTCATTGCCGATGTTCACGTCGTGGATACTCTTTTATATTCTCCACGACTACGGCTGTTACATGTTTTCAACTTGGGCGAATATGAGGCGAGATGCCCAATTGAATGGGCTTGGGTAGATTGTCTACCTGATGTTTTCTCGTGCATGTGGCAGCCTCGATGTATAATAACGTCACTTGTACAAACAACTGCAAATATAGATGTACATCCATGGACCGTGGATCAACTTCCTAGATTGTCTGGATATGCACACCTTCCAGGAATTCAAATTGTGGTATCTGCACTACATGAGAATGCGCAGTGGCTAGACTATCTAGATGTACCCACAGATATGCTGACATTCAACCCCCAACCCTGGAACCCCTCAGTGCTCCGTACATCCGGCGCGAAAGTCCTCGGGATTTGCAAGTGGAAACCTGCGGAGACGCGGGGATGTCTGCTCAATCGTTTCATTCGGTTCTCAAATCCGGTGAGCCCATTCTGATGACATTCACCCTCAGTACTCTTCCCCCACTCTCGCAGTGTGTGATCTATAGCCATGGCTTCAGTCGACCCTTCCTCTCTGTTGGTATCAGCAGCTGTGCCGACATTCAAATGTCCCGCTGGGACAAAGATGCACATATTGAACCTGGGAACCCTCCAAGCTGACGAATCCTGGTTCGTGTGAAGGAGCAACACATCGAATATCCGCTGACCACATCCAGGATCCTGCGAGGCGCCAATGCCAGCGGTCTGAGCAACCTAAACCCGACAAACAAACGAAGAGATCTGGCTCTCCTCTCGGCTCTGATCGAGCATCCTGATGTCGGCCTCATTCTGTACGAGACAGGCTGTGCCGAGGACCTAGAAGTGGTATGTTTATCTCAATTGAACGAATTCGTTGGTTTTACCTAATCGAAGTATAGCAATGGCCGGCACCTGTGACAGATGTCTTTCCCCGCGTTGAATACTCAGACGCTCATAGACTGCCCAATGCCATTAAGGCTACTGGGAATGACATCAAAGACGTCAAGGCTGTCATCATCGGCCATCTCCACCTCGACCATGCGGGAGGTCTCGAGCACTTCGTAGACACCGATGTGCCGATCTATGTCCACGAAGAAGAGTTCAAGCATGCCTGCTGGGCAGTTGCAACAGGTGCAGATTTGGGCGTCTATCTCGGCCACTACATGCTTTTGGAAAAGCTTAAGTGGAGCACCTTCACCGAGTCGCAGTTGGATCTTTTCCAAGGTATTATACTCTACCATTCACCCGGCCATACCCCGGGACTGTGTATCATGCAAGTCAATCTTGCCAATGATGGTCCGTTCATCTGGACTACGGATCAATTCCATGTGGCCGAGAACTATGAGCTTGGCCATCCTCATGGAGGGCTGGCGAGAGATCACACCGCTTGGTATCGCAGCTTGAACATGATCCGTAGGCTTCAGAGGTTGTATAATGCGCGCTTGATCTTTGGCCATGATAACAATGTTGCGCTACAATTGATCAACGAGAAGCCGTATTATGAATAAGCAGTGGGGGCGATCATCCATAGATGGTGTAGTGTTGAATCAAATGTGAACTGCATCCAGATCCAATCCTTCACTGCTTATAAACTTTGCAGACCAACGATGGACACAATATTTCAGGTTGCTGCACAATTCTGCTCGAATATTTAGTGCAATCAAAGGGTCAAAGGGTACATTGCAAGAGAGAAAGAAAAGACTCATACTACCGTTAGAGACCAGTTTCTATAAAGAGTAACGAGTTTGGGGGCTAGATGCACCATCCACTTTAGCATCGGGTTGTTTGAGATCCTCATTCCTTCATCGATTTCCCCTCTCAAGTCGGAGGTGATAGTGATAATCCGGGTGCAACCGTTCCTGAATTAGTCCAACCAGTCCGATCTAGTGCTAGCCTTGAACAATGCTGTCCGCACGATGACCCCACGGACACGGCATCCTCGGGGCCAAGGAAGACCCGCTCGGCACGATGTGACCCTTTGCAGCTCTTCACCACTTTGGGAAATAGGTCTCTTCAAACGCTCTATACTCTTTCAATCACACCCGGAAATGATAAAACCCCTAAATTCCCGTAGCATGGATGGACCATCTGTATATTCAAACCGAACAGCGCAATGCAGTTGAAGTTGGGGGCCACTTTGGCTATCCTCGCTGCTAGTCATGTCCTTGCCGTCACCCAAATCACCGATGATGAGATGAGCTCGCTGCTGGATGCTGGCGGCGTGAACCTGGCAGACCGCTATGCGCCCATGTGGTTTTTTGGTCAAGCTCGGAACCAGCCTCCTTGTTACCCGACTTGGGCGTTTGGTGGCTCGCCGGACAGTGCTGACGTGTATGACGACTCGCATAAAACGCCTGCTGCTGGACAGTGTGATTATCCCGATGTCGGGTGTAATTGTCGAAATCCTGGGGTGGATATTGGGAACGCCGGTCCCGCGTTCCCCATTTACTACACATACCAGAAATGCAACGATGGCGAGGTACGCGTGGTGTATAACCTCTTCTATGAAAAGGACGGGGCCAAGTTCGGCGCTATCGAAACGGGACATGATTAGTGAGTGGCTATTTGGCCTTACATAAAGAAGAACCAGTCGGTTTCTAATCAGCTGGTGTAGTGACTGGGAACGTGTGGTCATCATCCATTCACGAGACGATCAAAACATGTGGGCTCCATCCAGGGCTCTACTCTCTGCGCACAGTGGCTACAGCAGCCTGGCTTGGGGAGATATACAGAACACACTTACGACCGATGAAGTGAATGCCGGGAAAGCCAAGGACCCTAATGGCATCCAAAACAATGATCATCCCAAGGTGTACGTCTCATGGTCGAAGCATGCACACTTCGATACTCGCAACACTGGTTGGAATGACCCGGCCAGCCAGTCTTTGGAGAACGCGTTCCGCAGTCAGGACTGGTGGCACTTTGCCGACCCTCAGAACTATGTATGTCCTTCAACCTCAAGATCTGTAAGCACAGTTGACAATTCTAGATCCGAGCGGATGATAGCACCGATGCCGGAAAGGCGATTGGAGCTGCAGACTGGGGAAGTGCAAGTAGTGACCCGCCTTCTGTGCAGTCTGGCGTGTGTGACGCCTCTTAAGCGAGATGAGTGCAAATGGTATAAATCAACTTGTATGCAATTTTGTCCCTTTCTGTCTGTTGTACAAATCACCGTCGCTTCCAATGCTCAATCTGTGGATGCAATCATAGTGCGTTTCTCCGTAGCTCCTCGTGCCTGCAATTTTACAAAACATCGCTAGTTAGGCTTTCTACTTACTGTGAAGTACTCTCGATCTTGTTGCCCTGATCATCCAATTGATCACTGTCATTATCCATCCCGCTCCATTTCGGGAGTCCGTCTGGGATATCAGTCATGCGCGCTTCATAGAAGATATGGCATCTATCGAACTGATTAGTTATCACCGCACAGCAGCTGATCATAGACACTCACGTTGGCTTCAGCGTCTCTATCTTCACTCTGCGCTCCTCGTTAGATCCGTCGACTTGAATCGACTGTGGGAAGAGCAAGCAGACATTCCGACCCTCGTCCATGATTGGCGTGCGGCAATTCTTACAGGACACCTTGGTGGGTAGGCCGTAGTCCTGGGACTTATGAGTTGAGGAATAAAACACCAGATGGCTGGAACCATTGACGAATGACATTTCATTCTTGTGAAAGATCACCGCCCACTGCAGAGGCGCACCGTGAGCAACCTGACATCCGCGGCAGTGACAGTATTTGGCATTGAGAGGCTTCTCTCGCTTGATGATATAGGCTACTTTGCCACACAGGCATTGACCTCGCCATTTGATGGGGCCAAACTCGGCCTCGGTCTGCATTGTGTATGGTGAGCGGTGTTTCCATTCTTCGTCTTTGAGTGTGCTTTCTGGGGTTCTGTTGGTGAAGGCCGGGCAAGGGAGAGGCTCGATGGGCTCAGTAAAGACCATATTCGTCATTGCTGATTATTTGGTTCTGTTTGTATCTTTGAAATGGTTCTGTGTGAGAATAGCCGATGTTAGCAGCTATATTCCCAGAAGGGAAAACTCGGATATTCTTATAGAGGTCCGAACAACAATGATGTCAGGGGACATATGACGATGAACTGCAGAATTCTTCAGAAAGTTGGAATATTGGCAGAAATTGGCATTCTGATCGATCTAGACTTTTCTATTGAGTTTGTTCCTGAGTTTACTGTGTGCTGTGTGCTGTCCACTGCCACAGGTCTGATGTCTGATGTCATGAGCTCAACTGTTTACCCCAGAAACATGAGGATTTGACATATTTGACAGTTTTGACATGTTTGGGAGTCTTCCAACTGAATGCAAATATTCAAGGTAGATATCAAGGTAGCTGAATACCTGGATATCCCCTTAGACAAAGATAGACAAAGACAGCTCCTAAATTGGGTCTGAAACAGCGCTTACGAGTGCCGACGATGTGTTGATTGGGTGTTTCATCCCTGTTAGTAGAGTCCGGGGCGGGCCCTGCATCAAACGGGCGCTTTGTTCTCTCGTCTTCTCTCGTCTCTCTGGGTCTTCTCCCTCTCACCTCCTCAAAATGGGCTTTTTTGAAAAGTTACGGCGCAGCTCCAGACGCAGTGCGGGGGTTGCGACCGAGCCTCCATCGCCCCGCGTCAACGTGCCCGGCCGAGATTGCACCAAACGTCTGCCGAGGCCGGTGTTGGCCCGCATTTTTTCCTACGTTTGTCCTCACACCGTCGACAACTCATATGGCACCTCCGAGGAGTCCGCAAGCGATGGGTGCATGCTGTGCGATATGCGCGACCTGGCGCACTGCGCGCTTGTCTGCAAACGATGGTTCTTAGATGCGCGCGCCTTACTGTAACCACCTCCTCCGTCCTCAGGACACAACCAGCAGCTGACTCAATTTTCTAGCTATACAAACGTCCGCATCGACCCTGTCCACTACTGCGAATTGGAAATCGAATTAGCCGCCAAGCGAAAGCGCCGCTCTTTCTTCGACCGCAATGGCGACCCGATCGATGCCCCTCAGGTCCGATTGGAGCTTTTCATGCGCGTCGTGCGAGAGTCCCAGGGCCTAGCGAATATGGTCCTCTCCCTCAGAATGCCCTACATGACCCGTGAGGCCAACAAAGCCAACATCGCCCGCACTATCTCCGTCCTTCCTAATCTCCGCTTTGTTGATCTCCCGGTGGGTCTGTACAGTGACGAGGCATCGTGTCTCGCCTTGAAACAGGAGTTAATGGCCCGGTGTCCCGAGTTGCGTCGGATGAGCTATCGCCGTGGAGCCGAGGGCAGCTTCTCGCGCCTGCCGGGTTCCCAGCTGTGGATGAATTTGGAGGTACTGGAGCTGTCGGGGACTGTGATGGAGCCCAATACGCTACGCGCAGGACTGGCAGCATTCCCTCATCTGCGTGAGCTCACGCTGGAGGACATGGACTGGCTTGACGACTCCGCTTTCGCGGTCAATGTGCCTCTGCCCCGGTTTCCCGCTGTCGAGTCACTGACCCTGCGCGATACCCCGAATGTCACGGCGAGCGGGCTTGCCGCGATCCTTTCCGTGCCGGAAACCAAAGCCGCCTTGCAATCGCTTACGCTGTCGGCAACCGGCGTCATCCCTTCGCTACTTCATCACATCCTCTCTGCAGCCCCGCGGCTACAGAATCTCTCCATAATACAAGAGGTCTCACGCTCATTCCCTATGGAGCAAATCCCACCCATGGCCTCCAAGTCCCTGACGCTCTTGCACTACGAATTGACCTCCGAAACTCAGAACCACGGCATGCCCCCAGTGGCAGCTTCTTATTATAAATATCTCATCTCGTCCCTGATGGGCCGAGCCCTCCCAGCTCTGCGAGACTTGTATGTCCGGGACGCCCAGTTCCCCGATACACTCCTGCTGATGCCCCCGCCACGCCTCTTCGGCGGCGGCGAAAGCGGCCCTCGGACAACGGGCGGCCTCTCCCAGCCATTGAACGTGTATAGCAAGGGTCTGGATGAACTGGAGTGGAACTTCACTCCCTACGACCCTAGTCCGGTGTCTGGACGCCGGGATTCACGAACCCGCCCCGTGAGTTTCCACGAGGCCCAGCTCAGCAGGTCCTGGGGTGGTGATGCGCGCAAGAGTGTGCTCGTCGGGAATGGGTTTGGCGGGTTCCTGGCCGTTCCTGCGGAGGACGAGCGGCCTCAGAGTAGTCACCATGACAAGCGATTGAGCAAACAGGATTTGTGGCGATGAATTTATATCACAAGTGAATTTATGCGAGGGGGTGTTTTGACGGAATAATCTATGAGATCATGAGAGTAAATTTGAAAGCGTTCAGGGTATCATTTATCCAAATATATATGCAGCTATTGAGACGATTCCTTTGATTGAAGTGGCCCTGGGTCTGCGTCTGACCCTTTTGATGCCTGTACTGGCTCTGGTGCCGGAACTGCTTCTGGCGCTACTTCTGGCGCTTGCACTGGCACTGGCTTTGGGTCCGGCCATCCCTTTGGCAGAGTAAGCCCCCGCCAGGTCCATTGACTTTGCATCTCCTCGTCGGTCATATCGCAATAACCATACGTCCGACAATAACACTCGTGCTGATCAAGACAGTACTGATTCGGCTTTCCAAAGATCACTATGAAAGTCAGCTCGGGGAACACCTGAGAAAACACAGATCGACACTCACTATGCCATGAATACTCGAAGATGCGCCCACTGATCCCCGAATTCAACTCGGTATTCATCAACCACTGCTGCAGCCGAACATAATGCTCCAGGCCCTGCTCATGGATCTTACTCTTCGACAGAGCAAACTGACTACAGCACGGTGCCCCAACTTCCTCTGGTACTTCCGCCCGCGGAAACAGCTCCATGAATCGATCCGGATATTCCATCGCCGCCGGATGATGACTATCGTCAGGTCTCTCACGCAGATAGCGAGCCGGCTCGAGCTCCCTAGGACATCCAACACTCCAAGCGCATCGCATGCTCACATACCCAGCTTCCAGCACGAAATCCGCCTTGAGATCCCGGATCGATATGACCGAGTCGTACAGCGGGTTATCGACGTGCCATTGGTATCGGCCGCCATGCAGGAAGATCGACACGTCTGGAAGCGACCAGTAGCGATCGATGATATAACTGGTTGAGAAAATCGGAGTTAGTGTGGGCTGAATTAGGCAGAAGCGCATTGGCAATTTGCAACGTACGTCAGGTAAACCATTGCCTCGTTGCCTTTGTTAATTGGCACGGTTAATCCTTGGCTTGCATCTGCGCGATAAATGTTCGCGGTCCAATCGGATAAATGCTCGTCGACCCAGGACATGTTACTGGCTTCCATCGCCGCGAATATCAGTTCCTTTGCGGGGGTCGGTTCGGCCGAGGGCTCTGATGAGGGTGTAGGGGTTGGCACTGGGGCTGGGGCTGGATCTGGGGCTGGAGGTGGAATTGGTTCTGAGTCTGGGAAGTCATTTTTGTCGCCTATCACGATGACACCGATTGTTTCTTCGGGTGTCGGGGAATATAATATTAATTGATAGGAAAGCAGGAGGAGTGTTCCTGCTAGTCCCAAGTAGAGGAAGACTCGCGATCGTGGCGTCAGACACCCGTCGCGGGCGCGGAAAGGACTTGACCAGCTCATTGCATGGTTTATATTGTATTAAGAAGAGAGGGTAGAGTCCCAGAATTGATTACGGAGTGCTCGGGTATGGAGTACGGAGTATATAAGGGAAGATTAGAAATAGTGGGCATTGACGTAGTCGACTCCATTTCCTTGGTTACATGACATGTCAACAATAGGCGCTGCAAAGGTACGCCAAACAAGATGTGCAGTCAACAGTACGAATAGAAGTGCAATTGGCAGTGGATTATTGTCATTAGCGTCTTATCACGGCCCACTTGCCGAAACTGGTGAATTGCCTAGACTCTATAGGGCTGGCTCCATCTCAGGGCGCCTAAATGCTCGAACGTGGGATCCTCCGAACGTGCGCAGGTGAAAAGTAGCCTGTATAACCTGAATATCTCACTAGTTTCATTTTTTACTCCTGAGAGGCCTCGTCATCACTATCACACACGCACTGTGTCAACAAATTGAGACTAAAGTGGAGTGACATTGTAGATCTCAATCTTTTTTTTTTATCTTGTTTCAAATGCAAGGTGAGACATGCACATCTTTTTCTATAAAACGCAGATGCCATTTCGAATACAGAGTATATGCCTAAAATAAAACGAAAATACTATGCACAAAGCCACCCATATTCCATGTCAGTCTGTATAGTGTGAGAGGCTCTCTGTTTACTATCACTTCTTGGATTCAGATCGACGATCACTCCTGCTCGGTCTCGATGGGGGCCCCATCGAAGTCGGGACTGAAGCCGAAGGCTCTCGAGATCGAAGACTGTAGCGCGAGGACTTGCGAGACTCGGTTGGCTCAGAGGCTGCTTCCGCGGGGGAACTGACTCTGCTCCAGTCACAGTGCTTTTTCTGAACGGGGGCAGAAGGCGCATAGGGCATTGAACGCTTCTTGCTATTCTTCTGTGGAGCTTCCGTCGATGCCACCGAAGATGCGGACGAGTCTCGGCTCCTGAGACTATATCGCGGAGCCGGTTGGGAAGCCTCGGTGAACTGCGAATCATGTGTTTCAAAGGAACCTGTAGAATGAGCGGCCTGAGACCAGTCGAAGGGCTTTGACCAATTTTTAATGGACTGCACTGAGGAGCTCTGTGGGGTCATCTCGGGAACCCAGACTGCAGGCTCGCAGTTGGTAAAGTTGATGTCTGTGTACCCCATCGGGGTCACCTGGGGAGCCTGGATTGAAGTCTGCGGGACCAGACCGCTAAAGTCAATCTCAGGTAGCCCGGCAAAGGCAAAGTCAAAATTGTTCTGGGTAGGCATTTCGAATCCCGTGGCTGGGGGCAGCTGTAGGTCAGCAGAGTTCCAAGTGTTGTTGTTCATGTCAACGTCGCTTAACAAGCTTGTGAAGTCCATGTCAGTCATGAATTCTTGTGGGTTGGTTGTTTGAGACCAGTCAATGTCAGCTGCATCTTGAAGAATAGCGTCAAGGTCAAGTTCTGGAAAAGTGGTTGAAATGAGGTCTTCCTGAGGGAGGTCAGCTGGCGCATCCATCGTATCAAGATGGCCCAGAGAGCGGACGTGTTGGGGTTGCTCCGCAACTTCATTCGGGCTAGAGCCAAGCAAAGCTGATTCAGAAGTGACTAGATCAACTTCCTCTGTGATGGACTGTAGTGTCTGGTCAAACGTCGGGCTGAAGTTCTGAGAGTCAGAAGTGACCGGATTGATGGGTGCATCCATTGAGCCCGAGGAAATACTTTGAGCGGAATCATACCCCGGGAAAGTTCTCCATGGGGCTCCTAGATTATTAGGGCGCTGGTCACTGAAGTGCTGGAAAGGAAGCGGTTGCAAGTATGTGACATACTGGTAGTTTGATCGCTGAGGGTCCCTCAACATAGTACTGGGATGAGGGTCATGAGGAGGGAAGCCATACCGATGAATGCTCATCACGGGTTCCGACCTACCTGGGAACTTCATAGATGGGACTGGAAGATTGACAGTGTCCAAGATCAGTGCGTACTCAAAGTGCTTGCTGAAGGTAGGGAACTTTTGGCGCTGCTCCTCAAATTCTTGCTCTCCGTGCCATTCATTGAACTTGCCAGAGCTTGGCTTTGGGTTCATACGGAAATATCCGCACCATCTAAGGACTGCTGGAAGAACCAGCTCCGGTCGATAATCCATGAGTCCTTTGATGCAATGAACGCGGAAGTCACCGAGACCGTCTTCGATGGGCCGACGACTGTAAGCAGCCGAAACGGCGTACTTCAGAACGAAAGCAGGTGCGGTGTCTAGCAGTGCTCGGAATCGACCAAATGCAAGACCTTGGAGCTCAACAAGTCCAAGCTGAAGGCCAGTCTGGAACATGGCCAAGTGAACTCGCAGGAGCTGGCAGATTTGTTCACAGGTGCTGCAATCGTCGGGACTGTTTTCGACATGGTACATAGACATGTCCTCGACGTCGACAGAGTAGTCACCTGTGTAGATGAAGTGAAGGAGGCTGGGGATTTGACTACGAGACACCAACGGGGGAAGGACCAGCTGTTGGTGATCCCCGTTTTTAACGCACCAATCGAACCATTTGGTTGATTTTCGCGCAACGTCCAAGTGCAGGTCGTGCCAGCGGCCCTTTTGAGCCCTGATCTTGTAATCTGGCTTGTACTTTTCGAAGTGGGCGTCTTTGATGGCCTCGAGATCGGGCTTGCGACACCCCAACTCCCCAAAGCCCAGCCAAATGCGAGGGAGGTAGGCATGAGTGTGGCAGCGACGAGTACTAGGCAATATTGCGAGTAGGTCGATACTCAATTGAGTGAATGCTTTCTAAGGCTCTGAGATGGCAAAGTGAGAAGTCAGTGAGATGGGAAAGTTGTTGGTTGTGAAGTGCGATGAAAGCTATTGTTGTTGTCCAGGTGGGCGAGTCTTTATATAACTATCGACCAATAATTGAACCTTGGGACAATGCAGCTCTTCTTACAAGAATATCGATCCCCTTTCCTTGAAGAAAATCATACCATTCCAAGGTTGATTGTCTATAAATAATCGACCACACTTCCAAGGTTCGAGTTCATCAACATTCTTTGTCCCCCATTCTCGTCACAAAGACTCCGAGTCGGACCCAATTTAAGACAAAGACTTCGATTTATACTTGGACAATGCTTTATTGCTACTTGATATTCTCTCATTGTTTCCTTTGTGCTTTGCTTGAAGAAATGGCCCTTTTGGCTCTCAATTGAACAATATTATTGTTGCCTGTCCTTTGCTAACATTTTTCTTGCACCACCAACACAGCAATATCATGACTATGCAACAATTTGCTATATTTTCCGTGTATACATCCAAGATTCTGACCAGTCCAGCCATCAGTGACCTCATATGAATCATGGCTCCTGAGTTCGGGAATCTCACTCCACACCGCAGTACGGTGAGAGCTCACATTCTCGGAATTTAACATGAGCACCAAAGTGGCTTCCAGTGTCGTGGACACGCCAGACCAGTATTCTGCTGGATGAGCCGGGTCAAAGGTCCAGTCAGGATTGAATCCCCACTTGTAAGGACGAGCCGGGCCCCCAATGACGGGGTCTTGATGGAAAGCAAGTAAATACTCATTTTTCAGAATAGCCAGATGCTTGTAGTTAATTGAATCGAGCTTCAAGTGTGTCAGTACATGTCTGAAAGGAATATCATGGTACTTACTGGGGTTCCAATGAGTAAAGGTGATTTCATCGCCGCCCAAAGGGCAAAGTGAGCCCTATTTTCTGCAAGAGTGAGATTTCCATTCCCAACTTCTAACATATCCGGATCGGGATGACCCCAAAAGTCGACGTAGTCTAGCAAAAAAGTGTTCTCATTTGCGATCTCTGCTATGCGGACCCACTCCGCTATATATTGGTGAGCTCAATACCCTGTGCGATGGATAGTATAGACTCACGTCTGATGTCATTGGTGATGCGCCACGAGTTCCCAGTAGAATTACCCCAGGTATTCACATTGGCGTGTCCCATATCACACAGTGAATATAGTATTGTCCGATTGACGTTCAATAGTGCATCACGCATGTTGGTATAGCGCTGATGCGTTTTGGATGTTGTCCAATCGTATCCTTCTGGAGCAGGATCTATAAGATCGGGACAGGTACCATTTGGAAAGTTCCAAGATGTTGGATCCTCGTCGCTATCTGGGACGCAGCCGGTGTATTCGTCTTTCCACTCCGTAGGCACGCCACAGTCATCGTATTTGAGATCTGCAACCGTCAAAATTATCATTCACGGACGGTGAGTGGGACCACAATACATACAGTCGATCCCCCATTCTGCAAACGCCTCTGCATCCACCGTCTCATATCCCAAACTGGCAGGGTACCCGGCACAAGTAGTCTCGCCTGCACCTTTTCTGATGTATCAGCATCATGTCGGTCGACTTCAAATTAGGGTACCCACTGCTATATATCCCGATCTTCAATCCTAGATCATGCACCTGTTTTGCGACTCCGTTGATGCCATTGGGAAACTTGGAAGGGTCGGGTATAATTCGATCGTTGCTTGCGTTTCGGGCATATTTGACACTCCAGCAGTCATCGACTAAAACAAAAGACTTTAATACATCTCGGTGAATTTTGCATTCACCGATTGAAGCACATACTGTTCACATATTCGTAGCCCAAATCTTTCAGTCCCAGGTTGACTATATGTATCGCTGCTGTCATGATCTTAGTTGCATCAATATCGCACTCGAATGCGTTCCATGAGTTCCATCCTAAGGCTGGTAGCTTTCCCTGCGAAAAGTTAACACCGACTGAAGTATGGTCTTCTCTCGTGGCAGTGTTGAATGCCAGATATGTAAAAACGTCAACGTACGACCCCATGTTCCCTAACTAGAGCATTTGCTCCTGAAACAACGAAAATGGTCACAGGGAGTAGCAAGGCGCCAACCATATTGATCCGATTCAAGCTGATCAAGTCTGTTCCTCTCTCTGTATCCCAAGCTTGGAAGTAAAGATTGACCTGCTGTTCGTTATACCCAAAAAAACGCGGCGGAATTCTTTTTAAGTTGGGGAAAGTCGTGAGCTCAAATCCCAGTGTCGCTCGGTGTTGTGTTTGCTAGTTAGCATCACATGGCTTTACCTTGATCATATCCTTGAAGTTGTCATATGGTTTTAAATCGGACGTTGTATCAGATCGGGACTAAAGTGAACGGCGCCTATCACACGGAGGGATCACAGAACACAAATGCAATGATGTAGTGCGCATGTTCTGGTTCGCGGTATTCAGTGACATGGTGTCCTAGACTACTCTGGATTAGACCGCCTATATGGGAGGGATCACGCGTTCAGTATGTCTCGATGCTTCAGGGTCCCTCGGTAACGAATGATACGGTATAAAGCCGTGATGGTAATTATAATAGCTCCAGGATTGGATCATGATACATGTCTATCGTCAAATCATTAGTCGTACAATGTACATCGCGCTGCCGCCAAAATGCATACAAAAAAACGAGATTCGCTTGGCAAAAAAGACAGGCACAATCATGAACATGGTCATTGGGCTTTGCCCATGATCAGCGCACGAGCTTGGCGTGGATCAGTTCCGAGCACATTGACGAGATACTCAATGCTAGCCTCGGAAGCCAAGCGGCGCTTCTCTTCCTGGAACTCTTTATTACACGCATCCCATGTCCCAGCACGTTCCTGAGACAGCACTGTCTTGACACGAATTTTGAACGCCGCGCTCACTGGGCGATGGTCCGAGGCACGGACCTCGTGTCGACGGTAGTCAAGCTGCTTGACACTGCCCAGGCCACGGTAGAGAACACGGTCACACCAAGCAGGAGAGCGTTTCTTTTCGCTGGAGTCGTACTCGTCGGTTCCAACATCGTACTTGTAAGTTGGCGCGAAGGTGATGGGCCGCTCAGTGAAGCTGCGGAGTCGGAAACCGGGGTTCTTCCGCCGGGATAAAAGAAGTTGATCTCTGTCCAGGAGTTTTGAGAGGTTATTTTGACGGACTGCGTCAATGATCACGTTGCGAGGAATAGTGTCAATGCGATAGTTCAAGTCTCCATTCAGAATGCACACTTCGTGATCCATGATCATAGACCCATCGCCACCGCTGGCGAACTGATCTGTCCGCAAAGTCATGTTTCTTTCTGCGGGCAAAGTTTCAGCTTCCAAAATCGCGGCTATGTCGTTGTTTCGATGCGCGGTCTGCGTTTGACCAGCTGCTAAATGGCAGTTCACGAAGCACATGGAGCTGTCATCCAAGACAAAGCGGAAGACAAGGGCACCCTGTTGCAATTAGATATGAAAGGAATTTGCTCAAGCATGGGTATCACGAACCTTGTTACCATGTAAGCCACCCATTCCGCGCTTGATCTCAGAAGCACTGATGTTTTTGATATTGTGGCGTTCCTTGTGCTTGACGAAAACACAAGTGAACAAGCCCACCATGTTTGCAGTATGCAAAAGAACATAAGACTCTTCTAGAGGCATGCATTCTTGCAGAGTACGGGTGAGATGGTCTATCCAAACTCGATACTGACGACTCATATGCTCTTTCTCGCCACTTTCCTTCTTTTTACTGCTCATAAGCAAGCTCTCTGTCACGGGGTTAGCAGACGGTTCTCGTCGAATGAAGAAAGTGACTCAACGTACTTGCTGTAATCTTCTTGTTCTCAAGGTCGACCAGCTCTTGGAATCCAAATATAACGATTTCAGGCGGGTCCTCTGGAGTGACAGCATTTCGAATGAAGTCAGATGTTTTCACACTACCAGGAGTAACAGCGCCGGCATTCCAGGTGAGAACAACAGTCTTGATCTCTCTGAAGTTGCAGAATTCCACGTCTCTATGTTGCATGCGTGCGTCTGTTCATTAAGTTAGAAGCAAATTCGACCAAACGCAGTAGTTTGCACTTACCTAACCAATCATCTTCGAGCATACCATCCCAAAGACGAATACAATTATCGGTACCCAAAGAAGTCACCTGTAGGCGATTCATGGTCCACACACTGCTAGTGTCCAGTACAAAGTCGGAGACAGGGCTTTCGTGAGCGCGCCAGTCCTTCTTCACAGTCCAGGGATTGGTCGTCACGTCATAAACGTAGATCATACCAGTCTTGTATCCGGCCCAAAGATAGTCTCCGACAAATCCAAGACAGTTGATCTTGTATACGCTGACGTTGACTACCGCCACACATGAGAAATCGGTCGCGGAATAGACAGTGACCTTGCCATCGGCATGTCCCAAGTAAACCCGACCACCATCACGGGTGCTATAAGTTCCAGAAGTCACGTCACCAGAATGCTGAAGCCCAAGAGGTCTTTTGAAGACCTTGAATGAAGTATCTTCGCGTGCGTTCGGACGGTAGACATAGACGTCTTTTCCGGCTGCTAACCAAAGTTTGTCTCCAACTACCATGGAAAACGTGTGGCCTCGGGATACACGCTCCTGCGCGCTGTGGTAGCTGTACTGCAAGTTTGGTGTGCCAGTTTCGTCCGGCAACCAGATGAGCAATCGTCCCTCGTCGTCGAATGTCCACATCTCTTTTCCGTGCCGTAAAATTTGAATCACTTCTCGCCGGGAGGGGTATGATCGGGTCGCCACGATAGACTGACTAGGAATGTCGACTTCATGAATATCTCCTGCGCTAGTCCCGAGCCAGATGCGATTGCCCTCGTCTTCTAGACCTTTTCCTGGCTTGAAAGCAAGCGACAAACTCTTGACTGTCTCTCCGTGGCTGAGACTCATCACTTGTTCACCCGTGGTGAGATCCCACACTTTGGTCAAATACCCTGTCGTGCAGACATACTTGCCGCACACAGCTAGCAAACGGGTATCGTATTTCGTGGAGATCTCCTGGGGGCCAGACTTGAGAAAAGGAGGTCGTCGATTGGCTTTTGAGGCATCGGGATAATCCGTCCGCGAGATAGCTGGCTCTTCAATTTGCTCTTCCTCCTCTGTATCTGCGCGCATCACGCGCCGCTCAGGAAGGGAGGATGAGAGCTGAGGCTCGCGGGGCAGAGAGGGTTGCCGCTGGATAGGCTTGGGGGCTGGAGATTCGCTGATGCGTGGGACGGAGGGCGCAGATCTAGCAATTGGCGTCATCTGAGAGGGACTGTTCACATGCTGGGGCGGCTCTCTGACTGGAGAGAACCCTGTCCTCCGGGGTGTTCCAGAAGGTCGTGGGGAAGTCCTGGGCGATCATATGGACTATCGCTAGCTCGAAGCCTCTGCGCGGAAAGAGGCACCGCTGTTGGAGCAGTCTGCGGGGATTCGACTGGTGCAGGGGGGATTTGAACCATCAAAGGCTTAGAAGCTCGTGAGGGCTCTGGCACAGGACGATTTCTTGAGAATCCCATCTCCCTGGCATCATGTCTGGCATTGGGTGCCGGGACAGGGGATCGATCGTCAAATGAGCGCCTACTGGGTGGTTCGGTGGTTGGTCGAGCTGGCGGTGGTTTGTGATTAATCTTGGTGGAGGAAGCCAGCTTAGGTGGTGACTTCTCCGGACTGCTAGGAGGGGTGTTGAAAGGCGAGACACTTGGATCAGGCGAAGCTTGTTCTGCCCGAGGAGCCAAGGTGCTGGTATCCGGGTGAGAGAACATGGCCGGTTTCGCCGGGATTTTGGGTTTAGATGCGCGGTTCGCCGGAGGTGGCAGGGAAGCACTCTTTAGCTTTCGGTCTGCTGGACTGCCTGTGAGATTGGGGCGCAAAGACGCAGGCGACATCTGGGCCATCGGATTTCCTGCAGAGACGGAGGGTCCAAATTTCGGGATCGGAGACAGCGGCCGAGGTGGTGCGGGCGAATTGAATGCGGGTTCCTGAGCGCGATGCCCTGGGCTTCGGGCCTTACGGGTTCCATCCTGCTGTGACCAGACATCGTCGGGGTCTTGAATACGTGGAGGTGACTGAGGAGAATGAACCGTCAAGGTGGGCGGAAGTTGCGGCGACGAGCGGTTGAAGTTCATAGAGATGGGCCGGCCATATCGTCTTTCGGACAGTCCGCGATTCCGAGTCCGATCACCGTTCAATCCAAACTGGTTGGGCCTCTCCTCGGCGGGAGTCCATGGAGATTGTGGACGGGGCAAGTCAAGAGAAGCGCGAGTAGATGACCGGAGGTCGTCACTTGCCTCGGAGCTTAGATGGGTTGCGGAGGTGCGGGGGCTAGCGGTTGCAGCAGAAGGTGCTCTCCGGTGGGCAAGATTCTCGAAGTGAGACAGAAGGGAAGAGACGGGTCTCTGTGGCTATGTTCGGATTAGTTCGTTGCGTTCGGAAGTAGTTGTGAGTTCATACAGTGGGAGGGTCGTCATTGTTTGGCTGTTTTCCTATGCCCGCCATGGCTAATATCACAGATTCGTCGCCGAGGCCAACTCAAAGGATCGATCATAGGTTTAGGAAGACTTCCGAGTGGTCAAATAGTGCGACGGAGGCAGTTGGATAGGAGTTCGTGGGGACGGAAGCTCAGGCTGCAGGGATACCGTGGGGGACTGTCCTGGAAGCTTGCAGGTACGTAAGCGACGCAGATCTTCAGCGCAATATGACAACTCAGGTGTCAGTAGCTCGCAAATATTAATTCAATAAGAAGAGAAGAAGTAAAACCACAGAAACGAGACAAAAAGGGTGAAAGTCCACGTAACAAGAGTGGCGGGGAGGAAAGTGGAGGATCACGGGAGTCGATCATTTCGATGTGCAGACATCTTTCCCCTTCACTTTCCCTCCCAGAGTCACCATGTGGTAAGTCCTTGCATATGTCAGAGTTGCATATGGAGATCCATTCTTGATTTTCGATAGCGATCTAATCCAATCCCGCTTTGCAGTAAACACATCCTGAACGCCCAAGTGGCCATCCGCTCTCACTGCTGTACGCTCGAATCGACCTCGGAATTGCTCTCAGGGGGTTGACCAAACAACTTATTTAGGCCGGAAATGGTTCGATTGCGCCGAATGCCATCAAGAATCGGAGTCACACATGCTCACAAAGAGCGCTGAGATGGTACGCGTCTGCGCTGTTCGGGGTGTCGCGTGGGTCTGATAGTCTGACTTTTTAACAGATCTTCGCGTGCAAGAAGTGCAAGAAGTGCTTCCGGAAAGACGCCGCTGAATTTGACGAGAGGTACGTCTCAAAACACCCAGTGTCTCAGGCAAAGTGGCAGCGGGCTAACCTCACGGCTCTATAGCGACGAGTACTGCCCACACTGTGATAACCACTTCGTGATCGAGGCCATAGAACCTCAAGCCAAATTGCATGTCGAGGGTGATGATGCTCGCATGGACAGCCGGTATGTTCAGCGAAAATATCTTTGTTGGCAGGGTCACTTACACTATACAGAATGCTCAAGGACGAACGTGTCGCTCGAGACGAAGAGCGCTCACTCTTCAACATCCGAGATGTGTCGGACCGCATGGGCTAATTGTCTCAATCAAAACATTTGGAACATACATTGGACAGATAAATTTGGGTGGGCGTAGTTTCATGACGTTGACGAATTGATGGTTACTGTTTTTTTGCATGATTCACGAGGAAGATCTCAGATACCTTTGGCATCAAACATTTTACCCTTCCTGCGTGTACAATACAAGAGAGCAACAAGGGTGTTTTTGAAACTTCATGATTTTGGATTCTCGTCAGGGAAGAGACCAACGCTACTGTAAATCGAAACATATCAACAATCCAGTCACCAAGCAGGCTCGAGATTGTTAAAGTCTAGCACTTATTCGGTCTACTCGCCACCCGGCCGGGTGAGGATGGCTGCCGTGGTAGTCCCCGTCCGGGTCTTCTTCTTGGCCGCTTCCTCCTGCTTCTCGGTCTCGATGCTCTTCACGTACGACTCGATCTGGTCATCCGGTAGCATCTCCAGGCTCTTGCCGGGCGCCATGATGGCGACCTCGATGTTCTTAGCACCTGTCTGCACGACCTCAAGAAGGGACTTGATGGTCAGTTGGATTGTCTGCTCGCGGTCCATGTCCTCCTGGTGGTTGCGCTCGAGGAATTCACGGACGGTCTTGCTGGAACGACCGATGGCATTCGCTTTCCTATTAAAAGAGATAAAATATCAGCATCTGTGCAATGACACGTATTGCCAGTACAGGGACAACCTACCAGGCAGAGTAGATTCCAGATGGCTCGGTCTGGTACAACCGAGGGGTAGAGTCATTCTTGTCGAAACCAACGACCAGCGTACTAATACCGAATGGACGCACACCACCACTCTGTGTGTATTTCTGTTGGACACTGGCAATATATTTCGTGATATACTCGATGCTGGCAGGGTCCTCGACAGTCAAGCGGTGGGACTGGGCTTCTAAACGGGCCTTGTCGATGAGGATTCGGGCATCGGCGTTGAGACCGGCGAAGGCAAGGCAGGCGTGGTCATCCACCAGCGCGATCTTGGAGGGAGTAATACGGGTATCTTGGAGCTTGAGGGCGGAACGCTTTTCGCAGCCGAGGACGACGATATCCTTGCCTTTCACACCGACAGCGCAAGTTCCTGGGGACATTCATCGTCAGCACGGTTGGTCCGTTGATAAACGCTTTCTCGGTCATGAATGACGGCAGAACAGCGAGAAGCAGATAGGTGAGTAAGTGGTCATGTCTTACCGCGCTTCACTGCCTCCATGGCATATTCCACCTGGAAGACGTGCCCATCAGGGCTGAGAAAGGGTTAGCGAGCAAACTCTGGAGCTGGAGAGGTATTCAGAGGCTTCATACCTGAACACTGCGATGAGTTAGCGACACGGAGCCATCATTTGGGCCGGGAGCAAAGGGAGCTCGCCGTGGGGAGCTAGCTGACTTACCTGAAAGAGCTCGGTCGTATCCGGACATTGTGAATCAAGTGTGATTGGATGACAAGTTGGCTGGATGGTGCTGCTAATGACAGTTTCGACAGAGAAAATGAGGTAGGAGAGAGCAATGCAGACGGGCGTCAAGCAGTGGAGGTCAATTGGGATGGAGCAATGACGGGTTCCGGGCGGTGGACGCGAAAGCCTGCGGCTGCCTCAAGACTCCAGAGGTACCTCCCTTGACTATGGGCACGTCATACTAATTATTTGTACCCTCCCATTATCTCTATTCATTCGCGTTCTACCACAATATTTTCAATGACAAGGACAGGGAGTGAGATACTTGGATTTGGTCAAGACCAAATTTTGTACAAAGCAACCTTGAAAACCTTGACGAAGCCTGAATGGATTTTATAAATCTATAGTTATCATCTTCATTGCAAGAAGTCTGTACAACCCGAGAAATAAACTGCAATACTACATACTATATAGGTGAGAGTACAAATATATCGAGAAGTGGAACATGACAGAACGATCTTTTTGCATTCACAGTGCTTCGATGGCCCCCGAAGAGATGCTCGATTCAACAAGCTCAAAGTAAATCCCCAACACCCCAAACGGGATCCCAGTATATCCCACCCACAAGACCGTGAATTCTCCGACGCTTCCCATGAAAGAGTGCAGAAAGGGACGCAAATATCTAAAATGCAATGCCAAAAAGCAGGTCGAAGCCAGAATGTGTCCATGCCTGCGGACAGACCGGGTTCAAAAATATATGCACCAGCCGCCGTCCCTGTAGACAAAAACAACCATATAGCGCAAGATGGAATCACAAAATATGGGACAGCTCCGCGACCAAGGTGACATAAATAAAAAAACAACAAAACAAATCCAGTTAAATGTGAACCAAAAATCAAACGATGCAAAAGCATCATAAAAAGCACAGGCGAGGCGAGCAAAAGAATTCCGAAATCTTCGACACGCTAACCCGCCTACTCCTTCCAACCCGATGCACCAAAACCGCAGAATCCCTTATACAAATGCGTATCAACGAATATCAACCAACGCAGAAACCCGCCACAATGCAGGGTTGCAATATGGACAACATAAGTGTGAGTGCCCAGTGAAAATGGACATAGGTACAGTCAGACCCCAATTTAAGCGGGTGACTTGTTGGCGCCGGCGCCATTGCGACGGGAGTGAGGGTCATCAGAGACAGTCAGACCACCGAGGCCAGAGGACAAGAAGGCGAAGGGGTCACTAGCGCCGTCAGAGCCGTAGAAGGCGCCGTTCGAGGCACTGGTGGAGGGAACACCGTGGTCCGCACCGGTGAAAGCAGCCTGGGTAGCCGGGTTGGCGAAGGAGGCGGCCGAGTGCGAGGTGCTGGATGATCCGTAGCCCGAGTTCATCTGACCCATGGGAGGGTATGCACCGGGGGTGTTGTTACCCAGACCGCCGGAGGGCAGGGCGTAGTTGTTGGGAGGCCCACCGAACTGCTGGCTAAAACCGCCGAAGCCACCGGCAGTAGATGCGAAAGGTGCCGGGGCCGGGGTGCTAGACATTGAGTTGGGCCCCATGTTAAACTGCGTGGGCGGGTCCATCGGGGACGAGAATGCGGAGTCAGCTACCACGGCGGCCCCTGATCGAGGAGCACCGCAGCGGAGACAGTTAATGTTCTTGGCGAAATTGTGGTAACCACAACCTTCAGAACCACATTTCCAGTCACCAGCCCGGAAGGGGACAACACCTCCGTTGCCGCCCATACCGCGCGAGTGACCGCCACCACCACCGCCCATACCGTGACCGCCGTGGCCCATGTGAGGGGGCATCATCGACGGAGGACCATAGCCGTAGTTGCCGTAGTTCATTGGGTCAGGCGCAGCCGCCATCGCAGGGAATGAACAGCGGAAGCATGCTGTGCGGCGCTGGAAGTTGGAGAAACCGCAAGACGGGCAAGTCCAGTCACCAGGACGAGGGCGGTTCTTGGACGGAGGGAAGGGAGTGAGGATCTCAGCAGCCCGGTCGAGAACCCGACTGGAGGAGGGAGAAACCTCAATTGCCTTCTCATTGAGAGCACGGCCGTTCATGCACAAGCTTTCAGCAGCCTTGCGGGAGGTTAGCGAGGAAATCAAGGTGGGGTATCAAGACCAAAAATGAGGATCTCTACAATCAAAAATGTGCAAATGCACGGGTAGAACATACCTCTTCGTGGGAAGAGAAGACGGCAAAGCCAGTACCAGTAGGCTTGTGCTGGTCTGGCGTGCGCAGAGTCCAAAAGGCGATGGGACGACCACCGAATTGAGTGAACCAGCTCTCTAATTCAGACTGAGTGGTGTCATGGGGCAGGCCACTCAGGTGCAGAACCTTACTGCGTTCCGCCAAGAAGGCCCTGACATCCGCATGGGCATCCATGGGACGAGTCAAGATCTCCGGGTGATCTTGAGGAGGCTGCGACTTGCGGATCAAACCCCGCAGGACACGAGCGAGAGTAACGGATTCCTCCATAGCACGACGCGGCGAAGCGGGGGCCAAGGCTTGCAGGTGGAAGGGCAAGTTGTGCTTGATCGGGGCGGACGACTGGACGGGCTCGACCTCGAGGGCAGCACAGATGTTGGAGAGCGAACTGGGACCGAAGGGCAGCGACTCGGGGTGGTGGGTCTGCCAGCGTTGATATTCGGTTCGCAGGTCAAAGGTGCGGGAGTGCTGCAGATATGCGGGCAGCACGACGGCCTTGTCGCGGGCTTCGCGGGGCAGCTGCACCCGCAGATCCCACGAGTCCAACGTCACAAAGGCAAACTCAAGATGCTTGCTGGTCAGGTGCTCGGTGGCAAAGGCGTCGAATCGAGAGATGGCATCCCGGAAAGTGCCTGCGGTTCGAACGTGTTCCCATGTCAAGGTGGTCAAGCTCGCTTCAAAAAATTGTTAGCCACGGATCCCAGTAAAACCCAATGCATCCTAAGGTTGTGACCAGGCAAGCTTACTGCAAAGCGGGGTGATTGGAGTATTGACGGGCTTAACGAGAACACTTTCGCGGTGCAGCTAAACAATTAGCAAAAAAAAGACCGTCAGCGTTGGGTTCCCGAGGCTAGCCAAATTGAATGTTGGGCGTTGGGGCGTACTTCTTCGCAAGTCTTGGAGTCCAACAAGATCCATCCTAACTCGATCACCTCGGCCGAGTCCTTGGTGACATACACGCCGTGTTCGTCGCAAGTGGTTGCAACGTGGATGACGATGTATCGATCCAGCTTGGGGGTAGGTGCTGAAACGGCCGCCATCGCTGACTTGTCGCTCGGTGCCAACGGAGCGGCAGGGGAATCCCGGGGAAAATTGAGGGGAAATGTCTCTGCGGGTTAAAGCAGAAGACGGAGAACACGACAGGGGAGAAGTCGTGGTAAGATAAGAAGAAAAGAAAGCCCGGGGGAGGAGAGAAGGGAAAGGGGGGGAAGAAGAAAATAGACCAACTCGAGGTGGAGTTCTGAAAATGAAAAGTTTCGGGGCTCACGGGAGATTACAAAATGTGACCACTTCGAGATGTAGATACCAGCGAAATTAAAATAGGCATCTCATATTTTATTCTATTGACCTCCGTACAGACTGTCCCCCTGGAAATTATGTCTTCGGACTGGTGTTAACCGTGCAACCCCAACCGGGCCCAGATCCCTGCTCCGGTTTGACGCCCTGCGATTTGGCTCTTTACTACGGGAGTGCTTTAAAGCAGTATATCCTGTCAGATACCCAAGACCCATGAGGATGTGAGAATGTGACCTCAATACAGCACAGATGTGACATGTGGCATAGCGCAGGTTGACAGTGAAACATGGAGCCGAGACATTGGACATTCCATCTGTTGCTGTCAAATGTGAAATGCTTCAATCACGTGGCATATCACGTGTACACTATACAGATGAGCCCATACGATGGAGTACCCCAATGCACATCGAAGAGACATGTATTTAAGAGAACTTTAAAAATCAAAGCATATTATGTACATTTAAACCCAAATGCCCCCTCCAACACCTCATCCGAAGTACCAGACAGCCCATCAACGCCAAAACGACCGTGGAAAACAGACCATCATCACTCATCACCGGTCTCCTCTTTAATCAGCGTCCCTCGGCTAGTATCGTGATCATCTTCTTCGTCAACCTCCACGATGCTAGGTTCAATGGAGACAATGGGGCGGTTTGCAGTAGCAGAGGTCATCCGACTGTCTCCCTCGCCTTCATCTTCCTCCATGATACTTGGCTCGACGGAGACGTGGCGACGACTCGCGGGACCAGAAGGCTCCACAGAGCGGCGAACGCTAGCTGAACGGACACTGTGACCATCATTATCAATGTCTTCGGTGCCCTCTCGTGGACGAGCGCTAGCAGCACGAGAATCCTGTGCCACGGCGAGGATCTTCAAGATGGCATTCTTGGCCTTCACAAGGGCATTGCGACTGGAAGCTTCGCCTGCGAGACCTTCCTCAATGGTTTGGTCCAGCAATTCCTTAACCTCGGAAGCGAGCTCGTTGTTCTCCGGGGAAACTTCGATGCCCGTAGCGCTGCGGACGCTAGTGCGGAATGGTTCCTCGCTTTCGGGGACGCGGGAGCCTGCTCGCTCTCGTGGGGGCAAAGTAGGAGCAGCGAAATACAGCTTGCTAAGCAGTGAGAAGAGGAGTTTGCGTTCTTCCTTGGAGCAGCGGCTGGTTCCAGCAGTAACGCCAAGCACACGTTCAAGGATATCCTTGACCAGAGCCAGATGAACCCATCCGCAAACAGTGGAACTTGCAGCACCTCCAGCTAGGACCTTTTCGCCGCCAAGGCCAACCACTCGGCGTTCATCGGTCCATTCGGAAAGCATGCCAATGACACCAGTCATGAGTGCCTTCAGTTCACGCTCGCCGATGCTAGCATCAACTTCCCCATCACTGTCTTCCTCGGCCTCAAGGGAGTAGTACTCCTCTGCGGCATGCATTACAGCCCGAACGACTGGTACTGCTACTGCTCGCATGTTCTGGGTGTTTTCAACCCGAGAGTGGCAGTAAACAGGGAAGAAGTAAGCCAGAGACTGGCGAAGCGCTGGGTTTTCACGGGTGCGCGGGTGATAGAACGCCACAACGAGTGATTGCAGCAAAGTTCCAACCGCGTTCTGGTTGATTTCTTGAACAGCAGGGGGAACGTTGGGACCAGCAGGAGTGAAAGCATTAGTCAAAAGCAATTTGGAAAGTGCGGCAGCAGCTCCAGATTGCACGCTGTTTGGCGAGTTGGCACGTAGAGCGCGAGCAAAAACCTTGAGCAGCGGCTTCTGCATGGGAGGGGGCGTGATGGTTTCGCCGTCAGACTGAGTGACAGGGGCGAGTAGAGAGGGGTGTGTCGTAATCATATCACAGAGGATCTGAAGGGCTGTTACTTGCAACGCCTCATGACCCTTGCTGTAGCAATGGATGAACAGTGTCATGTTCTCCTCGGCCAAATTCTGCGAGACCATATGATTAGCGCCAATTCAATCGCCCATATAGAATATTTACTTACCTTGTCAAGTAGACAGCATAGACCGAGGCACAAAAGACCACGCTCTCTGATGGGAGCTTCATGGCTGCGAACTGCCGGTACCACAAGATTGTTAAGCATAGTCACAAGATTCATGTTCTGCTGCAGATGACCTTGAACATTTTGCAACATGCATTGAGCAATGTACAAACACTTCATGTTCACGACAATCTCGCGAACGATCTTGGCCTTCGCCTCCTCCTTGTTGAATGGGGCTTCTTGTTCCTCGCCTGGGGTCTCAGATCTTCTGCTGGCATCATCACTGATCTCTGATCTGGCTGAAACAAAGCTGTCTTCTGTGGTGATGGTGTCGTGAACTTCTGCGATTGCTTCCAGGACCACGCTGCAGAACTCGGCTTCGGCTGCAGCATCAGGTCCACATACACATCGAAGGGTCTCAATCACCAGCTTGGTGCTTTCCTCCGGGAGTTCTGGCACAGCGAGAGTCTCTCTCAGCAAAGAGAACATCTTCCGTCGCCCAACCTCGTCACTGTAATCCAGTGTAGGAGCAATGTGGAGCAATTGTTCAACGACGAATTCGTGCTCAACAGCATCATCATCGTTCGCATCTCCGCTATCCTTGGAAATCTTTTTCCTCTCCAAAAGTTTCGTGATGTACTTTCCGAGGAAGTAGGCAAAAGCCGTGACCTCGGGCATCTTGTCATCAGCAAGGTTGTCGTACTTCCCTTCATTCTCTACCCGGCAGAAGTCATTGAAGGAGCGCAGCAAAAGGCGGACTCGCCATTGAGACCCTCCCAGAACGGCTCGTCAAATACAACAGCTTCGCGGTAGTCTGCACGGCCCTCCCAGAAGCTACGCATGGCCTCATGGGCGATTCCACTCTCCATTCCTGAGTTCACAACATCAATTCTCTCCAGGAGTTCGAGCAGAGCATTTGTATTGGGTGGAGAACGTTGACCGGTCGGGCCCTCGTTAGGGTCATTGTTGGTTCCGGCGCAGTCTTCGACCCAACGGTCGTAGAATAATTTGCCTGTTGCCTTGCGCACACTCTCATCTCGATCACGTAGACCCCACCGGAGAAGTCGTTCCCTCATTGAAAGGGACAAGTGGCGGAAATCGCCCAATGTAGGAAGAAGGCGGGAGTATAATGCACGTCTGGTAGCCGCGTCCAGATCACGGGCGCGCTCCAGCAGATAGGGAAGTGTCTTTGGAGCGAGGGGCAGGTTTATCAGGAGGGTTTTCCGAACATCCGCGCTTGTGTCGTTTTGCATGATTTCCAGGAGCTTTTCGATGAGTGCGGATTGGCTGTCGTCATTTCCATCGCCGTCTCCGTCGTCTCCTGCCAAACGTCCTAGTCCCATGACTGCCTGCACCCGGATTGATGCCTCCTTATCTCGAAGGCGTCTCAAAAAGCCTTGTCTTATCGTATGGAAGAGCTCATCATCGATTGTTTCAAGCGAGTTCACAATGTGGGCGGTGATTTGGGTTGCGCGGAATCGCACCATCTTGTCCTTTGCGCTCATAACGGGAACCATGAGGGAAACGAGACTGGAAGTGAGGCGCGAGGTCGGGGTTTCGGGATTGTGATCATCGTCCTCACCGGTGGCGAACATCTCGGTGTCCTTTCCTGTAGCATGGCTAAGGAAAGTCCCCAGGAAGCGCAAAACGCGGTCTCCCACAGGTTCGCTCTTCTTAATCGCCAGAATTCGAAGCATACAGCGGCCAATCTCCACGTTGAATTCCTTCTCAGCCTGTGTTTCTTCACCTGGGACAAGTGCTTCCTCGGCCTCCTGATCTTTCGTCTTGTCGTTTCTCTTCTGGAAGATACCACAGCATATCTCCTGGAGCTTGCGCAGGCGCACAACTAGCTTTCGATGACCAGTAAAGGAGCGCTGGGCATCCGCGAATATCAAGCAAACATCGCGACGCAAGGTGGGGGAGGAGATTGGCTCCGCGGCTTCATCGGGGATCGCAAAGGATGGGGTCACGGAGGCAGCGCGCCCAGACGCAGATGGTTGAGCTGACGACCTCCGCGTCGTTGCAGATGTCGAGCGGGCGGCGACTCTGCCAGGCATGGTGGTGATATTGTTGGGTTAGTTGAAAGTGAAAAGCATCGCAGTGCGGGACCAAATGAGTGGAAGCCTTGGCGGTAAACAAACAGCCCAAAGCGGAGAAGATTGTACTATTGACACGCACTCTTCTACAGTGTACACGGCCGCCGCCAGTATGATAAACAAAGAAATTCCAGTCGATCATCGTTTACTTGAAAAGATATGATGATGCATGAAAATAAGTGGAAGTACCCAGGTAGCTAGAAATAGTTCCTTTGATTCAAATTTGCCAAATTTGCCAGATAAAATCCTAGTACGAATCCCTACACAGAGTAAGCTTGACCCTAGGGTGTTATATAAAAGCCGAGAGTACGGAGTAGACCGTGGGCTTATGGAAATTGTTGTGTCCTTAGCACTCTTTGTGCGTGAATCCATGGATGCAAACACTTGTGAAATGGATGTACGAAGAAGGCCATGAGCACTTGGCAGTGTGTTGTCAAAAGGTAAAACGACGAGCCAGTAATTGCTTGAGAGTACGTTGTGAAAACGAACTAATTGGCTTCAAGACAAATATCATCTCCAACAGAATCGTAGATACTGCTCAAGCACTAGAGCATCTTGAAATATCACATATTCGAACCATGATCACCAATATCAAATGCAGTTGGTTGTACTTCCAAGGCGGGGACCGTGAAGATTAGCGCGGAACCGACCGTGGGAAGCACGTGATGAGACCCGACCCGACCCTCCCGAGGTCGGAGCTCGTCATTGCCCGGTTGATCGGAGCTTTGTTCCTGCATAACAGCCATACAAGATGTTCCGTCAAAGTGTCCGGCGCTTTGCCACTACAGCAGCTCGCGCTGCCCGGGAAGGATCAACTGCATATGCTACCAAGGTGTCCACCTCCCAGGGCGTTGTCAATGGATTGACCGAAGGTAAGTTCACTGCCAAAGCGACATCATGATCCAATTCAATCTGATTTGTCTCCTGCAGCAATTGGCAACACCCCTCTCATTCGCTTGAAGAAGCTCTCCGAGCAGACCGGCTGCAATGTTCTCGGCAAGGCGGAGTTCCAAAACCCCGGAGGTAGTGTGAAGGACCGGGCTGCACTCTTCGTCGTCAAGGACGCCGAAGAAAAGGGCCTCCTCAAGCCCGGTGGTACCGTCGTTGAAGGAACCGCTGGCAATACCGGAATCGGACTTGCGCACGTGTGCCGATCCAAGGGATACAAGCTGGTCATTTACATGCCCAACACCCAGTCACAGGGCAAGATTGACCTGCTCCGCCTTCTGGGCGCGGAGGTATACCCCGTCCCCGCAGTGGCCTTTGACAACCCCCAAAACTACAACCACCAGGCGCGCAGGCACGCCGAGTCATTGGACAATGCGGTTTGGACTAACCAGTTCGACAACACTGCCAACCGCCAAGCCCACATCGACACCACTGGTCCTGAAATCTGGGCCCAAACCGAGGGCAAGATCGACGCCTTCACCTGTGCTACTGGAACCGGTGGTACCCTGGCTGGTATCACCCGCTACCTCAAGACTGCTAGTGATGGTCGTGTCAAGAGCTTCCTCGCCGATCCCCCTGGCAGTGTCCTTCACAGCTACATCCAAAGCGGTGGCACCCTTATCGACCGCTCGGGTAGCAGTATCACTGAGGGTATCGGCCAGGGCCGTGTCACTGACAACCTTCAGCCTGATATCGACCTGCTTGATGGCTCAGTCAACATCAGTGATGAGAAGACTATTGAGATGGTCTACCGCTGCTTGGACGAGGAGGGTCTGTACCTCGGTGCCAGCTCCGCTATGAACGTGGTGGCTGCCAAGGAGGTTGCTGAGAAGTTGGGCAAGGGTAACACCGTTGTTACAATCCTCTGCGACGGTGCTTACCGTTACGCCGATCGATTGTTCTCCGGCAAGTGGCTAGAGAGCAAGAACCTTCGTGGCTCTATCCACAAGCACTTGGAGAAGTACATTGTGCTTCCTTAGTTGTATACATAATTTGAACAAAATATCCACAATTTGTACAAAATGTGTATCTTTGCACTTCTCAGATATCCCCTCGCCATCCCGAAGATGAATATATTACCTATTCGAACTAGAGAACTCGGGAACCATGCCGGGGCGTTTCCGATTTTGAAATCTTTTAGTCACAACCTTGGAGGGTATCATTATCGATTGCTTGCCTGTCGACTTCGAATCTGATGGTACAGCCGTGTGAGGAAGAGATCTGCTGAGACGAGGCCTTGAGACCACCCTCGCTGTCACATTATTGGCTCGACTTTCAACGGGATGTCAGGCCACAAACGGAACCTTGGAACAGATACATCCGGGCAATAAGTCAGAGGCCTAATTAGGCCTGTATGTTCAGCAATATATGGTATCAATTGAGAGGTGATTCTCGAAAGCTCACTGGTCTATGTCCAGGCTTGGTATTGTACAAAAGAGCAAAGATGTAATCTGAGCGGAGTGAACCACCCAAAGCCATGCAGCGAGGACAAGCTATGAAGAGCCCAGGCCAAAGCCAAAACAAAAACCCAAGTTTTAAAACAAAGATAAAAATGAAAAAAAAACGCCCCCAATGCTCCCGTTCTATGCCAGAACGCCAGATGCCGTAGAAAATTACAGGTTCAAGAAGCGCCAGCCGGCTAAAAGCCGACAAGCTCGGCATGTGAGCTCGCTTAGTCGTCGTCGCCAGGCATTCTCATGTAGGCATCGATAGCAGCACTGAATGCTGCAAAGCCAGCGCAACCGAAAGCCGCAGCCTGGGGACCAGCCTTTGCACCGAGAATTCCTCCGGTGAGACAACCGGCCGCGACACTGTTGGTGAGGTCGTTCTTGGCACGGAGACCCTCGATGCAGCACTCAGTGCCTGAGTAAAGCGCACCAACGATACCGAAGTTCTTGGCAGAGGACCAAGAGCGAGCTCCCATGTCCTTGAAACCTGCGCGGACTTGCTGGCGCCAGGGGAGATCGGCGATCGCGCGGCCCTGAGGGGTGAAGGTTGAGTCGTAGGACATCTATTCGAACCCGCACGTTAGATAAGTTTTTCATAGCCAGGGGCCAGGTGGTCAACTTACACTAGCCATGAAGAGACCGAAAGCTCCTCCAAGACCGAATCCCATGGTACCTGCCATGGCGGTCTTGATGGGGCAGGACTCCATACCACGTTGCATCTGTAAGAGAGGTTAGAGCTACTCGATTGCCACGGCACTTCTAGTCGCATACCATTTTGACCATGGCGGCTTCCTGTTCGTTCATTCCCTGGGTAGCAGGGTTTCCGCCGCTCAGGCTGGTCATTGGAATCGATGTTCCCGTGGTGCCCGGAAACGCCATTTTGACGATTATTGTAGATGAAAGGGTCGTTGAGAGGGTAGCAGGGTATATTTCGCGGCACAGTCTAAGCTGACCTGATTGATTAAAGCAGCAACGCTTGGCGAGAAATGAGATCGCGTGCGGATGAAAGATAGGGACGCGGAGATCTTGCGGAGGCGAGTAACTGAACCGCAAATTTATTTTTACGGTTGTCCAAAACATCCAACAGCGCAGTCTTGGCACATTTCCTCCGATCCGTTATCGCTACATCCAGCCAGAGCCTAGACTACAGGAACATTCCGGTGGCAATATTTTGGTAGTGTGCATCTAAAAATCAACAAAATAAGAAGTTGAATATGAGCAAAGTCTATTGGCATTCGTGAGCATATCAAAGGAGCTTCAAAAAACTTGCAAGCAAATTAATATCATCCAACAGTTTCAAGAAGAGAAAAGAAAACAGAGCAACAAGAGAAGAAGCAACGCTCTCGTAGAATATGGTTCAAAGGTCGTAGCCCTGCGTAATTCCGTAGATAAGGCCGAAGAAGACATAAAGTATGTACATAGTAGATAGACAAAGGAACATCATTAATCTTTCTTGCTGTCCTTGCGAGTAAGAGAAGAAGCTCGCTCAGGAGAAGGAGACAAAGAGCGCTCCCACTCAGCCATCAAGTTAGAGGCAGTACGTTGAAGCTTTGAAGGAGCCAACTTGGTAATAGCAGGCCAGGGAATGCCTTCGGAGACAGTCGGGTCAAGGGAAGTGGAATCCGGGTTCCAGTCGCCAAAACTGGGATCGGTTGTCAGCTCATAACCAGGTTGTCATAGATGAAATCGGAAAAAGTCGAACGGTACCTAGCGCTGGTTCGAGGGCTGCTACCCTGCGTGGTGGGCGAATGATCATGTTTTGATTCGACCGTCGATCGGCTCGACGAGGGGGTGTGCGATTTTTTGGCGGAAAGGGGCGTCTCCCAGCTACCCCAGTCGTCGAGGTCGTCATTCTCCGCTTCGGCTTGACTGTTGGAGTGGTGATCGTGCTGTTCGGCGGTCGCCTCGCTTGGGTTGGCGGATTTGTTGGGGGGTTCGAGGAGCGTTTTGAGACTTCTGAGCTGGTGTATCAATGCCGAATTCGTTCCAGAAAGATGTGGAAATCTCCGCCGGCTTGGTGTCTTTACCAGTTTTTGTCTCGGCCGCTGGCCCTCTTCCCCGCGAAGATGATGACGATGAGGATCTTGATAGCTTGCCATCCGCTAATAACCGTTCTCGGCTCCGGGACTTCGCTAGGGAATCCCGCTTACGACCGTTTGCCCCGTTGGGTGGTGCCAATGAGCTGGATGGTGACAGGGTTCGTGTTTGGGTTCCGTTGATTCCTTCTTCTCCCACCGTGGCTTGCCGTATGTCTTCTAAGAATGTCCAAAGTCCCTCTCGTAGATCAGATGCCATTTGTTTACCCGTCCGCATCAGGGCCTCCCGCGAGGGAGGTGGAAGAGTCTTGCGCCACTGCGCAAGTAGATGTTCTGGTACCTGACTCTCGTCCAGTCGTGCAATCGCAGCGTGGTCACGTTCGACAGATGGCAGTGTTGCAGACCGCGGAGTTCGACCCACGCGTTCCGACTCCGAGGGACCTGGCTCCCCAACAAAAGCACTTGACGCTGTGACTGGGGACAGAAGTGATAAAGTCCGGGTATGTCCACCTTGGAAGACTCGACGACCGTTGGTACCAATCTTGGTGCCTGGAGCTGGGGGAGCACGAACACTTGTTCGTCGTCCGAGCTCGCGACTGACGCGCTCTTGCGATATGTTCGAGCTCCCGACCGAACTCATACTTTGCTCCCGACGGTGAGCGGTAGAGGTCTCTGTTGTCGTGGGATCGGGGGACCGCAGAGGCATCAGTGGCTCTGCATGATTGATCTCGGCGCGCTTTCTGGACTTCTCGGAATAAGCCCATTGCTTCTTGATTGTAACCAGTTCTGCTTCGGCGCGATTTAGCTCTTCGCGAAGCTCCATGACTTTGCGCTCCTGCGAGGCAATAGCCCGCAGGAAGTCGTAACCATCGTCTGGGGCATCGAATGACATAGGTGTGCCGGGAGGCTGGGCGGGGGAAGGACCGGTCGAGGATTGTGTAACTGGGGTCGCCGCGGCAGGCGATGTCACTGGATCTGTCTCGTTCAAGTTGAGGTTGATGGGGAAGTTCAGGGTAAGGCGTTTCGCATGACGGGCAGTTGGGCTTGCACGAGGAGGTAACGAGAGTCGTTTTCTCTGGACGGTTGAACCAGACTCGGAAGCAGACTCCGGTTGGACAGAAGTGTGGTTCGCATCCGGAGGTGGCCCGTGGGCGAAGCTCTCCGCTCCCGGAATACTCTCCATGGTGGGCCAGCCAGCTGGAGAGGTATCAATAATATCAATAATTCATACAAGAGAAGGAAAGAGGAAGAAATAGTTGCTTTTGACAGTCTCCTGAGTCCAGCCCACAGCGGGTCCCACGAGACGTTTCAGGGGGTCGGGATTAGCGTCTTATTAAGCTCCTCTGTCGGCCCCGTCTTGGCGCGGAGTATACTTGACTTCCTGCTATCTAGCTTAAATCTGTATAGAAACTAGTCTCGAGAGGGTTATTGAGGCTCTTGAGTGTAGTATGCGGTCTAATGAAGACCCGTCTTACCGGGGGCAGAAAGACTCGAATTTAAACTGCAAAAAAGAAGAAAATGAGAAGAAAAAAACACGGGAATCACTCACGGACTTGGTCTTTCCTCCAACCCTTAATCAAAGGAATTAAAGGCCTAGGCAATTGCGGAAACTCGTGGGAGATTACTGTCCCATCACTATGGGGCTTTATCTTCCAGCTCATAAGCTCAATTGACTTGGCGCAAGGGTGCTAATTACAAACTCCATGCCGCACACGCGTAATTGAGCCTTATGCACATTATTCTGTGCTTTGCCAATGGATACCGTCCTTCAACCTTTGGAGCCTTTGCAGAGAAATTGCAGCAGGTCTACCCTCACTTCAATTCAAACTGCAAGGACTGAATACTTCGTAGCTGACGAAGATCTCGATGTCCATGCGGCAGAGTCTCTTAAATGTACAAGAGACTTATTTAGCTTCATAGGCAGCAATTCCCTCACTTGACACTTCCATGGATTTTCCGATGTTCAACACTGTTTGCCTTCAAGAGTTTTCAAGCATAGGATGTACTCCGTACTCTCTATCCCGCAAAACTTCCAATTCACAAAGTGGCCAAGCAACAGCAATCAAGATAAAAATAGAATCAGCAGGGGTCTCCCGTCCGACCTCATCAACACGACGCGTACAGAGCACCGATCAACCGCGTCATTATGAGGGCTAGTGTAGCTCATCTATCTCCAAATATCATTCGACTCAACAGATCAAACCTTTCGTCTCTTTCATGCCCTTTACTTTGTGGGAATCGATGGACCCACCCCCTTGCTCATACAACAACCCGACGCCAATTCTCAACACAATGGGCGAGCAACCCAAAAGTATTTCCAGGATTTGACTTGAGTCTGTTGAATCCAGGAAATGATGAACTCGTCAAAACCTATGAGCCTAATCCGATCCACACGTACCCAGTCAGCGATACAGAAATTCTCAAAGACAGATACCAGGTCATTTCAAAGATAGGATATGGCCCTACTGCGACGCTTTGGCTCGGTATAGATATGGGGTAAGTGTCAGAAAGATGCCGCCAGTGCATCAATCTAACCTTCTTGGTAGAAAGGCTGAGTGCGAACTTGTCGCGCTGAAGATCTACGTGGTGCAGCACAGGCTCAAGGTACTCGAGAAGTCTCTTGCCCCCAAGAAATACCCCAGGGCCCAGTACCCTTTTCGAAAAGTTCTTGACCAGTTTGAATTCACCGGCCCCGAGGGCAAACACATCTGCGTTGTCCATCAACCCTCAGGTATAGCTATCGATCAGGTCAAGTTCGGAGAAAAATTGGATCTTGATACGATGAGATCGTCAATACGACAACAGCTAGTCATGCTGGATTATTTGCACACAGATTGCCATACAACCGCTCGTATCTATACCAATACCCAGCCCAAGGAGATCGAAAATTCTAACGAATTGATAGTTGCGCATCCAATCGCATTCAAAGAGGCATATCCAATGCACGAGCACGAGGCCAATGAGCTTACAGTGGCTCTCTTACCGGGAGATGGAATTCCACTTCTGGTACCGGACTGGTCAAAGGATGATCAACCATCTTGCTGCGTGGCTAAACATGCCAGATCGCCCGAGGAAATACTGAAGACACCACTGAACTTCAAAAGTGACACATGGGCCATCGCCATAGAGGTGAGTGGAAGTCCAGCACAAGCCGGTGATGACCGCTGACGACGTACCCTTAGGCCTGGGACCAAGTGAGTTCCCGAAACTTGATAAGTGGAAGGAATGAGGAGGGGGCGTTCGATGACCGAGTCCAGATAGCAGAGCTAGTAGCTCTCCTAGGTCCTCCAAGCCCCGAGTTCCGGAAGAAAATGCCTCTGGGATCAATCTTTTGGGACGAAAAGGGCCAATGGACTGGACAGGTGCCTATACCAGATCGTAGCTTGGAGAAGCTAGCATCTGGAGAAATTGACGGCGAGGATCTGGATGGGTTCTTGCAGTGGATGCGCAAAGCGTTGCAGTGGGACCCTGAAGATCGGCCCACGGCCTTGGGGTTAATGCTCCATGAATGGATGGCTGAGGGGTCAAGACTCTGACGACGAAGAATCTACCACTGTATCGTCTGAAATTGCCTCCGCTTAACATCCCTCATTCCGACGGCCGTTTAACGTCTAGACAATGTACAAAACCCCCCTGTATGATAGATTCTCTACTCGCTTTATTCCACTCATCCCTCATGATTGATACCACTATGGCCTTGAAAAGGTCTAATTCACACTTCCATTCACTAAAGCTTGCTATCATCCAAAGTACAGATTGGGTTGCTTCTAGCTTCGCAAAATTGCTCTTGGGTGAGTCTCTGCAGGGCATAGTTAGGACAAGAGCTCTCCTGGACGTAAACTAATCGCATCTGATACTCTGCATCTTCAACCCCTAAACAGTAGCTTCACATTGGAAAGCCGGAAATGCCTGAATGCGGGCAGTAAGAATGCTTGGATCTCTTCCACTCCACCAATCGCAACCTCTTTGATCGCGTCAGCTCCGAGGCCTGCGCGTTCTCATGGCCGTACCATCACGAAAGGATAAAACAAATTCTTCGTTTGAATTTGAAAGCTTGGTAGAGCGAATTAAATTAGCAACAACAGGCAGGCATGGAAAAGCTGCGCCGGTGATCATAACATTGTCTGGTGTCACCTTAAGACCAATATTTAAAAAAGAAGGCTTACGGATCGTTTCCCATCTTTCGCCTTTCCTTTCCTTTCTTTTTTTTTTTTTTTTTTTTTTTTCTGTGACCCTCTCTCCATTTCCCTCTTGGTAGACCAACGTAAACGGACAACAGTGAGCACCCCAAAGTGGTAGATCTTTGCCATGATGTCAAGTCATTATGATCTCGGCTGCTCGCATAGTCCTCATTATCCTCAATACTCCCTACCAAGGTCTTTTCGTCAAAACCGCTTGTTGGGGACCGTGGGACTTGGTGATGTGATGTTTATTTCCCATAGATCCCCCCTTCTCCTCTTCACGCATTCATGCAGCTTATACTACGTGCATACTGCTCCTATTAGACCGCATTCCCCATACTGCTTTCCGAATCTATTTCGTCAGGATCCGTGATCATACCATACAGCGGGGATGCCCAGGCTTAGGGCTTAGTGAGATTGAAAGGGCTTTGTTTAAGCTTGGTACTTTGAGACATGTCTATTTAAGTATCCTACATATCCGGTCTCAACTCAGTTATCCTGCTTGCTCAATTCGTTAGTGTGGCTTCTTAGCCCCAGATCGTTTGGATCTAGCTCATAGGCTTCCAAAGCAATGCTCATCAAGGGCTGGAGTGCAGACTGCCCATGTAAACCTTGGAAATCTCCAGGGCTCCAGGGCTCCAAGGCTCCCAACTATTATGAAGTTCCAGAATTCCAGGTCCTACCAAACATTGAAATCTTCAGAGCCAAATTCGATCGACTGTGGCCTGTTTCCCATCTTGGGTAATCTCCAAATGTAGCCGTGGACCTACCAAGTGACATTTATCGGTTGAATTTCCGCATTGTTCCGCTTAGTGTATTTCTAAGGTTCCAAGGCTATTGGTATAATGACTGTGGGGTGTCCAGGTGGAATGTAGAAGTGCCCACTCTTACTCTGTACATAGATTGTTGAGATCGACGTAAGCAATACGGAGTAGACAACGCATCGAAGAAAAAAGACGCATGAGGCTGTGACCTCGGGAGTGATGCGGAGTTGCCGAAATAATTCCTGATAATACGAATTCAAGCAACCTTCCGTATCACACCTATCTCTCTTTCCCATCTGACTGGACACGGGTAAATGCTTCCTCGCTGAAACGTTTTGAGTGGATCCCGTCAAGGAGACAGCCGACGCCAAACTTGCTCCATCCGAGAGCCACCCGCTAACAACCCACTAGCACTAAGCGACTTCAAGATGGGTTTAGATGCATGCACACAAGGCTCAGCCATTGTGTATCATTGGTCGTGTCTGAGGAATTATTCAGAAGAACAATTCTCCGGAAAGCCTTGTGCTCCGATCTGCCGTTTCTTCCCAGAAGAGTAACCATGCTTGCATATCAATTCAACGATATCCAATGGCATTGGACGCTATCAGCGCTCTGGCTCCACCCATGTCAACATCGGGAAATTGTGGACTGTCAGACCATAGAGGCTCAATCGCGTTGAGGGGGCCAAAGACTGGAGACTGGAATGGAGTGTGCCATGTGCTGTGCGTGCTTTTTTCTTTTCTGTCAAAATCCCCCCTAGCTCGAATATGGGTGTAAGCAGAGGGTCTATATATTTAATCACGCCATATGCCCCCAGAGTTTACTCATTTTCTTGCATCCTCATTGCTCTACACCCAGTTAAGCTTATTTACAGCATCTGCCACTGATCCTTATTCACTATGGCCATCATTGCCGAGACCAAAACTGCCCCCACCAGGCTTTTGATGGTCTCCATCCCCCGCACAGCATCCAATCTGCTTCTGCGAATCCTGAATATCCCCAAGCAGCCCAATCTGCTGACTACCCCGAAGGGCGGTTACTTCTTCTACCAAGCTTTCCTCGACTCAACCCAAAATGGCAGCTTGCAAAATAGACCCGCAGATCAGTGGACAGAAGAAGAGAAGAGCTCCGTGAGGAGCAGCTGCCAGAACTGTTTCGACAGCTTAGAAGAATGGTCCTCTCGCGCTGAACAAAGTGAGCAAGTCATGTTCACTAAGGAGCATGCCTACTGGCTTTTCAGTCCTGCCACCTTCTTGAAATCAACGACTGGTCATCATGATGAGGACTTCTTCAAGTCATTCCATATTCAACTCCCCGAGAAGTACGGCAACACCCAGACATACTCCCCATCGAACGAAACCATGTTCCCAGACGAGTACCTCCGCACATGGCAGATGGTCTTTATCATCCGCCACCCAGCATTGGCATGGCCATCCATGTACCGCGCAATGCAGAAGCTGAGTAACCAAGGAATCCTCGACGATGACGGCGTGAGGGGCACATCGGTCACAAATATGAGCATGCGCTGGACCCGCTTGATGTATGACTGGTGCATGGAGCAGCCGGATGCCCCAGTCCCGCCTCCTGTGGTCGATGCTCACGACCTGATCCACAACCCGGAGATTGTGCTCGAGCTTTGCGAGAAGACTGGACTGGATAAGAGCGTGGTGCAATTTGAATGGAAGAATGAAACGAAGTCCCAACATTGGGCGTGTCATAAGCCAAACGCTGACTCCAACGAGGTGAAGATGCACCAGTCAGCTGCTCAAGTTATGCTCTCCACGTTGGAAGACTCAGCGGGTATCGTCAAGGATAAGGCCCCGCAGACTATTGATATCTCCGCGGAAGCGGCGAAGTGGAGAGATGAATTTGGCGTGGAGGTTGGCGACCTTATCGAGAAATGTGTGCACGATTCGATGCCGGATTATGAGTATCTGAAGGCTCGACGCATCGCTCCTTGAATGTGCGATATATTGCGAGTCCTGCTAGCCACAGTCAGTGTAGAACATTTTGAGATATATATTGAGATTGATATCGAGTTGAATATTCAGGAATCTTGTGTCAACTGTGCAAGTAAAGTATTTCCAAGAGGATTTGATGGTCTCAGCTTGCCTTCAAACCCTTAGAAAATCAGCTTTGTAACTCTGGCCCCGGGGAGTCGATAGAGTTTGTCAGCATCTGGCAATTTGACGGAGATCAAGTCTTTTGCTCTGGCGACAGTTAACTAGAGAAGGGAGGAAGACGAGGAAAGCGAGAGAAAGCGAGCGAGATCAACATACGTATGAAGCCTTCATTTGTCCCAATCAACCTCTATCATATGCTCAGCTTCCATGCCCGTACCTGTCACCTCATCAACTGCCGCTCGACCTTGATTACAGCCATCCGACGAAACAGTCTCAGTTTCTTTTGCTATAGCCGAAAACTCACAGCCTTAACATTGGTAGTTGCCCAGTGAGCAGCTTGGTCGTCCCCCTGACCAGGAAATGCTCACATGTCTTTGAGGGCCTCGGTGGGTAGCCCAGGGCTGTCGTTGAGATCGCACACTTCGGGTGTATTTCCTACGCCATCGTCTCCCTTCGAGCTGTCGGAAGGCCCGTCATTACAGAAGCATCGGATGCTCCACCTGACGCTTTCTGACATACACGGTACTCTCAATTTTCGTCTTCTGCTCATGAATCGGGATAGAAATCAAGGCCCCTTCTCATAATAGACGGGCCCAGGAAGAGCAACGGCTTGAATGGGCCTGGAAGTGTGCACAAGTACTCCGCACTATGCTCCGGCTCCACAGTCGCTTCATAATTCACAAAAAAGATACGGAGAAATTCCTTTTTTGTTTGTCATTAAATCATCGATCAAAGCTTTGCAGCTTACCCTCCCTCCGCCTCGCCGAACCAAGCTGTCTGACATAGGGTGGGGCGCCCTGAGTTCCCGGAACCCCGGCTCCATTTGTTTTCCTTTGTGGAGTTCATTCAGAGCGAGGGATCGTGATCAACTCATATAAATTCTGCAAGCCAGAGACCACTATATCTTTATATCACCTTAGTGAATGAGAGCCTCACTCTCCCACACCTACTTTTCAAAGCTGGCGCCTGAATCAACCCAACTTAAGGTCTCAAGCAATTCCTAGGTTACGTCGGGAGTGATACAACCCCTGTTTCGCGGTGTCTTACTCTTGACGGGCGTCACTAGGGCGCCCTTAGGGCGTAGTCAGATATACCACCTCCTATTCTGCCAGATGAACATCATCTTGCTATGTATGGTCGAACGCTTTGACGTTCAAATCTCCAGAGGCCAAATTCTCAGTCACTCGACAGCGGCCTGAACTCAGATGACTGTTTACCCATATTTGAGACTGCGGCATGCCATTAAAGCCACCTGGGCACCAAGCCTTACTATGGGGACAAGAAGGAGCGCTGTTATGCGCCACTGAATATGTATGCACTACACAAGCTTTCAAGCCACTCATTAAAGGCGAAAGTACGGATTACGGAGTACTCCGTACGCAGACTCAACTTCCTGCAGCCTAGGGGCTAGCACAAGCACAAATTGAGCTTCATGCGTTACCATCCGGCTGGAACCGAACCCCACATGGATCATTACAGATATGCAAGCGCAATCCTTCGGCCATCACTACAGGAAGCTATTGCAAAAAGAGCAATAGTAAGGAGTAGCAGGTTCTAGATTTGTCAGATCGACAATGGGATTCTCAGGGAGGACTAAGTCTTCCCTACGGAGTACGGAGTACAATGCAACGTATACGTACAACATAGCCCGAGTAGATCTATGCATGCCGCCCCAATCTCATATTTGACGTTAGATGGCGTTGACAGCAAATTGGCAGGGGCTCAGACCGGGAGTACGGAGTACGGAGTGCACAAGTACTGATCCTCAATAGCTCGGTGGATCATGTCATGTTGTATTTTAGTTTCTCGGGTACGGAGTACGAGGACTGTGGAACCCCATTTTTAAAGAAGCTAAACTTCTTGGCTGGCGGGATTGCAGCTCGTGCGCAGGCCCAACCGTTCGGAAAAACAATATAAATATCCTATTTGGGGAAGAACGTGTGTTTTGAACGCTTCAGAACGTTCGCTAGCTCTAACCTAATGTGGCCACTCAATTTATCTTGACTGCTGTGATAGGTTGATGTTATGGGCTTGTTTTAAGCTAACAAGAGCGAGCCTTAAGGAGTAGAATTGAGTATTAAAATTGCAGCCTACATACTATATTTAGTGAATTTGTACGTGCACGCACGGAGTACAAGTAATCCGTGCTGAGTCGCAACGGCGCAACGCCGACATGCCTATCATGTCTTAGTGCTTTTCTCCTGACGTACTCCGTACACCGAATCTTGGTTGTGATATCACGGGGCCCCTGAGCACCACGCCAAGTGGGGCAGATGAGATGGCTAATTTCCATCATCTTGAAGTCTATCTTGGCGTGCAGATCGCTTTTAAAGTTGTCCACAACGGTGGAGTCCTAAACTTAGCATGGAAAAAAACCCCATGGCTTAGTCTAGCTTCAAACCGGAGTTTTGAATTTGTGAGCGAACTGTCTTAGTCTGGAATTGTGTCAGAAATAGACAATGGCTCTAGTGGGGACCTCGGGGCGAAGGATTGTGCACGGCATTTAGCTGCATGAGTGGATTCGTATCCTTGCAGACGTTAGAAAATCGATTTTCAGCTTGGTCGCTGTTCACTGTCTATATGCCTTTCTATCGAAGGATCAATCTAAAAAGTTTCTTATGTACAAATCCGTCATATAGACCGTCTTACATGATCCCAAATAACCAGCGCCCCTCATAAAAAAAATATTGTACAAAGCATTATTGACGTACGTGTTTGTAGCACGGGTAGCTCGCTCACCGGTTGGAAAGTCGGTTTCCCCACTCCTTAGGGGATGTCGAATGAGCTGCCCCAGAAGCCCCCTCCACAGCCCACGGCTCACTCTGCACAACAGTCTCTGAGACAACCGTGATGTCCTTGGAAGACGGTTCGGACTGGGCGAGAATGTGCTCATCACTGCCCCATGCAGACGTCTGCATGTGCGAAGGTCCTGCTCCACTCATCTTGCTCTTCTTGTCACGATCACCACGGTTTGTCAAGGTCTGCAGACCTCGACTGGTGGAGAGTGGGTATGATTGAGAGTTCTTGCCAGAAGAACTGAACAGCTGGGAGAGACCGATCTTCTTGAAGCCTCTGCGGATGAGAGGTTGGATGATGGGGAGATTGGAGACGACGATTGACACGAAAGTCTCACGGCAGGCCCACTTGGATCCTGCTACGGCACCGTCGGGGCTGTTCTGTGGTGTGTGTTAGATTTGAGACCCGCAGTGTATGTTGTGATGTATGACGTACGCTCATAATTGTCGCGGCTCGAATGATACCGGCGATCATGACGAAGGTGGCACCGGAGAAGAGGGCCATGAGAGGGACTTTGCGCTTCATGCCAATGTTGACGGTCCAGAGGAGAGGAAGTGGGATCGAAAGAAGGTACATGTCTGTGACGATATTGAGAATCACGGTAAGGAGAACATAGACGCGGGAGATAGTTGGTTGACAGAAATCTGGAATCGCGGTTAGGCAGGACTCGTGTAGAGGATCATGGTAGTACTCACTTCCAGGATTGGGAGTAATTTGCCAGAATGCATGGAAGGGTTGGCATGAAAGAAGGAGAGACAGCTGAGTTGCAATCCATGTTACAGCGAGAATGACATATGCCACTCGAACTCGAGTGGGAAGATGTTGGAGGCCAGTCCTGCGATGCGGTCAGTACGTCGAGTTGTGTGATACTTCAGGTGAAGACATACGTCAGTCGACCGTAGAAGATAGCCAAGCTAAACTTGATCAGCCATAGAATGGCCACATATAACGACCAACCGATGATCTGGATCTTTGATCCAGCCACACGGTTTGACCATTCAGTAGAGGCGGGGTCCAAAGTTGCTCGTTGCTCGGTCGTCATGAAGCTATTCGTGAGACCTTCAAATCGAGCACCGACGAGATATGCGGCTATGGTTTCCAAAATGAAGCAAATCTGTGATGAAAGCAAGGTTAGATTGACATCTTCCATGACCTCGGGACTTGGAGAGCACATACGCCAGCCAGTGGCATCAGATAATCATCCAGCTGGAAGCTGGCAGGTCCAACAAGTTTCCATCGTACTGAAATGCGCACGATGATAGTAAACAGGCCCAAGGACAGCAAGGTCCAGGCTTCGACGTTACTGGCCATTTCGTAAAGAATGCAGGAAGCTAAAAGAGTGACATCCCTGACGTGAAGAAAAGAGCGGAGCCAAGTGCATTTATTCTCGAAGAATCCCAAACAGTTGGAATGGCAGACTTCACTTCACTTCAGAAGGGGACCATATAACTAACTTTGAGCCACACTCCACTGGACTCCATCGACACTCCACTGTGTATCCACTCAGTCCAGTCGGGGAACCTGAGAACGTGCGATCTACATGAACGACACGGCCTGCCAATCTGGTCCATCTTTTGCCGCAATCGGTGGCGTCTCGAATTGAGTGGAGTGCATCCTCGGCCGCTGTCCGAAAGTGAAGCCCTACTTGGAAGCCATTGGCCAATGAAGCACCCGCTTACCTCTTCCCTTTAGCTCCCTGACCTCGTCTTCTCCATCTCGTATTTATACTTCTACAGTTCCCAAGAGTCAATTACCCTTTACCAAATTTTGAGTGTTTCTTCGTTTGTCATATCCTCTATTCATTATGTCCACATTCGACTTCATCGTTGTCGGAAGTAAGCGCCGCTACCCCTTGATCCTGACCCTGACACATCTGCACTCTATTGATTTGCGGGGTGACATGCTTCCAAACAAACCCCCCACACCCACCATCTCCCCAGATTAATCTGACAATTGTTGGCAGGTGGCCCCTCCGGCAGTGCGATCGCCGCCGGTCTCGCCAACTCAACCGCCAAGCCCCGCGTTCTCCTCTTGGAGGCCGGTGATGCCAAAGAAGACCGTAATTTGCGCGTCGATGGTCAGCGATGGACCACCTTTACTGATCAGTCTATGAACTGGGGCTTCAAGACCACCCCACAACCAGACTGTGCCAACCGTGAGATCGACTACAGCCGTGGTCGCTGCATGGGTGGGTCCAGCGCTATTAACTTCGGCGTGTACAGCGTCGGAGCTCGTGACGACTACCAGGAATGGGCTCGCATCGCTGGCGATGACAAATTCAGCTGGCCCAAGATTCAGCGCAGATTCAAAGCCCTGGAAACCTTCCATGGTCAGATCCCCGACGGTATCGATAGCAAGTATGCCGACCCCAAGACCAGAAACCACGGCAGTGAGGGTCCTCTGCATGTTGGCTTTGCCCGTGAGTGGGAGCGGGATCTTACCGATGTCCTGGATGTCTTTGAGGAAGCTGGCTTCCCATTGAACCCCGACCACAACTCTGGTAACCCAATCGGCATGTCGGTGATGATCAACTCGGCCCACCGTGGTCTGCGCTCCATGGCCAGTGACTTGGTCAAGGGCAGCCAGGATAACTTGACTGTTGTCACCGGTGCCCCGGTCCAGCGTATTCTCCTTGAAGGCAAGAAGGCCGTCGGTGTCGAATCCAACGGAAAGAAGTGTAAGCATCCCAGCTCTCCCAATCAAATGCGGAAGACTGACAGTTCCCAGACTACAGCTCAGTGGAAGTCATCCTCTCTGCCGGCTCACTGAATGATCCCCGCATCCTGATGCACTCGGGTATCGGTCCCGCCGCCCAACTCGAGCAATACCAGATTCCCGTCGTGCACGACGTCCCAGCCGTCGGCCAAGGCCTCCGCGACCACTGCTTCGTGCCAATGGTCAACACCCGCACTGAAACCAGCACAGACCGCAAAGCCTTCTACGGCGACAAAGCCGCCATGGACGCCGCGCAGAAGCAATGGCAAGAAGACGGGACAGGACCATGGGCCAAATTCGCCTGCGAACTAGGCATCGGCTGGTTCAAGCTCGCCGAGCAATTGACCTCCTCCCCCGAATTCAAGGCCCTCCCTGCAGATGAGCAGAAGTACCTCCTCGCAGAGACCGTCCCTCACTACGAGGTTATCACCCACTTCCCCATCCACTGGTTCATTCCCGATTTCCCCGCCGAGGCCCTCAGCTACTCCTGCCTGCTGGTCTTCCTTTTCAACGCCCAGACCCGTGGCGAGGTCACTCTCCAGTCCTCAGACCCCGACGCACCCCTTTCCTTCAACCCTAAGTTCCTAGCTCATCCATTCGACCGCAAGCTGGCCATCGAGGCACTGCGTGACTCGTTCCGCGTCGCGAAGCACGACTCCTACAAGAAAGATAACATCGCCGAGCTGGCTATGCCGAAGAGCGAGTCCGACGAAGACCTGCTCGAATACTGGCAGCAGAACATCTCTTCCAGCTGGCACATGACCGGTACTGTGAAGATGGGCAAGAGTGGTGACGCAGATGCAGTTGTGGATCCTGATTTCAAGGTCTTCGGCATTGAGAACTTGCGTATCGCTGATATGGGTGTTGTGCCCGTCTTGGTCAACGCCCATGTTCAGACTGTCGCCTATGTCACTGGTGTTACTTGTGCGGAGAAGTTGATCAAGGAGTATCAGCTTAACGGACCTGTCAGAGCGGCTAAGCTTGCTTAGATGGCGATGGTGGAAAATATTACTACATTTTGCATACAAGGTCGGTTCCTTGATGGAATCACCTAGCCCAGCATGGATTTTCATGGATTCAGAAGATTGAGACTGGATCTCTTCTAGGTGGCACTTTGATAATTGCTTAGCTCTAATACATCGATGACATGCCTTACTCTAATCACGTCTCCATAGTTCACGTAGGGGATGTACTAACACATACTCTACATGTCTCGAAGAGCATGAAATAGTTGTTTGCCAAGAAAATCGTCAAGTAGCATTGTATGTTCTAGTACTCGTGACAGAAAAAATATCAAACAATCAATAGATAGATGGAAACACAGTTCCATCAGAAAGAAGGTACAGAAGAAAACGCAACAAGATTACACCAGATCATTAGAAACTCCGGGACCAGTCCCTCAGTAAGTGACAGCAAAGCGAACGGACACCAAAGATGCGATGGCAAGGGATTGTACAACAGGTCAGAACGCCAAGAAAATGGGTCTATACAGCGAATGGAAGAAGGGTAGATGAGATGTGTAAGGTTCGAGGGTCGAGAATGGGATGAAATCAAATGCCGCCCCATCGGTTGCGAAGACCCTCTGACCACCGCGAGTAGAGGACATCAGTGAGTTGTTTGGTGTGCTCCATTCCGGGGGCTGGTTGGGTGGTCGGTGGGGGTGATTGGGGAGTTGGTTCGGGGACATATGATTGTCGACGGCGGTGGCTTTTGAGGTGAGGGTTGTTTTGGGCCAGTACCAGACGAGGACGGGATGGGGAGTCTGGTTGAGTTGAAGGGAGGAGGGTGGAGAGACGGGAGTCAGACTGAAGCTTTTCATTCATTATCCTGACGATGTGGTATAGTCCTTCGGGGTCGACCATTTCAAGATCGCTGAAGGCTTCTGCGAGGCGGGATATGGCTTCACGTTTGTCGCCGTCGCCTGTCGTAGAGAGAACCTCTTGACAGGAAAGTCCTACGGCCTTGCTGTATGCGCGTCGGCCAATCTGGGCTTCTTTGCTTGAGGAGTCGGTCGAGGCGGTCTTGGGGCTGACGTTCTCGTCGTATCCTTGTCTCATTTGGTTTGGCTCTTGGACTTTGTCTGAGACGCGGCGGAACTGTCGAACTGTTGACGGGCTGTTTCCGTAACTCAAATCCAAACCAAGTGGCTGCTTGACGCCGCTTGAGCGTCGCTTGGTATTTGCCTTTCGAACAGAAGGTGATCGATCGGTGGGCGCGCGTCGCACAGTCGAGTTGGCTTGGTGCTTTGGTGGAGGTGGGGGTTGTGCGATATGCAAGTCCTGCATCATTTGCGCTGGATCGGGCATATTCTCGTCCTCCTCGTCGAATGTCATCCAGTCGGTGCCTCCCTTGGGCTTCCACATTGGAGGAGCCTTGACGGTATCAAAGACCCAGTCGTCCTCGTCTTCCTCGTCCGGTCTCGTCATAGTGTGGAGAGACTCCGCGTAGTACCGCGGGTCTTTGGGCTCAGAGCGGTTTCCATCCCAGTCCTGCTTGCGATGGATAAGCTCTTGCAGCGCTTCGACCTTGCCCGCATTGCGGATGAACTTATGTCTCAGCAGCTCCTTGGCGCTGGGACGCATGTCAGGGTCTTTAGTCAAACATTGTGCGATGAAATCCTTGAAGGTGTTGCTATAGTCATTGCCCTCGAGGCGCGGGGCCGGGTTTTTAGGAATGAGGAAGAGGACTTTCATAGGGTGTGTGCTGGCATGTGGGGGTTCGCCGTTGATCATCTCGATTGCCGTGATTCCGAGGGACCAGATGTCCGCCTTGAAGTCGTATCCAGCCTGCTGGATAACCTCCGGCGCCATCCAGAATGGAGTTCCGACGAACGTATTGCGCTGCGATTTGATATTGACCAGCTGCGCGGCCACACCAAAGTCGGCTAACTTCACTTTTCCAGATTGGGAAAGCAAGACGTTAGCCGCTTTGACGTCGCGGTGGATCTTTCCTTCATTATGTAGGTAGTCCAGGCCTTGGAGAAGCTCCCGGCACACGATGGCAACATGGGCCTCATTGAAACATCCTGGTTTCAACTGAGATGGTCAGCAGGGACATGGACAAACGACCCAACCGATATCATACCAAATCTAAACAGGAGCCACCCCCGAGGTATTCCATCACAATCCATAACTTGTGGCCCTTTAGGAAACTGGCTTTGTATTGTGTAACGTAGGCGCTGGCGCAGGTAGCCAGGACCGAAATCTCCTGTTGAATTTCCTGAATGTCGTCTTCGCTGGACTCGAGATCGATCTGAAAGGGTCAATGATGGGAGAGCAAAGTGATCGGAACGGAATCGTACGTGTTTAATGGCGACGATCTCGCCGTCAGTCTTGTCAATGGCCTTGTAAACCACGCCGAAACTGCCACCTGCAAACGGAGACGGGTTAGCCGGGGAAAATGCAGAAACCAGAAACCTTGAGACTTACTGCCCAACTCCTCCATCACCTGATAATGACTTGACATGTCGTCTGCCATTGTGCAAGCGTACTCCAAAAGGTATAGGATACAAAGGAATAATAATGGAGACTCAAACGAGAGAAAGAGAGGAATGCCCGATCTAAAGGCCTAAGGGGTGGAGCATAAATCCCCAAACAAGCTCCGTCTCGCATGGCAACGGGCGGCCTCAGGCCACCAACCGGGGAAGTACCATGCATAATTGCTCTGCAAGGGTCCACTCTAGGATCTTCACTGCTTCTACTTCGTGCATTGCACTTTATATCGGGCTTGATAGCGGTGTGCACATTAATTTCGCTTTGTTTTGGCTATATACGTCCGGTGGTCTAAATGTACTTGTAGGGGGTTCATGATGCCGTTCTGGGAAAGAAAACATAATGTTAGCGATGGAATCCTCGGGAGTCGATAAATCACTTACAGGATCATAGAGGTTCTTCAACTGCTTCATCAGCTTGACCATCGTCTCGTTCTGGCTGTAACCAATGAACTCTCGCTTGGCAACACCGAGGCCGTGCTCAGCGCTGATGCTGCCCTGGCGCTTCTGGATCCACTCATACACCCAAGGCTCAATCGCCTTCTCCACCTCCTTGTTGTATTGACGCACGGAAACGTTCAAGTGCAGGTTCGAGTCACCCATGTGACCGTATCCGACAACAGCGCGCACAGGGAAAGAGTCATCGTCGCCCACGAAACCCTTCTCGGTAAGACGAGCCTTGCAGTCCTCTACAAGCTGGTACAGATCCGCCAGTGGGATCGACACATCATACTTGTAGGTGCCGCCCAGGTGGCTGAGCGACTCGGTGATGCCCTCACGCCAGCGCCACAAGGCCTGGAACTGAGTCTCGTCTTGCGCCAACACACCGTCAGCAACGATTCCGTCGCCCATCACGCTCTCCAGGAACGATTCCAGCTTGGCCATGTCGTGCTCGGCGTTGGATCCACTGGTCTCCACCAGACAGTAGAAGGGGTACTCGCCCTCAAGAGGGTGCTTGTTACCCGTAGACTCAATGACCAAGCCCTGGCTGCGACCATCCATCAATTCGAACGCAGACAGAATCTCAGAAAGCTGGCCCTTGGCCGCAAGGTAAGCCTGCTGCACCTGCTCGAAGCTCTCGAGACCGAAGTAGGCGACGTTGACGGCCTTGGGGCGAGGGGGGGCATTGGATAGATACAGCAGTCACCAGGCCGATGGTACCCTCGGAGCCAATGAAGAGCTGCTTCAGATCGTAGCCAGTGTTGTTCTTACGCAGGGTAGATAGTGCGTCCACGATAGTCCCGTCCGGCAGGACCGCCTCGAGACCAAGCACGCTACCGTGCAAACTTCCGTAGCGCAGGAGACGCAGACCACCAGCGTTGGTGGAGACATTTCCTCCGATGTGGCAGGATCCCTTAGCACCCAGGTCTAGGGGGAACAGGTGGTCCCGCTCGGCGAGATATTGATCCGCAGTCTCGAGGATGACACCGGCATCGGCAACAAGAACACCTGACGCGGCGTCGAAGGAGCGAATCTGGTTCATGCGGGAGGTGTTGATGACGATCTCATCGAACACGGGCACTGAGCCACCGACCAGTCCAGTGTTTCCACCCTGCGGCACAACGGCCAATTTGCGCTCATTGCAGTACTTCAGCACCTTGCTGACCTCCTGTGCGTTCTGCGGCTTCAACACAAGCCGGGTGTGGCCACGGTACTTGCGCATCCAATCGCTGTTGAACGGCTCGATGTCGTCTGCTGCGTCGGTGGTCACGCCATCGATCACGGCGGACTGAGAGCCCAGAAGTTCTTTGAAGTGGGCGACATCGTCGGCAGAAATCTCGGCGAAGTTGGGGTTGCGCTGGACGTTGTAGGCCTCGCTGGTGTATTTGATTTGGCGCGAGTCGGCGGTGCGGGTGGAGCTAGAGGCGAAGGTCCGCGTGGTTGCGGTCAACGGTGTGAATTGGACGGGGCGAAGAGCGAGACGCGGACGAGGCACGCGGGCTCGCCGCAGAGCAGCTGTGAGGTTCCTGGCGCTGGACATGGTTAAACAATGCAAGAGGAATAAATAAATTTTAGGGTTGAAGGCCGAGTGGAGATTCCGCTCCGATCTGCTGCCGACGCTCTCGGCGCTCATCGGCGATTCTTTCAGCCGTCCACCTAAACCGGTCCTATTGCTCAGCGACTCTATCGAATGAATTTACGCTCTATCGGAATCTGTTGAATGTATAGCATCCATTTAAAAAATGGCTCAACACCATTTATATAGGTTGGTTTGACCTAATTGGGCGGAGTTGGGTCTTGGTACCTAGCCTATGCCTGGCCCGTCAGTGCCACCCATAACTATATGTACATAGCAGACAGGGTATTGGGCCAATAGCAGAGTAGATCAGCATCTTGACGGACTAGAGGCTCAAGCCAAGACATCTATATCCAGGTCTGACAGAGCCCCAGCGACCTATATCACAGTGACTGTATCTGCCATTGCCAGTGTCTCGAACATATACTCCGTACCAACTGAGACCCTCTGAATTCCACAACGTCATGCAGGGCCAAGTGCAACTTTAAACCGACATGTCTGTGCATGTGCCGTGCAGCCCATGAGCTCACGAGAGACGGGCGAATATTCGGGTGGAAGGTCAAGTTGATGGGGATTCGCTGAGGAAAAAGCCACCGGCAGCCAGAAGTAGTTGGCAGTCAGTTACGTCACCGTGGCCCGACTCCCAAAGGCTTCCAGAAGAAAAAAAAGAACAGCTACCCCTCCAACCTACAACCAATTCCACATTATGACTTCCACTGTTCTTGTTACTGGAGCCAGTGGCTTCCTAGGCCGTGCTGTCTTCAACACTTTCCAACACTCCGGCGTGTTGGTCGTTGGGCAGGGATTCTCCCGCGCTGCCCCGCCTACTCTTCTGAAGGCCGATCTCGAGAAAGATGAAGACATCAAGATGCTGTTTGACGAAGTCAAGTAGGCGAATTCCTTCCGGAATATTCATGGTCAGCTACTGACTTACATGTCCAACCCCGCAGGCCCCAGATTGTCATCCATTGTAAGCCACTCGAAGCCACCCGCATGCCATAACCTAACAGACCACAGGCGCCGCGAACAAGTCCCCCGACCTCTGCGAGAAGAACCCGGACCAAGCCCGCAGAGTCAACGTCGAAGCTACACGTAAATTAGCTGCAGAGTGCCATTCCACAGGTGCCTTCCTCATCTATATCTCCACCGACTATGTCTTCCCCGGCACCGAAGGCGACGCACCCTACGAGACAGACTCCCAGACCAATCCTCCCAACCTCTACGGCCAACTGAAGTTGGACGGCGAGAAGGCCGTTCTGGAGACCATTGGCGACTCCGGTCTGGGCGTTGTCCTGCGCGTGCCCGTGTTGTACGGAAATGCCAAGGAGAACTCCGAGAGCGCGGTCAACACCCTTGTCGACGCTGTCAAGAAGGCCACCGAGGAGGGTGCCAATGTGACAATGGACGACTGGGCTCTGCGCTACCCCACCAACACGGAGGACGTTGCACGTGTCTGCCGTGACATTGTCATCAAGTACCTGCGCGAGAAGGAGAAGCGCAAGGAGCTCCCTCGCGTCTTGCAGTTCTCGTCCGAGGACCGAATGACCAAGTATGAGATTTGCCAGAAATTGGCTCAGGTTCTGGGCGTCTCGATTCCCGGTATGATCGCCAACAAGCAGGGCAATGATCCCAATGCTGGTGTTGTGCGACCTTATGATACCCATCTTTCGACCAAGGCACTGACCGAGCTGGGGATTGACGTGCGGACAATGGATTTCATTGCATGGTGGTAAGTGCGGCAAATTTTTGTGATGAACTGTACTAACGACATTCAGGCGTCGCGAGTTGGGCGCGAACAGAAAATAAGAGAAGAAGATCTAGGCGTCGGACTATAGAGAATCCTGAAACCAAAAAAAGAAAAGGGCGCCGACAATATATCTCAATATCAGTGAAATCACCCCGACGACCACATCGCCATCCCAACCAGTCCTCTGGGTACTCCGTACAAAGTAAACAAAGTAGCACCGAGGCTAGGAATACGGAGTAATAAGGGCTTCGATACCTCTGAACGGATGGTCCACTCGAACGTCGGATGAAAAATAAACAGATGCAGGAGGCGAATGTGATTTGATATCGTCGCACATCATTCAAACCTGTCAGTGCACTTGCTTCTCTTACCTCGGCCATGCCTTTTCATTGCCAATGTGTTTCCACTAGGATTTGAGAAGGCAGTTTTTGTATCACCTCTGTACTCCATACCTTGTCTCGGTTGAAATTGGACGAATATTTTCTCGACTGAGATCTGCTGAAGTCGGTGGGTGTAGAATAGATTGCACATAGGGCTGTGATCGTCTTGTGGACCCCTGTGATCGAATCACATTCTGCATGGTCTGATTCAATAGTACCTGTCGATCATATCAGATGCAAAAACACTTCCGAGGGCTCAAGGGCACTCTTAAAGTCTTTGGAGCCCTGGATTGCGCAAAAATAGTGTTCAAAGAGGTAGACGTGACGACGCGCGCGGCGCGTCCGGAAACGGGGCATTCCATTTCCACACGTTCTAGTCTGCACCAGACTGGCCATGACGAAGGCAAGAACTTGGTGAGTCCTATATGACCAGTCGAAACGCACAGTCGCTGGTCGGGGCGGGCCGCAATTTCCAAGGCAGAGTCAATTCAGAACGGGACGGTTTGATCGTGACGACTAGGGGCGTGGCAATCTCCCCTCCCACAGTCTCTTTTCCTACTCCGTACCTATATTGTCACTACTCTTGCCACTGGTACTCCGTATTCGCTACGCTCTCTGCATTTTAATGACCAGTGGGAACCGATCGTTGCTCTCGAGCAACACCCTTGATCGTACCTGAGACACTTGAAACGTCCGTCTCGGCCCCCAGGGGCGCTTCTAAATTAGTGAACGGGTCAATCCAGCGAAAACAAGGAAGCCGTGCGCTCGATCCTCCTCGAGAACCGTGGCACGCGAGGTGCAGACATCGAAATGTCCGCCTCCTCTGCGCCAACCAGCATGGGTGAACAGAACCCTTCGATCGCAAGAAGTCGATCTCGATACCGTCGCAATCGACCGACAACTGGAAACGGCCCACCTCCCACACCCGCGATCTCGGACCACGCGCGAACTCCACCACGGCAACCCGCGAGAGAAAGTCCCCGGACGGGGTGTGCTGCGAGGCACACCGAAGAGGGAATAAACGCACGTGATACACACCGGCAAGATGCGATGGACCAGCTGACTGGCGGCGATAAGTCGCTGCAGAGTCGACCGCCACCGTCCGCCATTGGAAAACCCCCGCAAAAAGTGGACGCGCGACAAAGATTACCCCGAGGCGAACCGGCGCATCCACCACGCAGCGCGCAGTCTGGGGAACCGGGTCGCAAATCTTTCTTTCAAAAGGTCAATTTGAAGGTGAGAGACCATGTGAAAAAAACCGACCATGCGCCGAAATACATTGGAGTCGGTGGGACTGGCGTGGTTCCGGGTGTTGATGCCCCTGTTAGCGCCGTGAATGCTGGGGAGCGACATGCGCTTGTCACGTACGGGGATGCCCAGGCAAACCTCGCTGTCACTCCGTCAACTCAAGTGAAGGACCTCTTGCATGATGCGGCCGAGAATCTGTCTCGCGACATTGATGCCGACAAGTTCATTCTGATGGAGTCTTTCTCTAAACTCGGCCTCGAGCGCCCTCTGCGCCGGTATGAGCATGTACGAGGCGTGATGAACTCTTGGTCCCACGATTCCGAAAATCGCTTCATCATCATTCCACCGTCCAGCGTGGAAGCCCTCGCCCAGCTTGATGCCGCGCATGCCCCTTCTGAGCCGCCGGTTCCGATCACCGTGCAAATATACCATTCCCAACGCCCTCGGAAATGGGACAAGCGGTTTGTCACATTGCGTGCAGATGGGCAGGTGACAATTTCGAAGAAGGAAATCGCGAAAGAGCAGACCAATATCTGCCACTTATCCGACTTTGACATCTACTTTCCCAGTGCGCGGGCTTTGAACAAAGATGTCAAACCACCAAAGAAGCTCTGCTTTGCCATCAAAAGCCAGCAAAAGTCATCCATGTTTCTTTCAACAGAGAACTTCCTCCATTTCTTCTCGACCAGCGACAGGAATGTCGCAGACAAGTGGTATCGAGCTGTACAGAAGTGGAGAAGCTGGTACCTCGTCAACAAGCTAGGCTCCTGCCAGAAGGCAGATGTCGATACACCACTCAAACGTTCCGGCACCAGGAGGTCAACTCGACAGAGAAGCATACCCCATGACGTCCCGCTGCTAGACCGGGAAAGCCCAGCCGAATCCCCCAGCCGAAGGAGCTCTGATCAGCCGCGACCATCAAGCTCCAAGGATATCTATGCCAGAAAGAAAGCACAACGAGGACACGTTCCCCCACCATCTTCATACCCCAATGCCCCAACAATCGACACAGACGTGGCTGGGCCTTTCACCGACAAAGAAGCCCTGATCTCAGGTGTCTCGCCCGAAGAAGTGGAAACGTCTACATTCTCCCCGTCCGGACTTCTGGGTCGTACTTACACGCAACGACAAGGCGCAATGCGCGAACGAGAAGACCGGGAAAAGCGAAGCAAACAAGAACCTTTCACCGGTGGCCTTATGGCCGGCACATCGTATGACTCAGTTCCAAACAGCCGATCAAACACCATGACCCGAGCCCCAGACCTCTCATCCTTCCACAAGCCTCTCGTCGACTTGACACCCGTCTACGCCGAACCACCCCAGCACAGCCGTGTAGGCAAAGGCCACGGCGTCAAAGTCCAACCAGGCATGCAACTCATCGATGGTGCAACCGGACCTGAGCTGACACAGGGTGCCATCGCCATCCCACCATCAACCTCCTGGCGACGACCAGCAGAGGTCCCGCAGCGCCGCAACACCACCCGCAGCGTGCGCGAGCGCGAGCGCGAGCCAAATCCATACACCACTCCGGATGTACCGGTGTCGAAAGATTTCACGCCAAATAGTCTCCTTGCGCATTCAGCTAGCACGGCTACGCCGCGGAAACAGAGAACCGGTCACGGCGTCGCCACAGGAGATCGCAATGCTACGAAACCGTTGCTGGATATGGCTCCTGAGAATCCTTTTTCTGATGGTAGTCTGCTGCGGCAGCTATGACCTCAACGCAGCGCAGTCTTTACGCACGTGGAATGCTTATCTTTGTTAGATACCCAAGTTATGTCGATTTAGTGCCATCGAAATATCATTATGTTCGATTGAATCTCGTCGATTTAGGGAGGTTTAGGGGAGTTCATTAGCTGATCTTTCAGCATATATCCAATCACCCGATATTTATAGAAATGGGATATGAGAACGGGGGGCCCACCTATTCCACAACGAAAAACTTGTTTTCGGCGCATGGTATTGTTTTCTTGCGATCCATGGAGTCAGTCACCCATTGAGCCGAGCTCCTAACCCAAGTCACTGGCTGCATATACCATAACCGCCGGAGATATTCTTTACATATCTTATCCGTGACCCTCAGCCAATTTGATCGATCTCAGTGCCCCAAATTTTGATGGAAGCATGTATTGGGCATTTGTTTTGAAATGTCTCTGTTAGAGGCGAACGGGCTACTTCCCATCAACACACAACACACCATTGAGGGACAAGGTATTGGTACAAGATTGACTGTGCTTATTTCCCCTTCAAGAGAAACGCGCAGAGTGAGTGCCTCCTTATCTTCCAAGGTTGTGATGCTTCCAATATTATTCTCTAACGCAAAGTCCATATTACCCTAGCGGAAGACATTTCAAGCACGGTTTATCAAAGCTTTTCTTCAATCTGCTAAACTCCAGCGACAACAGTACACAGATCGCAACAAAGCAATTTACACATCCATCTAGATTCGGTTCATTCCAACAAGCCAGAATTCTCCTTTCAGCTAATTAAACCGCAAATGATACCATGTAAGCAGCAAATCACAGATCTTGGGAATATCCCTATCCTGAATCAACATCACAGCCCAAAGATCCCAAACAGACCGCTGAACAAACCGTGGTTGTGATGGTGATGGTGATGGTGATGGTGATACACATAGGTTGTCGTGTCACCATTACCCTGTTGACTTTGTGCTTTATCGGCTTTCTTCCTGTCCTTTTCATCCTTCTTATTAGCATCCTCCTGTTTTTTGGCATCACTCTGCTGCTTTCGCACAGACTCATAGACCTTAAAACTTTTGAACTCCCAATAAGCATCGACAAAGCTTGCCGGGCTCTTCGCCACAAACTCTGTACATGTAGCAGGGCAGTGGTACATAGTATCGTAGTATTGCGTCTGCGCCGCAAGCTCACCACACAAATCGATATTGGCAATGATACTCTGGTTCTTGAAATGAGCACCAATATTACACTTGGTACTGGGAAAGTCGGCTAAAGCAGTTCCCCAGAGCGATGTGTTGGGATCGACAAGGCTGGTATCGTTGGGAACAGAGTCACGACTGAAATACCAAGTTCGAATACCTTCTTGACGCACTTCGAGTGCGTACATGCCACCGCCGTTGTTGTTCATCGCCTCGCCGTAGGTGGAAGCATTCCCCAGGACTCCGCAGCCTGCATTTCCGTCATTGGTGTCATCGCACTTCTTGGACAGTATCTGTCCAGTTTGCTTGCGCTTGACATCCTTCATCGAGCAACCTTTGGTAGTATGAAGAGTGACTTCATTTCCATGACTTCCTTCATTGGTCGTTTCAAGAACGTCTATCTCGCCATTCTTTGGCCAGTTGTATCCATCTGTCAACCACAGAGCAGGCCAAGTACCGCAGCCGAAGGGGGTGTGAATGATATCGAAGATGAAGAGACCTTCATCGTATGTTTTCTTCGACTCGATACGCACGGAGTTTCGTCCGTGCTTTGCATTGCGGGTCTGCGCGTCCACGCGCAGGATTGCGGATGACTCTGTTGCGTGTGTGAGGTTGAGATGAGTAGCTGTTGTCTCGTTGACGTAGATGACGAAACCCTTTGTTGGGTCCTCTTCGGTGAAATAGTTGAACTGGTCGAAGAAGGTCGGACCGGAGTACTCGTCCACGAGGTTATACTTCAGCGGCCTATACTTGGGATATCGGTTTTTGATCACTTCGACGGGGATGACGGTGACGATCAATATAACGAGGATAAATAGTGGGACGAGGATTCTGGTGCACCGGGTCCAGCCAACGGGGTTATACCAACGGATCTTTTCATCGAATATTGTCCGCACCAGAGGCCAGCGTCGAGGGTTATACCAGGGAATCTGAGTAGGCCCAGATGGTTGGACGATGGTATTTTCGGTTGGCTCCTTGAACTCCAGGGTGGAGTAGTTGGGGGGTGGATCTTGATAATCCATGATAGCTGTCGACTTCGTAGACAGTCGATGAACTCTTGTTTGATGAAAGAGGGAGAATTTCCACTGACCGAACCTAACTATCTCGCCATTCGTCATGAATACCCCCCCGACTCTATACATCCGAAATAGGCATCGATGCATTCCGCTGTAGACCCATGGATAGCTGCGCTCTAAACGGGTTAGTCCAAATGTTATTTCCCCACAACGTCCAACATCTAAGTGGATTGAGACAAGCCAGAACACTGACATAGATTGCTGTTGTGCATCTCTTTGTGCATCTCTAGAGATACCATTGCGCCCGCTATAAAAGTCATTAAGTTCTAAGATAGATCGAGTGAGTCGAATATCTATAATCAGGTCAAGGCGAGGTGATTTCAGGTCCCGGGGAACAGCCTCCACGACTCTTTTTAGAAGGTAAACTTTTTACGTCAAGGTTGTTACCACACCCGAGGGTTGTGTTGAGATTCAAGAAGTAGATATTCACAAGCTAATAGTGCGTATATATGTGCACTGCAACAACAATCGATCCGCCAAAAGATATATGCAAAACGCCCAGACTCTATAGGTATAAACAACAGCAAAAGTCCCGCCCATTTTCTACCGGTTAGATCGAACAGTCGAGGAGCGCTTGACAACGGAAGGCGCATTCGGCGCAGGATTCAAGCTCCAGTCATGAGACTCATGGCCGGACGCAACACCGCCGTCATTTCTCGCTTGGGAGAGGGTGCGAGACTGTGCAGGGGCGAAAGAACGCGAACGTGCGAAGGATTCGCCACCACTGAGGTTTGATGCACGGCGCTGCAAGCGACGTTCATCCTGCTCCGCTTCGTGTCTATTGAGCGCGTCGGAGGGCAGAAGCACGGCCCTATCCAGAGCGTAGGGGAGGCCACGGTGCCGACCACGAACTTGCATGGCGATGATGACTAGTTTCGATACCACGTTGAACTGCCCCGAGAAAGAGGTGTTGGCAGTTGGGTATCCGAAAGATAGACCGACAGTTCCATATGCTGACACGACTTCGAAGAGGACGGTGAACAGCTGGAATGAGTAGTCGGTATCTTCCTGCAATCGACCACCTTCGGAAATAGCGATGATGAAAAGACCCAAGAACACGTACCATAAATCGAAACTCAGCTGGCGTCGCAAGTGAGCTCCGATATAGGTAGGGGCGTTCGTTTCCTCGTCGTGGTCTTCATCGGCGGCATCATAAATTCCCAGACTCTTCTCTTCGTAGACATTGGTTCGACGCATGGAGATGGCGATAGGGAAGACGGAGATATACATCATGATCAGGTAGGAGACTTGGATTGCCGGGTGCAGTTCCGATAGACTGATGATTCCAAAACCGGCGGTTCGTGTGGCAGCAGCTTGGAAGAAGCCATCCACGACTCGGATGCCAGGAGATAGCGCCGTGACGGCAGAATCTTTGAGCTAAATTGAGAGGTGATTAGTGGTAGTCACAAGGAACGGAAGTAGTTGGAAACTTACATCCAGAATCACGAAGAAGATCAGATCAATACCGTTGAGAGCCACGAGAATGGCAAACAGCCACCATGTAGCGTTTCGGGGAAACAGGAGAGTGAAGCATCGGCGGGGGTGGTCCAAGAGGAACTTCAGCTCTTCCCAAAGGGCAGAGCCAGTGCGAGTGAATTTCGAGAGAACCCAGATCATGAGACGAAGCATGCACGGGAAGGCGGTGTTACCGATGATGATCAAGAATGACAGCATCAGCAAAGGAAAGACCGCTGTCTGGAAGGAGTACATGGAGTCGGGTGTCAACGTGAAACCCAGATCGTTGAACGCAGAAGCAGCAGTGAAGATTCCCCACCACGGTCGGCCGACTCCGTCCGCACGTACGACATTGCCCCATTTGTCCTCTGTCATGATCCAGCCGATCATGCTCAGCATACCGATCAGATGGAAGCCGACATAGTAGGTAATGAGAACAACTGCAAGGGTCTTAAGCGCACGGTATTCGATACCGCCAAGCTCATCACGCTGCTCCTCGGTCAAATCAACGAAATTGGAGTTTCGGGCCACTGTCGCATTCCAGCTGAGGTAAGGCTGGGTGTTGAGATCCCGCTCTTGCGTCAGAGACCTGAACACGCTCCTGAACGTGTTCTTGGTTGTGGTAGGTGCGAGGGTCGTAGTTTCATTGCCGTCCTTGGTTTCACGGAAAGTAGGACGCGTTTCCAATCGAGGGAAGGTGTTGCCGCGAGGCCGATTTCTGGGAATGTCCGGCTCATTGATGGTAATGTGCGGTCCTTCGAGTGGACCAAGCTGATCATGGTCTTCAGGGTGTTCTGCGACGTTCTTGCGGTCATCGGAGGGCTGAGCCTGCTCATCCTCCTGTTCCAAATCCTCTTCTAACGCCTCGGGCGCACCACCCCGATCGTACTCCCGAGGACTGGGAATGCGCAGCGCACCTTTATCCTTCCGCTGTTTTTCCAAGAAAGCAATGTGTCGCTCGGGATCCAGACGCGTTGGCACTTTCAAGCTACCAAGTCCAAATCGCGGCTCGGCGCTGGTGTCTGTGTCCTCAGAGCTGGAGTCGACGCTCGCTGTCCGTGCCGGGGTGTTGATCCCGGAATCGACGGCTTTGCTGGCCGCATCCGTCAACCGACCGTCCCGCGCATCGCCCTCACCATCCCGGACCACGACAATCGGTCGCCCGCTGACTCCCAGCTCCGCCCGGTTGACATCTTCGCTTTCCCGGTCCACGGTTACGGTGTCCATCCGCGACCGGGTCCGTCGCATTATTCGAGCGTCTCGAACCACGTGCTGGAAACGCTTTTCGAACCAGTATAATCGGATGAATACCAGCGCGCTGTGAATGAAGATCGGGGTACACAGACACGTAATCAGGTACAGGAATATCTGTTGGTAGAGTCGGAGGCCATTGAGATCGACGGTGTTCAGTCCACTCTGGGTGGCGGCGCCGGCGGCTTGGAAGAGGGCATCGATGTAGCGGATGTTGCCCTCCGGGTACAGGATGATTGAACCCAGAATGGCCCAGGACATGATATAGGCATAGTGGAGGAAAATGAAGTTGAGGTGCAGTTTGTTCAAGATCGGGATCTTTTCCTTGACGGAGGTGGCTCGACGGAGGAAGGCAGAGAACATTTTGAGCAGGCGAATGCGACCAGACCGTCGTTGCCTGGCCACAGGCCGAGTCGGGGCGAATTGCTCTTGAAAGGAGGGGAATTTGTCAATCCTGAAGTTATTAGCTTTTGCACTCGACACCATTTCGTACAGCATACATGTGGTACCGTCGATCGCTACCAAGCGGAGAGTTTCGAAGTTTCGACTGCAGGTCAGAACAGGCCGCCTTTAACCGCGGGTTGAGCCACCAGCGAGGGCATGGTCGAGGTGAAAGGGTCAAAGGTGAAAGACAAGACTAAGAACGACATTGAATGACAATCGAAAAATAAAAATAACCCAAAAAAATGGGCAACCGGTGTTGAGAAAAATCACGCATGCGGTAAGTATAATACCGGTATGGTATTGTCATCTGTCGCCAAAACGTGGGCTTTTGTCGATCGTTTTATCCTGTTTCGGGCTGTGGCGACGCTTTCAGCTCTGCAACTCGAAATGTGATACCATCATCTTACTTGATCTTAACTTGAACAGCTCAGGTTTTTTGAAACACTCAAGTGGGGATTACTGCCCCATTCCCAGCCAAGCTTTACGGATTTCGCCATTCACATCTGAGCGCTTGGCACATACTGGGATCAACCCAGACCTATATGCGTCCAACGTACTTCGTAAATACAGAGAAAGTGGCGGTGCTGGCTAGAACATCATATCTTGGCGATACTGACTTTTCGTACTGCAATATCACAAGGGCAAAGAATAAAAAGCCAAATCTCAAAGCCAAGAACAACATTTCCTTGATATCGCTGCCTAAAGAAAACATTGAACAAAAAATAGGGGAAGCTAGATCGTGGCCCACTTTTCATTCCGGCTATGTCGTGGCCCGTTCCTAGCACCCCCTGTGCTGTTAGGGCTGCCAAAATATTCCCTATCCCGCTCTACTGATTGGTCTTCTTCCCTGACCCAGTCTCCATCCACCGCCCTATAAACTACTCCGTACTTGGCGGTGGACTTGACTACTCCATGCACTTTCCAATGATTTCTCATCCTGTCTCAAGCACGTCTTCTTACTGGCATTCTTGCTGATTCCCGTTCTCTAAGAGGTGGCTTATGTACATCGCCCCAATAGGAAAATGTGATCGGAGCCGCTCACCCGACAATTCATAACATTCTTTGATCTCCTCTCTTTTACTCCGTACTTCACCTCCGGGTGACTCGTCTCTCTCTCTGCCGAGGACAGCTGTGTTCTAATCCATACAACCATCGAGTGTATACAGAAGAAGTGTCATGTGCTTTCTTCCTTTGTTGAAGCCAAAATGAACTCTATCATTCATTGTTGGCACCTCCGGTGGCTGATGTGGCTGAAATTATGACTTGAACGACAAGGCGGCACTCGATCCGACAGCCTTTGATCTCGGTAAACCGAGCTTTGTCAATTTCAAAGTCAGCGACAGACGTTCACGGCTCTGTGCCGTCCTCAGCACGGTTCAATTGCAAGTCCAAGTCCGATTTACAATCGAACTTGTTCTCGTCGCGAGATTGGTTTGTCAATCGATGTTGTTTGTAGCCGCACTCGAGCGATGGTAGCAAATGCTTTGTCCTTTGATTCTTTAACATGGCCTTATTGTGCAATCACACACTTTAGTGTCTAGTCGTGCTTCGATCCATGGTTCTCGTTGGATTTTTCTTCCCAGGTTGAATGGACATGTCACGAGGCGACCAGCCACACGATCTTGGTGTTTCAAACATTTCAGCTGCAAGGCTTTAGGGCTGATATGACCAGTCAGCTATTCTTGGACTTTGATCTCGGGTATCACATTGTGATCATAGCCAAACCCACCTGCCGATGTTCAAAGGTAATTTGGTAATTTGGTAATTTTTGGTTGAAGATCTCATGTAGCTTGGAATGCATTTTCCCGCCTTGGATCTATTGGTGATCGGCGCATCTCGAGATGATGAGGCTTCGAAGCCATCCCTTCGCTTCTTTGGCCTCGATCTTCTTTTTCCACAAGTCTTCCTTTGTTCTTGCTCTCTGCTGCTGACACTCTGTTTTCCCTGCAATTTCACATCACATAGCCTTCCTGCGAGTGATTTCGGGACGGAGAACTCCGTAAGTTGTGATCCATTGATGCCTCCGCTTCCAGAAGCGGAGAGCCGCATTTGAGTATCTGCCATACCACGAGCATCCACGCAATGAATACTTCGTACGCTTCTGTTTATACTCCATACTAGGATGGAGTGTTAAATCAAAACATTTACACACCAGACCTATTTGTGGACTGGGGCTGAAGCTCAGACCTTCGATTCCTTCGCTAGTATCTAAGTCAGACTGATCAACTTTGTAATGCTGCTCAGACCGTACAGAAAACGAGCGCTCTTTGTCAATTCTACTTCTGAGAAATTGAAGAAAAAGATGGTTTTTGCTCCTGTGATATACAATTCCGCAACTATTGAGAACCCTACTTCGAGATACGTGTATCGCTGCCTGTACGATTGCAGGCTATTCATAGTGTATATTTGAAAAGAGGACTCCTCTCCTCCATCTCGCGCAGCTGATTCTCAGTATAACTCAGCTCAATCTCAGATGTCGACATCTTGGCATTCCTCGTATTGGCACTCCACAAGAAGAACTCCAAGCTCAGCGTTGCTATAATTCCAGCGGCGGTGAAGGCAAGCGAAGTGCCATAGCCAGTGGGATACCGTGGCTTCTCGTCAGCTTTGTATATGTAGCTTCCAATGATACCACCGGCATTGCCAACACATATAAGATACCCGATGGCGACAGCGCGCTTATGGGGATTTGGAATGTTGCAAACGTTCCAAGCGTTGACGCCTGGGAGGATGGGGTACATTCCAAAACAGGCCAGGCAAATGCCGAAGTAGCAGAGCGCGATGTTATCATCGATTTCGGCAGCTTTGGAGAATAAGATGGCGAATGCGACTATCAGTGAGCACTGGGGTACTAGAATGAAAGGCATTCTCCAGGAACATCGATCGGCGAACACCGAGAAGCCATACGCTGATAGCGCTCCAACTGCATATGGGGGTATGGTCAGAAGTTGCGCGTTCGCTGATTTGTAACCCATGGATTGGATCACTTCAGGCATATTGAATTTCAGGGCGTAGTTCGGGACTGCGTTAGACCAATTGGCCAGGATCAGAAGGTATATCTTCCAGTCGGTCAGAACGCTCCAAAGTATTCGTTTGCTGAAACCTTCGTGGTGACTGCTATGTGCACTGGATGCCTGTTGGCGGACTTCAAGGTATCGTATCTCATTGGGACTCAACCACCCTGGAGACAAAGATGGAGAATCCAGGAGGAGTAAGTAACAAGCGACAGCCATTGCGATGGTTGCAAGGCCCTCGATTATGAATATCTGATGAGGGCGTCAGTAAGTTGGGTGGACTCAGGTAGGATGCGAGACAAACCCAACGCCAACCTTCATACCCTGCTACGCCGTTCATTTTGGCAATAGCGTATGCCAGCAAGCCAGAGAAGGCACCACCCGAGGCAGCAGACGTATACAGAATAGCGATGCGAGTTTGTGTTTCATTTGGGAGATACCACTTTGATATCACCAGCACAGCGCCGGGTAGAAAGCCAGCTCTGTATACATGTTAGCGGAGAAGCAAAAGCAAAGTGGTGACACGGGTAATTACTCGAAAAGACCAAGCAGGAAACGAATGACCACCAGGCCGGCGAAATTTTGAACGAAGCCCGTGCAAAGCATGATAACACCCCAGCAGAAGATCAAAAATCCCAAATATTGTGACGGTCGCTTGAGACGATTCAGCAGTATATTGCTCGGCACCTCTTCAACACGTCAGTGGAATAGATAGAGGATACTTAGATTTAACTTGCCTGCAAGAACATAAGGTATAAAGAAGATAGACAGGGCAATGTTGTACTGCATTCCACTCATGTGAAGACTTGGAAGCAGGCCCTCGATTTTAGCATTTCCTACCGAAGGTGAGAAGACGAATTGCAAAAGTCTTTGGGGCGTACATACCGATGTTTGTCTTGTCAATGTATGCAACCAAGTAGAGGAGAACAAACATAGGGACCAATCGCATCTATTGATGTATTCAGCGTGAATTCTGGGGATTTGAAGGACTATGGGATAGTTTGAGGCGAATACATACATCGACCTGGTATGAGTCTGTCAATTGTGTTGTTTATGAACCGAAATTAAGAATGAACTCACCTTTTTGATGACTTTTCTCTTCGCCTCTTCCGTGAAGTTAGACAGAAACTCAGCATCGTCGCTAGATAGTCCATGGCCTGGCTGGTCTTCCAGGTGCATCACCGCAGCGTCCTTGTCAGTCATATTGTTTGTGTCGGCTTTAGAGCAGACAGGGTATCAGGGTCGGAGTCACGTCGGATCCATTAGTACCCCGTGGGGTATATGTAGAAATACCGCTAGTGGTGTCAAGCGAATCGTGGGTAAGATCAAAGTCTTGGCAACCCCGGACTCTTGCACTTTAGCTTTCCTTTTCCGTGAAATCCGGCCCCGGACTTAAAACGCCACCACGAGAGTTTCGAAGGCCCCTTGGTTATTTGCCCCAGCCGATTGCGGGGTCACAGGTTGGGGAAACGGAGTCAGGATCTGGTAAGGGGAAGAATGCCTTCGGAAATGTTAGCTCGATCATTCCATTCCGTATTCAAAGCTAGATTTACAGATGAGTCAAGAGTCTGCCAATCACTGAATAGAAATCCATCCAGCACGTTCGACATAGGGTCTTCCTGTAGCAAGACATCTGGAACGGATCCGAGCAAGGTCGTCTCCTGGATAGCCGAAGAGTCAAAACCTGCGTTAGCATCAGGCTCAGCGCGCTGAAGACTGCTTTGTTGAAAAAGGCGCGGATTATTCCGTGTGTTTCGACACCTAAAAGCCTCCGATCGTAGCTCGTCGAGGATCACACTGTATCGCTGGTTGGGGGATAAACCGGCAGAAGCTTGCTCGAGATGGCTACGACACTTTTCTGCGAGATCAAATATTTGACCTGAAGACACATCGTCAATCACGTAGGTGGACCGGGTGGCACGTTGAATTTCCCCAACATAAACCACTGCCAGCGCGCAGAAGATAACGTATTGCGTCCACCAAAATGAATGGAGCAATGTGTTGTCTCCTGCCATTCTGTTGATGAGTTCCAAACTGGCTTTTGTAGAGGACATGCATTCGGAGACTCCCTCGGACGTGGTATCGCTCAACAGGAAGGGCCGATTGGTATGAATCAGAGCATGGAAATAGGCAAGCTGTAGGGCGATAGCTTGACGTCGGAAGCTGGGAATCAGCGTAGATGGCTTCACAGTGCCCAAATGAGGTGGTAGACTTGCACGCCACTCATGGAGTTCACAGCTCAGTCTGTTGGCAGCCGCCAGGCGCTCTTGGTGGGATAGATCGTTGACTGAGTACACTTCCCGTGAAGCGGTTCCAATTATACGTGCAATTCTGTCATTCAATTAGCAGGACATATCGTCTCAGCACAGGGAACTTACTTGGCGTGAAAGATGACAGCATCAATATGACAGTCCGTAGAATCATCTGAAGCAGTAGGCCCTTGCGGTGTCATGTCCTCATCGTTAATCCTGTCTGGAAAGCTTTGATCGATGTCTTCATCTTGGTAAAGTCTGGGTCTTCCAAACACAACGCTTAAGTATTTGTCTATGATGTATGCGACCCAAAACGTGCGCTTAAAGCATTCCGAGGTGATATAATTGTATCTCTTGCTGTTGAAAGGCAGATCTCGTTTCTGATCGCTTCTTCTGTGCATTCCCATAGAAAGTGTGATGTGGAACGTGTTGCCAAATTTATACCAACCTTCATTCATCCGAGCCGTTTGAAGGAGATAGAGAACCTGGATCAGGCGCGCCTGCGCCGACTCCAAACGCGGGAAACCCATCTCTTTCTCGATAAGTTTCACACCAGCGCAGTATAAGCGATCACTCTGTTGTAGAATATGCGCCTCGTCATATGTCGAGAACTCTCGTTCCATCTTCTGGAGGCGCAGAGTTGCGATAGCCATGATGGTCAGTAGGATCGCAGTTCTGGGATTGCCTAGCGACCAACCCATAGGCCTGCCATCTTGTTGGTCTTTCAGGAATAACTCCATCCACCCTTCAACGGTCTGCCGATGAAGCATGCGGTAGGTCACAACACATGACTCAAAGTAGAATTCTTGAAGCTTCTTTGCAGTCGAAGCATCCGGCAAAACGGTGCCGGACGCGTGATCTTCATCGTGAAACGGCCGATCTCCAGCTGATGTGAGCGGCTGATGTCGCTCTGGTCGCTGGTTGTCATTGGAAGTAGATCCATCCTTTTGTACCAACAACTTCTTCCACGCGCGATGTAGAAAATTCAAACCTGAGGTTGGGTCGAAATACTGACCTTCCACGTCTGGCTCAGGGGAAACGCGGTATTGTGTTTCGGGGGCCGATTGATCGCCACTCGGTGAATTTTGCTGCTGCCAAGAGCATGAAGTGATTGAATCACCCCTTCGCAAATCCTCTTGGCAACGATCGATTGTTTTGGTTGAGGACTGTGGAGTCGGCGGTCGACCTCGGCCATATTTCGCGTCATATGCACAGTCGATCTTTCTTCTGGCGCAGTTATTACATGGAAGTGTCCCGTCACATCTTATTTTCTTTCTCTTGCAGATATCGCAAGCCCTGCTGATTTTGGGGTCTTTTCGTCGATTTTCATCGTCGATTTCTTGACTCACACTGGGGCGGACGCGTTTGCCAGAAACATTCCGTGGAGGTTCGGAGGTCGAGGGAGGTGTCCGAGAAAACTGCTCCGATGCCATCGTTCCGCGTCTGAGTCCGTGTCGCAGGCAATGCACGTACAAGGGTCTTCGGAAGATAAACGGAAACGTCGGGTTTATGTAGTGTGGAGAACAGCGGAGTGCGGGGTGACGCGGAGGTCGCGGAGGTCGCGGTGGATGCGGATCAAAAACATAGCCGGAAATTCGGCATTGCAACACCAAGCCAAGACCAAACCCGAGACAGTTTCTAGGATATCTGCTACATGGATTATACGATGACTTAGACCAGATGCGTCGTGTTCCCTTGGCCTGTCTGGAGTAAGGAATAATTTATATTGTTTCTCTCCGAGGACAATAGACAAGATTGAAATGCGACAATATGCGACATAAATCTAGAACAAAAACTAAAGAACTACCTTGCTGAGTGATGCGGCACTGATAGCAGCATGAATCTCCTGTTCAGCACCATCCCCAAGCGGCAAAAGAGGCGGTCGCACAGTTGCGTGAGTCAGGATTCCCCGAGCAACAAGGGCATGCTTGAGAGCCACAGTCCCCTCCATGTGAGACCCACGGTGATACACACTTTTTGTCAGAGGCAAAAGCTGATCATGGATCTCACGGGCCTTCTTGTAGTCCTTGGCCTTGCCAGCTTTGATAAGCTCGATGAGAGGCTCCGGCGCAATGTTTCCGTATCCGACCAAGAAACCGTCAATGTCAAAGGAGGTGTGTAGCAGGTACTCATCGTGACAAGACAGGATCTGAAGGTCCGGTCGTTGGGAACGGATGACAGGGATCTCGGTATCCCAGCGGCGCATGTTTCGCACGCCGTTCTTCATAGCAAAACAGCCGGGTTGAGCGGCGATGTCCAACATGGTTTGTAGGCTGTAAGTAGCCTTCGTGTTGTCGGGGTATTGGAAGAGAATCAGAGGTAGACCGGAGACTTCGTAGACTCGACGGTATCGGTCTTGTGGGGCACCAGGCTGGTATCCGAAGCGCAGCCAGCCATGGGAAGGGTAGAGGAGACCGGCAGCTGCACCGGCTTCCTTCGCACGCTTGGCTTCAATGGCAGCCACTTCAGTGCCCTCGCCGGTGATACCAGCGATGATGGGTACTTTGTTGTCGACTGATTTGACGAAAGCTTTGATGACAGAGACTTGTTCCTCGATGGTGAGGAAGGTGCCTTCTCCAGCATGCCCGAGGACCACAAGTCCTTTCACGCCTTCAATACTACCAAGCCATGATCCAAGACGCTGGATAGCTGGGTAGTCCACCGCACCATCCTCGGTGAAGGGGGTGACCGGGGCTGGGGTCAAACCATGCATGTCAAAGCCAACCATTTTTGTTGATGTGAAAACGAAATAAGATTTGAAGATATTGTTTTGTGATTCTGGATCTCATACTTGCGACGCAAGCCAATTTATCTTACCTCTCCTATCCTTTCGAACAATTTGTTCTAGCAAGGATCTGAGGGGAAGTTTTCGGACTCCCGGATTCCCGGAAATGCCCCCAATATTTACTCAGCGATCGTCCGGCACTAGATTCGGATTCAACGGACCTCCAGATCGTCCGAAAATCAACGACTTATTGAGGGTCTACCGAGCTTTCGTATTGTTCGCCCTCATGGGTAAAAAGCTAACCATCTCTGGCATTCGAACGATCCGTATTCAAAGTACAGAGAATTCAATCGGTGTTGCAACCAATATCTACTATACCTAGCATATCATCTCTGTGTATGAACTTTCAAGGTTTTTGTCTATTTCTTTCTGTCTGGTGATTGTGTCATTCTTCATAGCCCAGATATGGGCATGGAGCCGATCATATCCACGGATACTACCCTCCGCACCATTGATGACATCTCGAGAACCATAGCATGGAAAATCCATGGATCGCATCACCTTTGCTCTGTAACTACTTCAAAATTCTCTGTTATTATCAATGTCCCCCAGTTTTTGGATGGCAAGACCAGCTATGCTGCAATTTGTGGGAAACATTACCAGGGCACAGATAGCATGTATTGCAGCGGCTCTTGTGACTCTCCAATGCTTTCTGTTCATGGATGGATGGGTTATTCCATCCAGCCCAGCTCTTGATATCCGTGTATCACCGGCGACTACCAACTCCACGCCTCCCTTTCACACGAGCGGTCGGTATATCGTTGATTCCAAAGGGGATCCGATCAAGCTCGCAAGCATCAACTGGTATGGTGCGAGTGATATCGATTTCCTTCCATCGGGACTAGATATTCAACACCGAGATGAGATCGCCCAGTTGATTCGACGCCTCGGTTTCAACAGTGTGCGACTGCCATATGCTGATGAGATTGTTGTCAGAAACCCCATGGTAAATGTATCCCTGATCGCTGCCAATATGGACTTGTTAGCTTCTTCCAGTGACAGTGGTAGCCGTCGCGCTCTCGAGGTATACCACGCCGTAGTGGAAAGCCTGACAAGGGCCGAGCTAATGGTCATCGTGAATAATCACATCACACAAGCAACATGGTGCTGCGGTATCAACCCTTGTGACATTGTCTGGTACAACGACTGGCTGTTCGGTGGTCTCTTCTGTCATATCCGACAAACTGAAGAGCAATGGATTCGTAATTGGGAGACCATGATGCGACCTCTAGCTACAAACCCACTGGTCGTCGGCGCAGATCTGCGAAACGAGCCGCGAGGGCTTTGGGGGGCGCTCAACTGGGACGACTGGGCAACGGCTGCAGAGAGACTTTCGGAGCGATTGTTGAGTATCAACCCGAACTGGCTGATGATAGTAGAAGGGATCTCGTCAGCAAATGACCTGTCTGGGGTGCGGAGTCGACCGGTCACACTGACTCGGCCGAACAGAGTAGTCTACTCGGCTCATGTGTACAAATGGTCTGGCTGGGGCCAGTTGTATCCCTTCTCCAAACGATCATATCCTGATTTTGCAGCGGCGATGGATTGGAATTGGGCTTACCTCTTGACTGAAGATATTGCGCCTGTTTGGGTTGGGGAGTTCGGTACCCCTGGACAACCCTCGGGAGGAGATCGCAATTACTGGAGTCATCTGATGCGGTTTTTAGCAGAGTTGGATGTCAGCTGGGGGTATTGGGCGCTCAACGCGCGCAAACCGACCGGGGAAGTCGAGAGTTATGGTTTGGTGGGTGAAGGATGGGACTGGAAGTCAGTGCGGTGGGACGCACGGCTCGAGGACCTGCAAGGGCTTGGTCTCAAAGTTGGGCTTTGAAAGGTCAAAAGTTGCATACCTCAGGGTTCAACACGCTCATTCATCGGGGCCAGTCATTGGCTCCGAGGCAGCCTCGGTGGGGACAGTGCGCTTCGCAGCCCGCTTGGCGATCATCACCAACGCCAAGCTTTCCAGGATCAATAGAACTATGCACGTTTCGCAGGCTCGCTTGTCGACTTGTCTGTGAATAAGATGATCTGAGCATTTTGGCTCTTGGTAGTGCTGATCTGTTGCTCCTTTTTCTGTAGAGTTGAACCTAGGTACCTGCGCTGTACTACGGAGTACAAGATGCTACCATTTGCCTCGGTCACGTACTTTCGTAGTCTGAATTTCCGAGGGACTGTTTCGATTTTGTGCGACTGTCGCCGGGTCTCTCTTCTTTTGATTACTTTTCTCTGTCTCAGCACGCCCGTTATCGCGTTTGCCTTGTCGGTTCTTCCAATCTGTACACTCCGCTCCTGCTGAAAATGCTGGTATGGCTCTCGCGGTGCCTGCCAGGCTTTAGCATCGTCGCATTGACTGGGATTTTGGTTTGTGCTTTCTCTGGCCTCTTAAGCTCAGCGGCATGGCTGCGCATATTCCCTCCGTCGCTGTTTCCGCCGTTCAAAGACCCATGGAATGGCCTCAATATAGCACAAATTGTGTTTGTAATCTACAATGTCTTCGTCCACGTACAGATGTGTGCTTTTACCCTTCGTCTCGGCTGGTCTTTTACCAATATGATCAAACAAACTCGTCTTGCCATTCAGAGACGTACCCTGGAGGATCCAGTGGCTCCGACTGGACACAGAGTCCCCTTCGACAATTCCGAGATATCGATCGCCAAATACATCAGTGAGCATGAGGAGGAAGCACAAATACCGGAATTGATTCATGCCATTGTGCTTCCAAACTATTGCGAAGATCTGCACACCTTGGAAACTACTCTGAAAGTCCTGGCCAGTCATCCAAGGGCTAGATCCCAGTATGAGGTAGGTTTCTCATGGCTTTTTGTTATTTACCTGATGCTCATCTCGGTCAGATCTATCTCGCAATGGAGCTTAAAGAGACAGCAGGTGTAGTTAAAGCTACACAGCTGATCTCCTCATTCAAGGACAGTTTCCTGGATATACAGTCAACGTTTCATCCATCCGGAATTCAAGGTGAAATTGCAGGCAAGAGTTCAAATGTCGCATTTGCTGCACAACGAATTATTGAAGTCCACCGACTAGCACTGCAAGCGGACGATTGTAAAGTGGTGGTGACTGTGATGGATGGTTTGTTTTCCTTCCCAGATCGCCAGTGGTTCTGCTAACACCAGCTAGCTGATACCCACCTATCGCGCGATTACTTCACCGAGATTCAACGCCTACACTACAACAACATCACCGAAGCAAACCGTACAATTTACTGCTGTCCGATCATATTCGACCGCAACTCCAATGAGAGTCCGATCCTCGTTCGATGTGCCGACCTGCTCTGGAGCTTCGCCGGCCTGTCTACAATGTATCCCTATACCCTGATCGCGGTCCCTACCTCGGTGTATTCGCTGCCGTTGTCACTAGCAGAGAGGGTAGGGGGATGGGATAGTGACCCAACAGCGATCGGCGAAGACTTGCACATGTTACTCAAGTGTTACTTCGAGACATCGGGCAACCTGATATCGCGCGTGGTCTACATCCCCGCGAGTCAATGCAATGTCTCCAGCGATCGCGGTCGAGGCTGGCGGCGGACGGTGGATACCTGCATTGCCCGCTATCGGCAGGCTCTCCGACACATGTGGGGTGCATTAGATTCGGGGTTCGCTGCACGCCGCACAATTGGCTACTTGCGCTTCCATCAACGATGCTTGTTCCTGCGTCCCCGTCATTTTGCGCTTCTCCACCTGCTGTGGGAAGCTCATTTCATGCCCTGTCATTTGACGATCCTCATGCTCTTCTCCGTGATCTATACCCTGTGGACTCCTGCGACCGCTCTGCATCCGACGCTGGCCTGGGCATTCAGTTTCACCAACACCCTGCGCACGCTGGGATTTATCGGCATGAATATTTCGCTCATTCTCTATGAGCGCTGGCATGCTCTTTGCCTGGGCACTCGCATGAAAGATATGCACGAGGCTAATATCCCTGATACGGGATTCTCACAGCGCGTCTGGTGTCGACCGCAGCAGCTTTTGGAGAGGCTCTGCTTTCCCATCTCAGGAACCATATACGGTGCAGTGCCAACTATTCACGCTGTTTTCTCTCACTTCTGGACTGATCGCCTGGTTTATCGGGTGAGCAAGAAGCCGAAGTTCGTTTTGGAGGAGCTCGGTGCTCTGTGAAACCAACTCCATCCCAAATTGCTACCACCCCTGATATTGTAATTCATAATGTCTAGTCTTGATATACTCGTACATAATCGATCTGGCTGAACTTGCCTTGTTTGGATAGACCCAATCGGAGCGGGGTTGCATTCGATCGGATGTCCCCACATTCTCCAACTTCACGTTGGGGTAATTGACTGAATAACTTAACATCCCGCAATCCTGTCCATCTCAATTGATAAACGTTCTTTCGTGTCCTTTTTGCTCTTTTTGTGCTGCGCATAATCGCAATGGCTCTCTCTCCCCGTATCGCTGTCGTCCAATGGCAAATTAAGGTAGGTGGTCGGCATCACCGGTTGTTCAGCTCATGCTGTGACTTGCCCTGAAGCCTGGAGCCTGGAGCATGAAGATGACTCATTGCGCATAGGAACTCGATTTGGAGTACAACCATAGCACAGCATGCAATTATATCCGCCAGGCTGCCGCTGAGGGCGCTGAGCTTGCGGTCCTTCCCGAGTAAGAACCAATGACGTACTCTGTGCTGGCGCATGAGAGCAGCCATAACGATGCTGATCGCATCCAGATACCACCTCAATGGCATGGTCCCTGACGATCCTCTATGGGCCACTCAAGCCGGCGAGTCTCCCAAATATCTGGCCAACTACCAAGCCCTGGCCAAAGACCTCAAAATCTGCCTTGTTCCCGGCACCATCATCGAAAAGCACAGCGGCCCAAACAACACCACCCTCTTCTATAATGTTGCCTACTTTATCTCAAACGACGGTTCAATTCTAGGCTCCTACCGCAAGAAGAACATCTGGCACCCCGAGCGCCCCCATCTCACCTCCTCGGCCCTGGAGCACCATGTCGCAATCGACACCCCGATCGGCCGCGTCGGCATGCTGATCTGCTGGGATCTTGCATTCCCCGAAGCATTCCGCGAGCTGATTGCCGACGGCGCGCAAATCATTATCACGCCCACCTACTGTGAGTTCTCCATCTCCTTGTCCAAGCTCTTCTAACTCTACCAGGGACACCGCACGACGCATCGCCCGAAGCCCGCGTATACAACCCAGACTGCGAAGCCCTCTTCCTCGAAACAACCATCACATCCCGCTGCTTCGAGAACACCTGCGCTGTTGTCTTCGCCAATGCCGCTGGCCCGTCGGAGAATTTCCTCGGTCTGTCGCAGATCGCGCTTCCGGTCGCGGGTCCTATTGCTAAGATGGGAACTGAGGAGGGCTTTATCGTTGCGGATCTAGATATGGGTGTGGTTGAAGCTGCTGAGAGGAATTATAAGGTTCGTCAGGATCTCAAGAAGGATGATTGGTATTATACCTACCGTCACACTGGGAGGTAATTGGTGTCCTCCGCGTGGAGGTTCGCCACTCCGCGATCCAATTATACTGTCACAGAGCCCAATCACGACCTAGTCTACCGTGTATAGAGTAGCTGGATATACAGTAGCCAAAACAATGAATTCCTATCTCTTCCACGTGCATCTGAAGCTTGATTTGTGTGGACTGATGACTGCAAGGCTCGCTCTTTGTGGACGGCCCGCCCTGTGCAGCCGCGTTCCCACAAATCGTGTAGCTGAATCCAGTCGTGGATTTCGGACCCCTGTCGCTTGCCGTACAGATGTGAGACCCTCTCGAATCTCTTGTGATCGTGAGGCTCGTTCTTCGTCTAGACGGCCCGCCTTGTAGACCCACCGCAGACCTCGGGAGGCCGGCCCTGTGGAGCCGCTTCTCTGACCCCTGTGTAGCGTAATCCAGTCGTAGACTCTGTTCCACCATCAATTCCTGTACAAGACTGGGACTCCCTTGGATGTCTCGATGATTGTGTAGCTCGTGCTTCGTCTAGACGGGCGTCCCTGTGAAGGCGCGATCCGACTCTACTGCGTAAATCTCCGAATCCCCCGTCGATTCCTGTCACCTGTCAGTATCTGAAACACCCCAGGGTGTGTCAAAGATCACGAAGCTCATGATGTGAACAGCTCAACGCGTAAGCTCGCTATGCCGGCGTCGAGTCGCGTCGCGCGCCGAAGTGAAGGTATCCCCATCTCGTTGGTATCCCGCCATCAAACCTATCAGAAAGGCTCAGTCATAGCTCATTGAAACCTTGTGATCCCTCTGGTTCCCTAGCCGTCAGTGGGTACGCGTCCTCCGTCATTCGTTCCCGCTGTGGATCACTCCCACCATCCGGCCCTCCTAACGCGATCACGGCTCGCGACTCGAGACAGGGGTTCGGGATGAGCGACATCTTAGCTTGGCGATAAGAGGTAGGATTTATTCCGGCTGGCATTCGCGTGGCAAAGATAACTGTCCGCGTGCGATCGATCGCGTTTGTGGCATAGCATTTCCCGCCGGCCGCGGTGACTACGGTCTTCGGGCACCAACGAGAGACTAAACTGGTCTTAGTAGATGGCGTAGTTGGAGAATACTCTACGGCATGGTATATCACGTAGGCATTTCGTAGGTTGCTCTCAAGACATCGCCCTATTCCACACTGTACGCCTAGACACCATTGTTACCAAGACAGACGCACCACATTTCCAAAATATATTTTGTATTTCTTGACGCCCGCCCACGCGAGGTCTAGATTTCCAAGGTTAGCAACCTACATCTATGGATTTCCACAGGCCTGAGTCTCTCGGGACTGCCCAGGTGGTGTTTTCATACCCTAGTTTGGTACGTAGAGCCGTTATGATATATGGATACCTCGAACAAGTAGCGAAGGCCACCCCTCCGGGACAGCGGAAAGGTATGATAATAAAAGCTCTTTCTATTATTTTTACTATCTTTTGAACGGTCTTTTGAACTGTCTTCTCAACAGCCTTTTCAACATCAAAAGACTACGCGCAAGCGGCGACAGATACAGATGTAAGGCTTCCAAGGTTCTAGTTGGACGGTAAATTTAGGTCAGAGAGCCACGTCATAGGGCTGGGGGAAGGCGCGAGGGTAGCAACGGCCATTATAGAGTTTCCGTCTGCGCCTTTGCGGATTCGGATTTTGCGGTTGACTCATCTACATCTCAACCATCATGGCATCTCCAAATCGCGAATCACCTCATTTTCAGCGCATACAGCAGAGCTCACCATACAATGATGTCTACATCAATGCGCTTATCACTCCGCCTCGCACCTGTATGAGCACCCAACACCCAGAAGGACAACGCTGGGAAGGACCTGGTGGCTGGGGTGCACGTCACTTGAACGACGCGGCACCGTTCACACTCTGGGATGCAGAAGAGCGCAAGTTTCGCTTCCCCTCCGGCGAGGAAATGACTTGGATTGAGGGAAGGTTTGGAAGTGTATCGAAACGTACCGTCCACCTAAGCCAGTTCCGCTCACGCTAGGAAACATGCCAGTGATGTTCGTCCGCTGCGGTGAAATGTTCAATCCGCCCTTGCCGAAGTCTGGTTATTCAAATCATCGTGTTCCTAATCCATGTCCCACTGTCCGATGGCCGAACATGACTCACCCTACCAAGAATCAGATAGTGGCTGTTCTTACGGCTATCGCACCACTTGCCAATGTGAGATCTGCCATCTTCCTTCCCTTCTGGACCATCTTTGAACTTGAGACTGATGGTCGCAGCTACGAAAGATTATCACTTCCTGGTGTCGTGGCAGGCAGAACAGCATTACATCACCATGAACACAAACCGTTCCTTGATCAGGGTAAGAGTATTACCCACCCATATCAAGGATCGGCTGCCGGAACCGCAGTGCAGGAGAACTCCAACCACTTCCGAACTTCGTTCCTTACCCCTGAATGCCAATTTGAGTGTGGCTTTGGCTCAAGAGGCACACCAAATGAGTTTATTGAGCCCGAAACACCCACTGGTCATCAACCCAGACCAGGCTCATGGAGCGAGGTGTCTGCGGAGCCCCGATTGTCGATGTTGACACAGGCAGAGTCTGCGGCTTCTTCCACCTCAGCAATGGGATTATGCGTTCTCTGCTGTGACTGATGACCCTGTGGCTGACGGATGGGCATTGGCATGAGTCCTTCCACCTCTCTGCCTCTACCAACGGCATCTCGGCCACAAAAGGCTTGGATTCCTTCAAATCCCAAGTTAACACCTCACTTCCTGGATTATCAAGCTCTCAAAGCTTGCAAAGACCAGTTCTCACTCTTCACCGTCGACCAAGCTAGACTGGCTGCTGAGCGCTGCCCCTAGATGTCGAGATTTACTTTTATGTTATTAGCTTTGACCATTTATAGTGTTCGATCAATGTAATTCTTCGTTTTCTATTCAATCTCATATAGTGTATTTGATTTTGCCAGAGGAGAGACAGAGGACAGAGCGCAGGGCTCGCAACCCAGAGGAAGTGAGACTGGATGAAGCGACATTCACAAAGGGTTTCGATTGGCAATTGGTCAAGTATTGGCGGATTTGACTGCTAGGGGTCGATGCTTCCGAATGGTGAGATTGGGCGATGAGATGTACGTAGGATTGTCTAGCTGGTAGCCCGAACCGATTTGGTAAGAAGGGAAGAGGCAGGCCTCCGGAGAAATGGGGCCTTTGGACTGTAGCAAGAATTGATGTACGGTAGTTGATCTGGGGGATAGCCAAATTGCTGGATCTGGTGAGATCAGGTGCCTCGTGTACTGACAATGCAAAGCGAGACGATTGAGGGTGTCAATCACGAGAATCAGCCGAAGAATTGATGAAATGGTGACCTCCACTGGGATAAGGAGGCTCTGCGGGAGGAGCCGGTGGGATTCAGGAACCCACTAGCCTCAAATGAGGGGGCCAATGATAGAGAGGGAAAGAGGATCAGTGGATCACTAGCCTCAAATCACACAGCCAATCACAGGGTGGGGAGCAAGATCAGGGAGGGTCCTGCTTGATCCTCTTCTTTCATTGGCTGTGTCAATCGAAGCTAAGGGGATCACTAGCCTCAAATCACAGGACCAATCATGGAGCGGGGAAGAGGATCAGAGAGGTCTTGATCCTCATCTCCCATTGGCTGTTTCAATCGAAGCTAGTTGGATCACTAGCCTCAAACCACAAGGCCAATCAGAAAGTGGGGTGCAGGATCAGGGTGGGTCTTGATCCTCTTCTCTCATTCGCTCTCTTAGTTGAGGCTAGCGGGCGCTAGTGGGAGATCTGCGGTATAAATACCCCTGCCATTTCCTCTCTTCCTCCTCCTTCTTTCTTCCTTCTTCATCTCTTCCATCTTCCACTTGCTCATTCCCTTGTTCCATCAAGGGTCTCATCCATCATGCCTCTTCCAACAAGTCTTCCATCATCAGCTTGGCTTGTCCTCTCTCTTCTCTTTTATCTTTCCACCTTGAGAGGAGGGGCTTGATGCCCCGCAATTTTGCGTTGGGTCTTCTTCATCTTCTCAGTCATCACATGACTTGTAAGTTCCCTCTCTTGTCTCTTCCTTCACTGCTTACCTCATGACAAGACAGGTCAGCCACATGACCTTGGCCTCTTCCACTCTTGGCCCTTGGTCCCTATGGACCTTTTCAATTCCAAATTTGCGTTTGGTCCCCTTCCACTCTGGCCTTCCTCCACTCTGGCCTTCTTCCTCTCATGGCCCTTGGACCCTATGGACCTTTTCAATTCCAAATTTGCGTTTGGTCCTTTTCCACTCTGGTCCTCTTCCACTCTTGGCCCTTGGACCCTATGGACCTTTTCAATTCCAAATTTGCGTTTGGTCCTTTTCCACTCTGGTCCTCTTCCACTCTTGGCTCTTGCCAACTCCAAATTTGCGTTTGGTCCTCATCCACTCTTGGTCTCCTTCCACTCTGGTCCTCCACTCTTGGCCCTTGGCCCTTGGACCCTATGGACCTTTTCAATTCCAAATTTGCGTTTGGTCCGCTTCCACTCTTGACGTCCTTCATCTTCACATTTGGCCCTTTGGCCGTTCCACATTTTCGAATTTCGCGTTTGGTCGTTGCAGCTGTGGCGTGGCGGGCTTCGGCTTCAGGTCAAGCGTCTTCGGTTGCAACGACTCCAATTTCTCATCTTCATCTCATCATTCTATCTTGCCTTTTGGCATTCCACCTTGGCCTCCAACCTTTGGCCTTGTCGAATTTTACGTTTGGTCTCTAGCACATCTCACTTTGAAGAAAAAAAAAGGAAAAAGGAAAAAGGAAAAAGAAAATTGGGGAGGAGGAAACGGTGTGGAGGAAATGGGAAAAATTTATTTTCACTTCTTGGACCTTGGTGAGCTTGGTTTGGCTTCGGTTTCCAGGTTGTACTTAACTGACATGGCAACTCTCAGGTCCCAGCTTCAATCTTTCCACCTTCAATTCGCCTTCAACTTGCCTTCGACTTGCCTTCAACTTGCCTTCAGAGCTCATGATCTTCCCATTTCCTATGGTCTTTCCTCCCACGGTCTCTTCTTTCTTCCACGGTTTCTCCCTTTGGACTCTCTTTCCCTTTGGACTTTCCCTCGGAATTCCCCGTCCAGTGCGGAGTGCCTACCTGGCGAGCCGATGCACCCTTCGAGAGGATGGTTTTGGGGGCTGTACCCTCCGTGTTGCGCCTTGAGCGGGCCAGATGACCACGACCCATCCAGCACCAATAGAGGGTGTGCTGGTTGTGGCAGACCCATTCAGCACCAATAGAGGGTGTGCTGTTTGTGGTAATTTCAGCACCAATAGAGGGTGTGCTGAACCGGGGCACCAGCACCACGGCACCAATAGAGGGTGTGCCGATGACTGAGTGCCTGCGTGCGTTCATCAAGCTAGCTCACAGGTAGAAACATTCGGGGAAAGCTCTCAATCCATCCAGCTCAGGGTGTTCAGAGGCTTGCTGGGAGGACACGCCAGCAGCCAACTCCAGCCAGCCAGCCAGCCAACTCGGTCTCAACCTCCAAAATCTTGGGTTCCTCAAATTCCCAAGTCCACACACACATCTCACTTCAACAACTCTCAAGTCCTCACAACTTGCAACAACCAAATTCCACCTTCCACTCTCCACTTTCCACTCACGACAACTTTCGACTGGCTGCTGAGCGTTTCGCACTGGATCCGGACGTTGACATTCATTCACCCTTGGACCTTGGACCTTGGACAACCTTCATCACAACAACTCCCTCTTGGAACCTTCTCTCTCTCTCTCTCTTCTCTCTTGGACAACAGGATTTTCGACAATGGGAAAGATCATTGAGCTCTCAGGCACACACCTCTCATCCACTCCACTTTCAAACACTCTGACATCTGGCAACTTGTCTCTTCACACACATGTCATCAGCATGGTCAGTATCCACTATTCTTCTTCATTCTTCGACATTCAACTGACAAGTTCCAGCTTCAGGCACAGGCACAACACCATCCTTCGATCCACCGATCCACCAGCCTCCACTCTCCACTCCACTCTGCTTGCAGTCCACTCCACTCCACTCTCCACTCTCCACTGGATCATCCAACGATCCCACTCGCACCTGCAGGATTACCTTGGCTTACAACAACAAAACAAACACAACAAGCCCACCTTCCACAGTCTGAGCAGCTCTGCCACGTACCAACAAAGGAGCAAGGCGCAACAGCAGCAACCACACAACAAATCCTCACACTTGGAGTTCGCTCGGTGGACGGCTGGACAAGGATCATTCACAACGAAGGCTTGGAAAGATTGGGGTTTCTCATGTGCTGCTTCAAATCATGTATCTAGATTTCTTTTTTTTTTTTTTTTTTTTTGCGAGTTGTCGTCACTCAATCAAGACCTTCACTCTCTCTCGTACTTTATTTTTCCTCTAGAGTTCCTTCAAGTAGATGGATCTCAAGTAGCTTCCAACTTGTCAGTGGATCAGTATTCTATTCTCACTCTGCTTGTTCTTCTCTTCAAACATTTTCTTCAAAAGTTACCCACCCCTTCAGAAGAGCGTCGAACTTCAGTTCATGTGTGCAGAGTATTCCACAGTTGTTCTGGAGCCACCACTTTCCTCTCACTTAGTTCTCCTCGACGCTCATCTGAAGCATCTTGACGTAGATTCGACCAGCAAAGCAGGCTCCAAGGGACTCTTGACTTTGATTTTTTACATGATCCTTAACTACAACCACAAGCGCAAGATTAAGAGAAAAAGAATCAAAGTCTGAATTTCTAAGCTAAGTCATAAAGCAGACAGAATCATTAATTAATCATGATCATCTGAGCGTTCATGTCAAGTCCAGACAACAGACCAATTCGAAAAGAAAACGGTATAGAGCTCTCAAATTGGACAGACAAACCAAAAGGAAACAGAAACAAGCAGAAAAGGACTCCCCCCACACCATGATCAAGGACGCAAAGCCGAAAGTATCAAGCATCTACAAACTAACCAAGGCATGATACGAGAGCAGTATAGTCAAGCATTTGCAAAAGTGACAAACAGATAGCCCACAACGCTCATGTGAATTTGGTTTCCGCTCACTGGACTTGGCTGACGATTTCGCTGGCGCGGCCGAGACTCTCCACCATCTGCTGGCACTCCTTGCGCCGGCGCGTAGTGTAGTCGCTTTCCTTGAGGAGATCGTCGAGCTCGTTGTTGCGGTACATGTTCTCGAGGAGTTCACGTTGCATCTCGTCCTTGGTGAACCTGAGGTGGCTGTTAGTATGGGCGAGGGATGGAGGAAGGGGGTTATTCATACTGGACAAGGGTGTACATGACGGCCTTGGGGACCATGTCGATCATTGTGCGCTTGACGATGTTGAAGTAGGAGGTGATGAGAAGCTCTGTATTGCGGTTAGTATTGCCTTGCAAGATCCGCGGTTGAAATACTTACTGATAACTTCGACCTCAGTGGCCTCGCGCTCAGACAAGCTGGCAGAGGCCTTGAGAGTTGGGGGAGGAGCTTCCATGAGAGCCATCTTCTTCTTGTTCTTGGAAGCCCAGAAGCTGCCGAAGAAGCCGCTGTTGTTGGTGGCCTCTCCGGTTGTGTCGAGAGAGGGGCTCTGAGCACGCCCGGGAAGGGGCTTGCCGGTCTTGGGGTCGACCTGCGTGGGCTTGGAGGCCTGCTGGCGCTCATTGACAAGGGTCATGGCGCGGTGGCCGTTGAGGAAGTCGGGGTGGCCGGTGTTCACGTAGGTGGCTTCCATGTAGATCAAATCCTTGACCAGCTTGTTAGTGGGCTCCATACACTTCTTGAAGAAGGCAATAACCACTGCGTGGAACTTCTCCTTCAGCATGGGGTAACGGCGGAACAACTGCTTGGTCAAGAGTTGGCTCAGGATGCGGACCAACTCATCATAGACAAGAGAGATACACTTCAAGCTGGGCTCTTCCAAGCGCTTGATTTGTTGCTTGACGATCAGCTCAAAGGCAGTTGTGCCGACGAAAAGAGCGGGCGAGGAACCGGAGGAGTTGTAAAGAATGGTGCGAATGTCAATGTCCTTGACGATGTCGAAGGGATCAACGGCCTTGATACCGTTCGAGTACAATTCGTGGAAAACAAAGGAGATACGGGCACCGCCAGAAAGTTCAATGCTAGAGAGCTCCTGGTTGTTACCCTCCAAGACTGTGCGGTACTCGTTGCTGAATTCAGTGATGATGTTGAGGATAATGTTGGCGCTGTTGCCAAGCATTGAGTCACCCAGCTGGGACAGTTCCGATGAGTATTTTTGAAGAGATGCGTTGATGCGAGCCTTGATATCGGGGAGGGTTTGCTTGATGTGCATCATAAGAATCTAAGACAGACGGAAGGTTAGCTCGGGGGTTTGCGGAGTGGGTGAACCAAGTTCATACCAAGTTCAACTTGCGGGCCAGGTACGGTGTACCGCAGTAGGAAGCCTTGTTCCTGTATGCTTTGTGGTTCTCAAAGAAGTTCTTCTCGTTCTCCAGGGCAGCAGCAATAGGCTTCTTGTTCTCGATGTCACGCTGGCCACGGTTGACCACGGGGACGTAGCCCAGGCGCAGAGGGATAATTCGTCCAGCGAGGATATCCACCACATCGGTTCCATCGTCCATCAAATCGACCTTACTCAACACACCGATAGTGCGCTGACCTTCGGGGTCAACCTCACGTGCCAACTTGAGACCATCGGAATTGGCAAGATCCTGATTGGCCGAAGTGACCGCCAGAATGATCGCATTGGGCTTGCTGATGTACTTGAGGACCATGTCACGGATCTGGCGCTCGATATCCTTCGGTTGGTCGCCCACAGGCACCTTGGTCAAACCGGGCAGATCGACGAGGGTCAGGGTGAGGACGTTTGGGGAGTAGATGCGCAGGTTGATGGGGGATGGCGAGATTCCAGCGTTCTTTCCGACCTTTGTCTCCGTTTCGCGCACAATCTCATCGCGGATCTTGTTGAAGTCGTGGAACTTCTCGCCGGGAAGGTGAAGGAATTCACCATATTCGTCCACGTTGGACTCGGAATCCGTCGTTTGCAACTTGGTCTCGCCGTTCGTAGTGGGGGGTTTTGTTGATCAGCTGCAAGATAAGAGGACGTCGAGTCACGATTCCTGAGCCACGAGGCAAGCTGTATCCAGGGATGGTAATTAGTATTTATTGACATCACCGTGCCCCGCCGCTCGTGCGAACAAGCAGCGGCGCAAGCTGTTGAGTCTGAGCACCTACAAATCCCGACCAACAATGTTTTCAAGCACGGAACTCTTTCCACTGGACTGCGATCCGACGACGGCAATTTGGGGCAAATCGATGGGGTTTTGCACCTACAGCAAGCAGTGTTAGCGTCCGAATTACCCCTAACATGGCCATTGAGAAAGAATCGCCGAACGGATATACATACTCCGACTGTAGAAAAGACATCTTGAAGCTTGTTGACCAGCGAAATCAAGCTGGGATCATTGACGTTTATGCTGCGCACGGAGATTAGCCAGACCGCATCGGCGAGGGACAGGGGTTGCGCACGAGTAGCCGGACGTAGGGCTTGCCATGACAGGCGATTGTATGGATATAGCGACTGATACAAATCGAAAGAAATGAACAGCAGAAAGAAAGAAACTGAGGTCGAAGCACTTGGCGGGAGAGGTGAATACAAGTGGAAGATTGTTTGGCTCGAAGGCGGTGATGGTGATGTAGTGGCGTCCAGAGCGGTCTCTGTCTACGTCTTGCCGATTAGGCTCCAACTTGGGGGGTTTTTACGGAGTACTCCAGACTCTTCTGGATTATTGAGCAGCCTATATTTTTTTGATCCCACAGTTCATGAATGCTTAGTTCTACTTGGTCATGTGCGTCGGTCTTGCACTGGCTGACGCGTACGGGCCACATGTACACATCGGGAGTATAAGAGAACCCAAAAAACACGGTGGAATAACTACAGGGGAATGTGCTTTGACAAACATCTAAAAGAAAATACATGCTAAGCTGAGATGGAAGACTTCACTCATCCGAGACACTGGCGAACCGCTCCGTCATAGACTGGAGGATCTTCTCGTACTTGGCCGAGACCTCCTGCTCATTCTCGGGCAACTCGAACTTCATGCCCCGGAGAGAGGTCTGAATATCAGAGGTAGCCTCGCGAACCTTGCCCCAGTTTTGTCCCTGAGCGATAGCCTTTTGTGCCTCGTTGTGGTAGCCCATGAAGGCCTTCATCATATACTCGGTCTTCCACAAGGGGCAGAACTGGTCGTAGTCACTGTATCCGTTCTGCTGCAAGAAGTCGTCCTTGACCAAACTGGCAACATCCAATGTAATCTTATCGGAATCTCCAAGAGCGGATTTACCGACCAGCTGAACGACCTGGTCGAGGTCCTCGGACTTGGCCAGCAACTCACGGATTTGATCACTGAGACGAGGGAACTCTGGGTGATCCTTCTCGTAGTATTTACCCAGAACGGTGTTGTACTTGCTGTAGGAGATGGAGGTGTTGATCGAGGGGAAATGCTTGCGCTGCGCCAACTTCTTGTCAAGACCCCAGAAGACCTGTACAATACCAAGGGTACTGGTAGTGACGGGGTCGGAGAAATCACCACCGGGCGGGCTGACCGCACCGACGATGCTGACACTGCCCTCACGCTCGGGGCTACCGAGAGCACTGCTCTTACCGGCACGCTCGTAGAAGGAGGCCAGCTTGGCTCCGAGGTAAGCGGGGAAACCTTGGTCAGCGGGCATTTCACCCAGACGACCGGAAATCTCACGCAAAGCCTCGGCCCAACGAGAACTGGAGTCCGCCATCATAGCCACGTTCTTTCCTTGGTCACGGAAGTATTCGGCGATGGTGATACCGGTATAAATAGAGGCCTCACGGGCGGCGACGGGCATGTTGGAGGTGTTGGCGATAAGGCAGGTACGCTTCATGATGGGTTCCTTGCGACCTTCGATCTCGATGGAGAGCTGGAAACGTAAGGTGGTTAGTAAAGTCTACTAATAAGTAGAGATGTAAACATACCTCGGGGAAGTCCATCAGGACTTCAGCCATCTCGTTACCGCGCTCACCACATCCGACGTAGACGATGATATCACTGTTGGAGAACTTGGACACACTCTGGGAAATAACGGTCTTTCCACATCCGAAAGCACCGGGAATGCAGACAGTACCACCCTGAACACTGGGGAACAAAGCATCCAGCACTCTTTGGCCGACGATGAAGGGCGCATCGGCGGACAGTCTGTCGTTGACCGGGCGGGGAACACGAACGGGCCAGGTCTGCATCATACCGTACTCGGTCTTCTTACCCTCAAACTCCACCTCGAGCAGCTTCTCGTCAACGGTGAAGCTACCGGCAGGGGAGATACGAGTAATGGTACCCCGTGCGCGAGGAGGCAGCAGGATCTTGTGGTCGTTCACCAGACTGTTCTCGAACACGCTACCCCAGATATCTCCGCCAGTGATGTGATCGCCAACCTTGAAGTTGGTAGGCTTGTAGTCCCACTTGCGCTCGCGGTCCAGGGCATTGACAGTGATACCGCGGGGAATGTAGATACCCTTGGACTGGTCGGAAATCGCCTTGAGGGGTCGCTGGATACCATCGTAAATTGTCTCCATCAGACCAGGGCCCAACTCGACAGAAAGGGGCTTTCCAGTCCTTTCGACTGGGTCACCGACGGCCAAACCATCTATTTGGTACAAATGACGTTGGTCAGCATAGCTCGGTGGTATGGATGAAAGCAAGTTCGGGGGCACTAAGGAGCTCTACCTGTCTCTTCGTAAACCTGAATGGTGGCTTTGTCGTTCTCGATACGAATGACCTCGCCGACGAGCAAGCCGTGTCCAACACGGCACTATTGTGGCAGTCAGCATGGATTCGTGACGATCTCGGAGCTGTCACCTACCAACTCGTACATGGCACAACCGATCATGTGCTCGGCCACGACCACAGGGCCGGAGACCGAGAAGATCTTTCCATTGTTCTCAGTATCGTCTGAAGGCATAATTGAGGAAGCCTGCGTGGAATGGGGGGACACAGGAAGGGTGGAGGTGGTTGAGGAGGGCGAGTCTGGAAGCGGTGGCAGCTCGGCGGGCGGTGATGGCAGTGTCAACGTGTGCTTCGAGATTAGGTCCAACAAGGACGGTCGCGCTTTCAATCGAGGACGCCCCAAGCCTAGCATTCGCTTCGATTTACAAAATGAGGTTGAATCGGACCACGTTTAAAACAACCCCTGATCGTGGAGTTCCCCTGATCTATTTCGTCCAATCCTTTCTCTTCCCCGCGTAACGAATCACGACTTGCTAAGCCGATCCGCTCATCTGGGCATACGTGAGCCGTCACACTATCACCTCTGAAGAACACCGCATCTACTCTGCGTATAGCATTGAAAGGAGTATCCCTGCAACATTTGCACCTGCATGGATGCGACCGGAACCCACTTCCTACAACTGTTGACCCCAGGCCTTATCTACGATCTAGTTACTCCACAATAATCCGAACATGGAGTGGAACAAACAATAAACTCACGCTTGCATCGCAGGTAAAATATCAATGTCAATTATTGGCTACGTGGCAATATCAACGCCCAGCGACCTGGCTATGAAGTGTGTTTCCACTCAAAAACTATCCTCAAATTCCTGAACGACCTCGTCAACCATCGTGAGGACATTGCGAAACTCGATCGCAAGATGCTGCGCATGCTGGTTAATCAAAGACCAAGGTGCAGCAGAAGGGAAAAACGTGCGCAGCCTAATCTTGCAACCACCCTCGGTGTCCATGAACTCGTTCAGGATATAGAATAGTTTGCTTCCGCTAGTGAGCTTGGCAACCAACGTTTCTGCCATGTCATAATCGTAGTCTCTCTCCTTGAGCATCCATCCTGGCATATCTTCTATTCCCTTGTTGAGATCGACATACCGAACCTTGGCCATGTGCTCCCCGATCACTTCAACGCCGCAGTCTGGAGGATTCCTCGGCAGCGACCCTGGTCCATGCATGATTGCATAGTGCTCCGGATGAGCCGGGAATACACACCTGGCCGCCATATCTTCAATGGGTCGTGAAAGCAGCCAGCGGCTTGTGATGGCCCTGATATCCGTGGCAGTGACTCCGGTGACTTTCATGTATGTTCTACACTCTCGAAGTCCTCCGTTCGATTCTTTTATCAGCGAGTCAAAGTACCGGTTCCCATCTTCGATCTGCTCACTTAGGAGATTCAGCATTGATTCTCGATTCAGCAAAGTACGGAAATTGCTCAGCGCACGATAGCATGCTTGCAGTTCCAGTTTGTCAATATCGGTGTTGGGTGTGGACACACCGTTCAACATGAACTTGATCGTCGGGGCTGGCTCGACTCTCATCTTGTTGTTGTGCAGATGTAGATGTGTCATTCTATTGACGTTATTGGGATGAAGATTTATAATGTTGCCGTGGTCGATACTTTATAGCTAGAACCTTCAGGGCTAATTTCTGCATTGTTTGTAAGAGCCAAAGGGGAATTTATGGTCAACAAAGAGCTATTGTCAAGAACTATAACAAAGAGCAAGACAGAACAAAGGCCGCTCAAAGTCCTGGAGATCCAACAATTAAGCGAAGGTCAGCTTGAGGGTCACCGCGAACGTAGATCGGTTGTTCACGAGATCAGTTCCGACGAGCATGTGAGGAATTCTCCTTCCAATTAGCATTTGACAGCTCGCTTGGCACATAGAAAATCCGGGGTCGATGATCTGAGTGGCTGAAAGGCTTCACATGCGAATGGACCAATGCCCTAACCCCTCTCCCCGGACCGTGGACCACGGTAACAACATATCTTCGCCACGTAGAATATAAGACCGTAATTCTGCATATTCCAAGCATTCCAAATTCAAGGCCTCTAGTACTGATGCTCGTTGATTCTTAACTTCCTTGAATCACAAGCATGGCCCTGAAAAGCCCTAAAAGCGGAAACCGCACCGAGTGTCACTACTGGAACTACTCTTTTCATTGGACTGACCTTCATTCAGCTGCGGATGGTCTCCGGCCTTTGACGTATACCTACGATACCCTGGCCGATCGGTGTGTCGAGCGACTGAACGAAATCCCACTGACCGATACAGTCAACAAAGGACCGCCTAAGAAGGATCTTTATGGTCTCTTACGGGATCATGCGGATGACGAACCGTTACTCAAGGAGCTCTGGACTGAGATCAACACAGTCCCCAAGTGGGTAGATTGGGCACAGATCCAGCGTGGCCAGGATGTTTTCTTCCGCTACGGCCTTCCGATTCTCAACGCAGTGAGTTGTTTATCTTGGAGTTTGATGTGGCCTATTTTGGGAGCTAACTTGCTTGACAGCTAAGCTTTGAAAGCTTGCTAGGTGGGATGTACACAAGTCTTTTGCACTGACACACGCCGAGTCAGTTACTGACACATACAGGGGAGCGATACGTGTCGTGGAAACCCTCGCCAGAACCGGCGGCTTCGGGGCCAAGGTTGTGCGCAGAAGGCTGCTCGAGACTCTTCAACACATACTCCAAGTCAATAGCTCAGTGGAAGGAATGAAGCCAGGAGGAGAGGGTCACATCTCATCGGTGCGAGTTCGATTGCTCCACTCGTCCGTGCGGTTGAAGATCCTCAGTCTGGTGGGCCAACAACCTGAGTATTATGATATCGACAAATATGGAACGCCGGTCAATGACCTTGACTGCATCGGAACAATCAACACGTTTTGCAGCTCGGTGGTCTGGTTAGGTCTTCCACGTCAAGGCATATATCTCAGTCAACAAGAGATAGAGGACTACATCGCGCTATGGAGACTCGTGGCGTACTACATGGGGACTCCCACGGAGCCATTCGAGAGCACGACCAAGGCTCGGGCCATGATGGAGTCGCTTCTAGTCTCGGAAATTAATCCTTCGGAGATTGGCAAAGTTCTCGCAAAGAATATCATTCTTGGTTTGGAGAACACGGCACCAACGTATGCTTCCAAAGAATTCATGGAAGCTATGAGCCGACTACTCAATGGCGAACTGTTGTCAGACCAGCTTGAGATCCCTCGATCCAACCTTTACTACCGGCTGTTGATATGGGGGTACTGCTTCTGGGTAATGGCAGTCTCATATATCATCCCAAGAATAGCCTTTCTGGATAAGACGATGATTGCGGTAATCCATTCCGAAATCCGTAAGATTGCAGAGCTTTACTGACGTATGATTTCGTTAGATTCGTCGCAAATATTTTTACAGGATGATCCTTGACGAGAAAATGGGTCTTGGGGAGGAATCACGGTTCGACTTCAAATACGTGCCCACTTTGACTCGGACGACTCGCCTTGGAAAGCGGCGGAGTACAAGCTTTGTCAGACCTGGCATTGAAAGCCTGGCTCGCCTGGGTCTGCTTTGCGCCTTCGTGGCAGTGGTAATTATGTGTATGGGCTTTGTCTTTGCGGCGAGGATGATTCCAGTCATCTAAGAGAGTATCCAAGGCTGAAGTGCATACAGATTTGTTGCAATCATTGCAAAGGTCAATGGGTTGGCTCGGATGCATTGGTGAAACATTGCCATCATGAATTCCATATACACTTCAAATCATTGCATTGAAGAATGCGTTCTATGTACATACAAGGCATCCCTTGTAAACTCAATAGCCCTCCCGCTTAGCTTCGGGCTTTGAAGAACCTTTGGCCTTTTCAAGTTCGCGCAACATGCCGTCTCCAAATACAGCAACGTCAGTTGTGATGGAGACCATATCAAAGCCTTGCTGGACGCGGCGAAGCGCATCGTCACCGTCGGAGCCTGCAACTTGTTAGTCAGGCACGCAATGCCTTGGGAGTATGACGTACAGAAGATGGCAGCCTTCTTCCCCGAAGACTTGGCGGCACTCAGAACACGCTGGATAGCAGCCTCATGCTCTTCGCCACCACGAGTAACGCGCATCTGCTTAGCAAGGTCAAATGGTCCTGTGTGTGAATTTCGTCAGAGATAGTCATGCAAACTCCAAGTTCTGTTGGCTCACCAATGAAAAGCACATCTAGACCCTCAACAGCCGCGATCTTCTCCACGTTCTCGACACCAGGTCGGGACTCGATCTGCACGATCACAAGCACTTCACCGTGTGTCTTTTCGTCATACTCGCCAGGCTTCACACCTGGGAATGCATGTGGCGCAAACATCGGTCCGTATCCGCGGACTCCAACAGGCGGGTACTTGCAGTAGCTAACGACCTTGGCAGCGTCCTCCTGTGGATTGAAGATTAATACTCCAGGAACAAACTCAAATCAGCACACTATGACATACTGCAGAGTGACACATCGGGGTCATGATTCCATGCGCGCCAGCATCGAGAGCACGCTTGATCATCCATTCTTCAGGCCAGGGAACACGGATGATTGGGCTGACCCCCTCGTGGCCGATGGCGTTTGTAAGCTGCAATCAGTCAGTATACCGTTGGTTTTCCTCTTTTTCAATTGACGGACATCGTAGTAGTGGCTGTCGTTAATCAATCCATGCTCAGCGTCGACCAACACCCAACTGAAACCACCTTCGGTGTACTGTGGGCTGCGGCGGAGAATGGTCCTTGCGACACCGGCACTGGGCAAACTACAGGTGCAAAGTCAGTATTTGGTGCTTCGCGATCTGATCAGGGCTTCAATTGAAGTGCTATTTGGCAACAGCATCAATGTTGGGGTGCCCCTCCCGAAATGCGGGGTTCAACGTACGTCAACCAGAAGCCGTACGACACTGGGGTGGCTGTGAGGGCGGAGCGGAGGGCGATAGGTGAAGACATTGTAAAGGCACAAAAGTATACTCTCTGATTGAGCTGTTGAAAGAGAGACAAGCTGAGCTCTTGGGAACAGGACTGTATCCACGGATGTTTTGGAGAGTGGGCACTCGGTGTTGCTCCGACCGATTACCCGAGGATCCCCCACACTGGAGTACTCCCATTGTTTGCAGACGCACTACAAAAAATCAAGTCATCACAGGCTGATTTGATCAGCTTTGGGAAGCAACATAGAATTGCTCGTGCCTCCTAACCATACAAATTGCTCTACTGTTATGAAGCAGATGGACCGATGACGACTCTCGCATCACACCCCCACGCTCGGGAATTGGAGGTGCTTCGGTGCTGAACTTTCCCGAGATCCCGAAGGACGCAGACAGCAGAAACAGTCTACTCATATACTCTCGATTGCTCAATGAGTTTGTAGGCCTGCTAAATGGTCGAAAGCCAGATACAACCAACGCAGTCTTTCTACAGAGAATAATGGAGTGTTTCCACTTGAACAGCTTCACATGAACATTTTCAATGATATCTGATTCATTTCACAATGCACAGGCTAAACCATGATCCTGGTTGTCTATGAGTCAGGTCTCCAGTGCCTGGTCAGTCAATGGGCCTTTTCTCAGTTGTGGTAAAGTCCCCATCTAACGATTTGATGGTCCCCGTTGTTAACCTTGCATTTCATCATGCCCTTACTACCAACCTTGCCGTACCACTCAAACTTCTTGATCGAATCCTTGATCAAGTCTATGATATCTTGATTCCCAAGGTGCATGATGGCTGGGTTTATCGGCCTGTTATAGGTCACACCAAACGCACAGGTGCCATATTGAACAAGCTGATGCTGGGAACCGCTCAAAATCGTCCAACTTCCGCCACCGGAAATGTTCGAAGCAATCTTCAGGCAGTCGGCGACGAGGGGGAGGCATTCGAGGATTGATCGTCAAAGGTCGAATCGAGACAGTCGTTGACCTGAGAGCGCTCGCCTAGAGGGATTGAAGTAAGACCAGTCTTCAACGTCCGAGTTATAGGCACAGCGAAGACCAGAACAAAGAAAGCAGTGAAAATGATGGCTCCGTACAATTTCATGTTAAACGACTCCAATTCGACGTACTCGTGAATAGCGGCGATGGCTTGTTGATATTTCTCCGGCTAGGAAAGAGCTTTGGAGATGTTGCAGAGAAATAGTAATCACGCTCTCATTTCAACCCCCCAACTGAAGATTTTATAGGCACATTGTTCGGTAAAGAGACTTGGTTTCAAGGATCATCTCAAACGTGAGAAAGATTCATCCACCAAATTGAAGGTCTGCTGTAATCACTTAACTCCATTGTTGAAACCAGATTGTTGCGTCCATAGACCCTGTCGCTTTCAAAAATGAAGAGAAGAACATTCTTGAGGCCAAGGGAGGAAAGTGACACAGCAATCTCCCCACTTATCTGATTTTCTATACACTTGGACGGAGGTATACATATTTGATAGCCAATTTCTGAGAGATGAGAGCAAACGTGGCTCGTAACAGATGAAGTAATAGCACATGAATCAGTAGAAAGTCCGGACCAATCCTAAATTTTTGACAAATTTGGATGTTCAGGTATTCATTTCCAAGTGCCGCAGCCCTTGCCTGCCAAAGACTTCACGACAATCTCACGAACCCTGACTTGTGTCGCTGACACTAACCAAGTTCTGTGCTACAGAAATTTGACTTTCATTATAGCTTCCAGGGCTGTCCGCAAAACTAAGGGTTTTTTTGTGTTACTGGTCGAGAATGCCTACAATTGAAATTCAGAGCGTGAAAGTAAGCGGGGAACCCCTTTTTTCCGAACCCTTGGGGGTTAGATTCTCCAGGGAATAAATACTAAGGAGTACAGAGGACGTGTATATCAATCAATGAGATGAAACAGCTCGGTAAACCACCTGACGGTCCGCTTTTTCCATGCTGGGGAGCCCATGCCCAGGAGTACAACTCATTTTTCCGCAGTTGGTATCCAAACGAAGTTAATTCGACATTTGGAAGCACGCATATGGGCATATGTATACAAACGGAGTCACATGTACCCGCGCAATCAAACACTTGTTTTTATCGTACCAAAATGCCTACAGTGGGATATGTCGTATGAGCTGTTGAGAGATACGCCACAGCTCTTTCAATTCCCAGCAACCGATTTCTGAAGCGATGGCGATGAGAAATTTACTAACCATCCAGCAAGGAAAGGGTGGAATAGAAGGTAATGCGATGACAACACTGTTGGATGTCTTCTTGTACTACATATAAAAATTGTCTACAATCATGATGGATGCAAACATGGACCCAGGCCATGATACCTGAGTGTACTATGTGACCTTTGGGCTGAGGCCTAGGACATCTTGCTCTCTCAGCCTACTCTTTTGTTTGCTCTCGCGTGCCTTTCCTCTTGCGGTGTTACTTTTACGTTTATCACTTTTGCTTATGCTTACTATTCCTGCTCATCAGATATGTTATGTCGGATCTTCGGTCGGAGGCCAAGCGGGTCATATCACAATGGCCACCCAAGACGATTTCGAAGGCTGCTAAGCTTGTGGGTTGGCCAACACCCCCTGATAGTAGCGCTGCTGGCCCTCCTTTGGGTAGTCTTTGTGATACTAGGATTACATGGCTTTTACAAAGGTATGCTATGACCACAACTACCCGAAGCTCTGACCCAAGAGGCTGACGATTGTTGCTGATTTTGATAGACCGGATAGATGAGAACAAAGTACAACCTGAGATTCTTCATAGAATGAAGAAATTTAGCTGGGGCTCCACAGCTATCGCTGTGGTCATGCCAAAGATACGCGCAGACAATGTGAAGTGGCTCCAGGAGTATCTTCAGGCCCAGTAAACGCACGACTCCATTGCCATACTTCCTGTCACTAACAATATCATACGCGACAGTCCCGACACGACACCATTCATCTACTCTATGAGCAAAAGGCTCGAGAAAGATTTGCTCGTCCCCCATTCCTCTCGCGGCCGCGAAGCTTCGGCGTACCTCTCTTACGTTCTAGACAACTACGACCACTTGCCTCCAATTTCAATATTCATCCACGCCGGGGAAATGCAGCGTCATAACGATTTATTTGGACCGAAAACAAAGGCTGTGTTGCAGAATCTACGGCCCGAAGCCGTAAAAGCAAAAGGCTACGTTAACCTACGATGTCTGCATTCACCGGGGTGTCCGAGTCACGTCCATCCCAACAATCCAACCCAAATCGATTTCAAGAACCGTGACTCGCGAGCCTATTTCCCGCAAATATACCAGGAGCTCTTTGGCGTGGGACCGGTTCCTGATGTCATAGGAGGTGTCTGCTGCGCCCAATTTGCAGTGAGTCGGGATCAGATCCCAAAACGACCGAGGAGCGACTACGAGCGGATGATGAACTGGATCGACAAAGGAAGTGCACAGATTGTGAATAGTTATGGCGTTGGATGGGTATTCGAGGTAGTCTGGCATGTGGTCTTTGGCATGGAAGCTGTCTAGTGGGTTCAGCTTAGTTCTCTTGTTTCACCACCTGCTAACGGTCCTCTAGCTGTCCAACCTACGAGCAATGCCGATGCGATAACTATGGGTGGTGTGGACCTTTGGCCTCGGGTGATACTTTGATACCAGCTGCAGCACATAGAAAAGATAAGACAAACCCGGTCTAAACCATACCTTCCAGGTCTCGAATTGATTGCTACTCTCTAGCGAGTAGTATAATTTGTAACCTCTCGATGCACATCACCTAAAACTATGTACACGAGACCGGAAACATGAGGTCTATGACTACATCCGTCGTTCGGTACTCGACATGCGACGCAATCTCAGCAACTACAGCTACTGGCGGTCACACAAGCTGAGATGATGCAGTCTACCAGTTAGTGATACCCGGGAAAGGCGGCACATGTCTCTACGCACGGCATGAAGCATGATACCTTGGAATCAATTTTATATGTCGGACTTGAAAAAGTCGGTCATGATTTTCAATATGGCATCACATTTCATCATCGTCAACCCTATCATATCATCATCACCTTTATATCCACACAAAGACTGGAATGGGGTTGGAATGTTTCGATTGAAAGATTTATTTCTGTGGAAAACGGCTGTCAGTCTTTGTCAGTTTCAGAAAGAAGATGGTATAACACGTACTCCGCATCCCTTGCAGGTGCAGGTGTTACCGCAAGAGCAGCTTTGGGCACCGCCGGTGCAGGTGCAGCTAGATCCGCAATCACAAGCCATGATAGGTGAAAGGTAGTTTGGTTGAGGAAGGCTTTCAAGAATTTCTTGGAAATAAAGCAATTTGGGAGTTTATAGAAATGGCCCTCTCGGCACGATTTTGTGGCTTTTATAGGGGGTTTTCGAGGTTTAGGCTCGCGTCGTCATAGTGGCGTCAGCGAAAGAGCACATGACCTCTTGACATCAACCACCATGTTCACATCTATACAGGCAAGATAAAAAAGAAGAAAAGTGCATAGATGGGTTAAGAGTCTTCAATATATCAATAGGCACTTGAGCCAGAGTAGTTGTGAGTTGTGGGGAAATCTGGGGTACCCTGGTGGAAAGGAAGCACGCCATAAGGCTAATACTTAACTAAGGAAACATCGATTTCAGGCATCAATTGTGCTTGCCAGCTTAACCATGATAATATCCTTTATTGAGTTACTCAATCAGAGACGATTTTGGACTTTGATGTAGGTAACTTTTGGTTGTTCTCAGTAGTCGTTGAATCGCGTCTACGACAGATGTGTGCGAAGATTTAATGTAGTTCAAATTAGGATACCCTCGGGTCTTGGTCTTAGAACTTCGGCTACTTCGGCTTGGTGGCGTATGACAAGCCTCAGATCCAAGGTATATTACATCCAAGCCAAGGAGAGGAGAGATGGTATATTGTTGCCCAGGTTTTCAAAATTCTCGCGGACCACCATGTAGTCGGAGCTATACTAGCATTTTACCAAAGCTTCTAGTAGTCATTTTCGTATCAATCTACGTCTCATTCTTGAAATTACCTATCAGCGCAGAGTATGAATTAATTAGTTGGTGCCAGTTTTGCTGCTTTACCTCTACCACATCACCCCGTAGCTTCTTCGATGCTCTTTGGTGTCCTTCAAAAAAATAAGATTTGATGGAAACTTCCAATGAAAGCAAAGCTAGTGCTGCGTTGTAGAGCAATTCTCCCCGCAATCTGACACGACTTTCTCGGCTAATCAAAAACAAAGGACTTCCATATAGCCTAGTAAATTACGGCTCGGGCCCTCGCCCATTGCCGAGAGATGGGCTTATATGGTGGAGCTTAGACAAAGGGAACGACCAATCTGAATCGTCCCATAATCGTCCCAGTGGGACCATTTGAAACCAATTCAAGACCATTGGATTCGTATAGGACAATTAGGATGTTGCCAAGTCACCCCACACAAAGCCCCAGCTCGCGGGGGAGGAAGAAATTGGGGAACTGGGGAATTGAGGGTCTCGAATCATGTCCAGGAAGTGGCTCCCCCTCGATGATGGCTGAACTGACATATAAAAAAGCCATTTCCGACACCTGGGAGCTCTTCGAATATGAGTTGCAAGTTTTCACAAACAATGTTTCGAGGACGAGCCTTGTATATCGCGCAGGTGGTCTTTGTGGTCTTTCCCTCGTTCTTTCTTTTCGGTTATAACCAAGTGAATGTCGGAGGATTACTCTCTTTCGAAAGCTGGACCAAATCATTCCCCCAAATCGATACCATCCACACGATAGCAGGGACCAAGTCTCAGAATTCTGTCATACAAGGCGTCTATGTCTCCTCCTTCACACTCGGAGGACTAGCGGGCTCGTTGTCCTGCTCCTTCATGGGCGATGTGCTTGGTCGGCGAAGGACCATCTTTGTGGGTGGAATATCCACTTTGATTGGTGAAATTATCTCTTGCACTTCGTTCCAACTTCCACAATTGATTGTCGGACGTATCATCATAGGCATCGGCATCGGTATTCTCTTCACCATCGTACCAATCTGGCAAGCCGAATGTTCGCAGCCAACAAATCGGGGAAAGCATGTTGTCATCGATGGCATCTTTATCAGCAGCGGCTACGCAACAAGCTATTGGGTTAATTTTGGGTTCTCCCACATGGACCAGTACTCTGCATCATGGCGGGTGCCCGTGGCAATGCCGGCTGTCCTGTCCATCGCTCTGATTTCATCAGTCTTCTTATTCCCAGAATCGCCTCGCTGGCTCGTTCGTATCGGTCAACGGGATAAGGCAGTCAGAGAGCTCGCACGTATCAGAGATACTGGTTGCGACACACCCGAGGTCCAACGGGAGGTTGCTTCCATTGAGTTTTCATTGGAAGAGACTGCTCAAACAGCTGCCTCATTTAGAGACATCTTCACCATGAAAGATGGAAAACTCTTCTATCGCTTTATGCTGTGCATGGGGATACAGTTTTGGATTCAAATGACTGGCGCCAGTGTGATCAGCACGTACACAACCACAATCTTCCGTGAGAATCTGGGCTTATCTGGCCCCCTGTCTCGAATCCTTGGCGCCAGTGCGTTGACTTGGAAGTTCCTTGCGTCTTTCGTTTCCTTCTTCACTATCGATCGCTTCGGTCGAAGGAAGTTGTTCCTCTTTTGTGGGGTTGGTGTAACGCTATGCCAGGCATGCATGGCTATTACATCCAGCTTTTCATCAAAGAATCACGCCGCCTCCATCGCCGATGCATTTTTTCTCTTCTTGTTTAACTTCTTCTTCCCCATCGGACTTTTGGGGCCAAGTTTTCTGTACTGTACGGAGGTGGCACCGATTAGGCTCCGTGTAGCCATGACTTCTATCTCAACAGCAAATCACTGGATTTGGTATGTCCTTGCCCAGCCCCTTTCTGACCAACAAACTAATAAATGGCTCAGGAACTTTGTGGTACAAATGGTTACCCCCGTTGCGCTGGCAAATATCGGGTATCAGTACTATATTGTGTATGCGATCATCGGTCTTACCTTCGTGGGATCGGTCTACTTCCTCTATCCCGAGACCATGGGACGGAGTTTAGAGAGCTTGGATGACCTGTTTCAACATGATATCTCCATCTTGGAAACAGTTCAGATGGCAAACAAACTGTCCAAACTACCCCCGACCACAGGGATCGCAGAAGTGGAGCTCAAGGGGCAGGTGGAGCAGGTGGAGTATTCTGAGCAGGATACGGTGTGATCACAACGTGTATGATCCTCACCCGGGATTTAAGAGATAAGCTACTCCTTGGTACGACCTCGGAAGTCTGCAGGCGTGGCCTAGGGACAAGGCTGGTATATAACAAGCCAATTAAAGGTAGGTATATGCCAATTTATGTGTCTATGAAAGCTTCTCCCCTTGTTTAATCTTACGAATGCACAGACCTCATAACGGATTCATGAGCTCCATTGTACTTGCTGAGATATAAGCGTTTGCCCGGGCAGTCGTTGGAAAACATGTTCTTCTATACGGAGTAATTAGCCGCTTGATTTGAATGCTCACAGCCACAGGATATTAAGGCCTACAACAGCATCATGATGGCGTCAGTGGGGAACCCTAAATTGAATAAAACGAATAGAACCCGCCCGGTGGATTTGCACCTCAGGTGAGACATTCGAAGTCACCAGTTGAAGGAGATGCTGGGCCGTTGCAACCTAAAAAGGTCAGAGCTCGGAGCTCTATAGATCACCGTTGGGAAAAGTACAGGTCACCGCTGTTCAAGAGTATTATAGGGATGTCTGTGCTGTGTCATTTATTCTCTCCTCCGTAATGCGTGGTGAGATATGATGAGCTTGTTATATAGTTGTATCTTTTTGGGCGGCAAACCCGGTAACAAAGCACAGCCCAAGCAGCTATTAACTAGACCATCACTTCGTCTTTTTTTGGTGGAAAGTACACACAAAATTGCCAAGCATGAAAGTGCTCAGTGCTATCAATCAAGTGCTATTCTAGATTAACCCAACGCGAACCTTCTTTCTCTCGCACGCCTTTTGACTATTTGTTCACCGTTGAAAGCGGTGATTCAACGAAGAGCTTCGATAAGCAGCCTATGACCGCCGAGAACAAGCCTATCCCCACCCGACAGAACAGAACTCCCCCGGTTCCTCAGAGCGGAGTCTGCGCTTCATTGCACTGGCGAATTTCCGAAAGTGATCTGTGCCTCGTTTGCTTAGTCGATCATCTGGATCTTGTGACGGAGCTCCCGGGCGATTACTTATCAGATACCCGCTTGAGATCTGCTCACCTGGTTCTTCCAAAGAGCCAGGAGATTGGGCAGATCTAGAGACTCTGTCGAACTGGCTAACAATTCATCACACCCCTTTATCGCCCCCGACCACCCTGATCCTCCTTTCCCCGTCAATCCAGCTTCCTCGGCAGCCATTCCCGGCCCCCAGTCGCCCGAATACCTCCCCACCGCACCTCAACTGTCGACTCCATCTCGCGCGAACCGCCGTCGCCGTCATTCAAGTCCGGATACCCAGGGCTCTTCATCCGCAACAGAAGCTCCCGCGGGATCTGCACGTGAACCCGCTCCCCCAGATTACCCCAGCCATTTTGGCCGACCGGACGGCCGATCGCCCTCCCCCAAGCGCAGGCGCCTGGTAATCATGCGTTCAGATGGTATCAAGACAGAAAACGGCTTTCCGGAGGCTTCGAATGGGTCATACCCTCCAACTCCGAGAAAGGCCGCTCTCAACGGGCAATCGACCTCCGCCAACGGCAACTCTCATACCACTCACACGAACGGCTCCACAGCGCCAGCTAATTCTTCCACCTACTATGGTCATAATCGGGAGGAGGTGACGCGGATTCTGATACAGAGCCTACATGAGCTGGGTTATACGTCGTCGGCGGCACAGCTGAGCTCGGAAAGCGGCTTCGAGCTAGAAACCTCGGGTGTTGCAACGTTCCGGAGTGCTGTGCTGGGTGGTAGATGGGTGGAGGCCGAGAGGATCTTGATTCAGTCATTCCAAAATGCTGAATTCCAACCAGATCGAAAACCTCCACCTGAGGAGACTCTAGTCCTAGCCGCCGAGGCCGACAGAAACGAAATGCTGTTCTACCTACGACAACAGAAGTTCCTTGAGCTACTAGAAGGGCGCGATCTGGCTGCGGCACTTAGTGTTCTTCGTCAAGAGCTAACGCCCTTGAACTTTGATGTCGATCGTCTTCATGCGCTTTCAAGGTACGTCAAGATACGGTTCTCAAGGTGTACGGTTGACTCATTTCTTCATCTAGTCTTCTCATGTGCCCAACCGAGCTATTACATGATCAAGCAGGGTGGGATGGGCCCGTCAGTTTATCGCGCGAACGACTTCTTGGCGAGCTGTCGAGTAAGGATGACCTTGGGATGTGCATGGTAACACAAAGTTGCTAACTGAGCCGCAGAGTCCATTTCTCCGTCTGTGATGATTCCCCAGCATCGTCTCGCGATTCTGTTAGATCATGTCAAGTCGACTCAGATCAACAACTGTTTATATCATAACACTGCTGAGTCTCCGTCACTTTACTCAGACCACATGTGCGACCGAAATGACTTTCCTTTAGAGGTCAGTGTGGACTTGACTCACCATTCTGATGAAGTGTGGTATTGCGAATTCTCCCATGATGGCTCGAAGCTGGTCACTGCTGGCAAGGACCACAACGTGCTTATCTACAATACGGCCAATTTCAGTGTTCTTCATAGGCTCACAGAACACGAGGAGGGCGTGGCCTTTGCCAGTTGGAGTCCGGATGATACCAAGTTGATTACCTGCTCACAAGATAACAAGGCTCGAGTATGGAGTGTTGAGGTATGATAACACAATATGCTGTCCTATTAATGTTCAAAACAAGCTAACTTGGACTGCCACCGTTTCAGACCGGTCGCTGCTTGCTCACTATTAACCACCATCGCCAACCAGTAACGGCGGCAGCCTGGGCGCCAGATGGCGAATCCTTCATAATAGCATCTCTTGATGCCGATTCACAGCTTCGTCGCTGGGGTATGCGTGGCGAGTCCATACACGTATGGAAAAGCGGATATCGTGTGCAAGACTGTGCTATCAGCGCCGATGGACGACGTCTCGTCGCCGCCGATACGGAAGCCAAGATTCATGTGTACAATCTTCATACATATGATGAAGACTACTGTCTCCCACTCCCCAGTAAACCGACCTCCGTTGCCATCAGCCAAGATTCTCGACATATGCTCATAAATCTGGCCGAGGGCGAGATTCAGCTAGTCGACATGGAGACCACCGCTGTTGTCCGTCGCTTCAAAGGCCAGAAACAAGGCGAATTTGTGATTCGCAGCACCTTCGGTGGTGCGGCAGAAAACTTTATCGTCAGTGGCAGTGAGGGTGAGTATTTTACACATCGGTATATTCGAATCTTACTAACAATTCCCAGACTCCAAGGTTTACATCTGGCACAAGGAAAACGGGAACCTCGTCGAGACTCTTGAGGGACACATTGCAGGTTGCGTGAACTCAATATCGTGGAATCCCGCCAATCCGGGGATGTTTGCATCAGCAGGCGATGACAATACAGTAAGAATGTGAGTATACCTTGCCGCCGTCATACAGGACATCACTAATGCCAAGAAGCTGGTCGAGAGATTCCAACAGAAGTCGTCCAGGCCCTGCTCCCCGGAGCCGGGTTTCATCAAATGGGTTAACGCAGACTAGCGCTTTGAGAACCACTACTTTCTGATTATGTATTGCAGAGAATGCCCATCATGACTCTACCTAGGTTATTCTATTTCACGTTCATTCCTCTCTTGCGTTGTATCTTGTGAATATACCCGGACCTATGGATATATGTATCTGTACAAGGTTGATGGGCTCTAACTAATTACAGTATAGACAACATACCAAAAAAAAAAAAAAAAAAAAAAAAAAAGATCGCTAGAACAACACTGGAACGACAGAGGGGGAGAAGTAGATCAGGTCCCAGGAAATGTAATTATTCCAAGGCTGGGGCCGAATCCACCCACTCGGGCTTTCGAATGGCTACGGAGTTTATTGTGTTCGCCCATCCATGGATATAAATCGACTCGAGGAGCTCATTCGGGTGATCCCAAGGTCAATCATGGATATAGAATATACGGAGAATAGTAAATTGTTTCCATAATTCATGATCCCTATTTGCGAAAAGTAAAAAAAAAAAAAGAGAGAAACTCCAAACTCGACGAAACCTGCTACTTAGATCAGAGACCCGGGACGGTGAAAGAAAAAACAAAATCGTAAACACCCCCTAGGATGTACAAATTGGTTGGCATTTTTGAGCTGTGATATGGAAAGTCAGTAACCTCCTAGGGTAGCTTGACGAGAAGAACAACTTACTGAAATACGTATGTATCCCTTTCCTCCACGCAAAAGCTGGCCTGCATTTTCAATTTCGAATCCATCGCCAGATTGTGGGGCATGTCCCAGCGACGCAGGGGTGGGTGTAACTAGAAGCCTAGAAGTAAAGCCAAGTCGCTTTTGATAAAAGAAGAAACATCGCAGACACGAGGTTTGGTAAGAGCGATTATGAAAGCAGATCGGCAACTAGACAAGATTTGTTAGTGTGATCCAAGCTAGTATGAGGGTTGCGTCGCTTACCGTTCATTGGCATCTCATCAATTTGAGTCGAGTAGTAAAGCTCAATGTCACGAAGAATGCGCACATCGTCACTGGTGACGAAGTTGATAGCCACACCCTTGCGGCCGAAACGACCACTGCGACCAATACGGTGAATGTAGTTTTCACGGTTGGTAGGGAGATCGTAGTTAATGACCAGAGACACTTGTTGAACATCAATACCACGAGCCCAGACATCAGTGGAGATAAGAACACGAGAGCTTCCCTGGCGGAAGTCTTGCATAATACTATCACGTTCCTTCTGGGGCATCTCGCCGTGCATACTCGAAACAGTGAAGTTGGCCTCACGCATCTTGTCGGTGAGCCAGTCGACCTTGCGGCGAGTGTTGCAGAAAATGACGGCTTGTGTGATGGTCAGGGTATCGTAAAGATCACAGAGTGTGTCGAACTTCCACTCCTCCTTCTCGACAGCAATGAAATACTGCTTGATACCCTCCAGAGTCAATTCGTCACGCTTAACCAGAACACGAACGGGATCAGTCATGAACTTGGTAGTCATGTCCAAGACATCGTATGGGAGAGTGGCGGAGACAACGACGACCTGCGTCGCAGGGGGCAGGTAACGGTAAACATCGTAGATCTGTTCGCGGAAACCGCGGTTCAAAAGTTCGTCGGCTTCATCGAGGACGAGCATCTTAATGTGGCGGGTGCGCAGGTTACGGCGACGAATCATGTCAGCCACACGACCGGGAGTTCCTGAGACAACGTGCTGGCCATAGTCGAGCTTGCGAATATCCTCGCCAATGTTGGTTCCTCCAATGCAGGCATGGCACTGAACGTTCATGTAATCACCGAGAGCCATGACAACGGATTGAATTTGTGTCGCAAGTTCGCGAGTCGGGGACAGGACGAGGGCTGTCGTGAGCAATCATTAGCAAAAGGTAAGTATACCCGGGTCTAACGGGTGAATGAATACCTTGAGTCTCCCGTACAACGGTGTCGATAATCTGCAGTGTACTGATTGCGAATGTGGCGGTTTTACCAGTACCGGACTGGGCTTGGGCGATGGTATCGCGACCTTTGCAGATTTGGACAATCGCACGCGATTGCACGGCCGAGGGCGATTCGTATCCGTAAGCGTAGACACCACGAAGTAAACTCTCTTTCAAGTGCATATCCTCGAAGGTCGGGGCCACTGTGACCTCCTTGGAGGTGTTAAACTCCATGCGCTCTGGATGCTGTTAGCAATGGGCTCATTTTGGTAAGTGTTGGGTCGGCATACCCTCAGCGCGTCTGTCGATTCCGTCCGCCATGGTAGATAATTGATTATTTCAGCGGTAGAGAGAGATAAACAGAGGATCCACGAAAAGTGAAAGCCTTGAAGTCAGTGAGGTCAACGGCTTAACTTTTCGGGGTGGAAGTGGTTCGGGTCACATGACCAACCCGAGAGCTGCAGCTGCCAATCGTCGACTTCATTTTGCGACCAACCCGATACTTTGTCGACTCACTTTACGCGCAGTTCCAAAGTACCCAGGCCTCACCTGCGCTTGCAAGATGTTGCTCGAAGACCAAAGATTCATTCACGAAGACCTCGAGCGGTTGGAGCAGGCTATTGCTGATCGCGTGGCGGAGGAGCCGCGAAATGTGAGTTCTTCGTTGCGAAATTGTCGATAACGATTTTAACAAAACTGTTTTAACAGATCCGCGAACGCTTGACTCGCGACCATGAAGTTGCTCAATTCCTAGAGAGAATTGAGGATCAATCGAAGCGATTGCTTGAAATCTACAAGGATGCCGATGGGCTGCGGGAAAAAGAAGTGCAATCAATCTCGACCGGCGATCAGTTCGAAGAATTCTACAAGCAACTTGGTGAGATTAAAGATCACCACAAGCGGTACCCCAATGAACCCGTCGAAAATCTTGAACAGGCCTACAAGCGCCGTCACCCCGGCGAAGGAGAGCCTGCTCTCGGCGCACTTGACAAGATGTTCACTGGAGAAGAAGGATTCGGACAATTCCTGGATCTCACAGCTCTGCACGAACAATACCTGAACCTCCCTGGTGTGAAGCGTCTCTCCTACGTCCAATATCTTGAAAATTTCGACTCTTTCACACCTCCAGCCATGTCCATCAAGCGCAAAGACAAAGTTTCCGATCGTTACTTTGGATATGTTGGTGAACTGTCAAGCTATCTTGAAAGCTTCGTCAAGAAAGTTCGCCCCCTGGAAGACACAGACAAACTCCTCACCAAGTGCAATGAAGAATTCGAGCAGAAATGGTCAGCTAAGGAGATTCCCGGCTGGACAGCAGAAAAGTCCGAAAGTGGCTCCGGTCCGACAACCGAAGGAACCGGCGAAGGTACTTGGTGTCCCGACTGCGAGAAAGAATTCAAAAACCCGAACGTGTACCGAAACCACCTGACGGCCAAGAAACACATTCGAGCGGCTGAGATCCGCAAGGCATCAGGTGCATCGGGTGAGAAGACATCTTCACATATCACTACCTCAGCCCACAGTTTGAAGGAGCGTGAAGTTGCACGTCGCGAGCATGTAGTTCGAAGCTTGACGGAGGTTGTTAAGGGAGAGCGTCAGGCTTCAAGAATCAACGTTGAGCGCCGACAAGGCATGACAGAGCGTGAACGCCAACAAGAGCAAGATGCGATGCTTGCTGGACTGGATAACTTCGGCCCTGAGGGTCCAGCCGGCGAGGAGTCAGAAGATGAGGGCGAGGAGCGTGTTTACAACCCACTGAAGCTACCACTCGCATGGGATGGGAAGCCCATTCCTTATTGGCTGTACAAACTTCACGGATTGGGCGTCGAATACAATTGTGAGATTTGTGGAAACTATACCTACATGGGCCGACGAGCCTTCGACAAACACTTCTCCGAATCACTACACATCTACGGCTTGAAGTGTTTGGGTATCGTCTCAAACACCAACCTCTTCCGTGAGATCACAAGCATCAGTGAAGCCATGGCGCTTTGGGAGCAACTCGAGAAGGAACAGAAGAAGGACAAAGATTCTCGTGAGAACGTCGTCCAGATGGAGGATGCGGAGGGTAACGTTATGCCCCAGAGGATCTATGATGATCTGAAAAAGCAGGGTATTCTCTGAGAAGCTATGTTTGATACAAGGGGGCAGGAGTTTGGCGAATCTGGGGCCACATGTATAATCAAGAATGAAGCATTTTCAGCGATATCCATGATGTCTTCAATCCACCGTTGTAGCTTTCATATCACTAAAGTGGTCACGTGCCCACGTGTGTTCCGGCGCGCCCCTCACATTTTCGCGTCTCCGAAGTTCAAGTTCCGACCAAAAGTACTCCCGTATTCTCGACCTCATTTAGTTTTTTGGTGGTGCAATCACCAATCGTCCATGTCCATGCTCGAAATGGGCCATGGGTTTCAAATATCGATACCTTTGTGATCTACTCGAAGACCTGGAAAGTGGCAGAGCAGCCAAAGTGTCAGCCGCAACCCCGAAGGATAATCCAAGTATCCGCATAGTTTCCCAGTGGTTTACAAAACACGAGCAAGCTATACAAGATGCTGGAACAGACAGAGTCAAGTTGCTCTCATGCATGTTTCCCGAAAAGCGCACTGATCGGGTATACTGGTTGAGGGAAAAGTTTCTATCCTCGATTATCGGTCGAAGTTTGAGGCTGGGATCGACACGGCTCCAAGAACTCAATCGATGGCAGTCATCCGGGAATTCCGATCTTGCCTGCTGCGCCGAGAAAGTGATGCGTCAAGCAGAGAACTCTATATGCCCAGCGCAGGAGCTGACGGTGGAAGAGATTGACTGCGCCATGGAGATGATTGCATCACGATGCCGCTTCTCTGGCCCTCAGATTCGACGCAATCGCTCAGCAGTGGATCACGAGTCGATCCTATCATCATTATATCTTCGATCAAATAGCCGGGATGCCAAATGGCTCACTCGCATGATCTTGAAATCCTACGCCCCGGTCGTGTTTCCGGAGCATTATACACTGAAGAAGTTCCATTTCTTATTGCCACATCTTTTCCGACTGCAAAACTCTTTCGATGGTGCGCTGGACATGCTTGCTTCTGAGCCGATCAATAAATTTCCCCCAAATCCCGATCCAACATCTGCCAGAAAGCTTAGTGCCATTGCAATGCAGCACTTGCGGCCTCGAGTTGGTATCAAGGTAGGGCGCCCAGAATATTATAAAGCTCGAAGTATTAAACATTGCCACCAAATGGTCAATGGTCGACGTATGAGCATCGAACGAAAGTACGATGGTGAATATTGTCAGATACATGTGGACACGTCCAACAAATGCTCCCCAATTCAAATCTTCTCCAAGAGCGGCAAGGACTCAACCGCAGATAGAGAGAAGGTTCTGCCTGTGGTAGAACAAGCCCTTGGATTGGGAGGTCCTGACTGCAAAATCACAGGACGCTGCATTCTCGAAGGGGAATTGCTTGTATGGAACGACGAAGACTGCGAGATCATGGACTTCAGCAAACTTCGGAGGCTGCTTCCAAGATCTGGAGTTCTGATGGGCGTTGACAATGACTCGCCGTATGTAACCCGTGTCAATGAGAAGATGACATGCGCTAACCCACGCAGGCCACAACCCTTCGAACACTTGATGATCATGTTCTTTGATATCCTTATGCTTGACGATGATATTTGTCTCGCCAAACCCCAACGGGAAAGACGATTACTACTTCAAAAGGTAGTAAAGAGAATCTCAGGGCGATCTGACCTTGCTCATCAAGAGGTCCTTGACTTTGGCCGGGAGGACAGTTATCATCGCCTTGAAAGAAGCTTCGAAAAGGCAATCACTCAACGATGGGAGGGGTATGTTTTGAAGGCTTCTGACGAGCCCTATTTTCCGATTTATTCAACTGGTGTCAATCATATGTTTGGACGGTGGATCAAGCTGAAAAAGGATTATATCCCTGGGCTTGGAGACACCGTTGACCTCGCCATAATTGGCGGAAGCTATGTCTCTCGGGATGTGCAAAGTCTCTCACAAATCAAGAACTTGAAGTGGACTCATTTTTTTCGTCGGCTGTCTTCTCAACAAAGAAGGAGTACAGGCGGATAGCTCTATCCCGCATTTCAGAGTGATTGATGTGATCGGTCGACACTGCATGAGTATGCAGAGCATGCAATACCTGAACCAATTTGGGGAGTTCTATAAACGCTCACCCGACGAGTTCGAAGGGTTTGCCGTGGAATATGGACACAACGGCCTTTCAAAGGCAAGTGACTTGTTCAAAAAGCCATTTGTTGTCGAGATGTTGGGCAGTGGGTTTGAGAAGCCGTCTGGTGCCAGATACTTCACCCTCCGGTTCCCTCGAATCTTGAAGATCCACTCGGACAGATCTATGGAGGATGCCGCTTCTTTCCGTGAGCTCCAGATCCTAGCCGAAAATGCTCGAGCTGCCCCCCTGGATGAACTGGAAGAATTGGAAGAGCGCGAAGCATGGCGCAAACGCCTCAAAGTAGGGAGCCAAACCAATCAGTCTATCGAAAGGGCGTCAGATCCGGAGGCAACATGCTCAGATACTGATTCATCGCCAAATTCCCCGGCACCCCAAATACCGTGCGCGCCAACTGCTTCCGAGGATAGTTACATGGAAGCACGTCCACTGATCGACTGCGTGGTTGATGACAGCACGCAAAAGGGATACTTTGCTCAGTCGCGTGATGGTCCTTCAAGCATCCCTTTGATACACGTCGATGGAGCTATACTTCTCAAGGAGCCTGAAATTCAAAATTGCGAAGAAGGTGTGCTAGTGAACAACATCAATTTGGCATCTCACCGAGCTTCCAGTCAAAGGGATGAAAAAGTTCCTCCGCAGTCATCCGAGAATTATTCGTTCCCTGCAGAATGGCTCCAGGAACCACCGGTACCGGGTCTGGGAGTCTCTGGTACATCTAGCCCTATGCGGGCGGCCAGTTCAATCAGCATGTCCAATACACGTGCACAATGCCCGCAAGACGTGAGGACAGTTGGTCCAACCATTGAGCCACCCTCTCACTCTTTGAAGAGAAAGTTGTTCCCCCAATCCCCATTGACCACAATCCCACTGTGGACACCTGAAACATCATTTGGCAGCTTTGCACTTCCCGAAACCAAAGGACACAACAAACGAGATATGAACTCCGACAGCTTGCAGCAATTTATCCTCCAAATCAGCTCGAGTGCAGCAGCATTCGGACTGGAGCAGTCAAACCCATATGCCGCAGCCCAATGCATGAAATATGGGATAATTCTATTCAATCCTAGCATGACTGCGCTCGGCGAAGAAATGCACAGAGTCGTGACTACTCTCTCCACCCTAGCCAACCATGAAGTTTGCGCGGTAGCCACTGCCGGAAAAGTCTTCTTCTTGGCCTCCAGCATGCTGGCTCGAGATCTTCGTCCAGATGACTGCCGCTTTTGTCTACGCGAAACATGGGAGAAGATTGGATCGGAACATTACTATGGATGTGTCAGTTGGGATCCTCGCGTGTCCTCCACCCACTCCGTCATGAACAGAGTAAATGGCATATCAATGCCGAAACCTCCTGTGCTGGCTGATCAGTCTTTGCCTATCCGTTCAAAGCCCTGGATTAACATCTCGTTTGCTGCCTCGGACGTGGCTGTTCTGGGCGAATATACCTCGATTGATCCGCCTTCCCTTGTCCGAGATGTTTGATACCCTCTGATACCCTCTTGATTTTCTAGTATGACATTAATAATGAGTTGACGATAGTTTGTTGGTTTTCTACTCCTTTTGGTAGTGTAGTTGATCATTAAAAAATCGTGGCTATCATTCATGAACACTACCTTGTAAAGCGCCGCGCTATGATGCAATCAACAGACCCTCCTCTACTTGTCAACTAGCTGGCATCTTCCCTCCTCGCTCGCACGTCTCTCATCAAGGCCTTGGCCTCTTCGACTTCTATACCATCCTGACAGAGCTCGCCAGCCAACTGATCTGCACGGTCCAGATCACCATTCCGTGACGCATATTGTGCAAGCCACAACCGCGCCTTTGATGTTGTAGGCGTAACGCCGGTCCCATTCCACGACTCGCTAACGAGGGAGTCATCATGTTGAGCGGCAAATGACTCTTTAGCACGAGGCTTCCGGCTACGACGGTGTCTGCGTGGTCTATCTGGATCGTCATCACCCGAATGTTCAATCTCGGCATCGCTTGGTGAGGTGTGCTCGGAGTCCGATGAAGATTCGACGTCGGAGTTTTCGTTCGCAGGGCCGCCTGACTCTTGTTGAAGCGTGAGCTCCATGTATCCTGCGGCCTCCTCTTCATCACCAAGTCGCTCGTACAGGGTTGCGATCTGGTGTAGGGTCTCTGGGTCAAGGATTTTGCGGGACCCAGAGCTACCGTCATCTGGTTGCAGTGACCCAGCCGCCAGTGCACGTTTGAGAGCCTGAATACTCTGCTCCACACGGCCCATTTTAGCGTAGCATGAACCGACTGCCTGCCACATCTTGGGGTCATACGGACGTAGTGCTGCGGCACGCTGGTAGTAGAATAGGGCATAGAAGGACATATCGAGGACTTCATAGGCTTGTCCGAGGCCGTACCAAGCGCGGTAGTCTTTGCGGTTGACATCGACGGCTCGACGGTATGACTCGATGGCGGTGTGCGTGTTCTTCATTTCAATGTACTCGTGTCCCATCAGGGTCCACGCAGATAGGAAGTTTCGGTCGAGAGTGAGAGCTCGGCGGAAATACATGACCGCCTTTTCGTGCTCTGATTTCAAGGAATAGTAGTTTCCGACGACGCAGCACGTTTCGGGGCGGAATTTATCGGTGGCAGTTGCGACTTGAGCAACGAAAGCAAGCTGAGGTCGGTGATCCATGACGTAGAGAATATTGGAATAGTGGTCAAGGCTGTCCAAGCGATGGGGCGAAGTGGCCAAAATATCTTCGAAGATATGAGAAGCTTCCTCAAAGTCTGTATGGTATCAGTTCACGCTCTAAACGACTGCGGCAACAATTTGCGAGGCATACCCTTAGAATGATACAACAGCAATGCATGCTGTGTCTTGAGGAATGCGCTTTCTGGGAACATAGCCTGAAGTTCAGATAGTGAACGATATGTATCTTCAGTGGCTTGATACAGTTCTTGGCTGCAGTAGACGTAGAAGACCAGGCTCATGACGTTCTGGGGTAAGAGTTCCAGAATTTGCCTCAACTGCCGATTGGATTAGCAATATTCGACCGACAGGGCAAATATATACTCACGTCTTCAGTGCTTCCCAAGAGGTCGTTGAGTTCTTGCCATGCACCCCAGTGATAAGGGTTTTGATGAACAGACCGGATGAGCCATTTTTTTGCAAGCTCCTCATTTCGCCCTTTCAACAAAACAACAGCATAAAGATATTCAAGCCAGCCTTGACCTCTGTCATCTAACCCCTGTGCGGTTCGGTCTGATAACCATCCGTCCAGGCCTCTGGCAAGTCCCGATAGTTCTCGATTGACTGCCATTCCGCCATCTGCTGGGCCAAGTACCATCTCCGTCTCTTCCTCTTTGCGCTTTTCTCCCGCCAAGTATTTGGCATAGAGGGCGAGAAACAAAGACTTTTGACTCATCTTAGGGTATGGGTTGTGGGTCTGAAGCTTTGATGTCTTCGAGCTTGAGAACGGAGAGCCCGCATCCTTGCCCTTTTTGGAGGATCGGGGCGGTTTAGACTTGGAGTTGGGTGAGTTCACCGACAACGGAACTGGAGGTGTACTGGGAGGAAGAAACACGGCAGCACAGCGGTCGTATTCGCGGGTGTCGAAGTAAGACTTGGCTAGTAGGTACTTATACGATTCTTGGGCTTCGAGTGAGACTTCGGCTGGGTCACGAACTTGAAGATATGGATTTGCAGGCGGGATAGGTGGATCTGTTATATCCATTGGTGATTCGAGGTCGGTGTCGTCGTGGTCCAAAGGCCGTAGAGAATCGAGCATTTCGGCAGCCCTGGTTTCAATATCATGATTAGTTCACAGGCTCGCATATCGGAAGTAATGTGTGATACCATTTTGAAGATTGATAGAGACATCGCTCAGAGCACTTGATGGTCGCGCTTTCTAGCTGATACATCAGCTCGCGAATGCCGTCATCGGTAGGTTCCTCCATGGTGATGTTGTTTGGTCGCAATCTAATGCAGTGAAGATCCTTTGGGGCAAAGTTCCACGTCGCGCTGGCTCGGGATATTGAGAAGAAATAGTAGCCGTTGTTGACGCTCAATCACATGCTTCCCATGCGCCACTCCAAGCTACGATCAATGCGATTTGACCGTGAATTCGGAGGGCGGGTGTAAACAAATGCCTTCAGCTCGCTCTGGGGTGGGTCCGAGAGCGCGTCGCGGGATCGAAGTACGGGTCAGTGGCGAGACCACAGAATTCAGGTTGCAATTGGGTTCCAGACGCCACAAGACACAGTTCAGTTTGATATCCAACGCGGAGGAATTCAAGAGTAGCTCTGTCGCGGGAGGAACCCAAAACAAACAATGCAAACATGGGGCGGGAGTGTACACCGGCCACATAAAGTTCTATTCACCGCTTTGTGGTGTGCACAAGTCTTGACGAACATAATTGCTCTCCAAGACTTATGTTTATACTCTTTACGGAGTATTTTGGCTATAGAATGAATACATGAGCTATGTAGGAGCGGATTTCCTGAGGAGTTTCAATTGGTAGGTTATGTGAGAGTGGGGTGTTTGGTCGAAGTATTATGCTCAAGTGGCTGCTAAAACGCCCCGTACAACACAAACCCACCAAACAGACCCCCCCCCGCGGGGGATCAGCCTCCTGGATTTTGATGCACTTGTCTCTCCCTCGCTTTCATTGACGTTTCACCGCATATTCACCATGACTTCCACCAAGCGCGCCGACTTCGAGGCCATTTTCCCATCCTTGGCCCAGGATATCCTGGCTCATGCCAAGCGGTACAACCTCCCCCAGAATGCCCTCGAGTGGCTTGAGAAGGTGTGATGAGCTATCATTATTTCTGTCTGATCTGATTACTGAACTTTCCCGATTGACAGGCTCTCAATGTCAATGTGCCCGGTGGCAAGCTTAACCGTGGCCTTTCGGTCCCCGACACTGGTCTCGCCCTCCTCCAGCAGCCCCTGAGCGCCGAGCAATTCGAACACCTCAGCATCCTGGGATGGATGACCGAGTTGCTTCAGGCTTTCTTCCTGGTCAGTGATGATATCATGGATAGCTCTATCACCCGCCGTGGTCAGCCCTGCTGGTACCGCCAGGACGGTGTCGGCCTGATCGCCATCAACGATGCCTTCCTGCTGGAGTCAGGCATCTACCTCATTCTCAAGCAGCGTTTCCGTTCGCACCCTGCTTACATTGATCTCGTCGAGCTCTTCCACGAGACCACCTGGCAGACTGAGCTTGGTCAGCTTTGTGACCTGATCACCGCCCCCGAGGACAACGTGAACCTCGACAACTTCTCCATGGAGAAGTACATGTTCATTGTTACCTACAAGACTGCCTACTACAGCTTCTACCTCCCCGTTGCACTTGCCTTGCTCTACCTCGAGGTTGCTACCGAGGAAACCCTCAAGCAGGCCCACGATATCCTGATCCCTCTCGGCCAATACTTCCAGATCCAAGACGACTACCTTGACAACTTCGGTGACCCAGCTGTTATTGGAAAGATCGGTACCGACATTCAAGATAACAAGTGCTCTTGGCTCATCAACCAAGCCATTCAGCGCTGCACGCCTGAGCAGCGTGCCCTCCTCGATGCCTCTTACGGCCGCAAGGATGCTGCCGAGGAGGCCAAGGTCAAGGCCCTCTTCGTTGAGCTTGATCTCGAGAACGTCTACAAGAAGTACGAAGAGAAGGTGGTTGGTGAACTTCGCGAGAAGATTGCTGCTGTGGATGAGTCCAAGGGTCTGAAGAAGGAAGTCTTCGAGTCGTTCCTTGGTAAGATCTACAAGCGCACCAAATAGAGGAATAGACTATGTGGATTTCGGATACCCCTCACTCGGTTGATGCGAGATGACTTTTTTTTTTTTTTTTTGGCCTGGTCACGTCTGTGTATAAAAAAAAAAGCAAACCCTCAACATCTCAAGCCATGAGACACTCGTGTATTTCCGGAGCTAACTTCTTTGGACTTGATACACTTTTATTTCGGCAGATTCTATAGGTAATATGAACGAAGTTTTCGGGCACCTCATTCACTATGAAGCAATTATTCTATGTTTACAGATGGGGGGCATTCAATGCCATCAAACAGATGAGTCCCGATATCAATCCGGCACAAGGCAATGTCAACACCCATCCACCAAAGATGAAACCAAGTTGCTTCCAGTTGACAGCACCAAGATCATAGTTCATGAGCGCCACGCCCATAGAAGCACCAGTCAAGCACTGTGTTGTGGAAACAGGCAATGCAAGTCTCGAGGCCAGAAGAACGGTGATTGCAGCTCCAAGCTCAACACTGAAACCACGAGTGGGCGACATCTGCGTGATCTTGTTACCAAGGGCACGAACAATGTGGTATCCATAGAACCAAAAGCCGAGACCGAGCAGCAGACCCGCAATGACAAGGAACCAAATTGGCGTCGGTGCCTCTGTTTCGACAACACCGGCATTGTATGTGCTGTAAACTGCAGCCCATGGGCCAACGGCGTTGGCCACATCGTTCGATCCGTGAGCAATGGACATCATCATCGCAGATACAACTTGGCAGTATGTCCAGAGGTGCTCAACGCGGTCGTCGTAACGGTGTGCTCGAGCATGGATTGCGCGCAGCTCGGGTGAGTCATGTGTGATCACATCCCGTGTCACACCCTGCAGGAGAATCCACTTCAGATATCCATAATGCTTCTGGGGATTTTTCCATGAAAGGTCTCGGACAGGGTCGATGAATCGCTCCTTTGGTTCAAGGTGCTTCTTGCGGGGCTTGATCTCCGGTGACGACGTGGCCGAGTCCAGTTTCTTCTCTTCATCGTCGCCTATTTGTCCAGGCTTGACCTGAGGTGCGATCTCTGGCGTTGGCATGATGGAGTCTGCGGTGGTTGTGGTTCCTTTCTTCTCGGCATCCTTTTGCCCAGCTTGCACTTCGCCATATGCATCTTCGTAGTAGCTGACCACAATTTCGTCACCCTTGCCTGGGAAGTATAATGGTGGGTTTTCTCTCAACAGGAGAGGGCCGAGAGGGATGTGGTAGAACTTGATGCGAGCGTCTTTGTGAATGAGACGACGCTTGAAGTACGGCATGAAAAATACATAAGCGACGAGAAGACAGCCGAAGAAAACACCGATGATGATACCAGCAGCTTTGCCGGCACCGAACTCTTCCAGCGATGGAGCTGTCGGGGCTTCGACCACAATGAACAGGGCAAGAATGGCACCTGTCATGGCGAGATAGACCGGAATCAACCGCATGGCCCATTTGAAAGAATCAGCCCGCTCGAGCACACTGTACTTGAGTGTGCCGAAAATGATGGCGGAGAAACCAGCCGCCACAAGAGGAGCAATACCCCATGATGCAGCGACTTGGGATACACTTCCCTTTTTCCACTCCCAAGAAATGGAAGCTTCGGAAGCGAAGCCGACTCCGATGAGGGCACCAACGATGGTTTGCGTGGTTGAGACAGGCCACCCCCACTTGGTAGCGAACATCAACCAGGATGCACTGCCGATCTCAGCACAGCCCATGGCCAGCATGAGAGCACCAGGCTTGCCCTCAAAGCGATCGATGCCAATAATTCCATTCTTGATTGTGTCGGTGACCCGGGCGCCCATGGCTACTGCGCCGATGAATTCTGTGAACATCGCCAGGACACCGGCCGTGGCCATGTTGAGGGTCCTGGCCGCGATAGAGGTAGCATACGCGTTGGAAACATCGTTGGCTCCGTTACCAAAGGCACTGAAGACGAAGGCGATCGAGGTGATGGCAAGGATCCAGTTGTACTTCGCTGTAGCGGCGGGGATCATACTGGCGGATGGGGCTTAGCCACCAAGCGGCTGATAATTTGATGTGTGAGAGGAAGCTAGCTTGCTGTTTCCCGATCATGCAGGTGTGATGCTGCACTTATACCAACCACGAGTCATGCCATGGCTATCGCCAAGTGCGGCTGGTCATGGAACCATATCATGATCTTGGCCCAGTGCAGAGTCCGCCGCCCATTATAAGATTTCTCAGCCCATCATAGAGATTTCATCAAAAGCGTGCACTTGATATGGTTGTCCCATTGGCTGACCCGTGAGCGAATTGCTCCGAGTCTGGAAGTTGAGCGGGAGTTGGCGCCAAGCCTGAAGAGCGGGTGCCAAGAGCGGACGAAGCTCGCTTCAGGATATCAACTCAGTCGAGATGGACTACTTCAGCCAATTATGATCATTCATTTGGCACGTTCCTGGGCGAAGGGACGCGATTGCAGGTTTAGCAGAGCTTAAAATGGGCTGTTTCCGGATGCCGAGATTCTTGGAAAGCTGGGCGGCTCGGCGGAGGGTGCACTGCCTTCGCTTGGCATCTCGTGGTGGGTGGCAAGTAAAGAAAACCGGTAGTTTGTCGTTCTTACGGAGGGTACCTCGTATTAAACAAGTGGCTCCCGTGAAATTCAATCTCCGAGCGCGTTGATAGCATGGTAGGACAGCCCGGTGGGAATTTTGTATACCTTTCTGTCAAGAATCGAGCTCATGGCTCATACCGAGTAGAGGTACTATTTGCAAAGGGAGGGCTAGAGCCCTGAGGTGTATTCAAGACCCGTGGACTATTCGACAGTTGTAAGTGTGTTGGGCCCATGGTTGCCGGATTGGTCAGTTCTCCGCAGGTAGATAGATCTAGAGCTCCCTCTCCCTCTCTTCTTTTCTACCCTGGTCTCCCACAATATATACGTTTATGTCATCATAAATTCCTGACCAGGTGCTCTCGTGCTCTCGGTAAAGTGGGTATCTAAGATCGACTCTTTCTAGCACAAATCAAAAGCAGCGTTAAAAGCATGACAGCTTGGTGAAATATCTATTGGTGTAAGTTATTTGCTCCAAGTATAATCTCCCGATGCACCTGGGTAAGCAAATATACTAGTATCACAATGTTGGCTCTTCTTCGTAGCTGGGGTTCCCTTTTCCCTTTCGCATCAAGACAGCTAGCCCCTTGGCCTCGCTTTCATCGGTTGGTGGCTGGTGTTGATGCACCTCCATTTTCATCAGCTTCTTGTAAAATGGAACAGACCGTTTCCAATCTTCTGTAAACAGCAGAGACCGCCTCAAGTAAGGCATGGATTCAATAACCTGCTGTACACATTCCACCAACCATGTTCCTAGCCCATGGCCTTGGTACAGAGGCAAAATAAAAACATCCGTAAGGTAAATGAATGTTGTGAAGTCTGTGATACATCGCGCAATTCCGATGAACTCAGAAGCAGGGTTGGTCGTCTTCGCAATTCCAGGTGATTGCAGATTTGACTTGTATAAACCGAAGCAGAGGGAATTTTGAAGCGTTTCTCGGAGAACTTGCTCCGGCATTGGATTCGCCCAGTAGACTTCCTCAGTAGCGTACCAGTCATTTAATGTTGAGACTGGAATCAAGTTTGGGTCGGTCGAAATTGAATATGGTGATTTTGTCCAACTTTGATGCTGGTTTTTTGATACAGGAGAAGACATTTTTATCTTCTATCACCAGTTAGATTGCTAGGGAGCAACACATTCATGGATCAGTTAACTCCATGGATAGGTGGCCTAGAGACTTACATAGTTTGCTGAGAATTGTGTTTATTGAACAGAGTAAACTGCACTGAGTAATATCGGAATGGAACTTCGACTGCTTTTTTAAACTCAACCATGGGGGATATATTGAGGTTGAGTCATACTCTAATCACATTCAAAGTTTAGCGGAATGGGCTTCTAACTACCGCTGATTTTGTCGCCAAAAACATGGTGGGTATCCCATGCGTGCCTCAATTTTAATTGTGTGCTGGGCTGCACAAATTTCCAATGACATTGTAAAGAATTGATGGACATGATGGGGAACCCACCGTCCTTATTTACTATCGGCCGACACTATGAAGCAACCCCGCGTGGTTTCGTAGAATCGCCCCACAATACTAGTATGCCCAGATGTGCATCAGCAAGCCCATCTACGGGTATCTGTAGTTTTGTTTGACTACATATCCAATCCCCATTGAGATATACTAGGAATTGATCACTTTCAAATCAGTCGTGATTTTTCATGCACTTATGAATATATCATCGTCTTGAAAGGATTGATAACAAGGTACCTGGCAGACGGCTAGGCTAAGGGTTGGACAAATATACATATCATGTCTGATAGTTCTAAGTCAAGGGAATAAATAGTGCCGAAAGAATTCCGGACCACTAATGGACGTACAAGAGGAAACAAAGAGACAGAGGGAGAAATCAAGAGCGCAGAATCACCGAAGAAAAGTTCGGCAACATGTTGAGCCCCGCAAGTGCTCCTCAGTTTGTCAGGAAGCCCATTCCAAGGCTTACCATTTTGCGCTACATTTTCGTGTTGAAAAAGTAAAGACTTTGAGCGAATTCACAGCTTACACTCACTGGATTATTCTTTTGTCGTATGTATGAGGTTTTATCTTTTTTTCGCTAACCTTTGGAACGCCGAATCCCTGACGTGCGCTAGCGCAGAGTTGTCGTGGCCCGGATCCACCGAGAGCCACCACCTCGTACGAAAGTAAACACCAAACGCCTTCCAGAATGAGGAAAACTCAGACCGACGACGCGTAGACCAAAATTGAATACCAGAACACGAGATGTCTCTCCCCAAACCCTCACCTGGGCATTCTAGAATATGCTGCACTTCATACTAGCCCTTTCTATCTTTCTTCATTGTACAGATGCAGATCTACAGCCATATTTCCAGTCCGCCGGTTATGACATGAGCCAGTATGGTGCCTGGCCATTACAATCTTATCTTTCATCAAGAATTTCCGGTCCGATATTGAACTATTGGAACCAAAGTCAGGCCTGCGCAGATGGATCCTATACATTAATCGCGCCGCGTGGTGACTCAGTCAGGCATACTGGGCCAATGATTCTGGATCAAGATGGAGATTTGGTATGGTTCAAGGAGTATGCGACTACATACAATCTCAACATACAGTCTTTTCGCGGGGAAGACTATTTGACCTTTTGGGCGGGAAATGATGGCATCGGTGGGCATGGCGACGGGACATACTATATGGTATGTAAAGCGGTCCTTCCCAACACTGCTGTCACTGATGATATCAGCTCAACTCCCAATACGAAGAAGTTTATAAGATCAGAGGTGCAGGTGGTTTACCGGCAGACATGCACGAGTTTCACATCACGCGCGATGACACCGCGGTGTTTGCCCTGTATGACACGCAACCTGCAGATCTGCGTGCCGTTGGAGGACCAGAGAATGGGTGGATATACGACGGTGTATTCCAAGAAGTGGATGTTGAGACAAACAAACTTCTCTTTCAATGGCGAGCATCAGATCATTTCAAATTCACTGATAGCTATTGAGGCCTCGAAGAAAGAGGTAGCTCCAAGGACGTGCCATGGGACTTCTTCCATATCAACAGCATCGACAAGGATTTCCGTGGCAACTTCTTGGTCTCATCCCGCTATATGAGTTGTCTCACTTATGTAGATGGGCGTACTGGAGATGTGATCTGGAGACTAGGCGGGAAACACAACTCCTTTCAGGAAATGCCGAATGGCACAGCGACGAAGATGAAATGGCAACACCATGCGAGGTTCCATACCGAGTCAGGAGTCGGTGACTCAGATTCTACGCCGAGGCGATCAATTACCCTTTTCGACAACTCCTCTCGCGGAAAGGGAGATGTCGAACGTACCAGCCGTGGGTTGTTCGTCGATATCGACGAGCAGAATATGACCGTGCAAGTAAGACATGAATATTGGAATGCATTGCCTATCAGTAGCCAGTCACAAGGCTCGCTGCAGGTGCTTGAAAATGGAAACATACTAGTTGGGTACGGGTACAATGCCGCCTGGACCGAATTCTCCATGGATGGGGAAGTGCTGTGCCAGGTGCATTTTGGACCGGCGGGAGGATTTGGGAGTGGCAATATCATCTCGTACCGTACATTCAAGCACCACTGGATCGGAAAGCCAACTTCCTTCCCAGATGTGGCCTATGCGGAGACCCACGTTGCGGTCAGCTGGAGCGGCGCTACGGAAGTATCGACGTGGGTGCTGGAAGGTACCGAAGATTTGAACCATTCGTCAAGCCAAGTTGGATTTGTGGCTGTTTCTGTCGTACCCAAGACCGGGTTCGAGACTGATATCCCTGTTCCTGCCGATATGCCTTATCAACGGTTACGAGTCCTGGCTCTTGACTTGAACGGGGAAGTTTTGTGTCAGACGACCCCCGTGGACTGGAACCCCAAGCAGTTTCGAGATGAAGTGTTAGTGGTACCGGGCGATAGCGAGCTTTTGCACCAAGGAGACGAGGGAAAGGTGCTGCTCTTGGTGCTCATACCCTTGGCTACGGCACTGGCTGGATATCTTTTGTGGCTGGGCAGAGAACGTCTTCGCCTCTCCCTATTAATGGAAACGCTCCACAGACTGTCTGGTCAGAAATCCAAGCATGAATCGTGGCTCCCACTCAGATCCTCTGAAGAGTTTGAGGGGGTGGACGGACTGGACGGACTGGAAGATCTAGAGGAGTTGGGGAGCTTGTCACATAGTGTCACCACGGGAGGTATTCTGAAAGGGAGTACAGACCACAGGCTTAAAAATCATACCCCTGTCTGACATAGTTCAAGCTGAGATTTCGTTTTTTTTGAGTGAATTGATTGACATACTGGTCCAAGCCCGGCCATTGAAGTTTTAGATACTATTCACATTTGTTCGATGCAGTAGATTGTGCATAAATTCATAAATTCAGACGTGACATCGAAGATGGCAACACCGTTCATAATGCAAGGTCGAATGCAGGAGAGCTGAATATCGCTAAAAGAAAAGCAGTCAAACGCACTTTTTGACGCCAAGACACTACTAGGCTATGGCATTTTGTCCCTCGATATGACCAACAAGTGTCTTCGCAAAGCCTTCGAATCGAGGATATGACCAAGTCTCGCTGTATCTCTCGACAAGTGGCCGGTCATCCTCCTCGGCGGGAGCTTCCTGTGTCTCGGTCTTGGGTACCTCCTCATCTTCTTCATCGCTGTCTCCCTGTTCCATTTTCCCTTCCACCAACTCACCGAATTTCACATCAATGGGAACACTGCCCAAAAACGGGAGCGACAATTCTTGGGCCATCACTTGCCCACCGCCGCTGGAGAACAAATTGCTGACCTCTCCGCAGCATGGACAAGCATAACCGGACATATTCTCAATGACGCCGAGAACAGGGATATTAGTCTTGACGCAGAAATTCGCCTCTTTCCGCACATCTGATGTCGCAACAGCCTGTGGTGTTGTGACAAGCACTGCACCAGCCAGCCGAGGAAGACCCGACTGAGCAGCTGCGGCCGCATCTACTGTAGAGAGCGTGAGTAGCTGCTCAGCAAGTGCAATGTGCTCGTCACTCGTTCCGGGCGGCGTGTCAACAAGGAGGTAGTCTGTCTCGCCCCAAAACACATCTGACAAGAATTGCCGGATCATGGCTGTTTTCTTGGGTCCGCGCCAAATCACCGCATCGCCACGGTCGCGCAGGAGAAAACCAAGGGACATGCAGCGCAGCGAACCACGTGGGGTTTGTGAGGACTCTGAGCCTTCGGACGTAGACTCTGCGCTGTGGACTGGTACTGGTACCCATCCTCCTGGGGCTTGTGTGATTTTCGCATCTTCGAGCCCGACGAGGCGCGGCATTGATGGTCCTGTCAGGTCGATGTCGAGGATGCCAACAGATTTGCCTTGTAGTGAGAGCGCGAGGGCAAGCTGCAGCGTGACGGAGGACTTTCCAACTCCGCCTTTGCCGGAAAGAACCTATCAATTATCCCATGTTAGTGACTGATTCCCAGGCATGCGCTTGATCTCTTGCCCAAGTGCCCTTGTTATCGATAAGGCGCGGGGTGGCAATTCTGCTCGATGCGATTGAGGGGACATACCAGCACAACATTTTTCACGCCGGTCAAAGGCATCTTTGTACAGCTAATGCGCCGAATTCAGAACCTCTAGAAAAGTAAGAAGTGTAAATGCATTCGAATGACGAAGTGGGGGAGCCGACCTCGGGATATTCGGACGCTTATCAATCGAGCTCTGACTAACAAATGGAAAGTTCCAAAGTTCCAGGGCTTTATTTTAACAGGTCTATTTTTTCAAACGGATAACTGTCATTCATTTATAGAGCAAGTATGGTATCGATGTAGTACTGCGTGAGGTCATGAAACATGCATACAGGAAGATCATCACCCTGGTTTCGCTTTTTGAACCACACCCACAACCACGATAACAGTCGAGGCGGAGAAAACCCGTAATATAGTCGACTGCCATTTCACTGCCATTTCTGAACCACAACACCTCCACGCTTGAAGTCAGGCAAGTCGCCAAGGACAGCTGCCTTATCCTTAAGTTCTGTGCTGGGGAAAGTGGTCATCAAAACCCACGCGCGGGCTGAGGAACCGGGAGAGGCAGCAGTGACAAAAGAGTAGACGTCGCCAATAGTAGCCGTGGTGTTGAAGCGAGACGTCAATCGTGTACCGTCTCCCAGGCGAATCTGTAGGGTAACTGTAGGCTGCGACTCATCCACGGTGGGTTTGGCTGCTTCTTCCGCGGAGGGCGCAGATGTGGACGATGAAGGTGTAGGGGCCTCGCTTCTGACACCAGGCGTCGGACTTCCAAGACGCTGTCCAGACCCCGAGAACGGCTTATACTGGATCTTGGGCTTGGTGTACTTCTCCTCGTGTTGTTTCAGCTCGACGTCAACCTCCTGGCCAGGCTGTACATTCATAATGGAAAGAGGCGCACGGCCTTGGCGGATCCCGTCGAGGATATCCGCATTCCGCGGGTCGTCCGAGCGGAACAGTTCACCGTCGTCCACCGAGAATCCATCAGCCCAAAAGTGAAGGACCCGTTGTACACGTTGGGCGCGCTGTGGGGTAGGGGCAGAGGGGTTTTCGATGACACGACTGGGCGCCTCGTCGCCGCCAAGGGTGCGGGCAGTTCCGGTGAAATGTGAAGGTCGGGGCTCTGGGTCTTCAGAGGGAGGAGGTTGAGCTCTGCGATATTGATGCTATGTTAGAAAGGTTCACCTGTGAAGTAGCACATGGTGACTCACCTGCGGGCTTTTTCGAGGATCTTCCGCTTCAGATCATCCGGGTTCTGTACAGCCAGTCCGGATTTCTCACCACCCGTGAAGAAATCGTGATCATCGCTGTCATCACCATCAGAAGAGTCGCCTCCCCCGGCACCTCCCTGAGAAAAGTCACCTAGAGTCGCAAACTTCTTTCTCGGCGCAGCTCCTCGAGCGGAAGAGGAAGCTTCAGGCGCCGCGGAAGATGAAGCAGGTACCGCATCTCCTCCAAGGGTGCGGCCTCCAGAAGGAGCTCCAGCGGCGCTCGTAGTATCCGCCTGTCCCTCATCACCGGCATGTGTGTCCTGCATGGCCTCATCTTGCTCTGTAAAGAACTCCGTCACAGCAGCTTCAATGTCATACCCACTGGCAGCAAGATATTCCTGGGCCTAGATTCAGAGACCAAAAGTCAGCAACCAGACCAGAGGAGGGAGATGAATATAGCTCGTACCTCAGAAGGTTGAGTTCCAGTCATAGCACAGAACTGAGACACAATCTCATCGTGCTCCGCGGGGTTGCCTTCCATTGTAGAGCTTGGAACACGTTTGACGAAGGTTGATTAGAGGTAATGAAGAATGGTTTTGGTCAAGAGAAGTGAGTGAAGTTAGGCTGGTAGAAACGGCGAGCTAGGATACAAGTTCTGGTTATGTACCAAGCTGAATGAGACAACAGACCTAAACACTGCAGATGCCGATACGTCACCGGTCATTGGTCAGCCGGATCAGCGATGTTCCGCTCTCCCTCGCCCATTTCTCCACTCTCCTTACGCCCGCGGGCTTTGCTCGTTGTTGATCTTCTTTTTGTATACGGAGTAATTATTTACATGTCTGAAACAACCTTGTACAATTTGACAGAAGATTATATCATGACCTTGCTAGTTCCGGCTAGTTTAAGGGCTATCATGATGGTATTGATTGTAGAAGCAAAGAGAGAACGCCAAACAAAATCACAATCAAATGACTGAGCTACAGGTCGAGCATCATTCGCACCGTCTCTTCTACCGTCTCGATAACTTTCGTCTTGGACTGAGTCGCATCCACCGTGATCACGTCACTTTCCAACATCGAGGGGGCCTCTTGAATCGCAAGCTGGGATTCAACCATGGTTGAATGCATATAATGGGACTCATTGGCAGAGCGAGTGACCAAGCGCTCCTTGAGCTGTGCCTCATCTGCAATTGAAAGTCTCAGGAAAGTGACCATAACAGGGAAATCCAACAGCTGGGGTAATCTTCGCAGTTCGTCGCGGTAGACAGTCCTCAACGCAGAGCACGTAACTGCGATTGCAGGAGCTGTTGAGTGCTGGAGTCTGTCCATCAATGCCCCGCGGATATGTGCAATCCATTCCCAGCGGTCATTGTCTTCGAGTGGTATGTTCTCGGCCATCTTCTTCCGAGCCAGGTGTGAATGCATGTCATCCCCTTCAATGACAGGTATGTCAAATCTGGTCGCTAGTGCTTGGGCTGCTGTGCTTTTCCCACAGCCACAAGGCCCGGTCAGAAATATCACCTCGCGGGACTGTGTCGAAAGACTAGAGATCTGTGAACCGGCCCAGCATTCACGTCGGAAATAACCGATGAACCGTGTCACCAGATCGAGCGTGAGTCCCCCGGCCTGTCGCAAAGCAGGGGCTGCGGCTTGTGCTTTCTTCGTGTCGTACAGAAGTACTTGGGCTGGTCTGTCATGGTCATATTTACTGGCAAAGAACTCGACAAGCTTGATAGGTGGGTTCAATTCAGGGTCAGGGTTTGAATTCCTCAGGCGATTCAACCACTCGCGCGGCTTCAACTCCTCGAACTCCATACCAGCCTGCTTGAGAAGTGGTAGCAGATCGCGTGCCCAGTGATTGAGGGTTGGATTGGTGACATTCACCACCTCTCCTGCAACGGGAGCAAGAGTGATATCAATAACACTGGTGGCGATTATGTCGACAGGTGTCCATGATAAAAGGTCTTCCAGTTTTGGGAGGGCATGAATTGTCTCGGCTGACCGCAAAATCATGGGAATGGCTTCAGTGGCATTCCAGATACCCCGAGCAGTGTCTCCGATGATCTGGCCCACTCGAAGTACACCAGCATTTATGCCTGTCTGGTGCGCCGCTCGATTGATGATATGCTCGGTGACTAATTTTGACTGCGCATACCCCATATTCTGTGCGTAGCTGAGTGATTCGGGGAGGGCCTCTGGTACCCAATGACCTGGGGTGCGGGCCACTGTACTCACAGAAGAGCAGAATGAGAATCTTGCAGGAACTGGCTGGCGCACTTGTAAACACAGATCTAGCAGATTCCTGGTGCCTGCGATGCAGCTACTCTCAAAGCTTTCCAGGGACCAGTTGAAATTCACAGACCAGGCACAATGCATGACACCCGTCACTGACTCGATCAAAGTGTTGTAGGAAGATTCTTCGAGACCCAGGCGATTCTTGTTTCCCAAGTCGGCTGGCAGGGCAATGATCTTCCCTTCCTGTGCGGAGCTCAGATCATATGACAAGCCCCGAGCACGTAGAGACTCGTGCACCCGACGGCGGGCAGCATGGGCAGATCTTGCGCGAACGAGGCAGTAAATGGCCCGAACATCCTCTGACTGAGCTAATTGAACCACGACATGTGCTCCCAGGGATCCTGTGGCACCAGTCACAATGATGTGCTGACCATCAGTCTGGCGAGCAACTGGGATATGTGACTCAAAGTTGGCAGAGTATTTTTCAATCAGAGCCGACATGCGCTCTTCTACTGCAATCTCCTGCTGTGGATCTTGACCCAGGCGAACACATGTCAGTGCTTCGGCCATCGCTCGGAGGGAAGGGTTCTCGAAAACAAAATTCTGTGACAACTTTCGACCTCCAAGATAAAGCGTTCTCATGATCGCCGTTCGCAGTCGAATGGATTGCAAGCTGTCTATTCCAAGGCTGAAGATGTCAGTGTGATCCTCCAATGAAGAGGGCTCGAGGTTAGGCGCAACTTCAAGCAGTTGCTGGCGCAAAAACTCAATCAGTTCAGCCCCTTCGCAAACACGCTCTCCCTCAACATCTTCGGTTTCATATATCTCATCAATCTGACTTTGGTAATCACGATAGAAGGCTGATCTGATGACGGTTCCTTTGTCGGTTTTGCGATACTCAGCATCTGATGGCAGCACGTGAATCATGTCTTTCGACATGTATGCAAACGCAGGGGACTCTGCGTTGCATTTCTCGATGGCAGGAAAGATTCGGTCCACCAGTTCCTGATTCGACTTGGCATCACAGCTATCAGACGGAATGATGAACATTCCGAGGCGTGGCTTGTTCGCACCAAAGGCAATCGCTTCAGCAATATTCGAGTTATTCCGGGCCACGCCCTCAATAATCAATGGATTGGCCTTTTCGCCATTTTCCAAGACGAGAGTATCATCCAGGCGTGCATAATATCTCCACGCGTTCGGTGTTGTTGGGTGTTTCTCAAAAAGGTCTTTGGTTGCATAAGAGTTGTCAGGTCGGTTACTGGCAACTTTGGAAGGCCATCCCTCCAAGACGCAAAGTTCATAAATTCCAGGTGTTTGCTCCTCCCATCGAAGGTATGGTAGCAATGATGGACCAGGCCGCACATAGTCCCAGTCCAGATCTGACCGATCTCGGAACGAAGTCATCAGTTGGCCTGTCTCGGTGGTTCCGTAGTGCGACACCAACCGCACACCATTCTGGACCAATGTGTCGCCAATTGGTTTGGGACAAGAGGATCCACCAAACATGACAAGCTCCAAACGTGCAAGAACTTTCAGCCCCTCCTCTGATTCAGAAAGCAGCTTGAGTGCATATGGTACGGCGTACAGGACTTCGATTTCTTGGTGGTCTTGTAGTGTCGCCATAAGATGAGGAGCTGTCAACGGGAGGTTTGCATTGTACATGTAAATCAGTTTCTGGGAATGCATGGCGCGGAATAGGCAACTAATGCCATGGGCGTGGAACAATGGCAAAGTAATAAAGCCTCGAAGACCGAAGTTGTTGGCATAATTCTTCAGCGCACCGGAATGCGTTTGGTAAATAGGCTTGGGATGACCCGTTGAGCCACTTGAATGAATTACCTGACCGAAAAGCATTAGCTGCAGTCATCACATGTTCACACGCTTTGTACTCACCCAACAGATATTGCTAGCCTCCCTGGTGCCATCCAGGTACGCTGATGGCAATGAGAGTGTTCTTGCAGTTGGGCTATCATATTGCTCTCGAGACAAGCCCAGTTGAAGCACGATGTTTGTTCTGTTGGCAACATTCTGGCCCATGGCTTCAAATTTCTTGTGCGCGATGAGGAAAGTGGCAGAGGTACTTTCCACAAGGCTGACATATGCATCCTCTGCTATGCGCGTCGATAACAAAAGCACAGTATGGCCTAGTCGTGAGATGGCCAAAAGAGTGATCATGTACTCAAAGTCGGATGGACCAAGTAAGCCTACAACCTGGACAGGGTCCTCCGAAGAACGTCGCTGGGGAATCACGCTGGAAAGGATGACAGCTGCGGCCTCAACAAAAGTGTCCAACTATCAGGGTGTTAGCGATGATGAACTGCTGAGTCCTGAAGAAAGCTTAGCAAACACCTACCTGGCGGGGTGTGTAGTATATGTAGTCGGTTCCTGATGATGGATACGCAACGATTGGCTCGCTGGCCAATGCTTCACTTGACCGAGTCTTGATAAGACCATCAATGGTCTTGAAATCTTGTGTAGTAGCATGACTGTCCACCGGGAGTGATGCTGATGTCGACGGCCCAGTTAATCCATTTGTTGGCATATGTGAAGATGCCGAGATAGGCGGTTGCAGAGTAACAGCCGCCATTGTATAGGTGTGAAACTTGAATATGGAAAGTGCTCGATCATAAATTTAGGGGTGTTTGGGTTTATGTATCAGCCTGTCATTCTTCACTTTTGATCTTCGAGCCAGCTCCGACTAGATTTCCGCCGCCGATATACCGGGGTGCTTTTCCGCCACCCACAGAGCGGAAAAGTTGGAGAGCCGTGTCGGATACCTTTCACCCCACATTTTGGCAACGCGTCATAAGCTTCTCGTTCGCGGGGTAAGGAAACATGGTCATCGCTAGTCAGAGCTCGGTCGGAGCAGATGGGCTCAATTGTCCTCGGAGATGTGGTATCTGGCCAACCATCTGAGTTTGGAAAATGGCTCATCACGGTGATCGGCGTGGCATACGGGCTTGTTTGAATAATTGCGCCGATGGAAAATATTCTCCAACAGGGCTGGGAGCCAAGTGCCTCGTTGAGATTTTCATTTATTAGCTAATCTGAAATGAACTCATTTTCCAAATTCCCGCCCATGGGCGGTTTTGCCGCCAACGGCGGGCGAGCACCTGGGTGAACACTTGGGGCTAGATAGGACCAATGACAACCTCCAGCCTGCCCGCGGTCCGTGCTAGTGGGTCAACCCACCGCAGACCGTCCACAGAGCCTCTTATGCCTTGGGGATTTTATACGGAGTACTCCGTACATACATACTCCGTATCCCATTGCATCAAATTTATGACTATGATCTTCCCCTTGGGCCGGCGAGAAACGCGCGCAGCTGGCAACAGTGTTTATGGGACTCCCGCCGATGCCGATGCGACAAACAAAGAATGATATTTCAAGGTTCTTTGGAGGCTTGGAAGGGCGATGGCCAAAAGCAACTGAGTTCCAACGTTATTTGATCTGGTTACATCAGTAGAGGGACCTGCCCCGGTGAAGTCAACGCCAAGATGTAATTCATTGCCAGAAGTGCAAGGCTCAACACGGTAAACACCCATCTGGCTCTGTGGTCCACATAACCGAGAATAGCAAATGAATGGGCTCATTTATGCGCACAGAAGACAGATTAAATATAACTTGCAGCCTGATTGGCTTTGTGCCCAGTGTTGGGGCGCAGCACCTGGACAATACTAGAACAATACCAACGCTGCCAAGGTTTCAGGTGCTACTTACATAAATGAGCTTTGGAGCCTAAACCCGGAGCCTCTTTTACGACCCTTTGATTCTCTGTCCTTGCTACATCAAGTCTCTAATTCTGAGCTGTCTCCATCCAGACTTTTCATCTCAACAGTTTGGATAATATAGGCGATCTGTGTTCTCTGCCTCGCGCGCCATCATGCGATCGTTCACATCGTACCGAACATCGTACCTTCTCCTCCTTGGTGCCGCAACTGCGACATCTGTCTTTGCCACATCCAAAAAAGCCCACTCAGATGTCGTGACCTTAACCGAGGAGACATTCCATGATTTTATGGATGGACATGACTTGGTTTTGGCCAACTTCTACGTACCGTGGTGTCGTTGGTCTAAAAGATTGGCCCCCAACTTCGAGGCCGCGGCTTCAGAGTTGAAGAGCGACAATATTCCTTTGATCAGGGTAGACTGTACAAAGGAAGAACTACTATGCTCGGAGTATGACATCGGTGCATACCCTACTATGAAGGTCTTCCGTGGCTCCGACTCACATGAGGAATATGAAGGCAGCCGCCAAACAGAGTCGTGCGTTTTTTTTCCCCCTCACAGAGGACTATATTTATCACATACTAACCCTTTGGGACAGGATAATTTCATTCATGCTAGACGAGTCAATCTCTAATAGTGCTGGATCAGGTCTGTTTGTGCAAACGTACGATTAGATCAGGCCTGGATACCTATTAGATGGTCTCATCCGTTAGCCCTCTGGGCTTGAGTAGGCACAATTGGTAAAGACAAATTGAACTAAATTATATGTCGTAGGAGTGTCTACCTATGGTATGAAGAGATAGTGTTACAAGAAATCAAGCGCTACCCAGGAAGGAATAATCGGTCTTGGAGTCATTTGGCTGTTTTTCTTCTATTTTCATGTCTATAATGCCAAGGTCTATATTTTTTGAGGTTCTCAAACAGATGATAAGACTAGACAGTGAACTTGATCTTGTTTGCAGGACCTGCCCCGAGAGAAGCCTTGCACACAGTTTTCTCCCCAGCTTCTTCGAGGATATCATACCCCCAGATGGCTGGGAAGTTGAGGCGCTTGTGTCGCTCCAAAGACGCGAGCTTTGTGAATGCATCTTCTGATAATTCTCGGACCTGCAGATTGGAGGCAATACGCGAGGGGGTGACACACTTAGACAAGACAACAGTGCCACGCTGGACACCCCAAATAGCAAGCAGAGCACCTGGGTCGAGATTTATCTCTTTTGAGACAGTGTAAACAAGAGGATCATCAACGGTTCGTGGCGCTCCTGTCTGGTGGTTACCCAATGGGGAGTAGGCTTCCACAAAAATGCCCTTGCTTTGGCAGTATTGAAGCAACTCTGTTTGTTGGAGGTATGGGTGATCTTCAATCTGATTGGCCGCAGGAACCACACTGACTTGTCCAAGCAGTTCTTCGAGACGGCGGACGTTGAAGTAAATCTGAATTATATGAAAATATGACCGAACAGGGAAATTAAGTACAATAAGCGTGGCGTCGGAAGCGGAGAAGGGCAAATAGCGGATAAGGGCGGAAAATGAAGCGAAGCGGAAGCGTGGAGAGCACAATATTGTCAATCACTGATTGACAGCAACTGGAATGGAGAAGCTCCACCGCGGAGCAATCCGGGGAATGGGATTTAATTCCCTTGATTTTAGTGTCAATGCTCTAGCGGGAAAGCCGGGGAAACGGTATATAAATCCGTCTCTTGGCTACTCTTGTTTTGCCCAGACAAAGCTTGTGGTTTCAAGGTTTGCTCTCAGGGGATTAGTCCAAGCTAAAGAATCTCAGCGCATGTGCCTTTACACAGACTTCCAAAATCAATCTTCTGTGTTCTACCTACTGCAACACCCTCCACACCCTATCGAGCAATAGAACCACGTCACTATGGCAGAAGTCAATTCAAAGACTTCCTCACTTCATGTCGAGTCTTCCAAGCCCCTCAATGAAGAGAATCATCTATTTGAGGGACTCTCTGATGAGGAAACACGCTTAATAGAGAAAAAATGTATGAGATCCAGTGTTTTTCAACTTACATACGGCTAATGTGTGCCTAGTGGTCCGCAAAATCGACCTTCATTTGATCTCAGCATTGTTTCTATTGTTTATTTTCAACATCCTGGATCGTTCTAATATTGCCAATGCCCGACTAGGAGGAATGCAGGAGGACCTCGGCCTTTCTGATACCCAGTATCAAACTGCTGTAGCTATCATGGTGAGTCAGCCCAGAAATTGAGTGACTGGCTTGTTATGATTGGAAGCTCATATGAAATACGACAATCAGTTTGTGGGATATCTTTTGGGCCAAGTCCCAAGCAACATCATCCTGACCCGACTCAAATCCTCACGTTACATCCCATCCGCTATCTTCGTATGGGGAGGAATCTCGCTATGCACAGCAGCAACCAAGAACTTCACTGGAATCATGTGTGTGCGAGTTTTTCTTGGATTCGCGGAATCACCTTTCTTCCCTGGGGCATTGTAAGACTCTTGACTGCCAAATGTTGAAGGGCGGATTGTTGACTAATACCGCATAGGCTCTTGATATCCTCATGGTACAAACCATCTGAAATTGCGGTTCGTGTGGCGATTGTGTATTGTGGAAATACTGTCGCCAATGGATTTGGTGGACTGCTGGCAGCGGGTATTATGAGTGGATTGGGTGGTAAGGGCGGGCTTGAAGGTTGGAGGTTAGTTGATTACCATCCGGCGTGTGACCACCTCGCGATTTCCTGGCTAATTCTCAAAACAGATGGCTATTCATCATCGAGGGTGCCGGTACGATGGTTGCTGGAGTTCTTGCAGTGGCTCTGTTGCCGGACTTCCCTCGATCTGGCAAACAAAAATGGCTCACTGAGCAAGAACAACGTCTAGCAGAGTGGCGTCTTGCACGTGCTGCAAATGATGAAGTAGACGAGAATGGCTCCGTGAAGGAAGCTCTCCGAGACGCTTTCATTGACCACAAAGCCTGGATTCTGATTCTCATTCAAGTCTGCCAGCTCTCATCTCAGACCTGGACATACTTTTTCCCAGTAAGTACAGATGAGCTTTTATTCAGAGTTCTTTTATAGCTAATAGTCACAGACGATTGCCAAGACTCTGGGTTACAGCGATAATGTCACGCTGCTGATCATTGCACCGGTCTATATTTTCGGCTTCATCACAGCGCTCGGCAATTCCCTCATCGCTACGAAAACTGACCATCGAGCGATCTTAATTGTGTGGCCCCTCTGCGTGGATATTGTTGGCAATGTGATGGTCATCTCATCTCGCCTCACCGCCGTGCGATACGTCGGAATGTTCTTGATGTGCGCGGGTTCATACTCGGCTTTTAATGTGGTTCAGGCCTGGATCGCCAGTACAATTCCTCGCACCCGAACAAAGCGTGCCATTGTGTACGCACTTGTGAACTTGTTCGGCAATTCTTCCAATATTTATGGGTCATACTTCTTCCCAACCTCGGACTCTCCTCAATACCGACCTGGAGGAATTACATTGTCCGCATTCGCTGCAGGTGGTATCGTGTTGTCGCTTGTCCTGGCTGGATATCTTCATGTGTTGAATGTGAAAGCCAAGAAAGCAGAAGAAGAAGATGGTCAATCTCGATATAAATATATTTGGTAAAGCACACAGGCAATGAAAGCTATCGAGGCCCGAAAGCCTGATGTCGGATTTAGCATGCTGGTCGTTAGGTCTGATTATTCATTCATTCGTGCAATAGCTGCTCCCAAAACAAAGCTCGGGCCAAACAAATACTGGCGCTCAGTCGTCTGTTGTCATCCATGGTAGACTAAAGCAGTTAGAGATATGCAAATGCATCTGACACATGTAACTCACCAGCGGGAAGACTGTCAAATTGTGACCAGAAGTCAGGGATTATAGCGTCTGTACCAAGAGTGTCGAAAAGGACTTCGGTGTGTGGGTCGAGAAAGAAGCTCTCGGAAAGTGCGTCTTGTCGTGGAAAGTTGCCTTCGGGTTGTACATTTGATCTTGAAATTCTGCTGGGTGGCATGGTATCATTGCTATGCGCCGGCGTAGGCCCAAAGTTTTCATGGGGACCTGAGGATAATGCATGTGAGCTGATTGCTGCGACCTGGCAATTGCCGCGATCCTCAGCGTGGTCGGAATTAGACCCCGAGGCCAAGTCATTCGATTTGGATAGTTCTCGGCGCAGACCTTGTAGAATCGCGCTATATCTCCAGGCAGGTGCATTGCGAATAGTCGCATCTGCAAGATGCGCTTGAGCTGTTTCGCATAGCCTGTAAAGAGTGGACTGGTCTAGCTGCATGTCAAAAGGTCCATCTTGATTGTGGATGAAGCGAAGGTTAGCGGGCGAGATACGGCCTCGTTGCACCTGGATAAGATAGAGATAGATGATGGACAGTGCATTGAAAGCAATATATTGAGAGTACCAGAAAGAAGGGAAGAGTTGCTTTTCCTGGACGAAGGCAAGAATCAATTCGATGGCGTCTCGTGCTGCTGTCAAACACGTGCTGAGATAGTACTGATAAGCTGGTTCGCACTCGGGCCAAATTTGGGAGTAGTTGCGAAGTAACAGAGGCCGCGTGATGAAAATCAAGGCATGGTATCGCGCTAGTTGTAAAACGGTCAACTGGCGCCGCAGCCCAGGAATTAAGCTGCCAGGTTGGATGATGCCGGACAAAAAAGGAGGCAGCTCGGCCTGCCATTCAGCGACCCTTCCACAAAAGACACGAATCGTATCAATTTGATCTTTGGAAGATATACCGGTGACAACATAAGGCTCCCTGGCAGCCTGCGTCAGAATGCGGGCCAGCACCGTGTGAAACACCGGCGCGTCCATCAGACAATCACACTTGGACGGATTCATCTCATATCGAGTGAGGTCCTGATCATTAATGCGAGTAGGCAATGACTCGTCAAGATCTTCGTCTTGCCAAAGTCGTGGTCGGCCCAGCATGATACTGAGGTATTTGTCCAATGTGTATGAGCACCATAGGACACGCCGTTGGCATTCCTTTCGTATCAAGTCATCCGCCTCCGACCCTATCCTTGACCGTTTGCTGTGAAAGCCAAGTACCATCATCAATTGCACTGTTGTCCCGAAAGTGAACCATGCTTTATGGGCCCTCGACGAACTCAGCAAGTACAGCACTACCAGAAAGCGAGCTTGCACAGAAGGTAGACTAGGAGCCCCAGTCTCGTTTGATAGAAGAGAGTCCGCCTGAGCATAGTAAAGTTCACTCTTCTGCCAGCCGTCTTCGTCCGCCGCGCCTATGTGTCCTTCCGAACCAGGTTGGTACATCGTTGCGGTGCTGAATATCAGCAATATCACCGCTTTGGAGGCTCTGTCACACGTAGATTCCATGGGAGTACTGTCATGTTTATAGAGCCTTTCGATAAGGCACTCAACAGTCGGTTGGTGAAGAATTCGATAAGTTGGTGCTGCAAAGTCAAAGTATCGTCGAACCAAGCTGTCTGCGATTGGGCGAGTGGGCCATTGGAAATCGGTCAGTTGGACACATGGGTTGAGTCGGTCTCCGAATGAGAAAATGGGTACTGTCGACGGTCTACCCTGATCTGATTGATGGGCCACTACCTTGGAAGGCGTGGCTGGCAAGTCTCGGACAACTTGTCCAAGAAATGAGTGTGCTGACGTCGGCCCCCAATATTGCGGGTCGAGATTGGTCGGAGCCATTTGATGCGACGCATCGGAGGGTAAGGCCGGTGTTTCTTGCTCAGATGCACCAGCGGGAGATCTGTAGGAACCACCCGGTTGACTCCAGCTTCCTAGGGGGGATTCCGCCGATCCAATGCGCCGGGAACGTGACGAGTCGGCTGAGTTTTGGGCATTCAGATTGGGACTAAAAGGGCTGGATGTCTCTTTCTGATAGCTCGAGAGAAGTGGACTCGCTGCAACACCGCGGTTGTACGCCGCGTCGTACGTGCAAGAGAGCCGCCGCCGGGTACACGGACCACAAGGAAACGTGCCTGTACACGCTTTCTTCTTACTTTTGCAGGCATCACAAGCGCGCGTCACCTTTCGCACTTTGCGCGCATCCTGTGCCATTTCCGATCCTCACATGTGGAGCAGAGGAAATGGGATTTCAACCTCGCTCTTTCCAGGTCCCGTTTGGCTTTTCCGCCTTTCTCCGCTTTCCCGCACTTTTCCGCTTCTCCATGGTGTGTTCACTTTTTAATCTTTGTAACCTCTTGGAAATATGGTTTATTCTATATACCTCTCGGTGAATCTCTTTCAAGTAGGCTATACATGGTCGAACATCTTCCAATGTTGCAATTCTTGCTCATTTCAATCTGAGTGTGGCTTCGTCGACTGGACTCAAGGAACATAAATTGACTTGATGCGGCTGTGCGAATATGTTGTACACCATAGTTTATACATGCTACGTACCATACAAGCAGGCTTAGTTTGAGGCAACACAAAAGACGTTGGCTCTTGTGCTCCTTAAAGATATCCTTGTTCGAGAGGGTAAACATGACAAGTACCTCGGTATCGTCTTGACCAGGGTCTGACTCCTTGGCAGCTAGGACGACGAATCCCCTAAGGAATTAAAATAAAACTGGAAGGCAGCGGTGATGAGAATTTTCACCAAATTCATGCGCAAATTTTGGCTCTTCTTTGCTACAAAGTTGACAGGGATTCCAAAGCAGAGGTTTCATGCCTTGTTGCGGTTGCTCCGATACCTTGCATTCGGCATCTGTGCACAAAATTCGGGTCACATCATATTGGAAGAACACCATATAGATAGAATGTGATGACATTCTTCATTCCCACTTTTGCTTTGGTATGGCAGTAAATTGTACAGTTTCATACAATTTGGAAAGAGCGATTCAGCACCTTTCCCGATTAAGTGCTGACGTAGAATTACCGCATCGGGCATCCCCACGTCACGTGCGATCGGCAGATAAGATGAGCGCTTAATCCCAGCACTTCGAACAAATCGCGTGGAATTTCAAATCGAGCCCCAGATGCCTGACTTGCTGCTCACGAGGAATTAATGGGTCTCTTCTTGTCGCCAATGTCTTGAGTCGACTCTCCAGCCTCCAATTCACCCTGTTCTCGACCTCCGATGACCGAATAAACCCCTGCTGTATAGGCCCAGATTCCGAGACAAACTAAGAATAATTTCTTCCGAAAAGAGTCTTTTTTTCGTTTAAGACAGAATGACGTCGCCTTACCCAACATCCCGCTCATTTTCACCCTCCGTTTCCTCCGACATGCCTGGGGCGCCTAACAGGCCCGTCTCTGATTTGCCGCAAGCCCAGGTCGACGCGATCATCCGTACGAAGCGCAAGGCCCGCGAACCCAAGGCTTGCTACCCATGTCATGCACGAAAGGTCAAGTGCGATCGCAACCTTCCGTGCGACGGATGTGTGAAGCGCGACCATGCCGATCTCTGCTCCTACGAACGTCCCTCCAAAAAGCAATCGCAAGCGTTTCACGGCAGCCCTATCGCTAGCTCCGCCACAGTCCCTGCGCCGGTCCCAGTCTCCATGCCGGACTACCCAACAGCGTATACTTACAATGACAACTCGGCACAAATGAATTCTCGTCCACCGATAAGCCGACCTGTTCCCCCGGCTGGCGGTGCACGCGTATCAATTGCTCGAGAAGAATGGGACAACGTGCGTAATAGATTGCGTGAGATGGAGTCGACTATTTCTTCGCTCCGCGTCGGCCTGGAAAAAACTGAAGATGGCCTCACAAGTTCCATGGACACTGGAAGCGTGCAGAGTGCTGATGCGGGTTCCCGTTCCAAGGCGGCCTCGCCTGAGCGCGAGGGCATCCATGCTGCAAATACCCTCGGCAAAGGCACCGTGCATTTAGGCTCTCGCTCTGTGCTGGCTTACATCCTGAACAACCAATCTGGATCCGATCAACTCCAAGCACTTTTGGAGGGGGGCATATTGCCCAAGCTCGGCTTGGATAATGAATCTGCAACTTACCCATTCGTCGATCTGTGGTCTACAGACATGTCAACGTTCGACGTTACCGCGGTGTGCAGTGCACTCCCCACTGATCAACAATGTAGAGAGTAAGTCGTCCTCCACGGTTCCGGTGCTTGGTTTGAAGTTCCATTTACTAACAGTCGATCTGCCACAGAATGTTTTACTACTACAAGGATATCTCAGGGGCCATTTATCCCGTACTGGAAGATATCACTGAATTCGAGGATACGCTCGAGCTCTTGTTGCAGACTAGGATTTCCATGGGTGGTGAATATCGAGCTGATGCGGATGAATCACAAAAGCCCTTCGGAGTCAGTCTCGCATACCTAGGACTTTTGTTTGCTGTTCTTGCTTCCGGCTGTCAATCATCCGATTATGGGAGCAAGGAGAGAGAGTTGACCTCGCAAGTTTACGGTAAGTCTTTACGTCGCACATCGGATCATGGTCAATTCCTAATGATAGCAACAGTTTGCTGCTCTTATCAATGCCTTCGCATGACAAACTTCTTGTCGCAACCCACGATAGAAGCCATTCAGACCCTTTTGGTGATTGGCAACGTGTTATCTTACAACATGAACCCAGGAATTTCCTATGTCTTGCTCGGAATGACGCTTCGAATGGGTTTGGCTCTTGGTCTTCATGTTGAGTCCAGTAGGTTTTCCTCGGCAGAGCGGTACCGTCGGAGACACACATGGTAAGAAAATTTTACCCTCCCCTTTTGGTTGGGAGTACAAAGCTAATAAGATTAGGTGGTCCATGGCGTGGCAGGATAGTCATTTCTCCCTTTCTTACGACCGACCCTCCACCACTGCAGTGAGCCAACCCGACATTGCTTACAAGGAAGGTTCGAAGGCTGGCGACTTGTCCTACTTTGAAACTCTCTGTCGAGTGATTTCCCTTGCGTTGGAGGTCGTTCGCATACGCATGTTAAGCCCACATGCTCAGATTAACATTGAAAGTATCCAGGGGTATAAGGAACGTATCCAAAAAATCATGATAGAGGCGCGACCCTATTTACGAGATGCAAGCCGATGTTCTACGCCGACAGAACACCTTGAGCGGGTCGTACTCAAGTTACACTCCTCATACTTCGCATCTGAGCTCTGCCGCCCGGCGCTCAAGCCAATGGCCGACTTCAGCGACGCCAGCGCTGCCAGTATGCGCGAAACATGCGTGTCAAATTTGATGACAACCGTTGAAGCTTACATTGAAATGCACAACATTAGCTCTCACGCTGCGCGCTCTTGGATTGCTTTACAGCGGGCAATCAGCTCTGCGTTTTTGCTTGCTGTTATTGAAGAAGCCAAGCTGGACCCGAATGTCTGGAACCTTTTGCGACAACTGGAGGGTATCATTGCACAGCGAGCAAGCACCGAGCGAGCTTATGATTCCAACGAGGCCGCCGCAACTGTTGCTAGCATGACTTCTCCACCGCAAAATCTTGGCACTTATGATCCGATCACTGGGGCCACAAATCCGCCAGGCCCCATTGCATCAGTAGTGGATCCCAATTCCCCAGCTGGTCTGCCTGCGGATACACAAACACAATGGGCCAAATCTTTGGCCAAAACGCACCGTGCTCTGCAAAAGTTGCTCAATGCATTCGAGCATCACCCCTCAAGGCAAATTCCGGGACGTAATGGCACGCCTGCATATCTCCCTCATCAAAACCTCAACCCAGCTTCTGCCTCTATGGGGTCTTTCGTCCCCGTTTCTGCGAGCATGACCCCTAGTGTCGGGTCGCTCCCGCCACCTACGCCAGAAAGCTCAGGCAGTGGCGAATGGTCAATGCCGAACATCATGGATCGAGCAGCGGAATATATTCACCCACCTTTGTGGGGCTAGCCTTTTCAGGACTTGTGTCTTACAGTGGCTCTCATTTTTGTTGTTCAGCGTGGCGCTGGAGTCTCATCTGATTCTTCTCATGATTGTCTATAGTTATTTGGATTTTGGTTTGCTTGGACATGGGTTTTCGGTGGCTTGTTCATGATTATTGTTGATATCTCCTTCTCAGTACGTATTATTCGAGGTGGCATTCGACCTAAATGTTTGTACTATTCTTCAATTGAACATGGTACAACCCACATGCTCAAGACTAAATCACAGCGCTGACAACAATTGCCCCACGCACTCGCCAAATCCAACACCTGAGCCATCTTTCCCTGCCACAGCAGTCATCTGGACTATGTCGCCATCTTCAAGGAACACCCTTTTCAACCCATTCGCGAATGGAACTAGCTCCTTCCCTCCGCTGTTCATCTCGAGAAGGCAGCCGTAGCTACCCTTTTCTGACCCACTCACAGTGCCGGTTCCCAAGATGTCCCCGGTTCTCAGGTCTGCACCGCTACTAGCCAGATGGGCAACCATCTGCCGACCACTCCAATGAAGATCCCTGAAGTTGGAACGACTCAGAGTGGTCGGCTGTCCGTTGGTCACAAGCTCTACCTCCAGTGCAATGTCGTAGCTCGACTCGGCCACTGCAACATCTTTCAAGTGACTGGCAAGCTGGGTATCGTGCGTTGGACCCGAGGATTTGAACGATTGCAGAGCATCCAAAGTTACCACCCATGGCGAGATACTCGTTCCGAAAGCCTTGCTGTTTAATGGACCCAAAGGTACCATTTCACAACCTTGTATGTCTCGGGCTGTATTCAAGATGGGTTGGTGAGTTACCATTTCAGGCGAGTTCTCGCGAAAATGATTCTACTTACCGCTCCAATCATTCAAAATAACCAATCCGAATATATGCTCATCCGCATCCTTCGCATTCACGCCTTTTTCCGGTGGTACAGGCTTTCCCACGATGACTCCAATCTCGAGCTCATAGTCCATTGCCTTTGAAGGGCCAAACAAGATCGGCTTCTGCTCGGTTGTGGCGCTTCGGTCAATAGTATGTCCTTTCGGGCGAACTATTGGAGTTCCCGATACCACGATCGTACTTGCACGACCGTTATATCCAATCGGGAAGTTGAAGAACCCACGAGGCGGCGTTTCGTCGTTCAGGATTGCCCGACCGGCATTTCGGACGTGATGCAGACTACAGGAAAAGTCCGTGAAGCCACCCACAGCGACGGGCAGATGCAGACTGACCGCACTGATATTTTCCGTGCTACCAAGTGGTAGTTCCTTGGTCAGAACGACTTGGAGAATGGCTCTTACTCCGCGCTGGATTGACTTGTCGAGTGCTGCGAAGTTGTTGAGCGTAGCCTGGTTGAAAACGTCAATTGGTAAGCCAGGCACGTTTTTGAAGATATTCTGTTGCTGCAAGACCCCCAGAAACACGACAGTGTTCTCTAGTCGGGTCACACATTGTGTGGCATGTTTTGGCGACGACGCTACTCCGAATGGAATGTTCGCCAGAGAAAAGTGGTTATTGTACGCAGGAGATGTCATGGCCGCTGTTGCGGATTCCGTTCCAGAGAAATGAAAGAATTTCTAATTCTGGTGGCTACCCCCTTGCATTAATCACTTCATGCCCTCTCCCCCACTCCCCGAGCGTCGGGCGGCAATCTCTCGGAGTTAGTCCACAACCCGACAAGGTTCCTCAACTCATTCAGACAGGGGAAAGGTGTGCATCTGATCATCAAATGAAGGGTATTTGAGAAGCAGAACTAACTGTTGATTTCGCCGTCATGTCTGGGTGTGCCTCATCGTCGCTGACTCCCCCTCTTTGGATGTATGGAAACGTCCAGCATGGTGGTCCGAGAACTTGAAGAATTTTTAGAACAAAAGGGAGGGGGTGACCTTTCTGTGAGGACGAGTTTTCCAATATGACCCGGCACAACACAATGATGAATTCATCACGCGTCATCTTGTTCAGGGTCTCCTGGAGTGGAGCAGTGACCCCAATGCCCATGGCCCGGCCCGGGGCGCTCCTGAGCCAAGCCAGGGACCTTGAGGCTCCCCATCGAAGTTCCCACGCCAAATTGTGTACAGACCAACACTTCCTCACATTTCAAGGCTGGTGTAATTGATCCGTTCGATTTGAACATGGCACCCCGTGCCCCGAGGACTTGAATTACTACAGCGCTTACGTTTGTTCAATGTCTCGAGCCACCTTTGGCAGCTTTCGAAAGCACCCACCGGAAGACTGATTCCATCCCCAGAAACCCTGCGGGTACAACCCAAAACAGCCTCGTTTCCAAGTTCGCCGGTCAGAAACAAGCCATTTTTAATATTTGAGAAAAGGGTTCAATGGACTAATTGGGCTGCTCAGATGTCAATTGGAGGGTGTGACAGCATCGGATGGTTTCCCCGGAAGCCAGCATGTCAGCAATGATCTGCGGAGATAAATCGCACCTCGGACTTCACTTTTTCCTCCCGACACCAGCATAACCCGGGTTCGATAGTCCACCTTTGGCTATATACCATCATTTCGCTTCCCAAGCTATCTTAGGCATCTGTCACTCCAGCTCGCAAGGTCTGATCGCAATTCTCTCTCGACAAAGCTATGACTTCGGAAACTTCAAAACATTACTACAAAGTCGGGGTTCTCCTGTTTCCAGGAGCGGACATCTTGGATTTTGCAGGTCCGATCGAAGTATTGTCCCATGTCTCACACAACCGAAACCCGGACGATCCAGATAGAATGTTCGACATCAAGATCATCTCTGGTAGCACCGAAGTGCGCGCTGCGGGCTCTCTTACGGTCCAAGCAGACCTCCTCATATCCGAGGCCCTAGCTTCACTTTCTGACTTCCATATCCTGGTTGTCCCAGGCGGTCCGCCGTCAGTGCTAAATCCGCTGATCAAAAGCAACGGGCCCGAGTTGGATCTCGTTCGCAAGTTTTCGAACTCGCCCTCGTTGGGGGTACAGACGAGGATTATCTTCTCTGTATGCACGGGTGCCTTCTTTCTCGGTGCTGCTGGTGTACTTGCCGGACTTCATGCGACAACCCATCACCGTGCCCTTGAAACCTTGCGTGAGATCTGTGCTCAGTCGAATCCCCAAAGTGAGCCCGCCACAACTGTGGTGCAGAAGCGATACGTTGATGGGGGCTTTTTGGAAAACAAGTCAGTTAGGGTTATCACCGCTGGAGGGATAAGCTCTGGGCTGGATGCTACATACTACATTGTCAGCAACCTGGCATCCCATGACATGGCAACATTCGTGGCTCGCGTAATGGAGTATGATTGGCGCGAGATTCAAGAGTGAGTTCAATTCGCTGTGGCGATGAAGAATACAGTAACCGGGTTTGAAATAGCATCTTATGTGTCTGGGGGTGTGGATCAGTCGCTAGGCATATTTGTGCTCTTCCAGGGTTGGAAAGGTCAATATAGTCAACCCCAACAACTTGGAACAATCTCTCCTACATACCAAAGCTATCCGACAAAGCATTTTTTTATTGAACTTGGGTTCCAAGATTAGAATGTTTTCTGTTCAAAATCATCACGTTTGATTCATTGATCTCGCTCTATCAGCTCTATCAGTTTCAGATCTTTATCCTGTCCCTTCATTGGATCACACTGCATTTTCTTGAAGCTTCCTCCTCCAAATGTCCTTTTCATTCGTCAATCGTAGTTTGTAACCAATCAGTGGAAAGTTACCACACCTTGTAGCTCAATGGACTCACCAAATATAGAAAGCAGTCCTTCTAGGCTTCCAAAACTAGGTTCATCTCCTGCAGTCAAAGGACGACATCCTAATTGAGGTCCGAGCATCAGTCATCTCCATTATATACGAAGTGACTTGGAACTAGTCATTTTGAAGGCCATAATGGCTGACTTGACCCAATAACTCTGTATCCGAGTTCATAAACTTTCCTCACTCCCGAGGTCATCTTCAGATGGTTTACCACCTGGGAACCTTGGAATGTCACAAAAAGGGAATCTGCTACCCCGAACTCTCTGCGTGTCGAGATAGTCCGAAACTTCCATGCAATCCAAGTCATCAAGTACAACTTACAACTCAGACATATCTGTTTGTAAACTAGAAAGGCTTGGCTATTATGTTTTGTTTTGCTTTTGGGAACGACATCCTTTTTGGCAAATTTCAGACTGCATTACTTCAGAGTTCGGCACATCCTTGCTCGCCGACTCAGCAATCATGTCATGCTCTCTTAGGCAAAATTTGTCAACTATCTCCGATTTCCATTCTTGGATCTATCAAAGCAGTCATGTCTCCACAGAGGTTGAATGTGGCCAAAGCATACGTATTCTTGTGTTGTACCGGAATTGTCATTGCTCCCTGCAATGTCTTAGGATCGTCCCGTTCCATGAATCTGCTTCTAGGGTTGCTGTGAGTCCGTGGTGAAATCTACAGTCATCGACACGTAGATCGGACTAACTATTTTGAAGCATGACGCTGTAGTGTAATTGCCAATTGTATATAGCTTAGCAAAATACTGGTGTCTTGGGCTTCTCTACCATCTATGCGGATCAGACTCCAATACTTCCATACTTTTTCAGCACAGCTAGCAGAGAACTATTGTTGAATTACTTGCACGATGGTCGCATTGGCCCCCATTGGAGATGTTGTTCCTGTCGCCCACGTTACGAAACATGCTGGGGATGAAATGGATATCCATGACCACGTCCAACTCGATTTAAAGATCTCTGTGAACGGTGATCGTGAGACTTCCAAGTGTGGTACCACCAATATCCCCATGGCTGTAGAAGATTCTCCTCTACGGCCTGATCAAAGCTCACCTAATGAGCTCAACGTCCATGGAAGTTCGAATCAGTCATCCAAAAACCACCACCTTGCGATTGAAGTTTTGAAAGTCATCGAAAGTTATGGTGTTGACTTTGAGAAACTACGTGCTCCTTGGAAGGGCTTTGAGTCATTCATGCCAATTGTAATGGCACAAGTTGAAAGACAGGCACCCATCAGAATGATTCTACCTGCCTTTCCTTTCAAGTCACCCAATTCCCGCGACAAGGTCCTCGGCACTTTGCCGGACTTTGGCGAGGAGTTGGCACTTGCCCACTTGAATGGTCTCTGTCAGAACATCACTGAGATCTATGCGCCCGGCGCCGATGTTTACATCAGTTCTGATGGGCTCGTATACAATGGTAAGGTCATACCTCCTATGTGTCATTCCTGTCAAAGATACTGATGAGGATTCTAGATATTTTGGGTGTCTCTGATGAGACTGTGTGGGACTATGGCGAGGCATTGCGGAGGATGGCAGTTGAGAAAGAGCTTCATCATGTGAAGTTCATTCGGCTTTTTGAACTTCTTGAGCATCCCTGGTTCCAAACTTCCACGCCTGAAGCCGCAAAGTCTTTCTACCTCGCTCATGCAAACTGTTTACGTCGAGAGCTCATGTATACTTTCAATGACCCGACCTTTGATGCGGCAGAAGCTATCAAGACAGACCACGATACATGTCTCACATATCGTGGATATATCAAATTCCTCGCCAAAGATCTGGCCCATCAAACAGAAGGCCAAATTATGTCAAAGCGCGCACGACTGGCGCAGATAGGTGAAACTGCACGGCAGATGATCATCCGTGGCAAAATGTTTGCAGCGGCTATCCAAGCAAACCGCCAGGACTATGTGCGACTTTCAATCCACGAATCAGGGGGTGAGAAGAAACTTTCAATTTCGCTCATCCCCCAATCCCGCGGAGAACTGGGGTACACACCTTGGCATTCCGCTGTGGCAGTTGGGCTGGATGGCTCGTATCGAACGGTCCACGCTGATGATGTACGCGAAACGCACGATGTGGTGTTTAAGCAGGGACAACCATACTACTTCCGTGAGAAATCGAGTCTCTTCGACTGGACTGAAAACAGACTTTCTGTCAAATTTGAACATCTCTACCCATGCGGGCTGATCATTCGCCCTGCTGACATCGATAATGTGAACGCACCACCTTCTATTCGCGCTCTGCCAATGCACAAGGTCCGCCAGTTGTCCAATGGCATGTCCCCAGTTGTCCTCCGCGGATTTTCCGAGACTCTTGTCGAGGAATTCTATGTCGAAAAAGCATCAGAGCTTGGAACAATTCTTCCGTGGAGCTTCGGCATAATTCAAAAGGTGCGTGACGATGGACGCTCGGACAAGATGGGCAACAATGTGACCTCAAACGAAGCAATGCCGATGCATTTCGATGGGATGTTCAAGTTCGAAGAGATCATAGATCCAGAATCGGGTGAAAAGAAGAAGGTGCAACGCCCTCCGGGATATCAATTCTTCACATGTCCCGCAACCGCGCCGAGGGGGAATGGGTATACTCTCTTTGCAAGCTCCAAATTGTTCTTCCGGTATCTGCCATTCCCTTGGTCCACAAGTCGGCTAGAGAACATAACCTGGGCAATGGATAACGATGGATTTTGGGATGCGAAGCTCAAGAATCTGCCGTTGGTAGTCAGGCATCCAATCTCTGGTCTACCTTGTCTGCGTTGGCATCAGCCGTGGAATTCGACGAAGACTAAATTCTCAACCTGTGATGTGACGATTGAGAATGACGAGAACTGCCTGGTTGGGGTAATTGATCGCGTCACCTATGACCGCAGGGTTTGCCTGTACTTCGGATGGGAGAAAGGCGATTTACTCGTCAGTGACAATACTGCAATGTTGCACACGCGTACTGGATATATTAGTGACTGTGACCGGGAACTTTGGCGGATCCACTGTGATTGAACTTTGGGGTTTCTTATGCGTGGGGACTCGTTTCGTGAATTTCTCTTTCGGTTGGAATTAGATCAATCATTGTTTCAAGGAAGCATTTCAGCTTGTATGTCGGCATAAGCCGCAATCTGAAGGGAATATACAGCAAAGCCTTTCAAATAATACCTGGTGAGGTTTTGGGCCTTGGCTATGCTCAGGTGTGGCCCTCTCCTCACTGGTGCATTTGAAGCTCGCCGTGATAACTTACCGGGTTTGTCTGATTTGCTTGGAACAACGTTTACATGGTTTGTCCAGTTTGTCTGGTTTGCTAGCCCCACTCCAGGGCTCCCCACTCCCCACTTTCCCCACTTCAATCCTCCTTGGGTATCATTCACTCTTTGTTGCTCGTCGTGCCTTGTCACAATGACTAGCTAAATATTGTCTTATTTTCCCCTGATCCATGAATCTCGCTTACTGACTTCGTAAATGCTCCTTCAATCTTGGAAATACAAGAACTACATTGTCTTTACATTCTCTATCTCCAACTAGTCTAGATCAAAAGATTCCAAGGTACCATCTCGGGCTTTTTTTTTATCCCACGATATGATATGTATTCTATATAAACAGATCGTTTCTACCCACTCTAAATGTAACCCCCGCCCGTATTTCCTCATCAAATCTCGACATCACAATACTACACAGAGGTTGAGCTCATGGCATTCTAGTAGGGAACCCACCAGTCCACAAGTTTTGAGGCGAGATTTTATGCAATGGGCATGCTTGTGGATATCCTCGAGAGACATTCCATGTTTTGGAACTTGAATCTGCGGAGGGTCCAGATTGACCATTGCCTGGATCGCAAAGACAGCCGAAGGTTGGTAAGCTGTGCAGTGGTAGGGAACCATTCCCCAGTGCGTCAAACCCATCCTCAATGGAAGAAGAATTTGAAGTTGTAAACGGGACCAAGGCATTGGAAATCGAAGACTCTGGAGGAACAAGTACAATGACCTTCGATTGGGGCGACATTGTATTAATGACTTCGAGAATTTGAGGTAACGCCGCCTCTTGATGTAGTTAGCTTCTGGCTTGCAGCGAACATTTTGTCGGGAGACTTACCGGTTGCAAGGTAATATGATGGCTGATTTGGGGACTGCGGGATGGCATCCTGAAATTGGCATTCTCCCACATTTGCGATCTCGCGAAATGTGCTCCCGCCGAAACCAACGTTAGTGGAGCGTATGGCGTGAGCCGATGATGGTGAAGCGTGTGTCAATGAATTGTTTGAGTTGGTTGCACCTGGTGAACTGAGATACGAGGCATCTGTGGTGTGTGAGTGGACTGATTGTAACGCATTTTGGTCGACCCCCCACGACTGGGTCGAGTAAGGCGTGCAATGTGGTATAAAAGTAGCATTGTGCTCCGAGGCTGAGGTACAAATGTCCCGCTCATAAAAGCCAACTTCTTGCTCGGGCAATCTGGAATGGGGGGCAGAGTTGAATGTCAAAGCATTGTAAGCAGTGTTATATCCCTGATCCCATCCGCGAAGAGCGGCAGCAGCTCTGAGCTCATTCGCAATGACCCGCTCCTGGAGCTTTGCGATTCGCTCTCTAATTTTTCTGCCTTGTAATGGTCAGATTTGAGACAAAGATTCATGATTTGGCCCTGTGGGGTGACATACGGTGATTTCTCTGTGAAAGTCGATTTTGCAACCTTCTTCGCTCCAGCGGGTCTTGAGTCTGATTTAGCATCTCATCATTACTTGGGCTGGGAGACTGGTCTTCGATTTTCATTTTGCAGAGATAGGTGTTCCAAGGGTTGCTTCTTGTTGTGCTTGATCGAAAGGCCGTTTTTGCAGGGTAAATATATCGCTCGAGCAAACCCTCATGCGAAAGTTTTAACGTCTGCAGGTGTTCAACGCGGAGACCTAGAACCAAGTGAGCCATGGCCGTCAGCCACTATGCTTTATACAGGCAATGCGCCCACGAGGCAAATCACGCCTGATCTCACTGTGTCACGCAGTCTGTACTACAGATCCTCGGCGGTCAAGGAATTGTGGTCGTAATGAATTGATGGATCAACTTTGGGGAATTCAGCCGCGTGATGCCCTTTGTGGTCATACTGAATAGCTGATTTTGTCGACTTGCTTATTTTTAAGCGGGGAACTGATCCTGTGTGTACACTTGAGCATCATCTCAGTAGGTTTCAGGATTCGTGACACGAGGAAGTGCTGTCAAAGGTTATTCCCGGTCCGAACTTGTCCACAGACATGGCGCTGCCCTGAACTTTGTCGAATGGTTCCAACATATTGGAACTCGGGAAACTTGAAAAAAAACCTTGAGCCTGGTTCCGTTCCTGTGGCTCTAACAACAGCGTGCCCGAGCGCGTCAATCTTGCTCCAACCTTAGAAGCCATCTAGGGGCCAGTTGTGTCACGTATGCCCTCGGGCTACGAGAATTTTGCTCTCGGTACTTTAAATGAGAACCCGCGAGCATTTATACTTCAGAATACCCGTGCTTTCAATGTATCTCATGTAGCCTCGGACATGTCCGAGATCGACTCAATTCTCAATGAGATACAGAGCCCACGTGGCAAGCACAAGCCCTTTATATGACGCTGACGGTATATGTACCGCACGTATACTGCTCTATTGTCCTTTCTTATTCTCATGTCAACTATCAAGTGGGAGATGGATTGACCAGGAATTGGCTAATAGTCTACTTTTTTATGACTAGTATCACTCCGCTCATTGTAAAGTTTAAAAATAAGACTGATCGGGACTTAAGCCCTAATAGTCTCCCGAGGTCTCGAAAATACTGAATATACTCCGGGTTCTACCCAGATGACATCTCCTGTCCTCTTTAGCTCTGGTTTTGGACAGGTAACGTCACTAAACAAGTGAAGTGAACCGAGATGTTGCTCTGGACAAATCTCAATGGGGATATGTGCTTGGTGGCGTCATAGATAGTACGGCGTTGGCATTGAGACTGAGTTCCAACCTCGGCTGAAGAAGCCCAACTGAGGAAAAACCTCGATCACAAACCTAGGAGACTGCCATGTGGTATTTCCATGGTAATTCGTCCCATCCCCTGGGGTATATGCATGTGAGATCCAGCCATAAATAGGGATGGAAAGTTCGGCTCTGTTTGTCGTTGGGTTGCGTCGAAGAATTTGATCCCGTTGTGTTACTTTGTTGTGTAGCAATCTGAATCTAGCTGGTCGTCTTGGTCGCTGATCTCAGGTTGAAGACGGTATATTGCCAATGATGGTGCCTTGACCTGGTGGTTTCCTGAGAAGACGCCCATGAAGGCATGCTCGATCAAACCTTGCTGCTTGATACCACTGTCATAAGAGTTGTTTTTGTATGTCTGAAGGCTTCAGCCAATGAATCCAACCATTGAAAAGTGGAAGCAAGCAACCCTGGACATGTACCTATTCACTTTGGCTATTAAGTAACCAATCAACTGTGTTTTCAGAAACCTACTGTGATTTTCCTCTCATCCAGTCAGTCGTGGAATATTTTTTGCAGGCAAAGTTGATAGCAGATTATCATCTCTATTTCTCTAGATTCAAACGCATTTATTCTCATGCTGCCGGAAGCTCTTTCTAAGAAACCAGATCGCGCCACGGCTGAAATTATCAGACAGTCTGGGTGACTCTGTTTTCCCCCTCTCCCCTCTCCTCTCTTCTCTCTCCTTTCTCCTCTTCTCTCTCCTTTCTCCTCTTCTCTCTCCTCTTCTCTCTCTTTTCTCTCTCTCTCTTTTTTCTCCGGCCCACAACAACGACTCTCTCCCTCTTCATTTACGGTTTACAATATCCCTAGGAGGTTTCACATACCCCATAGCATCGCAATCATGGAGAAGGCTCTGAGGACAGCCAGCTCCTCTTTACCCTACCATCTTCTCGCCTATGGCACCCTTCTTGGGACGCAGCTGTTTCACGTTGGTCTCCCGAGGTTCCCTCTCCCTGAACCCATTCAGACTAACAGTCAGTTGGTAGAGCTTCGTCAACACCAAGATCTGCTACAAAGCGCTCTCAATGGATCAGTTTGTCAAACTCCAAAAGCAGATTTTTCCGATCTACTTTGCTACGCAAGTGAGCTTGACGGCACTCACAGCTGTGACACGTCCTCCCTTTGGCATCTTTTCCCTGGCCAAGGACCCGTGGAGTGCTGCGCCTCTTGCCATCGCGGGCGTCGCTAGCTCCTTGAACTGGTACATTTATGGACCCAAAACTAGCTCGGCCTCTATGAAGAGAAGATTGATGCAAGGTGAGAATAGGTTATTGTTCACGGCATGGAGACTTGAAGCTAACAAATGAATTAAATTTAGTAACCGAGAACCCCATCTCCGATCCGAATAGCCACAAGGCACATTCTGTGAATCGAAACTTCGCGCGGAATCATGCAATGGCAATCCATCTCAATGCGATTGCAGTCATAGCCACCGTTCTGTACGGATTTTCGCTATCTGCCACGATCTTGGACGGCCGACATATCTAGAATGTACATGGTCAACACTACTCAACAGAGCCGCTTAGCAAAGCCGCATGGAAGTAAACACAGGCCCGTAAATGAAACTCTCTACGAAACTTCATAGATGAACCTTCTTGATCTGTTGTAATTCGACTCATCAGAAACTCTTTCGGGGTGGTAACAATACGCCACGCGATCAACATGATCCGAGTCCAGTTTCCAGCACTATGGGGTGAAGTGAGTCGATGCATACGTTAGAGGGACCGGAAGCGCTGTCTTGAATAATGATTCTCCGGTGATCCAAACGTTCAAAATAGCCCCTTCTCCTTTTTGTAGAAGGTTCCCAAAGTGTTTGAGACAGTCGGGAGGGTAGGTGGCATGTAACGTACTATGGCCCTGCTTTGACTACTGTGTTGGACGTAGATCCCGAGGCCATTGTGTGAATTCTCAAGTATTCAAGGGAGATTTGTGGCTATGAAAGTTTGTCCGCGTGAGATACTTTGCCCGATTCGCGGAAGAGCCGGGGAAAAAGGGGAAACCACAGGAGAAACAGAGCATCAATATGTACTCTGTAACATGGTATCGCCTTCTCGAAAAGGACCCCGTTGGACGATGGTAACATCGGAGTGGTGTAGACTTTCAAGGTTCCGCTGACACCAGATGCATTTGAGTCCTTCCACCGTGGGCGCCCACATTATATAGGGCCTGTTGGCGACTGAGTTATGTCCATCTCTATTCACCAAACCTTGGAAGCTGTTTACTATGTCATTCCTTGTCGCCCTCTCAGCTCTTCTATTTCCAAGCTTGTTTTTGATCTGGTACCTTCACATTCCTCGCACATTGCCACCTCTACCTGTGATCCCAGTATATGTCTCCATTCTTGGGCTCTGGTCCTCAATGGGCCAAGATGAGATCTTTGAACGCTGGTTCCGTACGCCCCTTGAAACTCACGGTGCGGTCATTGTGTGGTTTGCCGGTCGCTGGAGTATTTTGGTGTCGAGGCCGGATTGGTTGACAGATATGTTTCGCAATGAGAATTTGTACGTCAAGGCCGGATCTCAGGTCAAGATTCCACATGCTGTCATCGCGACCTTGGTTGGTGATAATATCATCAATTCACACGATAATTGGAAACTATACACCTCGATCATGAAGGCAGGTCTACAGAAAAAAGTGTTCGATACTACTTCCTTGCTTCGCCAGTCTAGGAGGTTGGTCGACGTTTTGCTTTCGAGGGGAAAAGCAGCCATACCGGTCAACGAGGACGTGCAGAAGTGGGCGGTCGATGTTATGGGGGAAAACTTTCTGGATCTGAAATTTGAAGTATCTCCCTGGACATTGATTGCATGGCATCCACTGACTTCACAAGAGTCTAGGTAACCCAAACGTCGTTCGCCTCGAATCTCTCCAAACAATCATCAAAGCCACCCTGTTCAAGCCAATGTACTTCAGCTTTCCTGACCTTGATCATTTCACTTGGATTTTACCCTCACGAAAACGAGCTTATCGGACAATGCGAGAGTTTGATGACCGACTCTACGCAAAAACAATGCAAATGGTCCGCCAAACTCCCAAATCCGACTTGGTATCTCACATGCTTGCCGATGCCTACCTCACAAACAAGATAACAGAAAGGCAATTCCGTGATAACCTCAAGATAATATTTCTGACGGCCCACGAAAATGCTCAACAGCTGGTGAATTCAATGTTTTGGCAACTCGGGACAAGAGTTGATATACAATCACACCTTCGTGATGAGATACTTATTATGGCATCCAAGCACCCCGAACCATCACACGAGATCATCAACACACTTCCCTATCTGACATCCGTGGTTCTCGAGCTACTGCGTCTCTTTCCGCCTGTGTCACAGCTCATAAACCGTGTCGCGATGCAGCCTGCTTTGTTAGGCGATGAATTGCCCATACCAAAGGGAACGTTCGTTGGATGGAATGCATGGGCTGTGCACAGCAATACGGCAATATGGGGCGCTGATGCGAGAGAGTTCAGGCCCAAGAGGTGGGGAAGTACCGTTGAGGAAATGCAAGCACGGTTCCGAAGGGAGACAGTGCGAGGGACGTATATCCCGTTCAATGCACACAGACGAAAGTGTCTGGGGCAGGGATTCGCGTTGTTACAGATGAAGATATTGTTGTTTGTCTTGCTGAAAAGAGTCAGCTGGGCGGTTGATCCGGGGTATCAGCTCAAGATGACACCGGTAGGTTCTCCTTGTTTGATGTGTCTGGTTCCGCGCTGACCAGGTTAGGGTGGCATTCTGGCACCATTAGGATGTCGAGTTATTCTGACGGAGTTGGGTCCGTGAGTGGTGACACTGGCTGAGCTTTCAGGATTATGTGCAGTCGATTTGGAAACGGGCAGTGTGGGCAAGGCAGCAAGACAATTCGAGTCTGGGATAGATGCTGAAGTGAGCAACAGGGGATAGAGTATATCGTGGGGTCTGGATGAGGCACCAAAGCTGATGGCACACAGTGAAATGTACTACTTGGCTGGCCCGAGTCCCTGTGCTGTACTTCTAGTATGCAGGCTCTCGTGGTATCACCTGTGACAAGGGACACCTGGCCAACCCCTGCATGTCTCGTTTCCAGGCTCTGGGAAATGATGCCGTGACGTAGTTGATGAGAGCCCATATAGAACCCAGAAGACACGTGCTGAGACACTCACAGATGCAGCGTACCTAGCTGAACTCCACTGTACGGGGAGGATGTGACCATCAGTAATATTTTTTTGTTCGTCAGTTACCTCATAAAAACGTATGGTGAAACGAGAATTTGATTCAGGATATCACGGTAGTTGAGCGCTGCTTCAACATGTAAAAAAAGTAAACCACTTGGTGAGACAAACTGGGTATAGTGTTTTCAACCAAAGCGCCGAAAAGAAGGTCAACATTAAGAGTAATAAATTTAAAACGGACATCAGATATCGTCACCACTAGGCATGCCCATGGATACCTTCTTCAATTCAAGATCCTTCTTTAGCTCCTGGATACGGCGTCCCATCTTGTTGCGAAGAATGTGGTTTTGGACCTTCTCCCATTGAGCGGTTTCAGTGCGGATGAGGCCTTCTAGCTCAGCAACCTCTTCGCGCTGTTGTTGTAGTTGTTGTTGCTGCTCGATTTGGTCTTCATCCATATCATCGTCATCCTCGTCTTCATCGGAAATGTTGCTCTCTTCCGCAGAGCTATCACCCCGTTCTGTCTGATCGCCACCAGGTGTGAATGGTTGTACCGAAGGTGTGTCGGCCTGATCTGGTCCGGGTCCTGGTAAGTCGTCGTCGCCAGCGGCTAGTGCAGCCTCCATCTCAGCAGCCAGGTCATCGTCAAAGTCGCCCATCATGTCATCTTCGACTTCGCCTTCGGCATCCTGCTCCTCGTCGTAGTCCTCTACGTAGCCTTCATTTTGTGCTAATCCTTCAGCACGATTGAGAGATGCACTATCCACCAGCTCAAATTTGGGAGGGAAGATAGATGTTTCATCTTGAGCCATGAGATCTTCAACAGCCTTTTCCACTTGTTCAATAGTTCGTGTGCTCAAGCGATTGCGGAATCGGCGTCGGCGCGTCCATCGTAAGGGAGGCGCTAGGCCGTGAGGATATTGAAGGGTCTTGTCATCGAGGTATTGAACGTCTGAAGGGAGCGGGTATTCCATGGCTTCTTGGTCGTTGTTCACTCGCCCAAGAACCAATAACATCTGGCAGATGTCCGCCGACTTGTACCAGCCTCGTCGGTCCCAACTCTTCATGCCCTCGATGATACAAGGGAGATCCACCATTGCCGCGGCGTACTGCTTGTCCCGGACCTTTAAAATGGCCCGACGGCCCTCACGGGTGAGGGGCTTGAACGCAAACTCGGAGTTGTTAAAGTTTCGCTCATTGATCGTCTTCTGTAGGTGTTCACAATCTTCTCCAGGCAGCATTCGTAGGATGAATTGTTCTTCGATGGCAGGATCGATCTCGTTGTCTGAAGCCTCGGAGTCGTAACCAACACCGACCGGCCGCGTGGGAACTTGTCCCTTGTTTTTGATTCGAATCGACTGTAAGCCCGGCTTTTTTGAAGGATTTAATTTCAATCTCTTGGGTGCTTGCTGGATGGGTTCGGGCTCAGGTTCGGGGGGAGCGACATGCTCAACTGGTCGTTTTTTCGTGCTTTTCTTTTTCTTCGGTTTCTCTTCACTTGGCTCGGGCTGTGGCTTCCGTGCGATCTTCAAAGTGAGCTTGCGCTGGGGTTGGGGGGGTCTCGGATGCGGCAGGCAAAGGAGTTGGCGTTGGTGGTGCAGCAGGAGCTTCTTCTGGAGGATCTGGTCTCCTCGAAAACTTGATCTTGAGAGGCATGATTCGGTTGAGTCTCTGAAGATCGGACGCAAGTGCGAGAATAGGAAGGATGGAGATGTTGCGTAGGCGAGGAAAGCGAGGTCGCGGGCAGATCGATTTCTCCGCTTTGGGATCTCTCGCGCGCGGCCGAGCTTTTGTCATTTTATCGCCTGCGACTTTGCTCTCGCCGACATAGCAAAACGTGTTCTTTCTTTGTTATCTACCGACTTCTTCACCTCTATTTTGACACATTTATTCTATCTACCGCATAATCGACCTTCATCCCGTCCTTGAAATGTCCGGCCCAAACCTTCATAATGCTCTCCTCCGGCCTCCAATCATCCAAATCCTCCGCGCCCAAGGCTTCCACTCCACGCGTCCTTCCGTCATAGAGTCCTTGCAAGATCTCACCGGCCGTTATATTCAAATTCTAGCTTCCTCCGCAGCAGACCACGCCGCGAATGCGCACCCAGATGACCCCGTCCCGAAACTTGAAGATATCTACCAAGCTCTACAGGATGCGGGCGCCATACGTCCCCAACTACGTGAAATCGATGAAGACTGGCAGGGCGAAGAGGATATGCGTGGCCTTCAATCATTCCTTGGGTGGATCAAAGGTCCAGCTCATGCTGAAATTCGACGATGTGCAGGATTCCTACCGAGCGAGGGGGACATGATTGATCCCGAAGCGATTGAAAAGGAGGATTATTTGACTGCTCTGAAGAAGAAACACAGCAAGACCGGTGAAGAGTCTCGCTACGCTGGGACGGTTTTAGGCATTCGTGCCGAGGAGCACCCGGTCATCATCGAGGGAGGTGTCCCAAGCATCCAAGAATGGGGCGTCCAAATGCGTGCTCGTGCCTCCGAAAGTGGAGGCATGGATAGCGATACTTCCGGCGTCAGTAGCGCCCCCAGTCATCTCTCCGACGAAGAAGTCATGGGTGCCTGAATTATTTCACGCTTGCATCGATCACACGATATCAAGATCATGACCAAGGTCCTCGTTTCTCGTTCCTCACACACACCAAGCCAGAAGTGCTTCTCCCGGCTCCCACAAAGCGAATATCCAGCAGAGGGGATGCATCGATTCTCAGCACTCGCCTAGCATTTCATTGAATATTTCCGCTCGCCCCAGCCAACAACCGACTCCGTGATTGTGAATATTACTATGCCGCCCCATCGCCAGCGACATGTGACTTCACCCAACGCAGGCACCAATGGAGGCCCTTCTCATTCAACATCAACCTCTTCGTTGATTGGGAGAACACCATCATGAAATCACCATCATGACATCCAAAAGCATAACCACACCATACGTGCTGCGCTCTTGAAATCATTGGTAGTCCAGGGCATACTGCGGGCCATGAAAGTGTCCGGATCGGAGTCTGTGTGATGAGGTACTAGTTCCAAACAGCACTGAGCAGCCAGATCCCTGCTTCTGGGGTTACAGAGCGGGTCAACCCCGTCGGTCGCCCATACCGCCGGAATCTATTCGGTCAGCTATATCATCATGTCGCTAAATAAACCAAATAATTCCATCTCAATTTGCCTCATGTTCCTGAACAGTTTAAAGATTCCTCATTGCGGCCCGAAATCACCAATGTGCTTGCCACGCGAGCCTTCGAATATCTATCCGCTGATACATCACTGAACAGCACGATAGGAGCGACGTCTGATTTTCGACATGCGCAGCCTTAGAAATGCTCACAGCCTCCCCCGATCTCTTATGTTTGATTTCACGTTTTTAATTTTCAATTTCTTTCTCGTAACGGATAGCGCCGGTGGGGACGTTGTCACTTCCCCGGAGTTCCCCGGAGTTCCCCACGATACACACCTTGCCGTTGGGGTTAATCCTCGCAATCTCAGGAGCGAGCAACGTCGTTATCATAGGCCTGAGCACCGTGCGCCACCCGACTTGGCTGGACCCGGCTTGGCCTGAAAGAGCCAGAAATTCCCCGAAGACAACAGTTGCAGCAATTCGGGTTCGACTGTCGGCAGTTGAGCTCAGAGCCACCGACCTCGGGCTGTTTTAGGGCCGTCAGGTCTTGGTAATTTATCACTCAACCCGTGATCAATACCTTAGCGCTTCGGTGTCTATCAAACGCAGATTTACAGTATTTGGTACGGCAGATCCTGCATGTTCAACGTCGGAAATCTACCGCAATTGTCACCTCTCCTTGTCCTTAGAAGCCTTCACAAGCAAGATCCACTGCATTGCCCACCTAGCTTCGTTGATTTCGGCCACCATTGCCCCGGTCCCCACTCTCCCCGGCTTTTTTCACTAAGTCTGAATGCCATTGACAAGTGCTATCGAAACTGGCTGATTACGAATCCTGGGGCATCTCTATGAATTATGTCAACAGCGGGGTTCAGGCTAGTTAGCCCTTTCTTTCTTTATCCTCCCTTTCTCGACACAGACAGTCGTACGACTCTCGTATGATCCCATCAAACATGTCTACCTTGGATCGGAAACCCCACAAAGACACATCTGGCAAGTATGACTCCGATTATTTAGAGGAGAAGGATGCCGGGATTGAAGTCTCCTCCCCCGGTGCATTCCTATCAGAACCTCACAAATCCTACCTGATTCAACGTCATGGCACTTTGGATCTTGATCCGATACCTAGTATGGATCCCGCAGATCCATACAACTGGGCTTCTTGGAAAGTGAGTTCCATAATTCTCACCCGGCCCTGTCATAAACCCGCTGACCGGCGGGAAGAAAACCGCAAATCTAGCTCTCGTTGCGTTCCATGCTTGCATGGGAACCTTCACTGCGGCGGCCATCATCTGTGCCTACGAGAACATCGCCGAAGATCTGGAGGTCTCGATCCAGCAAGTGAGTTATCTGACATCACTGCAAATTGCGGTTTTGGGCGGAGCACCGCTTTTCTGGAAGCCACTTTCACATCGTTTTGGACGACGCCCGATCTTCCTCTTATCTTTGCTACTGAGCGGGGTGTGTAATGTCGGGTGTGCAAAGAGTACCGACTATGCGTCGATGGCGGCTTGCCGAGCCCTGGTTGCATTCTTCATCTCGCCTGCCATGGCTATTGGTAGCGGTGTCGTTACCGAGACTTTCTTCAAGCACCAAAGGGCGCGCTACATGGGTGTGTGGACCTTGATGGTAACTTTGGGTATACCAATCGGGCCTCTTATCTTCGGGTTCGTAACTGAACGTGTTGGATACCGCTGGATCTATTGGACGTTGGCAATTGTAAACAGCCCTCTCCAGCTAATTGACCCAAAACTAATCAATCATTTAGACCAACGCTGTTCAGTTTATTCTCTACATCTTCTTAGGTCCGGAAACCCGTTACATCGGCGCAGATGTTCAATCTCGCTCATCCGCATTGAAAACGGAGTACATGTCGCTTCGACGTATCGACGCCACTCCATTCAAAATGCAGGAGTTCTGGCATCCATTGACGCTCTTCACAAACATTCCCGTTCTTTTGGCAACAATTGCCTACGCGATGGTTTTCCTCTTCTGCTCGGTCATGAACTCCGTTGAAGTCCCTCAGTTGCTCCAACGCAAGTTCGAGCTCAACGCGCAACAGCTTGGACTCTCTTTCTTGGGTCTGGTTGTTGGCTCTTTGCTGGGTGAGCAACTCGGTGGATACATGTCTGATCTTTGGATGACTATGCGTGCTCGTAAGATTGGACGGAAACCGGAGCCAGAGTATCGACTATGGTTGAGCTATATTGGTTTTCTTCTGGGAATTGCTGGTATGGTGGTCTTCTTGGTGTGTACTGAGCAAGCTACCACTGGCAAATTTGATATCCGGCCTATCATTGGAACGGGTGTCGCTGCGTTCGGTAACCAGGTTGTGACTACCGTCCTTACGACCTATGCGGTTGACACCTATCCGTCAGATGCAGGTAGTGTGGGCGTGTTCATTAACTTTGTGCGATCCACGTGGGGATTCATTGGGCCTTTCTGGTAAGCCTGTCATCCCTCACTATTCCGGCACCGCCAACTGACATAATTCAAGGTTCACTTCCATGTTCGAGAGCGTCGGTGTCGCTGCGAGTTCCGGTGTCGCTGCCGCTTTGATTATGGGTGCGGGATTTATCCCCATGGCTTTGATGCACTGGCAGGGACGGAAGTGGTATAGCAAAGCTGGCTGAAATGTATTCCTTCAAAACCTAGACAGCCATGTCGCAGATGAGTGGTGCGAAACTTCCACAAATCAATCAATAGCGATATTTTCACTGGCGAAAGAAGATGGAGGCATCCACATACGCATGAAACCTTGGAAGCGTGTTGTTCAAAAGAATCCATGGTTGGTGGGGGCGTAGCCCGGAGCTCCGAGTTGCGAACTGTCCGAGTTGCACCTAGCGCTTATGTACCTCCCATTCATCTTCTCCCGATAAACTCCTTTCATGTTTGTTTCTGCTACAACATATTAAAATTACAGATCAGCAAGCATGGCAAGCAGATTTCTTACCGAGCATCTTTTGGTGAGAAAATAGTCACTCGTCACGCCGAAGTCTTAGATTTCTAATCCACCGGTTGCAGATCACAGGTGTCACTGGATACATCGGTTTCCAAACCCTAATCTTAGCCCTTGAAAGAGGTTATCGTGTCCGGGCAGTGGTTCGCAGTGAATCCTCCATCGACGAGCTTAAAAGGACCCCTGCTGTTGCAGAAAGTCTTGACAAAGCCAAACTGGACATCGTCGTAATCCCGGACTTTCTGGAACACGGTGCATTCCTTCGGCACCTCGATGGAATCACTGCTATCATTCATCTTGCCTCGCCTCTGAGCTTTTCGGTACGTTTGTAGCTCCTGGATATGACCGTTCCAAAATGGACATTTTCACCTTCAGGCTGAGGACTTAATCGAAGGGATCGTGAAGCCAGCCGTTTCTATGGTCACTACTGTTTTGGAGGCAGCTGCCCGTTCACCGTCCATTCGCCGTGTGGTACTAACATCTTCATGTGGGCCAGTTCATATGGATGTCATTGAGGTCAAACTAACAAATAATCAGGCGTGACATTGATTCCGTTCGAGTGGAACATGAGCCCGGATAGTGAGAGGCTATATCACGGTATGTTCTACCAAGATATTGTTGAGACTCAGAAAATGCAGGCATGCTAATGGTTTGGTCTTTAGTCGATGATATCAATGAAAGCGTTGGCGGCCCTTATGAAACTGCAATGCAAGCCTATTGGGCCTCAAAGGGTCTGGCTAGAATTGCAGCGAAGGACTTCGTGCGCGACCACCGACCACATTTTGATTTTGTCAACCTACTGCCATCGGTGGTAATTGGGCCGGACACTCGCCTTGACGTCAATCCCACTGCGACTCCGGATGACCTTCTGCAAGGAGCAAGGGCCTGCGTGCTTGCGCCTGCGCTGGTCCCGTCTCTCAATTCCTCCTTCCCATTCGTTGGAACACCCGTGCATGTTGCCGATGTTGCGAAGGCTCATGTTGATGCTGTCGACTCTAATTTGGTGCCGGGAAATTCAGAGTTCATTTTATCTTCGGATACACCAGACGGAGTCGTCTGGGACAGAGACGTCCAAAGGATCTGCAGGGAATTCTTCCCGACAGAAGTTTCAAGCAAACAGTTACCAATGGAAGGGTCTTTACAGGCAATCAAATGGAGGCTAGATGCCGAAGACACCAAAAAGGTGTTTGGTTGGGAATTTGTTCCATTTTCAGAAACTATGAGGGAGCTCATCTCACAGTACCTGCGGCTCGGCGGGACAAAAAGATAATCAACTTGCTTGATTCGATCGACTGAAAAGAAAAACATGGCTCTATGGCTATTCGTCCCTCAACTTGGGGAATTGGTTGAAATCCATCCAATAGTCTTAGTTGGGTGCCTGACGTGGCCGGATACGACCACCTGCATTACTTCCCAGCCCAGCCGTGGAATTCATCCCTACTTCTGATGCGGTCCTCTTTTCCCTTGTATGTTGTATAATTTTATATACTATCTCACAAGATAACATTCATCTTGCGTGTTTATACCATCGATGTCTCTCTCTACCAGTGGCAATGCAGCGCTAGCTCGTTTTCTGACGCGTCTGCCGATAGTGCTGTAAATGCCGCGGCCTCTGCATGCGGTGAGTATGCCGCGCCTACCGCGTCGGGAAAGCTGGACGTGTCCACGGAGTTTTCGATTCGTCAGTCTCCTCCATGAAGTAAAACTACGTTTGAAATCAGTAAGTCTTCTTTATTGCGCCAACGTGTTCGAGCTCATCAGTATCGAAAATTTTCCACATTGTTGAGACCACGCACTTCTTCGCCGTCCGCAGGCATGACGCGGGCGCCTGGCGGTTTGCGTTAGGCTGTGATGTGGGCCTGATCCTGGGCCCAACCACACCCATTGAAGAGGGTTGAGCCCCCTTCACCTCACATCCGTGAACCTACGTACAACCACCCTGAGCTTGATAAGGCTTTAAGAAAACTATTGGCCTAGTAATCCTTTAAATTTCATAAACTAGTGCAAGTAAGGCTTTGTTGAAGCGAATTGTAATCTGACTTTGATCTATAACATTTTGGGAGGAAGGCATCACAAAAGTCAAAAGGTAAAAGGCGAACCGTTGAATATTTATCGTGACCCTCGACACAGAAAGGTCCAGTGAGCACACCCTTCCAAGGTTGATCATGCCTTCAGGCTATTGTTCCACTCTTCCAAGTCCATGCTGAACATAGAAACATCACCCCGGGGAACTCCCATCATTGTGGTCAAGCGGTAATCAATCAACCACTTCGAAGTGCCCCCTTCGGTAACTTTGACAAGTTTGTCAAAGTATCTCGCTTCGGCAAGGAATGACTTTTCACCCAAGAAATGACCCGCAGCACAATATGTCGTAGCTTCCGCTGTGCCGTCTCCCGTGAGTTGAATAGTTTGAGTCGTCAAACCATGGAATGTTGCAATGTTTTCTATCGCTTTCTGAATGCCGGTGATGAACTCCTCAACTCCATTCATCAGCCCAAGTGAGCCCGTATAGTCAGCAACGCATTCGGCGGTGAAGAGTTGGCGGAGTTTTTGAAACTCCTTCAAGTCAAATGCGATTGCCACTACAGCAATTGTGTTTCTGATGAGTTCGTGATCAGACGGAGTCGACGCCATTTGTTTCGACCGACTTTTTCGTTATCCGAGTTTCTTTCCTGAGAAAAGATAGCGCAGCTTTGTGGGTCCGGAGACTCGTCTTCTGTTTGACGTGATTGCCTCGGGAATATGAAAATGGAATCGCAGGTAGGTTCGAAATAGGTAACAAGGCTACTCAAATGTGTAGTTACTTTTGAACCTTTTCTGGGGAGCCGGTTTATATGTACCTTGAGTCTACAGGATACACTTCATAGACTTGAGTATCTGACGTGCGTTCCTCCATAGGCGTGGGCTGCCTGTTTTAACCGGAGTCCGGGGTTCCGTGACATCAATCTGGCTTCCATAAACCTAGAAACAAATCTCTAATCAATCTCGAGCTCTTCCTGAGAACTCCATGACATCGCCCGGAATTCCATAGATAGGCTAGGACCTGACGATATAATCACAGTCCTTAGTATCAATCAACAATCATACCAAAAATTGTAGAAAAATGTTAGTACATGTTGTAAATCTTTTACTTTTATCTGATATACTTATCCTGTAATTTTATTAAAGAGGCTAAGCAGTCAATTTATCATCTCCTTTCTTCGACTACACTATCACTGCTTTCACTCGGGGCCTTGGATAACCTTCACTGTGTTTTAAAGAAAGGGAAGAAGTACGCAACTTCAAATGGACTTCTACTCCATAATCTTTTGCCAGTCTTGATGAAGAGATGGGACTACTCGCATTTCAAACTGTGACCGCCACCGACAATGTCGGCAAAGCTACCCTTTTGTTTCTCTCTTTCATATGCCCCTTTCTGTCATCTTCTCTCTTTCATTTTCTCCCAATCTTTCAACTGGGCTTTCTCTTCTTTCCTTTTACTTCGTCTGACTCTCAATCCTCGGTGAAACTAGAATCAATATTCTTGTGGAAGGGACTTGAAATCGAATCGATGCATATGTACAGAAATATTCCATGATCAACTCAAATGACGTTGGGCCAAGCTTTTGATATCCCAAAATACCAGAGCATGATCACATGGATGAATTAAGAAGTGTTGATCGAAAAGAAACCGTCCAGGCTCAAAGCAGATTGATTGAGACAGACTCAAAATCCACAATCTCGGTGTCTGGCATGCTCCGAAGAAAGTCCTTTCCAAAATTCATGACTGGCGTCTGGAAACCAGGGCTTATCTTGTTTTCCAGCACAAGTTTTGCAGCCTCGATGGATGCAAAACACGTGAAAGTGTAACCGTTTAGGGTGTGCAAAACTGCCCGCTTTACGTAGCCTTCATCAGAGGCCACGACAGCCACCGCATGATATGGTGTCACATCTCGCTCAGCTTCTGTCGGACCTTCGGGTAGCAAATTGCAGTCTCCTGTCGGAAAGCCATCACTGGAAGCGTGTGCAAAAGCTCTGACATTGGCAACATTTGACGAGTGCGAGATAGTCAGGAGATCTGGTAGTGTGACTGGAAACGATGTCACAACTCCATTTCCATCGTCGAAATCGTAGTCGATAGTTTTGTTGGTATCTTGTTTGACAAGGCAGCCATCCACAAGTTGAAGACATCCCGCTTTCATATTCTCTGCGCTGATAGCTGATCCTCGCGACATTGAACCGGCAACATGAAGAGCGACGTCAATTGAAATGGGGTTTTTGACTTGATCGACCACATGGCTAGCGAGACAGCCTAACATGGCAACACTTCCACCACATCCGGGCAAAATCATGACACCAGCGCTCTTTGCGTCTTGGTCGAGACTCTTGGCTTGTTGATAGCTTTCTATCTCTGCGGAAATGTCGAGATAGTGCGTGCTGGTTCGCAAACACGCTTCGATGAGTGTCTTCGCCGTTTGAACAAATGGACCTGCACAGTTGAGAATCACGAAGGCATCTTGCAAGACACTATCGATGATCGTTGATTGATCCAAGTCAAACACGCGGTAGGGTACTTCGAGGCGAGATGCCAAAATCTGAAGCTTCCGCTCCGATCTGCCGGCGACCATGAAATTTAATCCAATGGCCTTTGCATGCTCACTGACCAAGCGGCCGGTGTAGCCAGTTGCACCATAGATGACCAACAGCGTCATGTTATACGTTCAAATGAAGATAATATCAATGAATAATATATGTACAGCGTCATACTTTCAATTTCTTATAGGCTGTTGAACCCGCCTTTGATACTTGCGCCGGTTCACAGTAAACTCGGGGCTCCGGGCTCGGCTCAATCTTGTGGCTGCACCATTCTGAGTAGTACCTGAATAGAAAGAAAGAAAGAGAAAAAGAAGAAGAAGAAGAAACTGATTTTCCTGTGATACCTAATTGAAATTATGGCGTTGAGAACGCAATGATTTGAGAGGCATGATGAACAGGTACGTGAAATATTAGGTCTCCTGTCTTGTATGCTGAGAGAATAGGAAATGCATCCTGCAATGCAGAGTCCGTATCCACCTGTCTCATGGCCACATCTGCTTACCAAACTAGAATAGTTAAAATATGATTCGAAAATCAGGCCCATTACTTTCAGCCTCTAAAATTCCGAGTCTATGTCATTTTTAGAATTAGGCGTGCTAGATAGGCCGCGCGGTTGGGCTTGTATACGCGGGTGCCCAGGGTCGGGTTCCTGATTTCGGCGAGAGCATAGGCGGATCACGCCAAGCGTACTGGCATCTATTAGTGCATTACCCCGGAGCACCGAGTTGTCTAAAACCATTTTTATTGGTCTACCACTCACTTCGTATTCACCTGCGCTCCACCTGGAAAACGTTTCAAGGTTCCAATGTCGCTCCAAGGTCTTAGCTATACTTAGTACTTTCACTAAAAGCCACCAACACTCTTGCAGGTGAGACGGTATATGCGTGAACGGTGCGCCACGTTCGTTAGTGGTGCAGGCCGATCGAGTGACCATGGGCTTACTGGAACCTGTCCAGGGAAGATGGTAGCAGATCAACAAAGCTATCCAATGAACGATTAATTGCGGACGATGACATAGAGAGTGCAGGACTGACTGAGACACTTGCAATTGATCAAGTTCATGGCATTTGGACTTGGCATCGGAAATCAAATCGACAACTGGTATAAAATGCCAGGAGATATCCCAGATAAAAGATTCATCCATTCAAACACAGTCTAATTTATGGCTTTCGAAAATCGTATACATCCAAATCATCTGAAAAAAAAAAAATGAGACCCTCTTTCTTTGCTGTCGCTCTATCTTTCGCGGGTGCTTGCTTCGCCGCTCCCGCAACCGAAAGCCAAAAGTGGCCCTACAGCATCGGTGACCTCTCGCTTAAGCATCTGATTGAGAGTGACACCTTTGATCTTGTTTGGACTGTTACCTCAAGGGGTCCTACAGGCGATGATCTTGGCAGCACGACCTGCCACACTGCTTGGTACGTGATCTTATTTCGGGTGGTCCGGGTGCAAGCACCTAGCAGCTAACGATGTAATCTAGGAACAATGGGTCCACCCCCAATGGCCCCAAGAATCCGGAGGCATGCTTTGATACTGCATATAAGTACTGGTTCCCCACTGGTGCCTCCGACCTTGAGAGCTTTGAAATTGTCATTGAAGGCCCCGAAGGCTCAGCCATCACCACCATCGAAGCTGGTCCTAAGTACCAGTGTGGCCCTTACACTGGAACCATTGGCAACATTGATAAAGAATGCAAGACCACCAACGGTGGAGAATTCTACCTTCATCAATAGTTTGCGAAGCAAAGGTTCATGGCCTTTTGAATCGTCAAACCATGGTATATAACATGGTCCTGCGGCCCTGCCGATCATTCCAGAGTATCTTATTGTCCAACAGCTGCCAGGGGCAAGGTTCTGGTGGTTTTATCTCGTTTGTGAATAGTCTTGTTTTCTTTTGGTCTCCCTTCTCTTTCCGTTTCTCTCTGGCGGCCTGGGACATTGCGGTTAAGAATCCATTCAGTTTTGTCTTATATCCTTGCTTCTAGTTAAGGATTCTCTAGTCTGTTTGTAGGTTGTGTAAAACCAGTTTTCCATTTTGATCTACGTACCGTTGTTCTTATAGCTAGCTGTCTTTCAAACTTTGAGATAGAAGAGGCTTTCAAAGCGAATAAAAGTCTGAGGTCTATGTAGTACTAGTAGTTATAAGCAAATGAAGACATTCGAGAGGGGAGCGAAAGCTTAACAAGTGCCGGTTTGTGATTTGATAGATCTTCCGAGTGGTTTCTCCACATACTGTGCGCCTGCACACTTTATTTTACAAACATGTGCTATGTTTGACTTTGATCATGAGATTTGAGAGGTTGTCAGAGAAGCCAGAAGCTCCTGTGATGTGATGTATTGCGAGACAAGGAGAGGAAGGAGAGAGAGAGCGAGAGAAGCTCTGTATAGTTCCCGCCCGCCCCGCCTGCGGGGAGCCTGACAACCAGGCAGCCACAACAGCCTCCGAAAGAGGTGGTTCATCTTTCACTATGACAAAATCAATTCATCAATTTCACAGCAGTATAAATACATTGACATAGTCATGTTGGCTATCTCTTGATTGTACTCGTGAGATCTTGTGGGAGTGGACTGTTGTGGTGGACCCTGTCGACTGCCCTAAAAAACGTCCACGTAGGCCGCGTCGTCATCAAATCTCAGTAACTAATATTTGCTTTCCGGGTCTCACTCTGATCCAGGGGAAACGAAATGATAAGATTTGAAGGAATTTTGATATCATAATCAAAGATCGACATGTGTTTTCTTCCCACATCTCAGACGGTAATCTCAGAGGTTCTCGGTGCTAAGACCATCTAAAAGAATGAAATTTTTCACTTGAAGTTGTGATGAAGAAAGAAAATATATTGATCCTTGCTGACCCACTCGAGTGTACTAGTACTATTACGGCTAGACGTCAGAGGATATAGCAAAGAGATGAGAATTGTTAAGAAGCGGATTGGATGACACTTCTTGGGCCATGATCCAATAGCTGGAAGGCGATCCGTACGTACGTAAGTGTCGTGATATTTTGAGTACGGGCTCGTTTCAGCCAGCTGACTCTCCCGGTACCATGTACACATTCTCGATCACGGGGCTATAAAAGGCAGAACAATCCCGCCATGGGGACATGCTTGAAATTCCGAGATGGGTGGAATATTATGGACACATCTCACAGGAAATCGAAATTCTCAATACTGAGATCAGAACTATGCAAAAACTATTATACAGAAACATACTCGTGCCTAGGTTAGGTGTTGACTGGCTGATAGTCCCTGCGACCCAATTCGCTTTGCCTCCATCTCAGCTTGGTTTGCTCCAAGGTACTTAGCTCGGCACTGTGTTGCCCATCGTCTAATGCGCGTTGCAGCCGACCATTCCGACGTTGCTTAGCACAGTACCAACCGAATGCTCCAACAGCAAGCGCACCGACAACCGCAGCAGCAACGTAGACGCCAATATGTGCCCCCTCGGAGAGGTCGTTCCATTTTTGGCTAAGGGTTTTTGTTGGCTTTTTGGAGATCTCTGCTTGGGCAGTCGAGTTTCCACTAAAAGTCACATCCATCAGTATAGGCTACCAACAATGGGACTAATTTTACCGGCCAGAGCACGATATTCAACGTACCTGATAACATCTATACTTTCATAAGACCCTGTATGTCCTGTATACTTGTACTCCTTTCCGGAGTGGAAGTCTTGGACACGGATCTTTGACACGGTCATGGTAAACGGCACATCAGTCCAATTGACATAGCCACCACCCCATTCCAGATTTCCCACAGACTGGCCTTTGATGCCAACCGGCCAATTGCTGACTTTGACTTGACATGGCGTTTGGGGGTAGTTCTTGCCGTAGACAGTCAACGGTTCGGAGTAGTTGACAGTGCGTACCAGATCGCCGTCAATCCACCATTCGAGACGGTCCTTATCCCAGTATGAAGTATAGTTGTGGAATTCTGTATCCGCATTCGAAACCGCATGGTAACCCCCTCGATCGCTGGTGGTTGTGTTTCCTTTGCCGAAGAAGTCGGATTGCACTCCGCTTGTGTTGTAGCCAACCCACTCCCAATCAATCTCATCCAGGTCGTCTGATTGGAGAATAACACTGCTGATAATACCAGCGCCTTTTGCCATCTTGACGTGCGCTTCCATCACTCCGAAAAAGATGTAAAAGTTCGAGACCAGGAGTGTGGAGGCATTTTCGGTCTTGATCGAGAAATCTGCGCCTTCGGAGGTGTAGTCGATGGAACCGGTTCTCATGTCCCATAGCTTGCTGTCGAGGGTTGAATTGAATAGCCAGGTATGCTCAGTTCCGAGGGCAGCATCGGCGCTGCATGTGCTGTTGCTGTCTGTTGGGTTGCAGTCGGTTCCGGTATACTCGGCAGTGGTCATGGCCTGCAGCCCGCTGAGGGCAAGGAACATGAGAATGCTCCAAGGTCCCATGGTGAGAATGCAGTACTGTGTGGTACTGTGTGGTTTGTTTGTTTTGCGATTTTGCTTTTTTTTTTTCCAACCCTTGGTATACTCAGTCTGATCCGAAAATCACGCACTTTCGCGTGTGAAGTCGTGAATTCGGCAGCCTGGTGTTGCAAGAAAGTCAATCAAAGTGCCGTAGAGACCCCTTGTGTGAATTCTTCAACACCGAAGAGCAATTTGGAACACGGAGTTGAACTCAAGACTTATTAAGTCTCCCATCGCTGCTGGCTAAAGCAAGATTAGGGAGGTCAATAAGCGAGACTAGGGTGTTATCGAAGAAATCAAGCCATATTTAGAATGACTCCAATGCTTTTCAAGCTTAGCGTCAAATGTCTCAGCCGATCTATCCAGCAAGCGGAAATTTGATGTGGATTGAACCATCTCCGAAGCCGAGGAAAATGCTTGACTCCACGCTAATGTATAGATCCATGAGGCTAGCCCGTATTAGGCTAGTGTGACCAGACTTGATCAAGTGCACGCCTCGGGATTTGCCAACCGACGCTGTCTGGTCGATAATTGGCTGCACTAGCCTCGTTAGCCAGGAAAGATCACCGTTCTTTGACATCCACATACTCCTATGTCCGAGGAAACTTCATCCGAGATTTCATAAAACCAGAGATCACACATAAGAACGGCGAAGACAAACCAGTGTCACCTGACTTGAGAGAATGGGATGGATGAGCTAGCGAATCAAATCAAGGAGATGTAGAAAGAAGACAGAAATTATCGACCGACTGAGGATAGATAAACACGAACGGACCTGAGTCTCAAAGTGCCCCTGTTCCATGACAACCACAAAAGCTTGGAAGTAATTTTCCACTATCTCACCTTCCTGTACTCCGTGGACGTCTTTGTTTGCCAAATATAGTGAAGATTCTCTTGGAAACCTTAGAATTGCCCCACTTTAAACGAACACAAAGAAAAGACAGACTCGAACGATCAGACATACAACGGCTTTTCGCTCTTTGTGTTGTATCGACCCCTGCTTCTGTGCAATTGGCTTTTTTTTTTCTCGACATGCATATATTTAAAAAGACGTAGTCCCGAGGTCATTTTCATCTTCCTTGTCTATCAGACAAAGTTTCTCATCTATCTCAACTCGGAGATAAAAATCCAATCCATCATATAGATTTGGTCTCGAAACCTTGGAAGTCACTTTCTTTTTCTTGTCTTGCAGCATTTGTGAGTGCATGTCCTTACATCACTCAACCCACGCGAAAAATGTACATGTACGACTCTGGCTTTGCGCCCGATTTTAATCGCGTGTCCATATTCCAAACCATACAAAAGCAGATCGACCTACTGAAGTTTAGTGCCTGGCCTTCTAAAGGGGTCATTGAAACATTAAACAAACTCCATCAGCGCTTGAAGGTCCAAGCAGCTTGGGACAGCTTTAGACGCGAACACTCCGGGCTGGTTGGCAATGCGGCATTTCACAGGTGCTGCTTCATGCTTTGTCTTTACCTTCCAGATGCGATCTGCGTCCTGGAGAGCGATCCCACTCTGCAACGCATCAATGGGTGGGATGGTGGCTGGGTAGACACTTACGCTATCGAAGATCAGGCTATATTCATTCTCGAGCAGGCACTTCAGGCTGCAAGCCCTTCCAGATACTTCGCTTGATCGAGTAACTGGCATGGGATTTCATTTCGAGGCCTTGGGGGTTCTATCTTCTCCATCTTTGCGAGTGCTTTGAATTCGAAGGTTGTGTGGACACCATACAATTAGTTTCGGTTGATGAGAGCTTACTTTCCAATCTCTCTACCCGCTATTCAGATGGGAGCATTACCCAAGTTCTGTCAAAGTTGAAAGTGGAGGGTCCATGTCCACTGCGTCTCCGTGTATCATCATCTTTTGTTTGTTGCGCTACCACTCTGTGATATAATTCGAATCTGAAGATGGGACTTTTTATTTTGCACTAACTATTTCTCGACCGAAGACTGGGTCTTGGTGTCCAATATCTCGCTCGCATGCAAGCGTATGCAAAATCCAGTCGCAAATTGCTCAGAGGACGAAGGGGGAATGTCAGATGTTTTATTTGTGTCCGACAACTCCTTTGGACACGTATAAAGCATCAATGCTCTGGACTTCCTCGTCACTCAGCTCGAAGGATATCGCCTCAATCGCTTCGTCGACTCGCTCCTTTTTGCTCATGCCAATGATTGGCGCAGTGATAAACGGTTTTGACAAAGACCACGCAATTGCGACAGTAGCCATTGACACGCCACGTCTTTTGGCGATCTCTTCAATCTGTCGGTTGATCGCCTTGTCTTCCTCTGAATAAGGCTTGCCCAAAAATCCTTCATTCTGACCATCGCCACGTTTGGTGGTAGAGAACGAGTTCCATGGCCTGGCCAAGAAGCCCATCGACACTGGACTCCAGGGAATTCCACCAATTCCAAACTTCTGGCAAGCAGGATACATCTCTCTTTCCTCCTCGCGGTAGATTGCGTTGTGGAGATTTTGCATGGAGATGAACTCAGTCCAGCCGTGAATTCGCGCAGTGTATTGATATTCGAGCAGTTGGTGTGCCCACATTGAAGAAGCGCCGATGTAGCGAACCTTGCCGGACTTGACGACATCATGAAGAGCTTCCATAGTCTCCTTCGCTGGCGTATATGGGTCAAACCGGTGGATCTGCAACAGGTCGACATAGGGAAGATCAAGTCTCTTCAAGCTGGCATCAATACTGTCGAAGATGTGCTTGCGGCTCAGACCGTACTGGTTGAGGTATCCTGAATGATCGCGTTGCTCTTCGGTCATGGCCATCGGGTCTTCGAGCCCACGACCGACAGGTGCCCAAAGCTTTGTTGCGACCACAATATTCTCACGGCGCCAGCCATACTTCTTGATAGCCTTGCCGAGGATTTCCTCCGACTGGCCGTTCGAATACGCATTCGCAGTGTCGAAGAAATTGAGTCCCGAGTCGTAGCAGTGATTCAAGATTGGAAGAGCCTCTTCTTCAGGGATTGCCCATTTGAAACGACCTTCGGGATTACCAAAGCTCATGCATCCCACGCCGATAGGGGCGATGCGGAGGCCACTAGCTCCAAGCTGAACGTACTTCATACTGAGGAATCGGTGGTTGTGGATATTAAAGGTTTCTGTGCGGTCTGCTGAGGATTGAAGGTGTTTTCCAGTACCACTGTCTGGGGGTTCCGTGTTAGCTTTATACTTCCCGTGAATGGGAAGAGCTGCCGAGGAATAGTCGGGCTTAGTGGGAACCCGGAGTTAGACACTGGACTTGTGTTCCTCTCAGGACGTCAGGTGGACCTATTACTTGTAATCTGGGAGGACAATGACGTGACTTTAGGTAGCGAACGACTCACTGGAGCACCTTGTTTCCACCGCGGTGAAGTGTAGGAACCCAACTGGCCTATCAGGGCCTTGGTGTCATCCTCACCTGCACTAGTGGCTGCAATTAAAGGCGGGGGGCGAACCGGACCGGAGTTAGTTTATCTAACTCCGAACGTGGCTCAAGGTCTCTGTTTACAAGTAGTTTCTGCAAGGGCCCTTGGGCATCGTGTAGGCTTTTTTTCCGCCTATATATTTCGGCCATATCATTCAAGGTTTCGAGAGCAAGACTGTTTCAAATGACCAAGTGAGCTGGACTCGGAATCATGGGTAGTTCCCAAGTTTCACTGAAGCTTCAAAAGCTGGCCATTTTGTGCTTGATTCCAATCGAATATGATCATAGCTAAGGATAGCTCAATTAAATGAGACTAGAATGTCTAGCTGGACTCGTTGAAACTTAGAAATAATCCTCGTGAATGATTAGCGTATATTTGTCACGCAACAAGTAGTATAGATCGTACAGAGTATACCTTAGTAGTATAAGCATTGCGAGCTGGGTGAATCAAGTGTGACAGATGCAGGTGATACAAAGATCACTTATACTCAGTGCGATAGAATGATACACTGTATATGCGAGCAGTTGGTTTCCCAGCACATCATCGTGCTTTCGGGCCGTGGGAACATGCCACTCTAGGGAGGGAAGCCGAGTGATAGAGGCGCTGTGGGCTAGAACGTGCGACTATCCTATATGGCAGGATTGTGGCCGGTGCTCAATGGAATTGGATTTCTATACATAGTGCGCCCTCAGACGCGATCAAACACGATCCAGCGGATGGCACCGTGGGCAATTCTGCGACACCTGAGGATCATAACTCGAGTCATTCAGAAATAAAATTGAAGTCCAAGATGCAGTACTGCCAAAGCAACAATACATGTGTAGTAGAAAAGCATGGCAGATGAGATGGTCTTGGCTATATTATCAGCCCCTCCAATCTCCATTCTCCTCACTTCCCCAACTCCGCCTCCGCCTTCGCCATGGTATACGCGTTTACCCTCCCAACTACATCGCCTCTTTCATTTCAGTCATTCATCGCATCGCCTACTCATCCCTCCCTTCCCCAATCAGCTTCAACAACTCGTCATGCTCTCCGTCTCGCTCTCAAGGCCCACAAACGCTTGCCCCGCGGCCCGCGCCAGGACGCGCACCTCCCCGCGGTTCTGTCTGCCCTGAACGAATATCTACCGTACCTGTTCGCGATTTCAAAGAGTTTACGCGACCGCCAGGCTCCAGACGAATACTCGTCTGACTACCAGAATGTCGGCGCTCTCGGGTCCGGTCTCCGCACGGGTGATATTGAGATCATCCTGCGTGCGGAGATTGAATCCGCTTGGAGACCAACGCTCTCATCGTCCAGTGCCTTCAACATAGGAGCTGGCAAAAATAACGCAGGAGGAAAGGGGACGAAAACGCATAATGGGCGAGTATGTGGCCAAGGCATCCACTTCGAATTAGCATTCACCCTGACAACTCTGGGTTATGTCCTGAGTAGACTGGCGCGCGCTGGGGTTGTCGCCGCGCTTTATGCAACCACACCTCCATCACCAGAAGAGCGCACAGCCGCTGTGCAGACTGCAACGCGGTATCTCCTACAGGCTAGCGCGGTGCATAATCTACTGGCCTCGTCGCCCACTTTCGCGGCGAACGCGGTCTCTGCGGTACCGGATATTGACGTCGGCACGCAGTCTGCCCTTGCATCGCTTGCATTGGCCGAGGCAACCCTGTTAGCCGTTCTCAAGGATGATGCATATGTTGCAGCGTGTATTCAGTCACGTAATCCTAATGATAAGGAGTGGATGGTTCGCGCACCCGAAATCCCGAAGGTTCGTGCACTTCTGTTCGCAAGACTCTGCGTTCGCGCCGCAGAATATTCTGAACAAGCTGCTGCGGGTCTCGGTGCTGTCGGTGCTGCATCTACCAGCGCAGGCCGCGTTGGTGAGGATGTCATCCGCTACACCGGAGTCTTGGGTCGCGTTGCGCGCGCTCGTGCCTGTCGCTTCTTTGGTATAGACGCCGAGCTATCAGGAAAGGTTGGTGATGGCATTGCATGGCTGCGGGCTGCACGCACACCTCTTGGGCTTCGTGGGGGCTCATCCCAGGATGACGGGTCTGCTTCGGGAGGGTCGGCAAAAGGCGGACTCTCTCGTTTGAAACGTGAATGGACTGAGCGGCGTGAGGAGCGCCGAGTAGCGAAAGATGCTGGCACCAGTGGCGATAAGAGTCCCTTGGACGCAGGAGACGATGCAGGTCGCGGGGAAGAGGGACAAGTCATCGCCATGCTCGAGGCCAAATGGGTGAAAATGAATGATACCGTGCGTTTGAAATCTTTCGCTTTCTAAGGCAATCTTTACCCGCAGTCTCGCTAACTGATTATAGATAAATACGCAGCTCATTTCCCCCTCTGCGCCATTGCTTTCTAATCTGCCTTCTGGCCGAGATATACACTCACCACCAGCGCCATACCAGCCCCCATCTCTAGATGACGATCAGATCATGCGAATGCGTGCTTCGCCAGATGAAAGGGAAGATGTCAGCTTCGGGAACGATGACGACAGCGAAGAAGAGGCAGGTCTGAGTGCAGTGCGACCACCGGGTGGATTCCCGGACCGCAGTGCCACAGCTTCAAGTGTCTATTACTGATCAAAGACAAAGATGAGCCACTTGCGTGACTGCGATATATCAGACAATATTCGTATAACCCATCATAGCACCCTGGTTGCTCCTCGAAATAACCAGACACTCCAGGAAGGGTTGGATATCCGATACCTGTAAATACGATAGTGCAAATAGGAACGGCATTGGGAGTGGGTGGGGGAAAAAGGAAGATTGATCAAACAAAGTGATATCTATATGTACAGTACAAACGGACAACATCCAGAAGAGGGTTTCCTCAGTTCCTTTTCTGCCATGTTTTGTCTTCTCCGACACGAACTGAACCTGAGCATCCTGATCACCCTCAAACAAAAACAAAGGTACCGAAGAAGTGATCCGTCCACCGGCTCCATCTTGGCGTGGTATGTTGTCCAATTTCCGAGGCGTTGATATCGATCATCAAACCCCCGAACTTCAAAACGCAATCGCATAGCTGTGCAAGAACTGAGACGCTTATGCCGACTCGCCACCGAAACGGTTCTTCTCCTGGCCGAGGTAACCCTTGACCTTGCGCTCCTTGATGAGCTCGAAGTACTTCTCTGTATAGCGCAAACACATTAGCACGTTCCCCACAAACAGCCGTAGTTATGTCATTGATGAAATTCAACGGGATCCGACCAGGTGAAAATCCCTCAATTTGAGAATTTCGCGCCTAGACTCTCCGAGAATCAAATGACGGGGACGGAAACCCACCTCTGAAAACACCGCACTTCTCAAGGTGGTTCACACCCTCGCGCGCATAGCACTTGCCCAATTCCTCGCCGACGAGACGGGCCATCATACTGCGCACCCACTGTTCACGGATAATGGCATCACGGGCATTGTGAACGGCGACGTTGTCCTCGAAGTCGACACCCTCGTAGGTTGGGGGGACGGTGGGCTTTTTTGGCGAGGAAGGAAGCGGATTCGGCGGTAGGCATTGTGGGTGGTTTTTGTGGTGGTTGAGTAGAGAGCGGGAGGCTGTAGGTGCTGGAGGGGTGGACAATGGCAGCAAGAGCGGTCGAGGAGAGACTTGTCGATTGAAGGGCTCGATGCGGTGGTCCGGCGTTGATCTTGAAGGTTGGATTACCTGCTTTGTGATTGGAGCAACTTGAGGCGGTGGAGGCAGTGTGAATACGGCAGAACACAGAGACCAGACGCGCTGATCAACTCGGCTGAGTCAGTAATGTCACGTGTTGCTTCATAACCCGAAGCGGATAAGACCTCGGGAGGGCTAAACATCCGGTGTAAATAACAACGATTGTGTATGTAGTTTTCCTGTGAACCATGAAACTATGTATCTCAAAATGGAAATTTTTTTTCACGCGTATTCGGTACTCTGTCCGATCTTATATTGGTCAGATTTTAACGATTAATCCAAACCTCCCGAGGTCGCGTTCTAAGGCTGTCCTTGTCGAAGATTCTGAGGTTCGTAACACGATTCTGACGATGATGGTCATAGAAACCACACTTATACAAACCTTTTTCAATTAAAGGAACAAGTACATATCAGCCCAGGTGAAAAATATAATTTCTGAAAAGGCCAACCTCACTTTCTAGTGGTGCTGTGAAGAAAGAACTTTGGAAAGTCACGGAGTAGCTGTGCCTCCAACCTTGGAAGGTTTGAAACATCAGAAGTAATTTCGAATCAATGCACTAGTTTTCGAGTAGTTCCCAGGTGTTTATGACAGAGGTAGAGCCAGCGATATTGAAAGGGGTCGAACAAAACTAAATTGTAATGAGAATACCTGATATATCCTACTCAGGCGCAAGAACCTATACAATGAATAATGTTTACAAAAGTAAAGCAAGTGCACTCGGCATAAGTATTTCAGCAATCAGTCATCCCTGGACACCCCCGCATCCGATCGTATGTATCTAGGACACTGTCCTTGAATTTTGACCAAATTGGCCTGCTTAGCCAATTGCTGAGCTCACGATAATAATAGATTTCAGACCAGCAGTCTCGACCAAACTTGCAGCCCGCCATGTTGACCACAAAGTCGCGTGCGTTCTGTTGGTAGTGCGAGACTGGGTTTTCCTCATCTCCACAGGCACCGATTGGGAAAGCATTGATGCTGCGCTGAGGAAGGAAGCCAACCGAACTTCGGACCCAGGGCTGGCTTTGATAGATGTATTCCAGAGCATCTTGCTCTTTGTGCTCCCATTGCATGTGCATCTGCTCATACATGACAGGGTCCCACCAGGCGTCGAGTAGTCGGTCAGTCCACAGGGAGCGCCGCACGAAGAAGGACCCTAGATTGAAACCGGCGCAGTCTTGGGATAGAAGGAATTGCAGTGAATCTGGATCCCCATCGCCCTCGAGGGAGCGTCCCATTTCATCGAGCCAGAACTCCGGTAGTGGATGTGTGATGTTCATGGGATTATAGGCAGTGATGTCGCGGTAAACATTCGATCCGAGGTTGTCGAAGATATGTTCTTGCAAGGATGTATCGTACTCCATGATCCATGTGTTTAGATCCAACCACCAGAACCATTCTGCATCAGGGTATTTATGCATAGCCTCTCGGATGATATCACCTTTCTCCCAGCTTTCTCGCCATTCGTGAGAATACCGCTTTTTGGCGAGGAGATTAGCCAGCTCAAGCTCGTATCCCCATTTTGCGGCGTATTGCTTCTTGTTCCAGATGCTGTTGCGTTCGACCGCCCATTCACGGGCACCCTTCAACTCCATAACACCGCCCTCGATGTTGGACCCGAGGATGATGACAAATTTGCGACCTCCGCCAATAGGCGACCGACGGTACAACTGGACAATGGCTTCAAACGTGGTTAGATAGATACCCTTAAGCACCCATTTGTCTGTATGGTGTCCTGTCACTTACTTGACCAGCAAAACAGATATCCGATCCACACCATGAGTAAAAGCAACAAGAGCCGGAATCTTCCCCGGCGTACGAAGAGCCCTGAAAAACCAAAGAATCCACGCCCTGAAGTATCCGCACGCCGCCACTTCGGACCATGGTCGTCCTTACCACTGTATTCGTGCGAAGAGCGCCGCCATAGACCAGGCAGGCGCGCGAAGATTTTCTGTCGCTGCCTGGAGAAGAAGCCACTGTTTCGAGTCGAGAAGGAGGGGTATCCGCGAACCTCGTCACTTTTCGCCCTGGCAGTGGCCCAGGAGATACCGTTCGGCGAGAATGTGCCGGGCGTCGCGGTGTCGGATCCCGAGATGAGTCCCGGGCTGGACCACCCTCCGCCCGGACGGGGAGAGGGGTGATCTAGACAAGGCCATGGGAACTGTGTGAGACTGTAGCGTTTCAATGATGGGCTTGGTGTAGGCGTCGACGGGAGGATCTAGAGCGTGAGCGAAGGGATGGGATCCGTGGTGAGGTCAGGATGACAGAGGTCAGGAGTCGTTGGGAATGACTCTGAGAGGAAAGTGCGAAAAATCAATCTCGCTCATGCTGCAGATTACATGTCCGGATTTAGATGGCAGTGGGTATGACTGGGTGTCACTGGGAAAGACGAATGCGGGCATTGCGCGGATACCGTTTCCGAGATAACATTTAAGCTTTCAGGTACACGACGATCTCCCACTTGCAGATTACACTACAATCACTTCATCCTGTACACTATCAAAAGTCATACCCTCTGTGATCATTGCTTTCAAGGCTATTCATTATCGAAAGTTTTCATCCATATACACTTCCCTCTGCTCATTGCTGTTTTCTTCCTAATTCTGTTTCGCAGCTTTTACTTCTTCTCTTTGGTGGCTAAGCTCCCGTTACTTTTGGGACGTCTCACAGTTGACAAGAACATTGGGCTCATTATTGAGCTGCATGTTATCAAGAAGTTACCGACGCGATGGTGTGGTTTGTATGATGTAATGGTATGTGGAAATTGGGAGGCATGAAGAGAATAGATCTTGAAACTTACCCTAAGCTGATTGAAACGTGGCATGGATGACATTGAGCTAGATTAAGATGAAATTCTACATTACCAGTATGTTCCTTCCAAGGTCCACAGGTTCTAATTGCTCACTTTGTCAAGAAAACACCTACTCCGTACAAAGGGCCCTTGTACTTCGGATCGGGACCCGCAGAGCCGCATCTCGGAGATCGGCTCCACATTACGAGACGATGATTCAAGTAGTAACGGTATTTGGATTATGCTAGTCCAGTCTATTGAAACGACGGAAACGCCAACACTCTCAATCCTGATCTTTGCGGTTGGGACGAATTGGCAACTGGTTTCCTCCATCTGTCCTAGCCATCAGCGCTTGCCGTAGTACGAACCCGGGTTCGTTGTCCGGGCGAGTCTGAGCGCTCTGGCCGTGGGTGAATTCGCATTGGAGCTTCAGGAACTGGCTGCTATCTTTCCTGTCGCGGTACACCGTGATGATGTCGCCGGTGTAGAGCGTGCCGAATTGCAGAGTTTCCCTCCCATCGTCTCTCGCCGAACCTCGGTGAAGCGGGATGTCGTTGACCCAGACACCACGGCGCGCCTTTGTAGAGAGGATTGCTGTCACTCCAGGAATATCTAACCAATTCTCACCGGCTGCTATTCGGGGCTCGATACCAGGGGTCCAAAATGTGATCTCGAGGGCGTATTGTGGGATCTTTGTGTCTAGGGGGTCTGGATGTCGGACGGTTGCTAGGGGACCCCGGCCCCAAGATGTGAGTCGGTTTTCGAGATAGATGGTCGTGTCAGAGATAGACCCGGGAAGAGATTTCAATTTCCCTAATCGCTTTGGTGGTTTGGCGAATTCTGTATCAGACTGGACCGAGAGGTTTGAGACAGGGTTGGGTTGGTGGACAATCGGGTCTGATGGATCTTCTTCGGCATGGAGTCGATCGAGGATAGCCTGCCCGGTCTGGGCATCAAGAGTGGTGGCCAACTCGACATCGTATTGGGACTTGGAAACGCGAGGGGGTAGTTGGGAGCGGCACTCCGACGACTGTTCTGCGCACTACTGTCACTGGAGGCTTCGCTGGCTGTGTCTGGCAGCGCAAGGTCGATACGACGAGAATATTTGGCTTTCGGTGTGGGCTCCTGAGGACTGCAGGAGAGAGGTGGTTTTGGACTCGATGTGGGGGGTATGGACTCGTCATCTGGACTAGGTGCCATTGCGGGGTCGTTGATTTGTCCAGGAGTGGTCTGACGCAGGGGTGAGTTGTTAATCGGACCGACTTTGGAGTGGATGGTGGGGTGCAAGGAGTTCATGTTTAGTTGCCCAACGAGCTTCTCGGCGCCCATCAAGCTGGGTGCAGTGCCACCAAAAGGTTCGGCCGGGAGGGAGATTATGGACTCGTTTGCATCGTCGCTCATCATCGACTCACCGGAAGAGACAAATTCCTGCATTTGATACTGATTGAAGTCATAGTCATCCACCGTACCAAGTGCGTGAGAGCTTCGCAGAGCTGAAGAGGAGACTTCCCCAAACAAACGTTTGGTGTGATTGTCCAACGAGAGTTTATGGCCCTCTTGAAAACTAATTTCAGGAAGGCTAGGATAGTGGACTTCACTAGGAATGTACTCCTCAACCCGCGGCTTTTTTGACATCGCTTCCATGCTGCCACCCTCTGCTCCGGGTTCATGAGTGTACCCACCCACGTCAGCAATAGACAGCTGTGAGGCATCAAGCTCATCTTCAGCATCTTCGCCAATTACCGAAAGCCCGTCGTTGTGGTCATTGTGATCTGAAAGCAAGTCTTCATCGTCATCATACTCATCGACATCGGGCACATCGGCAATCCAGGGGTGCTGGAAACATTCACGCTCCGTCGGTCGCGAAAATGGGTCTCGATTTAGTAGCTGAGAGACGAAATCGATACCGGACTCAGAGACACCTGCTTGTCGAAGTGCATCAAAGTCCGCATTGCTGGTCATGATTGTCCGCAGCATCTGTACTCCACGATCTTCGGCACGTCCAGTATACGGTGGGACACCGGATAAGATGTGAAAAAGCACTGCACCCAAAGACCAAATATCAACAGATTGGCTGTACGGTGATGTTTTAGGAAGCCTGAAAATTAGCAAGGACTCACTGGGGGGGAATATGAAGCTGACTTACGGATCTCCAACACGGCGCCTCTTCCGGAGCTCACCGCGGCGGTATTGTTCATAATCCGGGTACACCTCCGGTGCACAGTACAACAATGTGCCACAGAAGGTCTTCAAGAAAGTCTCTTGCTCTACCACTTTCGATAGCCCGAAGTCGGACAACTTGATTCTAAGTGGGTCGAGTGAGGCAATCAGAATGTTGTCGGGTTTGATATCTCGATGGGTGATTCGGCGTTTGTGCAAGTAGTGAAGAGCTCTCAACACTTGCCGTGCAATTGTCCTCACCATCTCCTCCGCAATTCGTCCCTGGGTCTGCAAGTACGTTGAGAGCTCGCCTCCAGGGACGTACTCCATGATGATGTAAATCCACCTGTCGTGCTCGTGGTGATCGATATATTGAACGATGTTGGGCTGAGCCAGATTAGTCAAACAAATCGCCAATTATGACAGCCATCACTCACATGCGTCAAATCTCTCATGATTTTCATTTCATTGTCGACCTTTTGGTCCAAAATCCCATTCTTCATGAAACGACGCTTGTCCAGCTCTTTGGCGGCATAGATTGCACCGTGTTGCTTGGTTGCAATCTTATACACTGTTGCAAAAGCTCCCTTGCCGATTTGTCCAGTCACATTGTACATTGCTCCACCTGTCCAATGCATACCGAAAGCGTTGGAGGCCGACCATGTCAAGACAGACGGAGGCGGGCCCTGTCGACCCTGGTTTGCTGGTGCATGCGCTTGGACGCGTTCGAAGTAGCGGCAGAGATTCTCTTGATATTGAGTCGCGAATCCTTCTCTCGATGGGGTCCGAACCACGAAGCGAACTTCATCTGAACCGATGCCGGTCACCACTTGAATCACCGATCCGTTCATGAGCATCCGGCTGTTTTCTTTTTGAGACTTTCGAAGGCGGCAATTATCCACAACTGTGCCATTTGTTGATGTGTCCTGAAGCATAAGGATGCCGTCGCCTGTCAGGTAGATCCGAAAATGGGTGTTTGATACCCGTTTGGCTTCGTCATCCACGGCCAAGAGGAGGTCACAACGGGCGCGGTTACGACCGAAGCAAAACCCGAGACCGATGTTGTGAACATTAGATGAAAGCCTCAATGCAACATCCAGGTCCGACGTATGAGAGGGCTCGTCTGACAATGCGTCTCTTTGGAGTATATGCTGGGAGCCGAGTCGAGCCGTGGCAGCAACTGCATCATGGGCGGCATGAGAATTAGGATGGAGAATACAAATGATGTCAGACAAGTCTTGATCTTCAATGCCAGAGTTATTCATTCCCATGCGACGCGGATCAGCGAGCGGCTGAGTGGATTCCTGTGTTGCTTCCATTATGAATATGACGAATGTAGTGAATGAGAGTGCTAAGAGAGTGAAATGTGAGACAGGGCTACAGAAATGCACTGGCGTGGGTCTGGGAGTAGGTATGTGCGGCTGAGAACAGCTGATGAAATGCGCGTAACGAGGTCATTAATTTCATGAACTAGATAAAAAAATTGTAAGCCAAAACTAATCTAGAGATAGTGCCGTGGACGGGTATAGACGTACCTTGTGAGAATGGCGTTTCGAGGAACAATGGGCTAGAAACCCGGGTGAAACCTAGGCGAGAGGACAATGTCCTTCAGAATCAACCCAGAATTTCACTTGGGTATACAGTTCCAGGCGAAGGATCCCAGACAGCCCCGGCTTTCTCGAGACACAGGCAGCAACTAGTATGGATGAGGACGATGGATGAGCGGTAATTATGGCTGACAGAGTGGGGTGTTCGTCCGTCACCGCTAGCGATCCTCGCCGTCAAAGTTGATCAATGCAGATTTATTAGATGTTCGAGGAGACACACGTGAGACAATTCAGTCCTTGTTTCAGGTTGGTAAAGATACAGAGCTTGTAGCTCGCTTCGGGTATGCTAACTCGTGAACGAAGATCGGAGGGACGAGATGATAGATGAAAGCGATACGGTATCCTTCTTGTGTCGAGATTTATCGCATCGAGGGTAAGAGAGGGTTTTTTGCTAGTCGGTAAGGACCGAGAGGTATTTCTGTGAAAGCGAAGGCCAGCAGGTTAGCCTAGATCTTCCTGAAGCTTAAGCATTCATTGTTTGAACGGGATCCGAATCAACTGTCGGACTCACACAGCTTGACGAAACCCCGTTCTGTCCACGGAAAAGACTGATTGTGGACAGTTGAGCACGGGGACGGGGCAGAGCAAATTCGCACTCCTTGAAGAGTCGTCGTCCGAGGAACAACAGCAAGCCCCGGGGCCGCAATCGCGAGTGGAGACCTTAGGCGACAACGCGTTCCTGAGGCGCGTTAAGTCCCCCTGACTCATCAGGCAACAGGCACGTTGATTGGTTGATCCACCATTTTATTGAGGCGTGGGGCTTAGCGCAAAGAGGGATTGAAGGTTAGGGATTAGGGATACCAACGGGTTAGGGATTTTGTTTGAATCTAATTTCAACCTCATGCGGACTAAGGACTATCTATCCACCCACGGCAATAATCACACACGGGGCCGCAGGGGGGAAATTGATTATGGAGTAAAAGGAGTAGATACAGTACAATGTTTGAAGATTTCCAAAGTTCGAGGGCCACGATCTGGAGTAGATATCACTTGCTTCCATACTGCTTCCTAGTATCTTGGCTCCTCTCATAGTCTCCCCGAAGTGCAATATCAAATACTTGCTCGAGGCGGGCGATCGCCTCGTCCGATACCTCTGTGACAGGTCAGATATGAATGATTCTAGTTCTGACACATCCAAACACTTACGGTAATGGATCACAATGCGGCCACCCCCAAGCTTCAGTCCTTTCTCTTGTCCAATCACCGATAAATCGTTTGGGCCCACCCCGGAAGCTTCAAGATCCAGCCAAACCATGTTGGTTTCCGCGGGTTTGGCCAGCTTGCCGCCGCGGCTGGTCCATAATTCAGCCACCCTCTTGGCATTGACATGGGATACTGCAAGCTTCCCAGTCTTCCCGAATGGGTCCGTTCCAAAAGTCTCGTTGAGTGCAACTTGAGCAGCAGCAGCAATCACACCTGTCTGCCGGGCGCCACCTCCGATAGACTTCCGGAACCATCGTGCTTTCTTGATCAAGGCCTGGGAACCGACGATTATGCTACCAATAGGGGCACCCAGGCCCTTGGAGAAGCAAAGACTGACACTGTCAAATAGAGAAGCATACTCAGGTAAGCTCCCGGCCCCAGCCACGACCGCCTCCCATAAACGGGCGCCATCAAGATGGACCTTGATATCTTGGGAATGAGCCCAATACACAATCCGCTTGGCCTCTGATAGCGGCATGATCTCTCCATTAAGGGTGTTTTCCAGGCTGATCAGCTTGGTGGGGCAAGAATGAATATCATCATCTAGCACTGCATTCTTTTGAATATCCTCTAGCGTCAAATAGGACCCATTCTTGGGCACCACTGTCTGCATGGTAGCTCCGGTCCATGCGCTCACTCCTCCCGCTTCATAGCATATGATATGAGATCGATAATCACACAGCACTGCATGTGGTGGCTGCGCAAGATGCGATCGAATAGCCACCTGGTTTCCCATTGTCCCTGAAAGGACTAATAGACTGGATTCATGCTTCGTTATTTCGGCGACATAGCGCTGCAGCTCATTGGTAACTGGATCTTCATTGAAAACGTCGTCAAGGAGAGTTGTTTGGCATATCGCCTCCAGCATTGAAGCTGTAGGCTTGGTCATTGTATCGCCTGGGCCCCATTAGTACACATGTCACATATTTTACTTTCAGGTTCGTATCGGCCGCGCGAGCCATTGAGAGCTATGCCATACTTCGAAGATCAAACTCGGCGGCACCAGCCCCTTGCCAGGTGCTGGCCTTCTTATCGCCATTGCCGACAGCTGCCGATGCATGAGCCATGCCGTTGGTTGAGAGTTGGGCCATGGGATTGAGTCGTAAAGTTTTGGATGTTTGTGAAGATAAGAGTATACTTGCTGGGGAAGTACGACGTATGGCGTGTGACAAACGATTCATGCTGTGGCACTGATCCCGGATCGCTTCGAAAGAGGGGCTCCTGAGTACTCCATGCGTTAGGCCGACACGTGATCCTGAAGGGTACAGATACCAGTAAAGTGCGGCTGAACTGGCATTTTGCAAATTGAATAGGTATGGAGGTCTGAAAGTCGAAATATTTCAAATTTGTCTAGGTACCCGTACAATGTCCTTTGTATGCATGTCCCTAGTACATCTCGACAATGACGACATTGCCCGCAGGCTGGCTATCTATCTATAACCCGATTGGGACTAGTACAATTCAACGGCCTCGACCGCTTATGTAATCTGATCTGGCCGCGATGCGCTTCAGTGGTTCACGTCCGCACATTCTTCCAAGCTCATTCAAACTGGTTGCGCAATGGACTTGTCCCATCTAACAAGGCCTGGTATCCTCTGCCAGTGCTCCCGGTGCTCTAGTTCGCTAGCCGCACTGGAGAACGAATGGGCTAAACTTTCTAATGCCTACTCGATCCCTACAGCATGGCTCAGTGTTGACCTCCACCGTATCTCCGTGTCCTCGGAGCGGAAGCAAATTCCAAACACATCGGACATGACTCTTCTGCGCGGGCGCGTCATCCAAGAAGTGTCTTGCAAGTTATGCCAACAAAGGATGGGGGTTCTGTGTCCCCTGGACAATGGGTATGTGCTTCGGACCATACTGGCTTGCACCCTGCTTACTGATTCCTTCTAGGATGAATATCTTATGGAAGATGTCCAAAGTCGCTTTCAGGGAAATTGTCACCATGCGAACCGTGCAACCCTTGTTCAAACAGGGGGTCCTCGAACGATTGATATGCCCACCGAAAGAACCTCTTCGCCGAAATTCTGACTCTTTCCAAGACAACGCTATGGTCCCAGCCGGCGATACCGATACTAAGTCTCTCGATCCCTCAGTGACAAAACAAATGCTACACCAAGGTAGAAGCATCGACCAAATCTCAAATTCGGTGAATCACCTTCAAGATACAATGTCGGATCTCAAACACTCTTTTACGGCACTTCGAATTGAGCTGAATGGCCCCAGCAGGAACATGGGGGAGGGATCCCGGCTTCAGGGCCACGATTTCGATATGATCGCGACTGTGCTCAAGGAGCTCAAGTCGAAATCAGAGGAGATTGAGAAACTGAAGTTGGAGATTGAAGCTTTGAAGTTGAAGAACCGATATATGGGGGTGGCCCCTTCACAGCAGCAGGATTCCCTGTCGGTCATAAACATGAATGCTGCGCTTCCAGAGGTTCGAAGCCCTGGCTTGCTCCAGGCAGGTCGCAAGCGCACCTGGCCCGACGCATTCCCTATTGATCGTCAGCAATCAATCGCTGATTCATTTGATGAGGATGACATGGTGGACGAATTTGCATTATCTGACCCTGCAATTCATCCGGCTCGTATTCCACTCAATGACCGGAGCTCACAGCCCATCACCAACGGCTACGCCCCAGAACATCAGGTGGGGCCGGGGCTTCAGGTTGAAATTTCTGGGATGCCTCCGAACTACCTGAACACACTTCCGACTCAGTCTCAGTCTGTCTCACAGTCCATACCCAAACGTCCGCGCTTGAATCAAGATTCCGAGAACGGTACACAAGCTGTGGTACCTGCACCTGCACCTGCACCTGCACAGCGAAGACCTGGCAGACCGCGAAAATCGATCAGCCAGCCAAACAACCCCAACACCACCCAATCACCAAATACCGCACCATCTAGCACACAGGATGATGCTGAATGGAACCCCCCGACTGGTACATTGAGACGTCGCCAATCTCGTCGCAGTCTTCATGAACAATCTTTGGTTCCGACTCCCAAGGATCAAATTGGATCTGAGGACACACAACAATCGCAGGATCCAACAAATAACCTCGAACCCCAGCCAGCGCCCAACAAGAAGAGCAAGCGCAACACTGGGTCTCCGAACGGAACTCGTACTGGCGGCCCGGATAACAGTACGGATGAGGCTGGCATGGAAGAGAAGCGAAAAGCCAAAGTCGCGGCGCGGGACGTCATGGCTAAAATGGCACTACAACATGAAGAGGCCCTGGAATCCGGGAACCAACAATAGATAGCGATGCCGGAAAGGTTTCTTTCTACTTGTACAATAGCATTTTCTACCAACAAATATATGTACCATATACGATACCCATTTCTATACCCAGCTGTTTCTTGAGAACCTCTCGAGGGGGAAACAGTCAGAGCTTGTGGAGTATCCTGGGCACATGTCTCCTGTCTAAGGGGTTCCCAGTTTATACAGTACCTCAAGATTTTCGTAGTCGAGCACGACAATAACGAGAGCTCCCAAGGTTCTTCCAGTGCGCGCTTTTCTGCCAAAAACGCCCCAGGCCTGAGATCACACAGATATGCCAGAGGCAGGACCTCGGGAAGATTATAGATGCATCAACCCTTGGCCCAAACCTATTAGGTTCCAAGCTTGCTCGTATGCTGTAGCACCTCGGTGGCAGATCTACATAGCCCCCGAGGGTACGTATTCAAAGACAGTACCATTCCCGAGGTCGGGATATAAGCGGGACATCGGTTCAATTTAGCGCACGCACTATGAAGGTGACAGCAGATGTACTAAAGGGTGCCGCTTAATGATTGGAGAATTCTCATTTTTAGCGTCGACGTTGTTCTGATCTTCAACACACTAATGCGGGCGTTATGATAAGTTTGGCCCCCGGTTGCTCTATAGTCCTGGCTGAGGGGGCCATTCCAACCACATGTGCTTAGCCCCTGCGAGACAAACGACCGGGAGGACACGCACGACTTTTTTGTTTGAGATGAACATACAAAGTTATCTGATAACAGAACACATGTGAACCAGCAGTTCTGGCCAAAGCCTCAGCTTGAGCATTGTGAATGAGCATCTTGTGTCCACCCAATCAATCAAACTTCGAAGGAAGATCAGGGACGAGGGTCCGACAATTGCCTTCAACAGTCCTGTCTCAAAGTGATTCCAAGTTTGTGAATGTGCAGGGTTCATAGCCCCCGGGTTCTGTCATAAAAACCATGGATCCTAGCCTAGCGGTCATCGCTTCTCACTTGCACTCTGAAGGGCTCAGTCTGATTCCACCTTAGTCGCAGTGTAAGCGACAGCCTTGTAGGCTAACTGTATCCACTTGTATCCCGCTCGTACGAAGCTTTAATTGCGCATTTAATTGCGCATTTAGGATAGATAAACCTAAAGACACAAGCAAAAACGTACAATCCAAGGAATAAAACACGGGGCACTCCCATAATCGCCTTCCTCCTCACATACCAACCTTGAAACCTTGGAGCATTCATGATATATACTACAATGGGATCGATAGCTGAGCCACAAGGCATTCCATCTTTGACGGCCTTTGAGCGCATTGGCCCCAAGGGCTGGGTCCGTTATGTATTCCCTTTCCAGCTTGCCGATGAGTACGATATACCTCAAGTGACAGATGTCATTAGCCGTGGATTCGATGCTGTAAAACAACAGTTCCCAGAAGCCGCCTGCGAGGCTGTACCCGACTCTAGTTCCAAACAAAAGGGCGTTTTGAAGCTGCAGAGTCTTGAAGAGGATGACATCGAAAGCGTGGTAATCAAAGACCTACGCCATCCTCACGATTTTCCGCTCACCTACCAAGAGCTGAAAGCAAAGTCGTTTCCTGTCTCTGCATTTGATGCTGATATTCTATGCCGTGGACCTGTCTGGGCTACCCCTGGGGATCGGATACCGATCTCTCTCATACAAGCGAATTTTATTCGCGGTGGTTTAATCCTCACCTGGAACATATTTCACATGATCGGTGATGGGACTTCATTTTACCTTTGGACGAAGGTATGGGCAGAAGGCTGCCGTCGTGCACAGTCCGTGGACATCCCAGACCCCGTCCAACTGCCTCAGGCTATCTGGGCAGATAGGGAACAAGCCATGAATCCGTCGGGGGATAATCACGGACGATTGGAGGACCATCCACAGTACACTCTTCTTCCATCTCCCCCTCTGGGGCGCCACCGAAGATGCTGTCACCACACCATCGCGCACAGGTCTTTTATCTTTCACCTGAAGCATTGAAAACGCTCAAGGCGGACGCTTCTCCAGATAGCGCGACTGAACTATCTGATCAAAAATGGATTTCGACCAATGATGCAGTTTCTGCACTTCTCTGGCGCACTGTTATGGCAGTCCAGTCTCCACTGGAGTCACTTGACGGTAATCCGGTTTCGAACTTTGGTATTTCGATCAATGCGCGTCAGCGAATGACACCCAGGATCCATCCCCATACTTCTGGCTGCTTTTTGGGATGGGTATCAGTGAAGGCCCCTATCCGAGAGATCATCAGTAGTTTCAATCTGGCTGATCTGGCTATTCTGGTCCGTAAAGCAGTATTGCGTGCAGATGACAAGTTTGGAGACGATGTCGTGACTCTCGTCGATAGTTTGGATGATGTCAACCGGCTTGTTCCAACCGCATTTTTGGACGTCCCGGGATTTAACTGTGTGCAGTCATCTTGGGGTGGATTTGATCTCCATTCTCTGGAATGGGGCCAGGTGTTGGGTAATAAGATTGATGCAGTTCGGTCCCCAAGTGTCGGCTTGATTAATGGGGCTCAAATAATTTTGCCGGTGTTGCCAGATGGTGGAATGGAAGTTTTGATGGGAGTAGAGGAAACTTGTCTTGAAAGGCTGTTAAACGACCCTTTGCTGGGTAAGTATGCAATCGCAGTTTAATTCCATTTATGACAGGCTTCATTGCAACCGATGCCACGTCTGGTGTGATGACAGGGGAGGAAAGAGTACCACCAGAAGGTCTAGGCTACGCTTATAAGCAGGAAGTACTCAATATGATCTTGGGATTGTATAAATTATTGCGAAACCAGCTTGCTTGTTAAAAAGCCTGACAATTCAATCAATCGTATCTCATTAAATCATAAATCCTGGCATTTGTCGTTCCACCGAGGTAGCACTTGAGTACTGGAAGATCAACGGGTGGGGATGAAGTGCTTGGAATCAGACTCTTGTTGGCTGAATGACTCGGGGAACGCCGCGATACCACCAATGATACCAATGGCCATGAAGCATAGCGAGATAAGTGACCAAATGACACCCCAGCACTGGGAAGAGCCACCGTACTTCTTTGCGAAGACACTGGCATCAGAGCTGTTGACTTTGCGAAGAATAAGGTCATCGCACTGCAAGAGAATATTAGCTTTGGGGGTTGGAGAGGAGATAGCAAGATGTAAGCTTACAATATCCCAGACACTGTACAGAGCTGACATCACACCGATGAAAAGCTGAGGGATGGACGCGTTAGCAGTGAAGGATAATTTTGACCTCTTGGGCCAATTTCAAAGGCTTGACTTACCACGACCCAGCGCAAAGCTTCACCGTGAGCAATGAACCAGCACGCCACCAACAAACCGACGGCGAGCAGGACAGTCATGATGGTTAACCAGTCTCTGCGAGCCCACCACAGTGTAAGCAAGAAGCATACGCCCAGGACAATACTGGCGACCTTGGAAGCGACAATATCAAATCCAGCGAAGATCAACAGAGCTCCGATAATCGATGAGCCCAGGTATCCAGCAGGCAAGGTCACAGCGCTCATTCCACCTTGCATATGAGTGACACCACCTTCATGGGGATCTAGCGAGATGGACTTGACTTTGCCGCCGGTACAGCAAGCTGTGATCGCGTGTCCGAATTCGTGAAATGCGATGACCAGCATCTATTCTTGTCAGCATGAGTCAGTCAGTGGCTGTTAGGGAGATGTGTACCTTGAAAGGCCATAGCACCCAGCGAATATAGGGAACGTTCCATAAGATAGCGATGACTACCACGTAGACGGCCATCACCCCTAGGGTAATGGCTTGAGTGTGGTTCACAGTTAGATCACGGCGGGCAAGATGCGGGGCCGTTTCCACCGTCCCCGTTAGCGCTGCATATAGGGCTGGCATGATGAACAGTCAGCAGGTAAAAAAGTAATTCAGCCTTGTGAAATATCGAAGAGATAATCAGCAAGGAAGAATCAAGCCGCTCGGTTTATTAAGTCGAGGTGCAGATCATCCGCGCGTCCCTATAGGGACGCGCATGCCATTTGTTTGTGTGGCGCGTGTGGCTGGGTTCCTTGGCGTCTATTTTTAGCCGCCGGTTGTTTCGTTTCTTTCGCCAAGTTCCACCTCCACTGTCTCTCTGAGGCGTAGAGACAGTCGTCACTCATTTGATGACAGTCTACCTTATTTTGACATCCGAGCAGACAAACAAAGGTCAGAATTCCACTATGCATGCTGGCCGCTATTCTACAATGCTCCTTGCGATGACGGCCACATAGCGAATGCAAGCCATGCACGGAGTACCAGTTCCTGAATGCTGTCTGGAATTTACAGAAGAGCATGGAACATGAGAGTGAATTGCTCGGGCTTGGTCTCATCCCAAGTGCCGTGCCATAGTTGTGGCTTGTCAACGCCATTAATTGCCGAATTTCTGCCTTCCTTCCCCATTACGGAGTACTCACCTTGTGATCTGAAGATTGCAGCTTCCCGATTAGGTCAATGGCCAAGAGGAAAGAAAGAAATAACAACCAATGAGTCCGTGAAGGGTCGAGCGCTACCACCCGCCAGTACTACCACACCCCACAAATGCGGGGGAGAGATTGAGATCATCCTGGCTTTTGAGTCAACAGCCATTTTGCCGGGTAGATGACACCAACGTCAGTTCTCGGACCTATTCCGAAGAATCTAAATACTCAGCTTGACATCTTTTCCCGGCTTCATACTTGGCATGCGAGCATCATGGTCGGCATACTACCGGTGTTGTTAGCAGGCTTTGCCAGCAGCGCATACTCACACCCTACAAAGCCACACAATCCTGGCTCCTATCATGATGATGCAGGAGTTCTTGACTTTGTCAACCCTCTTATTGGAACCTACGGGACTACGCCTAATGGCAACGGCGGGATGATTCCATCCGTCTGTCCACCCTTCGGCATGACTCGATGGACACCTCAAACACGCGAGAACTTCATATCTCAAGTCCCCTATGGCGACAGTGATCGACTGATTCATGGATTCCAAGCCACTCATCAACCAGCCATTTGGATGGGTGAATCTGGTCAGGTTGTGCTCACCCCAGGCATGGGCGAGGTGCAGCCGTTGTTTCAAAACCGCGGCTTAGAGTTCCGGAAACAGGATGAACATAGCACGCCATATGTGTATGAGATTCTTGTTGATGCCACTCAAAAGCTGGATCGGAACTGGAATGCGACGGCAGAGGCTGTGGGCGATGGGCCTGTCCCGGGTGGTGCTGGAACGGTACCGGGGGATGTGGAGCAGGGAGCTAATGGTCGCACGCGGAAGCGTCGCGTTGACCCGGAGCTGCTTCGCAGTAGAGAGGAGGAAAATTATGAGCGATCTATTCAGGTATGGGTAATTCTCGTATTGCGCCACAACCCAACATGTCTAACACGTGTTAGGTTGCCATGTCTGCTGATACCCACGTCGGACATCTTCGGTTTGATTTCCATGAAAATACCGATACGTTGGGCGGTGATGGTCAAAAGGAGCCCTGGGTGTTCATTCAAGCTTCCCGTCGTAATTGGACCGGCGAAGTCAACATCGATGCAGAGACTCAGGAAGTATATGGCTACAACACGGAGCGCCAGGATTATCTCCTTGGCCCAGACAAAGCCTCCTCGTTCAAGGGATACTTTGTATCTCGCTTCTCTGAGCCTTTCTCGGAATATGGCGTTACCAATGGCGGATCTGTCATGAAGCATCAGGTCCACAGGCGTGGAAACTTCACCGGAGCATATGTCAAATTTACCAACTCGACATCCCGTGTTGAAGTGAGAACTGGAATTTCCTACATCAGTGTCACGCAGGCAAGAAAGAATCTCGAGATCCAAGCTCCGGATGATCACACTTTCGGGGAAACGGTGGAGAAGGTGAAGGCTGCCTGGCTAGAAAAGCTAGGTCGTGTTTCCATCAAAGGTGTTAACAAAACTGCCCCGGAAAATGATCCTCGGACAATCTGGTACACGGGCCTTTTCCACGCCTTGCAGTACCCCAGTGACTTTTCCGAACCAACCTCAAATCAATCTGATGCCCCACGCGTTTTCTACTCTGGTTACACTGATAGTATCCACACCGAGACTGACTCTTACTACCAATCTTGGTCGATCTGGGACACTTACAGAGCCGAGCACTCTCTGCTAACGATCTTCGCACCTGAGCGTGTGAACGGTATGATGCGGTCGCTGCTGCGCATTTTTGACTGGTCAGGCTGGCTGCCGATGTGGGCCAATTTGGTGGAGACGAATATTATGATCGCGACAAATGCAGATGCCGTCATCGCGAACGCATTGGAACGTGGCTTCAAGGGCTTCGATATCAAGAAGGCATGGAAGGCCGTCAAGAAGGATGCATATACTCCCCCGGACCATGACACCGACACGCTTTACTACGACCGCGAACCGGGAACATCGTACGAGGTCCGCGCTGGCCTCACTGCGTACTTGAAGCAGGGTTGGGTATCCAACGATGGCTGGTCTGAAGCCGGTAGTCGCACATTGGACTATGCCTTTGACGATCACGCATGTTCGGTGGTCGCTTCTCACGCAGGAGAAAGCGAGGCAGCCAAAGCACTCAAAGCACGAAGCACTAATTACGCAAACCTTTGGAACAACGAGACACAATTCATGCAATCTCGAAATGCAAATGGTACTTGGGCGAATAACACTTTCGGTTGGACAGAAGGGGACGATTGGGTATATACGTTCGATGTGATGCACGATGTGAAGGGTTTGGCGAGGCTTTTTGGAAGCCCTGAAGCTTTCCGTGACAAGTTGAATGCGCATTTCGACGGTGGTCACAACGATCATACCAATGAGCCAAGTCACCATGTTCCTTATCTTTACTCTGCGCTTGGTTATCCGCACCGGGCTGCTGAAGTTATTAGGGATGTCGCTTGGGCGAACTATAATGCCACCAGTGGAGGACTAGGCGGGAACGAAGATCTGGGCCAGATGAGTGCTTGGTATGTCTTCTCTGCGCTGGGTTTCTACCCAGTCGATCCTGCCAGTGATCATTACATTGTTGGCACTCCATTCTTTGAGGAGGTGACTATCCGTCTTCCTGCTGGTGTCAGCACGGGGGGGATTCGGGGGCCATGATAGAACGCTTGAAATCCACGCGCCTGGAGCTACCACAAAACCTTACATTCGGGGGATCAAGGTCGATGGCAAGAGAATCAAGGCCCCAGTTCTGACGCACGGTCAGATCGTAGGTGCAGCAAAAATTGAGTTTGAAATGAGCGCAAACCCTGGCTCTTGGGGGAACCAGCCATTGTGGGAGTGAAGCCAATGGAATATGTTCTGGCTTTTTTCTTTCACCTTGCTTTATTGCTGAGCTGCTGGGCTGACGAAGTCTCTCATGTGAAGATACCAACTCTTATGAGAGGAACTTTGGATGGCTCTTCAGGCGTCATCCGCCGAGGTGCAACTTCAGCAACTTGTGGTCGGTTCTCCAATACGCCTAGTCAACTATACTCTTCAAAAGAATACTACACTACTTTCAAGTCTTATCCTTCGCTCCTTGGTATTTGTCTGCGCCCCAATCATGCTACAAGATAGCCATGCATCTGGCGAATTGACGACCCCCGCAGTCACATCATCATCCCGCACTGTTGCAAAGTATTGCGCCATATCATGTGCCGTTTCGTTTTCACAACACAAACCCTTGGCCTTGAAGAACGATCGAAACCCGAGAGCCTGGTTGGCTCAAACATAGCACTCGCTTATCACAATGTACATGGATCAACACCTGGGCATGGTTTTACATGTCTGTCCGCCACTCAAACCAAGATATGCTCTTGCCCAAAGAGAATTGGCATTCTGGCGATGGAATTGAATATGGACACAAGGGCCCCTGTCGGGTATTTACTCTGTCACATCATACTTGGCAGTCCCTGTGAAATTCTGGGCAATTCAAGGGCTCTTTGACTGCCCAGGCGATGGGGTATAACTATGTGAACTCTGGGCCTGCCGCAAGTTCGAGAAATAGCCATCTTTCCCAGTACCTCAAGAATTGTGTGAAAATGGGACACGACTATTCCGCGAAAGAATCGGTTGAGCCGAGCCCACAAGATGACACTAGCGACAGCGATAGTTTGAGATATACTCAGCAAGTTGGTGGGAATACCACCAAGGCCACATACCAAGAGGTGTCAGGAGCTCCTGTGGAGGTCAACTCCCCGTTGGGCTATTCGGTTGGATGGGTGACAGTTATCTTTCTCAACCTGAGTAAGATGATAGGGACCGGTGTCTTTTCAACGCGTATGTATACTTCAACAGTAACAAATTTGGACAGACTTGGCTAACCTGTGGTGTAGCATCGAGTGTTGTCAAGGGGGCTGGCTCTGTGGGCCTTGCATTATTCTATTGGGTTATTGGGTACTTGATGGCATCTAGCTCTCTATCTGTCTACCTGGAATTTGCCTCGTACTTCCCTAGTCGATCCGGCTCGGAAGTGGTGTACTTGGAACAGTCCTACCCACGACCGAAGTATTTCTTCCCGACTGTTTTCGCAATGCAGACTGTGCTTTTCTCATTCAGCAGTAGCAATGCTGTTGGTGGGTTTACCTTAGTGCCTGCATCTGGCTTGCGAGCTAACATATCCGTACAGTTTTGGCACAATATCTATTCAAGCTCGCTGACTCGGAAGCTACACCATGGAAACTCAAAGGGGTGGCTGTGGCTTCTTACACAGTTGCAGTATTATGTCAGTCAAGCTAAACCGAGGTATACTCCGGGGCCTCTGTTGCAGAGAAGACTAATCCTTCTTTATTGAGACAGTGCTCGCGTTCAATACCAGATGGTCTCTCAGATTGGCAAATGCAATCGGACTAGTAAAGCTCATCACCTTGATATTGTAAGATCCAATCAGCAACACCCCAAGCAGCCTTCTAGAAATCTACTGACTCGATATGTTTCGACAGTATTGGAATCAGCGGGTTGGTTGTTCTCGGAGGGCATACCTCAGTCAAAGATCCCAAGGCCAACTTCCGAAATGCCTTCGATGGCAGTGATGCGGCCACCGCCTATGGAGCTACGAACGCATTGACCAAAGTATGGTTTTCATATGCAGGCTATGAAAATGCCTTCAATGTGGTCAACGAAGTCCGAGTGAGTTGTATTCAAGCCGTTTGCAATCGAAATCCAGCTAAACAAGGTCAGCACCCTGTCAAAACATTGAGGTGGAGTGCCCCGTTGTCGTTGGGTGCAACAGCGACGCTATACATCCTGGCAAACATAGCCTACTTCAGTGCTGCGACAAAAGAAGAGGTCATTGAATCAAAGGTCGTTGCTGCTGGTCTCTTCTTTGAGAAGGTGTATGGAACTGGGAGTGCTGCTTCGGCGCTGAACTTTCTGATCTGCCTAAGCGCGTTTGGAAATCTGCTCGCCGTTCTCATTGGCCAGTCCCGTATGCTACGAGAATGTGGAAGGTTGGTAGAACGCCTCAACGTGCAGCTTCCGATTGTCTAACATGTTGTTTCTAGGCAAGGTGTTTTGCCATTCACCTCATTCTGGACTTCCACAAAGCCCTTTGGAACGCCACTCGGTCCTTACTTGGTGAAATGGGGACTTACTGTGGTGATGATTTTGGCGCCGCCCGCCGGTGATGCCTTCAACTTCAGTATGTTGTCCTCCTGCGCGTGGGGAAGTGTTTTCTCGGCCACTAACGAAACAATCAGTCGTGAATCTTGGTGTTTACCCAGCATCCTTTTTCGGTTTACTGCTCACCATAGGGCTGCTGGTCACTCGAATCCGTCGTAAGCGTCTGAATTTACCAGCCCCCGATTATCAGGCTTGGCACGTAACCATCGCATTCGCTATTCTCTCGCATCTTTATATGGTGGTCATGCCATGGTATCCACCTAGTACTGGAGCCACTGGAGGCGATGTGAGCTTTTGGTATGCGACATATTGCGCTGTGGCTCTTGGAATGTAAGTTCTGTCCCGGAGAAACCTCGGCATTGTCAACGACTGACTCGTGCAGCATCGCTACGTGTGGAGTTTACTACTATGTCTGGATCAAGCTTCTCCCCCGACTCCAAGGGTTCCGGTGGCACCAGACGGTCCTCAAACTAGAGAATGGCGCTACGGCTCATCAGCTTGTGAAAGTGCCTCATAAGGGGGACTAATCAGCAGTAATGCAAAGGCACCGAGATACTATGGATATGAGTATAGCAACAAGCAATTTAATAAACTGACGCATGAAGTATACCATTTTAGCGTTTAAGACGTGATCTCGGTCGGCTGAAGAGGAAAAAGTGCCTCGGAGACTGAAAAGAAGAGTGCGGAGTCCCCGGCTCCACATTCTCCCACCCGTTTCTTCCTCCGCATTACCAATCTTCCACATCCGAAGCATGTCTGTTTGCTCAATCGTACTTAACGCTAGGTATTGGCGTGTCGGGCGGGTTCCGAGTACATCCCGCGAAACCCCAGATTTCATTTGTCACACGGCGGTCGGGTATGCGTTTATGAGGGAACCATCGGCAGCTTGCCGAACGAGATTACGCGACGAGCCGACTGGACTGTCGGCTGTGGAGCCTATTCTTCCGTTACAATTTGGCACGACCGACAAAGGTCATAAAATGGGATGATCACCTCAGAAACAGGGTCAGATTCGCCTTGATTGGGCCAATTCAACTACACTGCCGACGCCGAGGAGAACCACGATGGCGCCAAGTGGGACTGGCATGCTCCTCCTATGTCATCAGCGGGTTCTGCAGACAATACATCGCCGGAGACCGCGGAGCTTTAAAACCCCATCTGGGAACCACAGACCGGCTGCTTGCTTCGTCTAACTCATTCCAAGATGCGCGCTCCCAATCTCTGGCTCTGGGCCTCTCTTGCGGCTCCGTCTTTCGCCGTCCATGCCCCATGGAACCTCGGAAATGGATTTGAGCTCACGGTGAACAACAGCACCAATCGTTTGTCTATTGTTCAGGATGGTCAGACTATCTGGGACACTGTTCCAGGTCAAAGCTTCCTTAGTGCCAGTGCAGGAGATGACGAGGTCATCGCCGCCAACGGCAACTTCAAGATCAACGAAGTCGACCACAACAAGTGCAGCGGTCAGAAGATTACCAATGTTGCCCTCCGCTCCTGGCACGGCAGTGCCAATGCTCATGCTGCAGTCATCGAGGGTCAGCTCACCGGCTGTGGTGATGCTAGCCCCGAATTCTCTGTCGCATTCTGGGTTCCATCTCAATTCCCCGATCGCATTGCCTTCAACGTCAACGTTAAGCCTGGATCTTCGTCGGATGCTGCCACGAAGGTTTTCCTCACCTACCGATCTTCGCCCAATGAGGACTTCTACGGTCTCGGTGCTCAAGGATCTTTCGCTTCCTACAAGAATCAGTCTGTCCCAATCTTTTCCCGTGAGCAGGGTGTCGGTCGTGGTGACCAGCCTACCACCGACTTGGAGAGCAAGGACAGCTTCTTCGCCGGTGGAGATCAGTTCACAGCCTACTCTGCCGTTCCTCAGTACATCAGCTCCGATGCCCGGGTGTTCCACCTGACCCAGGAGAGCTCTGCCTACACCAACTTTGACTTCACCAAACCCAGTGCAGTCACTGTGCGCTATGATGCCCTGACTGTTGATGGCTACCTTATGCAAGCCAAGGATATGCTTAACGGTATTTCCATGTTGACCGAGTACACCGGCAAGATGCCTGCCCTGCCCAAATGGGTTGATACCGGTGCCGTGCTCGGTATTCAAGGTGGTCAATCCAAGGTCAACCGTGTAGTCGAGCAGGGTCTCAAGCTCGACTGTCCCGTCGCCGCTGTTTGGTTGCAGGATTGGTCCGGCACCCACTCCCAGAGTGTGTCTTACATGTCTCTGAATGTCTCTCGTCTCTGGTGGAACTGGGAGAACGACGAAAAGCTATATCCTACTTGGAACAAGTTTGTGCAAGCTCTTCGCGACGAGCACAACGTCCGCACTCTGGCGTACATCAACCCGTTCCTGGCCAACGTCAGCAGCAAGCCTGATGGCTACCGCTCTAACCTCTATGATGAGGCCACTCGCTTCGGATACATGATTCAAAACTCCACTACCAACGACACCTCTGTCATTTCCAGTGGTCCCGGCCTTGATGCTGGTATCCTTGATCTCACCAACCCCGCTGGACGATCTTGGTTCAAGGAAGTCTTGCTGGACCAGGTTTGGAATGCCAACATCTCCGGCTTCATGACCGACTTCGGCGAGTACACACCCATCTACAAGGACACCCGTTTCGCCAACAAGAGCATCGACCCCTTCTTCTACCACAACGCGTACCCTCGCCAGTGGGCTGCTCTCCACCACTGGATTGGTAAGAATGTGTCCCAGTTCTCGGACTCCATCCTCTTCCACCGCTCGTCGGCTATGGCTTCCAACCGGTACATGAACCTCTACTGGGCCGGTGACCAGGACACCAACTGGGGTGTCAATGATGGCATCAAATCCTCTATCACTGTCATGGGCCACATGGGTCTGTCCGGATACGCTCATGGCCACACTGAGATCGGTGGATACACCACTACATGGGACAGCAACGGTGTTGTTAACCGCTCCTCCGAGCTTCTCGGTCGCTGGGGAGAGCTTTCCGCCGTGTCCAGTGCTGTTTTCCGTACCCACGAGGGTAACGTTCCCCAGGTGAACGCGCAGTTTTACTCCAACTCTACTACCTACTCCTGGTTCAGTTACAACGCCCGCATGTTTGCCAGTCTGGCCACCTACCGCCGTCGTATCTTGGACACCGAGAGCAAGAAGCTGGGATGGCCCTTGCTCCGCATGCCTGTCATCTACCACCCCACTGACCGCGTGGCGAAGGCTATCAGCTATGAGAGCTTCTACCTTGGCTCAGACCTGTACGTGGCGCCGGTCCTTGATCCCGGTCGCACTAGCGTGAAGGTCTACTTCCCCGGCAAGAACGAGACTTACACTCACGTGTGGTCTGGAAAGAAGTACCACGGTGGCCAAACTGCTCGTGTGTCAGCTCCATATGGAAAGCCCGCGGTCTTCGTCGTCGGCACCCCGAAGAACCACGACCTAGATGAGTTCCTGCAGTTCGTTCGACAGGAGAACAACACCGTCATCCACTTCTAGTCGATCTACGGTGCAAATTTCCACAAACAAAAATCCCCAAAACTCAAATTAATTGAAGACATGTTTCATGGCCGTGTATATAATCTAGATACTTTCATGTCAATCTTTTTCTTTCAAGGCAAGACGTTGGGGCTCAATCCCTCGCCCGCAGCACCGCGAAACGCGAACCTCTCAGATTCGGAGTTATAGATCGGCATGTACGCACGGACTTAGGGAATGTAACATTTCCCCTCATTCGATAAACAATTCACCTGAGCAGTGCTTCCCATCGCTAGGCCATGTTACACCCGCATTGGCTTTGTTCTTTCCAAGTGGACGACCTGGTATTTATTTACGGCGCGATGTCTTGAAAAGGGAAGTCTTGACCTGCAAACACAAGCTCTAGAAGTCTCTCAACAACTCTCCGACCATGAGGTTATTTCACGCTGTGTTATTCGCGCTGCCAATCGGTTGTACGAGTGTCCAATCAAGAGATGATTATCGTGGGTGTCCGAGGTTGCCTTTCTGAGTCCAACAAGTTGATGACCGCGAATAGTTTTGCCTTTCAAGTTCGATCCCCTGCCTCTTGGCAGTATCACAGCAAATGGGTGGCTGAAGACAGAGCTTGAAGCCTCGGCGTCGGGGTTGGGAGGGTAATAAAGCTCTCAATCATTTGTATCTCTGACCTTAGAACATTCTGACAACATACAGACATCTCTATGACTTCTTTCGCTATGTCTCCAACTCCTCGTGGATTGGCGGCGACCAGGAGTACAGCCAATTGAATGAAGGACTTCCATATTGGCTAAATGCCATAGTGCCTCTGGCATACACTCTACAAGACGAGAGACTCAAGAATGATGTCCACACGGTTGTCAGCAAGATTCTCGATCTCGTCCAGCCTGATGGCTGGATCGGTCCTGAGACCATTGAATCCGGGAAGCGGCTCATCTGGGCGCGAACATTGGTCTTCCTTGGCTTGACCAATCTCGTGGAGGCTGATCCTGAAACTTATGAAAAGCCTATCCTCGATGCCCTTTACAGATTCAACGGACTCATGCATACCATGCTCAAGAACAATGGAACCGGCATGATCTATCACGATGGTGATAAAGCTGGTGCCGATGATTATGTCTGGTTTCGCACTCGTTCGCCAGATATGGTTGTCAGTCTGCAGTGGCTGCTTGATCACCACCCAGGAAATCAGACCGATATCTTGAAAGGAAATATTGACATGATCCATCAATATTCTTTCCGATGGGAAGGGTGGTATACAGAGCAGAGCTATATTAAAGACGACCTCAACACCATCCCTGACTCCGTGGCCAGTGAGCAGTGGCCCTTCCTCCACGGGGTAACTGTCGCCGAGGCTTTGAAATATGCAGCTGTCTTCAGACGGTCGAATCGAAATGAAAGCCTCCTCACGACGGCCAGAAATGGTGTCGATTGGACATTCAAGTACCACGGCGCGGCCTCCGGCACCATTTTGGCAGATGAGCGTCTTGCTGGTCTGAGTCCATACTACGGCTCAGAGCTCTGCACTCACGTCGAGGTCATCTATTCGCTCGCCTATAACTATTTTGCAATCGGTGATCCCAGTTATGCGGACCGCGCAGAGTTGGCTGCTTTCAATGCCTTGCCAGCGGCCATGTGGCCGGATTGGACTTCGCATCAATACATGACTGAACCGAATCAGCCATTCTCCAAAAACCTCTCTGCTACGCCCTTTTGGAACGTCAACAGCGTCGGGCAGACATTTGGTATTGAGCCGAATTATCCTTGCTGCACTGTCAATCATCCGCAAGGATTCCCGAAATTCACCATGTACAGCTATCTCAAAAATGGAGAAAGGGGGCTTGTTCATGCACTTCTTAGTCCCGGCCAGGCAAAGGCCCAGATTGGTGGAAAGGCTGTGGCCGTGGATTGTCAAACGGATTATCCATTCAGTACCACGCTGTCTTACACGGTAAACAGCGACACAGACTTTGACTTCTACCTCCGAGTTCCAGAGTGGTCTACGGGCATCAAAATCAACGGTGCCTCTTCTTCGGTCGACACCCAGACAAGCCTAGCCAAGGTCCAGGTTACAAGTGGACAGACAACTATCAAATACGAGATTGGAGCGGGTCTCCGCATTATCTCTCGGGCAAATGACACGGTCGCAATCTATCAAGGCTCAATTTTGTACAGTTTGTACATCTCACCGGTCATCACAAGCGGACCCCCCAAACTATACTCCGATCCACACCAGGCGTACCCTGAAGGAACATACCCGTCAAACATGCAGGACCACATGATGACCAACGGCACCGAGTGGAATGTTGCAATCGATCCCTCCACTCTGAGATTCCATGCTGGAGACGGCCCTTTGCCTTCACCTACATTTGATGACGGGAAGCTGCCGATGTTTGTCACCGCTAAGGCGTGTTTGATCGACTGGCCTCTTTTTAAAGATGCCGTACCGGCAGCACCGCCAGCCAAGGAAGACAGGTATTGCATTGGGCGACCTTTCAACGCTACGCTGAGGCCATATGGAAGTTCAAAGTTGCATATGTCTGATCTCCCTACCATTGACTTCAGTTGATATGCAGAACCAAAGTACTATACTCAAAGTGTCACAAATTATAATAACCCCTACTCTCTTCTAGTGCATGGGAAAACACGTTTCTGGTTATTTTCGTATACTTTGATGTGTGGCTGTTTTGAAGGTTTGCTGGCAATTAGTCCCTGTGATCGGCACCATGCCCCCTATTTATAACCCTTAGTTGACACTTATTATTGAAGGCTTCCGTTCAATAAAACTTCTCTGTTGAGTAAGTATCTTGTGGTACTGGATCTGCATCTTAACCTTGAGAAAGCAAATTCATTTCCAAGTGTTGGCAGAGCCGGGCTCATGTCCAATGAAATATTTCCAACGACAGGGTGTCGTTCAACATGGTCAGTCAAGCGTCATTTGGTCGAGTTGCATGATACGATGGGAAAGGGAAGTTCCATCGGCTGCGTGGCGCAATGGTAGCGCGTTCGCCTCCTAAAAGGTGGTTCATTTAGCGAAAGGTTTCGAGTTCGAGTCTCGACGTGGTCGGAATTTTTTTACATCTCCTCTTAACATTGAGAGGCCATCCACTCTTTTTTTTAAAAGAAAACTGAAAGGAAAAGAAAGGAAAAATGGTAAAGGAAGGAGGAAGAAAGACGTTGGTATGTTTGTTATGTGTCTTACTCGACAGATGGTGTCAGACAATTCAAACCTTGGGATTATTGGTAGGAGAACGTTACGAGAAAATTGACAAGCAACACAAGCAATATTTGACGCAAACTACATAAGACTTCAGCTATGTGGGGGGTGAAATACATGGGTCGCCACCCTCTCTCCCAAATAAAGACCAAACTAGATGGTATCTTTGATGGGATCCTTCTCTGCATCTTCAATCTTCTTTAAGAATTCCTCGGCCAAATCAGGATCCGACGCGTATAGATGATCAGCAATCATACGAGGAGGAGTTCTTCCAAGCCATTGAGCCAACGAGAAATCCTGGAATGCATCCGACCGGAAGATTTCAAGGATTTCCAGAGGCTCATCGTCGCTGAGGTTCTCCACATAATGGCCCATGTTGCGAGGTACGATTCCCACATCACCGGCCATATAGTTGAACGTCCGGGCATTACCTTCGGCAGCGAAGATCGTAACTCGCGCTCGGCCTTTCTTGAAATATGTCCACTCGTCGGCGTTCGGGTGCCAGTGCATTTCTCGTAGAGCGCCCGGCGCGATCTCGAGGTGTGCTGCGGACACTGTCTTGGAGATGGGGAAGATAGATGAGTCTGTGATACGGACACGACCACCAGATGTTTCAATGGGTTTTTGATCGTGCATGTGGTGTGTGAAGTTGATCTTCGACTTCTTGAAGCCCCGGGGCTTTTCATGTTCGATGCTGCCAGGGTTGGTTCCCTTGAAGATATATTTTTCGGATGTGGGGATCTTGTCGAACTTGTCGGCTGCGATGCGGAAGTTCTCCGCTAGAACTGCCTTGGGGGTATGTGCTAGATGATCGAGTTAGTCTGGGTGGCTTGTGTGAGTGATGGAAAGAGTGATCGTACCCATCCAGTCGGTCAAAATAAAAGTAGATTCTTCGGAGAAGTGTCCATTGTCGAAAATTAACAGGAACTCTGTACCGTTCTCTCCTAGACCTTGAAGGGAGTGAGGGTGTCCAGCAGGGAAGTACCACAAATCCCCGGCTTCCAGATCATCCATGAAGCTGCCGCCTTCAGTGTCTAACGCAGTGACTCGCACTTTGCCGGCGAGGACATAGGCCCATTCAGCTTCGGTATGCCAGTGAAGCTCGCGGATAACTCCCTGATCAAGACGCATGTTCACACCAGCTAGCTCACGGCTGGTGGGCAGCTCTCGAATGGTAGTCTGACGCGTCCAACCTCCTTCCTGTGATTTCTACTGTCAGCGAACCCTCTCGATTGCCTGAGCCAGCCAACTTACCTCGATACGAATGTGCGAATCGGCGAAACTCCATCTCATGTTAGGCATACTGCCATGATCAGTACTTGGAGGGCGGACCAAATCGGGATTTTGACGCTCGCGGTCCCTGTTCCGCGGTCCCATCACCGTCGTGCCATCTCCATTTCTAAAAGGAAGTGGCTGTCGATCATCTCCCACGGAGTCGACCTTGTGGTCATATGGATCACGATGGCCTGGTGAAAAGGGTGGGTTGTGGGAGACGGGTTCTTGCGAAATCGGCTGTTGGTGGAATGGTTGACCTGCTGGAATACGCAGAAGCTGTTGAATATCGTGTTGGAAACTTTTATCTGGAGCAGGTGCAGCGCATGCGACCTGGATAAGTACCAGGTTCATCAAGTGAAGGAGCTGCATGTTGAGAAACGAACTGGTTACACTACAGGGAGCAAGGAACGGGAAGCCTAAGTACTTTGGAATATTCTCCGCAGTCAAACGACGTCAGATTTCCGACATTCCCGACCCCCAAATGGAAACCCCAACTTTTGATCAAAAGCTTAATTGCTTTGGAGACGCTGGGGATTCTTTTTCTATTTGATTGCATACCTCGGCACTTCTCCACCAAGTGGAGCCATGACGCAGACGGCATTTTCGTGCGGAGATTTCGACTTTTCACGATCTAGAGCTCCTTACATAAAGACCTTCTTCTCTCCAGCTCTGAAGCAACTGTCACTATGTCGCGCGAACAAGATCCTCTCCTGGGGACCCCCGGACCGGCCCCTCCCAGGCGCCTAGGCAAATACCTGCGCAATGAGCTTGATCCCACGAATGGGGACCTAGTCTTGCTTTTCTGCTACATCATCACCGGTCTCCTCGACAGCTCCGCCGTATTCATCTGGGGCTCATTTGTCAGCATGCAGACAGGCAACACCGTTTACTTTGGGCTGGGACTTGTTGGCACCAATGACGATCGCTGGATCAAATCCGGGGTGTCCATCGCGGGCTTTTGTCTTGGCTCGCTCTGCTTCTCCGCCTTCCACCGCGTTTTCCCGGCTAGGCGTAGATGGGTGCTCTGTGCGTCTTTCTTTGCACAGACTGTCTGTGTCTCCCTTGCCGCACTGATTGTCACCATCTTCCGACCTGCTCGCGATGCGCCCTTGAGTTGGCTGGTCCTTGCGCCGCTCGCTTTGGTAGCATTCCAGAGTAGCGGGCAGGCTGTGACAAGTCGTGTTTTGAGCTTCAATGGCTTGACTAGTGTGGTTTTGACGAGTATCTACTGTGATTTGTTCTCACATCCGGATTTATTATCCACCAAAGTGGTTGGAAACGCGGAAGAGAAGCGGCGATTTGGGGCTGTCCTATGTTTGCTCTTGGGGGTTGTTCTAGGAGGTTTGTGGGCTCATAGCTCCATCGGAATGATGGGTGCTCTGTGGACTGCCGCGATCTTTAAGTCGCTTATTCTTGTTGCGTGGTTATGTTGGAAAGGGGAGAGCGAGGAGGAATAATGCTGCCATCGAATGCCGTGGACAGCTTCTACCCTTGGAAGGGTTTGAGATATATCATATCCATGAGTGTGATCCAAGTACTTAACTTGTACTATAGAGATTAGCTATACCGCATCAATTGAATTTCATGACTTAAATTCTGTCCTCGGGTTAGGTATAGAAGTCAATACCCCGAAAGTTTGAACAGGGATGAAGCATGCGGGGGTTCTTCACGCCAGTGGTCGATCTGGCATGTGCTCAGACACCTTCAGACTCACTTCGGCAGTGATGTTGGGGTAGGTTGGAGATTTGGAGAAACAAATACTTGATTGATGCAAGGGAGTCGGGCTCGCCCGAAACCGCGAGGCGCAGTCTTGAGATCATCTCGGCAAAGCGCCTAGATGCATTCGCTCGCCTAGTCCAAAACTCTCAGATTCTTATTGATGCAAGAGAAAATGAAACAATACTACTTCCTAGATCCAAAACTACTCGGTCACATTTCTTGATGCCCAGGTGGGCCCGGATCCCGCGTGTGTTGATCTTCAGACCGCCATTTACCGGCCCTGCCCAGGCGGAGATAGATATCAGCAAGGTATCAGCCTTTTGCTTCACATAAGGTCACTTCGATACGCTTCAGAACATATTATCAGATGAAACATATGTGCATTTATGAGACTATCTCTGGAATTCCGGTATTAGGAACACTTCTCGTTAGTGAATTGTGAATTCATATCGTCGTTTCATGCTCGTCATCTCGTGAGGCAGCATGCGGCTTCAAGTAATAAAGCATAGAGCCCTGCCTTAATCATGCCGTTGAATCGTCACAACGGGTCCGACATAGTGTCGCTTGCCTTGTGCCATGTACATCAACAGGCTCATGATGAATACGCCGGCGAATATCACAACGCTCCAGTTAAAGTCCCTGGCCTTGGGGGAAGGACTCGGTGGCCAGAAAGACCAGAAAAGTGCAAAGAGTACATACAAGAGCCCTGTAATGTTGATAGCGAGCCCATAGCGACCGAGACTCCAACGCCGAGATGGTAACGTTTCAGGGCAGGCGATCTTCCGATATATCACGCAACTGATAGACACTGCGTATGTGTACATCAGTGCTGCAACATTGAGCGATATGATGGCATTAAATGCGACCAGTGAGCCAATATTAATGAGGGACAAGAACACGCTGACCAAGCATGAGAGTGCAATGGCGCGTACTGGGATCCGTCGCTTGGTATCAACCCAGCTTATCCATTTTGCGAAGGGCAGTCCGCGATCGCGTGCAAAAGCATATGTTTGACGGGCCGTCGATGCATTGAAGAGAATATTACTGAAGATGACCGGGATCAATATGGTTGCCGTCAGCCCGTTCACACCAGATGTCGAGAAGATCTGTTTGAAGACATAGAGGAACGGAAAGCCAGTGCTGTCGCTGAGCGCATCTGGAACAGATGGCAGGGCAAAAAGAAAGCCAACGATAATGACCAGAGCCAAGATTCCGTTTCCAAAGTATCCCCACGCAATCGCTATTGGTACGTATCGACCTGCGTCCTTAACCTCCTCAGACATGTGTGCGGTGGCATCCGAGCCTGTGACAAATTTGAGCAATTAGCTTCGAATAGTTGCGTGAGATGTCATATGAGTATGCACTTAAGGATCCATAGATAGCAGTGATCTGCCCAATCATCAAGCTGATGCCCATGGAGGGCCAATTACCACCGTTATTAAACTCAGTGAAGACTCTTTTCGCCGGATTGTGAGGGGCCATTGCAAAAAGAACGACAACGACGACAACCCAGCATAGCAAATGCAAAGCGAGAAGCAAGTTTTGGATTCGCGGCATCCAACTCGCCGCGTAGACGTTGAAGAAATAGATGACTGCAATCATCGCAAACACGAAGAGAGTTCCTTGCCAATTGTGTGGCTCATATCGAGGCTCGCGAACGGTGATGAGCCCTTGAATGATAGTCCCGGTGAGGAAAGACCCCGAAGCAGCACCTGCCTGCCACGCAAGGACAGACATCCAACCTGGGACTTCTCAATATATTGTGATCACAGTCGCACGGCGAAACTCACCAGTTGTGTAGCTCAAGAACTTTTGGTAGCGAGGCGAGGCAAACTCCGAAACCCAATGGTACTGACCTCCCGAAGTTGGTGCCCTAGTTGGAGAAACATAATTTGTCAGAGCGCGATCAAAAACACAGTCTGGCTAATCAGGATCTCACATTGAGGCCATCTCGGCTAGAGAAATGATGATGAAGCCGAATCCAACGAATGTCCAGATGTAGGACCAGAAAATACCAGCGAGGCCACCATTTTCGAGACCTTGAGAGTTGGAGCTAGATACTGTGAGTTGTTGACAAAAGAATGCGCTCTTGGAGACCTGGTGCTCTCCAGGACTCCAGGGCTCTGAGATCTGCTTACATGAGTATAAACTCCCAGGTTGCTTGGAGAACGGCCGAGAAACTCAACGCAGCAAGAGGACGAAAGTTGCGCTTCAGACGTGTCAGCCACCGGTTTCCATGTCACACCAAAGATAGAGACCGGTACCTTCAGCTCCTGTATTTTGCCCATTCGGGTCATGTCTTCTTGGTCCTGGGGGCTGCCTTCCATTTTCGGCAGACTTTTCGTAGTCTCTTCTCCCGCCGCGACGCTCGCGTCAAATGGACATATCTGGTGGTGAGGTGTTTCGGGGGACATGTCTGCCTGGGAGTAACTCGATCCTGACTTTTGTGAGATGAAGTGACTTTGAAGAGTGGATGTGAAGATTTGAAAACAAAATTCAATAAAGTAAAGATTGTAGACTAAAGGAAAATGAAGTCCTGAGTGATTTTGGATGACTCGCCCAGTTGTCCCATACTTCGAGTGATACAGCGAGCCAGACTGAAAGCTGAGGCTTTCTCTTGTTATAATCCTCAGGGGCTCAACGGGCGACATACTAATTTACAAAAGGCAGCAGATACAAATACCACATGGCATCTCTCTCCCGGAAACTGACCCGGAATTGGTATAACCTTTGAGAGCGTTGGAACTTTGTATTGTGGTGCTACAACCCTTACACTGAACACAATGATCATGAGGCAGTTGTAAACCCCCTTTTCAGCCATACCAGTGTATTTCTAAGATTTTATGACCGATCTAAGCCACTCAAAGGGAAGAGTATTTTGACCATAGGCTTAGACCTTGGACAGTGATGCCTCTAGGCTTCTTCAGAATTACATTCACTAGCGACCTCGGGAAACAGTCAACCCACGTAAGATATAATCTGTAACCTTTCTCGTTTAGCGCAAATTTTTGACATGCTACAGGTTCTCGTGTGAATTAATTCTAGTAATGTCGTCGCTCTTAGGTGAGGTTGTACAAAGAGGCACAATTGGAACTTATGCCGATGACCCCTCTTCTGATCAGGTTATCAACCACCACAGGCAGTCTTCGTGACGCAAAACAAGAACAAAATGTAAGCCAGAGAATTTTCAAGTACCACCTGCTAATGTTAAGAATTATGCAGAGATCCCTATGAGTGCCAGATCTGTGTTTGTTTAGCCACTCTTACATCCTTTGTGCACCCTGTCAGTTCTTATCACAATTTTGACATCTGATCGCCACGAATCCTGTAACCTGACATACGGAAATGTGCGTCGCAAACCGATTCTTTGAAAACATACTGGGTGTCATTGGGCTTCATTATACTTCTTGATACGATTCAAGTGAGACAGGTGCATCGAAACCCCCCGAGTGCCCAGCGCCCACTCATCCATCTGTGGCAATCAACCTAAAAGTCATCCGGACTTGGAAGACAAAAGCTTAACTGCATATTTGGGGGCTATTTTCTCCAAGCCTTCACCGCGTAACGGTACCCTATACTTAAAAAGCACAGCCCCGCAGACATCAAAGGTACTTGGAGTCTGGCACAAGTGACACCTCGCAATACGCATGGCTTGGGGTCTCCTATATGTTACTTGTTAGAAAGACCCGATACAGGCTGGAGTCTAATTATTAGCCCATACATCAGAGAGACTTCCATTTCTTAGGAATACTTTGATGGTTGAGGAGACTCATATAGGAAACTGTGTCCCTGCGCAAACAAACCTTGGGCCGACACAAGCTCACGTTTGATGTGAACAACACGAGAAAAAAACAGCCAACCGCGTTTGATCCAGGATCCCTGTCTTGCAGATCATCAAATGCGCCAAGGTCAAGTTCAGTTGTCATCTGGGCTGGAACTGGATAAGAATCAGTGATTCATGTTCAGGATGCCCTGAATTCCTAAATTCTATTTCTGGGAAAGCTAAGCAAATTCGTCCGGGCGAAATATATGCCAGGTCAACTCCCAGGAAGAACACTGTCAGGACATGTTACTTTTTTTTCGGCCATGGCCTCGCTGCCCGTACCATCAGGCTTGACGCCCCCGCTGACAGCAAATAACGAGACAAATCATAACGGGGTGATTACTATCATCACGTCTTTTGCGTTGTCTATGGTTTTAGGATCTCTAGGGATTCGAGTGTATTCCGCATATAGTAGGAGAGTCCACCAGTTAGATGATTTGACTTTTGCGGCAACTGTGGTATGCCTTTGCGTCTTGACCGGCCCACCCCGGACCGCTTTAGAAAATGTTGTTCACTGATGGTAGATTTACTTAGATACTTGTTTTAGCGCAGATTTCTGCTGTCTTTGTCCAGGTTCATTTTGGCTGGGGCAAGACAAAATCACTCATTAAAAGCGGAGACCAAGAGAGACTGGAGAAGGTAGTTTCGATATTTCGCCTGACCTGCTCAACATTAGCGGAACTATGCTAACTAAAATAAAGGCTGGATATAGTGCAGATCTACTATATGCTGCTATCTTATCTTCGTCAAAAGCCTCAACGGCCCTTTTCTATCGAACCATCACCCTGCGAAGCTCTCTGTGGATGAGCTATGCTCTCATTGCAACGATCATTCTATGTACTCCAATACCAATTCTTCTCGTGGCAGTTAGATGTCAAACACAACCCTGGCATGATATCAATGGGAACTGCGAGGCTCTGGCAAGTTCATCCAAGGCCCTGATTGTGTCCAAAGCCATCCATGTGCTGACCGAGGAAAATCTAGTTTTCCCATTGGAAAGCTATCACAGCAATTGACATCTTCTTCGAGATAATCATGGTCCTCTATCCGATCCGATCAATCTTGAGACTCCAAACTAGGCCGAGCAAAAAGATCACAGTGATCTTGGTGCTTAGCTGTCGAGTACTGTACGTGCATCTCAACAATTTTGATACATTTGCTGACAATATTGAATTAATCTACAGGCTGATCCCTGTTGCCGCCGTTCACCTTTACTACATCGGAAAGCAAATGATGTCCTCAGACCCAACGCTAGAGGGCTCCTACGCGACCGTGCTTGCCGAACTTCACGTTTCTCTCAGTGTCGTTGTCTTGACTGCGCCTCTCATGAAGCCATTTGTTGCCGCATATGTAGATGAAAATGGATTGGCCTATACCGACGATATATCTACCTCGCGCACAAAGCCAAAGCTCACGCCTCGATCTGACAGATCAGATGAGACTGGGAGCAGATCGAGCCAGGGAGCACCCCTAGTGGGAAACCGGATAATGAAAAGCGTACAAATATCAGTCGATCGCGAGGGCGTTGAGCTATCGGAAATTTCATGAAGCAAGCTCTACTCGGCTACGGACGCCACATATACTCGACGCCAAAATTCTCGCGGGAATGAAGATTAAGAAATTATTTCCATTCAAATCTTTCTATTCGATATCTTCACCAAATTGTAGCTTGTCTGGCTAGGAGCCAAAGTCAACATGAGTCCAAGGTTCGATCATCTGCTCATATCAGTGAATTGGTTTCCATGTTGGGAGAATACCGATTATTCCACCAGAGGACCACGTATCTTACTGCAGGCTGATGGTAGATGTGCCATTTTATTTGGCTGGACACAAAACGATCCACGAGGAAACATGATCACATCGAGGGCCACACACAATAGATTTTCTCCCGTGACAAACGCTTTTAGACAAGCTGTCGAAGCAAGGCTTTCAGGGCCTTGTCCTGCTTTGCAATCGCTCGGCCAAAGAATTTGTGGTTGTCCCGCGTGTATTTGGAGAGTGCATGGCGGCTCTTGAACTGCTTAGGGAGGTTTGGGGTGTCCCAGCAGTCAAGCAAGTCGACAATGTTGACGTTGACCTTTGCCAGGGCCTATGGCAGTGAGAAATTGCGAGGACTTTGTGTGGGGTGTGATTACCTTCTTGCACTTGGTGATCGAGGGAAAAACCTCGGTGATGCCAACCTTGGCACAAAGTTCTCGCCAAGTTTCCAGGCTATTCAAGCGCGAGCCGATCAAACGGTTGTATTCAGCATTCATGCATGCATTCCATGCTTTCCTCCAGCGCTTGGAGCCAATCTTCCAACCTCTATCCTGGCAGACTAGCCCGAAGGCAAAGCTGATCGGCAGGTCTGGGTCGACAGTCACCCCAGATTGCTGGATGAAGGAGTTGGGGGACGTTTTGGGGGAAATTATGACACGCATTGCTAAGTTAATCACAGTCGTTAATTTGGTCAAGCCTCCGATTTTGAAAGTCATTAATGTTTCACTTACTTCTGGGATAGATGTGCTTTCAGAGTTAAGGTAGTGGCACCAGAGATGTCACCAGAGAAGTGAGAAGGCGTGGTAGGAGATCGAGAGAGTGAGAGAGAGGAGTCAAAGTAAAGTGAGAAGAAAATGAAAGGTCAGATGCATGCTTGATAAGTAGATATCGAAGCAAACGAAGTAACAGAATCTCAGGCCAAATTTGTACATCGAAAGACTGGCTGATCTTATAGGAATCGCCCCTAAAAGAATCTTGACCTTTAGCTGACTGTTCTAGCAAATTGTCTGTAAAAGCCCTACTAAACGATGTCTACACGATGCATAATTTACTTTTGGTGCCCTCGAACTATGTATATGAAAGCAGTGTTTGATCCTGTGTTATGCAAAATCACATGATCATCCGTTCTACTAATTTATTTGGATGATTTTGACAGAGAAAGATTATGTCTCATTGATATGGACACCCAGAAATGATTTCTCGTTTTGGTATCCTAGTCTAATGTTACTATCTGATATTGTAAACACAGCTTCTCCTGAGATTAAGCAAATAGTCTGCCAGTGGAGGCATTTTCGAAGCTATCGCAGGCTGTAACTCCTAGCAAAGAGAGGACCCAAAGAGACCTTCACGGTATTGAGTGCGTGTGGCTGAAGCGAACCGATCATATGAACAATATCACATATTCTCGGTAGTCTCATTGTAGATTAAGGTACAAAGCTTGGCTCCCGGACACTCCAGGTAAGGGCCATGGTTACACCACGCTTGAAGAGTCAAATTTCAACTAGATTAGCTATGAGTGCAAAGAAAAATAGGATGTGCATCTGTGAGCACAATACTTTGCCTTATCTCCCAGGATTTGTCTTCTGTAAGATTAGGTACAGGCCCTCAACAATGATGTTGATTAAAGGTTTTTGGGTTGGTCCCGACACGTGTTGAGAACCATGGCTGGAAGATGTTTGTTTCAAGGCACTGCATTTTTTTGCCACTTGTCTCTACTCCGTATATGCAGGATACTGTAGTCTTCTGCGGAGAGGTGTAAATGGATTTGGACAAGTGAAATCGTAGAAATCGCGCACCACCCTGGTTTAGCGCAGATGGTACGTGATGCGAATCAAAGTTAAGCGACTGGCTTACGACCAATTGTACTTGCATTAATATTAGTACGCTTACGAAGTGGAAAGTCGTAAGATGACGATTGAAGTCACTTCTCCGGTGGGCTCAAGCAGCCAATCAGCATCCAACCCCCTGAGGCTGTCAAGCATCGAGGCTCCCTCCACCAGAGGCTAAAACGGAATCCACTTCGGCAATGATCGCGCACTCCACTCCGGGGGAAGCTAATCTTTTTATATTCGACGGTCGGAGCGGTCGACCCGACAGACCGAATCTGAGAGTCTCATCCCTTGGCAGACGTAAAACGCGGGGAAGCTTTAAGACGGCAACACGCGGATGATCAAACAGGGCATCTTTGAAAAGACACAAGCACAAATATGATTCCACATGGCATTTCTTATGCTAGGAGAAGCTCTTGGCAGCAGCTTTGACCTCTGGATCTCCGCGATGATGGGCAAATCACACCCCGTGATGGCGTGCTATGGCGTATCCGCCGTCACCGGTTGCGTGCGAAGTTCGAATCGCATGTCGCGCAAGAAATTTGGCTTAAAGCCTGTTGAGCTGGTCTCAGATGCTACGGGCTTTTTATTTTCTCTCACAGTCCACGGGCCCTTTGTGGTATTCAGTTGTACAGTATGGGGTTGCAAGGAACACGGCTTGGCGCCTTCCGGGCATACTTCTTCGGATTTTTTATCTGTACAGCGGGTTTTCTGTTCGGATACGACACTGGAATTGTCGGTATGTTGAAAAAACAGCGTGTTGCCATTTGCCTATGCTAAAATTACGGGTTTCAGGTGGAATCCTTGAGTTCAAGTCCTATGTCGATGATTTCGGCTACACGGACCAGACGACCGTCAGTGCGGTGATGGTCAGTCTGCAAAATGTCGGCGCCTTTCTCTCTGCCCTGTGTATTTTCTGGGTATCTGAGAAATTTGGACGCAAGAAGACAGTTCAGGCAGCTATGACTGTATTTTGCGTCGGTGTCATTCTGCAGGTCGTACCGTCACACTCCCTTGTTTGCTTTTACATTGGGCGATTTGTGGCTGGTCTAGGCCTTGGCGCAGGTACCGCAGTCGTTCCGGCATACAATGCCGAGATGGCACCCAAGGAAATTCGCGGAAAGCTTGGCTCCGGCATGCAGTGGCTGTTCGCCCTGGGTGTCATGCTGAGCTACTGGATTGATTATGGCGTCAAGATCGGACTGCCTGTCTCTTCAAAGCAATGGCAGATCCCAGTCGGTCTGCAGATGGTTCCTGCTGGAGTTCTAGGCTTAGGTCTTTTTGCCATGCCCGAGAGTACTCGCTGGCTGGCTAAAAAGGGTCGCTTTGACGAAGCATTCGAGAGCCTGAAATGGATTCGCGCGAGTGATGGTAAGAAAGCAAGTCAAGCTTTATCCAGTGACACAGCTAATCAATTCTCGATAGGCCCTGAGGTTAAGGCAGAGTTCAACGAGATCCGAGTCGGACTGGAAGAAGAGTTGCGAGCTACCGAAGGCTTCCAGAAGCGTGAGCTTCTCGAGCCGGCCAACCGTTACCGATTGGCCCTTGCCTTTTTCATGTTCTTGGGTCAACAGTGCACGGGTATGACGGCGCTTGCTTACTTCGGTCCCCAATTCTTCAAGTTGATCGTGGGAGACAACACCGACCAATCACTTCTCATCACTGGCCTATTTGGAGCTGAAAAGTTCATTACCGTCGGCATTTATATCCTGTTCTTTTCTGAAATGTGGGGACGCAAGCCGACTCTCTGGATCTCTGCTCTATTGATGGCATGCTGCTTCATCATTGTCACTGTTGTCAAGGAGACTACACCTGCACCAAATTCCAAGACAACTCCAGCCGGAATCGGAATGGTAGCTATGATCTTCTTGACCAACTCGATCTACCAATTTAGTTGGGGACCATTGCCATGGCCTTACACCGCCGAGGTTAGTAATTCCGTATACTCCGTATATCATGATCGATTCGGCTGCTAACATTTATCTAGATCTTCCCTACACGCATTCGCGCGGTTGGAACCTCGGTCGCAGTATCAACGCAGTGGCTGTTCAATTTCCTCTTCTCGCTGGTGACTCGCTATATGATGAACGCATGGGGTAGCTATGTCTTTATATTCTATGCTGCACTTGACATCATTATGGCTATAATTGTCTTCTTCTTCGTCAAGGAGACAAAAGGAAAGAGTCTGGAAGAGATGGAAAGTATCTTCAACAGCAGGGCTGCATTTGATGTAGATGCTGTGCGGCGGGAAACGCTCAAGGACGTGGATGAAGTGAATGTACAAAACAAATCCGCGGATTATCCTTGATGGCATGTCACATTAGGAAATACTATATAACGTTAATTTCACATATTTGCATTATTTCGAGTTTCCATAATGATTTTCCTGGTATAGGGCTATGGCGCTATATATTTGACTGGAAAAACAAGTCTAGCGATGTGAGGAAGAGCATATGTGCTACCGACCTTGCTACCGGGATTACCTACCTACCTGGATGGTGAGTACGGAGTATCTGGCTGCGAGTTGACTTTGTGTCTCTGTGTTACAACAGATAATTCTCGATGCTGTCAAGGCTCACCTGGGCAACTGGGCAGACCGGAAACGTACTGATCTCAAGCCATAGGTACCCAACACATGCCGTCCACCGATTCTCTTCTTGCCTTTCTTGCCTTCGGAGATCCGTCTCTTGGGGGGTGAAGTTGGAACAATCTGAAGGTGATGCAAAACTGATGAAAATACAGGGTATCGAGCACCTGTGATGTGTTTGAACTCCTCTGAAGATGCTTTGTTTCATGTCAATTCCAGTATGTATCCATCATGTACTATTTTTGGCTCTGTGGACACTGTTGAGTTGGCTGTTTTACCCAAATAGGAAAGCGCTCCCACCGTCGGCGGTCAAACTCCCCCGCGACGCCACTCGGACCCACTTCTAGGCCTGCTCGTTATATGTTCACTGACCTGCACCTATTTTATTGCTCATCCTGTCTTTGATTCTTTCTTTTCTCAATCTCTCCAGCTTCATTAATCATGGCCGCTACTGCTAAACGCCCCGAAATTATCGAGCTTGCCCGCGGGCTGAGAGGGGTCCCCATGTGTGAAGACTACGAGCGCATGATCTCCGGAATGATGTATGTTTTCTGCGTCAGCATGCATACAACATGCGTGCAGCTCAACTAATTAATTCTATAGGTACAATCCCAATATCCCGCAGCTGCTAGAGGCGCGGCATTTGTGTCGTGGCCTTTCTGCGGACTACAACAACCTGGACACGAAGACAGTGACGTTTGATAAGATCGGCGATAAGCGACTTGAACTTCTGCGGAAATTGGTCGGCAAAGTTGGCGATGGCACTTTTATTGAGCCGCCCTTTCTGCCTGACTACGGCTGCAATACTGTGATCGGGAAGGATTGCTTCTTTAATTGGAAGTAAGTGTGTGAGGGTGAAGCGAGGCCAGTTCCACGCTAACGGGATCATTTAGCGTCACAATCCTCGATACTAGCCTTGTCACTATTGGCGACCGTGTGCAAATTGGAACCGGAGTTAGCATTATCACGGCTGGTCACGATACCAGTGTTTTGTCGCGTCGGAAGTTCGTCGAATTCGGCCACCCGATCTTCATTGAAGATGACTGCTGGATCGGAAGTAATGTCGTTATTTTGCCTGGTGTCACGATCGGTCAAGGCTCAACCATTGGGGCGGGATCCGTGGTCACTAAGGATATTCCGCCGTTCTCTATCGCCGTTGGCACCCCTTGTCGTGTGAAGAAGACCATTCCGTCTGCAGAAGAGGAGGAGCAAGATCCAAACAACCAGTATCGCAATTTGGTCCGTGAAGATCGATAGATGATTTTGATTGCATATGTAGAGTAATGAAATAAGACACTTCCTGCATTACAGCCATTTTTTTATAAACTAGGATCGTTAAGCTCGACAATTAACAAGCTGTCCTGCAACGACACCTAGACACGACGGGTATACCCGATTTGGCAGTTGGTCTGGGCGGGACTTGACCTAATTTGGGTAATTTCCGACATGCCGCCGACTTCTGCATCATGTCTACACATCTCAGAACCCTTACCAGAACCAATCAAGACGCGGTAATTCCTCCAATTCCGCTCACGGATTGACCACCGCAAAGCTGATAAATCGGAGCTGCAGTTGACAATGAGTCAAGACCAAGCCCTTCCCCACGTCTGCTTCCAGATTGGCAGCTTGGGCCCTGATCGTCATCCTCTCGAATCTATTTAACAGCTACAACTTCCAACCCTTGATGAAGATTTGAGGTCGTTAAATCCACTCACCATGTCGTTGATTAACGTGCTTCGCCATGACATCAAACCCACGTCTACCGTTACCCCCCGCACTTTAGCCGGTTCAAGTACTACGCCGGCTCAAGTGGAATCTCCCGTGGAGAATCTCACCGCAGACGATGATCTGAGCCCAAGGCAGGGCCAGATGGTCTTTGAGCAGACACTGCCTAGTCGAACGACCGAGTCCCGTCGTGTTGCCATTACTGTGCTACTCGTTTTGGCCAATCTTGTCCAGGTAAGATGACCTTTGAGCTGCAATGACAAGAGCAACACCATTGATAGACTGACTATGATAGATGACCGTCAATTTTGCCGGTATCGCGGGCGGCAGTGCATTGATTGAAGCATTGGACGCCAAAGAAACCTATGCTTCGTGGATTGCTGCTAGCTATGCGTAAGACCCCCACGCACCGCATCGCTAACAACACCTCCAATCAAGTCGAGGCTGACATATTCAGTTTGACACAAGGTACCTTCGTGTTGGTCAGTGGTCGACTAGGTGATGTCTACGGCCACCGAGAGCTTCTCCTGATCGGCGGTGGCTGGCTCACCGTCTGCACTCTCGCCAGCGCTTTCTGCAATAACTTCTTTGCCTTTGTTACCATGCGCGCATTGGGAGGGCTTGGGGGAGCTTTCATCATGCCGAATGCTGTGGCAATGATCTCAAGCACCAATCCCCCCGGTCGGGTGCGAAATCTTAGTCTCGGTATGTTCGGAGCGTCCGCGCCTATGGGTGGGTATTTTGGCGCCTTGTTCCTAGGTGCGTTCTTGCAGCGGACGGAGTGGAAGTGGTTCTTTATCTTCATGTAGGTCGGGCCGTGAAGATGAAATGGTTCGAACTAATGCATGAGTAGTGCCTGCCTTGGGGTCACGGTTTTCGTTCCTCTGTGGGCTCTGAGCCCGCGCGAACCACCGGTCGACCGACATGGGAAGATCGACTGCATTGGTTCGGCTCTGGGGACCAGCTCGCTCATTCTCTTCAACTTTGTCTGGAAGTAAGTATTCCGTGAAAGTCAATTGGGAATAGAAATAACGCGTTGATAGTCAAGCACCGAGTGTGGGATGGTCAACGTCCTATGAAATCGTTCTTCTTGTCAGCTCAGTTGTCTTGTTTGCTGGCTTTCTGCTATGGGAAAGGAACTATGCAGCAGAGCCAATCATGCCCCTGGATATTTTCAAAGCTCCATCATTCCTCACACTGCTCTTGGTAGTCTTGCTGAACTACATGGCCGTGGGCACCGTGATCTGGTACCAGGTTCTGTGGCTGCAGAAGGTCTGGCACTGGTCACCGTTGCAATTCGCCGTTGGCTGGACCCCCTTCGTGATTTGCGCCACGGGGGCTGCCTGCTTGGCTGCCTGGATGATTCCACGACTGGCCGCACAATGGATTCTAGCCATCGGGACAGTCACGATCCTAGTCTCGAGCGTGCTCATGGCAACGGTGCCCCTCCAGCAGACTTACTGGGCACAAATCTTCCCGTCCATTGTCCTCTTTTCGTTCTGTCCGGACTTTGTGTACACGGCTGGACAGATCATTGCTAGTAATTCAGTGCGTCGAAACCAGCAGGGCATCGCTGGGTCGGTCATCGGCACCCTGAATCTCTACGGGTGCAGTCTCGGATTGGGATTTGCTTCCACGATTGAGGAGCAAATTGCTCGGCGGTCTGGCGAGATTATGGGATACCGGGCAGCACTCTACTTCGCCGTGGCTATCAGTGTAATAGCGCTGATCCTTGACGTATGCTTTGTAAGACTGGTCAAAGATGAAAGGGAGGGGTGGCATGAGGACGAAACCACTGGATTGGAGCTTGACCAAGCAGCAGCGACTGGTGTTCACTTGCGCAACGCCAACGCAGAGTCAAACGTCATTTAGCAAAGGGGGGCCGGCAATACATCGGCAGACCGAGCGTGGGATGGCGCCGATTGACGGTGTGCCGGGTTCTCCAAAGGTCTCGTGGCCAGGGTGGAGTCGCATTGTTGACGGGAAACACACAAATGAGAAACGATTTGTCAAGGTTTTTTATTTTCTCTCTCTACATGACGTCTAAAAGGGCCGATTCAGCTAGTACGAGAACTTCTCCATACAAACCCCGGGCTCGAGATCCCGCGTAAAATATAGGGTTTAATTTCCCCCATGCTCGTAAATTGCCAATGAAGCCAAATCCGGGGACAATGATATCACCCCATGCTGAGACAGGTGAACCCCAATTGCTCGGTGAGAGAAAGCAGGATGGCATGAGAAAAAGATTGCGGAGAGGCGGGGAAAGGGCACTGGCGGGATTGTGCAACGCCGGTCATGTTGCACTTTTGTCGACCCACCTCTCTCGCTTCAACTACTGGGGGGCCGGTTTATTCCGTTTTTTTCACTCACATTTTGCTGTGTCCCGTGGCCCGTAAGAGATGAGAGTCCCGCATCCCGGTGCCGAGACAAGGGATGCTCCTCACTGTTTCCAACCCGACTGTCCTATCAGATGCCCGTCCTGACTCCCTCGTACGCTCTCGGTATGGATCGCCACCCCCAAGCTGGATCCCCATGCCTTCCAGCCATTCGTTACCACGGCCGATTTGCCCGTCCTGGTCGGTTACCCATGCTGTTTCGTTCCCGGATCCCGAATCGGCCAGGGAATCTCCACTGTAACCCCCGCGTCACACGGTATTCGGCGTGGGGGTACCGGGGTAGGAGTAAGAGAAAAAAAAATTAGCGCGGGGGGAACATGAGAAGATAGCCATGAGCCTTTTTTCGGAGCTTTGGTTCTTATATTAAAAGGGAAATCCTCCGCTCCAGGATTTTCCCCGGATTACTCGACCTCGTTGAGACATTCACACAATGGCGGACGACATCTCACGACCAATTGACCGGATAGAGCTGGAGGCAGACAAGGAACGTGTCGAAAATGTCGAGCACGTTGCTACTCCCCAGAATGGTCTCTTTCAGATTGACCCGGCTCGCCGTATCGTCGTGGAGAAGAAGCTGAAGCGGAAGCTGGACGCCCGCTGCAGTCTCTTCGTGTTCATCTACATCATGAACTACCTCGACCGCAACAACATGGCTGCTGCCCGTCTTAGGGGTCTGGAGGAAGACCTCTCCCTCTCAAGCACTGAATACTCAACATGTCTGAGTATCTTGTATGTCGGCTACATCATCATGCAAGTCCCCTCCAACATGTTCATCAACAAGATCTCTCGTCCCTCCATCTACATCGGTATCTCCATGCTGCTGTGGGGTATGATCTCCACCTTGTCCGGCAACACCAAGAACTTCGGCCACATGGTGGCCGTTCGTTTCCTGCTCGGTTTCGTCGAGGCCGCTTTCCTCCCCGGTGCCCTCCTCATTCTCTCCAAGTGGTACACTCGCCGCGAGCTGACCACCCGCAACGCCATCTTGTTCTGCGGTAACCTTATCTCCAATGCTTTCTCTGCTCTCGTCGGTGCCGGTGTCCTGTCCAACATGCAGGGCGTTCTCGGTCACGCCGCGTGGCGTTGGCTGTTCTGGATCGAAGGTGCTGTGACCATGTTCCTCGCCATCTTGGCCATGTTCATCTTGCCCGATCTCCCCACCAACGCCCGTGGCTTTACTGAGGAAGAACGCCAGGTGGCCCAGCTGCGTATGCTCGAGGATGTCGGTGAGGCCGACACTGACGGTGATCAGCTGACTGCTTTCGGTGGTCTGGTCATGGCCCTCAAGGATATGAAGATTTACGTTATGATGTTCACTTTCGTCGCCTACGTCGTGGGATTGTCCTTCAACGCTTTCTTCGTGAGTTCCCACATTCCCAATCGGTCATTGACCATCACTAACCATACAACAGCCTACTCTTACCGGAACCCTTGGCTTCGGCTACGTCCCCACTCTGCTCATGAGTGCTCCCCCCTGGGTCTTCTCCTGTATTGTCTCCGTCATCAACGCCTGGCACGCCGATAAGACCCAAGAAAAGATCTGGCACATCATCGGCCCCATCTGCATGGGTACCGTTGGTTTCATCATCTGCATGGCCACTAGCAACGTGGCTGCTCGCTACGTCGCTCTGTTCCTGCAGGCTGGTTCCTACGCAGGCTTCATCGTCTTCTACTCATGGATCAGTTCATCCTTCCCTCGTCCCCCAGCCAAGCGTGCCGTCGCCATTGCCATGATCAACGCCTTCAGTCAGCTTGGTAACGTCGCGGGTTCCTACGTCTGGGATCTCGAAGACAACGGCTACCGCTCCAGCTACGGTATCGTCCTGGCTATGTTCGGTGTTACCGTTGGTGGCTGCTGGTACTTCCGCACCATGCTGGAGGGCTTGAACAAGAAGCTAGAAGAGGGCGAGATGGCCGATGTCGCTGGTGAAAACTCCAACGAGAACGATATCTTGGACAGCCCCGATGAGTCTCTGCGCATGCGCAAGGGCTTCAGATACCTTGTTTAGAGCGATTTTCCTTTTTTTGTACAGCTTATCTCTGGCGGCTTGGTATCACTGCGAGTCTCACGTTGGAACGTATGCAGGCTATGCATGTCATGGGCGTGATTAATCCGCCATGACTAGATTCTGAAATAAATGATATATGATCTCACACCAATCAAATTCACCCCGGGACGCTTGTAAATCTTGTAGAGCTCGATTAATTAGAGCCGGATATCAAATACACAATATGACACTGGCCTTGAATATTCCAGCCTTGGAACGATCTCGGGAATGAATGGTAGTTACGAGCCAGGCCCAGGGCCATCTGTGGGAGTTTACTAGCATTCGCATCACAACAGCACCTGTGCAAGCGGCCAAAGGATGCTCAGGCGGACTTGGCAACAGTGAAAAGGGGCTTTGGTGCAAATCGTCATATTATTACAGCATAAGCATAAGCACAAATGCCTCTTCTTAATCTAGATGAAATTACAAACTCTTCTTGGCCGCATCAGACTTTTGCTGTGCCACAATGAATCCCACGGCGCGGGCAATACCCTCGTCCAAAGGCACGACGGGCGCATACGCCAGACGGCGCTTGGCCTTCTCGGTCGAGTAGTAACGGGTCATGCAAGAGTAACGCACTGTGCGGGCTGTGAGACGCGGGGTCTTCCCAAACAAGCCCATAACAGTCTCCGCGAGACCACCAACGGTCTCAAGAAGACCCTCCGGAAGGGCCCACACCTGGTGCGGTTCAACAATGCGGTCAATCAATGCCCACATGGCACGAGTCACATCCCAGAAGTAGACAGGGGAGTCGTTGGTGATGTTGAATGCCTCGCCGTCCACGCGCTCGTAGTCCAGGGGCCCGCCCTTGCCAGCTGCGATGTGGTCGTAGCTCGCCAGGAGCCGGTGGCCGGCGAGCAAGTGGCCATAGACCACGTTGCCCACGTAGGTGAAGTCGAACAGGTTGTCGTTCTCACCGAGCTGCATGCGCAGAACGCGGTCTGAGGCCTGGGAGCCGTGCTCGAGGATCTTGTGTGTGACGGTTGTGTCCTTCTCGCCGTGGATGCCGGCAGGTCGGATCGCGGCAGTGAGCATCTCGGTCGGGGACTTCTTGTTGTACTTCAGAACGAGTTCTTCGGCGTCGGCCTAATTATACGTAAGGAGGTTAGCCAAATGTGCGCGATGCGAAGATTGGGTTGAGCACGGGGGTTCTCTCTCACCTTGGTTTCGGAGTAGTATTCCTTCTGCGCAGGTCCGCGGATGTAAGGCCATTCCTCATTCACGTTCTTCAGATCACTCTGTGTGTCGTGGACTACGGAGCTGGAACTGGTGTACACAAATGCCTTGCACTTGCCGCCCCAGTCTCCGTGCTCACCACCTGCGACCTCCAGAAGCGTGCGTGTGCCTTCGACGTTGACCTTGTGCAGCAGGGGGCTTGTTGCCCTCGATCATTGAGGGCGATGCAGTGTGGATGACGAGATCGGGCTTGACGGTACGGAAGACTTCCAGCATGGACTCAACAGAGGTGATGTCGCCATCGTAGTACTGGGCGCCGGGGAGGCGGTTGTTGGTCGTGCGCAAATCAACCACTGAGACGGTCGAATGGGTGGTCGGGTAGCGGGAGCCCAGGGTGGGATATTCGAAGCGCGCGTCGCCGACGGGCTTCGCGAGTGCGTAGCTGGGGTCGGTCTCGGAGGGGAAGTTCAGCAAGTGATCGACCATGTGCCACCCCAAAAAGCCGCAGCCTCCGACGACGAGGACATTGCCGAGTTCTAGTGTGCGCCTATTTGCTGCCATGATGCCAGACTTTTTTTGCTTTTGGAGGTGTTGACTGGGAAAAGGAGAAATCTGGCGTGGAGATAAGGTGATCCGTGCGGCCCTGGAGGTCTTAGTATGGGGGCGCAATTACCGAACTTGGCATTATCAACTTCCCTCTCCTTTCGCGGGGGCCAGGTCTCTCTGATGGTCTTCTGGCTATCTTTTTTATGGGAGTTTTTTTTGATAGGTATACTGCGGCTTACTTCTATGTGATTTTGGAAAGGATTTTAGGGGTCGCCTAGCAAAGATGACTTTTTTATAATAGGTTCAGTTATTGAATATGCCGCATTACCTAGCAATAACGCATCTCTTCGCCGTTGATAAAACTGAGAGATACAAGATGACCAACAAAATTGAAAGGCCTTCACGTTTCTTCTAGTGACGACCGGAGCTTGCGCCTGTAGAGCCTGCGCTCAAGTTCAGATCCCCAGCAGAGTGCAGATGCCTCCGGGTGCACCGTCATTAGCGGGTTGAATGGAGGGTTGTCGTCGTCCAAAGTGCTTATCATTCCGTCGATATGATGGCGAATGTCTTCGTCGTAGGACGGCAGATACATCAACACGCCCAGCTTCGACACACGGATGTGATAAATCGGCGACTCAACAAACACACGCGGTTGTTCTTCAGGATGTCTCGGGCTAATGTAGATCCTCAGCTTGATGATGCCACCTTCTAGCTTTGATTCAGTGCGGCCGACGTAAGTCAGCTGCCAAAGGAAGGGATTTTTGTCAACCAGTGATATATCGACAATCTGAGAATGGTCACTCAGTTCGGCGACGATCTGCTCATGCCGACCTGCCAACTTGACTGCAAGACCGGCATCTGCTTTGACCAAAGCCATGCCCTCTGCTGGCCATTGGTGAGTTTCCTCAATCACCTTGTCTCGGAGCTTTGAGAGCCGGTTTTTCAAACTGATATAGTCCCACTCTCCTGACATAATGTTGCCGTGGCCTTCAAAGGGCATGGAGATGAAGGGTTCGCCCGATCTTCTCGCTTCATCGGCGATACCCTTCTCAATGGCGATTTGGTAATGTTCAAGATACCAGAGCAATCGTCGTTTGTAAAACTCGTCAAATTTCGTGGAAAATGGAAGCTGAATCGCACCATCTGGGTCACTTTCTGCATCATCATCATCAGACTTTGGGAGAAACCCGATCTGCCCTCGCTCAGGGTGGGACGAATTTGCAAATGCCCGCTCGAGAGGTGCTATCACTGCCAGTCGGAGGCTCTCGTGTCGAATCTGGAGTTGCGATGTGAGCACTTGTTCTATCCGGGGGTGTGATATAGGTCTTATTGATCCCCGTGTTAGAGCTGACCTTTGACTTGTATGTTTCCATATTCTCGGTATCATTGGCTCTTCCCGGCTGTTCAAATCCCGGTTCAAGCGTGTATGGGTTTGGTGATAGCAGGCTTTGGATCGAAAGGAGCACTGATTCGAGCCCCTGGGCAGGCGACCACTGCTCTCCGCGATCCCCATGCCATGTTCTATGATATTTTAGAAACGTGTGATATATCGAGCATGTTGCGTCACAACTTACCCCAAGATGGACCTGGAAGAAGTTAGAACATATATCCCTCTGCAAGTATCGGGCAATTCGAGTTTGAACTTACAAGCAGACTTTTCCGTTGGAATAAAGATTGGGCCCAAATCGAGTTCGGCCCTTGTTGGTCGTCTTGATCTTCACGCTGGGTGGATTGGCTGGGTAGTCTAGTCATCTGTGGTGAGAAGGTGTTGCTTCCATTTTATTCATGGCCTCTCACCTGATGGAACCTTGATCGAGAACTGTCCAATAATTAGTGGCTGGTCAGACATCCTGAGTCAAAACCGCGAAGACTAGGATCTCACCTCAAAGAATCCAAGCTCATACGGGGTACCTGGAGGCCCAAGGATGATGGCTTGGATATCACGCATGTTACCTTCATCGTAGCGGACGGTGAAGGCTAAGTCAACGTTAACATATTCACTCGCGTCATTGAAACAGAGCCACCAGAATCGCTTAGGGTTTTCTTACCAAGCTGGTCACTTCGCTCGACCTGTCTCAGCTCCTATATAGAAATGTTAGCACATAATGGTTGGAGCATGGAAGCGACATGGCGAACCCGGATCAGACGCAAAGTACACTGATCACCCATCGTGGAGAATCTTCAAGGTGATCATGAGGGTTGAGGCAATCTAGGGTTATTAAAAAAGGGTGGCCAAGTCACATTTCTTGCCAGGTTGCGTTGGTGAGATTGGAGAATCAGGTACAAAGGCAATCAAGCGGTGATCCGCCAACCCGCCCGTCTTTTAATGTGGTTCTATGCGCGGCCTTGGGTGCATCCACAACCATGGTTCCGCGACCTTTTATGTCTGAATGTTGTCCTTTTTTGCTGACCAAGGCTATTCTTGGACGGGCTGCAAATTTCGGCCCAAAAAAATCAGTAACATAGATCTTCTTTGTACATTGCAGCCACCTTGCAAGGTTCATCTACGGACACCTCAATGTCCACTTCAGTACCTACTTATCTAAGCATTTGAGAAATGTGTACAGCTTGTGTGCTTGGTTTCTATCTTAAGCCCTGGGGTTGGGTTGTTAGCCTTTTGGTAGACCTCAACTTTGAAAAGCACTACACCATGATGATGGCTATACATGAATGATCATATACACATATGAAAACAATATGATATACAAACCCAGCCCTGGAGATATTTTGATCAAGAACATAAAGTATTATCAAAATAAATATATGTGAATTACCTAAAGAAGACTCATCTGCAGAAGTTCTATAAAAAGCATTTAGGGGATGCAGCTATGTCGGACATCTTCAGACAGCTAGGGGTTAGAAGTAGTATTCCAAAATATTTCGGACATAATCCATGGATCATGGAAGATTGAAAGCAAGAAGAACTTTGAATACAGAAAATCCCTTCATGATTTTACACACAAAGTCCATAATTCTCCAGTCCAGCCAATTTCAAAAACTGCAATTTCCCTCGACTCCGAATATAGACCCTGTACACGTGACCTGGCCATAATTAAGGGGGGGGGAGGGCAACAAAGTGCCTAAGCCATCTCCATCGTCTCCATTCCCCAGCCCACTTCTTTCCCCCTCTTACACTTTAATTTTTTTGGATTGAGAAGAAGTCAATGTGGGAGGGAATGACAACTTGCGCTGTTCATCAGTCTCACTTTGAAAGCTCGAATACTGGCCCCCGCGTTTAGTCTGCGCGCTACCTTTCTACACTATACCGCCAGTGTGAACCCCCCCCGTACCCGTTCCCTCTTGCGCACCTCTCAGTCTCTCTCTACGACCGCCGAATACTGCGCCGAATACTTCTTCGAGTACCGTCCCGTCCCCCCTCGAATACACATGGCGTGAGGGTGAGTAGGTACAGAGGACGAACTCGACCATAATATTCTAATTTAAGAACCAGACCACCGTACGCGCCCAACTCATCCTCTTACCGTGACCACGTCCTGTTCACTCGACAATTTCACCGTCGCTCTAGCCTCCCATTGCATGCGTTCGGCATAATTCATCCCACAACTCTTTCTTTTATCTGACGGTACGGGGGACCAAGATGCCCCCCCGGTGGACTACCAGCTAGCCTGGTCGCAGGCAACCCCAGCGGCCGTCCCACCGTCGACACCTCTGGCTATGGGGCTAACTATAGCAAAAATACCCCCACTTCCCCCGAAGACAGTCTGATTCCATTTGAATCACCATCAACACGAACTGCTGCAGGCCCAGTCACACCAGTCGAAGACGGGCGCTCGAGCCGTGGGTTAGGCCCCGATCAGGGCGGATATCATCGCGAGCGCTCGGCCCCTCGAGACCGATCGCGAGTCAATGGACGTCAAAACAAATCTCCTGGTGGCTCATCGCGCCTGTGTCAGAAGTGCGGTGAACCTCTTACCGGCCAGTTCGTTCGAGCGTTGGGCGGCACTTTCCATTTAGAATGTTTCAAGTGTGAAGTGAGTGCTCCATGGGTGCAATACGCGTGCGCCTGCTGTTTCTGATCGAGTTTGTGGCTGACTTACTGTTTTCTAGGACTGCGGCGAGATTGTTGCTTCCAAATTCTTCCCTATCGACTCCGAAGAGGCGAACTGCCAATTCCCACTGTGTGAAACCGATTACTTTAGACGACTGGGTCTATTATGTCACGACTGCGGCGGCGCACTGCGAGGGTCATACATCACCGCATTGGACCGGAAGTACCACATTGAGCACTTTACTTGTTCTGTGTGTCCCACGGTTTTCGGCGCTCAAGACTCATATTACGAACACGAGAGCAAGGTCTACTGTCACTTCCATTACTCTACACAATTTGCACAGAGATGTCATGGGTGCCACACTGCGATCCTGAAACAATTTGTTGAGATCTTCCGCAACGGCCAAAATCAACACTGGCACCCTGAATGTTATATGATCCACAAATTCTGGAATGTCCGATTATCCCCTGCTGGTCAGACATGGGAGCCCCCTCCAGTTGATGAGGATGCCAGTGAAGAAGAGCGCAAGCAGATCCGGGACGAGGAAGACATCATGGAAGAGAAAGTGTTCAATATTTGGAACACCCTGTCCACCTTCGAAGAATCGTCTGCTGCTTGCATCTCAGATATGCTGCTCCATGTCAGTAATGGTGCCTATCTCGACGGTGTCCTGGTCGCCAAACGCTTCATCGGCCATGTTGAAATTCTCTTTGGCGCAGTCGATGAACTAGCCAACTACATCAAATCCCACGAGTTGAAAGGTAATACTCGTTCAATTGATTTTGGTCTTGTTGAAACACACGCTGACTTCCTTTTTTGCAGAACTCTCCTACGGTCGCGAAGCGAAACTGCTCTGCAAGAAGATTGTCGCTTTCTTTGCGCTCCTCTCCAAGACTCAAGAGACCGGTGTGCGGAAGCTTGGTGTCACCCAAGAACTCCTCTCCCTCGTCACGGGTCTGGCCCATTACCTTAAACTTCTTATCCGCATCGGTCTGCAAGGTGCACTAAAGCTCGAACGGGAGAAGTCTGCTCCTGATGGCTTACACAACTTCCTTGAACACTTGCGTGATCTAGAGTCACTTGCACAGATGGATGACGAGAATGCTCCGCTTGACCTGATGGCCGGAGTGGAGGGCCTGGCTGATCAATTATCAGATTGCTGCATCTCCTGCAAAGAGCCAATCGATGACGAATGTGTCCTGCTGGGACAGAGTCGCTGGCACATCAAGCCACCTCATCTGTCTTGCGTCGCTTGCGAGAAAGACTTGACCGTCGATCTTCAGGGCGCATTATGGAGCGCAAGTGAAGAGAAGGCCTATTGCGACGATTGTGCCCATCAGCAGAATCTTGGATCAGCTGTTCAAAGCGGCTTCATTCCAGTCTCTAAACTGCAGCAGTTCATTTTCCTGCTAAAGGTAGCCCTCGCACGGCTCCTCGCCGTACTTCGGTCCGGTGGAACCTTGCCTCAGACGTCAGGTAAGATTCTCTCATATCGCCCACCCACCGCTGGCAGCCTATCTAACTTGATCAATCACCTCAGACGATCCTTCCCTCAATGAATACGAAAATAAGGATGGTCAACGAGTTAGCCCCGAGGTTCGAAGAGCCAACACCCGCTCTCAATCGTATACGGGTGGCTCACGCGAGGGTATGGAAGAATCGTCCCTCGAGCAGACTGTCGGCGAAATGCGCCGACTGCGCTCTATTCGCAACGAGCGAACTTTGTCTACAACCTACAAGAGGGCCCGCGCTTCCAGAATCATTGATGGACCTGAGGGCAGGAGCGCTCGACCAGGGTCTTCTGGCAATGATGGCAGCGATCCGAGAGGTGCTGGCTTCCAAATTGTTGAAGAAAGGGATGCCAACGGCGAGACTGTCACTGATTTGACATTTGGCACCCAAGATGCCTTAACACTGGACGACATCCCGCGCATTGTCGCGGCTGAACAAGCGAAAGAGCAACGGCCCAACGCCTTTAAGCATGCTGGGCACAAGCTTGTCGGAGGAACGGAACCAACGCTCAGGTACAACCGTGGCCACCAGCGCGAAGTATCGAGTGGAAACTTAGAGGCACTTATGGAGCCAACTCGGACCAAGCGATACTTCTCAGAATTGACCGCATTGGAATACTTCATCGTTCGGCACGTTGCTGTGCTACAGATGGAACAATTGGTTGAAGGTCATTTCAACATGGAGGAGCTGCTTTCTTTGATTGAGTCCCGCAAACCCACCATATGGAATATCTTTGGACGAGCCTTCAAGGATGGAAAGAAGGGCGCTAAGAAGAAGGGCGTCTTCGGCGTTGATCTCAATTTCCTGGTTGAGAAAGAGGGCACTGAGTCAAGTCACGGTGTTGGGCCAGGTGCTCTGCGCATTCCGACGCTTGTCGACGACTCTGTTTCCGCCATGCGGCAAATGGACATGTCTGTTGAAGGTGTTTTCCGAAAGAACGGAAACATTCGGCGACTGAAGGATACCTCAGAACTTATCGACACCAAGTACGAACAGGTTGATTTGACAAAAGAAACCCCTGTACAGATCGCAGCTCTGTTGAAGAAGTTCCTCCGCGAGATGCCCGACCCCCTTCTCACTTTCAAGCTACACAGACTGTTTGTCATTTCTCAAAGTAAGTTCAACATTCGTGGCAGGCCCCTCTACAGTATCATTAACATCTTTTTCTAGAACTCGAGGACCCCGAGAAGTCTAGACGATTGTTGCATTTGACATGCTGCTTACTTCCTAAGGCACACCGAGACACAATGGAGGTTTTGTTCGCTTTCTTGAACTGGACATCGTCATTCTCGCACGTTGATGAGGATTCTGGAAGCAAGATGGATATTCACAATCTTGCTACTGTCATTACACCCAACATTCTCTACCCGAACATCAAGACCAGCACCGTGGAAGAGAGTTTCCTCTCTATCGAGGCTGTCAATGCCCTGATCACGTATAATGACGCTTTATGCGAGGTGAGTTTGCCCAGTGGCCCACGATTGATATCTGCTAATTGTTTGAACAGATTCCGGAAGATCTGCAGTCAATCTTAAGTGATCCTACCTTGTTCAAGGAAAATGCCGAAGTCACAACCAAGGAAATACTCAAACGTTATGGTGACATCGCGCGGGGTAGTTTCTCGCAGAGGCCAGAAAATGGCGGCGAGACTTTCACAATTACTACCCCTAACCGCAATAACAGCACACCAGCTTCCGCGCGCATCGAAACCGACCCTTCCCAGGACGCAGCCTGGCAAATGCAGAGTTCTGTTCGCCATGTACCAGGACCTAGTGGCCATGCTCACTCGTCCAGCACCAATGCTCAGCCTGGGCTTGATATTGTTCCCCCTCCCAAATCCTACCACCGCAACCGCAGTGCCAGCAATGGTAGTCAACCAAACGCTGGACCTTCGGAAGGCCAGACACAACAAAATGTCGCATACCGACCGCGCCCAAGTCCAGGTGCTATGGGCGTAACCGGCTGAGCAGGGTTTTCATCTTTTCTTCCTGCACAGCTGGCAGGCACACTGTGACATTGTGACCTTCATTCCCATCCTTTTGCATTTGTCCATCTGTTTTTCTTTTTTTGGGGACTTCTTAGCGTTCTTTTCCTTTCTTTTTGTCTTGACATAGGTTTGGCCGACGGAGTTGCTACCATTTTTTCCTCCCATGAAAACTACCCAAAAAGTGATCTATCATTTACCCGTTTGGTGGTCGCTCACTTATGGGTTTTTTCTCTCTTATCCATAGGGGCTACGACGCCTTTTCCGTTTTGTTCATCTGCATCTGATTCAAGGGATCAGCCATACCCATACCTGTCCCTCTGGGCCCATAAATGTCCTGCTTTCCATTCTTTCAACTTCTTCAGCTTTTATCCTTTTCTTTCTGTGGGCCAGGCTCCGGCTTTACCTAGACCCCTTTGATCTCCTTTGCTCTCTTCTTATTCGTCTCGTCTTGGCCTTGCAAGCCTGCAAGTGCACGAGGGCTTTATTTCCTTTCTCTTTGGCTCCAATCAGCATGATTGCTATGATACCTGTGCTGAATTCTGTGTAGTCAAGTACCCATTTGGGTTAACTTGGATTTCTTCAATTGCGCCTCGGAACCTAGTTTTTAGGACTGCGCTGTTACCTATAGATAGGCCATTAAATGCAACGTTTGTCTCGCCTACACCTGACATCCATGGATAGACTTGCGACTCTGAACTATGTAAAGCAATGCCCAGGGCTCAGCTGCAGTTTACTATCTTTTGGCTCTTATGGTCCCAAGATTAAGTCGATAGACTTGGAAATATTTGAATGCACATCATCAGATGAGGCTAGAGGGAGCTGTGTTCAAATATAATTTCATTTCCGAGATCAAGAGATACCCAAACACACAAGCGTCAGTGTACAACCGAGACCCTCGTCGCAAAAGAACTCCTATTATGATATCACGCCAATAATGTAAAGGGAAAAGCATCCAGGCTCAAATTGTTCATTGCAGTCTGCAATCACCAACGCTCAAAATCCCACACCAACGCCCACAAATTAAGACAACAAGTAGTCTTCAAATCCAAGTTCAGGTTATCTCTAGATGCGCTTGCGCAGAGCTCGAGTCCTAGTTGCAGTTTCGGTCGCAGCCGGAGCTGTAGTCTTGCGCATTGCGGCAGTGTTCGCAGTTTTCTTGACTGCTACCGACGCTGCTTGCATGCGGGGTGCTGGTTTCTTAGCAGCGGCAGCAGTAGACGCTGTGGTTGCCTTGCGAGCACCAGCGCCGGTGCGCGTAGGCTTCATGACCGTAGTACCAGAGGAGGCTGTAGATCCGGTACTGTTCTTGCGCTCGCCCTGTCGGGTCGCGGGACGCGGTAAGGGTGAGCGAGAGGTAGTTTTGGGCCCTGTGGCGGCACGGTTTGTGGTGCGTTGTGTCTGCGAGGGAGGTCGCTGGTCCTTCACCGCAGATACGGTGGCACCACGCGATCTCAATGGGCTCGATGGCTTCAATGGAGACGTCGGTCTAGCCAAGTACGACGAGTGACCCTTCTCTGGTGATGCGCGGAATGGAGAGTGGGGGTAGGTTCGGCTGTTGCTAGACTTTGGTGACAGAATCCGGTTCTCGTTGCCTCGAACTTCTTGAGACACCACGCGCGAGGCCCCGCCTGCGGCGGCTGGCTTCACGCGACGCTTAGGGTTCTTGAGGCCCTCTGGCTCACCACTTGCAGGGGCATTTTCTTTGTCAGAGTACAAGCCATCATGGCTGGGTTGAAGGTCAGCGCGTTGAAGGTGACCCAAAAGATCGGACATCATACCTTCCGATCCGAGATCTGCCGTCGCGTGCTTCCATGTCCACTGGTTTACTCATATTACGCGAAACCTTGGCGGGCGAGTATTTCCGAGAAGGCGACGCGGTGGCCTGTTTGTTCAAGGCGGCATTGTGCTTTTCGAGTAACTCGCCCATGTTGGCTTTTCGGAGCGAGACTGGGATTCGGTTGACGCGTCGGTCAATGCGCGCTCGAAGGTCATTCGCCTGGAGAGCATATTGGGCACGAAGCTTGCGTGCTCGTTCAGTGACTAGAGACAATTAGTGCCGAAATCCATTGAAGAATTCCACCGTACCACCCACTTTCGAGTTGTAAATTGTCCATAAGTGCTTGCTTCTGCTGTTGTGTGAGGCGCATTTTCTTGGTGGGACTGCCCGTAGGCGTAGCGTCCATTTGGTCAGACTTGCGCTTAGTGGACATGGTCGACTACTCCAGGGATATATTGGGATGTGTCAAAGTGTAGAAGGTTAAGGTGCGGAGCAAGGAGCCCTTGGGGACCACAACAAACAGTATCGGGTGGGCGGAATGATGTGGCAGAATGCACAGCTTCCACCTCGCCTTCGTCATCCGTCTTCATCTCTCATTCGCCGATCTTGTCTATCGCTCGCTACCTCCTTTTCTATTTCGTTTGATTTCATTAGAAACTGCCCATAATGACTTTGGAAGCTACCATGATCGTGTACGTTGTTATTTCGTTCCAATCCCGGATTCTCTGCTGACCCCAAGCTACAGTGTCGACAACAGCGAAAGCAGTCGCAATGGAGACTACACGTGAGTACACTGAAGAACGCTGGTTTTCTGTCTATCACACACCATCTAACTTGCTCAGGTCAACCCGGTGGCAGTCTCAAGTTGATGCCGTCAGCATCATTCACAGTGCTAAGATGCGTGTAAACCCGCAGTCAGCTGTTGGTCTTATGAGTATGGGCGGCAAGGGCCCTGAGGTGCTGTCAACTTTCACACCCGAGTTCGGAGCCATTCTGGCTGGACTTCATGCGACAAAAATCCACGGCACATCCCACCTCAGCTCGAGCATCCAGGTCGCAGCGGTGAGTCCTCTCTGCCAGTTACCCAGATATTGATGACGGACGCTCATGATTTTATAGTTGGCTCTCAAGCACCGTATGGAGAAGTCCCAGCGCCAGCGCATCATCGTGTTCTCCTGCTCCCCCATCGAAGAAGACGAAAAGACCCTCGTGAAGCTCGCCAAGAAGATGAAGAAGAACAACGTTTCGATCGATGTGATAGCCTTTGGAGACCTCGAATCCGACCAGACCAAGAAGCTTGAGGCGTTTGTTGAGAATGTCAAGAGTGGAGATGGCTCCCACCTCGCCATCATTCCTCCAGGACCCCATTTGCTCAGCGACCAGCTCCAGATGACCCCCATCCTGGCCGGCGAAGATGCCGAGGTCGGCGGTGGAGGCGGCGAGGGTGAAGCCGGTGGATTCGGATTCGAGGATGCCGCAGAGAACGACCCCGAGCTCGCATTCGCCCTGCGTTTATCGATGGAGGACGAGAAGAACAGACAGGAGAAGGAGAAGCGCGACCAGGAAGAAGCAGAGCGCAAGACTCAACTCGGTGGTATCCCCGAGGAGGGCAGTGGCGAGTCTAGCAAAGATAAGAAGGACGAGGACAAGATGGACACCGCTTAAGGGTCCACCTGGATCTTAATATGATTGTGATGCATACCCGGCGTTTACTTCTGTTCGTCTTGTATACTTCAGTCGGCCTTCCTCCGGGTCCGTTCTACAATGCAAGGGAAATATATGTGATTTTGGTATTATACGAGATGGTTCCTCTCCCGGCACAAGTACAAGCACACATCGTATGTAGTTCGTAAAGTCATGATGTCTATCCCCTGGGCGGTTCCAGGTACGGTCGGGATCATGTCCGTCCTCTCAACCACGCCCCCAGATGCCGATCGAAGGCTTCGCATCGCACCGGCATTTCAATTTGGTAGAACGGATTCTTCATCACGAAGTCCGCATAGAGCTCATAGATCTTCTGCACGATCGTGTCCACGTTGCCAGTCAGGGGATCCGTAAACAGCAAGAATTTCGTCCCCGTCAGAGTCTGGAAGCAGGTCAGACGGAACTTGTCCGTCTCGAGGTAGTCCAGACCACTGATTGGCACGCCTGGGTTTGGATAGGAGTATGACGCAGAGGGGGTTGTGCTCGGGGAGGAGGTCGCCGGAGAAGGAGGCTGTACAGAGGGGATTTTCGGGGTGATAGAGCGGGTAATTGCATGAACACTGTTCTCATGGTTAGCAAGTATTCTGAGAGATAGCCAGATCAGGGAGCTCACCCGTGAAATGTGCCTGCTAGCACGAGGTAGTCATTCGTGGAGAGTTTGCGCAGGCCAGCCTGGAACTCGCGCTGGTAGATAAGACCACCGGCCTTGTTGATAATGATTAGAGAGAAGACACCCCTATGAGTAGAAGGCATGTTAGCTGCGATGCGGTGCAATCGGCGGACAGCGTTGGAAAGCGTACATGTTGTAAAGTGTCGGTCGGGCGGCGCGGAGATAAAGTAAGGGGGGGCGGACAGCGCTACTGGTACAGCATGTCTCACGGGCAGGATATAAACTGAGCAGCCCTCGATAGAATTGAAGGTCCGGGATTGACGTGAGGCGAGATCGAAAGTCGAGGGCTGTTTATTCCACTAAGCGGGGACACAGCTACATAGCCCAATGGGAGTGGATCACCGCGACATCATGGGCTGTCCTAATTGGCTTGCATTTTGCAAACATACTGAGAGCTTCTTCAATTTTAGTATCCTCTTCAAGACAACAAAGGCTTCGAAGCTCAATTTCTGAGGTGTTAGAGCTTTGCATTCACTCTAGGGCTGGCGATGGTATCCTCCAGTCGAACATATAAATATCGATGGGTGTAGGTACTCCAGGGCTGAACTCGCGACTAGGTAAAATATAGATGAATGGACGCAATGGTATTTATTCTAAAGGTTGGGTTTATTTGTAAAGTTACAATCTTAAAAATCGATATTATTTATGAGTGTACCCCAAGTAGGTAGGCGAATCATCAATCCAGAGCCTCCAGGGCTTGAAAGGTGGTCGTCCTAGTTCCCGACGTCTCACAGACACATCTCTCACTCCACTGACACGACGGTGCTGACCTCGACGACACTCTGGAAGAATCCGTTAGCTGCAATATCAATATACTCCCGAGGTCCCAATGTCACACATACCGGGCCCTTCTTTCCAGCAGTATCGAAGGTCTCGCTCGCGTACTTCACCCCGGATATTTTGCTACCGCTAGCTCTGATGTATTCCAGATAATCAGGAGCTCCAGGGAAATCTGTGTTGTCCGCGATTGCCAAGGACCCAACATGCCAAAGCTTCAACTCTTCAATCAACTGCAGATCAGACAGATAGAATTTCTCCCAATGATCGAAGAATGCCACATCGATCGACGTCACTTCGCCTTCTGCGTTCAGCTTTTGCAGCAAGTCCGAGCCTGCGCCCTGCAAGACTACCACAAAATCTTCCACACCTGCGAGTTTCACGAACTCCCGGGTCAATGCAACCATCTGCGCATCTGGGTCAAAAGTATAGACCTTAACGTCTTCTGGTGGTGCGTTGCCGTAGATGTCACGCAGGATAGCACCCCAGACAAGCGCAGATTTGCCCACAAACGTGCCGAATTCGACGATTGTCCGTGGCGCCGGCTGCAGAGCTAATATTTGCTCTCGGGCGACATCGACCTTTGGCCCTTGGAAAATCATCATATGCCCGACTTGGTTGGCGAAGTCTTGAATGGAATTTGCCAGAGCCCATGGATTATTGGCGAACTTGGATGCTGGTTGATCGAATATGAACTTGCGCAGCTCAACTGCACGCTCTGCAAAGATATCGGACATAGTCTTGGGTGTCATGATTGCTTCTTTTGCGGCAAGATGATAATTGTAGAATGGAGAGAACTAAATCATGATCAGACCCAAGTTGGAATATGCTGCTTTTTTTATAACCAAGCAGGAACAGAACAAACTTACAGCGAATGCCGCCATCGGAGTTAACACTGAGCAGTCACATCGACTTTCCGATGTGTGTTGATCGTTTCTGCTCAAACCATCAACCTCGTCCGAGAGGCACGAGGGAATACGTGAACCTCGGGCTCATCTACCAAAGAGGGGGCTTTTGCTGCCATTTTATGACGGATTGACGAGGTCGGCCCACCAGGAAAACCGTGTCATGAAGGAAATCTTCAACCGACGTTGTCTCAGTATTTGCTCTGCCTACATTGCGGAACTAAGCCCGAGCCGAGTCTCGGAGTCAATATCTCCGTTGGGTCATATGATCCGAGTCATACATCAAAATGCAAGGTAACACTTCAAACCCGTAAACTGCGATACTTTGATGGGCAAACAGACATGTATTGTTCTGAATGTCGTGTAACAAGTTTGGTCCAAGAAAGGGTTGACTGGGTCAGCTGACCATATTCAACATTCGTGTAACCGCAACCTCAAGAGGATTACGAAGTAGGAGGAAAACAGCCGCAGACAAAACAACGTCTATAGTTGAACCCAGACCGCATCAAACCAATGCAATGGAAGGAATTGAACACAACGGTTGATTCCAGAGTTAGGATGCGGTCGCTGCAGTACGCGGTTTTGTTTCCAACAGGTAGCGCTTTCCAAGCCCCCGGGCCTTCGCATTTGGCCTTCGCGTTTGGTCTTCTTCCGTGTGCTGGTGTGATCTCTCGCGTGCAACAACCATAGACGCCATTCTCGTAACAACTTTCAAATGTCGGAGAATGACAACAAAACAGTCGAGTCGGTTGAAGCCGCTCGCTGGTCCAAGCATGTCGGACCCCCTCCGCCAGCGCCTCCGAGTGGATCTCCTCGGCCCAAAATGGAATCCTCCACGAGCAACGCCAGAATGGGAGTCTTCCACGACGCATACCACAACAGGCATGAACTCTTTCGGTTGGTCCTTGCCGATATTCCCCTCTTGGAGATCTGATTGAGATCTCTTAGCCGTTGCTTTTGACAGGGCTTGGCCTACTTTATTTCATCGTCAGTTCAACTTTGGGTCCACTTTTCGCTTTCGGATTCACTGCCAGGTCCGTTGTGAGTGGCCTACGCTGTACGGAGTATCCTAAGCTGAAATTTCTGATTGAGTTACTGGGCCAAAGGCGACAGCCAGGTTCTGTCCCTCACTCGTCGTTTCCCCCTCAATACTAAAAAGATGGGGGGCCTTATCTGCCCAGGTGTCTCATGGCATAATGGGCAGTAGCTCTGCACGCCCTCATTTGTTCCTTCATTGTGCAGTCCACGTTGAGTCCTCCGGCTAAATGTCTTCTGTATCATAATAAGCCTGTTGCGGACACGGCCGTTCGAATAACTCCGACCCAGAACTCCGGGCTCCGGGCGTCGGACGATCTCGGTCGGAGCTCTTCGTCCCGTCGGTGTTCGCACTGAAGCCAATTTAAGACCATTGGGGATTGGTAATCCCCCCCAAACACCCGGGCTAAAGAGCGACTGTCGTCATATGTTACAAGGATCATGCATGCAGTTCACCACCCTAGCCTATGATCTTCAATGCTGTATCCAAAACCGTTCAGCCCAACGTATTGGTGTTTATGCCATAATTGAAACACGGTTGTTCCCCACGGAGATCGCCGATTGAATCACCGAAGTCACCGAAGTAAATCTGCCAATCACCTAGGATGTGGCATCACCCCTGTCGAGGTCTCGCATGCCGGATGAACTAGCCCACTAGACTAGTGTTGCCTTTGCCCTCTGCCGCCAATTTCCCTCGTTGGCGGGTCTTTACTGTGTCACTAAACTTTCTTTTGGAAGTGACTTTCATGTCGATCTGTTCTGGATCCCACTGCTTCGTATCTGATGGCTCATTTGTTACCCTGCTAGGAGAATCTTCGGCGCCTTACAGAATTTCACCCAGTTGTCGGGTCGGTTACTACAAATGCATTATTAACCCGAAAGGGCGCAATGCTTGGCGTGCGCTGTACCTTGTCTTTTTCTCACCCGCATAGCCGATGCATGAAGCTACGTAGCAGTGAGGAGCCCCGAGCAAGCCAAATGAGGAGTGTTGCAGAAAGTATTATTGCCTGAGATGGGTACGGGGTACCAAGAGCTTTGATTGTTATTGTACTCCATATTTCGTACAACCCGCACAATCAAAAGAAGGACCCCGTTAAACCCCGGCCCACAGTATACTGGTCTCAGATACGAGTATACTATATGTAATAAGAATAATAAATAGAGTAAACAGGTTTTCAATTAAGCGAAGCCAGTCGACACTGACCATTGACAACAGTCAATATCCCTTCATTGAGCCCCCACTCGCGCAGTGCCACATCCTCTTCTTCACCCCTCAGACAAGCCGACTCATCGCGCTCAAAGTGTCGGCCAACGTGCTCCATCCGCACTTCCCAACTCCCAGGCCCAGTAAATATCTTTTTACAGAATCCACAATGACTCTGCATAGGAGGCTGACGAAGGCCTTGCCAGCATCGCTGACGGATATCTTCTAAACCAAATTCGAAAAGCCCCCGCTCACTCTCTGTAGGTACTCGGCGCTCTTTTTGTGACCAAGGCGCGTGCATCCGTCGTTGGTGCTGCGTGAAGAGATCCTTGCGATTGAAATCATTTGGTTGGCCCGGTTGAGGAGCGGGATGGGAATGGATTGAATGGGATGGAGATGCTGACGGGCTTCTTGATGGGGACGCGTACATCTTGCATTTCCCTACATCGCAGCGGTAGAATCCGAGCAAGAGATGTTTGGATGTGACGTGGCGCTTCCATTCGTTCTTTGAAACGAAGGTACTTTCGCAGCCGTAGGGTGCGAAGCTGCAGATGAATGTGCGTGATTCTTCTCCATTAGATAAATTTGATGCAGCACGAGGTCGGCGGCGACCTGATTTCGAAGCCGTGCGCTTTTCGGTTGATTTTCGAACCCGAGATGTAGATGAGGTTCGTGGTTTTGAGCGATGAGCAGTAGCCATGTAGTCCTTGTTTGATTTGGTACAGCATCTTGTCTCTGGAGCTGGGTTGCATGCTGTGTGACTATTTGACCAGATATTCGTTCCATGGACGGGCGTATAATCTGGCTGAATCTCGAACGCGGGGTGTTTGGGCATGGCCAACGATGACCCAACGTGGCCCAAATTCTCTGGCGCGGAACATATAAAGGCCTCACTGTCAAATAGCAATGAGTGCTTGTATGGACTCCGAGGTGATTCATAGTAATTTGGAGTCGGCAGGCTGTCACTATCATAAGGCGGACTTTGAGGGTCGGAGAAAGTTGATAGCCCGCTATCCCACGGGGAGAGACTATCGCCATATGACTGAGTCCCTTCTGATAGGTAATCCGTTGAATAAGGAGAGCCTACTGTTTCCCAACATGTTTGTTGAGAATAGGGCGGCACAGCGACTTGGGCTTCCAACGGCAAAATGGCAAATTGATCTTGAGTGCGAGTCACAAATGGGTGATCAGCCGGCAAAGAGGAATTGTAGAGATTGTATGACTCATTGGCATCCATAGTGGGCATAATATGAGGCAATTCTGTGAATGGGATGTAAGACTCCATGGTGAAAGAGGTGAAGTAAACAGCGCTCTAAGTATGCGGCGTAGAAAACGAAAGCCCCCGGGGCATGGCCGGCCATAAATAATAAGCTAGCGCGCTGAGCCACTTTAGTGGCATCCAAATAGCAACGACATGTGGGACTTCGGGCAGATTGAGCCTCAAAAACCCAGCTGGTATTTCAGGTCTCGACGCGGGACATGGATATGAGTCGGGATCAGAGGATGGTGGAGCCCGGGAGCCGATGAGGACTAGTTTAGCGTGATGAAGACGCGTATATACGAATGGACAAATTAACGTCCTTGAACCCGGTGGACTAACAGTCGACTTAAACCCGAGATGGAAGTCTGTGCGAGGGGCTGAAATAAGAACTTCTCGATTGCCGCACATGGAATAGTCTCTAATTACTCCATCTTGCAGAAACCGGCACAGGCTAAAAGCATTACTGTAAAACTCGAGCGAATGGGGGGTAGAGCGGGATACCTCGTTTTGGACCCCAAAATCGTAACTGACAAATTGTAGTTCGTCACCTACGGAGTACTCTCTTGACGATTGAGAACTTGACCAGGCCCACTTTGTTGCTCGCTCATCCTTCTGATTGGTCCTACTTGACTTTTGCTCCCCCCTTCTCTCTCTCTTTCAATTTGAGGACCTGACCAGGTCACCTTAGAATACCAATTTTTTTGTGCAGGCATCCAGTTGTCAGGGATGGTTTGATGGCACCGACACCAGATACCGTACGCGGAACTCCCACCACAGTGCGGAGTAAATACCTTGGTGTCTGGGCCTAGTTGAACGTATTCGTTGCCAACAAGCAAAATTTCATTTCTATAAATCAACTCTTCGTGGTCTGAGGCAAGTATCTCAACTTACCACGAGTTGACAGCGTCTATCTACGCCACCACCATTCCAATTTCCTTTCTCTCATGCGAGACTCGCAACCGATAAGGTATAGAGTCTGCATTGGGCGCGGATTGCCTCACCACACAAACCAGCGCCTATTCCCTGTAGGAATATCGGGGATAAATTTAATATCCCTTTGCTCATTTAGAGCCCGCACGCTCCAGTCCCTTTCCACGGGTGAAGAAAGCGGCGAAGGTTGCGATGAATGCAAAAGATTGCTGACGCCATAAAAGAGAGCCTGATTCCACGGTAGTATACCAACCGGGCGGCCATCTGGACATCTGGGGGAAGGTCATAGATAGCTGATACAGAGTGACGGATCTCATCGATCACCTAGAAAAGGTTTAAGATTTGCGTCAGCGGCTATTCAGTAGTAGAAATCAAAACGAAGGCGAAGAGGTAGTACTTTCCATTTGTCTGGTAGTCCACTCAAGGCCTCCCCGAGGCCTGAGTTTAATGTGTTCTGCATGATTGTGGAGGTGGCGGCGACGCCCCAAACGGTTCCAAGAGAGCGAATCAAATAGACCGTTGAAGCTGAGACCGCATGATCTAGACAGTATTAGCACGAAGTACTCAGGGTGGATAATTCGCAACACGTGGTATAGGTCCGAGAGATGTAATTTGTGGGGAACTCACCGGCGTGGTCGAAGGCTGCGAGGAACGTGAACAGAATCCCCGGGTACACCATGCCCTGGCCCAGGTTTGCGGGAATCACGAAAGCGAAGTACTTCCATTCGGAGTCACTAAAACGGAGCAGCATGACTAGCAGGTTGCCGATAAACATGAGGGCTGCACCGGTGCGCACGATGTATGAGAGTTTTCCCCAGCGAGACATGACAATCCCAGCTATGAGACCACCCAATGGCGTGGCAAGACATGGGATGACGAGGCGTGTGCCAGCCCTGCTGGGCGAGTCAAGCAGAATTACCTGGAACATCAAAGGAAGGGTGAAGAGGTACTGAGTCGTGTTAGTTGCAACGATGAGACAGAGAGGAGTATACTTACTGCATAAGCTGCCATCCCCACGCAGACATTGGCGACTTGTGTGGAGACAGGAAGGGTTCCACGCAGCATTTTTAATGGGATCAAAGGCACCGCAGAAGTAGTGGCTTCAACTGCAACAAATGCGACCAGCAGAAGGACACTTCCGACCAATGGAGCCACCACCCAAATATTGCCCCAGGGAAGAACGTTGCCGCCCAGGCTGAGACCAACAAGTTGAGCGGAAAGACCCAAAATGAGCAGGAGCGCACCCCATACATCGATCTGCTGCCAAATACCAGGCGATGATCCATCTTCCCGCTCAGTATTGCGTGCCGGGAATTTCAGCACGACATAGCCCATCCCCAAGGCAAAGAGCGATACCGGAACCTGCAGCAGGAAGCACCAACGCCATCCAATCGAGTCCACAATGGAACCTCCGAAAGATGCACCGCAAATGCCGCCAAACCCGTACGAAACATTTTGAATAGCCTGATACATTCCACGCTGGCGGAAAGGAATCAGATCAGAATTGATGATGGTGGCTGGGAAATACATTAGGGACCGCAATTGATTTGTTCTTGGGTTCTGCTTACCCATAGTCATCAAGCCTCCTCCACCGATACCAGTCAAGGCCCGCATGATGTTCAGAAAGACAATATCGCGGGCAATGGCACAGCCTAGACAACCAGCCATGAAAGTGATCGTGGCCGTAAAGAAACAAGATCGGCGACCGAGGAGATCAGAGAATCGCCCATAGAGAGGCTGAAAGGCAGTGCTTGTGATCAAGTACGAAGTTGTCAACCACGATGCCGTATTCGCAGCATTGAATTCCGAGCTGATGACCGCGTAGGTTGAAGCAGTGATCGTACCATCGAAGCCTCCCAGAAACACATTGGCCATGATTGCTACGAGCGGATTAGTTCTTACTGTTTCTTTCTCCGCGACAAAATGCAATCAACATACCAATTTGGATCAACAAAAATCCTGGAGGCGGACTCCATTCTGGAACAGGGTCCGATTGCAAAAGTGGTTGATCTTCACTTGTCTGTGCGGACCGTTGGACTTCAGTGTCCGAAACTTCGCCGTTTTGGTGCAACATGATGCAGTGTTAGTGTACAATTTTGCCAACACAAAAAGTCAAGATCTCGGAGAATATTTGAGTCAACAGCCAAGAACCCCCAAGACTTTGCCGAAGCGGGCACTCGATCGGGTAATCCGAGGGGAACATCGCCCCGCCAGCCAAGCACGACATATGACGCAGCTTTTGCATTATCCCACAATACGAGAAGTATATAGTCCCTCGTAAACCTTTTGCATTTTGCAAAAAGAGAACACACTCAACTATTGTCAAAGTGACACAGTGCAGAATACCAAACTAAGGTTAATGTACCCTATCTTACCAATGGCCAGCATCATGGATACTGATCGGTCCAGTACTTATCATGAAGCTCCTTGAAGCTATCGCTTGCGCTTCGGCGCTGGTACCCCTTGCAGCTGCAGACTGGCAGTTCAAATCCAGGACCGACCTGGCTCCACCTCGTCTGAACATCACCATCCCGGCCACCAAGGATGTCGAGAAGGGTTATCTGTTCGTGGCACCTTTCCCGGGCCAGTGGGCTGAGCCTCAATTCCACGGCCCTCGCCAGGAAGCCCCGTACATTGTGCGTGACGATGGCGAACTCGTCTGGTCGGGATACACCTACTTCTCCATCTGGGCGGCCAACTTCCAGAAGGCCCGTTGGAACGGTCAGGATGTCTTGTTCAGCTTTGAGGGTGATCACAATCCGGCCTATGGTCATGGCCATGGTCATGCTACCATCCTGAACCAGAATTATGAGACCATCCGAGAGCTCCGAGCTGGTAATCATAAGCTCATGGACAAGCACGAGTTCCACGTGGTTGACGAGAAGACTGCGTTGCTTCAGGTCTACCAGCCTGTTCCAAAGGACTTGTCCCGCTTTGGCGGTAGTCCTGAACAGCAGTGGATTGTGGACGCCATCTTCCAAGGTATGACCGCCGTCAATGTGCATTGAGCCCTGCTAATCATGCCCTTTGCAGAACTGGACATCCAAACCGGAGAGTTGCTCTTCGAGTGGTCCAGCCTAGACCATGTTTCTCCCGAAGGTATGACTTGTGCTTTTGAAAGTACTTGTGCAACAAGCTGACTGTTCCTTGCAGAAGCGGTTCTTCCCCTCAACCCAGGTCAAGCGGGTGCTGGTTGGAACTCATCTGACGCATGGGACTACTTCCACATCAACTCTGTGGACAAGGATGCCGCAGGTGACTATTTGATTTCTGCGCGTGATGCATGTGCAGTGCACAAGATCAATGGTACCACTGGCGAGATTATCTGGCGACTGGGCGGAGTTCGCTCGGACTTCGAGCTCGGTCCCAACGTCAAGTTCTGCTTCCAGCACCACGCCCGTTTCATCAAACAGAGTGACAACGAGGAGATCATTTCTCTCTTCGACAACTCTGCACACGGAACAGAGAACCACCGCGGCAAGGAAGTTCACACTCACCCCTTCTCTCAGGGCAAGATCATCTCCGTCAACACGGCTACCTGGACCGCTGAGATTGTCCAAGCATTCCAGCCTCCTGATGGGCTCCTCGCCAAATCTCAAGGCAGTACACAGGTTCTCCCCAACGGGAATGCCCTCGTGAACTGGGGCTCTGAAGGCGCTGTCACCGAGTTCCGCTCCGACGGTACACCCATTTTCCACGCATACATGGACTCTGGACTCCTTGGTGAAGGCGTCCAAAACTACCGAGCATTCCGGTACAACTGGACCGGCCTGCCGAACGAAGAGCCCGCCATTGTTGCAGAGAAGACACCATCCGGCACCAAAGTGTATGTTTCATGGAACGGCGATACAGAAGCCGCCGTCTGGAGATTCTATTCGATTACGGACCGGTTTGGGTCCCGCGCGTATCTGGGCGAGGCTGTCCGTGATGGCTTTGAGACCTCCTTCTCGTTGGCTGGTCACTCGTACCACAGCCTAGCGGCCGAGGCTGTTTCTGCTGCTGGACGTGTGCTGACCACCACTCGCATTGCTCGGGTTCAGGATGCAATTCTTCCTCCACATGGCTTGGAGGATGGGCGTTCCAACAGCGGCTCGTGGGAACAAATCATCCTTTAGGGTCAAGTTGAATTGTGCCTGGTGAGGTTGAGTGTGCCGCAGTAGAGGTGACATGGTACAAGTTCGGAGGTGAGCAGGAGTGAAATGAAAGGACAGGAATGGACCGGCAGACTAGACCCGATGCCATGTGTCTCCGGAGTTTTGGTTCTTTGATCAGTCTCAGGGGATTTTCTATGGCCACTCTAGATCTGCTTCTAGTCACTACCCTTGCACGAGTACTCTTTAAGTGGGATGTCTTGAGCTTCTGCTGTCTAGCTTTTCTTCGATTGAAATCAATGACAGCGTTGTAGCTATTCGTCCAAAATTTCCCCATGTTCCAATTGCGTAGCCTGATAGATTCGTAGCCAATGATTCTCACGTTGAAATCCCTGGGCAGCTACTCACACCGCAGTTTTGAATTTGATGACTCTTGAGCCTTCTATTGGGTTTTGTCCTGTGCCATCTCACGCCCGTGTGAGTGACCATGAGTTCTCGGTGGGTTTTGATCTTGTGTTTTGTCGCCAACTCTATATGGCCCGAGATGCCTACAAGGGGATGCTGCTCCGAATTTTGTAGGATGCAAATCCTCATACCTACGATGCCATCAGTAGGACTATAAAATTGACCAGAAAGCCCGATCATGGCCTGAGATATCTAATTTCTATAGAGTGGCCGTTCATGCTGGGTCTACTCATCGTACAGCAATGGTGGGCTCAGATGAGATGTAACTTGGGATACTGAGTAACTTCCGCGAAAGGACTACTGAACCCAGCAGAATGTAGAAAGATGTAACTTTATGGTGTTCTCTCACCTTTCTCGTTCCACCCCAACTGACCTCATCTCAGACCGGTACAAAACCTTGGGGTTCTCGGCTCTGCGGTATTCCGGTTCCCTTAATATCTCCCTCTGCTCAGTTACTTTCTTTCCTTTACTTTCTTTCTTTTCTTTCCTGTTCACCTTCATTCTTTGCTTTCCTCCACCATGGACACGATGAATAACCCGCCTCTAATGCCATCTCCTCCAGACTCATCGGGGGACGATGACCATCGCGACGAGGAGATTCATCAGCTTGCACGCTCATTCTATCGACTTTCGAAAGACATCGTGATCTCCGATTCGGCGGAAGAGGGGATCAACACCTTTCTGAACCCTACCAGCGACCCGGAGCTGGATCCTAGCTCCGACCAATTCAAGTCGCGCAAATGGGTGAGGAACATGCTGCAGATGACCTGCCAGGACCCAAGCCGTCATCCACGTCGCACTGCAGGTGTCTCATTTCGCAATCTCAACGTCTACGGCTACGGGACCGCTACCGACTACCAGACGAACTTTGCCAACATCTGGCTCAAAGCTGCTAGGTCTATCTGGAATTGCTTTATCTCACAGAAGAAGATCCGAATTGACATATTGCGCGACTTGGAAGGGATCCTCCGTAGCGGGGAGATGCTGGTGGTGCTAGGTCGTCCGGGCAGGTACGAGAAGACAAACGGGTGAAACGTCATCAACGCGCAACTAACAATCATCAGCGGATGCTCAACTCTCCTCAAAACACTTGCCGGGGAGACGCATGGCCTGTTCCTAGATGACAAGGAGCAGGCCAAGGTACAGTACGACGGGATCTCATGGGATGATATGCACAGTCGATTCCGTGGGGAAGTGATCTACCAGGCCGAAACCGAAATCCACTTTCCTCAGCTGACTGTTGGTGACACACTCCTGTTTGCTGCTCATGCGAGAGCGCCAAGCAACCGACTGGCCGGTGTTACACGCGATCAGTATGCGATGCATATGCGGGACGTTGTGATGGCGATGCTTGGCTTGACCCATACTATGGACACCAAAGTTGGCAATGAGCTGATCAGGGGAGTCTCGGGAGGCGAGAGAAAGCGAGTCAGTATTGCCGAAACCATGTTATGCAGATGCTCCTTGCAATGTTGGGACAACAGCACGCGCGGCCTTGATAGCTCGACAGCCCTGGAGTGGGCCCGACAAATCCGTATTTCCACGAGCTATACCGGATCAAGTGCAGTTGTTTCACTCTACCAGGCGAGTCAGGCTATCTACGACCTTTTTGACAGAGCAATTGTCCTCTACGAAGGCCGCCAGATCTATTTCGGCAGTGCTACCGACGCACGACGCTTCTTCATCGATATGGGCTTCGATTGTCCCGAGAGACAGACCACTGGTGATTTCCTTACATCACTGACGAGCCCTTCTGAGCGTATTGTGCGAGCAGGATTTGAAAGCCTCGTTCCTCGGACACCTGATGAATTCGCAGAACGCTGGAAGACAAGCACAGAGCGCAAGAAGCTCCTGGTGGAGATTAAAGCAAATGAGTTTGATGAGTCTGTTGCGGATCAAAGATTTGACCAGTTTGATCGCTCTTGTGCAATGGAGAAGTCAAAGCGAACTCGGTCGGGAACGCCCTACACCTTGTCATATGCGATGCAGATTCGCCTGTGCCTTTGGCGTGGTTTTCGACGTCTTCGAGGTGACTTGGCCATGACCCTTGTCAGTGTCATTGGAAATTCCATCATGGGCTTGATCCTTTCAAGCGTCTTCTACAATATGAAGAACAACACCGCCAGCTTCTACAGTCGTGGATCATTGCTCTTTTTTGCTGTCTTGATAAATGCATTTGCCAGTTCACTTGAGATTCTGGCAATGTACCAGCAACGTCCCATTGTTGAGAAACATGCCAAATACTCCCTTTACCACCCGTCAGCAGAAGCTATCAGCGGCTTGATCGTGGAGCTTCCTTCGAAGGTCATTCTTGCCATCCTGTTTAACGTCATCATCTATTTCCTGCCAAATTTGCGTCGAACGCCCGGTCACTTCTTCACCTTTTTGCTTTTTACTTTCACCACTACTCTCGTCATGTCTACTCTATTCCGTTGGATAGGCGCAATATCACGATCAGTGGCGCAATCTGTGACACCAGCCTCAATATTCATGCTGCTTTTGATCATTTACACCGGTTTTACCATTCCTATCCGGGATATGCATCCTTGGTTCCGATGGCTCAACTATCTGGACCCGATTTCCGTAAGATGGTCCCTTTTCGCGCATTCTGTAACAAGATTTGCTAACACTCGATAGTACTCCTTCGAGTCTCTCATGATCAATGAATTCAGCAACAGGCAATTTCCCTGCTCGGATTATGTACCGGGTCTCTTGGAAGTTTACAAAAGCGTTCCACTCAGCTCCAAGACCTGTTCAGGCAAGGGTGCCGTCGCAGGTCAGGATTTCATAGATGGTGACAGATACCTCAACACGACTTATCACTATTATCAATCCCATTTGTGGCGAAACTTGGGCATCCTCTTCGTCTTCCTTGTCGGGCTGCTTGCTATGTATATCGTTTCCAGCGAGTATGTTCGAGCCAAGCCTTCCAAAGGTGAAATCCTGGTTTTCCCGCAAGGTAAAATGCCAGGATTCACCAGAAGCTCCACGAAGGACGATCCGGAGGTTGTGATCACAGCAGAGAAATCCTCAGTCGTCGCCGAGCCTCAACACCAAACTGCCGCTATTGCTCGCCAGACTTCCGTGTTTCAATGGGAGAACGTATGTTATGACATCAAGATCAAAGGCAATTCTCGGCGCATTCTCGACTGTGTGGACGGCTGGGTGAAGCCTGGGACATTGACGGCGCTAATGGGTGTGACTGGTGCTGGGAAGACATCGCTGTTGGATGTTTTAGCTGACCGTGTCACCATTGGCGTTATCACCGGCGATATGCTTGTCAATGGTCGAGCCCGGGATGACTCGTTCCAACGAAAGACAGGATACGTTCAACAGCAAGACCTTCATCTTGAGACAAGCACTGTCCGTGAAGCTCTGGTTTTCAGCGCTCTCTTGCGCCAACCTTCCACTGTACCATACAATGAGAAGATCTCGTACGTTGAAGAGGTTATCCGCATGCTTGGTATGGAAGAATTTGCAGATGCCGTGGTCGGGGTTTTGGGCGAAGGCCTCAACGTGGATCAACGAAAGCGTCTGACTATCGGCGTGGAACTAGCAGCAAAGCCAGGCCTACTACTCTTCTTTGATGAGCCGACCTCGGGTCTTGATAGTCAAACGGCCTGGTCAATTTGTACCTTGATGCGAAACTTGGCTGACCACGGTCAAGCTGTGTTGTGCACAATCCACCAACCCTCGGCTATTTTGATGCAGCAATTTGATCGCCTCTTGTTTCTGGCCAAGGGAGGCCGAACTGTGTACTTCGGCGAGCTTGGAAACAACATGCAAACTTTGATCAAATATTTCGAGGACAAGGGATCGTCCAAATGCCCACCAAATGCGAATCCAGCCGAGTGGATACTGGAGGTGATTGGTGCAGCTCCGGGGTCTCACGCCGACCGAGACTGGGGCGATGAGTGGGTCAAAAGCGCTGAGCGTGCCGAACTTCGCCGTGAACTTGCAGCAATGAAAGCAGAATCGCTGAGCAAGCCTCCACCTGCTAGTGCCGAGTTTGCCGAGTTTGCGATGCCGATCTGGTATCAGTTCCTTGTTTGCATTCGTCGGATGTTCCAACAGTACTGGAGAACCCCAGTGTATCTTTATTCGAAGGCAGCTGTCTGCATACTTCCAGTGAGTATTATCTGCTTTATGGAATCGACTCCCACTAACATTCATAGCCACTTTTCATCGGATTTAGCTTCTGGCATTCACCCACCAGCTTGCAAGGACTGCAGAACCAAACGTTTGCCATTTTTATGCTGCTCACCATATTTCCCAATTTGGTGCAGCAGATGATGCCGCATTTCGTCACGCAGCGCGCTTTGTATGAAGTCCGAGAGCGACCCTCCAAAGCATATTCATGGAAGGCCTTCATGGTAGCCAGTATCTTCACCGAGCTGCCATGGAACGTATTGTTCGCAGTCCCGGTTTTCTTCTCGTGGTATTATCCGATCGGGTTGTATCATAATGCCCAGCCCACCGATGCAGTTGCCGAACGTGGTGGAGTCATGTTCGTTTTCATCTTGGCTTTCTTGATGTTTACGTCCACTTTCAGCTCCATGATGATTGCTGGTATAGACCAAGCAGAGACCGCCAGTAACATTACCCAATTGATGTTCTCGCTCTGTTTGACCTTCAATGGGTAAGTGACCTATCCATCCCTCTTTCTTTCCCTTCAGTTTCCTCCACCTTGCAAGTGCTCAAAGAATACTAATCTTTTTGATAGTGTGCTTGCGAGCCCATCGGCTCTTCCTCGCTTCTGGATCTTTATGTACCGCCTATCTCCATTTACGTATCTCGTGTCCGGCGTACTTTCAACAGGGCTGGGTGGGACGGAGATCAAATGTTCCGACATCGAGTTGCTTACTGTCATGCCTCCAGCGGGACACAACTGCTCCAGCTATCTGGATCCCTACGTGCACGCTCTGCATGGAAAGTTGATCAATCCAGAGGCATCGACAGAGTGCAAAGTGTGCCCAATTTCAAGCACCGATCAGTTCCTTGCTCTTCTCAACATGGACTATTCAGATCATCAGCGCAACATCGGGATCTTGTTTGCCTTTGTGGTGTTCAATATTGTGGCAGCAGTGTTCCTCTACTGGCTGTGCCGCGTACCCAAGCGCAAGTCGCGAACAGTCAAAGCTTGAATCTGGCCATTGATCTCAGATATCCACCTGAGTATTCTCATCTCATGCTCAATGGTCTTATCTAGCTAACTTAATGTATGCTTGTTCTCAAAGAAAAATAAGGTTCTAATATGCCCACGTGGATTGCTTTGTATTTCCTGTGTAATTGCTGGTTCTAGAATAACCTTGGACAACGGAGATTCAGTCCATTAAATTGGGTTTAGCTTCTCATCCTAATATGCAATATATTTACTCGAAGCTGTGGCAATCACCCCACCCAAGACCCACTAATTGGTGGAAAGCACAGCAACACTCAGATTGGGCAACTTGAAGCTGAATTCGCCCTTCTTGCCAGCCTTTATCTGAGTAGTCTTGCTCTTCACAAGGTTGGATCCACCCACGGCATTCATGCTGAAGGCGTCAGGGGCAGTCAAGATAGTCAAGTCAGCCTTGGTGCCACGGCCGACACCCTCGAATGTCAGCGACACAGGCACGTCGGCGGTACTGTTGTAGACCGCTCCCTTAAAAATGTGCGAGTTGGTCTTGCTGTCCAGGCCAGTCGCGTAGTACAGGGGACCGAAAGAGTCGGGGGAGGTGGATGGAAGGGTGTCGGTCATGATATTGTGGTTGAACAGCTATGTTGCGAGGATTGTTAGTTTATTTGTCAGGTGGTTGAGGGCAAGGAGAAACATACGCTGTAGATGTGGAAACTGGTGGAGCGCGCTGTTTGATCAGGGTTGGAGTTGAAGGAGAGAATGGTCGGAGACCACTGGTAGCTGTCCTTGTTCATCAAAAAAGGAGCCTGCTTTTTGTTAGAGTTTGCATTTATGTATCAAATTTGAACGCTTACATAGGTCGTTCCGATGATCTTGTCAGCGTTACGTTCTGCGCCCAAAAGCAGGACAGCCTCGGCCACAGAACCGATCCACCACGGGTAGAGGGAGAAATGGGTGTTGGACCAGTCAATGCCAACTCCGTTGTTTGGCTCAGTGGCAGCAATCTCGCCTTGAAGTGGGTCAGTCAAATGTTCTTTGAGAAAGGCAGAAAGACTTACCAAGCAAGATCGGGTGCTCCTTCGAGTAGCTATCGAACATATTGAACTTGGTGATGAAGTTATCCGGGGTGTCATAGAGGTGATAATCACCACCGGCGGTTCCAGGGATAGTCATGTCGATGGTCGAAGCCAACACCTGGATGTCGGGGTACTTGGCTGTGATAGCCTTATAGAATGCTGGGAACCGGTACGCCTTGTATGATTCCAAACCGCTGTTAAGGTTGTCCTCGTTGCCAACCTCAACGTAGTTGATCTTCCAAGGTTCTGGGTGGCCAACCTTGGCACGCAAAGCGCCATACTCGGTGTCCACAGATCCAGTCAAGAACTCGATTTCGTTGAGTGCATCCTGCACGTAGAAGTCAAGCTCAGACTCAGGGACCAAGTCACCGTTAAGAGCAAGACCGCCCCAGACGGCGAGGACTGAGGACATCGGGTCAGATAGACCAATCAAAAGATAGTGGGAAGTTTTACTTACTAGGTTCCATGTTGAGATCGTCACACCACTCCATGTATTCAATCAAGCCAAGTCCAAGGGTTTCCTGGTATTGCCAGGTGGTGGCACGACCAGGGCGGTCCTTGAGAGGTCCGATCGTCTCGTTCCACTTCCAGCGGCCCTCGATGGTGTCACCCTCAAGGTTGTTGCCTCCGGGGAAACGAAGGAAAGTCTATGGGACTTGTTAGAATTTGAGATATTCACATCGTTTCGCGCTTCTTTGGTGCGGGATATCGACTACTTACGGGACCCATGTCCTTCATGGCCTGCATCAAGTCTTTGCGCATGCCGTTGGGGCGGTCATTCCATGTAGGTGGGAACAAGCTAATCAGATTGAAGTCCAGCGAGTTACTTGATGCTTTCTGTTTGATATTAGCCGTTGACTGTACAAGATTGCGCTGGTGCCAGATCTTACGGAGCCATCGAAAGTCAGTGAGAAGGTATTCTTGATGTCAGAGCTCTTGGCCTTGGGGGTCAGAGTGAAGCTGTGCTGCACCCAAGAGTCTGCCTTGCTCTTTGAGTTGACCTTGGTAGTGGCAAGCACCTTTCCACTGGGTGACAGGAGGGAGGCAGTGAAGGAGCCACTGTAGGAGCCCTTCACGTAAAAGGATCCACTGTACTTTTGTGGGCGCACATCGATGCCCCAGAAACCTGCGTTGATGAGACCCGCAGTACCACTTCCCTTGACGTTGACAGAGGTCGGGAGAGCGGTGGACAGGGGATCAGTCAGGTTCTTCAGGGACAGCGAAGAATCTCCAGCAGCAGTCCAGGCATCCAGTGAAGTAGGAAACTTGGAACTGCCTTGGAAAGCTCTGTTGCGAATCAATTCGGCATAGAGACCTCCCTCGCCGCAGTGGTTGATTTCCTTGAATCTCGTTAGTCACGATATTTCACGAGGGTAGAACTCAACATACCTCTTCCATTGCACCATACTGTAGACCTGACGTAGCATTGCCGCCAGACTTCGCTACGGAGATAGTGACGGCCGCACCATAGGATGCCAGAAGTGGCAACAGGAGATACTTGTGCAGCATTTTGCCGTGTACAGACTCAACCAGCGTATCAGCTCGTTGATCCTTTCCAATATGCACGAAGCACAGGTAGACGGCTTCTTGGGGTGAATATTTATATGCGCATAGCTCAGACACTAGCAAAGAACCCGCCGGCTAATTTCTCTTGCTCCTCATTTCATCTCGATTGATGCGGAAGATCCGATATGAAACCGGAGGGGGGCAGGGGGTTGAGGTGTTGATCCCTGCGACTTCAGTGGAAAATGTCTGCCGACAGCTCGAAAAATACCGACACTCCACTCCCCTTTGGGAAAATCTCCATGAGGAGTGCATGAACTAAAGAGGACCCCTCCAGGAAAATACCATCTGGGGAAATGTCGGCACAGCTAGGGCGTTTTTAATCATCTGTTCCTTGCGTCAGGTCATGCAACGTTGAAGCACCTGCATGATGTCAGGAAAACGCCGAGACATGCGCCTGTGAGTAATTTGAAAGGCTTCATGCTGGTTTCAAGGTACCAATTCTGGGCATGTTGTTCTTGGCCGCAATTGAGGGGTAATGCCCAACGCCATGGCCGGGAATGCGGAATGTGATTGACGGGTAAATCAACGCGCCGGTCTCCGCCGCAGATCTTCCCCTTGCTCTGTCAATATATTCACGAGATTTCCAGGACTTGCACTCGGGAATATCCTCAGTTGAGAGCTTGCCGAAGACTTGGCAGCGCGGGAGCCACCTCTCCTTTCTTGGCTTCATTCATGCCTGATAAGTCAGGCCATTGACGTCTTGGCCAAGTTGTGAGCAAACAACGTTGAAATCGTAGCGTTTCAATTGCTTGCCCAATTAATTGAAAGTTGAGGGGAGATGAGATGCAGGGGCAAGGTAGAATCGATTTGGGTATATATAATTACTATGTATATTCAACACCCGAATGAGCACAACAAAATGAGGCAGTGCCTACACAGGCTGGTGGACGAAATGGAGCGGCGTTGCCAAGGTGGCAAAGCGAAATTAGGTAAGCTTTTGGCGAGAGAAGTTGAAGGGAACCATAGAGAACACAGGTAAGAAGACACACGACTGCTCAATGGTAGCCCAACACCGTTGTCGCCCTTTCAAGTTGACTATCTAGAAGACGGTACCCTTGACCTGAGCGACCTTCTTGAGATCGATGTTGCGGATCATGATGGTCCAGGCAATAGCCAGGGCCATAATACCGAGACCAGCAGAGAGCATGCGCACCTCAGCATATCCATAGGCATGTTGAATAGCCAGTCTCGTCTCGCTTCCCATGGGGTAGCTGGTTTGGGTATCGAGATCTTCATAAATGTTCTCGAAATTGTCCATGGCTGACTCGGGAAGGTACATTCTCAAAGCCTTGGGGAAGGTGTTTGTCCAGATAGCTGTGCAGATAGTGTATCCAGCAGATCCACCAATAGTACCGACAACGTTCAGCAAGCCAAGCGCAGCTGCGACGTGCTGGTGGTCGACGGCCGCGAGAATAGCAATCTGTTCGACCAGAATGAAGATAGAACCTCCAATAGAGATGAAGATCTGGCACATGACCTGGTATCCGACAGTCATACCAGGCTTGCGGAAGTAGATCATCAAACCTTGGGCGAAGATGTATAGAGGTACGGAAATGTAAAGCAGCCACTTGAAACGACCAGTCCGACTGATGATCCATCCCACCAAGAGAAGAAGCACACCTGAAACGACGTCGAAGGTGTTGCTAACATATCCAGCTTCGGCGATGGTAAGATTGTTGACAACCTGGAGGAAAGAGGTGAAGTAGTTGTTCCAGCAGTAGTAGGAGAGTTGATAGGTAGCGTCCAAGAGACAAGCACCAATGACCGTCCGATCGGTGAGAATAGGGAAGTTCAGCATAGGCGAGGGAGCCACCCACTTCTCGTAGATGGCGAAAATGAATAGCATGCAGAAACCAATGACAAGCATGGCGATAATATAGCCGGTGCCCCAGCCGTTGGGGGCTTCACTTGCGATATCAAAGGGCAGTTCGAAAAGGACCAGTCCAATAGTGAACAACACAACTCCGAGCACTAATGAACGTTAGTCTTTTGCTGGAAATTTCAGCGACACGAGTGAAAATGTTCGGGCGTTTACAGCGCCCAGATCCTCTCTGTCGTTGAAGCTGGAAGAAGTGATACTCACAGTCGAATTCCACAACCCAGTGCCAGACACTTTGCAAAAATGTGCGACCACTTGACTCTCTGGCGCGGTGGCCTTCACGTCCAGCCTTGCGAAGGGTAGACTTCAGAACGAAATACAAAGGCGCCGCGACGATGGGGAAGATAATCGCCCAGCAGCCGAGACCCCATCTCCAGCTGACCTGGTAGTAGAACTCGTCGGCAACCTTGGGACCAGCAAATGCGGTGATGATGTAGGGCGAGGATGTGAAAGCAAAGGCAAGACCTCGGTTCTTCAGCTTGGACGCATCGGCGGTGATGACATCGATGGAGTACTCCATACCACTGAAGCCGATGTAGTAGAAGACCTAGAATCATATCGGTCAGTAATCCAAACGTATCGAACAGAAACGATGGTAGGCGTCAAGCTTACATATGCGGTACAGTAAATAGCGAAGCTATCGCATGCGGCCAGGAGAATCAAACCAAGGGTAGCGAAGCAGGTCATAACGAGGAAACCTTCGGCACGACCCCAGGTATCCATAATCTTTCCGACGGGGATATAGACCGCCGCTGAGAACGCGTCGGCCATGGCAGTAGGGACACCAGACAGGGAGTGGGCAGTGAAAGAACTGGAGATGTAGGGACTCAAGCTGCTGAAGACGGAGGATTGGAAGGCGTTGACAAAGTACAAGAACCAGATGCTGTTAAGACCAGGCATTAATGACTATGCGAAAAAAAGTGAATGTGTTGCGGCAACATACTTGATGAACACGAAGGCCAAGGTCTTCTTGGACCAAGTCAAGGTGATAGCCTCAATGTCTCTCACACCATGCTGCAGGTCTTCCGCAGGCTTCTCTGGCTGTTGGACTTCGGTATCCGTAGTAGGATCTCTCTTGCTCTCTTCCACGGTGGTTCCCTCCACCGGGGTGGCTGAGGAAGCACTGGCAGCATCATCAGCCGCGAAGCGGTTGAGGACCGTTCGGGCCCTTCGGATCAGAAGACGAACACCCATGGCTCAGGCAAAGATATTGACGGTTGTAGACTGAAAACAGAACATAGAACGAAGGCCGTAGACCTTATATTTAGTATAGAAAATTTCCGCGATCGGCTCGGTAAAATAAACACCCCCAAAAACCACGCGGTGCCATGAGACTAGCGGGACTTTGCGTGGCCCATGGACATTGATTTGTTGGGAAAAGCCGAGCTGGAAAGCAAAGGCCTCCACTTCCAAGAACAGGCCTTCGCCTAGCGTCCCGCTTAGCAGCCAGAAGCAGCCACCGGTCCACCGAAGGAGTCAGGGCAGATCTAATCAGATGCCTCCCTCATCTTATCACCCGACCGCTAGTCCCAACCCGGTAAGCGTCAGCCACACTAAGCTTCGGAGTGGCCTTTTCAAGCTTCGCTTGGTTTCGCTTGGCCCCTTGGCGTCCCCTCAGAAATTAATTGCGGATACTGTCTTTGGGCTTTCCATGTAAATTCTCTCGCTTGTCGCGCAACCGGGGAATCAAATGGAGCTCAGGGAAATTTTCGTCTTATCTGATCGTGAATCGGTCGTGAGAGCCCTGGAGATCGGATCAGCTCGGATCAGCTCGCACCGTTGTGAGCTTGTTTGAATGGTTTCATTCTTTCGGGAAATGATGGTCAATTTTTGGCTGTCATGTTTGCTGATCGATTGGCCACCATTTAGTCAGAGCCCATTCCGAGATTCTCGGAAACCGACCGCATTTCAAATATTGTTTAAAATCTTCCATAGTTCATTTCTGATATATCGCCAAGCGCGTGACGTCCTCGTGGAACGTACGACTTTTGGAAATGGGCTAACCCCATCTTGCTTCATCCGATGGACCCGGTGGAGAGCCCTACCGGTCAAGGCGAACGATGGTCGAAATTACCCTACGAATTGCCACCTGCAAGTCTTCCGATATCCGGGATTTTCCCATGCGCTCGGTGCCTGGCTTGATGTTCGTAATTGTGGACTCTCCGCAAGCCAAATTGGAGACTTGCATTATATATGAACTTGTGGCGTATCGAGGACCTCGGGAGTATTTGGTTCCCCGAAACGCCATCCGTGGATGTTTGCTCTAATTTTTTTCAAAGAAAGAAAGAAAGAAAGAAAGAACACTGTGTATTATCTTGGCGTTAGCACGCCTGATGCTTTCGTCGTCTGGCTGTTCACCAGAGTCACTGAGTCAATGAAGTCAAACCTGCCGGCGGGTGTGCTTGCTAATGCTTCTTGAATAGCACGGATCAAAGAAGTATCCCTTGGCTGCCGCGAAACGTGATATAGGCCGTGAACCTTGACCTTAGGCCACAATCTCCTTCGTTGCATGATCCTCTCTGCGCGCCCGACCCTACTCCAATGGTTTCTCAAAAATGACTTGAGACTCCTAAGATCATATTGTCGATCAGTAAATTGAGAGTCACAACGCATGTATCTGTCAGTGCGGGATAGTTACTTTGGGGAGCTCCATTCCTCCACGGTGCTCAGTGCTTTCTTCGTATGTATGTGCTCCGGGCCATGAACTTGGCTGAAGAGGCTGGCACACTCTGTCATCAAATCTATAGCTTCATTCCGACGTCCTTGAAAGGCCCATGTTTCAGCCAGATATTTCATGTTGAGTACTGTGTGTCGGTGCTCAGATCCAAGAACTTGTTTGTTGATCTCAAGCGCTGTCGTATATAGCGCTTCAGCCTCGTCCAACCGCCATAGCTGAGTATAAACTTTCCCCAGTTGGCTTGCATGTACAGCTGTCTGGGGATGATCGGATCCCAATGTTGCTTTGGACATCTCGAGTACGAGTGGAGCCAACTCTGCCGCATCCGAGAGTCTACCCTGAAAGATGTAGAGATTCAGGAGGCAACCTGCCGCTTCAATTGTTTCGAAACTTCGAGGGCCCAACTCTCGCAGAAAACATTTGATAGATTGGGTACACAGCTCTTCGCTTTTCGAATATTCTCCTTTGAGTGAAAGTAACGATCCCATTTCAAGATTTGCACGTGCCGTCATGAAATGATCGGGTCCATAGACTTTGGCAGTTATCTTGGTGAGCCTTTCAAGCAGTACCACTGCTTCTTTCGTATTCTTTTGATCAAGGTGATATCTTGTCAGGCTACGAAGAGTATGAAGGAGGAGTTCATCATCAGGGTCGCAAATGATTTCTGCAATTTCAACGCATTCTTTGAGCAGTGCGAACGACTCTTCTATCCGGCCATCGAGCAATTGGCAAGAGCCGACTTGATTTAGTAGCCAAACTCGATGCGATCCAGGCTCTTCATCTGATGTTGTATCAAGGATATAAAGAGCATGAGGTATGGCTGCCCTCCACGGACCTCGGTGAAGCCGGTCGGGCTCGGGAAAGTTGTCGGAAATGTGTTTAAGCACCCATTCTTTCCAAGCTTGCAGATATATCCCTGACCTGAGCCAATTTCGCATTGCAAGGTGGACAAGTCGATGCATACTCAGGGTAGTCCCACTTTGCTGTACGCGTACAAAGGAATAGGAGACTAGTACACCGATTGCCTTCTCCCGCTCAAGAGCATTACTCTTGCCAAGGAAGCATGTGGGGATGTCTTCACTCGCCATGCACCCCATTTGCATCAGATACTGAGAGGCAAGTGGATGTTTCTGGTGAATTTGATGAAAAGAGGTGAGCCATGTCGTCGCCACAGGATTCCGAATGCTTTTGTAACGGCCCTCATCCTCAAAATCCTCACTCAGCAGATCGATGGCGCTCTGCTCCTGGCAATCTAGAAGTCTGACATATGCTTCAATTGATGTCATGTTTTCGTTGATGAAAGATGCAGCTTGGACAATGGCTAAGGGGAGATAAGTCAAGCGGTCAAGAAATTGGCGTGTGACTTCCACATCTTCGAGGAGCTCTTTGCGAGTCAGACTGTTCCGTAAGACTTGTATAGCATTCTGCTCATTCATCTCAGTGATTTGGATAACATCTTCAGCGGCAAGTAAGCGAGCTATCTTGTGGCTTCGTGTTGTGAATAAGATGACACCTTGATTGCTGACTGGAAGGTCTTTGGTCTCACTCCAAAGATCATGGTCATCTGCATTGTCGAAAATAAGGAGCCACCTGCCGGATTCCGGTTGACTAAGGTGCCTCTGAACAAGAACCTTGACGTCCTCACCTTGTGTATCAGAAGTGTTTATCCCAACTTGATCCGCAATCCTCTGGTATGCCTGGTGAATAGACTCCGTATCCATGGCAGGAACCCAAAATACCGAGCAATCTGAGTACAGCTCCCGAATCTGATATGCCAACTCAAGCACAACTTGCGTCTTCCCCACTCCTCCTAGTCCAAATAGGGCAATTCGTTCAGAATGACAGGTGGTAAATAGCCTTCTTTTGATCTTAACCGTGATGTGATGGTCTACATATCGAGAATTTCTGTCAAAGGGTACTTCCCAGCATGATGATTTGTCGGACAGAAAGGGCTTCCCGGAGGAACCGATGGCTCGCAAAATCCGAGACTGTGCCACTCGGGCTTCGTGTTCCTATGAAAAGGTCAATACACAGTATTTTTATTTCTAAAAAATTAAGCTGGCACTCACTCGCAAAACGTCCTCAAAATTAACATTTGTCCTTCCTGTCAAAAGTTAGATCTAAATATCCTCGTAACAAGAATCCATCTTTCTTCCTATACCCAGGCTTACCTTGTTTGCTCGATAGATTCGAGATACAGCCTTGAACAGACGACTTTTGCCCCGAATGATGAAGGTAGGCATGGGTTGCAGACTCGATCACACTGCGCTTTTGGTATTCATTCATGTGAACTCCTTGAAGCCCTTGTTCGACATTGAAGCGAAAATAGCGTTGCGTATTTGATTGGTTGCACCATCGAGCCATAAAGCGGCGTTCAGTGCTCTCGGGTTTCGTGGCCATCCGGACAAGTGTTTGTGAGAGAAACTTGAGCATCTTGTTGTCAACAGGCACTCGTGCTGGGCTTCCTGTGCCTATGGAAAGAATACATTTGACCAGAGGTCTCAGTTCACGGGTTTCGTTACACCATATGTCTGTGGCTTCCTCTTCAATTTCCTCAATCGGGTTGTTGGCACCAAAGGCGCCATCAACGAATTCGCGGTTTCCAATCCTTACTGGATCAAAGAATCCCGTTGCTGCAGAAGTTGCCAGGGCTGCCTCACATATTGTGGCTGATACCGTGCCTTCGCTTGAGATCTTGTAGCTCCGCAGACGAGTCACCTGCAAGGTCTCTTTGGCCGTTGTGCATACGAACATTCGGCATCGACCAGAGCTACCATAGTCCATTGGATCCTCAGGGGACAGGCCAGCACGGGAAATGACTTCCTCGATCGCGACCTTGAGCTTTTTGCTGTCATACTGGGGTACAATGTTGCCAGCCCAGTCAATAGGCAGGTTGTTGACCTTCTCACCAAACACTGATTCCATCAACTCCGTGTATGCGCAAATGCACTCGTCGATTCCCATTTCCAGTCGTCCCAACATTATGGCAATAAGCCTAAAGGAATAGAAGAATTAGCATTTTTCTGGACGTGATTCAGACTTTGAGTATGTCATTTCCACACACCCTCCAGTGCTTGTGCCTCCGATCAAATCAAACACATCACATGGTTTCAACACCTGATTGTCATCGCGTTCTGCATTGAGTTGGCTCATAAGATCTCTCAGTATGAGAAGACTGGATAATCCCCTCACTCCGCCCCCATCTAAAGACAATAGGCACAACCCCCTGGCTTCTCGTGGACTTGGCCCCAAGACGTCGTGTGCGACCATGAGGGCGATCAACCCAGGATGTACACCTTAAACAACACGGATGGCACAACGAGTATGTAAAAATAAACTTAAGTTTCATATGGACAGGTCCCTCTGTTTTGAATCATCCCCTGGAGCCCCCGGCCCCCAGATGGTGCATGGTAATGCATATACACGGCGCTTAGCCACAGAGCGGAGATTAGGTGTTTGCCAATCAACAACGAGGGCCCACAACATTCACACTCGGCGGAGGAGCCTGGAATTCTTGATCGGCCTATACGTGTTCAAGTAGCGTGGTTTGCTTGAGATACCAGGCTTGCCAAAAGCACAAGTACCAAAGGGGCGTTGTTCAGCCCAGCCCCAGCGGCTGAGCAGTGTGATTCCCAGGCCACCGAACATTTCAAGGATTACGTTTAAGTTGAACTCACATTTGACTGAGGTCTGCTCAAGTGGCCGAAGAAGCAATACATTCTAGACCCATCCCTCTTGTGGTTTAATGCCGACGTAAAGGGTTCAAGTGCCAGATGGATGTGGTAATTTACAAATTTCAATTCACCGGCTCATCGAGGCGAATGAATTTCGGATCACTCTGTGTCATTATGATACAAGGACCATTGAGTTTCGAAAGCCAGTCAACGGGCAGAAAGGAGTATGATTAACGTATGAAATGAACGAACCCTGGGGCTAAATTAAAGCCCCATGAGAGATATCTCCCCCAAGAAGAACAGATGCTTGGTTTTGGACAGAAAGAAAATATGGCAGTTCCATGAGAGCAGCAGTTTGTTTCAAAGCGCTGCCGGGCGTATCAAGAAATTCCAACGCCAGCAATAAGAAAGGTGTCGTCGATGTCGTTGAACGTGGTGCTTAGCACATTTCGCAGCACTCGATGCACTCAGCACAGCATTCACATCCCTCCTCGCATACAAAGCAACAGCACAGAACGGCGAGACTAGGGTAAAGAGTATAACATCAACAGTGAGCTCCGTTGCAAGGCATGATGAGACTTACCACGATCCGAGACATCCCTTGCCACCACCACTGGACTTTTGATCTTGCTGGGGCGGCGGGCCCTGCTGAGGTGGGGGATAACCCATGTTCTATATAATCATGAGTTTAACCAGCCATGTGTGAGCTAAACTTCCATAACTTACTTGTTGAGGATAGCCGCTGGGCGGCGCGTATTGCTGTTGCGGGTAGCCCTGTTGAGGGGGGTAATAGGCCTGCTGGGGAGGGGGTAGCCTTCGTATCTGCATTCAAAGATGTATCAGTTTGAAGTCCAATGTGCTCGGCGCGAGGTAATGTGATAAATGGCCAGAAGACAATGCCTGGTGGACATGGCGAGGAGTCGCAAAGTCCATTAGGCCCTATTGGCTCTTGTCACAAGTTGGATATCTGAATACCAACAAGACCGCCAAGTCGCCAAAGGATAGGTGTGTGGTTGGGATTCGACGTACCCTTGGGGAGGAGGACCGCCCTGGGGGGGATACTGGTAGGACATGACGGCGCTTAGGAACCTAGAGGAGCAAGAAACGAATTAGCGATGCGATCACAATCAACGCGACCCTCTCATTTGGTGCCTCGCGGTGATATGCGCGAAGCTAACGAAGGATGGCCGCCACAGCGGTAAAATCCACGTACCTGGGAGCGTGGAGATTGGTTGAGAAAAGGAGGCTGTGAAAAGCGACCGGGGTAAGCGAATGAAGAGTTGAAATACGAAGGAGAATCTCAAGGAAGAAGGGGTGGTGAGATGAGAGTCAGAAAAGAGGAGAAATGACCACTTACTTTTGTGAAGAGGGAATTTGTCGGGGTTACGTTCGATGTACTTTGCCGGTCCGCCCGACGAGAGAGTTTGGCCGCCAAGAATACAGGGCTGAGGTACCGCCCAAGTACTCCGTACCCTATCTGCCTTTGCCCCTATCCCCTACGTGCTGCTCCACACGGCCCGAACGGTTCGTTGTAACGATCTTTTTTGATTCGTGTGTTTATTATTGTTTTGATTTTCTACTGAATGTTCACAGCTTGAAAATTTACTTTACTCGAGCGAGCAAAATGCCGAGTATAATAGCCTCAATATCGATGAGGTACTTGAGAAGTACTACAGAGTCTACGGCGTCAGGTCCACAGCCACAGTTCTGCCAGCCCTATTGCCGGCTAACGCAGTCAGCCACATTTCTCATTACCTAGACAACCAGACATTGGTTGTTCGCTCAGCCACGGGACCACTCCCAGTGGGCCTCAACAAGATGCTGTGCCAATCGTCGCCCTCCACAACCTCGCAGGTGATGGGCCGGTCTTGGCATTTTTGACCGCCTTGATCGCTGCTGCCTGCCTGCGTATTCGGTACCTGGTCATGCGTACCATGGAACACGTCAATGCTTGTACCTGCTACTACCTACAGTGGAAGGTGCATTCCGGAGTTATTGTTCATTCAAGATTAGTTCAAGCTTCTGACTGTCGATACCGATCTGTCGGTTCAAGCGTCTCTATCCACGCCAAATACACCTAGCATACCCCCCAAAAAGAGCTATTCCCAAACCTAATCATTGACACATTTCAGTACACAGGATTCGAGCCTATAAAACATTCGCCCAGACAAACCGACGAAACAAACTACGATCGCTCATATGGCATACGAATCGATATCGGGATTACACGACGACGGCGAACTCATCGAAAACGGCGAAGTCACCGCAGGATCAGCCTCAACGTCAACCCCGATCTCGAAGTCCAGCTCGAACGGCGCATCCGGAAAGTCGGGGAACTGATCATACTCGTGGATCAGCGCCGACTCGACCACGTACGAACCATGATTTGGCATCGCGCACGCAATAGACGGGATAATGGCAACCCCAGAATCGATAGTCGGAGCACTGCTGACAGACTTGACTGGAATCTTGGATCCTGTCGCAGTGTCATCCACTATCTCTTCTTTAGACACCATCCAGTGTTTCAAAACGTCCATCGATGGCGCGCTGCCGCCACCTTTCCCGCCTCGCTTCTCACTGTTCTTCCCGCGGCCTCCACGACCGCGCTCACAGGGATTGAAGTGCGTGCGGCGGAGATGGGCTGCAGCGTTGTAATTGGCTCCGTAGGTCTTGCCTTTGCGGCAAGCCTTGCAATTTGCCAGGAAGCTCTGGTCGGGTGAGATGTCGCGGCACACCCACACGCGGCGGATGGCCGCATGAACGCGCTCGATATGTCGGCGCAGCTCGTGTTCGCCGTGAAAGCCGTCTGGGTGGTCGTTACAATGTTGGCAATGCGTCTTCTGGCGCGGGGGTCGCTGGACGGAAGCTTTGGGGATCGCGGCAACTTCCTTGGCCGTGCCGTCTGTTGAGGAGATGCGGACCATCTTGTGCGAGGTGATGGAGTCGAGACTGGGGATCATGTTGTCGCTTTCGCGCTTGGGCGCAATGGGACGGGCGCCATGGGCGATTTGCTCTTGGGTGCGGCGCGAGGCACGAGAGCGCAGGGTTGCTGAGTTGTTGCTGTCGATTGAGTCTGAAACTTTCATTTCCACAGCTTCATAGGGGACGTGAGAGTGGGGAGTTGGGTAGTGGAAGGAGGTGGTTGCGGGGGCGGAGGCGGAGAATGGCATGGGTTGGGAGTAAGGGAAAGACATGGCGGGATCTAGGTCAGGATACACAGGGAGGAAGGGGCTTTGATATGGCAAGCCAGTGGTGGACGCTGGCACCCACTCAGGCGGAACGGAGTCGATGGGTTCTTGGTGAGACGGTCCATGGGAGTCGAAGCGGAACATGTTGATTCCGCCAACCAAGGTGTCGGTGGTTCCGCTGCGAGACATCTCCGGTGCGCCAGTCTGAGCCACCTCGTTCCAGTGCGGTGTCTGTCCAGAGACCTGCTGATATGGTGATGGTCCAGTCCGTTCATGATTTGCGAGTCCGAAAGTCAGGGCCGAGTCATAGGGTTGACTGGGGAAGTTCTCCAAACGGCGCGTGTACTCGGAGGGCGAATATTCGTCGACATGGTCGAGACCATGCTGGGACCGTACCGGGCCAAAGGATTGGCGTTTGCCCATGGCAGCATCGACTGGTTGGTGTTGGTGGTGGTGATAGTGGTGGTGATGGGAGACCGGGATCTGCTGGCTCTGGGAGCGCATCATGGCGGTGTGCTGGTAGTATCCGTGTCCCGAGCTGGATACGTCTTGCCGAAGGAGGTCGGGGGAGGACGCATTCGAGAAATCGCGCATCAGGTTGGCGGGAAGCTCCGGGGTCTGCCAATTGTCAATCCAGGGCCGGATGGCGGTCAAGACAGGAGACGAGCGGGGCGGAAAAGAGATGAGCGGAAGCAAGTAACCAAGGTCACACATACGGTGGCTCTCCGTTTAGCCTGAGGAAGACCCAAGTCTGAGGATGGTAACGTTCGCGGCGTCGCGTCCTGTCGACTCCGCTTCCCTAGGCTTCCAGCGGGCGTCCAGTCATTCCGGTCATAGGAGGGAATGAACTGGCTTAGCCGTTCAATCCAGAGTTGATTTCGTTCGGGTTCCGAGAGGTGGGAATGTTGAACCAAAAATGCTTCGCGGTATCCGGAGATGGCACTGGTGAACAGTTCGTCATCGGCCAGATTGACAGTCATGGTGAGGTCCCCGAAGTCACTGTTTATCAGTCATGCAAATAGAAGGGGGGATATGTGTGTAGCTGTAGTTGTAGGTGTAGTTGTAGTTCTGGAAGAGTTTAGTGTCGTGACTTCAATCGACTTTGTAGGACGTACGTGGATGCGATAAAAAAATTTATGAGATACGATAAAGCCGGGGCATCGATCTTATCAAGTCGAGAAAGATGTAAATCAGACAACCGTCACAAGTTGGGAGAGCAAGATTGGGCGAAGAAACAAAAGTTCGATCGACGATGAAGAGTGAGATACGAGCGCACTTTAGCAGAAGACTATACATACTCCTAGTCGATCATCGGTCTGGACCCCTTAGCCGTTCATATCCATGTCCGAGTGGTTTTTCTGATTTATTCCATTAATTCTTCTATTAATTCTTCGAATACGGAGTATAGCTCCACTTGAGTTGCCCCGTGTCAGAACCGCTAGTGCCAAAAGCACCGTTTGGCCAAAGTAATCCGGACAGAGGAGGGAGAACACACACTGTACTCCGTACTCTGTGCCCATGGACTCCATAGTGATTCCTGGTACTCCGTACTCCGTAATCCTCCCACTTTCAGATGTACCAACCGGGTTCGGGGAAACCTGCAGATGGCCGAGAAAATCGAAAAAAGAAATAACTCCCAAAGTGAGGCAGCGAACCGGATCACCCCGAGACTGGCCCGAAGCAAATGCGGCCTTGCTTACGAATAGATCGACTGTACACACCCTGGGGTACAGCATACATAAAGCAGTGGCTTTTCCCTCAGCGCCTACGGCGGGATGGTGTTCAAATAAATCTTGGAGAGCACAGCCATCGAGACCCTCTGGGTCCCCTTTAGGGCCGAACTAAGATTGCTCGGGCGCGTCGACGGCTGCCACGTCGTTTGGTGTGGCCGGGGCATGCAGATGACGGTGTTTGGCTCCGATGCCCAATGGCCAAGAGGCGAGCGAATCACACTGGACAAAAGAACCTTGGAATCAAACAAATATGGAGCAAACCGTTACTCGTATGGAGTACTATGTTGAACTGCACGTTCATGACTGAAAGAACCCGAGAGCTTTGAGTCCTTCCAAGGTTGTCCAAGTCAAGAATCAGTAAAGAATGCAGACCCAAGGTTCAGTTCGCCCTTCCCGTCGCGGTTCCATGGTTTGGCTTATATGGTACAACGGCTTCGGGCACTCGGGTCCAATCACGCCTCCTTCATTTTGCACCTTCAAAACACGCTATTGATGGATCTACCTCCACGTGATGGTGACTATTTGGGGGACTATTACTGCATACGTACTAGGACCACTCCATTTAGCAAGATCTCCTGATCGAATAACATCGGGGAGTTCGCCTTTTCCATACGAATCTTCGATGTGCGCGACTACTGACGTGACCGCTGTTTCAGTAATTCCCGCTAGCTTCCATTCTATGCGTAATCTCGGGATCGTAGAGCAGAAGTACGGAGTACGGAGTACTTTACTTCGTAATGAAGACGCTCTTGGAGCATGACGTCAATCTCTTTTTCGGGTTAGAGTTTTATAGTGTACCAAATGAGATCGTTTAAACAATACCACTATGGAGCGATCGCCGAGGTGAGCGTTGAGGACGGACTAAAGTGGAGTTCACTGCCTTGGATGTATCATCACCAGAGGCAGAAAAAGCCAATTTTATGCTGGCAAATGGGAGATTTTCGGTCAATGATCCATCATCGACAATGTGACCCCAGGGTCCTTTCATTGACACGAAGCTCGCCCTCACCGTCAACTCGAACGCTTGTCTCCTGACTCGTTGGGGCAAACTTTCACTCCGCCGGGCTATAGCAGAGATGAAATAATTGTCGCGTCAACCTCCTTTCCTTATCGATACCGTGTCCTCAACTGCGGCTGCTACATGGCTGAGACGCTGATAAGTTAGCCCCTGCATTAATGCCGAGAGGTGTTGCCTGTGGCGAGGACTCTTGAATGGGATAGGTCATACGTGAGACAGCGAAGCCATTGAAGGTCAGCCATTTCGGATAATAGGCTCTAGCACTTCCCGGATGGCATCGGGCAGGAAGCCATTGGTCCCAGGGCTTGAATGCATCACACTGGAAAGGGGAAGACATAGCTATTGATAGCAGTCCTATAGCTCAGGAGCCAGAGCCTCAGCTGATGATGGCTATCGGCTTTACGCCGTACTCCGTAGAAGGAAGCCTGACTCCTGCAAGTCGACCTTGCAAAGTATATCCCGTATTTTTGTAAGCCGATGTTCTGCGTGTTCCTTGCACACTTCTATCATAGTAGGTTGGCGTCGAGAGATTCGTACCCTCCCCCCTAGAATTTTGGTGCGTCCCAGGCATAGCCTGCTTTACGAGACAGCTCGCGTGTCATGGGGCAAATTGGTCAGCGTTTTCACTGGCGAAAAAGGAATAACACTGGTTCCAATATTAATTCACTTGCAAATGCCGAGTCAGTCGCAACGCAGCAAGTCGCAATCTAAGATCCCATGTTCTTAAGGATTGAGCCGTCAAGCAGGCCCCATGGACTGATTCTGAAGCGGACGGGATGTTTGGGTCAGCAGGATAGATTTCAAGGATTCTCTGTCAAGAAGTACGAATTCGCTTGATACCCTGTGTATGTTGCTGTACTTCCACGAGTCCAGCACGCGTCCTTCCAAGGTTTGAGGCTCTGTGGTTAACCCTCCATTCAATCTGTAGGGCAAGTAGATAATTGATGACTCTGATTCTGTCTTCGTAGGAGCCTGTCACCGCTTAGTTCTTTAGTTCCAACCAACGATACAATGGCTAAGGCGACACCCACCCGCCATTCATCAGGACCAGTAGCCACCTCGAGACACACTATTCTGCTTCACCAGAGAGGCGCAAGCCTATTACCAACATGGAATTGTTTGTCAGCCTTGTGGTACAACTGGGCAGCTATCAATCGACAGGCAGACTTGTTGTCTAGATAGATGCTATCTGTTGGGATCTGGGTTTGTATGAAACCCCCAGAAAGGACACCCATTCTCTTCTCTTCTTAGCTCAAGATCCACAACTGCATTCATAGGCTGACGAGAGAAATCCTTGAGACCCGATGTGCCTTGTCCGCACCTGGGCAGGATGCAAGCAGATGCCGACATATCCAGCCCCAATCACCTTTTTCACGGATCGGGAGGTCACAGATGATACCGAATTGTATCTCCCTTGACAAGAATCGCTGTAAGACTGCCTGATTCTCGGGTTCTTCGGTTCAACAATGACCATTATTTATCTTCCCGTCATCGACTTTGTGAGATTTGCTTGCACTGTGGTCAGGCCTCATAAAAGCCTGGGGGCCTCGGAGTTAGCAGCAGGGCGATCCCCAGAGTGGACAAGCTCGAAACCTCTGGGCGGGCTACGGAGCAGATGGGACGGAACTTCCTATTTTGAGTGTACAATGGTGTGCCGCTGCCACACCATACGGAGAGTCCGCATCCTGCGTATCCTCGAGGAGAGCCTTGGAAATTTCTTGACACTAGTGGACGAATACCAGTATCTTACAAGGTTCGCGCGCTGTTGAAAGTGAGTCACAAATCATACCAATATCTAAGAGGGCTTCGGGGCCATCAGATATCATCGGACACTTGAGCTCAAGAAGAGAAGCTACGTAGCTCCTCAAATACAATAGGTTTCTGCACTAGAGCCTGAGAAACACTCTAGAAATAACCACTAACATTCCTGAGGTCGTTCCAAGGCTGTCTGGGTTCCGCATCTTTCACTCTACGAGCTTGTTGAACTGTTCGACCGTTTGGGAATATATTCTGTCCAGGAGTGAACACCCGCATCCATTTCGAAGGAGTTTGCCCCCGCGACGTGTTATTCAAATCTTTATAAAACGTATATCGAAAACGGGCTTTAAGCAACTGCCCTAATTGTACTACCTGGATGTTGAGTTACGGAGCGCGGAGTACAAGTGACACGACGACGTTAAGAGTTCCACACCATGACAAACGTATGACTGTCTCCGTATCCATAAAGCTTCATGCATTGATTTTGCAAACGCAAATTCATAGGACAAGTCAGCCCAAACGGGCCTTAAAGGCAAACCAGCTTCAAAAACTTGGAACTAGCAAACAAGTGAATCTGGGTCGGGTTGACGTCAAGTTGCCCCATCGAGAAGCCGTTGGATACAACATGCGGTCAACTGGGAGGCAAATCGACGAGGACAATGCATATCTCAAATAGGCAAAAAAGGAGTAGTTCGTAACTATAGACAAAGACATAGCAAATTGTAGTAGAAAAAAATGCAGGGTGCAGGGGGTCACATAGGCTCAGATCCTCTCCCACGTGATTCAAGCCACGTCATAAATGTCATAAGGGGGAGTTTCGCTTTCCCCTAAATTATTCTCCAAAAGCTTCACGTCTTCGTGTATGAACCCATAATCCTCCACCATGCCGGACTCAACTCTCTACCTATACACGTCCCTGACTGCGGGGTCATCGCACATTATCACCGCAACCTCCCGAATTGAAACAATCCTCAAAGCAAACAAGCTACCCTTCCGCGCCATTGATGTTGCCACCGACGAAGCTGCCCGGAAACTTTGGGGCCGTCGCTCCAGAGGCAAGAAGCTCCCCGGCTTGGTTAAATATGGCGATATTGTTGGCGTGCGTTACAACCCCGTTCACATGAGCACCACCCTGCAACACAGGTCGTGGCCCTGAGCAGCGTCGCTAACCTCCTTGGCAGGACTTAGAAGAAGTTGAAGAATGGAACGAGTTTGGCGAGCTACGCATGGTAGTCAACTCCGTGCAAGACCTCGGTGGCATGCCCGCAACAAGCAACCCTCTCCCTGCGACCGAAACCAAGACCGAGCCCAAAGCTACAACTCCTAAGCCCTCTACGATCAAGATCCAAACCCCTCCCGTTACCAGTGATGAAGATAAGAAGGATGACATGACTGTGCTGGCTTTGCGCCAGGCTAGCACCGAGGCGGCCTCCAAGGCGAAGGCCAAAGCCGAAGATAAGAAAATCCCCGCAAAGGAAGAGCCTAAAGATGAGGTGCCTCTTGCTGGCCGCGGCCACCGAGGCTCGGTCGCTTGCGAATTGCCAGACACCGCGCCTGATTCACCCCAGGTGAAGCGCCCGACCCTGGTGCCCGAGAACGCAGCTGTGTCGTCAGCGAACTTCCATGTGGATAATGCCGAGATGCTCGGGCTCGTTGGACATCACCGCGGATCGCGAGTGCCGACTCTTGAAAATCCAGAACAGGACGAGGTTGTCCACGAGTTGAGAAAATCTATCTCCCAGGAGTCGACGGGCAACCTCGATGCCATCCGCAAGGAAGCCGCACAGAAGACGCAGGCTGGATCACCCATTGAGGAAGTACCGACCCCGCTCGTCGATGATGCGATCGTCACCGAAACCAAGGCAGAGCCCACGGAACCAAATGAGCTCAAGGAACCGAATGAGCCCCAGGGCCAAGCTATTGCAGAGATCATTGCGAAGGCTGTTGAAGAGCCCCGGGAAGCTCAAGAGGAGATCAAGAAGACCCAAGAGGCCGTCGAGGCTAGTTCACCAAAGGGCACAGAGATCAAGGATGGCAAAGAAAACACCCAGCCTATTCCAGCGCAGGTTCCCAAGTCAGCGGAGTAGGCTTCTGGGAGATGCATTTCACGAATTCGATGATTACCTGTACAAACAATATCCGTTTCTAACATATTGCCTGTGAAACTTTGAAATAATGTAACATAGCATGGAAAACTCCAATCGTGGCCAGTATACCACATGTAATGCCATTCATAACTCGTAATTAAGGATGAACAGTTATCTACATTCCCTCAATCGAGGCCAAGAAAACAAAGACACCAAACCCCTATTTTTGTGCTCCGTGCCGTCTTTACAATGACTCCGCGGTACGGCGCTTCTGGACCGCCTCACGCAGCTTCGCGATCACGTCGGCGGGATCTTGAGCACCGAAGACGGCGGAACCAGCGACGATCACGTTCGCGCCCGCATCAGCAGCCTGGTCAATTGTGCCGAGACCGAGACCTCCGTCGACTTCGATGTTCAGATCGGGATACCGCTCGCGAAGGGCGGCGACCTTAGGGAGCTCCGAGGCCATGAACTTCTGGCCTCCGAATCCGGGGTGCACGGTCATAACCAGGACCATCTGGGATTGCGATCAGTACGTCGTAGTCGGAAAGTGTTGCGATAACGGAACGAAGGGGAGAGCGAAGAAGGTGGGGGAATTAACTCACGTCGGGTCGCTCAGCGGGGTCCTCGCTCTCGATAATATCCCAGAGCACGTCCACGGGGGTGTCGGGCTTGATCGCGATACCAGCCTGCATACCCTCCTCGTGGATGTACTTGATCAATTGCTTGGGGCTCGTGCGAGCAGTGGTTTCCTTATCGGTGGGATCGGTCGCGGCAACGGAGGAGACAGCAGCCTCATAGTGGAAGCAGTACAAATCGCAACCGGCCTTCTTGAACTCACCGACCCATTTGTGTGGCTGCAGAGCGACGATTGTTAGCAAAGATTGTGCAACGCGGGAGCTCCGGCAGCTGGAGAACGAACCTCCATGATCATCATGTGGCAGTCAAAGGTACCGCGACCGCAGGGCTCGGTGGGACGGTCGACGCAGCCACGAATCTGAGAGACGACGGGGCAGCCGATGGTCATATTGGGCACGAAGTGGCCGTCCATGATGTCGACATGGAGCCAGTCGGCGCCCTGCTCAATCTTCTTGGAGCAGTCATGGCCCAGATTGGCGAAGTTGGCGCTCAAAATTGAGGGGGCAATGATCGCGGGGGGTGCCATGGTGTGTATTGGGTGAATATGAGGGGGAGGGGCAGACACAAAAAGAAAAAGAAGCTGTTGACATCAGAGTGGCGAAGGGTGGATATTTCGGGTTCACCGTACGACAAGAATATACTTAGCCCATAAACATGCTATCTATGTTGTAGCTTCTCTTCTAACATTGTTCATGTTTTGGCACGAATATTTGTGAGCTCTTCTTATTCTCAACTCAGTTCTACAATCGTCCGTTCTCCAGGAAAGTTGGATTTGGCACAATTAGTTTCCAGTGTGGTATACTTCGGACTCTCTTATTACAAAAGAGGTTGCCGTCGGCAATTACGAAGGTCAAGCACCTTGCATGGGCTCGCTCAGTTCGGTAATTTAGCAGAATATCACGTCTGCTGACCTGGAAAAGTCAGATAGTACTCCGTACTCGACATCGCGAATAGCCTTGGAGCCCGACCGGAAACGCGTATCGCGCAGGATAGCTCCCCTGGAGGCTCCGAAGCATGTCCCGAGTTTAGCAGTCTTGGCGATTTCGCATTGATTCGGCCATGCCTCAAGTGCCCAGGTGGTCTTCGTGCCATTATAGCACAATATAACACTCCGTACCCCTCGTGGGAATTATGCATACGGAAAGATATCAGTTCTAGACATGAAATGGGTCGCACAGAGGTGGTCCCAAGGCTGCGGGCGTTGGTTTTAATAAAGTGCAGCATGGCAAGCAAGCGCCGACCTGGGATTCTTTTACCCGGTTTTAAACTAGTAGCATATTCGTTTCAGTAGCCGTCGCGCATATACCGTGCCTTTGGGAACTAGAAATATCGGAAAAGCGGGCCACTGTGCCGCGGGCCACACTGCTCCGGGGCTGTTTGTATAGCAGTCCTCCGTACAGGCTCTACTTCAACAGAACGAGAGACGTTCTCGATCTCAGAGTCAGGCTCAGCCTCTTTAGATGAGAAATAACAGGCAATGGAAGTCAGTCTGGTACGCTTGGTACTATGGCATCTCGTATTGATATACGAACTGAAACCCCTCCAGCTCCTACTTGGAAGTAAACATTCTTTAAGCTTATGTCGTATGCATTTGTCCCAATCATCTTGATTGCAATCAATCGTATATTTCAAATTCGACCCCAAATGACGACCGTATGATATGGGATTTGGTATTTTGATTGTCACCTGAGCCTACTTCTGTCAATAGCGACCAGAATTCTCAAGCCCTTCTATCCTAGCCGGTATCATTTCACAGCTTCGGAAGCAAGACAGCTGATAAAAAAGCCCGAGGTGTAGACAAAACAACAGTTATACTAGAGAGCTTGCGAAGTACTTCATAGCTCACATCGATATACTCCGTACTCCGTACAGAGTACGGAGTACAAGTGCATGATTTGAGTTGTAACCGGCGGGAGTCTACGCGCCTTTAGGGCTAAGCTCGCCCCGATGGACTGGTCACTGCTACGGAGCATGGAGCATGGAGTACAGGAATCTCAGTTTTGACATCAGTGTCATTCAAGAGACAGTGGATCCAAGTACTATTATTGTTAAGTTGTCCCCTTTTGTTCTAGTCTATGTAGTCAATAGTCGACCTCACCCGATTTCCCCTCACTTTGCTCACTTTTACCTGACAATCACTACCAAGTCCGACCGGGTTTGGTTCAAAGGCCGTCAATTAGTCTGAAATTTGCATGATTCACCCTGGCCTAGGTTGGAAGAGATGCAGCATTGGGGTTACACTCCGTCTGCTAAATGCCGCTAATTTGGCTAAAGATAGCAGCCCGGCGCCTACCCTTGGCCAATCACCGACTCCTTCACACTGCATCCCTCCTCTCAAGCAGTTCGTCACACTTTTGACGACTCTGATTTGTCTCTTTTCGCAATTTTGGTCTTCATTAACTCGACGCTTGCATGAATAACGATCTTGGCTGTTCGCTCAACTGTGAAACCCCTGGTTCAGAGCGACGCGCCCATGTGCCAACCGCCAATGAGCTCGATGCTCACTCTCCTCCCGACCAAGATGATTGGCTTGGCTGTGCCCAATGCTGCATTAGAGTCACCATTCGTGAGCAGGGATCGGCTGGTCATGGCACATGCCCCGGGGCTGGTCGAAAGTGCCAAATCGACTATAAACCCTTTCTCATAGCCACAATTCCAAGACTAGCGTTCTTCACTTCGTTGATTTCATTCTCTTGCGGCGCATAGCTCTGGTAGCTTCTGTGCTGGTTATATTTCCTTTTCTCGTCTTTTCAAAGCATTCTCTTTACAGACCTGTTGATCAGCGTCTTACGTCTTTTCCTACGACTCGAGATACCACATATATACCCGTGACAAATCACAACAAATCCAACATCAAACAGCTGATCATGACTGACGTACTTCGATCTTCAACTGTGCGATGTCCGCCCCTTCGGCAGGCCCAAGGGACGGTACTTAATACTATACTGGAGGATACGCGCGAATCTCATTTCGCTCAGAGCAACAAAGTCTCACCTCCATCAAGACAGAATCCAGCGACATTCGGCCCTCATCTGACACTCAAGACAAGCGGCCTAACAGCACCTGCACAAGCTCGCCTGGCCCGGTTATTGTCCCCTCTTTCCGCTGCGACTGCTTCATCATGTTGCTCAGACGCAGAATGGGAATCACAAATACAAGAATCGCAGGGATACGATGACTTGTACGATGCCACTGACGACGATAGCATTGATGACAACGAGACCGACATAAGCGATTCGTGCTTTTCCCCCGATACGCGGCCATCGAGCTTGGTTACACCAATTACCAGGAACTCAGTGACGTCGACCGGAAGCCGGAAGCACTATCTGACATTGGAGATCCCCTCACCGACAAATTCTCTCTCCATGACAGGGGCTCACAAAAGCTCGCCAGTTCCGCCGACACCTCCGCCTAAGATCCCGATCTCGCCAGCAGCTCTGTCAATGCTAAGCCGCGCCGTACCTGCGTCATATGCTCCACCTTCACTCGATGGTAGCCTTTCGTCAGACCAAGAATCAATCATCAGCGGGTTGGCTACACCAGACTCTCACTCTCTCCCAGATACCAACTGGGACGCACATGACATTCGTGTGCGAGGAAACCTTGATGGAAGTGAAAGCGATCTCGAGCATGATGACGCAAGATCGGATATTCAAGAGATTCCCATCGCCATTGAGAGCAGGGAGGAGGATTGGCGTCATGTTCTGGGGAGCTTTCCTTTGACACCCCGTGCCGCTCAAGCCTACTCTCCCACGGCTTCATTGCATCTCAGTGAAGAGCCAACTGAAGAGTACGATGACTTGTACGACGCTCCAGAGCATTTCGACCGAGGCGTTCACTTGCCAGATTCGGCTCTCGCAATGTTGCATCATATTCATCTGGATGGAACTCCTGACTCGGCGTCTGAGACATCAGAGGATCATGGAGAGATGTGCCAGCTTGAGATCCCACCGAGCCGCCCTAAGAGCGCTGACGGGCTCACGCCCGCATCGGCATTGTCTGCATACAGCTTCAGTGACCTCAGCATTCCATCTCCCGGTGGGTTCTTTGCCTCACTTGCGCCCCGCTCCCGCCACACTTGGTCAATCCCCGAAGCAAAAACTCGACCTTCCTCCGCTGCTGCAGAGGGCTTTTACAGCCTGCCATGGCGCCGGGATGAGGGGCAAATAGTTGAACAAGTGGTGGAATGGCCTCAGCGCCCAGTCGACGACGATCCTATTACAGCTGTTCGTGATGAAGATGGTCCTAAGACGGCTATTCGCCTGTGTGAGACACCGACACGTCGGTCCATCTATCGGGAGAGCCCAATGAGTGCTTCATTCGACCATGTCCAAGTCCAGGAGATTCCTCGCTCAGTGAAGGGGTATGAGTACGACGAGTGCTATGATCAGGAGCTACAGTACCGGGCGACCGCAAGTCACGACCGCACCAGTATCTGGCTCTCTGCCCAGGCAACTTACCTCTCGGCGCTAAGTGAGAGCAACCCGATCAACGAAATAGAGCCCGTTGAGTCATTTGAGACCGACATGACAGAGACAGAGGTCCAAGATGCCACAGAAGAGGCTTCCCAGAAGGTAGTCCGATTCGCAGATGGTATCCCAGCGGCGCTCAGTCCTCTGCCTCCCGTTCTTGCTAGCAAGGATTCAATCTACTGGCAGGGGTTCCAGTCTCTCCGTGAGCGTTCAAGCAAGACTGACGGATTCATGCATCGCAATGTGCGATTTGACGCTGTCCAGTCTATGCGACTTGCCATGAGCGACACTCATATCAACTGCCTGATTGGGAAGTACGAGCTCGTTCGCCCAGAGCGCCCTGCATACAAGGGCCCTTTCGCTAAAGCCCCTCGAAACTCCGTGATCACATCGGAGTTGGCTGAAAAGGCCCAATTCGACAAGCTGGAAAAGGAGCAATTGGTTGTGGCTCAACTGTGCCAACCCATGTGGGCCATGGATGCCCTTCGTTTCCTCAACGGTGGTAATCTCATTACCAGCCCTGCCCAACGAATCCTGGCACGGTCAACCCGCAAGCCTAGTTTGACTCAGGGCCCCAATAAGCGCAGCTTCCGGGTCTTGGATCTTGGTGGTAACACCTCGTGTGACTGGGCATGGCAAGTGGCTCACGAGTTCCCGAATGCCAAGGTCTACACCGTTGCTTCTAAAGGCCAAGTCATCAACAGTGCTATCAAGGGCCCCTCGAACCATCGTCAAGTCACAGTGGACGCCATGTGGGAACTTCCATTTGGCAACAATCAATTTGATGTCATTTCGGCTCGGTCGTTGCACGCTCTACTCAAGACTGAACGTCCTGCAGGCAAGGACCGTGATGAGTATGATCTCGTGCTGAAAGAATGCATGCGGTGTCTCAAGCCCGGTGGTTATCTTGAGTTCCAAGTCCTGGATGCCGAGATCTCCCGCGCAGGGCCATATGCCTCCGCGACTTCCGTCGAGTTCGCTTTCAGTCTGCGTACTCGTGGCTATGATCCTGTTGCTTCCAAGAGCTTCCTTAACCGTCTTAGCAAAGCTGGATTTGCTGAGACAAAGCGTGGCTGGATGTTCCTCCCCATGGGCACTGAGTCCATTGAGAGTGAGCCGCCACGCGAGACCCCAGCTCCGCGCGTGCAGAGCCACATCGAGGATCTCGAGGCTGTTCAAGGACCTGTTGGTAGCACGGCGGATATTGCCAGCATGACTGGTCTAATTGGTGGGTGGATGTGGGAGCAGTGGCTGCTGAAGTTGAGAATGGAGATGGGGCGAGAGAGGTCCATGTTACTTGAAGGGGCTGGTGCGTTGTTTGATGAGGGGAGAAAGAGTGGTGCGGGCTGGACCTGCTTGTCTGGATGGGCCATGAAGCCGAAGCGTAAGAGTTCTCGCTCTTCTAAGCCTTCTTTCTGAGACTACCATATTATATCTTAGGGCCCTGGTGGCCGACAATTAATGTAATACTCAGTTCGATCAGAGATCTCTTTGAAGAAAAAAAAACAGCAAAAGCGAAAAAAAAAAAGAAGAAAAAAGAAAAACACATTTGCCTGCTCTAGCAGGTTTAAAATTAACATTTTTATTCTGCTACTCCAGGATTTACATCATAAGACCAGCCAAACGCAAGAGTAGAATGAGGATATTCCGGTCGCCAGTCCCGAGTCTAAGCTTTCTTCCGTTTTGCACCCAACCCGAGTTCGGGAAACAGCCGAGTCTGCAGAATCACACTCCGTACATCCCGCTCCAGTGTTGGAGAAACAAAGCTCGGGATTAGTACGAAGCACTACCAGAGTTCCGGTGGCGCCACTGGTAGGCGATCATTGCCAGGTCAGGTCACGACCTCAACACGGCAAACTCGGCCTTTCTTTGTTTGGTGGCTTTTGGACAATGTTGGCAGTCGGGGAATTACCGAGACCTGAGATGCCGGTGACTAAAAATCCCGCTAACGTCATAGGAAAAGCCGCGTGGGGTTCCCCGTGGAGTCCCGGATATGAGGGGATATGGGGATTTAGCCGATGTTGACCCGAGACGCAAGGACTCTTGCACCAAGGGTCTCCATGGGTCAACATCAAGCAAGGGGAATGGGACGAAAATAATCAGACTAACATCCACAAAATAAAGCAGAATCAGCAGCGAGTCTCGCTCGGCATACCGATGTCAAGGCCGCGGGATGTCAGATGCTCTCCCGGCTCACAATGCCAATACTCCGATTGACAATGGCTTCCCCACCTTGGCAAAAGCTTCTCCTCGAGACGAGCTTGGATCCCCTACGTGTGGGCCCATGCGTACTCGGAGTCTGTCCAAGTCTGTCAGAGTTGCATCCAGGGTGGGCCTAGCAATGTCCAAGAATTGTCTCAGTCTCGAGATTATAAGAAGACAGAACCCTTCGGACAGTGATGCCAGAATAGGCTTGTTCTGGGTTCAAAACCGTCTTGGCTTCACTTTATAGTCGTCATGTTGTCACAAGCTTTACTAGGAGCTTGGCTGCTCTTGGCTGCTCCAGCGCTGGCCGCCGATACCTGCCAAGCGCCGCCCATTAATCACCCGGGAGAGCCTTTCAGCTATGTTCAGCCCAAGGACACTACAATTCTTACTCCTTATGGGAGCTCACCAGCCGTGCTTCCTTCTCGTAAGTAAACCCGCATATCTCTTTGGGCTTGGGCTCTGACAAAATTTAGCAAACATTACCGGCAACGGTGGTTGGGAGGCGGCACTCCAAAAGGCGAGGAAGTTTGTGAACAAACTCACCCTCGAGGAGAAGTCATGGATGGCAACGGGCCAACCTGGTCCTTGCGTCGGCAACGTTCTTCCTATACCACGTCTCAATTTCACTGGTCTATGTCTTCAAAATGGACCCCAATGTGTTCAGCAAGGAGACTATTCGAGTGTCTTCATTAGCAGTGTTTCTGCTGCTGCAAGCTGGGACCGTCAATTGTTGTATGATAGAGCAAATGCCATGGCCAAAGAGCACAAAGCCAAGGGCACTCACGTCATCTTAGGTCCTATTGGAGGACCACTGGGCCGCAGTCCCTATGATGGCCGGACCTGGGAGGGCTTTGCTGCTGACCCTTATCTCACTGGTGTGTGCATGGAGGAGACGATCAATGGCATGCAGGATGCCGGCGTCCAGGCGAACGCAAAGCACTTCATTGCCAATGAGCAGGAGACCCAGCGCAATCCAACCTACGCCCCAGACGCGAACGAAACCACATATATCCAAGACTCTGTGTCCGCGAACATCAACGACCGCACGTTGCATGAAATCTATATGTGGCCATTTGCAAACGCTGTCCGCGCAAATGTTGCCAGTGCCATGTGCTCATACAACCGTGTGAACGGCTCTCACTCCTGTCAAAATTCCTACCTTTTGAACCATCTTCTCAAAGGCGAGCTGGGCTTCCAAGGATATGTCATGTCAGACTGGGGTGCTACCCACAGCGGTGTTTCATCAGTCGAGAGTGGTATGGATATGACCATGCCAGGAGGTTTCACCTTGTACGGTGAGCTTTGGACTGATGGTTCATATCTTGGAAAGAATCTTACCAGAGCTGTGAAGAACGGTACTGTCGAGATGACCCGCCTAGATGACATGGTCGCGCGTATCATGACACCCTATTTCTGGCTTGGCCAGGAGAAGAACTACCCAAGCGTCGATGCTTCTGTCGGTCCACTCAATGTGGACTCGCCTCCAGACACTTGGCTATACGACTGGAAGTTCACTGGTGAAACCAGCCGCGATGTCCGAGCCAACCACAGTGCCATGATCCGCGAACATGGAGCCTCCTCGACCGTGCTTCTCAAGAATGAACGCAATGCGTTGCCACTGCGCAAGCCTCGCAATATTGTGATTGCTGGCAATGATGCTGGTCCCCTTACTCAGGGCCCTGATCTTCAGGGAGACTTTGAATATGGACATCTGGCCGGCTCTTCCAGCTCAGGCTCCTGCAGATTCTCGTTTTTGTCAACACCCCTCGACGCTATCAATACCCGAGCTCGCAAAGATGGCTCCCTTGTTCAGTCATTCTTGAACAATACCTTGCTGACCACCACCGATCTGACTTCGCCTCTTTGGATTCCCCAGCAGCCTGATGTCTGTCTCGTTTTCCTAAAGTCTTACTCGATGGAGGGTGAAGACCGAACTTCTCTCGACCTGGATTGGAATGGCAATGCTGTTGTCGAGGCCGTCGCCAATCACTGTAACAACACGGTCGTCATCACAAACTCGGGTGGTGTTAATGTCATGCCATTTGCTGATCATCCCAACGTCACTGCTATTCTGGCTCAGCACTACGCTGGAGAAGAGTCAGGAAATGCCATTGCCGATGTTCTCTACGGTGACGTGAACCCATCAGGCAAGCTGCCTTATGTGATTGCGTACAACGATACCGATTACAACGCACCCTTGACCACTGCGGTGGAGACCAACGGTACATTTGACTGGCAGAGCTGGTTCGATGAAGAACTCGAAGTCGGTTACCGGTACTTTGACGCACACAACATCTCCGTGCGATACGAGTTTGGCTTCGGTCTGAGTTACACGACCTTCGGTCTCAAAGACCTCAAGGAAAAGAGCTCTGCTCCATCGAATCTGACTGCTCTGCCAGAAAAGCGTCCCACTCAGCCAGGTGGCAACCCAGCCCTGTGGGAGACTGTGTATACCCTGGAGGCGGAAGTTTCCAACACGGGTGACATCGACGGATACGCAGTGCCACAATTGTACATTGAATTCCCCGCTTCAACCCCAGCTGGAACTCCACCTAACCAGCTTCGCGGGTTCGACAAGATCTGGCTTACTGCTGGTGAGAAGAAAACTGTCACTTTCGACTTGATGCGCAGAGATCTCAGCTACTGGGATGTTGTTGCCCAGGACTGGCGCATTCCTACTGGGTCTTTCAAGTTCAAGGCTGGGTTCAGCAGCCGTGACTTCCATGCGAACTCCGACGCGATACTGATCAAGGCATGATCATGATGTACATGGATGATATGAGTCTTCCTCAAATGATGTTAGGAGCCGACCTTGGGGTTCTCGGGTCCTGGAACCCCCATGTTGAAATCCTTTTCAGACAGATGCGATACCTACTTTAAAATACATATTTTTTAGAATTGCTTGATTGCCATCCAGATCTGTGAGTTCGACGGGATTGAGATGTAAAGTAGAAGGTGCGGAGTGTATACCGGGCTGAGCGTCAACAACAACCGAGAGATTAGTCACAACCCCCCAAGCTGCCTGCGTATACCTGTAGTGATATTGAGAAACTTGAAGAATAAAACTTTGTTATCGCAAATGATGAAGAATGTGAATTCCCCTCATCCAAAAGTATCAAATAAAAAAAGGGCTCTGAAGACCACCAAATACGTGGATGCACGTGACCTTACAACTCCGGCTTCTTCTGCGGCCTATCACACCGTTCACTCCCCCTCCAAGCTCTCTCATTCAACGCAACCATGCTTTTCTTCAGGTATGTCACTGTCTGAAGCGCAGAATTTTGTGGAATCGAAAGCTAAACCTTTACCTCAGCTTTTTCAAGACTCTGACCAACCAGACGGTCACCATTGAGCTCAAGAACGATATTCGCATTCGAGGCATCCTCAAGTCTGTCGATCAATACCTGAACATCAAGCTCGATGATATTGAAGTCTTGGATCTTGTCAAGTACCCTCACCTGTCATCAGTGAAGAACATGTTCATTCGTGGCAGTGTGGTGCGGTACGTCATGCTTCCTCGGTCGGAGGTTGATGTTGGCTTGTTGGAGGATGCTACACGGCGAGGTAAGCTGCGCATTCTCCCTTCTCACTTGAAGTCGCGCCCTGGGAGATTACATTCTCGATTAGGGATAGTTTGGGCTCTCCGCGACCGTACGTTAGATCTTCATGCTAATGCGTTCCTAATACAGAGGCCGCCAACCAGGCTGGCAAAGCCCGGTAAACAACCTACATCTCGATTTTACGATATACCACGCATTGCGCTCTTCAATACCGCTGTTTTCACTGGGTAGTCCCCAGAAAATAAGATATGACATGATCAAGGACATTGGGCTTTTCATGCGGTCTCTCCAGAGGCTTCATTGAATGCCGAAGGGGGATGCATTAGTGCAGCGGCAGATATCCACACTTTCACTGCCATCCGAGTGCGACCGCCATACGATGGTCATCTGGAGTGGGCGGCGAGTCCTCAGCTCGCTGACATCCCAAAGCGATTGGCTGTCACCTGTGGCTTGGGGACCTCGCACACGTTGTTGATGATACCTTAGACTTGTTCTTTGCAATAATGACCAGCAAATTTTTTTTTTTCAAGACCCCGCAATATGCCCTGCCTTGTAGTCCTTGATGGCAAAGATCTGGGCCTGAGATCGAATGTAGTAAAATCAGCACGTGACTTCGTGTCGCGTGGGTTTTCGCGCCTCTCGGTCGACATTTCGGATCAGGCAGATCATGAACATATTGAACATTTGACGAGCCTGCTGCCATTACTCTCAGAAAACATATGGATTAATTGGCAATCCGGACCCCAATCCTTGTGACGATATAACACACCCACTTGACTCAATCAAGCTTTGTCCAGATCCGTTCGTCATGGCAGGACCATTCGCGAAAAAGACAACGCCAGCCCGACCACCCTCCGGACCAAAACCATCGTCTAGCAAGCGAAACACAAGCATCTTGAGTTTCTTCCAAAAGACAGATACCCCACCAGGCGCTATTTCTCGCCAGCCACGAATCACCCAGTTTGGTGCACCTTCTTCACGATCACCTAGCAGTGGCCGAGGTACGCCAACGCTCAAGCGAGGGGCCTCGTCAACAAATGATGCGAACGGTGACCTGTTTTTGGAAGATAAGAAGGGACTGGCGAAGATTCAACAAGCCAGGGAAGCAAGCGGAAAACCGCGATCGCCAACGCCCGACATTTGGGGCGACGATGAAGAGGGTTTGAAGCAGGATGGTGAAAAACATAATGAAGACCTGACGGCAAAACGGCGGAAGGTCGACACACAGAGCATTCCCGCCGATGAGACCCAGAAACCAGACGTCGGACCAGTTTCTACCAAATCGGCCGGGTCTACGAAACCACAGAAACGAAGCGGGCCTTTCATCGACGAGTCAGACAGCGAAGATGATATGGAAGCATTCCAGGATATTCAGGAGACGACTCTTCCCACACTTGATGCTACAGTCGACGATTCATTGCCAGTAGACAACACAGCGGACGCACAACGCTCCCCCGAGTCTACACCCCCGCCACCGGTAAGAGCCGTCACAAATTATACCGACCATGAAGAATACACGAATTTTGACGATATAGAAGAAGAAGGGGAAGATGTGCTCATAGAGGAGGAGTCTCGAAATAAGCCCTGGGAGGCCGAAGAGCAGGACCAACAGACCAACTTGGACATAGAACCTGAAAACGACAATGATTGTTCGGGGATTGAGGAGCCTATCGAAGGGGAAGTGAGCACATGTCCCATCTGCCAAAGGGTGATGAAGGATTTAAACGAAACCGTAAGCGTTCAGTAGTCTCTCCAATGTCTGTCCAAGTGCTCACATCCAATCCAGGAAATTTCCATCCATGTCAATGATTGTTTGGATGGAAATACTAGCGCCACCACGGCCACACCAGCACAGGTATCCAATCCCGGCCAAAACACTACTCCAAGGCCTGTAGATACCGACAAAGGGCTCACGCGTGCCGAACGAGCCGCCATTGCTCGACCTGCGCAGCGCGATCCGTATGCAAAACCCAAACCAAGTGGGCAATCAGCATTCTCCCAAATGATGGCCGGCAATGCAGAAGACACTGCTTGGAATACGGCGGCAGCTAATGAAGTTTCGTCGCGTGGCAAACAAGCATACCAGCGGACATGTCCGTTTTATAAAATCCTCCCTGGGTTCTCAATATGTGTCGATGCTTTTCGCTACGGGGCAGTAGAGGGATGCAATGCCTATTTTCTCAGTCATTTCCATAGCGACCACTACATTGGGCTGAGCAAGTCCTGGCGCCATGGACCTATTTACTGCAGTCGGCCTACCGCCAATCTGGTCCGTCAACAGCTTCGGGTTGATCCCAAATGGGTGGTCGATCTCGATTTTGAGTCCACTTCCGAGGTGCCAGGGACAGGGGGTGTGCAAGTCACAATGCTTCACGCAAATCATTGCCCAGGTAGCTCTCTCTTTCTTTTTGAGAAGAGCTCCGGGTCTGGACCCAATGTCCGCCAGCAGCGGATACTCCATTGCGGTGACTTCCGTGCATCTCCTGCTCAAGTGCAACACCCACTTCTCCGCCCCAACGTGACAAATCCTGTCACTGGCCAGCCGAGGCAACAGTTTATCAACACGTGTTATCTTGATACAACCTATCTAAACCCGAAATATGGATTCCCATACCAAGAGGATGTGATTGCAGCAAGCGCCGAGCTCTGTGTGCGCCTGAACGACGAAGCCGGTGTCGGGGCCGACACAGTGAAGACCGGTTCAGGTGGCTTAATGAGCAAATTCCTGTCAACAAAGACACCAGACAATAAGGCGTCAGAAGGTGCTCCGCAGATTGGCGGTCGACTGCTGGTGGTGATTGGAACCTACAGCATTGGCAAAGAGCGAATATGTATGGGCATCGCGCGAGCACTTGGATCGAAGATCTTCGCTACTCCACCCAAGCAACGAATTTGTGCTTGTTTGGAGGATCCAGAACTTGACGCGATGCTAACCACAAATCCACACGAAGCGCAAGTACATATGCAATCGCTCTTCGAAATCCGCGCAGACACACTCGCAGAATACCTCGATGGCCTCAAACCACACTTTTCGAGAGTAGTCGGCTTCCGCCCGACCGGTTGGACATACCGGCCGCCCACGGGACGGGTTTTACAAAATCCTCCCGTGTCCACAGTTCTACATGGCGAAAACTGGAAAAGCCCCTTCACAATTCAAGACCTTACCCCACAGCGCGGGAGCACCAAGGAAAGCGCTTGTTACGGTGTGCCCTATAGCGAGCACAGTTCATTCCGCGAACTGACCATGTTCTGTTGTGCGCTGCGGATTGGGCGGGTCATCCCGACGGTGAATGTTGGGTCCCAGAAGAGCCGAGACCAGATGAAGGTTTGGATGGAGCGGTGGGATGCGGAAAAGAAGAAGAATGGGCTGTTTCCTGTGACCGGTGATCGATGGTGATCTCCAGGCATGCCTATGATTCGCACGATTTTATACGCTGTATACGATTTCTACGTACCTTTTATCTACTCGACATATCGCATTTGAAATACAGCATCTGCATCTTTTTTTGGGGAACTCTCAATTTCGGAGTTTACACCTCTTTGAACATTTTCGCTCTCGCTTTTAGACCCTCTCTTCCTTGAGACCCCCTTCTCCTCTCTCTTGCATACTGACAAATTTTCTGGGGATATGTTTGGTTTAGTACCGTTTCAGGCACCGACTTAACCTACTGCTAGCCGAAAATCTTGTAGATCTTTTCCTGGAAATTTTTATATCTCAACAGTCTAATCGGTATTGTCGCGCGCTAATAATGCACTTGTCAGGGGGTCGATCGGCTGTCTCACCGAACAATGACTCCATGTGTCTCATGTTGCCAATCTTATTCCAAATTGCCGAGCCACGAGGTGTTTGCAGGCTGACATACGTCAAGTTTGATGCATGCAATCTTTAATTCTGCGACAACCTGGAATTTATTCCGTACAAACTTCGGATTTCAGTCCCTCGCATTCTCCGCGGCAATTACTTACCATCCGCATCCCGTGTGCGAAGGATTCTTATTTTTAGGGCTCGGGTGAAGTGGATCAAAATGATCTCAGATCGCGAGTGATCATTCGTCAATAGTGTTATATTTTGATCGACAGTATGCAGTAGTTAAACCGGGAACCTTGGAATTCAAGGACTGCATAGGACACTTTGGGTCCATGCATTATGCACGATCATTCGTTCGTGGGCGCACTTTTGATATTGGGATCACCCAGCATAAGCAGGCCCTGCACCGTTGAGGCTTTGTACCTTACCTATTCCATCCATCTTACTTACTTTGTCTACCCCTCCGTCCTCTTTTACCCATTCAAGCGGATCCCTCGGGAGGATGGATCCGGAGGGGAATTGGGCGTGCGCTATCGATCGATGCATTAGCTTGGTTCCACCAGGCTTTCCTTGTGAACTTTGACAAATACCACTACGACGAGTACAATCAGGCTAATTTTTATGATTCAATCCACTTTCTAGCTCGTTCATGTAGACCATTGATATATAAAGTTCAATCCCCTAGGACCAAGCTGAGTGCGGAGATCAAAAAGATATACGGCTCAAGATGCATACTTCAACAATCGGCCTCTGGGCCTTGGCCGCCGGCATCGCCTCTGCTAAGACTTGTTTCAATGCCACCGTGGAGGTCGATATTTCAGCACGCAATGGCGTTTTCGACAACATTAAGACTCCCGAGACCAACCTGGACGCTACCACTTTCGCTCTCGCTTCGTCCAAGACTGGCGGCAACATCACCGAGGAGGCTTTATCTGGCTATGCTACCGTGGGTGGACGTTACAATATCTCAACCCAATACTGCATGCCAAAGAACTCGGGACCCGGTGGCCATTCGCTCCAGATCCTGACTCATGGCATGGGCTTTGACAAGTCGTAAGTTCTAGGATGGACCATTGTGGTAAAATAGTATAAGTGTACTGATCGTGATGGATAGATACTGGGACTTGCCCTACCACAACTTCAATTACTCCTACGTGGACTACGTCCTGGCCCGAGGCTACCACACCTTCTCTTATGACCGACTCGGCATCGGCAAATCTTCCCACGGCGATGCGAAGAACGAGATCCAGTCATTCCTTGAAATCGAGGCCTTGGCTGAGTTGACCCGCAAGGTGCGCGACGGCAGCATCGAAGGCATCCAGAAGCCCTCCAAGGTTGTCCACGTTGGACACTCCTTCGGCTCTGCTCAGACTGTCGCCTTGTCCGCTATGTACCCCGACCTTTCGGATGCGCTTGTCCTCACTGGATTCTCCGCCAGCATTGCCTCTATGCCCGTCTTCCTCTCCGGCGCCAACTTCCAACAGGCCAACCTGAACCACCCCCCCTGGATGTCCCGCCACTCCTCGCGACAGCTACACCAGTGGGTACTTGGTCAACTCCGACATTGGCACCAACAAGTTCCTCTTCTTCTACCCCGGCAACTTCGACGAGGGAATCCTGTCATATGCCGAGAAGAACAAGCAGCCCATGACCGTGGGTGAACTCATGACCATGACTGGTCTCCCAACATCCAGTCCTTTCACCGGTCCAGTGTACGTGATTGATGGTGAGAATGACATTGCGTTCTGTGGTGGTGCTTGCTCTTACACCACCGACTCCTCGGCTTCCATCCCTGCCGGTGTCAAGGCTGTCTTCCCCAAGGCCAGTGCCTTCACTGCCTACATCCAACCCGAAACCGGACACGGCATCAACTTGCACTACAACTCAACCGGAGCCTACCAGCAGATCAACGACTTCTTGGGCGCTCAGGGCCTGGTGAGCGCGAGCCATGACCACGAGGCTCGTCACCATCACGACTTCTGAACAGGTTGAGTGATATAACGAAGAAATAAACGAGAATAGAGAGCCTAGACGGGATTTCATGTACATTTTTTTACCCAGCCATACATAATTTAATTGACGGTTGCTGAAATGAACACCTCGTGAACACCTGATTGACACCTTGTGAATGAAGCAAAAGTAAGGCAACGAATGACGACACATGTAGCCTTATAGACGAGGCACCAATATATGCCCTGTAAATCAGGCCACAAACTCAAGTCTGCGCGTGACACATAGTGATGAATCATATCCTGCGCGTGCCTTTCGTCCCCCACACTTTTCGGGCAAATCAGGCAAATCAAGCATCGAGGATTGACAAAGATGCGCGAACGGCATTCAGTATGGATAATTCGGGCACGCTGATTTGTCCTCAGAGGAATAACCGAAAGCCGGGGGCTCGGAGGCTTGAGACGGCACTCTCCACGGATCCACGCTGCCAACGTCTCTGCTCCACACTACCGAAACTACTTCCCGGCCATCCAACCTTTGCCTCGGGGATTAATTCGCCTTCTATACAGAGCGCTTCATAAATATCAAGCCAACTCGTTTTTGAGAATTGGTTGTGATCTATCTCTGTCCTCTTGCATGCCCTTACATCTTTCGCTGGACTTGTGTTTCATTATCCGTTTTCAGGATCTCCAAGACATTTGATCGACCTGACACTTTTGTATACGGCTCGCCGCCGCTCTCCTTCGAGGATCACTTTGTCCCTTCCTCAATAGCCCGACAGATCGCAGCTATGCTGTTGACTCTCGAGAACGTTCCCTTTCTCCTGCTCGGCCTTGCCGTAGCCTACTACCTCCTGCCCTACCTACAACGGTCGCATCTACGTGACATCCCCACTGTTGGGTTTGCTGCATTCACCAACATTTGGCTTCTCCTTCAAGCCCGCTGGGGTATTAAGTATATTTCTATCGACGACGCCCACAAGAAGCATGGAAAGTTTGTGCGCATTTCGCCCACCCAGGTCTCTATTGCCGATGATGCCGCTATCCAGAGCGTCTATGGACATGGAAACGGTTTCTTGAAGGCGTAAGTGACATCCACACCCAATCAGCTTTTTGACACCCTTGCTAAATACAAACCAGTGACTTCTACGATGCCTTCGTCTCTATCCGCCGTGGCTTGTTCAACACTCGTGACCGTGCCGAGCACTCCCGCAAGCGCAAGACCGTTTCCCATACCTTCAGTGCCAAGTCCATTGGACAGTTCGAGCAGTACATCCACGGCAATGTTGAGGAGTTTGTGAAGCAGTGGCAGAAGATGTCTGACCTGCAGGGTAACCCTAAGACTGGATATGCTAGCCTTGATGCTCTCAACTGGTTCAACTTCCTTGCTTTCGATATCATTGGTGATCTCGCCTTCGGTGCCCCCTTCGGTATGCTTGACAAGGGCCAGGATATTGCCGAGATGCGCAAGGACCCCAAGGATCCTCCCAAGTACGTCGCTGCCGTTGAGGTTCTGAACCGTCGTGGAGAGGTCTCCGCTACTCTGGGTTGCATGCCGTCTCTTATTCCTTTCGCCAAGTGGATCCCCGACCGTTTCTTCAGCGAAGGTATGGAAGCCGTTGAGAACCTGGCTGGTATTGCTATTGCCCGTGTCAACGAGCGTGTCAAGCCCGAGGTCATGGCCAACAACACTCGTGTTGACTTGCTCGCCCGCCTTATGGAAGGCAAGGACGGCAACGGAAACCAACTTGAACTCGCTGAACTCACCGCCGAAGCTCTCACTCAGTTGATTGCTGGCTCCGACACTACCTCTAACACTGCCTGCGCTATCCTGTACTGGTGCATGCGTACCCCACATGTTCTTCCCAAGCTCCGCAAGGCCCTCGATGAAGCTCTCCCCAAGGACATTGAAGTTCCCACCCACGCCATGGTCAAGGAGATCCCTTAGTAAGTTTCCTACCACCTGTTTTTCCGAATCACTCACTGACATCTTTCCTCAGCCTCCAATGGGTCATCTGGGAAACAATGCGTATCCACAGCACCTCTGCCATGGGTCTTCCCCGCGAGATCCCTGCCGGTGCCGCTCCCGTCGAAATCTGTGGACACATCTTCAAGGCCGGTGATGTGCTCTCTGTGCCTAGCTACACCATCCACCGCTCCAAGGAGATCTGGGGAGCCGATGCCGAAGAATTCGTCCCCGAGCGCTGGGACCCCAAGCGTCTCAGCGCTCGCCAGAAGGCCGCCTTTATCCCCTTCAGCCACGGACCCCGTGCCTGTGTCGGCCGCAACGTCGCCGAAATGGAACTTCTCGTTATGGCCGCTACTGTCTTCCGTCTGTTCGAGTTTGAGATGCAACAGGATGGCCCCATGGAGACCCGCGAGGGTTTCCTGCGCAAGCCCCTTGGCTTGCAGGTCGGTATGCGCCGTCGCCGCGTTTGAGTCCCACATTGGAATTCAGAAATAGGTTGGACCTAGGGTGGATGCATATTTATGCCCCGTTGGGCTACATATGGACTGTATGTTGAATCGGAATGCGCTGTCATGATTCGATGAGATTGGTCGTGGTGTTTGTATCACTTTGAAGTGATCGGATACTGCGGCCGCTGATGAATTTCCTTTTGTCCTGCCACATTATACCTTATTCTCAGTCTTCAGGCTGTTGATAACAAAGCACAATGGGCGTATGTATTATTTTTGATACTTGCATTACAAATGAATGTTTTCTATTTATCAGGTTGCTTCCAAGCCCTGGAGGTCGCTTCAAATACTGTTAGGAACTACCAAGACATCAGCTTAGGATGACAACCCCATCTTCCAATGTTCTTTAGGACCATCGCACACGAATAAAGTCATCGAAAGGTTGCTGGTATTATGGTATCATAAGGATTCATATCTGGCGTGAATTAAAGATACATAGGCGGAATCAAGACCTCTCACTTATCGTACTCTGAAGTACCTCCTCCAAAGGCTCAGGTGCAACGGACTACCATTTGGCAGGACCGAAAGTCTCACCGTCCGAGACAGGGTTCCGAATAGCAGTATCCATCGTGTCCATGGTATTGGACGCAATGTCCGTACCCCACCACGAAGGGAAATTGGTGTCGGTCAAGTTAAGAGTCAAGAAAATTAAGATGGTGCACAGTGCAAGACCGACGTCCAGACCCGCGGACACGATGTAGTTGTACTGCATCCACCAACCGCGGAAGCGGTCACGGATCCACTTGTTGAAGACGAAGCCGACAATTCCCCAGGAAAGATAGTTCAGAGGAGTGGCGGGTGGGATCAAACCGGCGCCTCCGAAGATGATAGGAGCGCTGAGGTACTTGATCGGGCTCTTGGGCCAAGTGCGCGCGCCGAACCAGATGATTACAGGGAGAATGGCACCGGCGAGGAAGAACCACATTAGAGGTGAGTACAGTTGGCCTGGGGAGAACATGCGTGCAGGGCCAATGACACCCCAGATGACGGAGGCGTTGAAGAAGACACGGCCGTTCGGGCAGCTGTAGTGGTTAGGCTGGTTCTGGTCACACACGTCCTTGATGGCTCCGAGAGCCCAGTTCATAGTGGCGATCTGCACGAGGGAGGACCACAGACAAGCGACCATTTGGGCCGAGAAGGTTACACGGGGAGGAATCTTCATGTAGTGACCTGGTGCACTTGTCAATAAGACGCAAGAGAGAATATCAGAGCGAGGAAAGACTTACCAATTTTGAGATCCTGAGAGAAGTACATGCCCTGGTACATAGTGATGTAGCCATAGGTCTTGAACAGCATCATGGCCATGGGGCGACCAGGCTGCATGTAACCAATGATGAACTCGGTGATGACATTGAGACCAATGTCGATGTTGGTGGATGCCTTAATGATACCAAGGGGGACGAACCACACAACTGCGATCAAAAGCGCAATGATGAAAGACCACCAGCTCATGCGTGTAGGCCAGCCTAGCACGACACCAAAGCCGATGGCGATCATTACAAGAGAGACGGCGGCATACCACCAAAGGGGAACTGTCTTGTACTTGGCCATGAGGCGACCGTGGACATCTTCTTCCTCTCTACCCACACGGCGGAATCGGGCCCAGATATCAGAGCCGTTGAAAAGACCAGTCTGGACCAGCACAGCAATGATACTGGCAAAGGAAAGGCCGTAAGAGATCATGAAGGTGCTGGACAAGAACAGAGGAGAATAGTTCTCATACTTCAAGGCATCGAAGGTGAAATCGGGAGTCAAGATCTTGGAGACGTTGTACTTGACACCGGTGTTGTCGTAACTGTTGGAATCGCTCATAGGCAAGAATTGCGAGTAAAACATGTTGGAATAGTGAATTCCGGGCACGACGATCCAGAAGAAAATGACCATGCCAATCAGGGTGTTGGAGATAGCATACCATGGAGCGATCAGAGGACTAAAGTTGAAACCTGCAACTTGAGTCCAGTCAAAAGTCATGGGGATGAGCGAAAGACCGGTCGCACCACCGAAGAGTTGATTGACGACGACGTTGTTTGGCTTGATCCATGTGACCCAAGCGAAGATGCTCAGGAATGGAGCGATGTATCCGGGAATCCAATACCAGAAGAAAGAACCAAGCATGACATACAGAAACATGCGATACTTTCCAACAGTCCATCCCGAGACCTTGCTTGGGTCTGGCAGCGATCGGTCGTGGAGGGCAGTGAAGAGGGAGGTATTAATCAGAGTGGACGGCCAGATCATGGCAGCGGGCTCGACCAAGAAGCGAGTGAAGAAGCCTGCTATGCCAAAGCCCAGCATCTGAGTAGAGATGCACATGAGGATCTCAAAGCCCCATCCGAAATGTTGCTTGTAGAAAGCCCGCTGAGCCAAAAGCACGTCCGTAGCATAGGCGGCGCCGCCTCCGAAGGTGGCGTTTGCCATAATGACTGCGATAGTGTGCTCCTTCTTTGTAAAGGGGCCCGGGTTCAGTTCGAACTCATAGCCAAAAACACGGAATCTCTTCTCTGGCATATACTTCTCCCAAGCTTTGCCGAATGGGTATGCCACGACTTGTGCGATGTATGAAGGGATAACGATGTAAGGTTGGCGCATGGAAAACAGCATGTTGAGAGAGGAGCCAATGGTTGCGAAGAGCAAACCGATGACCCAGGCACGGATTGTGTTGACAGGTCCACCCTCATCGACGTTGGAAACGGCAGACCTGACTTCAGGATATGGAGAGTTGTCCAATAGTTCGTGGGCAATGGCGGTTTGAGTCTTCTCATCGGTGGTGTGCAAGGCCTCGTCAAGCTCGTCAACAACATCCTCAGGAAGGTTAGGATCCCAGTGGTGGTGGTCCTTGAGGTTACGGAGTTGCTTGAGTGTTTCATCCGGTGCGGTCTCATCGACCATGGCACCGGTGGTGACGGCAATAGATTCGTCCTTCTCCATAATGAATGGGGAGAGCAAATGTAAGGTTCACGAGGAAGCGTAGTTCATGGAGAAAGAAGATTGAATTGGAGAAGAGGAAGATTGGAAAGATATATGGTCTGATTTAAGCTTGGAGAGACAACGAGGCCGACGGAGGTCCGCCTTATCGCGATCTCTTGAACTGAAGCGAGAGTGAAATGTAACCCCAGCCGAGTGTATTCACAGCAATTCGCTGTCTCTGATTTGATAGGAGTAAAGTGGAGAAAGCAAAGAAACGGCGAGACGGATATTGAGGCGCAAAGCAGGCGTAGCGCCAATGTAGGCAAGTAAACATGCCGTGTGATTTTGCCCGCGCTCGGATTTCCCAATTTGTGGCGTTTCTTGGGTTACTTTGGCCTGGATCCTCCAGACGCATGCTTCTATGCACCTATGTGAGCGGAAAACTCCGAAGTATACAGGGGGCACAAGTAAAAGCATCCGAGAGCTTGTCAGTGATAAGCCGGGGGACAAGCCCGTCGAAAGGCCTTGGGCCAAACTATGCCAGCCAGCACCAGCCGCATTCGTACTAGCCTCGCAGCTAAATTATGCCACTATCAGATAGCCACCAAACCGACCAATAGATTGCATGCATCGCGGCCCGAACAGAAGCCCGATTGGACCATCTCCGACGCTAAGCACATGGCTGTTGCGATTCCAAGGCTCATGCGGAGTATGGGCTCCCGCAATCTGCCACAAGGCGTCCGGTCATATCTTCCAATGTTGTTGTTCACACTTCTGAGATTGATGCAAAATAATTGCGAAACTCATTAGGGCAAAGTTTGGAGAATGGTGTCAACAAAATACAAAAAATGCGGGGAAACTTTTCTAGCGGGTTTCCAAATCGCTTCCGTTCGAGGTGATATTCCGCGAAAGGCAAGGTTGCTGCACTAGTGGCAAATGATAGTGTATGGCTTGTGTCTCACACCGGAGAACCTACGGACTTGCAGGGGTGTTGGGCGCTAGTTCCACGCTGTCTCAAGTGGCCACAGTATCGCGTGATATGAGCACTGGCAGGGTCCATGGCGCAAGACAAGGCGATAAATCGCGACCGAGGCTGGATCTTGGGCTGTCTCGATTCCATGAACTAGATGAAAGCTTCGACCAGGGGATCGGCTTCTTTGGCAAAAGCCTTAAGCTTTAACCTCCCAGGCTAGCCGTGGAGACAGAGCGGCCCCAGGGACAGGGCTGAGCCGAGAGGAGGGTTGTAGATCATCCCTTTGCTTCGACGTTTCACATCGAGGTTGAACAAATCCGTAAGGTACAAACAGCTGCACAGCTCAGACGATTGATTCCAAAGAGAAAAGCACGTGAATTTGTTGGAATCCGCCTGGCAAATTCCATGTTGTCCATGTTGCCACCGGAACAACCCCCCACAGCAACCTTCTCAGATGAAACGTGCCAATCCATTCACTCAGGAAATAGGTTCTCGGCACTTTGCGACAGAAGCCTCGCGGGTCATATCCTTTCAAAACGGCAATCTGCAGTGACTACTGCATACTCAGACTCGGTAGTCAATTATCCGGTAGTGGCTCCGCGAGCCGCGCGTTCAACACTATCTGCATGCATTCAATCCCAACGCTAGCGAGAAACGTGGTACTCCGTAGAGGCTAGAGTTTCGGAATTTCCGGTGAGATCTTTCTTTTGACGTCCCCACGAGGAACCTGGCGAGGACGGAATGTGGGCTTGATTGACCTGCAGATTGTGTTTGCCGATGTTTATCTCGGCAAATGCTTAGTCTGGGGTAGCGTCGTGGCCCCTCCTTGGCCCATCTGATGACAGCTGCACATGTGGTTATTGCATTGTGGTTGATTTTCCTCGGTATTCGACCTGGTAACAACAACCTCAATACCCTCGGAGAGATAAGCAATCGTACTTTAGACCGTCGTCTGTTGGGTTTCACGGTATGTTGTTGGTGGATGACCAGTCTGTGGGGAAAGCACCCAACGAGAGAAAGTCTTCCTCACTGATCGCCCATTCAAATTTAGAAAAGAAATCTTCATCCATCATAAACTCTTCCTGTGGAGGTGGTCCCATATTATGAAATACGCTCCCCAGTGGCTCCCTGGTTTGGTCAGCTCCTCCAATAGAATGTCCCATATTTCCGCCAGGCATATTAGTAGCCCTGCTTGCACCGCCAACGTCTGTGCTTTCGGTGCCCCGTACTATTGCACGGGTGTGGGGGTCGAATTCATCCCGCCACCACCAGACAGCGTCCAAAATCGGACTAAGGATCAAGCGACTTCGAATGCGGAGAGAGGTATACTCCGAGCCATCGGGTTTGCGGAATGCTTTGCTGCTGTTCCAAAGTTGATTCAACACCGTGATAGTTTTGGCCGCTGTGTCTGTTCTGTCAGTAGACATCTGTTTTGCCAGATTGATGGCCATGAAGAAGGAAACTCGAGCGCGGTTGGCGTCTAACCCGGCAACAGCAGCTTTACTTTTGAGGATGCGTAGTAGTGACATCGAAGCTAAAAGCAGACCGAACCCCACTTGAACAGGTGCCATAGAAATGAACCCCATCCTGTCTGCCAAGGTTTGGATGTAGTCCACCAAGCCGCAAGCAGTGGCTATGAGACGCGCTAAACACCCACTGGACACAACTGTACGCGTTTTATAGAAATGGAAGCTTTGTATAGCCATTCGGCAGAGGAGAAGGTGGTATCTCTCATCATCTGGGTAGCATGAGAAGATCAATTAGCAATCAAGAGTTGTTAGGAAACAGTGGCCAGGTAACAAACCAGCTATCGTCTGCAACTCAATCTCGTCCACTTGGTCTTCAAATGATCGCAACGCTTTGTCCAAGGACAACTCCTGATCCAAAGACATAGCACGTACCCCGTTCTCAAGAACCGCTTCGCTGCAGCTTCCAACGAGTTCTTGGCACCTGAGCTTTTGAGCTAGATCTGGGGCTATCATATTGAAGAGCATTTGGCGCTGCATGGGATCCTGCGCTAGACTGACAATGTTGCGGGGAGATTGACCTTTAATGACACAAGAACTAAACATATGATCAGAACGTTTGATGTCCACAATGTGCACTGGGACTTGATACACTTACCGCTGATAGACCAAAACGCATTGGGCCCAGAGCTCTGAGCGCCGAATCATATCTATTTCTGATGGTGCTGGAATCTTGACTCTCGAGAATTCGTGACTTGACATCGGGATATGAAAGCCGTTTTGCATCGCTACGTGGAGCAGCATTCCACTCAACGGAAAAGTCACATCGGGTCGATTTTCTTTCGGAAAGGGCCATGTTAACAGCAGTAGCAGACCCTGAATTGTGAACCATGGAGCGCAAGTTGACAAGACAGACAAGAATGCCATTTCTGTCACTCCCTGGGCCAAGGCTGTCTGTAGTGTCGGGTTACGGGGATATGACCGGCTACAGACACCAATGACGGCCCAGAATAAGAAGGGAGACTGTGCATAATATGCATTAGGCTTTATTTGCGCATCGAGAATTGGAAGGAACGAGGCGTAGTGGCGGAAGAACCTGAAAAAGCATTAGACACATCTGACCAAGATTGTCCTTGGGATATTCACATTTGGTACAAATCATCGATCTCTTCGCCAGTGACCGTAACACCCCTGAGGGAGCGCGATCTCGTGGTTTCGCTTCCTTGGGTTGTTGTGCCAGATGCCGAATCCGTCAGTGATAATTCGTGCTCGGGTAGAGATGCCAATTTCTGGGAGACTTCGGAGCCAACATTGGAGTTGAAACCTGACGGCACTCCAATTCCGGCGGTTGCTGGTGCTGCATCAATGGCAGGATGGTCTGATGGTCTATGGCGGGAGATCTGGAGTTGCTGGCGCAGTTGCTCTTTCTCTCTTTCGAGCTCATTCAATCGTCTGCTCGGGGTATTATTAGATGATCGGCCTCATTCCTTGGGATGAAGAGCTCTTACCGCCGTTTGTGTTCTCTGGTGAAACCATCATCAATGGTACATTCGTAGCCGTGTTTTTTGCACCGGGAACATGGCACAGTCTCATCTCTCCAGACGTCGCATTTGGACTACAACGTGGTCAATATAAAAATTCGAGATGTGGAAGTAGTAGAAATACCTTCTGCTGGCGGCACTGAGTGCATGCTTTTTTCCCTTTTTTGGGTAGTACTCTGTATCTCATCTTAGAATGCACTCAATCTTGGAAACGGAAAGAAAGTGGGGCTCGTACGGTGTACTGTCGGGGTTTTGAATCTGATATCGAGACTCCATATGTAGGACCAAGCGAAACCGGCACTCAGATCATTACTCCTTGTCGCCTAAAAGTATTGGCTTGATGACAAGAGAAGTTCTGTGAAGCTCAATGCCGGTAACGGGATGATCTTAAGTCTATGATTGGACGAAAGTACTTGTCATGTGACGCCGATCCCGTTGACCCACCGCCTGTAGGCTTGGCGGTGATACTGCCGGTCTAGTCGCTTCCTTCTCATTTCTCAACCTGGAAAACACGAAGAGGACATAAGCATCACCACTGTACGAGGCTGATTCGGACGCCAATGCGCAAATTAGGCCCAAAGAAATTATACGAGTCATAGCAATGTTATCGTCAGCTCGATCTGAGTATATTGAGCGCTCCATATGAACCTTCGCCCTCGTCAACCTCAGAAGGTTCCTATGACTTTCACTTGGAAAGCTTTGTCTACACAATGGAGCTTGGTCAATTATTCCAGTATCACTGCCTATGTGGAAATGAGTCTGTGTATGATCACGGCTCAACTCTTCCTAAATTTACCATCCCTTTTAAGTTTGACAATTTGCACTGTCAAATAAGATGTGCATAGCGGTGAAAGTCCAACATCCCATACGTGGGCAGAGGTTGGAATGAGAATGAGGCATGGACTCCACAGGGCGGATTCAAAGACCCTAGACAAGAACTGCGGCCACCGGGAGGACACGTTGGTCGCGACTTGGACTTGGTACCGTGGGTCTATCACTTCAGGAATCATTTTGATTGAAGGTCTATGATAGAGCTTACGTGCGATATCACACAACGTGGCAGTCATCATTGCTCTGTTTGGGTGGTCGGTAATCAATGAACGTTCGAATCAAGTGTGGTTGGTGGCAAGGCGGCAAACAAGATGATGGGTTCAGACTCGCCATTGCCCAGGTGAACATCGTTGTGTTCTTTTGGTGAGGCTCAGATGTTTTAAGATAGAGGCAATCTGCCGGAGGTGACCCGTGGAACCAAATGGAGACATCCAACGAGTTTGGATTTTTTGAGAAGGACATACAGTTTACAGAATATTGTGAGCAACTTTCTAACTCGTCTCTTGAATTGTTTCTGGCATGGTCTAGTGCACATAGTCCCTGTTTCATTCTGAAGGTTTCCACGAGGTCTCAGGTTGGGGACCTTTGCATTGGCGGCGGGTGTGGAAACGACGACCAGGCTGAATTTGGGTGCATCGGCATCCCCGCGAACTCGGCTTGAGTCGAACATTCGATTCTATCTGGAGACAGCAAACGCCACCACCACCACTGATGTTCGAGGGCAAACTGAACTATGGCATTGCCATCACTGTGACATCAGCGCCTTGACGACTGAGCTATATAGATCAATACAACGAGGCTAAAGGACCAAAGGACCAAAGCTTGACTTATTCCAGAACAGATCATGAGTTTTGACATTCCTACCGTCGCTGAGATTCAACTTGCCGCCGAGAGCGGACAGCGCATCACACGGGATGATGTTTCCGCCATCTCCCAGGCAGAGAGTGCGATGACAGGGCATGGTCCTGCAAGGGGTGGACCAGCAGGTCAGAGCCAGGACGATTGGTTCTTCAGTTAGTCCAGAGCTGACCCTCCTTAGCAACGGCACAAAGTCTTTCAATGAGACAAATGAATTTCGAGGACAAAGTTGACGAGGTATCTCGAAAGCCATCAACCTCTATCTCGATAAATGATGCAGAGGAGATACAAGCTACAGAGGTTAGTGGCTCTTGTGGACACAGCCCGTAGCAAACTTCCTAACTAATAGATCCCTAGGGTCGTGCATTCAACCAACCGCCTGGAGTTGGCTATGTATCCGCCCAAGTTCGGTCGATTGCCGAGAATAATGAGGCCCTTGGGCTCACTGCCCCAGCAGATGTGCCTACATTTGTCACAAAAGATGAGGCCAGAGGTGCTCAGCATGCTGAAGCATTAGCTTATGGTGGTCGAAACCCACGAGGGGGTGTAGCAGCTCAGTTACAGGTAAGTGATGAGTGTCCAACATTGGTGACATTTACCAACAATTTCCGGCAGAGTGCTGCAGACAAGATCGACAATTCCCGGCGAGGCAGCTTTGCTAGCGTGTAGCACCTGCAGCCCTTGCGGTCGTGTGAATTAGCTCTGGACATAAATATAGAGCGTATGTCATAATGCACAGCAATACACTTTGACCCATAAGCATAGCCCTGGAGCCTTTCTCAACGAATGATGTCATATGTGATACATAAATAGACCCACAGTGCCCGAAGAGCCCTATTTTGGTGTATCCAATTATGGTCCACGCTGAAAGTTTGGTCAGGAGATGTATCCTGACCCGCTATTCTGCCTTACAGAAGAAGCAGAGAGCACGCCAAGAGGACCGGCTTCACGTTAAAAAGGCTACTTGTACGGGCCTGACCCAGCTTGCAGGGATTTACCAAACAAGAGCGGGGTACTTACAGTCACGGCCGAGACTCTTTCCTGGCTGAATCAATATGCAGAGGCAAAGCGAGCTCTCCAGCCTCACGTTTCTGCATGACTCGGTCTCCGAGGAGACGATCATTGCAAGGCTTCAGGATCATAGATCTATGATTGAGCAGAACCCCTTGGTGATCCACTACGAGCGGTGCCCCGCGCCCGCGGATGCTTCAGATGAATCCGTCCACGTCTGGTTCACTCTGACCGACCGCATTGATTATGTCCCGGGCCTCCTTCAGGGAAAAATTCACTACCAAGCGAGCTTCCATGATACGCCTCGGGGGCTCCGAACACATATTCATGCACCGCTGGGCGTTGAGATTTGGAATGAATGGACAGTTTGCTCCAATCGGACGGGATCGGAAGTTGAGCCCGAACTCAAAGATAAGCCAGAAGGAGTGTATCTCCGCGAAAAAGTCGAATTGCGGTGTCCATTTGGCATGGCATTCTTTGTGCGGCGCAACATCGAGAAATCTCACTCCACGCTGGTGGAGCGACTGAGTGAGAGTGTGGCTGGGGCCGCGATGGAGGGGCACAGTAGCCACGGCGGGGCAAGTATTTGTCACGACCGTGCAGCTCCCCCAGCTTGACCAATGACTTCCAAAACCTGGAACGATGTTCGATTTGGAACACAGGATCGGGAATGTGGATACGAAAGAGCTGAAGGAGAGAGCTCGTGTACAGCGTATTGGTGACGCAACTAAGATTTGTCTGGCTCACCGAACCTGTAGAGTGACAAATAATGCTTGAAGTTGCTGGAGCAAGCATACTCCGTTTAGACCGTCCAGAGTGGGCATCTGTAGACCTTTTAAATAGCTCCCCTCCCTCCTAAGGTCCTCATCATCTTTTCAAGTACCTTGCGAGAATCAATTCCATCATCATGCCTCTTTCCGGACACTGCCTGTGCAAGGCTGTTACTTACACCGTTGACGTTGACGCGCCTTTGATCACTGCCTATGATCACTGCGATGACTGCCAGCGCCAGAGTGGCTCTACCTACTGTGGGTGACTCCCAACTGTACCCGGTGAATGATGAATCACCATTGCTGACTTCTCACTTTCAGCTCTCGTCTCCGTCGTCCCCAAGGAGAAGTTGACCATCAACGGCCCCGTCAAGAGCTGGGCTGGTAAGGGTTCTTCCGGCCACGCTGTCCACCGCATCTTCTGCTCTGAGTGTGGCTCGCCGATCGCTCACGACCCCGATGCCGCCCCCGAGATCATCGCTCTTAAGGCCGGTACCCTGGACACTGAGATCAAGAAGACTCTGAAGCCCGTAAGTTACCGTGGCCATTACACGAATACGGATAACCACTGACATCATATTCAGGATACTGAGATCTGGACTGTCAGCAAACTTCCCTTCTGCCAGGAGCACCTCGCCAAGCCCTTCGAGCACATGCCCAACTAGGCGCTCATTGGGACAGAAATTGGGTTGGAAAAACTTCCAGATTTAATGAGTGGTTACGAATACAAGCTAGTTGAATAGTTATGAACTGAATTGATACTCCAATACTTTCAAACTTTCTTCCGTACTCGACCATAAGCTACTGAGGTCGGAATTTCGGTGACACCAACATGCGGCCCTTGGCAGCTTATTTCACAAAAGCCCGAGACCCTCAAATCTCTTCTATCGGTACTCCGTATTCGGGAATTTATATTGAAATTAACAGATACACTCACAGGCCTTCACCATGTCCTCAGGCACATTGTTTATTCGAGACTCCCGCACCGACGCGAACTATGAGATTCCCATCCGTCGAAACTCAATTCGAGCAGTCGATTTGCAACGTATCAAGGCCAATGCAACCGGTTCCGATCGCGCAGATCAAGTCAGCCATGGACTGCGCGTGCATGATCCGGGCTTGCAAAATACTACCGTGACCCATTCGGAGATCAGCTTTTCGTCGGTATTTACACACTACATTGCGGGTGTTGGCTAACAAGTGCCAGTGACCATGAGCGTGGCCTGCTGTTATATCGTGGCTATACCCTTGAGCAGCTATGGGAATCTGATTTCGAGGAGATGTTCCATCTGCTGCTGTGGGCTACGTATCCAACAGATGTCCAGCGAGAAGATCTGCGCCAACGACTGGCGCAGTACATGCAAGAAGTGCCCGACACTGTGCATCAAAGTATTTTGAATCTTCCGTAAGATATTCTCACTAATCTTTTATCTCTTGGGTCGTTCTCTTTCTCGTTGGTACACGTGTCAGTGTTCTTAACAGTGAGACATTCATCTAGACGCACCACCAGTCCGCTTCCACTGATCCTTGCGGGTCTTTCTGCTTACCTGGCGTTTTTACCCGATGTTATCCCAGCATCCGCCAACGCGACGATCTACCAATCTGATATCCAAAGAGCCGATCGAGTGATCCTTCAAACCGTTGCAGCTTATGCGGTGGTGTTCGGGATTGTCCGCTGCCACCGACTCGGTATCAATTGGAGGCCACCTTCTCTCAATCAAACCTACTATGAAAATTTATTCGCAATGGCTGGTCTGGTAGACCATTTGACTAACTCTCCAGATCCCAGGCGGTTATCCTGCTTCCGCCGTTTTGGAAACCTGAACGCTGAGCATGGAATGGCTTTGAGTGTGTTCACGGCGCTGGTGACAGCATCCTCTCTGGCAGATCCGGTGTCTTGTCTGATAGCTGCCATAACCTCTGCCCACGGGCCATTGCATTTTGGAGCTACTGAATCTGCGCAGCGGACCTTACGCGCCATTGGTGAACCAAAGAATGTCCCAGCCTTCATGCAAGATGTCAGGGCAGGCAAACAAAAGCTGTTTGGCTATGGCCACCGCACTTACAAAGGAATGGACCCGCGGGTAGTTCCCATTCGAAGCATTCTCAGTGACTTGAGAGATGTTCCTCAACCACTATTGAAAGTTGCCGAAGCTATCGAGCAAGCGGCAGAACAAGATGACTACTTCCGTAGCCGGGGCTTGTATCCAAACGCAGATTTCTATGGAAACTTCGTGTTCACTGGGATGTATGCGGGACTATTTGACCGTTCCCATGCCATGCATATAAGGCTGATATTACAGCAGTGGATTTGAGCCAGATATCATCCCGGCAGCTATGCTTGTCCATCGCATTATTGGAATAATGGCGCATTGGAGAGAGTACACGCGTAGGGGCTCACGTTCTGTGCCCTTTTCTTCCTGAAGCTGACAAGATGCAGTCAATCGAGGCAAGCTATTTCGACCAACTCATCTCTACACCGGATGTGCTGAGCCTGCCCGGGGCGTTGTGGCGAAAATCTAGCTTGAAATTTTTATCTTTCCCCTTAGACAGAGCTGTCAAGATTCTTCATTAGGTCGCACTTTTCAAAATGTCGAGTATTGTGTTCTAGCTACGTCGCAGCGACCAACTTTGAGTAGGTGGATGATGTGTTGCTTGCCAATTTCATTGAGAGGACAAGGCTTGAATAGATCCACACTCTGTTTTTGGTCATTTGACTCGACATGTGCAAAACAGCTATCTTTGTGCCGGTTGATAAAGCCACGCCTATTGAGCGGCACCAATTCAAGCCGTCGAATCTACAGATAGCTCCGGCAGAGAGCGCAGGGTCCTGTTCTTTTTTCCCGGATCCTGGAGCCCTGGAACCTTGGAAGCATCATACCAGAGGCCGGAGTGCACTTGTAGCCAACGAATCTTCTCATCGAGGTGGTCAGATGTAGAGATTACCGTGTCACCAGAGCCCGAAGACCTATCACGTTCACCCTAGGACTGTTTGCTCTCCATCGGAAATCATGAACACCGATCCGATCTTTGTATCAATATGGGATTTGCAGAAGCCCGGACCTAGCGAATGGGCCATTTGCAGAGACCGAGAGAAAGATCAAAGTGAATACTACGCCGCAAAGAAAGAAATGGTCAAATACATCCTCTCCATTGAGAAACTCCCATCATGCCTACGTCTTAGCAAAACCGATGAATGGATATTGAACGGACTTGAACCAAATCCACCGTGAGCAGAGTGAGACAAAGGTAGTGTAATGGTAGTAAATGACGGGTGTAACGCTATATCGTACTTTCTTCAAAACCAACCTACGAAATGCTTGAACTAGAACACTCACTCCAGCTGCCATAAGCCATCTTGAAGAAGGTCAAAAATGATTCTGTACACATACCGAGGGCCTGCAATTTTGCGAAACCAGGCGCGGGATGAAAGAATGAATGTGTGCCATAAATGCTTATTGCAATCTATTGGGTCAAAATCTCCGTACTTGCTTTTTCCGTCTGCAGGCTTGTAGATTTCGTGCGTTATGCAAAGATGGGCCGAGTGCGCATCACCCATCTCACCTGCGATTTCCTCTTTGGGAGGTGTACATAAAAACCTTGGAAGCAATTAGTCTCTTTTGGCTCGGTGAATATGCAGCGCCAGCTTCGGCAGTTTTCAAAAGAATTAAGTTGCTTTCTAAGGTTGGGGTTTGAACGGAACAACAATTTGGGTACATTGCTAGGAGAGGGTGCTACGTATACTAGCTACACGCCAAATAAACCTACCAAATCAGACCAAAATAGCTACTCAACATCAAGAATGGCTTGCTCCAGTGAAACCTCCAGAGAAACCCAGCCGGATCCGAAGAAGTCAAGCAAAATCTGCTCGGCTCTGTTTGAGAGCACGTAGTCGAGTTGACACTGGTGATCGTTTGGCGCATCCGGGGTATTACTGTTGGGACGGAGCTTGCGCAGTATTGCAATGACTTCGGGCCACGTAAACTTGGCTGCTGTGCCAAAGATGCGTTCCGACTGAATTTTCGGATCAAGAAGCGCAGCGATGTGAAGACGGGCCGTGTCTTCGACGTTGACATACCAGCCTAGAGGCGTTTACCATTTCTAAGATCTAGAGACACGGAATAGAACGAACTTACCAGGAGGGTAAATCCTCATAAAGAAGTCCTTCCCGCTGAGAAGAGCCTTCATGGGCGCTACGGGATCATGGACGTTAGGATTGATGCGGGAGCCAATCTGAAACATTAGCACTAATGCACGTCTCTAGAAATGGGAATTTCCACACCACGTTGTCGGGAACTACCGTATTGAACCGGAAGCGTGGCTGGTTCTCCTCAACCCATTTGAAAGCCTGACGCTCCGCTTCAGTCTTGGACGCTGCGTAGACTGCATGTCCGGGAGCGATCTCTTGCGGGTTCCCAGCCTGGACACTGGCGACGACTGCGTCGTTGTACGTGGCTACGGCTGTTAGTATACATGCTCGGCACATCTATGTACTGTAAATTGCCAACCGTTGTCGATCACAGTAGGCTCCGACGCATATGTAGGCGTGATGCATGCTGCAGACGATGATGTCAGTACCACCGACTTGACAGCGCTATTCTTGGCTGCCTCGAGCATCGCCAGCGTTCCCTGCACGACTCTCTCGATCAGTGCGGGGTCCGGGTCGAATGAATTGTCTGTCGCGACGAGCACTACGCCCGCAACATCATCGAAGAGGCTGGCGTGCGGCTGAGCCAGGTCTGGAAGGATGACGGACTCGTAGTCGTACTTTTGGAACAGTTGGTCCAGCCACGGTCGGGGCTCACGGACGGTCCCGCGTACTCGGTAGCCCCGCTGGAGGAGCAAATTGATAATGTGTGAGGCGATAAATCCATTAGCGCCGGTGACGAGAATTCGCGACTGTGGTGGGAGTGTCTCGCTGGCCATGGTAGGATCAACAGTTGTAAGATCCAGTAAGATCCAGTTCGAGGGGACGTTGTCTCATATATCCAGTGACACCCCTGTCCGCTGTGCGAGGTCCGGAATAGACAAAAGTCCATGGCCATTGGAGCTAACCCATCGCGGGGTTTCGCGCAGGAGAGAAAAGCGTTAGCAAGATCCGAAGTGGATGTAAGGGAGCTCCTCAGGTGTCCGTTCCCCTTCCCGCTTTAATAATCTCTCTTTCTGTTGGCCCTCACCTCTTCCCTCCATTCGACTTTCTATTCAAATTTTGACTTGTACTTCCTCATTCACTTTCTCTGAATTTGTGCCGAAATGCGTATCACCGTCAGCGTGATCCGCCCCGATGCGGACTCCGACCTCATCAACCTGGAAGTTGGCGGTGACATGACAATCGAGCTTCTGAAAGCCATTGTTCAAAGCGATACCGGCATCGCTCCAGAAGCCCAGCAGATCGTATATAACAATCAGCTGCTCCAGACCCCCCTCACAGACCCTTGAATCAGTGGGAATCTCCGAAGGCGACATGCTTGGGGTGCACGTCACTCTCCGCACTCCCCAACAACCGACCCCTCGTCCGTCCGCCCCCTCCAGCTCAAGACAACCTGCCCCGCGCCCCGGAATGCCCGACCCGGAAACAATCCGGCTACACATTCTGGGTGATCCTCGCGTGCGCGAGGCTGTGCGCAGGCAGAACCCAGAACTCTCCGAGGCAGCCGACAACGCCCAGCGGTTCCGCGAGGTTCTGCTGAGGCAGCAGCAGAGCGAGGCACAGCAAGAAGCTCAGAAGGAAGCTCGCATCGCTATGCTTAATGCCGATCCGTTCAACCCTGATAACCAGAAGGAAATTGAGGAGATCATTCGCCAGAATGCCGTTACTGAAAACCTACACAATGCCATGGAGCACCACCCAGAGTGTACGAGTCATCCTCCGCGGATTCCAAATGAAGATCAAGCTAACTAGTTGAATTTAGCATTCGGGCGTGTTACTATGCTCTACATCCCCGTCGAAGTCAACGGTCACCGCCTGAACGCCTTTGTCGACTCCGGCGCCCAAGTCACAATCATGTCCCCCGAATGCGCCACAGCCTGTAACATCATGCGCCTCGTCGACCGCCGCTACGGCGGTATCGCCAAGGGAGTCGGCACCGCCCCAATCCTCGGCCGTGTCCACTCGGCCCAGATCAAAATCGGCGAGATGTTCCTCCCTTGCTCCTTCACCGTCATGGAGGGTAAGCAAATCGACCTGCTGCTGGGACTCGACATGCTTCGTCGCCACCAAGCCTGTATCGATCTCCAGCGTGGTGCACTCGTCATTCAGGACCAGGCTGTCCCCTTCCTCGGCGAGGGGGATATCCCCAAGGAACTCACTGACGAGTTCGAAGCCGAACCTACAGTGAAGGGCGCCGATGGAGCGGAAGTTGGCGCCCGTACTGGAGCCGTGACTCATAAAGCCGAAAATAACGCTCCTAGCTCTAGCTCTGCTCCGGCCCCGGCTTCTGCTCCGGCTGCTGCGCCCAGGATCAACATCCGACCCGCGTCGAGGTGGCCCCAGGATTCCATTGCCAAGATCACGGAGCTGGGTTTCTCGCGCGAGGAAGCCGTTCGCGCCCTCGACGCGGCTCACGGTGACTTGGACGGTGCCATTGGATTCCTTATTTGATATTTCGGATTGCATCAATGGCGTTTGGGCTTTAGCATAATGATTGTACGATTACAGCAGCATTACATTAGATTCTGTCTACTCTTGCTTGCTCTTACGAAGCGCCTTGCGTAGTCGCCCGATGCCATCGAGAGCCATGTAACCACCTGTGGCTGTCAGTTCACTGTAGATTGTAGACAGTCGAGTGGGGGAGGCAACGTACCCAACGCGACGTACGGACCGTACAGCGAGGTGATCTGCTGCTTTTGAGCCGTTGTGCGATCATCCCAGCTCCACACGTCCACCAGACACGTCAAGGAGGTAAGGAAAGCTTGGAGACCGAAGATGAGAAGGTGGATTGGAAGATAGACATGGTCTGGGCACTGTCAGTTGTGGACTCTTATGGGTCGGGGAGATTCGGGCAATTTCCGTGCAATGACATACTCTTAAGCAGAGCGCGCACGGCTAGTACGGAGGCGGGAACGTGGTACAGCAGCTCCATCCAAATGAACGCGGTGAACCATGATGGCGGATCCGAGAAGAACTTGTCTTGGTAAGTGGAGATGTAGAATTCGCGGAGTTGGTGGGAGAGATTTGTCTGGAGGACGGTCGGGAGCAGCGGGACGGTGTCGACGACTGGTCTTTGTTAGCCGGATCACATTGAAAGAAGTGGCGGTCACTCACGGAAGATGATAGGGACATGGGTGACGAAGAAGAGCAGATAGGCGATATCGCGCTTGCGCATTCCGAGATCGGGCGATGAAGTCATTGCGCTAGAGTATGGGTACACAAGGAATGAGTAGGAAGAGAGGAGCGAGTGGGAGCGAGTGGGAGCGAGTGGGAGCCAGTAGCCGGTAAGAGCCCAAGAGCCTAAGAACCCAAGAACCCAGGAGTACGGGGGAGCAATTGACGTAGGGGAAGATCTCCCAACCGTTAGGCAGTCAGGTGACCCCGGAACAATCTGGAAAAGTGACAGAAGTACGAGCTGTGGGTGAAGCTAACAAAGTACTAGGACTAAGTCAGATAGACTATGAAACTCTCTCTTTGCTTTTTTCTTTGAATATCGAACCGCTCTGTACCATCGCCGTGGAATTGACACATCGCCTGCCGCCCTCCAAGGGGGCCCACAGAGTACCTTGCAAAGCACTCACCGCTGCTTCTCTCAATTTTAAGGTGCGACTAGTGGCCTGACTTTTCTCCTTCGGCTTCGTTTGCTCTCCGATTCTATGACACTCGTCAAGCCTCCCCGGCACTTCGTGTGTCCGGATAGCTTACAGCTCACAGCTGAGCTACTGGGATAGCAAAAGTCCTTGGGTCATCGGCCCGATCCTTTACGATCCACCAAAGGACCTTGGTACACTACTAGTCCTCCCCAACTAGGGCAAATGTTGACATCAATGCACGTAACAAGGGCCTCCCTGGTTTCGATAGACCGCAATGATCTTCTATGCCCAAACACGGCATCGTTGGGCCATTGCACTTATCTTTACATACCGAACTATGCATCTTTTGAATCTCTCCATACTGTGAGACTCGTACTGAAAAGCCTCCAAGATCCCAAGTATGCATATAGATCACAGATAATGCAATTGTAAACCCAACTGCATTATCGGACAAAGAACTGCATAGCGGTGTATACTCGTATAGGGGGGAAATAGGAGGGAATTTTCCTTTTTTTTTCAAAATAATCGAAAAATGCTCGGGGATAATAATATAATATTATTTTTAAAAAAAAGAATATTGAGCCGAGGTGGCGGAATCCCTGAAATTTCGAGGTCTCAAAGAAATAAAGGCGAATTATGGATTTACATCACATCTGACTGTTTAGGAAATACTCAATGCTTGACCGCTGTTCATATACTTGACCCGTCTCTGCTATATAAGATTCCAATCCCTCTCCTTTACCCACTCTCCATCTTATCCATCTTATCCATCTCTCGACTCCACTATGCCTTCCTCGGCCCCCGTTCTCCGGCCTAAGCAGCCCAAGGAAATCCCAATTAGCTACGACATCAACATTCCCTATATCGACGTCGACAAGAAATCCAAGATCTCAACCAAGTACCCCCAATATCTCCCATCATGGGATCCCGTCTGGTTCGAGCCTCTCACCCCATTCACCTACAACGACCCAGCTCTGCGCGTGCGCAACAAGTCCAAGCCAAACCTGCTGGCCGGTGCCAAAGTCACCGACATCCAACCCGCCATCGGTTCAGTTGTTGAAAATGTCCAATTATCCAGTCTCTCCGACACAGCCAAAGATGAACTGGCCCTCCTGATATCAGAGCGCAAGGTTCTCGCCTTCCCAGATCAAGATCTCATCGACGCCGGCCCCGATGCCCAGGAATCATTCATGCGCCACTTCGGCAAGCCAAACTACCAGCCCGTCTCAGGCTCCATGACTGACCACCCGGCATTCCACATCATTCACCGTGATGGCAACCGAGAGGAAATCCAGCGCTTCCTCTCTCAGCGCACTACCACCACCCTCTGGCACCAGGACGTCAGCTATGAGATCCAGCCTCCCGGCTACGTCATGCTTGGTCTCCTGCAGGGCCCGGAAGTCGGCGGTGATACCGTCTTCGCCTCGACGGATATGGCCTACAAGCGCCTTTCACCGGCCGTCACATCTTTCCTAGATACGTTGAAGGTGACGCATTCCTCGCGCAAAATGATCGATCACACCCGTCTCACGGGTGGTTTGGTCAGGAAGGATCCCGTTGATACTGTTCACCCGCTTATTCGGGTGCACCCGGTGACAGGGGAGAAGTGCATGTTTTTGAATGGAGAGTTTATTACAAGGATCGATGGGTTGAAGGATTCAGAGACCAAGTGGGTTTTGGATTTCTTGATGAACCATTTGGTTACGGGTCATGATTTCCAAGCTAGAGTGCGCTGGCAGCCCAGGACAATTGTTTTGTTTGATAACCGTTCGACTATTCGTGAGTTTCGCCCGATTTTTTCTAAACATTGTTTGACTTGGGAATTTCAAACTGACTGTTATGCAGATTCCGCAATTGTGGATTACTTGGATGATGATTTCGGCGCCAAAGCTCGTCATATCTTCCGTTTGATTGCGCTGGGCGAAAAGCCCATCCCTGTGCATGAAGACGAGGAAACCGTGGAATTTGAATAAATAGTTTGGGCTCAGGAGTTTTGGTTGATCTTATACGCTTGATGCTTTAATATTTCGAAATACCATCTACTTAGAATAATGAACAGGCATTGTTTCGGGTTGAATGAATCTACTACAGTTTGAGAGACAAGAGAAGCATATGAACATTTTAAAGCTATACTCTTTCTAGCATTGAAACATTTCGTTTTTCATTACCCACCCTCACGCCTAGAGTTACAAAAACAAATACCTGCGACTCATCGCAATAAAACATGTCAGATGCCCGAATTCCGAGTACCGAATCCCAGGAAATGCAGATCGGCATGTCGCCATATCCAACACAGTGCAAGGTAGATCACTGCAAAATATCATCGATCCGCGACCGCAACTCATGAGCGGTCTCCAACTGCTCCTTCCCAATAACATTGCTCTGCGTCAGGATCAGCAGCATCTCTGAGATCCGCTCGGCAACAATATCCGACCCAAATACCATTCCTCCCAGTCGCACGGTCTCCTGGAACCAGCCAGTCAGGAGGTAGAGCAGATCCTGTGCGATGTATCGGCGATTGGACCCATGGAAGGGCGCTTCGTCGGTGTAGTACATGGTCTCGAGGACCGTGTACAAGGATTCGTGCGCAACGCCGAGATCTAAGAACAGATCCACCACCCAGGTCGGCGGGCCAACGTTCCGCTGGAACTCCAGGGAGTAACGCTCGAGCATAGGGACGAGCTCGCGGATGGGGAATATCGTCTCGGACATGCGCAGGCGACTTCCGAGACTCCGCACCTTGTCGATCACCGCTTCGTAAGGTTGCGGTGAGCCCCGCGTTACGGTGGCTTGGTGTGTGTTGTCGATCAAGTGCTGCCAGGTGGCTTTGACATCAGCTGCGTTGCGGTGGTCGGCCTGGTAGAAGATCTGGAGACAGATGTCATGGTAGCCAGCTGAGTCCGCATATTGGTTGAAGAGCTTTACATAGGTTAGTCGATCATACCCTTTGTCATTTCGACGGTGAGAGAGAGCTTACTGTGCTGATATCCTTGATCGGTCCATCCACATCCTCTAGTACTTCAGACTTCCGCTCGGCGACAATGCGCTCATCATCCTTGAGTCTCTGGAGGAGGTCATCTTGGATATTGGCCACGTCGATCAGGTTCGAGATCTCTTGCAGCAATCGCTGCCTTGATTGGCGTCCCACGTCGGGTGTGAAAATGGAAGCATTAGCGCGGGCTTGGCCGAGATACTCAATGCGGCGGTTCAATGGCAAGATGAAAGCACTCTGGGCAAGGTGGAATTGAACCTGTGCAGTCTCGAAGAATCGCTGAGACTGGGCGTAGTATCGCCAAAGCAGGTCGGCATGGCCGAGATCGTCGTTGGACTTGCGCTGGAGGTAGGTGACCACGAATGGCGACTGTGTCTGCAGCAATCGGTCGTTCCAGCCCTGTTCGAGGTACCAGTCGTAAAGGCTGGTCAAAAACACCTCATCCGCCGAGTCAGAAATCACGCCATAAGCTTCACCCTGGCGTTTAGCAATGAGTGTCGGTTGGCCGTCAATCACGCCAGGGTCAGATGCAGCTAGGGTATCAACTGCGAGAACGACCTTGAAGATCAGATCATAGCACTGCTTGCGGAATAAGAAATATTCCTTTCGGGTGTCCTGGGTGAATGTGAGATTCCGGCGGGTTCCATGGGGCAAGGGTTTGCAAACCTGTTCGGGGCGTCCATCCATGATCCAGGTGTAGGCCAGGTTGGCTTTGTCGGAGCGGGCAGCCACATTGAGCGCCAGCTGGATCGCACCTAGCACCATATTAGCATCAACTATTAACCAAAGGCCAATCATAAATTACCTGCGAAGAACTGGTTGCTAATGAAAATGCCCACGGCTGAGACCAGGTAGTCCATAGGCAGGGAATCGGCCACCTGCTGGAAGAGATGCAAACTTTCATTGAGCAAGTTGCGGCCTAGCTCTGTGTTGGCACCGGCCTCAGTTGCACGCTTCAGCATCTCCTGAGCTTTGAAAATGACGACATCCTCTGTGCTGCAGAAGCTGCCGCATCTTCTGCGAAGCGCATCAGCCACCGTCTCGACGTTTGATCCCTTGGCGATGTTGCGGTTGACAATTCCCTTAACCAACTCCTTGGCGATGTCATGGCCCTTGCTAGAACTGAACAGCTCTTCAAATGTGAGACTTAGGAACTTGTCCTTGGAGTCGTCTGGCAGAGTCGCCACAATCTCGTCAACCCGCTCATCGAATAGAACAAGGATGAATGAGATGCCTTCGATTGTGTGCGACACCAACTGCACCAGTGAATGTAATGCGCGGTGCTCGGCTTGAAGCGCCGTTTCTTCTGTCTTGGTATTCATCCGGTTGAGGGCATCGGGCCCGCTGAGCCCCTCAATAAAGTTCCTGTTTACCTTGAAGAATTCTTGCAGGGAGGAGAGGTCGTGCTGGATGGTTTGCAGCTTGCTTGAGCTCACGGACGCTGAAACTGTTTGGGCGCCGTTCGAGCCCTTGCCCACCTTGGCAATTCGCTCCTTCCAGATGGATCGCAACAGACGGGAAATGTAAAGAGCAATACCCGCGTGTCGTGGAGAGGGTTGCACTGCATCAAGGGCAGATATCGTCCCATCCGCAACAGCGTTCTCGTTCAAGTGGGCCCGGCCTCCTTGCTCGATAAAGAACTGGCGTGCCAAGGTCAGGACGTCAGGGTCGGTAATTCGAGTCATCCTTTGGTCGGGGGACAACTCAACACCCTGGCCACAAGCGACCGCCAGAGCAGTCGCCAGAGCCTCGCTGCGTCCGTAAAGCTTGATAAAGTTTCTTCCCTCGCCTTCCGGGCCTTCGTCACGACTGCCACCGCTACGGAGTAGGGCAGCAAAAATATCCACAAGGCGACGGCGCCGGATGAGATGAACTCCGCCATTAGTCAAGATGGCGATTTCAGCTGCAGGGTGGTCAAATTGAACAGCCAGCTCATTGGTCACCGATGAGGGTGCCGAAACCAGGCCGATATCTTCTGCTTTGCCTCCAAGGTCTAGTATGATGGCCGACTCGGCGTCTTTGTTGCCGTTGGTCGCGTTGTCCTGCACATGGGCTACACGGCCGGAGTCGGGAGTCGAGATGAAAAGGGTGTCCATCTTCTGCTGGGGATCCTTGGTGGTGAAACAGAAGAAGTACCCAGGGGAATATCGATGTGCGAGTCGTGTGGGTGAAAGGGTGGTGATCGGGCCAGCAGATGGGGAAATTGCGCTGATAGATGGCCCAGAGGCGTTTCCACCGGCGGTAATATCAACAGGAGGTGTCTTCACATGCAGCGCCTGCATGCTTGTAGGAGGGTTGGTGCCACTGGGTGCGGGGGCCCAGCTATACGAACCAGTGGCACTCAGGTAGATGCGGTAACCAGTAGCGGTGGTCGCAACCAGGTGATAGCGCGACGCTTCTGTGGCAGGCACTGGACTGATCGAGACGATCTTGACTCTCGGGTTAAGAGTCTCATTGGAGGTGATGATGTGCCCGATGTTGGAGTAAATGTCGATAGCGCGTTTGGTAATTGAAAGTGTCAAGCTGCCTTCAGATCCCAGGTGGAAGACGCGAATCGTGGACGCAGAAGAAAGTGTGTAAAGTAGATTTCGGCTTTCGTCGAGTGCCATCTGGACGACACTTTCAACAGAGCTCTGAGCAAGATTGGTCAAACTCATAGATGGTCTGAAAGCCAAAAGTCGAGAGCTCGTATGGTTCACTCTACCACACCGTCCTTGGAACCACCTTTCCTCCTGCTGATAGGTAATCTCGTGCACATCCGTGTCAGACGATCCTCCGAAGAAAATGCGGCCAGTGGAATCAGAAGCCGCGAAAACATTAATATCCAAGCCGCGAACTGAAACTGACATTCCAGTGTGATACAAAGAGACTTGTTGACCCCCGCTGGGTGTCTTCTCATATCCCATTCCTAGCAGTATGATATCCGCGGTCGTAGAGATCACCAGCAAGTGAGTGATTGCAGGCAAAAAGACTCCCGCGCGTGGTTTCGTCAATTTGACTGCGTTGATACTGTTTGGCTGGTCTTCAAATCCTACCAGCTGGGGGTTCGGGTGTGTGAAATCCCAGATGTACAATGCGTTGTCAATGGCTACCCACGCGTGGTTGAGCTCGGCAAACAAGCCCATGCTTGTCGAAACTTGCGCGCGGTTGTATTGATCAAAAATCTGGTCGGGGATGTCGTACATCTTGACCTTTTTGGAAAGGTGCCCATGGCTGGGCCCCGGGGATGTTGTACTCTGATGAAGCGCCCTCTGTATATGGTCAGTGTGATTCGGACGGCTCGAATGGGTGTGATCTTACGTGACAAATAGCTGTCAAGATCCGGATATTGCGCTTCACTAAGTAGGGCGCTGTTGATAGTCCGCGCCCCGCGCTCCTCGGTGCTCACGGTCTGGTTTTGGGTCTTGGTTGCTGCTGGGGGTAGCTTCGGCATCGGGGTCTGCGGAGGTTGTGTCTGCGGCTGGGTTTGCATTGACATTGGTGTCCTGGTCGGGAGTGGTCTTGGTCCAGTTGGCGCTGGGGTCTGAAAGTAAGCTCCAGGAAGGGGTTTCTGTGGTGTCGCCGGAGGGAGATTTGTTGGAAGAGTCGGATACGACATGGCGGCGGTTGGGAAAAACGGAGAATCCCCCGCTCAAAAATTAAACAGGGAGCTGCAGTGTAAGTCGGACGAAAAAAGAGGACAAAAAAAGGGTGGACAAATCACGATGAATGAAGGTCTTAGGAGGGAGACTGGATTTATTCAAGGTCTTTGCGAAAAGAGAGTCAACACCGGCGCGCACAGACCATTTTGAGATCTTCCGCCTTTTGCTTTCTATTGACGTTTGGATCAGTTCTCTACTGTTGTCTCTCTCTCTATTCATTGTCTTTCAACCATGTTCCAATCAATTCGTGTTGCTCTACCAGCTCGCCTTCCAGCTCGTCTGGTCAGGTGGAATTCCACTGGTCCTGTTCTGCCACCCTTGATGGCCACTCTGCGGACTGATCTAAAGACCGCGATGAGAGCCAAGGACACCACACGGTAAGATGACTATCAATCGCATTAGACTCCAAGCTTATGAATAGGCTCAATGTGCTGCGCGCTTTGATCTCCGAAACCAACAACGCCGCCAAGACCGCCTCTCCGATTCAGACAGATATCCAACTCTTGTCACTCATCCGCAAACGCTTGAACGCTGCTAAAGATGCTGCCAAGGAGTTTGAAACTGCCGAGCGACCCGATCTGAAAGAGAAGGAAGACGCACAGGTCGTGGTTCTGGAAGAATATGCCGGCCAAGTCAAGACTCTTCCCGCGGCTGAGATCGAAGAAATCGTCACCAAGGCAATTAACGACATGATCAGTGCCGGTACAAAGCCCAACCCAGGTACCGTCTTCAAGACTCTCTTCGCTACCGACGGTCCCTTGGATGGCAAGCCCGTCGATAGGAAGAATGAAGTTTCTCCGGTGGTGCAAGCGGTGCTTAAGAAAGTACTCTCCTGAGCTTACACTCAACCATTATATTGTATATTAGTGTCACAATAGCCTCAAGGCAGTCAATGATCTTTATAATTCACAGAAGAAATGAACCCAACTCCAATCTAACGCCAAACTACCTGACTTATGAGTAAAAGAAAGCCGCTCCCCCAAGAGATGTCATCAAAACGCCCAGCCACCACCACCGGTCTGGGTTGATCAGTTGATCCCTGCTAATAAGGTAGAATCCAGTGTCTGACCGAACATCGCGTTTGGCCTTGTTGCCTGTGGGATTGGGGTTCAATGTCTTGCTCGGAAGCATCTTGGGCTGTTCGTGGGCGATGAACATCGGATGAGCCTTGGAGCCATCTGCTCTAGTCAACTGGAGGCGTTTGGTGTTGTGGTACTTATCAATCCCGACAGAGAAGCCCTATGTTGTGTTAGAAGAACGAAAGAATGAGATTTTCTAGTAGACACGGGGATCTGAATTCACCTTGAACCGCTCAGTGGTGTTAAATCGTGTATACTCAGCAATGTCTTTGCGGCAAGGATCGGACAAAAGCTGACGACCATCCACGGCGATAGGCGTCAAAGTCAACGATCCATTAGCGAACACGGCGTAGGAGCCATGCTGCCACTGCATGATGCCTCCGGGACATTTCGGGTCGGCCGCTACTGCTCGTTAGCCCTTGTTCAACCCAGATACTCAGGCAACTCACGGTTGGAGATGGATCGATAGTAAGCTGATTCATAATTTCCATCACTGTCAAATGAATATGAGATTCCCGTCAAATTGGGCTCCAATAGTTTGTCCTTTAATGGATCGTAGAATCCCTGGTACGCGTTAGTCTCGTTTGGACCCATTTGTATACTTCGACATACTGGACCAGTGATGACCTGACGAGATTTGGTAGTCCAGGTTCCAACCAAATCATTGACATTTGCCAAAGCAACAGCCACTAGCAGACTCCAGATCCAAATCATCTTGAAGATTGTCAAAAGGGAAAATGACAGAAAGGGTGTATTTGAAGGGCGCCCTTCCTTCGGGTGGAGACCACAACAGAGCCCAGCAATGCCCTTATCATTATCGTCTGGAATGGGACTTCCCCCTCACAACCACCCAATGGCTTTTCAAGCGGCAAAGCGCGATCTGCGCAAGAGGATGCGCTCAGTGTTATCAACACTGTCTCCTGTTTCTATAAATCAACAATGTCAGAAGTATCGCTACTTTCAATCTTGCTATTACTGATGTCTCCTCAGCTAGTGCTGCGACAAACAAGTTCCTTGCGCTGGCCGAATACCAGAGCGCCAAGAGCATCGCTGTATACTTGTCGATGCCTAGTGGAGAGCTTTCTACAACGAGAATCGTGCGCGATGCCTTGCAAAGTGGTAAGAAGGTTTACATCCCATATATCTACACCAAGGACACAACATCGGTGATGGATATGCTTGCGCTCGGATCCATCACGGAATTTGAGTCATTGCAACCCGACAAATGGGGAATCCCTTCACTTCAAGCTACACAGATTGAAGGTCGTGCGAATGGTTTAGCACAGGGCTTGGATCTGATTGTGATGCCGGGCATGGCCTTTGACCGCGGGTTCCGACGTCTCGGTCATGGCAAAGGATATTATGATCATTTTTTAACGCAATACTCGAAACAGGCCAGCAAAATGCCATTCCTGGGTAAGAAAGTCCCAACAACCCGTTTATTTCCCAACTGAACTCCATGGTAGTTGCCCTATCTCTCCAAGACCAATTGCTCTCTGAGGAGATTCCCGTGGTGGAGCATGACTGGCTGGTCGATGCGATCGTCGTCGGAGATGGTGAATGCTTGGATCGCAGGGTGTGCAAATAGAATGAAAACGAGTTATAATTCAAACAGCTTGGATCAAAGAAACATTGTCTCCCTTGAGGAGAATTTGGCCTGCGCGTGGGGTTAGCTAGGTTCCCGGTACCACAGCTGTTTCATCCGTACCTAGCGGCCTGCGCTTCTCCTCCTCTGTCTTGGTAGCCTGGCGCACTTCCACAGCATCATCGATGACCAGGTTCATAAACTCATCAAATCCCTAGATTCAAAGGAAAAATGATTGTTAGCTTCACGTCCATTGTAAATTCACGGAGCCACGTACCCGGATCTTGCCCTCAATCCGGAAGGCAAGCTGCTCATAGAGCCATACTGATACAGTACTGCGCTTCTGTAGCAGACTGAAAATAAAGTGAATAGGTGCCAACAAAGTCTTTCGGCCAGCCATGATGTGAGTTGGTTGGGTATGCTGCTTCGGGGAGGTTGACAAGGTGAAGAAAGCTCTGGCGGGCGGTCTGTGATTTGATTACGGTAATACGGTTATCTTGTCTGGGCCACCATCCCACCTTCAACTCGCTCGCTCTACAACCCACCCTCCCTTGGATGATACATTGCTGAGCCTGATTCAATTTATTACAAAATGGCCAGCAAGGAAGCCGGGCAGGCATTTGCGCCGGTCCTGGCGGCTGTCGCGACAATGCAGGGGAATGTGTCTAGGGCTGAGAAGACCCAGGCTCATGAATTCCTAGAGAAGTTCCAGAAATCGGTGGGATATTTGGGCTTGTGCCGAAAATTCCGGGCTAACTCTTCTACAGATCGAGGCTTGGACAACCACCCATGCCCTTTTACAGTCACCCGACGCACCAGTGGAAGCCAAGTTGTTCGCCGCAACTACACTGAAGGGAAAGGTAAGGTGATTCTGATATGAGTGATCTGAAGAATTTCTAATTGCGCAGATTATCTTTGATCTCGATCAACTTCCCCCGATTCGGTATTGGCACTCCGAGATTCTGTTTTGAACCTCTTAGTCGCATTCGCGCCGGGCCCGCGCCCTATCCAGACCCAGCTATGTGTTTGTCTGGTCAGTCTGGCGATCCAGATGACCGCGTGGAAGGACGTGCTTGCGACTGTCGGTGCAGCCTTGGGGAACAACGCCGGAGACTGTGTACTTGAGTTCTTGAAGATCTTGCCCGAGGAGGTCACTGAGGGGCGCAAGATTAACCTCAGCGTGCGTTTCGCCGGGTGTATGTCTACAATGATTCAAACTGACGAGCTTGATAGGAAGATGAACTTCTTGAGCGAACTATGGAACTCCTTGAAGGCAATGCTGAACAAGTCCTCCAACTGTTGATTCAGTACTCGCAGTCGTCGCGTAAGTCTTGGCCAGCCCTCCTTCATACTTCTCATGACTTTTAGCCAAGAAACTGATTATGAGCAGCTGCCGCCGCCACTAACCCTCGTCTTATCGACTGTATCACTTCATGGCTCCGTGAAATCCCAGCCGCTAGGGTCGTTGAATCACCCCTCATGGATGTAATCATCAAAGCGTTGGACGACGATAACTCCTTCGATGCCGCCGTTGACTGTATCTGCACCCTCTACCGTGATACCAAGGATGTGGACGAGTCTCCAACCACAATTCAAGCGCTCTACCCGCGTCTCATTGCTCTTCGCCCTAAGATTGCCGAAACCGCCGAGGCCGAAGACCTGGAGGCTTTCAAGGGCATCACCAGAATATTTGCTGAGGCCGGTGAAGCCTGGGTTGTTCTTATTGCACGTTTGCCAGGTGATTTCCGGGGTCTTGTCGAGGCTCTACTTGAATGCTGTGCGCGCGACTGGGAGCGTGATGCAGTGTCCTTGACCTTCATTTTCTGGTATGAGCTCAAGCAATACATCACCCTGGATCGGTACACCGATGCACGCGTCAACCTTCTACCTATCTTCTCCCAGCTAGTGGACATCATGGTCAAGCACCTTGAGTTCCCGACTCCTGAAGAAGGCGAGACGGATCTTTTCGCTGGAGATCGGGAACAGGAGGAAAAATTCCGCCAGTTCCGCCACGCCATGGGTGACGTCCTCAAGGATTGCTGCTCTGTCGTGGGTGTGAACGATTGTCTCGGCAAGGTTTACCAGTTGATTCAGCAGTGGGTTGCCAAATATGCCTCACAGGCGAGCAATGAACATGTTCCCCACTGGCAAGAGCTTGAGGCTCCTCTGTTCGGTCTTCGAGCTATGGGTCGCATGGTCGATCCTGAGGAAAGCACCATTCTTGGCCAGTTGATTCCCCTCATTGTGCAGATCCCGGATCAGGAGAAAGTACGATTCCAGGCGATCATGGCACTGGCCCGCTACACTGAGTGGACAGCTCTCCACCCTGAGACCCTGGAAGCGCAGCTCAACTATGTGATTTCCGGATTCCATCACTCTTCCCCGGAAGTCGTCCAAGCCTCCGCTCTTGCCTTCAAGTTCTTGGGCACCGACTGTCAAAAGCTGCTGGGTGGCCACATCGCCCAACTTCATACCTTCTTTGAATCTGTTCTCGATAAACTGAAGCCTGCTAGTCAGGAAGAGGTTACTGAGGGTGTCGCGGCCGTAGTTTCGGTTCAGCCTCATGAGAAGATTTATGAATCTTACAAGATGTTCTGTGACCCTATTATGGCCCGAATCATGAACTTGGCGAACAGTGCACAGAATGAAGAGGGCCAGCGAGCTGTGGCCGATCACTTGCAGCTGATTACCACATTTGTGCAGGTGGTGACCCCCATCGTTGCACCCGGAGAAGAAAACCCCGCCGTGAAATACTGCGGTGAAATCATTCCCATTATGACCACGATTGTCATGAACTTTACGTCTTCCACGCCAATTCTAGAGAGAGTTTGCCGATGCTGGCGCTACATGATTATTTCTTACCGCACTGGCATGATCCCCCTGCTGCCAGCTCTGGCTGAGAGTATCGCCAACGGCTTCCAGGCGTCGCGTGAGGGCTGTTTCCTGTGGGCTACAGATGCTGTGGTTCGCGAGTTCTCTGACGGCGCCGAATATGTCGACCAAGCCACCAGTGATGCTGTCTTCCAGTTCTACGAACAGCAGGCCATCGCTTTCCTGCGCATCCTCAATGATTTACCTCCTGATAGTCTGCCTGATGTGATCGAAGATTTCTTCCGCCTGTCCTCCGATGCCGTTCGATACTACCCCAAGAAGTGCATCAGCTCGTCCCTCGCCATTCCTATCTTCTCCGCTGCCCTCAGCGCTCTCACTCTTCAACAGGTTGATCCTCTCATCGCCACTCTCCACTACTACCGCGACCTCTTCGGCTTTGCATTCGATAAGCCAATGGTGTCTGAATTTACCAGCCCTGAAGGGCAGCCTTACGTTACCCCGCCTGAGGTTCGCGAGGCTGTGAAGGCTTTGATTGTTTCACAAGGCCAACCCTTAGCGCAGCGCGTCCTCACTGGCATGATGTTTACCTTCCCTGGTGACTGTTTCCCCGATGCATCCGGCATTGTGATGACGATGTTCCAGCTCTTCCCCCAGGAAACTGGCGTGTGGCTGCAGAGCACCCTTCAGATGCTTCCAGCGGGTTCAATGAAGCCAGGCGAGGCCGAGCGATTGCTCAAGAACGTTTCCGACAAAGTACAGTCAGGTGAAACTCGCAAAATCCGTGTGCTGCTTCAAGGTCAGCTTCTTTCTTACTCCTTTCCCTTCGTTTTGCCAGCGCTAACTTTCGACAGACTTCACCAACTCGTACCGTCGCCGCAATGTAGCACCCCGGGACGGGCTCGGTCGACTCGAGGCCACGCGGTTCCGATTCAGCGGCTGAGATACTGTACATGCCTAATTTCTCAGTGCCCAGCGGTACTCAAAAGAAACCCCCACGGGGGCATTTGCACATCAAGGTGATCGTCCTTTGCTATTGACGCGCCATGTGGTACGATGGCACGAATCTCGGTCTCGTGATGAATTATGATCTGCCGGTGCGCCGGCCTGTCCAGAAATTTCTGGCTTCCACATTTACCCCATTAAGGTGCCAGCTCGACCTGGAGGACATTCATAGATAGTCGGAACTCATGTCTGCATAGAGATGCTAAGCAGTCTCCGCATATGGGCATGTGACGAGCAATGAACCTATTGAGAATCTGAACATAGCATGTCAGTGTAGCATTACATGGTTTGAGTATTGAGGGTTAGTGTCTGCGTACGTTTCTAGGTTCCAGCGTGATCTATCTTGGTTTTATCGAGGTGGCCCTGGGGCCCTGGAGGTAGCTAGCTATATGCTGTTATTTTAGATGTATTCCTAGGTATTCAATCCATAGTCTCTCACGGTTTCGAGGTTGAAGGTATACCCAATGGCGAAATATATCTACTATGCCTTGATGACTTCGTCTACATACAATAATCGAATGCTTCGGTGCCCAGGTGATATCCCACATTGAAAATTGACAATTCAATCAACTCCCAAGAAGATAAATATGATCAGGGAAGAACACAATAGGGAAACGCAGAGTAGAAGTAGGATGCTCATTTCCGGCTTTCTCACCAATAAAGTCATCGCCGCCACCCCACTGAATCTCCGCACTTCCCCCGGACGCCTCGGACACAGTTTGCGACCCTCTTTTGTCTTCTTCGGTCTTTGCTGGACATTCGGCACCCCGAGTACTTCGGAACCTTGCTCACCTGGGCATGGCATGAACCGAAATGGAGGACGGTCAACCCTCCAAGAGACGGCGACGCAGTCGCAAAGTCCTCTCCGATCGGAAGTTCGAATGTACCTTCGAAGGCTGTGGAAAGAGTTACTCGCGCGCCGAACACCTCAGTCGCCATGCGCTGAATCACACCCCGAAACAGATTTATCGTTGCGATTTCCCAAACTGCTACCGATCCTTCGTGCGCCAGGACCTTTGCGCCCGTCACCGCGAAAGGCACTCCACCAGCGGCTCCCAGCTTCAGAAACGCGACCAGTTCGAAAATGATTCCAAGACCTCCCCCTCTTCGTCGCCCGCGATCACCCTGCCGGAATACTTCGTGGGCTCCGAGGAGCCTAAATCAGTCTCCACGTACCCTCTCACTACTGGCGTGGAGAGCGAAATGCCAGTCCCGCAGTACTCAGATTTCCCTGCCGTCCTCGACCAGCCTGATAATTTGATTGATCTCGACTCCATGTCTTACCCAATATTCGGCGGGGAGACATATAATCGATCACCGTTTGCCATGGCCGATGATTTTGCGGCCTGGCTGTTCAGTGAGCCACTCGCACCGCTGGGCTATGGAATGGTTCCGCTTGTGCAGAACCAGTTCTATATGAACGAGCCCCCTATAGCAATGACAACTTTTGTGCTGTCATACCACAGCACCCGATGAGCGTGACGAGTATTCTTGACTCGGGAGCACCGCCGGCTATCATTTCAGAGGAAAAGCGCCAAGAGCTCCTCGTATTGATGTCGAGCCGCTTCAACGAGGCTGCATATGCAGCAGGCGCAAAAAGAAAAGATACCCTCCTGGATGGAGATTTGACTGACGACCGACATGTTCTTAGCCTGCGTATGATGCAGACGTATATTGGTTCTTATTGGTACCATTTTCATGCACAACTGCCGATCCTGCACCAGCCTACTTTCGTTGCCGATCGAACCCCAAATCTATTATTGCTGGCTATCATTGCCATCGGCGCTGTCACCTTGGATAAAATCCATGGCCACGCGGCTACAGAAGCAGCGGCGGAATTGGCCAGTTTTATTGCGTGGCATTTGCGCTGGGAGATCTTCATGGATGCGGATTTCCGACCCCCGGCCCGACTCTGGGTCTTCCAGTCCTTACTTTTACTGGAAGTCTACGAGAAGCTCTTCTCTACGCGTGCTCTGCACGAGCGTGCACACATCCACCACGATACCACCTTAACACTCATGCGTCGAGGCAGCTCCCTTATCGGTAGCTCATCATTCGATACACCCGAAAGTAAAGAAGAAGACGAATCATGGTCAACATGGATCAAAGCAGAGGCTACTCGTCGAGTAGCGTTTGCCGCCTTCGTACTGGACTCCACCCATGCGACAATGTTTGGTCACTCTGCAAAAATGGTTGCCCACGAACTACGCCTCCCTCTGCCCTGCGACGAGGCTCTGTGGGCAGCTACCAGCGCCGCAGAAGTCGCCCGAGTTCAGTCCAGCCTGCAGTCCCATGGTGTCCGACCTATCATGTTTTTAGACGGCCTTAAACGCACACTCAACGGCCAACCTGTCCGAACGAATGCGTTTGGTCGAATCATTCTCATGTCCGGTCTCCTCAGCGTCTGTTGGCATCTTAACCAACGTGACCTGCAAATCACCTCTCTAGGCGTTGGCCAAACACTCGGTGGAAGAGACAAGTGGCGTACCTCTCTCCTCCGCGCGTTCGACAACTGGCGTCGAGACTTCGACGAAGCACTTGGTCCGTCAACCTCTGAGTCGCGCAATGTTCTTCACGGCCTCGCCCATATGGGGTCTCATGTTGATATTGTCGATCTTCAGGTCTATGCAGGCGCAGGTCGACTCATGGGTCGCTCTATTACGGCCCGCGATCATCGCGCAGCACGAGAAAAGACCGAACGCTGGGCCACCAAAGCCTCCGCCCGCGACGCAACCTTCTATGCTCTGAAGTTCCTCTCCGTTTGTTTCTTAGATCCTACCACGCAGCCCGGTGAATATGCCGCTCGTGACGATTACCTCCTCAATAGACCCTGGGTGATGTATTTTGCTGCATTGGTTGTCTGGACATATGGATTTGCGTTGGATGGTCCGCTTCGACCTCCACCCATATTGGCGACAGTCGCCGATCGCGAACACGACATGCAAACTTTCCTCCACCGCGTAGGCGAGATTCAGGAGCCGAATGAATTAGAGGCTATGACGGGTCGCAATGGGTGTCTTGGCCTATTGATGATCTTGCGAGACTCGTTTGCCAAACCGCGCTGGGAGCTACTGGGCGAGGCAGCGCGGCTGCTGGACAGCTGTATCACAAAGCTGCAGTCATGACCCTGATTTATGTATATATATATGTGTGTGTATAGGCAATACTGATACCAACTTGGAAGTACACAGTTTCCTGATTGGGGGATTCCAAGATTGTATACAAAGTCACTAACCCCCTATGTCGTTGCCCTAACAACCACGCCGATCCCACACCGATTCCCCCCCAGACCCTCTCACTCTGAACCGCATTCGCATTCTTGTTACCATCATACTCAATTTCATCCCACTCTCAAAATGGTAAGAATGCATCCCAATGTTGAAAGTTGCCCCTGCACTATGTAATCACCCGTACCGATGAACCTTGGAACCCCTCCCTGTCCGCGGTTACCAGTCACCACAACATTGTCAACCACCTTCACAATGGCTAATCATAACGACCAGGCCTCTACAAACTACAAGGAAGCGTTCTCACTCTTCGACCGTCGCGGCACGGGTCGCGTCTCCGGTGATCTCCTCGGTGACTTGCTTCGCGCCTGTGGCCAGAATCCCACTCTCGCTGAGATCGGCGACTTGGAGAAGTCCGTTGGTGGTGACTGTACGTTTTGATCCGACCTCCATCATTTATCACTCGCTAATCGCAGCAGTCGACTTCGACTCCTTCCTCAAAGTCCTCAACCGCCCCGGTGGTTTCCGTGAGCCCGGCGAGCCCGAAGAATACTGTCGCGGATTCCAGGTATTCGATAAGGATATGACGGGCTTTATTGGTGTCGGTCAATTGCGATACAGTACGTTTTGCGATATGAGAAGAGTTTGAAGTGATGGTCGCTAACGGGGGCTTAGTCCTGACGAATCTCGGCGAGAAGATGTCCGACGATGAGGTCGATGAGTTGCTCAAGGCTGTTGATACCAGCTCCGGCGAGATCAACTATACTGGTATGCTCAAATCCATGTTCCTGTGATTTATGTTCAGCTTGCTTACTGACTGTGCAGATCTCGTTCGCACCATCCTCGCCAACTGATACCCGATATGATTTACGTTCGACATGGATATGGCTAGGGACGGCGTAGTGTTTTATTATCGAAATTACTGAAATTCAATTGTATTCTTGGGTATCGCTTTTTCACGTAACATAAACTGAGACTCTTGTGCATTTCAGTTGCCGACAATCCACTCCCTCCACTGCCCGTCTTCCTCCTCTCCCATCTTCTCGGTCTCGACTACAGATCCGGGAAGAAGGTACACAGGCTGTTGTTTCTGGTCCTCATGATGCACTGCGTCGAGATGATAACCAACAATCACGCGACACCGTCCACATCGCAGTATATGTCTCTTTTCAATACCATCTTCGCGGCGAATCAGGGTCGGTCGTCGGTCGGGGATCAGTGTCGATAGGAGGAGCGTTGTATGCTGTGCAGGTGTCGCTTCTGAGGCCTCATTGTTCTCTAGTGGCAGGATGAGAGCTTTGTCTTTGCCTTCGCCGCCTCGGCGGGGGAGGGTGGAGAGGGTGCGCGTTGTCGCGAGAAGAAGGTGATTGCAGAATTGGCAATGCTGCGTTCGGATTGGGAGACGCTCGGCCATAATTATCGCTGCTTCAGCGTTTGACTTTGCTTTGGGGCTTATGTTGTGATTGGAGCTTGTGAGGTGGGTAGATTGAGCTGCTGCGATTTGCTGCTAACGTTCTGGGTTAGCGTTGCTGGCGCAACAAGCTCAAGGGATAACTCACGCCTGCAGCAATGAATTGTATTAAAGGATCGTTGAGAGGTTCCTAAGGCTTTGATTCCACAGTCCGAGACGCCAAAAGAAAAGAGCTGGAGCGGAGAACTGCAGAATACTAAGGCGGTGGGCTTATCAAACTACATCATTCAACTTTGATGTAGATATTCAATATGTTTCGGCGCTATAGAGATTTATGGGAGTCTTCTATCCGTAATATATGTGGTTCTTCCTGCTAATCAAGCAAGTCCCATATCCTTGTAGAAAGCATCAGTCTGCGGCTCACGGCCCAAGAACTCAGTCAAGGTCTTCATCTCGTCCTGGCTGCCACCCTTCTCAAGAACTTGGTACCTGTATCGGCGACCAGCGGCCTTGTTCATGGGGTCATCCTTGAAGACTGTGTAGAACATGTCGGTCGAGTAAACTTGCGAGCTGTATTCAATTAGTATGAGGAGTATGGTCTTATCAGGGGAGTGTAATCTTACCTCAAGTAGCCGTAGTAGCCGGCATCATAACCACCGATCAAGTGGCCGAATGTAGCTTCGCCATGACCCCACTCGCTGCCCGCACCCAATGCTTCCGGTCCATCCATCTGCGTAATTTCTTGACGGAGACGGTTGTAGGTTGCGGAAAGAGGGAGAGCTTCAATATCGGCATGGCTCTTGGGTTCGTGGATGGTCATATCGAAAATACCGAAGTGGAGCTGGCGGAGGTTGAAAAGCGCGTCGTTGACGTGCTTTGTCCGGATCAGATTCGCGATGATATCGTCGGGAATCTGCTCAGATGGCTTCTCAGAGGTTGTCTTGCCGCTGCTCGTCTGCGCCTCTTGCCAGGTTGCCAGGTACTCCGGTGAGAGGGTAGAGTAGTGCTTGCTAAGCGAACGCAGCTGGGAAGGTGTCCAGCACCAGTTCTCGAGCATCTGGCTGGGTGCCTCGACGAAGTCCCGAACTGTACTGGTTCCGTGGAAGCGGGAGTAGGTTGTGCGTGACACGAGGTCGTGGATACCATGGCCGAGCTCGTGGAAGAGTGTGACGACCTCGTCGTGCTTGAGAAGACTGGGCTTCTTGGGCTGCGGCTTGGTGAAGTTGCACACCAGCGCGGTGGCGGGGAACCGGCGGTTGCCGTCCTTGTCAATGAAGCCGGGCTGGAGGTTGAAGTTGGCGGCGTGGCCATACTTGCCCTCACGGGGGAAGAGGTCAAGGTAAAGGTATCCAACGAATCCACTACCCTCGCCTTCATCGTTCCAGACGCTGAAGACTTGCACATCCTCGTGCCAGACGATATCATTGCCCTGGCCGGTGGGGGCAATGGATGCGCGGTCCTCACCGATGACCTCGACGAACTCGAGACCGAACAGCTCTTCGAAGATCTTCAGCATGCCTGAGATAGTCGTCTGCAGAGGGAACCACTCAGCAATGTGCTGCTGATCAAGGGAATAATCCTTCTCGAGCATGAGACGGTCGTAGTATCGGTGGTCCCACAGGTAGTAGCGACCATCCGCTTTGGGATCGGTGGCGTTCTTCAACTCCAGCAACTTCTGAGTCTCCTTCTTACCACCCTCGGTCAATCGGGTGCGCAGGTCGCCCAGGAAGGTGTCAACGGTCTCGGGTGTCTTGGCCATCTTATCCTCAATGCGGAAGGCAGCGTGGTTAGGGTACTTGAGCAGGCGAGCAGCCTCGTCACGGAGCACGATTGCTTCGCGGAAGAGGGGCACATTCTGGTTACACTTGTTCTCGTTGGCGATCATCACTTGCTTGCGGGTGTCTGGGTTGTTGGCATATTTCATGGTCGGGAAGAGGTCGGGGTACTTGAACGACAACCAAAGCTTGCCGGCATTTTCGCCCTCACCCTTCTTCAGACCTTCCAGTACATCCTTAGGCACACCGTCCAGCTGTTCGGGTGAGAACCAGATACCGCCGTTCTCCTCGTTTAGGTTCTTCTGGAACTCAATGCTCAGTTGACTCAGGCGCTTCTTGATCTCCTTGAAGCGAAGTCTCTGGGGCCCAGCAGGGAGACCGAGTCCGTTACGGACAAAGTCCTTGTGTTCCTTCTCAAGCAGACGACGCGACTCGGGGTCGAGAGTCTCATTGCGGCGCAGCACGGCGTCAATCAAATTGAAGACGTCCTCGCGCATGACGGCCTCGATGAAGAACTCATCCATCAGCTCCTCGGCCTTAGAGGAGGCATCTCGAAGCTTGGAGTCAGTCGACACTGCTTGGTAGAAGCCCAGGATGTGGGCTTCCAAACCCATCACGTTGTCATCTTGGGCGAGTGGTCGGACGACGTTGGCGAAGGTTGCGGCTTCAGGCTTAATCTCAGCGACCACCTTGTCCTGGATGGCACGAGAGCTAGCAATCAAGCGCTCAGCATCGGCGACCAAGGACTGCGGGGTAGCCGTGAAGATTGGCGGGGCCTGAGGTGGCTTGCGGAGGTGGGCGGGAGCCATACTGGAGGTGGTCAAGAATCGTGCCGGTGTGGTTCGTAGATGGCCCAGCACGGATGTGAGGCGGAGACGGAGGAGGGGCGCCACAATGATGGCTAGGAGGGCAATGAGGAGGTGACGAGCGGTGAATGCAATGATGGCGGTGCGGTGTGAGGAGAATCAGGTGAGCTGCGGAGTATATCTGTTTGTCTTGGCGTTTTACACTACGGAGAGACAGACGCAATTCTATAAACACAAGCTTTACTAAAGTTAAGACCTCAACAGATGGTACCTGCTGAAAGTTTGGTGCTCATTATTCCTGGTAACAGATTTTTTATTACTATCTTCGTTCAAATGGTAAACCCAAATAAACAAACCCGCTTTGACTTCATTTTCTGAAGAGAATGACGTCGATAGCTCATTAAGCCGGCCTCGGCAACATCACCATCACCACTTCGTACAATGATGAGCAACATGGACTGTTTTGTGCTCTTTTTAGTACTTTGAAAAAGAGACTTGACATGGCACAAAAATTTGGACTTTGTTAAAGTAGAATTGCGACATGATGATGACCGAATATGATCTAGTTGTATTTTTAACTAGACCATATTCAGGCCTCAATTGTCAAAGCTAACCACCGCGTCAAGGTGAACTTCTATCCAGTTCTGAACCTTGGGAAATTTTCCCAGGTTAGCATCCAATCACAGATACTCTTGGTATCATAGAGCTATTTACCTTTTACCAGTGCCCAAACTTGGCAATCATGTCGGGGCAGAACTTCTTAGTGCTGGACTCTATGACCAAGCAATTTCTTTATAGCTCTGGAGGCTACAAATACCTATCGATGGTGGCTAGTTTTCACCGAAGACAGCCAAAATATGAATTAGACTTTGATGCTAACCATTGGCTCTCAGCGAAACAATGTAGGTAATCATGTTGGGAGCCATTTTATTAGACAGTCGAGCCTCAATATTCTCGACAGACACAGTAAGACCAATATCAAACAAGAACAGGTCAGCATACATGAGATGTTCAACAAGAATTGACACCAAACTCAATGGAAGGGCAAGGCATATCCATTCCACTACCCGCCCTTGTGAGTATCCGAAGTCCACTCACAATGATTGACCATCTGGTTCAGCTCTTGGAACTCGATCTAACCATTGTAGGGGTTTATCCGGGACCTCGGGGATACCAAGAGCTTACAAAGGCTTGACAAAGCAGATACATAAGGCGCCAAGTAGGGCTGGAAACTATACATTTGCTAGAGGCTTTTTACTGAGTCAGGGTTTCTATCACAGGTACATTTCATGTCAAGCCTCCAAGAGTGCTGATAACACCTATACTGATGCAAAGCTCTGGAATTCGTTCGTTCCCAATTTGCTGATAGTGCCTTATACGCTGATGCATAGGTCACACGATTGATTGGCCCGAATCTTGGAATAGTGTAATGGGAAGTCATCGGTCAAAGCCCAACTTTAGTGGTATAAGCTTTGGATGTTCTCGTCTCGAAGCCATTTTCTAGACGGTCACCGAAACCTTGGAAGTGAAGACCCATAAACCCGTAGACCATGAATAATATCATTTTCTCAAGGCTTTTCGTCAAGGAAGACATCGGGATCAAGGCAAACTCAGAGGTAAACACCATAACCGTGGTTTGTAGCCCCGGGCTATGAGAAATCACTTTCGGGGGTTCACCGAAAAAATTTGCGACGAGGCATAGAGTAGACCCCTAACCCACATGGCCTTAGGGCGGGGCTTGAGTTTCTAGCTAGCCATCCCAATTAGGACTGGTCCGGATAATAGCCTTGGAGGCTATCCGCACAACGTGAACAAACGACCGACTGTCACCAACTTTTTCTTTGCCTCTATTTCCATGTACCGCAAGCCTACATGGCTGCTGAAAGAATCAATAAGCAGCTCTCGGAATACATAACTCACACTGCCGCTGAAAGACCGTAAGAGCTTTATTAGTGATACACCCATCAAGATGCTAAACAGAGTAGGTCCGATGGTCCACGCCTATCATTTACCTTCCAATCGAATTCAACTTTAGATCACGATGAAGAGACTTGTTATCGCATCGTCTTCAAGATTACACGCGATGCAGAGGATCCACAAGGAAAACCATGCGTCATTCACTGGAATCCCATTGAAGACGGTCTGGGCTTCCAAGGTCTAATGCTCATTGAACGAAGATGGTACGGGTTGGAGCCCGTCCGACTTCGTCCTGCACAGCTACCTGTCAAACAGCTCCATGCACGACACGTTTCCGACACAGACACTTGTTTTAAACAACTTGATCCAGGCACCAGCGTTACCTGGGGCGTGGATATGCCACCTGCGTACTTTGAGCACTTGCGGCCAGGGTCCTTTGAGATCCTCTGGAAAGGTGGAGATATTCCCCTGTGGAACTGGGGCACTCTGGCAGAGTGGTGTGACTCGCCTGACTGTTTGGCCCCAAATACTGCTGCGGCCATACTCCCTGGTGGATTCAGCCGGTCACTTGAAGTGACTACCATCGAAAGTGATCCAGAAGACGACGTACCGGAATATCCATCTTCGCCGGATCCAACGCCTCCATCTGCGCGAATGAATAACGCGCCTTTGCTGAGTATCAGCATCGCTGGTCCAGCTAGAGCGTCAATCCAAGTTCGCGATTGCTGGCGTCCTATTTATACTGTCACCGTCACAGTCTCATACGAAGCAGATTCCAACTCACTGGAAGTTGGGGATTCTGACCCGCCCTCCAATACCGGAAGACCAGTGACATTTCGTACATCTATCTTCAAGCGAATTGACAGGCATTACGATGGATTTAGGCTTTACCGCATCGAAGAGGATGAATGGAGAGCGCATGAGCTCAGCACAGTATTCCAAGCACACCATGCTTACATGTACGCTGAGACCGAGCCGTTCAATGTTGGTCATAATGAAGAAGAGTTTCAGTCCTTGAAGCCTGGCGAGTCTTGGACGTTCACGCGCCAGGTGACCGATTTCCCGAAAAATCTCCTCCCCGGACAACGATTCCGGTATGGATTCAAGGGGGCAACTCTTGACTGGTGGGATTGGGGCAGTCTTCAAGATCATGCAGATACGGTAGTGTGGATTTGTGTGGGTGCGGTGCAGAGGCCGAAGGACAACGAGGGGAGGTCAGCGCTTGTGGTCCCAGCTAGTAACTGGATTGAGTTTAATTTGGATGAATGATCGCGTGGTAGACCTTGTGTCCCACCGGATCAGCTGTACTTCCAAGGTTATGTGGTTAGACTGCACCAATGAACAAGTGGTATAGAGACGAGACTGGTTGAGTAAAGTCCAGCCTGAGAACTTGGGCTCTCATCATTCCCGCAGATCACTGACAAGTGTAACGAGTGTAACGAGTATGAACACCGTTTGAATCAAGGATGGGGAAGTCGAGAGGCGAATGCAGATGTGCACAGACTCTCCAGGACTTGGGCATGTGATAGTCGAATCCCCAGTCCCTTCAGCTTTCCCACCGACTTTTTACTTTTTGCTACGTCAGACTTCTTAGGTGTGAGATGATAAAGGTTCGTTTCTAATTCATGAAATATTATCTAGTGCGCCGGAAAGCCGCTTTTGAACAGAAAAAAAAGAGAGAAACAGATGACGCCAGCCCCATTGATGCAAACATTCGTCTTCATTCAAGCAGCATCCGCAGTGGGGATGGGCTCAGGGATCTTAGTCACCTGCATACCAGCACGAATGATACGCTGACCAGTCTCGTCACGAACGTACTCGGAGTTCTCCTTCTGAGCACGCTTCCAGATCTCAACCTCACCACCGCCACGGATGACACCGACACGCATGGTGGAGAGCAAGTTGTGAGCTCCGTTGGAGTGGTAGTAGACACCACCGTTGAACATGGCAGTGGCGTCCTTGCCGAGTCCAGACTTGATCATGGCCTTGCCACCAGGGTGGTCCTTGATGAAATCAGTCACGTCGTGAACGACACCAGCAATGGAGATGAGACCACGGCCGTTCTTGGTCTGCTCGACATAGTCATCCCATTCCAGAACGGGAAGCTGGTCAAGGGGAGTACCCCAGTCGAGCTTGGCGCGCTTCTGGTCGATCTTCTTCTGCAGCTGCTGGACGCGACCCTTCTCGATTTCGTTGGAGCGGAACTGCTTCAGGTCGAAGGCGAGACCGAGCTGCTTGCAGGTCCAGATGGTCCACTTGGTGGGGTCGTACTGGTGCCATTCGATGGCGTTGCGGTAGTCGGAGGGGAACTCGTGGTGGAAGTTGTGGTAGCCCTCACCGAGGGTGACCAGAGCAGTGATAACGTGGTCACGAGGAGAGTTGCGGTCATCGAAGGGTTGGTCACCGAGCCAGTGAGCGAGGGAGTTGACGCAGAAAGTGGCCTGCTGGACGAAGAAGATACGGAGGATACCGGCATACACGAAGCCACCGTACCAGTCACCCCATCCGAGACCGGAAACCAGCATGGGAACGATGAGACCCATGAAGAGGACGACCTTGAGGTAGTTGCGGTGCTGCCAGACGACGACGGGGTCTTCGTTCAGATCGCTAATGTCGGTGCGGCCAATTCGCTTGGGGTTCTGCTTCATGACCATCCAGCCGAGGTGAGAGTACATGAGACCCTTACGCACGGAGTAGGGGTCCTTGTCGGTGTCGGTGTATCGGTGGTGAGCGCGGTGGTCCCGAGCCCACCAGCGGATGGAGCCTTCGACGGCACCACCGCCAACAGCGGCGAGCCAGATACGCAGGGGAAGAGTGGCAGAGTAGGAGCAGTGAGCCCAGAGACGATGGTATCCTGAGATGAAGTCAGCTCCTGTTCAGATGATCAATCGGTCCATGTTCACTTACCAGCTGTGATTCCCAGACCCGTGAAGAAGTAGTAGATGACAGCCCAGATGGCAGTCTTCAACTGCAATGGCACCCAGAAAGCTTGGATACATCCGGAGAGAGGAACACCCAGGATGAGCACGACGTTGAGCCAGTTGACGTGCTTGTACCAGTTCTGGCGAGTCATCTTGGTGTCGGCGATGTGCACCTTCTTGGTGTCAGTCGCCCGTGGGCGAGCATCCTTGGACGACATTGTGTGTGTCTGAACGTGTGCGGAAGAGAAAGGAAGGCAGGGAGGCAACAAAGGGTTTTTTTATACTTGGGGCCCACTTCGGACCAACGTTGGGGGAGACGGAGCACTGATCAACGCGATATGGGGAAAATTGCACCACGCCACGAATCAAAAAACAGCGGGAATTGACCTTCACAAGATCCCGAGGCAAAAAGAAGAAACCTAGAACACAGGAGGAGTTGATTATAAGTTTTTCCTGATAGACATGTCGTTCGGGGTGGCGTGCAAGCTTCTTTCGTTGGGTGTTCCCAACGCTTTTTGTGTAGAGACTGGGCCCGACCAATCCGTCGACTTCAAGGCTGGAATGGGCCCACTATGGCCTTATGTAACCCTCTTCCCATTGGTCACAACCAATTTTTGGCAAGGACCAATAAGAGCACGATGGCAAATCTTATGTCAGCTTGTTTGACCCACCGCCAACTGCAGGGCGAACCTCGGGCGTTCTAGGGATATCCCTGATTCCCCGATTCCTGGTCCCACCATTTGCTCGATCCTCCATTGGTCTGGCCCTGACATTCAAGCCTGCTCAACTGGCCAATGTCGGGTTCCACTTCCGCATTCTCGGCCTTTCCTGAATGGTCGACGTCGATATCGCTCGCCTTCAATGGGGTTCCATGCACATGATACAGCCTTCCATTGTCCGCTGCACATACTGTATGTATGTGCATGTTGTATGTATGTTGCACATACTGTATAACACCGCCCGTAGAAAGGGATCACATATTCGAATCTCAAATGAAACCGGTCTGAAGCTGCCTTCGAGAAAGCCGTACGACCCCGACCGAGGTCACACATGACAACGCCAGTGCAAACCCATCTGAGGATTTTGTCTCCATTTGATAGCCTGCATTCAGCACAAGATGCACATATATTGGAGAGAGATGGGTTGGACATAGTCGCTTTGACCATAAGTTCCAAGGTTCTGTTGAGGGTCCGGCAATGTCACAAGCCCGACATGGTTACCCCAGGACAGGCAGTGCTCGGGTGACCATGAATCGCCATGACCTGCCAGGTAAATGGAACAAATGTTGGAGAATGGAGAAAGAAATGCATTCCAGAAATTCTCGAAACTCTGCGCAGTGGAAGTTGGGCATATTGCCGAGGATCGACCTGCTGTTCTGGAACTGCGGGATACCGGGAGACCGGAATCCCCGAACACTGATCCAATTTCTACAATGTATGATGTACTCAGCAGTCTATGTTCACCAACAGCAAAACAAACAGTGCATCCAGGTGGGATACAAGGGGGTTTCACAGCCACACAAATTCCCACGGCCATCGAGATAACCGCAGCATCCGATCCAACCTCAAGACCAAACATCACAAAGCGATGTCCCTGATAAGGATGATCGTGAAGACACTCTCCATCGATGCATACATCGGAGTCTTCCACCTCACGGCACTCTCCGAACAGATCTCAGATAAACCCCAGACAAATGATCGAATCAGAACCTTTTGTGGAGGCCAGCCACCGGGTTTGGGACCAAAGAAACTTGTCAGCTTTGCGAAGGCCCACTGAGCAGACCAATCGCAATGCATACCCCGATCTAAGGGAATAGAGTATAGGCGGCACTAACATATAGTGAGCTACAAGCGAGCTGTCTAAACGTAAACCACGTTTCTTATCAAAGTCCACTTTGATAGATGGCTCGGCATCCCGTGGTTGGTCCAAAACACGAGATAAGGCGGCCGCTAAACTACATACAGTTTAGGGGCCTCGCGGGAGTTATGCGATGCTCTTGCTAATGTCTCGTGGCCCAAGTAGCCATTCGCTACTTAGTTATCGTATCTTTGATTGGATGCTCCGCACCATCCTAGTAAACTTTGAACTTCGCGACTCAATTTATTTTATTTCTTGGAGAACACACAAATATAAAGCTTCCCCAGCTATACGCTGTTGCATTCCCATCCAGCTCAATTGCATTTCACAATGGACGGTCCAGATCAAATCGGCCCCGATCACACACCAAAGCGCACTTTCTCGGACGGAATCCGCTATGTGGTGAAGACATTCACAACTCGGTAGGTTTTTTTTTTTTCAAGTCTGCAAAGTTATGTTGAAATAACATTGGAAATCTAACAATATCAGTGAGGGCCTACTAGGCGACTACGACTACGGCTACCTCTTCATACCCCGTCTCCCGTTCACCAAACGAGCCCGAAAAACGGCCCCATTTTTCGGACTTGACGACCGCGTTCCAGTTGTCCTGGCTCTTATCCTCGGTCTGCAACATGCTCTTGCCATGTTAGCTGGCGTCATCTCGCCACCAATTCTACTAGGCGGATCCGCGGGCGCCAACTTCGGCGATGAACTATACCAATATCTCGTTTCGACTTCGTTGATTGTTTCCGGTCTTTTGAGCGCCATCCAGATGTTCAGATTCCACGTCAAAGGAACCAAATACTATATCGGCACTGGATTACTTTCCGTCGTCGGAACTTCGTTTTCCACCATCACCGTCGCACAGGGTGCCTTCACGCAGATGTACAAATCAGGCTACTGCCCCACTCTCGAGGACGGTACCAAACTACCCTGCCCGAAAGGATATGGCGCGTTACTTGGTACTTCATGTCTTTGTTCCCTGCTTGAGATTGGAATGAGTTTCATGAGCTCGCGCATTTTGGCAAAGGTCTTCCCACCGCTCGTTACCGGTCCTACGGTTTTGTTGATCGGAGCTTCGCTCGTCAAGTCCGCTATGCAAGATTGGGCAGGTGGCTCCGGCTGCGGGACTGATCCCTCTGCCAGAGCCATGTGCCCCAGTGCCGATGCGCCCCATGCTTTGCCTTGGGGGAGTCCCGAATTCATCGGTCTTGGATTCCTGGTCTTTGTCACGATCATTCTGTGCGAGCGATGGGGTCCACCAATTTTGAAGAGTTGCTCCGTTATCGTCGGTCTGCTTGTCGGTTCAATTGTTGCTGCTGCATGCAATTACTTTGAGTCCTCCGGTATTGCAGCTGCACCTGTTGCGTCTTTCGCTTGGGTGCATACCTTCCCATTGTCTGTGTATCCGCCACTCATCCTCCCGCTTCTCGCACTATATATTGTCATTATGATGGAGTCCATCGGTGATATCACGGCCACTTGTGATGTTTCACGCCTGCAGGTCGAGGGCGCCACTTTCGACTCTCGCATCCAGGGCGGTGTTCTTGGCAACGGGTTGACATGTCTATTGGCTGGATTAATGACGATTAGTCCGATGTCCGTGTTTGCGCAAAACAACGGTGTTATCGCCTTGACGAAGTGCGCAAACCGCACAGCTGGATACTGCTGTTGCTTGTTCCTCGTGATTATGGGAATTTTCTCCAAGTTCGCTGCTGCGCTAGTTGCAATTCCCAGCTCCGTTCTGGGAGGTATGACGGCATTCTTGTTCAGCTCTGTGGCTGTCAGTGGACTGCGTATCATTGGTGCTGTTGAGTTCACGCGCCGCAACCGATTCATTCTCACTGCAAGTTTCTCTATCGGCATGGGTGTTACCCTTGTTCCGGAGTGGTTTGGATATTTCTTCACCTACGAGGGTGATAACCATGCGCTAGAGGGACTGATCAATGCTGTCAACTTGGTGATGGAAAATGGGTTCGCGATCTGCGCTCTTCTTGGTATCTTCTTGAACCTCTTTATTCCCGATGAACCAGATGACCTGCCTGCCGTGTTTGAGTCTACAGGCTCGGAGGATGGTCGTGTTCAAGTCCAGGTTGCTACCGAGCAGTCTGGAAAGATGGAACCGAGCTCTAGCTGATCTATATTGGAGCTAGTTTTATGTACATTGTTTTAGCGTTAGTATTATTTTGAGTCCCAATTTGACCTTGACTTGATTCATTGAGTCTGAGGGAGGAGTTGGGTCGCCGTCTCACTCCCCCTCCATCTTTTCATACTGAACTGCTCCATGTCAATCTCTGCCGCGATACCTGAAGGATGCGAGGATGGGGACCCCAAAAGGTTTTCAAGACAAATAGTCTGAAAGGAAAGTCTGAAAGGAAACCTTCATCCATCATAGCTCGATTTACTGGTCATTGGCGACTCCCGAGGTCCCCCGTGATTATAGTGTGACAGCAGAAAGTGCACGTAGTCTCAATCAAATCGCCTATACAGCCGTCAAGCTCGCGTTTAAATCTCTCCACGAGATAACTGCTTCTTCGTGTCGATGCGCAGTTTTTGGAGTATTCATGAATGTGTAATTGCTCATAGTCAATATTACCTGGCCCTTTATGGCCCAAAGCTACTGCCATTGACCACATTTACTGGTGGTCGCATTCCAGAGACTCCCATGAAAGTAGCGGCGGTGCTGGTAGGCTGGGGCACACCCTTGGACCTTACCAAACCTTGGAAGGTTGCAGGTTTATCGAATCACCAAGCTCCTTTGCTTTACTCCTTATATAATGTACTCTTAGAAGAGAAGACTACTTCGGATTTTTTCTCTTGTCTCTCCCGTCGCGAATATGAAAGGGCGGGAGAGAAGCACCCTGGACTGAAGAATCGGTGGATACTCCGGCCCCGGATTTTGGCGAATCCGGTCCGCCGCCAGACCCGGATAAAGCGGATACTTTGGTTTCTGTACGGAGTAGCAATCAAGTGAAAAATCGACAACCACATATCTCGGACGATTATGCGGCAAGTGTGATTAAACTCTGTGTTCTTGCCTTGCGCGTGCACTTGACATCAGTTCAAGCTCCGAGGAAAGAGGATTTTAAGCGAGCTTGAATCTTGATGAACGGGTCTCAAAATTGAGTTCATCATGGTAAGGCTAAAAATATCTAAGTATAGCTCATATCTTCCCAAGGTTCGCGAAAGTGGCGTGGAAATCATGGCGCCCAGAACCCGGGGGTCACAGGGTCCTTATTCCACCCCCGTAGTCAGACCACACAACATCTCATGAGCACTTCGTATAAGATGCGAATGGAATATGGCACAAGGTCATCGATCGGCGATCGACAGCCGGCTTGACCGCATTTGCGGGGTGACCCTGCAGCTCATCTAACCCCCGATTGGCTGGGTTCCGAAGATGTCTTAAAATATACAAGGAATTTATCTTGGAAGCCCTGTGGGGAAATAAAGAAGCCGCAACAGTATAGAATGCACAAGTCATAGCTGTCATAGCTGTCTCACTCATACATAAGTCCGTACATGAGTTTAAGACATTGCTGTGGAGTACCTTGTGTAGTCCACGGTCTGCCCACGGGTGTGGCCTTTCGTGACGTTACATCCCTATAGTTCTATTTCGAGGACATTACTTACAAGCAAAGCTCAAGATTTTCTTTAGTATGGTAGAGACAATAACATAAATAGCTCCATGTCTCCTGGTCTTTCATCCTCATTCTCATCAACATCCTCTAAACCAACCAACCAATCAACCAACCAACCAATCAACCAACCAACCAACCAACCAATCAACCAACCAATCAACCAACCAATCAACCAACCAACCTCCTCTCTTCACCATGCAGCTTACCCAGCTCCTCCTCGCTACCGGCCTCTTCGCCTCCTCAGCCTTCGCTGCTCCCGCCGCCGATGGCAAGTCCATGATGGCTGCCGGTCCCCAGTGGACTATTCAGAACGCCAAGCGTGTTTGCAACACCGAAAACACCTCCTGCACCTGGAACTTCGGCATCTACCCCGGCTCCGGCGCTGCCACTCAGTGCACCTACGTCGTGAAGGGCAACACTGCCTCCCGCGCCAACGGTGGTCCCTCCAACTGCGGTGGATACACCGTCACCTCCGGCTGGAGCGGTCAGTTCGGTGAGGGCAATGGCTTCACTACCCTCTCCGTTGTCAACAACAAGGCTCGCCAGATCATCTGGCCTGCTTACACCGACAAGCAGCTTGCCGGTGGCAAGGTTGTCAAGCCTGACCAGAGCTACGCTCCTGCTGCTCTCCCTTAAATTCATGAACATTACTTGAAAATATGGATTGAGCGAGCACTGTATATACCAAACACTTTCCTTAATGACAATACATGACAAGCGATTCAGAATCACCCCCGTGTCCATGAATTGGTGCTTTGATATTCTACATACAGATTTATAGTCCACTTCAGCGTAATTCATCCTCGCACGGGATTTATTTCTCTTTGATCCACCAATGATGTAGCTTTTGACCGGGAAGCTGGATGAGACGTCAAGACATGGCGCAGAATATGTCCATACCGATCATGCCATGCGGATAAAAAATAGAACTTGAATATAGTCTCTCCACCGGCGTGGAATCAGTGGTGCTAAAAACAAAACAAGAAGTCGTATAGAGGGAAATGACATTGTATCATGTTGTCTCACTTCGGGGTGGTCTGTAAGTGATGGGCGGGCCCGTCTCCAAGCCTGAGCACTCACCCGCGTAATGTGGGGAACACCATACCAGTGTGTACAATGTACACAATCAATTCAAAACGTGAAATAGGGCCCAGTGAAATTACAGTGTGCAAGATCATATCGAAACAAGGGAATATTGATGTAATTGAAGCCTGAAGGTCTCCACCGAGGTCTTCAAACCCCGACCTGTATGACCTCGGGAGAGACCCTGAATGCGTCATAAAACGGGCGGAATCAAAATTCCCCTCATTATCAATTCTCGGGTGGAAAACTTTGTGTTACTACAGGCGTGTAACTAAGTGTAGATTATATCGCGTAAAAGCCACTCCCCTTGTATGTCTAGATCCAGAGTAAACAACGTGCGTGTATTTCGGTCCAGGGATCTTTGCACAGACAGTCACTAGTTACTCCGTTCATCTGCAAGCGGTGTGCAAAACCCCACAGACAGTTTGTTTTTGGGGAGCACGTTTTACCTAAGGTATGACTGAATCAATATGAGCTCATATGTTTGTGTAGGTTGGAAGATAAGATGACCCAGGTGCCTGGCCACAGGTGCATGGTGTTGATTATGGAATAAAAGAGTTTTCAAGGTTGCATGTTTGTAAAGATCGACAAAGCTTGCATCGAGCAGATGCTGGAGGCTTAGTGGCATTGTGATCTGTTGAGATATCTGAGGGCAGCGGTAAAGGATTAGTTACCTTGCCCTCCATCAGAGGCGGTCGATTTAGGAGCTGCCGATAACCAAAATAAGGCGAATTAGTCAGTTTGTTTGTATGACGTCATTGTCACTGAACCTCTTGTTTGATGCCATCAAATCGCAGAAGACAAATTACTTTGAGATGTCCGGGCCTGGGTGCATTTACTGCTCATGTGTTGCTCTTGCAATTCCCAGTCAGATATGCCGACCGGATATTGAACAGAACGGTTTTGCTGATACTCTGAGCCAAATAAAGAAATCCACGACAAGCTTCAAATGTTACAAAAAATTATAACTCTTGCTGCGAAAGCAATTGGGCTTGACTGGACATGCCGCCTAAGCGGGACCAAACTGAACAACGATACAGCCTGCCTCCCACCCTTCAAACTGTACAAAGCAGGTCAGTAGGGTCACCCTACCCAAGACCTCACATTGGCGCTATCCCGAGGGAATGTTGCTAGGGCGAGGTCGAAGGGCTTGAGGCTATCCTTGACACAGGTTACCATTCCTTGATCGGGATACGTCTAATGGAGTATCTGGGAAAAAATGCATGCTAGTGGCAGAAAGAAAGCGAAAAGGTTCTTCGAGTTAGAATGTGAGGGGAACTTGACAAGGCTGATTTTTTTTTTTCGAAAAAAAAAAAAAAAACACCGGGGGGGAGACGCAGACAACGTTCAAAAATGTGCTACCCACCATCACGCGCCAAAAGAACGGAACATCCAGGTTTCTTTTTCGGTCGCAGCTCGCTTGTTATTGGTGCTAAGGTTCTCGGCTCCCAACACAGGAGATCCAATCTCATTTAGATCATAATGCCCAACCAATTTTTCCCACCTACAGTACGGAGTAATGTAATTAGATCTACTCTTATTTACCCAAGGTTCTTTGGGCGCTAGGAGCTTGAAGATCTCTATGGGGATGCATTAATCTTTGAGCGGAAGGCATGTACAGTAGAATGACCTCTTGGCGAAAAACTGCTATCCCAGGGAAACAAAAATGTACGGAGTAACAAATCGATAGTTAGAGAAAGCATTTGGATCCGTTTTCTACCCTGGACTCCTGGACTCCTGTGGCTTTCTGGGAACGTAGAAGACTCGAGCACACCAAAGGATGTTGAGGAAGCTAGGGTGATAGAATTAATCTATCTGCAGAAACCAATCTGGGAACACGCACCTTGCGAGGAGAGATTTATTCCTCGAAGATCGCATCCATCAAGCATGATAGTTTCCTAGGCACTCCGCATGGAAAGTCTACGGGCCATGAGAAGGGGAGCAAGGACCCCCCAAGGCCGCGCGGGGGGAGCGAGCAGGGGAGCTTAGGCCCTTAGGGTGAGCAACCCCGCTTTCCTGTGCAACATGATACAAGTGTTTGGCTAGGACAGCGGGTGAGGCTAGTCCGAGAACTGTGGGGTGCTCAATAGCTCCCTCGATGCTTCTACATTACTGGCCAAGATACCGAAGATTACCGAAGAACGCGCAAGATTACATTGCAGATCAATACAGATCTGCATAGCGCAAGGAGCGCGAACTTCAGCCGCGCAGGAGCTTCTGTTGCATAAATCCCGTCAAAACCGATCCTTCGGCTCTTATTTGGGTTGAACTGGGGTATCCTACATACATGCCTGACGTATCACTGCGATCACTCGCATCAAATACCAATTTATTGAGCATAGTATTGTGTTGACCATGCGCTCACAAGGGTCGGAACGCTTCCTTCGATGCGGATCTTTTGGGTCCACTTATTCGTTTCACGCGCGCCGAGAGGTTGGCTTTGGGAGATGAGAAAATTAAGCTTGACTTTATATGTAGCCTTCTTCATCCATCGCAAGTTAGCTCACAGAATTAATCATGTTGTCAACTTTGTTCGGACTTGGGATATGTCTCCTCTCATATGTCCCGACTGCCTTTGCGTCACCCGTCCAGCGCCAGCTACACACTCGGGGTAAATCCATTTCCCGACCCCTCACCGTGAATTCAACCAGCTAACACTGGCAGAAATCTCCTCTGATCTTCTGAGCAACTTCGAATTGTTTTCTCAGTTCGCCGCGTTATCCGCCTGCGACCAAAACATCAACTCTACTCAGCACAAGCTGACTTGCGACTACGGCACGTGTGGTCTTGTTGAAGCTGACGACACCGAAAATATTTATGTTTTCCACAGCTCGAGTGGCCCGACGGGCTATATTGCTTTGGACCACACGAAGCAACTGATTGTCTTGACGTTCCGTACATCGGTATCCACGAACGATCTTGCCGTAGACAAGAAGACAGATCCGACTTATATTGAAGATATTTGTCCTGGTTGTTGGGCGCATACTGGATTCTGGGACTACTGGCAAGATGTGTCCAAGCCAGTGATTGATCAGCTGACCAAGGCCACCAAAGCAAACCCGAGCTACCATATCGTGTTAGTCGGCCACAGCCTTGGTGGCGGTGTTGCGACTGTTGCAGGAACCGCCCTGCGGAAGAGAGGGTTCAAGTTGGACATTGTGAGTGCATCTATCTGCAGACCTTGGATATCGACTAACCAAACACCAAACAGTGGACATTCGGATGCCCTAAAGTCGGAAACTACAAGCTAGCCGAGTACATCACCAACGTCAAACCGAGAAGCGTCTATCGTGCCACCCATTACACGGATAGTGTGCCCAAGGCTCCTCAAGATGAAAAATTGGACTATACCCAGACCTCTCCGGAATACTGGATCAGTGTTCCCTTGAAGGAAGATGTCACAGCTGAAGATGTGATATACGTTGAAGGGATTAACAGCCAGGAGGGCAATGCTGGCCACGGATCCAACTCAACGGGTGGAATGCCTGACGCTAACCATTTATGGTACTTTGGTCCTATGCAAGTCTGCACCTTGCCTGCAGATTTCGCCTCATCTGCGGCTGCTTGAGGTTGCTAGGCAGGTGTCTTTTTTCTAATGCACATTAGTTAATTAATCACTTTTAATGCAAGGACTGATAAGTTGCGTAAATTACCAAAGCCGTCTGAGTAGTTTTAACCCACTGTGTAGGTGCGTTTTTCCCAAGCCACCCAGATCTCTCGCAATAAATGTCGCTTTAGATGCCAAACTGTGCTGATAGTACAGAAAGTGATAAATGGACCTGATAATTGGCGGAGAAAAAGCTCGCCCGTCACGACCATGAATATTGAAGATCACGACACAGTGACATACCCTTAGGAGAATGGGGTTTGAATTTGCATAGTCTCGCGAGAACTTACCAGAGTCTCCCTAGCATTCTTTCGGGTAAAACCTGCCATGTTAGCTTGATGTTTGGGAGCGATGCTGTATGTGTACCGCTGTTATAGACCCAAGGGCGATATCTTATGGCATCATTACATAGTCCATTGAATGTGAATTTTCGCAGTTTAGAATAGTTCATGCAGGAGGGAGTCATTTAAAAAAGTAAAACCACAAAAAGGTCTTGGTGTAAAGCTGTTGAGTCTAATACGTGAGAATGAAGTAGATGAAAACAAGACCAATTAGACCAAGCTGGAGAGAGAGAGAGAGAGAGAGAGAAAGAAGAGTAGTGGATCTCTCTATAGGGCTGGGACTTTTGCCCACCCACAGACAAAGTCCGATCCAAAGATGTTGAAGCCTTTGTGGCTGCCTGGTTTGGCAGGCTCCCCGCAGGTAGATAGATCTAGATCTCTCCCTCTTGCTCTTTCTCCTTCTCTCCCCAGGCCTCTGACAAGGCGTACGCCTTATGATTCCATACGTTCTTGCTCTCTCACTCGATAAGAGATAAGAGATTCCTGAAAATATGTCACAGTGAGACGCCTATAATCCAACTTGAGCCTAGTTTTGAGGTTCATCTAGTGAGAGAGCAGACACAACTCTCAAAGATAAGAGTTAATACCCCGCGGATAGACACTATATTTCAACGATTTCTACAGAGTAGTGCATGGGCCTCTAAGGTTCTTTTTTATTTGCGTATCGAAGAACCACGGCCAGTAGCATCTAGTGCCCTCGCTATACTCCGTATGACACCTGGGGATCTGGCGAGCGCGGAGGTCGGGCCGTTGACGGAGTCTCGAAAGCGAGACCAGCTAAACCTCGGGCCACGAAGGCCACAGCCTCCAAGCACAAGCAGGTCTCCTGACAGCTGTCTCCACGTGTTGATCAACCATTTCTCCAAGGCCTTTTCTTCCGTCTTCCGGTAGTGTGGGGTCTCGTTTGCCCTCGTTGTTCATTCACATTACCAACGCGATCTCCAGTAAGTATTTCTTCTCGCTTACACTGAATATCCACCTATCCCAAAATGAGAGTACAAACACAGACTGATGCGATGGAACTAGACGAGAGAGTTGATTCCGGAGCACATCATAATGCTGTTGAATCTCTGCAGGAGCCAGCTCCACGGACCAAGTGGGTTTATCTCAAAATATTCAGCGCTGGTATATCCTTTTTTGTCGCAGGCGTCAACGATGGAAGCTTGGGATCTATCATACCCTACATTCTCCAAACATACGCCATCAGCACAAATATGGTATCCATTCTGTGAGTTGAAGATTTTCGACATATCTCAATGCTACCTCTTCCGACTATCATGACCATGGAGCTCACACCATCATCAGATACGCCGCAACTTTCGCTGGCTGGTTTATTGCAGCCCTTAGCAACAACACGATTACCCGATACCTCGATCTGGGTCCTACTTTGTGTACAGGAGCTGGGCTTCAGATTCTAGCTCACGCTCTTCGTGCATGGAACCCACCATTTGCTCTTTACGTTGTGACATTCTTTCTAGCTAGCCTTGGCCAGGCATACAACGACACTTTCGCGAATACTTTCGTATCGACGCTCAACGATGCCCATCGCTGCCTCGGTTTCATCCATGCAATGTACATGGCGGGATGTCTGGTTGCTCCCTTCATAGCAACTGGCATCGCCTCGGCCAATACGGACTCAGACTGGTGTCTCTTCTATCTATGTCCTCTCGGCCTGGGCGTTGTGAATCTTGCGCTTGTGGGCTCGTCATTTCACGATCATATGGCTACCCCTGCTTCATTACGTTCTGAAAGAAGAGAGAGACCCGAATCCAAGTCTATCTTGAGGGAAATGAAAGATGTATTCTTTGCCACCGAGGTTTGGCTACTGAGTCTTTTCTTCTTCTTTTTCCTCGGCGCTACTATCACTGCCGGAGGTATGTTGAAGGTTCCATCAATGCGCCTACCTGCTAAAGCTCTGATATCAGGTTGGATGGTCGAGTACCTCGTCGAGGTACGCAATGGTGATGTTGCCAAAATGGGATACATCCCAGCTGGCTTCTCGGGTGGTGCATTGTTGGGAAGGATTTTGCTCAGCGAGCCTACTCACAGACTAGGCGATCGACTGATGATATTCATCTACGCTTTGCTGTGCATAGGTTTACAACTTGTCTTTTGGCTGTGAGTTGACCAGGCCGATCGGAATTTATGGATTGGACCGTCTTTGCTAATGTGGGATTCTATTAGTGTCCCAAGCATAATCCCAGCAGCAGTGGCCATCAGCTTTCTGGGATTCTTTTCTGGTCCTTTCTTCGCATCAGTCAGTCACCAAAATCCTAATGATTGAGATTAAATTTTCTCATTCTTTATCTAGGGAGTGTCGCTGGGCACAAGGCTCTTCCCGACAGAGATTCGATCTTCAGCAATTGGTAAGATGAATCAACCTCTCTCAGCCTGCGTTAGCCTTTACTGACATCTGACGAATCAATCCAGCGTTAGTCTTCGTCCTTGGTCAGATCGGGGGTTCAGCTTTCCCTGCTTTGACTGGCATCATAGCAGGAAAGGTAGGTGTGAAGGTGTTACAGCCTATGCTTGTTGGGCTGTTCGGAGCTACTGCTATAAGCTGGTTCATATTGCCAAAGGAGGTGCCGTTGCATCAAGATTGAAGCAAGACCAACTTCGCAGTCCGTATCATAGGATTTAAATCTAGGTCCGGTTCAGAATGAATGGTGCTCATGACTACGAGCCACATAAGACAGAGCTCTCGCTGAGTGGGGCTGAGATGGGAAACACTTCGCTCCTCCCACCTGTCTATCAAATGTTGTATACAGATAACAATACGACCATCGAGCTCAATCCTGAATATGGAAAGTAGTCCTAAGTTTCTAGAGCGAAATCGCAGCTGCCGTAGAGAAATCATCCACAGCATCCTGCTCCCTCAATGTGTCGAAGTAGATGGGGTAATCAGATGACATACAGAATTTTCGGGGCGAAGAATCAAAAGGTTGAGTTGATGTAATTTCTTCCTTGTGGTGGGTCTCTCTGGGCTTTTCGTCTCCCCGCCGTGTACGGGTTTTGGTCATGAGGCTAGCCACATCAGGCACTTCGGCCAGCAGATTCCCCACCAAATTCGTGATATTACCAAATCGGGACACACGTAGTAAGCTGTCCCCGGCCCCGTGGACCGAGCTTCCAATGAGAATGTCTGGGGGTATCGGAGTAACAGCACATCAACTCAAGTATGTGCTCAGCCATGTGCTACTCAACTCTGTAGTCAAAAGTCGTGGGTCTCGCAAAGGGAAGCGGGAAAAAAATCCTTAACAAAAGTGGACTAGTATACTAAGATTGACGTTCCTCGATGGAGCCTTGGAAATACAGACATGAAGAAAGATCCCACTCTCCACTCTAGTCTCATCTGTTGGATGTGCTTACATTATCGTTGGATCGGTGTTCAGTTTACTCCGTACATTCATTCCACAGGCCGGTTAAACTTCGGCACAACGCAGCGGGCCGTCTCACCGCAAGTGCCATCCATTTAGTACATGGCCAGGTGGGAACCCTCATCAATATTGACGTGCATTCCATTTTTGGAATACCATATTCTTGGCAATAGGATATATTCGCCGTCACCAGCACTCGGAATCTCATCTGAGTATATCTCTGTTCCTGACCTCGGGACTCGCGTTGTTCTTCCAAGGTTCATTTTCAACCAAAAGGCAATATTTCGCAAATACATCACCATGGCTTTGTACGAGGAGTTCGCATGGAAAGAAACCAAGCATGAAAGATGGGAGCGGGATATCGATGAAGCCGAACAATTTTACACCACTCTCGCCAGAAGATTCGAAGGCACTGGCAGAAGCTTCTTTGCAATGACTGCCTACGTCTCCTTCTCCGTGTCCGAGGAAATCAGTTCTCAGGATACAATCACTGCTCTCAAAAAGGCGTGGTTACAACTTCGCTATGAACATCCCACCATTGCTTCGTGGGTCGAATACCAAAGCGAGAGCAAGAGATGCAAGAAGATTTATGAGACATTTCAGAGTGATCATACCGTATCACACCAGGCCTGGCTAGATGAAACATTCCGTATTGTCTCCAATGGCCAAACCGGGAAAGAGTGGTGTAACTCTGATCCGCCCGTCCCAAAGTTGCCGACATTGTTTCTCATTAGACGCACAAACTCGCCCGACAACTGCCAAGCCGACGTTGTACTTCGATCGCAGCATGACATCGTGGACGGTATGGGGTCTTTGCACATTCTCAACAATCTGTTCAAATATGCGTCTCTGTTTCTCGAAAACCCAAACACCCCTCTGCCTAAGTTTGGCACCGAGTGCAAGAACCTGAGCCCCCCGTTGCGAGTGGCGGCCTCAATTCCGACTTCTCTAGAAAAAAAACAGGAACTTCGACTCAAAAAGGTGTCCGAAACGAATGCATCGATTCGTGAAGGTATTGAAATAGCGAAATTGCCTTTCCGACAGGGACAAGAAGCCCCCGGGCGTCATCAACGAGTTGAGCTCAACCTGGATCTTGAGCAGTCCAAGAACATTCTTCGCGCGATCAAGAGCATTGGTGCTAGCGTGACTCATGTGTATCACGCTGCCATAGCCCTTGTGCTGAGAGATCTTCAGTATCGTGGTACCAGCAAGCGAAAGGTCCGCTATATCAATTATTCATTGATCAACGAACGCCCGAACTGCAAAGAACCATACAGCACGCCTCAGCATGCGGCCACTGTATACCACTCAGTTTCAGGAGCAAGCCTGGTAATTGATATGGATGTACCTTCAGATGCCGGAGATCAAGAGCACGATGTCGTCAAAGCGCCGAGAGAAGAGTTCTTAGAAATTGTTGAACAGATCAAAGAGTACTATCTTCGAATCCGTGACGACAAGGAGCATATATCACTGGTTCCGCACTACTGGGCTCTCTCTACCCCTGCCTACCCGGCAGGACCAGAAGTCCCCCCTATACCAGCACAGAACGAGGCACCCTCGGTTTCTATTTCCAGCCTGGGTATGGTCGATCACATTCTGAAGCCAAGTCACGGCCAATTTGAGCTCGAGAGTCCTTGGGTGACCGGAGAAGAGTTAGGGAGGGGGTTTGGTCTCTTTTTAGGCACTTTTCGTGGGCGCATGTGTCTCAGCGCTGCATACAATGATGCATGGCACGATGAGAACGAGGTCTCGAAGTTTTTGAGAGATTGCAATGAGCTGGTAGCACTTGGCTTGGGAGTGTGAAGCAGACCCATTATTGAGCGCTGTCATTGATTGAATGAGCCGACGAGATGCTCTGAAGCCCCGAAGAGAGAAAGAAGCAGATACAGAGATAGGGAAAATGCAGTATTCATCTTACTTACAGATCTGATTTTGTCTAAGTAGGAAGAGCACCTGGTCATTAGCCCTGACACATGTGAGTTGAACAGCCGTTTTATTAGAGAGCGGTGGTAGTTTCTGAAGTCTCACCTTGAACAGGCTTACGAGGAGAGCTCTAATGACGAACAGTTGTTTGATTCAAGACCTCATCCTAATGACGCACTATGAATAGAAGGTCTTGCTCACAATTACGCAAACATTGACTTCACCACAGGCCTCGGCTGCACATCCAAAGAAGCAGCAATACTAAACCCATTCCCAAAATCAAGACATTCTTTCTCCAGCAGCTCGATATTGAGGTGCACCATTTCAGCTCCAACCAGCATGTGCAAGACCATCAGCACCCAGGTTCGGCAATTTAGCCCGGAAACCAAGTTCAGTGTGGCGTCGAAGCTTTTCATGATCTGGTCCACACGTCCATATGTGACTTTGTCCTGATGGAGAGTTGCAACTTCAATCAAAATGCAAAGGAAATGCCCCGCCATGATGTTGAGGATGGTTTCATGGGCAGGCTCCAAGCTACCATTTCTAGCCCGCACGTGGTACTGATGGCCACCGGGATTGCCAGTGTGTAGGTAGAGAGCCCAGTGGAAGTCGTTTGGGACTGGCGTATCTGAGCGGATGTAGAGGACTACGTGGAGGGCGCCAGGGGTCAGCATGTCGCGGACGTGGGTTTGCTTGCGCCGGAGAGCGGAGGCTCTCTGTCTGGCTTCTGTCTCCGCGGCGTTTGACATTTCGAGGATCGAACTGGCGCGAGTTGGATAGTGAGTGAGACAAAAAAAAAAAGAGCCGTGAATTTAAGTTAATCGAAGCTCAGGTGACAGGGGTCTTGAAACGGCTAGAACACAAATATAAAGACCCGAGTAAGATCGAAACGACATGTGTTCTTGATATAATCGTACAATGCAAGTGGTAAAATAACGGAAAGAGGAGCCTTCAATGTATAATAATCATACACTGTGCCTCCATACCTCAAGGTCTCAGACGCCCTCAACCTGTTCGCCGGGGGCCAACATCTTGATGTATTGATGCAACCCAGTCTCAAGAACTTCAAGCTTGTCTCCAACCCGCAAAACAAATTCTCCTTTTGAGGGAACAAGCTGCATCCCCAAGCAGGCATTCGTCGGATCCCCTTCATCAATTCTCCGATATGACTTCAGCGTTTTATCCGGCTCCGCCTTGTGTCGATCCCCAGTGACCGGGTCAACATTCGGTAACCGACATCGAACCGTGCGACACGAGGTGTATATTTCAGTGCCGCCGATGGAAACCCGTTTCCAATGGTCTTCCTCAAACGCAGACGGCCCTTGGACAACGATGTTCGCACGGAAGCGCTGGATGCTCAGTTGAGGGATGGCATAGGCGCAGCGCGAGGCCACATCTCTATGACTGGACATATTGAGCAGGTGAATTGGGTAGGCATCTGCAAACGCAGTGTTGGGCTGGAACCCTATGTCCTCTTTGGTGGGCGCGTTGCGGAAGATCTCGCGTGGGTGCGACGGGCTCGCGCGGAAGAGGGTCAGGGTTTTCTTGGAGGGATCGGAGTCCAAGAATTCATGCAGGGAGTCTGGAATAAGGGCGCCATAGTCCAGGGCGATGGGGCTGTCCTTCCATATCTTCACTGGGACCTGTGGGAACTTGGAGTCTGCGGACGGGTGTAATGGAACTTGGAATTGGCGTTGGCGATCACAGATGTTGAGCGCCATACCAGCTCTCACCACTTGTCCATACATTCCTTTTGGCGCGATGCGCGGGTAGGAGATGACCATCACACCTCTAGACTGCACTTCGGCGGAGTTGGGGTCATAGTCGTGCGCAGATGGATCGGGGACCCAAATCTCCGGCTCGACCAGTGCAAGACGATTAAAGTCTTTGTTGCGCAGAGTGCGGATGTTCCATTTGTCATTGTTGTATCCTGCAAATGTGAATTGCCTGTCGTATTCAAGTCCGGTAGGAACTACATTTGAGGCTTGCAGTTCGACTCCACGGCATGACTTCAAAGGATAGCTGAACAATGCTTTAACACGCCAAGATGGTCGGCCTTGATCATCTTGGCCGACAGGGACACCTTGGCTGTATTTTGAATCGTATTCATCGCGCAGATTGCTCGTTCCTGGCGGGAGCCCTAAGCGCCGACATCCTTTCGGACGAATAGCGGGTGTTTTGAATGAGATCAAGAGAAAGAAGAGACCAGCAAGGACAGAGATCAAAGTTCCCTTGGAGAGGATTGCTTCCTCCCAGGCGAGGTTGAGCGGCATTTTGGCCTGGAGATCGCGATCGAATCGATGAAAATTGAAGAAAACTGCCCGATCTCGGATCGGATCACCGCCAACCACGAACCTCAACTTGAACCGGAAACCACTCACGCGAACATGTTTTGAAGCGCACATCTAATTGCCGCTTTATTGTCTGGGGATTATTTTACCGTGTCCGCTCGGCTCAGTTCCAGCCAGCCTCATGCGCCCGCCATGAGCACCAACATGGACCTCCTCGGTCTTGACGGTCTCGAGGGTTTATACAAAGACACGCGTCAGTGGATGAAGACTTGCTGGTAGAGCCGAATGTTAACCCATCTATCTCAGTGCCTGTTGTCTCAATATCGGCATCGCAGTCCCTTAACGCGTCGGCCGGACGCGACTCAATCGCGACGGGCCTCCCGCACCTGGATGCGGCTTTAGCCGTTGATCAACAACCAGGTGGTATTCTGCGCGGACATGTCACAGAGATATTCGGACCTCCAGGCGCTGGAAAAACCTCGCTGGCGTGGGTATTCGCCCCTTCACCGCTAGAGCTATAATTAATCCCATCTGCAGCTTGAATATTGCCCGCAACGCATTGTGTGATGGCAGGGTGGTCTGGATTGGTATGTCCTGCCGGTTCCCTCTGCATTGCTAAACTCACACTGCCAGATACCGGGTTTCCCTTGCCCAGCCCACGGCGTGAGGAGATGTCCCTCAACGTCAAGGACTTTGTTCATTTTCAAGCGCAAACCTTGCCGCATTTGATTGCTCTTTTAATGCGACCACCGACGGGGTTCCCCCCGCCAGGTACTAATTTAATTGTCATTGACTCTGTATCGAGTTTCTTTACGTCTTACTTTCCGACCGCAGCAGAGTTGAAGGAAGAACTTGCCGAAGGAAAACTGGTTGACAAAGCCCATCTTCAATGGCTGCTGGGCCGAAAGCCGAATATTGCCAATGATTTGGGTACACATCTAGCCCGACTCGCTGCCAAAAATATTGCGGTTTTGGCCATCAACCAATCACAAACAAAAATCAAGGAAGAGCGGGAGGCCACTTTACTCCCAGTTCTCGCAGGTGGAGCTTGGGAAAAGACGGTGCAGACTCGCCTGGCTGTCTACCGGGCTCTTCCAGATGATAGGTTCGTGGAGATTGAGAAGCTTTCGGGAAAGCCTTTGCCTGAACCGGATGAGCTTGCTTTTGCCTTCCATATTGACTCGGTATGTGTACTCCAATCTGCCGCAGGGTTGTTCTAACTTTCTTAGAATGGACTTCGTGAAAGAGATTGTCATATTTCGGGCTCAGTGAAGCACCTAGAAAGGTCCCCCGAATTTGAGTACTATGACCCCCCAACACCGACACCTTCGCCTTTGTCTTCAGTGTTGTCGTCTCCTCCACCATCCCCCGAGCTCTTATCTCCCAAGCTCGATGTCGCAGGACAGGGATTTTCAGCACAAGAATCGCCAATCAAAAAGTCTTGTGCTGAAAATTCGTCTCTTTCACCGGCTCTGAGGCCTGCATCGCCTCAGCAAGCCGCCCAAACACCCAATAAGAAACGCAAGGTACAAGAGGTGGCCGACAGTCAGGACGAAGCATCAGACGATGAAGCCCCTTGGACAGACGAAGCAACCCTAAACACAAATCAATCATGAAGTCATGAAATACACAATGGAGCGTTTTTATTGAATACATCTTATACACCACTCCTCTCGTCCTCGGAAAACATTCTCCTCTGAACAATTCGACCCCCTTCCCCGGCCAAGAAGTCCTTGGGCTCAGTCTCCTCACACGGATCCTCACTCTGATCCCGCGTTTCAGGTGACCTTGACATTGAACAAAGAGGAAGCGTATCTGCGATAGCAACAGAAATGGGATGTCTAGATCCCTGAATCAGATCAACCAACCGACCCAATACCGCAAACTCAAGCTTGAGTTTCAGCGAGTACACAAAGCCCTTCAGTGTAATCTGTACTGCGTAAAAATCCGCATACTCCAAACTCAACAGCAGCAGATCCATCCCGACAATCGCGCAGTTTATTCCAATCAATTGGTACATAATGCTTCGCGTGTCCGGTCGCACCGATACATCTGCTCCTAGTCGGAGCAATTTCACTGTCTCAATGACGTACAACGTTGAGAGTATACTTTCCTGGATCGTAAACCCAGTCAATTGTATCTTCTCCATAACATTGTACCCACGCACCCAAGACCTCTCACCGGTGTGTACGATATTCGCCCCGTACGTCAAGATCGTAGTTGGAACATGCAACAAGAACACGTTGGCGATGATCAAGCGAAACACCATGCGCAGGATTCGCTCATCTCGTAGCACAAGATGTAGCCGCGAGTATAGGACAACGGATTGTCCTGTCACCATTATCCACCATCCAATGGTCAAAATGGTCACGGAAAGAATGGAATCAGCCCGCGTAAAAAATTTCAATAAGAAGCCTAGCGAATATGGCATTACGCCTAGGCAGCCGGAGATCAATAGTGACCAGAAGTACAATCCACGCCAGCGTCGGAATGTTCCTGGTACTAAAATCACTAGTTCGGCAACATTGTAGAATGAGAGGCCGATAAAGGCGAGAAGGATCATTTGTCGTTTGTCACCCTCTATGGCTAGAGAGCCTGATATCCCGTCCAGCAGGTCCTGGGGTACAGGGATGGTCGACATTGAGAGTCATGTAGACTTGAGGTCTTGATTCTGGAGGTCATGCATCAGGGGAAATTAGAGATTGTGATAAGAGTGTAGCAAGGAGAGATGAGAGAAGACGGTCGCACAGAAGATATAAGGAAAAACAGGTTTTGTGCGTGGTCATTCGAAGAATTCTTTACGATGTGAGGAATCTGGGGTAACCCTACGGAGTAGAGGATGGAGTAGAAAATAAGGCCAAACGCCACTCTAAATAGTTTTGGGCCTTGCCTGTATCAGATTAGGCGAGAGCGATACCTTACATTGTACTATATCCACTTGATGGGTCATATCAAACAAAGGGCCTGGACCGGTTGTTTATTCCTTTGTTTTGGCCAGATTCGCCACATTCAAGGCTCTGGTTGCGTGGAAGTAATACGCTGTTAGCCGCCTGGCGGCGTCCTTGTGATGTGCAATTTGGGGGAGACCAGCCAAAAAGAAAATATTTCATTGGAGTCTACATAAATTATGGGTTCTCGTTCACAGATTGGTCAGGTAGTCCTCGATCTGCTCCTTGGTCAACTTGCGGAATCGAGGTCCCTGAGAACCCTCCACACCCTCAATGCCCAGCAGGTGGTCTGCTGGCGGGCCGACAATGCCTGTAATTGAGTTAGCGCGGCCCCGAAATTTGAAACAGCCAAACAGGCTCCGCAAACAAACTCACCAATTTCTATCGTGTCACCATTCATCTCGCCTTCAATAGTCTCCTTGAGCGTCAACAACGCAATGTGAATAGCGTCTTCCAGCTCAAGTCCCTCAGTGTATCGCTTCTCTAGGAACGTCTTGGCGCTCGTTGCGTGTTTGCCGATCGCTGTGGCCTTCCACGGATAGTAGCTGCCACTGGGGTCGACCTGGTAAAGACTGGGACCGCCCTTCTTGATACCACCGGTCTTGCTGGATGTCTTTTCCTCAGGGTCGTCCTTCTTGGCCTCCTCCGACTCGGGCTCAACGCCCTCGTCCCAGCCCGCAACCAACAGACTGACACCGTACGGCCGCACACCTCCGGATTGCGTAGCTTCTTGGACAACCCGGGCGACGTCCTGCACCAAAATCCGGGTGGGCGGGTATTCGTTGTAGACGCGCTTGTAGTTTGTGTGCGAGACCTTGCGGGCCTTGTCCACCAGTACCCGGTAGTCGGGGCCCATGCCGGCGTAGACCATGCCAATATCAGGTGTAATCAAGGAAATCTTGGACAGAGATGGGGGATCGATGAGGGGCGAGGAGGACTTCTTCTCGGTCGCGAGCACAATGCCGTTGGTAGCTGGGCGGTCAGCTTGCTGTGGGAAAGCTTGGGCAAGTCATCACATACCTTTGATACCGAGTGCTGTGACACCCTGGTTGACTGCGTTCAAGGCATATTCTGGTCTTGTTAGTCTCGATACTATGATTCGATGTGATGATCCATACCAATCTGCACCAGCTTTCCGCTGTGATGGAGCTGTATTAGTAGTGTCAATTCAACGATGGGCAGTCTTTCCTTACCTAGGGGAGAATGTAGTCAGGGAGAAAGAGTATCTGTCAGCCATGATTCGCTGTCAATGTGAACACAAGCAGAAGAGATGGAAAGATTAAAAGAAGGGGAGCTGTGTAGGCAGAGATGGGTGACGTTTGGCGCGGTAGAGCTCACTGAAGGCGGTGACCTAGTTAGGACTAGCTGTGGGTGTGAACACCTTTGGCCATTTTTTGCTTTTCTCCTCCTTCTCTCTCCAATTCTCTTTTCGGCAATCACCAAAGCATCTTTCAATTTGGTCCGTCCTTGTCTTCCTGTCAGGGCCTGAGTCGTTCTCGATGTGAGACACCATGGAGGAGGACACTCAGCATTACCCTCCCCGGGTCTGTCGCATCTGTCTGGAATCCGTGCTGCCTACCTTCCAATCCTCAGAATTCCTTCAAAAACCTCGAGTGGTTTATGAATCCTCGGATCCAGAATCTGGCCGTCTCCTCAGTCCTTGCCAATGCAAAGGCTCCTCGCGTTATGTCCACGAGGGCTGCCTGCAAGCTTGGCGTCACGCCGACCCGAAGTACGGGACGCGGAATTTCTGGCAATGTCCCACTTGCGGTTTTCAGTATCGCCTCGAGCGTTTGACCTGGGCTCGATGGATCAGTAGTACCACGACACAACTAATTCTCACAATCGCCATTCTCATGTTAACCGTCTTCCTCCTTGGATTCATTGCTGACCCCATCATTGATTTTTACCTTGGCCCCGTGGAAGTTTACACCGAACTGGTCGAGGAAGATGCGTCTTGGCTAGAGCACTTCCTCAAAGGCTTGGCATCTCTTGGCCTCTTGTCTGTACTCAAGGCAGTCTTTGCGTTGTCACCTTTCCCATGGAACATGCGGTCCCTTGCCTCGGGGCGAAACTCGGGACGCAACCGCGCCGCCCAGTTGAACTGGCTGGTCATCTTGGTCGGCGTTGGTACTTTTCTATGGGTACGTATCACATTGAGATGATATACAGGGTCCCACTAACCAAAACAGGCTGTCTACAAAGGTGTCCGCTCCTGGAGTAGGCGTACTCTAGAAAAAGCCGGCGAGAAGGTCATGGATGTGCCATTGCCGGATGAGGACATGGAAAGTGAACCAGCGCCCAACGATAATTCTAAGCAAGACTGAACTCGCACTACTTAAGTTGCCGTACTCCTCTGCCCCATGAGACGTCGATTAGTCAATGTGCGAAGAACAATTACTACCTTCAACAACCCTCAATGGAACATCTGAGAGGCAGATAAGTGTCACGCGAACGTCTTGTTCCTGTGGCACTGGCTGTCTCACATATCAGAATTCCTTTTTGGGGAAGGTAGTCCACCTCTCAATTCAATGGGACGTCCTGACCTTGGAGTCTGTTCAATTGATGTTTCCGGATTGAAAGGTGGTAAATTACTCTGGATAGATTAACTACAATGGACATGAAGTGCGTATTCTTGATTACTATATTGTTCTCGTTGCTTTCAATCTCAGTGAGCTTAGATGTGATAAGATATCTCAACATCTTCTCCAGCTCGAGCCAATTCCCCCCGCCGCCCTCCATGCATTCATTGCTTTCCTCTTTTTCTTTTTTCTCTCTCTTTGCCTTGTTTCATTCCATTTCTCTCTGTCCTCCGAATCTAGTTCGCCTGCCCACCATGGACATCCTACCTCCCGGATCGCGCCTAGCGGTCGTTCGTTCCCAACTTGCTCCCAGCTCAGGCTCCGAGGGCTCCAGTACACCCCCACTCAACGACAAGGAACCTTTCCCAGACTACAACGAAGCCGATTGCGACAACCTTGCCTCAGAGGTAGCAGCCGAGAAACATAACGATGAAGCCTGGAACCTCGCCCTCGGTAGGGCTGTCCGAGATGAGATCCGAGAGATCCAAGTCGATCCCAACATTATTCCCTACGATGATAAACTTACGACCGAGCGTAGCCAGTCCGCTCTCACTCGGATGAAAGAGATCCTCTCCCAGCCGCAGATGCGCATGAAGACCCGCGACCAGTTCCTCACCCTCTCCAACATGACTTTGGAAGTCAATTTGATCATCTTTCATCATAGCTCGGAGTTCCTGGCTCCCAATGAGATTTCCAAAGCAAAAGCCCTGACAGAGACAATTTTGACACACTTTGCATGGATGGACACTATGTTGGCCGACCTATGCCAAACCGTCAATTACACTGTGTCGGTACTGGGCCAAATTGAGAATGAAGATCTCGATGTCTATACGAAACTCTGTCAGATGGCCCGCATCGTTGCCAAGTAAGTGCTGTAAAGGGTACACACACACAGGGCTCACATCCCATAGGAATCTGCGGAAGCCCCGATCTCTCGAACGCAAGCTGCTCGGGCAATTCCTGACCCTTTATGAAGAATGGGTTCATACGCCTTTTCTTCGTCTCCGCAATCGCCAAATCCTCAACGAGCAGACGTCATGTCCAGCCCGAGCCGAGCTCTCGCGTCAGATCATTGCTATTTGGGATGTCGTCTCGCGATGCATTGAAAGCTACGAAACCTACATATGGGCGACAATGAACATTCGTGAGGAATTTTTCGTGCCAACAATGGAAGCTCTCAATGGCGCTCCAGAACTTTGGGATAAGTACTGGAGGAACAACATGGGGAAGAATACTGGTCCGTCTGAGGCCGATCCTCGTGGATGCGACGCCTCTCAGTGCGAATGAAACAATGCTGGTTCAACCAATGGTTCACGAATCATGGGCGCAAAGCCTTACGTCTTACGATCTTCACGACTGATACCCAATCACATTTGCAAGCAGTGTCATCGAGCCATAATTTCAATTATAAATTTCCTAAGCCTCGCTATCCTTGTAAGGTCCCAGCTTGAACAGCTTCTTTGCATTCTCCCTCCCGATTTTCACCCGGTCAGTGTTTGACATCTCAGCATTGTCAAACCAATCACAAGCATCCTCAAACGTCTCAAACGGATAATCAATCGAGAACAAAATGCGATCAGCCCCAACTTCGGCCATGCAGAAGTTCAACGTAGTTGTCGAGAAATGTCCACTGGTTGTAATCCACAGGTTCTCCGCGAAATACTCCCGAATGGTCTTCTTGCACGTATCCGCCAGTCCAAGCAACTTCTTTCGGTCCTCAAACCAGTGGTTGATTCTCCACATATCGAATGGGATCTTCTCTCCCAGGTGTCCCAGAATCACTTGCAGTTTGGGGTTCCGATCAAAGGTTCCGTTCGTCACCATTCCGAGAACATGCAGACTAACACCCTGTGCAAAGGACAAAGGTGGCCCGATCAACCACTTGCGATCAGCCCAAAGCTTCTCATAGATGCTACCTGTTGGGTTGCGTGGATGCAGATACAAAGGCACGTCGAGCTCTGTGCACGTCTGCCAGAATACATCCCACTTCTCGTTATCGTAGAAGATCATATCTTCGCCCTCCTCGCCCGCGCGCTGGGTGTCATTGACCAAGGCACCGAGGAAACCATACTTCGTCACGCAACGGCGCAGTTCATCGGCCGCTTCTTGGGGATCGTGCATGGATAGCGTCCTATACGGTTAGCTGGGCCAACAAAATGCTGTCTGTAGGGTACTCACGCGAAAGCGGCGAATCGATCTGGATTAGCCTGCACCTTTGTCGCAATATAATTGTTGATCTCAACAGCGAGGCTCTGCGCGTCTTTCGCATCCCAGATATCCTGCACGCCAGGTGCTGTGTAGCTGAGGATTTGTAGCCCGACGCCGTGTTTCTCTGCAAAGTCCAGTCGAATTGGACCGACATCGTTGATCTCTGCTGTGTGCTTTTCTGTATCTGTGGCAAACATTCCCGCCCACCATTTCGTCTTCTCGGCGAATCTGGGAAGCGCAAAGGCTTCCTCGAGAGCAATCTTCCCAAGCATTTTCGAGGTATATTTGACAGTGTTATGAACAGGCAATTCTGTTCTGGCTCATGCTTCAATGAGCTCCTTTATATGCGGAGACCCCGCATGGCGTCGTCATGTAGCGTTGCTCGGAAGGTCCATCGGATGTTGACCCGACGGCGGTCCGCTGTTGCGGGGCGGATGCGGGGGCGGATGGCGGCTTTCCTTCATAGTTGTGGACGCATAAAGCACTCTTCGGCTTAATGGGGTATTAGTCAATGTTACAGACTGTGTTACATCGGATGTTAAAGTCGACCTCGTCACGTATCGCATAATGGCCCGAGAAGAGGCTTTAAACGACTATTTCTTTCCGTCGTCAAAGATACACCTGGGCAATCAATACGTCGACCAGTTTCAGAATGAAGAAGCTAGTTTAAACAGATTAACACAAGTCATGAATGCAGATCAAACTTGGGGATCAACTATGAGTTGCTCCGGCAAAATTGCCCAGGTGCGTGCCGACAAAGAAAATCTCTAATCCGATGCGCATCCGAACGTCGGGATTTAGCACTTGATATCGCACAAGAACAATTGGGCTTTTAGGAAACTCGAAGACTACTACGTCTGTCAATGAGGTGTTTCAAGCTGTCTAGCCATATCCGCATGGCTCTGATCTGTACATACAAGAGCGTTCACCATTGTAATGCTCACATGAAGGTATAGTTTCTTCCAGGATTGATTTTGAGTCTGAGGCGTTCTATACCTATCTGGACGCTTTCCAGGGGCGTTTATTCACCCTAAAGAGTTAAATGATAACCTTGGAAGGTGTAGACATCCACAATGATTTGGTTCAGGCAAATGGATCTGCACGGTTGACGTCTACGGGTGTGGATCGTCCCCACTTAGGCCCGGCACTTGACGCATAATTAGAGGCTCTTGATGTTGAATATTAAAGATCTAAATTGATAATATAATAAGTACATAATCTACAATATAAACACGTCATCATCCCGAGGGAAAAGAATACATCTCCCCACTTGTCAGCTCCCGAGAATGCGAGCGTACAATAGATAACAACATTCCCAATACGGCAAATTCCATCTTGAGTTTGATGCTGTAAACCAAAGCCTTGAGGATGATTTGCGTAAAATAATAGCCGAGAAACTCCAGAATTAGTAACGATAGATCCATCAAAATCGCAATGATATTGATTCCGATCAACTCCAACAATATCTTGTGTCGTTTCTTATCTTCCTCGGGACTGATCTTGATCATCCGCACTGTCTCCCAGATATACACTGACGATATAAGGATCTCCTGTACCGAAAACCAGGTAATTTGTGCTCGTTCGACGATTGAGAAACCATGCACCCACGCTGACCGAGGGAAGTATTCGGAGCCGAAGTTCATCGTTACGGTGGGAATGAGTAGTATTATCGAGTCGATTATTATCATCCATTTGATGATTCGGAGGAGGCGAAAGTTCTGCGATATGAGATGAAGTCGCGAGTAGAGGACTACTGATTGTGTCGGGACCATGCATATGAAGCCGATATTGGAGAGGAGGAGGCTGAGCCAAAGTGGGACTATGTTGAAGTATTGAAAGGAGGTGCCCAAACTGGTTGGTATAAGACCCACGGTGGTTGAGATCAGAAGAGCCCAGAAGTAAAGGCTGCGGTAGGTCTTGAAGCTCAGCGGAATGAGCACGGAGAGTTCGAGGGCGTTATAGAGTGCGATTGAGATGATAATGATCACCGCCATTCCCATTGTCTGATTCTCGTCCAGCGAAGACGGCATTTGTTGGAAGTTGTCCGCCATGGTAGATTGTAGCCGGCCATGGTGCGCCGAGCTGGAGGTCGCATTTGCGATCGAGAGAAGAAGGAGATGAGGTGAAGAAGGCTGCAACAGGGGATGAAAGTATAAATTTCCGGGGACATCTCTCGGCGAATGCCGTTCCTCGGATATGCGAGTGGAGGCAACTCAGCCTCTCGCGGTTAATGGATCGTAACGTCACCAACCAAACCAGCATGTATCCAATGAGGCGCCCTGGAGTTGTTTTCATCCCCCAGTTTTACTTCCCCTATCTTGCACTGAAGAAATTCAAATTCATGTGACCCATCTTATGATTCGTAGAGTCAGAGGATTTGGGTCCTTTTTAAATGTGGGGAAAAGACAATTATCACGTTAATTATACAGTTGAGGCGCGCTGATCTATCTCTCCACAACTCGAATTCCACACTCCCCAATCGGCCGACAAGTGATAGAATCATTATAATCGGGTACCAGATCTCCTTTTCCGACCATACTCACATCGAAACGCGTCAAAATTGACACCGCGACCAATTTCATATTCAGCATCGCCAGCCTCTGGCCTTTGCACCCGTGTTTCCCCGCGCCCCAGCAAATAAACTCCTTTTTAACTTCCCGACTCGGATCCCAGCGCCTTGGGTCGGGGTAATATGCGGGGTTGAGGGAAGTGTCCGCGAAGGGATACATCACCAACGCTCCGGATGGGATTGTGTGCCCTCCTATTGTGAGATCGGGTCCATTGTTCCGACGTATCGCTGTGTAGGGTTGCGATGTTCGAATGGTCTCGCGAATACAGAGGTCTAACATGGGGGTTTGGGTCTCCCAGCCTTGGAGAGGAATAGAAGAGAGGGAAGTTTGAGATGTTTGCGATAAGAGAGTTTGAATCTCTTTTTGGATGGTTTTGGACCATTGTGGATTCGTGGATAGTCGCATGATCAGCCACGAGACTGTTTCAAAAGGTTAGATGTTAATATTTTGCTTCAGCTTATGATTGGGCTTGTTAGTTACCTATTGTTCCCGTCGCACGGGCTCCGGCTAGTGATAACCCTAGGAGGAACTTCGACATCATTAGTGTCTTGCCTTATAGCTAGGCTTTCGAAACTCACTCCGAATATTTGGGTGTTGCTATCTCCATCATCGATCATCTTTTGAATTGCATCATTTCTTCGGACTCCATCTCTCTTCCGAATGAGGATGTGCCTTCGGACAATGAGGTACATGCGAGCCGCGGCTACCAGTTTGCGGAGCATCAACGTATTGGGTAACCAAGAACACCACGTCGTATATGGGTTAGCCGGGGAGTCGACCACATCGACCAGTGATTTAAAATGAGAGCACAATGCTGGGTCTTGTGAGATATCGAAGAATCCCGTGCTCATGATAGTTTGAAATGTGACCTAAATGTCTGTTATTACTTTGCCTTATCTCTCCAGTAGCACCATATGTACTTACTCTATGAATTGAAGCGCAGGGGTCGAGAACGCTCTCGGGTGCCCATGAGTCCATGGCTTGCTTGCAGCTTGAGAGGATTGATGGAATGACTATGCAATGTTAGAGATGGCTGTTTAGCAACAGATACACCAACTCACTGGATTGTAAGTTCTCAGGCCGTTGCATCAGAACCATGCGCTTGATGATAGCATTGACCTGGTGGGGGCTGAACTGAGCATTGTTCTTCGGGCAAATTAGTTGCGAGCTCAGGTATAGTATAAATGTAGGGGATATAACAACGCACGCTGCCCAGAAGAATTGAAAATGAGTCGTAGATATTCAAGTCATTCTCTTTTGTGAAGACTTGCCGAGCTTCTGTTCCGGAAAGAACGATGGCTTTGCGTCCAAACAGCGTGAGCTGATAAATAGAAGACGATGTCGCCTTGAACCCATCATTGATAAAGTCAAATTGCTTCTCAAAGAACGATTGAGCAGTTTTCGAAGCGGAATGCTGTAATTCTGGGGGACTTTGATCTGTCCCTGGCGTAGAGGGGCGTGGGACGTATAAGAAGTTGAACCAAACGACGTATAGTGTAAAGGCGACAGAGGCGAAAATACCCAGATCTCGAATCAAGATCAATACCTCATTGCCCGCTGCAGATATTGATTCCGAAAAGACGCTTTGTAACATGATGGTTATAAAAATGAGATTGTGGGATTCCATCTATCCCAGACAAGGCGCCTTTTATACACCAACACGCAGCTGGTGCAAAGTCGACGAACGCCTTGTACACCCAAATAGCGACAGCCATAGCACCCAGGTAGATTCCGCCTGTGACTCTTCGATCAATGACCTATGGTTTGTGGCCCTTGATTCGTTCTTTCCTATCAACTTACTTGCCCTGAGGCTCAGGTTTCGCCCGGGGGCACCTCGGCTGCGCCATCCTCGACCCACAATTGCAGTCATTTACTGTGAATTCAAAACAGAAGTGACATTCAAAACAATATGATTGATGGGGCTAGAATGCAGAACTACAAAGACTGTTGGAAACCGGCGCAAGCCGGTGTTGGTTCATGTCTTACGCACGGTCAGCTATGCAGGAACGTATGAATTTTTTTAGATCGAATCTCACAAGGCGAACCGTTAGTGTCAAGTTAAAGATGCGGCTCGTATCGGTTCGTTCGTATTCAGGTGACATTTCAGTATGCTTCAGCCCCCTTTGACGCTCTTTCCGATGCTTACATCGGGCTACCCACTCATTCGGGCTAGTCTGGCCTAGTGAATTAGGCCTGCCATCCTTAGTTTACAGGCATTCGAGCGTATTCATTGGATCTTCGTAGCATATGCGATCGAGTCATAGATCGAGTCATTGTTTTATTGTCTGTGATTTCGCCGACGCCACAAAATGAACACGCGACCGAATGATCTTGCAGTTTCAACACCTTCAGTCTTCTGTTCCGATTTGATTTCACATAATAGTGGCGTTATTTCAGGTGGCTATGGTGATGGTGATTTTGTCTGATGTACTCCGTATGTGGCCTTATCTTTGCAAATGTCAGATTCAAGGATTTTTGCAACTTCCAAAGTAGAAATTACGTCGATCAATTTCATACGTAATTAAAAATCTAGCAATTCATACGGAGACTGTTGCTGTTTTCGTATCCAAAGAGTTATGTACCACTGCGAGGGGATCTTTTCTTTTGCGCAGTAGTTTGGTAATTGTACGGAGTAGAAAGCCTTGTCTTACAATTTTCGGTTTCAGGCCCACCCTCGAGTTGGGGTGATCAAGTAATGCAAAGTCTGGCCTGAGCTACCTTATGGCTCGAAGATGGCCCCTTTTTGTCACTATTGTTGGCTTGGATAAAACAGTCACTTGGTGGGGGCAGAGGTTTGGGATGAATGTGGTGCGCCGCACACCTGGGCAGATTCAGCATAGGTGTGGCTCAGGTGCTGAGGAACAGGGATTTTGCTGGTGAAATCCCATAAGATTAACTGCGCGGTGAGATTCTCGGACCCACAGAAATCCGAGAATTATACCAACCACGCGTGTTGAAAAAGTACATTGACAGGAATAGTTGCTGGGTATGCAACGGGCCGTTGTTTGTTGGGGGCCGAATATGTATGAGCATCTGCTTCGCTTCGGCCCCAGTTTGATCGAAGAAAATCTAGCCGAGCCTGGCAAATTTGGGCCATGAATCGATTTCTTATTCTCGTTTGTATAATAGGACTGCTTGCTAGAGGCTTTCATACCTCAAGTGCCATTGGCCCTCGAAGGACCCACCAGGTCAGCCTCATCGACCCAATGACGATATTAATGGGTGCCAAAGGACATTCTACGGGTAAGTGACAGCCGGTGAGACTAGTGCAGATTTCCCATACAAGGCCCAGCTTCTTTGGCCAGGGCCCGCACCCCCGCGCGCGCTAAGGGTGCTTGGCCTCGATAGTCACTGGTCAGTGCCCTTTTGCACGATTGAAGCAAGCGATGCTTGAACTACTCAAAATCGTATTAATCCGTACTCCATACATAGCACACAGAGATTGTGTGAATTTCCGGTCTATCCAACTCCTCTGACTTCTCCAACACACTCACACTCTAAGCATTAAATCCAACATCTCGAGCTGCAGCTCGGTCTTCTCTCTCATAAAGGATTTCCGGTTGGATATCCTTTCCAAACAAGTACCGCTTTGCGAAATAAGGAATCTGCCTCAATCCATACCCAGCGTGAAGTCTCGTCGGCAACGAAAACACCTGGTCCAACTCCTCGAGCGTCTTACCCTTGGTCTCAGGCATGAACATTAGAACCAACCACCACCCAATCACACACCAAGCAGCATACCAAGAAAACGCACCTTGTGGTGTGAATGTCTTTTTTAAGGCTGGCCAAGTTACCCCAAGAACAAAATTGAAGAACCATGTCGTGGCCGTTGCCAACGCCATTCCGTATGGTCGCACATACAGTGGATACGCTTCGGCGGAATACGTAAACGCGACTGGTCCTTCACCAGGCGAATAGAAAATTCCAAAAAGGTAAGTGCCGAGGACTATACAGACTTGTCGAGCCGTATAGCTACTTTGTGGGATCCAGAAACTGAAGCCGGTGAAAAACATAGCTATCGCCATGAGAGGAAAAGTCAAAAGCAATAAGTTTCGTCGACCAAACGTGTCGATTGTATAAATTGCAGGAATTGCAAAAAGCCAATTGATCACTCCCCAGCCCAGGGACGCGGCTAGCGCTGCTATGGGTGTGAATTTGGCCTTCGGTTCAGTTAGATCATTGCAAAGAGCAGCGTTTGGGTCAACTGACCTCGAGAAATATCTCAGCGGAGTAGTATGCGATCACATTGACACCACAGAACTTTTCAAGTCAGCCATTTGTCTCAAATTTTGCAGAAACGAAAATTCACCTCCTGCATGAACATCACAATCTGAGATGCTACCATGGCTCGTCGGTTGCGTGGCACAGTGATCAACTCCAACAGCTTGTTCTGACCAAGCTTCATATTATTCTCCGCCTCAAGCAGAGTATGCATGTAGTATAAGTCTCTCGCCGCCTGAATCTTATGGTGCCGCAGCATGCATATCGATTGATATGCGCGGTAATACTGCTTCTGGCTCATATACCAGCGCGGCGATTCAGGACACGCGAAGACAAAACAGCAGACCACAAGAGCCGGGAACATCGCCGACGCCATCATACATCGCCAATTGAGTCCGACAATCACAGTCGAATCGACATTGTAGAAAATGATGTCTGACGCATATCCAACCATGATACCAAACGCTGTCCACATCTGCCACTGCATGACCAATGCTCCACGAATCGCCGAGGGAACGGTTTCCGCGGCATACATAGGCACAGTGGCTGATTTTGGACCGATGCCGAACCCCAGCACGAATCGAGCGACGAACATAGACCACCATGTCGAGACAAACCCTTGCCAGAGACACGCTATCGCGGAGAGACAACATGTGATGAATATTGTGCCCCGGCGACCGAACCAGTGATTGAAGGGGACAGTCAACCAACAACCGATAAACGCGCAGCAGAGGTACGGTGCCGAGTTTGTGAGGCCTACGAGCCAGGTGCTTCGAGCGGAGTCGTCACCAATTCCGAATTGGTGTTTGTAGAAGATTTGAGCGCCGTTGACAACCGTTTCATCTGATATTGTTCGATTCTCGCGTTAGATTCATATCAGGATCAAGGATGATGTCTCGAGGCTTACCCATTCCCTGGACAGCTGCTGAGAGAGAGCAAAGTGCAATCACAGCATACATCTTCCAGGGCTGAGCCCACTTGTTGGTCAACTCTCGACGCAATACTGCTTTCTCTTGGTTTGTCAAATCAGAGATGTCATCAAATCGCTCTGGTGATTGTGCCAGCACAGCACCCAACTCAAATGCGCGAATATCGGACTCATCGCCCATAACATGGAATTCGGCGAATGTGCGTCCCTGGGTTCTCAACTCGGTGTGACTGAGTCCAGCCAGTGGGTTGGAGAGCTTTGCGTTGATCTTCCGCCGTGCTCGCTCGGCGGCTGGGCCGGTTAGCTTTGGTGAGACAAGCTTGTCGTTCTCTCTGGGTTCCATCGCTTCCCGTGGCTGGAATCTCGTAGTTCCTTGAGATTTTGGAACCGAAAAATGGAGTGGGGGTGTTTTGCTTTCCTCCCGGGGGTGAGTTGCTGAAACAAAGAAACTCGACAACAAACATGGAACAATACTACAGCAGGTCCCGGTCCCACGGCCACATAGTAGGCAGTAAGTCTACCTTGCAACGTATCCATGTGGATACTTTTCGAAGAATTGTTGATCTTAGAGGTCTATTTGACACGCTAGTGATTATTCTTCAAGGTGATTGGTAGGTATGGTCCAGGGACTGGGATACACTTTCAGACAAAGGGTTTCCCACCTGGCAATTCTAAGATCTGTTTCGTTCGTCTCAGGGTTGGAGATTTACCTGCAGCCTTGATAGTGAATCTATGAGAGAGGTACTCTGAGCAAACATATTGAAGTTTGGCGGGCATTCTTCGCCCAGAAACATAACTCAATCTTCTATGAAAACCACTTGATGCGGCAGTTTAAATAATGGTATCCCAGGACGTATCGTGCTTTTCAAAAGGTCAAGCTCTCCTCAATCGTGGCCATGAGATTTGCCGCCTTTTTGGCCACTTTCTTGCACTCTTCACCCAAATCGCTGTTTTCCACATCCTCAAATCCCTTTTGATAAAACTTCCATCCTTTCAATGATAATTCCCCAGCTCCAGTATCCCCAGCACGGATCTGCTTAAAGGTTTCGAGGCCATCCCACAAAATGAATTGAGCTGCGGCAAGTACATGCTGATCCTGCTCGCCCTCGAATTGAGGTCCCCACGTAACATCGCGAACCTGGAAGGCGTCTCGCAACGCATTGAAAGCGTATCCATGGTCATGGGGAAGGCAACTAAGTGCCGAGAGGTGTGCATAGAAGGACATCTTGTTCGGCCATTCTAGCGGCTTGTCTGGATTTGGTCCTACACGGAAGGTTGGTGAGTTGGGATTTTCTTATGAACACAACTAAAATGACTTACCAATTTCATATGCTTCAGAGAGTGAGATGCCGAATCGCTCGCCTCGTTGGCGCTTGAAACCGAGTCAGTAAATCGCAAAGACAAGTCAAGTACTAGGCTGAAGGGCTCACTGTTTGAGAGTTATAGGAAAGCTTGGAGGAAGTTGTGAGGGCTTGCACCACCTGCGCAAGTTTCATTTGGGACGGGTGATGCCAGGGTATCTGCTCTGCGATTTCCAGGAAGATGCCACCCACGACGTAGGCCTCTGTGGACAAAGGAGCGTCGGGAAGGATGGTAGAGATGGCTTCAATGGTTTCCCAAAGCGTCTTTTCTGTGTCGGGTTGGAGAAAGTCTTGAAGGGATCTGAACACTGTTGTGCCACGAAAGTCTGTGGTACAAGTATATTCCCATTTGGCATTTGCCTTGGCCTCCTGCGAATATTCTTGTGTTGAGGTATCATTTGTCTCCCAGTCTTCAAGTGTCAACTCGAGTGTGGACATGGCTACCTTGAATATATCGATTGGGATATGTGGATCCGAACGTTGTAGAAGTTGATATCTGGGTATGTTTTGAACTTGACAGAGAATTCTTTCGACCAGAGCCAAACTGCTTCCGATGTTTGAAGTCTGCGAATGCGCTTGGAATTGGATTACTCTTGTACAAAGACCTGGAGGCTAAAGCGGATAGTGTATCTATTTCAAGCAGCCAATTTGAATAGATGAGAAAACAAGAGAAGCAACGAAGGCCAATCCCCGCCCCCGCTTTGTTTGCCAAGCCAAGGGCATGGCGGGTAAGAGGCGCTTGATCGGCAGTACTTACCGCCGAGGCTGAAACAACACCTGATTCTCATCTGAAATCAAAGGTGAAACATGTCAGTCCCAATTACAGGAGTCCAATAGCCGCCACTAGCTTTCATGTCCTAAAAGCATCGGGATTAAGTGTTGCGTCTTAAGTGGTCGCTAACTGATAGGATGGGACTTGCTCAATGCGAACGCCATGCGGCTACGATATACATTACTTGCAGCGGCAACAGCTATTTTCGTTCTGGAACCGCAGGTCCATTTCAGTGTAGATGCAGCTCTATATGTAAGACACAATATCAAGAGTGTTATAAGATCAACCATGGAAGCAGTCGATCTCGAATTTTGAATATTCCACCAACATCAGCCGTTCCTATAACCTCCAGTGCTTGAATTATCTCAGTTTCTGTCACCATGGGATTTGGATTTTGGGGACCCTCGAAGGGTCCAGCACGAGCACAGTCAGATCTGGCTAACAAGGTTCAAGATCCTCGTACACCTCTGGTTAGTATCAATTACCACCTTATCCAATCTGAGTTCTTTCCTCTCTACTGTGATCGCTATCAAGAATATCAACTTATACACGCAAGTAGGCCTATCAGGTCCGGCCAGTAAAAGCCGAAGTGCCACAATCCGGTCCACGGGTACCGTATAGCCACGAGCTTGTTACTCGCGCCGAGGTTGAAAAGCATCTTCAAAACGCACCCGCACCTATCGCGGACCCAGGGCCAGAGTCAGCTCTCAAGAAGTTGGGCCTTGGGCCGCGGCATCGTGGCCCGAGAGACTTGACCCGCCCATAGGAATTCCAAAACCATGGTCGTGTTATTCCACGCACTGATTGCTATACGGAGTACCCGACGAAGGACTATCCCTATCATAACCAAACGCCCAAAAAGGAGGTCTAGTTTCCCAGAAAACCCCGAAAGGGAAAACGATCATGAAATCTGCCGACCCCGGTTATGTTCGCACTATTACCGACCAAGATAAGCATATCCAGGCTGTACTTTACCATCCTGACATGTCGAAGGTCCCTGGTTCTTCATCCTCTTCGTCTTCCGCCGGGGTTTCTAGCAAACCTCCCAAAACTTCACAGGGCTCTCATGCTTCTGGTGCGCTTTATCCATCACAGGAAGTTTTCAGGGCCCAAACCTTTGGTCCAAGGCAGAATTCTGGGCCACCAATTTCCAAATCTTGAGCCATATTCAGTCAATCTCGCATGCGCCTTCTTTTCCTGTTGAACTTGGCTTTCCATGTTCATACGTTCTCCCTTGTACCTACTATGGGCTCTTTGTTTGGACAGGTACGGAGTACTGGGTCGATATGTGTTGGTGCCTGTGGCTGCCTGGAGTTTCAATTTGTTTGTTTGTTAATTAATTAGTCATAACGAGGCCCAGCCCTGGAGAGAGCTTCTCTCTCCTTCCTCTTTGATTCCATGACAGATCATATTGCCCTGCCCAGGTGCTGCCCTGCTTCCTTCCGATACGATAACACAATGGTCATTTCTTGCCTTTTGTACACCATAGATATGGCGTCCACTGATATTTTGAATAAACAGGGTCCAGAATATTAGTCCAGCGGCATCTTGCACTAGTGCCTGTGTGGAACGTTGCTCCTGGGCTCTGGGCCCAATGCAGATAATAGAGAGCTCCCTTTGCCTCACTTGCTCCCCTTTATCTCCTTGATCTATCAGCGAGATTTCATTTCATTGAACTTTGCTTCTTGTTCTGACACCTCATAGTTAGTTCGCCCGTTTCTGTTTTCTAGTTGTTGGGTACGTGGAGGCTTGGATCACGCGGTGTACTCCGTACGGAGTACGCTTTGCTACACATGCCCTGGAGCCTCAGAAGAGTGGAGCATGGCGGTAAACCGGCATATTATTTTTTGCTATGGTGGCTACCCACTCCACCTGTTGATTTGAGAGCATTGCAGCAACTACTCTGCAACTACGTGCCGAGTTCAAGAAGCATACGCCTCAGGCTACACATATGGTCAAATTTACACGTGCAGTCTTTACAAGATACTCTCAGGGCGTGAAGTTGTTTATGAGCTTATGTTATTCCATCATGACCGTATAATTTTATCGAAGGTGCAATATGGCCGCTAAACAACGTGTGCCGGGAACCTATTAAATTCTTTGAATCATGTTAGTGATGATCTCAAGGATGTATGAAGAAAATAAAGTGAAGAAGCTCAATCAGATAGCAGTTGGTACAATTTTGAGTCCACATGGTTATTCAGAACAGGTCTGTGTGAAAAGGTTGCTTCATCATAAGAGAGCCTTGAAATAGGCATGTTAGAACTCACATTAATAATATGGAAGCTATCCCTTTGATCATCTGGTGAATCGTAATGGGATAGCTTGATTAAGGCACAGTTTCCTGAACATTCACATGGCAGGCTAGACCCGAAGCTTCATCGCGCTTGAGCTAGAAAGACATGTCATGCTGACGTTTGCCTCATCAAAAGTTCACAGAGAATCTATGAGGCTCGAGTCAATGGCATCGCATCGTCGTGAAGTCAATGAATGATGGAGGGAAAGGAAAATTTCGAAACGGTGCAGACCTTAAATACCGAAAAGTGGATCACGCTTTGCATCGTTTGCACTGACAAACAAAAAAAAAGTGGTGGTAATTTAACGGAGTTCCAATTTTTCTCTTTTTCAGAACAATTATCTGCTTTTGAAAAACGCTATTCGAACGGTGAGGAAATCTCCGCGCATCCTCATGCTACAATTGTGACTAACAAATACAAGATGGCCGATCTAGAGACCCCCAGCTCGGCGGAGCAGCAGAGTGCGTGAGATCATACCGAATTTCTGCGAACTCGAGACTAATTGATTTAGCTCCTACCAAGTCTCCGTTCCAGAATGTCCGTACTGACGGTCGAGCTTTCGCCTCTCCGAATTGGCGCACTAAGGGCAGCCCTGCTGCTCCATCCGATGCCTCCCCGAGCCGTGGCCCAAACCCGAACCTCAATACGTCCCGCGCGGCCTTCAGTCGGCCCGGTCCTCATGTCCCGCAGGCAATCAGTGATGGCCGTCGTCTTTACGTAGGCAACATGCCTTACACTGCTAAGACAGAGGATGTCAAGGCAATTTTTATGGCTGCGCAGATGCCGATGTATGTCTGGCTTGTATAGATCGTGAAGGGCCTACAACTAATCTCGTGATAGTGAGGGTATCGATATCGCCATTGATCCTTTCACTGGCCGTAACCCATCTTACTGCTTCGTTGATCTGCAGCACAAAGAACATGCCAGCCGTGCTATGTCCGAGCTTGATGGCATCGACATGCTGGGCCGCCCGTTGAAGATTAGGCCCGGTGTCGCAAAGTCCCAGGAGCGTATTAACAACCCGCCTTCTCCATTCAATGTTAGCGGCTGGCGTGAGCAGGAGAGGCCCAGCTTTGCCAAGCTCAACAGTGACTCCAGCAGTCGGGTTTATGTTGGTGGTTTGCCGCGGCTGACCGACCATGAAGTTGTGCAGAACGGCATTGAGACCTTCTTCAAGGACTTCAAGATGTAAGTCTATCACGATGCATAGACATTGATGGTCAATCCTAACGAGCTACAGCGAGAACGTTAGCAAGCTGTTCACCCCCCACCCTGCTAAGAGGTTCGAAGAGGGCGAACACCACTACCTGTTCGTTGACGTCGGCTCCCCCGAAGAGGCTCAGCGAGCTATGAAGACTTTGAATCACTCGATTGGCCCCTGGAACGGTCCACTGCGTGTGCAGTATGCTCGCGGTTCTAAGACAACCGAGTGAGATGCTTGATAAATGGCACACCGGAAACTAAGCATTATTAATGATGAACGCATCGCATAGCATGAGTTATGATACCTGAGAAAATCACACAATAGCATATTCTTGAGAAAATTTGTTCTTTGTCTCCTAGCTGAGATCTAACCGAGTTGGTGTATGGTTCAAAGCACAATCCCAGCTGCCTACGTGAGGCGTAGAGTGTAGCTCTAATATTCCAGCCCCACTTGAAGTATGATGAAACTATACTCGTGGAGCATTCACGTCTCTGGGTTTTCCGTGATTGTGACAATGAAAACACAAGTCTATATCAACTTCGAGATGTCTGGTTAGGTAGGCCCATGGGGACACCGCTCGGATTGCCAAGGTTGCAGTTTGGGCTTCCTGTGTTGCGCGTAAATGCTCATATTTGTTGAATCTTGCAGATCTGGTGCTGTCAGAATGCCAAGAAAATAGATATTGCTCCGTACTCCATATAGAATCACTTGATTCTTGATTGTGTAGTGGACAGCAGGTTCGCAAGTATACGGGCAGACAAAAAAAGTGGATAAGTAGAATGACGTTAGTGGGGGACACTCACCGCATCGCCTCCCTGTTTCTGTTTCCCCTTCTTTTTCGATGCTCTGTTCTATTATATTATATTGTGATATTGTGAGACTGTTATACTCCGTTCTTCTATGAAGATCCTCTTGGCTGCAGGTCATATCCTCCTATTCTACCCGCTCTAGACCCTGTTCGTCACTCGGGATCTGCCCCTAATTCTCCCGAGAACCCCATTGCTCCTTCAAACATCACTTACATCGGCCAAAAATGTCTTCAAAAAGTGTGATCAGGAGTCAGCAGCAACATAAGGTGTTCGTCGCCAGTGTAAGTGGTATCTCCTACTGTGTGGCCCCGCCATTCTGCGCGTTTTGATATGTCCGCGGGGTTGATGCGCTTTGCCGAGGCAACCATTGGGACTGCGATGCTTGGGCACTATCCAGCGACATGGCGACATGGAGACAACTACATGCTTGCAATAAACTTGCCCATGTTGGAGCTTAGCCCAAAATGCTATTTCCATCAGCCCAAGTGGCCGTATATAATGGATGTCTCGCGGGTGTGGAGGTACATCGGCACGGCAAACTGTTCTGTGTTCAACATTGACAGCGATGTTTGAATCGCGTCGGAAGGCCCGCCTACTGCTGTACCTCCAGTGTTTCCTAGTTGTGTTGATTGATTTTGTTTTTCTTCCATTTCTTTTCGCTTGAGTTTATTTAAATTCGCTTTGATCCACTCCGTCGAACTTGCGATCCTCGACTACCGACTCTTCAAGATGGCATCCGCTAACATTGATCCCCAGTCTGATGACTCCAAGATATGTGTTGTCATGGTGGGCCTTCCAGCCCGTGGCAAGAGTTTAATTGCCGGCAAAGGTGAGTGGGAAGACATCACGTTCAAAGTTATATGGCGACTGACTGCAACAGCCATGCGCTACCTCGGTTGGGTGGGCATCCCCGCGCGGGTCTTCAACGTGGGTAGCTACCGCCGTTTCAACACTCCACAGCCAGCAGCCACCTTCTTCGATCCTCACAATGAGGAGGGTGAGCGCATGCGACGAGCTGCCGCTGAGGCCGCCATGTCCGACATGCTGCAATGGTTCAACGCTGGTAAGGGCGTTGTGGCGATTCTCGATGCCACCAACTCTACCCAGGAACGTCGCCAGTGGATTTATGAAAAATGCCACGAAGCGGATATTGAGGCTCTCTTTGTGGAGTCCATCTGCGACGACGAAGATTTGATCATGACGAACATTAAAGAGGTCAAGACCACTTCCCCCGATTACAAGGGTCAGGACCCAGAGGAGGCCGCCCTTGATTTCCGCAACCGCATTCGCAACTATGAAAAGGCCTATGAGACCATCGGTGACAACGAAAAGCACTACACCTACGTCAAGTTGATCAATGTCGGATCAACCGTTATCATTAACCAGATCAAAGACTATCTCTCCAGTCGGCTGGTATACTACATCCAAAACCTGCACATCAAACCTCGTTCAATTTGGCTCTCACGTGTAAGTCAAAACTGACCTCTCCAGATCTTTATTTTCGAGTTCCATCTGACAAATAGCAGCATGGTGAATCAGAGTTCAATCTGAGCGGTGCTATTGGTGGCGATTCCAACATTTCGGAGCGTGGCGAGGCTTACGCCCGCGCTCTTCCCGAGCTGATGCGCAAATCTGGTATCCCCGAGAACACCAAGATTGTCATTTGGACTTCCACTCTCAAGCGCACCATCCAGAGCGCCCGCCACCTGAAGGCCGAAACCGGCTACGAAAAGCTGGAATGGAAGGCTCTGGATGAGTTGGACTCCGGTGTCTGTGATGGCCTCACCTATGAGCAAATCGCAGAGAAATACCCCGAAGATTTTGCTGCGCGTGATGAAGACAAGTATAACTACCGCTACCGAGGCGGCGAATCCTACCGCGACGTCGTCATTCGCCTCGAGCCCATCATCATGGAACTGGAACGTTCTGAGAACGTCATTATCGTCACTCACCAGGCGGTTCTTCGTTGTATCTACGCTTATTTCATGAATGTGCCCCAGGAGCAGAGTCCTTGGATGGAAGTCCCTCTGCACACTCTCATCAAGCTCACTCCTCGTGCCTATGGCACCGAGGAGCAGCGCTTCAAGGCCGATATCCCTGCTGTGTCGACCTGGCGCGGTAAGGGTACTTCGGCAAAGCACCAGGAGTTCCCGGCCAAGGTGGATTCAAAGGAGGAATCTAAGGAGGAATCTAAGTAGTGACGAGTGATCTGCATCGGCGGCGCATGGATGTGGTCGGATTTGGGCATGAAATTTTATACCAAAAAATGGTTCTTTATTTAAATACATATTTCGAAATCAATCACAAATGGAGTTTTCTTTTTGGCAGTATTCCTATGCTCTTGGGAAACTTGCCCAGGTGGCCATGCAAGCTGTTTCCAACATTGGAAGGTTCATACATATCAAATGTTTTGAATGGCATTCTGAGACAACTCACCACCGTCCAAAAGGGTCAAAAATCGGACAAAAATAGAGTGAGTTACTCCCAGATCAGATTGTTTGCAACTTTGCAATCATCTTTTGTCGAACTTGCAAAGTTATGATCTTCTAGCACAACCCATCACAAGGGAGCTACTAAAAACCCCCCTTCACCGCCCACGGGCACTGGAGATTCGGACGTCATGCGGAGAGCTCCAGCCACGCCCCTCGCCAACCCGGCAATTGAAGACACGCCGATGTTGTCAGCATTCACCGCGCGGCCTCTGGTCGAGCTCAAGCCGCGCGACAAGTCCCGCATAGACTCTGTCCTCGCTTATGGAGATCGCCTCCTCGCCGGCCTCAACAATGGCAACCTCCGCATCTACCGCGTCGACGAAGGCCGCACCGAGCTCCTCCGCGAACTAGAGCGCTTTTCCCGCTACAAAATCGAGCAGCTGGCTCTGGTCAAGGAAGCGAATGTGCTGGTTTCTCTGGCCGGTGGCTATGTCTCCCTCCACGATGGCCAGTCCTACGACCTTGTGGAACAGCTCTCTCAAACGAAAGGCGCCTCCACTTTCGCCATTACCTCCAATGTCGTGAACGATCCCGATACCAATGTTCCGGCTATAGTCTCTCGACTGGCGGTTGCGGTTAAAAGGAAAATATTCATGTGGGCGTGGCGTGACATGGAGCTCGAGCGAGATACTGTGGAACTGAGTCTTGTTAGCGGTGTCAAAACTTTGACTTGGGTTGCGGCTACAAGGCTGGTTGTCGGTTTGAACTCGAGCTTTGTCATGGTCAACGTGGAGAATGGGCAGGTCACAGATCTAGCGGGCCCCGGGAGCATTGAGGAGTCTGGTCGCTTTACTGGAGTCGGTGCTGCGAGCATGAGCTATATTGGTATGGGTGGAATGGTACCCCGACCACTTGCTACTAGGTTGCGAGAAGGTCAGATCCTCCTGGCAAAAGACATCAACACAAATTTCATTGATGTTGATGGTCAACCGCTGGGAAGGAAACAGGTCCCTTGGAGCCATGCACCTGTTGAATTGGGATACTCCTATCCTTTCTTGTTAGCATTGCATGACTCTGCTAAGGGAGTCTTGGAAGTCCGGAATCCGGAGACTTTGTCTTTGCTACAGTCCATTCCACTCCCGTCAGCGAGCATCTTGCATATCCCCCAGCCTAATATCAGCCTCGCGCACGCTGGAAAGGGGTTCCTGGTAGCGAGCGATCGCATCATATGGCGTATGGAGGCTTTGAGCTACGATACGCAGATCGATGCGCTTGTGGACAAGGGCTATCTGGACGAGGCTATCAGCTTACTTGGTATGCTGGAGGATGCACTTCTGCGTGACAAAGCCGGTAGGCTGCGCTCGACGAAATTGGAAAAGGCCCAGAGTTTGTTTGCTTTGAACAAGTACCGTGACTCTTTGGATCTATTCACCGAAGTGTCCGCTCCCCCGGAAAGTGTGATTCGCTTGTTCCCGCGATTGATCGCCGGCGACCTCTCGACTGTCCCGGAGCCTGAGGTGCCGAACGGAAAAGCGAATGGTGATCAAAGTGACGGGTCGTCCGATGACGCTGCTCCTGGTCAAACATCCACCAATGCACCCTCCGTCATATCGTCTTTGCGGAAGCCTGACGAAGGTAGTGAGTCCAGTAGCATCCGAGGTGACGAGAAGGGCCTCCGAATTGCAGTCCGTGAGCTACAGGGATACCTGGCGGATGTACGTCGACGCTTCCAGCGCTTCCTCAACCCCGATGGCTCTCTCAAAGCAGCTGCACCTACTGAGGCCAAAGACGAAGCCAGCGATTCCGTCCTCAAATTGCTGGATTTCCCATCTACCGATGACTTTCCCACGCAGATCCGTGCGAAGGCTCGACTAGTCGACACTACTCTTTTCCGCGCCCATATGTTTGCTACTCCTTCCCTTGCGGGGTCACTCTTCCGTATTGCCAATTTCTGTGATCCAGAAGTTGTGATGGAAAGACTAGAGGAAACAGGCAGATATAATGATCTCATTGATTTCTTATACGGCAAAAAGCTGCATCGCCAAGCCCTGGAACTCCTTAAACGCTTTGGTCAAACTGATAATGGTCCTCTGAGCGGTCCCACGCGCACCATTGCCTATCTCCAGAACCTGCCGCCAGATCAAATTGACCTGGTTATTGAGTTTGGCGAATGGCCCCTGCGTGCCAATCACGAACTGGGGCTGGAAATCTTCCTTACTGATACAGAGAACGCGGAGACGCTGCCTCGTCCCAGAGTCCTTGCATTCCTTGAAAAGATCGATGCGACACTTGCTATTCGATATCTCGAACATGTCATCAATGAATGGAATGATTTAACGCCGGACATACATCAGCGATTGCTAGTCCTATATCTGGACCAGCTTGTTTCGAGCGAGGGTGGAGACTGGAAAGACAAGTTCCTCACCATGTTGAAGGAAAGTGAGCAATACTCACCAGCCAAAATGTTGGACCGGCTCGATCGGGAGGGTAAGTGTCATGGTTGCACCATATTGGGCTACGCTAAAATTCCCCAGATCCCAACTTCTACGAAGCCCGAGCAATCCTGTTCAGCAAAATGGGTCAACATCGACAGGCGCTCGAGATTTACGTCTTCAAACTAGAGAATCATGAGAAAGCTGAAGAGTAAGTGGTTCATTCCGTTCATACCACTAATGCGGCTCTTGCTAAACTCGACAGATACTGCAATCACGTCCACCTGACCGAAAAACGAGAAGAAGAAAACACAATCTATCTCACCCTCCTCTCTCTCTACCTCTCCCCGCCACACGGATACACCCCCCAGAATGACCCCGCAATCGATCTCCTTGCCAAACATGGCTCCCGACTCCCCGCTGATGCAGCTCTTAAATTGATCCCAGACAAACAAGCCGTGCAGAAACTCGAGTTCTACTTCAAGGGTCGCATGCGTGCCGCGAACTCCGTGTTCAACGAAGCGCGCATTGTCGCAAACCTCCGCAAGGCACGAGACGCGCAGATCCACGCTCAACTGGCGCTTGGGGATGGCATCAAGGGTGGTGGGACACGCGCGAGACATGTCACTGTGACTGAAGAGAGAATATGTGGAGTGTGTCACAAACGACTCGGTGGCAGTGTGATCAACGTTTTCCCAGAGTATGTTTGCCCCGCGTCTGTCTTTGCTTTTGCTAACTTTCTAGCAACACGGTTGTCCATTTAGGATGCGCGAATCGGAGGTCTAGTATCGTTCGGTAGTGTGTGGTTTCATCTTTTTTATTGTGTTTCGGTTCGCTTCTTTTCTGTCGATTGCGACTTTGATACCCATAGCATCTTTTTTTCAGATCATGTTCATCGTGTTCATGCTTCCTCAACAACCTCTTCTCCGTAGTTTTCTTCTTCCTTGGCTTCTTGGGCGGAGATCGCTCCTGCTTTCTTATCTTCCTCCATGCGTTGGGTCAGGAAGGCATTGATCTCGTCTTGCAGCTTGGGCACCTGTGCCTGCAGGGCTGTGAGGTGCGCCTGCTTGGCTGCGAGAGTGCCGGTTGTGGTGGGGATCACATGCTCGAAGGTCTTGCTCGTGTCTGGGGCGGCGTATACTGCGTTTAGATTGGCCATTTTGGGGATTGTAGGCTGCGAATTGTATTATCTTGGGTTGGGTTGGGTTGGGTTGAGAGGGTTGGAGCTATGAAGTTCTGTGGATTTGGTGCACCGCCTTGCTTACCGCCCCGAGGGCCTTATCACTTTGGCCTCGTCTTCACGGCCCCCATTTGGAGGGCTGGCTGTAACCGTATGGTCGCATTCTTAAAAGGTAAAATATTTCTTTGTCACGTCCGGACACATCAAAGCTATCAACGGAATGTCTCATCTGAGATATATTACCCATGGGTGTTTCACACATGAACGTAAGCTTAGAGTCACGATGTAGCCTCACAGGCATCAACAGCATCGATGGTATAATTTCTGTACCATTTCAGGATATACCCATCCCAAGGTCGTTTACACGCTCTCCGGGACCTGAACGATCTCAATCTCAAGGCAGAGTTAAGCTATAGATCTCCATCTCCACCGTAGATCGATATTCTGCCATTGTTATAGTTCAGTTAGTCTCACCGTACACAGAAGGGATCGGCCAATGTGGCTTTTGTTTGTAGGCACAATACCACTGCCTAACCCTGAAACACACCATCCGACATGGATTGTCCGTAATGAATCCAACAAGATCTCCCAACTCCGGGCGCCGGGTCCCTCCCGCTTCTTACCCCCGCCCACCCTCCGATGACGAGGAAGACGACTCCGATGAAGACGAATTGGTTCGCCCCGGATCCTCCGGCAGCGACGCTTCTTCCAATGTGACAACCGTCTCAGCGACTCCCCTCACGCCTCTGAATACTCAACAGCCGAACAGCTACTTTCCTCCTCAGTCGCAGTCCGCGTCCGCGACTACCTCACCTCACGCCTTCCCAATGCCGAACCCTGCCAGAAGGCCCTCTGGCCGCCCCTCCGTCGAGCTGCCTAGGCACCGATCACGACACCATTCACAAGGGTTCTTTGAGCCTACCTTACCGACTGCATCCTCAGATCAGGTTCCTACCGTGTCTGCGTCTCGGATAGCCGCCCAGGCCGCAATGCAGCAGAAGCGCCCTACACCAGAGGACCGCTCACGGAGGAGTGGCAGTGCTTCCCCGCCGCTTATGCCAGCGCCATTGCGAGTCAATCAACCTTCCCCACAACCGCCTCCACAAAATGTGGCTACAACGGCCGCCAATGTTGTCTTTCCGAGAGCCGGTGTGCAGCCTGAACAGCCCGAGAAACAGAAGAAGAAGAAGCTCTTTTCGAAACCCATGCACATTGGAATCAGCAGGGATAAGGATTCAGGGAAGGATCGTGGTCTTCCTTCGCCGAGCAAGATTGTCGGTTTATCACGAATGGTCAGCGCATCGACCACCAATGTGGCCGATCTGCCATCAAACAATTCTTCTATGTACAATTTGTCCAATGCTTCGGTGAGCACAGTCGTCCCAGCGGATCGTCCACCGGCCTTGGAAAAAGACAAGGAGAAAGATAAGGAGAAAGACAAACACAAGCACCATTTTCTGTCTAGGCAGAAACTCAAACTCAAAGACCGTGTTGATGATCACTTCAACCTTCCATTATCTTCAGCCTCGAGTAATTCTCGACCTGCCGATCCAAATGCCCCGAAGTCCTTGTACTCGTTCGTCAGTCCTGCGTCCCCTGCGCCGGGTGCTACGTTTGGCAAGTCGGTTAGTGGGTTGGACATTTTGCATGGCGGACGGGCTTTGCGCGAGAAAAAGAAAGAGGAAAAGGCTCTCGCAGAGTCAGAGCAGTTGGAATGGCTGGCTCACAGTGCCGCAGGTCCTACAACACCCTTCCCGGGGCCACCTTCAGCTGGCAGTACTAATACGGGGTCTGTCCCTGAGTCGATTCTGCGCGAGACTCTACAGGGCTTTGGGTTGAACAATATGACCCCCGAGGATGCATGGGATTTCCTGAAAGCCAAGTTACTGGTCATATTTGATGGTGAAGATGTGCGCATCGCTATTGAAGATTTGAACAAATTGGTCCTTGTTCATCTACAGCGTTGTGTTCAAAAGAGGGCTCCTACGTCGATTATCATGGATCTGCAAGAGCTGCTGGAGACTGGATTTGCGACCCTCAATCACAGTTCTTTGCTCGGCGTTCCAGATGAGAGGCTTGTGCCACATCTCGTGCAGATCTGGATGCTGGTCTTTGGCACTATTCTACCCTTCATCCAGGCTGTATTCCTCCCCCTGGACCTTGAGTTCAAAGGATGTGGCTCTATCATGAGCAGCCGTGAGGCCAATGAATTCTGGGGCCCCTTGCCTGTCGGCGGAACCCTCGATGTGCGGAATCTGGTGCTCATTGCCTTCCGCGACCGCATCATCCTCAACCGATATGACACACTCAAGGCAACATTCTCCCGCCTTAGTCTAGACTCTATCAACTCAGGCTTCCCTACACTCAGCGTCACAGCCAAAAGCACGGGCACGGGGGCCCGCCCTGGCACAGCAGCCTCCCTCGATGCAGGCTTCGGTAGCTACACCTCTCAATCCTCCATGTTCCCCAGCAATGTCGCAGACAGCTACTCCTCAGACGGCATCAGCGCCCTTGCCAACCGCCCAACTAGCAGTGACTCTCGCAGTCGCGCAACATCAAACACCTCTTCGAATGCTGATGTTTTCTTTGGCTCTGTCGCATCTCCTCAAACTTCGAACAATCGTCCCACTGTCATCCATCGCGGCAACTCAGCCGACACATCTCATATCATCACGGAGACTGTTGGCCGTATGCTGCAATGCGTCAGCGTCCTCGCAAGCATCCAGACTGACGATGCACCCCAAGAGCGAATTGAAGTTCTCAGCAAGGCTCTTAAACACAATTGGCTCGGTCGCGGGCGCACAGGTCGTGATCGACGTGGCTTTGTTGGTGCCAAGATTCGCCCGGTCATGGTCGGCGGTCCTCCCGTTATCGACGACGCCGACTCTCTTACTACCGCCGGTATAAGTATCGGCGCTAGCACAAGTACCGGTGGGTCTAGAGGCCGGGGTGATTCTTCGTCCTCTGATTGGAGCGCCGGTTTGCCCGGTCCTGGAATGAGCGTGAGGAGTGGACGAAGGGAGTTGAGTGCTATTTAGCCTTTTATGATTGTATGACCCGGGGCGTTTTGTTAAAGGATATCCCAAGAATTGTATACTTTGCTTTGTGGGAGACTATGATTTAGACATTTCCTTTCTGGGCAATATCTCATTACATCATCGGTCGGTGTTTGACAGCGCGTAATCTAACTAAACTGTATCTCAACCTCGATTCTCTGAAGCCTGGTTCCCCTCCAACTTGTACATCTACGAAGATGGGGTTTACTTGAAGATTCCTGGATTTAATCACCTGTTTTTGTATTTTTGAGGCTTTAACAATCAAACCAGGCCAGAAAGCAAAGACAAGGATCCTCAGATCCGGGGTATCACAACAATAAATCAAACACCCACCCGAAGATGCGAACAGGCCTCGGCCTTGGGTTCCCCCTTGGTTCATCTCCTCGCTAAAAATTTTGAGGAGATCAAGGCTGTCCGTCTGCTAGTAAAATATCCTTTGTGCGCTTTTGAGTTGGGTTTTCCGAAGCCGCATACCGTGCAACGCTCTCTTCCCCTGACACTTCGAATCCGACATTTGCAGAGACTGCGACTGCGATGCTATCCCACAACTCGATCGGGAGATTGGAACCGATCTCCGCAGCTATGCCTCGAATCGCGATCTGATAGATATCAGTCGTAGTCCTCTAACTCACCTCACATTCAAAGAGAAGATTATCATACCTAGAAACTCACATCAACACCGGTCCATCGTCCGATAGTCCCATTGATCAGCTCCCAACGCGCCTTCACTTCTTGCTTGGTCTTCTTCTGTCCGGTCTCGCGGTTCCACGTATCCGTGATTTCCAACCATCCCTTGCCGGCATCCTTCAAGTGTGACATGTGCTTATCTGCCTGACATGCTGTCTCCCATGATGATGGCTCCTCGATCTCAGAAGGGCCGGAGAGTGGCGCAGGCGAGGTGGACGCGGAGATGGCAGTGGCTGTCATGCTTCGAGTGCGGCGTGCTAGGCCGGGCTCGGGCGAAGAAGCTGCAGCGTACCGCACGCGTCTGGGGACTCGGTCAGATTCTGGGGTCGATGGAGGCTCAGATAGAGTCTCAGAAAGGGACGAGAGATTGGATGTCAAATCCTCGCATCTGTTAGCCTAAAATCGTCCTATCTAGGCTTCTTTCCTCGCTTACCTCAATCGAATTCTGCTCGAGGTCTGGGTTCTCTGGGACAGTGCTATCGAGAATCTTGTCGGTGTCTTCCAAAATGACTTCACCGGTCAGTTCTCTTCCCTGGCCCATGGTGGTCATTGACTCGTTCCAGTGTTGGTTGGCGGTCTGCTCGATTCCTGGGCTTGCTGGAGCGATGCCATCAAGCATCTTGTCAACGTCTTCCAAGGTGATTTCACTCATCAGATCTTCTTCCTCGGCTGTGATAGCTACTGGGTTATCTCGATGTGGGTCAGCTATGAGCTGTTCGATCTCCCGCGCAGAGTCCAGGTATCTCTGATCTTTCATCGTCATGAAGCCTCTCAGAGTAGTGATGGGGGGCAAGAAGTGAGGTGGGAGACCCACGTCCTCGCGGAGTTGCGGGCTTAGCATGATCGACGGCTCAAAGTTTGGATTGCAAAAGGCTTCAATCAGGTCGAAGGGTGGTCGTGCTCTGACTCGCGAAGTATTCATTTGTTTGATCCGTTGTTTGGATGGTTGGGACTCATGCTGCCCAACAGGCAAATTGCGGTTTGGAGGCATGTTGTTCGACTAGTCCAGGTTCTCACAAGACGCAAAGTATGATGTATGGTGGTCAGGAAGTGGAGAAGTGAAGAGAGAGTCAAAGGAGCAATGAAGCGAACCGTGTTTTGCAAAATCGGCAGCGGTTGTATTACAGGCTCTGTTTTCAAGGCCGAATGAGCTACGCATACCATGGCAAGTGAGCGCAAAAGAAAGTGCAGAAACACAACAATTGCTAATGAGGGGCCTACTAGTATCAGTACGGCCATCAGTATCAGAAAATCATACATACAACTCGCTCACTTTTGCTGGGGCTGCCGCCACTCAGCACGTCGACCAACATCTTGTCGCCGCGGCGACAGCATCACCACCGGGCTCCTGCCCCTCCTCCTCTTCCTCATTCTCATCTTCTTCACCCTCCTCATTCTGCTCCCGCTCTCCCGTTTCCCTCCTTTCCTGTCCCCTCCCTGCCCTTACGCCTCACTTTGGTGGGCTTAGGTGCCACCAGGGGAGTTCTTTGGATTGAAGGGATTGGCGTCCCAATCCTGCATCTCTGCCCTCATGAAGTCGGGGTCAATTTCCCCCTCCGGAGTGAACTCGATGTGAGTGCTTGTCGGAGTGTCATCTTGGTCACTCTCACCTCGCTGCGAGAGGCGAATCGGAGAGGAGATAGAAGGGATGTCTGGTGCTCCCTGGGGTGGCGATCGTGGTGGGGAGGATGCTTCCTCGTTCTCCGGGGGGAGGCGCGAGACGAACGACGCCTGAGGTTGAGCCATGATCGTCTCACTGAGCTCCGCACGAGGTCAGGGCGATCGGTGGCCAGTGAGTCGGGCTCTGGCACATGAGGTGGGAGGCGGAGGGGTGGAGTGTGGTCTTGTTCTTGGTCCGAACCTTCGCCATGAACCGAGCTTTGTGATGAGCTTTCTGGCTGCACGCTCTGTGAGGCTTGCGATGGCGCTTGGCGTTCCGACAGGTATCCTGCCCGAGCTTCGAGTCCAGGCGAGGTCAAGCACGATGGCTCTGTCGGGTCCTCTTGGATTGTGAGCTCACGAGGCATTGTGACTGTATTGTGGATGCTGAGTCTATGGGCCTCGCTCTTCTCAGGCTTTTTGTTTTGGGAAATGTCTCTGGCATCGTCAATCTTGTCGGCCTTTGAGATGTTCTTGGGCTCCATGATTGTGGTCTGATTTGTGTTTGTGATGATCTTGATTGCGGTGTGCGGTTCGCGACGAATCTAAGACCGAATCTACTACTCTTCCACTACTTATAGTGTATTTTTGTTTGTTCCGACGATGTAATCAACGACATCGTGGGGACCTCGCCGGCGCTGTGCGGGCCAGTGTGGCAGTATACTGCTAGCCCTAAAAAGACGCCGACAATACGCTTTCTAGTTTCTACAAAGCCGTAATTGTGTGTCAAATCACATTGCAGATTGGCTATTTCCAGAATTTATAAGATTGAATGATCATTAGGCTGTCACAGTTATTGAATTTCCCAACAGTCTCAGAGAATTGTAATTGGGTCTACACGCGCCAGCCCGAATGCGCCAGCGTGAATGAGCCGCAGTATCGTATCCAATGTGACTTATATGTGACCTATTTACCTGCAGATACAGCTATAGCCACAACAATAAGAGCAACGGGAAAAAGAAAAACACAAAAAGTACATGGCCAACACAGCTATGTGTCGTGGGGGCAATTGATTGGTCTCAGCCCGGCTGCAGCCTGCGTCGTGATGGTTCGACCTACATAAAATGCGTCTCACCCACAGCGCTATTCTTTCTTCTCTTCGACACTGTCTCGGGTGCTCACTTATTTTCTTCTCCTCACTATTTCATCTCATCTCCAGCCTCTCTGCTCAGTCATTTACTTACTTCCCATCTTGTGTCCATTTCATCTCTCTCTCTCTCTCTCTCTTTCCTCACCTTTACGGTGCTTACTTGGGTCATGGCTGAACCAACTACAGAGCCCCATGGCCGGGTGCTACCTGCCTCTGATGACCTCAATGGATCTATCCCCAATCCCAGTGAGAAAGAAACTAAGGAGAGGGATTCTATTGATAAGGAAGTAAAAGACGCAAAAGAGACCAAAGACGCCAAGGATGTCAAGGATGTCAAGGACTCCGATACTACATCCAAGCCAGTCTGCAAGAAGCATGAGAAAAAAAAGAAGGTGGCCCACAAGAAAGAAGAGTCAGACAGTTCTGGCTCGGACTCATCGTCCGACTCCGATAGCGATGCTGACTCCGACTCTGATTCGGAGAGCGAGTCAAGCACCGACAAACGCAGACGTCATCGCCTGCGGACCAAAGCACGGGCTCGCCGTGCGCTGAAGGACAAAAAGCGTCGCAAGAAGAAACACCGGTCGCGCAAAGTTGATACCTCCGATTCTGACTCCGACTCCGAGTCTGAGTCGGATACTGCTACTTCAACGGAATCCGATGTCTCCATGGACGAGAAGGCACTTCGGAAGTTGGTGACGAAGCTCAAATTGAAGAAAAAAGCGAAGAAGCTACGCGATCAGACTTCTGATGATCTGACACCCAGTGACCCAGTTGCTGAGGGTCGTCAAAAGCGATCGAAGAAGAAGAAGCCGGCCTCCAAAGTCGCTTACAAGCGTGTGGATCAATGTGAGTTGCAACGCCTTGTAGACTAGCTATACATACTAACCTTTAATCTCAGTATGGGACACAACCATCCACAAGTACAAGCTGACGGAAACCGTCGACGACCCCGACGCTGACGAATGGGACCAATACATCTTCAACGTCCGTCGCAAATTCAACTGGGAAAACAAGTATATCGAAACCGTCGTCGATATCAAAAGCAAACACCTCCGTGATGCCCTCTCCAAAATAATGGATGGCGTGAAGGGTGTCAGCCTTGTTCAAGAACCTGCCGTCGTGGATCCAAACATGCTCTTCCTCTACCTCGAAGAGACCCGCCAATACATGAAAGATCTGAAGAAGCAATCACGCAACGCCAAGAAGCGCAAAGCTCGCAAAAACGCTGCCTCGAAGGCTTCCCATCTCAAGATTCTTATCAAATACCTCGATACAGACTATGCGGATATCAAGAAGACCCTCTACCCTCTCCTTGAAGCTAACACCATCACCTTCGATCTTCTCTGGGCCTTGTTTAAGCCCAATACCATTGCTTATACTCCTACTTATGGTAACGCCGACGAACCTCGCGCTTTCAAGATCGAATATGCGGTGAAGGAATCCTCGTTCATGAAGGGACAATGGTACAGCGTCGAAGGTCGTTATCTGGAGTATGATGGCAAGGATTTCGGTTTCGGCAGTATGTCTGCCGAGGTCGATTCTTTCAAGGGCGCTCGCAAGATCACCTCACTCTCTTGCTACCCGCTTAAGTATCACCGTGACGCAGATGCCCTACGCACCAAGCTCATCGAGCGTGGAAAGCGCTTCGTCGCTTTGCGTGGTATGAACTACCGCTTCCACAAGGGCATGGCGTTCTACAAGAAAAAGCGTTCCTTCGTGGTCAAGGTCAATATCAATGGCCGAGTCATGGTTGATCCTGCCATTCATCGAAGAATCAATCCCAACTATCTCATTTCGACCGTTCGTCCGAAAGACCCGGATTTGTTGGACGCAGATGATTTGGGTCTAAGTGGCGGTGACGATGATGATAGTGAAGGTTGCTGCTGTGGCGGTGGTTCCGATTCTGACGAGGAACATGGTGGATCTTCCGATACTCCTCGAACTGTCTACAAGGTCGTTGAAGATGAAGATGGCATGCCGCACGTTGTTGAAGTCGAGGTCGATGAGAACGGCAACGAGGTTCAAAAGGAGAAGATAGATCGTATCGACGAGGGATCCAAGGAGCGTGAATTCACCGAAGAAGAGCTCCTCGTCGCCAGTCCCGTTGTGCTTGGCTTCGCTTTCAGTGAGAAGCTCTGGCTCGAGTTCACTATCTCGGGTATCAGTGACATTGAATGGAACCAAGATGCCTTTGGCTCGCTTGTTCTCCCCAACAATCAAAAGTCCATCGTCAAGGCTCTTGTCGAATCGCATACTTTCCATGCTGCTGAGAACATTGACGATGTTATCCAAGGCAAAGGCAAGGGTTTGGTTGCTGTTCTTCATGGTCCTCCTGGAACTGGTAAGACGCTCACTGCAGAAGGCATTGCCGAGCTACTTCGCCGCCCTCTGTACATGGTCAGCGCAGGTGAATTGGGCACAGACTCTCGCACTCTGGAAGCAGAACTGAACAAGATCTTGGACATTGCTCATTCTTGGGGTGCTGTACTGCTGCTCGATGAGGCAGATGTCTTCCTTGAGAAACGAACCATTCACGACATTCACCGCAACGCCTTGGTCAGTATCTTCCTGCGGCTTCTAGAATACTTCCAGGGTATCCTCTTCCTCACGACGAATCGTGTTGAGACTTTCGACGATGCCTTCCAATCGCGTATTCACGTTGCTTTGCGCTACGGCGATCTGACCACCAAGGCAAAGAGAAGTATCTGGAAGATGTTCTTAGAGCGTGTTCGTGCTATTGAGGGTGTGCATACCGCTGCTTTCTCCGAGGCCGACTATGACATGCTCTCAAGACACACCTTGAACGGTCGACAGGTTCGTGGTTTCTTTCCTTTTCCATTTATATATAAGCTATCTTCGACTAACGAACTTTTAGATCAAAAATTCGGTCCGCACCGCTCAAGCTCTGGCTGTCAACGAGAAGTCACCTCTGGCTATGGAACACATCAAGCGTGTCCTTGAAGTGGCCGAAACTTTCGACCAAGATCTTCGTGGCGGAACGGGATACTTGGATGCCATGCGAAGCTACACCTAATTCTTTGGCGTATTTCGGGATTCTGGGGACTACGGAGACTGGTGCATGGGAATTAGTTTGCTGGTATCTTGTTATCTCAATTCTTGGCTTTTGCTCTTAACTCGGTACTTCACTTGGGTCAAACATACGATCATCTGATAGCTCTATGCACACTGAGGATCAATACGAAAACCGTGGAACAAGGAAACCAAAGAGACTACAAGTATTCATAGTTAGGTAGACCGAATGTAGATTAATATATCGATCTAGTAGTAAACATGTCATACACTTTCATTCAAAAACGCATGAGATATGGTGGTTATACATGGAACATTTTAAGGGTTGGCCTTGACGAAGTCAACACCCTTCTGGATGTTCTTCTTGAGGTCAGCCAGGCAGGCATCGAGGAGACCCTGCTCGTACTCGTTGACCTGGCCAACGGGGTGGATCTGCTCAACACCGTTGGGGCCGAGCTCGACCTTGGAGGCGAAGAAGTCGATACCCTGGTCCTTGTAGAGAGGGGAGTCGACGAAGGTGGGCTCGATGACACCCTTCTCGCCCTGGGCGGCGCGGAGGAGGGACTCAGCGAAGCGAGCACCGGCCATGGCCATGGAGAGGGTGGCGGAACCGGCACCGTCCTTGGCCTTGACGACCTCGTCACCACCGAACTGAATGCGGTTGACAAGGGCATCACGGGCCTGGCCGGCGATGGAAGAGTGGTTGGACTGCGAGAGCAGGGGAACGATGGTCACACCGGAGTGACCGCCAACGACGGGGACGGCCTCGCCGGAGGGGTTGGTGCCCTGGACCTCGGAGATGAAGCGGGAAGCACGGACAACGTCGAGGGTGGTGACACCGAACAGACGCTTGGGGTCGTAGACGTTGCGGGCCTTGTAGACCTCGGAAACGATGGGGACGGTGGAGTTAACCTGAACAATGAATGAGCGCGGGTTCCGACCTTATGGTTTCTTCGACTACTTACGGGGTTGGCAATGACCAGGACGTGGGCCTTGGGGGCGGCCTCAGCGGCGGCCTTGGCGAGGTCGCGGACGATGGAGGCGTTGGTGTTGAAGAGGTCATCACGGGTCATACCGGGCTTGCGGGGAACACCAGCGGGGATGAGGATGATCTCGGAGCCCTCGAGGCAGTCACGGAGACCGGAGGCATCGGGGTTGTAGCCCTTGACGACGCTGTGGGTGTTGATGTGGCTCAGATCAGCGGCAACACCTGAAACACGTTAGCTGTCATTGAGCTGTATACTCAATTGAAGTCTAGCTTACCGGGTCCACCGCGGATATCGTAGAGAGCGAGGTTGGAAACACGGGGGTTGAGCTTCAGCAACAGGGAGAGAGGCTGGCCAATACCACCGGCAGCACCGAGAACGGCGACCTTGGAAGCCTGCGCGAGGGTGAGCGGGAGCTGTGAAGAGTAATTTTGTGATACGCACATTGCTAGCGGAGGCCGAGAAGGCGCGCTTCTGGAAGAGGTTGACAGAACGACGAGCAGCAAACATGATGATGGACTTGAGTGATGTGGAAGAAGAAGAGAAGGGGAAGGGGAGATTCCGGTGAGGAAAGAGATTGGCTGGGGGATCCACCACAGTTTCCGAGCTCCCGATGCTCGGCTGCTTGTTGAATGTACCTGTGTACTTGCCTTGCACCGCTGACTTTGCTTTTTTCTTGAACAATACTTCGTTAAAATTGTTTCAAGGACTTTGTTGTGTCTGAAACTATGCAATTGGCTATCTTTGTTGCTGAGATTCCCCCTTATACGTGCTGAGATGGATATATATAGACTGCTCCCACCGTCCGAGCAAGTATACAGGTACCTCTGCATGTGCAGTCGCGACATTTTCCTCCATTGAGGTACCTCAGCTATATGCAGCTTACTATCGAATGACCCCCGGCCGAAATACCCGGAAAAAGAAGACCGAAGTATATAGTCAATTCAAACGTTGCTTATATTTCCGTTGGACCGCACAGCTACACATTTCAATTATTTCAAGATTTGAAAATGATACAATCAAAGCTGCTACGAAACCCTTACAACCTTGGAAGAGGCAGCGAAAGAAACCTTGGAAGAAAACGAAAGGAACAGTCAGAAAATTATACATCCTTGAGAGAGACTCGGTAGGGCCTTAAGCAAACCTTGGAAATATGGCTAGGACAGCATGCCTATCCAACCTTGGAAGCCCTGGAGTATCTGACACACATTGTCTAGTATTTCTGTATACTACATCGCGACAGCTACCTATTATTGTAACATCACCGTCTCTGCACACCTGGGCAGTTAGCTACATACGTACCTAATAAACAATCGGCAATAATTCATCGATTAGAAAGATCAAACGCCAGCGCTGATGAACCATACAAGATACAACCCTAACCAGACCATGTCGCGTAATATTCGCATGAACTACCGCAAAAAGTGCAGTACAGCCCAGCAGAACAGGAAGAATATTATGACACCACCCCAGAAAATCCACTTATCCTGCCGCGCGCGCCGCTCCACCATCCGGATCGTGTCTCCGCTCACACCGAGCGTATTCGCAACGCTGTAGAGTCGTCGCTGCGTGCCTTTGAGGATCTCGCGCTGCTCTCCGAGGTCGGCTAGCACGGCCCGACCCCGATCCAGGAAGTCATCTAGTTGAGTGTTTGTGTTTGAGAAGAAGGATTGCTCGCGCAGAGCATGGTTTTCGCGGTTATAGTCTGAGGGGCCGGCGCCGAAGCTCAACCCTGAGGATGTCGGTGCGAAGGCTGAGGTTTGGGGGAGGGAGGACTGTGCATAGGGGTTCTCGGGGGTTGCGGCGTGGTGTGGGCGCCGGCCGAGGAGCTCGTTACGGTTGGTCACCGATTGCTGGTAGTGTTAGCTTGGTAAGAGGCGCGAGAGGAGAAGCCTTACTGCGTCTTCCCGTTCTTTGCGGAGTCGGTCGAATTGTGTGCGGTAGTCTGCAAGCTCGCTGCGGAAGTTCTTGATTCGGTCGAAGGCCTTTTGTTGTTTGTCGACAATCAATTCTTTCTTAGATAGAGCGGAGTAATCGTCGACTGTGCGTGATAGTGATGCCAAGGATGCAGCGAGCTGACCTGGAATTGGGACTTAGTGGGCTGTCTAGGGAGTTCAAATGATTGAAGAGCGTACCTTGTAACGCAGGCGAAGAGGTGGCAGGTGACTGTGAGAAGGTATCTAGATCTCGGCGGATAGATGATGACTGCTTGAGAGCAGAATTGAATAGTGAATTCTAGGCTTGTTAGTGATGTCAAGGTATCACGGAGAGCTGCAGCATACCATGGTGCCAATGCTGCAATTCGTTGTATGGATTTTCCGTATGTTGTATACCGCTGGTTGTGAGAGGAATTTGAGTGGATGAATACTAATATAGAAAAATTTCCCACTCCAGTAAGCTAGTCCCACAGACAGTAGGTGGTCGACCGTCAACTTGTCGCTGGGCGCGAGGCCAGATGGTCTTGTTTGGGCCCATTCTGACGTAGTTGACCGCCTTCAGGTACACTGCATCTGCACCAGCCGCCAAGGCATTTCAAAGACCATAAGAAGTTCCTCCCGAGGTCGAGAATATAGCAAGATCACTTAATTCAGATCATGTATCCTACAATTCTATACGCCACTACAGCTAGAAGTCTCGGGGCCGCAGAAAATGGTATCGTCGATAGAATTGTACTAGTTAATCCAGTCGACCTTGTCGGACTCCATTCTCGCCTGGTAACATGCAAAACCACAGAAGAGCTGGGATGGTATATTAAGGAAAAAAGCAATTAGGTTAAGTAGAGATGGAACCCCATCTATTTGGGAGGGAACTTGTTCTGCAAGAACCATCTGCATGCGGGTTAGTATAGGCGTTGCAAACCCCCACAGGTCCCACTTTTTACTTACTTGCTAACATAGTAGTCCACGGCACCGAAGACACCAACAGCACCGGCGGAGAGTCCAACGAGCTCCCAGGAGAGGTTGCCACGCGCATGTTGCTTGTAAGCGCCGAAGCCCAGACCGGCGCCAACCAGGGTTGCGATAGCGGCGTTGGCGAGGAAGACAGGGTTGGTAGTGTTGTTGCTGATACCGCTGGCCTTCGCCTTGCGGGCCTTGGACTTCTGCTCCGCTTCTTCGCGCTTGCGCTTCTCCTTCTCCTCGGCCTCGCGCTCTATCCGCTCGGCCTGGGTGCTGGTTTGCACGTCTTGCTCGAGGAAGTCGGCTTCGACAGTCTGGACGTGAGGGCCGTCGACGTCGATCAAAGAAGCCGTGCTCTCAGATTCATCGTGGTAAATTCCACCGACGGGGGAGCGCGGCTGTGCACGTGTTAGTTGAGATTGGGGGGAAGTTCAAGCAGAGGGTACTGACGCCTGCCACATGTTAGTAGAGCGCAAAATGGAGAAGCTCGCGCACTTACATCTTCGGGGGCCTGCTTAGGGCCAGAGGCAGCAGCGTCAGCGTAAGACATGATAGAAGTATGAAATTGTGTGAGGGAATCTCGTGGGCACGGGAAGGGAAAAGCCGGGAGGAGGTCAGTTTTATACCAAGGCAGCTGCATGACATCACGTCATTGACCTGGGCCCACTTTAGTTCCCCATGGATACGACCTCTTAGGATTCGATATACTGCCTAAAACATGACTACTTGTTGAGTTTGTCCCATCTGAAATCCTCTGGTGATATTGTGTTTACTCCAAAATCATGGCAAGAAACTGGGTATCCCTGCACGTATGTATGTTCGATTCATTGTACCGTATCTCGTTCGTCTCAGCCACCTACGTGATCATAGACTGCCAATAGATCTAAAAAATTCAAAATCAAGTTGAAGTCGAGAGAAATTCGATTGAAAGCTGCTAAAGAGATCACAAACAAAAAGGACCTATGTAATGGTCTAATGGGGGGCAAGGTGTTTTAATACAGATTACAAGATATTCCGAGTCTTAGCCTTACAGCAGAAGGTCCAGAGGGTTCTCAACGACCTTCTTCAGCTCCTTGATCCATTCACCACCAACGGCGCCATCGACAACCTTGTGGTCGAAGGATCCGGTGACAATGATCTGGTCATCCCACTCGGTGACGGTGCCCTCCTCGGTCTCAACGGGGATAGCGACCTTGCGGGTGGTGCCGACAGCCAGAATACCAGCCTGAGGGGGGTTGATGACGGCGGTGAAACGCTCGACGGCGGCGTTCATACCCATGTTGGAGATGGTGAAGGTGCCGCCCTGGTACTCCTCGGGCTTGAGCTTGTTGTCACGGGCACGCTTGCCAAGGTCCTTGATCTGGCTGGAGATGCTGGAGAGACCGAGACCCTGGACGTTCTTGACAACGGGGGGTGATCAGACCAGTGGGGGTGGAGACAGCAACGCTGATGTCAGCAGTGCTGTGCTGGCGGATGACGGCCTGGCCGTTCTCCTCGCGCCAGCTGGAGTTGACCTGGGGAACCTTAAGAAGGGCAACGGCGCAAGCCTTAACCAGGAAGTCGTTGACGGAGAGCTTGTACTTGCCCTCGGCGGAGGCGTTCAAGGCCTGGCGGAGCTTGAGAAGCTTGGTGACCGAGAGGGTGGTGGACACGAAGTAGTGGGGGTTCTCAGCCATGGACTGCTTGAGACGGTTGGCGATGGTCTTGCGCATGGAGCTGACGGGGAGGTCCTCGTAAGCGGAGCCGGCGGCGGCGGCGGAAGGAGCGGGCTGGAACTTCTCAACGTCCTCCTTGGTAATGATACCACCACGACCAGTACCCTTCAGGCCCTTGATGGACACACCCTTCTCGAGAGCCAGAGCCTTAGCAGCGGCATTGATGAGGGGCTCACGGTCGAGACTGGGCTGGAGCTTCTCGTCGGAGTTCTCGGGCTCCACGGCGGCGGGCGCCTCCGCAGCAGGGGCGGGAGCAGCGGGCTCGGCGCTCTTGGGCTCCTCCTTCTGCTCCGCGGGGGCAGCCTTGTCACCACCAGCATCAGCCAGAGTGAAGGCCTCGAAGGCAGCAACGTCGGCACCTTCCTCAACAAGGACGGCAATGGGCTAGAAAAAGAGCAGTTAGACTAATGCTTTCGGAGAGAACCGGGAAAATTCTTACCGAACCAACAGCGATGTCCTTCTCACCACTGTCCTTCAGGACCTTAGCAAGGACACCCTCATCCTGGAACTCGAAGTCCATCTGTGCCTTATCGGTCTCAATCTCGACCAGAACATCACCGGGCTGGAGAGCGTCTCCGGCCTTCTTCTGCCACACACCAATGTTTCCCGCGGTCATTGTCGGCGAAAGTGCCGGCATGCTAATGAGTGTGTGAGGGGGGAATGCTAGACATGTTGTTAGCAGTGATGCGCGAGGCAAAAGGAAAGGTCAATTGCCATACACTTGGAGGCATAGAAGCGGGAAAGAGCGGAGAGCGCAGGCGCTTGGGTCCTATACGTGTGATATGATTAGCATCAGTTCATCCGTGCAATTGGTTCAGTAAACATACTGCATGACCTCCTGGAGCTTGGAGGAGACCTGGGGACGGCGCATAGTCGCCGCGCCGCGGGACATGAACATGGCGCTCGGGGTGCGCATCCGGATAGCTGACGCAACCATGGTGTCTGAGACTGTGCTGCGATGATAAAAAAATAGAGAGATAAGGGCCCTCAACGCTGAGATGGATGTATAAAAGGAACCCGGAACGCGGAATACGTAAAGGGCCGAGAAAGGATGCGGTTGGGGTGGAAGGAGATGCCTCTAAATCACGAACTTTTCTGTTGAGCCCGTTGCTCACCGGCTTTACCGCCTACTCCCCTGTTAGGACATAGTTTACACCGCCCTTACCGTCCCATACCGAGTGCTGTGGTCTCTCGAAGTTGAGGTCTCAATGAACGGTAATAAGCTAGCGGAGAAAGAAATTACTGCTTAAAAGGTCAAAATCTCGTAGGATTTGTGGAAGCCAAGAAATTCTCTAAATAATCTGGGCAAGTTCATCGGAGTTGGAAAGCTTGAACAATAGACCTGGAGCGAATCGGGATTGGGTCAATAATGCCCCTGTAATGGTATTTCGGGTAACTTTACTTTCTGCCCGCCCAAGCTCAGGTTCAGGCACCAAGGCGGAAATCGCAAGCATTCGGGTTGTGGCCTTCGTGTCACGGACTACAATTTCCTACTCCGTACTCCGCCGCTTAGTTCTCGGAGCCTGCCGTTCACTTCCCGGGGATTTGATCCTCCGCGTTTTATCTTGAATTCGAGAATCAAGCTTGTGGGAGCCTTTCTTAAGGAGTGAGCTGAGTCTGGAAGAATGTAGGCTCGACGAGCGACTCGTTACTCCCAGATTACCAGCAGATCCCAACTAGCCGCTCCACTGTCCGCAGACTGGCTCCTCTTCCGACCTTGACATGGCGCGGCGCCTCGACATTGCCCAAACCAACTCTAAGTATTCCGTACGGAGCACCATAGCTGTCGCTGAGGCAAGTGGAGGCTCGGTCAGCCGCTTTCCCTCCCATCAATCTTGCTCAGTAAAACATCTATTCGCTGTGAAGGGTCAGCGCCAGTAGCGCCCTCAAGATGGCTGGCTGCGATAATCAAGAGTTTACTGTTCCCACCCTTATTCTTGTTCCCTTGATGGCACAGTTCCCATGCTAGGTTTCGACGGTCTTTCAGCTATAGTGCGAGGCAAAGACCCGGAACGCTCATGCATAATCATTTTACCCCAAGAATCAGCAGCAAGAACAATTGATTTTTCATTGCCATACTTTAAGTGACAAAGTGCAGTCTTCTACCCCTACTCGTAGACTTGAAATGCCGCCAAGTCTAATTTCCAAATGGTCACGGGTGGCTTACGTAATAAGCTTTGGAAGCATCCATCCAAGGTTAGTCCCGATTTGACACGTACTTGTCAATAGTTCAAGCATACCTCCTCCGCATTTGCTCGTTCAATGTTTTTGATCTGATCGCATTGCTCCGCCCGGAGTCACATTGACCATGGCGGACGTCGAACCTGGCCCTGAGCCGAGACAGTCCATTGAAGTGCCTGAGAAACCCGTGGATACCCCCGATGTATCTCCAACAGCTTTAGAGTCGGACGAGCCCACTCTGCCCGAACAAATTGAGTCGCAAGAACCTACCCAAGACAGCAGCGCGCAATCGCTTCAGGAGGAAGAAACAGAAGATAAACCAGAGGTACCGCCTAAGGACGAACCGGAGGCCGAGGAACCCCAAACAGATGGTCCACCCACGATTCAGGAACCACCCACCGAATATGCCCTTGCTGCTGAAAGTAGACTCCGGTCCGACTCGCGATCTACCACCGCCACGTTCACGACACAGCGGTCTGGCCCAGTCAGCTCGACGGTGTTTATCGTGACGGCGTTGGACAATATTGCTGCCTCGCGGGATGCTCGGAGGGACAAGAAGCTAGAAGATGCCACACAGGTGGCCCTGGCCAACATCAAACAGACCGACGGGCAACCAATTGACCCCGAACTCATCTTCCGCCCGTTGCATTTAGCAAGCAAAACACTCAGCATTCCATTGCAGGTGACTGCGTTGGATTGTATCGGAAAGTTGATCACCTACTCCTATTTCGCCTTCCCATCCGCCGAAATCGAAAATGAAGCCACGCCCGAACGACCCCCACTGATCGAGCGCGCTATCGATGCTATCTGCGATTGTTTCGAGAACGAAGCCACAGCGGTGGAGATTCAACAACAAATCATCAAGTCGCTGCTGGCGGCAGTTCTAAACGACAAGATTGTGGTCCATGGAGCTGGTCTCCTAAAGGCTGTCCGCCAAATTTACAATATCTTCATCTACTCCAAGTCCAGCCAAAATCAACAGATCGCCCAGGGGTCACTCACACAAATGGTTAGCACAGTGTTTGAGCGAGTGCGGACCCGGCTGGACCTCAAGGAACTCCGACTACGGACCGCGGAAAAGCCGTCCTCGACTCTTGATGCTTCCGCCAGCGATTATGGCCAAGCTTCAGACGCGGCTTCCGTGTCTGTGGTTGACCAGCCTGACCAGCCTGACCAGCCCGTGACCAAAGACCCAAATGCCGAAAAGCTCACCTTGCAGAGCTTTGAGTCGCCTAAGGAAGTTACCTCGGTCAATGACAATGCGCCAACTACAGTGACTCGCGCTAAGCGATCGGCAACCCGATCAATGTCAGGCATTCCCGAGGAGAGGGATGATGATAGCTCGGCAGAGGATGATGTTGATGAGATCTATGTGAAGGATGCTTTTTTGGTCTTCCGCGCATTATGCAAGTTGAGTCATAAAGTATTGACTCACGAGCAGCAGCAAGATGTGAAGTCTCAGAACATGAGGTCCAAGCTGCTTTCCCTGCATTTGATTCACTACCTCATCAACAACAACATTGCAACCTTGATATCACCATTGGCCACCATAAAGAACAGCTCCTCCAGTATAGATGGAATGACCCTGCTCCTCGCTGTGAGGCCCCATCTGTGCCTCAGCTTGAGTCGAAATGGATCCAGTGCTGTGCCTCATGTGTTCAAGGTTTGTTGTGAAATCTTCTGGCTGATGTTGAAGGACATGAGAGTCATGATGAAAAAAGAACTCGAGGTTTTCCTAAAGGAGATCTACCTTGCCATTCTCGAGAAGCGTGGTGCTCCCGCGTTCCAAAAACAGTACTTCATGGAAGTCTTAGAAAGGCTAGGCGGCGATCCCCGGGCTCTGGTTGAAATCTATCTCAACTATGACTGCGATAGGACTGCATTGGAAAATATCTTCCAAAAGTGTGTACTCCAAGCTCCCCACCCTGCGCTGAAACTAAACATTCTAGTGTCATTGAACAATTGTCTCGGTACGCCAGCGTACCGGTCGTGACCTCCTCTTCCCAACAGCACCAGTACCAAGAACAGCATGTCAAGATGACAAGCGTTGGCTCTGAATGGCATCAACGAGGCACTCTTCCTCCGTCTCTGACCAGTGCTCATATTGTGCCTACTCCACCGCCTCCGATGCCTCACATCCCATCTGAGTATGGACTGAAGCAGCAGGCTTTGGAATGTTTGGTTGAGATGCTTCGTTCACTCGATAACTGGGCTACACAGCGCACTGATGAACAGCCAGAGGTAGCGATGCCTTCAAAATCAATGGACAACTCTCGCGAATCCCTGGATACGAATGTACTTGTCTCACCACATCCCGAGGCGTTTGAGAGCGCAACAGGCCGTTCCACGCCTTTGCCAGAGGATGATCCCAACCAGATTGAAAAGGTCAAGCAAAAAAAGATTGCGCTCACCAATGCAATTCAACAATTCAATTGGAAACCTAAGCGTGGCATCAAGGCCTTGCTCCAAGAAGGCTTCATTCGTTCAGAGGCACCAGAAGATATCGCTAGCTTTTTCCTTCGCACTGATCACATCGACAAAGCCATGTTGGGAGAGTACTTGGGCGAGGGAGAGCCGGAGAACATTGCAATCATGCACGCTTTTGTTGATCTGATGGAGTTCACCAAGCGCCGCTTTGTCGATTCTTTACGCTCCTTCCTGCAACATTTCCGTCTTCCCGGTGAAGCCCAAAAAATTGATCGATTCATGCTGAAGTTCGCCGAGCGTTACACTACTCAAAACCCCAATGCTTTCGCCAATGCTGACACCGCATATGTGCTTGCGTACTCTGTCATTCTGCTCAACACTGATCAGCACAGCTCGAAGATGAAGGGCCGTCGTATGACGAAGGAAGACTTTGTTAAGAACAACCGTGGAATCAACGACAACCAGGATCTGCCAGCAGACTACCTCGGAGCGATCTATGAGGAAATTGGAAGCAACGAGATTGTGCTAGATACTGAGCAGGAGCATGCGGCAAATCTTGCCCTACAACCTACAGCCCCAACTGGTCTTGCCACCAGGGCTGGACAGGTCTTTGCTACTGTTGGACGGGACATCCAGGGCGAGAAGTACGCCCAGGCTTCAGAAGAAATGGCCAACAAAACGGAACAACTTTATCGGTCCCTCATCCGGGCTCAGCGCAAAACAGCGATTAAGGATGCCCTTTCCCGCTTTATCCCAGCTACGTCGAACCAGCATGTTGGCTCTATGTTCAACGTGACATGGATGTCTTTCTTGTCTGGCCTGTCTGCCCCGATGCAAGACACCTCAAACCTGGACACAATTCGTCTCTGCATGGAAGGACTGAAGCTTTCCATCCGCATCAGCTGTGCCTTTGATCTGGAAACCCCGCGCGTGGCATTTGTTACCGCGCTGGCGAAATTCACCAACCTTGGAAATGTGAGGGAGATGATGCCCAAGAATTTCGAAGCGCTGAAGGCCTTGCTTGACGTCGCTCTCACTGAAGGAAACCGTCTTCACGGCTCGTGGCGGGATATTCTGACCTGCGTCAGTCAGCTTGACCGGCTGCAGCTCCTGAGTGATGGCGTTGACGAAGGGTCACTGCCTGATGTTTCAAGGGTGCCATCGTCAGCGGACACATCTCGCAGGTCAATGCAAAGTACACGGCGCGCTCGTCCCCGCTCGATTAATGGACCAGCTGCTTTCCGTCCGGAGATCGCAATGGAGAGTCGTTCGGCGGAAATAATCCGTAGTGTGGATTGGATATTCACAAACACCGCCAACCTCTCACATGAGGCCATCATTGATTTCGTTCGGGCCTTGAGTGAAGTCAGCTGGCAAGAGATTCAGTCTTCCGGCCACACCGACTCGCCTCGCACCTACAGTTTGCAGAAGCTGGTCGAAATCAGTTACTACAATATGACTCGTGTTAGGATCGAGTGGTCCAAGATCTGGGATGTTTTGGGGTCGCATTTCAATCAAGTCGGTTGCCATCACAACACCATGGTTGTCTTCTTTGCATTGGATTCGCTCCGCCAGCTTTCAATGCGATTCATGGAGATTGAGGAGCTGCCTGGTTTCAAATTCCAGAAGGACTTCCTCAAGCCTTTCGAGCATGTCATGGCGAACAGTACCACTGCTGCTGTCAAGGACATGATCCTGCGATGCCTGATCCAAATGATTCAGGCTCGTGGTGATAACATTCGCTCGGGCTGGAAGACCATGTTTGGTGTCTTCACAGTTGCAGCACGTGAACCCTATGGTAAGCAGTATCAAAATTTCTCTACTAGTCAGTCAATTTCTCACCAACGAAACAGAAACAATTGTCAATATGGCATTTGATCATGTCACTCAGGTCTACAATACTAGATTTGGTGTGGTCATCACCCAAGGTGCTTTCGCGGATCTCATTGTGTGCCTGACTGAATTTTCCAAGAACTCCAAGTTCCAGAAAAAATCCTTGCAAGCCATTGAAACCCTGAAATCAACTGTCCTCAAAATGTTGCGGACTCCGGAATGTCCTTTGTCTCACCGCGGTGCTGCCTCAGCGGCTACTTTCCAGGATAACGGGACCAACCTGGCCAAGCAGCTGACACGTCAATCACAAGAAGAGCAGTTCTGGTATCCCATTCTGATTGCTTTCCAGGATGTGCTCATGACGGGTGATGACCTCGAGGTTCGTTCGAGAGCACTCACTTACCTGTTTGATACCTTGATCCGCCACGGTGGTGATTTCCCCAGAGACTTCTGGGATGTCTTATGGAGACAGCTTCTATATCCGATTTTCGTTGTTTTGCAGTCGAAGTCTGAAATGTCCAAGGTTCCGAACCACGAGGATTTGTCAGTCTGGTTGTCCACGACGATGATTCAAGCGCTGCGGAACATGATTACTCTCTTTACTCACTACTTCGATTCTTTGGAGTACATGTTAAGTCGCTTCTTGGAGCTTCTGACACTGTGTATCTGCCAGGAGAATGACACAATTGCACGAATTGGAAGCAACTGCTTGCAGCAGCTGATTCTGCAAAATGTCTCCAAATTTAAACAGGAGCACTGGTCTCAGATTGTTGGCGCTTTTGTCGAGCTTTTCAGCAAGACTACCGCCTATGAACTCTTCACGGCTGCGGTTGCAATGTCCAAACCAGCTGAAGTGCCCAACGGAGATCCCACACAGAGCCCAGATTCTGCTGCGGCATCGGGAGACTTGCCCGACGCTTTGCAGGCCAATGGATCGCAAAGCACATCCTCTTTCCAGGATAATGGTGACCCCCCTGCCCAAAGTCAGGCTCGTGCTGAATTGGAAGACTACCGTCCCCAGTCAGACCAGCAGCAGCCCGCAGCGGTCACTGCGGCTCGTCGCCGGTACTTCAACCGCATAATCACCAACTGCGTTCTTCAACTTCTGATGATTGAAACGGTGCACGAACTCTTCTCCAATGAAACTGTCTATGCTCAAATCCCTAGTATGGAGCTTCTCCGGCTCATGGGCCTGTTAAAGAAGAGCTATCAATTTGCAAAGAAGTTCAATGAGGACAAGGATCTGCGCATGCAACTCTGGCGCCAGGGCTTCATGAAGCAACCCCCCAACTTGTTGAAGCAGGAGAGTGGCAGTGCCTCCACCTATGTGCACATTCTCTTCCGGATGTACCACGACGAGCGAGAGGAGAGACAAAGCAGTCGCGACGAGACAGAAGCTGCTCTCATCCCGTAAGTTGCCTGTCATATTTTCGGTTTGCGTATTACTAACTCTTTTATAGGCTCTGCGCGGACATCATTCGCAGTTTCGTTCGTCTTGAAGAAGACACCCAGCATCGCAACATCGTTGCCTGGCGTCCGGTTGTTGTTGATGTCATCGATGGCTACACGAACTTCCCGCAGGATGGCTTTGATAAACACATCGAGACATTCTATCCCCTCGGAGTGGAGTTACTGAGCCGTGATCTCAACCCGGAGATTCGCGTGGCTCTCCAGTCTCTTCTGCGCCGTATCGGCGAGGTCCGACTTGGTGTTGCCCCGCCAAACCCTCTAGACGTCCCGATCAGCCCGCGCAGCTCTGTCTCACAGAAGGCCTCGCGTCGCGATAGCCAGGTTTGAATTTCTGCTTGAATTTTGGATATCCTCGCCGTCGATTTTAGGCGTTTTATGACCCGGTGCTTTCGGGTGTGTCACAAACAACTTTTCTACTCATTTTTTTTTTACTGTTCGACCTAGATGCATAGCTGTATTGATAAAATATTCATTGGTTTATTATTGATTCTGCGCTTCTTGTGATGTAGGCACTTTGCCTGACTCATAAAATGACAATATGCTGTCCATGTCCTTCTCAGTCATGGAGACGAGCTCTTCTAAGCTCCATTGTTCACAAACCCCGGACATCCTGCGCCATTAGCAAAAATACTGGCGAATGCAAAAATACTGGCGAATAAAGGTAATGCATGAACTCACCACTTCATACGCTTCGGTCCCTGTTCTGGGTTGGGGGCAACCTCGCGGAGCTTCTTGCGCAGTCTTCCCACATTCTCAATGGCTGCTCCCATATTGCTAGGCAATGTCTCGGCGATCTTCTTGCGCACGATGCTTGCAAGCTTGGGTCCATTTCCATTTGTACTGACCATGATCTGAAGCGGTCCATCACGGTGAACGCTTCCAAAATAGAAATCACATTCGGGCGGAACATCGGCGATGTTTGCTGCAATTCGCCGTGTTTTGCACAGCTTCCAGACTTCTGAGGACGCTTCTGGGTCGTCAATGGCGCACATCACCATGTCCACGCCATCGAGGTCGTGTGGCTCGAAATTGCGGTCGATATGTGTCACCTGCTTCTCGGCGACTCGGAAAGCAACCTCCTCATTGAGTCCAGAGGCCGGGCATACCACAGTGACTCGTGCGTCGGCATTGAGGGTGTTGAGAATGCGCCCCGCAGCGACCTATCGGAGAAATATAGATCAGCATATGTATGCAAGTGCAGCTTAAATTGCGTACCTCTCCACCTCCAACTACTAGAACATGCTTGTCCTTAATCTGCCATGCCAGAATGAGTGAGCCTCCGCCTTGCACTTCTGGAAACTTCGACATGGTGGGATGAGAGAGAGGGGGAGACACAGCTATTGGGGTTATCGATAAAGATAATGAGAGGACCCATTAGGGTAGACTGCAAACCCCGCCTGCGCAACCCGAGACTTCTTTTCCCTCATCTTTTTCTTCACTTCTTTTCACATCTCCTCCTTCCCATGCTTTTTTTCCAAAAATGCGGGGAGTTCAAATATTCTCTGGGAATTCCCATCCCGGTCTCGCAGATACCATCTGCGAGCGCTTAGGGACGGTCCCTGCCAAAGCTAACCTGGGAAAATTTGCCAATGGCGAAACCAGTGTCAACATCGGCACATCAGTGCGGAACCAGGATGTCTATATCATCCAGAGTGGTAGTGAGAAGATTAACGACAGTGTAATGGAGCTCCTGATCATGATCTCAGCATGCAAGGGTGGCTCTGCCAAGTCGATCACAGGTATGTCGTTGATATTCTGGCTCGGAGCTTTCCCCGCTAACCGATTTTTCTTTTCTTTTTTTAGCGGTCATGCCGTATGCTGCCCGTCCTGTTTGACTCAAATCCACAGTGAATGCTGACTCAAACGAGATATTTCCCCTACTCGCGCCAATCTAAGAAGAAGAGCCATCGCGGTGCCATCACGGCCCGCATGCTCGCCAATCTCCTCACGATCGCCGGCGTGGACCATGTGATTACCATGGACCTTCACGTATGTTCCTATGTGTCGAGTTTTGTAATGTGGATATTGATGGGCTCCTAGGCATCCCAGATGCAAGGGTTCTTCGGCAAGCCGGTTGACAACCTCTTCGCTGAACCGTTCATTGCCCGCTGGATCCGGATGAATGTTCCCAGCTGGAAGGACGCTGTCGTCGTCAGCAAGAATGCCGGCGGCACCAAGCGCGTCACTTCGTTGGCCGATACCCTGAAGCTGAACTTCGGTATCGTTACCACGGACCGTCGCCGCCCCAAAGTGCCCGTCAACACTATGTCTGACAGCACAGTCTTCTTCGATGCCGTGGATGACGAACCAAGCGTAGGCAAGAAGGACTCGCAGCCGTTTGAGCTGCACTTGCACAATTCTCGCAGAGCCCCTGCAACTCCCCCAATTCCGGAGGAGCCGGAGCCAGTCACGCCACACCAGCTGCTGCGCCCTGAGACCCCACCTGCGGCTCGCCGTCCGTCGGAGCTGGAAGCAGCTAACGAGTACACGGACGTGCGAGTTCGGGATGTGATCACCGGCCGTCTGGTGCAAGGCCAATTGGTGGATGACGACTACCGCATCAAGGAAGAGTCAGAATCCGGTGGCACCACACCCGGAGCTGCAAGCAGCAGCCAAGATAACACAGAGGCCATCCCCGATGCCATGACTGGCTCGATGATCTCAAATACTTCCTCGCAACCTCCTGATCATGCGCTCGGTGGATCCTTTGATGCAGCTGAATCTGATGATGAGGCCAGTGTCTGTGGCCCCTCCGATGAAAGGACTATCACTCTTGTTGGTGAAGTGCGCGACCGACCTGTCTTCATTGTTGATGACATGATTGACAAGAGCGGTTCGTGGATTGCGGCCGCAGAGACTGTCGTCAAGCGCGGTGGTGCTAGCAAGGTCTACTGCATTGCCACGCACGGGTTGTTTACCGAAGAATCTCTCGACCAGATGGAAGGATGTCGATCAATCGATCACATTGTTGTGACCAACACCTTCCCGATCCCACCGTCAATGTTGCGGCGATCGAAGAAATTGATTGTCATTGACGTGTCAAGTCTATTGGCAGAGAGCATTCGGAGGCACCATTATGGCGAAAGGTTTGTTTTCACCGACTGTGTCGTGTGACCATCCACTAACGACGAGCAGCGTCTCGGCCCTCTTCCACCTTAACGACTGATGCAGATAGTAACGAGGAAAACGACAAAAAGGAGAGATACATCTCGGGCGGCGTTTTTGCATTGCAGGATTGCGATGACACGATACCTATTTCCTATGAAATGAACGATCTTCCGTTCCTTTCCCGGCCCCTGTAGAATGAACCGATCCACTCCCCCCATCCCCCCATTCCTCCATTCCCCCAAACCAGCGATGCAGTCTACTCTGAGTTCTGCAGGAGCATCTCGTTTTTCCACAAGGTGTTCTTAACGGAGCGTTGGCAGATTAAACCGGGTCTTTCTCTTGCTTCATGCTCCAGCATGAAGACGTCACCCCTTTCTTAGTTCTTCGGAACGATTTGGTCTTTGGCCGGTGGAAGTGGTGCAAGAGATGATCTCGAACATAATGTAATCTCCATATCAAACATTTACGTGCTCCGAATTAAATTTTATTCCACAAAAAAAAAAAAAAAAACTCCTTTTACCGTCTCCCGTCTCCCAAAACTCATATGATCTTCCCATGCGGTTGGCCGTATTGTATTCTCGAAGCCGGTTTGCGATTCAGTTGTGGTCTGGTGATCGCCTGTATCACATCTATAGCCAAGTACCTTGGTATACTGCAATGGGAGTGTCGGTGTGCACGTTGCCACACCCACTTTGTTCCAGGCCAAGTATACTTCAGACCGAACGGCTATGGCTGGCCCAATTAGCAATTTTAAGGTGTGACAGATAGACCTAGCAGCAACTCAAGCATCGGGTAATCCCTGAACGGAACTGCAAGACTCGACCCTGGGAACCTACCGTTACTTTCGTACATACTGGAGCTGCCTTATCCAGACGCTGCACAGTGTAGACATGTAATAACTTTGGAACCTTTTTGGAAATGTCAAAATTAGCCGGGATGTGACAGATGTATTCATGTTCATCTTACGCGGCTATGACAGCGAGCAATTGAGTTAAGCGTAAGGGGAGCTGAAAGTACTGTACTTTTTTTTCGTACGGTACTTTTTTTCGCCCCTACCTAGTATTGAACCTGTTTTTAGTGGACATTTGTCTATTTGTCGATTTAGCTGATCATCCTATTGGACGACATCTCAAGTGGTTTTCGTGTCAGCTAAGGAATTCTAGCGTATTCCGTTAGTACTTTGTGTAGTGGCATTCGTGACAGATTGACAAACAGGGCAAATAGGACAAATAGAACAAATAGCCAAGTGACAGAGTGGATCTCTCGGGTCAAGCCTAAGTCGATGTATCAAGCCCTGTTGATATTGAGACTTTTCAGGGGGTTTCTCAAGCGGGCCGCGGAAACCAAATGAAAAAAAATACGAAATCAGTTCAAGCAACCTCGGGATCATAATTGGAACAATGCTATAGACGCTAAGACTAGTGTATGCACTCTCGATCGGAACCGGCTTGCTGGGATGCGCATGCCCCCGACGATCGACTAAAAGGTACTAAAATGTCCCATATTGAAACCAGAAAGTTCCGATCTCTGATCCAATTGAGCTAATGGGTTCCACTTCCTATCATGTTTGGCGGAGTTATACCGTACGGAGTACTTTCCTACTTTCCTACTTGTTAATTCTCAAACTAAACAATTTGTAATTCGGTCACTCGTCCACTGGTCATTCGCAAAGGGTCCCTTTCCAGCCTATACCTATTACACTTATTCCTAACCCCATTAATCACAATTACCTATTACCTTTTTCGTCTCTACCGGAGTACACACCTTCTTCACATCGAATACTTCCAATCATGTCTCCCCGATGTCCACGATCGATTTTCCACCCTGTTCCTCGGGAAGATCGGTACCTAGTCTATCTTAAATACCACAATGACTTAGATTTTAATGTGGTAGATCTTGACCTCTGTCCAATTTCTTATTTTATTCTTATTCTGATTAATCCTTTTCTCTTTTTCTCCCTTCGATTGAAACGATTCAGCTCCTCCCGGTTGCCTGCGTCACGGCTTCTCGCATCTGTATTCGGCTCTTTCTTTGGTTGTCGACTAGATTGGATCGGGTGTGCTATATATAATGGACGTTGCTGCCGTCTCTGAGTCTCCATCAATTGACTTTCGCACTGTTCTCGACTGTTTCCTACCTTGCTTCGCAACCTCGCAATTGACTTTGACCTTTCTCTCTGCCTGACCTCTTGTCGTTCTTCCATCCTACATATTCCTCCCATTCCCCGCGCCTGGAGTCCTTCTCCGGTGATCGACAAACTTCCATTCCCTCGGGTCTTGTTAATTTGTATGTGACAGAGTCTCGGGTCCATCCTCTATCTCCATACTGATGCTTGACAGCTACCCTTTTTTGAACTCAAAATGGCCAACCAATGCTCTGGTCACGTCTTTGCTATCGTCCAAGCCACTAATGGCAACATCCTGACTTGGCGGTGTTCTGATTGCAACTCCGGTCCCTTTGTGGCCATTTGGCGCTGCAAGGCCTGTGGCCATTGTCGCTGCAACGCTTGCCACAATGCCAAAGGATGTGAGTGTTTTTTTCCCATCCCAAGCCCATTTCCAAGGATTGGAAATACTGACTTCCCAAAAGAGACTTCTGCATCAGCCCTTTGGCAATTAAAGGAGTGATCTACTCCTTTGCATGAACCCGGCGTAAGGGTAGTGTCCACCCAAAGCCCCAACAGGCCCAACCCCTTGGGCCTGGGTTCTCACCTCGATGTTCTTCCTGCCTTCGATTTGGCGAGCGTTTGTGATTCCAAAAGTCCCAAAAGTTATTGATGCATTGCATTCAGCATCTGGAGGAGTTTTAGACTGTTTTTTCCTTCTTCTGTTTTTCCCACTTGTTCTGGATCGGGTTATTAGTTCTGGGTTCGGGGTTATTTTCGGTTTGAACTGGCCATGTATTCTATTTGTGTTTCCTGACGGAGAAAAGAAACTATCTTACCTTTCTCCCTAATAAAATCAATCTTCACTATGCTTCTTGTGCATCCCTACTCCCTACTCTACACAGCTTCCAAGTTTTCCGAGGTTCTCATGCACCCAAGGAATGTAGGTCTCGTAACGAGCTTATCTCGACGCCATCAAGTCCACTGAGTGGATGGTGATGGCGATGTCGATCTGAAAACTGGAGATAGTAACCGGTCAAGACAGACACGGAATAGGCCTTCATCCTTACATTGGAATGCACCTGACGCAGGGTCCAATATGTCTATTTTTCGGTCGAAAGCCAAAAATTCAAGGTTTCGGTCAGAGATCCGGCATGTCGGCTGCGCATTCTTGAGCCCCTCGGAACCAGCAAAGCGAGGGTTCCTCATTCGAGGATGCTCTCGATCATCGCCAAGAGTTGAAACGAACCTATCCCATTTCACCGTGCAACGCGTCTGGAAATGATTTCCGTGCCAATTCGGCACCTGGGCAGCGCATCAGTGGCGGTGGAGATGAGATGTATCGCCGGAAGGACAGTGCATCTTCCGTAGTCTAGTGGAACTAAAGACGGGACAAAAGTCAGACGCGACACACACTAAAATAGACTAATTGGCACTAAATGGAGACTAATCGAAGACTAAAAGAATATTGGGGATTATCAAGTGGAAGGAAAAAATACTTCCCACCAGCTTGGTTCTTCCCCACGCAAGGAAGTACCTGTGCGCATGGGGCTCCAGGGCTCTGGAGTAGGTGAATCACTACGGAGTATGCCCAGCTGTGTTGAAGATATAAATAATTTGAGTGGCATACTCGTAAGCATACTCCGTACTCCCTATCCACCTCGAACCTATATCCATGGATGTTCTTCCCGTTTGGGCGTTGCGTTAAGGGGAACCTTCGTACATGTCTACTACAAGGTAAATGAAGGCCGATCCTCAAATTAAAGCGTGTCTCGACTGAAATGAAATATGTCCACTAGGTGTAAATGCTCTGTCAAACGATTAGCCACCAACTCACCAATAGAACCTAGACCCTTGGAAACCATGAGTACTCACCTCGGTAATCTGGTTGACAGCCAACCCCGGCTCCGCCATCTCCGCATCCTTCAAGAATTCTAAAGGCAGCCAAACAAGGTGCCCCTTAATAAGATCCAGCTTCTCCCGCACATCCTTAGCAGGCATATAAGGATCGAACAAGTGTCCTTCCTTGCGAGATCCTCTAGGTCGGAAATTATCATAATCCTCAAAGGTCTTGATGTTATCATCTGGATCCGCCCGGAACAGCATCCGATACGTGTCGGTGTTCCCGGTCGCCTGAGAGGTCCAGGTGTTCCAGACCCCTTCGCCCAGCGGATCAGCCACGAAGTCATCCTCAGCCCCCCAGATCGATCTGGTTCAGACACTCATCTACAGATCGGGAGTTCGGGTGCTCGGGGGAATCGTATTCCTGTGCCGGGAGAAGGCCCAGATGTTCCCGCCACAGCTGTCGACGTAGAGTGGCCGCGAATCGGGACGCTTGGTATGGGGCTCCGTTCATCGTGCTGGGGATCAAGTCTTGATCTTCCATTACGATCGCCAGCTCACTGTCGTGTGATCCCAGTTGGGACTGTTTGTGGTTAGTCGGATTCTATGTATCGCGTCGCTCTGGATCAACTTACTCGATCGTTGATATTGGCACTGCCACAGATCACAGTGCGATCGTCGACAATACACACTTTGCCGTGCACGTACAGCTCTTCTTGGACAATGTTGCCTTTCTCGGCTTCCGGCTCACCTTCCCATGTCTCCTCTGACATTTTGCCTCCGTTCAGCATGGTGCAGTGCGATACCGTGTCCTTACTGTGGAAGCCATCTTCCTGCTTGCGTTGCTCGTATTTCTGCTCGAACCGCTCCAGCTTGCGAAGCGTCTCTTCCTTTTGACTGGGCTCGTTCTCATAGTCCTTCTCGTTCTTATCGCCGTCGTCGCCGATACCTGGGTGCACACTTTCACTCATAATAGACTCTGCAATACCACGCTGGATGTCCTGGTATGTGACATCGGCTTGCTTCTCGAGTTCTTCGAGTGCAGGTGTTTTGTTGATGCGATCGTACGCACGCAGGGCAAACACGAACATGTGCTCTATTTAGCTCATTAGGGGGGCGTTCAGACTTCTTAACTCTTGGGGCGGGCCTACCTCGTGGATCAACTCCCTCCTTCTCAATCTGCGCGAAGATTGAATGCTCGCCTCGGCAGATCGACTTGTACTGATAGTCCATGATCGCTCGGGTACCGGTTGCAGCATCGTCGCGGAGATCGCCAGCAAATCCGGGAATCGCAGGGATGACAACGATCACACGGAACTTGCGACCTTCCTTGCCTGCGCGCACACAAGCATCAACGATCGCCCGACCGATTTGGTTGAAGACCGGAGCCTGTTGGTCGCCGGTGGCAGTGACTGGGAAGAGTTAGCAAGTGTCTATCATAAGGTCGAATATCGACTTACTGAAGAATTGGTTTTCAATGTAGACAAAGTGCTGCGCATTACGGATCGTCTCGCAGTATGCGTTCTGGATACTGTGCTCATTCAAGATACCGCTGCTCCAGTCGTCACTGCTGCGCACGATCTGGGCGCGCACGGTACCGACGTTACCACGGCTCTTGGTGGCAAGAGGGGTCAGCGGATGCTGGATGTAATCACCGCAAGGGTACTTGGGACGCTGCACGGCAATGATATCTTCGTCTTCGTCCGTGCGACCCTCCATCAGAAGCCAGTCGACGTCGTGGCTGCGCTTGTACTTGTCGCGCTTGATGAAGTTCCAACGCAGGACGAAGTGCTCCGCAATGTCGAACACGCAGTCACCCTGCAAACCCATCGCAACGTCGTGCCACGGCATACGACCGTAGTCTGCCTTGCTGACTTCGTTGCTCTGCCAGTCTTGCACACTCTGGAAGTCCATGATTCGGTTGTTATTGAAATCCTGGCCGGGGAAGATGTCGTCTCTCAGTCCAGCTGGGTGAACATCTGCCAGTGGGTGCTGGTTTGCATCCCATCGTCCGAAGCAAAGATCAATACCGCCAATGAATGCTACGTTGTAGTCGATCACGATGAACTTCTCGTGATGCGCCCAGTAAAGTGTCATGTCAGCAGCATTTTCGAAGACGTTGTGGTCGGGATGGCGCATAACTCGGATGTTGCCATAGCCCGGTGTTCCCTCGGGGCACAGGTTACGCAGCGCATGTTTTGTGTGCGCCGAATTACATGTCAGGGCTTGGTTGACCTGTCCATGGGATTAGTATGTAATTTTTCGCACCTCGGGGGCTAGTCAAGCAGCGGAACCGACCTCTTTGTACACAATTACGTAAATCTTCACGCCGGCCTCGGCGCGACGCTTCAAGACATGATCCAATCGCCATTCCTGGTGCTGCACCGGAGGACGGCGCAAGAACAGCTCTGGGGAAAGCCACCAGTCGGCAATGTAGATGGTCTCGGTGGCCTTCTCCAGGGCTTCCGAGACGGCCCACATGTAATCCTTTGCATCGACGTACCACTTGATGCGATTGCCGTCGTGAATGGGGGCAAAGGACTTGAAGCGGTGGGACTCCGAGCGCTCTGTGCGCTTCTTGTCGGTGGCCTGCTCATGCTCCTCGTCATGGCGATGATTTGGGTTGATGATGTTGAAGAACTTTCCAACCTTGTGCTTGAAATGCGTGGCCTCGGCCTTCACATCGTGGAGATGGGTGTCTTCATTCGAATTAGTTGGAAGGTGGGGGGCAGAAGTGCCCAAGTGGAGAGTCTGGATCACTCACCTTTGAAAGACCCCTCCAAGTGGTCAATGCCATGCTCGAACTTCTCCTTGAATTTCTGCATACTTGGGGTGTGGGACGTGTGAGGGGAAAAGCAAAGAGGAGGGGGAGAAATCTGGAGATGACTACGGTGACATCACCCTCGGCCCTACGCCTTAAGAGGAGAGATTAGTTTGGGATTGGTGATACAGTGCCAAGAAGGATATAAAATGCCGATCTACACGAACCAACCACAGGGCATGATGGGCAGTTGAATTCTGTATGTTCCTGTTCTCAGCCGCGTGGAGCCCCTCCATTTCCTCCATTTCCGTGGTTGCGTCGGATCTCTTTCGGTTAGCTCTTGGCAGACAAAAATAGAGTGGAATTGAATTTATCTTGTACAATGTATTTGATGTTTGATTAAGAAGCGATCTAGCAACAGAATCTTCATATTCATGTTGGGTTTGGAAAGACCAATGAACAATTGTGGTTGGGATATATATGTGGTCATGACCTTGGGGGCTAGTTCTTTCATACCAGAGCCTGGATCCATGGACGGAGAGTGAAAAGAAGCAAAGCAGACAGTCAGCCAGTGGAGAACACGATATCTATAAGATCTAGACACAAAAACGACCCAGCGATCATCTGAGCATACTCCGTATTATCACCCGCGAAGTAAACTGGAGTAAACAATATGATATGTTCGTTATGATGTAATGGGGTTGGGATTCCTTGGTTCTCGCATTGGTTCCCGCGCCGCTGACGCGCCTATTGAGAGGCTACAGACGGAGTACAATGTTTTCTCCTAGGAGGAAATAGTAAATTATAGTGATTGAAATAGAATAGGGAGTAGTCAAATATTGCCTGTGAACATGTTCAGACATGGCACGTTGGACATGCTTGGCTGAACTTGTGCCTTGTCAAGCCACAGTCATGTGACATTGATGATCAATGGCAAACGGAGAAGGCAGAGTATAGACTGTTTCCAGTCGTTTGATGTATTCCATCCAGAATATGTCAGTAACTTCGAGGAACTAATATGTGGCATTTGTAGAGTAACTCTTCCATGCCTACTCCGTACTCCGTACCCAGCATGGATTTAAATAATATGCAGATGTAAATATAGTGGTCATTCCTTGCCTTGTTATTGTGGAATGCTTGCTTACGAGACTCACGTGATCTAAACAACGTTGTCAGAGGAACGGGTCCTTTTCTGTTTATCCTCACTCACACAACGCGGCTAGCCTTCAGAGCCACAAGCTGGCTCGCGACCACCGGTTCTTGCCTCATTTTTGGATTGTCGTTTTTGGATTGCATTGTTTCCTGGTCGTTTGCTCTTGCCTAAAATTATTCGATGCGAATGGTCTGCTGAGCGTCGTGGAAAATCATCGCGCAGGGTCATCTCCCTGGTTACCGACTCCTCCACTTTTTTACTAACTCAAACAGCAACGAGCATGATGCCACATGAACTAGGTAGGTTCGGCTAAAAATTCTGCTGCGGGTCATTGGGTTCTTTCATGCTGACGTCTCTGCAAAGCCCGAGCTCATTCCCAGGGCAGCGTTGTGTCCCAGACGACCCAGATTGCTCCCCACAGCCGGCCAGGTACCGCAGATCCGGTGCGAGCACGCTCTGAAGCTGTCTCCAGGGCCAGCCGTCGTCCTCGGTCAAGAGGATCAACTGCGAGCATCCATTCGAGTACGACCCAGCAGACGCAAGATCAACATCTCGACGGGTTCCCCCAATTCATGCCCTCACAAGTCACGGGCGGCCAGCACATGTTCAACAACCCGGAAGACATGCTTATGCGATTCGGACATCAACTCTCGAACCACCCGAGCGCGACGGGTCTCGACGGAACTATGCAAGATACCCACGGCGTTATGCCTCGCGCCGAGGATTTCCAACCCCATCCCATGCACAGTCACACACTGTCTCATCACTCCATGCCACCTGAAATGTCAAGCGGTATGTCAAACGTCGCCGCGTCGTACCAGCAAATGTATGACAGTGGTGTCGAGAACCATATGCCCGAGCACCTCATCGAGGAGCCCGAGATCCCGGAAGTGAATGGGAAAAAGAAAAGGGGCGCTAGCTCGACGGTTGCCAATGACAATGAACTGCGAAAACTGCTTCGTCAGTACGAGGGGTGGAGCTTAAAGCAAATGGCAGCCGAAGTGATGAAGCATGAAGGTGGTGGAGGAAAGGCAGAGAAAGTCAAGCAAGTGTTTGCCATGATCTGGTAAGGATTATTCCCCTCCTTTTCGTCGCCGATATGGGAGTTGGTTTAACACTGATGCAGGTTGAGAGAAAATTGCCGAAAGAGTAGTGGATCCGTTCGTCGTGACCGTGTATACTGTTGCTACGCAGAGAACTGTGGCACAGAACGCGTTTCCGTCTTGAATCCTGCTTCGTTTGGAAAACTGGTCCGAATTATCTTTCCCAATGTTCAGACTCGACGATTGGGAGTTCGGGGCGAGTCCAAATACCACTACGTGGACTTGTCTGTCATTGAGGAAAAGCAGCAGAAGATTGCGCCCATGCCTCAAGTTGCTCGTGCTTCCAATGGCCCAGCCTCCATGCCATCCAGGCCTGCCAGTGCCATGCGGTCTCGAAGGTAAGATCCGTATTCTTGAAAGTAGCTACGTGCCCACTAACACACCTCAAGTGCTAGTGTTCAACACCCAACCGCCGATACTGCCGTCTTTCCCTCCCCGACTACCTCCTTCGCACCTAGATTCCCCAACAACAACTCTATACCCGCAGACTGCAATTGCCAGGGTCACAGTTCATCTGCTCCCGATGAAACGATCACCCGCGAGAACGTGGCCCAGCAGGCTGGGAAGATGATCCACCAGATGCTCCAATTTCCTCTCGATGAGAACACCTTGGTCGATAACGATGCTCTCCAGCTACCTGATATTCGAACCTATTTGCCCGCCAACACCGACTTGAAGGTTGCCGCAGCTCTGGCCGCTCTATATCGTTCGCATTGCATCTCAGTCATCGACAGCTTCCGATACTGCAAAGAACGAAACCTTATGAAATATTTCTCTGCTTTCCATGGAACATTGACTGTTCCTGTTCAAAAATTGTTGACACATCCAAACCTCGCTGCTTGGATCAAGGAGTGTGATTGGATGATGTATCAAAAAATGATCGCATTTGTGGCTCCGCTTACAACTCAGGTTGTACCCAAGCCCGTCTTGGATGCCTTCATGTCCATCTCCCAACGCCTTTGTGGGCACATCACCGAAACCTTCAAAACCCAACCTACCCATGTCTCCTTGGCCCGCCTCATCCCTGCACACACCTTCTGTAATTTGCTCAAGCACATGCTTGATGTGAATCAAGCCGCCAATGCTGCAGCAGCGTGGCTATGTCACCCCGACAACCGAAACCAGATGTGGATTGACTTCAAGACGATGGTTGATCCGCAAGAGATGATGAGCAAAGCCAATATCCCTACTTGTGCCGAACTCGCAACTGAACAGATTCTCAAGCATGACATTCGCGCCCTTCTCACTCCATTGACTGATTCCAACCCTTCGGCTTGTCTGCCTTTCTTCACACGCCCTGATAGCCCCGAGTCTGTCGAGGCCCACAGGTTCCCGGTGGAAAGTGCGCCTGGCGAGGAGTACAATTTCCCCGACAAGTGGGTTCAATTCATTCTGAACATCCCCGCCGCTTTTGCAAACCACGGAACCCAATGTGTCATTGATAAGGTCGACGCCCTCTGGGATAGTGTATTGCACCGATTGACCCTGGGCGGTGCTCAGAGCTTCAGCGCTTGGTGGATGACCAAAGTGTTCTTCCACGAAATGATGATGTGGCAAGCAGAGAAGGGCGGATTCATGCGAAACACGCCCAGCTCATTGCAGAATGCCACATTCGGCCACGAGTCATCTGGAAACTTTCAGTTGAAACAAGACTCCGCCATCGAGGCATCCCCGTTTGACGTTGCCAATGATAATCAAAAATCCAACAACTCTCCCGCGGTTCCCCAAACAACCCACCAGCCACATCCCGTCAGCCATCACCCGGACTTCAAGCATGCTCAGAATGAGAAGCGCCTCTCTATGCAAGATCCAGCCTTCCAAGCCAACAACAATGATGACAGTGCCATCGACCTCGAGGATGATACTATGCTGCTGGCAGTTGGAAAATATGGCGATATGATGGTGTCAGACCCCGCGGATGCTGAAGGCGATGTGGTGGTCATCTAAATTTTCGGCGGTTCTTTGATTATTGTTCATAAGTTGGAGTTGGATATCCCTTGTTTCTGGAAGCCCCTTTTTATTGTGGCATTCCCACGATTCTCCTTTGTTAATTTTTCTTTTCTTCTTCCCTTTGTTCACACGAAGCAACGAGACACGAGCACGGAGCTTCTTGAGTCTCCATACGACCCTGGCCCGCCAGGTGTTTTGCTCATCAACAGCATTTAATTGATGTGGAATCAAGTTCTACTTTCCTGTTGGTTACTACCTCTGGGCCTTGACTGAGTCCCTCTGTACATATGCGGTTATACCTTCCGCCCTTTGGATGCCTTGATCATTGGCGGCGCTCTATTCTAATGTCTCTCAATTATTCTGTCGATTAAATGTCTCTACTAAGTACTCAGGTAGCATGCAAAAAAATCCGCAGGTTCTCACAGCTTTACCTTCCGTTGAACGTACACATCCCAGTCCACCTTCCTTTTCGCATGAAACTCCTTCACCCCGTGTGCTCCATCCGCATTAGGACGCATCATCTCCTCAAACAGTGCCTTGATCCCAGATGCTTGCTCCTCACTCCCCCCATGAGCCCAAGCCAGTCTGACTAGTTCCTTCGACATGCGCGAAGCATCCGCCGAAGCTGCCTTGAGCCTGACCAACATACTGTCAACCCTCCTTCGCAAATCTTCTTCGTTCTCTGCGATCTCAGTAACCACCCCAAATGATTTCAACTCGGTTGGGGTCACTTCTCGAGCAGATAACATGAACTCCCGCGCGAACGCAACCCCAAGCTCCCGAATCACGTACTTGGATATCGTCGCAGCACAGATCCCCAATTTCACCTCGCTCAGCGTAAGGTTTGATCCCTTTGTGAAGATGCGCAAGTCGCACGCGAATGCAAGACCGACTCCTCCCCCAAAGGCAGGTCCATTCAAGGCCGCAATCGTAACCTTGGGACATTGATCAATTACTTCGAAAAGATCCGTCAGTCTTGTGAATTGTGCATCGCTTGAATTCTCTCCGACGGCCGTGCTTCCTTTGCCGAGATCCATCCCTGTGCAGAAGAATCTGCCATTGGCTGTGATGACAATCCGCGAGATTAACGGATTGGTACTTGCGCTCGCGATTGCCGATTTCAAATCCGAAATCATGGCCACAGTCAGCGTGTTGCCGTTCCTGGGCCTGTTGAGGACGATTTTCAAATTCACCCCGGATCGATATATCTGCAAGCCTTCGGTCTCGTTCAACATAGTCCAATTGAGACGAACTGATTTGGACTTCGTGACCGGGGCTTTCGTTGATAACGCCGTTCCAACCCGACTGGAGTTGCTCTTTCCGAGCTTCTTGGATATCCACACACCCGTTTCAACTAGCTTGGGCAGGTTGACCCCAGTCGAGATACCGGCGTTGTGGAACATGTATACTAGATCTTCGGACGCAACGTTTCCTTTTGCTCCTGGAGCAAATGGACAGCCGCCCAGACCGGCCACGCTGCTGTCGAACACGCGGATTCCGTTGTTGAATGCTTCCCATACATTTGCGACTGCTTGGCCGTAGGTGTCATGGAAATGCCCTGCTAGCTTCTCAACTGGAATACCGTTGGATACTAGGTAATTGATGAGCTCGTTCACGTTTGACGGGGAACCAATGCCCAAAGTGTCCCCAAGGCTGACCTCGTAGCACCCGGCGTCGAGGAGAGACTTGGCGCAGTGGAGAACTGCTGATAATGGGGTTGGACCATCATAGGGATCCGCAAAAATGCAAGAGACGTAGCTGGAATTGTTAGAATTTTGACTATTGAACGATTCCTACTGTCTCACTCACCCTCTCACAGCGATACCAGACGCTTTAGCTAATGCCGCTAGCTTGATATTCCGTTCGATCCCCTGAGCCACAGTACAGTTGATGTTGGCTTTGCTGAAACCCTCTGTAGCGCTGATGAACAAGGCAATCTCTCGCACATCATGCTGTCTAGCAATCTCAAGACCCTTCTCATTGGGAACTAGAACCGGCAGCCGAAGCCGGGGGTCGTCCAGGAGGGCGTTTATGTCTGCATTACCAAGTACCTCACGACAATCCGCCAACTGCGGAATCGCTTTGGGCGAAACCACTGAGGTCAATTCAATCGTATTCAGGCCAGTCTGGTGAAGTCGCTGTATCAACTCCAATTTGGTCGATGTGTGTATTGCGTCCGAGATGTTCTGAAGGCCATCCCGAGGACCTACTTCCACGATTCTAATTGCTGGGGCCATTTCTTGAAATCTGAGCTGAGTTTATCGAGGCCAGCACCAGAAGCCTTGTGATGATAATAATCGCGTTGGACCTCGGTCCGCCTGCGAAGCCCTAAAACGCGGAGAAACGGGGATCCGGAACACTCGGACCGAGCGGGAGCGGACAGTTGGACCTTCGCAAAGGGTCTTGGATCTTTTTCAACACGAAAGCTGGTATTTCATGATAATTAGTCGATTTTGAAGGAATTTCTTGTCTTTGACGAGTTTTTGAAATAGATCGCTAGATGTTGGGAACTGGATGCTCAACATTACAGCCTGCAGGTAGTCAGCTTACTAGAATAATGACGTTCAAGACGACTGACTTCAATGTAACGAAAGACTCAATGTAACTAACTAAAGCTTTGCCCTTATTGTGCCGACCAATCGATTACCAATATCTCGCATCATATGCTTTTGATGCTTACCACTGCCAGTTTTGGGGAAGTCCTCACCCACTCCTGCGTCACCAAGCCAGAATACATGCTTGGGGGTTTTGTGACGGCCCAACTGTTCCCCAACAAATTGCTGAATCTCTTGGTTGGTGGGCTTTTCCAGTCCAGACAACTTTAAGAAGCAACCAACGACCTCTCCATATCTCTCATCTTTAATACCGACCACTAGACCTCGCCAAACGCGGGTTTGGGTTGGGTTTTCAATTTCCTTACCCGCCCATGGGCAACCCACCGCGGGTTTTGGCCTTGATGAACCCGCCCATGGGTTCTTGGCGGGTACCCGCGGGTTGCCCAAAATACCCAAAAACATGCATAAATCGTGGACAAACCTGATTAGTCATCTAGTGTAATTTTGGTCATTTATTTCTGTCACGCTTTTGAGTGGATATTACATTGAAACAATGAACGCCATCGACCTGGAAATATATATTCTCTACATGTAGAACACTGCTCCCATCGCCCTGCTTTACACAATTGAAGGGATTACAGGCCACATTGATGATTTTATGTAAATTTATCAATTGAGAATCTTTCGAATGAGCTCAAAAATATTATCTTTAGTTCGATCCTTTAAAATCAGTGATTTGGACCTTCTCAGTGTCCCAAAGTCGTTTTCATCTCCGGGCGGGTTGGGTTGGGTTGGGTTTTGGGTACCCGCGGGTTTTACGCGACTCAGGAATAGATAGATCCAAAAGCACGACGCGACTGGAACAAAATCCACAATCAAGTACTCAAGATGAAAAAAACCCCCCCTTCTTCCAATACCAGTGGCCTTTTACTTCAGTATGGCGTCTTCTTCCTCATCATCGCGATCAATACATCGGCCTTTCAGTCCACTGCTCTCCATTGAGCCGTCATCTGACGGCTTCTTGGATTCTGACATTCAATCCTCCGTAAGAAAATGGTCCCTTCCACTAGCCTCTGAGTGTTGCGGCGCTACCTACATATATACTAAGATGGACCGCAGCCTTTGACAGGACCCCGCAAAACCTACGACATAACTACTCGAAGACCTCCAGCGACACTCCGACGTGTGGGACCTCAGCACAGAAAGAAATGGATTGCATACGAGTCGCATCTAGAGACAGAGTTTCTTGAATGGTGGAAGGAAACAGAGTACGGCCAAAAGTTGAACGGAGAAGGCCAATCCCAGATCAAATGGTCCACCGGATCGCGTCACGCTGATGTGTGGAAACACTTTGACCAGGTGGCTGATATTGATTCTGGGCGTCCTCGAGTCATCTGCCAGGCTTGTCTCACTGTGCTTGATCATCCACAGTATAAAGGGAATGGGACAAGCGCCATGAGTAGACACAAAAAGTCTAATACTTGTCGTAAAGGGAAGAAAAAGGGATTTAATCAGTCATTGATTTCGGATTCTTTGCAGAACCATTTCACAAGAGACTCACCCAGTGTCCACAGAGTGACAACATTTCAAATCGAGGAGCAGATATTGAAGACAATTACGTGTCTTCGTTTGCCTTTCCAGACGGTGGAGAACCCGGTGTTTCAGAGGCTACTCAGCCTTTTATATTCTGGTCCCGGAGAATTGGAACTCCCGTCAGCGAAGACCCTGCGGAGACGGCTCCGGGATGCAGTCAATTGCCAGCAAGAGTTACAGTTACAAGATCTGCCTGAAGATGCCAAGGTTTCCCTCGCTTTAGATTGTTGGACCAGTCCATTTCAGCAGGCATTCATGGCAATCACGGTTTATTTCATCGACAAAGATTAGAACTATAGGGAAATGCTCCTCGGCTTTGAGCCGTTGCACGGTCCTCATACAGGCAACAACCTTAGTGATGTTTTGCACCGGTTACTGGAGGAACGAAAACTTCTCGATCGTATTTTTAGCGTTACTACAGACAACGCTACCAACAACGACACCATGATACGCGCCTTGCAAGAGAGACTGCTTTCTATCAGAGCTATTAGCTCCAGGGAATCAATAGTCCGGGTTCCCTGCATGGCTCATGTGATCCAGCTTTGCCTGAAACAGCTACTGGGACATATCAGGGCAGCACCTAAGAATAAAGAAGTCAGAGCCTTTTGGTCCGACACCCAAGCCCACGGGTTGAAGGATTCGATCAACTATGGAGACGTGGCTCATACACTGACAAAGGTGAGCCAAGATATTCACTTTTTCAATATACTCAGAGCACTGACAGCATTAGATTCGATCCTTTGCGATCTTTGTCAACGCAAGCCCACAACGGCGTGATGCTTTTTTATGCCTCCAATCAGGTGGTACTCGGCTTTTTCCGTTACATGACGTTCAGACACGCTGGAATTCAACTTTTTTGATGCTTCGCCGAGCACGCCGGCTGAGAAATGTAATCGACAAATACTGCTGCGATCATGAATACTCGCAGCTCAAGGTTACCGACGTTGAATGGAGGCAAATTGACTACCTCGTTCATTTGACCAAACCGTTTTTTCAGTTCACCATGGCTCTGATGAAGACCAGAGACGTCACAATCCATAGTGTGTTCCTTGTGTATAGGAAACTACTGGAGCATATCGAACGGTCGAATCGAAGATTGAAGAGAAAGACAACACCCTGGAAGAAAGACATGTATGGCGCGTTGCTTGTGGCGAGGCAGAAGCTGAAAGAGTACTACGAAAAAACCTACCGCGACCACGGTTTTCTCTATGGCACTGGAACATTACTTGCTCCTCAGTATAAACTGAGTGCTTTTGATGCTCGAGAGTACTCAACTTGCCATGAAGATACGTCAAAAAGGTACTGTGAATATTTGAGAGCATCTTTCACACAGTATCAGCAGCAGAACCCCGAGTTGCTATTCCGTACGGTCCAGCGATCTTCCAATTCGCATAGCACAGAGCTTGATCGGCTACTCGAGCCACCTGGTGCATCGATTTTCCATGAAGGAGTAGAGTATGACGAAGTGGACCAGTATCTTCGCGAAGGCACGAGCAATCAGTACAACACACTGGAACAACTGACTGACCTCGAATAGCCAATGTCCCTGTGTCGCCGCGACTTTATTGGAAAGAACACGAGCGCGAATTCCCAGTGCTGTCTCGGCTCGCACGAGACTTGCTTTCAGTCCCTGCCACCGGCGCGGGTGTAGAAAGGCTCTTCAATAGCGCACGAGACATTTGTCATTATCGCCGAGGGTCTCTTCACGAAGGGACCATTCAAGACTTGATGATGTACATGTGCTCAGAAAAGCTCACACTAGAGGGACAGCAATTGATTCGTCTGGAGAAACCGTTGGAGAGCGAGAGCCAAGAGGCACTTGAAGAGGATGAAGCGTTGAAGGCAATCGAAGAGGATGCAGAGCCGATCAGCGACAATGAGGAGATTGAAGAGAGCGAGAATCTCGAGGGTAACTCTGAGCCAGAGGAGACATACCAAGTGGAGTGTACGGTGGTAGAGACCGGCCGGAGCTCTATACACAGACATATTCACGAACCTGAACAAGAAGAAGAGAGTATGGAGGAAGACGTGGTTGATTACGACGAAGCAGATTTACTTCCGCCTCCAATCATGCAATTGAGTGATAGAAGCCAGAAGAGATCTTCTGGTCGGGTAACAATGCCCTCCAGCAGACTGCGAGGTTACGAGGTATACTAGTCTTTATAATTAGCCAATTTGATTTTTTCAAGCCCTTCATGTTCCTTTCCAAATATTCACAGCCAGAAGCTAGTAGTTACGCCATCAAAACAATTAGATAATCGAAAATTACTGCATAACTTAGTGTAAAATGATCAGTCAGCTTTGTTTGCTTTTTTGGGTAATCGCGGGTACCCATTTGGGTCTTGGGTTGGGTTTCCCGGATGACAACCCGCCCACGGGCTTGCTGACTAAGACCCAACCCGGCCCATGGGCTGGGTTTTCGCGGGCGGGTTTGGGCGGTGGGCGGGTTTTGGCGAGGCCTACCGACCACACTGGCTTCTGAAATAGCAGGGTGATACATCAGCCGCTCTTCAATCTCTCGAGGGAAAATGTTCTCGCCACCTGTAAAATTTCATGAGTATTGGGACTTTCAAATCGTTGAGAAAGATCAGCATACCCCGAATTATCAGATCTTTGATGCGACCGGTGATATGGGCGTACCCATCGGTGTCGATCATGGCTTCATCTCCAGTGTGCATCCACAACACCCCATTCTCGTCTCTCCGCATCACCTCTCTAGTCTTTTCCTCATTCTTCCAATATCCTTTCTGTAGCAGAAACCCACTGGTACATAACTCACCCCGCTGTCCTCGGCGCAAGGTCCGACCCTTGTCATCAATGACCTTTGCAGCCGTATGCGGGATGACTCGACCAACTGTTGTCGTGCCCTTTTCATCGCTGTCGTCCAACGAAGTGATGAAGCTGACAGGACTAGTTTCCGTCATACCGTAGGCGATCAGCATTTTCTTCACACCCATCGTCTCCCGGAGCTGTTCCATTAGATTTTGAGAAACGGTGGAGCCAGACGCCAGTCCGGTCCGTAGTCGACGAGGTCGCTGCCCTGTCTTAACCATGACTTCCAATTCGGCAACGTACATGGTCGGAACCCCAAGGAGGACTGTGGCATCCTCGTTGATGATGGCGTCGACTACCTTTGTGACGTCGAAGTAATCGGATGGAAACACGATGGAGCTTCCGCGATAGAAGGATGAGAGAAAGCCAAGGACTAGTCCAAAGCAATGGAACATCGGTGGTGGGCAACATACAACATCATTTGGGGTAAGTTGCATTGCTCCCCCGATGTACTGTGCATTATTGATGAGATTACTGCAAATTAGATTATTAGATTGCAAGATCAACCAGCTGAGTGGAGTGACTTACGTATGGGTGAGCATTGCAGCTTTGGGAGAGCCCGTAGTTCCTTCAAGAAAGGTTAGTACTCGAAGTGCAAGCGGAGTTCGCAATTTACCGGAGGTGAATTGTAGATTAACCACATCGTCACGAGTGACTTTTCTCTCTGCACGCTCGAGCGTAGCATTGCTCATGAACACCGAGAGGCCATTTGATGTAAAAGTATTGTAGGGCTGAACCTCAACACCGGTATCAGATTGTGTCTTGGGGCCGAGTGAAACAATGCGTTGCAATTCAGGTAGCGCTGGGTTTGGGTATTGCGTTCCTTGCAGAGTTGCGATGTGACCCATCAAGTCTCGCGAGCCGATACTCGTTGCATGGAAAACAAGTTTGCATGCTGAAATTTGTTAGTGATTGTAGTTCACAGGTAGAGCACCATTTCCACTTACAACTTCTCTGAACGGCATTCGTAAGTTCCGCAGGGGTGTATGTATTGTTCAACACAACGACAGGGCACCCAATTCGAGCAGCACCAAGGAAAGCCTCAATGTACTGATAGCAATTGCCCGCCATGATACCCACGCAGTCGCCATGTTCCAGTCCCATCTCGAGCATCGCCTTGGCTAGAACTTTGCTTCGGTCTGCCAATTCGCGATATGACAGCCGTACAGCCTGCCAGGGGAACACAACCGCAGGACAATCCCCGTATAGAGATGCCTGGTCATCGATAAGAGCTTTCATGGTTTTGAGACATAGTTGGGGCTCTTGTGGGCCATGAACGAGCGCGAGATTGGGATCCATTATGGGCTCTTAGAAGGTGATATTGGCGCAGAAACATCAATTTGACCAAATCAAACCAAATTAAATAAATCTTCCAATTACGCAGACCTCATTTGATTATGCCAATTCGACTGATCTTCGGGCTGATTTCCCCACACGCTCCAGCTGGTCCGCTCCCGGGCTTCGGACCGACCTGCCTCCACTCACATCAACTTCAGAGATTCACTCCGAAACTTCCTGCGGGGAGACTTTATTACAAGTCTATCTTGGAAAATTTCGTCTTGCATGCACAACTGGGGCCTGGACATTTTCACCATGGCGACCGAATCTTCGTTCCCAATCGCAAGCAGCAATGTTAATCTTCGAGGTCCACAATTTCAAGCAAACAAAGAAAGCTGGACACCGGTGCTTGATAGGTTTGAAGAATTGTTGAAGCAGGTTTCTGCGGAAGGGAATGATGTCTCCCTACGAAGACATCAGGGTCGGGGACAGTTGCTACGTAAGTCCACCACCGAGTCACGAGACAGGCGGCTAACGGGGAGTTAGCAAGGGACCGCGTCGCACTACTACTGGACCAAGACTCTCCATTCTTGGAGCTTGGAGCATTCACTGGATTTGGCAATGAAGATTCCACTCCGTGCGGCAACTTGATTGCTGGAATTGGAAATGTTTGTGGACGCATATGTCTGCTCATGTCTCATATTCCCACTCAAAGCGGAGGTGCTTGGAACGAGATGACCGGTATGAGATAGTGAAAATTCATCTTGTGATATTTACTGATGAGGAAAAGTGTTGAAGGTGAATCGCATGATGGAGATTGCATTTGAAAATGACCTTCCACTGGTTTCTCTCGTCCAATCAGTGAGAAATGTCCTTAGTCTATGAGAAGACAACATATGCTAACCATCAAAGGCCGGTGTCTTTCTACCACAACAGTTCCGAGTCTTCCATAAAGGAGGTCAGCTCTTCCGTGACCTTGCGCTCCGAACCAGACATGGGAAGCCTTCATGTGCCATTGTTTTTGGATCCTCCACGGCTGGTGGAGCATACCACCCAGCACTATCAGACTACACGATCTTTGTCGAAAATCAAGCACAGGCTTTCCTCGGCGGACCTCCACTTGTAAAGATGGCCACTGGTGAGGTTATTGGAGCGGAAGAGTTGGGAGGTGCCAAAGTTCACGCAGTAACCACTGGTCTTGCAGACCAAATCGCTTCCGATGAGTATGACATTCTGAGCTCCAAAAAAGTGGCTAAGCTGATCGTGTATAGATTTGATGCTATTCACAAGGCGCGTGAGTGGGTAGCCACTCTCCAGGCACGTACCCCATCTGTACCTGGCTTGATTGAGCCCCTGGCCCCGAGGTATCCTATTGAGGATGTGCTTTCTCTCGTGAACCCAGATATCCGAAAGCCGTTTGATATGAAAGAAGTATTGCTGCGCATTGTTGATGATTCGCGCCTGTTGGACTTCAAGCCTAAATATGGACCGAACATGATCACTGCGTCAGCTCACATCATGGGTAAGACCAATTTCCTCGAAAGCGAAGCCGCAATTGACCATTAGTCGTATAGGATTCCCGGTTGGAATTATTGCGAACCAATTGTCAGTTATAAACCCTAACGAGGCGGCGAAAGCTACGCAGTTTATTCGAATGTGCAATCAGCAGTAAGTCTCGAGCAAGTAAATTTACATTCAAACACTGACAATTTCAGGAATACGCCAATCATTTTCCTGCACAATGTTACCGGCTTCATGGTTGGTGCCAAGGCCGAACATGCCGGAATCATCAAAATGGGCGCTCAGCTCGTGTCCGCGGTCAGCTGTTCGACTGTGCCTCATATATCCATTATTTTGGGTGCTTCCTACGGCGCTGGCAACTATGCAATGTGTGGCAGAGCTTACAGTCCCCGATTTTTATTCTCATGGCCTACTGGCCGCTGCAGCGTAATGGGCCCAGATCAGCTTTCTGGTGTGATGGAAAATGTCCAAATAGCCAGTGCCAAATCCAAGGGCCAGACGCTTTCACCAGAGAAGCTCAAGAAGCAGGTGAACACATTCCGGGACAGAGTCCAGAAAGACGCAGAGTGCTATTCGACCAGCTCGATGTTGATTGACGATGGAATTATTGATCCGAGGGACACCCGTGATGTTTTAGGAATGTGCCTGGAGGTGGTATCGCAGCAAAGCGTGCAAGGGACCCAGACGCACAATTTGTTGGCGCGAATTTGATAAAGATAGTTAGAGATTTAATCAACTTCTCTGTTCCATCAATGCGGATGAATATACCTAGCACGTCTTTTGTCAGAGTAAAAGTAGCAGAAATATGAATGACCCGTGTTTGCTTGGCTGCTCTTCTGTGAAAATACCCATATCTCGTATCACAAGCAAGACTGATGAACCACTTGGAATCTTTGCTAAAATTAGCTCAACATGCAACTTCATCCTACGTCATTGCAACCAAAAAGCAGCCTTCCATGGCACCGGAACACCTGAGGATTCAGGCCTCAACGAGTGGGGCTAGACCGGTCCGTCCCCACAAAATAGTGGCCCGGGCGCCGGACCGAAGTGGAGATGAAGCTCGGACTTTTGATACTGTAAATTCATCGTGCATTTCCTCTTTGCGCTCTTTGAGCTATTTTCAAGATAATTGTCAATCATGACTGTCAGTTACACAAATGGCGATGCATCAGTTACTCGCAAACCTTTGTTTGTCGCCGAACCACCATTGGGAAAAGATGGCAGACCAATTATCCAGAAAGTCTTGATTGCCAACCGTGGAGAAATCGCCTGTCGCATCATTCAGACCTGCCGCAAACTAAACATTGAATCAGTAGCCGTCTATGTGGAAGAGTCCGTACCCAATCCCATAAGTAACATGGATCTCACATGAACCCTGGCTAACATGATTTTTCAGAGATGCATCATCCCGTCATGTTCAAGATGCAGATGAAGCTATCAACCTCGGTAGCATTGACAACAGTAGTCGCAACCCATTTCTTGATATAGATCTGCTGGTCCAAACAGCCGTTTCAGCCAACGCTCAAGCCATCCATCCGGGATATGGGTACTTGAGCGAAAATGCAGACTTTGCACAACGTGTCCACGAAGCAGGGCTCATCTTTATCGGCCCGAGCCCCAGTGCAATGTCTACCCTCGGTGACAAGAGATCATCCAAAGAGTATCTGCGCTTGCATGCCCCTGATGTCCCACTTATTCCTGGGTTCTCGGGATCAAGCCAGGACGCAGAAGCCTTGAGGAAAGTGGCTGCCGAGATTGGATTCCCGGTTATGCTGAAGGCATCGGCCGGCGGAGGTGGAAAGGGTATGCGCATTGTTCGAGAAGCGGGTCAACTCAAGGATGAACTGGAACGAGCTCAATCCGAGGCTCGTCGCTCCTTTGGGTCAGATGACTGCATCCTAGAGAAATTCATTGAGAGCAGCAAGCATGTGGAGATCCAGATTATGGGTGACTCAACCGGACATGTAGTCTCATTTCTGGATCGGGATTGCTCGGTGCAACGAAGGCATCAGAAGGTCATTGAAGAGACACCTTGCCCATTCCTCACGGAGGAGACTCGACAAAAGATGAGCACCACTGCAGTCAGAGTCGCAGAATTGATTGGATATGAGAATGCCGGTACTGTTGAGTTTGTGGTTGATATCAAGACGCATCAGTTCTACTTCCTGGAAGTCAACGCCCGTCTCCAGGTTGAGCATCCAATCACCGAAGAAGTCACCGGAGTCGATCTAGTCGCTTTGCAACTTTTTGTCGCAGCCGGAGGCAGTTTGAAGAGTCTACCCCAACTGCAGAATGTGACTCAGCGTGGACACGCAATCGAGTGCCGATTTTGCGCCGAAAACCCGGAGAAAGACTTCTTCCCAGAACATGGCAGAGTCCACCTTTGGTTGCCGGCTGGTGGGTCTTTAGCACCAAGCCGAGATATTCGTTATGAAACGGCTATCCAGACTGGGTCCTCCGTATCCATCTATTTTGATTCCATGATTGCCAAGCTTGTCGTCTGGGCTCCAACACGAGCGCTTGCTATCGAGAAGATGGTCAAAGTTTTGGCCCAAACTGCATGCGTTGGTGTGAAGACCAATCAGCTCTTCATGCAATCCTGCCTATTGAATCCGGCGTTCCGCGATCCCGCATACACGACGGCGTTCATTCCCACGCATCTGGGTGAGCGTTTCCGAGTTCCTGCGATCCCAGGTTTACCAGAGTATGAGAAACTTGCCGCCATCATTCCAAGCTTGGTGATTCGTCGGTTGCCAGACCATGCCACCCCATTGTCGCGTCCAAAGCCTCTTCGGAATGTTCGTATGCAATTCCGAAATCAAAGATTCGATCCAGTGAATATTCATTGCGACGTGGTGACAACAACCAGTTGGCCAAAAAAGTCTAGCGAAGAGTTAGACTCAACACCATCACAACAGATTATGTGCATTTGGAAAGCAATAGAAGCAGGATCATCATCAGCCACCGAGGAAGTATACCTATTTTCGGTTCCCGATAACAGAAGCCCCAAGAGCGAGGAGCTATCGGCAGCGGCAGAGATCTCCGCCCAGTATAACGAGATCAGCCAGGCGCTGCGAAGTGGCAAAGCAACGTCCTCGCCTGTTCAAAAGGTGCAGGTTGTTTCATGGCGACCCGCAGAAGGCAATCCCGCTCAGCCAGATTCCTGGCTTGCGTCAACCATTGAAATCTCGGTCAATGGATCCAAGCTCACCGCTCATGTAGCCATCCCGTCAACCCGGGCGCATACATTAGTGGGTCAAGTTGATTGTGGCCAGCAGATTCACTGCCATCTTCCCGCTCTCGGCACTCATGTAGAATTTCGACGCGATACTTTGCTTTCCTTTGCGGAAAGTAAACGATCGGCGAAGGCAAGTCAGGGGTCCGAGCAGAAGACTGTTGCGGCACCTATGCCATGCAAGGTGCTCTCGGTGTTGAGAAAGAATGGAGATGAAGTCAAGTCGGGGGACTCAGTCATGGTAATTGAGAGTATGAAGATGGAGGTCAATATCTCCGTGGCGGCCTCTGGGAAATTCCAGACAGATTGGAAGGTCGGAGACGCAGTGGAGGAAGGGAAGGTACTTTGTTCAATTGTTTAGTTAGCTTCAGAAACAAGCCCATAACTTCATTTTAAAGAGAGACCTTTCCTTGAAGCAGAGCAAAAAGCATGATGGAATATCTCAACACTAGATGTGTTCGAAGTATGACTGCGTACGGAGTAGGGAGTAGACATGGGAGGTTTGGACCGAAAGGGGCTGAAGGGCCGCTTGGACTGCTTTTACCGCCTTGTCCGCGCCCTCCCCCCCTCCGCTCTCACCGCGTTGATCCTGCTGTCCGCCTAACAAACTACCACGCGAACGCCAATATTTTCTGATATTAAAACGGAGGGGAAAATTGATTCAATTCGAGAAACATTTACAGATGGCCTAAAGCTTGCTTATCTTGTTCATACTCTTGATCTCCTGGTTGACAGCCAATTCCGACAGAATCTCCTCACTGCCACCACCCACCACCATCACCCGAACATCACGGCTGATCTGCTCAATACGCGCTCCACGGCCGTTCTTCGAGTATCCAAGACCACCCATAATCTGCTGAGCCTCTCGGTTGACTTTCTCCAATGTTTGGCCAGCCAAGACCTTTAAGTTCGCAAAAAGCCCGCCCATGGAAGCATCCACCCCCTTCTTCTTGGCGGCTTGGGAGATGTAGACCAATTGCTCCATCCAGGCGTATGTGGAGTCAAGGCCTCGAGCCATAGCACTGAATTTAGCCCGAATAACTTGGTTTTCAATCAGCTTCTTTCCGAATGTCTCGCGCTTGATGGCGTGCTGGTACGCGTCCTCGGCACACACGCGTGCCATTCGAAGAGAAGTGCAGGCGAGCCAGAGCCGCTCATGATTGAAATCTGTGGTATAAGTTAGACTGGGCCGACATCTCTCGATTGGCACTTAGGACCAACGCACTGTTCATAATGACTGGGAATCCTTTGTTTTCCACTCCAAGCAGATTAGCCACCGGTACCTGGACTTGGTCGAACTCGATATATGTCGATCCACTGGCATGCACGCCGGAGTTTTCAATCTTTCTACATGTAACCCCGGGTGCCTTGAGCGGGATGATCAAGGCTGATATGCCATGCGTGCCCTCGCCTCCTGTTCTCACAGCGGCAGTGCAATAATCGGCGAAAATTCCGTTGGTAATCCATTTCTTCGCTCCATTGACAATATACACGTCTCCGCTGCGTTCTGCTGTGGTAGTTATTCCCGCGACATCAGACCCGGCTGTTTGTCTGATCAGCTCACATTGACACAATTAGGTTGGAGGTGAGATATCTTACCGTCAGGCTCGGTCACTCCCAAGCAAAATCGGATATTGCCCTTCAACATATCGGGTAAAAACCTTCGCTTTTGCTCTTCGTTGCCGAAATTGATCACCGGCGGACCGCCGATGGAGTTTCCGCAGCCCAAAGCCCAGATTATACCAAGGTACCCGCATCGAGCTAGCTCGTCGATGACGACAATATCATGAAACTCATCCCAATCCTTAGGGTCGACATCTCCGGGCAGTCGCTGACCATTCAGGTAGTCTGCAGCAAGTGGGAACGAACTGACAGCAGTGTATCCTAGCTCTGCGTGCCGTTTGTGAATCTATCCGCGACGAGCTTATTAGCAAGACATTGCTTCCTTGATGCTTGGCTACCATGTACCTCTTGTGGAACAAAGCCTTGTTTCTCCCAATCCTCACAGAACGGTGAAATGTATGTTTCAACATACTCACGGGCTTCTTCTTGAAGTCGACGGTGTGAGGCAGTATAGTATGGGCTGAAACTGCGGTTCAACCAAAGAGGATCGGCGAAAGGGGTGGTAGAAAAGGAAGCCATTTGAATTGTTTGGGAAGCTCGTTGGCTAAAGAGATCTCGAGCCGGTGGAGGATTGGGGTGTTTGGTCTGTATACTTAGCTTGGATGTAGGCAAGCAAATAGACACTCGGTGTAGCTTTGCTCGCTCTATGGCAGATCAGAGGTGACAAACCGAACCCAGAGTTTGAGGATTGAAGAAAAAGATCTTCGGCATAACTTGAAATCCAGGTTCCAAGTATACAGCGATTCACCGTTTGGACCGGACCGTGCTCCACCACGCCGGACCGAACACAGGACCGAGGATCCGCCCAAAATCCGGAGGTGATCAACGAACCCACAATTTCAACCAAACTAATCAAACTCCAGGGCTGTTGTTCGAAATTGGAGAAACTTGATGTTACATTTGTAATTTATTGAAATGTCCGATTTGAATCGACCTATTTTCGTGTTCATAATGATGCAACAACCTTGAAGCTCCTTGAATAGCCGGAGAGCCAAACTAAAACAGCCAATGAAACTGCCTCTGGAATAGGGTCCATGGGTAACTAGGTTCAAAACAAACCAATGTCAGGTTGGACTGGAAGAGCATATAGGTAGGGACAGATAGAAAGTGAGAAGTGGAGGTAGGAATAAAACGAAAAGCTATTGTTCTAGCTACTCAAAGTAAAACTCGTAAGAACTTTTCTTCAACAGCCAACAAGTACAATGAAACCAAAGGAAAGCCTGCAGCAACAATTTCTGACGATGCTACTAGCTGGACGCAAAAAAAAAAAAAAAAAAAAAAAAAAAACCGTCTAAGTCATTGAGTTGAGTGCGGGCTTAGCTGTTTCGTGAGTAAGGCGATTTGAGTTGACCCCTGAAACATCAGGCTTTTTCTGGATTTTTCTGATAACTAACTATTATTATATTCGAAAAAATCAAGTTGCTCAAAGCGATACATAGTATCCAGCGCCTTTTTTTGAGAGATTTGATATATGGTTCAGAAATCGCAAGCGAACCCACCCTGGTTGGACACTCATCAAAAGCTGCAATGCCATCCAGACGTAGACTTCTAGGTACATGGCTTGTTTGTTCCAGCTGAAATGAGTGTCAGTACAGTCGTCTTCAACAAACAATAAGGCAGGAAGAAATGAGCTACTTACGGCACCGACGTGGCTTGTCGGAATCCTTGACCCAGCCCTTGGGAGCGAGGTACCAAACACCGGAGTTACCATTCCTTGAGCGGATATCAGCAATTGAAGACAGCAACGGGGTGAAAATACTGACTGGTATTTGCAGGAAGGCGTGAATATAGCGCCGACTTGAGACATGCCAGTTGTGACACTCGAGTCGCAAGGATACTTGTAGTATGGGTAAGATCGCTTCACCTCGCAAGGGTTCCTGTCATGATTCCATCCATTATGATCGTCCCAATCCTTATGGCCTCCTCTGCCGCGCTCCTCAAGCTCCTCGAACTCGGCCTCCGCAGTAGGGGAACCTAGAGCAAGCTCGGTAGCCAGAGGAAGGAGCACAGCCAAAATGTAAAGTGGAGACTTCATATTGCAAAAGCGAAATGAAGATGCCGTAACTGAATCAAAGTCTGAATCTTATAATCTGAAGAGTAGTCGATGTGTTGTTGTCTGCAAGATAGAATTGTCGGGAGGAATCTTCCCTCGCTTTATACCACATCCAGTGGCAACTCTGTGAAGACTTTCAAGTCTTGTAATGATCATAATGCCTTGGCATATCGATGCAAAAATAGATACGAGGATATCATGGTGATTGTAGTTTCTTGTTCCGGCATGGAGCTGATCTAGACCAACTGGGGCTATAATTCCGACACCAAGGATACGGTACACTTTATTCGGGCACCCGAACCCACTCATACAATCTTGATTCAAACCAATACCAACAGCACTACGAGTAGCTCTTTAGTTAGTGACTGTTACAGCTCCAGCGTGCTAGTTGAGAACGCAGCGTTTTCTACCGAAGACACAATTGTGGCCATGAGCAAATCTGCCTAAGCTTCAGGCTTTTGATCATCGATGTCCACGGGTAGAGCCAGATCTTGGCGGCAGCTTGACAACAAACAGTCTTCGAAACCTTTTCGATCAAGGATATGCCTTTCCTGCTGATTGGCTTGTTCTCTTTGATCGGAAATTTTCATGAGCAGATTCACTTTACGCCAAGACGAACTGGTGCCAAAACCTGGATATGAGCAGCATTTGGTTGCTAAGATGGCCGCCGGATATAGCAGAGGGGAGACAAGATTTCAAGCGAAAGCGAGCAGGTTTGATACTTAAAATTCCCTCCAATCGGATAACTTTCGCTTAGATCTTTGTCACAAGATTGTTGACCTATGCCAAGCAATGCCAAGACTTTGCGCGGGAATCGAGGCGCGGTCCAGATTCCCGATGATTACCTACACACCTGACATCTTTGAAAAGTGAAGGGTGATCATTTATTTTGCAAAGCAGATACAAATTGACTGACTTTAGAAAAATTGCATCCTATCTAGACAATGCGGAATAGATTTTCGGCCCGGAGGTAGAAGAAAGACAGTAGTCTTTGACCAACAATATGCATTTTACGCCTCATCGAAGATGAGCTCGGATACGTTAATGAAAGCTGAGCCTCAATCCAGAATGAACCATAAAAGAAAAGATTTGGCCCAAGCTCATCCCGTGGCTCATTTCCGTACCTACTCATTTTGGAAGCCCAAGTCGCCTCTTCGTATGCAGTGCTACCATTCTTTTGATGATACTTTCAGTCCTAAATCAAATGTTATATTTTTTTCCACGGGGTTGATTTGGTCTGGGTGAAATTTACCTTTCTTTGAGCATCATCATCAAACCTTGAACCAGGAATCCTTTGATGATCTGTGGTGCTAACCCCTTGTACAAGCGGGAGAGGCCCTCATTCCTAACAATATAGCGAATGACTTCAGTGAACCCCGAGAATGGCCTTCCAATACGGCAGTGTGGGGGCTTGGACTGAAGCATTGTCTTGGCGACAATCAGTGGGTGTGTAGCGATGGTCGCGAGAACTTTCGACAAAGCACCCAACACTAGAATAGTTATCCCATCAGTGAATTACCTCATCACATTTGGAGACAGACGTACAGAAAGCATCAGTGGATCCTAGTCTTTTGCCTTTTCTGAGGGCAAGCAACCCCTCTCTGAGCCATTGGTAAACACCATATGTGATCATAGGATTGATGACCAGGATCAAGTTGACCTTGAAGCCCCGCCAAAGACCCGTCCAACCATCTTCGCTCTGAACAATTTCTAGCATTGTTTCCCACATTGATCGTTTGTGGTCGTCCCTGCGTGTCTGTTGTCGAGTAGATATCACTGCGATTGGATTGGTGCATAGTTGAGCCAATGCCCCACCCACCGCCCCCAATACGAGCTCTTTGGTAATACTGTTGGCGTCGGAGATTCCATGTCTTTTGAATGTCGATACTTGGAAGCTTCGGGCTGCCGTGGACCAGTAGAAATAGGCAAAGTTCATAGAGGCTGTTCCTAAAATAGAGCTTGCGAGACCGTTGTAGAGACCTGAGATACCTTCTTCTCGAACGATCTGACTGACAGCGGCGAGCAAGCCATCATAGTTTGCATGATCGTCTGAAGTGCCCTCGGCAGTGGTCGGCTTTTCTCTATCGGTGGTTTCTTTTCGGTGCCGGCGAACTTGAACTTGTAACCGCGTTTTAACACTGAGATTATTTAGAATCATCATCAGAGAAAGCCTGTCATTGCGACCATCTGTAATCATACATATCGAGTGGGTATACGATGAAATTGGCCAGAATGGCTGCCGTGGTACCCGATACGACCCCTTCCCACGGGGACGCTTGATGTTGGTGAGCCATAATTGTGGTCCGTATTCATTCCCAGGAGCCATGTTGCTTGCTGCGACAGACCTGCTCTTATTCCACGCACGTTGCATGTAGATCGGTTTGAGTAGAAAGGGTTATCGGACCGAGCGGACCGAGTCCGTAAGATTCCCCAATTGAGATTCTTACGATGCTATTATTTTCTTAGATCATGTTACTTGGTCGAGGACTGCAGTTCAGCAATTGCTCAACTTCTTCAAGCCGCATGGAGGGGGTAATGCCTCCTAGTATGTTGCCACCGGGGCTGTATCCGTCTTGCCCTAGCATCCCGGCCCCCAGAGCCCACGAGGTGGGCGACGGGAGGTTCGCTCCTGTTTTGGGTGAAAGTTGCTTTTTACTCGGGTCAGCGCCCAGTATGGCATAATCTATCATCGACCACATGACCTCCTCCGAACCAAAGTCCAACTCGTCCATCAAGTGGCTAGGGTCAAGGAGGGTAGCAAATGGCTGAGAGATGGAATGAAATTCCCGCAGTGAGGCAGCCTAAATGGTGACTTGTGAGTATCCGTTTCAATTGATGATGAGTGTCCAAACATACGATATTCCCAGCATGCACCCAAAGCTTTGCCAATCTCTCCAGCGAATCTATACTTTGCTGGAGGTAAATGACATTGTTTGTCTCGCGGCCTCGATCTTGATTGAAGTGCGTGGCTAGAGAGTGAATGCCCCCAGCAACAGCAATGCAGTATGCATAGAACGAAGACTCAACAAGACATCCATGATCGTTAGCCTGCTGAAGAAGATCCATGAGCTGTGCTGCATGGTCGCACCCATCTTGCAGGGCCCGAGAGGAGAAACTAGCGGGTGCCTTGGCTCCATAAGGTTTAAGCCACCGCCGCACTAGGAACGGATGATTCAAAAGACAGTGACAGAGATGGAAAAGGGTGTGAGCAAAGATGAGATGTCCAATCTCCTGCCGATCGACCGTTGCATCCGCCTGAACACTCCCGTGAAGGATGTCCGAGAGTTGCCAATTCGAACTCTTAGAATATGACTCCAAGAGCAGCAGAGATGAATTTATTGCTGAGAACTCTGATTTCGGGTCCCATGGCGGAATCTCTTCCATCTTCTTACTTTGGTGGACGTATCTTGTACAGCGGCCAAATATCGATGCCATCAACACGACAAGCGCAAAGGGGCTGGGGCTTTCGGTCAGCTTAGAGTTCCAATTCAGCAATTGATCAATAGTACTGGTCTTTCTCCATTCTCCATGTCGGAATGTGTTCTCGTCGCATGGAAGTTGAAGTTCGCAATCTTCATCTAAGATCACAAGGGGCCGAGATCGCCCGCAGGAAATGAGTTTGTCGAGCAGATAAATTGACCAAAACGCCCTTCGCTGCTCTTCTTGTTCAGAATAAGAAAGCCATACATCCGGTTCTGCCATGAGGTGCAAGTCCTGAGATATTCGGGCGGCCAACCCAATCTTGAGCCAACCCGACCGTGCGCGACCGGCTGAAGCGCCGAGCATGTTAGCACTTCCTGCAAAGCCGCGAACGTGTCCGTAGCATACCTGTATAATCGACCACGGCAAGCAAATTGACTGTCTGCACCACGTGAACATTCAAATTGTCTTCCATGGTTAAGTGGTCACCCAGAACAGACAGCCATGATTCTCTCGCATACTTCTCCGAGGCTTGACGCGTCTGACCCGCGTAGAACGCGTGGGTCGAGAATCGCACAGCAGAGGAGAGCACCGCTAATACCAGACATCGAGGTAAAGAATCGCTCTCTAGCCTCTGTCGGAATGAAGTCTCTTGGAAATAAGAATACGGCTGATTGTGGACCCGCAGAAAATAAGTGTCGATCACAGAGCTCAGAACATGAGGTGGAGGAAGGTTTCTGTTTCGAAAATTAGCATGACGTTTTTCGCGTAATTTAAGACATCAGGAACATAGATCACTCACGTGTTCTCTTGGCATATTGCTTGTGGTAATGGAGCTGGCTGGGAAAAAGTGTCTCGAGTCGGTGATACTTGGGCGTGGTCTTGCGCGATTGGAAAGTGAAAGTGAGGTGTCGCGTCTCTAAAAGCACCGAATTAGCGACTACGTATTGTTAACGCGTGCAAACGCATGAAGTTTGAGTAGCGTACTGCCGGGTCGTCCCACTGATCTGTGCAAGGCGAGACTCAATCGTGCTAATCCTTTGTAATAATTCAATCTGTTTTTGTTTAACAATCACCAATAAACACAGTCCACAGCGACAGTCATCAAACTAACGTTGTTTAAATTGAGCGCTGCAGAAGGCAAGGACATAGGCGGGTTTGGCGCACTAGGGTTCTCTGCCACAGTTGCCGAGTAGGGCTCATAGACGCAGGCTAAGCGATTGCGTCGACAGTGGTAGCAAATAGGGCGGTCTCCGGTACATTTTGTCTTCTTGCGCCTGGATCTGCGATGAGGACAGGCGGCTAAAGAAGGTAGGAGTCTTACCTGCAGTTAGCGCAAGCTTGTCGAATCCGCTTGATAGCCCCTGAGTCTATTACATCCATGATGGTGTGCGGAGGGGGTAAGTTGAAGGAGGACGGAGCTCAGGTGCGGGGAAGACTGTGGAGTAGCAACTGTGTTTCCCCGGACTGGCGGAAGGGTGAACAACGTTGTTCGGCTCTTGGCACAGTCTGCTGCGAAGAATGAAAGTTGATCTGAGTTGGGGTTAGCTTGATTGGCCAATTCGACATAAACATCTTGTAGGAAAGTTGGACTGTGATTTTCTCGCTTTAACGTCCTAATCGGGTAATTTCTGCACTCGGCTGGTCGGGAGGGGACAGGGCCCACCAACAGCGAAGGAAGCCCAGCACTCTGATTCGTCGGGAAAGGTGGATTGGCGACCGATCAGACCGATCATCGTATGGACCAATAGACGCTGATATCGAATCTCTGCTTTTTTACCCTCTTAGGTATATTCTGCTCAGTGGGTTATCGTCCCTATCAAGTGGCGTGGTGGTAAAAATGAAGAGAGCTTCAGAATTGCCGCCTATAAAGATGGAAGCTTCTTATTTCCCCGAAACTCATGCATTTCTCTCATTCCTCTGATACGATTTGGCCCAAAATGACCTCGCGTGACGGTTTCCAATGGACCTCTGAGACTGGCCTTGTCCAGGGCGTCCCTTCAATTGGCGTTATCTCCCCGCCATCCAACATCCCTGCAGCAGAATCGGGGCCTTGGGATGTCATCGTAGTTGGCGCCGGTTATTCTGGTTTGACAGCGACCCGAGACTTGTGTCTTGCCGGTAAGCTGATCTGGCGGTGTTTCAACCTGCCATGGCTAATGTGTCGCTAGGCCATAAGGTGCTTCTCGTTGAAGCTCGCGATCGTATCGGTGGTCGGTCCTGGTCATCCAACATTGGAGACTATCCCTTTGAGCTGGGTGGTACATGGGTGCATTGGGGGCAGCCTCACGTGTGGCGGGAGATTTCAAGATATCAAATGCGGCAGGAGTTGGAGGAATCATTCGATTTCTCACGTGGTGTCAACCATTTCCAACTCCGCACAAGTGAAGGCGATAATTTAATGAGCCATGATGAAGAGGTGAATCTAGTGCAATTTCCTTTCCTTGACAGCTCTACTGACATCACTAGGATGCCCTTCTTGCCGGTGCCCTAGGCAAATTCGTCAACGTTGATGGAGCAATGGGTCGGAAGATCATCCCTTACGCCCATGATGCATTCCACGTCCCCGAATCGCGTCAATATGATAAACAGTCCGCTGCCGACCGCCTCAAAGAGATCGCGCTCTCCCTTACACCGAATGAACGTGCCGTCTTGGAGGGTTTTGTCCTGCTCTGCAGTTGCGGTACCCTTGAAACAACCAGTTTCTTCGAGTTCCTGCATTGGTGGGCCCTGTGTGGCTACACTTACCAGGGTTGCATGGATGCATTGATCTCTTACAAATTCAAAGGTGGTCAATCCTCTTTTGCGATCAAATTCTTCAAAGAGGCACTTTCGACTGGCAAGCTGTCCTATGCTTTCAACAGCCCGGTTCAGTCGATCAGCGACGAGGTAGACAAAGTTACACTGACAACCCGGAACGGTCAACAGTATACCGGTTCTCGCTTGGTTTCTACAATTCCCTTGAATGTGCTAAACACAATCTCTTTCAACCCACCTTTGGACTCTCAGCGTGCCTCTGCAGCCAACACCGGCCATGTCAACCAGTGCGTTAAGGTGCATGCCGAGATTTCCGACAAGAATATGCGCTCTTGGACGGGCATTGCATACCCCTTTAACAAGTTGACGTATGCCATTGGTGATGGAACCACCCCTGCTGGAAACACCCACATTGTCTGTTTTGGTGGATTCCACAATCACCTTCAGCCCGAAGAGGACATAAACGAAACTAGAAAGGCTGCCCAGAGCATGGCACCTGGAAACATGGACATCAAGCGATTGGTATGTTTGTTCTGAGTTTCTTTCCATTCAAAGTTTACTAATTCTATCCAGGTTTTCCACAACTGGTCGAAGGATGAATTTGCCAAGGGTGCCTGGTTCTTTTCTCCTCCAAACCTCTTGTCAACTTCGCTTGACGCACTGAGGTCGCGGCATGGAAATGTTCTGTTTGCCAATTCCGATTGGGCTGTTGGCTGGCGTAGCTTCATTGATGGAGCTATTGAAGAAGGAACTCGTGCTGCATTCACCGTGACCGAGGACCTACGAGGCGCATCTACCTCCCGGTCACGCTTGTAGACTAGCTTAGATAACTAAAGAAGCTCCAAATGAATTCAATGGTACGGAGTTAATCTCAATTTTCTCTCATGATGAGTCAAACTAGTAAGCTTGCATCGATAGTTACGATTTTTATGATTTAGACATTGGCAATGGATATATGTTTATCATGTTAGGTATTTGGCTGTCCGATGTTATCAGTGCTTTACATGCTTTAATTTATCGCCAAACTTTCGAAGAGATACGGTGTGTCTGATTATTCAATCATTCTCATTCTCCAGGCAGCAGACAGAAATTCAACGAGTGAAACACTAGGGATTAGCCTTCAATGGACGGTCCCTGGGTCCGCTCGGACCGAAGTCCAGAGTCAAAATCCGGGGAAATGCTATCGTTCTGTTGGGTCTACCAATCAGAACCTGCCGTGCTAGTGGCTATTTTCTCTCTTTTACTTCCCTTTCTAGTAATTTTGCTTCAACACTCACGTTTTGTCTCCACGCGTACAACTTGATAAAGCCATCAAGCTGGACCCGTCCCTTTGGAAAAAGGGATTGGCTCTAAATGATGGCATTGATGTCAAAGTTTCTCTCTTTTGTGTCCTATTTGGGTAATTTTGCACATCCCCCGCACTTCGCCTCTTATCATCACAATCCTTGACATTTGATAGCACTGCGGTGCGCCTCATAGTTGATATGCTGTTGGGGTATGATAACGACCGTAGACTCTTAAGCTCAAATAATGTCCGCCCCGTTGACTAAACCATGATCCTCCCAAACAAAGTAAACACTAAGCAATAATGCATCCTGACGACCTGAAAAGCGAAGAAAGTCAGTATCATGTGCTTCAATTCACCTCAACTCCATTGGCATACTGACCGGGCATACTATGTAGTAACTCCCACCGATATCGAGCGAGGTAAGTCAGTGACTTACTAAAAGAATCCATGAAACTCATAAAGTTCCAGAATCGATACAAATAAATGGCCTCGTCGAACACGTACAACTCAATGGGTTAAACCTGCAATCCGAAGCAACCCGGCAGATGTCAAATCTCGAAACAATCTCTGCGAGTTGGGTGATTTGCGATAGCTGGGCTGGTGTTGCTGGGACAATCGCCTTGGCAATTTCACAAGGTGGTCCAGTTACTCTCATATATGGTCCTATCGCCACAATGATTCTTGTTGGAGCATGCGCAATGACCCTAGCCGAGCTGGCCAGTGTGTATCCCACTGCTGGGGGCCAATATCATTGGACTTCTATCTTGGCCCCAAAATCCATAAACCGCTCATTGGTATGTACTCTTCAGGTCTGCTATATTTTCTGAAAGCAAAGCTGATCTCAGGATACCAATTCAGAGTTACTGCTGTGGTATCACGAATATGTTTTCCTGGATCGCAATTTGTACCGGAATTGCGATCATTCCAGCACAGCTGATCTCAGGGATTGCTGTGTTTTATAACCCGACCTACACACCTCAACCGTGGCACTCATTTTTAATTTACCAAGCCATCAACGGCTTGGTCCTGCTATATAACATAACTCTGTTGAAGAGGTCGCTCTGGATACACGATGTCTCATGTAAGTGCCCTGCTGCATGTTTACACGAGATATACAAATGGTCTAATAACCATCCTCAAGTTGTTGTGACTATTGCCAGTTTTCTCGTCATTGTTATCACTTGTGTCGCACGCACCTCGCCAAACTACGAGCCATCGACAGCCGTTTGGGCTACATTCCTCAATGATAGTGGGTGGAGCTCTGGTGGTGTGGCTTTCCTCACTGGCTTGGTGACCCCAAACTACATGTACGCCGGTATTGACGGTGCGTTGCATCTCGCCGAAGAATGTAAAAATGCGAGTACTGTGGTCCCTCGCGCTCTCATGAGTACTTTGAGTATTGGTTTCGTTACCTCATTCTCTTTCATGGTTGCCATGTTGTACTGCACTAATGATTTGGACGCGGTCGTTCAATCAAAAACAGGGCAAGTAAAGTTCGATTTATCACTCTAAAATATGCTGACCATTTATCAGCGTTCCAATCTATGAGATGTGGTACCAGGCTACTCGCTCAGGCACGGCTGCCACAATCTTTGTCATTTTGGTGGTTTTTGCAGCCATCTTTGCACTCATAGGTGGCCAGCAAACTGCCTCTCGGTTGACTTGGTCCCTTGCAAGAGACCATGCCTTGATCGGCAGCCAATGGCTTAGCAAGACACATCCTAAGTTTGATGTACCAGTCTGGAGTCTTCTATTCAACTTTGTGGTAATGTTCATCATTGGATGCGTCTACCTTGGTTCCTCATCTGCCTTCAATGCTTTCATTGGCACGGGCTTGATCCTTCAACATATCTCCTACGCATTCCCCGCAGCCCTACTTTTGTACCGAAAACGGTCTAATATTTGGCTCCCTCGGTCCCGATCATTCTACCTCCCTGGTATTGTTGGATGGATCATGAACATCGTCACTATCTGCTTCGCGGTGGTGGTTTTGATCTTCTACAACTTCCCGACAACATTACCAGTGACCAGCACCAGCATGAGTAAGTTTGTAATGACCCCTCTGCTGATTATCACTTACTAACCTTGACGAAGATTATACGTCGGCTGTGCTGGGCGTGATGGCCATATTTGCGGGTCTCAACTGGATCATCTGTGCTAGTCGGAAGTATCGTGGTCCCCGACTTCATTCAGGTGTGGAATGATTTATTACAGATAACTACTTTTTCTTTTCAAACGTATAAGTTCTTGCCGTCTTACCCAAATGAAGTGCAAAATTTGACCGCGACAGAGATACACATGGGCACCTTGTGACAATAACCATCACCATTGGGTTTGTGTGTAAGAGAAGACCATATCTCGCGGTATCTGAAAAAGAATTTTGTCAATGCGAGATTATTGTTTGCAGGTTTTCGTGAAATTCGCCGGTGAACCGATATCGCATTGAATCTGCTTTCCCGAAAATTCTCGGGAATAATGACATTCGGGAATAGCGACCGAAATACTAAAGGAAGATGCACGAATTCAACAAATGCATTATCCCTTGCAGTGCCATTGTGTGAATGTCGAAAGCCTCAACTACAAAATTGATCTAAAGATTCGGTCTTCTACCATGGTGGGTTTGAATCAACACCCTTGTCCACGGGTATAGTCATTCATGTATCTGACCCGACCGAAGGCCATGCCTCGCTCAATCCCGATGTATCAAAAAGATGCCGCTGTGCATAAACTCGTCACCAAAATTGTCTCTTGTCTGCCCATTGGATCACTCTCAGAGACAGACCGGTCATTCTTCAAGGGGGCTGACACCAGCGACCATGTGGTCTCCACCGAGGACACAGTTTTCCATCCGCAGGGTGGAGGCCAGCCCAGCGACATCGGCGAAATGAAGCCTCAGGACGGCGATGGGTCATTCAGCGTCAAATGTGCCCGAAAATTACCAGACAGCCAAATTTATCACCTTGGATCTTTCCAGAACACGCAGAAATTTTTCAATGGTGGTGAATCAGTCGCGCAAAATATCAATAGTGCGACACGGAACTATCATTCTCGATACCACACGGCGGGACACATTCTTGGACTTGCAGTCAAGCAATTGAGAGACATAGTTGGTACTGTGTCTGAGCTCAAAGCGAATCATGCCCCCGGGGCGGCCTTCGTGGAATTTCGAGGTTTGATCGCTGGGGAACACAAAGCCGCTATCCAGGAGAAAACATCTAGCCTGATCCAAAGCAACCTTGAGGTCAAGGTTGACTGGTGGGACGTGCAGACCGCCATATCACGAGGGGTAGCCTTGCCAGAAGGGTCTGCTGAGTCCCAAGGCAACATTCGTGTTGTGGATGTGGTAGGTGCTGGGGCTTACGCTTGTGGGGGGACACACTTGCCCGAAACCCGTGACATTGGAGGGATTGTTGTTAGAAAGATCAGTCGACAGAAGGGGATCACCAAAATCTCATATGAGATTACCGATTGAACACGACAGGTGGAAAAGCTTTGACTGTGTGGGAGATAATACCCAGTAGTAGTCAGGTTGCCAGGTGTAACTATAATAACTATTTCTGTTCAAAAATTATATTACAACGGACGCGAAAGCATGTAAAATTCATAGAGTGCGAATTTGCTACCTTGGAAGTGCTACAGACAGCCTTGGGAGAAACTACGAAGGATGAACTGTTTGAAATAACCAGATTGCCGTTGGTATTAAGAGAAAAAATCACAAACGCGCGCTATAAACGATTAAATATACATCAAATGGAAGCATTTACAGTTCCTCCTCAATCTCCCCATTCTGTTGACCCAATTCAATAGACCAAGAGAAGTTCGAAAGGTCCAAAGTATCTTCAGAACCAGAGGCCTTTCCAGCACCAAAGTTCTTGAGGTTCCACTTCTCAACGCCCTCATAACCTTTCAGCTCTTCGCTGAAAATATCGAAGAGAGAAGTATTCAGGCTATCGTACTCAGCGTACTCCTTGGGCCAATCGCCAAGACGCTGCAAGGAGAGCTTCAAGAGCTGGAGGTGGGTGCGAACATGCTCGGTGTTGAAAGCGGAACCAGCGTCAGAGGACTGGTCGTGCATGTTGATCTCGTAGGAAGATCCGTCCATGCTGAAGCTGCCGTCGAGAGCACCTTCGAACTCAGCAAGGGAGGGGTCGACAAAGACACGCAGGAGAGACTCGTGAACACCGGCGCTCTTCTTGTAGTACTTGTTGGCCATGTGCTGGCCATTCTTGTCAGCCTGGTAGCGCTGGGCGATGGCAGTGTAGAGCTGCGACAGGAGAGTCGACATCTCCAGGGTGCTGTGGTGGCGGACGCCATTGACACGGCGACAGTTGTAAGCAATGTCCTCGGCAAGGCGGGAAGCCTTGAGGGCATCACCGACAAGGTAGCGGGCGAGAATGTAGCGGCGAGCCAAGTCCAGGGTCACAGCAGGGGTCCAGTTGGACTGGCGGTGGCGGCTGTTCCAGAGGTCGCCGAGGAGCCAGACAAGGTTCTTGTAGTCCTTCTGTTCGCCGAGCAGGCCGATCATGATGTTCAGGTAGTCCAAGTTGATCTGTGCCAGGTTGATGTTCAGCGCAACGATGACCTGAAGAACTTCCTGAATGATCTGTGCGGAAACGCCACGCAGCTTCTTGAGAGCAGCTGCGTCGGGCTGGGGGTGGACGCTGTGACCGGAAATCAAAACACCCAGAGTGAAGACAAACTTGACGATCTCAGGGCTGCGGTAGGTATCCTGGGCCGAGATGTAAGTGAAGGCAGCAAGGGCCAGGTTGGTGGCACCATCGTAGTTCTTCGCCTCAAGAAGCTCGAGGACCTTGGTGTTGGCAGCAATACCAACAGAGCGAACAAGGTTCGAGGACTGGTGGTGAGTCAAGTAGCCAATGATGGTGATGAGGAAGACCTTGACTTGGGCAGTCTGGGTCAACTTGATGCGCTTGCCCTCGGTAGCGGTGAAGTAAGCAACAAAGTCCTCAAAGACACGGTTCGCGGCAGTCTGACGCTTGTTGGCGAGCAAGAAGTTGTACAGACGGGTAGCTGAAACGGAAACACTGTGGAAAGTGCTGGTCTTGGACTTGGTGACGCTGCGGAACTCCTCGAAGTAGACATACTCGGTGGTCAGCGAGGCAAGAATCTCAGTGAGGCTGGAGGAACCCTGACGGAGGCTTTGCTGAAGCTGTGCCAGGAATGCGAGGCTCTGGCGACCGTTGGAAGAGACCTCAAGCTGGGACTCCTTGGACTTGGAGGTGTCCTTCATGACGATCTGGCGGTAAAGCTCCTCGGTAAGCTCGACAGCCTTGTGAGTCTGGTTGGTCGCGATGTAGCTAGCCGCAATGGTGGTGGCAGCGGCAACCAGACGCTCAGAAGAGGTCTCCGAAGTCAGAATCTGCTTGGTAGACTCGTGGAGCTCCTGAGTAACACTCTGAGTGTCGTTCTGCTTGGAGTAGAATGACACAACCTCCTCCAGCTTAGAGAGAGACTCCTCGTGGGCCCAGCCGTAGGTTGAGCGAGCAGACTCGATGCGCTTGCGAAGAACCTTGGTGACACGCTGCTTTTGCTCACTGGAGATGGATGACGAGTCGAAAGTGGCAGTCTGCTCTTCGAAGATTCCATCAAGAGTGGCCTCAATCTCTCCAAGATCAACGCCAGCAGGCTTCAGCTTGAGGAGCTCCTCGTAGAGGGAAATGGCAGTGCTCTCGTAGGTCTTGGTCTCCTGGCAAACCTTGGCGAGAGTCAAGGTAGCTTGGATAGTGATGGTGGCAGTCGCGCTGAACACAGTCTTCACCTTGCTGTGGAATTCACTAGTAACCTTGTGGATGGTGCTGAACTCAGTGCGAGTGGAGCGCAGGCAGTGAGTGTAGCGAGTAAAGATCTGCTGAACAAAGGTCTCGTCTTGGAACTTTGGACTTTGCTTCGGCTGGTTCAAGAAAGTCGTGAAAAGCAGATTGAAGTACTCAACAGCATCCTTGTAGCGGGTCTGGGTCCACAGCTCGTTCGCAACAATGATGATGGGCTCCAATGCCTCGGGCTTGATGACAGTGGATCCCTTGTTCAAGGAAACAACGATGCGCTGGTAGTACTCAATGAACGCGGGACGGGGACGAGTGAGCTCAGCCAAGGTGAACAGGGTCTTGATAACGGTGGCGTGGTCAGGGCCGTAGTGCTTAGTGTAGTCATCCAAAACCTCCTGGTAGGTATTGATGGCTTGATCGGGCTGAGAAGAACGGTCGAAGAAAGTGATCAGCTGGTTCTTAACAGTTTCCCTGAGGTTGTCTTCCACAGGGCGCGCAGCACGAACGGCACGGTATACGCGGACGCGGATACCCTCCTCGCGCGGGAAGCGGCGACGGTAGTGGTAGCACTGGCTCAAGCGTTCGGTGAGCTCAAGGATCTCAGTGACGCGCTCCTTGGGAAGAACGACATCCTGGATAGAGGGAGCGAACAACGAAGGCCAGAGACCGTGGAGAACCTTCTTCAGAACGCGGGTAGCATCCTTCCATCGGTGCTCTTTGGTGTAAATGTTCAACAAGCTGGTGGTAGCGGTGAAGGAGCTCTGGTCAAATTGAGAGGAGCTGGAAGCCTCGTAGACAATTTCCTCCCAAGTAGTCTCAGAAAAGTTGGATGAGGAAGTGCTGACCTGCTGCATCACATGCTGAGAGGTAGACTTGATGTGCTTCTGGACCTCAGTGAGCGAGGAAGAGCGGTTGATACGCTGGTAGAACGAGGCACAGTGCTTGAAGATGTTCAGAGCAGCGACAGTAAGACCAACAGTGGTCATGACCTTAGCGATCTCCTCGAAGTGCGAGGTCGAGGTCTCGGAAAGAGTATGAGTGCTGTTCTTGTGCTCCTCCCAGACGCTAGACAAGATAGAAGAAGCCTCGGTCTCACGCTTCTGAGTCTTGAGGAACTTGGTGTATGCAAGGACAGCGCGGAGCTTGTGGTCCTCCGTAGTAGCACGCTGCCAAAGCTCAATGTAAAGACGCTCGGCAAGATCGAGACGGCCTTCAGCAGTGTACTTATCAGCGTAAGTAATGTCGCCCTCAAAGGACCGAGACTTCTCGTGAGTCTCATCTTGCTCAGCGTGTAGAAGGAAGCGGATACCAGTGTCACCAATGTCCTTCTTGTGGGCCTTGAGGCGAAGGCTAAGATCGCGAGTATCATCAGCATCGTACTTGACGGCAGTGAGATTGTGAATCTTCTGGGTCCAGGTCTGAATTTTCTGCTCCTCCTTGGTGACATGGTAGTGCTCGATAAGGGTCTTCATGACATTGACTGTCTTCTCGGACTTCTCACCGTAGTGAACCTTGTAGCACTCAACGATGATAATCAAGAGCTCCTCACGCTTGGTCATGATCTCAGTGCTAGTCACCGAATTTGTGGTGAGCTCCAAGAAGAGAAGGGCCATCTGCATGGTGAGCGTGTGAGTGGGGCTAAGCAAAGTCTTGCTGAGAATGGTAATCTCATAGAACAAAGGAATTGCCTGGGAAGTCAGGTTGAGTTCGCGGTAGAAGATTGCCAGAGAGATAATGGACTGAAGAGTCACAGGGCTCTGAGTGGTGAAGACTTCACGGCACAGGTTGGTGACAGTGGTCTGGTAGCTAAGCAGAGTAGGGGTGGAAAGGTTGCTCCATAGGGTGGTTTGGAGAAGCAAGAGAGTGATGTTGACGGGGAAGATCTTGCTAAACTCCTTGGCTGTGGGAACATCGCCACCGCTGGTGTAGGTGGTGGTCTGCTTCAAGTGACGGGGCCAGTAGCGGACAGCAAAGTCAAGCAGGGGGTGAGTCCTGACGCGTGGGCTAACATCACGACCATCGAGGGGAGTTAGAGAAGGCTCATTCTGCTCGGGAATGGTACTCTTGATGTAAACCAGAAGGCGGGTCACAAGGTCGGAATGACGGTCCTTGACGTTGGGGACAAGCTTCCCCTTGGAGAACACATCCAGTACGGCAGTTCTGATGAGACCGTGACGCAAGTAGACCTGGCCATCCTGCATGAAGACGAGCGAGATCAAAGGCTTCAAGATGTGGCGCACTTCAATTGTACGCTGGACAACTGTCTGCTTCTCTACCTGAACAGAGGCAAGGGCTAGAAGCTCGCGTGTCAGCAGAGGACGGTCTGCGGTAGCAAGCCAAAGCAACATGTACTTTGCATCTTCAGTGACGTCAGGTGACTGGAGAGCGTGAAGAACAAAGTCGGCGATAGTAGGCTTGCCCTTGATGAGGGTGTCGACAACTTTGCGGACGTTCTCTGGGGTCTTTTCCTGGCGAGCACGCTTTGTGCAGAGCTTAGCCCAAAGGAAGGACCCACGGGAGGCCTCGCTGATTTGGTCAACAAGGGTCTCTTGCTCCATCTCATCCATGGACAGGAAGCTCTTGCTCTCAGACTCCTTCGAGTGCTCGGTGAATTGACTACGCACAACGGTAGAGATATCTTCAGTTATACGGTCCCCGCTGACAGGGATCTGCGTCACGCCAACGGAAGTCTGTGGCTTCTCAGCACCGAGCGTAATCAGCCTAACATTAGTACCACTGGAGGTCGCCGGGATAAGCTTCTGGAGAAGGTGTGCCTCGCCGCAAGAAGCCTCATCGACGCCGTCAACAACAATGACGAGGTCTTTAGCACCGGCGAGAGCAGCGCCAAGGGCCTGCTTGAGAGTGTCCCACAGGATGTTTTCATAGTCGGTCTCGCTAGTGGCTTTCTTGCTGCTGTCATAGGCATCATGGAGAATCTGAAGAAGACGGACATTTCCAATGCGTTTCTCAAATAGCTGGAACAGAACAGCCTTTGCAATAGCAATGGGGGTTGTCTCAGCCGGGATTCTGGCGTTGATAGGGACGAACAACGACTTGTACGTAACACCGCCGATGTGATCCTGCAGCCGATCCACGATGACAGAAGCCAAGACTGTCTTTCCAGATCCCGGGGCACCAGTGAAAGCAAGAGCATGCTTATCACTCTTCAAGAAGTGGGTCAAGTATGGGTTCATCCAAAGGCAGGTCATCTCCTCACGTTCGTAGGCGAGGTGGGAGGTGTTCTCGGCGAGGTGGCTGAGGACGCGGTCCTCGGGGGACAGCCAAGTGCGGATGGACTTGACGACGGAGACTAACGAAAGACAAAATATCAGCAACGGCCACTAGTTATCAGAGACGATTCCAAACGTAACATACCAAGTTCGGGGTCCTTGCTCTCGTTCACGAGCTGGTGGCGCCACATGGAGTCCGAAATCTTCCCACAGCGGTCACGGAAAGATTCAATTTGGTTGGTGAAGGTCTCATAAACATTAATAGAGATATAGCCCTCAGTCAGAGCATTGATAGCTAGCTGGAAGCGAGTGGACACGCTGGCGACCAAAGAAACGAGGTCAGCCAAAGCCTCGACGAGCTGATCTTTGATCTCCTGGGAGACAGAGAACAGCTCAGTGCGCTCGAGCAGGTTCACCAGAGAGGAGGAAGTGCTGTAGAAGAATCCGAAGGATGCCATAAGGGCTGGCGCGTTGTCCTTGCCAAGCTACAATGGAGTCAGTAACGAACTGTCGTCAATTCAGTGTGGAATGCATACCTCAAGAAGCATGGCACAGTAGCCATAGGACAGCTGAGCCGCGAGCCAGCTGTTTCCCTCAAAGTCACGGATGGCGACGTCAAAGGAGTGCAGACGCTCAACGAAGAGCTGAGCCCAAGCGAGCACCTTATCGTAGCTACTTCCCTCGGGAGGCAGGTGACTCATGCGCTCAGTGGCAATCCACTCCAAAATGGCAGCATGGTCAGTGTTGAAGAGGTTAGAAGATGTGCTCACACCCAGGTCAGTACCACTCTGACGCTGCAAGCCCTGGACCACACTGGAGAGCTTGGAGCTTCCGGCAGTAGTGAACTTCTTGGACACGAAGGATGACTCGCGGCGAGAGTTGCTAGGGCGCGAGATGCCGCTGTTGGACAGCGTGTCGCTATCGAACATGGACATAGCAGACACCTGTCTGGAGTTTCCAGGGAACTTTCCATACAGAGGGGAGGAGAGGTTTCCCGGAACGGGAGACATGATACCGGGAGCCATTGTTACTTTTGGACTGACTGGTTTCTTCAAAGGAGTAGGGATAGGGACTGTTTGAGAGTCTCGTCTGGGGTGGTGGTTTATGCTAGTTCGGGGAGGAGGGTTTTCCGATATAGCGTCTTTGGAGCAGCAGCTCTTAAAGCAACAGAGAAATCGACACAAACCGGCAATCTGGTTGGTGACGAAATAAGAATTAGAGTTATGCTGTTACCACGTAAAGCTCGATGGTATATAGAGATGAAATTAAGAAAGAGAAAAAGAAGAAGCAGCCATCTTGAGGGGGAGCTCCTCTTTTGTAGCAAAGACAATGTGGGCACATGCTCAATGCAATTCCTCCAACTTTTTTTCTAGCTTGCCCATTTCGAGTAAAGATCGAGGATCGATTGTGTAATTTCGCTCTGACGTCTTCAGCTTCATTGCCTGCGAGTGGGGAAGAGCTTCAGCTATGATACATAAGAGCTCACGATCCCCTTTTTTGCCTTTCACTGTAGCTGGAACGGCTACACATTGGACATTGAGCTGGACCGCCGTCTATCAAGTGGAGATGCCAGAGGGAAATTATTGCCAAAAACGTGGCGGCTGCCTCCCTCCTTTCTTTTTGGACATACCGAGACTTTGAACTTGCATGAGATGGGGCCCGACCAAGCCATTGGTGAGGCACCTGGATCCAATGACAGACCAAAGACCCAGGATGAATACAATAGATGTGGACTCGAGGCATCATTCTGCGTCCCAGCTTGGTTGGCACCGCCGTGGATCATGGCGAGCTATCCTGCATGAAGATGGAGATGGCTGGAATTGCGTCCTTTCCTGGTAGTGAGGACCCAATTTTCTTGGACGCAAGCCATCTTTCCCCCGATTCGTCTCGACTCGAGACAGAGCTATCAGTCTGGGATTACGGAGTATCCGGCGTGCATACCCAATTTTCGGGGTGTCCGTTAGCGTCACGAATACATTGACGCCGGTTTGATACCTGTATACTTGCATACTGATCAAACAAAGGGATAACTATCAGATGTGCTCCGTGCTTCGGTAGTGGCTGGCTGGCCACGGTCCCATGCTCAGCCGTCAGTGAAAGGTGCGGGCCTCTTATGGGTCTTTCGGCCATCGTCATGGTAGCCAATGAAGGAGGATTTACAGCCCAGAAATTGACGAGTCCCATCACTCGGACGAACCGTTGATCGATTAACATGTAAACACCAAGCAAACACGCGCGGGGCTATTCTGCTAGCTTCAGTCTAGCTCGATGATCGGTGATGCACCAAGAATCACTCGTGCATGACAAGTGACGGAAAGATCCACCTGGGTCCCGCCTGGGTTCCGGGTCTACCGAAAGAGATCGTGGTGGACTGAATCATATCATTCGGCTTACTACTGTACACTCCATACACATTGGCCTCGAGTGATAACAGTCCGCTATGACAACAAATTAGTGATACAGGAAACTCGGCACTCTCGGGTGAATTGAGTTGATCCCCTTATAGGGTATATACGAGGAGTTTTTGCTGAGGCGTCTATGGAGTGCAAATGAAACAAGTACGGCAATTGTTTTCAGCGTCGTGCATTAGGGTGATGGAGTCTGAGGGGAAAGATGTGGAACGAAGACGGTTCATCGGGATTTTAGCGTCGCTTAGTTCCTCCACTTCTACATCACTCGGCTGAACATACTCCGTACAATACGGAGTACAATTGCAGAGTACGGAGTACCCCAGTACACTCTTTGCGTCTATAAATATTAGCTCGGCAACGCCTGTCAGAATGTCGGATACAGAGTACAAGGAGCGATGTTTGTACAGTATGTACTCCGTACTCCGTACCATCGTAGCTATTTTTACAATCATCTACAGCACAATTACCTCTGTCCTTCCGAAGTTTTCTATTCCGTACGGAGTACAAGAAGGTACCTAGGTAGAATAACAAATAAGTATACTCTCCTCCATATTTAAGATTATGTACGCGAAATGTATCGTGCGAGTGAAAATATAGGTATCGCGTATTCCGAAAATTCTTGTTCACAATTCCCCAGTACTTCGCACATGCACAAGGTAATTCCAAATCCTCCTACAGGGATGACAAGGAAACTTCGTACTTTTGACAGTTCTTCGCAAGCAGTCTAGTCCCCTGAGCCATGCACAACGAGCATATTGCGCCGACAAGCAGTAGTCCTACAATTGGTCGACTATAGAAGACAGCGAGGCGCAGTCGACTGCATTATTACTCTTGAAATCATAGTCACAATCATCATAATTCACTCTCTTCTGTTTCTTTGTTTCCCCTCCTGCCGACGCTACCGAGATCTTTGAAAAACATCCCGTACCTTTCTCCGTACTTGAACTTACACTAGCATCGTGACTCCACTTATCCTCAGCTTGAAATATCCACGGGTGGATTGAAATATCGATACGGAGTATATTAATCTTAATTTTGTGCAATATGGCCAGCAGGATACATCTCCTAATTTGTCAGGTGATGTATCAATATCGAACCATTTACGGATCACACATAGTCTACTCCCCACGATTATGAGAGTAAATAGAGCACTCCAACCCCTTGTTAATCCTACGGAACGCTAGCAGTCCAAGCCAGGGTGTTCTCGACGTTAAATGCACCGGCTTTGCTTACACTGACTTTGCCTGAATGGGCAAGCGTCCCAGATCCCAACCAAGATTTGTCACGCATCTTGTTCATCGGAAGCGTCAAAAATGTGAGGGGAAATCGCGCAGACCCACCTATCGCTTAGATTTGCTCGACGATCATGTTCATCCGTCACTTTCACACATGTCCTCCGTACTCCGTACCAGTCACGTATTACTCCGTACTGCGCGGCGAAAATGAGACAGAGGCGCCCATGTGGTTCCTATCAGGTTTTGATTCAATCCAATTTTCTTTTCTTTTGCTCACGTCACAGCACCCATGAAAAGTGGGTGACTCTATTTCCAGCCTCATTATTACTGGCTGGGGGCTGCAAGACACGATTGCTCTCCACATGTACTTCGTACAGGTACATGTTGCTTCCTGCACTCGTGTCCGGTTGGGAACAGTCTGACTCGTGAAAATGAACGTGCACGCTCACAAGGTGCATCATGTCAAACCTGTCTGAGCACTCCTGGTTGAATGGGATTGGGCAGTCTCGCATGTCAGAATATTTAGGTTCTCACTCGATTGCGAGGAGGGGCTGGGAAAAATTGAATTTCTATATGCGGACCGTGGGACGATCCTACATTGACTTTCGCTCTCCGCAATGCGGTCATAGCTTTCCCGAGGGTCGTTCCTTGGAACCTTGGAAGTTCGGTCGGGGCCTGACAGGTACCTTCGTGCACATACTTTTTTTGCTGTACTCCGTATATCACCAACAATTAATTCGCCTTATGCTACGGAGTAAATTGCGCTACCTCTCAAGTCCTGTCTAGGTGGTGATAATATATTCGTCGGGTGTCATCTATCGACTCAAATTAATATATATATATTCAAAACTATGGAAGCTTCCAAGTTGAAACCCAGCTGAAACTATTGCTGCGGTAACCCGTGCATGCCGTCCGTAAAATAATGGCTGCATGCAGAGCAATGCACCCCAAATTCAACCCCTATTCCTATGCTGACACCAGTGGGACGCTCAAACCATTGCTCAGGTGTCTAGGTACGTGTAGGCGCAACAATACCTCGGGTGGGATGACTTGTAGCCAAGTGAAGAACACAACCTCTGGAACTTGAAATCATGCAAATTACATGTTAAAATAGAGTAATAGGAATCGGTGGAACGAACCTTAAATCTTGAACATCCCGGGGTCGGGAGATCAATGATCAAACCTTACAAAACCTTCCAAGGTTTAAAACCATGCTGGAGATAGGTAGATTTAATGACCTCCAGATCTTCCAAGGTCGGACCTCGACGACCTCTAAACGCGAAGGCTTTCCAATGTTGGCACCTGAGCATTCAATCAACAACCTAGGTACAACCTTGGAACCTCGGGAAAGTCACAGAGTACCATGTGTGAACCACTGAAAAAGGTATGTTGCTGCGCAACCGTGAATTAAGATCGAAAAATGCTTGTATTTGCGTAAATGTGATAAAATACCTAGGTAAGACATGTAATCAGATACAAATCGCGTAAGATTGGATATATAAACAATTAAATCGCCTCTACTCCAAACGATGTTGGGCATGTTCAGAGGCTCGATTCCACCAAACCAACTCCCACCCCCCGTAGCGACAAGACTCCAATCATGTCAAGTGCCATCGAGGGTCATCGCAGAAGTGCCTAACCCAAGCATCCAAAGCTGGTCCAGGCATGCAAGTATTAAGGAAAAAAGAAAAAAACACAAATGCAATGATAGATCAAGCGGACTCGGTCTTGTTCTTCTCAGCCTCGGGCGAGAATCTCCAACGATCCCAGTTCTCGCGAACCCACCAGTTGGCCACGTACGCACCGTTGTACAGCCAGTTGAGGGTTTCTTCATCGTACTCCGTCTTGATCGTAGATGCCAGATCCACGAGACTGAAGCGCTCGATCGGGCTCAGCTCATCTGGATCCTTGGAGAGATCGGAGAATCGCCACTCAACGTCGTTGACAAGGGGGATGACCAGGCGGTACTCAGGTCGAGCAGCAGAACGCACGGAAAGCCAGGATCCACCGGTGTTCATGACGGTGAATTGCCAGGCCTCGTGACCGTCCTGTTCCACGATCTGAGGGCGGATCATAGATTGTCCTTCGTACAAGGAACGGAGATCGCGGGCAGAGCGAGTGCTGTCGGTGCTCAAGGATGCAGACTCGATCAGGAGATCGATGATGGTGGGCACGATTTGACTGTTGATGACAGGGGTGTCGATTTGAACAGGGGGAAGTTTGGGATGAGCCAGAACAATGGGAACCTTGAAGCTGCCGACGTGTGGGTTGTCGTAAGGGGTGACTCCTCCATCGTTGGGAAGGGAGAGACCGTGGTCTCCGGCCATCACAAAGAGGGTTTGGTCAATGATGCCCTTTTCTTCAAGGACGTCGATGAGGTCGGAGATCCAGTCATCGACGTAGCCAACAGAGTTCAGGTAACGGTTCAGGTCGTTGTTGGGACCTGCGGTGGAACCCATAATTTTCTCGAAAGCGTCGTTGGGAACTCCCCAGGGGTGGTGAGTGGTACTGGTCAAGTGGTTCAGGAAGAGACGCTTGTGATCACGCTCAGCGTCATCAATTGCATCGCGAATGTATTCCTTCAGCTCGATCTCAGGGTAACCGTAGTAGTTCACCTCGGCGCTCTTGACGGGGAAGTGCTTTGCCTCGGGCTTCGTGATGGTCTCCTTGGTCTCCTTGTTCTTGAATCCAAGATGCGGGGTCAACTTGTTCTGATTGTCGTACATTTCAGTGACGGACATCATGAAAGTCGAGTGCCATGGCCATTTGGTAAAGTCATCAGAGTCGCTAGTGATATCAGGCTGCTGGCTCAGTTGATCGAAGATCTGAGGCAAGCATGGCTGGTAGATGTGATGCTCGAACTCACGGTTGAAGTCAGCCACGAGAGGCGCCACACCGCACAGACTACCAGTCAAACTCTTCAGTGTATATGTAGATGAAGTGATGGCGTTCTTGGCACTCAGACCACCGTACGCCTTGCGGCCGTTGAAACGGGTGTCATCGTGATCAAACCCAGTGGGGAAGTTGGTCAAGTACTCGGCTGTGCGGGTCAAGTTGGCAATACGATCTTGCACCTCGGGAGGAATTTTCTTGTCCTTCCAAGTCTCCGCGATGCGCTTCCACATGAAGTTATCCTTCTGCAGAGGGAAGATGTCATTACGCGCACTCTCGAGCTTCAAGAACACGATGTGTTTGATCTTTACATCCCCGCTGGCAAGAGCATTGTGGACCTCCTCAAGTACTGGCTTGTGCAGGTTGGAGATCGACAAAGGATCCTTCTCCGCCTTGTAGTGGAGGGCCAATGGGTCGGATTTGTCCCAGTCGCTGAAACCATCGGCCGGATCATTCGGCATCCATCCCCAGTGAGGTGGTGGGGCCAGAGCGCTGGCCCCGTTCAGGTAATCAAAGTAGCCGGGCAGTCCGGTAAGGTCGACGGGCGAGTCGCGTTCGCCGCCCTCGAGGACGGTGCTCAAAGGCAAGGTGGTAGATAAATACATATAAACGGCATTGGAGGGACGCAGGAAGCGGAGGAACAGGAACAGACTGAACAACCCAAGGATGAGCGCCCGCTGTGGAACGCCATCGGTAACCCGCTTGGACTCAGGGAGAGGGTTGGGCAACTGGGTGTTCAATAGGTGATCGCCTTCTTCATTGTCACTGTCTCCATCTTCCATCGCAATCTGCTCGTAGATTCTGGGGTCGGGAAGGCTCTGGTCCTCCTTGGACCGGGGCCAGAAGCGCTGCAGCAGGGGTTCGAAGTGCGGTCGCACCCGCGCCCACACCCACCGAATGGGCCATGCCCACACGTGTAAAATTCCTCCGGTCAAGGAATGGATCGGGCGGGCGGCGAAGATTGAAATGGTCAACAGGATTCCTTCGACGATCAGGAAACCAGTCAATCCCGTCAAAAGGGTGTGGATGGCCGCGGCGTCGCCGTTGAAGGACTTGGCTTGGCGCCAGTGGATCTCGGCACCGGTGAAAACGTAAAAGGAGGCGTTGGCCGATGCCATGAACGAAACGATCAAGCTGTACCAGACGTTCTCGTTAGCCCATGTCCCTGTTCTTCGGCATCCCGAAGGTGATACGAAAAGGGGCACGTGGTCACTTACCTAGATGGGATGACAAGCAGCGCCAACACTGCAGCGGCCGGTCGCCACGCGACCCTCTGCGTGAGGGTTCGGAACAACAACAAAATGGCCACATCTTGGAAAAAGAAGGTGATTCCCCATAGGAAGAAGCGCGCAGCGGGGAGCGAATACAAGTGAGCGTAGAGATGAAGCAATTTTGCGCTGAACAACGAGAGAAAGGCAAGGGTGAAGAAATAGCGTCGTGCAAAGTCCCACACGGCGTCCAGGGTCTCACCAGGCGAGACTCGAGCACGCCGGATGCCGTGACTCAGGTAGGCATGGACGGCATGTACAACTTTCATGATGGTGTATATACTCTCTCACATTCACACCCCGGCATGACATGATAAGAAGAAAAGGAAAAAGGGACGGGGGGGAAGATCAATTGAGCCCCAGCCAAGACTCATGGCCCTTTCTATTCAGGGTCGCAAGTGGGGAATCTGACAATCGAGAGACAGGGGAAGAGAATGGAGAATTTGAGAACCAGTCAGGAGCCAGCAAGGGAACAAGGGACCACTGAAAGGAAGACGTTGGAGTCCCACATCGCCAGTCATGTCGCAAAGTCACTTGGAATAGCCACGGTTCAATCCTTCTGTGTCCCCCATAGGGTCGCAGTGGCCCCCAAACGCCCCCAAAGCCAAGAAATCATCGGCCCCGCTCCGCCGAATACGTGATTATGGTCGTGTGCCCAGTTTCCTTGATTCTTTTTTTTTGCTCCGTGTGGCTGAATTTGGCTGAATTTGGCTGGGTTTGGGTTGGCAGTGGGATGGTTTGGGCTGGGTCTGGCGAATGGCTGAGGTTGGATAGGATTGGGGCGGATTTAGCCTGCCGATGGGCTTGGAGGTTGAGGACGTGTGTGGATTTCGGGATTTTGCCTTGTCAGCCCGTTCTCGTTTCCCTTTCCCGTCTGGATCCCCCTCCTCCCCTGAGCCTTCATGCTTTCCTTTGTACTTGTGCCTTACCCTCCAAATAATGTTTAAGCCATGTTAGGCGGTTTATTTGGTTGGATCTCCTTGCTGTTCGAGCCTTTGGCCTTTCAAGTGCCACTCATTCAACCTCAACCTCGTCTTACAGCCGAGAATTCCACCGCCCTTAAGCCAACCTCCACCAATCTCCCCTGGCAGGATATCATCACTGGCGATTATGGACATCCACCCACATTAAAGATTCACGACCGGGAAGGAATCATCAAATGGAGCTGGGAACGCAAAGATGTCACCCAGGACCTCCCACCTCGTATTCGTAGCGGCCTATACGGTCGCGCGAATGATGCCACTGACATGAAATGGATGCGCGACGGCAAGAGCGTCGCTGCCATCTACAGTTCTCTCATTGTCGTCATCAACCATACCCCGGATATTCCTTCCATCGATAAGAAGATCACCTTCGCCGTCAACCGAGACACCGACGTGCTTTGGAATGCACACGCCGTGGAGCCTTTACCCGGTGATCGCCTCGCTGTCGCTACCACCGGCCAACGTCCTTGGGATGGCATCCAAATCTATAATATGAGTTCCGCTCTTCCGCTCGTGGACGAACCTCCCATTCTGCAGAAGGTGGAGGGTCTCCGCGCTATTCACGGCATGATCTGGGACGAAGAAGGCCAGAAGTTGTGGGCGTGTGGTACCAATGTCGCCGCGGATGGATCGGACCCTGAGCCTGCCTACGGTGTCATCCAGGGATATCCATTCGACAACAAGACTGGTCTGCTCAGTGAAGATCCTGCCTTCAAATTCACATTCCCGGAATATTGGGACATTGACACCGAATGGGGACACGGATACAGCTGGTGGTCGGGCCCTCACGATCTTGTTCCTGTGCCGAACGAGCGTGTATTCCTGGTATCTAACGACATTGGAGTGCAAGCGTTCGACATCGCGACCATGTCGTTCAGTCTCAAATTCGACGATGCCATTGCGAAATACATGCCTGGGTTTGAGTGCACCTCCAATGATCGCCATGGGATCAACCGCCAAGGTCAATGGGAGGAGCTCCCTCAGTCAGATCTGAAGGGATTCAGTCTTGCGCCAGACGGGGCCTTTGTATACACGCAATCATTGTGGAAATTGTTCCGCGGGAACCATACCAGTCTCGTGGTCGATGGAGTGCGTACCCAAATCATGCAGGGGAACGAAATCTATCGGTCGCGATTCTTCGGTGACATCGATGGCTGGCCCAAACCGAGGACATAGATTGTCCTGGCGATGTCTTGTACAGTGCATCATAGAGATATAATGAACGTCCAATTTGGATATATAGTGCCCAAACGCGCCATTCAACCCCATCTCCTTGCGGTGTGTAGAGTGTATTGAACGCTGTATATTCTGATTCTACTGAGCTAGTGCCTAGTATTCAATTGGAACCAAAGAGCAGCATGACGAAATGTCTACGGCTACACTTGCGCCCTATAAGGCCAGGCTCGTTTAAAACTCGGGTTTCAAACTGCGCCACACCTCGCACCCGTGCGCCAAGACCGCTAGATACCACCGTGCACGCGAAGGCGTCGAAGGCTTCGTTGGCATCCCGCCATTGGTCCCTCCTGCTGGTCTCCGCGCGGCCTTTCAACCTTGGAGAATAATGACGCACAGCCGTCTCCCGTCCGCGTTCAGCTCAATGTTTCATCCCTTTCCGAGAATGGGAACTCCCTGCGTGACAGTATGGGCCGCCTGAAATTGAGGGTTCGGCTTAACTTTCTCGAACTGATCGGCTCCACATAAGGTCAGACACAATAAGTTTTAGCCTGATTAGGGCCTTGCAGTTCGTCCCTCACGACCCATATTCACGGGAGCCTTGGGAGACCCCCGGATCCAGCATCTCGTATTCGGGATACGGAGTACTGGTCCCTTCTATCACCACAATTCACCCCTGTTGTCCCGCGGAAAGTACATAATATGGATACCACAAAATGTACCTGTGGACGGAATACGCCGTACGGAGAACAGTATGCAAGATCCACATCTTTGGCATTTTCCTAAGAGCTTATCTGATTGGGCTATCCATGGATCTGTCCACGGGCGTTCACACCGATAATAATAACGTTCTTGCTTTTGTCCCGAGGTCCACCATAATCCTGTTGATGAAGCAAACTTCTTGTTGATTGATCACAGCAAAAGAAGCAATCAAATTCCAACAAGACACGTACACCCATTCGTTAGCAATGTTTCCTTCCCATGTTCCAAAGCTACCAATCCCGGGCTGCAAAGAGTTGCTCTCGAATATGGAACGGTGGGATGTGAGCGATGATCGCGGCACAGCTGTAGAATGTTCCAACAGAGGCCTCGTTGCCGTACGCTAGATAGGTGAAGTCCTTTTCTTGATTTCCCGGGCAACCCATCCATGTCACACCACGCAAAGTGTCCCAGCGGTGACCACCCATCAGAATCTGCAGAAGATGTCTCAGCTTCAAGTCTCAAACCACGCCGCCATATTTAGGGTATGGAGTTACCTCAATCAGTGTATCATCCTGCTCGTCTCCATCAGAATGTCTGAAAGGAGTCAATTTGCGCCCGATGAGGAATCTCTCTGAGAGATGGCGATTGTGCAGCTGGATGTTGTTCTTTTTCGCATATTCGTCAACATCCTCAAGGGTCCTCATGCGACGAGAGAACAGAAGGAACTTCCAGTAAAGGTCAATGTTTGAAGGCCCAACGGGCAACGACGAAAGAAATTCCTGGTAGTCGTCTTCCTGGAGTTGATCTAGCTTGTCGTTGTAGGCTCGCTTTAGCTCTTTGGTTTCGCTGTCAAATACCGGACGAACCACAACATAGATGCCTAGGCGTTTGAAGATTGAAAAGAGCTCAAGGTCGGCACCTTTCAAAGCGTTCGGTAGCAAGTCACTGAATCCTTCGGAGGTATGGGGATAGGCGTGCGAGCAATGAATGCCGAGGATGCCACCTAGAACGGGGTCAACATAATCACCCAGAGGGAAACCAAACAGCCAATCTTTGGGTAACGTGAACTTACCCATTCTGAAAAACTCCGGATTCATCAAGGCATGTTTCAAGCACGCGTATGACGACAAGCTCTTGGGGTCAATGACTATTTCCGTTGGAACAGAAAGCCCCACTGCTGTTGGCCGAGTGACATACAGATTGTATGTCAATGTGATTCTTTGTCCTGCTGTGATGGTCTTGATCTCGTGCTCACAGTCACTGTAGAATGCAGCCCACTGGATAGTGTTCTCACTATGCTGACTCCAATCTAAATCGACTTCTTTTCCTTGGTGTCGCACGATCAGATTACCTCCTGTGAAGTGAGATGGCAGACAGACGACCAGCGACCCGATTTGAGCAGTCGATCGCGGGGTGTCAACATGTTTTCGGAATAGCCCACAAGGCCCAGAGTAGACCTACAGCCCATGTTAGAAGTCGATCAAGAGGGGCGTCAGGCGTCTCATACATTCAACTTGTACAGCTCAGCCTTGATCCTTTGGCTGTTATCACCGGGGAACAGGTTTGGGAGGAGCATTTGCTCCACGTTCTCAAGGATTTGAAAGTCGGACAGATTGAAGCTGCTGGTAAATTGATGTGGATCAAGCTTTCCTGCTTTGCGATACTCAAGGTCGAGAACGTCCTCTCCGCCCTTTCCAAAACTAGCAGGCACACAGTCCTGTGCCAGGCTGCTCAGACCCTCGATTGCTGACTCGGAACGTAAATTGTGACAGAGAGGCAGAGTAAGAAGGTGGGCAGGGTGGCCCTCTCCTATGCACCAGCCTAGTCTCACCGGGGGAGACGAAGGAACCTGGTCATTTTTTGAAGCTTCGTTGCTTTGGATTGTAATGAGACTTCCGCAGACGAAGGAGGCGGATTCCGCATTTCCGGCGATTGTCTTTGCAAGCTTGTCACACGCAGTGTTTTGAACAAGTCTCTCTGAGATTACCAGCGACTCGGTTGTATTGTCTCCATCAAGTCCTTTGCAGAAGTGGGTGAAGATCGGATCAATAAGCTGGCTGTAGTATGCGTTCGCCGATGGGTCAATATAATATTCCTGAAGCGTATTCAGTTTAGTTGCCCTGTAAACGAACGGGAGTCTCGTCTCCATGAGCTCCGCAAAACCTTCACTTTCCACAATATCGCCCTCAAAAACATTCGGCAGGAGCCTGTTGAGGTTATTCAATAGCTGTGGTTTGATTCGATACATTTCTTCATCGCTTGGGAATTGAAGAGACTCAAAGCGGAGAGGCAAATGAGACCCTTCGTTCTCTTCGATTTCAATAGACTCCAGTAGCTGGGCCCAAAACCAGTCGACACAAGCATCGAACTTTGATCTCTAACCAGACTCATAAAATTAGCAGACAGGATCATTTCTATCACACGAGGATAGGGCCGTGAAGTGAACATACCTCCATTTCCTCAAGATTTGCCATTTGCTTTGCCAGGTCTAGCAGAGGCCGTTGAGTATCCTCAAAACCAAGATCATCCATTTCAGCGACCTTTGTCCCAGAAACTTGGGGTGCTGAATCATTGTCGCTGTATTCTGTCGTGGCACCGGTCATTTTGAGATACTGGCACAAACCCAAGTCGAATATGCCGGGAAAACTTCTTGAGAACAGGACAGAGGAGAAGTGAGGAGAAAAGGGTGGAAATGGTGGGTAGGGTAGGAACGGTCTCAAATTAGGAAAGAACAAGGGCGACAATTGAAGTGAGAGATTGCACCACCATCCGGAGATGGGGGGAAAGGCGGCGCTTGTAAGGCGTGAACCCCAAAAGATCTCCATCTGAAATTCATTGTTTGGTGTATTCTAGTCCTAGAGCACTCTTAATGACCATATTTCCCGACTCAATGGTCACTTCCAACTTGCACTTCGCAACGTCGGGGTTGATCTCAACCAAATCCATCGAAACCAGGTTCCCCGAATCACCAAGTCGCCTCGAAATGTGCTTTCCTTCTTCAAGCAACAGCCCCGACGCAACAGGAAATCCAGTGGAGGGTGCATGCTTCGGATCTAGGGAGTCAATGTCAAACGAGACATGCATCGGAGTATCATCGCCGATATACTCCAGGGCCAAATCCATGACTTTGCTGATACCGTATCTAGACATATTTCAGAGACCGAAGAACGCAACAAGATATTAGGAGCTTACTGTCGCACATCGTCCATGGTGAAAGCCTTGATACCATGTTTCGTGATGATCAGCTTCTCCGCTTCATCGACATCCCGAAGTCCGATGTAAACTAATCGCTGGAGATTGATCAAATGGGACTTTTCAATCCACCCGAAGAAACCTTCACTCGATGGCACTGCCAGTCCCGAAGCGAAAGCAAGTGGCATGCCGTGTATCCTCCCACTCTCGCTCGTCTGCGGAGTATTGATATCGGCATGGGCATCGATCCACAGCACGGCAAGTTCACGAGTCGGAAATCTCTCGCCAATAGCCTTCGACATACCAGTCACAGTTCCAATTCCAATCGAGTGATCGCCACCAAGTGTCAGCACGAATCGTCCTTGCCGTGCATGGCGATAGACGTGCTCGCTGATAAGCCGAGTACTCTCGCTGACATCGCGAGCTCTTTTCATACCTTCAATAGCTGAGTCCGTCTCTTTGACCGGCTTCAGAGGCTCTTTGAGGATATGATCAATAGTGATTGGCCAGCCTAGCTCAGGTTGGATTTCAGTAAGGAGACCAGAATCGATGATGGCACGCGGTCCTTTGTGAGCGCCATCCCTGGGCTGATCTTTTATTAGCAAAGTATACGACGATGTCAGTAGAGTTGAAGCTTACAGCACCACAGGAAATGTTGGCTGCAACAACAGCCAAGTGCGGCTCCGCAAGCAGTCTGTGTCGAAAAGAAGCAAGGTGCGCCATGGCGATAAGTGTTGTGCGGGGTATAGAGCAATTTTCGGACAGCTTCTATTTCTCAACGTAAATAAAAGGATTGTAGAGGGGGAATATAGAAAATAAGCAAAATTTTCAGTTAAGGATGTCTGATCCGGCTATACTCAACTTTAGAGGAACCGTCGGTCCCGCTGAGTGTTCCAAGATCCAAAGACATCCCTTAAAGTTAAGTTTACACGACACAAATTCTTTGAGCTTCTAAGCTGCTACAAGTATTCCCGAGCCATGTTGAAATGGCTTGGGCTTTATCAAAGCCACCACCAAAGTTCATTGCTTAAGTGAACAAGTGGTTGAAAACCACCCGACTTATTGATTTCGGTCGCACACAGTCAATACCACGAGTATTATTGAATCTGACGTCGACTTAATTGGGCATTGATAGGATTATGTCCGCGCAGTTCATGGATATAAGGTTCTCGCTAAATATACAAAGATTCCACGGTTGCCCCAGCTATGTTGCATACATAAGATGGCCTGATTCAACCACATTGATCGCCACGATTCCAATGTTCAAGCCCCTACAATAGCACCGAATACCTCCCCTGATGTCTCCAATGCAGTCTTATTCAATGTCTTTGTGGCAAAGCCAGACAAGAGCACCAACTCCAGGAACCGAACGTCGTGAGGAACCAGGATCTCCAACACTTTTTCACCTGATGTCTTTCCAGAATAGTATTTGGCCAGTTTTGTGCCAGACTCGTCACGCAATTCCAAGGTTGTTAGAGCCATCGAGTCAAGCTTCCATTTCAGTTTCCCCATGTTTGGTGTTTGAATGGTCGCACTCCCAGACATTTCGCTGAAGCGCATCTCCATTCCTTGACCATGGGTGGTAAGGCGAACTTTGGATGAAAAGGTCGGAAGGCGAGCATCACCGACAATATCCCATTGGCCTCCGCCCCATCCGTGAGATAATACCACACTGCTGGAGTTGGCTGAGGGGATAGCAATTGTATACATGGGTGGAGCCTCCATTGGATAGCCAGATGGATGGACTAAGATCTTTTTACCCCCATCCCATGGTGCCGAGCGAAGCGAAAAGGAGGCACAGGCTTGTGGATTAGACTTGCTCTCAGAGGATGAGAAGAGTGATGATAGATGAAAAGTCATGGTGGGTGAGATATTGAAACAACTTGAGGGCCCTGATGAAGAAATGCGAAAGGCTGTTTGGAGCTTTTGGAAGTGTGGAGTACACAGAAGATTGCCATCCCACGAGAAATTTTATATTCTAAATTGAAGGTCATTATTGCCAGAGACTTATGGATTCTTGGGTAGATTCTGCATTGTGCCATAAGCAATGGATACATGGTTCTCGAAATAGCTGGTGAAAGCTGATCTGAGAAAGAGCCCCTATTCCCAATCGGGTGAGATAATGCGCCGTGTCACGTGCTGCGGGTCTTTCCTTAACGGCAGAGCGACCGCTGATTGGCTCTTCGAATAGACCCTTGGGCAGTGCACGTTGGCAAGGGCGATCGTGGGGGCCGTTTCCACGATTGGCTTTTCCAATGACTAGCCGTAGACGGAGTAGCGCAGCTGCCGATACGAGTGGCCCGCTGTTTTTAGGCCTCGGAAGCCACTTACGTCGCAGAACGATGCCAGCACAGGCCCTTGGCAGATCGACCTCAGGCTTCTGGGCTCGGGGCTGTGGCAGCGTTTGATGTCGTCACACAAAACCCATGCACGGCGCCCCAAATCTCTCCTTTGGGCCATTTCATTCTCTCTATGCCTCGGACCTATACGCCTCGCCCACAATTCATCGGTACTCGGACAGTGATATCGGAAGATCATGCCAGGGGTTCCATCTAGCCGGGGCTGCGACGCATGTCGCAAGGTGAAAAAGAAGGTCCGAATCGTCTCCACGGTGGATGATACTAGCCCTTATTAATGCACGTACTAGTGCGATCAACTTAAACCGACATGCTCACGTTGTTCGCGTCTAAAGCTCGCGTGTGTGGGGAGTGGGCAACAGCGATACATGTTCAAGAATCAACCTATCAAAGTGACGCAAACACACAATGGGGCTCTTCAAAAGTCGCGTGGCCCTTTTCAAGATGAGATCATATTCTCTTTTGGTACCCCACCGAGTGTGCTTAACACGGCCACTGGCAGGCTGGCAGCTGCATTTGTGGAAACTTTGCAGATCACCGATGTACGATACGCCGTTACTTACTATGGTCCATTCCTGAAGGAAATCCCACAACGACTGGGTAACAGTGCCGTGCTAGACTCGGCCGTGAAGGCAGTTTCTACGGCATATCCCTTTATCCACAAAGGCACATTCCCGCCTGCTGCACTGGTCCATTATGGCCAATCGTTGCGAGCTTTAAGAGATTGCCTAAATCATCCATCAGAGGCGCGGACATCGCATACTCTATGCGCTGTATACTTGATCACCATATGCCAGGTAAGTTCAGCGGCGAAGGTCTCAAAGGGAGCAACAATTCTATATAGCACAGACTAACTACTCCAAATCACAGAGTTGGCTCGGAAAAGTCGACGACACCTTGACTAGCCACAGCGAGGCCATTGCTTGTATTCTCAAGGCTTCTTCACTGGGTGAATGGAAATCTCACTTTGAGATGGAGATGGTCATCACGCTTTGCATTCCTATAGTAAGTGTAGTCTTTGACGGCAACCCTACTCTGACGCAATAACTAACCATTGACACTATCAGATCCTTGAAGGAATCGTCAATCCTCGAATCAAAATGGACTCTGCATTCTGGGAAATGATGACCTCGTATAGAAAACGGCTCCATCCGGAAAATTTCGAGAAGAGCCAAAATTCAACTCAATTGCATCATCTCGCCATGCTCCCACAATTCGTTCAAGACCCTGATGCACATATCTTCGAAATCGCAAAAATGCATATTCAACTAAAGAATGATGCCCAGATCATCAAGCCTGCTTTGGATCAGTATTTGACCTTCATTCCGAACTCTTTCTCCACCGCCGATGTTGCAAGACACTCACGTCTCCAAGCCGCTTATACAATTGTTTGTACGTTGAGTGCGCTTTTAAACACTCTTCTTCGGCTTTTCAACCCGGCCAACCCCAGCTTGGAGGCTGAGTGTGCTTTTCTTTGCGGTGAGATCCTCATACAGGGTGAACTGGCCTGTTGCTACCGACCTATGGGGTCAGCGTACATGCCCCTCTCTCTCGTCGTGGCCTGGGCTTGCACGAACGACATCGTTCAACTGGCAAAGATAGAATCTCTTCTTGCTGACTATCAGTCTGACTTTACGGAACTGCCCTGGATGAATCGCGGTATTTGGTTGGCTTCTGTGTTGAACGGCCACCGCGAGCGGATTGCTTCGGATTTGGCGGGGAGCACAATCCTCTCTCCCAGTTCAGCCGATTCAAATGAGCCCCGCGGAGAGACTTGCTGTATACTCTGAGCCTACCGGCTGTAGGGGTACTTGATGATTTATGCCCTGTTCTCTTGACTATAGATTTAATGAAAAAATCTAGAATGGTTTGGATGAATCCCACGATTTTTCCCCAAGCATTTCCTCAAGACTTCCATTTCAAGACGGGTCGCAGCATCCTGCTTGCAACACTGCTACTGCGTGGAGATTTTCGCTTGAAGGCGTCTTCAATCTCATTCAACGATCGGCCCTTGGTCTCCGGCATGAACAGGGCACACACAATGGCAGTCAAGATAGAGCAACCTCCAAACAAAAAGTATGCTCCATAGCTGCTTTTTGACAGGAGAATTGGTGTTGTCAATGCAACCAAGAAATTTGCCGCCCAATTGCTACCATGGGCCAAGCTGGTCGCTGACGCTCGTGTACGCTGGGGCTGAATCTCAGCCGCATAAATCTTGATACCAACTCCCCAAGTCAGGGAATAGATCACGGCAAATATGTAAATGGTCACTATGACGACCCAGCGCCCGGCTCCAACGGAGCCGTGCACAGTCCCCGATGCGTAAAGGGCGCCGATTAAGAACATTGTGATGCTGAGTGCAACGCCGCCATAAATTGTACTGGCTCGACGGCCCCATTGGTCAGCCCAGATCAATGCAGGGATGGTGACGCCGAAGATGACTAGTGCCGAGACTCCAGATGCGAGGAAGCTTGCTTCTGATGATGCTAGACCGGCTTGTTGGAATAGCAAAGGGGCATACTAGTATCCTGTCAATGATGTGTCAGGGCTGAATCTAGTTGAAATAGACTTACGTATAGAACCCCGTCAATTCCACTCAATTGTTGCATCCCCATCATGAATACTGCAAGACCAGTGCGTGAACGAACATCGCGAGAGAAAAGATCCAGAAGCGCGTGTCTTGGCTTTGCTTGTACCTGAATTTCTGCCATGCGGGTGACATTCGTCCCTTTCTCGTGTACCTCTTCGGGGGATGAAACGGCATTTTCGAGTTCAATCTCCACCTTCTCCCGCTCTGCTTGACTGACGCCTAGGTAGTTCCAAGCCTCGGTCGCTTCTCCCTCGCGACCATGTATAGTCAACCAGCGAGGTGAGGGGGGAAGAAAGAAGAGCGAGACCATTGAAAGGGTCATGGACAACGAGGCGAGCACAATAAATGGTGTGCGCCATGACATGGAGCTTTGAATTCCGGAGGTACCGTAGCACGTAAAGAAGCCAGTGACAAGCCCAAGGGTGATAAGCAGCTGAGGTCCTGTTGTGAATGTCCCCCTGACTCTTGTTGGTGAGATTTCACAAATGTATCTAACAGTGTCGAAGTCAGTAAATTTCATTTGACTCGATGGTCTCACGGGCACATCATACACAACCAAAGTCCCGAGAAACAGACCCTCGCCCACACCCTCGACAACCCTACCAACAATGAACATGGCAAGGTGAACTGCAGCTGCTTCTATCGCAGCGCCAACCCCAAATACGAATACACCGATGCTGATGCCCTTGGACCTCCCAAACTTGTCTGCTAAAAAGCCAGCAAAGAATGAAGAAATTGCAGCTGGGATCAAGATAGACGACACGATGAGACCATGAATCGTAGCTGATTGACTTCCCCCAAACTGTGCAACAAAGTCCTTCATGTCGGTGACAGGCCCGATGATGCCTGTGTCCATACTATTTGCAGATGAGCTTCCTTGCTGAACAGGATCTCAAGTGAAGATACGATACACACCCAAATAACAGCCCATTCAGGGAGCAAATAAAACTTGCTGGCACATATCGTGGCATTTTTTGCAATCGCTTGATAGGAGACAGTGCCATTGTCACAGCGGCTCGGGCCTTACCGGTGGAAGTGGTTCTTCAACGCGAAGAGTCCTACTGGCTCGAAACTTTTCGCTAGATCCAAGATCGAGATTGAGGACCCTTGTCAGAAATTCAAACTGAGCAGAACGTCAGTATACGATGACAAAAAAAATTCTTCATCGGAAGCCTGAACCCGTCAGCCCCTCCTCCATCACATGTAAGCTGCTCCACTATAGCTTATCGACGGGTAAATGCCGGGTAAATGATCTGCACGGGAAGTCTGCCCGTCTGTACAGTATGTATTAGACCCCTATGGAGTAAAGACAATTGCAAAATTTCACAAGAAACGCGCCATATTACATACACAAAAGTGTTCAAATCCCCGAGCATAACATCATAAACAAACATCACCAGCTGAACCAATACTTTCAACACGAATTCCCAATTTGGTCATCTTCTTAATATCGATGATGCATCGTCCATCAAAGAGCCATTTCGGCGTACTCATGCTTTCTGCAATACTCTCCCAGTCGACCTGCTGCTTGGGAAGAGCGTCGCTGAGCTTGCGATCTGTGATCTCCTTGCCGTTCTCGCGTTGGCAATCCGGGCAGTCAGCAGCGCAGTTAGGCTCGTCATTGAGCCTTTCTTGGAGGTAGACCAGGGAAGCACTATCTTTCATGCCACCGATGTTTGAAACAATACCCTCTTGCAAATCCTTTGAAGGTTCATTTTGTTGCTCTTGCGGAGGAGCGACAACGGCAGACTCAGTGTTTCGGAATTCGTCAAACTCGGTCACAATCAGAATTGCATTCGATGATTCACATGCTTCGTATGCATTGTGATAGACTTTGACTGCTCCGCCATCATCTCTCAAAGCTGGAGGACCATATCCATGTAGCTGACGGATCTCGCTTTCAATCACGTAAGGATTGCAGCAGGGGTCAAAGATAGCAATCTCGCCGGGGTTCTCATCAAGCAAAGTCTTGATAATTTCAAGAGCAGGTGCTTCACGAGTGTCTGATGTGTTCTTCTTGAAAGCGTAGCCCAGTAAAGTGATCTTCTTACCAACCAGTGTGTTGTTGAGGCACTTGATGACACGACTGGTAAATCGGTCACGCTGGTACTCATTCATAGTCACGACCTGGCGCCAATAGGCTCCAACTTCCTTGAGACCCAGAGACTCCGCAAGGTAAACGAGACTGAGGACATCCTTCTTGAAACAGCTGCCGCCGAATCCGATTCCAGCACGGAGGAATTTGTCGCCCACGCGGGAGTCCATGCCGATAGATGCAGAGACCTCATTGATCTCGGCTCCAGTGGCTTCGCAAATCGCCGAAATACTGTTGATACTACTTAGTCGCTGGGCAAGCATTGAGTTTGCCACAAGCTTCGCCAGCTCAGATGACCAGATGTTAGTAGTGATGATGCGAGATCGGTCAACGAATCCAGCATACACCCCAGCCAGTGTTTCCGCTGCGACTTGACCATCCTTGGTGGTTGACGAGCCGATAATCACTCGGTCCGGGTGCAAGAGGTCTTGTATGGCGGTACCGGCTGCCAGAAATTCCGGGTTGGACAGAATCTCGAAATGTGCTTTACGTCGACGAACACCAATCTGCGCGAAAAATGTCAACTGTCAGCTTATCTTGCATCGTGCGTTTAATGCGCGGGATGTGTATGACGTGTATGACGTACCATTTCCTGTATCATCTGAGCCGTTCTGCAAGGGACTGTGGATTTCTCCACAATGATCGCACCACTTCGGGCGTGTTGTACAACATCTGCGGCCACGGCCTCGAATGCTGTCATATCTGTTGCGCTACCGGCACCAGATCCACGCATCTTGGTTGGCGTGTTCACCGCAATTATGACAATATCGGATTCCCGAATACACTCTGCCACGTTCGCTGAGAAAAACAGATTCGGTGCCCGGAAGGTTGAGGCAGGCGACGATTGTGAGTTGACATGTTCGGAGTCATCGTTGGAAGATGGCACTGTGTTTTCTGGAGCTTGTGACAGCCCATCTCGTGAGATCCGGACGATTTCTGCGAGACCGGGCTCGTAGATAGGCAAGTGTCGGGAGTTCCATCGTCGAATGCGCCGCTCATCTTTGTCTACGACGGTGACTCGAATGTGGGGGTTTTTCAATGCAAGCACGGCAGCGGTTGGTCCACCTGTTGGTGGTCAGTATTACTCTGCAGGTAATATGTCGGCCCAAGAGGGTACAGCGAAAGGGCGCACTTACCGACATATCCGGCCCCGACGCAACAAATGCTGCGCACCGGTCGCGCAAATATCGAGGTATCCAAGTCACTTTCATCTCCAGTAGTCTTTGTGCCAGGTGAATTGGCATCGGATTTGTCTGTGCCGCCATTAAGACTTCCTTCTGGGGTTGTGGGTACAGTGGACTCAGTTGAGAGGATAGTCTCAGAGTCAAGCTCCGGGCTGGTAAGGGAAGACATTGTTGCAAGATGTAGCCTCAGCCCGAATGAAAAAAACCGAAATTATTTCACACCTTGGGAGATACCTCCAGAATTCAGGGGAGTCCTTTGTCAGTTGAAAGATCTGATCAAGACCGGAAGACTCAACCCGGATGCATGGCTGCTTATTGCTAATTATGGTGCCTCGTCCCGCCAAGGCAATTGGTTACCTGTCATAGGCAAGTGAAATCGAACCGGAAAGTAGCATGTCCCTTTCGATATTCATAGATCGGCCATCATGTGGAATACCACTACGGAGTAACTTGGGTGGTATTGATACAGCTGATCCCTGGGTAATCAATACATGCGTACGAAGTACACTCCGTACTCAGCGATCTATGCAGCCGTGCTGTTTGGTCAGCCCCTTGCTGCTTGCTCGTGCAGGACCGGCTTAGCCACGTAATCAATCAAGTTCACCTGGGCACCTGGGCAGGGGATCTGTCAGGTATTCCGGACGGAGAAGCAAACATTATTATTTGTATTTCATGAAAACGACGTTGCACAAACACTGATTGAACAAGAACCTCTCAGCTACAGAGTAATTGGTGTCAGTCTACGAAGTATGAGGTAAATTACTCCGTAGATGATAGTACTAACAGTTCAAGCACATTTCATGCTGCTCTTGATTTCGAGTCCATTCCTTAGTTTTGCGAACCGCTAAGTAGATTTAAGACACAATGTATGCTTGTAATACCGATACGATACTAGCTCAACGAGGCTGAACCCAACCGAGCCGGCTTGGCGTCCACGGTCCGTTGAGCGAATCCCGAGGCTTCATTTGTACATGTGCCCTAGTCCAATACGCCAATACATCCAATTTATCCTGCGAATGCTGGCTCATTTGTATTCTTTTTGTTTTCGCATTCTACTCCGTACCTATGCCCCTCTCTCATCCGCTCCGCCCTTAAACTCAGACTAGACTTTGAACACTGCCCCTAATCTACTCCGTATTTTGAACCCCATATGTCCTCCTATATACGACTTCTTGGCGAGATACGATAGCTCTTGGATCTCCATCAGCCCTACTCAATGGGTGGGTCTTTCTTGATCTCATTTCTGCTTTCGTCGCCCATTGGCCTCGGTTTGGATGGTAAGGCGGACGCATGAAAGTGGCCGAGACTTGGAGAGGAAAAGGGGCGGATACGACTTGGTCCTGTTCTGAGTTGCACATACGGAGTACCCTTGGCTGTCAGCAGAGGGAGTGGAAGTGTCTCGTGTCTCCTATATCCGGTCTTGGCTGCAAGTCCAGCCAGCTGTTCCACTGTCAGCCATTTGCACTCTTCACTAGCCCAGGGGAAGAGTTCCCTTTTGTACGCTTCGACCAGAGGCGTCATGATGCTGTTTACCAGTCGCTGGCACTGGGCCATCCTAGCTGGCTTTGTCGTCGTCGCCTTGGTCACTCTCTTTCAAAGTCATTCTCCGATCGGAGAAAGCACGCCTTTATCCGTGTCAACGGACGACGTGAGATCTTGCCTTTCTTTTTGCTTTCGATCTCTTTCGCGTTGTATTCATAGAATCTCGTGGCTAACTGGAAATAGACAACTTTGCTCAACAAGGGAGACTCACGTGTCACAGACCTCCCCGAGAAAGAAAGCATCTCAAAAACTTCTAAATTTCACCTACTCATCCCTGCAAATGGGCCGCACCTTCAGCTGTGCAGAGCGGTTGTATCATCAACCGTTTTAGGCTATCCAATCCCTGTTTTCAACGGTTGGAATAAGACCGGGGATTTGGATGCTTCTGTCACCCATCTTGCTAAAGTACGCAATGTGATGCGCTATCTTGACAGCTTGGAATCTGCCTCCGACGATGATCTGGTTTTAATGATCGATGGCTACGATGTGGTATTCCAACTACCCGCCGATGTATTGATTCAGCGATACTTCTCTGTAATCGAAAAAGCAAACGCCAAAATTGCAGCACGATTTGGCGAAGACTCGGTTTATGCTTTCAATCGGGACAATGCTCCACGGCAAACTATTCTATTCGGTCCCGAGAAGATCTGCTACCCGGTAGACTGGAACCGACCCGGCTGCTGGGCCATTCCGGACATCGACATGCCTGCCGGCGCATTTGGACCCGACGACGGACAACTCAGTCACAATCTACCCAAGTGGCTCAATTCTGGAACTATCATGGGTCCAGTTGGCGATATGAGAGAATTGTTCGCTGCCACTTTGAAACGTATCAAAGACACCTACGACCCAACTCATGAATTCAGCGACTCGGATCAGAGATACATGAGCGATATTTGGGGCGAACAAGAATTTTGGCGATCAGTGGACCTACATAACAACTATTTCCATGATGACATAGATCCGAAGAAAGTTGCACCAGAAGGCGAGCCCGATCAGATCATCCCGACAAGGGAGGCCGATCAAAAAACGGAATTTCACGTCGGCATTGACTATACCTCCGGGCTATTCCAGACCCGTGTCGGTTCTGATCACGTTCTGGAGCATATCGCTTTCGATAAGAGCACATCGAAGGGAATTGGTCTCTGGACCTTGACATCCGAGAACAAAATCGAGGCCTCCAATTTCCAGCCCTTTGAGATTTATTTACCTGCCAACGTCGTCTCCTCCCTAACGCGACTCATGAAGTCAATTGCTCCTCTTCTCAAGTCCGACCCTCACAATGCAGTGACGAAATTGCTATTGGGCACAAACCTTGTGACCAAGAATGTCTATGGTTTGTTCCACTGCATCGGCGAAAAGACTTATCTCGATGACTTGTGGTATCGACTCTGGTTCCAGGAGCACGCCAAGCCTCTTCTGGAGACTAGAGTCAAATCGGCGAAAGAAAGCGATGTTATTTCCAGCTCCCCGATTGATGGAAGGAGGTGGGTTATTGCTCACAACTATCCATCGGAGTCTGGGCCAAGCGAGCAATTAGCTGGTGCTTGGATGGACATGGATAACGAGTGGATTGGTTGGGAAGATCTTTGCGAACCATTTGAAAAGGACATATTTGGTGATCGACCAGAGAAGCGCTAATTTTTCTTTTTTCTTTTTCTTTTTACCTTTGCGACGGCGCATTTACTCTAGGTTTGTTGCTTTTGTGTTGAAATAATTGTACATATTTCTTGTTCACTCATACCACGGACCTAATTGTTTCCATCCTTATAGACTATTGTCAATGATTGAACTCTATTTACACTTCTTGTGTCCCGAGGTCTATGCAAGATGATCGAATGGAGGAAAAGTGAAAGAGAAGTGAAATCAATACACGAATGGCTTTAACACCAATTCCAAGGTTCCTAACGCTCGACAACAACCGCCAACTCCGGGTATCAATCCTTGCAATCTAGCTTCTGTCGTCGCTTCATGGACTTCCATTCAACAAGTCCAGCCCCAATGAACGAGAGGAGGGCAGCCGCAACAGACACATAGAAGGTCTGTGTGATGGCAATGTTATAGGCGTAAAGCACGGATGGTAAAACATCCTTCGGTACTTGCTGTGCCAAATGTGAAACTCCGGCTTCGATCAAGGCCTTTGGACTGGCCTTGGGTGCAAACTTTGTTATACTTGCCACCAAGCGGTTTTCAAACACATTCTGAGCAATTGATATGAACATGGCGCCGCTCAAGCTCTGGGCAAAAGTAATTATGGCAATGCCGATCGGTATATCATGCACTGGGAGTACAGTTTGCAGTGCATTGATGCACTGTTGGAACCCAACTCCCGCGCCGAGGCCAAGGATCACTTGGTATCCGATCCACTGAAGGGTTCCGCTTTCCACTGTAAACGTCGTGCACATACCGGAGCCAATTGTGAGGAAGGCGCTTCCTGCGTACATGAGCGGAGTATAATATCCCACGAAATTTACCAGAACTCCACCCAGTGCAGAGAAGACAATCATTGACACCACCATCGGTAGATTGTTAATACCGGACTGTGAAGCGGTATCCTCCTTAACAGCCTGGAACCAAATTGGGAGCTATACACAAGTCAGCTGCGAGATACCAATGTTACCCAAACAACTCACATAATATCCAAAGACAAAAAAGGATCCTCCAAGGAATATGGCGTGGACCACTGCTCCGAGCACGTTGCGGTTTTTGAGCAGACGAGGTGGGACTGTAGCATCATCCTGTTTCCAAACTTGGATAATCCCCCACATGGAGCCAAAAACTCCGAATAGAACAAACACGATGATTACACGAACATCATCCCAATGGTACTTAGTCCCTCCCCACTGTAGTCCCAACAGGAGACACACAATTGCGGGAACAAACGTCGCGATCCCCAGTGGGTCCATCCGTTTGAGTTGTTTCAGTTTGCCGATCTTAAGTATGGTCTTCGCTTTCGAATCATCAAAGAATAACAAAATGACGAAGCCAGTTAGAATGCCAAAAGGCAAGTTGATCCAGAAGCACCATCTCCAACTAGCATGATCGGTCAAGAGGCCACCGATTCTGGAATGAGTTAGTTTGCGCCACGCAGGTCCCATGTTGAAGAAGACCTACAATGGTCCTGTGATTGTCGCAATCCCACTTGTGCTCCCAATTATCCCGAAATAAAGCGCGCGACGATGAAGAGGCACACTGTTTGCGAGAACCAGCAAAGCCCCCGGGGACAGCCCGCCTGATCCAACACCAGCAATCGCTCGGCCGAAAATTAACCCATTCGACGACGGTGTGACTGCGCATATCACGGATCCTAACTCAAACAAGGCAAGCGCGATCAAATATGTCCACTTCGTTGAATAATACGTATAAATCTTGCCGAAAGGTAAAGTGACTGCGCAAGTTGTCAAGAGGTAGGCGCTGGCATACCAGGAAATGTCACCGAGGGAGTGAAATTGTTCGGTTATCTTTGGCACGGCGGTGGAAAGAATTGTGTTGTCCTGTATAATCAATCTCTGTATTAGCTTCTGGCCGTATGCAACACGAAATCATGCTTTGGTGCTTACCAGCGCAATACAAAATGATTGGAAGCACAACCCTATCAAAATCGGAACAAGCTTTGAGGTTGGCGGGTAATCTTGCTTTTCATCCTCGTCGCCCAAGTCCGACCCTGTCTCTTTCAGGGGAATATCATCTCGATCCACAGAGACATCGTCTCGATAGTCTCTCAAATTTGATTTGTCGGCCATGAACCCAAATTGATTTCCCCCAGTTTTGTATTCAACTGCGGGAGATCATGAGAGTTGAGATTTTGTAATTCATTCACACCGGAGTGAGAAAGGTGTCGGTGATTTGAGAAAGGATCTTGATACTGTCTGAGTCTGTATTTCTTCCACTAGCGTGGAGGATGAGCTACTTCAAAAAAGACATGGCGAACATACAACCTAAATCAAGGTATACACCCCTTGTTCGAGAGGTTATCTCAGTAGGTTACATACTGTGATGAAAGGGGCCACATACGTACGAGTGCTTTGTTGAGTGCTGTCAAAAGTCCACATTCCTGCGGACGATTGGCATGCCGTCGGAGTTTCTATGAAATAATGACCTAGCACTCTTACATATGCAGTGCCTCAATTCGGATAAGACTCGGTCTTATTGATTGTATGGATATTTGCCTTCACTGACTTAGATTGTCGATTAGTTAGCTCAATGATTTAGTACACTCTTTGCTGTTCTGAATGTCAGTTGGCTAAAGCCGATCTACCGGAAGGTTGGTCCCAAGACCCTGCATTCCAAAGATTGCAACCTCATCCCCAAAACACATGCAATCCAGTGAGCCGGTTTCTTCGAGGTGCCTGTTCGTTTTTGTTGATTGGTTTGAGCTTGCTAATTACAGTATGACTTGGGATCATTGCGTCATTTGATAAAATCATGAGGTACACCGATCCATCTCAATCGAGTCCCACCTGGTAGAACTTTGGAAGCTTGATATGCGATTCAATCGGTATGTGCAGAGGCCAGATCTCCTGGTTGTTAGCTCATTACGCGTGTGATCTTCCAAGGTTTGGTAACTAGGTCTCTATGTATTGATAATCCGTGTATAGCATGGCGTCATGAGCCTGTGCGACCTTTCCATGATAGACTGATATGCGCATATTTCGAACGGAACAACTCCAGCTATCTTCAACAAGAGATGACGATTCAGATTGGGGCTTGCGTGTTTAGTATACACCCAGTCTTCAAGTTCCAGGGGCTTAAATCGTAGATATGCACCGAACAAGGCTGAGAAGCATGTGTAATTGGTAATGACCACTACGCCAAGGATTCATGACATCCATGAATGTATTGAAAGGGTGGAACCTTGGGGATCAGGGGCGAGCTCCCGGAGGTTATGTGTAAATCCCCGGTACCAATGGGCAGGTAGATCTTGCGAGAATTCGGGTCCATCAACAAGGTTTGTGGGTGACCTTGGCACCTTGCTATATAATATCCCGAGGAATGCACGTTGGTCTCCTTCGGGTCCAGTGTTCTTGCAATTTAATTATATAATGCATATACCTAAATGGATGTTGGAGGCCTCGTGCCTTGAACAAAGTGATACTCGTAGGCTAAGCGCCTCAGGGCTAGAAAATAAATATGGGTATATGAATATCTTGGTACTTCTTCTCGGTCATACACTCGTGCGTAGGCTTGTGTAGAAAAACATTTTACGTGACGTTTGAAGACATTTAGGGGCACTGTCTTAGTGTTTGGATGGCTTTTCCGGTATCAGATGGAGAACCTCTCCACCTGGGAATACAACGAACGCGACAACCTATTTCTGATTCAATCGCCTCTTTTTCTCGGTACTTTAAACATTCATAGTCCCTGTTCTGAGATCTAGTGTCTGCACCATCACATAATCAGGATTATTACACTACGCAGAAATATGTCCAGGGGTCATAATATCTGACCCAGGCTCCTGGTGAAGGTACGTCAGCGTACGGAGTAACTATTCGATCCAAAATAATCACATGAGACGACTGAGCAGTGACATCAAGCTCTAGTTGATATTATGCGTGTTATTGGCTATCAGTGAATTTGGCCCCCTAAATTTTGACGAATGGAGGTCACTTTCCTCTGACCACAACACCCAAGGCGCCCGTTGAGGATGTACCCGTTACGACGCGCCCGATTCAAAACTTAGCTCGATGGTCATACCACGCCAAGCTTACGCTTCACAAGACACGGAAGCACGCGCCAGGGGTCATGGCACTTTGGCCCTTTGTGCGATCTGCGCGCCATGGCTGTGTGAAAACTCTATACCCTGCTCCCAATGATTTCAGCGGCGATCGGGAAGTGCCACGCGAAACTTTGGAGCAAGGAAGTAGGTGTGGTGTGGATTCCACGAAAAAGATGGTTAGGCTATAACGAGAGTGTTATGCAGTAGCCACACAAGCGTCAGTACGGGGTACCTACGGAGTGCAACGCGACCAGAACGCGGGTTACCGCGTAGACCGGAACTGCCTCATGGGGAAGTTTGTCGTGCCTATCCCCCGGGATTCGGTCGCAGCCGTGGAGAGTAGGGATGTGGAGCAAGTGGCTTCGTCTAGTGCGGGTTTGCTTGACTCAAGGAAATCAAGTTCGGGTTTTCGGAGGGTGCGGAGTGCCGAAGTGAAGGCCCGTTGGGGTTCCATGGCACAGCAGAAACAAGAGTCATCTACATCTTGGCTCGTCCAAAACTTCAAAGACTACTCCGTGCGCGGTACGGAGTACAGCGTACAGTGTACACGATTTGGGATGAAAAATGTAGTGACTCAAAAAAGCCTAGGCTCGATAACACACGCCAAGCCACTGGTAACTTCGGCCTCGGATGTTTACCGGCCAGGCGCCCAGTTGAGAAGTTCAGGGGCAAAGGAAAATTCCGAAAAGAAGCAACCACATTTATAGGTGGGTTCCGTACCGATGTGCTCGACTGGTCTTTACAAAAATAACATTGATTCTACACTCCAAGAGATTTACAAAATTCTACGGAGTACAGAGTTGAGAGAAAGGGGCAAGTCAAAATTGGCATAGCATTGGCACTTTATTGGCTTTGCATTGGCATTATATTGGCGTTGTCCAAGAAGGCTTCGAAAGACATAAGCTCTAGATCGACTCTTGGACAAAGCACTCCTTCCAGTATCCCCGGATCGCTCGAGACCCGGTTTTCTCTCACGCGGGGGAGTTTCCACTTTGACACTGAGATCTGACAGGCTGGAGAGGAGATCGGCGGGCGCCCTGAGCCTGAATGGGCCCGTCCGGAAGTCCACTAACTGATTCTGGCGAAGCCGGCACATTGATGCCTTTGCCCGACATGAGGCTTGGCGCGAGTCGCGTTGTATCTGTCTCTTTCGGTGTCGGAGGCTTGTATTGGAGGGTCGTGGGGCTTGAATGTCCGTGCAACCAGAAATGACGGAGAGGCTGCCAGTGATGATCTGACCCTGCTTTTTAGCCTGGTAGTATTGGAGAAGGTGGGCCCTTCTCACTCAATGTTTTCCAGATCTCTCAAATCACATTGGATTTCAGTGCAGCGGCTCGGCTGCAAGAGGTAGAAGGTGATCCCCAAGAGTTCCCTAATCCCAGAAGAGCCTTGGCCGCCTGGGGTTGGTTTAAAACCTCCCGATTCCCCCGCGTGGACGATCCTCCGCTCTCTTGAATTTCACATTTCACTCTGATCTGGCTGACACTTTGACATACTGAAGATATATAGAGGGGGTTTCCGCTGTCGCCAAGATGCAGACCAAACGCTTCCTCGGTCTAAATGGCACACAGCTACAGGTCGCCATCGGCTTCCTGGCCGGCATGGACTTTTTGCTGTTTGGTTATGATCAGGGTGTCACAGGTGGACTATTGACACTTGAATCCTTTAACAAATATTTCCCCGAGATCAACACGTTGGAATCGTATACCGAGGGCTGGAGTTCAGCAGCGAAAAGCAACCAGTCCACACGACAAGGAATCACCGTTGCAGCATACAATCTGGGATGTTTTGCAGGCTCAATCCCCACAATCTGGATCGGAAATATCTTGGGTCGTCGCAAGGCTATCTTTGTCGGCTCGTTTATCATGTGCATCGGTGCGATTCTGCAATGCACGTCCTACGGCCTGGCGCAGTTCATTGTTGGCAGATTGGTCACTGGCTTTGGTAAAGCTAACTGGAAAATATCATCGAATACCCTGCTAAAGCATACCCTAGGAAATGGAATCAATACTTCTACAGTCCCTACTTGGCAGTCCGGTACGCCTAGTCCCACGCTCCCATTTGCTTTCCTTATACCCGCGGACATGGATCACTTTCCAGTTATTTTGCAAATGCCAGAGTGAATCAACATAACGCGCAATATCGACAGATGCTAACTTGAAATAGAATGCTGCAAGTCCCACCGTCGAGGCCAGATGGTCATGATCGAAGGTGCTATGATTACTTGTGGTATCACAATCAGTTACTGGATCGACTTCGGCTTGATGTTCGCCGACCCCAACGAGGTCGCGTGGAGATTCCCACTAGCGTTCCAGATCTTCTTCGCCGCAATCATCCTCGGCTTCGTCATGTTCCTTCCCGAGTCTCCCAGGTGGCTGATCTTGAAGGGTCGTGAGGAAGAAGCGAAGGAAGTTCTTGCTTGTTTGATGGGCGACGATACCGATGAGCTGTTCATCGAAACCGAGTTCACCGCTATCAAAGCTACGGTGCTTGAGATGGCAACAGGCTCTTTCCGAGACATGTTCACTATGGGCGAGGACCGACACTTCCACCGCACTATGTTGGCATATGTCAATCAGATGTTCCAGCAGATCTCTGGTATCAACTTGATCACTTATTATATTCCGACCCTTTTGGAGAGCCAAGTTGGCTTGGATGCTACAACTTCACGTCTTATTGCCGCTTGCAATGGCACTGAATACTTCATTGCTTCCTGGGTGGCGGTTTTCACTGTCGAGAAGTTCGGCCGCCGATCACTTATGCTGTTTGGTGCTGTTGGAATGTCGATATCAATGGCAGTCCTTGCGATCGCGGATAGTATTTCTGCAAGCCACAAACAGACTCCTACGGGTGTTAAAGCTGGTATCGCTCAGACCGTTTTCTTGTTTGTGTTCAACACATTCTTCGCCGTTGGTTGGCTAGGAATGACCTGGTTGTATCCTGCCGAGATTGTTCCATTGAAAATTCGTGCCCCAGCCAACGCCTTATCCACTTCTTCTAATTGGATCTGGAACTTCATGGTCGTCATGATCACTCCGGTTGCCTTCGAGAGTATTGGTTACAAAACATATGTGATCTTTGCCGTCATGTGAGTTTTCTTTGATTAATTGCTAGCTTTCCATGTGCTAACCAGACCTAGCAATGCCGCAATTGTGCCCGTGGTCTACTTCTTCTTCCCTGAAACCACCATGCGCTCACTGGAGGAAATGGATCGCATCTTCCGAAAAACTACTAGTGTCTTCAACGTGGTTTCGCTGGCTCGGTCAGAGCCCCATATGTATGGATCGAACGGTGAACTCCTGCGTACTCTGGACGATGTCGAAGACGACGCCGTCCGTCGCGCCAGTATCTTGAACAAAGAGAGCAAGTATCAGCACCAAGCCAATACTCAACATGCAGAGAAACACAGCGATGGAGACACGAGCGAAGAGAGATGAACGCCATTTCCAAAGTTGTGAGCGGTGTATAGCCTTTCTTCTATTTGTTTCAACACTGGTTTTTATTTCCCAGGTAAGGTCTGTCTTCTATTGTCTTATACTACCATGTCGACCGTTGCAGAGTATTGCCTTCTATATAACGATGAAATATACCATTTCCAACCCTAGTCATATGATACGCTAAGCCGAATATGATTGCTGCTGTATTCAAAAGACTTACTCCGTACTGCACCTATCAGTTACCATACTAGGATTACTGACCTAGGAGGCTCCTCCGGGCCCAGACACGAGAGATCCTCAATACGATGCGGGTACGTACTCTTACAGATCATGTCGCCAATTCGCTCGAAATATCCTCTTTATGCGCGATTCCAAGCCTCCACCCCCCATTACCGATAAAATAATTCCTTTAACAAGAAAGCATGTATCAGAAAGAGACCGCCATGATCCAAAATCAGTTGCATCATTCGCGTGATATAGTGCTGTACGTTTCCTATCCCACATTCAGTCGCCACGGATCAAGACCCCTCTGTATCTCATTCTTCCCTCCTTAAGTGTCTCCATCGCCTTCTCAATTCCATTCTGACTCAACGGAAAGGTCATCACAATAGGCCTGATACGGTGACGGGCAGCAAACTGCAACATCTCGCGTTGGCTACCTCGAGCTGCGGGCAGACTGCCTTGGATTCGCAAACCTTTCATAACCAGGGGCAGATAGGGGAACTTCATCTCATCCATATCTACCGTAAGAGCATATATCACTCCTCCCGGGGCCATAATTTGGAAAATAGCTTCCCAATTCTGCTGCTTGGCTGATGTAACAAGGAGGTGATCCAAAGGCTCCATCGCAGGAGGGGAATCCGTGAAATTATAGAACTCGGTGGCCCCGAGAGCCAACGCTTCATCCCGTTTAGACTGCGTTCCCGATAACACTGCCACTTGACAGCCCATTTTTGCAGCGAACTGAATGGCGAGATGTCCTAGTCCACCCACTCCAATCACACCAACACGCTCGGTCGGGGCAACTTTGAATTTGTGCAATGGCGAAAACACTGCACTTCCGGCACACATCAAGGGAGCTGCATCGGCACTAGATATTTCATCCGGGATTTTGTAGAGAAAGTCTTCGGGCCAGATGGCCGCCTGAGCAAAGGATCCTTGATCGGCGTTGGACTCGCCATAGATCTTTCGTTGGTCGCAGTATAGTTCCTCGCCACGCAGACAATACTTGCATTGACGACAACTACCATGTCCATAACCCCAGCCCACACGGTCTCCTCTGTTTACACGAAAGTCAGTTAAGGGATAATCAATATCAATGCGCATAGCGAAAAACAAATTGAAAGATAAACAGTAGAAAGATAAATGCAAGCCTACATATTGAGAGACGCAACTTTGGTGCCGATTGCTTCGACAACCCCGGCCCCTTCGTGTCCAAGGACAATGTTGGCATGCCTGTAATGCTCGTCGGTTCCACAAAGACCGGAATGAGTGATTCGGACGAGGACTTCATTCTCAGCAGGGTTGGAATATTGAAATTGACGTTCCACAATCTTCCCATTCTCAGAGCCTTTGAAAACAGTAAACTCCGGCATGTTAGAATGGGTTGATAAAAACTCTTACTTAAAAACAACGATAAATTGCTACGTAGGCGAAATTATTTAATTACGATGAGAACTTAGGCATTGCGCAGTTATATCCAATAATATGATGCCCAGCGGTGACGGATAAGAAAATATAGAACTGAACGTTGTTCTCAAATTGACCAATCACATCAACGCCCCGCTTGGTAACTTTCTCGATGCTCTCCAGGGCTTGCGTCTTAACGGAGCCGCCATGGTATCAGCCAATCATATTCGGACTCGTCCGGCGCTAGGCTAAATGCTATCGGCTCTTAAAGCTAGCTCCCCGCCTGATTTGCCAATTCTAAATCATGCTATGAAACATATCGTCATCGTGGATGAGGTTTGCGCCGACAATTTCGTCGTCGATTATCCTATGCATGGTCCCCGTCGTGGTAAAGAAGCGGCCAAGAAAATGCTACTTGAGTTTCGAGAGGTAAGAGAACAGGACAAATTCCCAAGAGACAGACTTAATCAGGCCTAATCTTTTCATGGTCAACAGGCGTTCCCGGGTATTTCCTTCCACGCCTACAAATTCCCCCTCATTGCTGAGGGAGACTACGTGGTAGGCCGCTGGATTGGGGGTGGCAAGCACACCGGCCGTGAATTCGACGACCTTGCAGTTGGCAAGCTCGGCCAGCCAAATACCGGAAAGGAGGTCTATTTCTCCGGAACAACCATTTTCACATTGCAGAATGGAAAAATTGTGGATGAGATTGGCGAAGAGCAAGCCCTGACAGCTCTGCAGCAGCTAGGGTTAGTTGCTCCTCCTAACCCAGGCAAAGAGGTCAAGTACGATGCAGAGGGAAATCATGTTTGAGATAAAGAGAGATCTTTGGGATGAATTGGTCTTCACGATGTCTTGCCAATAGTTGACAGTGGTAATCCGCTTTCTACCCGTCTCAATTGAGTATTTTGTCCATGATATGAGATTTTCAGTATGATGCTGTAACAAGTACGCAATGAGTAGCCCTGCAACACTGCCTAGGCGTAATATCGGTGTAAGTACGCCGAGGCCAGGAAGGAAATTCTCTTAGTTTGATTTGGGAGCTATAACTTCCAGGCCCAGCCTGTGCATAATGAGGCAATTTGGCGCAGAAAGTAAAACCCGCATACGCTGCATGCAACACCAGGCGTGAGAGTCCATGATTTGCGACAGAGGAAAATCGTCTTTCCAAAGTTGTCCAATCAAACGAATGTTCAACAATCTCTTTTCAGGCAGTATTAGTAGTCAGTAAAACAGTCTCAGCAAACCATAGGCTGAAACACTTTCTCTCGTTATTCGTAAAGATGGTAGTGCTATTGCAATGGTATCTATACAGCACTATAGTGATAGTTGTCCAAAGTCTATCGTCAATCTATACCACCTCTTGGTGATCAGCACCGATAGCCTCCTTTTTAGGGCCATCCTCCTTTCGGCGCTCGACCTCTTCCCCAAAGAGATCTCCGATTTTGTGAGTTTGCCATGGCTTGACGTCTGTTTCAAACACCAAGTCAATCTCTTCAAGCGACCTTCCTACAGTCTCCGGGTACATGAGGAACACATGGAAGGTCATGACGCAACAGAAGACACCAAAGATAATATAAGTCTTCCACTGGATGTTGTGGAAGGCGGGGGCCACGAAGTACGCCAGGGCAAAGTTGAAAATCCAGTTTGTCGCAGCCGAAACACCGACACCTTTGGCTCGGTATTTCAATGGGAAGACCTCTGATGCGTAAACCCACGCAGTTGGAGCCTGAAATTGTTAGTGGCAGGTTTCTTTTGCAGATGTAGTAGAGGAAGTAGTGACGTACCCAAGTAAGACCATAAATTCCGGTGAAGATATATGAAAAGGCAATGACTGCCATGCCGGAACTGCCTTTGATCTCCCAGGTCAAGTTGTAGTCACCATTCACATTCGATACGGGATTGCCTCGGCTGGCCATGACACCAGCGATAATGAAGTGTACTACCATGCAGGTGACCGACCCAATAAGGAGAAGGTTTCTTCGGCCGACACGATCGATGAAGGGGAGCATGACTCCAGTGGTCACCAAGAAGATCACATATTGGATGGCAGAGGACCACAACGTTGTGTTACCAGACTAGTTATGACGGTAAGTAAAAAGTTCCCAAGTTGAAGTTTGAGGCATGTACTTACCAGGCCCGCCATCTCAAAGATGTACACGACGTAGTACATGGCAACGTTGCCTCCCAGCAGCTGCTGCCACATTTGCACACTCATGCCACACATGGTTCGCTTCCAAACGCGAGGTCCAAACAGGGCCAAGAAAGAAACATCCTGAGACTCGTGAGCAACACGCACTGCCTCTTGAACCTCCTCAAATTCGACCTGCACAGCCGGGTCATGACGATCACCGTTGGCATGAATGATTGCCAAAGTATCCAGAGCCTCCTCCCAGCGCTCCTTTGAAGCGAGCCAACGCGGGGACTCTGGGAAAAAGAACAAGGCGATAAATAGGATAAGACCGGGGACGGCCTGCACACCCCAGCAGATTCGGAACGCAGCTGGCCCGGACACACCAACCACGCAGCCATATGCAATCAAGTACATGATCAGGATACCCCATTCGATCGCCCATTGTTGAATACCGACCACACGACCGCGGATCCGGGCGGGTGCCAACTCCGATAAGTAGACACAAACTTGTGAAGATGTCACACCAACTGCCAGTCCACTGACAACACGACCGGCGACCAGGTGCGCGACATTTTGAGCGCTACATTGGACCATAGCGCCCACAATCCAGACGAGAGATGCAACCATCAATGCGTAACGACGGCCGAGAATATCCGACAGCCAACCCGCTGCAATCGAGCCGGCGAATGAGCCAGCGGACATTGATGCTGTGATCTGTGAAGGAATGTCAGTCTCAAAGCCACAACAACCAGCCGAAATCACGTACGCCACCTTGAAGGTTGGAATTTGGGGAGCCGAAGTAATCTTTATATGTGTCGACGCCAATCCAAGCACTCATTGAGCTTGAATTTGGGTCAGTAAAAGATCTCTCAATGTTGAAACGGTGAACACCAACCTCACATCGAACCCAAATAGAGCACCACCGATGGTGCCAAACGCGGCAAGCACTTTGAGATGTTAGTTACATCGATCTTCAATCCTGGAAGCTCAACAAACCGTAGATGTTAGTTATGGTATACATGATTGCAGTTGGACCATGAGGTTATCGAAAAGCCGGGCTTGCGGCATGGCGTTTTATAAGTACCATCGGATCCACTGGTCAATGCGTGAAGTTCGACACCAGGGAAGATCGCATGGTACGACTTCGGGCCCGGGGGTTTCACCCCGGAGCGGGAAAGATCAACGGGGCTCGAATGCGGAGGAGAGAGGAGAAATCCCGGGGCACAAAAGTCGGGGGTGGACACGGCGTCATTGGCGGGCCTGGTGCCTCAACGAGCCAGTCGGGGCATTCGAATGGCGGCCGAAGCCGGTCTCTTTTAACCGAGACCTTTAATTATCCGCGCGAATATCAATGATAATCCTTCTAGCCGAATGTCCTGGATAATTCATCCCCGAGACCAGTTGCATTTTGCCTATTCTCGTTTGTTTGTCTCACTCTCCTTCAAAAAAACACGAAATCGGGCCGTTTCGCACGGATCGGCATACCGACGTCATGCATTAGAATCTGGGAATGAAAATTACGAGGTTCAAAAGTAGATCTTGTGGTACTCCGGCTTGTTCTCTCTCTCCCCCTCCCTCTCTACCTACTATCCCTAATACCATGCTGGCGAAGAACAAGCGGGTGTCATCGTGAGCTCGGGATGTTCCACCACTTGTTATCAAACGGAGACATCGTATCCGTGCTCGGCGTAACGCCATATGCAGGCTGCCTTGGAGGGAACTCCCGATCCCCTTTCGTGAACTTCAGGAACTGCTAAACTCCTCATTCAATGCCTTTGGTTCATGTGCTGAATTCCGCGCTGGGTCGGCTTCTAGTGATCGGTTTAAATTTCGGTGCGCCATGAACGAGTTAAAATACGCCATTGCCGTCAATTTCGGGCCATGGCGCTATCTTTGAGATGGTGGCGTTTTCCATGGACCAGAATCAGCAGCCACATCTTTAACACAGAAAATGATTGCGAGAGGCAATCTCGCTCATTTACTTGCAAGTGACATTGACAAGGTCGGGTAATTGATAAGGTTACATGTGACCCTATGACCACCGGGTTATTACCCTTCTGAACCTCCATTCGGCTGCTTGGGCCAGAAAGCTGGACAACGTTGGAATATTTGTAAATTAGTCCTCATACTCACTCAAATCACTCGCCCCCAATTCTACTTCTTGTTTCAATGTGGAGGCGGGGGGCATTTGTTGGCATTCTCAGGGGTTTTAAGTAGTAGTACGACTTGATGTAAACATCTCGAGCTGGCACCTGGGCACAGTCTCTCAGATTTCGAATAAGAAACCCTGATTGGATCATCGTCATAAAATGGGTTAAATGTCATCGTGATGGCGCTTACTGTGATCTCAAACAGCCGCATCGTCAAGACAACATGATATGAAATTCCTTGTTGGGTGACCATTCTGAGCTCAGTTCAAAAAGAGACCCACGGTGGGAGCGCGCTCGCCTACGTCTAGCCGATTTTCTCTCTCAGTGGCCTACCAATTCATCCCCACAAATAAACGAGATGTGGAGACGAATAACAATGCGGGGATTCCTCCAAGGTTGCGGCGATTTCCGATGTATAGTTCAACACCACAAACCCAACGACCGCGACTTCTCTATGGTCTTCCCATATTCCAAAAACTCGCTACTGTCACCCGCTATTTATCATTATCATGTTTGAATAACGTTGCGCATAATTTCAAGGGCTTTGAATTGGCATTTAACATACTCAAGGGGGCGGGTGTCGTGAGGAATGTAGAGAATGTTAGCGAAATCCCCGTCGCGTCTCGTTGCGAATAAATCCACACGTGGATTTGGTGTTTATACGTGGCTACCCACACATGTTACTCATGGCCTTTGAATGAAATCACTGATCTTAGTTGGACCAGCAGCAATTTCATCACCAATACATAACTCGGTGACCTGAGCACATGAGTTGCACAAGGTGACGAGGAAGGCGTTGGATTCTAGGAAGAGGTGTGACTGCTGTCAGAGCCTAAAGAGCTCCGTGTTAAAACAATCCCTGAGATTGCGTTAAGTTCAACTGCATCATGGGACCCAAGCTGTTGGTCTTTACCCTCTTACTCGGCAATTCTCTATGTTCCGTTGGGAATACCGAGGAAGTCACAAACGATGACTATTTCTTCGGACAGTCACCACCAGTGTATCCAAGCCGTCGGTATCTCTGTTTCTGTCTTGCCTGGCGTCCGCTGACCATCGAGTTGATCAGCTGAGGGCACTGGGGCCGGGCGATGGGAATCAGCATATCAAAGGGCAAAAGATTTTGTCGCGCAACTCACTCCAGAGGAAAAAGTAGGCTTCACAGCCGGCACGTCAATTGAAAATGGCTGCTCAGGAAATATTGCGCCCATCGAACGTCTCGGGTTTCCTGGCTATTGCCTGGCAGATGCAAGCAACGGACTGGTGCGATACTCAGCCTCACATGATATCAGAGCCCTATGCTGATGGCAGACAGAGAGGAACGGACTATGTGAGCAGCTGGCCCAGTGGAATTCACGTCGGAGCTAGGTACGGTCACTCTTCTGTGCGACTGTTCAGAGGTACTAAGAGCATATCAACAGCTGGAATAAGGACTTAACGAGAAATCGAGGAGCTCATATGGGCGCCGAGTTCCGCAGAAAGGGTGTCAACCTCTTACTAGGGCCCGTCGTTGGACCTCTTGGTCGCGTTGTCGAGGGCGGTCGAAACTGGGAAGGATTCTCAACTGATCCGTATCTGACTGGAGCGCTTGCTTATGAAACTGTTGTTGGCGTGCAGTCTTCAGGAGTCGGGGCCTCTACGAAAGTGAGTCCTTCAATTGACTTTGAATAGATTTTGTGCTCAGATCACTAGCATTTCATTGCGAACGAGCAAGAGACAAACCGGAACCCGGAAACGAATCACCTGCACCAAGATATCGCGGCTGTCTCTTCAAATATTGACGACAAAACCATGCACGAGCTTTATCTCTGGCCATTTCAAGATGCTGTCTTAGCTGGCAGTGTATCGATCATGTGCTCTTATCAGCGAATCAATAACTCATACGGTTGTCAGAACAGCAAGACCCTCAACGGGCTGCTCAAGATAGAGCTTGGGTTTCAAGGTATGAAGTCCTTTGGACCGGAAATTGCTCAAGCTGACATCTGCAAGGGTACGTTGTCACAGACTGGGGTGCGCAACATGCTGGGATTGCTGCGGCCAATGCCGGTTTGGACATGATGATGCCGGCGACCGAGACTTGGGGTGGTAACTTGACAATCGCGATCAACAATGGATCGATGGAGGCCTCCAGGTTAGATGATATGGCAACCCGGTGTGTCCGAGAATAATCCTGAGCTTCACTTAATATACTAACTTGAGTTGAGCATAATGGCCACATGGTTCCAGCTCGATCAAGCCAAAAATATCCCACACCCAGGGATCGGCATGCCAGCTGATGTCAACGCACCACACCAGAAGGTGATGGGGAAGAATGCAGAGTCGAGGGACACCTTGCTTCAAGGAGCTATTGAAGGTCATGTACTTGTTAAAAACACAAACTCGACACTACCACTGAAAACGCCTGACCTGATTTCTGTGTTTGGATACGACGCCTCGGGACCTGATCTCCTAGGTGTTGCAATTCCACCTACCTCGGGCACTGCCATGGTACAAAACAGCACGTTGTACGTCGGCGGAGGCTCGGGCACCAACTCAGCTGCATACCTAGACAGCCCAATTGATGCAATTCAACGCCAGGCCTACTCAGATGGCAGCTCTGTTTTGTGGAACTTCTATTCTCAGAATCCCGATATCAACCCCACATCTGACGTTTGTTTGGTCTTCGTCAACAGCTACGCAAGCGAGGGCTCTGATCGGCCCGGACTCAGCGACGATTACACCGATACCTTGATAACGAACGTGGCTAGCAAGTGTTCCAACACAGTGGTTGTCATCCACAATGCAGGTGTCCGCATTGTCGAAAACTGGATAGAAAACGAGAACGTTACGGCAGTGATACTGGCACATTTGCCTGGTCAAGATTCAGGTCGTGCTGTGGTCGATCTCTTATATGGCCGAGCCAACCCATCCGGTAAACTACCATACACAGTCGCCAAGAATTCGAAAGACTACGGAGATTTATTGCATTCGTCTAAGTCCGATGGCAAATACTGGCGCTTTCCACAGTCTGACTTCACTGAGAGTCAATTTATTGACTACCGCGCATTTGACTTGAAAAACATTACACCTCGCTTTGAATTTGGTTTCGGCATGTCCTACACAACTTTCAACTACACGGGTCTGCAGGTGCAGAAAACAAACCAAGCTTTCTCTATTTATCCCCCTGCGGAGCCTATTGTGGAGGGAGGTAACCCGCATCTGTGGGATCACTTGTTTGAAGTCTCTACTTCCGTGCACAATTCGGGCTTGGTGGACGGAGCTGAGGTGGCACAACTGTACGTTGGCATTCCCAATGGTCCTATTCGCCAGCTGCGAGGGTTCGAAAAGGTCTTCTTGTCCAGTAGAAGTACTGCAGAGGTTACATTCTCGTTGACACGCAGAGACCTGAGTAGTTGGGATGTCAACGCCCAGCAATGGGCTCTTCAGCGTGGTGAATATCACATTTGGATTGGCCATTCGAGTCGAAACTTGCCAATACACGCCTCGCTGACGATCTAAAGCTCTAGCTTTCCAATGTTCTTGCCTTCAGGTAGGTATCAGACGGAATGGTTGTGTGCAGGCCCTAGTATGTCCAAAGTTTGACTACTACTTCTTTACTTGAGACCTGGGATGGGAACGAGTTTATTTTTTGGATTTTTTTTTTTTCATGTCCATTCTATGAGATCTAATTTATATCTCTATGGTTTGTGTCCACAAGCACATTAGAAAAATACACCAGAAGAAAATACATCACACGTAAGTCCGAAATTTACAGCTTGCTCTTCGCAGGCTCGTTCTTGAGCAAGGCCGAGTTCCAGGGGTAAGGGTCGAACGTCAGATCGTTGACGGGGTTCTCCTGGCTAGCCCGACGGAAGAGATCCTCGTAGACCTTTCCATCGTAGCGACCGAGACTGCTGTCAAGCTGCCAGTCGGGGATGGCCCATGCGTCGACCAAGCGAACGGCATGAGGACGAATGTCATCGAGGAGCTTCATCACGGCAGTAGTGCGGGTCAGAGTAATCTGGCGGACGGTGACGGCACCAGAGGCGAAGAACTCGGCGGCTTCGCGCTCCAGAGTGTGCAGGGAGAAGAGGCGGAAGAGCTTGTGCATCAGACCCTTGGTCTCAGGGTCCAATGAGGCGGCGAGTTGTGGGGAAGAGACAGCTTCGTAGAAGTTCTTGACGACAAGGTATTGGGAGTGGGCGGTCGACAGGCGCCAGAAGTCAACCAGGAGGCTGTTCCAGGAGCGCTGCTCGGCGTCACGGTGCTTGAGGGCCTCGAAGGTCAAGTGAGCGGTACGCCAGGCGAAGGCGTCCACGATGTCCTTGTCTTCTTCGAGCACGTCGAAGGACGCTCCCTTATCACGTCGGTCGAGGTATGCCTGGAGGATGCGGCTGGTATCATTGCCAGCCGACTTGCCGGCTAGGACTCCACGGGCGGATTTCAGAAGCTAGATTAAAGGTTAGTTGGGACAAAATCAAGTACGGGTGTAGGAGCAACATACATAACGGGCAACCTGCTGGGTCAGCATGTAGTTGTCACCTTCCCAGGTGAGGGTGGGGAGATAATCGGAGTACCAGGGACCAATGCCGCTGTAGCTGCTGTATCCGTGGCCACCGCATGCACGACGGCAAATCTCCAAACCTTCACCGGCAGTGGTACTGGCGAGGGCCTTGAGACCACAGGAGGTGGCATGCAGGTCAGCGAGCAGGTTGGCACCGGCACGAAGCTCCTCGGGGCCAGCGCCACGAGAGTCCTGGCCAGGAGAGTTGGCAGCCTTCATGCGGCTCTGGTTCTCTTCATACAAGCGCATCATACCGCGACCGGTAAAGTGTAGAGCGTACATAGAGGCCAACAGGGGCAAGAGGCGGACCTGCACCATCTTATAGTTGAGAACCTGGTTCTCTCCGGCGTGCGGTTCCGCGTCGCGGTCCTGGAACTGTCTGCGGACCGCACAGTAGCGGGTCGCGATGGTGACACCACGAGCGAGAACACCACCGGCCTGCAGAACGATGTTCGATCGCACCCAGGTCAAAGTACCAAAGACAAGCGAGGGCATTGCGGGCTTGGAATAGTGGTTTGTGGCCTTGTCAATTGACGAGAAGCGGGCGAGCATGTTAACATGGGGGATCTTGACGTTGTTGAACAGCAGGAAACCATTGTCCATAGTGCTGATGATGGCGTTAGCAGATTAATCTCACGATTTTGGAGATTTGATACTCACTTGTAGCCAAACTTAGGGCCAATATCGCCAACATAGACGTTGTCCAGGGGTTGGTGGGTTTCCAAGTCACGAACCTGGACAACGAAAGGGTGAGGACCAAAGTTCTTGCCATCAATGAACAGCTGAGCCATCACAACTGCGTGGTTGGCCGTGCGACCAAGTGATCCAATCCACCACTTGGAAGCTGTCAGTGTGGGGGAGTTGATAGTGAATGTCTTATCGTCGGAGTTCCAAGTGGCAGTGGTCTCGAGACCACGAACGTTGGATCCGTGACCCAGTTCCGTCTGGGCGTAGCAACCAATGATCTCATACTTCTGAGCGCGTTCGAGGAACAGCTTGTGCTGCTCGGGAGTTCCTTGTTCCCGGAGGGTCACCTATTCGGAAACCGGCGGTTAGCTGGAATTTGTCAAACTGATCGCAATCAACTTACCAGGAACATGCTGGCGTGTAGTCCATAAGGAGTCGGCTCGCCAATCAATTCATTGGCGGCGTGGAGCTCCTCCATGGACCATTTGTGCTGCTCCGCAAGCTGCTGGAGGCGCTTGGCCTTGCCGAGCGACCGCTGCAGGCGCTCGACACGGCCCAGTGTGTGGTTCTGTGACTTATCGAAGACCTTCTCGGGCTGGAGAAGAGCTAGGAGGTGCTCTTGGCGTTGCAGTGTCTGCTTAGTGTGGAGCAACTCAGATAGTCTCTCGACATTCACATTGGACTGTGCGCGCTCCTTTTGGAGGAGCTCGGAGCCTTGGGGGCCAGAGGGCTTGAGGGCCTTGACCCAATCAGGAGGAGGAGATGGCATGGTGAAGATGTGTTGATTGTGAAGAGGAACAGAACCCTGGTGCGGAATGGGGACAGTTATGAACCCCGGGGTAAAGGTGACGTTTCCCGTGGCCGAGGCTCTCGATTTGGAGAGAACCTCGGCTGAAATGTCGGCCAATCAGATAAGCGGGACGTTCCCCGATGGCCTTTCTCACCTTCGGCTTGTTGTATACTCTAGTCTACGACATATTTACGTATGTCTACCAAATACTACTGGATAATTTTGAACTCCTACATAGTACAAGATCCAAGATTTTCAGAAGCTCCCCACATGGTGTTGGGATATGGGGTAGCGGGTACCGGGGAACTAGCAGTGTGTTGATTACATCGGCTTTTCCAGTCCCGAGATCATCCAACATTTTTTGTTAACAAAAAGGCTTGAGGGGTCATGCGGCCCAGATTCCCTTGAGACATTCTAAGAGGCTGACCTGTGACCTCGGCTAGATGTAGGTGAGTTGTACGGAGTAGTTTGCAGTGTTTGCCTCCGGGTGTAGTACCCTTTTCCCCCTTGCCGCGTCTAAGCACCAGCACTCGGTAATTAAGGAAATCGACAAGAGAAAGAAAGAAAAAAAGATCTCCCACGTGAAGAATCTGAGAGTCCCAATCGCAAATGCATGCAGTCGGAAACCCGATCGGATCTGATAAGCTGACGATCTTTCACATGTCATTTGGTCTTCCACGTGAACACGCGTTTACTCATTCCGCCTGACTTTGGAAACTCGTGGCAATCCGAACCATGCTATCAAAATGGCACCGGACAGGCCGATGATAAATGGCTGAAGCACTTTGACTCCCTTTGCTTGTGCTAACACACCGACCGCGAAAGGAAGGATAGCAGCGCCGCTGCCGCCAAACGCAGCAACAAACCCGATCGAGGTAACGTGAAGGTGTCGAGGGAGGAGTTTGGTCACCATTACAACCACTCCAGGGAAGAGCGGACCCAGGAAAAATCCTTGGAGGGAAACCGCTACAGCCGACGCATAAAATTGAGGCACAAGCCAGAGGATCAGAGCACAGGCAATCGAGCAAAGAATGTATGTCTGGGGACATCAGGCTGGATCATGTATGCAATGCAGTGTGTACTTACCGAAATAGCAATCTTCTCACCCACCCGTGGTGTCACGAATCCTAGTACTATGCGTCCCACTGTGATTCCAAGCCAGAATCCAGTGGCAGTCATACCGCTGGCAAAAGCACTACCGTCTCGAACTCGGATCATGAAGGTCACGATCCAACCACCGAGTGCGACTTCGACTCCGACGTATCCCAACAAGAAGAGGGCACATAGCCATGTCACTCGGGCGGAAGGGCGGTTGAATAGTGCGCGCTTCAACCCGCCTTGTCGGTTCTCTTCGGCGGATTGTACGTTCGCTGCGAGGAAGTCGGCAGCTCTCGCATTCCAAAAGCATGCTCCACACACCAATAGCTCGACCACCGCACATGCCACTTAACTATTAATCCAGGGACATCAGTCATTGGAATTTGTTCACTCACCATGACATAATAGAAATAGTACCACGGCATATTGCCCCTGGCAATCATGGAAGTTGCGATTAACGGGCTCAGCACTGCACCGGCTCCATAGAAACCATGCAGCAGCCCCAGTAGCTCGTTTGCATTCGCCATGTTACCTATCCATGCATTCCAACCGGCATCTTCGAGGCCGTTGCCTAGCCCTGCGAAGATGTATGCAACGACCAGTACAGGGTAGGGTGGGTGGACACAGCTAATAACATAGGCGATCAAATGGCTCAATGGCGCAATGATAGCTACACCCCGCTGGCCGAATGTGCTGTGGATGCGATGATTGAGAAGAGCAGCAACCGTATAACCAACCAAAGGTGATAAGAACACCAGAGAAACAATTGTGTAGGACAGGTGATAGTAGGATTCTAACTGCGTGACGGATGAGATTAGTGAAAACCGACCGGGGGAGGTCTTCTTACATATGGAATGAGAGCCTTCAGTATGCATTAGTTAGCTATGAATCTTAGTCAATCGATATTGGATTGTCAACTCACACCATAAGCGGCATCATTTGCACCCATAACCATAAAACACCAGAATGTCGCCAATGTCCGCTGAACATTGCGGCGGGACTGATTCCATGTCTCTAACTTAGGAAAGCTTTCTCCGTTAGGTGCTGCGGAGCTATCTAGCTGCTGGCCATGAGGCGAAGCCTCAAGTGCGATGAGGCTCGTTCCATGTGATTCTTGTACGACACAGGTTGTTGACATGGTGTATGAAGCTGTCCCTCGATGACTGCAAGATTACGACCAAGTAGATGTCTTGCCAGTGATGTTTGGGGAAAGTATTGATGCAAAGCGGAGAGAGCTCCTTAGTGCATCGGGGTTATACATGAGGGGACAATGACGCCCCGCATTCGTCAAAATGCTTCTTCGGTAGAACTTCGGCACTCGTCAACCCTGATTCTTTTCTTTCATAGCGCATAGATCTGATTGGTTTCATCATCTGGTGTTCATCGAGTGCATCTTGAGGGTGTTTCCAAGGTTAGAGAAGGGTAATGCGAAAGGAATCGAGGTCATTTGGGATGTTTAATTCTCCACCAATCGGGAAATAGTCCTTTATATAAATACGAGCCTTCCCATCTCCTGGATGTTTTGGCAATAGCTTCTTCAGATCAGTGAGCTCAAATGAGCTGCAACAATCCTATTATCCCGGGGTTCAACCCCGACCCGTCAATAGTGCGCGTCGACAAGGATTTCTTCCTGGTGACGTCCACTTTTGAATACTTTCCAGGAGTCCCGATTTACCACAGCAGAGATCTGATAAAATGGACCTTGATAGGCCACGCTTTGACACGTCCTAGTCAGCTACAGATCCATACACCCGAGCCCGGGGGTGGCGTATGGGCAACTACAATCCGTCACCACGAGGGTACCTACTATATTGTTGCAGCAAGCTTCCAACGCTACCGGCCTCAAGTGGATGATCGAGTATGGCCTCAAGGATTCTGCGTGAGAACGACGAACATATGGGATGACAGCACCTGGTCTGATCCGATCTACTTTGATCAAGTTGGGTTTGACCAAGACGTAAGTAATCGCCGAGAAGTGTTCCAAGATTGTTAGAAGAAACACACTAATCATGACTGTATGCTCTATAGCTTTTTTGGGATGACGATGGTACAGTATATTTGTCTTCAACATATCGAAAGCTTGAACCTACACCAGGTGCGAAATTGAAAGATTTCGCAATCCATATATGCACCGTAGACCTGAGCACTGGAAAATCAACCTCTGAGCCCAGGCTAATCCGAGAGTCTTCGTCTGGTGTGGCAGAAGGATCGCACATCTTCAAACGCGGACGATATTGGTATCTTTTCACCGCGGAGGGAGGCACCGAAAGTGGCCACTGCGAGTGGGTTAGTCGCAGTGAGACCGGGCCCATGGGGCCGTGGCAACTGGGCCCAAACAATCCTCTCTGGCGCAATGGTGTCGAAGACGAAGTACAGAATACAGGTCATGCCGACTTGGTGGAAGACCTTCATGGGCAGTGGTGGGCAGTCGTGCTCGGGGTCCGCCCTGTTCTACGAGCTGGCAAATGGGAAGAATCGGTGCTCGGTATGTTCTTTTGAGATGTAATTCGGATGCTATTCCCACTAATTCTCACTCACTTAGGGAGGGAGACTTTCCTGGCACCCTTGGAATGGATAAATGACTGGCCCGTGGTCAACGGGGGAGAAAAGATCGGGCTGACCTCACATGGCCCTGGTCTTTACCGGTTTCAAACCCCTGTCGCCTGGAGGGATGAATTCTCGGGTTCTCAGATGAGTTTGGGTTGGTATCGCAAGAGTGAGTCCCGACAAAATTGCATATGAGTCAAACTGATCGTTGATATAGACACGCCATTGGTTAATGATTATTCTCTGACCGAGCGCCCAAGCCACCTTCGCCTTTACGGCGGACCTTACAATCTAACAGTCCCGGCTTGTCCAACAATGTTTCTCCGGAAACAAACCCACCGTTTCTGCAGGTGGGAAACATGTCTCTCATTTCAACCCACATCAAAGCACACTGAAGCTGGGGCTGTGCTATGGTTGAATTATTTCACGCATAGTACGCTTGGAATACGCATTGATGACAACGGGCGATTGATCCGTTTTCAGCCCTCAGAAGGGGATGCTGTGGAGCACAGGTTGGATCCTGAAACCACTTTGACTCTCGTGATCGACTGTGGTGCTGAATATAAATTTGGCTACCGCGAGCACACAAAAACAGAGATGCGCTGGATGGGTACGGTTTCGAATTCAGATGCAACGAAAGCACCGCCAGTCGGAGCAAATTTTACTGGGATGATGCTGGGGCTTTACGCCTTTGGTGAGCGCCAAAGGTGCCTCGTACCAGCGGATTTTGCGTATGCTACAATCGAATAAAATCACTGAGTGAAGGGTGGTGGGTGTGGATAGGTGGCCATTGTAGCCATTGTAGCAGCACAGGAAATCACTTTGTAACCAGGATCTTGAATATGTATACACATCCTAGACATATTTGGAGGCAGCGTAAGAGACCTCGGGCATCAATACTCCGTCAAGAGATGCCTGATGGATATAAGTGAAAGCTTAGTAAGTAATTACATAAGCATCTGAGAGCTCCGACCAATAGAAAACGTGCGGTCGTTCTCACCCCGGAGGTTACCTACCTGACTAAGCCGCTCAAACTTGCCCAAGTGAGTTCTTTTCTGTCGCGTCCTCTCCCTCTCCCTCTGCCATTTTCATCCGCGCACGCCTCTCAACCGCCCTACATCGTCAATCTTAATACTCATAAGCTGCGCGCAATCAACCTATGACTTCGTGAACACCCGACAACTCCAACCGACATGTCGTCTTTCGGATTTGGAGGGTTTGGTTCAAACAACCAAAACCAAAGCACCGGCTTTGGCACCGGCTCTGGTTTCGGAACTAGCAACAACACTGGTGGAGGTAGGTCATTTCTGTTTTGTTACTTTCAATGGGATCTCCATGATCTCTGAATCCCATCCCCCTTGTTCCTGTCCTCGGCGTTTCCCTATCTCGACACCCGGTGCTCTCGACCTCGACCCGCGATGGTGCAACACACGCGCAAGGCAAAACACTTCAACCCCACAACCTTGGCCGTAGCACAAACAATCACATGTGGATCATTTCGGCACCTGAGCAACACCACGACAAGATATGGAATGCCAGGGCATCTTCGAAAACCAGTCTCTCTGACCGAAATCCCCTCCGTTATCTAGGCTTTGGCTCAACAGCATCCCCCTTTGGAGGCGCTAGTGGAACTTCGGGCACTGGCGCTTTCGGCGGTGGCACATCAAACACAAGCACTGGCTTCGGATCTGGCACCGGCACTGGCGGAGGTATGTGCCCAACCCCCAGGATTCCCGCTGTTCTTTCGATTTTTTTCGGCCTGGTCCGCTCTCGCAGCCTGTTGAACCACGATCGGTCGTTTCCCCAACATGCTCTGAGCGATATCCCTGTGCACTGCCATTGTTGGAACAATGCTTCAACTTGACGACACACCTTGCGAAAAAAAGACATCCTTCCGCCTCGCCCGAGGATTGACTCGCTTCATGGACATGCGCTTCAAATTGCTTTTCAGAGTTATCGTTATTGGTGGCTAACCTTTGTCTCTTTCTATAGCATTCGGATCGAACACACAAACTCAACCTAATTCCCTCTTCGGATCTCAACCTCGCCCGGGTGGCTTCGGCACAACCAATACCACTAATAGCGGAAGCATGTTTGGAGGCACCCAGACCGCTGGTACCACTGGCGGTGGATTTGGCTCTGGAGGCGGATTTGGCTCTGGGGGAACCACTGGTGGATTCGGCGCCAGTGCCAACACAGGCGGAAGCCTTTTCGGCGCTAGCAAGCCCACTGGCTTTGGTGCCTCAACTACTGGGACCGGTGGATTCGGTACTAGTGGTGGCTTCGGATCTGGTGCTGCCACCACCACTCCCAGCACGGGCTTTGGGGGCTCAGGAACCGCTTTTCAACAACCAGGCGCTGGTGCAGTCTGCGAAGGCACCGGAGGTACCCCATTCAATGCTTTCACTGAGAAGGATGCCAGTGCCAATGTGACCAACCATTACCAAAGCATTTGCTTCCAACAACCTTACACCAAGTTCTCTTTCGAGGAGTTGCGTTTAGCTGATTACCAACAAGGCCGTCGCTTTGGTAACGGCAGCGGCCAGGCCGGTGCCTTTGGCTCATCTGCTTTCGGTAACACTGGTGGATTTGGTGCTCAGCAGAATAACGCCGCCCCTACCGGTGGCTTCGGTGCCAGTGCTACTCCGTTCGGCGGTGCTGCCACATCTGCGCCATCCGGATTCGGCGCTACCCAGACCGCAGGCGGATTCGGCAGCTCTGCGAACTCTAACCCGCTGTTCGGCGGAGCAGCCAAACCAGCAGGTGGTGGCATGTTCGGCGGTGGAACTACAACACCCGCAGCTTCGACAGGGGGCATCTTTGGCGGTTCTACACAAACAACCGGTGGAGCCTTCGGAAGCAACACCGGAGCTGGGACTGGGGGAGCCTTCGGTAACACTGGTGGAGGCTTGTTCGGAGCGAACAATCAACAGCAGAACAAACCTGCATTCGGCGCAGGTGCCAACACTGGTGGTGGATTCGGATTCGGTGCCAATACCCAAACAACTACAGCTGCCAATCCTTTCGGCGGCTCGACTGCAACAGCTTCGCCTTTCGGCGGCGGCACCCAACAACAAAGCACAGGTGCATTCGGTGGGTTTGGTAACACTGCCCAGCAGAACCAACCTGCTGCTCAAAACAAGTCTTTGTTTGGTGGTGGTGGATTCGGTGCCAGTACTCAACAGCAAGGGACCGGCACAGGTCTACTCGGCGGTGGCGCCGGTGCTACGCCAGCTGCAGGAACCTCTCTCTTCGGCGGTAACCAGCAACAGCAGCAACAGCCACAGACAGGAGGTGGACTATTTGGAAATACCCAACCCCAGCAAGCAGGAACTGGCGGTGGACTCTTCGGTGGTGCTCAGCAACCAGCCAAGCCAGCAGGCGGTATGTTTGGCTCGAACCCTGCTCCCGCTACCGGTGGTTTCTCCGGCTTTGGAAACTCAACCGCCCAACCGTCCACTGGCGGCGGAGGCTTGTTTGGTACCTCTCAAAACCAGACCCAAGCCAAACCTGGTGGTTTCACTGGATTTGGGGCCAGTAACAACACTAGCAGCGGCGGCATGTTCGGAAACACCCAAAACAACACCACCCAGAATGCAGGTAGTTCGTTGTTCGGAGGCGGTCAAAGCCAGCAGCAGCAGCCAGCTGGCAGCAGTTTGTTCGGCAACTCTCAGCCCGGTCAACAGTCTCAGCCCGCCCCTGGTAGCTTCCAGGCTTCCCTCCTTGACGGAAACCCATACGGAAGCCAGTCTATCTTCTCAGGTCTGCCCGCCCCAAGTGGGTCGACCCCTGGACCTCTCGCGACACCCCTTTCCTCCAGCATGAAGCAGAAGCAGCGAACTCCTTTGCCGGTCTACAAGATAACCCCGAGTGCTGCCAATCGTCTTATCACTCCCCCCAAGCGTGGATACGGATTCTCTTACTCTACCTATGGCTCGCCTGCTAGCACCACTGGTACCCCCTCTGGCCTGAGCAGCAGCCTCCTAGGCGGAGGAAGCCAGAGCCTCCGCGGTAGTCTCAATGGCGGCAGTGTTGGTCGTAGCTTCAGCAAGAGTTATTCCACCAGCAACCTCCGGAAAACCTTTGATCCAGAGTCCGATAGCGTTCTCTCCCCTGGTGCGCTCCAGGCTGGCAGCACGCGTGGTAGCTCCGGTCTTAAGCGTCTGACTATCAACCGTGATCTAAGAAATGATCTGTTCTCTAGCCCAGCTAGTCGCACCCCGCCAGCTCCTCTTCTCACCAACGGGGAGGACGTGAGTCAATCCAGTGAGAAGCTCAAGAAGAAGGTCAGCTTCGACTCTGCTTCTTCTGGTGCCAACGGAGAACTTGTTCGTGCTGAACCTGAGTTCAAGAGTCCCGAGCCATCTGCTGAGGAGCTCGGATTCCTTCGCTCCACTCGCAAGAGTGGTAGTCTCAATGGCATTGACAATGCTGCATCTTCGGAACGTCCCGAAATGGAGTCTGTCCGCCGCGATCTTGCCGTTGTTCCTGAGAATGGACCTGCTGCTACCAACGGTGCTACGGTCAAGCGCCTCACTTTCATCCCCGGCGGTGATCCCAAGCCTGGTGATTACTGGATGCAGCCCTCCTCTGCAGAGCTTGCCAAATATAGCCGCGACCAGCTCAAGCAGGTTGTCGACTTTACTGTCGGACGCCAGAACTGTGGATCCGTTACCTTCAATGGGCCTGTGGATTTGACTGGTATTGATGTGGACAACCTTTTCTCCACTCTTGTAGATATCAGTCTTCGCAAGATCACCGTCTACCCCGATGAGTCCATCAAGCCTCCCATGGGCAAAGGACTCAACGTGCCTTCCACCCTACGTATCGAAAACTCGTGGCCGCGTGGTAGAGACAAGAAGAGCAACTCGCCCACTACCAGTGGTCCTCTCTTCGAAAAGCACATTGACCGCCTGGTTAAGGTGACGGATACTGAATTCATCAACTATGAGATTGAGACCGGAACCTGGATCTTCAAGGTACCTCATTTCACCACTTATGGTCTGGACTATGATGAAGACGAGGAGGAAAATCTCGACACAAGCGCTCTTGCTGGCACTGTCCCCGAACACCCTACCCCCAAGGCCCACTTCGATCAATCCACCAGCTTCGACCAGTCGACCACCTTTTCCATCGATGAGTCTTTTGTTGGGTCGCAAATGGGTGTGGACGATGACACTTTCGATTTCAAGAAGCGCAATCTCATTCCTGGCGTTCCCGGCTCATTTGCTGGTCAGCCGATGCGCACCGAAGATGAGGATTTTTCCGAGGGCGAGACTGAGGAGTCTTTTTTAGAGGAAGGCTCCACGGGTTCAACTACTGAGAATGATGACGACATCGTCACCGAGAGCCAACAGTCTGGCGATTCGGTTGTTGGATCAGATGAGGCAGATGAAATGGACATGGCGGGTGCCTTTCCTACTCCTCATCGCACCGTGGAGCACGAAGACTACCAGAGCACCAATGGTGATCTGGAGACAACTCACCCTATCTCCAAGCATTTTGGCAGCCCTGCAAAACCTCAACTCGATCTCAGTGGCGACTGGGCCGAGCAGCTCCAGCGCACTATCAGCCCTCGGAAGCAGAACCGTGATGCCTTGCGTGAAATGCAGGGGGATGCGTTCATTAATCGCAACTTTGTTAATGACGAGTCGTCCGCAAATGTCGCCAGTGCTTCCCAAAAGAAAGGGTTCTCGAACAGCATCGATCTTATGAACTCTTTGTTCCAGCAGCCACGCAAACAAACTGCCCCTTCTCCGCTGAAGGCTTCCAAGCCACAGCCCAAGGGCTTCGAGGTTAGAACCCCCATTTTATGTTCGCACTGATCTTCATTATCTTTTTCCTTCCCTGTCATTTTTGTTCGTCAGCCTATCCCGTGTACCTAGGACATTTCACAATTACCCCCAGTTAGTTCTTTAACCAATTGACATTGCATAAGCTAAAACTCTCTCTCTTTGTTCACAGTGGCCCTACAACAAACAACCCAAGACCTTTGCTGGTGATACAACAGAAATGACTGAATCCGACGCCGCTTTCCACGACTCTTTCAAGCCACGTTGGGGTCCCATGGACTCACTTGTGTGCGCACGAAACGACATGCAGGGGACAATCTCCGAAGTGGATCAAACTTGGAAAGAGAGTTACAGTGTCTTTAGCGAAGAGCGAGATGTCGCGGTGATGACTTACAGCAAAACTAGCGAGGTACGCTCGATGTCTTTGGAAAATTGCTTGCATTTGGTACTAATTAATCACTGTACAGGTCAAGGAGATGCTCGACGTCCAACGAAACCAATCTACTGTCCAGCGTGTAGATGGCACTCCTTTCGTCCGCATGGCCAAAATCGACTTGTCACAGTTCCCTTTGTCTCCTTCTAGCCGTTCTCAGTCAGAAGAAGAACGCCTTGTGTGGCAACTTCTCAACATCCTTTTCAATGACGATATTGAGGACGATATTTCGGCCGGTGTGCCCCCTCGGCTGCGCAAACAATTCTCCCACCGTATCAAAAAAGACCGCCTCAGCCGTCTTTGGGAGCAGATCATTCGTGAAAAGCACACTCAAAGCTTAGACTTGATTCGCTGCCCTGTGGAACGCGCTGTTCACTTGATTTGTGCACACCGGGTGGAGGAAGCTTGTAAGACCCTGGTGGACAGTCAAAACCCTCATCTGGCAACTTTGGTTGCACAAATTGGCCGCGATGCTACCTCACAGACCGACATTGCGAACCAAATAGAGGTGTGGCGTCAGAACAATGTGCTTTCGGAGATGAGTGAACCTGTACGCGCTCTTTACGAGCTGATTGCTGGTAACGCTCTCCGGAGCGAGGGCAAATCGAGTGGCGCACTTGAGGACCGGGCTTCTACCTTTGGCTTGACCGAGCGGTTCGATCTTGATTGGTTCCAGGCCTTTGGTCTTCGTCTCTGGTATTGCACCTCCGAAGAAGAGCCAGTCGAGTCTGCTGTCTCCAAGTTCCTCCAGGACCTGGCCACCGGACATGAGCCAGCCTTCCCTCACCCATCACACCAGGACGGTACCCGTGTGCAGCCTGGCTCTGATACCCTTGGCCGCGAGTCGCCTCTCTGGGTTTTGCTCAAGGCTTTCTCGGTAATTCAGAGCAACGGCGCGGAATCTCTTCAGTTCCCGGCATCCCTTCTCCCCGAGTCTGTCTGCGGCGATCGTCTCTCCAACCGACTTTCTTTCCAGCTCCATCACGTCCTCACCGCCACGGTTGGGCAACAACAGGCTATCAAGGTTGACCAGCACCAGACCGACCACCTTGTCTGGGACTTCGCTTCAGAGCTCAGCGCAGGTGGCGAGCTCGCTCAGGCTTTGTTCGTTCTTCTCCACCTTTCGCAGGCCGATGATCGCAAGCGCGCCGTTCAAGACACTCTCGCCCGGTTCGCCGCTCAACTTCCCGAGCCTTTTGCTGCTGACGGCTCCGCCGACGCTGGTTGGCAATATCTCATCACCGACCTCCAGCTTCCTGAGGCCTGGATCTGGGTTGCCAAGGCTCTGCATGCCCGCGATACTGGCGACGCTGCCCGCGAAGTCGACTGTCTCATCCACGGCAAGCACTGGAACGATGCTCACGCCACATTCTGTCGCATCGTCGCACCTAGCGCCATTATCGAGGGTGACTACCGCACTCTGGGAGCTTTGGTTTCCGGATTCGGTGATGGCCCTGAGCGCAAGATGCGCGGCTGGGCCTCTGGCGGCGGCGTTTACGAGGACTTCCTGCGCCTAGTCAACTCCACTAGCGGTCGTCGCGATTCCACCCGTCTGAATAGATTGGTGAATGCTCTCGTCGCAATGGGTGACCGTATCCAGGACTCCGGGTTGGAAGGTCTGGAGGAGCGTGTCGCATTTAAGGAGATGAGCCGAGCAGTCGCCAGCTGGATTACCCACGAGGATGTTCAGTCTGTTCAGTCATCCGCCGTTTTGGGACTTCCTTTGACGGGCGATGCTCGTGTCCTGCAAACTGCCGAGATGAGTCGTCGCTACTACGGAATTATCATGGCGGGTGGCCATTGAGTCCGGGAATATGAGAAAACTTCAATAATTTGCATCTATTCGCTTCAGAGATCCAAGAGCTTTTTCCCTCACACCCTTCTTTTTTTTTGTTCGCGCCTTTTTCATTTGTTTCCCATGATCTCCAATGGTTCCCATGACCCTTGTACTGTACTCTACCCTTTTGCTGAATATTACTGAATCAACTATTTGAAGTCCAATTGATATAACCTTGTAGTCACATGGAATGTCGTGTCGTACCGTAAACATACTTCCAACAGTGCGACGCAGTGCAAGGAAGGTGCGCGTGTAGCCCCATCTTCTTTCTTGTGCTTTTCTCCGTTTCTGCCTTCGCTCTGAATTCCCACCTTCAGCTCTTCCGATATTGTCTACTCTTGTCTTCGATGGAGCTGGCAGAAACCAAGACAGGTTCGGCATCCCAAAGCAACGCCCGTGAGGTCATTCATGATGCTTCGAATGGCATGGAGCCGGCCCCCGAGCCTCAAAGAGAAGATACAGATATAGTGCCAGGTTCCCAACCATTCTCTGCCTTCAGCAAGAAGGAGAAAGTATTCCTCGTGATCATGGTATCGCTCGCGTCCTTTTTCTCCCCGCTGTCCGGCCAGATCTACTACCCCGTCATGCCCACCTTGGTTCAAAACTACCATCTCACCCCGGAACTCATCAATCTCACGATAACAACCTACATGGTACTGCAAGGATTGGCGCCAAGCTTCATGGGTACATTTGCTGATACTGGAGGGAGACGTCCGGCCTATATTATTGCATTTGCGGTCTATACTGCCGCGAACATTGGCTTAGCGTTGCAGAACAGCTTTGCGGCACTGCTAGTACTTCGCTGTATCCAGAGTGCAGGAAGCAGCGGTACCGTGGCCTTCGGGTATGGTGTCATAGCCGACATTGCGACGCCAGCGGAGCGAGGTAAATACATCGGCCCTATGGCAGGGGGTGTTATGGTTGCGCCTGCCTTGGGTCCTGTCGTCGGCGGCTTGTTGGCCAAGTTTCTCGGTTGGCGAAGCGTCTTCTGGTTCCTGGTTGTTGTCAGCGGTGGATATCTGGTCTTCTTTGTGATTACTATGCCTGAAACTGCGCGCAAGATCGTTGGCGATGGCACCTTGGCACCTGCTCAGTGGTGGCGTAGATCTGTGGTTCAATGGTGGACGACTCGACGACAGACAAGGCCTAGCGATGAGGAGCACGTTGGGGAAGGGACTTCTCAACACCAGTCCTGGTCAACGAGACTCAGCTTCCCGAACCCTCTCAAGTCTTTTGCTATCTTGCTAGAATGGGACGCATTGATCATCATCTCGTATGTTAGCTTGGTGATGTTCTCAAATATTGCATTGTTGACCAGCACTCCTAACCTTTTCGGTGGTCTATATGGATTCAATGAGCTTCAAATCGGTCTCTGCTTCTTGTGAGTCGGTCTATTCTCTTTTCGCTCGAGAGTTATGGCGATCCACTCAGACCCAGCTAACTATCATACCCCCAGGCCTTTCGGAATCAGCTCTTGCCTCGGTGCAATCACATACGGCAAAGTGATCGACTACAACTATAAGCGCATAGCCCAAAGACTTGGTCTGCCCGCGGACCGCAGGAAAGGCGACGACCTACGCACATTCCCAATCGAGCATGCTCGCCTACAGACAGTCTTCCCGGTGATGGCCGTCGGGATCGCAGCCTTCATTCCATATGGCTGGGTTTTACAGCAAAGAGTCAATTTAGCCGCGCCTCTAGTTCTGCAATTCATCATGGGTTTCTGCTTTGTTGCGTCGTTGAATTGTCTCAACACCCTTCTGGTCGATCTCTTCCCTGAAAAGCCCGCCACAGCGGCGGCGGCATGCAATCTTGTCCGATGCTGGCTCGGAGCCATCGGTGCGGCTGTCATTAATCAGATGCTAAGTGGCATGGGGTGGGGATGGTGCTTTGTTTTCTTGGGGCTGACCATGGCTGCTGCGATGGGACTGCTATGGGTTGAGCAAATCTATGGCATGGGATGGAGAGAGAACAGGTTCTTGAAGGCTGAGCGCAAGAAGGCAAGAGACGCGACGAATGTCAAGGCTGATGACTCGGGGCGCAAAGATGATACCGGTGAAGTGGCTGCTAATGCCAAAGACTTGGGGTCTTCGTGATATTGATTTATTTTAATGCCTCGCGCTCATCAAGGGTACCACAGTTTCTTCTTCGAAGGCTACCATGGTACTCATGCTTGCCCAGGTGGTATGTAAGAATGACTGACGGATTACATGTGTTGCTATAGATTCTTTCTCGTCGATGATTAAATCGAACTATCACATCGTGGGTCCAGGTGCTGTCACAGCACAAATGAAGACATCAAATGCATCAAATTTGCTACCGACTGTACAATAGAAAGGAAAAACCTAGGCGCGATAGAGGAACATGAGGGGATCGAACATAGTAAAGAAAATAGAAACACCACCCTCCCCGGCCAGACCAGACAGGAAAGAGACAAGAACATTACCGGCCGGAGAGGGCGAAAAATAAGAGAGGTCTAGATGTGAAGAGTCATCCCGACCCGTTCCTGCTTCTTTTTGAGACACAAAAGGGAGTAAAGGGGTGTATAGGAGGGAGGAGAACTGCATTTACATGCCAGGGGAGATAAGCTTGCCCTCAGCACGGCTGTTGGGGTGCCAGCCGCCGGCGTAAGGTGCAGCACCAAGCTCCTTCTCGTACTGGCGGATACGGGCCTCAAGCTCGGGACGGAAGTGGCGGATCAGACCCTGGATGGGCCAGGCAAAGGCCTCGCCGAGAGCGCAAATGGTGTGGCCCTCGACCTGCTTGGTGAGCTCCTGGAGCATGTCGATCTCACGCTCGCGGGCGTTTCCGGTCTCCATGCGCTGCATCATCTGCATGGTCCACTTGCTACCCTCACGGCAGGGAGTGCACTGACCGCAGGACTCGTGCTTGTAGAAGGTCGAGAGACGGGAGATGGCACGGACGATATCTGTGGACTTGTCCATGACAATGACGGCAGCGGTTCCCAGACCGGTCTGGGAGTCCTTGAGGGCGTCGAAGTCCATGAGCTGGTTGTCGGCGACGGACTTGGGGATAACGGGGGTGGAAGAACCACCGGGGATAACAGCAAGGAGGTTGTCCCAGCCACCGCGGACACCTCCGCAGTGCTTCTCAATCAGCTCGCGCAGCGAGATGGACATCTCCTCCTCAACGGTGACGGGGTTGTTGACGTGGCCGGAGATACAGAAAAGCTTGGTACCGGCGTTACGCTCACGGCCGAAGGAAGAGAACCAGCTGGGACCGCGGCGCATGATTGTGGGGACCACGGCAACGGTCTCGACGTTGGTGACTGTGCTGGGGCAACCGAACAGACCGACGGCAGCGGGGAAGGGGGGCTTGAGGCGGGGCTTGCCAGCCTTGCCCTCAATTGACTCAATGAGCGAGGTCTCCTCACCACAAATGTAGGCGCCCATTCCACGGTGGATGTACACGTCGAAGTCGTAACCGGAACCGCAGGCGTTCTTTCCGATGTGGCCGGCGGCGTAGGCCTCGTTGATGGCCCGCTGGAGAACAGTGGCTTCGTGGTAGAATTCACCACGGATGTAAATGTACGCGGCGTTGGCGTTCATGGCACGGCCAACAACCAAGCAACCCTCGATCAGCTTCTGGGGATCCTTGCGCATAATCTCGCGATCCTTGCAAGTTCCAGGCTCACCCTCATCGGCGTTGACGACCAGGTAGCGAGGGCGGGGGTCCTTGTCCCAGTCCTTGGTGTTCATGAATGACTGTTGAGTCGCGGGTTAGCCCGGTTACCTCACCACACTCGCCGCAAGGCGTGTATGCCACTTACGTATTTCAGACCGGAAGGGAAACCGGCTCCACCACGGCCACGGAGGCCGGATGCCTTGATTTCTGAGATCAGCTATCCATGGCGTTAGCAATTGATGTTTCCCACTTTGTCCAATGAATTGTGCGACAACCCACCCAATCATCACCCTTCAGAACCATATCCTTGGTACGGTGCCAGTCACCATACTTCATTGCCGACTTGAGATCCGCTCCGTGGTGTGAGTAAAGGTTGGTGAAGATTCGGTCTTGATCCTGGAGTCCACCATGGTGCTTGACGGGAGGTGCCTCCGAAACGGTTGCGAAGGAGCGGGCGGCCGCCCCCTGGGCGCGGAGGGAGCGGGTCGAGATTTGAGAGAGGGAGGAGGTCGGAGCCGCCGCTCGAGAAAGCATTTTGACGGCGGGATTGACGATACTTGGTGGGAATTGAAGGGTCGTGGAGAGGGAAGGGAGTCGAGCTCACGGCAATTCCTGCGCTTGCTGAACGATCCGCCTTTGGGCCTGATTTGATTGGATGGGTGAGTGGCACGTGATACCTGCTGAGTAAACATCCCGATTCGGCCATGACGGAGTATGCACTGGTATCAGATTGAACTACTTTAGGTTGATCATTCATTTTAAATCATATGTGTTAGACAAGAACACCGCTCACTAATCCATCAATTGTTTTGAAACACCACTGCAGGTATGGATCAATTCCATACTTACCTACAATAACGGGCACTGGGACCCACGGGCGGTCGCTTGTATAATCCACAACCTTACTGGCGGAATCACTTCGCCTGCCTACAATAATAAGCCTCAGTGCCGCGCTCACGCGTGGCCAAAAAGACGACGATAGTTGCTTATAGACAGGCGTAGTTATATATTAGCTTAGTCTCAATTTTCAATCGGTAAAGAAAGAGAACTATCATCAACTTCGGGACCTTGTTCTAACTGTCTTTCTAACTGTCTTTCTAACTGTCTTTCTAACTGTCTTTCTAACTGTCTTTCTAACTGTCTTTCTAACTGTCTTTCTAACTGTCTTTCTAACTGTCTTTCTAACTGTCTTTCTAACTGTCTCTTAAATTGTCTTTCTGGCTGCCCATCCAAGGTTCCAACTAATTTTCAAGTCATCATAATTGGTCGAGAAATGGAAGTCTTGGCTAAGCCTTGAACAGAGAATTAGGGATTGGGGACTAACAACTTCGACTTTTTGGCTTCGGTTTATGAGCAATTTGCATTGGGTGTGTATTCCACCTTACTGTTCAGCTTGGTATTGATTGTTAACAAACCTTGGAAGGATGATGGTGGCTTTGAAAATTATTACAGGAAACCCCAGAGCTTACGGAGCACACGTCACTATGCTCAGATATAGAACCTGCCCAGGTGCCAACCAAAATCTACAAAGATCGAAAGTCTTAGTGACGGCCTATTGAGAGGCTTTGGTGGTCCTCAGTTGACTGTCTGGTTGATATTTATCACCCTTCAAAACAGAGGACGTATTGATCAATGTCTTGCTCATACCTGCACCCCGTTACCCGATTAGGAAGTTCAACTTCCCAAGATCGGAATAACCCCACTTCATTCTTGAATGAATGCATACCAATCCAATTCTTTTGGGACCTGTCACTTCCAAAATTTCTATGATTGTGCATCCATGATGTCGCCTGAAAACCAAAAAAGAAAAACCTTGGAAGGAGAAAAACGACCCTTAAAAGTACAGCCAATTTCTGCTCCAGGTACTAGGTATACTCCAGCCCCAAAGAGATTTTATAGTCGTCCATTGACTAGATATGCAAGCTTCTTTGGCGGCTTACTAGGTATTTTCCTACTTAAAGGGCTACCTAGACCTTAAGCTACTCCTGTGGCACATAAAGGCAGGCCTGTTTCAACAAAGAGGGCTCTCCATCCGTATCAAGAACTTCCAAAGACTGGAGAGGAATCATAACCATTTCCGCGCCTGCCACGGTCCACGACCATTTCAACCAGTCAGGCTGCAACCATCCACTGGTCTCAACAAACCAATCGGCACCATCACTGGGTGCCCAAGAACCGGGCTGTTCGGCTTTGATGTATTCCTGGAATAAGCGAAGCGGCTCACTTGCGTCGACCGAAGCCACAGAGGCTAGCGGGTACTTTTCAAGAAGGAAGGCCATCCATCTCGTCAGGCGTGAAGGCAGCTTGGAGCGTGCTTCGGGTGAGTTATAAGTTGCAACTAGCAGACAAATCACTGTTGCAAAGAGAGTCTGAGGATCGCTGGCCACGGGCGGAACCTCTTGGCTTATCACAGCAAGAACATGCTGAAAGCACGTTTGGGCCGGCTCTTGCATATCTGCCGGGAGAAGACTGAATATTTCGCCCAATCTGAAGAGTTCGCCATTTTTGGATACGATGGAGTTACGCTCCAGGATACGCACACGGGTCCTGGAAAGCACCTCATCTGAGAGAAGACCGGCTGGGACACGTGCCATCAATTCAGAGAGCAAGACCTTGATGTCATTCCAGCTTTCACCCCGATTGTGTTCGCGACCGCGGGTGATGGTCCAGGTTGCAATGATTAAAGCAGCATAATCCAATGTGATTTGGCCATTGCGATAGATCTGCCCATGAGTCTGATTCAGTGTTGCTGGCTGGGAGGGCAGATCTTGTGCACTGGCTTTGAGGGTATAGGCATGGGCAATCATCTCAAAGCTGATCTGTGCCAATGCGGCATAGATGCAATGGCCATTGCCGTATGCGGGTGTGATTCGAATGCCCATATCGGTAATTTCGAGCATGTCACGCTCGCGGGCATTTGACTCCATCACCGTCAAAGCGTTGAACAACGCCGGTGAGAAAATTGAGTGCTCCATCGATGTGTCAGGCCCCAAAAGAGGATAGAAGGGGTTGAATATGTAATAGTGATCTTCAACGTTCTTGGCAAACTCTGGGAAAAGCTCCCGCTGACGAGCTTTAGCCTGTCCGAGTGGACTATCGGGCTTGACTCCTAAATGAACAATGCGATAGTCGGTAGGATTGTTCGTAAGACAGAACCCATAGTTGACCAGCACTTGGATAATGGTTAGTACCGTATCAAGCACTCACAATGATGGAGAATGTTCATGAACAGTGCAATACTTACATTGTTCGTTGTTGCGAGGTCCATAATTATTCGAAATTTCATGACCTGGAGAAAGGTCTTCAAGCACAAGAAGACCGATATCTTCTTCGCCCGCTCGCCACTCAACCTTCGCCATCGGCCGGTGATTTGGCAGGTCAATAAGAGGAAGAAGGGCCGAGGTACGATCTTCCCAGAGATCATCTGCCTCGACAGCGCCAGAAAGAACCTTGGGCGAGAACGCTCTCGACGTAATGATGGTCGCAGCCCACATATACAGTTCCCTACAAGATTAGCTCACATCTTTACCGGAATCGACATCCATGAATAAAACCTACCAGGTAAATTCTCCACAGTCAAGGAAACCAAATCCTTCCAACTTAGTGATTGCATCATCATACTTCTGATCCCAGACTTTGATTCTCTCCACCGATGCCTCCGGGATGCCAGTTCCCTGGATCCAATCCACATCCTCTTCGCTAAAGAAGAGGGGCGTGGTCAATTGACCCGGCTGGGGCAAAGTACGCAGATAAGGGTACCAAAAACTCTCCTGTCCGCGCAGATATTGGCCCATAAGGAAGAAAGCAAATGTCTCCTCAGGCCCAATCTCATCTATCCACTGGCGCGGAAAATCCACGCCATACTTGGAGAACGAGCCCTTGGGGCATTCATAGCCAATAGCGTTGTACCATGACATTGAAACGCTGATCGGGGTGTTGATGACTCTTGTTTCCCTGGGAATGGCATTCGGCAGGTCTGCTTTCACTTGCATGTGCACACCTCGCAAGGCATCCTGAGTGATCCGTACGGCTGCGTCGACTGTGCCGCCATGTTGAATAAACCAGCTCACTAGCTCGGTGTGAGCCTCCAAACTTGGATCAACTGATCTGTTGTATGAGTTAGATGTCTTTTACTCCCAAGGATGACGTAGTGTCAAGGCACACCTACTCTGAAGCAGCTGCCATAATGTAGTTGACTGGGTCTATGAAAGCCTTGGTTAAACACGAGTGTCTCGCCGTGACACTGGTCAATTCACGAATCTGACAATCCGATCTGGTGTGTTGATTGGGTTCTCAACGAGAAAAGAATTGATGCGGGATGCGATGGTGGGGCCCGCTTTTTTTTTCTTGCCCGCACGTTGAGCTACGAGATCGAAGGGCACGAAGACCACGGGTATTGTTCGAGCTTTGCAGGGGATTAAAACCTCGCTACGGTATACAATTGGTCGGTTTCGACACTTTGAACGAAAACTAAAACATCCATTCGCTTCTCCAGACTCAACCTATCGTACACAGGCGAATGCCAAACCAACTAGACAATCAAAAGCCATGGGACTCGTAAGCCATTCGCGGATGGAGAGCATGCGATACATGCAAAAACACAAGGAAAACATCAGATCAAGATCATTAGAATGCAAAACCCCATGGCTACCCCATTGATGGAAAGTGTATATACAAAGAGTCCAGGATTAGTTCGAGGTCGAAGATTTGCGACCAGGAACCAGGATCTCTACTAGTCCATCATCCTCGCCATCACTGCTGTCGTTCTGCTCTTCTTCGTAATGGGAGCTGACGGCCCGGGCCCGGCGGAAGTTGTTGTACCGGCCGGGACCTGAGAGGTTGGAGTAACCGAGGGATTCATTGATGATGGCTTCGTCTTCATCGTCCGAATCCATCATACCAATGCTGCTAGGTCCCACCATCTCGCCCATCTCGTCGTCGTCTTCATCCTCGACTTCGAGGGGGACACGGACCTGGCGTCTGACGGACTCAGCACGACCGTCGTTTTCATCATCGGATGAGTTGGTGGAAAGGGAATCCGGGGGGCTGAATCCGGATTCTGGGAAGGTAGGGGAGTGTTTGGTGTTGGAGCCAAAGTCACTGTTGGGGAAAGCCGAGTTGGCCCCTTCAGCATCATCATCGACACCTGCAATGACGAACGGGTTGCTTGGCCAGTCTGACTCCCGATCTTCATTTTGTTCTCTATCCTCATTCTGGCCCTCTGTGTTTTCGGAAGATTGCTGTTTTTGAGCAGCAAGACGCGCTGCCAGCTGTCGTCGTGCCCGGGATGGTCCTAGGCTCAATGGGGCAGGGGGCGGGGGCAAAATTGGGATCGGTTGGCTTGCCGAGCTTGTTGACACCTATAAGACACGTTAGTAACATGCAAGTAATCTGATGGCTCATGGTGTGTGATTAAAGCGTATGTGGGTGGCAGAATGGCCGGTCTGACTTGGGTGAAACATGAAAAGAAAACAATACATCAGAAGACATTCCAACTTCAGAATTGACTGTGGAATATATTGTCTTTGGTGCCGCCCCAATCTTGATATATCCCATTGATCAGACCGAGGGTTGGGGGGGGTATGGCAATCGGGAATAGCGCGCGGAATCGATCACGAGTTCCACATCACTAATTCAAGTCAATCGGAAAGAGGTTACCCACATCGTCAGAATTTGTTTGATCGGTGTTGCCAGCATCCCGGTCGTCTTGATCTTCCATTTCTTCATCTTCATCATCGCTCGAGCTTGCAAAGCCACTCAAGAGGGATGTTCCACCTCCTCCGAATGCTCCACCAGACACACTTCCTTGGTTGAGGTCAAAGCTCTGGAAAGTAGAGCCACCAATTCCTCCGTTCAAGCCTGCATCTGCTAAAGCGTTGGAGTTAGAAAATCCCTGTCCAGAGCCGGTGTTGTTTAGGCTGGTCTGCCGAGACCCAACGGACATATCCGGGCGGACGCCGCCAAGAATGGCATTGTCTCGCTCACGAGTCTCGGACAAGATCTGTTCAACATACTCAATCCAATCTGGATTGAGTACGCTTTCCATAACCGACCGAGAAAGCAGCTCTGGCGGGTGGCGCTCGCTGAACTTGACGACTTCTTCTGCGACGAGTGTGAGGTGACCCATGTAACCGAGGCGAATTTGCTTGGTCTTCTGCGCTTCATCACTGCGCTTCTGGCCTTCAACAATCGCAGTTGTGATGCGCCCTGTGTCAAATACATTGACTGCAAGGGCACGATTGTAGCCACGCTCCATGGGCCCGTTGAAGACTTGTTGAATCACATCATAAACAACGTTGTGGAGGAAATTGTTCCACGGGAATCGGAAAAAGAAGCCCTACTGGTGATTAGCTTTGATGGGGTAAATTCTGTGTGCAAGAGGCACTAACCAAGATTGTCGGAACCACCTTGTGTTCAACAAACTGGATCTTCAAGTAGTCACCGACAACGGGCTTTCCATCAGTGTCAATTTGAATGTATTGCTCGACTGAGTCCTCATCTCCGCCGTCGTTCATGATGCTTGCTTCTTCTGTCTGTTCATCGGTGGTAGAACGCTCCGCTGGTTGATCAACCGCGTCTGATGTGTTCTCTGGGGCGGCATCCTTCGAGAAGAGAGGGGCTGGAACATCTTCAGGTGCTGACGACTCAGACTGTTGGCTGTCCTTATCATCGGCCTTTTTCTCACTCTGTGAGTCATTCTCGAGCTTCAGTTTATCAACCTGATCATCAAGCCCAATGCTTGGCGATGATGGCAGAGTAGATTCGCTCGTACTTTCAGGCACGGCTGGCTGATCTCCAGATTTCGGCTCTGTGTTGGTGGTCGAAGGAAGCTCGACGACTGTTTCAGATGGTTGCGAGTTTGCGTCGGTCTGCTTATCAGCACTGTTTTGCCCACCAACCAAAACACCAGATGCACCAACATCCTCAAAGCCTTCTTCTTCACCGACGCGTGGTGCTTCTGTAATTTTAATATCTTCCGGAGAGCCAGAGCCCAGGGCCGATTCATTGGTGAAATCGACTGTGGTGTCATTGTAATCAACACCGGAGCGCTCGTCGTGATGAGGATCAAAAACTCCTTCTCGGATCAACCTCTCACGCTCCTCATCTCTCTGCTTCACATACTCGTCGCTGCCCGGTTCGTTCAAAAGTCCCATGTTACTGCAGTGTAGTAACTCTGCCATTAGTTCACAGGTCTTGAAACGATCAAAGCCAAGTGGCTCAATTTGGCCGCCCCAGGCAGAGCTTAGCTTGCCTCTCTCGACGGTCTTCAATCTGGTTCCGTCATGGATGGTATGTTGAGAACTTTGGATGAGAGCCATAAATTGCGGAATATGTTTGGCGAAGAGACGCAGAAGCGTTCCAAGATAAATTGGGTCGTACGTGGTTAACATGGTGTCAGGTCCACCAATGGTTTCGGGATCATAGTCAGAATTGTTCTTGCGAATCACCTCGATGACGATTCCTACACCCACGGTCAACGGATTGCCGCCCTGGAGCATAGCATCAATGAGTTGCTGAACACACTGGGCGGACACAAGCTGGCGCGTGAGGCTGTTGGGTCCAATGCATGACTGGTCGTTGGGGCTTGCGTTTGCGGAAATAGTGATGATGGCCTTGAGGAAGTCACCTGCGGAGGTTTGGACTGAAGCCGGTCGGTCCGGTGACAAGAAGGACAGTAGTGTGGGAATGAGGTTCTGGGACTTGAGCCAGTCGACGGTACCCTGACCACCCTCTGCTTTCTCCAGGCTAATAATCTTCAGGAGAAGGTCCATAACCATTGGATTATCAACGTGCTGCAAGAGCGCGTCGACAATTCCATCGAGGGACTTCAAGAACTCCAGCATCTCCTCGGTCTTTTTATCGAGCAGCGTCTCGTTGACTTTTGTAAAGTAGCTTGCCTGCAAGGAATCAAGAGGCGGAGACCGTCGCAGGAAGCCCCAGAAGTCGCGCATGTACGAGGGATTGGCCATCATTGATTCGAGAATGGACCATGTCTCAGAAGAAAGGACCTCACAAGCGATGTAAGAATGTTTCAACCGAGACTTCTCTACCTTTTCCAGGTCTTCCGGGTCGAGGATATCCTTCAACGGGTCGGTCTCCTTCTCTTCCTTTGATTCTGTTTGCTCCGTGGAGGCCTCATCATCCTTGTCTTTGGTGGAGTCATCTTTCGTGTTCGAATCATCTTCGTCATTCTCATCATCATCATTGATTAAGCTTGGCGCAATCACGTAGTCCATAAGCCGTTTCAAGACATGATCCTCGCGCAGATATTCAATGAGTTTTGTATTAAGCTGTTTCAGCTCTTGAACGATTTCTGGCTCGTCCAAAAGTTCTTCAAGGGTGACATCGGGTTTGTCGAGCAGGGTATCGATGGTGGAGACACTCGCATATCCTCCAAAGCGCCAAAACATGATGAAGTATATAGCCGAGGGGAATGATTCATGGAATGTTTCGTTTCGTTCGTCTCCGAGGTGTCGTAACGGAGCAGTCTATGATACAAGGGTTGATCGAAGGATCGGAATCTCAGGAGAGGTTGCGCGACAGGCCGATGCACCGGCAAGCGTGGTGTCCACACACAGAGGCCAGGTCGCGCAGATCGAGTGGGGTACGTTCGACCTCACGGCGGATAAATGATTGAAGCTCGTGTTGCTGAGCAAAGAAAATTGAAGCGAGCTAGCGCTGTGTGAAGGGAGAGTCTGTTAGCGATCTCGTTCACAAGCTTGCATCACCCGCACTCAGTCGGGATGGTGCGTGCCCGGTAGGAAGCAGGCAGTCGCCGGATGTTTGCGACACGACCGAAAACAAGGTGAGAAAGTAGTGAGAGAATTGACGGAAGCTGTTTACTGAGAAGACAGACTCCTGGATAGATCGTACCTTCAAGAGGGAATGACGAAGAACAGAAATTAGAACCTGTGGGTTCGGGGAGGGGGTGGGAAGAAATGAAGAGTGGAGTTTAGTTCAAATAAGAGTCGAGACACACGGGATGGCGACTCAACACCTGTCCATCAAGGAAGCAGCTGTAGAGGGAGAAAGAGATGAGCTGTGATCAAATTACCGATCCCTACAGCCAGAAGGGGCGGAAACGCAGTATGTAATCACCGCGGGGGATACCACAGGGCTTCGACCACGCAGATAAGATGAGTGATGAATTACTCGCTGGACCATAGATCGTTAGTATAGACTACCTTGTCAATTTACTCTTATAATATCTCTATTAAATGCCTTCTAGTCTCTTCCATTTGATCTCATCTTACAAGGTCAGCTGCATTGGCCAAGATCCCGGTACTGGGTACAATCTTTCCCCGCCACATTTGTGTGCTGGGAAATGTACTCGATACATTTGGGTCCCTGTCCTACATACATCGTGGCCCAACTCGGCTCTGACAGACCAACTCCCACCCAGCTGACCGCACTCATATGACGATCCAGCCGACTTTCCATTTTTCAGTTTGTGATCACTGACATCTTCAGGTGAAACAAGCTAATACTCGGCATGAAATAAGGTATCACGTGCTGGGGCCTCAGGCCCCAAATCTGGCCTCCGCTGACGTTGCTCCGCATTATAAGATCGCATGGCCACATACTCCGTACTAGCTTGGAAGCAAATTCAATGCCCTTGTTCTTTGGATCATTCTCTTCTCTGCCATTATAGTAGCCAGTCCCAGTAATCGGGTAACGACCCTCTCGGCCCACCGATCGCAGCTCTTTTGAGCACTGGCCACGCCTGATCTGGAAACGGTCTGAAGTCCGCCGACAAGTTACCTTCCTCCAACTTCAACCACATACCCATTCAACCATGAACAGACTATTCGGTACCAAGAGCACGGCTCCTAAGCCGACTCTTGACAGTGCCATCTCCAATGTATGCGACCGAGACCAATCAGGCAGCCATCCCCTCACGACACCCCCACTAACAACATAACAGGTCGACACTCGAGTCTCCAGCATAGATGTCAAGCTAGCAGCACTCAACTCCGAACTCTCCACATATCAAACGAAGATGGCCAAGATGCGCGACGGGCCTGGCAAGACTGCCCTTCGACAGAAAGCACTCAAGGTCCTCCAACGACGGAAACAATACGAGTCGCAACGAGATCAGCTCTCCCAACAATCGTGGAACATGGAACAGGCGGGCATGATGCAGGATAATTTAAAGAATGTGATGACTACGGTGGACGCCATGAAGACCACGACCAAGGAACTCAAGAAGCAATATGGCAAGGTCGACATCGACAAGATCGAGCAAATGCAGGATGAGATGGCCGATCTGATGGAGGTCGGGAATGAGATCAATGAGAGTATCTCACGGGCCTACGATGTACCAGAGGATGTTGACGAGTCTGAACTGGATGCCGAGCTCGAGGCGCTAGGCGAGGAATCTATGTTTGAAAGCAGTATGGGCGAGAGTGCCATGCCCAGCTTTATGCAGGACGAGGTCGCTCCCCCGCAGTTCATTGATGAACCACCAGAGCAACATAAGGTCAAGGAAGCCGCAGGTGGACTTGGTTGAAACCATTCAAAGCGTTTTTTTTTAGGCACAACTCGGTGTTTAATGTGTTAGGACCCAGTGGAGTTGAGTTTGACTTGATTTGATTTTAGCCTTAAGTAAACGATGTTCATGCCGTATCCAAAGATCGTTTGGAACTTTGTCTAAACACATATCATGGGTCCACCACACCATAGTGGTCAGTAGACTAAGTATGAAGCCCAGACATCTCGCTATACGCAAGATAGGCTCATACCGGACACACCTGGACTTGCTCAGGGATTGGCGAGGGCGCAGGGTGCAATCTCTCTTTAAGATGCTTTGCCCATACCCACAAGGACTAACAAGGCCACATTCATCACAACGATGACAACCCAGACAACGCCCGCGAGAATCGAAAGGAACAAATTGTTCCTCATCGGAACCGTGATTACCTCTACTTCACCGTCGCGCTCGCTAGGCTCCTCGGTCCGAACCGTCATGTAGCGATTGAAGCAGGTGAACCAGATGAGCGGCGCAGAGACAAATGGCAAGATAACACTCAGCACAACTTGACTTGCTGTCAGAGTCTTATCAAGGCCGTCTTTGCCAACTGCCGCAGCAATAATGATACTCGGGATGATACTGATCGAGCGCGTGATGAGTCTTCGCATCCAGGGACGGATGGTCCAGTTCAGCATGCCCTCGCTCACCATTTGGCCAGCGATTGTACAGACGATACCGGCGGAGATACCTGACAACAGAAGAGCGAGTGCAAAGACCAAGCCAGCGGCAGGGGAGATCGATGATGATAGCAGGCTGTGAATACCGAAAAGATCGGCATCAGCACCACCAGGGACATCATACAAAGAGGCTCCGGCGACAATGAGAATTGCGCTGTTTACAAACAGTGCAAATGTGAATAGTGACAGAGATAACTCAATAATCGAGTATTTCATACAGCCACGGATCGCATAGATAGATGGGCGATACTTAACTTCGCCATCGGCATTGCCTAAGGGAACAGTGGTTTCCACATAGCCCGATGTGACATCGAACTCTTTAAGGCGAGACTGAACGACACCGCTGCCGAGGAAGAGAGAATGCGGCATGACTGTGGCTCCAAGAATTCCACAGCTTTGATAGAGACTTTGAAATGATTTAGTAACATGCATTAAGCAGCCTGTGATCAATAGTAAAGGGAAACTTACCCTTCCGATTTAACAATGGCCGAGGAAGGCAGGTAGCCTCGGAAGACTTCACCAATAGACTGATCTTGGATAAGGGAGAGCTGAATGCAGAAGCAGACAACCACACCGAGCACTAAAGCCATGACGAAGAACTCGAACAGTCGTAATCCCCACATCGTCCCGTTAGGTCGATAGAAGATCAAAATGAAGAGAACATCCACCAGGGTGATGGCACAACCAGCTACCAAAGGGATGTTCAAAAGTAGATTCAACGCGATCGCGGATCCAACGACCTATCGAATTTGTCAATTTGCAATTAATGCGACCACCCAGTTAAATCAAAACTCACTTCTGCAATATCCGTCGCAACAATCGCGGCTTCCGCAAGGATATAAAGCAAGATAGTCAACCATTTTGGAAGATGCTCACGGCAATTCTCTGCTAGGTTGAGACCAGTCACAGAGCCTAGCTTGATACACAGGGACTGCAAAAGAATTGCAAAGAGATTGGAGACGAGAACGATGAACAACAAGGCGTACTTGAACTCGGCGCCCGCCGCAACATCAGTGGCATAATTGCCCGGGTCAATGTATGCAACTGCAATGAGAAATCCAGGGCCAATAAAGCGACCGAATTTTGCCAAGGTTTGGATGCAGCGCAGAGTAGAAGAATGAAGATATTCAGAGAATGGAAGGCGAGGTGACCTGCTCTCCGGGGGTGAATCACCCCCGTCGGCAGCGGTCACTTCGCCACTGGGGGATTTTTCTTTCCCTGGGTCTCGATCTTGTTGACTGTGCGGTCTATTCTCAATTGATAACGGATCATCTGCCGTATCGGAGTTCGCAGCATGTCTGCGGTGCACTCTGGAATTGGCGAGGCCATTGAAGTCATTCCGCGTGGTGGTGTCCGCACTGAAGGGCGGTGGGCTCTGATTCCAGCCCGGGTGGGCGAGAGTGTCGTCGTTCCGCGAGGGGCAATTCATGGCTGCTGTACTTCCAAGATTCTTGGCACAGGGATAGAATTGTCTTGGGGGTTTTTTGGGGAACTTTGGTGATCGGGAAGAGGAAGACACTGGTGGAGAGAGTCCGGAAGTCCCCGATGCCCACCCGCTCCAAGTCTAATTCATTAGGTTCATGGCGAACATGGAATTTTGTCTTGGTTTGTTATGTTGTTTTTGTCTGCCCACTATGGGTTTTAGTATAATTTACGGAAGAATTCCAAGGTTCTGGACCATTGGGCGGTTTTGAATACATGTCCAGAATATGATGGTCCTATCCAAGTCGCAAACGGCGATTGGAATGCCACTTTCTGCTTCCCAGTTGCACACGTATTTCTGCATATGAAATCATCAGCAGATAACAAAAACGGGGGGCTCGACAGGAAACTGCATGTGTTGAATGTCAATTGGGTGTCTCGTCCGGCATCGGAAGCATTGTGGAGAGCGATGCTGTGCACCAGGTGGACACCGAGGTAGGGAGGGACCTTGTTAGTACTTTGAAGTTGGCAAGGAGGATGAAGGAAGGGAGTATATAAAAGAAATGTATATATATATATATATATAACTCTTTTATAACCCGTGGCCCTCGAGGAAGAAGTGTAGTCATATGCTTTGGTTCTATGTACACACCGACCACATCGTCCTCCGTGCCCAAGACAGTCCTGATTTAAATCCAATAATGAGACATAAAACGACTGCAAGGATAGACGAGTATTAACCTAGGCAATAATATGCAATATGACATGTCCGGGTGTGATAGGCACAGCAATAGCCGCAATAACAGCAATAGAAGGTTAATAGGTGCTAATAAACCCCATCTTCACCGCCAGCTGCAGATGGTTGCCCTGCGCAACCTCTTTACCCGCACGTTGTTTACTCCTCCAGGATCTCTTACATCTCGATCGATGACGGTTGCTGTTGGCAGCTGAGTTTCTTCTTACCCTTAAGGCTTATCATCCCCCCCTCCCACGCATTTTGCTTTTTTGTTCCCTCGGGGTTTTTGTTTGTTGCCCTTGTCATTGCGTTTTGAATTCTGCGTTTGTTTGCATTCCCGTGAGTTTCGATCTGCGATTACCCGTTCCCCCGCCTTCTTCTGACATGATTTTAGTTGCTGGTCAAAGTGAATAGCAATGGCGAGCACATCGGGTCCCCAGATCTTCGACGATGCAAGCCGATCCCCCACCAAACCGTCTATGTTCCGCGCCATCATGTCACCCAAATCCCATAAACGAAATCAATCTGCGGATGATGCCGCTGCGCCCCGGCCGCTGCAAAGAACCAAACCCTCCGAAAACATCCCTTTCTCGTTTGGTGAACCATCTCCCCATCCAACGGGCTATCGCCCATTGAGTGAGATTGTACCCAACCGTGATGTCGGCGACAATGGAGCCCCACCAAAGAGTGGAGGTAAAGAACCGAAGGGACCTCTACACAAGAAGACCAAGAGCGCTGTGTCTCTGAAGTCACTGAGGAGCTATATGGAACGGAAGGACGGCAAACCGGAGGACGCAACGACCGAGGACGGTGACGACTTGTCACCCAAGAAGGCTAAATCATCCAACAGTCTCTCCGCCATCCTCAAGAGATCCCAACGGGGACGCAAAGATGGGTCGAACTCCAAGCAGAGTCGGGACAAGGAGAACCGCAGTCCGACTGATCTCATTGACAACATGCCGTCCCCTGCCTGGTCCCAAGACTCCGCTTCTGTTCACAGAGAGCCCATCGGCCGATCACGTCCGAGCTCCACGGCCGAACCACGACGAACTGTAGCGGACGAGGTGTCCCTATACACACCCAAGGGTTATGGGCCAAGCCAGCAACGCAACTTTTACGACTTCCATCAACCATCCCTTGCTAAACCTGGAGACGCCAAGCCTCGCCCGAAGTCAGACATTCTATCTGGGAACCGCAAGGTGAAGGACTTGCTTGGACTGCAGCGGGTAACCTCCGGAGACAATGCCTCCCCCAAGCGAACCGACGATGCTTCGACAAAGAGCCGCGGGCCTCCTAGCCCACGCAAATTGTCGCCTCCCACCATGGCGAAGGAAGAACAGCCTAAGCGACTCTCCCGCGTACAGGCGGCTATTTCGGCGTTCAATGCGAAGGAACGAGACGCGGAAGTGCACCAGCACTTGAATTCCAAAGATCTTGAAAGTGAATTCGAGAAGTTGCTGGTTTGTTGATCCCACATTAAGGCGCATCGGTCGCATTGCTAACTCCTTCTCAGGACGCGAGAAACATCCCTCACAACATGCGAGACAAAATGCGCTCTCTCGACACCAACATCAAGGCCGATTTTATCCAGAAAGATCGAACTGAGAACATGACTCCTCTCAGCTCGGGAACTGGTGACAGCCGTCGAGGACGTGGCAAAGAATCCAGGGAGGACTCGGAGCCTCAGGACCGCAAAGGGTCGCGATCTCGCTCACGGACTCGTGGCTTTACGCTCACTAAAGGACCGTCATCTCCAGGAAAGAAGCTTAGACGGGATAGTGAAGCCTCGAACCGTCGACCACGATCTGTCGATCTTTCCCAGCCTGTCGGTGTCTACACCACTTTGTCCGCCAATGCGTCCACGGCCTCTCTTGCCGAAGCGGCTGCTGTTGATACTGCAGCGGATCCTTCCGACTTCGTGCACTACCTGAGAGAAATACAGAAGCCAGAAATGGTTGAAGTTGGAAAAGTGCACAAGCTGCGCCTTCTCCTCCGCAACGAAACAGTGCAATGGGTAAACGATTTTATCACCGAGGGAGGAATGAATGAGATCGTACAGCTTCTATATCGCATCATGAAGATGACCTGGCGGTACGTGCACTCTTTCCATTTTGCGTATCGTCGCTAATTTGTCTCACAGGGAGGACCACGAGGACACCCTCCTACATGAGGCGTTGCTCTGCCTTAAGGCTCTTTGCACTACATCTGTAGCTCTCACCCATCTCTCTGCCATTGAGGCCGAACTCTTCCCCGCTTTGCTGCAAATGCTGTTTGACGAGGAGAAGAAGGGCCCCAGCGAGTTCACCACTCGCGGGATCATTGCAAACTTGCTCTTCACGCAACTTTCCAATGCTCCAGCGGGCGAACAGGCGACTAGGCGCGCCAAGCAGATTCTCTCATATCTGAAAGATCCTGCACCTCCGGCCAATAACCAGCCCTTGTCCTTCATTGCCAACATCTATCAATCGCGACCTTACCGAGTTTGGTGTAAAGAAGTTTCCAATGTGACCAAAGAAGTCTTCTGGATCTTCCTCCATCACCTCAATGTCATCCCGCTTCCCAAGACGGACGAGCTCTTCGGCGAAGAGACTCCAGTGGACACTCGGTCATACAGCGAGCGTCATTTCCCTCCACCTCGCCCTCCTGTTCCCGCCGCACCATACGTCGGCGGCGTTGAATGGGATGCGACCAACTATCTTGCTGCACATCTTGATCTTGTGAACGGCCTTATTGCCGTGCTACCCACCCCAGATGAGCGAAACCACCTTCGCGATGAGCTCCGAGCCTCCGGGTTTGAGAAGGTCATGGGTGGTAGCCTACGCACTTGCAAGGAGAAGTTCTATGCTTCCGTTCATGATTGCCTGCGCACCTGGGTCGCTGCAGCAGCTGACGACGGTTGGCCTTACACTTTTGTACGCGAAGGACCGGCCCGAGTAGGCGAGCCTGGCTCCCCAACCAAATCCCCAAAGAAATTCGCCCCAGGCAGTCCAAAGAAAGGTTTGGTCGACGAGCGACCCCCTAAGTTGGAACTTGCCCTGGATTTCGAAAACCGCCCAGCTCCAGGTCCGATGACCCCGTCTAGTGACCTGCGTAGCTGGCTTTGAGCACCGGGCGCGCAACCCCCGGTTCTTATTTAACGAATCTCCCATACCTCTCCTGTCTTTTTTCTTTGCTCTTTGCACTTTTGGCTTACACTCATGACACGGCGTTTGGGCTGAACCACAAGCAGCCCCCAACTTTTTTTGTTGGTATCTTTGTTTACTTGACCTTGGTGTTTACGGTCTCCTCTTGGCGTTGGCATTCTTGGTGTTTTGGCTTGCAACTGCATTTCCTTGTCCAGAGAAGTCCTGCGGACTTGATGTAATGAAGCCACATATTGGCACAGGCGACGGAGAGATTGCGAATGATTTCCCTGTCTCTCCCTATGGTACAGCGACGCCTGTTATTCCGACAGGACTTTTTCATGACAAATTATGAACAGATATGAGAATTGAATGAATCGTAACTGATTTTCCTATACAACCCCCTTTATCACCTCTCAGTGACTAAAGACCTCGTCTGTAGCAATTCATGCTAGAAGCTTTCTTCATACCCTCCTGACCCCTACTCTGCTTTCCATTTTTACCCTCTTTTTATACACAAGACCAGAGGCAATACCAACATTATTTTTGTTTTCCAAAAAAAAAAAAAAGAGCATCAATTCAGAACGTATGGTACACGATATGTCCAAAGTCAGCCGTTGCAGAAACCCAGGCAATGACCTGTGTGGTTTTTCAACCTCGCGATTTTCCGCTTCCAACCTCACCCACTTTCTTCCCCTGACCCCGGAATCCGAAATGGCGGGTGATCATCAAACGGTCGCGGATATCAATCTGCTATCAAAATTTCTCAGTGATAATCAACACGGCCTCTCTGCTAGCTCTTCAGTCGACTGCATCGTGATTTGTGCTTCGGCCGTTCTGTACGGCGCCGAGGTCCTCTTCTCCACCCTTCAACAAAATCCTTCCATAACCAGATGTGTTGTGCTTTGCGGAGGTATCGGACACTCAACCGAACTTCTGTACGCCTCCGTGAAAGCTCATCCGAGATTTTCGCGCATTGCAAATGAAGTGCAGGGACTCCCGGAAGCTGAGGTCCTAAATCTCATTCTGAATGAATTCCATGATCGGTCTTCGATCACTCGGAATGGATGTCAGATTCTCGTCGAATCACAGTCTACAAATTGTGGACAAAACGCTTCATTCTCCCGAAAGGTGCTCGATGAGGCGGGATTCACGTCTCCGGCTACGTGTCTTGTCATTCAAGATCCTACGATGATGCTCCGCACGAAGGCGTCATTTGAAAAGGTCTATGAGGATGCCATATCTGCCGTGTCGGTTGTCAGTTGTCCGACTTTCGTACCGCAAGTACAATTGTCGCTCAGCGGTGATCTCGAATACTCCGATAAACACGTGGTAACGATGGAAGGACGGTCGATTCCATCGGCTCAGCTGTGGTCGCAAACTCGATTTTTGGAGTTGATCACGGGGGAGATCCCCCGTCTGAGGGATGATAAAGATGGCTATGGTCCTCGAGGACGGGGTTTCATTTCCCATGTCGATGTACCTGGTGATGTTGAAGCCGCCTGGTCTCGTCTACAGTCGACGTCTAGGGGATCAAGATAAAGAGCTGCCCAGATCAAATACCTGGACTGTGTTATGTTGAGTCAACGGCGTTGAAATCAGTGGATGGAAACTTTGTTTGTTCTCTTGATGCCAAATTAGATGAAGCGCGACCAAGAACAAAAGAAATAAAGATACGAAGAAGCACCATGTTCAAGTGACATGAAGAACAAGGCAACTCAAACCAAATATCAAGTGCCGGGTTAATTCTAGGCGGATGCAACATTCATATACTGGGCCAAGCCTCCCCAAAAGCGCTGCAATGCCGATTGTGTCAATAATGGGGTTGGGGTATAACGGTATGCCGGGGGCAGGACTCCTTCCAACGCAGCCTTTATTTGCAAAGCAAGCGTGCGCGAGTGCCAACGGTGTTGCTGCGTATAGCCACCCATGACCCAAAAGTTGTCAAGACGTGATTGCCTCTTCCACAAGCCACGGATCTCACCCTCGGCATCAATGCCCCATGTCGCATCAAGGCGGGCTGCGATCTCCTGGGAATTGAGAATGTGGCTATCACTGGTACTCTGAACGGGCGAGCTGCCCAATATTTCCGTGGCCGTGTCACGCACATTCTTATCGGCGAATCCGGTGCACCAAATGATGGCATCCGCATCAACGCAACTGCCATCTGAGAACCGCAGCCCAGTTGTCGTATAAGCAATAGGCTCGACGTGAGCTTTGATGTCGACCTTTCCTTCCTCTAGAAGCTTGGTTCCACCCACATCGACGTAGTGTCCACCGCCACGCTCAATCAGATTATGCATCAATGCACACTTGGGGTGTGCACTGTCCAGAACAGGGAATCCGGCCTCTTCCAGGGATTTGTATCGATCAGGCTCCTCAGTTGCAAAATGTGTGAACAGATTGCGGGCTAGTTGAGCATCCACAGATGTCGGCAGGGTCATGAAAAGATTATCTGCGAACTCGACGTCTGTATCATAAGCGCCTAGACTGACTGGGTTACAGACATAGTCCACGGGGACAATGTATGTAGGAGATCGCACGTTCATCGTCGTTTGAAGTCCTGCGGCATGGCAATTCTCCATAACGTCGAATGCTGTGTTAGCGGATCCGATTACGATGACGGACTGAACCGATGAAACATAAGCATTTGCTCTCTCACTTTCAAATGGTACCACATACCTTTACCCCCTTCTCCTTCAGTTTTTCGGCATTCTTGAAGTGCGCCGAGTGGAGACTTGTGCCCGCGTACAGGTGATTGTCTGCTATCGATGGAAGGTTAATCTTTTGAGAGCCAATGCCTGTAGCCATAACAATATGCTTGGAGACAATTTTGCGTTGACCAGCGGGTGTTTGAAGCTCGACAACCCATCGTGCGGTCGCGATATCATATTCTGTTGATCGAACTTGTGCCGAGGTGATCATGTTAAGGTTGAAAGACTCGACGTATCGTCGGACCTGAGAAGCTAAGTCATCTTTTGAAAGCATGTGAGGAGCCAAAAGCTCCTTGTCATATCCTAGTCAGGGGTCAACTGAAGCTGTACATTCATCTAAGTCGACGCATGGAGACTCACTCATATAGGGCAGGTGGCAGAACGAGGTTGGGATATGAAACCGCATGCAATCGTAGCGGAGGGCCCAGTTATCGCCTGCATGAGCATTTCGCTCGGCCATAATGCTCTCGATACCAAGAGCTTTGAGGCGTGCTGCGAGCGCAATGGCACTGTTATCGAAGACCACTTAGCATGGAAACAGTTGGAGGGTTTATTCTCTTACGCGTTTCCACCACCAATAATGAAGACATCGGTCTCGACATCTTCTAGCCCATCGAGCTGTCTTCCGGGAGATGGAAGTAGACTCTCGTCTTCTTTCTGGATATCCAAGTCTTGAAGGATAGTACTCAAAACCCAGATCTTCCACTGGATTGTCTGGTCGGAGCCCTTGACTGGCAGAAGAACCACCTTTCCACGACAGGTAGCGGCAGGTGAGCTAGTCTCGAACACAATCTGACAATCGATAAATTGCTGTTTACAAAGGTTAGCTACGCTCATTTCGGTCGTACTACTGATCTAGGCATTCGCTTACAAGAACTGGTGTGGCGGGGATGAACATCGCACCACCATTGACCTTGATATCTCCTTTGATGGCCCTCAGACTGCTGGTCTCCAGCAGACTAGTAGCAATGATATCCGATGTTTTGAACGTGCGCAAGTGGTAGGTCAGTGCGAGCTGGTCCTTCCAATATGCCTCGTCTCCCAGGAAGCAACTCTTGAGCGACCCCGCATCATTCGCGGCCAGTGCAGCGTTCAGACCATCCAACACGATCTGAGCTTGCCTAGTTGGCTCATCACCGGTCATTGAAGTCGGATCTATCAATTCGGGAGCAAGCTGGGGAAGCGGTTGCTGGGCCATCATCTCGAGGAGGTCGGCGCGTGGGGGAAACTCGTCATGTGAAGACATGTTGCTGTCTGGTGAGGTCAGGTTCTGTCGCATTGTGCTCTGTACGTGTTTTCGGATCTCGCTTGATGAAACTCACTGGCAGTCATTGCTGGTTGTAGAAGATACGAGGTTCACTCGAGACGGGATACGAGGAAGTCGGAAACCTCCCTGATCGACATGGTCGACACACAAGGTAGCACAGATGCGGTGCTCGGCCTAGCCATACGGAATACTCAACGGATACTGGCCGAAAGTCAGTTCTATTCAGTGCTAGCGTAACAGCGGATCTTGTTCCCCGGTGGACCTAGGAGATTTAGGAGACGCCAGAGCTTATTTCTGTGACAGGTGCATACTGGCCCAGATTTCCTTGCTCGAGTGGCATTGACTGGATGGAATTTCACGGAGTTGATACATCTTCCCCAGAAACGGGTCAGAGCGTTGCGATCATAGCGGGTTGAACCTCAAAGAAGGCAACCTGCGCGGATTACGCCGTAACTAACTTGGATTTTTCACTGAAATTGTGGCCCGTGTCTACTAAACCCACGCTTGGGGGCCGGGTGTTTTATGGGGCGAAGGATTTCATGTGGGACTCCTCTTTGGGCCCAAAAATCAAAAAAAAAATTGAGAAGATCGGCTCTGGATGTGCCCGCTGTCAGTCACAGCCAAGGCGTTAGTAGGCTATTTGACGGGCCACTGACGAGCGGCTGTATGCCCCCCTCGCTTTGCTATTTTCATGATTTCGCCTCCCGCCCGGTCCGTTGGGGCCTTTATGATCCAGAAAATCGGAACTAACCCCTTAACTAATCTCAATTGTACCCAATTCGTCGGAATCCTTCCACTAGCGAAGAAAATGAAGCAAAGGATGTTCGAGCTTTGCCCTAAGTCCCAGTGTGCCGGGATCTTGCACATGAGCAGACATGAGCCATGAAGAAGATCTGCGGGATGTGATCGACTTGTCATAGGCAATTGATGCCTCACTGTTGTATATGAGTGATCGCAAGTCCAATTTGTGACTGATTTGTGGCTCTCCTGCTCTCAGCGTGCTCTCCTGGATTGGATATTTGTTGGTTAAATGGGCACGGGTCTACCACTGGTCCCCAATTAGCCTTCAACATGTCTTCAGAAGAAGCCCTGGCCAAAATTTTGGCAGCCCCAGCTCTTCCACCTCCGGCTGGCGTCACACCAAATTTTGACAACCCGCCGAATTCGAATACCCTCGCCTGGTTTGTGACCACTTTCTGTATGGTGGTAGCGACACTATGTCTCCTACTTCGAGCTTATGTGAAAATATGGCTGGATAAGAAGCTTCGAGTGGAAGAAGGTGTGTTGGTCCCCTCATAGGAATAACCTGTCAGCCAAATGAACTCGATTGACAAGCTTTCCTATCTAGTGATGATGATCGGTGCATATGTGCGTCTCTTTGAGTCTTTGTTCACCCCACAATGGCTTGTTTGCCTTATCGCACAAGATCCCTGCTAATGCCCTGCAGGGAGCCTACTGGGGCACGGCCTATGCTGCATATTCTTTGATCTACACCCCGGGCTATGGAGTCCATACCTGGAACCTTCACAACAAAGATCTCATCAAACCTCTCTATGTAAGTTTTGTTTTCCCTACCTTCCCTCTCTGTCACGTACATCTGAGTCGCCGCTAACTGTCCTAGTTGATTCTTGTCTATGGCTGTAGTTATTCTGCAGTTCTCCCCCTTATCAAAACGGCAATCTTGCTGGACTGGGGTAGGATATTCGTTGCCATCGATCGTTCCAAGAATCTCTTTTGGTGGGGATGTATGTTCGTCAGTTTCATTCAGTGTGCCTGGGGCATTTCTTGCATCATTCTGCTGAACATGCAGTGTCGCCCGCATGCGGCTATCTGGATGTTCTATCTGCCCAGCAAATGCTATTCCCTTCCCAAGGTGATGCTTGCATCAGCTAGTATCCAGGTCATCTCTGACATTCTCATGTTTTTGCTGCCCCAGAAGATTATCTGGAGCCTGCAAATGAATTGGCAGAAGAAGTTGGGTATCTCAGTGATCTTCGGAGTTGGTATACTGTCAGTTAATTCCTAATTTCCTGCGATGATTTCCAGAGGACTAACTTCACCAAAACCAGTGCCTCACTCGCAGCGTGTTTCCGCCTAGCCCACACCGTCACTTTTGCAACCGAAGCCGACAGCATGTTTCTCATCGGACCTCTCCTCTTCTGGGCCTGTGCCGAAATGACTTGCGGCTTCTTTATTTTCAGTATGCCATGTCTCTCCAAGATGGTGATGGAATCAGGACTCCCTCGGAAAGTCAAAAGCGCTCTCGGCATCAGTGCTCCCAGATCGAGTAGTCCGTCTTATGAGAATTCCAACTCTGCGCCGCAAAATAAGCCTTGGAAGAAGAAGAACAAGGTCGAAACTACGTGGTCAACGCTGGCTGATGACGATATACCACTGTCGAGTCCAGGGGCTTCCGAATCTCAAGAGCGTCTGAATAATGATCGGTTCCATGAACGAGCGGAATCTATACATGTCCTCCATACTACCAAGGTCACGATTTCGAGGGAGGAGCCTACTGGAGATGGTCTCTCTTCGCCGATCACACCGTGGATTAAGAAATCATAAAAAGGGGTTCTTTATTTAGGAGTTTTATACTATTGAGTTTGGTCCATGCGTATTTCTGGCAATGTTTCGTGTGCGTACGTATGCTACCATGATCTCGATTTTCTGTTATAGATGACCAGGTAAAAGCTGCCTCGGTTGAGAAGATTGGGGACTTATGTTGGAAGCAGCGATTTGAATGGTCACTTGACCTCTGAAGAATTCAGGACTCATTTCAACCGTGATGCGCCAATTCCAGATGAAATATCACATTCCCGACGCATGACGTCCATCGACATGTGCAAGTCCGGGGATGGGTTTCACATGCCGATATCGATCGATAAATTGGGGGGATCCCGTGACTTGCCTTCGGATTATCAATGATACGGTGGACCTCGGTACTTTCCAATGCTACCACCGGCCAGCAACGGCCGTTGAAAAGGGAAGTATCACCGATCAGCCCGCCTGATCTATAAGAGAACACCTCCCCGGATACCCAAGCTAGCCCATTTCACTTCCTTTTTTGTTCCAACTCACCCCATACCCCATACCTCATCACACCTTGACGTCATGTCTAACGGTACGTGTAAGCCAGCATTGCTGTACACAAGCAGCTGCTTTGCCAGGTTTCCCTCGGTTGTTTGCAAAACGAAGAAGCTAATTTTATTATAGCTCAGCAACGTCTGAACCAGGTTTCCTCTCACTTCGGCCCTGGTGGCAAGAAGGGAGCTGCCGCCCTCACCGAGAAACACCCTGATGATATTGTCGTGACATGTGCCCTGCGCACTGCCCTCACCAAGGGTGGCAAGGGTGGATTCAAGGACACCGCTGCGGCTGATCTTCTTGCCGGTGTCTTCAAGGCTGTTCTGAACAAGAGCGGTCTTGACCCTAAGGCCGTTGAGGACATTGCCGTTGGCTCCGTCCTTGCCCCCGGTGGTGGTGCTACCGAGTTCCGCGCTGCTGCTCTTGTGGCTGGATTCCCCGAGACCACCGCCGTCAAGAGCTTGAACCGTCAGTGCTCCAGCGGTCTCCAGGCTATCGCCGATATCGCCAACGGCATCCAGTCCGGTATGATCGAGGTCGGTATTGGTGCTGGTGTCGAGAGCATGTCCTCTCAGTACGGGTACGTTGAGTGTTCAAATGTACTTGATTAGTTTTGGCCTAACGTTATCTTTGACAGACCTGGTGCCGTTACTGAGTTCTCCGACCTCCTTGAGAGCCACCCCGAGTCTGCCAACTGCAAGGTTCCCATGGGTGTCCTGTCCGAGAACATGGCCAAGGACCGTGGCGTCACTCGCGCCGCGCAGGACTCTTTCGCCGCCAACTCATACCAGAAGGCTGTTGCAGCTCAAAAGGCTGGTCTTTTCAATGAGGAGATCGCCCCTCTAGACGTGAAGTGGACCGACCCCAAGACCGGCGAGGAGAAGACCATCACCGTCAAGGCTGACGATGGTGTCCGTGAGGGCATCACCGCCGAGTCCCTCGGCAAGATCAAGCCTGCCTTCGCCAAGGACGGCTCCATCCACGCCGGTAACGCCTCTCAGATCTCCGACGGTGCCGCTGCCGTCCTCCTTATGAAGCGCTCCACTGCTGAGCGTCTGGGCCAGAAGATTATTGGCAAGTACGTCGCCGCCAGCATTGTCGGTGTCAAGCCCCTTCTCATGGGTGTTGGCCCCTGGAAGGCCATTCCCGTTGCTTTGGAGAAGGCCGGCATCACCAAGGACGATGTCGATATTTACGAGATCAACGAGGCTTTCGCTTCCCAGTGTGTCTGGTGTGCCAATGAGCTCGGCATTCCTGCTGAGAAGATTAACCCCAAGGGTGGTGCTATTGCTTTCGGTCACCCTCTTGGATGCACTGGTTCTCGCCAGGTCAGTACCTTGCTTACCGAGCTGAAGCGCACAAACAAGAAGATTGGTGTTACCAGCATGTGTGTCGGTACTGGTATGGGTATGGCCGCTGTCTGGGTTTCAGAATAGACGACTTTTACTTTTGGATTGTACATTTTCTCAGCGACTTGCGACATATTATATCATTTGGATACGCACACATATTCTTTGTCATGTATTGAATACTTTGAATGTCACAAAATTGGATGTTCCTTTATTTTCACTTTGTCTACCTTGCTAACAGGGAAGCCCTCAAGTCAGGTAACTGTACCTATACCTATGTGAGCCGGACTTGAAGCAACCTATGAGCGGAACTTTTTGAAGGCATCAGTAACACTCATTCCGTTTGCAACGGCCTCCTTTGCCTGGTCATCCATTGCAGTCAATTTAGGCATGAGCTCAAGCACCTGATCGAGAAGCTCGCGGGGAATGGCCACCACTCCTTCCAGTGGATCACAGAAGATAATGTCACCCTAGAGTATCGCAGTGATTAGCTATCACCATATCCAACACCCAAGGGCTCCAGGGCGGTTATGGAAGCATTGCTTACTGGAGAAACAGTAACACCTGCGATTGAGATTGGTACATCCCGAGCACCCGCTTTAGCCTCGGCATTAGTTCCAACAGTGGAGCTGGCTCGAGCCCAGATCTGTAACAACACAGACATTAGTGATGATGCAGAAAATGGGATGATAGTAACTGACCGGGAGACCTGTCGCCTTCAACTCTTTCAAATCCCTGACTCGGCCGCCGACAACAGTTGCCTTGATACCGACAGCCTTCATCCGAGTCGCCATGATCCCACCCGTCACAGCGCAGTACTGCCCTTCAGGCTGCTCGATGACAACGATAGAGCCCGCGCCTGATTGATCAGAGGCTTCGAACTCGCCGACATGGTCTACCCAATGCTTGCCCGGCGGGAACCCGTGCTTCTGGGGATTTTCTGTTGCGATAGATGGAGGGCTAGCATCTTTGGTTAAAAACTTAAAGGTTGTTGCCGGGGCGGCAATCTTGGGTGTGGTTTCGTTTCGTCCTGTAATGGGTGAAAAGGGAACTTATTTACATGTGTTAGCCAGACTGGAGATACAATGCTGTTACTCATACTAGCATGGCCACATGTGTGGTGAGCTTGGGGATATGGCTTACTCAAGTCGGCCAGAAAGCCTGCACGCGGAACCTCGCCCACTGGTGTGCTTTGTAGTTTGATTAGAGCATCTGATACCTGAGTCAAACAGCGTCAGAGACACAATTCACCCGCTGACATGGAGATTTATCCTGACGAACATCACATGGTGAATAATTGTCGACTAGGATCGCAAGCTGCTCGACCAAAGAACTCATTGTGGATGTTCGAAATAATAATAATTACCGATGCCTTTTATAGACCTTGTAGCAAGATGTGAAAGGTAAGAACGTCCAAGGATTGAACTCTGCGATATGATTGCTGATCGACCGACGCACATGTCCCGTAGGTCCGGATATCGGAACATAATACTACATCATCTTCAGACCAGCTTTGCTCTTGATGAAATTATTGCCTTAGGTATTACACTGTGCTTATAATGTGGTTCTTTCATGACCATAGTACCTTTTGCATCTCATGCTGGAGCAAATATTGTTGGACTTGCAAGCTCGCCCCGCGGCAATAGCCGAGGATATCGTACGAACTTCCGCAACTGACCTGGTCTGCTCTCAATACGTTCTATACTCCATGCAGACTAGAAAACTGTTTAGAAGAAAACGATTCCTCGCGATTTACCCCGCAATATTGTGTACTTTATTGCCCTAGAATTGCTCAATTGATTCGAAAGCTAGTTATTGGTCATCAATCCGTAGCGTTCAAGAGTGGAATCAATTCCGAGATCGAACCCGGGAGCATTTCAGCAGAACTCTGAAATCTATTTCTCAACTCCCTACAAGCCTCTGGACAACAAATTCTAGCGAAAAGTCATGGCATCCAAACCGATATATACAGACCAACAGTTGGAGCTGTACCTGGAGCGCATCGGATACTCAAACTCTGACAGCCGTCTCCAGGGTCTCCGCCAGAGCATTGAGCAGGATCCTCTTGGCACGCTGGCTATTCTGCAAAGGCGTCATCTCGCTGCCATTCCGTGGGGCAATTCTGGACTGCATTACTCACAGCATCATACCATCTCTCTGAATCCGCAATGTCTTTTTGAGAAGATGGTAATTCGACGGCTTGATGGGTACTGCATGGAGAACACAGGATTGTTCTTCATAGTCTTGCGATCTCTTGGGTATATTGTTTATGCCACTGGAGGCAGAGTCAGCCATGCTGCAGCGAAAGGTGTAGATGATGGGTTGTATCTGGCATTGTAAGTTCTCGGGTCACAACCTTGGAAGAGCTCACAACGGACTCAATATTGACTTTTACAACGTTGAAGTGGACATATGATTTTGATTGTTATCATCCAAGGCAATAAATACATGGTGTGTGATCGTCCTATGGTGAATCGCCACGAAACTCACTAACAGCTTAGGTTGACGTTGGATTTGGAAACAATTGTGCCACTGCACCTTTACTGCTTCAAGAGTTTGCTACTGCTACGTATATTGCGCCCTCTGAGATGCGCTTGGTCAGGGAGAATATTGCCGAGTTTACAGACCCAAGCCACAAGGTTTGGATCTTCCAAACGAGATATAACCCCGACGCCAATTGGGTGCCGCAGATCTGCTTCTCCGATGTTGAGTTCTTGCCGCAGGACTTTGATGTCATGAACTTTTCGGTTAGCCAAAGCCGAACTAGCTGGTTCACCAAGACCTTTGTCTGCACGCGAATGATGTTGACCCTTGATGGCACAGAGGTCAAAGGCCAATGTGTAGTGACGGGTCAAGAGGTCAAACAGAGAGTGCGGGGCCAGACTGAGATCCTGGAGACTCTCAAGTCTGAAGAGGACCGCGTCAAGGCTTTGGCGAAATACTTTGATATGCACCTTCGTGAAGAGGAGATCCAAGGAATTCGGGGAATGGTTTCACAGATCATTTAGACATCGACTCGGACTACAATGGAGACCAAAGTGGCAAACAGGATATGATACAGCATTTCTAGAGAAACTGCAGTGGATATTTGATCACAGACCAGGAAAGGCGCAAATGTTGAACGTAAAGGAAATAAGGTTGCAATTTTTGAATCTAGTAGATTCGGCTCTCGATCTGTCATTGGGTCAGCATTTTCGCAAGTAACAAAGGGGAGCAGTGTATTATTCGTACCTTCCATGGGTTGCTGACTTCGAATCCAGTGGGTGCTTGGTGGTTGCTGGACTGCCCGCGGAATGAACCTGTGATGCGCTGGTCTCTCTCCATCACTATTATGGACCGCAATGGTTAGTCTTGGTCTTGTTGGGAGCGTTCGGATCGGCGAAAAATTCGAGAAGCACTTACTTTGCTGTGAATTGGTTAGCAAATATAGTCTATACAAGTTCCGACCGCAGCCGACGAGGAATGAATCAACTTACTCTGTCCCAGAGGTCACGGTTCCAGCGCGCCTTCTTGCCGTCGTTGGCAAAGCGCTTGACGTAGTGAAGACCGTAGCCACTCACGCCAAACATCTGTAGTGATCGGTGAGCTGTAGCCCCGGGGTATATTGACCAATGGCACGTACGGTGATGATAATCCCATAGGGAAGCAGGGCCTCGAAAGGAACACCCATTGTGTGCGGTTGTATGGGTATGTATGTGATCGGAGAATGGCGTGAGCGTAATTCCAAGAGCCGTAAAGCCTCTCGCGGATCGAGGAAAGTGGATAATTGGCGGAGAGGGTGGAGGGGAGTGTCTCTTCGCCGGGCGACGGACTTGAGGTCTCGTCCGCCCAAAGTGGTTTAGCCCCACGCTGACTCAGCGCGCTGCAACGACACTCACAGGACAAGGGGCGTTGAGGCGGCTGCGGATCGCATACGATTGTAAAAGAGACAGGCCCCGGTGTGTGGACTGTCCTTCGACGCGCCTAGTACGCCTTTGAATCAAGAATCCCGCTGGTTCCCCTTGGGGTGAGTTTCCTATGTTTTGCGACACGCGTTTGCGATGGTTCGAGCCACCCAGCGGCGGCCTGACTCTTGTTTGTCTAGCTTCTAATTTGCGCCAAGTGACTTATAGCTATACCACGGGACGGTATTTGTGTTCGGGATAATCTTCGACAACGGCTTTACGCACTTCCCACCCGCTTTTGATCCAGATGCACCCCCGGATCAGCGCCGACGTCAGCGGGGTGCCTCTATAACGGGACCGAATCAAGCTTCCTCCACAAAACAGACGCCCAGGCTGGCTTGAGCGCGTATACAAGGCTTTATCGCGCTCAATCTGGCGGTGGCGGCACCTTTCACTATGGCGGCGACAGTGCCGCCAGCAAACGATGAACCGGGCAAACTCGACCCACCCCTAGACACGGCCGACAGTGATCTTGATGCGGAGGGAGAGGAGGAAACCGACTTGTATGAAATGGATCAACAACTGCAGAATGCTGTTCACCGGGCGTATACCGGCGAAACAGACGGATATGGCGTGGACGATGGCGTGAATGGGAACGGCACGCGCACCCGTGTCTTGAATGGAGAAAACGGCGGCGGTGGCGACGGCGACGACACGGAGCCTGTTGGAGCGGTCAAGCTCCCTGATGGAGAGGCGGCCTCGGACGAAGAATATGCGGAGTCTGATGCGGGCAATGCCGACCCGGCGTTCGAGGGGAACGACCGTGATGCATCAGATGCTGAATCAACGGACCACGAGTCGGAAGCTGAAGATTGGGAGGCGGAGAGCAACGATCGTGAGGAAGTTGAGGCTGATATCAGGAGTCGTGCAAACTGCTTGTAAGTGGGAGTGGTCCATGTGCAATAAAGGGAACTTTGGAAATTTGGAAAGCTGACCACCGGACATCAGATTTTGTACACAAGATGAAGAGCATGACCCAAGTGAAGACTTCGAGGAATGGCTCACCTGTCTTGTTTGCGGCGACCACTGTATGTGACCTTTGCGTGGCAGGGAACACAAGCTTAACCCTCTACTCTGTTTGTTTTGAAGCCCTCGCTAACTTGGAATTCAACAGCCCATCGACAATGTGCTCGTGAACAAGATGCGTTTGACGACTCTGAAGGTACGTGGAAATACAGCTACGCCCTGGCTCATACCTCCAATTAAGAATTTGACTAACATTGAGAAATTCAGGGCCTTGGAGATGCCTTAGCTGTGTCAGTAACAACCTTCAGCCCGACCCCGTAGAGAACATCGCAGACACCAAGACCGGAGTTCCATCACTTCCGAAAGAACTTTTACCTGCACACACTGGCACGCGTGACAAAGACTTCCATACCATATTCGACACAGGCGTCAATGACGAAATGCTCAACAGTTCACGATCACTTCGAAAGCGGAAGGCTTCCTCCATTGAGGCCGAAGAGCATGTACCCATCCTCCGCAAGCGACTCCGAACCTCCTTCCACTCTGGGCTCCCGGATTTAAGCGACGCCGCTCTCGAAGGTGGGGAGGCAAATTCCCCTCGTGACGCTCTCTCACCTGCTCGCACACGCTCGATACGCGTCCGACGCACTCGAACTGCTGACCGTGAGCACTGTCGTGTGGTGACACAGCAGCACGGGAAGCTAATCATTGGCTTCCGGCTCGATGAAAACAAAATGTCCGATATCACAGGTGCTCAGATTCGTCCCCAGCGCAAAAAGAAGAAAGCGCCAAAGCCCCCTCCGGTCGCGCAAGAACCCCAGGCACATTTCGTTGCTCTTCCTCCCGTGTCCTACAACTCCATCACTCTCTTCGACCGCGAGACCGATGACGCCAAGTCCAAACCATATGGAGGTATTCTGTCCGAAACTGAACAAGACACTTCCAAGACACTTCCCACCCAATTTGACCGTGATCGCTTCGAGCAGGCCCGGCTGAAGGCTGAAGAAGAATGGCAGCAGAAAGTCAGAGAATCAGAACTCAGCGGCGAAGCTACCTCACACTCATCACAAAAGGTCTCAGGGCCACCCTCGAAGATCAAATCCATCAACTTCGGCGGCTACGAAATCGAAACCTGGTATGCGGCACCTTACCCGGAGGAATACAGCCGCAACCGAGTTCTGTACATCTGCGAGTTCTGTCTCAAGTATATGAATTCGGATTATGTCGCTTGGCGCCACAAGCTCAAGTGCCCTGCGAAGCATCCACCCGGAGACGAAATCTACCGCGACAAATCAATTTCAATCTTTGAGGTCGATGGACGCAAGAATCCGGTTTACTGTCAAAATCTCTGTCTCCTCGCCAAACTTTTCCTCGGCTCTAAAACCCTTTACTACGATGTCGAGCCCTTCCTCTTCTATGTCATGACCGAATTCGACGACCTGGGCTGCCATTTCGTCGGGTATTTCAGCAAAGAGAAACGTCCAAGCTCAGCGAACAACGTCTCATGCATTCTCACTCTTCCCATTCATCAACGAAAGGGCTACGGCAACCTCCTTATCGACTTCTCATACCTCCTCACTCGCATCGAAGGCAAAAACGGCTCACCCGAAAAGCCACTTTCTGACATGGGTCTAGTGTCATATCGAAACTACTGGCGGCTGATCCTATCCTATCAACTGCGTGATCTGACTGGCGTCATCAGTATCGCTGATCTTTCTGATCGCACTGGAATGACGGCAGATGATGTTGTCTCTGCCCTCGAGGGGCTTCGAGCTTTGGTTCGGGATCCCATCACCAAGACCTACGCCATTCGTCTCGATCACAAGTACTATGACGAGGTAATCAGTGGCTGGGAAAGCAAGGGCTATGTTCAGCTCAACCCAGATGCACTCCTTTGGACGCCATACATCATGGGCCGCAGCAATCAGACCCACTTCGATCGTGCTCCTTTACACACTGTCGCACCTCGAGACGATCCGGACGATGAAGACGGGGAGCTAGGAGAAAAGGCGAGTTCGGATGAGGGTGATGCACTGTTGCCGAATGGGATGAGTACAGACACTTTCGCGGATTCCGCCGGTCCACCTTCCACTGCAGCCTTCAATCTGAATGATTCCCAACACTCTACGACAGGGAACTCTGAATCCCCCGCTGTACCAAACCCTGCAGCAGGAATACCCCCCTCTCGGTTCGAACTTTGGCCCCCTGTACCTGCCGCGGCACCCGCCAAGCGCAAGCCCGGTCGTCCATCCGGCAGCTTCAAACTCAACAACACCTCAATGACCCCGACTTCCACCCGCAACGGGGGCCGTGGGACCCCTCGACGGCCCTCCACCCTCGCCATGCTCACACCCGGTGGTAGCGTTCGTCGTGGACGCAGCTCTATCCTCACAGAATCACCTGCAGCTGAGGCAACACCCACCCAAACCAATGGAGTTGAATCAAATCAAGATGAAGTTGTAGAGGAAGAGGCTGCGGTTGATGAAAATTCTGAAGATGTCAACCCAGCTTTTGATGAAACTCCGGCCATAAACGGGAAAGAGCAAGAGCCAGCGAACGGCGACATTGCTCCCGACGACCCAGTCCAGACCAACGGCGTCGAGGTTGCCGAGGATGAGACGAGGTCTCCCAAGGCCAAGGGATCACCCAAGACCCCCGAGAAAAAGATCAAAGTGGCTTCGCGGTCCCCAGACACAGCCCTTTCCCGCCGAACTAACGACAACGCGAGAACTCCACGGTCGGTCAATCGCAAGGCTTTAGTCGAAAAAGTTCAAGTCGTCATCCCCGTCGAACCAGGCTCCACCTCCAAGTCCCCGAGCAACGGGGGCAAGAAAGCCCATGTCGCCAATGGTATTGATGCGGATGCGGACGCCGACGCCGATGCTGACGCCGACGCCGAATTTGATGCCGACTATGAAGTGGACGGGGATGTCGTGATGCAGACATGATAAACCCCTTGGGGCTTCACGAGGAGCGAATGGATTTGTTTTCTTTCTTTTTACCTGCAAAGTCATTTAAGCATGTGGACAGGGCGTTGTAACGAAATTCCTTCGTTTGCTTTCTTTTCTCTATCTCACTCTTGGGTGACTGCATTCTCCCATTGTTTGGTCTAATACTTCTTTTTCGAATCATGTTTTTTTGCCGTTCGGAGCCCATGCTAGGGTTCTAAGAGATGGGTGGCGAGTGCTCTCGGTGTATGGATCGCGGTACTCGTCGGTTCCTTTCTTGGTAACTTACTAGCTACTTTCAGTGTGTCATCCAGCAAGGAGCAGGGATGGTGGTGTTCGGCGTTCTTTCCAGGTCTCCTTTTCTCTTCTACCTAGTCAACCAATGAGTATGGTGTTTCATTGTCAGGTCTTACTCTAATGCATCCATTGTCCTGTATCGCGTGTGTTCCCAAGTGTCCACAGTGCGTCCAAGTAGATGCCCTTTGCTTATCTCCGGTCTGGGGGGGTTGCACTGTCATAACTCCGGAGGTCAATGTTTCCCCGAGACTTCCACAAGAATATACCTCGACATTTGGGAACGGCCGTTCCAATGAGAGGATCAAGATAACTATTTTTAACCCAAAACCTTGGAGAATATACTCCGTACCTGCACAAAGTATGGAGCCCTGGAGTGCTTGTACCTTAAAGACGAAGTGGTCAATGCGACCAGAGTTTCGCATGGACCCAGCACCCGTATAAGGGTCAAAACGCTGGTCCCGACAACGTGGTTGATCTACGTTTCATCTGATGTGTTCTATCAAGGGCTAGGACAAACCTTCAAAGTTCGCTCACAGGTAATATTTTGTTCAGGTTTAGTACGGAGTTTTCAAAAACGCGGCTCATGCTTATCGCACATGGATAAAAGGCAAACCCCCCTTGGTAATGACGCTCGGAGAATTTTTCAAGTCCTAGCGCACTCCTCTTCGGGAAGGTCAATAAGACACAGTAGCATAGTCCGTAGAACATGCTGTCACTCTATATTTCAAACGGAGTACACCGAACAAGGCCGATGAGAGAGATCAGACAAAAAAAAAAAAAAAAAAAAAAACATGAGATCATAAACAACATGCAGGAGAAAAGGCAAAACCCAAGAAACCCAAGAAACCCCCGATCGACGAGGCCGATCTGCAGACAGCTGTCAACGCAGACCACCGAACCACGGAACGGACCCCAAACCACCACGGAACCAGGCATTTAAGCATAAAAGTAGTAGCGTCCACCTAAGAGCTCTCATCCGTGGATTTCACATATTGTGCCGCTGTCAAATAAACGCTGATCCGATCTTCAAATTGCTTGATTCCCTAAATCGTTCCCCCAAAAAATTTCCCGTGCGTTCTCCATTCGCTTTGCCGTTCCCCTTAAGGAGTACTTTGTACGGAGTATGTACCCCGATCCCCTTTTTTAGCTTTCTTCTGTGTTGTACCATACTGTAACCAGTAAGAAGAACGAACCTCCGACACTAACCAGTTTTTGATTCGGGGTTGTGGGTTCTCAGTGCGTTGTACTTTGGAGGGATTCTCTGAAATTTCGCTTCCTTTTGGGCGGACACTTTATTTTCCCTTTTTTTCGTCTTTCGCTTTAATTTTCTTTTCTTCTCCCTTTCGCTTCCCCTACTCACCAAAGGGCGTTATGATCCCTCACACCATAATTCACGACTTCAACATGACCCTCTGGGATGGGGTTCTCCGCCTTGAGTCTTGGAATATTGACAAATTCTGCCCTGGCGTCGGAGCCGGTTCCCGGAAGTCAAAAGAAAGTGACAGGTCGTGGCCAGCGCTTGGGCTTGTCGCATAATGATGTGCAGTTGAGGCACCGTGATTTTTTTTTCGGGCCTATCATCTGCATTCCCAGGAACTATCGTCCGGACCATGCATGCACCGAGTCAGGGCCATTGTTGAGACCCGAACCAGCAAACAAATGCCCGAACCCGTGGGTTTGTTGTGGTTTTCCGTTTCCCCCTCACTACCCTGTCCTGATTGGGCCTCGGCTGTTTATTAATTTTTTCTTGGTCCTTGAGACAGACCTTTTATCGTCAAGCGCCAGATCGTCACGCCAGATTTTGGCGAGATTGTCTGCTGGGTCCACCACTCACTTGGCCTCTTGCAGTTGCCTCACCGTGGGCTAGAGTCTTGGTCGGCTATACGCCGCTCTGTGTACACAAAATTGATTCACCCTTGCATATGATCGTCGCTGCTATCATGATGCTCGATGTGGAGATGTATCGATCTGATTGCACTGTGACAGCGCTTGTCATGAATCGTACCTGCAGTCCTCTGTCACACCGGCGATAAAGATCCTGTCGCCACACTCCAGACTGCATTCGGAGATGAGTACTTGTACAAGAGAGTGGTGAGCTGGATAAACCACGCGCTTGTATAAGGTGGGCAAGTTCGGCACAAATTCGGAATTCACATGCGCACAAAGCAGTCTGCTCCACCGAGCCAAAAAGGAAAAAGAAACTGCACTCACAAGTACTTTCTCAGCCGCAGAGGGCTGAATTGTGGCGCAACGTAGTCCACCCTAGAACTTCCGATCTTGAATTATGACGGACGATCTGCGCCATGCAGCACAAGCCCCACCCCCAAGACCTCTATTGATTTGATTGCTTTTTCTGTGGATGCCCGATAACAAATCGAGTGTTTGGCCTAGTTGCATCGCTCAGACTCCACAGCCTGCGAGATTTCCGAGTGCACAAGCCAACCAGCATGACAAGGCCAACAGACAGTAGCTTGATTGGGAGATCGACCTGCATGACCGCTCGAATGATGTGATACGTCATTCATAAGATGGCCCTGCAGTGGTGTGTTGTTCGTTTAAAACCCGTTGCTTGTCCACGTTTCGACGCGCGCCCTTTTTCCAGCATCCTCAACTCGACTCCATCACACCATGAACCGGCATGTATCTTGTGTCGTTCTGGCTTGAGGTGCTCGTTTCGCGCTTTCGGGCTTCGCAACGCGCGAGCATCTTCGCTGCGGATTTTCTTCGGTGTCTTTGAGAAGCGCAATTGACCGCTTGAGGCCCGCCTGAGACGCGTGCGCTGCTCCCAGGGGTGTGGACGTTGAATCTCACTGTGTCGTGTTCTCTCCCAATCAACCGCCGTCATCATCATCACACACAAAGCACAGACATAGCGACAAGAATCATCGGGAAACCAAGGAGTCAAAACATTGCAAAGGTGTGTTGTCCCCCTTTTTGCGCTAGGGCAAGGACATTCTTTGGTTCGGGATGACATAAGACACCTTCCGGACCATGGTTGAGGGGCGGCAGTTATAACCGCCAGCGTTTGCCTCACGCGAGTGTCGAAGTTCTCAAGACCTCGAGACTGGTATATTTCGATCATCGCTGATATCCTTTATGAACAGGCTGAGAGTGTGGAGACCCCGGACAGCTCGGGATAGGCGATGCGGCTTTTTGGATCGTGCATATCCGAATCCACTTTTGACTGGAATGCTTAGACGCCGGACCAGGGCCCGAGTCCACCTGGCGTTTAGACCAGCACTTTTGCGGCAGCGAGAGGGAAAAAAACCGGGTCTGATCACCTGCATAGCCGGCGCCATCCAACTTTGAGGACGAAGAAACAAAGAAAAGCAGGGTGAAAGTCCCAGGCAAGCGCATCATCCGGATCGCCATTCGCCCCTCAACCGTGGGCAGCTGAACCCTGTCCACTTTTTCCCACTTCCGCTTTTTTTTTCTTTTTCTTTTTTTCTTTTTTTTCTTTTTTCTCCCCTTCAACGGTCAAGAGTCACACTTGTCCTTATGATCCACCGTTGCCCACGGATCAAAAGAACATTACCACCGTGGTATATCCCCAAAAGAGTTACTCTTTTTTTTGGGACCCAAGAAAAGAAGTGTCTTTTTTATTTTATTTTAATAATTTATTAAAATCCATTTGGATTCATTAGGTTAGTCATTTTTTTTTGTGCGGTCAACTCTGCAATCTGATTTGTTGTTGACAGACAGATTTGAAAGGCTGTGATCCAATTGATTCCCGACAATTTTTCTCTTTGGAAAATTGATGAAAATTCATTCAAAGAGGGCATAGTCGGGCACAGAAAAACACCCCCCCAAGCCGAAAAAGCAGCCCCAAAAGCCGTCGGGAGATCAGAAACAGCTTAAGGTTTTGTCTGGAACCGCACTCGGTTGGCTCTTGCCGCTTGCAAACTGACGACACCACTCCGTTTTCGTCTCTTCTCGACTCGACTCTCTCTCTCTCTACTCTACACTCTCTAACACCCAACTCATCTTGCAACTCACTGTCTTTCCTTCTTGTCCATGGTTGAGTCTGTTCCGGAAAAAAATCCATTACCCCACTACAGCTCCCCTCAGACGACATCGTGACTCGTCCAGGGTATCCTGTCCTTATCTTCTGGTACAGAGCACTTTCTTCCGGTCCAACAGACCCGTTCCTTCCCTTCTTCTCTACTCTGTAAAACCACAGATCACCTCGACTTGGTCTCTGTCTGTCCGAGGATTCTACCCGCTGGTACGCCCTTGCAACTTGCAACTTGGATCTGGGTTCTCTCCACCTCTTCCGTTTCTTTGAAAGTGTGACTTCTCGTCTTGATGAGTGTATCGACATTCTCCGACGCCTCTCTCACGCGCGAAGCTCAGAGGTGAGTTCTTTCTCCCTCTGCTTCGAGCTCGCAACTCTTACGCCGTAAACTCAGGGCCCACTGACAATGTTGAACAATCCCAGTTCTGACTTTGACCTGACCATTCGCCAGCAGCCCAATCGGGCCCGCGTGGCGGGGGGCAAGGAAAAAGGTACGTAGCTTCATCGGGCCTTCGCAGAGCCTCGTGGTCCAGCTAGGAGCTGTCTCTAACCAGCTGCAGAGCGCAAGCCGATCGATCCGCCTCCGATCGTCCAGCTCAAGGTGCGAGAGGAAGGGACCTACCTCGCACAGTAAGTGGGATTTCCGCACGTGGCGCAGCTCTCCCCTTGCTAATCTGCGCAGACACTACCTGCAAAGCCCGTACTATTTCCTATGCTGCAGTCTCTACGACCCAACTGAGGATCGTCCTGTGCCCGTCGCGCCGTCGACCGCATTAGCGGGAACACTGGTCTCGTCCCTTCACCGGCTGAAGGATACGGACAACAGCGGTGAGTCCGGGCTCTACAACCGACGGGATTTGTTTACTGACGCCTTTCTGTAGATGGAGGCTTTTTCGTCTTTGGAGATCTCTCAGTGAAGCTCGAGGGCGAGTTTCGGCTCAAGTTCACGCTGTTTGAGATGCGCAAGTAAGTCGCGCGCAACCGAAAGGCCTCACTTCACGTTTGCAAGAGCTAACGGTGTGTCAGAGACAATGTGTCCTACTTGAAGACCATAATTTCAGAACGATTTACAGGTAGGACCTGCCAAGGAAGCGTCTGAGAGAGTTGGTTCTGACAAGCTGGCAGTTTCCCCTCCTAAGAGCTTCCCCGGAATGATGGAGTCAACTTTCCTTTCACGGTCATTTGCAGACCAGGGTGTCAAATTGCGCATTCGCAAGGAACCTCGGACCATGATGTAGGTGCTAGAGGAATCGAGAGACGGAGGCCACCTGCTGACAGCCGCGTAGGAAGCGCTCGGCCCCACGACCGGAGGATTTCCCTCCAGCAGTTCCTGCTCGGTCACCGGAGCGTCAAATCGTCCAGATTCCCCCCGCGACTGGCTACGGAGGCTATCCGCCGACCACACGAGATTACTCGTACTATGGCCCGCCGCCCGTTAAGCGCCACCGTACTTCAGTTGACTTCGGTAGGCAGCAAAGTCTATACGATACGGATAGTCGACTGTCATATAACCAGCCCACAACTGCAATGTATGCTGGGCAGCCAGGAGCGTATCAACCGCCCATGCACCCCTACACGACAGGGCAGGTGATACCTGACTACTCGGTTTGTATACCCCAACCCCACGCATCGGTGTCTTGGATTCAAAGCTAACCTAGAGTAGATGTACTCGGGAATCCCTCAACCTGGTATTCCACAAAGCGCCGGTTTGTCCCAGATGCCTGATCCCTCCGGTCAAAGCCGATCTAGCCAGCAAGCCGCCGTGGGACAATTGATGGCTATGAACAACCAACCTGGCACACCTGTACGACACCCCTCTGCGAACCAGTGAGAGGTAGAAGCTAAGGACCTTGGACCCGAAACAGACCCCAGATTCGACTGGAGCGATGATGGCTCAAGGATACAATAGGTCCGGACAGCCCGCACAGCCCGCTAGCTCTACGACCCTCCCCCCGTTGCAACGGAATCGTGACTACCAAAACGGACGGGGTTATTTCGACCAAACCCAGACAAACACTCCAATCCTTCCCTCTCAAATGGTCAAAGAAGAAGATCGCTTTGGCTCTGTGGCTGGCCCAACAGCCTATGATCATCCTGGTTTCGCCAATGGAACTCCCCAATAATTTGCTTGTATTATCGTTATGTTGTTTTTGTCTGGATAGACTGGATGGAGTGATTGTTTCTCTGATGCTTCATGTTTTTATGGGTGGCTAAAGTCTTGCTCTGTTTATCTTCTTGTTTTTTTGTTACAGGCGCTGGCGGACATAAAAGGGTTCTTTGGGGAGAAAAGTGAAGACTATTCTTTAGCCCTTCTTGTACATACTGGCCCTTTCTCAAGTTGCTTTGCAGCTTGTTTCTTTCTTTCTCTTATTAATTGACGAAGTATGAGGAGGAAATGCAATGCTCGATATCCTTTTAATCTTTCTTCAGTATGTGCAGTATTTGCTTTCTTCCCATACTAAAAGATATCCAAAGACAATCCAAACGACTAACAAAAAGACTTGATTAAGTTGTATACAAGCATAAGTAGCTGACTACATGAGGTCTAAATGACCTTGCACCTGCTCATCCCTAAAGATGCTTAGGTGGGAAGTTCCTGGCGCCGGACTTGCCCAGGCTTGATGGTACACATCCTTCCTTTTTGGTCACATCTCTTTTGCTTTCATCTCCCATCTTCCCCCTTTTCATCTCCACTTCATTGCTTGCACTTCTTCTTGTTCGCCTCTCTCATCAAGCCATGGATCCACCGATCTCCTCGACCGAGGACATCTTCAGCAATCTCGATATCTTCTGTGAATGGAACGGCAACCCGGAAGAACCCGTGGGTGTGACCATCAATATTGACGTAAGAAAATGAGAGACCCAGGGATTATCTTTCTCATTGAGTATCAAACTGACCATAGTCACAGGCGTGGGGGCTCCCAAACCTCAATTTGCCGATTCTCAACGTCCACTATGCCAGCGTCGTCAAGGGTCCATCACGATTCGTCTACCTGAAGACAGACCGACCACCAAATATCACTGATACTTTCCCGCCTCCTGCAGCGCGTTCTGTGAGGAATGGTACGACAAATCATTCTCGCCATGCTTCGGAGATTGAAAGCGTGATCCACAATCTTGAACCAAAGAGTGTGGAAAGCCCTACTCCCCAAAATAGAATACCTACCACAGATACCCTCGGTCCTGCCGTCACTGGTTTGCAGATACTACCCGAAGTCGACTCGGACGGCGCGACTTCGCCGAGATCTCGCAAGAGATCTGCCAAGGCTGCTTCTCTGCCTGACTCAATTCCACCCGATGAGGATCTTGCTGGGAGCCGACACAAACTGTTGATGACAGAGACGGATTCCGAGGTATACCCACTCTGGGACTCGCCGCATGTTGCGCAAAGTCCTTGCTCCATTCCTCTTCCTGTCTCGGATGGGACTGGTGAAAGCTCACCCGAGAAGCCTGAATCAGTTCAACTGTTTGCCCAGACGCTTGGAGTCAAATCCAAGGGCTTGATTCCTGAAGGTCAGAGTGGGGCATCTGACAGCCTCCCTGACTATGAAACTCCCGTCATCAGCCCAGACACATCCCCCAGCAAAACGAGAGGGGATGACCATGGAATCATAGGTGTTGACTGTCTTACCCAAGAGAATCTGGTCGTTCTAGACAACCAATCCGAATCTTTGCGCGTATGTGACGGAAGTCTCGCTGATGCCGAAGGCAGTGACAATTCAGCAGAAATACCACCGCTGTCTTATGAAGCCAACAGGAGCTCCTACGATTTTATGGCGAATCATGTGCCCCAGTCGATGCCAAACTCTCAGTCCTCCGAGAAAGGTGATAAGCATGATGAACCCAATCTTGCTTTAGAAGAGGATATTATGTACTTCCGAACTCCTCCTGGAATTCTGCCTAGGATATATCAAATCGGTATCACGCTCGAGGTGATCTTGAGGAAGGGGAAGTCGACAGATTGGTGGGAGTTAGATTTGAGAGGCCTGCCTATGCTCGGCAATTCGGAGTCTGGATACCTCTACTTCCGCACCAACCCCGGCCAGGGCATGGAATTCGGTACTCAAACATTCAAGCGAACCACCGTGGTGGAAAATTGCTTGATGGCGCAGTTCGTGCCGGGAAAGAACCTTGTGATTCCACTGCGAAACTGCAACGCCGAACACTACGGGTTCATCAATGACTACAAGATCAACTCTGTGATCCATTCCGAGATCTTCCATAACACATCAGGCTATACCATTGAATACACTGCCATTTGCTCTGTCGATCTCATCAACCACAGGTTCTGGAGCGAGCAGTGCAGTTTCCGCATGTTCGTGCACGGTGGCCATGATGGCAAATACAGTGGTCGTCTCGACGCCGAACACAGAAACGCCGAAAGAGAAAGCTGGTCAGCCAAGCCTTGCCTCTATCACCTGTGGCTGGATCCACTTCCAGGTGCGGAAATCGGCGTCTCACGCGTCGAATTGACTTGTCCACCCGCTTCACTGGATATGTTCGCTGTGCAGTGGGAAGTCAGTGTTCCCAGAGGGAAGGTTATGACCATGCCTCGGATCAAAAACACATATGAAAATGAAGCTGAGACCAAGCTTCGAAACATATTTGACTTTGTTGACCGTGAACGGTATGTTCTCGCAGAACCTTGGGTGCCTGGTCCGAATCGAACTTTTTGGGACATGGCATCGTTGAAGAGACCCTCGTCATCTGCCCACACAAATATAGCTGTTCGGCGAAACGATGTGAATGGCTCAACTGCGAAGGATCTCGCTGTTAAACCAGCTGTCGTCACGAGTATCTCTGTCACCGAACCAGAGGGGCCAGAGAACCGAGAGGAGCTAGAGGAGCCAGAGAAGCCAGCTGAGCCCGAGAACCAAGAGGGGCCAGAGAGATCAGAGAGACCGAAGAAGTTACACACCACTTTGCATTATTTGTGGCGGATGATGAAACTTCTGACATACGCATGCTGGCTCTTTTCAACCTTGTACCAGGCTTATTTAACCTACCTCTCTCTCCACAATGATTACACGACGTACGACTCGGTGAGCCTGGCCCATAGCGGTGGGTCTATCCCTGAGATTCAGAATTCCGCTCAAGCAGATGCGGAGAGTGGTGACATTCCAAGTCTTCTTGACAATGGCTCAGAGCAAGAAGAAGTTTTGCCCATGATCGCCGAGCCAGAGCCGGAGCCGGAGCCAGAGCCAGAGCCAGAGCCGGAGTCAGAGCCCATGCACGTTGGAAAGCCACACACTGGCATCCCCAGTAGCGAGGAAATGTCGCTGAGAGATCGAATTGATTACTTCCTGGGGTGGAAGGGTCCCATCGCCGAAGAGTGAGGCCATATAGGCGCGAAGAACCAGGCATCTTTACCAAGAACGTCAAGACTACCGAGGGAGGGAAAACGCAATGGAGAAGAATGATGGGCGCTGCAGATGCAGTCAGTTATTTTACCATATTAATATCAAACTAGCAACGGCGGAATGAAATATTGTCCTGCATTGATCATCCAAGCTCATGAGTTTCGAGAGGCTCAGTTGAGATACTTGCATCTCTTGGGTATAGGCTATGCGGAGTCCTCTATGTCTATGGCTAGGTATACAAACAAAGCTTAGCCAGGAAAAGTTTCAATTGAATCAATGATTATCCTATACAACTGGTCGTACCTTTGAGAATGCCACTCTGTAGGTTCCAGCTCCCAGGTCAACTATTTCCGGTCCTCAAGATAAAACCCAAGTACCAAGTCAACCGCCCACCTCAGGACAACATCCATCCCCGCGCTCCCAGCCCCAGGCGCAACCTGCACCCCGACATCCGTCCGAACCCTCGTCCCATCCCCAATCCTCCTCACCAGATCCGCATCATTCTCAGCCTCGACAGTGTCTCGACCCCCCTCATCCGCAATCAACAACCAAGAATGATCCCGCACATAGCGCGGCCAAACAACATCATCCACATACCCAGGAGGATCAACCCAGAAATTCTGCGGCGGTCTATCATCCTCAGCCTCCATATCAATCTCCCCAACCTCTTCCTTTCCTCCTTCAACCTCAACCCCCTGATCAACAGGCGCCGGCGCAGACCCCACAGTCACATACCCGCTCCTCCCCTCCCTCCTCTCCTTAACAAGCCTATAAGCCGCAGGCAAGAAAACATGAAGCTGAATAGCATCATGAACCTCACGAAGAACATGATCCCCCCGCGGCGGCGCAAAGAGTAAAAACCCTTCCAAGAACGCAATACTGCGATCACCGGAAACCCGACTCTGGACGAGATCCCTTAGTTCCTGAACTGTTGATTCTGGGATTCCGGAGTCAGATTGATCATTTTGGTCTTCTTTGCTGCGTAGGCGAGGCGGGAGAGTCCCGTTCTTGCGTACGTATCGTAGGGCTTGAGAGAGGAAGGGGAGGTCGATTGCTGCGGCGGTGTCCCAGTCTTGGATTCTTTCGCCTGAGGCTGTGGTTGTGTAGGGTATTCTGGGGAGATTAGTGGGTGTGTTAACATGAAGAGGGGGTCAGAGTTTACTTGTCGTCGGGGAAGTAGAAGTCGTCTTCGTGGATGATGAAGGTGTTCAAGTGTGAGTGTGGGGTCTTTGCGCCGTTGAAGATGCGCTGCAGGAGGCGTGCGAGGGTTGTTTTGCCACTGCTTGAGGGTCCGGATATACCGATTATTACGGCTTTGTCTGCCATTTCGTCCTGTTTGCTTTGATGGGCAATTGAAGACCTCGAGAACATCTTTGATGAGGGGTTGCTCTTATCGCTTGTTCCTGGCTCTTATCGGGACTATCGGGCTTATCGGAGTTATGGATGCCGTGACGGCTTGCTTGTATTATGTCATAGGGTATTTGTACATTTGTGCAGTATTATTGGTGACTTAAACATCACCTGGGCAGTCGCTAAGGTCCAAAGATGGAAACTCGCTTTTCCCTACCACCGTCGATGGTCGGGGACGGGGACGAGCGACCGTCCGTGATCTGCACATCTTCAGCAAACCCAACCCGAGGTCGAACAGGTATAAAGGCTGGAGAAGCAGTGGCCATAGGTGCAGACTGAATTGAATCCGAAGATTCATCTATCACGATCGGCGCATTCTCTGCAAATCCAACGCGAGGACGCTTAGGCACAGGCTCCCCTCCAGAGCCAGAAGCGGGATCCAATTGTGCACCGGCCAAGGCATTCTGTGACCCACGCTTCCTGGGACTGGGACGTCCAACTTCTTCGTCATCGGGAATGGGTAGTTTGTGTCGATCAAAGAACCCTGTCGGGAGTTCTAGACGCGCCATACCGGAGGCAGCCTCGTCGTCCATAGGAAGGAAAGACTCTTTCTGGATAATGTCGCTCATGGTATTGTCCTCCAGCGGACCCTTCTCCGCGAGCTGAAGTTCCGCCTCGGACATCTCCTTGCGTCGACTGAGCATGCGATGCTCCAGAGTATTTTCCAAAACGAGCGTCTCTACATAGACAGGTCTTGTTTGGCCGATCCGGTGGGCTCGCTTGATGGCTTGGCTCTCGATATTCGGTTTCCAAATTGGACTAATGATGAACACGCGCGATGCCTGCGCGATATGAAGACCATGCGAGGCCTGGCCAAGATCCATCAGCAGTACACGCACTTCTTCTGACTCGCGGAAGATCTTGAGGTAATTAGTTCGGAGCTGTGGTTTTAACGTATTGGCGTAGATGCGGAACTCCACATTGATGAGTTCCAATCCTTGCGCGGTCCAGTATGCGGTATTGCTATCTTCATAGAAGATGATGACCTTTTCGGACTTGTGAAATTCGAGCACTCTATCCAGCAAATATCGCAGCTTGGCTGATGCTATACCGACCAGTCGAGTTTGCTTGAGCGGAGAGTTCTCCGAAAGTGAGCGGAAAAGGTTCTTTTCGAATGTCTTCTTGGGTGCTTTGTTGCTTGGCGGCTTGGCCGTCTGAGCAAGCTGTCTTTGGGCCATCGGCGTGTTTGTTGGGTCGGTGGCACCCCTGGGCGGAGCACCGTCGTGGTGTGTCAGCTCACCACGAGCTTTTATGCCGGCGCCCGAAAGACCTTCTGCAGGATCGGGTGAGCGGAGATGCTCCGTTACAAACTCCTGGGCCTTGCATGCCTGGGAGATTCCCATCAGCAATGGATTATCATATGAGCCGCTTGTGACTGCCCAGGAGCCACGATAATCCTCAGGGAAATTTTCCACAAAGACACCGAGCTCATGTAAGCTATTGAATCCTCGCCAGCTGGGGGACTCAATTGCTTTCGTTGCGATGCCGATCCCATTGATCAACAGCTCTCTATCTGATGGGGCCATTTTGTCTTGGTTGGTTTCCAGATATCTTCGGGCGAGGTCGATAGAGTCTGACGCTTGTGTAGAGCCCGCCCACCAAAAGCCGGCCTGACGTATATTGTCGATGACTTGATTCAAGTGCTTCCTGTTCTTGGTGTCAAACATGTAATCCGGGCCAACGCGCTCGGATGTAATAGCATTAACAGCAAGGGAGAAAAGGAACATGTTTATGGACAGTTTGTCGTAGAACGTGGGTTTCAGAAGAGTCACCTTGTTGTATAATTTTGGGAGAGGCTTTTCCTGGTCCACCACATCTTTCCGATGTCTGACGACTAGACTTTGGAGCGTCGGCCTGAGGGAAGGAGCTTTTCGGCGCTTTCCATCTGCTCCGATCGGCTTCATGTAGTTTGTCCAATTGGCAGAATCGCCGGGGCTGGAACTCGACCAAGGCCTTAGGTCAAGGAAATGGATTACCATTTCACGCAGGTGATCAAGGGCTTTCATTTCATTGTCAACGGCATTGCCCGTCCGCTTCCGCTTATTCAGGATAGCCTGTGTAGCTTCCCCGGGTGACTCAGTGCCGCTGGTATCTGCTTCTTGGGAGGCAAGGCTGACCTCGACTCCATACAGCCCAGGAGAAGGGGTTCCCGAGATGACCCACCGACGTTCAAAGTGTAAACGTTTCAACATATCCGTCAGTCTTGTTTTCTGGCCTGCAACGTTATGTCCCTCGTCCACAATGACTCTGAGCCAGTGAAGACTCAGGAGTGGTGAGTCTTCTTGCGCAGGCTTCCCCCGTTTTGCCTGAACGTGTTTCTTTTCTGGTACTTCTTGCTCAAATCGATTTCTGGAGAACAGCAAGAGGTCAATATCGATAAGCTCATTCACTGTTGGTGTTTTGTCTGAGCTTTTTCGCAGTGCCACGACTTTGAGGCCGCTAGTATGAGTTGCGATTTCGCTTTCCCAATGATCGACCATGTTTGGCGGCACAATGACGATCGTTCCAGAGCAAAGCCGGATCTCCTGAGCGGGGTCTCTGGTATATGTCGATGTGCTATTGCGAGGTGGGTTCTTGGTGATATCTGGCGGTATGGTATACGAGCCCGAGTCCTCCGTGCATGCCTTGACACAGTTATCGTGGAACTCTCCTTCCCGGCTAAGGCTTTCGAAGAAGAGCTTCCAGGGTACAGAGAAACGACCAGCAGTTGCAGCGGCCATCTGCATGAGAGATCCAGTATGCTTTCTGATGGGATTTTGAAGCGTCTGGTACTCTATGGGAATGCTGGGGAAGTGCCCACGTGTGGCCAAAATGACAGCAAGACAAATCAGGGTCTTGCCGCAACCCATGCTTTCTGCTAGGATGCCTGATATTCAAGTCAGCAAGCTTACTCAATAAGGTGTAAAGCTGAAAGGCACACTCACCTCCACAAGCTTCAGAGTACAATCTCTTCCCTTTGAGAAGCGTCCCATCAACCTTGTCATAGTAAAATGTCTTTCCAGTCGGGCCCTGCAAGGCTTGTAGCCTAGGATCTAGTGTCATCGCCGGTTGAGCCTCCCTTTGAACCATCGTAGCGGCCGATCTCCGTTGGTACGGATAGAGCGCCGTGTTGAGGCCATGAACCGGGTTATCCGATTCGTCGAGCAGGATCTCCATTGCATGTCTGGAGTGAAAACTTTTCATCCTACTCGGATCAGGATTAGGGTCCTGCAGAGTATTGAAAATGTACCAAAGAGATTCGTCATCTTCTTCAAGGTTCAATTGCAGACTGCCCAGTTGAGTGGGGCGAGCATCGGACAAGCCATTCCATGCATCAGATGAGGTATCAATCTTTGACATGAGAGCTTTAATCTTGGATTTGGGTCTGGATTTTATTTGGATTGACGCTGCGTGGACATCACTTGGTAGAACAAAAACTTGGATGTTATCACTGTAGTCGAGAGGGTTTGTAAGAATCCAGCGACTTTTTTCCAGCACAGCAATATCAGCTGCAGGATAGTAGCTGTCAGACATCGGAGACTTGCTCAAAGACCCCACTGGGATGCAAGGGCCTCTGTATTTCCCTGTTTGAGGAACCGGCGTGAACGGATCCTCGGATTCCACTTTGTACACGTTGGATGTGACATGGGACAGGTCGACTTCTGGTCGTGGAAGACCTGAGGGCGGATGATCCAGCACAATTGGTGCATTGTTTGGGTACGTGTTGTAGACATCTGGAAATGCCATGGCTCCAGGGCTAAGTTGCGAAACTACAGAATCCGGGATATGGGCAGAACCAGTGACCGCCTTATGTGTGGTCCGAGCGCCTGAAGCATTATTCATCGGATCTTTCCATGGATGTTGAGGGTACTAGGTTTGGTCATAGTTGCGCTTTGGTGATCTTGACTCAAGTCCCGCAATTGAGATATTGTAGGTTATTGGAAGCTCTGCACTCAGAATCGAATATGGTGCGTGGAGTCACTGGAGCCCCACTCGATTTGAGTAGGGTGGGCCTTGCCGACGTAAAGCCACACAGTACGTTGGAAGTTGAGCAACGAAAGAAGGGGGAGAAAATAGAAGCACCGATTGCATTATGGAATATGAAAATTAATGCCATGTACATGGTGTGAGGATTCTTGCATCTAGACTTTAGAAACTATCATGGATGGGCAAACACTTGGTGTACAACCAATTTTCGAGATCAAAGTAAATATATCTCCAGCGGAGCCGCATCCATGGACTCACGAACCTCGGGATTATTTATAGACAAACCCCCAGGGCTATGTAAGAACCTTGGAAGATCTATAAGTAAAAAAAATGTAGATATCGAACTTGAAAATTCAAACGGGAATGAGTCTAGAGCAACAATCTATCAACACCTTCAATGCATTACATTCTATTCCATAATCTTTACTGCGTCAAGAAATCCTCAATCTCAAAGCCCATCCTCTTAAGCGCCTTCTCCTCCAAATCCTTTCCGGCACACTTCCGCAACACAACAGTCCGAGCATCCTGCAAGCGAACCTCCACCGCCCCCATCCTCTCCACTTCCTCCTTCCCACACTCCCTCACATAAACCGTAATATCAGGACCCACACACGCCCGCCACAACGAAGCCATCCACTGCCAATGATCCAGCGGCGCATACGAATCTGCAATAGGCGTCGAGCAAGCAAATGCATCCGCAGTGCTCAGCTGGTACCGCGGAACCAACGCAACAGGAACAGCATAGTGCGAAGACACCGAGCCGGCGCTGACCTCCGAGCACTCGGAGGACTGAGCTGGCGAGTGAATGGTCATAGAAGCAGTTTTGGGAACGAGGGATGTGCGCGGTGAGATGTTGGTTGGGTCATCTTCTGAGTGGGAATGATCGATTGAGCCGGCGCGGGAGATGGTTTTCACGAAACTGGTTATGTCGTCGGAGATGCGGTGCCAGTGGGAGATTGTTGTGAGGTAGTCGACTGTCGAGTCGCCCATTTGGCCTTCTTTGCGTTGCTTGATTTCGGGTCCTTCGAAGGTGCGGACGTGATATTTTGATTCTTTCTTTAGGAGGCTGTCGAGGTAGGTGATTGTTGTTTGGACGAGGGCTGGGTCTTGGCCGTCGATGGCGATCACGGGGCCACGGGCTGGTGGGCTGTCACGGAAGGATGGGAGGAGAGGGGGTGAGATTTTGGCGAGGACTTTGATTTTGTTCAGGAAGGGAATTGTCATTACTGTTGCCTCCACGCTTGTGTTGAGGGTGTCTTGAGGGGTTGCGGGGGTCATGGGAGCTGTTTGAAGGGGGGAAGCTTTAGACTTGGGTCCGGGCTTGGATGAGTGAAGGGACGCTGGGGTTGAATCATTGGGAGATGACGGGATGGCATGTCGGTGGGGCGAGCACTCCAGGGGGTCAATGGATGTGGTGTATTTGGGATCGCACTGTTTGGAGAGCGCTCTCTATAGGATGGGTGGAGAGTGGGTTTGAATGACCCTTGAGAAACTCGGCGTCGCTTTTTATCTGGAGAGCGACCGCCAGGTTCGTCCCAGTGTCGCTGGCGAGGCCGTGAGTCATGCTGGTCGACCTTTCCTGACTTAGAAATGTCGTTTTCGCGGCCTTGGATGCTTCTTGGCATGTTGTTTGGGTGTGGTGAAGCTAACGAGAATCCAGATGAGGATCGATATCCCGGGCCAGTGCTCGGTGTGAATGGGGTCATGGGAGAAGCCGGTGCGTTCATCAACCGACCGCCACATCGGTTGCAAGTTGACGAGCCAGATGGATTGTGGCCGATTCCCCCGACTGCACTGCGTGCACTGCCATCCCGACCATACCGTCGAGGCTGATATCTATAGTCTGGATATTGCTGCTGGTGGCGAGCTTTTTCCTCCTGTGAGAGATGTCAGCAATGCTTATTTTGATGAAAAGAAATGACCAAAGCCTACCTCTGCCAGCGCCTTCCATTTACTTTTGTCATCTTCTGAAAGAGATCTCCACTGCTCTCCAATGATTTTGGAGATTTCAGGATTTGCCAGACCCGGGTTATGAGCCACGACCAATGCCTGATAATGCTGGCGATACAAGATAAAAGCTAGGAGCACAGTTTAGTACATGATTCACGGTGTTTTTCGAAAGATCAGAGCTGGTCATGCCAACCAAGAGAAAAGAAGCAATCGAAAAAAAGAATGCACTTGCCCAGCTCTGATGACGACGCGGACGGTATCAACTCACCATTACGAGGTCTGGGAATCTTTGGATCCGGCTGACACAGACAGAACTGCAGTGCACAGTCCTTGGTCTTGACAGGACTGATACTGCTGGCGGAGGAAGAAGATGAACGATCGGAGCGTTCACGCAAGGGAAGCTCCTTGGTGGTCAGCATAGGCCCCATCGGCTTGGAGGCCCTCTCCGGAGCAGTCATCCTGTGAAGGCGAGCGTCGTAGTCATGTACGGAAACCGGCTTGAGGTCATTCATGATCTTGTGGTCGAGATTGCTTCTAGGCGGGACTTGAGCAGTCTCATAGCGAAGAGCAACGGGCTGAGGAAGCACTCGATCGTAAGACATTTAAATAAGGGGAGTTGAAAGAGCTCGAAGGCGAACTTCTCTCAAAGCAGACGAAACCAAAGTATAATGACGGGGAGGCCGAAGTGATAAAGAAAAAGTGAGGGGGAGGACAAAGAAGGGAACCAAATGGGAAAAAGATGATAATCCCAATAAGAGGATAAATGGAGGGAATGAATTAAATGGATCCACGGCGACTAGGGACCGGGGTCATCGACAAAGAGCAGTATAGCGTTTGGAGGCAGAAGCCCTAAAAAAGCGCGGATTTCTTTGTCTGAGAGGGTCGGGATCCCTGTCTAGCGGCAAGTCTTTGACAATAGCTCTAGATTGTCATTCTGACCGAGCCAACCGAGAAAAAAGGAAGTGAATTTTCTCCATGCTCTTCTACTGCAGTATATGCCTGCTTTAGTGTTTTGTGAGATCTTTATTATGTAGAGAGTATGGAGTATGGAGTACAGAGAGTACAACGACACGGTTGCCTTCAACCAAGGATCCAAGGTGTCAATTTCCACCACTATAGTATTCCATGATCTCATATCCCGAATACAAAGGTGACCTAGTCAGGGAGGAAAATAGGAAAAATTGGAAAATCACCGAAATAAGAAATAAAAATCCTGACACAAAAGGGCTCCAAAAAACGGAGCCAAGAGGCTAGGGCCATTGTTTTCTTTGTCTCCGGATGCGGTGACCCGCTTGGATCGGGCACTCTCCACTGTGCTGATCCGCCATTGGATCGGCCTCTGCATCGGTTCCCCGTTAAATTGAGGCAAACAAATCTGGTCTTTGGGGGCTATTACTTTGTCTTCGATATCTCGTTTTTTTCGGGTCTTTCTGATTTGGTCTTCTTTCCCGATTTTGCTTAGGGTTATTTCCTGATTTTCTAATATTCTAGCTCCTTTAGCATCTTCCATTATCTTTCCAAGGGTTTCTATTTATGATTGTGATTGTGACAGGCGAATGCTACTTGGGTCTCGGGTAGGCGCACGTTCCAGGGCAGTACTACCGTGTCCTTTTTCCTTTCTTTTTTTTTTTTGAGATCTGTCAAGTCACCGCGGAAGACTCCACTCTACTCTTTTTTTTCCCTTTCTTTTTCCTTTTTTCTTTTCCCCCTTCTCTCTGGAACATGGCCATTGCTGACCCGCATCAAGGTTAGTTGGAGATAGCGCGTTTGACTTCTCGGGTACCAACTGCTCCAACTGCATCCCTTGCGAGACGTCATATTTGTCATGGCCGATAAAGGGCTCGATCGATTTATATTAAAGACAATGTCTAACTTTCAAACCGGCTGTGGCGTCTCTGTTATACTTGTACTCGTACTAACATTGAATAAGATCCCTTCGATCCCGTGATAGATCTCCGTAGCCATGAGGTGATGAGCTGCCGGCCCCAGATGCATCTCGTTCCTGGTCCGGTTAGTACAGATATGCATCGTGGACTGTCGATCACTTACCAGAACAGATACTTCTCTGGCTGCTCACACTGTTTCCTCTCTTTTGACATCATGACCCGAAGCCCACTCTCAACACAGGGCTCCACGACATTCACCCATCCGTCCAAATTCTTCCCAAGCCCATTCTCTTCTTCAATGCCCGCCGCGTAGAGTTGGTAGTCGCGAATGCGATCCATTATGAATGTGTTCGTGTCGAATATATATATAGTCCCCTGTGTCCACTCCTTCGCCGCCTCCCGTAGTTGCTGGTTCCAGTGCTCTAGCATTCGCACCGTGTCCTTGGTCTGATCTGCCGGTTCAAAGCCCGGGAGGAAGGTCACGTCAACCGTCTGCGTCAGAATTACTTTCAATTCTGACGTGCCCCAGCGCGACGACAGTTCGTCGAGGTGCTCCATAATTCGTGTGATGCGACGCTCGATCGACTGTTTTGCGGCGTCGTAGTCTTTGCCAATCAGGCTCCAGAGGTCCCACACGCCGAACGACACCACGAAAATGGTGTGATCCTGTCGGAAGCGTACTTCTTCTGCAGATAGACTTAATGTTGATTCGGCCACGAGCCACTGTTCGAGCTGAGACTTAAAGTCTGCTAGATGTGTCTGCGATAGCCTACCCACAAGATCTAATTCTTTGTTATCGACAACGGCGCCAACGTTTTTTCCTCTGAGGAGTGGGTTCGCAGTCTGTGCCAGGTTCTCTTGATGACAGGAGAACTGATTCGAGTTAAAAGCCGTTCTGTTTTGGCCGGGGGAAAAGAAACTTACCATTGAACAGAGCCAATCCGTCCATACGCCCCCTTGTGAATTTGTGGTTGAGTTGTCGCTCCATGAATCCCCAAATACCACTAGCCGCTGGTCAAATGTGCTGGCTACTTGGAATGGGCCTACTGCCAGAGGAACAAGGTCGGGGAACCGCCGTGACGTCAAGAACCATGCCGATGTGAGAATCGTACATGCTGCGAGTACACACAGCACGTAGAAACGATTGAACATGCGCACCATAACGAATGACGCAAAAGAAATAGAGGCACGAGGCCGAGAGGATACCTCGACTCGAGTTACCCGACCAGCCTATATTTCACAAATCTTTCGTGGGAATAGGAGGAGGTCGCCACCAATGCCCCAATAACCGCCCGGAAGTATATCAAAGTGTCACGCGACAGCTCAAAATGTGATGAAAGTCTAAGATTCTGCAAAGTCGAAGGATGATCAAGCACTGCAGAGATCGCCCGGAGATTACGACGATATCTCCACTCCGACCTCGGGAGACTGGGTACTCGTACCGGCAAAGTCGGATGGCTCCGCACAGAGAAGTGGAAGAACGTGAATTTCAAAGAATCAGAGCAATGAGAAAATGCGATCAAGGTAGGAGCACAAGATGTCGGACAACATAAAACGGGGTACACACACTGGCCGCGTGGCTCGGACAGAGCCGATTGGACTTGCAGCGAAATTGGCAAATCATCGCGTGCGCTTGTGGCTTATTCCAACTTCCACCCATGAAAACGCGTACTCGTATGGGAGCCACAATTGCTTATCTTGGTCCGCTCCGAGAAATTGAACCGGGCGCAAACGAAGGTGTGTACGAGCATAGCGAGAAAACAAAAGCTACCCTGATGTCTTGCCTCGTCGCCTTGAAGCTTGTTTCACTTCAACGCTCTGGTTTAAGACAGACTCTCGGCATTGTCTCTCTCGAAATTAACAACGGGGAGTCTTCGAGGCCTGTTACAGCAATCTATACGACACGCCAAGACATTGTATACCCCAGATCCACTACGCAGCAAACGGGTACTCGTATACGGAAGTGAGCATGAATCAAGTTTTAGATCATCGTTGGCTGTTCTGAGCGGGAGATATCATTATTGAACCACGTTGCTCACGGGTAAGTCATTGTCAGAGGTTGTGTTCACGGAGGGTGTTTGTTAGCTGAGTTTGCAATAGGCGCTTCTAGATGCCCAACACATTAAACACAGTCTGGAAGAGGTCAAGTACATGGATGTTGTGACAACTTGGAAAGACGTTTCAGTTCGGGAAAGATGGGAGGTACCAGACCAGGACCCGAGACATGGATTCCTCAACCCTCAGTGGTGGTCAGGTTCAAAAGTTAGCCTATGGGTCTTGGATCCCCCGCACCTCTGACTGAAGCTTGTGTTAGTGGTAGGGTGGGTTTGATAATTGAGGGACTTCATGGTAGACAGATGCGTAGGGAGCACAGCGAATGGCGGAGATTTCATGTATGGAACGATCAGAAAACTTTGAAGAGAAAAGAGAATAAAAGATTGAAGCGCTCAAATGTTCCATTTTAATTTGTGTATCCAGATTGGTTGAAAAACCTCACATCACGACGACGGGATGTTGCATAAAATCACCAGAGCAGGCAAATGGGGTAAATTGGGGGAAATCGGGGAGGAGAGCGAAAATTGGATAGGTTGAAAATGGGTTCAAGTCACATGACCACAACTGACTGCTGATTTTAGCCCTACCCCACGTGACTCAGGCCATTTCCCACACGTGACGTGCCCACAATCGCTCGCTAAGCCGGCGAACTAAAAAAATCCACAGTACGGATCACTTCGACGACAACCTCACCCGTCGACAACATCAGCAAAATGAAGCTTAACGTGTCCTTCCGTGAGTGCTTTGTTCACCAGACCTAATATACATGCTAACATTTTCACAGCGGCCAATGGGTCGCAGAAGATCATTGAGATCGATGATGAGCGCAAGCTCCGTCCCTTCATGGAAAAGCGCATGGGCACTGAAGTCAGCACTCCCCCTTCCTCCACACAACACGAAGACAACACGATTATACAAACGCAAAACGACTTCGAGAACGACTGGCTAATTGGGATTCGATTTTCAGGTTGCCGGCGACGCTCTCGGTGATGAGTTCAAGGGTTACATCTTCAAGATCACCGGTGGTAACGACAAGCAGGGTACGCACACAACCCCTCCTTTTTCCATCGACATTGGAAAGCGACATTCAAGAAGAGCAACCAGGCTAACGATTTTATAGGTTTCCCCATGAAGCAGGGTGGTACGTTTACCGCACACAACAACGGATATTTGTCTTGAAAAAAACGCATACTTATCGCACCAACAGTTCTCCTCCCCACCCGTACTCGTCTGCTCCTCGCCGACGGCCACAGCTGCTACCGTCCCCGCCGCACTGGTGAGCGCAAGCGCAAGTCCGTTCGCGTAAGTGATAATTTTGCTCTTTGTCGGCATTTCGGACATATGAACTAACGTTCATTCCAGGGTGCCATCACTGGTCTCGACCTCGCTGTTCTCGCTCTCTCCATCGTCAAGCAGGGCTCTGAGGAACTCCCCGGCCTGACCGACACCGTTGTCCCCAAGCGTCTCGGCCCCAAGCGCGCCACCAAGATCCGTCGCTTCTTCGGTCTCGACAAGAAGGACGACGTTCGCAAGTTCGTCATCCGCCGCACTGTCACCAAGGAGGGCAAGCAGGACTACACCAAGGCCCCCAAGATCCAGCGTCTGGTTACCCCCCAGCGCCTCCAGCGCAAGCGCCAGCGCGTTGCCATCAAGCGCCGCCGCGCCGAGACTGCCCGCGATGCCGCTAACGACTACGCCAAGCTCCTTGCCGGCCGTGTCCACGAGGAGAAGGCCAAGCGTGACGAGCTCCGCAAGCGGAGGGCCTCTTCCATGCGCAAGTAAACTTGCAAACCCGCGGTTTTATGATTTCGTTCTGCGGCGATGGGTTTAATGGAGGAGCTTCTCGTCTTTGGGATGATTTGAGGGGAATTTAACAAAAAAGATTCGATCACCCCAGGGACGCGGAGGACACATGTCTGATAAAAGAAAAAGGGAACAACAAGAGAGGCGGGGAACAGGTTTCAAAACGTACTAAGCAGGCTGAATGATTGATACTCCCTTGTGTCTTACGGTGATCTCGGAGCCAAGGGAGCCGTGATGCATATCTGTGTTGAACCTACCTTTTGTCCCTTTTTTTTTTAGTGGAGTGCATGCAAATTTCAATATTCAGTTCTGTCAAAACTACCCGGCTGTAAACTGTGCACATCTGGTCGTAGTACCTCTGGATTTGAATTCTACGCGGCATCTAGCCCTCGACTTCACCTCAAACATCCACTTCCCCTCGGATCTATGAAGTCACTACACACTAGTTCCGCGGGCAGATTCCCTTGTCCCCCACTATTGCTCCATATACATCACGTGGCTGGACCTCTACATGTACATAGAACGTTCCATGGCTGGAGTATGTTAAGTAGACATAAAGTTGACCTCGCGGTCTTTGATGCCATCTTCTCGACTTCTTTCTATCGAACAAAGTAATAACAAAACACCGGGGACGAACATCCTTGTTCGGCAAATCAAAAGGCTCATAAAAATCGTATTTTTGTTTCCCGCTCACCCCAGGTTGGCATAGGGATTCGGGTATTCAGGTATGCACTAGGACCCGCAGATGCTTTCTCATGAAAATTGATTTCTGTCTGGTTTACCCCACGGTGTGCGAGAACAAGAAGCTAACTGACTCGCCGTTGTGTGTACGACGGCATGCCTCAGCCAATGTAGGGCTGATATCAATTGTCTTGATCTTGTCACATCGCTCTTGCTTGTCACCCAGGGGGACGGTGTTGCTGACGATAATGCTGTACCCTCAGTTAGTGAAACCCGTTCATAGAATTTGTGCCTCCGATTTTTATAAAGGTGTACATACCGCTTCAAGCAGCTGCCGTTCAGGTTCTCAATTGCCTTTCCGGAGAGGATACCGTGGACAACGATGGCGTTGACCTCGGTTGCGCCGTGCTGCATAACGGTTTCGGCGGCCTTGGCGAGAGTACCACAGGTGTCGGCCATATCGTCGACGATAATCGCGACCTTGTCCTTGACGTTTCCAACAAGAACCATGCGGGAAACTTCGTTGGGACGGGCACGTTCCTTGTGAATAAGAGCGAATTGCAGGTCTAGGCGATCGGCAATGGCGGTTGCGCTAAAACGTATCCATATTAGTCCTGGTTGCCATGATCAAGATATTCAGAGAAAGCATAGGTTACTCACCGTTTGGCACCACCAGCATCGGGACTGACGATGACACAGTTGCTGACGTCGAGGTTCTCACGGATCCACTTGAGCATACTGGGCTCGGCGTACAAGTTGTCGACGGGCACGTTGAAGAAGCCCTGGATTTGGCTGGCGTGGAGATCCATGGTGATGACATGGTTGCAGCCAGCAGTTTGAAGCATGTTGGCCATGAGCTTGGCGGTAATGGGAGCACGACTCTTGTCCTTCTTATCTTGGCGGGCGTAGGGGAAGTTGGGGATGACAGCAGTGATGCGACGGGCCGATGCAGTCTTGCAGGCATTGATCATGATGAGAAGTTCCATAAGTCCATCGTTGATATCATTGGGTTTTGTGGATTGCAGAATGAAGACTGTGACGAGTGTGTATGAGTGGGGTGGCTCTTTTGGTTATCACCAAGGTGGGATGCTCGTACCATCTTCATCGCGCACACTTTCACCAATCGTAACACTAGTCTCCTGGTTGGAGTATTGCAGCACCATAATCTTGGTCAACTCAATGCCGAGACTGGCTATCATGTTAGCTTGCCAATGCGCTCGCGCTCGCCCTCCAGCTAGGAGAGACGTACCGGTCAGCCACCAGGTTGGCGAGCTCCGGGTGACTGTTACCAGTCAGGAGCTTGATAGAGTTGGTCGACATGATTTGAGAGGATGTTTTCCAATTCAATAGAGCATGAACACCAAGATAAAACCGTCGGCTCAAAAAATCATTTTCCTCCGCGCGGCCCCGCATGACTTTTCGAGTCACGTGACAGAGTCGCCGCCTGATGATATAAGCGTCTTATAGTCAGTTACTCCTCCGGGGCTGAGTCTACACGTCGGAATACGTATGGAGCATTTTGAATAAAGAAATAGAAATCGAATGCAGCAATCTAAGTACACATGAAGGGAGCTTGGAAAACGACAAGGTTGACCTGCACTTCAACCAGAGTCCTATCCAGCCCCATTTTCATCCCCAATAAAAAGAGATATCCATAGAAATAAGAACAGAAAAGAAAATGACAGAAACGCCATTGAATGCTTTGCTTCCATCTGGAAGTCGCCTCCATGCCATAGAACACAGAGTTGGTTTAAGCAAACCCAAAGTACTCGCTTCCAGCGGTCATGGCCGTGTAAAGGCGTGCACGAAGATCTTCGTAACTTTCATACTCAGGGAGATCAAGCTCTGTAAAAATAAGTCAGTAAATCACACCATAGCCAGTGTTGAGGGGTAAAACTCACGATTGAAACATGTGTGCGAGCTAGGAAGGCGGTCTTTGTTGCCGTAGTCGCGATGGATGTTGAACTTGCTGACACCGTTCATACCCTCAAGTTCCTTGAAGCCGTTGAGGGGGACCTTGCTGGTTCCGGTGACGAACTGGAGGAGCTTGGCACGCTCTTCCTTGTCGAAAGAGCGGACAGCACGCCAGAACCATTGGATCTGCGGCGAGGAGGCAGAGTAGTTGTGGTACTCAGTATGGTTCTTCCACTCATCCACGTCGATCTCAGGAAGACCGGAGATCAGTAGTTCCAGTTCTTGCTCGTTGAAGATAGAGATCAAGTCAGGAGGAATGATTTCATGGAAACCCTTAAGGAAGTTGTCTAGCTGCTCTCGGACAGACTCGACAAGGCGGTATTCGACCACACGTTGAACATATTCTTCCTTGTTTTCTTGGGTGACGGGAATGTCATGACCATTAGGCTTCAGGTCGATCACCTGCTTCTCGCCGAAATCATCGGTTTCAATGGCGAATGTCTCGGTGATGATGTCGGTGATGTCATTCTCCAGCATCCACAAGAGCGATTTGTAGTAGTCCAAATCCAGTGTCTCCATGTCTTTGATTGAGACGGAGCGTCCGAGGATGTTCTTGTAGACTGCTCTGCTGAAGTGGCAGTCGAGAACACGGCCTTCGTACAAGGCCTTACCGATAATGCGACCGATGAACTTGAAGAACATGTGATGCTCCGAATTAACGCCACTGAGACGGTTTGGGTGGAAAGTAGTCCGGTCGGCGGCAACAGGAATGAACAAAGCGTAGTTAGGGTTGAACATGCCTCTAGCAAGGACCTGGAACCATTCTCGGGTCACACCACCGGCGTCGACACCTTCTTCGCCGTGGAAACGAACATTTAACTTGCCGTACTTCAACTCATCTGCTGTCTTGAAGTAGAGAGACTTGAAAGAGTCAAGGAAAACTTCAGCTCTGCGCACAGAGAGTTGGAGAGGAGGGTGGGGGTGGCGGGGCTCAGCACCACGCGAGTGAACGCGACGAGTGAAGTAATTGCGCTTGTTGTCGAATTCCAGTACCTTAGGGTTCTTGACAAGCAGAGAGAAAGTGCCGCTCATAAGGCGAGGGTTTTGGCGGACAAGCTCATTCAGGATCTTGCGATGTTCCTCGGTGAACTTGAAGAAAAGGTTTTCCATGCTGATACCAGCTTCAGGCGAGGCGCTGGTCACGGACAGTTCACGACTGCCGCGAGACAGTGGTTGGTCCTTCAGGGTGGTGTTCTTGCAGACCACCATCAAGGCTTCGGTCAGAGGAAGGAGAATGGTGGCCACGTTCAGCATGTTCTCTTTTTGGCGAATCACACTCAGGCAATCGCTGAGTTTTGTCCACAGCGGACCAAACGTGGCGCTCTCATAGAGTCGCTTCAGCACATCTTCCTTGGGGGCAGATTCTGGCTCGGTGCCCTTGGTCTTGTCTACCCGAGTAGGGTCAAAGAGGTAGTCAAGTGCTGTCAGAACACGCAGCAGCTTGGCCTGATCCGAGCTAGCGGGAGAGAATTTGGCGAGAGCAAGACCTTGCATGTCGGTACCAGTCTTGGCTTGGTGGATATGGGGGAGAAGGTCCTCTAGATCATGTAGAATGGTATCGCTGAGGGCCTGAGCTTGCGCAACGAGTTCGTTGCCGATGACATCCCGAGCTCCAGGAACGGCAGAAAGGTTGTTGATGGTGGAAAGAGTATCACGGAAGGTTTTGCCATTGCACTCACGAGCCGCAAGGATATGAACAACCAGGCGGAAATTGTGGTCTGGAACAACGGGAGGCTCGATGGTACGCTTCTTGCGCTTCTCCTCCTCGGCGGGCTCTTTATCGCCTGCGGATTTCTGGGCTTCACCAGATGCGGCCGCTTGCTCAGTGGTCTCCTGACCCGAGGTCTCAGAACTCTCCACGGTAGGTAGCGGAGCATCAGTCATGGAAGTGTCCATGCCGGAATCGGTAGTCTCAGCCGACTGTCCAGTAGGTTCTTCAGCTTGAGCACCTTCAGGCTTCTTGCCCTTCTGAGCCTCCTCCTGGCGTTCTTTCTCGCGACGAAGGAGCACAGTCAATGGTTGAGTGATGCTGCTTAGCAGGCTGGACAGCTGCTCCATACAATTCGGGCTCTCCATGATCAACTTGCGGTCTAGAAGAGAAAGCAGTGCGTTCAATGCATACTTGTTGGCTCGGTTCTCTTTAGCCTTACCCTTGCGAGCCCCCTTGAGCTTGGCAGCCGTGGAGGAATCATGTTCTGTTAAGAAGAACCAGGCAATGTGAGCGTTAAACTGTGACAGGAATGACAGCGTGCTCAGACATTGTTGAATGACCATGATTGGAGTGACCTCACTGCTCACGCTCGAAGCGGTCTGAAGAGCCATACTTCGCTTGCTAGACAGCGGCGTTTTCTGTGCTCCAGAGGATCTTGCCCGCAAAGAAAGGTGAGAGAAGCTGCGTTCAATTGCAGTGGAATCAACGCTACCATCCTGCAAGACTGAAAGCAAAAGGCTGATGACCTCGCTTCGGTTTTGACGGTTCTCACAGACGTTATGAAGAATGTCGTTCAACTGGTGACGGGCATTCCCGTGAAGGGGCATGAACATCAGACGAAGAAGGGTTGCAACGCCGGCCTTGTCAAGCATTTGAACAATTTGACGTCTCTGTTCCTTCTTGGGCTCTTGGCCTCTAGAAGGCTCGGCGCGATGTCTGGGATCGACGGCACTCATATCACCGAATTGAGCCATCCGACGGCCGCTTCCACCTACAGCACGAGCCTCAGTCAAATACTCCGGACCTAAGGTGGCAAGAACATCCTCGGGTTGGTCGGCCAGAACAGCCTGACGCAAGGATGGGTCAAGAGTGGCCAAAAAGCTGGCAGCATCCATTTCTTCAGCATGGGCAGGGGGGCCACCAGTGGGCGCGCCACCAGCAGAAGCTGCTTGTCGTCGAGCAATTTCTCGTTCACGTCGGCGTCTGTCAGCCGCTTCTTGTTGGAGCAGTTCTTCGCGGATTTCGGCAGGCAAGGCCTCGAGGAACTCCTGGTTGATCTCAGTCGGCTCCTCGCCTGCGGCGGCAGCTTGAGAGCGTTGCTCGGCGACCTGTGCCATGATGACCTCCTCCCTGAGTTCCTCAGGCAGGGCCTCTAGGTATTCTGGATCAATCTCAAGGCCAGTGATATCAACCTGTCGGCCTCTAATGTTGGTGTGAACACGAGGAACGGGCTCAGCGGGTTCGGCCTGGGTTTGAGCTGATGGGCCACCAGCTTCGGATGCAGTATCATCTTCTGGGACATCTTCCATTGGCTCATCGGCCCCGGAAGCTTGACGTTCGGCTTCCTGCTGCTCCTTTTCTGCCTGAAGTCTAGCCTTTTCTTCTTCTTCTTTTTGTTTGCGCTCCTTCTCCTTCTCCTCGGCAGCGATACGCTCCTTGCGTTCATTCTCGGCGCGTTCGGCCTGGAGGCGGGTACGTTCCTCGGCAGCCTGTTTCTGACGCTCCTTCTCTTCCTCCATGGCAGGAGGAACCAAGACCTTAAGCAGCAGACCGAGGATGCGCTGAGTGCGTTCAACATACTGGTTGCTGTAGAGCAGGCGAGCCTCCTCTTGCCAACGGTTCTTGGTAGTGCAAAGTCCAAACTTCACGGCGGTATGTGGGTCATCACCGCGAGAGCGAGTGGGAGGACCTGAGCCCCGGGGAATTCCAAGCATATCTTGGATGCGACCGGGCAGAACTGCGCGTCGATCAACATGAACGTGAATACCGTCAGGACGAGTGACAACGCCAAATCCGGGCGCGGCCTGTCCACCGATAGCCTGCATAATGGCGTTCATGAAGCTGATGGGACTGTCCATGGCGATACCTCGGCCAGCGTTGGTTGGGTCTATGGCCTGGCCCCAATCGGCGAAGGGATCAGCCGCAGCTGCTCCACCACGTGGAGCAGCGGTGTCTGGGCGAGGATGACGGACGAGCAGAGGGTTGGTACCATCATCGTTTCCACCTCGCGAGGGCAGCTGGGTACGATGAACGCGGTGGTATGGTTGAATAGGCACAAGCCCAGCAGGGCGACCGGGCATAATCTCTGTGACAGCAGCCCAAGCCGGAGGAACGGCACCACGATTGAAGCCTCCACGGTGGCCTTGATGACCTGCGCGGGCCATAGCGGGCTCTTCACCTTCCCATGCCCAGGGTTCAAGGAGATCATCGTCTTTGATAAATATGTTAGTGGTGCTTTGGCCGTATTGTGTAGACTGCATCTTACCTTCCATGTCCCCGAAGGACCCTTGCTCCTCATCATAGTCATCCATGTCCTCCTCAAGCTCATCATCCATTTCGTCGTCATCAACTGGGTGGGGTATTAGCACGAGCAAAGGGAAATAGGCCACCAAGTTTGGGGGGGGACGGACCATCTTCATCCAGATCATCAAGGATCTCTTCATGGATGTCACCACCAAGAGCGTCGCCATGAATATCGAGACCACCCGCACCAGCTCCACTGTCGCCAAGGGCACGGAAGAGGTCACCGATGTGATGGTCACCACCGTGGTGGCGGTTGGTTTGTCTGATGTCGGCCATTTCGTCTTCAAATTGGTTCATCATTTCCACCTCCTCTTCATCTTCAGTCATTTCCTCGCTCTCCCATCCGTCTTCGTCACCGTCTTCGAGGCTTTCATTGTCACGATCGCCACCGATTTCTCCGGAATACATGTCGTCGTCCATGTCAAGATGATCATGTTCGTCGTCGTCGTCATCTTCGTCGTCCCCTTCTTCGTCTTCGTCTAGAATGACTTCGACTGCATCACCAGAGAGACCTTCGATGGGACCCATACCATCGTCATCTTCGTCACTGACAACTTCGCCATCGTCTTCAGGGACATCTTCGTCATCGTACATTTCTTCGTCATATTCATCGTCGTACATTTCGTCATCTTCACCTTCCGATTCCTCAGTGCTGCTCTCTTCCTCGTCGTGACGAGGCTCCAGCATACCAAGGGTAGAGTGTCGGAAGAGGTCAGGGGTTTCTTCGCGCTCATCGTCCATGTCGGAGACTGAGGTTGCGGAGGAGATCTCGTCATCTTCATTGTCACCAGTGGAGGAGATGTCAGAGTTCTCGCTAAGGATAACGGCAGTTTGAGTGAGCTTGTTCAATGGACGAAGGATGTACTTGATAACGCGCTTCGACGACGGGAAGTTCAGGTCGACATCGGCAACGGATGAAGTAAGCGTAGGAATAAAGTGCTTCTCGAACATGGTCTTCGCAAGCTGCCTGGTTGAGGTTGGGAAGCCTGCATCGTTGGTGAACGAGTAGCCACTGAGCATTTTATCGAACAAATCGGCAAGCGACATAAGTTTGGAATATTTGGCATCCAAAGGCTCAGTAGAGGCCATAGCGTCCTTGTAGGAGCGAAGAGCATGCTCCAGAACAAATCGGCGGACGAACGCGAGCTCAGGCTCATCCTCTTCATACTTTGGTTCGGTACGACGCCTGCCAACGCCACCAAACTCGCCAGTCTTGGTGCAAAGAGCAACAAGGACTTGCATGGTCCATGTGGAGGTGATGCTACGCTTCTTGAACGCCAGAGACTCATCGTGTTCCATAGTGCCGAGGGGAACGAGGACATTTAGCAAATAATTGAGGACACCGGACCGTGGCTTAGAGGGCGTGGTGGCAAGCGGATCGGCCTTGCGAGAAAAGTTGATGAACTCAACCTTAGTTCTGTTGTAAGAGGAAAGAAGTTCAGTGAGGCACTGGAGAAGCAAACAGCGATAGATGTAAATGGGATGGTCGTCTGCCTTGAATTGGGGCTTCTCCGTCTTCTTGGAATCACGAGCGGCCTGTGGGTCGGCAGTACTTGAGACTGAAAGAGTAGGCTCATCCACGGCCATCTCAACATCCGCCGGAGTGTCAGATGGATCGGCTGGTTTATCAGACTCGGGGCCCAATTCTTTGTCATCAACCTCCTTGTAGGAAAGAAGTTCTGAAAGTAGGTAGTGAATAACACCGTCGGGGTTTTCAACAATAGGTGCTTTGAGTTCAGTGGACTTGGATTGAGCCTTAGTCTTGTCTTCGTTGCTCTGTTCCTTGTTATCAGAAGCGTGCACCTCGGCTGCGGTAGATGACTCTGTTTTGGCTTCATCGACAACGGCTTCCGATTTGCCCGCGCGCCGAGAGTGGCGATCTTTGTCTGCCTTTAGACCAAGAACTTGGGGGCGTTGATGGGTGTCATATCGGAGTAAGCGGAGCTTCTCATTGGTCACTTCCACAAAGATATCAGGGGCTCTGAGCACAAGATGGTACATTTGTCTGACATAGCCGTTGGTGTCAATCTGGCGAGAAGTCTTAGATTCAAAGCTGGCAACAATCTCGCTCCTCATGATTTGGCGGATAGTTTCTCTGTCTTCAACGATGTGTCGAAGAATTAACATGAAAGCACACCGCATCTTGTCGTTGGCGGCACTGGAAATCTGCTTCACCATCACGAACAGACGTTGGAGATTGCGCTTTTCACCAAATCGAGCGGCAATCGTACGCTCCCGAGTAAGAATGACAAGAACACGGCAAATTGAAAGTGCCAATGTCTCATCCTTGCCCACTCTGGGAAGAATCTCAACCAGATGTTCAAATAGTCGGGTTTTCATGTCAAGAGAGACAAGTGGCTCCTCAAGATGAGCAGGTTCGTCCGCATTCGGGATAGGACCGTCGAGGCTGCTTGGTGGGGTCCATTCAATTTTGGGCGGTTGACAGTCATCAGAGAGTAGCTTCTCAAGAATGAGTAGGACATGTCCAACCCAAGGGAAGGTCTCTTGATCTGCTTTTTCGGGTGCGGGCAACTGTATGAATGCGAGGAAAGTATTGAAGCAGTCCTTGAGCTCTTCGAGAGTTGCGTCGTACATATCACGATCTTGGAGGGTCAAAGCAAGAATATGGGCGTAGGCAGCAATCTTCTTGCCAGCTGTCTGGAAGTTCTCCATTTGCAAAGAAACTAGTGATTGAACAAGGGTTTCTCCGATGTCACGACGGAATGTTTCAGGTTCGTGGTGTTTTCTGATGGCTGAAGAAATCAGGTCAGAGAGTTCAAAAGAGACGTCGTGATGCTCGTTCAAGACATCCAATGCCCGCTCAATTAGATTCTCCCGAATGTTTGCCCTCTTTTCGTCGAGATCTTCGACAGTCGTCATCTCGCGGTGGCTGCCAGTTTCACTATGGGGCGCTTGAGCAGAGTCAGAGGTGAGCGGCTCAGCATTTTGGTTTTCAGGCTGGGATTGGCTGTGTGATTCGCTCCGGTCATCACTATCCATATCCTCATTTTCGGTGAGGACATTATCCAATGCTCGAGCCAGGCCGTCATGCATGTCAGAGTCTCCATCTTCTCTTGGGCCTGGTGGAACCAAAGGGTTTCCGGTGGCTGATGACAAAAGCATCGCCAAGGTGTTGCGGTCTAGTATGTTGGGTGCAGAATTTTGAAGAGTTGTTGGGACCTCAAACCCAGTGTCTTCAAGGGAGTCTATGCCAGAAGCGGGGTCTGGCACTCCAGTCTGGAGATCGTTGGCTGGGGGAGGAGCTCTTGGTGGGGCTCGTATCCATTGCTGTGCCTTGCAGTATTCCTCGGCCGCGTTCAGAACATTGTTGCAACGATAGAGGGCTTCTTTGTTGAGATCGACGTCCTTGAGTCCCTTCTCGATCAGAGCAGCGGCTCGTTCCTTGTGAACAACAAATGGTTTCTTAGGCGCGTCCAGCAAGAGAGAAGGTGGATCTGACCTCTTAGCAGCGCCAGTCTCAAATTCACCATCTAGGGTGTATCGTAAGATGTCGATCAACAGCTTCACAATTGTGCTTGAAGATTGAGTGGCAAAGTCTGAATTCCACAAAGCTTCGGCCATGGGCAATACCTCCATGCGAAGCTCCACCAAGAATTGACCAGGCATGAAATAATCAGCGCGCTCGCGGTCACGATCATGATTGGAGGTCAACGCTTGCGTCTGGCTGGAGTCCACGATGAATTTCCCTTGGGTGATATCTGCGAAAAGACCAAGAATGATCTTGATACCACCATAGCCCGATGCAAGTCGGTCGGCAAGCTCCTTATCTTGATCGGGAATAGACTCGGCAGACGGAAGTGACTGGATGTCATTCAAAAAGACGTCACAAATGTCCTTCAATGCCTTGAGTCCGCTCATCTTTTGGAATGCAAGCAAAACTGTAGTGAGGTAGTTTGCGGTAGGACGCTCTGGTGAAACGTCATAGAGGAGGTGGGAAAAGTGGGAAAGGATGACAATCAAGTAGGCAAAGCGGTGCTTGTGGCTAGCACTGGAATTAGCAGGGTCGAACTGCAATTGCCGAATGACACCCTCCGCAATAGCATCTGCAACTAGAGTGGCATTTTGCTTCTGCTTCTGGAGAGGATCCATGCGTCTCTTGCCAATTATACCAAGGCCGAGGTTATGCAAGAACCCAGTGATCGTGGTGGGAAGAGCGCTCAGCAAATATCGAAGAGTCCGTGCATTCTTGAAAGCAGGGTTTTGCTCATCCACGGGAGCATCAGTTTCCTTGGGTTCCTGGCCTGTTTGGGCTTGAACAGCATCACCTGCCACGGAAGCTTCACCCTGAGGCTGGGTACTGGGGGTTGCTGACGGCTCAAGGGGAACTTCTGCGGCGGGGCCACCCTTCGACTTTCCAGACTCTTGCTTCTCAGCCGAGGCCTGAGTAGCTTTGAGCCACTGCTCGGGGATATTCTTCTCGAGCAAAATACCTTCCCAAACACAAGAAGCGAGAAGGTTGGTCAATGACTCAATCAAGGTACAATATTGGTCTGCAAGGTTGACTTGGCCGAAAATTGAAGTTGACTGGCCGGGCCGAGTCTGGTACAATGGCATTGCAAAAACTTCACGAAGAACATCGGTGAGAAGTAGGACCGCATTCAGGTGTCTCAGGAAGAAGGTGCCAGACTGGGCGGCAGATGTAGACTCCGGAGCGGGCTTCTTCGAGTCTGCTGGCATGATCAACTCGGTAAAGAAGCCTGAGCCTGTGGGTGCATTGAAGAAGGGCGAAAGATTGTTCAATGCGTCCTGTGCACGTTTGACAAGTGATGGAACAATTAGATGCGGCTTTGTTTCTGCCATCATGTGAACAAGCACGGTGATCTCCTGATTGGCGTTGGTGCTGTGGAAATCGAAGGATAAGCTTTGGAGGGTCGCAAGATCCAGCATGAACTCTGCGCCGCCGGCCTGAATGAACGACGTGCAGTTCGTCTGATTCTCAAAGAAAGCACCCAGAAAGCGCAGAGCTGGGAATAGATAGTCCGTGGCGGTCAATCCATGGGCATCTTTGTCCTGAGGCTCGAATTCGGGGCCTGGCGCAGGGAACACGGCATCGACGTGACCAAGCACAAGCTTTCCACCGTTGGGCAGAGTATTGTTCACATTGAGTCGGGGCAGACCAATCGACGAAGGATCGTCCATGGATGCATTGACATCTTTGCCGATTTCGCGGAACAAAGAAAAGATATCTCCAGATAGTTTGGTTTTACCATCGCCATTCTGGGTCCACATCTTGGTGCCCATGCCATGTTCCCATGCCTTGACACGGCCAAGCACGTTGACACGAGCAGCCATCACCAGTACGGCTGACATGATAGAGGTTTTCAATGCCGGGTGGTGTCGGACAAGCTCATCAAAGGTTGTACCCAATGAGCGCACCAGTTCGGGGTCATCCTTCAGAGACTTAACATGATCTGGGTTCTCGAAGATCTCGAAGAAACATTCAAGGGCGTCAGAGGACTGGAAAAGATCCAGACCAGAGGAATTTAAACAGATTGCTCCGAACGCAGCTGGGATACAAGCAAGCGCATCACCCGCGGCCATGATTCCAGGAGCGAGGTGTGTGTTCTTGGCTCGGATGAGAGGGTATTCACGGTCTCTCTTCTTTTCATCCGCTCCAGGGGCGGCTTCGGCGGAGGTTGATTGGGATGCGCTCGCTTGTGGGTCGGCGTCTTCAGGCTCCACTGCTGGCGGCTTCTCCGAAACCTGGAGCTCACGACCCATAACGGCAGCGAGCAAACTCTTGCTAAGGCCAGCCTCTGCAATGACAGCATAGCTTGTAGGTTCATTGTGGATGAAGCTGCTGAGAATGTTGACGGCATTGCTCCACACATGCGAGCCAAATACCCGAGCATTCTCGAACACAAGGCGGAGGGAAGTTAGCAGTTGAGGCGAATCGATCAGGTTTCGGAGCACACGATCGAAGCCACCACCGTTGTGCTGCATGATGTGATTCACGAAGCGGAACATCCAACGCAGAGTCTGCTGTTGAAAGTAGGGAATTTGATAATCGACTGATGGATTCTTGTATTGGGTAGGGAACCCTTCGCCGCTGTTGACCTTCTCAAATGCGGTCTTGGTCTCATTATCAATCAGATCCGACATAGCGTCGAAGCCCTTCGCTGCCGTCAGTGTACCCAAGGCATCACGAACAGCATGCACAAAAGTATCAAGGAATTCCATGACACGAGAGTAGACCCGGCGAGACTTGTCGGTCCGCAAGTTCAAGATATCGACAAACATAGGGATCAGGCCAGCCGCAACCAGGGTCTCTGGAGTGCGTGTGCTGGAACTTGGGAGAGTACGCAGGAGCGCAAGCAGACCATCCCGCCATTCGTCTTGATAGGCCTCATCTGTATCATCGTTCTCTGCGCCTAGTTCATTGACCATTTTACGGGTCAAGAACATTAGAACTCCATGGTTGACGTTGACACTCAAAGCTGCACAAACATCGACGGCTCGGGACTTGTGCTTGGCCAAGGCATCCAAGGTCTGGAGAGCAAAAGTCTGGACTGGTCGGGAAACATCAAGGTCACCACTAGCACCGAGATGGACTAACTCGGCAAGCTGGTACGCTAGCTGAAGACGCTTTGGCTGCTCCAGATCGGATTGAAGAACCTTCTGTTGGAATGAGCTCTCCGGCTGAACATGAGCCAGGTTGGTCACTGCAAGAGCTTTGATGGAAAGTATCTGCTCTCGAGTTGCACGCGAGCCGGTCAACGCCTTGGCAACTCGGAGTTTGTGAAGCAATTCATATTTCGACTCAAGGGGGAGATGTGGCAAGTTGACAGCGAGAAGAGACTCCAAATTTGCAGAGGAAACCTTGGCGTGCGAAATTTCTAGAACCGTGCCACCGCGGGAGGCCTCCTCGGTTTTCGATGGAGTTGCAATTGGAGAATCATCTGCGTTCAATCCACGGCTTAGATTAGAAGCGGGGTGAGTTGCTGTTCGTCGCAATGGCGTAGGGGTGGTTGGAACATGTGAGCCCTGTTCCGTCTGGCCATATTCGGAAGTCGTCCTAGCCTGGTCAGAGCCTGATGGATAATAGAGAACGCGCACATCGCCCCATTCCTCCCAGCCGTCAGAATCACGAACGAGGGAAACGAGCTCGTTCGCATTGACTTTAGTCTGTAGTGTCTTATCCTTGCCCTGGGTGGAAACTGCAGGAGAGGAAGCGAACGGTGGCTTGCTGGCAATGACAGGGCGCGCGAATGGTGCAGCAATCTTCTGCAACTTCTCCAGGTCGAGAGCGTAGTGTGATTGCAATACGGACTGTTGGTGAGCGCCACGCTGACGAGAGTGGTAACGTTGAGCCAGGCAAAGAGCCAAGCGCAAGGTAGACTGAAGCAAAGACAGTGAGGTGGTGTTCAGGAGATCGCCAAGACGATCGCTGCTGCTGTAGAGGCTACGATTGCCACATTTCTCGAGCAAAAGACGAGAAAAGTCCAGAACGGCTTCTAGAAGTTCTCTGTCTCCATCGGGGCCATATCCCAGAGCGTTCAACTTGGCATCGATACCCTCTGTCGGTTTTGTGGCTTCTTCGGTCGAGTATGATTCCTCTAGAACGCTTCGGGTAAGCAGTTTAGTCTGAGGGCCAGTGTTGAGGAAGTATTTGTCGATGGCCGAGGCCAAAATCTCGTCAAATCTGTCCAAGACATTGATCCAGTGGTAAAGATCACCACGCGGGAACGGCCAAAGCTTAGGGAATGTTCTGAGGAGGGCTGGAAGCTCTGGAACGGGAACGCTCGTGGCGCGTCCTATGAAATCTTGTAGGAATGGTGACTAGATTGGTAAGAAAAAAATTTTAGTCGGGCTGCACCCCCGGCCTGCGGAAGATAACTCACGATTGTAGCCTCATGCTTTTGGCTGGCTACCTTCTTAATTCTCCCCATGATAACAACCGATGAGCCAGTCAAACATGAGGGAGTTGAGAGATTCCGGGAGACTTGTCTCCTAGTGGAGTGGGGACGTCGTGTAAACCGGTGTCGCGGAGAAAGCGTGAAGATGCCTTATGACGTTTTATTGCTGCTTGCCGGCCTCAACGAAAAAAACGAATCAACGCAACGTGATAAACACCTGAAAAACGCGAGGTCGCTCAGCAAATTCAAGTCGAATCAACGTAAGATCGGATTCAGGATTCAATCGTGAAGAAAGTGGGAAGGCCCAAAAGTGAGAGCTGGTGAGGTAGTCGGTCAAGAAGCTACCAGGGAAAACGGGTGCAGGTCGTTTGCCCTAGAGTTGTTTGACACGCAGGAGTTAGAGAGAGAGGTAAGATTAGGATAAGAGGGTTGATAGAAGGAAAGGGAAAAAGGTCGATGGAAGGAAAGGTTCTTGAACGAAGCTGGTCTTGCCGGCAGTAGCAGGGCGGAGCGGCGGCTGATTTCCCCCGCTAGGCCTCAGGCACCATTTGTCTTCACTTCTTGTTTCCCTTGTTTGAATTTTCATTTACAACGGTGGAGCTCATCTATTTTTCTTTCCTGTACTACCTGTATGTCTATATAAGCTCTCCCATGAGGCACCATATTCCACTTGAGATTGTTTCCTACCCAATAGACCAGACTCTCGGCAAACTCAACGGTCCTGTCGATCACGTGATGGGTTTCAAGCCCCTGTTGCTGTTGGTAATGCAATGAACTGCTATCTGTCTACGGAGTACCTGAATACCACCTAGGCAATAAAGTCTACTCCTCCCATACCTCCTCTAAGATGAATATCCAGATATCTTTGTGTTGAAAATTAGATGTGATGCTATCTTGGAGGACCGAAGTCATTTTTAAAGTATATATTGGTACCCAAGACCGTGTGCTAAGGTGAGTTTACTCTGATGAGGGATATCATACAAGAATTTCAACATGATTTGCCAAACTAGATGCCAAGTCAACTGAGAGATCTAAATCACACATGTCAATATCAAAATGAAGCTCGGCGTCTTTTTTGGGTGCACAATCTCAAATGAAACCAATCTTCCCCAATTCCATGTTTGATACTTCCCGAGGTCCTTCACCCGCGCAAGCTTACAAATGAGTGTTTGCCAAAAGATAAAATCCACCTGACCATATCCTCCCGGCTGTCGGCAACCTTGACCTTGCATACAGGCCATGACTCATCGTTCCAGGTGGCAGCTCAGATCATTCCAAGATTGGAATGACAACAAATTGGAATATCGCGGGCAACCTTGGAACCTTCCAAGGTTTTGTGGAATGCCCTCTATTATGCTGATACTCATTACCCACAGTGGGTGAGTCGCTCTAGAAGTGCACTCGAGTGAGACTCCTGAGGTCTTTCCTTGACAGGTGACAATCTGGGCAAGCCATGCAGCCCTGGAGTAGGTAGCATTGCAATTCATGATCGTGATAGCGCAGTTGAGGGACATCATACCCACACAGATTGCTTTTCAAAGTATCTATGATGTTGTATTAAGGTCCCATACCACAGAACCAGGACCTCGAGAAACAAGGCCCAACACCCAGCTGGACACACTTTCTATGGGGTCAATCGGGAAGAAGAAAGACTCAAAAGAAAGAAAAATCTGCTAGGCTTACCAAATCTGACATGCACTGTTCATCAATGTGCTCATTAAATAGGATTGAATGGCTATATTTAGGCTGCCTTCTGGAAACCACATGCCAATGGAGAGCTAGGCAATCCAGAGGCGAAGCATATTTTCGCAGTCTTGGATCTAGTCATATTGCATAGATGGTATAGGTCACTCTCGTGATATGATTGCACTCAATACACGCCCCATCTTAGGTAGGAGTCAATCTTCCAAGGTTCTATTGATGTTGGGAATGAGTATTATCACATCTTTGATGGCCAGAAGCTTGGAAGGTTTATATGCCAAACAATACCCAATTGAAAGAAGATTGCCGTTGTAAAACCCAAACTGTCTGTCAAAATGCCGTTTCTGTATGACATGTCTCTTGCTCCTTCTTTCTCATTCCAACAGACAAAGTCAGTTCAACTCTATGATCTACCTAGGTAACCTTGGAACTTGACTAATTGCATAGCCCACAACTAGATTGCCGAAATTCCTTAGGGCAAAACATAGTGACTGGCAGGGTGATTGCTCCATCTGGAAATTAACTTGCCTTTTGTCCGCAAATGTATATTTTCTACCTAGATATAGCCGTACACAATGGTACAAGTAGCTTGAAATACTCATTCTTCCTAGTGGGACATATTTCCAGGCTAATCGTCAGAAACGTACTCTGTGTCACATAATCTACAGATGATGTGGTGGAAGCATTGGAACACTGAGTAATGAGACGACTGATACCATTTTATCAGATACACTGGCTCTCCTATGAGGATCCCTAATATTATATCCGAAGTGAAACTTCTGTGCGATAAACCCCAGTGGTATAAGTATGGTGTAGTGTTGCAGGGAACCTCGCAGCCTCAATCAGACTGGACCCACTTCGGGTGGCGCGGGTGCGGGCCGCTAGCGTTGATCGTTCCGGCTTCCGATTTTTGACATCATAACTTCAAGATCGGTTCCAATTACTACTTCAAAGTAGAATATTGGCTTTGGCCAAAATATAAGTCGTGCACATGTGCTGAGGGCACTCAAAGTTGCTTCATAACTAGAACCACAGCATTATATCAAGGCTCTGGCTGTTAGCGTGTTACTATGTACGAGATGGAGTTCTAGCAGCGTAAGACAGTCATGAGTACTCCGTATCGCATTGTTTCTTTCCATTGATACAATTAGACCAGTATAATACTTGCCAAGTATTCAAACTTTATAAATCTCTTCTTTCGAAGGCCAGAGCCAAGACGATCAGAGACGCACAAGATTCAAGCAGTGACGCGCAAGATAGGCACGACTCACCACCCCGTTCCATCTTTCTAATTCACATATACCCCTCCTACTGGCACTCTATACAAGAAGCTAAATTCTGCCCAGGTAAACATTTTAACCAAGGCAGTTTGTGACCCTGTATCAGGTGATCAATTGGTCTGGAATATTACGTGGCTTGCGAGAAATCGTCCTTAAGAATAACCGTAAAGTGCTCCCTCGCGTTTCGACTCGGCATTTTAGTCGCTTGCATAAGCGGGTCTCCGCCTCTTAGTCCCAGGGAGAGCAATCGAGTCGTATTTATCTGAAGTCTTCTTCCTACAAGCGCCGAGACCATCCTTCTTTCCCTTCGCTTGTCGAAACAAAAACATCTCCATCACAAAGTCACCTCTCCCTGTCTACAATGGGATACTGGCTACGTGCACAGAAGGCCAACTGGACCCGTGATTGGGTTCAGGGTATAGCCGAACAACCTATGATGGAAAATGTTGATTACCCTCCCTCCCCTCAGTCGGAGACGGAAGTTGACCAAGAAATTGCGGTGCCGGACTCTGTTGATCCGTCTACCTCTGTGTCTAGCTTCCAGTAAGTTATTGTACTATCTGAGACCCCTATGTCTATGCCTATGTGTGATGACTATCTTCGGGTTACTAACTTGCTTTTCAAGGCGAACCACTACGACTGACTCGGAATCGGCGTCCCCCGAGCTATCAGCAACCCCCGGCCACCAGAACGTCTGCGCTCGGAAGCTGGATCGTGCTTTGAACAAGCTTTCCCGCCTTTGCGACTGGATCAGAGCCCGGACCAAATAAGCGATTGAGCTAGGAGTGCCTGCGCTACTTCCTGCGCCAGAGCCTCCGCCGTCAAGGAACATCATGTATTGCGATTGGTGATTGGTCGATGTATCGAGGATTACAGCCAAACTACAATGACAAGTGCCCACAACCCGTCCCAACCACACACCCGATCCTCAATCGTCAGCATTGCCAAGAGGGTTTCAGAATCTCCTATCTCTTACGATCACCGGTGCTATATTTCGTTATGCTTTATCTGCCTTGTCTTCTCTTGGGCCACCATTATTCTTAGGTATTAATATGACATAACATCTCTTGGTTGAATTCGCCGCATTTTTAGGAATATGATAAACACTCTGCTACCTCGGCTCTGCGCCACAATTACACATTCAACTACAGGAGACTAAGCTTATTGGTTTGATAATTAGTCGCCTAATCGTACATAAGACTCGACGTAGTGTGCTTTTTATGTGGACCGTCCAATCAATGACAAGAAAGCAATGCGGCAAAACATCGCACCGGGGATAGTCACCGCGACGTGATGTGAAGAAAATATTTGTCTTCAAATCATCAAAACCACAGGGTATGGCATATTGGGACCTGGATATCATATGCTGTTTTGGTTCATCGCAAGCTCGTTACCATGAATTGAGAGTACGCAGCGGCACAGGGACACTTCAAGGATTACAAGGCAAGTCTAGTTTTCTCTTTTGGGCGTTGTGAGGATCTGTACTACCTACTGTACATTCATACGAACCAGCTACCTAAGGGACTGACCAGACCCATATTTGAGCCCATCAATCAACACGAGTTCTCAGACTCACAAATTGTACAATACATAATACGGCTAAGCGAATGTCTTTTCATCCACACCAATCCACACATTTCAGCCAGCGATCAGATACCTTCCTCGGTTCGGGGTGCGCAGAAGCCCAGCCTCTCGGGTCGAGAGTGGATCTCAATTTGGTCATAAAAAAGCCACATCGATAAAAGCTGACCCACATCTCCACCGATCGTCGGGCGAGGAAAACCAGAGAAAAATACCCCTCAACTGGATGCGAACCACTCGTAGCTGTACATACATCGTTGTATGCACCTGATCTGAGCCTTGGTTCGACGCACGTCAGATTGTATTCACCAATGTCAAGCATTATGCTTTCCCGATCAATATTTGTATTAATTAACACAGCTGCTTCGTATACTCGTGTTGGGTTCACAAAGCCCGCACAAACGTAGTTCTTCGAGTATGAGAAAGAGGGGCTGGGATCGACGTGAACTGGTCCCAACTGATAGGCCATCTCCACCCCTCATGAAATCATACTCGAATATACAGATCTCCCACATGTCGTCACTAGCACCATGTGCAATACTATGTACTACGGAGTACTGTACGGGGCCAAACCCACTTGCTGTCAAAGATAAAACGGCTAACAGTGCTGCCCCTCCCAAGTAAAGAAAATTGAACATTTGTTTTCATTAATCACCTAACTCGTTCATACACAATGACTCCCACTCCTTTCGAAGAATATGCAGCGCTCATGAACCGTAATGGCGACGGTTACTATTTGTATAAACCCCAGCCATACGCTGAGATTCACCCGGGTGTGATCGGCTTCTTCGACCGACATGGAGGCTGGACTACAATCACCGATCTTTCCATTCCGGGCCGTGTTGAGAAAGACGGATATACTAGCCTGGGTGTTGCCTGGGATAGTCATGACCCCTCAGAGGCGGATTGGAACACGCGAGCTTCATCAAGTGAGGCCGAGCACAGCTTCGGTGTGAACGGAGGTCTTTCTGGCGCTTTGAGTGCCGCACCAGTCGATGTTTCAGCTGAAGCAAAGAACAAGTGGGGACAGACTGGAAAGGCGGCATTGATCGCCGAACATGCCGTGATCAATGAGAAGTTCCGTGGAGCTTGGAATACTCCCATCACGAATTGGGTGAAGGCCAATGCCAAAGCTCTCGTGAACTCCGCTTGGAAAGGAGATATCAAGGAACATGGACTCTGGGCTGTGAACAAGACCTGGTCAACCCAGGAGTGCAAGATCACCATGGACAGTGCTCACCATCGGGACACCAGTGCAGGATTTAAGGCTGGAGCTACTGGTGTCGCAGAGGGTGGACTCGAAGGCTCGTCAGCAGTCAAAGGCGACAGCTCAGGTTGGACAACCTTCAAAGCATCTGAGGTGAGAATTCTACAGAGTTGACCTGACTGTTTGCGTTTGATTTTAACAAAATGCAGAACGATAAGGGACTCGTTGTCTCCTATGGCGGAAATGGGTTCAGGCTGTCGAGTTTCACCAAGTTATTCACCAAAGCAGTAAGTTGATACATAGTTGACTCGTGATCAGTTCTGACCAATCGTGTATCCAGCTCCTCAAGCAAACCCAATCGAGGGCTGCACCTGCTGCCGAGGAAATGAGACCCGTCTTCGACGAGAACGGAGTTCAAATTGCACTCGTCCGTTTCCGAGCTGTGTATGATGAAAACGGAGTAGAGACTGGATGGGAAAGGGTCGATGAAGAGGCTGAGAAGAGGAAGAAGGAAGAAGCAGACAAAAAGCTGATAGAAGATGGAGACGCCGAAGAAGCTGTGGAGATTGAGCTCGGTGACTCCATTGGACAGACCGAAGAGGACCTGGAGGCAGAAAAGCAGGCAGAAGCCCAGAAGGCAACAGATCGTAAGGAGCTAGATGAGAGAATCGCTGCGGTGATGGCCCAGGATTTGCCTGCTGAGGAGAAGAGCCTCGCGTTGCAGAAGTTGTTTACTACTACGGAGATTTCGATCTCATAGTCATACAGTGCTTTCGCATGGGCACAGTCCATAGTTCCAAATGTCCAGACTGTGTTTCCTCTGATAAGCCATTGTCAGTTCTCTTATTCAGCTGCCCATCGTCCAATCTTGTTGATTCTGCTTTTCCTCCACAAAAGCCCCAAGCCTACACTTCGATATTAGCTTCTTTTGAAAAGTATGCGACGTGTCAGTAGATACTGCTATGCCTTACTAGACTAAATGCCAACAACAGAGATCGCTGGAGTGCTGTAAATGTCCAGTTGACGAATACTGGTGTTTTTCTCGCGGTGTTCACTTTAATGGAGATTTCAAGATGAGCGGCCATCAATACCAGAAAGCGTGCCATGGCATTAAACATGGTGTTGCGTGACCATAATTAAAACTAGTTGCTGGTGTGGGAATGTACAAGTGCGCCCGATGTGTTGAAGGTGGATGGTTCTCTTCGAATCAAACACTCATGAGAAGAATGGCCCGCCTGCTTCTATGCTGGCTTGGTAGTTGCACCACACGTAATTCTTGGATGTTTTCTGGTTCAAACGACCGGGAGAAGACGTGAGATAGGAATTTAATCACAGCAAGATTTGAACAGAGGAGTGTTGATGTCCGTACGTCGAGATTGAGGATGGATCACGGGATGATTAGATAAGACGTGGACATGGATCTAGCCATCTCGGGACTAGCGTGTCAAGGCTCTACAGAACATTTTTTTTCCTATCCGCAGCAACTGCGATACCACCGTCCTAAGCCCTGAACCGCTGCCATAGGGGTGGAGAAAAAGAGAGTCTATCTGGAAATTCTGATACCTCTCTTGAATTGGTCCATTGAGATTTGATCTCGCCGCATACGAAGCGACCTCAGAAGAAAAAAATCCAGCCCAAGAAAAAGTTACAGCCAAAATGGGAAAGAAGTCAGCTCGCCCAGCAACCAAGGTTGGCTCGGCTGCTGCCCCATCCTCTAGCTTGAACCAAGCTGGTAGCAAGTCTTCAATCCTGCGAGCTGCATTCTCCCCGTCGGAATACCAATTGGCCCTATTTGCGTCCGTCATCCAAGGCCTCGATGGCCAACACATCCGAGTCCACGACACCAACACAGGACGCCTACAGTGCGAGCACATCTTGGGCCCGAAGGAGACAGTCACCTCATTGGACTGGGGCTACTATAACAATTCGGGCAAGGGTCGCGATTTGTCGAAGAAGAAGCGCAAGCGCGGCTCCGATGTCAACGGGGCCCCCGATGGATTGGACCAAGGTGACATCGTGGTCGCATTCGGCACTAACACATCGGACATCCGCATGTACTCCCCCACTGAAGACAAGGTTGTCGGAATCCTGAACGGCGCCCACGAGAAGGGAATCAAGGATTTCAAGTTCACGGCCGCTCGACCCGCCGAGGAGGCTTGGAGTGTCGGTGGTGATAACAAGCTTATCCAGTGGGACCTGCGTACTGGAAAGCCCATCCAGTAAGACATCATTTCCCCGACTGCAAATGACTTGACTAACTTTTCAGGACCATCCACCTCCCCGCATCCTCCGTTTTCACCGCGCTCTCTCGTCCCGTCCCCTCGAGCACCCCTCTGATTTGCGCCTCTCAGACCCCATTCTTAATAGATACCGAGAAGGCCGACGAGCCTGTTCAATTCCCGGCTATGCGCAATCACATCCACACAGTCATCTCATCCTCTTCCGAATCCGCTGGCGCGGGAGCATTCCTTGCCTCCGATGGTGATCGCTTTATCAACGTTTTTGATGCCGCTACTCAAAAGCTTGTTCGCAACCTTGTCGCCGAACAGGAAGTCTCAACAGTTGCTCACGGTGGTGCAGTGCTTGCTGCGATCACCGAAGATGGTACCATCGAACTTTTCACCCAGCCATTTGCTCAGCCCCAGGCCGCCCCAGGTGCTACCGCTAAGGCCCTTCGCAAACAAATGACCCAAAAGGCACACGCATCCCTTAAGGTTACGAATAACGAGTTCTCGAGCGCCTGTGTCCCAGTCTCGGCTGTGTCTTTCCAAGGCCCCAACATTGTTGTCGCATACACCGAAGGTGGTGTGGTTCCCGTTTTCGAGCGCGTCAAGTACCTTGACGAGAACACCGAGGAAATCTCTTTCACTGGTGTCAAGACTGTGGTCAAGACCAAATCAAGCTCATCACTTGCTGCTGCCACAAATGGCGGAGCTAAGAGCGCCGGGGAAAGCCGTGTCAACGAGACTCACATGACTGTTGAGCAGGGTAATTTGGCTGACGACGATGTGGAAATGGAGGACTCAAAATCTGCCTCCGGATCCGACAGCGAGGGTGATTCCGATGATGAGGACACCAAGCAAAAGGCTACTTCCACTGAGAAGAAGACCAAGCCCGCTAAAGCCGCGGTCAATGGGGATGTCGAAATGCAGAATGCTCCTGATTCAGAGGAGGAGGAAGAGGAAGAGGGTGCAGAGCCTTCTTTCGGCGAGCTCATGCGTGCCAACGCAGAGGTGGACGTGGAGGCCGAGCTCGACGATGATGTCTTGCTTGGTGCATTGGTCCCCGGCAAGCCTCAGGCTGCAGTGCAACAGATTCCCACCGGTGTCTCACTCGCTACTGTTCTCACACAGTCTCTCAAGACCAACGACAGCGGTATGCTGGAGTCATGCTTCCACACCGGTGATCTTTCAATCATCCGCACTACAATCCAACGTCTCGATTCCTCCCTGGCCGCCACTCTGCTTCAGAAGCTCGCTGAGCGTCTTGCCTCGCGCCCCGCTCGCTACGGCCACCTTCTCGTCTGGGTTCAATGGACCTGCGTTGCTCACGGCGGTGCCCTGGCTGGTCACCCTGATCTCCTGAAGCGCATGGCCTCTCTCTACAAGGTCATGGACCAGCGCTCTTCGAGCCTGCCTTCTCTCCTGCTCCTCAAGGGCAAGCTCGACATGCTCGACGCTCAATTGAGCCTGCGTCAGTCCATTCGTGGAGGTGACGAGGACATGGACAGCGAGGATGAGGACAATGTTATCTACGTCGAGGGTCAGGATGATCTCGAAGACAGTGAGACCGAGGCCAAGACACCCCGGAAGTCAATACGCGACCAGGCCTACGATGAGGACGAGTCAATGATGAACGTTGTCGATGAGTCTGAGGATGATGAAGATGACAGTGACGACGAGGATGCCGACGAGGAGCCCATCCTAGACATTGAGGCTGCGGAATCCGTTGGCTCTTCCGATGCCGAGGAGTCACTGGAGGAGAACGAGGATGACGATGACGACGAGGCTGACAGTGACGGCTCCATGGTCGACTTCATCGCCGACACGGAAGACGAGTCCGACGATGGCACCCAGCAGCAGGCTCCGCCATCAAAGAAGAGCAAGACTGCCAAGAAGGGCAAGGGTGGACGGAAATAAGGTCCAGTGTACGAATTAGGAGGCTACGGTCCATAAAAGAACATATTTCTCGATGCATCCAACCGGTCTGCATTTATTGTTTTTATTTACTTTCGATATCTTGCGCGCCTGCCGAGCGCCCTGCGTCTATATCAATCAAATCTGATGTCTTTCAAATTTTGGATCGTATCTTCCATCTATCTCCTACACAAGTAGCTCCTCTCCTTCGCAGGGACCTTCGTGCAAAACACGATGGCTAGGGGGCTCCTGCCTCGCCGAGGGGGATTTCCAGGGCCACTGTTCGCTCCTTCGAGGGATAAGTGGTGTAGTGGCCCAGGGCACTGACATCGGCAGTGTCAAGTGCGAGGATAGCTCCGTTCTTACCACCCTCTACCCGCGCCTCTGTGGTCGAGTTGGGTAGTGTGATATGTGCCAATCCCGAGAGGAATACCACCCACCAGATAAAATTAGCAATGCAACAAACAATTCCATGTATCAAGCGAACTTACTGCAAGGTCGGCGCATTGTGTCTACCGCCATCGAACCCAGCGGGCAAAGTCGTAAATGTCGCATTTCCAGTCACAGAACCTAAATCTAGGACCGATGAACCAGAAGTACCGGCTTCGGAAGATGTCTCAAAGCCGGGCTTCAGAGCCCAACACTCGAGTGTGGAGCGATTGTGGCGCGCACCAAGCACGGTCACGTTCAGGGTGGATCCGAGGGATGCATCCAGGGCGAGGGTCGTGGTGGTGAACAACACCTGGGCTAGGGTGGACAGACGCATTTGGGGCTGGAAACGAAGGGGAGGAATGGTGAAGGTGAGACAGGAGGTAGGAGCAAAAATAAAAGCAGAAAAAATAAACAGACATAAGCCCAGGAGACAGCTGAAATACTAACTAGCTCGGGTTCCTGAAGAGCGTAGCGATGGAAGGTGGAGAGGGATCGGCGGGGGGGTTCATCATAACACCCAAATGTGCATAGAATGTACCCATAAGGGGTGGACACTAATGCACGAACTCGATAAACTGACGGTGTGCAGATTATGCTCTTCCAACATTACTCTGCATTGGGAGATATAGTAGGACGAACACAGAATCAGCATTCAAAAATAACATAATCTGCAGCCAAGGGGTATGATATACGAGCTGCTAAGGATAGTTCCCAATCTCAATTCGAAGCAAAGAAACATTAGCGAATGACTTCCCCACCACACTCCTCAATGCCTTCCAAACCTTCGAGAATGGCACTTCCACCAAAAAGGCCACTGGCAGAACCAGTACTTGTTCTCCGTCCTGTCCACACTTCATGGAACTTGATAGTCTGATCACTCGAGGCGATGATGATGCATCCCTCTTCAACAGTCCTGGAACACCACATCCCACCTTCCTTCTCCTTGGGCGTCACCATTCTTGTGAGGGTTCCCCGAACGGTACTACTTGTAGCCTCGCTCTGGGGGAGAGTCACGGTAGCTGAGCTCGTGCGAGACAAAGATGCACGCGACGGGTCTGGTCTGGGCGAGATGACACCCATGGAGCGAGGGAGTTTGCCCGAATAGCGAATTGCACACAAGGCTCTTCCGCAGTCAGCACCAACGTGATGTTCCAACCCATCCCAGCTAACACCATGTGGTCCCCAAGGAACGACGGCGACTTGAGCACAGCTTGGCCAAGCGAAGACAGCAATTCGAAATGGATGATCTGGCTGTGCGTATCCAAAAGTAGCTGCGATCTCGCGCCGGGTCTCGCTCCAGATGAGGCTCGTCACTTGAGCGAAGACGTGGATTGTTGCCAGACAAGCTCCACTGCGGGTGTGATAGAAGTGGATATTTCTGTCGTTGGTGCCGCCCCCCCGTAGCGAGAAGAGATGATTGCCATGGAGCGAATGCGATCGCTTTGACTGCCGCTTTGTGGCCAAATCGATGCTTCTCACTTTTGTTTGGAACTAGAATTGTTCTTCCACCGCCGGATATCAGGGTTCCTGCGTGGCTTAGCAGCGGAGTTGAGGATGGCGGTCGGATTGGAGGGGGACCAACCCACGATGGGATCGGTTGTCCCAAGGCAGCCCGTCGATGGAACAGTCGCCTAGTCATAGTGCCTATGGCATGATATGGGAAGGCGCCCAGGCTGAGACTGGACGAGGAATTTGACACGAGGGGTAAGATTATCGGCTGTGATGGAATAATCTTGCACATCTCGAAGAGCAGACAAACGTTGTCGTTCCCGCCTGTAGCAAGGTATTTCAAATCGGGTGACCATGCCATACCGCAAATTTGCTGAGTGTGCGCACATATTTTGGCAAGTAGTGTCATGGATCCGTTCCATTGCCATTTGACTCGGTCATCTTCGCCATTCCATTCAACCGAGTAGTACCAAATGTTTCCCAATTCATCGCCTGCAACAAGTTCTTCTACCTCGACTTCCATATGAGTCATTCGTTCGGAGTACCGGCGAGATGTCTTGGGTTTGAAAGCGACACAGGTGATGCTGTTGGGATGGCTGATCTCGAACCGAACATGCTTTTCGAAAGTGCTCCATAGTGTCAATTGACCAGACCGACGAGCCACTGCAAGTATGCTTCTTCTGCCATCATCTGATGAAAATGACAATGAAGTTACATAATTTGACAGATGCACATCCTGAAAAGGTGGATAGTCAACCCCACGGCCTTCGGACCAGAGGTAGACATTATGGCAAAGACCCACTGCCAAGATTCCCGATATACTCGAGTATGCAAGCGTGCTGCAGTAGAAGTCATCCCGAAGAAACGGAGCATCTAGGATTCGAAATGGCTTCGGTGGGACGATCTCCTTTGTAGCGCGAGCTTTTGGCCCTGGAAATCTGGAGTCAGCTCCGCAGCAAATGACTGCTGGTTTTGTAGTCTTATACTTTTCTTAAAAATATGGTTCTGATATCTCTTTATATGGTAAATATAGCCAAAGACTGACGAATGTACTCACAATGCTCTCTTTCAACCTTCTTCCATGCACTATCTTTCCAGACGAATGGAGAGAGGCGCTCGAAGTTCGGAGATATGGGATTGAGAGGAGGATCAGGACATGGTAAAGAAGTGCCAAGCAATCTGTTGGTTTGGTCGATATCTAAAGCAAGCGCTAGTCTAGACTCATGAATCGCATGTTCGCTGTATTTTGGTTTCTTGGGCATGAAGCGAGCCACAAAGGTTGGAGCGGCTGATTGATGGCTCAAAGAGTTTGGCGTGCCATTGCTAGTCATGGAATGGGGAGTTCCATTTGCTGCGGAAGCTCCACCAACACTCCAAATTGTATCATTGCTTGTTTGAGTAGTGCTGCCATGAGAATTGAAGTTGGTAATGTCAGTGATCAGATGAGGCCGCTGGCGTGGTATCCACTGAAAGCTAGCCGGCCGGACACGAGTAGAGTTTGTAGAAGATTCTGCTGGAAGGAATGGGTCGTCGCCGGGTGTCAGTCGCCGGAAGAGTCTTTCTTGAGGCGAAAGGTGCTCTGGTAGCTTGGTTACAAGAAAGGTTGCTGATTTTGGTACCACAAAATCCCGTCTTGGGATGAATCGATCAGGGGACAGTGTCCTTCGCAGCGGGCTTCTGGAGCTCGGTGGGCTTGTCGCAGCTCTCAATCTATAGCGTCCTCTTTCTGGGGATGAGATTCGGTTCTCTTTGGAACGAGCAAACACGCGCGGCTTGGCGTTAGGCTTTTGAGGAGCGGGCGACTCAAAGAATGGCAAGAAGTAGGTAGCAGACTCAGATATTGGGATAGCTTCGCTCTCCCTTGAAGAGCTGGACCGAAAACGCGCAAAGGAGGGAATTCTGTGGTGATCTGCTGGAGAGGCTTCCTCGAAAGAATGACATCTTGTTTCTACCATCATTCTGGACGAGATAGTTAAGCATCGGTAATTGTTGACCTGGTGCCACCTGGGCAATGAAAGGAATGTAGAAGGGACCTCTCCTTCAAACCAGCATAGAGAGAGACAGAGACAGAGACAAACTCCAGATCCCAGAATAGCAAGTGTCCCCCATGTCACGTGAGCGTATACAAATCGAACGCGAGTTTTGATTGGCCAGGGCTTTCCTTGTCGCCTGAGGCGTACAGTTCTGACATCCCGCAGATCGTCGTCCAACACGTAGACATACTGCAGTTCACAGCATCATCGAGAATGCCTAGTGTGAGTTTAACCCAACTACAAGAGTACTAGTCTATGTGCTGAATCCTGTGATAGCATGGTGTGCCACGGTATAAACCCGTCGAGAAGTCCGCCGAAGAGCGACAGCAGGAGCAACAAAAGATAGATACGTATCGCGATCTTGAGCGCTCAGTCTCCGAAAAGGTTTGCTAAACTTTGAAGCTTAAGCCCAAGAAAGCTCTGACGCGAAATAGGTGGCCGAACATGAATACAGCCTTGACACACTGAAGAAGATCTCCGAATTGCTGTCCAAGAATCCCGAGTACTACACCGCGTGGAATTATCGCCGGCGAGTGCTGCGGTTTCAATTCTCCCAAGAAGACCCGGATGGGAATACTGAGCAAACTCTACAGCTGATCTCGAATGATTTGCAGTTTCTGATTCCCCTTCTCAAAAGCTTCCCCAAATGCTACTGGATCTGGAACTATCGTTTGTGGCTGCTGGATGAAGCTCGCCGCCTTTTACCCCTTGCTCAGGCACGAAAAATGTGGCAGCAAGAGCTTGCCCTTGTGGGAAAGATGTTGACCCTTGATAGCCGGAACTTCCACGGGTGGGGTTACCGGCGCTTCGTGGTTGAGACCTTGAAAGCGCTTGGCACCGCCGAAGAAGCGCGGGGCATGACCCAAACTGAATTCGAGTATGCAAAAAAGATGATCGGCGCCAATCTTTCGAACTTTTCCGCGTGGCATTACCGCACCAAGTTGATTCAATCACTCTTGGATGAGCAATCTGCCAGCGACGAAGAGCGGAAGAGGATGTTGGATGACGGTTGGTCTACCCCTTATCCAAGGTAAATGGTAGAGTCACAAGCTAATGAATATAGAGCTGTCACTTATTCACCAGGCGTTTATCGATCCCTACGATCAGTCACTCTGGTTTTACCACCAAAATTTGATGAGTGTGTTTGATCCGGAGATGGCTGAGCGTACTATGGCTCCCCGTCTAAGCTCATCCGAACGCTTGGAATATATCCGAAGTGAGATTGAGGAGATCCAGGAGATGCTTGACGGGGCAGAAGACTGTAAGTATATCTACCAGGCGTTGATTGAGTACACTCTGCTCGCATCTCGAGTGGGAGATGGTCTGTCTAGTGAGGATCGGGAGCAGATTCTGAGCTGGCTCTCAGAGTTGAAAACGTTAGACCCATTGCGACGTGAGAGGTGGCTCGACCTCGAAAAGACACTCTGAGCTCAATAAATTCATTTCTTCGCCTCTTCCTTTACCCGTGAACAGTGACATCCATCCACGGATAGCATCCCGAGGTCATTATTATAGTAGTCGAGTAGCCCTGGAGGCGATCCTAGAGGTCTAGACTCTACCACCCATGGACCGAATTTAGAAGTCCTACCAATGTTTTACTGTAGGTTTTTGTCAAGTCTTTCCAATACCCAGGTGCCCATGCCGTCTTTACAAGATTTTTCCATTTGTTGTACCGTTATTTACTATGACTTTGACATACTGAAGTTCATCCTGGGCCGCGCGCCAACGAGGCTCTTAATGTAATTTTTAGCCATATTTGTTTACTCCGCCCCGCCCCTTTCATTAGACGAGAGCCACAATGTGTCATGTAAATTGTAGCCTGGAGTGCCAAAGAGAAGACCTTAAAAAACATTCAAACATGAATGGATAAAATTACAAAAATAGCCAAGAACCGAAATAGTAGGGATTTGATAGGAAATGCATTCCACATAACGCTCCGATCGACAGGTCAATTCCGCATATATGGGGAGCCAATCAGCGTCTTGTGTACCTGTCTCGATCAGTTGAAACTCCCCAAATTCCTTCCTGGATCATTCCTCTCTCTCTATCGAACTACCAATTGCCGCAAATACCGATCCCCTTGAATTCTTGTGTCTTGGAATATCTTGCGACCCGGCGTTGTATGGTCCTCTCCTCAGATTGTTGTGAGGTCACCATCTCAAACCCATGATGGCTACGAATGAGCACAGTCCCGTATACGAAGGGGTAAGTCACAGTCACAGTCACGGACCTCTACAGGTTTCTGGACTACATCCTTTCAACATTGCCTTGGCAGGAGCTTATCGCATGAATAGGAGTCCTTTGATGACGCCCGTGAGACTGCCGAGATCCAGGAGACCCTCAACGTCACGATTCCCCAAACAACCTCCACCCGATCCTTGACCGATAGTCCGCCAATCGGCTCACACCAGTCTCCGGAATCTACGGAGAGACCTCCGCTGCCTTCTGAATCGCAGGCCGAGAAGAAGCACGAGACCGGCGACACGCAGGAGCAAGATGGCGAGGGGGAGCAGCCCAAGAGCAAAGGCAAGAAGAAGAACAAAAAGAAAGGGAATAAGAAGAATGACGGATTTGAGACCAACGACGAGACCAATCACGACACCGACGAGGTGAACACCGCGACCGACAAGCCCAATGAGAGCGACAAGCCGGAGCAAGGACCCGAGGTTACGCAGACAGAAACAGAGACGACTCAGGAGGAACACCACGAGCATGAGCCAAAATCGCCTTTGCTCACTTCCCACCGGTTGTCAACGGGCTCATCGCTCGCCGAGGTGAACCTAGTGAACAGTAACCAGGAGGATCCGACAGACACAACACCTCGCCCCGAAGAGAAGATGGAGCCTCCTCCATTGCCCCCGAAGGATGAATCAGCGCCAGCGAGCTCTGGGCTGATGGGTCTGTCAGGAAGCCTTCCCTCGATGCCATGGGGAGCACCTCCAGTAAACAAGAACCCCCCACCTGTGGCCCCCCCTCCTGCCCGAAAACCGAGCGGTCCATTCGCGTGGTTCTCTCGCAGTTCGACCTCGACCGGCAAAGAAGCCAAATCTCCTTCCCTTACAGCCAGCCGACGAAACACCGCCACCTCCGTATCGACCCTCGCAAGCAACCTGGACCACCGTGATGGAGACGATATCTCGATTGGCTCGAAGAAGCCAAGGCGCAACAGCTTGAAGGATCAGTTTAAGATGTTGCGGTTGCGCGAGGAGAGCTTTGCGCCAGAAGCAGATCAGACGAGCGCTCGATCAGGCCAGGCCAGCATCAGCCAGTCTGGAGCCAGTCCTCCAATCATCCCGGAGGAGGGAGAGCCCCCCCATCCTAGTCGCATCGCCAACTCCATCACCCGGCGCGGCTCATCCCAGCGCGAGACATGACTCTGTGACTGATGCCTCTGTTCCGGTGGACTGGGAGATGTGGCAACAGCTGGTGAACAATGGACCACAAGCCCTGGCAAGCTCAGAGGAATTGAACGCTGCGATCAAGCGCGGAATTCCACAGACCATCCGAGGAGTGATCTGGCAGATCCTGGCAGATTGCCAGACCGCTGAACTGGAGGATACGTACCGTGAGCTTGTGGCACGGGGTACTGCACAGGAGCGAGATGGAAGACCGACTGGTACTGAAACCACATCGTCGCGCTCTTCCGTTCGCTCGCAGCACTCGGAATCTGTCTCGCGCTCAAGCAGCCAGACCCCTAGCCCGACCCAAGAGGGGGATGATAAATTGAAGGAACATGCGGCCGGTGAGGCTGAGCGTGCTAAGAAAGCGAAGACTGATGCGGTAGCTCTGGCAAAGCTGGAGAAGGTCATCAGGCGAGACTTGGGTGCCCGCACCAGTTATGCTAAATACTTCGTTTCTCAAGGAAGCCAGGAAGGTTTGTTTGGTCTTTGCAAGGCATACGCATTGTATGATGAGGGAGTCGGATACGCGCAAGGCATGAATTTCATTGCCATGCCCTTGCTTTTCAATGTAAGTGAATTTTACCAATTTACTGGGCTTGACTGACTGATTACAAAGATGGACGAAGTTGATGCATTCGCCATGCTTGTCAAACTTATGAACAAGTACTCGCTACGGGATATGTTCATTCAAGATATGCCTGGACTTCACCGCAGCCTGTATCAGTACGAGCGATTGTTGGAGGATCTTGAGCCTGCTCTCTACTGTCATCTCCGCCGGCGGGGCGTTCCTCCTCAGCTATATGCCACTCAGTGGTTCTTGACGTTGTTTGCCTATCGCTTCCCGCTGCAGCTGGTGCTGCGCATCTATGACTTAATATTTGAAGAGGGACTGGAGACCACTATCCTCAAGTTTGGTGTTGCGATCATGCGACGAAACTCGGAAGCCCTCCTTGGGATGAAGGACATGAGCGCGCTTACGACCTTCTTGAAGGAGCGCTTATTCGACGCCTACATAGATAAACAGCCATCCACATCCTCGATCCTGGAATCAGGCTTCTTCGGCAGCTCTGGCGCTGCAGATAAGGAAGTCTACCGATCCGATATTCTGGTACAGGATGCCTGCGCTATCCCTCTTACTTCCGACATGCTCGTTACCTACACCGCGGAGTGGGAGGAGAAGACTCGCACCGAAAAGGAGCGTGAACACGAGCTTGACCACCTGCGACATACTGTCGGCATCCAAGGGGCCCGGGTGCGACTCCTCGAAGAGCGCGCCGAGGCCTCAGATAAGGAACATGTGCAACTGGCCTCTGAGCTGGTGCATGTAAAGGTTGAGAATGAAGAACTACGCGACGTCAACGATGCAATGAAGGTGCAAGTCGACGAGCTCAAGAACGTGGTTGACAAGCAGCCCGCTGAAGTGGAGGAAAAGCTTCGATTGGAGATGGAGCGCATCATGAAACGAAACATTGAAGTGCAGAACGAGAACCGCGCGATGGAAGAATCTATGTTCGAGATGGAGAAGGAATTAGTCGCCACGAAGATGAAGTGGGCAGAGGTAAGCCACTCCCATCGATGCCTTAACACCAGACACCAGCCACTAACGCTCGTCAGATGTCTGAAAATCACGAAACCCTCCGCCAAAAATGGAGTGACCTTCGTCGCGCCCTTGACTAACCATACCATCACAATAACGGACCCGGATCCACCGGGGTTGTATATTTGGAATGTGCGGCCAGCGATCTGCGATCCTCTGCGCATTCGGACCATTCTTAAGGGCCGGAGTCTTTGCTTTTGTCGACTTGAGCCAATGTTATGATTTGTCCTTATGATCGTCCCAGCATGCCAATTTTGGACGGCATCGGTGTTTAGTTTTATGTATGGCTACCAGTACGCTAGACGTATGTGTACATCATGAATGGATTTTTGTATTCTTCGATAAGGCTCTATTCAGACAAGTAAACTCGGGTCTTGGATTCCAACCTTGGAAGTCCTCAAACCCCTCATAGGATATTCTCGTAGTAACTCGTCAGGACATCCTCCTTAACCGGCCCTGCAACCGCCTTCAATTGCTTATGCGCCTCACACTGGGTGTCGTAGTACTGCATATCCTCGAGTGAAGCGAAAGTGGTCTTAACGGAGATGTTGTAGCCCTTGTTTCTGGGATCCGGGATTGAAATGCCAACAGCCGCAGCGACGATGTAGGGCTTGCCATCCTAAAAGCCGTTAATAACCGCTTCAAATCCCGGAAATAACCGCGAATGGATGTTGCAGTCCAGAAATCCAGAGAGGATTCAAAGACCAGGTGGCAGAGATCTATCAGCGTACCTTTGTGGCAGTCTTCGCAAGGACCTTGTACTGCTCCAGCACGCGGTCTCGATCCGCTTCGTTGGGGATCTTGAAGAGGGTGATGCGCTCGATAGGTGCCATTTTTGCTGCTCGGAGATTGAGGGATGTGAGTGATCGTAGGGACATGTCGGGTTTATATGTCTAGGCCCACAGGTCATGGCGGGGAAACACTACGACATCGTGTGCTTATTGTTCCGTCGGGTAGCGGATGCTCAGGTGGGTATGGGGTCGGTTATAATTGATAATCACATTAATCACGTCACCGCATGGGTCAACCACAGGGACATTCATGGGTTTGGAGCTATCATACAAGGCTCTGCGCCTTCTGTATCTTGTGCGTCCTATGTGCATCAATTGAATGTGCTGCAGATGTGGGCGGAAATGCGTGGTTGGAGAGCGCTTAATTCCGCTCGGGTATTCGCTTTGTTCCGGGGGCGGAATTGACTCGGATTGTGTCAATTGGAGGTATAAATTGTTAGAATGTTACGCCGTACATGCAAACGTGGATAGTTGTAACAGGTCTACATAATCATATAGGTGTGTATCAGGAATTTCCACGTAGCGCCTGTTCCCTCTCGAATGCCTCAAATAAGCTCTTAAAGTTCCCGGCTCCAAACCCGTCGAATGAATTACGCTGAATGACTTCTGTAAACACCGTTGGACGATCTCCAACGTGTTTAGAGAAGATCTGCAGCAAATATCCACGATCATCGAAGTCGACGAGGATATTGAGACGCTCGAGCACGTCTACATCGGCGCCGAGTGTCCAAGAGACCCGTGTTAATCGCTTGCGTAGGTCGGCGTAGTACGCAGCAGGAACATTCAGAAATTGGACACCTCGAGCTTGGAGCTGAGATACAGCTGTAACAATGTCATTTGTCCGGAAGGCAATATGCTGCACCCCGGCACCGTGGTAGTAATTTACAAACCTAAGAATAGCCGTCAGTACAGAAGCAATATAAGCATAACGAATGGCACGCACTCTTCAATTTGTGATTGTTTTTTGCCGGTTGCAGGCTCGTTCATAGGCATTTTAATGGTTTCATTTGGCGACGCGATGACAATAGATCGCATTGCTGAGTATTCGCTGCACATGTCTTTATCGTCGACTGTCCAGTAACGATGGAAGTCTAAACACTCTTCGTAACTGGAGGTCATCAGTTAGATTTGCGCTTCAGCAAGACGGTATACCACTCACTATTGAACAATGCTGTCCACTCCTCCCCATGACTGGTTCCCGACACAATGATCGATCTCAAGGAAGTCCACTTCCGGTAGAAGCTTTGTGATAGGATCCTCGGCGGTGATCGCTCGATATCCTGGTAGGAAGGGCGCATCTTCTGAATAGCGCTCCCGATTGATTAATGAGTGTACAGTGTCCCCATAAGTCCCAATCGTCGCCGATACAAGCATCCCATGCCCGTCGACAGCAACAGCCCTCGGTTCGGCGACAGCGCGGGCACCGTTCTCGACAGCTCGTTTCCACACAGCATCGATATCGCCCACAATCCGAAAAGCAACGTCCTTGACCCCGTCTCCGTGGACGGTCAAATGTTCGTGAATCTCGGCCAGCGTAGTGCGCTCGTGATGGGAAGCCCGTGCTAGGAGGCTTTCCGCGCCATCTTTTGGCGGACCGCAGACAGGCCCTGTCAGTATGAATGTAGCGTCACCGTTAGCTACGACATAGCTAACGAGGAACGGCGAGCCAGTCTCCGGGCCTCGGTAGGCAATGGGCCGGAAGCCCATGCGAGTAATCCAATATGACGCTGATTGTTTGGGGTTTCCGACGAACCAGTGAATGTGATCGAAGCCCACGTACGCGGGACCCATCTTCGAGGGGAAGATGTCTTCATTTGGCGAGACCGTCATGATGGTTTTGAGCTGTTGTATCTGTATGGATTGGAGGCAATGTAGTCCATCCAGCAGCCGTTGGCCGTTGTGACTTGCGAAGGATTATTTATGAGCGATTTTCAAAGCGGCTGTCTCAGGTTGAGAAGAAAATAGAACTTCTGGCGAGGGATTCCTAGTCCAGATGTGTGACATTCCAGGGCTGCGCCGGATCAACATATAGATAAACTATGAGGCAATGCTGAAGTCATCCAAGTATGTACAGCAGCCATGTCCAACTCTTTTTCTGACGCTTTGCGTATGCAGACATGGTCGATACAGCGCTTCCAATGACCAGCGCTTGGTCTTTGGGGAACCCCGGAGGTTCAGACTGAGGCTTGCATATCCATTCACGGTAACTGTGGTCGTAGCTGGGACCAAGCGCAAAGTCACTGTACCAATCTCGCTTTCTCTGCAACCTGGCGCTTTGATGTCGAAGCCCCCAGTATCATATTGCATCTTTTTATGCCCCAGTGGGAAATTCCAGAAGAGCCCAGGAAGGAAGGGCTATATTGAAGTTCGGATACCCAATGGGCCAGCTCAGACATTATTCACAGGCTCAGGCCGACTCTTGAAGAAGATCTTGTAGCGCACAATTTCCACGACTTCCAGTTCCTCAGCTTCCGAAGGGTGTTTCTGCACCACAGCAAGCGGAAGTGGTAGCTTCTTCACTTCTCCGGTCATCCGTTGGTACCGGCCGACATACAGATAAGCGCGCTTCATCCATTTTGTGTCGTCCGGGTTGAGGGTCGAGTAGTCCGGGAACATGAGCTTTCCGATCGGTGTTTCAAAGGCAGAAGCGGGGTCAATATTGGTAGGAGTGCCTTCCATGTCCTCGTCTTCAGTTCCCGGAACATTGATGGTGCCCTGAAGCTCGAGGATGGCAAGACCGGAGGGTGTTTGGAGCAGCGTTGGGAGGGGATTGGGGGCGGGTGTGGACGGGGCGGTGGCAGTCGCTTTATTGCCTGGTAACGAGGGGCGAGGGTGTAGCTTTACAGAAGGCATTGTGAGTTGAGCGTTGTGTACTTCGTAGTTGAGGCCTGGTGATTGGGAAGGGGGACGCGGTCGCGGTCGCGGTCGCGTTTGGCGATATCCCCACATTTCCTAATTGGGTGAAATGAGCGAACATAATGGGTTTGATATTCAATAAAGTTATGATAGATACATGATTTCGGACGTGGTTCATTCATATCCGCCGTATGGGCACAAATAAATTGAGCATTCGAGCCTCCCTTCCCTATCCCAAGCAGCAATGTATACAGCTGCTGATTTTGCACACAAAATGGGTTCGTGGGAGGCTTCATGGCTTGCAATTCGGTGGCGGCGCTTGACTCATGCAAATGATGTATTTGGGAGCCTCATATAGATATTTGTATCAAGCCTGGCCGGACTGAAACAGGTCGAGGCGGATCTGGGGTGTTGTGTGGCCCGGGAGTGGAGGGTAACAAGCACTTGATATAGGCAATGCCAGCTCAAGTCCTTCACTGCTCAGATTCACGAGGCATTCTTCTTATAGCAAGCATCTTCGAGGTTCTGCAACCCCTGTATAGCCTGACTGGCCATATCTTCTGCGGTGCCAGCAGGACCTTGCAGTTTCCCGTAACGGAGATCGCTCATATCACCGACGGTCGTATTGAGCTGTTTAAGGATGCTTGCTGCTTCTTCATCGATACCGGCAATTTCATGCTCAATATTTGCAGTAGCGATCTCCATTTCGGCTAGTAAACTCGCCACCGAGTGATAATCCGCAGGAGCAGCGGGGGCTTGACCGAAGAGATGAACATCCAGGTCCATTTCGCGTTGCTCTTCGGGATTTGAGGCTTCAACACCTGTAGCCTGACTGGCCTTTCGTAGATCAGCTCTTTGCTGTTCCCCTTGCTTGATCTCATTGTCAATGTTTTCGTTCACTCGGTCCATGTCCTGTTGACGGACTTGCTGTAGCTCTCGATACAGAGTCCTGATATGAGGATGGGATCTCAGGCGCTTCGGAAACAGTTCTGTAAACTTTTGCAATGACATAACTGTCGGAAAAGGGGCTGGTGAGAGTAGGAAATTGCCCAGGATTGATTCCTCTGTTGGTGCCATGATGGATTGTCACTTTGTGTAGTGGTGATTGAACCCGACGCGAACCCGAGGTGAATCCGAGAGGAGATGGAATTCACGACAAGTTTGAATGGAGAACACAATGAGCAGCAGATTCTGGACAACAGAAACTTATAGATTGTGAAACGATGTCAATATGGTGGCGAGGAGAGTGTATGGAAGGCCTATTGATTGTTCCCGCGTCTAATTCTTCAAGGGGCCACTCAGCACGCTTTTCCTCTTTTCCTCATCCTATGACATCTGAATAGCCTCCCTCCATCGCCCTGTAATTCTTTTGTCCTCTAATTTTCGATCTCAGACCATCTTAAGCTGGTTCCTCGTCTCTTTTCGTGATTAAAATCCCAATTGCTACTGCCAGCTCGGCGCGACAGCCCGTACTACGTGCCACGCGCGGTTTGCCAATCCCCTTCTTCTTCAACCAATCCTACATAGATTGCGATTGAAAGACCATTACTACACCTGCCGGCTTATTTCTCTTGATAATACGGTCGTTACTCCCTGCGCTTGCAGTACTTTCCTCGCAAAGCCGGGAAAACACCATTTCTACCGGCTCATTCGACGCTTGAAGTCTTTCATACTTTCATACCAAGCAACATTTTCAACGGAGTAACATTCATTCTCTGATTCCAACCAAGAAAATGGCCCCATCTATGTACAGCAAGGACGAGAAGGTCCTCTGCTTTCACCATGAGATCCTTTACGACGCCAAGATCCTAGATGTTCGTCACAAGGATGCCAACGACAAGAAGAGCCCCTTTGAATACCAAGTTCACTACAAGGGCTGGAAGAATACGTGAGTTATACTTCTACTATCCTTCTCTCTTTATCTGGTCCATCTGGTCCTCTGATCCCACGCCTCCATTCACTATGGACCATCTCCTTCCCAAATCATTACGAGTTGTATCACGCATGCGTGCTTGCTTTTTACGACTGTCGTCTTTTCCGTCTGATCCTTCTTCAATCCAATTTGGTTAATTGCCATGCCAAACAATCGACCTGCTTGACTATGAATTTTGCTGACTCGGACACAGCTGGGATGACTGGGTCCTCGAAGATCGTCTTCGGAAACACACTGAAGACAACCGCGAATTGGCTAACAACCTTCGCCGTGAAGCCGAAGCTTCATTCCGTCTGAAGAACACCAAAGCTTCCGCAAAGAAACGCGGTGGTTCCGACCGTGACTCTGTGCGGGATAGCGAGGAGCGCGGGGCCTCCGTGCCTGGTCGCGGCACTAAGCGAGCCCGTGACAATGACATCGAAAAGGTATGTCACAATACCCAGGCTGCGAAAGATCTCTGTTTTCAATGAGCCAGCAAATGCTAATAATTCTGTAGGAAGAGAGTTTCAACACCCGCCCCTCTGTCCGCATTGTGATGCCAGACAATCTGAAGTCGCTGCTTGTTGATGATTGGGAGCAAGTCACTAAGAACCAATGCGTTGTTTCGTTACCTGCAAAGTACCCCGTGCGCCAGATTCTCAAGGACTGGCATGAGGAGGAGGAACCCAAGCGCTCGGGCTCCTCGGCCGATGAAGATGTCTTGGAAGAAGTAGTGGCTGGCTTGCAGGAATATTTCGACAAGTGTCTTGATAAGATCCTACTATACCGTCACGAACGCCAGCAGTACCGCAACCTACGGAAGAAGTTTGAGGCGGCCACTGGTGACCTCGCAGACAAGGGACCTATCGATGTTTACGGCGCCGAGCACTTGATTCGTTTGTTCAGTATGTTCTAACCTCCCCTCAGGTACTTTGAGACCCGATTGCTAATTCGTTTCAGGTACTTTGCCCGAGCTTATCGCTCAGACAAACATGGACATGCAGGCCACCAACCGGCTGCGCGAGGAGATTTCCAAGCTGTCAATGTGGTTGAGTAAGAATTCGGAGAAGTACTTCGCGACTGCTTATGTCGTCGCGGAAAGCACCCACTGAGGCTTGAGTTTATGTGTTGTTTGAAGGCTGTTCTGGTTCCAAGTTTTCCAGTGAGAATGGGGAATCAAGACCGCCGAAAGATATTGAAAGATATCTGGAGTCCTACCTAATCTGACATGCTAACAAAATTTGTTGAGAAGCGCTAGCAAGAACGTTGAAATAAAGCCCCCATCATGTTCCTTTGTTTCCACGTAATGCTATTCTCATGGGAATGAATCCAGAGTTTTCATGATGCAGTATAGATCGTAAAATCTGGATAAAATTGCATCGAATGGGCAAGATTTCTTCAATTGTCTACCCCAACCATACATAAAAACCCCGCTTGACTCCCCACTCCTCATCTCAGTCTAGATATGAGTTCCTTAGTAACAAGCCTTTGGACGTCATATCCTAAGCAACTAGTTGCCTCGCATCGTCAACAGCACACCTCGTCGCGCGCTTCAACTCACTCTTCCACTCCGCTTCGCGCCACTTAACCCAAGCACTCAACCCCTCAGGTGGCTGGATACTCAAAGTGTCATAACCCTGTTTGATAATGCGGTGGACCTCCTTGGGACTCAGGTTCTTCTTTTTGATAGAAGGCAGCGCCACCGGCGTGGGCTCATCGGCCTTGGTAGCAACCGCGGGGGCCTCTCCACCCTCGTGGAAAAGCAAGGTGTAGAAGTGCGTAGACACAGACTGGAGTGTCTCGATGGCAGCTTTCTCATTAGATTTGGCAAAGGCGTCGCGGAATTTAGAGATGATGGGGCCTGTTTCAACGAGTTTGTAGAAAAGATCGTCGTAAGAGGCTGGGTCTGGGAGGAAGGTATCACCGCCTGAGACGCAGAAGGCAATTAGATCAGCAAGGCTCGTTGTGAGGGTTTCGATCCTTGAGACACTAGTTAGATCTGAGGCATAGGTTGTGAGGAAGCGCATCAGGGAGAGAAGAGTCCGCCAGAGCTCAGACCAATGATATGTTAAGCGGATTTTGTTTTTGGAGAGATATGTCAGGAGGCGGAGAATTATGGCGATGGTGTGGCTAGGTATTGTTAGTAGACTGCTGCGGAAAGATAACGGGGATTGCTCTTACCTGTAGATGTTGACATCGAGCCGACGTCGGAGGTTGTGGGTGATGGTATCGATCACGATATCGAAAATGACGGTCGCAAGGACCCGGTCTCCGCTGACCAGAGGGAGGTAGGGTTGTTTCTGTCGACAGATACGGACTTTGCGCTTGCCATCATCTGCGCAGATGTGTTTACAGATTGTCGAGTCCTCGACGAGGATTCGAAGTGTGAATAGGTTCAGCTCCGCGTAATGTCCGACGCGCGGCGATCGGTATGCATGCTGGAGGAGATAGGATGTCAACGAGAGGAAGCTGGAGAATGGGGATTCCTCTGCAACGTTCTCTGGCTTCATATGAACTAAATGATATCCAAACAACTTGTTGGCGTTTGTGAAGTCGTATGTGGCAAGAAGAATGGAGGCCTCTTGGGAGGGTCTAAAATGACTGTTAGCGGTTTGTCTATCGTTCTTTGTGTGACAACTCACAGATCAGCAAACATTGCCTTCGCATCCTCTGCAGAAGGGGGTGTCGCTTTGTCTTTGGCTCCTGGAGCGAGAGCTCGCAGACCAAAAAATATCAACGTATTAGCCAAATTCCACCCCTCTGGGATGTCATCTTGTACAGCAACATAGCCATTGCGCAGGCCGCCACAGGCGAGACCAACGCCCTTCGCAACTTTTTGAATGCTAGCCTCATTGACAAAGTCATCGAGTCGATTTTGATAGGGATTTTGAAATTCAAACTTGTTGTAGTTTGCAAACAGCCCCAGGAGAAGGAATGGTTCAAAGACTTGCAGCGAAGTCTCGGAGTCGGCAACATACTGTTTAAAATTGTCAATTTTCGTCAAAATGCAATTCCGAGAAGAAAAACGTACCTTCATTAGCGATGGGAACAGGTCCCTGTGTGTGAAATAGGAGACCAAGCTGGTTTTGTATGCTCCGCTGGTCATGGCAATGGCCGTTTTGATGGCCTTGAGCCGCACATCGACTGAAATGGAAACAGTATCAGTTACCAGTCCCGACCAAAAAGGGAAATCACTCACGTGTGCTTCCATTACGAATAGTTCTGTCCAAGACAGTCACGAATTCGGAGATTACATGGTCCACTTCATCGAGTCCAGCAAGAACAGTGATGACGTCCGAGCTCGGATTGGTGTATTTTTTGCTCAAGATGCTCGTCAAGAAGATAGTCAAAGTCTGTCATTGGCGTTAGTATCAAGTCCAAAGATGGAAGTTTGCATATTCACATCTAGCGCATAGGAGGCTGCCGGGGCGACCCCAGCTGCCGCTTCCCGAATGGCGCGAACAAAGAAACGTTGCGTTTGAATCTGATGGAATATTAGCATTCTGGTCATGATCTGCGTTGTTTAAACGGTTCTAGCCAAGTCTTACCTGGAGGCTCAGTGTGTCGTCTGGACTCAGATTGTCCAGAATGTCATGCAGCTGATTCCGGTCCGGAGGCAGCAGGAAGAACTCTCTCCAGAATCCTTCCGATGGATCTGTGTCGTCGGCCGCCTATCGGTCCTTAATCAGTAATGTTTCTTGTGAGTCGCGGTCCAGTTCGTACCTTGAAGAGGTTCTCATAGAGCTGGACGATCTTGGGCTTGAAAGACTCGGGTCTACTTTGCAGGGTCAGGGGTGAATAGTCCATGATTTAGACGCAAAAGATCTGCAACGAGATCGCCAGCATCGTTTGGAAGCAAAAAACAAGGTATTATGTTGAGTTGATCTCGAGTTCAATTGCTTTGATGTGAAAAAGGGACCACTTGGTCATGTCAGCGGGTCCAGCCACATGTCCTCCCTATGACTTGGCATCTACAATATACGGAGTACAGTATCACAAAATGAGGATGTGAGGTTTTATTATATTAAGTGTTATCGGTGGATCTATAGCGTCACTGTTTATATTACTCCCACTTAACTGGATTTGGAGATGTGGCATCCCCCCCCATGGAGGGGGAGCTTCTCCGAAGAACGGAATTTGCCGCGAGGAGGATTACATCAGCCTCCGAAAAACGCACCAACCTGCATACATCATACATGAGGTAAAATGCAGATGAGATGGGATATTGTACTTTTTAATAGCTGAAGTGAGTCAGAAAAAGAAGATTATAGACTCGGTCAGCCGGCAGTGCAGGTAGCCAAAGCATGACCAAGCGGTACCTTGATGGCGCCACGGTGTGTAGAAACTCCTCAACGCTGATTGGTCTACTTTGCGTCATGCTATTGAATTACCTAATCCGAAGGGCCACCCGGGGAATCCTCAAAGTCATTCTTCTTCCACTCAGTTCTTCAACTACACAACTTCATACATATTCTCCTATGAGTCAATAGCAATTCTCGTCGAGGCTCACCCTTTCATACAACTGCTCCTCGACAATGACTTTCTACACAATGCGTCCTGTGACATCATCCGCCACACTCCTCCTCCGGGCAAAGCCCTCGGCTGGCCCTCTGCGTGCCTTCTCATCTTACGGAAATGCCCTTTCCTCCAAGAGAGACATGCAAACCGCAACTGCATACCGCCCTCACACGCTTCCCTCCTCTTTCCCGCCTCCCCGAAGCAGCGGCGGCGCCGACACCTCCATTTCAGCAGAGTTCCCCCTCCCCGAGTCACAGCCCACCCAGCGAACATCACAAAACACCGCGCCTAGTGTGAGTGTTCGGGAAAGCGAGGCTCAAAAATCAAAAACCAGCTTCGCCGCTTCTCCGGCCGCCCCCAAGACTTCCCCGAAACCCCGTCGGCCACTTCGGCCAAGGAAGGCAGCCATGAAGTTGTCCGCCGTGGCCACCGAGCAACTCCGAAAGTTGATGGCCCAGCCAGAGCCGAAATTTATCCGGGTTGGTGTGAAGAACCGGGGCTGTTCGGGTCTTGCTTACCACCTCGAGTACGTGGAGCAACCGGGCAAATTCGACGAAGTTGTTGAACAGGATGGCGTGAAGGTCCTGATTGACAGCAAGGCTTTGTTCAGCATCATTGGCAGTGAAATGGACTGGCATGAAGATAAGCTGAGCAGACGTTTTGTTTTCCGCAACCCCAACATCAGTAAGTGGCCCGTGCAACCTCAAAAGGATTTGAAATTTGAGAATCAGTGACTAACTTATTACCACAGAGGAAGAATGTGGCTGCGGAGAATCCTTCATGGTCTGAACCTATCCATGTATAGGTCTTATTCTCTCGTTTGTTTTCCCTGAACACACCTCTCGGCGTCTTTCTTATACCGGTGCATTGGACGGCGTTTCAAAGGGTTGGGTCATTCTGCCACTCTTTTTTTTTCACTTTGTTTTCCGTACATACGCTTGATATCCAGTTTATAACCCTTTCTCCATCTTTTTCCCTGCCTATTAACCCTCCGCATCTGATGGCTTATGAATGCTTTGGGTTTATTCGCTGGGCTGTCAGAGACGAGCTAGTGGTCTCATCAAACGGCTGTTTGACTGCGGGCTCGGCCAGTTCTTGAGGCCTTCCTAGATTGATCCTTGCGATGTCTAGATGTTTAGATTAGTCCTATGGACGATGATGATAATATGTGACATACAATCAAACCTACCAAAAGATCAAAAAAATCTCACGAACCAGCCATATTCTTTTAAATGTACATACGGGTAATAGCGATATTGATCTAATTGATCTCAATACATTTAAAACACAATATAAGGGTCTAGACTTCATCACATGACGGTATTGTTGGGCGAAGGTGGTCCGAGGCCGCGGAATCATGGGGTAAGCATCCCGGTATCTCCAACATTATACTCCGTACTTCGGACAGGCATATCATCCCTGCTTGGAAACACATCTACACCATGTCCTCTCCGTTCCAGTCATCCTCCCCAAGCGACCAAGGAAATGCACTCCTCATAGCTGTCCGCTTCTCCGCCTCAATTCCCGACCTCCAACTCGATGTCCCAGAACCCGAAACCACAACAGGCGCAGGCCTCAAACAACTAATCCGCGCCGATCTCCCTAAAGACCTCTCATCCCACCGTCTCCGCCTCATCTACGCAGGCCGCGGCTTAGAAGATACAACTGCTCTCACAGTCTCACTCAAACTGCCCACCCCACCCCGAAGCTCCCCCGCATCCGAACCCGACAATGTCAAAGGCAAGCAAGCGGTGCGCGACGCCCGCCCACGCATATACATCCACTGCTCAATTGGCGACATCGCACTTTCCGAAAAAGACCTAGCAAATGAAGCAAGCGTCTCATCAACACTGCAAAGAAGGCAGTCTTCCAAACCAACTGATGCAGACGAACGCTCGCCCCTCGTCCCGCCTGCCCAGCCGCAAACAACCCCTGCACCCCGTGGCTTCGACCGACTTCTCTCGGCTGGCTTTACGGCCGCTGAGGTTACGGCCCTGCGCTCACAGTTCCTGGCTATGCAGTCGGTTTCGCACACGCGCGATACCATGCCTAGTGGGGAGCAGCTCAGGGATCTTGAAGATCGGTGGATGGATGAGGGGTCTACGGCTGTGCAGGTGGCTGATGGGGGGAATGACGAGGGCGTTGGGAATGGTTCGCATGGGGAGATAGACGATCTGGTGTGGGGGGCTGTTATGGGGTTCTTCTGGCCTATTGGCTGTGCTATGTGGCTGAGGAGAGAGGAGGGGGTTTGGAGTTGGAGAAAGGCGCTCGCTGTTTCTGGGGGCGTTGCTCTCAATGCGGCGTTTGGAGCCATGAGGATTATGGGTTAGGGATGGAAGGCTTTTGATGATTTGTTTTGTTCCTTTATGATACCCCCGATACGAAGCATTTTATGAATATTAGACATTGATACCTAGGTATTGCAAGTCTCCCGGTTATTCCTTGAGGTTGTACACCTCGTACATGGGTCAAAGAAAGCACCGGGAAAAACATAGTGACATCCGAATATGGACACCTACTATGCTCGTTCAATTCCAAAGAAGTGCTCGAGTTTAGAATACTACAAGCCAAAATCAGAGTAACCCCTTGGAAGATCATCGAGAAAACCTTGGCAGATATTGAAGCACAACTGGGCGAAGCAAAAGATCAAAGTATCCTGATCCTCTGAATGGTGATGTATTAAGACTCGCCGTATGTTGTTGCATAGAATGCAGAAGATGCAGCAGCGTCTTGTATGAGAAGAGCAATAATAAACATGAACATAACCAAGTATACAAACGCCTCTGCGTCCTTCGCTAATGGAACTTTCCGTAAATAACTGCGAAAATCAAAAGCACCAGAACCGTAATGATAGCAATAGTGATCATCCGATTGGTAGCCATCCTGCAAGCACTCGTTAGCCAGTATCCTAGAATTTCACACCAAAGGGACTCAGTACCTACGGGCCATGCCCCTCAAAGTCTTGATACTCGTATCAACGTAGCCCTCACTCTGCTGCAAGTTGTTCCTGGCATTGGAGATCTGCTCCCGCTGCTCATAGAGTGTACCGAGCGTCCCGCGAGCGATATCCTCCGTGTCCAGTGCCATGCGCTGACTCTGCTGTAGCCTGGCCGAGCTGCGCTCTAGTCTGTCCGTACCAGAAAGCAACTGCTGTCGTTGTTCCAGGTGTTCATCTTGCGGCTCGTCGGTGTACCGGTCACCAAAGAGGGCCTGGCGATCGTCTGACAGGGACTTAATCTTGCGCTTGATTTCATCGATGTCGGTTGAATAGTTGCGGAACCGGATGTTGACTTTGGACCGTGTGGCTGAGGGGATGTTCTGTTTCTCCATGCGCATTTGGTCGAGCTGGACGGGGTTGCGGTTAGTTTTCTGTGGAACTTGGGGGACTTTGGTACTGCAGAGGGAGACCCCATGCGCCTCGGACTTACCAGTTCTGTCGCTTCGTCGAGTACTGAGTTGGCAAGGCTGATTGCGGATTTCCGTTGCTCGCCGCTTGCCTCCGCGATCTGGTCTAGCTTCTGGTTCAGGTTGGCTTGCACCAGCTTGAGTTCGTTCTCGTAGCTGGCGAACATCTCCGAGCCGGCATCTGTGTCTAGTGGGGTCGACATGGTGTTTGTTGGGGGTTCGAGGTGTAGTAGGAGTCAAGAGAGTGTCTGGCTGCGGTGATGTGATGTTGGCTCCACCTTTATCGGGGGTGATTGTACTAAGAGCGTTGAGTGGCGGGTTCGGTCAACGGACGCCAAGACGGATTGTCTGTTTCTGGACGTGAACAAGTGGCTTTCACGCAGCTGGAAATAAAGTAGACACTTTCTGGATTTATCTGGTGCAACTGATAGGGTTTTCGAGAGGAATGGGACAGGAACCTCACCCAAATGCCGAGTTACACGTGATTCGAAGCCGGGGTTGCATCCATGGGTGCATATGATCTCCAGGCAGAGCGTTACTTTAAACAAGCCTCAATGCCGCGCTCACGCGCGGCCAAAAAGACGATGATAGTTGCTTATAAACAGGTGTAGTTATGTATTGGCTCAATCTCATAGTTCGATTGGTAACGGAAGAGAGCTATCATCAAATTCGGGACCTCTTTCGAGCTGTCTTTTGAACTGTCCTTTGAGCTGTCCTTTTGGCTGTTCTTTTGGCTGTCCTTCCAAGGTTCTAAGTAATCGTCAAGTCATCATAATTGGCCCAGTAAAAGAAGTCTTGGCTAAGCCGTGAACAGAGAATTAGGGATTGGGGATCTGTTGATCTTGTCGCGCAGTAAGAAGTAGAATTTGATACATAGCATTAACGTAAAACCAAGCCCACACAAAACAATTCGCCTTTTCAATAAACAACCAAGATGACCCTTTGGTATACAAAATCATGGAGCTCTTAAATGTCCCATCTATGACAAAAACTTGTCGCTATCCCGACCAACAATGACGGCACTTCGCTTGGCATCAAGGAAGAGATCTTCGCATTCCGTAATATCGGCCTCTTCAATTCCAGCCGGGCGGCCATTGACGCGCGCAAGGATGCTGGCGGGGGTCAACAGCTGCAAGGCATACCGCAAGCTAACCTTGCTGCCATGCTCGGCAACCTTGTTCAAAGCTGGCTCTGTAATGACGAGACCCTCAACCTTGGCGCGCAAGCGAATGATGGTCTTGATCTCTTCGGGGGCATAGGGTTGAGTGGGAACGATAAGAAGACGGGCGAGCAGATCGGGGGGGAATACCGTGAGCGGCACTAATGTCGTCAGTGCCACGAATGACTGTGTGGCCGCGGTTGGAGGCAAGGATGACAATGGGGGAGATGCTCGATTCAAGAGCGCGGTTCAGATATGTGAAGCACTCGATGTCGAGCATGTGGACCTGAGCAAGAACTTGTATTAGCAATATGTCGGAAGACAACAATGGGATCGACGTACCTCGTCAATGAACAGAACACCGGGCACCAGCTCTGCAACACCCTGGTCAATGTAGCGGTTGACAACCTTGTTAATCTCCTGGCGCAGCTTGTCCGTAATCTCGGTCTTCTTGGGCTTCATCAGCTGGCCCATCATGCTCATAACATCTTGACCGCCCTGCGGGCGCGCATTTGCCATATCCAAATCGTGGAGGGTCACATCTTGGACGATCTCCTTCTTTTTGTGGACCTCGCCCTTGGGAACGGGCACATACTCCTCTGCCTCAAGGTCGAATTCGGTCGCATAGGCGTCGGATCGGCCGACTCGCTTGCATGCTCCGGTGTTTGCTTCAATGTAGATAACGTCTCCGACTGTGACGCGCTCCTTCTGGATGGCTTCGTAGATGCTAGGATCCAGGCGCAGCTTCTTAGTGCCCTTGGCAGACTTCAATCCAATGATCAGGTGGCTAATCGTGCGTCCGTATCCACCAAGAGGGTTCTCGGTCTCTTCGGGGGTGAGCTCTGTGACTTCTCCCTCATAAACTTCCTTCGTTTCGCGAACACGGAGACCTGCAAACCGTTAGCTTAAAATTCAATGTCACGTTTTCAATTTCCCATCGTGTCGCGTTGCATACCAATAGCTCTGCGGAAGTTTTCCATCAATGCCTCGGTCTTCTTGACCTCTGCAGAGTAGACCTCGCTGCCCACGATGGGACAGAAAGGAACCTTGGTTCCCAGCTCCTGTGACACAGCAAGGGCCAGAGCAGTCTTTCCGGTTCCGGGGCCACCAGCAAGTAGTACGGCGCGTCCAGCCATCTTCTTCGCCTTGATCAAGTCCACCACAACGCCGCATGCCTGTTCGTTCATCCGGTGTTAGCTACCTGTGCGCATAGAGCTTCCATTAGATTGTGCTCACCTCACGGGCAGCTCCCTGTCCAACGAAACCATCAGCAGAGGTTTCGGGAGTTCCATCAGAGCGCAAGCCAAGACCCCGAATGTGTGTATGCGCCGCGGTTCTGTTCTCGCGCGAGTTGCCCTTCACTTCGCTGATCTGGACCATGGTGGGAATGAGTATGGCCGGGTAGAGCCACAGATATCAACGTAGAGTAAATCAATGGGTTATTCAATGAGAAAACACAAGAAAAGAAAGCTTCAAAGAGACAGGCCTGATAGAAAAGTGAGGTAAATGGCCGAAATTCGCGGCAAGGGATCGTCCAATGGGGTTGCTCACCTCACCGCCTTGGGTAATTCTTCGTTTGACCTCTGCTCCGCTGCCATCAACGATCGGCCTTCTGTGTTCTTGACGTTCCACGAGGATACGATACCTGCTACATACAATGGCAGGCCTACACACAAAACAAGCCATGTGCGCCCCTTTTTCTCTGGCCGCGGCCTTCCGAAGCCTTTCTATCGCGGCGCCGAAGCGCTCTTTCTCCACGAGCCCGGCAACTCAATCAGTCCCGAAACTCCCCCAACCGCCCCGGTCTACCCCCACGGAGAAAGCCAGTGGTACAAGCAGCAGGACTCCGGTCTCTACGGAGGTGCCACGATCCAATTCGGCAACAAGATTTCCAAGGGACGCAACGAAGGCAAGACGCGACGTAGCTGGAAGCCCAACGTCCGCCGCAAGAAGATTGAGAGCAAGGCTCTCGGCGAGAACTTGTTCATTAAGGTTACCCGTCGTGCACTGCGCTCCATCAACAAGGCCGATGGCCTCGACAACTACCTGCTCTCTGACCGACCAACCCGCATCAAGGAATTGGGTCCCTTCGGCTGGAACCTCCGATACCAGGTCATGAACACACCACACTACAAGGAAAAGTATGCGAAGCAGCGCAAGGAGCTCCAGGTCCCTGAGCCTCCGACCATGGAACAATACATGGCGGACAAGCAGGCGGAGATTGAGCAGAAGATTCAGGATATCGACCTCGACGCATTGACCAAGCCTCGCCGCACGAAGCCTCAGGGTCTGAAGTATGGCAGGATGAACTAGAGAAGCTCAATGCGTTTCGATTCCTGTTTCTGTTTTTGGTTGAAGCTTTGCATGCCAAGGAAGGTCGACGGGCACATGTATCACTATCCTGAAGAGCGGCGGACGTTTTTTGGGCACCACAATTTCGTGCCTTTTTGCAAGCTACGATGCAATCCAAAGAAATATCGCGATAATTTCTCATTTGGGTGCACCTCTTTTTTTTTTGCTCTCGAAATCTGCATATTGGGTCTTCTATGTACTTATACTCCAATTCTATATCTTTTCTTATTTCACTTTCGAACGCGTGTCCCTTGACTCCTCTTTTACTGGTCCTATATAATAAAGTCGATTGGTGATGAAATATCAATGGGAATCAAAACTCCGCTGAGCCAAAGAGAAGTGGGAAGATAAGCGTCTCGTCGTCAATCCCTAGGTCACCGCTGATCTCGTCACCAAAGGGAGCATATATCTGGGGATCCATGACCGTTGTCAATCCAGGTCGACCAGGTTCACGGAAGAACGGACAATTTGAAGAGCACAGGTGACCGCCTAGGTTCTGGGGTATGCTCCCATCCTGTGACGGCAACGCATGTTCAAGACCTCCATTTAAGCTTTCAGGGAAATCCTCCGTGATCATCTCACGTATCATGCGCATCACTCCCCGGTGCATGATGATTGATGTGAGGATGGGCAGCTGAGATTGAATGTAAGAAGCTGACTCTGCTGAAATACGTCTCGGTGAGGTATCGGCAATAGTCTCATTGAGTGGGACTTCTTTGGCTAGAATATCAAATACATCGCGCAAAGGCTCAGCTTGAACCCACCGCTCGGCCAGAATGGCGAGAGATATCGAACAAGCCCTCAACGCTTCTGGAACTTCTTTCGAGCGGTATGCCGGAGTCTGGTTTTGAGGAGGTGTTGCCCAGAAGCAGTAAAGCAGGGTGATGCCGACAGAGACTTGACTCAAAAGCTAAATATTGGTCAGCAAACTGTGTATTAAGCTGTGTATCACACGCATACCCCTGGCCATAGTTGTGCTGTTTGTCGGTCCTTTTGGAAAGTCCTAAATGTCAAGGCAATCTGCACGCAAGCTGGCACCGATCGGTCTCCGAAGCCATTGCATACATTTTCTTTTGTCGGTTGATGCAAGAGAAGAATGGTGTAGTTGTAAGCCATGCCAACCCATCGATCACTTGTGTAGCTTTTGGATGCTACATCACTTAGGAGCCCGAGTTGGGATCTCCACGAGTCAAGCTCTCCTAGCATATGCTCTCGCCATGGTGTTGTAGCATTGATTTCCTCGAAATCAGATCGCATCATGGTGCTGATAATCCGAGATTGGATACGTCGGCATCGAAAGAGGTGAAGAGCCGGTGAGATATGTGTTTTCTGCGATGGGGTCTCAATTCTGATATTGACATCATTTGATTTCTCGCTATGAAGTTCCGCATCCGTGACATTTGAAAAGAGCTGCCATCGTCAGTTTTCTGCTATTTTGAATCAATAAATTTGAGTGACTAACCTGCACACTGATGTGTTCATCAATGATGTTGTTGGGAATATGGTAAATCCAACTGATGAATCGATCCAAGGCATATGCCGACCAAAATACTCGGCGGCGAGTTTGAACCTCTAAAGAGAATGCAGGATTTGTAACTTTAGGCTCACTCTCAGCCAAATGGAGCTGGGCCATAACACAATATCGCATCATCGCAGAAACAATAGTGACAATCATTTGTGATGATGGGGAATGAAGCGCATGTAGTGTCAGAAGAAGATATGCCTGGGCATGTAAGACAGGGTCGGGCTGCGCAAAGACGTGGGCAAGATATTTTATTGCGGTGTTGTACAGAGACTAAAATTCAATGTGGGATTTTGGTTAATCTCTATGTGGTAATTGCTAGATCATATAATCACTTACCTGGGAGGTCGCAATGTCACTGACAGAAACTTGGGGTGTCAATAGGAGAGCAACAGCATGCACCTAGTACAAAATGTTAGACACAATGACATGACTGGGATGATGATGTATGAGCTTTACCATGGTGACAAAATATCTTTTCCATAGAGATTGCTGGTCTCTAGCGGTGTTCACGTGTGACTGGATCTTCCATGATTCATACCAGGCGAGGAAGGTATCACGATGAAGGAATGGATAACGCGGATTTACCCTTTCAAGGTATATTCTCACCAGCCGATCGGATGTCACATCTGAAATATGCACTGAACGGTCTGTTGAATAGAGCTGATCGGTCAGAACAGATGGGGTGGAGGTACTAGAACCTTCAAATAGCGTCGAGGAATCCCTGGTGGACTCAGTACCTGTAAGAGTGGCTAATATCCCAACCAGCAAGCTCGAGTGACCAGAGCGAGTATGTGAATCTGGAAAGTCATTTGTTCCCTCGGCGAACGGCAAGGTGAATGACGGGCGTGGAAGAGTTGATTGAGAAGGAAGGGAAGGTTGTGCTCTTTGAGGACTTGAAGAATATACACCCACATCTTGAGGAAATTCTGCTCGTCTTGATGCAAAAGACTCCTGAGAAAGAGGAGTTGATACATGTCCTGAAATGGTTCTTTCGATCGGCTCTTTCCTCGGCAAACTGTCACCGATTCTTCGACGTGAGTCTCTTCGTGAAGTCTGCCGACTGGCCGATGCCTCTTTCGACCTATCTTCTGGAATTTGAGACTCTAGGTCTCTGATTCTCTCCTCAAGAGCTCGAGTGTACCTGTGGTCAAGGTCAGCAACATCGAGTTGAGGAAAATAGATGCAACTAACTCGGTACTGGCAGGTAACTTTCGGCTCACTGGCTCACTCGATATACATTCTAACGAGTCTTAGAGAAGTACCTCTGTTTTTCAATCAGTCCAGTCACTTGCCTTTTCCGGCTGTTGTGCAATTACCGCACGGTCTGCTGTCGGTGCACTGCCACTGGTCAATTGCAGCACAAGATAATCATGCTGAAGGTGAGACTCACTTTTTGCTTCCGTGATCGACATCTTTGACAAGCCAACACTTTCCGTTTATGTGAGAATGATGTACTTCTTTCCATTTGGGTTCGGCATTGGATGAAACTACTAGGTAATCTTGCATCGGACCGCAAAGTCCGATGACGGGTTGGTATTTTCATTCCACGTGACTGAATTTGAGAGAGCTACTATTCTAGAAACACTTTGTACGAGGTCATGGTATTTGAATTTCAATCTAGTAGCAATGTTAGAAGATCAAGAAACATCCATGGATAAGTGTCGGAATTATATAGAGCTGGTCAGCACGCTGTGCATTGCCGAGAGACCATCGGCACTTGAAAGTCCGTCGGACTGAGAGCCGCCGAAGAGGCGAACAGACTCCGAATTAAATACTGACTCAACTTCCAAGATTCACAATTTATTTCAACCTCTGAAACTTCGAGCTGTACAAATTTGCATTGCAAAGAATCACACCATGCCTCAGAAAATCACAGTTGCCGTGGCACAGGCCCGTACGCTTTCTACACTTGAAGCGACTCTCGGAGCTCTGAAGCAGATCACCCAGCATGCAGCTTCAAAGGGTGTCCATCTTCTGCTCTTCCCAGAAGCCTACTTAGGAGGGTATCCCCGCACCTGTGATTTTGGAACAGCCGTTGGAGCTCGTGCCCCCTACGGTCGGGATCAATTCCTGGAGTACTTCCGCGCAGCTGTCGACCTGGGCGATACACCTGCTGGGGCGGGTGACGATTGGGTGGAGCGTAAGCTTCCCAATGCGAAGGGTCGGGACCATCGTGGCGATGGCACAAGAGAATTTCTTGAGCAGGTATCCCGAGAGACAGGCGTCTTCATCGCAACCGGATTGATTGAGAAGGCTGGGGGTAGTTTGTACTGTTCCGCTCTCTATGTCGATCCTGTGCGGGGAACTTTGGGGAAGAGACGGAAGGTGATGCCGGTAAGTTGAATTCCCTCCATTTCCCGGGAGTATTGAAACTGAACTCAATTTATTGTAGACTGGCTCGGAGCGTCTGGTTTGGGCTCAGGGATCTCCGTCCACCTTGAAGGCTATCACCACTGAGCTCAATGGAGTCAAGCTCACCATCGCAGCCGCTATTTGCTGGGAAAGTTTCATGCCCTTGCTTCGACAGAGTCTCTATTCACAGAATGTGAACATCTATCTCGCTCCAACTGCTGATAGTCGTGATACCTGGCTACCTCTTATGCGCACCGTTGGTGGCGAAGGTCGTACCTTCGTGCTCTCATGCAACCAATGCGTACGATACAACGAACTGCCTTCATGGATCACCGAGCAGGGCAAACCAACAAATGGTACGGAGTCATTACTACTAGTCTATTCTTCTCTAACACATAGTACTGTTGATTGGATCAATTGACTAACCTCATACAGAAGCCGCCGACCGATACATCTCACGCGGCGGGTCCTGCATCGTGGGTCCTCTTGGTGAAGTTGTCGCCGAACCAATCTGGGAAGTTAGCACCGATGATGCAGCGGATGGATCCAGCATTGACAGCGGACTCGTGATTTCCGAGATTGACTTGGAGGACTGTGAGCGTGGCCGCCTGGATATGGATGTTGCGGGCAGCTACTCCAGGAATGACGCATTCCAGCTGACCGTTGATGGACTGGACCTGAACCCTCCTCCGTTTTAAAAAAGCTCATTCAATACCTTGAAGTGGACTCAAGGTTGTACATAGCCAAATACTGATCCAAGTTTAAATGTAACCATGTCGCATTTGCCTATAATAAATAGTATCGACATTTAACGAAATTTATCGTAATTCCAGAGCTGATAAGCCAAGCTCATATGAGTTTCACAAGCCCATATCCTATCTGAGTGGACCCATCTAACCCTATGTTGTAGAAGCCAAGCAAGCCACTGGATGCGGGTAGATGAAGAAGCTCGGGGCAGCACAGACGGGGCCGGATTCGGACTTTTGGGGTGATCTTCACACCCGCGTCGATCTCCACAACCTTGTTCTTCCTGCGCATTTACTCCATCTCACTATGACTTGATTTTACACCTATCGCCTGTGTACTATTCTCAATCAGGGATCAAATTATGCAATTCGCAGTACCTCCGCGGCGGAGCCCTCTGCCTATCGCCCGATCTTCACACATGCCGAGCTATCGCAGGAAACAACTCAAGTCGATCGCAGTGATCGCATCCGCAATACTCTCCCTTCTCTACATCTTGCACCATATCTACTCCGCCGCCTCCCCTTCCGTCACAGCAGATCCTTCGAGTGTTGTGATCGTTACACTATTCGACCGCCAGCGGCTCAGTGAAAGCTACGTCAAGAAGGTTGTCGCAAATAGGGAAGACTATGCGAAACGCCACGGTAAGGCCCGTTGAACGATCCGTGTTGAACTTGATTCAGGCTCTGATAATAATCCGGGATGAATAGGGTATACGAACTTCTTCGCGAGTGTCTCCGACTACGAAGACGCAATTGGCGATGCCCCGAGGAGTTGGGCTATCGCGCCGGCCGTTCGCCATGCCATAGCTACACATCCTGGATCGGATTATTTCTTCCACCTAAGCCCTCACTCGCTGATCATGAACCCCACCAAGTCGCTCAAGTCACACATACTTGAAAAGGGCAAGCTTGAAGAGCTGATGATGAAGGATGCTCCTGTTGTGCCCCCGGACAGCATAATCAAGACATTCGCACACCAAAAGGAGAATGACGTCGACTTGATTATCACGCAGGACAAGGAAGACTTGAATCCCGGGAGCTTTATACTTAAGAGCGGAGAATTCGCCCGCTTCTTTCTGGACATGTGGTTTGACCCTCTGTACCGTGGCTATAACTTCGCTAAAGCTGAAACACACGGACTGGTAAGCATTTAGCCTTGAGTTTATCGTGGAAAATGCTGACAAGAACTCTTACTCTTCCAGGATCACATCTTGCAGTGGCATCCGACTGTCCTTGCGCGGACCGCTTTGGTACCGCAGCGCACCATCGGCTCGTACAGCAAAGACTCCCTTCGGGCTTCTTCAGATGGAACTTATAAGGAGGGTGACCTGGTGATTCAATTTCGGGGATGCGAATTTACGGAGGGCCGCGACTGTGAGCGGGAGATGGAGCCATACTACAAAATGTGGCTCAAAATGACCCAGAGTGACTAGATGCCCCCGCGAGTGTAGGTGTGCATTTAGCTCTGGTGCTGGCGTTTTGCTTAGGGAATTTTTCATGTATAATTTTCTGGGCCTGGTAGGCGTTTGTTGATTGAAGCCTTGACATGTATTTTTTTCATTTACATTGGCGTGCATGACTGCAACAGGAATACGATGATCATTGAATGTTTCTATGTCCAATATCAATGAGCACATCGCCTGAGAAGGGTGGTGCTGATAATTAATATATCAGGGTGTTGCTGAAACGCAAGTATTGGATGGCCACTTGAGATCTCCCGGGCCTGGGGCCTGGGCTTTCAATGTGCCATCCCAGACAAGTAAATGCCTGGATTTGATTTTCCTCGTATCTCGACTGCCGTAGCCAGTACAATGGCACTTGGGGCGGTCGATTGACAGTCTGAGGTGCGACGGTTTTGTCACCGTTCAAACAAGACCAGGGAAGATAACAGCCCTCTTCTTCTTGTACTTGTCACCGAACTCCTTGCGGTAGCGCTTCTCCTTCTTCCAACCCCAGCTCCACATCTGCGCACCACCCACAAAAGTGAAGAACAACACACTCCAGTTCAACTGACTGACCAAGAACACACCCAGCCAAGCCAAGATCTCAAAGAAGTAGTTAGGGCAGGTAACCAAGCTGAAGCCGAAGCCAGACGGAATGCCACGCTCGGTAGTACCAGGGCGACGGAGACCGCGCAGGATATAGTGTGCGTTCAAGTTGGCTAGCTCACCAAAGACGAAGATCGCGAGACCGAGGTATACAAGGGGTTCGTTGGGAGTGCTTGTAGCGGCAGTGGCGTCAGGGCGGAAGACCCAGTAGGCGATGTTGAAACCAGCCAGGATCCAGTAATGGGCGCTGTTCTTGACGATGTTGCGGGCGGGCATGGTAGCGCTGCTAAAGCGGTGCACGAAGATGGTCTCAAACTCGCGCTTGAGGAAGTGCACGCTCAGCAGAGCGCAGACCAGGAGCTGGGTGTCGGAGGGGGCGGGGATCTTGTCGAAGTTGAAGTACAGAAGGGGTCGAAGGGGGAAGAGGAAGAGAGCGGGAATGAGGAGGGGACCGAGGTATTCGATGATGAACACAGTGCGCCAGGCGATTTGGGGACCTAGAGGGGTCGGTGGGTTAGTTTCTGATGCTCGCTGCTGCAATGAGGGGCGTGAGTTGTATAGCCACGGGGTATGGACGCACCGAGATCCTTCACGTGGATCACGCTCGAGTCCCGCAGACCGGTGGAATCGATGGTGGCAGTGGAATTGGGGACCACGCTGCGGTCGCTGCCCTTGGTGATTCTCAACCGGTGGACGGAGTGACCGGACGCAGCGGAGAACGCAGTGTACAGCTCTTCGCTGCTGGCATTGAGAGATATTTCAACTTCCTTGGGGATTTTGCGGATGGGCTTGCCTGTGCTCGGGTTAGTCTTGTGTCTTCTTATGTTCATAGTTCCTCCGAGAGCTTTGGTGGACGGCGCATGTGTAACATACCCCTTGGCTCAACAATGAGCGTGATGTTACCTGCCGCCATGATGGATGTCAGGCCTGGCAATATTGAGCAGTGTCTTGTCTTAGGAGAAGTCGTTGAGATTGCAATCGACAGAGAATTGAGCAATCCCAACAACTCCCAATAATCGGGCCTCGGTCGGAGTCACGTGTTGACACCTGAGGCTGACAGAATTATCGACACCTGAGCATCTTGGCAGCTGACTTTCTTACTGCCTTAACTTTGGAAGTGTGGACTCTCCGCCAAGTTGACAAGGGCCATGCCGGTCATTGATGTCGTACAATGCACAGCGGTTCAATGACTTGCTCCAGATAGAGTCCTTACGATACTTTTGGACTCTCACGACCATCAACATTGTTTTATTTATTTTTCCCCCGGTCAGCTGGAGCACGGTGTGAGCTAAAGGCCGACTAACGTGCCCGGCGCATTATAGCGGGGCACGGAAGCACAAATATAGGCTGTGCCATGTTGTGGACAGCTGAGAGAGAAAAAGAGCCGAATCAAAATACTCCAATGCCAATCACAATGAAATGGCGTCTCCGTCTCAGCTCCATCTTAAACGGCTAGTCTGGCCGACATCGCCAATCAACGCCTCATCCGTGACAGCCTGGGAGCCTCCAATGGGGTTCTAGCTGACTGTCAGAAAGAAAAAAATAAATTATGCTCTGCAGACGGGATGCAAAGTCTGAGCGCATTTGTGGATCTTGCTGTCATTCTTTCAATTGCAGCGTGATATTATTTTGACATAGTACTTGTCATGTCCAGCCCCACGGGTATGCCATGTTGATAATTGTTAGGCGTTCGTATTTCTGGTCATCCGATTCCAGCCGTTATGATTATCTCGACAGGGGTATGCGCGAATCAAAGACATCTGATTGCTCACGGTCTGTGGGGCGTTCGTCTTCTCCAGAGGTCCCACTAATCTGTAGGACCTCGGGATACGCTAAGAATGACCGCAGTAGACGGTTGGGTTCAGCCGTACGCTCGGCTGATGAACCCTCGGATTACTCCGCGATCCCACGGGGGGGCCCAAGGAGGCTTATAATCATGTCCTATCCCATTTCCGCCGGCCTGGTCGCCTGATGATTTACTTCTTCTCATACCTGCTGGTGTGCCTGTCTATTGTCTTGCTCTTCTGTTGCGGCTTCCCTATATACTTCCAAACCACCGAGGGCCCTGCACTTCTAACTTGATCTTCCTCACCACCCCTCACACCTTTGTTTGATTACGTTCGAATTCCTCAATCTACAATGGCTGAAAAAGTCAACGGTGACGGCAAGATTGCCCAGGTGGAGCAAGTCGTGACTGCTGCCTTGCGACCTTTGCCCACCAAGACCGGCGATGGCAGCTATATTCAGACCCCAGGTGTGACCGGTCTCGCGAAGGACCTGCTTCATTTTGATCTGGGAGATGCGAAAACATTGGCTGAGGTCGCTAAGACTGCTGTGACCGGTGAGGCTGTGAACGACAGAGACTATATAATGGAACGTGTGATCCAGGTATGTGAATCTGCAGTCCAAAGGCTTGTTATCTGTTCTAATCCATCAGCTTGCTGCTGGTCTGCCTTCGACGTCGCGCAATGGCAAGGAGTTGACCAACACCTTCCTGGGTCAATTGTGGGGTGATCTGGAACACCCACCCAACTCGTGAGTTGCTTGAACACTCGGAGCGCATTCATATTCCCGCGTCTAATTAGCTGTGTAGTTATCTCGGGCGCGATGCTTCTTATCGGAAGGCCGATGGATCTGGAAATGTAAGAATTGACCCCCAATGGTACCTGAATGATGCGCTAAATTTGTGACAGAACTACTTTTGGCCCCAAATTGGAGCTGCTAGCACACCATACGCACGGTCTGTTCGACCGAAGACTATGCAGCCAGCTGCTCTTCCAGAGCCTGAGGCTCTTTTCGATAGCCTCCTCGCTCGGAAAGAGTTCAAGGAGCACCCTAACAAAATTTCTAGCGTGCTTTTCTACCTTGCATCGATCATCATTCATGGTGAGTTCGCATTCCAAATCTACCTGGGTAGAGGCTTGCCGGGAGGGATATTAACATCACGCAGACCTGTTCCAGACAGATCCAAGAGATCAAACAAAGTCGTTGACTTCCTCATACCTCGATCTGTCTCCCCTGTATGGAAACAATCAGAAGGAACAGGACTCAGTGAGAACATTCAAGGCAGGAATGTTGAAGCCCGACTGCTTTTCTACCAAGCGTGTTTTAGGTTTCCCTCCAGGCGTTGGTGTCCTTCTTATCATGTTTAACCGTTTCCACAATTCTGTTGCCACGAAGTTGGCAGCTATCAATGAATGCGGTCGTTTCACAAAGCCGGACGAGGCCAACACTGAAGCATATGCCACCTGGGATAACGACCTCTTCCAGACCGCGCGACTTGTCACATGTGGTCTTTACGTCAATATTATTCTGAAGGATTATGTTCGGACCATTTTGAATGTCAACCGGACTGACAGCACGTGGAGCTTGGACCCGCGTTCAGACATCAAGGACAGCTTGCTTGGAGAGGCTCCTGCGCAGGCTACTGGAAACCAGGTGTCAGCCGAGTTCAATCTCGTTTACCGCTGGCACTCATGTATCTCCGCCCGAGATGCGCAATGGTCAGAGGACCTCTACCAGGAGTTGTTTGCCGGACAAGATTCAAAACAAATCACTCTCCAGCAGTTCACCCGAGGCCTCGGCCAGTGGGAAGCAAAACTCCCAGCAGATCCTCAAGAGCGTCCTTTCGCCAAGTTGCAACGAACCGCAGATGGAAAGTTCGATGACAACGATCTTGTCAAAATCTTCCAGGAGAGTGTCGAAGACCCTGCTGGTGCCTTTGGTGCTGGCAATGTGCCTGACGTGTTCAGGAATATCGAAGTCCTTGGCATCAAGCAGGCACGCTCATGGAATCTGGCTACCCTGAACGAGTTCCGCCAATACTTCAACCTGGCTCCTTACCAGACCTTTGAGGAGATCAACCCTGACCCATACATCGCTGATCAGCTGAAACACTTCTACGATCACCCTGACCTCGTCGAGCTTTACCCCGGCCTTGTTGTTGAAGAGGCCAAACAGCCAATGACCCCTGGCAGTGGTCTTTGCACCAACTTCACAACTTCCAGGGCGATTCTCTCAGACGCAGTCGCTTTGGTTCGTGGAGATCGCTTCTACACTGTTGACTTCACTCCGAAGCATCTCACAAACTGGGCATTCAACGAGATCAACAACGATGTTTCCATTGACGGTGGCCAAGTGTTCTACAAGCTCGCTCTCAATGCTTTCCCTAATCATTTCCGTGGCGACTCGGTCTACGCCCACTTGCCCATGGTTGTGCCCGATGAGAACAAGAAGATCATGACTAGCCTTGGTCAGGCTAAAACTTACAGTTTCGACCGTCCCTTCTACAAGACCCCTACTATTTTTATCAACTCCCACACTGCTTGCTCAGCCATCCTCAAAGACCAAGTCAACTTCAAGGTGCTATGGGGTGAGAAGATTCAGTTCTTGATGGAGAACAGTGGACGTCCCTATGGCCGAGACTTTGCCCTGTCGGGAGACCTCCCTGCCAACGCAGGTTCTCGAAAGATGATTGGTGCAGCTCTGCACCGAGACAAATGGGAGTCTGAAGTGAAAGCCTTCTATGAAGACATTACTATCAAACTGCTGGAGCGAAACTCTTACAAGATTGCTGGTGTCAATCAGGTCGACATCGTTCGCGATATTGCCAACCTTGCCCAAGTTCACTTCTGCGCAAATGTCTTTTCCCTTTCGCTGAAGACAGAGTCGAACCCCAGGGGTGTTTTCAGCGAGCAGGAACTATACCAGATTCTGGCTGTGATCTTCGCCTGCATCTTTTACGATGTTGACGTGTCCAAGTCCTTCCAGCTATGCCAGACAGCTCGCAAGGTTGCACAGTCGCTGGGCGAGCTTACTTTGGCTAACGTTGAACTTGTCTCCAAGTCTGGCTTTATCGCCAACATCGTGAACCGTCTTCACCGTCATGACATTCTGAGTGACTATGGTGTCCACATGATTCAGCGCTTGCTCGATAGTGGATTGCCGGTCAAGGATGTTGTTTGGTCTCATATCCTCCCCACGGCTGGCGCATTGGTTGCCAACCAGGCCCAACTCTTCTCTCAGTGTCTTGACTATTATCTTTCAGAAGAGGCAGCGGAGCATCTGCTTGAAATTCAGCGCTTGTCTAGGGAAGATACTCCCGAGGCGGACGAGCTCCTAGTGCGATAGTAAGTTCTTGTTTCATTGGGGTGTAGTACATACTGACCATTTTCAGCTTCATGGAGGGAGCAAGACTCCGATGCTCAGTCGCTCTGCCCCGCTTCGTCACTAAGCCAACAGTGATTGAAGATAATGGCGAGAAGGTCACTTTGAAGGCTGGCCAAGAGATTATCTGCAACTTGGTAAGTTGACATGCTTGATGTCTTTCTTGCGAGAACCAGCTCTGACCAAATTTCCATTCAAGGTTGTCGCAGGACGGGATCCAGTTGCGTTCCCTGACCCTGATAAGGTCCGTCTCGACCGTGATATGGACCTATACACCCACTTTGGCTTCGGTCCCCATCAATGTCTGGGTGTCAAAATGTGTCCCATCGCCCTCTCAACTATGCTCAAGGTCATTGGACGACTTGATAATGTCCGCCGGGCCCCTGGTCCTCAGGGCCATCTGAAGAAGCTGGTTGGGCTCGGAGGCATCGCGATGTATATGGATGCCAACCACGCCAGCTTCTCTCCGTTCCCGATGACGATGAAGATCCAATGGGATGGTGAGCTTCCAGCCAGAAGGGGGAACTGATGAAAATTCGGAAGTTTATAGGTGCTTTTCTTGGGCGCTCTTCGAGGGTTGTGTTTATTAATAGTTGTCATCATAGCCTACGTGTGTTTCTCCAACAAGATGTTATTGTGTTGATTACGTTCTTTATCTCTTCCTGGTACTGCCAGTGGACGTGTGAAATATCATGCAGATATCCAAGTGACACCTCTGATCATACTCCCCCAAAGGAAGACCTTATGAGGTGGTAAAACACAACAAGCCTGGAGGTGGATTGACGCCTTAAATCTTTGGCATTCTATTCTCAACGCCGCCCTACTTCCAAGTTGATATTTACATCTTTCTGTTTTCTTTCTTCTCTCCTCGTGTTCTAGTCTTCTTTATCCTTGCAAGACACCATCGTCATCTTTTTCCAATCCAAACCTTCTGCCCATACAAATTCCATGTTTGCTGCTCATTAGTCCCAGCAAACTGATATCCCAATCATCTCTCATCACATTCTGAAGCCCTAAGCTCTCACTTGGCTCTCACTCTCACCTCTGATGCACAATTTCAGCTACAAAGGCTCACTTTATTGAGGACATCACAGGCCCACTGAAATCACAGGCCCACTGTGCTGAGCATATCGCAGGCTCACATCATTGAACAACTCTTCGGGCTTTTTATGTCTTGAAGAACACAAACCACTGTTTATCGGGATTTCGATGCAGTCCATAAACAGGAGACAGCAGCTATGATGTTTCCTTTCTCACAAGTAGTACTCCTATTTGGTCACATGTCGCCATTTTAGGAGGAATCATTTGTCGACATGCTCCTCAATCTTCCCCTTCGCCGTCCTTTTCCGCCTGCGCATCTCGCCTACATCGCAATTGCGACTCTTGATACCGAGGAACTTAATGCCACAATCGATGCATCGGGCTACTGGTCAAACCTCCGTCAATTGGAGGAGAAAATGAAGGAAAATACCTTCTACACGTTCGAGACTGAAGCTGAGAGATCTTTCTTTACACTCTGGCTCGGAGAACTCTCTGACTGCTACCCAACACATGGTATCTTCCGAGAGCTCACACGTTCGCATCCAGATTTCATGGAATATGATGTGGTTCAAGCGCTACTGGGTCAGTTGGAGGCTGATGACAAGGTCGCATCACACGACAGCAGGGGCGACAGTGCATTGGAGTCTCACGCCTGTTGACCACATGCTGTACATGTCCAGTTCGATGTTGGCTTTCATGATGAAGAACCCAAGTCTCTTATTTGGAGACTGTGAAAGTCATACTGCTCTGGCGTCTGGGCATTTGCCGATATTGATGGCCGCATTATGTCTTACTCTGTTGGAAACTTTGTCTGTGTTGCTTTTTTTTTTTTTTTTTTTTTTTTTTTTTTTCATGCGCTGCCCAGGTGATGATGCTCGTTAGGTGGTCAGAAAATATTAATCTTGGAAATTACCAAAGAAAGTAAAATTCAAAAGATTATCACAAGAACCTGTTCACAGTAGCTGAGTGCTAACCACCCATGGACTGTCTGCTCAGGTGGGCAGTATCCATGGATATATATATCGAGCCCGATGAGAGGAAATTCTTGAAAAAAAGTCATCCATGGATGTAGATCCCAGCGGGATTGATATATTACTACAGATCTTGGGAGTGTGAGGCTACTATAAAAAAGGGTGGAACGTGAAGATCTATTGACCAGGGTCTAAGAAGTATATTGTGGCGGCTTCTCGATCTCATTGGGCAGAGCTTCGAACCAAAAGTACAATCATGTGATCTCTGCCCAATCTGTAAGGGTCCAGGTGCAGACCCGTAGCGCAAAGTACCGATTGGTGATCTACTGGCAGATGTGCACCCTAGCATGTTTCAAAGTGTTATGACATGTACAATGTGTGTGCCCTTGCCGAAAAGCCATTACTCAACGATCTGAGAATCTCCGTGCATTTACAATCAAAGTCACGTGACACTCAGGAGTGGTGACGTCGGGACTCGGCTTATCCCCTAGCCCGGATTCAGCCAGAACCCTAGGGCTCTGAGTCATCCGAGAGTTTGTACCTGAACACGCCTGCAACCAGAGCGAAAGGAAGCTATCTGAGGTTGCAAACAGAGGAACAAATGTCTCCACCAGTTGATATGCCTCGATAGTCGAATTCCTAATTTTTCAAGACTCAATTTCAAGGTGGAAGGGGAGATCAGAAGGAAAGAAAATAAAAGAAGAAAAACACAGATTCCATCACCAGGGGATGGGAATGGGAAGGACCAATCAACAAGGGGGAGAGGTAGGAGAATCCGGACTAGTGTGGCTGGTGGAACTGGCAACAGGAGAGCGGAAGGCGGCCGTTTGTACTTAAGGATTCTGGCATCCCCTCCGAGGATTTTTCTGCTTCTGTCCTGGTTCTCCTATTTTTATTCCTCTGACCGCCCTTCCACCCTAACCATAACAAACGCGTCTCGCGTTTCCCTTTTTCGAAGCCCCCCTTCTTTTTTATTTTTTTATTTTTATTATTTATTATCGGTTTTATTATTTTCCCCATTAATTGTTCCTTATCTCTCTGCCCCAGGCTTCGTCTCCACCATAGCTCTTTCTCTTTTTTTCCTGAGTCTCCAATCTAGACTCAGGTTCACGTGCACGTGACGAACGATACCGCCTTCTTGGCAGTATAAATTACATCGTCCCCGATCGCATTCTCCACTTCTCATATCTCCCGGCCTCTGACCTCACCATTACCCGGTCGCGTTTTTCCTCCACGTTCTCTCGGCTTTCGACCCGAGAGAAGTTTGTAACGCGCCGAGAAAAAAAAGTGGACGCGTTTTTTTTTAAATCGCGATCGTCCATCGGAGCCCTGTTGCTGTCACATCACTTCACTTACTTCCCTGACTCAATGGCGACCCCGCCTCCCGAGGCTCCTCCAGCCATGAAGGAGGACAAGCCTCAGCTGCCTCCCTCGCCGACCGGTCCTTCCGCGCCTGAAATTCCAGCGACCAGGTAAGCTCAACCTTCACATGTCACTTCGTCGCTCGCAAATCTAACCAGCGCATAGCGCGCAACTTCCTATCGAATCGAAGGTTGAAAGCCCTGCCGATGCTCAGGTCGATTCGCCCGCGTTGAACGGCCACACCCCTACCGCGCCTTCCATTGCCAACGGCGCCAACACTGCGAATTCCCCACCCAAGTCTCCTGCGCCTACACCCGCACCTGCAGCTGCACCTGCGCTTATTTCATCTGAGCCCGCCGAAGAAACACCCAAAGCTGCGGAGTCGCAGGAAACTGAAAAAGCCAATCAAGAGTCTCTCACTTCCACCTCCGCTCCCAACCCCGCTGAGACCATCACCCCGGTATCAGCCCCAGCTCCAGCACCAGTCGTAGCTGAGATTCCTACTGCGCCCGCATCTACCGAGAGTACTACACCGGCTCCAGCTCCAGTTTCAGCTCCAGCTCCAGTCTCAGCTCCGACTGAGACCTCTAACGCACCTGCTGCTACTGACTCTGACGCTATGGCTATTGATACCAAGGACAGCATGACTGCAGTCAAAACCGAGCTTCCCCACCATCCAACCACCGCTCCCACCCCACTCTCCTTGCAACCCGTTGACCACGAGATGAAGGACGCACCTGAACCCCCGCTGTCACCTTCAAAGATTTCCCGCCAACGCGATGCCGACCTTAGTGAAGAGCCCGCCGCGAAGCGGACCAAGGTTGTGGGTGAAGAGACGGCTCCTGTGGAATTCAAACCACAGGAACCTTCCACTCCAGCCCCCCACAAGCCCGCTCCTACTCCCTCGAGTGGCGGACCGGGCCTAACCAAATTGCAACACAAGTTCATCACTAAATCTCTCACAAGCCTCAAGCGGATGCACGATGCACGCTTCTACAAGGAGCCTGTGGATCCCATCAAGCTTAACATCCCTCAATATCACACCATAATCACCCAACCTATGGATCTGGGAACCATGGAGAAGAAGCTCAAGAACAATGAATATGTGTCACCTCAACAAGTCTCCGACGACTTCGCCCTCATGGTTAACAACACGACTGTTTTCAATGGCGTGGACCACCTGGTCACCCAAGAGGGTATCAAATTAAAGGCCACTTTTGAAAAGCAAATGCTCAGTCTTCCCAAGCCCGATGAGGTGGAGCCGTCAAAGTCGAAGAAGTCAGCGGAGAAGACCTCTGCCGCGCGCCGGGAGCCACGGACCTCGCTTCCCAGCCAGCCAAAGGCAGCTTCTCCGCAAAACCAGACCTTTGCACTGGGACCTGAGGGAGTTCCCGTCATTCGCCGCGACTCTACCAATCCCGATGGCCGCCCCAAGCGGTCCATTCACCCGCCCAAGCGTGACCTCCCCTACTCCGTCAAGCCTAAGAAGAAGAAATACCAGTGGGAGTTGCGATTCTGCCAGGAGGTGCTGGAGGAGATGCACAAGAACAAGCACTACAACTTTGTCATGCCTTTCTATCATCCGGTTGACCCCGTTGCTTTGAACATCCCCACCTACAACAAGGTTATCAAGAATCCGATGGATCTAGCTACCGTTCAGCAAAAACTGAAGGCCGGCAGCTATGACAATGCCAAGGACTTCGAACATGATGTTCGCATGATCTTTAAGAACTGCTTCCGATTCAATATTCCTGGTGATCCAACTTACATCTGTGGCCAACGCGCCGAAGAAATTTTCAATCAGAAGTGGGCTCAGAAATCGGATTACCTTGAGGCCCATGAGCCTCACCCTGAGCAGAACTCCGATTACTCTGATGAGGACAGCGACGAGGATGCCGAGGAAAGTGAAGAGGACGACCAAAAGCTCACCCTGCTTCAAAAGCAAATTGCAGAGATGTCCCGTCAGGTCGAGGCTATCACCAACAAGAAAAAGAAGACACCTCCCTCGTCCAAGAAGGCTGGCAAGGCCAAGCCCGCTACCAGCAAGAAGATCGGCTCTAGCAAGAAGGACAAGAAAAGCAAGAGCTCCAAGAGTGGCAAGGAGCGTGCCATCACCTACAACGAGAAGCAAATCATTTCCAACGGCATTAGTTCCCTTCCGGACAAGAAGATGCAGCAAGCCCTTCAAATCATCCAGAACAATGTTCCTGCTCTCAAGGTGAGCTTACCACATATGTTCATTATTTTTGACTCAGCTAATTGTTTAGGGAACCGACGAGGCCGAAATCGAGCTGGACATCGACGAGCTTCCCAATGATGTCCTGCTTCTGCTTCTCAACTTTGTGAAGAAGAATGTCCCTCATCTTATGGATGACGAGGACGATGTCCCCGCCAGCAGCGTTGCCCCGCCAAAGCCGAAGAAGAACAAGCCTATGAGCAAGTTTGAGCAGGAGGCGCAGATTAACATGCTGCAGAGCAACCTTTCCCGTTTCCAGGGAGGTGCTCACTCCCCAGACCCTGTCGCTTCGGTTGAACGGAACGATAGCAGCGATGAGTCGGATTCGTCCGAGGAGGAGAGCGAGGAGGAGTAAATCCGCCTCGAACCAGATGGTCCTTGATCCTGCCTTGCGTTCCGAGCGTCGAATTTTTCTTTCTTTCCCTTTATCAGTTTCTCGATATCTCTTTTCACGTCCCTCCCAAATCCTGACTTTGATTCCCGCCAGCAATGTCTGTACATACTTGATATCAAACGCTCACGGTAAGCTCTGGTCTGCTGGTGAATCTCGCACGCACAATCCTGGTTTGAGCTTTTTCTCTGTGTACACTTTCCTCCTATCTCGTCCTCAGGGATGGGTAGATGAGGATGCTATTTCTTTTCTCTGATATTGCGGGCGGGGATAGGGAGTTGATCAGAAGCGTTGCTTCAACTTGTACGATTACGAGAGAAACGCGGAAATGCAAAACGAATATGTACTATTAATTCTCAAAATTCATTCCAGTAGGCCTTGTAGTGTAAATCCCCAAACTAGATGGAGTTTCTCTCATCCCCAATCTCTAATTCTATGCTCACAAGTAGTTGGACCCTTGGATGGACAGTTAGAAGGACAGTTAGAAGGAGGTCTCGAAGTTGATGATAGGTTTCTTTATCGAAATATGAGATTAAGCTAATACATAACTACTCCTGTTCATAAGCAACTATCATCGTCTATTTGGCTGCGCGTGAGCGCGGCCCTGAGGCTTGTCGGTGCTCTAGCTTGCGGCGGTGAACTTCCCTCTTCAACAATGTTTCCACCATGCGACCCCTCCATTCTCGAGAATAATCCACAATTCAAACGACTGTACGAGAACCTCACAACCTCTCTCCTCAGCCCTGATGCCTCTACTCGCGCCCGGCCTGCAAGCTCGGCGCATACAGTCCAGGAAGTACGTCACACCGGCGCCTACGCGCTCAAAGCTAACCATCCACAGGACCTGAAGCAATGCCAGACTCGACATGCCAAAAAGCGAATCAAAGAGCAGATGCTCCAGCAATTGGCCTTTGCCCCAGACACCAGCTTATCCACTGACGTGAGCCACCTCATCCCCACACGAACACACCGTCTAACTCCATCCAGCACCACGATAACCTCGCCATAATAACGCTGTTCCTCTCAACACCACCAGGCGCCCTTTCCTCAGACCAAGACAACGACACCCTATCACTCCTAACCCCAGACATCCAAACATTCACAGCAAACATCCCAACTCTAATCCAACCCCTCTCAACCCTCCTCAGCAAATCAATCCACGACCTCCGCGCCCTCTCCGCCCAACAACAAACCCCAGAGCCCGAACTCCCAAGCCACAATGCACGCGCTCGAGCCCGCGACCGTCGCGTCCGAACCTCAATGGCACCAGTCCCTCTGCTCTCAGACGAGTTGAGCGCGCGAGTCCACAACCTGCGCCAAACCCAACTGGTAGAAATCCCAGCCGCGCGCCGCAAAATGGCCGCTACAGCAGCGGAGGTCGTTGCGCTGCAAACCCACATTCTTGAGCGAACGGTCGTCATTCTCGAGAGGGCGAAGTATGGGGCTCTTGTGCGCGCGACGAGGGCTAAGGCGGAGCACTTGGCTATTGTTGCTCAGGGGGTTGAGGGTAAATTAGAGTATGTATTTTGTGATGATGTGATAGGGGATGGAGCCATGTTAACTTTTTTTCAGGGTTACGAAATTGGAGATTGCGAGTATGATCTATTCTCCTGAGACTGTGGCTGCTCTTACGAGGTATAAATCGCATTTGGAAGATACGGCGGAGCGTCTGGAGGATCGCAGGAAGGTTGCTATTGGGGAGTTGAAGGCTCTGGGGGATCCTGAGCTCTGTGGCGTGGATGGAGGGGCTCTTGATGATATCAAGAGTAGGTATGGAACTTTGGCAAGGGAGGTGGAATTGGTGAAGGCGGAGATTGTTCAGTTGGAGAAATGATTGTCTTTGCCGTGAGTAACCATATAAAGTTGGCTTTGCCAATTCACATGTATAGCCCAGAATTAACCATACAAGATTGGACACTATATCTAATGAAACTCAAGAATTGGAATCTGGGGCTGGCCCGACACCAACCTAGAATGTAAGTTCAGATCAACCTTGAGGTTTACATTCAGATCTCCAAATCCGCCAAAGCGAACCACAGCACGCGACAGTCTTAAATCCGACAATGTTCCTGACTTAACCCCGCGAGTCACATGACCCGCACCAAACTTTTTACTATCTGCAGTAACCAACTCATTCGCCACAACTTCATTCAAACAGAAATCTTCAAAATGGCCGACGAGGGACTCAACATTTACGATGAGATCGAGATCGAGGATATGACCTTCGACCCAGCTGTGCAGATCTACACATACCCATGCCCATGTGGCGACCGCTTCGAGATCGCAATCGACGATTTGCGCGACGGCGAAGAAATCGCCGTTTGTCCCAGTTGCAGCCTGATGATCCGGGTGATCTTCGATGTGGTATGGAGTCCTTTGAGCGCATGTACTTGTTCAGCTGCTGATGATTCGCCCTGCGGGGTAGTTTTAGGCCGATCTTCCCAAAGCATGAGCGCATGAAACAAAACAAGCATAATATGGGGGTTTCGCACAGCCAGTCACTCTTGAATTTGAAACCCAAATTTCAGGTCGAACATTCGCAACGCCGGTGTGATTGGTTCCGGGCGGGTGCTGTTGTCGTTTCACTTCACCTCGACCTTGGCCAGTGTTGCGGCGCAAAGTCCACGCCACCTTGACCACCGTGGATCATAACTGCACGTCTGCACTTTGGCGTTAGGCCCATATCTGCCGTACCAGCTGAACTGGTACCTGGCAGTAGGCTCGTCAGTCTACATATCCATTTTGACTTGCATGAGTCAATCTTGGTTTCGACAGGTGGACGCCGGGCTATGGACATGCTCGAAAACCAGTTTACGATCACTGTTTCCAAGTATATTCTTGTTTCTCGCCGGTAGAGGAGATTACCGCGTCGAACTCCGCCCGAATCGATGGTTTTCCTCATTGCATCACTTGGCTTTTGCGAGACCAAACCATTGTATTTACCGCAACCAAAATGATACCCCCAAAAGCAAATGAAATGATGAACTTGGCACACAGCCGAAATCCACGGCCCACGGCCTATACAGTATTGTGAGACAATGTAAACATGTTGGTATTCATGCACTAGACTACAAGTATTGAGTTCATCTGGGCAAACATGACCCCAGCAGTCTCACGTTCTAGACAAAGGACTCACTGATCTACTCCAAAACCTCGCTGTAGATATCCTGGGGCAAACTCAAAGTCATCTCCGAGTTCAACAGATCAGTCAAGTTGGTTCCATCACGCAGGTAGATCCACTGCCCATTGACAAAGGGCCTGGAGTCCTGCTTCTCATGCATAGAATCACCCTGGACGATCCAATCGAACCGCTTCGGCCCGGAGATGGGCGAGCTGAGCCAGATCTGCTTGTTGGGTGGTTGCTTGTTGAGCACGTAGGTACCAATTGCGCCGACAGAAACGTTAAGGACGCCAGCCTGTTACGAGATGATGTTAGCTTCAGCTTTGAACAAGAATTTGTGCACAGAAAAAGCAAAATGAGACATACACTGTATTCTCCTTCAATATCAGCGCCCTCCTCCTGCGCTGTCTCGAGGTGAGCCAGCAGAACGTTGAAGTAGTGCTCTGAATACTCGTAGTACTCCTCAGGTGTCAATGGCGACGGCTCAGTAATATGAGTTGCAGCTCCAGCCACAGGTGCAGACTGTGGGTGAGGGGCCGGAGGGTCCGATGACTCTGGGTGAATTCCCTTGCGGATTGTTGGGGAGGACTGGAAGGAGCGGGCGAACTGCGACGCGACGGGGCGGATAGCAGTAGCCCGGGGAATTGAAGAGCGGGCAGCTGAGCGTGTGGAGGCAAAGAGCGCCCGGGAAGCTGTGCGAGGAATCATTGTGTGGTGGTTGTTGTAGATGTGGTTTAGGAAAACAGACGCAGATCAAGCTCCGATGATGCGGAGAGACGAGATAATTTACATCATCGGTCGTCACCGCCTACTACTTTTGGATGATTACAGAAATCACGTTTGATTGGATGGACATGGCGATGGCTGCTCAATGGGGCATTTTATTTATATAAGATGGAATATAGATTCTTGGAGTATAAGTGTGGATGGGAATCATTTCAAATGTGAGTGCCATTGGACAGACACAAAATTGACGCGCTGTGGTAGATAGAGTCTTCCTCTACAGGGGAGGAGAGTTCCTCCTTCTCGGCCGCCGTAGGCCATGGTGGAGTGATGGTCATGAAATTAACGCGCTGAAGGTTGAAATTTGTTATCACCGATGAGCGCTAATCGACACGACGAAGGCGATCGCGTTGAATGTACATTCCAAGGGTTCCAATGCCTGAAATGTTCATTTCAGAGAAGGGATTTGGGAGAAGGATGCTTTTACTTGCACCAGAGATCATTCTGGGGATACTGCAGGTATACAGGCACCTACAACCATCAAACAGGCAAAACGAAGAATGATGTGGGCTGGTCTGAGTGCCATCGAACTGGTGCTTATTTGAAACCTCTAGGCATCAATGTATGCTTGCCTGTTGGCTGAATGATGAGACTGGCTCACTGGTACTTCTATCATTCCCATACCCATGAAGCTTGCCTACATCCAGGGCTTCGTGATGGTATCGGTCAGAGAACAGGCGGACTCGAAAGTCAGACCGACATACTAGATCCTAAGCATGTGTGTCTACCTCACCACGACAGACTTTATGCCACCGCCGCAATGACAACGACAAACACAGACGAGTGAGACGGCTCAACAGTGTTCTCTGTGGGTGGTTGTAAACGCGAGACCACCTCGCATGGATCTATTTGGATGTCAAGCCTCCAGAGGACAACAACCAACCAACCAAAAGTCCATTGCGGATCCCCCATGAATTTGTCTTTTTCGGCATTGCGAACACCGGTGCGGGGACGACGAGCACGAGGACGAGGACGAGAATGTGGACTAGTTGAGCAGAACACACGCTGCCAACTGAGTGCGTGGCCGTCCTCCTAGCCTCGCCTCCATCTGCCATGTTGGCGCAAACATGATTTGACACATTTCAGAAAAATGGGCCTTGTTAATCGCACAAGTTTCAGCAGAGTGGATTTCTTTCACACCAGCAAAGCTTGAAGAGAGTCAACCCAAGTCGTCCCAAGTCGCCAGGAGCGGGGGGTTCTTCTGAAACAGCCAACGAACTATCCACCAGCTTTCAGCGACCGCCATGAACACGTCGTACAGACTCGTTGGGTCTAGTCGGCAGAGGTACATCGTACGTTCCTAGCTAGTAAGACCGCGCGTCGCCAATCTAAAGATGGTGTTCACACCAGTCAGTACTTTATGCTTGAGGATCGGGGGCTAGGCAAATTCGTCCGAAAATCAGGCACTGCAGTTTCAACACAAGCCATCTCATCCGGACTCTCCGAGATAGCAAATGTGCCTGCGTAAGTGCGTAAGTGCTTAGGTTGTCCTCTGTACTCCGTACCTCCAAGACCCATCTCGTATTAGGGTGCAGCTGGGCAGAGTGAGGATGACGTGGGCATGGCGCTAGTGGGAACCGCCCAGTCTAGAAGCGAGTCCAATGGAGAGCCACATTGACAAACCGGCCAGAACAACCCGAGATCTCTCGGAGAAATAATCATTATTTGATAGTCCGAATAGGACGGAGTAAAGTTGAAAGTGATACACGACTTTGCGCTGTCCACGTGGTCAAGATCGTAAAGAAGTCTGATTAAAGTCTGTTTCAGATGACGGGAACTGCTCCCTTCGGTAGCCTTCGGTCACTGAAATTGAGATGCATGTACTCCGTACTCCGTACAGAATACATGACCGGGAAATATGGCCGGTAGGGTTGGCTGCGGTGACTGAAGTCTGATTTCATGGCGACCTCGTGAGTGGCAACTGCCATGCGAGAACTACGTGGGGAACGGGGCGACAGAGGCAAACCACACAGGCTCAACCAGAGGATTCGAGTGTCATACCTTAACCCTAAAGAAAAAATAAAATAGAACTTTGGAAAGAGAAAGAAAAAACACATCAAATCTACTTGGCGCGTGAGAGGTTGTGTTCCTAGAAATGGATGGTACGGTGTACACTTCAGGGCTTTAGCACACTTGAGCCTATGGGACAACCTGGAACCAACGCAACCATTTGCTACCCAAAATATGAGAGAATTACTAAAATGTGGCACAAAGTGTCATAAACCAAAGACCGGTAAAAAGGAAATTGACTTGCCACGAGAATGCGAACGGCCAAGAACTACGGAGTATCGGGGCAAGATGGGACTGAATGGGACCAGTAAGCCACCGAAGGCCCAAGAGGAAGCACCGGAAAGAAACACCGGCGCGCAGTCCGGTAAGGCTTGTCATGGCTTTCGATCGGCAGGGGCAGAGGAGGGGGGTGGTTTCACCCCTCTTCCTTCTAGCCCTAGAAAAACGTCACCATGAGACCCATCAGCAAGGGCACACTAAGAACCAGAGAATATTGGCCAAAAGGAAAGAAGACCTGGGTCTTAGGTGAAACACGTCGATCGGTGATTGGGGATCGACATTGGGCGATTGCATGTGGCGTTTACGAGGCGGGTGCATCACATCTGCAATGTTGCAATAAATCAGTACGAAGTACTCCGTACAGAGTACAGAGTAATTGAACACATGAAGATCGAAATAATAAGACAAAGCCAAGCCATAAAAATCATGCGAGTCCAAAGGGTTTGTTTTCATTAATTGTACCTGGGATGAGGTTCAGTAACACTGTGATGTGATTGGATACTCGGAGGTTCAACCAAAGATGTATGGGAGATGCACCAATCAGATGATGTGCCCTGAGTGCGTACCAAGGAACCGCGCGGAGTGACTGCATGGCCATTGGGAAGACGCACATCGGATCCATGGAAATGATGTTGACCTGCACAATAAAGTGAGGGGAATTCTATCTTTGTCTTCCACAGGGGTCAATTATTGTTTCTATTTTGATCTATACTATTTTAACATTCTCCTTTATACGGAGTATCATGTCTAATTTAGATACTTAATTTTATGCCACGGAGGACGGAGTAATATTCCCTTGGGCATGGTCAAAATGGATGTGACAGACTCCATTACAGTCCAGGCCATAGTGGAGTGCACTATGATCTTGGGCTGTGGAGTACAACCAGATCATTTCCGTGTTCTTTTCTTCTCTTGAATGGAGTAATTGTAATTTGTATCTAAGAATTAGGGCCACGGCGGATTTTCATTGGAGTGTAAGAGAAAAACGCTCGGTTCAAGCCAATCACCATGGTTCCTGTTCCTGTCAACGGCCCAGAAAATGGAGACGTCCCTCAGATCCATCCATTGCCTCCCCCTGGTCCCCGGCGCCAATGGGATCTAGAATTCATTTTTGCCCTGGCCGGAGACATGGTTATGATGTAGAACCGCTGCGGTCGGTGGAAGAACGTCCAATGATGATTTTCACCGGTGATCCACAGCCCATGAAGAAATGATGTGGCTCAGGTACGACCCAGACAGGTGGTTTGGCTGGTAACTTTGGCACCCATTGTGTGTGTTTTGTGTGGAAAGATTTAAAGCCCCTCTCCTGCCTCCCTAGATTATTCTGCATCAACTTTCACTCCTTCATTTGCTTGTTCATCTAGTCCTGTGCCGTGCACGGTCTGACACTTTCCTTAAAAGCTACTTGCTTTTTATCCACACTCATTCACTTGCAAAGGTCGAGAACCGGTTTCTCTCTTTCTATCCTTTTAGTCCACACTCTTTTTTGTGACTTATCGCATCTATCTACACAATGGTTTCCTTCACCAAGCTGTTCACTGCCGGCCTTGTCGCCACTTCGGCCATCGCCGCCCCCGTCGAGGTCAAGCGCACCAGCTCCAGCAAGCGTGGTGCCGCCTACAACGACGTTAGCACCGTCTCCACTCTGAGCAACAGCGGTGTCATCTCATGGGCCTACAACTGGGCCGGCTCTTTGTCCGGAAGCATGCCCTCCAACGTCGAGTTCATCCCCATGCTTTGGGGAGCCAAGGACTTCGGCGGCTGGATCACCACCGTTGAGACCATTCTCAACCAGGGCAGCAACTACATCCTCGGTTTCAACGAGCCCGACATGTCCTCCCAGGCCAACATGAGCCCCTCCGATGCTGCTGGCTACTACAAGCAGTACATCACCCCCTTCTCCGGCAAGGCCAAGCTCATCTCTCCCGCCGTGACCTCCTCCACTACCGACGGTCTCGGCCTGAGCTGGTTCGAGTCTTTCATCGGTGGCTGCTCCGACTGCAAGATCTCCGGTCTTGCTGTTCACTGGTACGGAAACACCGCCGACGAGTTCAAGTCCTTCGTCACTCAGGCTGTCGACACTGCTAGCAAGCACAGCCTCGAGGAGGTTTGGATCACTGAGTTCGCTCTTAGCGCCGATGCTAACGGCTCTTCTGATCTCGCTACCACTACTGCTTTCCTCAACGAGGTCATTCCTTGGTTGGACTCTCAGTCCGGTGTCACTCGCTACTCTTACTTCATGTGTGCTGAGAAGTACCTTCTCACTGACAGCGCTCTGAACGAGGCTGGCACTGCTTACACTTCTTAAGCTGTGTTTGTGAAATTTTGGTATACGAATGTGACGAACAGTAGATAGCAGTTCAAGGGCGATCCTGTTTGTCTTTTCTTGTGGGAAGTTTCAGCAAATCGTCTTTGTCTTTTTACATATTTTGGGAGTTATATACAAAAATATCCAACGCACTTTGTCTTTCTTTCAATCTTGGTTCTTCATTGTATCAAAGTATTTATCAACCTTGGTAGCCTCCCGTCCTTCCATTGTCGTAACTTTTCATTATTATCAAGGTTGTTACTCTGCGGGCCATGACAACCTTGGAACGGGTCAGGCACCTCGGAAACAACCCCTGCTAGCCTTGGTCTTCTCATGGATCCCCAGGTCTATTGTTTACTTTGTGCATCCTATCAAGGACCCTCGTGTCTAGGAGATCTCGGACAATGCCCGCTCGTAGACCTGAAATTTACAAGTACAAAGAGGGTCCACACCACGAGGTCGGGAGTGTGCTACGTAGTCGATAGAAAAGGATAGAATCAAAGTCACTGGATCAGAATGACAAGTGCAGAGCAATCATAGTATCATAGCTTCATATTTAAACTCCTATGGAAGATCATGCCCAGGTGGGCTCAAAACTATAGCAATAAACTGTCGTAATTTTTTTTGCACAAGACATTGCAATCGTGATCCGAAGCTGATCATTACGCCTGATTTCATACAAAGCGTGCCGTAAGAAGAGGCGATTTGACCTCAAACTGCACCACCGAGGTCTTCAAGCGCATGTGAATGGTTTGCTTATAGAGCCAGATTGGAATTTGTGAACCTACAGCCAAGAGTCAGCATGGAGCAATAAACGTTGAAGTTGGACATACCAATTCTGCAATACTAGCGTAGGTGCCGCATCCAAAGATGATCAGACCGACTATAAAGACGATACCATTCAAGATCGCAGCCTTAAGGTTGTGCTTTTCGTACCATGCACCCTCTTTGAGGAGCACGAACCACATAATAGGCGGGATGTAGAATGAAAGACCAGACACGAACAGAGCCGAGATAATCGACAACAGTTCAGAGAAGATTGGGATTGCCTCGGCGATGATCCACGCCAGAATTGTAACAATAAACACGAGGCCAAGCCATGTGACCCAGCCCTTTGTTGTGTTTACATAGCGAACGATGGAGTCTTGGTAGATCTTCCCGTGGATGTATCGGCAGACGACTGTTGTGTTGATCGACCCTGAAATGAAAATGACGGGAAGAGCGATGCCAAAGACAACCCTCGAGATGAGAGGGCCTGCTGATAGCAAAGCGGGGGATTGAACCGCCTGGCCCACGAAAGCGTAGATGATCGATCCTGTCAGGGTGTAAATGACGATTTGAATACCTCCAAGCCACCAGAGTGTTTTGACGTAGTCTTCGGGTGTGTGCATATCCTCCATGAACGATGGCAAGCAGCCAGCAAAGGAAAAGGCAAAGACAATGTTATTGGCCGCTACGATAGCCGCCGAGAACGTGAGACCGGGCTTTGGCCAGGCGGACCAAGGTGCGTGATCGACAAAAGTGCCGGTATTGTTCGTGCTTTGAATACCAGTCGCAATCATCGTCACACCAATAGCGATGATGATGGAAGCAAAGTCGATATAGCCAAGGATTGCCACTTCCGCGAAGGATGGGGGGATAGCGAGGATCAAAAGGATCACGGCCGACACGACACTGAAGATAATCGAGCACGAACTGCTCTGTGTGATTGTTTGGAATGCGATTGCTCCCGTCAGGCAGTGAGATCCGATGACGAAGACAAGGAGGGCGACGAAGCTACCGAGGAAGAGTTTCGATCCGACGTTGCCAAGCAGAAGTTGACCAACATCTGCATAGTGACCGATCTGTGGGTACCGAAGCTTGGTCTCGCCGATACTGTATCCTGCATATACGGCTACAAAGCCAAGACCAATTGTTAGAATGACTCCAGCTACCATACCGAGAGATGCGAACGCGGAAGGCAATCCAAGACTGCCTAGAGCAATCGCTTCGACGATTGAGATGACAGTCAAACGCTTCCATCCAAGTCGACGAAATCGTGCCTCGTCTTCCAAGATTCCCTGTATCTCGGGATCGGAGAATTGTCCCTTTGGAAGTCCCTCGCTGGCCATCTTGGTGCTGCGAAGCCAGAATGTATAAGATACAACAAAAGAAAGAAAGATGTTGGGATAGAAAAGTGCGGATCAGATAAGATCAAAAGGTTTAAATTGGTCGGTCTCCGCTCCGACCCTTGAGGGTACATCGTGCCAAAAGTGGAGTGATAGCGGGTCATGAAAAGAGATAAACTGGAGTTGATTCGGAGAAAGAGTACTAATTCGTAGAGTTTCGGACGCCACCGAGGTTGTTTTAACTAGATTCTGCAGGTGGTAGGAGCATGTCGTGTCGGGCCAAGCCGCAGTGGCAGCCAAGGTGCACCACTAGGCTTATACTAGACAAGCACCCGCCCCTGGCGAGTAAAATGATGTACGTAATTCCACTCCGTAAAATCATCGTTAATTTCTTCAGGCTAGGTCTTGGCGCTGTAAAGACAATATTGGACCGGTTTCTTCACAGGCAGGGACCGAAGCGACGAAAATGAAGAATTGAACGCATGTGGAGACCTTGCAAATAAATCCTCTCGCAGCACCGGTATGATACGAGTGCAAATACACGGTTGGCCCTATCAATCACATGGAAAATTCGCATTAATGCATCCCGAGCGAAAGCCGAACCCTAAAAGCAAGCGCATACCGCGCTATCAACCGAGTGTGTATGTGAAGACCGGTGACAGGGCCTCCATGAAGGCAAGTTGAGCCGTAAGCATCTCAACCTCATCTGCAAACTCTCTCCGAAGCTTGTACTTCGTGAAATTGCAGAAACGGATCTTGATGCGAAGCTCAGGCTCAACTCCTACCTCGACGATGATATTCTCCGGGCTTATTGCCTCAGGCGTGACGCCATAATCCATAATCTTTTGCACTGTCCGAGTTGTCTCTTCGATAATAGCTGGCCATAGTTTCATTGGCGTGTGGCGTGGGAACTCAGCAAGGGGAAATCCCTCAATGTACCGCAAGAGGAGGCCGGGAGTCTCCAGACATTGTGGGTTGGTAGGACGCGGGAATTCCTGCTGCTCGATTACCGTCACAGGTCCGATGAGTCGAGGGATTTCAGAGCCCTGCAGTGGCTGGAGCAGTCTGTACACCTCGAGCTCCCTATCAAACAAGTTTCGCATCTGGCCACAGAAGGCAACTTCGCAAAAGACCTGGAAGCAATTTTCATGTGCGACGCGGTCCCTGGGACGAGGATCATTACTATACCTCCTTGTCAGTTGGTGCGTACAATAACTTGACGGGATTCTCTCAACTCACGGGTTATTGTCAAAGGCCTTGAGCCGCTTGATCAGGTGTGACTGAACTACAGCCGGGGTACCATCCGTAATCATGCGAGCATAGCGAGTCTCAAAGGCTGGTGACCATGGAATGGTGCCAGAAGTACGACGGAGCGTAGTTGCATATCTTCGGTCGAAAAGTTTCAGAACAACCTTTCCTTGTATGCCGAGATAGGTAAGATCAGAATCAAACAAGAGGTTCATCGTGCAAGCGGAATTGAAGGGCTCGTAGACGTGAAGAATCGTTGCCCTGGCGGTAATACCGCCGTGAATTAGCAGATCGATCTTCTTGCCAACGGCGTAGGGTGAACTGAAAAGGTTAGATTATGACCGGCTTCATTGAATTGGATTCTCACGTGAAGGGTGGTTCCATTTTGTAAATATGGGAGAGAGTTGACGAGCGGAGAATTTTGAATGCGCGTGGGGGAGTTGTGAATCACGACAACAAAACATCGTGAAAGGCGAGAGCATGTGAGGTGGGTGTACCATGAAGTTGGACTAAATGCTTCAATCATTTGTCTCTTAGATCGTCCTCACCTATTTATCACTTTACGCAAAACAATTACTGAGGGCAATACAGGAAATGATCGAGTGCAAACAACAAAAGCTCTATATTGCGGGAGCATCCTAGTCATAAACACAACAAGGTACAACGAGGAACCAATTGATCTCAACCATGATACAGTTCTTCATACTCCGGAAGGTCCCAGTCCTTGACGGTGTCCGAAGTAAACCTGCTTAGAACATCCAATCTCAAAAAAGACGCAATTCCCATAAAATAGTTCATGACAGCAACCCCGAAAGCCGATGTTGATACTCTATCCCAGCGACCCTCTTCAAGAGACACAACCTTTTGAACTTGAGCCATGAAAGGACGGAACCTATCATCGTAGGCTCGCAAAGCAGTCAAGAGGGCACCTGGGCGATCTGTCGTTCCAGGTCCACAGTGACGGCCAATCTCACCAGCCAGGACATAAGCACCAACAAGGCCAGAGGTTGTGCCCATTCCCGTCGCCGGAGATGGACAGTAGGCCGCATCCCCGACGAGAACAACACGCCCGCGAGACCAGCTATCTAGCTTGACCTGACCCAAGCGATCACAGTAGAAGTTGTCGGCATGCTTGAGAGATTCCAACATCTCATCGGTCCGCCACCCTGCTCCCCGAAGCATTTCGCTCAAAGCTTCCTTTCGCTCGTCGGTATGGCCCCTCAAACGAGCTTTCAGTTCATCGGAGTCTGTCCGGCCACCGATGTAGACTTGGATCTCGTGGTTGTTGTGTCGGCGAGTCATGATGCCTCTGGAACCACTTGCCGTATAAGATGTTGCCATATAATCTTCGCCTGGCTGGATAGGCTGAGAGATGGTGAAGTATCCCACATACATGCCCTTCATGGAATGAAAAGCATCGGGCCCATCGGGCCCAAGCATCATCTTGCGAGTTCGTGAGTTCTGGCCATCAGCGCCAATCACAAGATCGAAGTGATCTGTAACGCCACCCGAAAGACGCACATTCACGAGTCCGTCTTCTTCTTCGATGTTGTCGATCGATGTCGCGAATAGATACTTCGCTCGAGTCTTGGTAAGATCGTATATGATGTGACAGAGATCTCCTCTCATAATTTCCCAATCAGAGCTGAAGCCCAGAGTAACGTTGGAGGAGTCGTTTGCCGGGAAGTAGGCTCTTCTCTGGCCCGAACTGTCCACCATCTGCATGCCTTGTTCCGGGATCGACTTGGAGCGAAATGCCTGCTCAAGACCCATCCGCTTCATGACTTCCACACCATGACCGCGGAGATCAATCTGGAGGCCGGAGGCTCGTATATCGGGAAAGACTTCGACAACGGTGACTTTGTGGCCTAGTTTTGTAAGCCAAAAGGCGAGGGTATTGCCGGTGATTCCTGCACCGCTGATGAGTATTTTCATTTGCTTCATGATGTTGAAGTGTCGAGGGTATGTGTTAGGTAAAGTCGAAGAGAGTTGGCGTCTACAGAAGAGAGTTTTCAGAAAGCACAATTGTTCACGGTGGGGACTTTATACTAAACCTTGGGAGAGAGATTGATGGCTTGATACGGAGTACTTTGTGAGGCCGACTAACTCCGCGTAAGACCGCCGCAACGGCCGAATATGGCGAAAGACCGACATTGTCACAGGTTCAAAACCACCAAAGGGTGTAAACAGCTCACTAGAGCGAAAAAGAAATTGGAAGCCCGTAGTGAACAGCGGACGGCTTATTCCCTGATAAAGTTGAACTATACCGACGCCCGAGAATGGCCAAGTTGACTGTCGCACTCACCTGGGCACATCCGGCTATGATGATCAGGTGTATAAAAGAATGGGGAAAGATTCAAACGTCGTACCAAAGCTAGGGCTCGTATTTCTCGCAGCCTAGAAGTGGTAGGAGAACTACTGTGACAAAGTCTTATTAATAGTCTTTTGGATAGTCTTTCCAAGCTTCTTACCTCTAAATACATGTTATTGCGTCCGGGTTTACGCAAACCCTGCATCTGGTAAAAGGAAATCCCAGTCTAAGTCCAGATCCAAACCAGTGCATTCTTCAAGCTCGCCATGGTGACTTGCGCCCGACTCAAAATCACCGTCGCTCGAATGCGCCAAGGAAACAGTGTCGGCCAGTGTCATCAAAAGACCGTGACAGAGCTCGAGACTACTTTCGGCGCTTTTTGCAATGCTGAATTCGCTATCGACGCCCGACTTTTTTGCCTCAACCTGCGCTATGATCATGCTCATGAACATGTGACCTTTGACGTTGGACTCGCCTTGACGAATGCGCTCAACGGAAATAGAAAGCAGGTCAGTAGCAATGTTCTTGAGAAGCCCAATGTATCGGTGATTGCGGTGCAGTGTTCCATCAATACTCTGGGCCTCGGTTTGTGCTAACAGCTCGATACTGATGACGGTCATGGCACACCAGATGCCTTCTCTGAAGAGACCACCGCCGATCGCCATCAATCTGGAGAACGCATCATCGGGCTCTGGTGACATGATGGCCATAGCTGCATCGAGGGTGGCTTTTAGAGATGACGATAACAAAGGGTTTGTGCGGGCTTTGTCGGTGAACGGGCAGTGTAAAGGTATCATGAAACGCCTGATGAGATAATCTAGGAGATTACGATGAAACGGAATCATGCTCGCTCCTGCGTCGTCCTTGATAAACTCATAGTTAGAGGTAAGCACATTGGTCAACTCGGAGCTTAATGCGATCACATCGAGGTACAATATCTCCGGGCTCAAACTTGTTAGTATTTGCAGTATTCGCAGACGGACTGGCAACGAGGCAAGCATAAGAAGTTGCATCGAAGTAGCAGTGTATATCCCGCTAGAATGAGATTGAACAGCAGTTGTAGACTCGCTGATTTCATCATCATTGATATTTGAAGGAGGCTCAGTGTCGGACTCAGGGAGGCTAGGTGGCATCGCCGAGTCTAACGCTGCCTGTACCGTCATTTCAACAATAGTCGCCCAGAGCCTACGTCGGACTTCAGCTTGCAGAACAGGTATCCCCGAGAGGTGCTTTGGATCGCGGTGCAGATTGATTTGCATGGCCTTGTGGAGCAGAGTCCCCATCGAAGTCCAAACCAGATCGGCGCCAATCGAATAGATTTGTCGGGCCAGTATCATGAGGCAGTCGATTTGAAGCCCAGAAACGGTGAGCCTGTCCTTTTCTAATGGCCCGGAGAGCCATGCTTGGGCGGCGTAAATCCAGCGATGGATGGTATGACGAAGCCCAGCGTTCATACCTGTTTCATGGATACTCGCGCCTATCCCGACCACAAGAAGTATTTTGAGACGAAGTTCAGTTGGGGCCTGCTCGGGATTGCTCCAGAATGTTTCATACTCGACCCAGAAAGAAGGGATGTGGAGAATTCGGTAGACTGATTCGAAGTCACCAAGGTACAAACCGACCATAGTATGTGCGTATTCTCGGGATGGAGGTGCAAGGTCTATTTGGGTGAACAGCGATCTACTTGGCCGCCAGAGTTTGATGGTCCTTGCAATATCTTTGCACTGTTTGAGAAGATCACCAACATGGGACAGTACCGCTCGAGTGTCGGGGGCTTGAAATGCTTCGCCCGTACCTTTTCCGATAGCCTCGGCGTAACAGGTAATGAATGGAGCAAACTTGAGACAGTCAGCAGTATTCTTTGGGTACAGAGTGCAGGAGTGGGGGTACCTCTTTAGCCTTGCCCATCCACAAGCTCCATCGCATGACCCTAGTCTTTGAGAAGATCCATTCAGAGCTCTCTATGTGTGATGGACGTCCGAGAATCGCTTGATTGGTCTCAGATAAGCCAAAGGTGGGCTTATCTGTCGAGGATTTCTCAAGTGTTTCGATTCGGGACAAGATCCCGGCCAGAATTGGCTCTGAGCTTTGCCCACATATCGAAGATCGTCGCTCATTTCGGGTTCGAGAAGCACCGAGGTCAGTTTGTGTTGTCCCAGTTGGTGTTAGCGCCCTTGCTCTGGGAGTGGGGGGATCACGAAGAGCATTGGCATCCAGGGCCGACCGGCTTCCCCCGGTTTGATGTGCATACACCGATGCCGGGGAAGGTGAGGCATTGAACCCCGATGTATTCTCTGGGTGGTGTATAAGAGGGGTAGAATTGTTGTTGTAGCCCCTATAGGTGCATTGCAATTGGTTGGTGACGCAACGTCTACATGGATGCTTTCGGTCACACTTGATCTTCCGGCGGGCGCACTCGATACAAGATCGCGCTATTCTGCGCCGTCTTCGTGGTTGTTGGGGCTCCATGGGTCTGCCACAGGGGATGTAGAGCGGAGGAAGACGTTGGGACTTCGGCCGTAAGCATAATTACCGCTTACGGCCGAAGTCCCAAAGCCGAGCAAACAAAACAATTTGGTTGATAATGCGAGCCAACAAGTACACCCCCAAATTTGAATTGACCTTGATTCAACTCAGATACACCAAGCTTGCAGATCTTCTGCAGGCATTATCGCCCCCCATTATTGTCTTCAACCATGTTGACTGTCCTCTGTCAGACGGCCACGCGGACATGTGAAAGGTCTATAAGAAATCTCATCTCCACAGATCGAGTTGACAAAGACATCCCTATCCCGCTTGACAAGTTGATTTCACTTCAATCATCATATCCGAAATGGCTTTGCTAGGTGTTTTTCTTTCGCCGTGGATAGCCGTGGTCATCCCAGTCTGGTTGTCACTTTACTATGTAGTCCCGTACTTGGTGACATATCGACAATTGAACCGAATCCCGGGACCATGGAGTGCCAAGTTCAGCAACGCATGGGTTGGACTGGGTGCCCGTCGGGGTCAGAAATATGCTGTTGTCGACTCAGCGCATCGCAAATACGGCAAAGTCGTTCGCATCGGCTTCAACCATGTATCTATTGCCGATGAGCGAGCTTTGAACGTTGTATATGGACATGGAAATGGCTTTCTGAAAGAGTATGTCAGACCAACACATAGAATGGAACCAAGTTTCTTTCTTAACAATAAAACAGTCATTACTACGAAGCATTCGTGGCTCGTACGCCAGGCATGTTTAATGTGCGCGACCGCGCAGAGCATACACGCAAGCGAAAGATCATATCCCATGCTTTCTCTCCCAAGTCAGTCGCTGCATTTGAGCCGTTCATGGTAGAAAATCTACAGCGATGGATCGCACAGCTGGACCGCATCTCGGCTTCTGAGCCCCAGCTGAATGGGAAACACTTTGTTCGTTTAAATGCGATGCCTTGGTTTAGCTATCTCGCCTTCGATATTATCGGGGATCTGGCGTTTGGATCTCCATTTGGTATGGTCGACAAGGGCAAGGATGAGACCGAAACGCAACTTGTGCCAGGAGGTCCTGTATCCTATGCCCCAGCAGTCGATGTTCTGAATCGCCGAGGCGAAGTTTCTTCGACACTAGGTCTTTTACCGTCACTCCGCCCATGGGCTAGGTATCTTCCAGATCCATTCTTCACCAAAGGCATAGCAGCCGTAGAGAACCTGACAGGCATCGCCGTTGCCGCGGTCGCGTCAAGACTTGGCGCGTCGGAGAAAGGATTGGCCGATGGCCGCAACGATATCTTGGCGCGTTTGCTGCAAGCAAGGGACGCCGATGGTCAGCCAATGGGGCGAGATGAACTCATAGCAGAAGCACTTACCCAACTCATTGCTGGCTCCGATACAATATCAAACACGGCATGTGGCATTTTCTACTGGATCCTACACGGGGAACGCAGCGCCCCAGGAACCATTATCCCCCGGTTACAAGAAGAGCTGGACCGAGCGATTGATCCAAATTCGGAGACTGCCTCATATTCTGAGGTCAGAGATCTCCCGTTCTTACGACGATGCATTGACGAAGCCATGAGACTTCATTCCACATCAGCTCTTGGTCTACCCCGTTTGGTCGCCGACAACGGTGCAGGCGTTGAGTTTGACGGTTTCTATTTCCAGCCTGGTACAGTGCTCTCGGTGCCATCCTATACAATTCATCACATGCAAGAAATTTGGGGTCCTGATGTTGAAGAGATGAAGCCAGATCGCTGGCTGAATTTATCAGCTCGGCAGAAGGCCGCTTTCAATCCATTCTCCTACGGACCCCGAGCGTGTGTTGGACAGAATGTTGCGATCATGGAGCTGCAGTTGATACTTGGAACTTTGTTTCACCGGTACGAGTTTGTTCTGCACCAATCGACCTTGAGATCGCATGAAGGGTTTTCGAAAAAGCCAGTGGAGTGTCATGCGGGAATCCGACTGAGGGATCGGTGCTAGGAGCTTTTGGTGAGACAGTTGGTTCAACCTATATCAAGTGAGCATGCGGTTCATCTTATAGCTTTGGGTGGGACCAGTACACCTGCCTCTCAAGTTCGGTTGATGGGCTTTATTTTCCTTTTTTTTAGCCCGCTCTCGCGCCACATTCTATCATGGCAACTTACATTATCCATTCAATCTCCTACGAACCATTTAAGGATAGACAGAGGCTATTAGAAGGGAGACTGGACCGAGATAGAGCCTGATGGGTCTCCGGTCATATGCGAAGGCCCAAACAAGGCCGTTCAGCTGAAGCATAAGTCTCCTTGCTCGACAAAGGAGTTTCTATCAGTCAGAGCTATCTTCGCAATCTGTCAGCTCCATGGCAGCATGAGGTAACTGTAACCTTATTGTGCATTATCATTCCAAGCTGAATTCCACCCCCTTGACACTCACTTACCACCAATCGGAGATAATCTTGTTGGTTTGGATGTTTAAGTTTAGCTTGGTAGGGCTCTTCCCACTTGGTTAACTTTGGATCGGGCCGGGTAGGTTTAACTGGTGTTGAGCCTAAAGGTTACATTGGCGACTTTAAAGATGCATTCTCGCAGATTGAGATAGCCTTACCTCGTGCATCAACGGGTTATGGTCTATAAATCTTGGCTCGAGCGAACATCGGTTCGAAAAGACAATTCTCAGAAAGGGGGTATATGCCCAGAGAAAAAAGGTGGCTTCAACAGAGGCCCGGGGTGTCTAGACCTGCTCGGGGCCCAAACTTTTTCAGTGGGAGTTTCCCAACCCGAGATGCTCCCCCTTGCATCGGCTCTTGAATATCGCTCACTCCGCACTTGTGGGGTTTGCAGGAATCTGTCTAGGCTAGTCTATCGTTTTACCCCAACTCTGTTTCCTTCTACCTGTGCATTCCTGAGGTCCCATCACAAGGGCGACTTCCGCTCATGATCCCTGCTTCGTCCAGGCATGCTTGTGGCACGGTGTTCGATTCTCCGGAGCCAGTTGACAAGAGAGATTCCAGGGGCCTTACATGTGCCGCCACTGGACATGTGGCAGCAAATTGCTATCATGGGCCCAGATCGAGGTCAACATGAGTCGAGAAAGAATGTACACTTCAACTCTTCGTGGAAATGAGCCGACCTATCCGGGACTCAACCGCCCTCGAGTCTTTTAAATACCAGTGGTATCATTGCTGGCAAGAGACAGGCAGTTTGATTCCAACAGCAAGCTTCCTTGACGTGCGGATCATTGTCGATCACGCCGATCGTTCGACTTCAAACTCCCCCGCATAGATCTACGCAGGTAGATCTTCATACAGCCCTAAAAATGAGTCGATTCTTCGGTCTTCGGGGCAACAGCCTCAGCATATTGGCAATATGTGGTGTTTTGATGCCTGCGATCCTCACATCCGGCTACAATGCAGCCTCATTTGGAGGCGTATTGGAGCTTCAAAACTTCGAAGAGCAATTCCCCGAAATCGATATTTCTACCGCTGTCAACAAATCATATGCATCAACAATCCAAGGCCTTGTCGTGGCGGCATATGCAATGGGTGTCTTCTTGGGAACACTCTCTTGTGTCTGGCTAGGTGACTGGCTCGGCCGCCGACGAACAATCATGACTGGAGCATCTACTCAAATTGTCGGATCTATCTTGATGGCAAGTGCGTACAAGCTCGGCATGTTGATCACCTCCCGTGTTATACTTGGCTTTGGTACCGGTGTGTTCCTAGCCACCATACCTCTCTGGCAGTCTGAGATCTCTCCTGCCAAGAAACGTGGGGCCCATGTCGCCATGAAAGGGATCTTTAGCGGTCTCGGGAGTGCTCTGTCACTCTTTCTCGATTTTGGAATGTCATTCACACCCGGCAGTGTCTCATGGAGATTTCCATTTGCATTTGTGGTGTTGCTTTCGCTCGCTGTTTTGCTGTTCATCATTTACCTGCCGGAATCTCCTCGCTGGTTGATTCGACAAGGGCGCATATCCGAAGCCGGTGAGGTTTTAGCTGCTTTTAACGACACATCTATTGAAGATGAAACAGTTCAAGCACAGATCAAGGACGTTCAAATGTCATTGGACCTCGCCGGGAAGAAATCCCTTGGACAGCTCTTCCACATGGGACCCCAGAGAACCTTCCACCGGGCTATGATTGCTCTTACGGTCATGTTTATCATGCACCTGACGGGAGCCACGGTCATAACCTTCTACAGTACGTCTCATATTGGTCTTACACTCTTCGCATTCTAACATGTGTCTTTGTCTAGCAACCTCCATCTTCGAAAACAATCTCCATCTCGGAAACTCGATGTCTACCGTCTTAGCAGCCGTGTACCAATTGGTCGGCCCAATCGGTGGAATCTTCTGTGTTCTGAAGATCGAAGGACTCGGGAGACGAGTATTACTCCTGGGCAGCGCGGTAGGAAATGCCGTCTGTCTAGCCCTGGTGGCTGCACTCGGGACTCAACCGCAGAACCTGATGGCGATGCGTGGCTCCGTGTTCTTCATCTTTTTGTTTCACTTCAGTTACATCATCGGATATGGTGCGATTCCATATTTATACACCACAGAGATTGCGCCTCTGCATTTACGAACAACTATCAACAGCATCAGCATCAGCTGTTCCTGGGCTATCAATATCCTGATTACTCTGGTCACCCCCATCGCATTCAATAGCATGGGACAGACATACTTTGTCATATTTGCAGGTTGCAACGCGGCAATGGTGCCTATCGTTTACTATTTCTTCCCCGAGACCGCTGGTCGGAGTCTCGAAGAAATGGACAAAATATTTGCCCTTTCGAAGGGAATACGCGACTGTGTGAATGTTGCACGGCTTCTTCCTCCAGGACAAGCCACCGACTTATCGTCTGAGAAAGACCTCGGGCCGAATTTCAAATGTCCTGAGCTTCAAATGCGCGAGGTACACTCCCCTTGAGTAGTTCCGAGGTCTGGTAGAGCTTTCAAAGCAGCGCTTGAAAGGCTCGTGTGCAGTTTGTGAATATAGAAGAACCTTTATGGAATCAAGAAGCCTTCCAATTTCCGAATAGTGAAATGTTCAAATATTAGCATCATCTCCGTGCAACTAACACTGGTTATTTTGCTCCCCTTCGAAGCCTGGTAATGCAAAACATCCAAACTTGCCAAGCCTCGGGATTTACATGCTCTTCGTCACGTGATTGTCGAAACGAGCCTCGGCTTCAAAGCTCAATTCACCTTTCAATTTGGTGAGACCATTCCTGAGTACATTGAATGTTGCTCAGTCGAGCTAGCTTTTGTTGTAATCATCGTTGTATCTCCGAAGAACTTTTTATTACAATCTAAACAAACAAAAAAACATGTAGTAAATAAAACAAAAATTGAACAAAACGACATAGACTTGCCAAACTTGTGTATCAAGGCTTATTCAGTTGTTCCTTGCGGAAGAACATGAAGAAGCCAACGGGAATTGCCAGCTGGCAGCCCAAGGCGATCCAGAACCATGGTTTTGAGATACCCTCCACTATGCCCGCCGAGAAATCCGGAAACACATCCCCCGGCCCATCCCGATTTGGAGCGGTGGCACGGGCAACCAAAGTTGTAACCGTGCCAATCAGCTGTGCTGCGCAAAGCGACGCGGCGATATGAATACGGGTGAGGGTCTGTAATAGGATCATACCGAATCCTACCCCTTGGATCGAGTCCAAAACTCCCAACCATAGCCAGACTGCCCGAGCACCGATGGCGTATCCTTGTGGTCCACCGACCATCCAGGGAACCCACCACCCAATCCCGGATGTGCTCCAGAGCATCTGCGCCCATCGTGGAGCACCTAGTCCAATAGCAAAAATTGGTACGATCCATGAATGAGTTTTGGATCGCCAGGCGAGTATTGCGAGAAGGATGTACCAAACTCCAATGAAGAAAGCCACGGCGAGAAGGAAGGCTCCCCAACGTGGTAGATACTTGGATCCCCAGAAATAGTTCCAGTTTCGCTGGTAAGGCATGCTGAGGAAATAATTTTGCAGAACAATGGACACCGAAAACCAGATAATGATTCTGCGCCGGAGGATGCTTTTGTAGAAAGCTGGGATCTTGCCTGGGGTTTGACGGTAATAACTGGGGAGCCCGGTAAACAGTGCCACTGCCACGATAATCAGAAAAACTCCAATTGGCATTGTGATAGCTGCGGCAGTTCCCGCGGACTCGACAATTCCATTGCCGTTTCCTGCAGCCATCTCAGCGCCCCAGAAAAAGAGTGCAGCAATGTAAAGATTCTGTGTGCCTTGGATGATGCACGCACGATATACCCACGACTCAATCTTTGAGCCACCTATGACACCGTTAGAAGACAGCCAAGTAAAATATAGATTGGGTACACACCATCATCTCCAAAGTTGAGGGAGAAGAAAAGATATCCACTGGAGGATCCAATGATGTATAAGGCAGTCGCCACATGATATGCCCACTTTTGACCGGTACCAACAGGAACGAAAGCGGCAATACCAATGACAAAAAATGCAATGCCGTATAAGACGAAAGGTAGGGAAAGAAGGTAGGCCGATGGGACGCGTCGGAATGCAAGCCACCATGCACAAGTTGTGACGATGTATATACTTCCCATCACGTACAGAATGACTGGACTTTGACCTGCTCCGGAAGTGAGGAGAGTGATCTGGGAAGAATTGGCGGCCATGATTTGGCCCAAGGCGAGAAGGATCGAGTAGACTGGCCAATCAAACACGCGGGCAAGCATCCATCGTTGAATGATGGGCGGTCGCTGGGATTTTTGAGGCCGCAAGAGCTCCTGCGTAGACAGGTCTTCCCAATTGGATGCATCATCGTCAAAATCGCCATCCGCATGGTCGCTCAGGGACGGTGAGCTCCGAGATCCAACATAAGGGGATGGGCTCCGACTGGATCTACGGCCCAGCTTGATTTGGCGTTGTTCATTGGCCCATTCTTTCTCGCTGTTGACAATATAATCCTCGATACAAAGATCGCTCTCCGAGTTCTTGCCGGTCAATCTCTGCAGCATACCTTGGAAGTAGCGTGCATACTTTCCGGTTTCGTCTTTGAAAGTGGGATCTGCGTTCTCCAAGGCGAAGCTTTGGCGTGTACCTTTGATTTGGTCCACGCTCAAAACAGAGGACGACCTTAGCCTGCCCCTTCGTGATGCCGAATGAGCAATGTCTATACCGAGTCCTGCTGCGGTCGGAGGTTGCGCCAAAGTTCCCGAGAGAGACCGCCCTCGTCGAGACTCTTCCGTGTCGTCGTTTGAAGATGATGAAAGGGCACGCAGCTCTTGTTCCACAATCGCCTGGGCCTCCGCTGATGTTATTGGCTGCTCATCTGGATCGGCGATTTCCTCGAGCCTGGGAGTCAAAGCCGTGCCTTCATGTAGAACTGTTCTTCCCGGTCGATGGCCAGGACCCGATCGGACACCAAGTGAAAGGGTGCGATTCAAGACCTCATCTGGAATACGCGGCGGTGAGGACCTCGGGATGGGATTCATGTCGTCAAAACTTGGACTAGGTGTTCGGGCAGATGATAACGAAACCTGGCTGAAGTTCCGAGTGTGCAATATACTCGATCGTTTCTTGCGAGAAGGGTCATTCTCCTGCTCGTGCATGCGGATCGAACGTAATTGCAAGTGATCAAGATCCTCCACCCACCGAGCCACAGGGAACCGTTGTTTAGCTGAACTTGCTCGCATCAAAGCGCGATCCTTCTGCTTTGATGCTATCGCACTTTCAATTGCTGATTTGAACTGCTTTTGGAGATGCTTAACTGTCATGGACTCGACCGGGAACCACCAGCCGGGCATCTGTCCAAGTCCACCGACCAAAGCCCCAACGCCGAGGGCACCTTTCCGGCCGAACTCCACTGCGACCAAGCCGAACGGTTCGTCGCGTGAGGGGATTAGTGCAAATTCAGCTCCAGTAAATATGAAGGGAGGCAGAGCAGTAAATTCGGGCTTTGAGAACACCCGCTGAGGGTAAACGGTCATCATCTCCTGCAATTTCAAAGCAGCGAACTTGCCGTACATGTCAATGACGGGACCGATGCAAATCAACTGGACGTTGGAATGTCGCTCCAAAATCGCGGGGAAGACATCTGCGATAAGGTCCACGCCCTTTTGGACTGACCACCGACCGACAAAGACGAACAACTCGGCAGTGGGATCGATTTCAAGCCCTGCCCACTTCTGCGCTTGACGGCGGTCCTCGCCACGAGAATCTTCATAGGCCTGATCAACTTCAATGACCTGGCGTGCTTCCGCCTCAGGGTCCCATGGCTCTGTGTCGGATGGGTCTGGATTAGGGAGCTTTCCAATTTCCTTCAAGCCCCAGAAGATAGGGTATCTCGCATACGAGCGATCGCCATATTTGTTGGAAACACCAACGGCACCGAAGCCATGTTGGTGAATCCGGAGATAGCTGGCTCCAGCGTGTAGCAGATTGAAAACCTCTCCGAATTGGACGTATTTGCGGATAATAGCGACATCAAGATTGAACACTTTGCTTATCTCTTCCATCTCTTTGTCGTCGCGTAATGGCCACAAGCCCTGGAATTCAGCATTGTGCAGTGATAGGCAGCAGGGAATTGTCTCCGGAAGTAGGTAAAGCGGTGCCACTGCACCATGATAGTCGTTGATGTGATAAATGTCTATTGTTCCCGAGAAGCGCTTGATTGTCTCAGCTATACAGCTGTTCCAGGCACTGTAGTAGATCGCACTCTCGAGATCGTCCATCCGAGGAGGATAAGGATCCGACTTTGTTTGCTGACGGAAGATGGGGGCATCGAGGAGCACGTAAGTGATATTTCGCAACCTGTGATACTGGACTTGGACTTCGTAGACAGTGTCAACGATCGTAACGGTCATTGGCTCTCCAAGGGTGTCAATGGGATAGTCAACCCCTCCGACACATGGTACAACCCAGATCAAGTCATGATGGGGAAGGTTGTTGCCCATTAACTGGGCCATGACACCGAGTCCACCAATCTTGATTTTGATCTTCCAGTCTTCAATGTCATACTCCATGGTTGCCAACAACACGGTCCGCTTTTTCTTTGCCACGCCAGCGACAGCCAAAGGTAGCACGCCCGCAGTGTTTGCAAGTGCCATTTCTGTCATGGGATTCCCAATGTTGTCTTCACCGTCAATCTTTTCAAAACCTTGACGTGGCCGCAGAAAGGCAGGGAGGAAATGGAGTGGAAGACTGACACCAGTGCGGTTGAAACTGATGTGGTAAAATGCCCCCATGTAAATCCAAACACTGATTCCGGCGGATGTTATTGGAATTGTCCACAGCAATATGTACAGTACTTGCTGGTGGAAGCGCAGACCGACCGGAACGAGCTCGAAGCGCATGTTTCCATCATTCAGTTCCATTCGGTAGGCCATGTAAGGTGCCGGTGGGAACTGGGAGAAGTTGACCACGTTGTCAGCGACCGAGAGCGAGTCAGGTTGCAAGCGATTTAATCGACTGCTGTTGAGGGTGTCGCCGAATACGAAGGTGCGATCAATTTCTTTGTCAGGATTGACTCCCCATACATTCACTTGGAATGTAGATGGCCACTCGGCTGATAGGTGAAACTTCCAAGTACCCTGGCGGTCATTGGAGAAGGCGTTTCTGAGCCCGGTGTCCTTGCCAAAGCCATTGAAGTCACCAAAGGCAAACAGGTGAGGGAATCGTCTTTGAGCCTTGCCAGGTTTTCGAGTGTCCATGTGTTGAATGTGTTGTCCACTTCCAGCCGCTTTGCTCCAGTACTGCAGAATAACATGATCTCCGTCCCATTCCTGCTTCTTGGCACCAGACCAAGGAAGATTGCTAATCTGAGTTGAGCCCCCGGTGTACGCTCTCCAGGTGCTCCAGGAACTCCCCCAATTCGTCGTGTATCGCCATTTATCTGCACCAGGAGCTTTATGGTTCACCAAAAAGCCGTCTTTCTCGGAGAACTTGGTGAGTCCGGTGTCAGTATAGTTTGCTAGCATCGGGAATACCATGGGATTGTCTTTGCGCCCGATGCGAAACACCAAACGATCAACGGAGTTTGTGAAACGAGATTTTGTCGCCGTCGAAGCATTCTTGACTGCCAGGACATGGATTCCATGTGTGACGTTGTCAAGTGTCGCTTTCCAGGACCATGCGGTTGGAATTTGGCCAGTGTATTTTAGCTTTTCGGCTTCAACCATCTCACAAGACACGTTTTCTGCATTCAAGTTCACTGCAGTCCCACTTTGCGTTGTCGACGATATGGCCAGACTTTTGGTGACCGTGTCGCAGTCAAGTTTCTCCGAGAATCGCAGCTCGATTTCCACACTCTGCTCTTCTGTGGCGGTGGTGTTTGACTCGACCCTCGCGTCATGACCGGGAACAAACTTGGTCATAACCACAGGAGGAGGAACCCATTGTGCTTTTGGCACATAGGCGCGGAACTCAAATGGCTTTAGCGTGGCTCGCTTTAAGCAGCCATTGGTGTCCTGTGAGCCATGAATCCCTAGCTTGACCTGACTCGACTCCAACGTAAGCTCGTCGAAAGGTGCCAGCAAATTTCTGACTTGAGTTCCTTCTTCAAAAGGTGCGAGTAAACTCTTCACGGGTGATGTGCAGTCAAAATCGTACGTGACCGAGCTGTTCTCATTGTGGTAGACCAACCAAACTGCAGACTGTTTGGTCGCGTTGAGTTCATTCACTTCGGGGTAGTTGTCGCGAAGAACACTCCATATTCCCAATTCGGTGTCGGTGCCACCAGACCCTGGGAGATTGACATTGTGGATCTTTTTGGATAAGCTTTGAAGATAGTATCCATCCTTGAGCGAAGGGAACTTCTCACGAAGATAGTAGAATGCCTTGATGATATTGCGGACGGGATGTGTGGGGTCACGGTGATCCATGCTGACCTCGTCATCCTCGCAGCCAATCAACGCCGCCTCAACGGGGAACTCATTGTATTGGCTCGAGCCCAGTCCGTAACATCCCTGCATCTGCCAAGAGGGTGCTGAAGTCATTGGCTGTCGGCCAAATATGCCAAGAGGACTGGTGCTGTCAAGAACATAGAGTGCTTGCTCCTCGCCCCATAACAAAACTGGGATCCCAGGCATATGAATTGAAGTGATGAACTGCCCGAGCAGCATCTTCTCCGTGCCTTGTTTGAGAGAAGACCAGCGGAATGTATCCTGGTTAGAGGTTCCCATCATATGCCTTGGGTCAAACTTCCCAGTGTTCGCGTTGGTAAGGTCGTTCGTGATCAGAATGTCGTTCCAGGCATCGACAAAGTTGACACTTAGATCACCCGGTGCTGTGAAGTTGCCATCCATCCCCAGGAATCTGGTCAGAGCACGATAAATGCTGTAGTGAAAGACCGCTGCATCTGCGCCGTGTTTATCGGGCTCTCGGAGAAAATACCGATCACTCGAAATGTTGGTGAGAGAAACCGCCTCGGTTTGATTCTGCGGTCTCATATCTGGCTCACGCCCGCGACCCAGGAAGATCGACGCGTATGAGTTGCTTGCCGTCAACTCGCCCCCTATGAAGAAGTTGTTCTTGCCCAGGCTAGCCGCACATTCACGAATGGCTTGAGAGCTGCTCACAAAAGCATCCACTGTGATCTGTCCCGCTTTATCGAAGCGAAGCGCATCAATGTCCAGGGAGGTCATTAACATGCAGGTGAAATGCTCTATCTTCTCCCTGACAGATGGGATCCATTCTCGCAACCGATCTTGTACCAAGCCTGCTTTGGCCAAAGACTTCTGCCAGTCGGGCGTGAGACTCACGGAGTCGATGGCGCCGTACTAGAAATTGGTCAGAGTGAGCTGTAGGACAGTGTGTGGATACTTACCTGATCAAATTCACTGTCATAGCAGCCCTTCAACTGTGCGAGGAGGTCATCGGAGGTGTTTGAGACGGGATATCCGAGTTCGCCGTAAAATGTGGGATACTTGCATTCCTGCTTGTATTGATCACTGGGGGCAAAATCGAAATATCTCTCGTCTCCTTTCCAGACCGTCTTGTATTCGAGGGGGCTCAGAGGGGCGCTGCTGTTGAGAAAGCCTTCGAATCCGAGCAAATCTGCCATACTGATCGCAACATTATCAGCGTGGATGTTGGTTCTTGGGGAAGATTCTCACTTACGTGCCATAGGTGCTGTCGATCATCACGTACATCCCTCGTCGATGAATTTCATCGATTGCAGATCTCCACTGTTTGATTGTGCCATAGTGTTTGTCCAGTAGGCTGAAGTCGAGAGGCTTTTTCTGGTCAGACACATATAGAAGAGTTGTTGGAGTCAAACCACATACCGAGTAGCTGTCCGACTTCCAGGGGAAGTTTATGAATGGAGTTCCGGCGATATAGACCCCCTATCGGGGCTGGTAAGTCCCGACTCAAGCTCCAGCGAAATCCGACTCACCTTGACCCCAATGCCTTGTATATAGTCCAGATTGTCCTCCAGTCCGGCCAGATCACCTCCAAACCGGTACTGGTTCGAGAATGTATCGGTCTCAAACACAGTGCCATTTATATCATTGTTCTCAGGATCGCCGTCGGCAAATCGATCGAGGAAGAGCGTGTAGAATGGGAACCTCCAATTCGAAGGTGATGGGCTATATGTGTGCCCGGGCCACTTGCTCGAGTAATCAAGTACCTGCCTTGCAGTTTTGTTCTCGTTGATGTTATACTCGGTCAATTCGGGGTCGTACTGGAGGGCAAAGACCAGTTGGCCAAAGAGCGACAAAAGTAGGCAAAGCATCTTCCCCATGGCTCCGAAACCCATTCTTTCTAGAATTATCAGTGCCCCAGCGGAATATCTCACTTGTCGGGGCTTTCCTCGAGAATAGTGGTTTGTCTTAAAGTAACCCCCAACCTTCAATTACAAACCCTTGCTATTGTAACACTCGAGTAAGCAGCGCGCCTTAATTGCCACTATTTGCAATGCCCCAGATCACATAATACCAAGGCTAGGGCTGAGGCTCAAAATAAGAAAAATTTGGAATCTTCCTAGGCTGCTGTTGTCGGCCTGTCGGCCAGCCTCACCTGAAGTGCAAAGCCTCCCAAAAGCTACAAAGCCACTAACTTAGTTACAGGTCTCTATACCATGTAGGGACAATGATAGGTCAAAAGCATGTATTCGATGTTCATATCTCTGGGGCTTTCAAGGTTGCTGGCAGTTCTACTGCAGGCTACCTCATCAGCGTATGACGGACAGTCCGTGAAACCAGTTTGCATCAGCAGTATTTGCTATATCCGAAGTATACACGGTGAACCTCATCTTAATTCTCCGCACCAGTGTTGACGTATCTGGTTCGCTGGTTGATATGCACTAAGATTCCAAATGACCGGGCAGGCCAATATCGTGTCCACAATCTTGAGAATTATACTTTCAGATACTTGAGGTACATTCAGGGTCCAGGCCTCGCTTGTCAATGCTGACATCTGCATGCTGGATATTAATGCTCTTGCCGTGATACAAATTGTATACGAGCGGTGGGTCTTGGCGCGTATGCGGGTTAACCAGCGCTTGAGGCTCCCAGGATCAGCCTTGGGGTAGATCCAGCTTTGGGATGCAAATAATTTCACGCCCTGTTCTATTTGACTCATAGATCATTTCCTGTGGACTTTTCGAAATACCTCAGGGTCCACTTTCCTCATATTGACACAAAGATGCAATTTTGAAGTGTTAGAGATAAATGTGGATCAATACTCCACACTTTGCCTGCAGAAGGCTAAACTACCTTAATTTACGGAGTACCCAGGCCACAGATGCGCTAAATATTGCGTCATTGGGTAGAAGTCAACGGATATTGCCTCTGCTCTTCAATGAAGTCGAATCTGGGCTGGGTACATCTGCGCCAAGAAAGCGAAGAGCTGAGAATACTTTTGCTCTGCCGCAGGAGGCTGATGCAATACCTCGTACAGCGCGATATACTTCCAAGGTAATGGTAATCTACGGGGATCAGCACGGAGATCAGCGAATAATCCGCCAAGAGAGTGGAGAGCGAAGCATTGCATGTGTACCTTTGAAACTAGGGACTGGAACTTGCCACCTGGGCACGTTGTCAACAATCTGTCATGAAGCCCTGAATTTGGGCATACTTCACAGCTTCCAAATATCATTTCTTGTCCACACGGAATTACTTGTGCCAGAGCAATACAAGATTCCTTTGAAGCAGTAATCCAAAAACGAATCGTATGCCAACCATCGTTGCACGCCACCTGAGCAGGCACCTCCAAAGTTCAACGCGCCCAAAGCTTCAAAACTTCACGAGCCCATGGTTTATTTGGAAGGCTCTTGCAATCACCTGCGTGTGAGCAGTCCAAAATGGCCTATTTCCCACAGGTCGATGATGTTGCCCAAAGGTGAAGAAGACCACGAAGCCGACGATGATGATTGGTCACCACCTTGCTAGATGTTGGGAAATGCTGGATACTCAGCAAGAGTTGACCCTCGATTTCTGGTCCCGTGAGTTGTATAACCTACACGTATGAGTGTTTACAAAGCAAGACATACAGTATTACTAAAAAAATATTGCCATGATAAAAAAAGGAGCCACAGAGGCATAGTTGACTCGAATTGCAAATTGCAGTTGGTAACTCACAACGCAAGTGCAAAACCTATACTAGGCTATCGTGAACGCATAAACGCAAACCCCCGGCCATTCGGGCCATAAGACATGCCAAAACAAAAGAAACCAAAATCCAAATAAATAAGTCTGGCCACGCTGCCAGACCCCGTCAATAAAAGCACGCTCGAAATAACAAAACAAGCAAGAACCCATTATGGTTAAGTAGAAGCAATCAATCGGCCTCTCGGGTAGGACGAAGCCCACGAGAAACGCCTTGCGCCAGGTTCCCAATACAAAATGAGACCACGACAAAGGAAAGAAGATAAGAAAAGACGCAAAAAAAAAAGACAAACCGAACAAGAAAACAAAGTTGCGCGCGCTGGGTATCGGTGATAATCAATCTTCGTGATCCCGTTTTCAGCCTGTCTCAGGTGAAGAGAGAGATCAGGCGTGAAATGATTGGATTTGGAGTTCAATCCGTCCATGATCGGCGCTCGAGGTGTCAACAAGATTGCAAGCACCAATTTTTTTGTTGAGTCGCCGGTGATCATAGATGGGGAGAGTGTGAGAGAGAATAGGAGATATCGTACAGTACGTGAGAGACGTAAGTGACGAGGTCGTAAAGAGTAATAATACAAAGAGTGATAGGACGACAATCACTGTTTTGATAGACCGTGATAGATGCGCTCTAACGACCGAATTGGCTCCAGACTGTGCTCAACCAGCCTGCGGGAATGCCGATCTCAGATGGCGCGAGCGCAGACAGCTGAGACCACTCGCATCCGTCGAGGAAAGCGAGGACATCGTCACCGCCGAGACTGGTTGAGAGCATGCTTGGGTCTGGGCCCTCGGTTGAGGTCAAAGGCGGAGAAGGAGCAAGTTGAGCGACCGGTCCTGGAGGTGGGAGGACAGGAATGGTGTGTGAGGTGGCAGCATTGATAGGAGGAAGGGATTGAGAGTATGGAGGAGGGGGAGCCTGGGGGGCGGGTAGGGAGCCATGAAGTGATAGGATTTAAGCGGTTGCTGGTGGCCGTCAAATATTGAGAGGGAGATTGAGTGGTTGTAGACAGGGAAGGGAGGCTTGGAGAAGATGTGGTGTAGATGGGACCATCTGGGTGGTGTTGTTGGAGAGATGGGAGAGAGTAAGGTGAACCAGACGGCATGGGCCGACTGTTGGGCAATGGCAGGCTGGGCCGACGATCGCCGTCGTGTCCGAGTGGCATACCGGGGCTGTTGACCGGCACCCATGACTCGCGACGGCCACCGGCACCATCGAGCATTTGATCGCCGGGATCACCGGTTTCGCTGCGAACGGCATTGCTGCCGGCGTCACTGAGATTGCGCTCGTACATCGATTCGCCGGCCGCTGGCACAGCGATGCCATCGTCCTCCATTCCAGGCTCTGTCAATTGATCCTCGATGCTTCCAAAGTCGAGGAAAAGCTTCTCGAGAAGCTTGAATTCTTCAAGACCACCGCCAACTCCACCGTCGCGAAGTGCACGAATGCCATTGGGTGGGTGTTCGGAAGCGTCTGACATGCTGTCCAGTCGGTTTCGGGAGACCCGACGGAAATCACGCTTAACTTTGGAGAAGTAAGTGTGAAGTCGATTGAGGGTACGGAACCAACCAACGGCCATCCTCAGACGAGGCCGCATTTCCCGCATGATATCCAGAGCTTTGCGCGCCTGTGCGGCGCCGAGCTGGTGGCTATCGTGGCTAGCAGGAGGGGGTTTAGCACCCATCAAACCGTCAGGATCCATGTGCGGGAAGTGGTTGCCATATACGCCGATGAAGGCAGCATTGTAGATAGCAAAGCCGACCAACGGGTTTTCCACAAGAGCACCGCGGGATTGGCAAGTAGCCACAAGGTCAATCATTTGGCGTGCAGCCTTGAAGAGTTCACGGGCACTATCACGCCAGAACCCGTCGGGTGAGCCGCTAGATTTGTCATTCGGGAACAACGGTTCATCTAGGGGACCGATGGGCTCATTGCAGCGAAGAGGAAGGAAGGGGATATAAGCACGGTGAAGAACGATGACAGAGAGGAAGTAAACGACATGCATCACAGTGTATGAAGCCAGCGTGGTCTTATACATGATATGCGTGTCTGTGTTTCGCAAGGAGTACTGCAGATTGCGAGACAGGCTGTCCTGGAACTCATTGAGCTGCAGACGAAGGGAAGCGAAGCGAGACTCTGGGTGCCATGGAGGATATTGCTCAATCCGACGACCTCCAGCACAAGACCACTTGGCAATGCTTCCCCAGATACGAGTGATTCGAATCACACGGCTGAGTACGGATTCTTCAGCACCAACCTCCCATCGGTCTACCTCTTCCTCGCTCGAGTCCTTGCGGCGAGAAATGGGCGACCATGGCTTGTTATCGGGGGTGCCGTTAGGACCGGGAAGCTTTTCATCCCCAAAGCCTCCAATGCTTTGGCGGATACTAGGAATCTGCATGCTTTGCGAGCCGAAGCTCTGTGGCCGCCGAACAGCGGGCTCAGTGAGACGGGCCGTCCGCACCCGCTCTCCGAATGCAAAGGCGTTGTCACTCGGAAGCTGAATCCCGAGGTCCTTGACTCGGACCATCCTGGGCCGATATTTTCCACTACTAAGGCACCGATCGAGAATGAAGCAGGCCCAGAACGTCCGGCGCTTGGTCTCTTGTGCAATAATATCATCGGAGGTAGGTTCCCTAGGCTCTACCCGTCTCGGCAAACCAAAGTGATCCGCTTCGGTCTTGAATCCAGGAGAAGACCGGGAAGGATCTCGGGCCGGGAACTCATTCTCAAGCTCAAAGGATAGCCCCATTGCCTGTGCCAATCGAATAGCCATGCCAACATAAACCCAGGCGCTCTTGCCGCGGCACATGCCCCATTCGTGCAGTGCGAGCATCAAAAGGGCCTGCACGCGCGCGAGATCAGGTTGAGCGAGGCTGATGCCATCCAAGCCGGCCAGCCGGCTACGGAGGGCAGCCGCATAGTATTCCGACGCAGCAAGCGGGTTCGAGGAATGTCCAGGGGAGGCGGGCGAGTGAGCCGCAGCTAGCGGAGCATGGAAACGGGCCGTCAGGGCGAGGACCCCCAGAGGGATCAGCGAGGAAGAAGAGTCCGATTTAGTCGCAGAATTTCGGGGATCTTGACCGTCGAGAGTTGCGGGTGGAGCCGGGGATGAGAGTTGTCGGATCTGACCGAGGAAGGTTGCGGGATGTAGGAAAGGTAGAAGGGTCGCGAAATGGGACTGGAAGAGGTCGAACACCGCCTCCCAGACTTTGGTGGTAAGTATTGAAGAATCCAACACATCCATACCGACTTTGGAACCCGCCGAGCCAGAGATGCCCACCACCTTGCGCGAACGATGTCGTTTCGGACCGTCCCAGTCTCCATTTCGATCCTCTCCATCTGCCAGGGCCGCCAGGTCTCGTTTGGCGCCGCTCACTCCTATTGCCGGGGTTGGGTAGACACATTCTCGGTTGGAGGTATCGCAGGCGCGACACACAGTGTCGATACCGGAATTGACACACTTGATCTTACTGCGTCGGCATCTTGCGCAAGCGATACTAGACCGCATGATGTATTGAGCAGACCCGAGGTCTGCGGAAATGCGGCGACTCGGTTTGTATCAGTCGCGATTCACCCATTTACTGTTGGATGAGGGTCGGGATCCTATAATTTTTTGTTGGATTGCGGGGAGGATAAGATGCGCAGTGTCTGTGGATCATTAGTATACCGCATATGCAGAGACAGACATGGGGTACAGTATAGCGCACCAGGGTATAGAAGCCGGTAGGTAAGAAGTAGGAAGTCAAGGGAGGGAAGAAGAAGCGGCGGAGTGTGGGGGAAAATAAAGTCGGGACCGGTAAGAGAAACACAAGTCGGGAGGGAACGGGGAACTCTCCGGGCAGAAAGAGTGACTAAAAAAAAAAGGAAAAGCCGAATCAGAACTGGGGAATTTGGCGAAATTGCGGAGAGTCGAAATGCAAGGTCGCGCTTTTCCTGGAGTTTGTGGAGCCCCCAGTTTCCGGCTGCCGATTGCCTTTCATTACTTTTACCATACCGTTACCGTAATTATTACTACACATCCACGGAGTACTCCATCTATATTTCTCCAGGGCTGAAGCGGACTACCATAGCTCCGGCTTTTACCACTTTTACCTAGGTTACTCTATGACCTGGGGTAGCTCATGTCACCTATACCCACGTATCATACTTCACGGGATTTTCAGCGGCCTGAGAGCCAAATAAGAAACCCCTACACGGTCACTACCATGATCTCATGATCGTCATCTCGCATCTGTACATTGTACCCGATCAAGTCAGGCTTTGAGAAACAAGGGGATCAAAAAAGCAAAGTTGGGGGGAAGAGGGAGAAAAAAAAAAGGAAAAAAAGCACAGGTAGGACAGTGTTCTTCTTCTACTCCGTACTCCGTCCGTAGTTGGTCCAGATTCACATACAAACCACCCAGACTGGCTGGAATAACAATTCCCGTCGCCGGCCGATTGTCGTCCGGCCACTCTCCGAACCATTTTCCAATTTATTTTATTCGGTTCCCAAGTCTTTGAATCCGGGGGAATCGGTGGATTAGACCTGGTCGTTAGGCTGGGCTCACAGGGAACTTGGGAAACCCCCGTTACCCCGTGTTGGCAGCTGATGTCGGATCGGCATTTGTCTGGAACCAAGCCATTCACCGTCTCTTCCCGCGTCGGGAACACCAGAAAAGGTAAGCGGGACGAGCACAAATGTTCAAGGGCATTCTCGGGGGGTAAAGTGAGGTACAGCGTAAAGAAAAAAATAATAAAACGAGCGGACTCAGGTGGATCGGACCATAAGGCTTTTTTTCGTTTCCTTTATTTCCTTTGGGATTATTCCCCTCTTTTTTTCACCTCTTTTTTTGTTTTCCCACATGGTCTTGTCCAAGAGGGGTATCTCGGGCCATTGGGATCCCTCGGGTATGATTCCAGACATGGATGTACCTGCCCGCATAGCCTATGGGAGATCAATCTGGGGCGAAGGGGAATGGCACCCAATCGATGACCTTTAGCGGTCGGGGCTCCCCGCAGAGAAGCGAGATCCTAGATCCTCACGGGAGTTACATTGTCGCTTACCCATATGCCGTTGGAGATTGGTGGGGGGGATCTTTGACGGCGGGCTCCGTGTGACGTTTCCTCTTAGAACGGGCTGTAGCCTCCGTGCTTTGCCACCCGTCAGTCGGGAAAACAAATGTCGCTCGGCAGAAGGTCGAAAACTCCATCTCGGAAGAATACGCATCACATTGTTCACGGGTCAATTGGACCTTTTTCCCCCTGTTCCATGCCTTCCGCAGTGCAATCAACCCGAGGCCGACTGCATCGGCGATCCGTGATCCATGTACAAAGTACCCTGTCGATATCTCACAGCTCTGGAACTCCCGAGGTCGACACACATGCTCGGAAAAGTCATACACCGAGACTTTTCATGTTTCGGCTCCGTCCGATACGACGATTGGACCGTGGGCACCGAGGTGCCATTGGACCCCGGATAACCCCGCATTTCTTTTTGTGTTAGGTAAGTGTCAATTTTTTCCTCTTGGAGACATGCGAGAGAGAGAAGGTTTTGGGAGCTCTGGCTTCTGGGGTACTCCGTAACGCGCGCGGCTTGTGTGAATGGAGTAAGGGCACCAATAGTCATGTGCCCAATGGCTCCAAACAGAACCTGTTCACCCACAACTCCGTACACCTCTTGGCGTACTCCGTGGATTTTCATTTTTTCCTATTTCTCTCCAGTGGGGAAGCTTAAAAGGGAAGTTTAACCAGCGTGGTTTCATGACATATCCCCGAAATAACACCTTAATACATACTACATACTACATAATATACCCACGTTGTACGGGTAGTAACTCTGGAGAGATTGTGTTCCTCAATTCCGAATCCCTTCATTCCAATTCCTTGGCTCATCCACTTTCGGGATCCATAGCCCTCTCAGCTGACAACATTAATAAAAGAAATTCCCACAGCCAATCCCCTGCTGTGGCTTCCTTGTTTACCCTGATGACGCCCCCCCTTTTCCGTGATATTATCCGGGCATCCCGTGTCTCCGGCCCCCAGTTAACATGGCGTGGGATGAGCTGTTCGCTTCGGTATTCACTGCCCTTTTCAGAAATCGGGCTCAGAGCCTCTTGACTCGTAGCCCTGGCTCTTGGCTCTTTGGGTGCGGAGCCGTTGCCGGCTCGACTTGGGGTAAACCTTGAACCTGACTTTAACCGAACATTCACTTTAAGCTCCGAAGCCCAGAAAAATAGCCCCCAACGTCCACAGGTTGCTTAATTATGATGTTGTAGTTTTTTTTTTGCATAATTCGGAGATATTTCCAGAAGGCTAAACGCTCACCCCAATACTCCGTATGTCGCCCCCACGCAAAACCGGGGGTGGGAAAGGAATTCGAAAAGAACAGGCCAGGAACATCCCCACATCGGCTCGGTTAGAACACCGGTGGGATCCCGAGTCCGACGCCGAATCTGGTCATCGAACCGTGCATGAGCGTTTAGCCCTCGGGTTTATTCCGTGGCTAAAGTACAGTAGTACCATGCATTCTCTGGGTGCTGGAAGCATTTCTGCTAAAGGTCCTAGGGCTGTTTGATGCTCTTCCAGCCCCTCAAGCGCTTTTGCCAGGCGTGTGACGTTGATTAAGTAATCGTAAATCATCCCCGGGCCGGGGTTAGTTACCTCCATTTCACCCTCGGGAAGAACTTACCGACAACGCATTTAAGCGTCGCACACCGATTGCCGTGACTTGATCGGCTTCGGAAAATTTCTGGGTTTGAAACAAGGACAGCCCGACCGTGCCGAAGTGAGCCCGAGGAAACTGCGCACCGAAGCTTTGAAAAGCTTTGTCATCAGACCCTGAGAATGCCATGTGGAAGAATCATTCAGGTGTGAGCGTGGAGACCCACATACAACAGTCACCTGGGCACTAGTCACAGGGTCTCTACGGAGTATGATACTTGAGAACATGTTCTGACGTCCTTTGTCATTCATAAGTAGTTATTATTGGAACTAAATAAGTATTCTACCAATAAGGAAAATTCAACCCAAACGCCTTTCCCTCTATATGACATCGCAAAAAGTACAAAATTAAAGATTCAAATGCAAAATGAGTCCCAAAAATGGTTCTCTAAGGTCGGTTGAGCTGCTCACGGCGGTAGAACAGAAGGAATCCAAAGCTGCGATCGGACTTAGTACAATATTACAATATTGAGGCAAGGGGAGGAGTATAACTAACCTGGCCAAAAGCTGGAAGAAGAGCGCAATCCAGAACCACGCATTGGCAACAGCATCCACCGACGAGCCAACGGGAGGTGAGATACTACCGGGGCCGGTTTTGTTAGGCGCGAAGCCTCGAGCACACATGGTGGCAATGGAACCAATGCATTGCGCAGCCAAAAGAACGAAGCAGACGTGAACTCGTGTCAAGGTCTGCAGGAGGATCATTCCCAGACCAACTTGCTGAATCTCATCGAGAACACCAAGCCAGAGCCACAGGCATCGTGATGCAAGGGCACCGGAAGTCAGACCTCCAGCCCAGGGAAGATAGTATCCGATGTTGGATGTTCCCCACCAGGTCTGTGCCCAGCGTGGTGCTCCAATGCTCAGACCGAAGACGGGTAGAATCCAGCTGTGCTCCTTGGACAAGAAGCGGAAGAGTACCATGATCGCGACCCAGAGGACGACAAAGAAGAAGATAATCAGAAGCGTAACCTCCCAGGCCTTTGCGTGTTGAGAAGACCATAGGAAGGACCAGTTGCGACCGAATGCCGCAGCAAGGAACCAGTTCTGGACAATGACCATGAAGAAGAACCAGAGGACGATTCGGCGACGGAGCAGAGAGCCGTAGAAGTTGAGGATTTTTCCGGGTGCTTGGCGATAGTACTTGGGCAAACCGAGAGCAAGAAGCATACCGATGATCAAGCAGACCGCGGCAATGGGCATCACCACAGCTGTGAGCTTCCATGAGTTCAAAGCGGCTGTCGAAACACCTCCAACTTCCACAGAAGTGACTCTGGCACTCCAGTACCACAGGGCGACGGTGTAGAGCTGTGAGATTCCCTGGATCAAGCTGGCGCGGAACATCCAGTCCTTCACAGGAACAGCTCCTTGGTCACCAAAGTTGAGCGCGAAGAACAAGGAACCGCTAGAAGAGGCTGCGGCATAGATACCTGCCGCACAGTTCTGAGCCCACACTTGACCGAGGTTCGAGAGCGCGTATGGCGAAACACCCATGGTGATGAACGACATAGCGTAAATAAACCAAGGAAGAGAGAGAACAATCACAGACGGGAAACTGAAGTACAGGATCCACCAGGCCATCGAAGAGACACAGTAGATTGCCGCAATAACGTAAAGCTTGACAGCAGTCTCACCAATTTGACCAGTCAAAAGAGTGATTTGAGCCGAGTTTGTCGCAATGATCTGTCCAAGACCCAGGAAAAGAGCATAGACAGGCCAGTTACCAACACGCCATCTCATGAATCGCTGAATGGCCATGGGTCTCTTGTATCCCAGACGAGCGAGCCAGACGTCGATTTCATCCGAGTCGTTCGAGTCCGACTCTTCGCCACCCTCGGTGACGAGGTTGTACGGGGTCTCGACTGCCTGATCCAAGCCAGCACCGGTCACGGGACGTTCTTTGGGCTGCTTCTTCAACTGCGCATCGTTGTACATGTAGAAGAACTTGCGCTCACTCTTCATGAGATAGAGCTCGATACAGTAATCCGAGATCGAGTTCTTCTTGTTGAGGTTGGTGAGCTTCTGTTCGAAGTTCTTCGTGAAGGTACCCATGCTATCGGTGAAGGTCGGATCGACCTTCTGCAGGTGGAAATCGGGTGATTCATGGTCCTGGACAACAGAGGGCAGAGAGAGGACAGAAAGGTTATTAGCGTGAGCGAAAGGTGTGCTGGGATCAGAAGGATCACGAGAAAGTCGGATAGGCGATGAGTCTCTGGAGATGAACCGGGAGCCCTCCGATGCGGACGAGGATGAATCCTCACGAGAGTGACCGTTGTTCCTAGGGTGAGTGGCAATATCTTGAGCGCCGAGGGAAGAGTTGATGGCTGCCATGGCCTCCTCTTGGGAGATGAAGTTCTCCTGTTGTGGAGTGGCAACGCCCTCCTCGTCGGCGTCGGTGGTATCACCGTCGACAGGAGCCTCAAGCATCTGACTTTCGCGAAGAGACCTCTTGATGAGGCGCTTCCTGCCCTGACCGGGTCCAGAACGTCGACCGAGCGACAATTGGCGACCAAGCATACTGCCTCGGTTGCTTTCGGCTTGCATTTCCTGAGCTTCAGCAGCCTGGAGCTGTAGGAGAGATGGCTGGGCGGCTTGCGATGTTCTGGGGGTCTCCAAAGCAGTCGAGAGCGACTGGAATGAGCCAGGGCGAGTCATCATCGTATCGCGCAATCCGGGCGTCTCCCAGTAGATCTGAGACTCTCGTGCTGGACCAGAGACTGTGAGCGAGTTCTTTTGGTGGTGGATGTGAATAGATGTGCGCTGTAACACTTCGAGCTTCTGAACCCACTCAAGGACAGGGAATCGCTGCTTGGCGGAGTTTGCACGCATCTCAGCTCGGGCCGCCTGCGTTGAATCCAACGCGGATTTGATAGCGGTTCTCAGTTGGTGCAAGAGGTGGCGAGCCGAGTCAGACTCGACAGTGTACCACCAACCAGGCATCTGACCAAGACCTCCAATGCGAGAACCAATTCCGAGCGCACCCTTGCGACCAAACTCAACGGCAATCAATCCGAAAGGCTCATCGCGCGATGGAATAAGGGCAAAGTCGGCACCGGAGAACACGAAGGGAGGAAGAATGGTGAACTCGGGCTTGGAGAACACACGACCGGGGAACATTTCCATGATGCGTGCCAACTTGATGGCAGCCAATTTACCGTAGAGATCGATAAGGGGACCGATACAGATCAGCTGGACGTTAGGTCTAGCAGACAGGACGGCAGGCATGACATCCGCAATCAGATCAACACCCTTCTGCTTTGACCATCTTCCGACGAACACTAGCAAATCAGCCTCGGGGTCCTCTTTCAGACCAGCCCATTTCTGGGCCTGGAGTTTATCATTGATCGACTCATCGACGGATTGGACCGAGACTTCGACGTTAGGGTCTTTCTTCAAGGCCGCTGTGTCGGAGGGATCGGGGTTCGGAAGACTTCCAATTTTTCCAAGACTCCAGAAAATGGGATAACGGGCCCATGAGCGTTTTCCGTACTTTTCAGACACACCAACTGCACCAAATCCACGTTGGTGGAATCGCAGATAGCTAGCACCGGCGTAAAGAAGGTTGAAAACGTTGCCGAATTGACAATATTTGGTCGCCACCTCAACTGGAAGGTTGAAAACAGAGCAGACTTCCTTCTTCTCCTGTGCAGTCCTCAGAGCCCAAAGACCTTGGAACTCGGCGTTGTGCAAGGACAAGCAAACAGGGACAGTTTGAGAGGGAAGGAGATAAAGCGGAGCGATACAGCCGTGGAAATCGTTGATGTGGTAAAGATCGATGGAGGGAGTTCGCTTGATCGCCTCTGCGATACACTGATTCCAGGCGGAATAGTAGATAGCACTGTCAAGATCATCCATACGCGGAGGGTAGGGCTCCGCCTTGGTCTGCTGTCGGAAAACAGGGGCATCGAGCAACACGTAAGTGATGTTGTCCACAACGTGGTACTGCACATTCACCGAGTAAGGCTTATCGAGGATCGTAACCACGAACGGTTCGGCGGGTGTGTCCTCGGGGTATTCGATGTCACCAACGCAGGGCACGACCCAGATCAGGTTCTGATGCTTCAAGTTCTGGGACATGAGCTGTGCCATGACTCCCAAACCACCGATTTTGACCTTGACCTTCCAGTCTTGAATGTCGTACTCCATGGTGGCAATCAATACCGTGCGTCGCTGGTCACTCGCTCCTGCGAGAGCCATGCCAGCTGGCATGCCCTTTTCTTCCATCTGAATAGCATCGTCACCGTCTTTGGAAAGTGTGCCCTTGACTTTGCTCCATAGTGCGACAGGAATACTGGCTGCCTTGACGACATTGCCGTCCTTGTTGAGCTTGACGCGGTAGAAGTTACGGATGAAGATGAAAACACCAGCGCAGCCCATCAGAATCGGTACAACCCAGAGGAGAATGAAAAGAACCAGCTGGGCCCATCCAGATCCAACAGGAATGAGTTCGTATCTCAAGTTGGCATCATTGAGTGAGATGGTCCAACCAAGATGGGGGAACGGCGGAAGACTGGTGATGTTGATGACGTTGGCGGACAGATAGGATGGGGGAAGCTTCTGGACGGATGAAGAGTTGCCGACGTCGCCGTAGACATCTGAAGTATCAGGGTCACCGTTGCTATCCGCTCCCCAAACATTCAGCTGACCGATGGCTGGCCATTCATAGACGAAGTCGTAGTTCCAGCGAGAAGTTTTGGAATCGTACTTCATCCTGCTATCCAGTCCGGAATCATAGCCGTACTGGTTGTAAGGACCATTCCACCAAAGATGAGGGAATCTTCGGCCGGAATCGCTGGAGTAGTCACCTTCCTGCATGTAATCACTACTTCCAGTGAGTCTGGAGAAATACTGCACCCGAATGTGAGTGCCTTCCCACTTCATAGTCTTGGGACCATCGAAGACCGGGACGTCAACGGCAGTCTTGCCGCCCTCATATGTCGTCCAGTTGTTCCAGCTCCGACCGAAATCAGATGAGTATCGGAAAAGGTCCGCACCGGCAGCGTTGTGCTGGACATAGTATGTGTCGTCGGACTTGGAGACGAGGGTGGAAGAGTAATTGGAGAGTGGAGAGATCAGGGGGTTGTCGTGAGAACCGAGACGAAGCAAGAATCTGTCGGTCGCGTTGGTGTAGACTCCGTCAGACGACACATTCTTCACGGTCAATTGATGAATTCCATGGTGAACGTTCTTCAAGTTAGCAGACCAGGTCCAAACAGTCGGGATCTCTCCAACAAGGTTGTGGCTCGTCGTCCGGGCATCGATTTTGGTACAGTTGACACTGGATGTATCAAGCTCGGCAGTGATATTTTTCTCGGTGGTGGAGTTAAGGTAGATAGCCTTCGTGATGCTGTCACAGTCCATCTCAGTGGAGTAACCAAGCTGAACAGGCATGGTTTCACCTGTGTCTTCCGTGGAGATCAATCGAGCGTCATGTCCGGGGAAGAAATCAGTGACGGTAGGGCCAGGCTTCACGAAGTTGGTGCTCTTGACGTAGGCACGGTATTCCCATGGAAGCAGTTTCATCTTACGGGCGCATCCGTAGTCGTTTTCGTCACCTGCAGGTCCATCTTCCAAGGTGATCTCATCGTAGGGGTAGAAGAGATTCTTCAACTTGGTTCCCGAATCGAAGGGAGCTATCAGAGACGCGTTCTTGGAACTGCAGTTTGTGCCGTAGGTTTCCGTTTCGTTTCCATTGTGATACACAAGCCATAGAGTCTCGTTTGCCAGAATTGCATCCCTCTGGACACCGGGGTAATAGCTTCGCAAGACCGACCAAAGACCGGTGACCGTGGGCGTAGTTGAAGAACCAGGGAGGTAGATGTCCTCAGTCAGCTGAGAAATCGTTTCGAGGTAAAGACCATCTTGGGCGACCGGGTAATGCGCTCGAATCTCGAACATGCGCTTCATGATGTTACGGATCGGGTGGGCAGGGTTCCGCTGGTCGTACGTAACAGTGATATCATTGCAACCATTGCGACCCTTGTCGATGGGGAAATCGTAGAATTTGGAGGTGTTCAAGTTGAAGCAACCCTGTGTCCACCATGCGGTCTGGTAGGTCATGGGCTGTCGACCGAACATGTAGTTCGACGCAGTGGCATCGAACACGTACATGTCTTGCTCTTCTCCCCACAGAATGAGAGGAACACCTGGGAGCTCCAAAGAGACGATGTACAGACCCAGCATGTACTTGTCGGTACCATTTTCGACTGCAGGCCAGCGGAAGTTGTCCTGGTTCGAGACACCGTACATGTGTCTGGGGTCAAGCTCTCCCGTGAAAGCATTGATGAAATCATTGTTCCGTAGCATGGCGTTCCAGGCTTGGATGAAATCGGTAGGTAAATCATAACCCGCAACAAGGTTACCATCCATTCCAAGGAATCGAGTCATTGAGCGGTAGATGGTATAATGGAAGGCGGAAGCATCCAATGCTTGCAATCCGTCCTCTCTCAGGAAGTTGGAGTCGGAGCTGTTTGTAAGCTTGACAGCCTCACCTACAGTCTCTGGGCGTTGGTTTGGCTGACGCCCGCGGCCGAGGTAAAGACTACCAAAGTCATCACCAGACGTGATCTCACCGGGCAAGAAGAAGTTCTCCTTGCCGAGCTTCTGCGCACAATCGCGGTAGATAGAGAGCATCTCACTCAGGGGTTCGAGTGTAGCTTGTACACTCTTATCGAAGCGGAAGCCATCGATGTCCAGACTCGAGATTTGAAGGCATGAGTGCTGGACGATCACGTCACGGACCGGCTTGTGCCATTCTCGCAGTCGGTCCTGCACGGATGCGAACTTTGTGAGTTGACGCTGCCAATCAGGGAAGTTACCAAAGGCCTCCAGCTCTCCGAACTGATCGAAATCACTGTCGTAACACCCGTGCAAATCTTGGACACCCTGAGTTGTCAAGGGGTAGCCTGTCTCCTCCCAGAATTTAGGGTAGTTGCATGATTCGTTGTACACGTTGCTGAAGTTGAAATCGGCATACTGTCTGTCGGTAACCCATTCGACCTTGTATTCGGATGCCTTGAAGTCGGCCGAGTCATTCAGATGGCCCTGGAACCCGATAAGGTTGCTCAGTCTGGTACGGTCAGTTTATGAAGCTCTCAAATGATTTGAGAACAATGACTTACGTTGCAAGTGTGTTATCCATCAACACATACATATCCCTTTTGTGGATCTCTTCGATAGCTCGCCTCCAATCCTCCAGTGTTCCATAATGCATATCGAGGAGAGTGGTATCGACCGGCGAGTACCCATCGTAGGCCCAGGGCAAGTTCATCAAGTACGTTCCAGCAAAGTAAATGACCTAAATCAAGGTCAGCAATAGAATCATAATGAGCCTGGTCCGACCAACCTTGAAACCCATTCCCTGAATATAGTCCAGCGTGTCGACGAGGCCGTCCAGATCACCACCGTGGCGCATCTGATTAGAGTTGACCACATGTTCGAATGCGGTTCCGTTAATATCGTCATTGGTAGGGTCGCCGTTGGATATGCGGTCCAAAAAGATTGTATATGTAGGCATACGCCAGTTATCTGGCGATGGATGGTACTCATGGTCCGGCCATGCTCCCCAATAATCGATCGGACCTTGGGCGGTCTTGTTTTCGTTCAAATTATATTTAGCGAGTGGTTCATCGTAAGGCCAACAGAAGGCTTGGACGCTTAATAACGACAGTAGAAGAAATGTTGAGCGCCGCATGTTTCCGTATATAAAGCTGTTATCAGCAGGAACCTGCTGCCGGAAAGACGCGCGACTCAGGAACGAATGAAATGAGACTGGTAAAGTCAAAAAGCGAGAGTGAGATGAGTGAAAGAAAGATTGAAACAAGTCAGCATTTTTTACAAGTACCCTGATTTCAAAGATTTTACAGATTTTACAGGATGCATTTTTACTATGGAGAACATACCCTTATCGGGCCGAACGGATGGTTAGAGTCCAACTACTGACCTGCGGACCCACGCAGCCCACTCGGTCAGATTTTATCGATCCACTTACCTTTCGCCGCTGGATGGCTGCGTTTTAGCCTGGTGTCTCAGACAGATCCAAGGCATTGGGGCATTTGGGACTTTGTACACGGTGCAATTATAAGCATTACTAACATCACGTTGTGTCATGATCATATTACGTTCTAACCATATACAAGCTCAACAACTTGGCTATATGACTTGGCTGAGAGGAGGGTCCCAAGGTTGTACGTCTGGGCATGCAAAGTCCATTGCTTAGCCATATGCCAGAGCAAACCCGGTGTGCCACATACGTACGGCAAAAAAGGATTTTTAATCAATTAGGTCAAAGCACATCTCTAGAGGCGTTTTTCATTCTCCTCTCTGTCTAATGCATAATGTAATGCAGCCAATCACCTTGGACGCTTATCTTCATTATCCGACCGTTTTCAAGGAATTAACAGGCTACAAAAATAACAGCCTGCATATTCCGTACTGCGTCCTTAGAGCCACTTCGAAAACAGTTTTTCCCCGATTAAACCGAGGACTGGTACCAATGCTATATTTGTTCGTCTCCGGCGTTTGCCTTGGTTGTGGATTTTTATTTTATTTTTTCTCGCCCTTCGGCACTGTCCGCCTTCAACGTCACAGCTAATGTTTCAACCCGAAAGGGCCGAACTCCAGGGCTGCGATGTGAATCAGGGTGAAAATACGGAGTACTAGCCCCCTGTTAGGACTTGACTTTCGATGCTAGTGATCGAATCTTTGAATTTGCATACGCACGACTCCTCCCGTCCTCGAGTCCGGAACATTCTATAGCCCTCCGTACCTGCCACACCGATTTCTTCCTTCGTTCTAATTGGTACGGATCTGATCTCTCATATCTGAGATGTGACTGAACGAATCCACACTCCATGCGAGCTCATGTACCTAAGAATAACCCGTCACCTTTCTATGGTTGACAATCCCGGGGACTTTCTCAACCCGATATCGTGCTAGTAATCTAAAATCAGGAATCGAGCGAAATTACTAGTCATGTTGGATGTTGGCCCCCGGGGCGGGATGATTTATCCATTTTCTTTGTTTCTTTGTTTCCTTTCCGTACTCAAGAACCCATCTACATCGTTATCATTAAGCCCACGAGTCGCAATTTGATGCCAACTGCATGGATTCAACGCCTGATCCGCATTCTTGGGGCCATTGGACTGTGTGGCTGAAGCTTGTTTCGCGTGCTAGTTCTACATGGTGATATTAAGCGAGCGCCGTGTTTTTCGCAGAAGCCGTATCGCACGCTGTACACATTGTATCGATACAGCATTATGGAGATAAATATAGTTTTTCCTAAATTTAGGCCATGATAAACAGGCCATTGGTCCATGCGCTCCAGATGATTGCTGTCTAGCGCACAAATGCTCCATATGAAGTGGATCATATTTGGTTTCACTCAAATCAGAACAATCTCTTTGACACCCTCGCGGCTCGTACAGAAAAAAGCTAGGGCAGATCGGATTTAGTGGGTTTCGCATACAGTCATGTATAGTAAAGAAATGTCTTATATGCCACACGGGAGCCTGGAGAGCATATTTGACGCCGTCGTGACGCCGTCGACTCCGTTTGTAGCACATTGCGTTGGTGCTATACGCACTAGCCATATTCCCAGCCTTGTCCTGTCAGTTTCCTGGATCTATTTCCCATGAATCCACGTAATACGAGCAAATTCACGAATTTGTATCCTACTCGTATCCGGCTTCTCGGGTTGGTGAGCCCGCATCCATGGACATTACTCCAGCGCTGAATCGAGCATGGTGGAAGCTCGAGTCTGAACAGTCGATGCTGGGCATATACAAGCTCATTCCAAGTCATGCGATTGTGCTTCCAAAGGTACCCCCGAGGTCAGCAGCTAAAAAACAACACTTTTCATATCCAATCAAAAACCGTGGAACTGCACCGTTCACCCCCAACTTTGTGTGATGGGCTCACTATCTAACAATTTTGGCACGGGGAGGGGCATGATAACACCCGTTGTGTTGAGAGTGACTGATTAGGCAAATGGCTTATGGTGTAAGCACGTTGAATGTCTGAGCTCCAGGTGTAACCTGAGCAAGCCACGAACTTGTGTTTGCCTCTGCAGATACGGAATATGGAATACTCCGTATGGAATGCTAGAGTTCTTATTCCGTACGGGGTACATATTTTAGCCTATTCCCTCGGGTATCATACAGCTTTGGGAGGCCCCCATGATGATGATTTCGATTCCTGATAGATAACAAAAACTAGTCTGCCAAGCCCGACAATATTTTGACCTCCAAGGCTTCCAAAGGTTAGGATAACTAATTTTTATCCAACCTTCCCAGGTCGCAGACCTTGGGATGAACCTTGGAAGTGCCCAGATTTAACGTTGGAAGAAATATTTATAACAGCACTCTAGGTACGTATAACCTTGGAAATTTTGTCTCGATCCATGTATATTTTCCAAGGTTCCAATTAAGTATATTTTGAAAATCCCGAGGTCACCATCACCATCACCATCATCAAGAAGTGTGCACAACATCCACTGCTTTTTTCTTTCGGGTGTATACTTCCGTTGGCATTCGCCGACCGCTCAATAGCCGACCACAAATGCAAATGCAAATCCTCAACTAGACTTGAAAGTATTTATCGTAAATCGTAGGAAGATAGCACACACCCGTGGAAATTATGGACTGCGAAAAGCAACCTCAGATTGAGGAATGGCATCTGATTGGTCTCCTCTCTGACTTCCCCGACATCAGCCAAGACAACGAACGCTGCCATATCTTACCCGCGTGTAAGACCTTGAGCGTCCCCAACGCCAAATCAGCACAAACCAGAAACCGCTTATCAGATCTAAATGATCAGGTGCTGGTGTTTAAATACAAAGGATTCTTGCACGCCATTGACAATGTATGTCACGTGTCCATCTCTCTTGGCCATAAGCTTACTGTCGCTAGCAATGTCCACATTCGTCCTTTCCCCTGAAACAGGGTAATGTTTTCGATATCGAGGACATCGGAGCTCCGCACGGTGCTGGTATTCGATGTTTTAGACATGGGTGGAAATTTGATCTTTTTACGGGAAAGGGGGATAGTGGTCCTCACAAGCTCAATTTGTGGGACATTGAGGTACGTGACATAGAGGGGGCTGCGAGTGGCGACAAGGAAGTTTGGGTCAGGAGACCATCACAAGATTCGCAGTAGGACAGCGCGGTGTTAGGAGTACTAGTTTGAAAACGAATATCGAGATTGAAACAATGTGAAGAATGCAGAAGTGGGTATATTATGAGACATCATAATAGGTTCCGAAATTAAGATCCAGGAAAACTTAGTACAAGAGAAGGAATAAACCAAAGAAATTAGAAAATTAAAGATCGAGGTCGTCAAACCAGCGGCGGGTTTAAATGAAGAACCTAAACATGGTTAGTAGTTGTGTCAACCATATGCATCTACAAACACATACCAAGCCGCAATAGCGATGATCAAATACATCATCATCAACAGCACACCCTCAAGCCAGTGTGACTTACCGTCACCAATGAGGTAGTTCACCTAAATCAGTTAGTAACATCCTTGACTCAAGATACAGTCCACATACCAAAAGAACAGACATGAAAAGCACAATGACCTGGAAGCCATCGAAGTTGAGAGTCTGCAAGGGTTAGTACGGAGAATTAAAAATGATGTGCAGGATCTGGAGCATACCATGTCATCCACACCAATGATCCACCCAAGAACAATAATCAGCGGCAAAACAAGCAGCGCAATCTGCATACTGGAGCCAACAGCAACACCAATAGCGAGATCCATCTTATCCTTACAAGCGACCGTCACGGCGGTCGCGTGCTCAGCGGCATTACCAACAATAGGCAGAAGAATCAAACCCACAAAAGTCTCGCCAATGTTACCGGTAGCAGTGAGAGCATCGATAGAATCAACCATGAACTCGGCGCATGCAGCCACGAACGCAGTCGAGATGAGCAGCGTAAGCAATGCAGTCGTGATGGAGAGCTGTGGCACCTCCGCCTCGTCCTCCGCATCTTCCATTTGCATGTGGTCTGGGCTTTGGCCGACCAATGGGGCGGCCGTCATTTTGCCGATCTGGGCGATTCCTCGGCTGGCGTCACCTTCGCTGACACGGGCGCGTCTCCGTTCGACCTTAGGGCTAGGACGGTTGTACATGTCGGCGTGTGATTTGAGTTGGAAGAAGAGGTAGCAGCCGTAGACGATTAGGAGAAGAACACTGGTTCCTGTTATTGGGTTAGATATGGTCATTTGAAAAGAGTCTGGAATATCATACCTCGGGACAAAGCAGCAGTTCCGTCACTGGTGCTGGCTGTAATGGATTTCGTTAGTTTGTTACTGTAAACTCGAGTGAAAGGGTTCCTGACTGTCAGACCACCTGTGGTAGGCGGTAGGAATAATCAAACTGCTCACAGCCAATGCCAGCATACTCGCAGCAGTCTGAGCGACTGTCACGTTGAAGTGCTGCTCCATGCGATCGATTCCACCGAAGAAGAAGCACATACCCATCACCAGCAACAAGTTGGACAACATACTGCCGATGAGGGAGGTCTGTACAATGAGTGTCTTGTGCTTGACCAGAGCAATGATTGCAACAATCAGCTCAACAGCATTACTGTGGAATCAGTCAGACAAGTACACATATAGATGGGTTGGAGAAACATACCCGAACGACGCATTAAGCAGACCACCAATAGTCTCACCCGTGCTGAAAAGACATTAGTATACACCGGACAGGTTTTGGCGATGTGAAGGCCTACCGGAGGGCAATTTCCTCAGTTGCAAAACTGAGCATAGCAGCCAGGGGACTAAAACGGTTAGCGATGATCTAGAAATTGAGCGAAGTGTACTTACATGATGGCGATGAAGTTGACAACAAAAACCGCAATTGGGTTAGCATCCACAGCGTACAAAGCGACTGTGGCATGTTAGCAAAACACAGGTTGATAGACCGAGAACTCTTACTTCCAACTGGCGCAGCGATTAAAAGAACGTTGATCCACGAATTCAAGACAGTGGCTCTCAACTGGGAAGCGAATGTGAACTTCTGCGCTTCAGAAAGCGATTTCTTATCCTCCTCGGAGCTGTCATCGCCGTGGCTGAACTTGCCCAAAAATCCACCCTTGCGCTGGCGTGGGAGCCCGGACTCAGAGGATTCCTCAATCCCACGCGAGACATTGATGGGATCATGGCTCTCCACAGAGGGTTCTGGTGGAGATCGATTTATATGGGGGGTTCCTAGGTCGCTTCCAGCCGACTCAGGAGGGAAACTACCAGAGTATTCCGGTCCAGTGAGACCATCGTTCATGTCATGGCGTCGGCGGCGGTCTTCTGATAGATCTCCCAGGCTGCGGGTGTGGTGAAGACCACTTTCCAGTTGCATGGAGTTGGTGCGGTGAGGGTGTCGTTGGCGACGGAACTTCTTGAAAGGATTGTGCGAGGAGGCTTCGCCTTCTTCGTCGTACCAGGCTAGATTGCGGGCCTGGCGGCGGTAGATATCTGTGGCTATCAGCATCGCGAACAAAAGGTGGACTGGCAAGTCGAACTTACGCATGATGACGGGATGGTTTTGTACGGCTAGCAAGACTTGATGTGAGTATAGTTGCGCCAGGAGTAGGTGAAGATATCAAATAGCAGTAGAATTGGGAACACATAAGGCAACAATGGACTTTTATATCGAATGGAGCCACGCCACAGCGCGTGGCTCAGACGCTCCACGATGATGCTTATAGGAGCGGGCTAAGAGAACACGTACTCGAAACTTATTTCAGATGGGGCACTTCAGCACAGTCTGAGGCTGAGGCGTATAGCTTGATATACGCGCTGAACTGGGGTGAGCCGCAAGTGACAGCCACAATTGAATGGTGAATGGGGACCCGCGATGTTCAAAAGATTCCAACCCAAAAATTGACACGGCCACAGGGGTTTTCGGTCAGAGGGTCGCGCCGAGGCAAGGGGTAGGCAGGGTATCAACAAAGAGGTAACGAGCGAAAAATTTCCCACAATGAGGAAACGAAAACCGAGAAAGAAACAAGAAAGAACGAAAAATGAAGGGATAGAATTTGCCTGGTAACAATTTGCAAGATTTGCTGAGGAGACCGGCTTGGAGCAGATGTTTGAAATGCACAGCCACACTAGTCGGGCGATCGCGATAGCGCGGGTTAGTGGAATTAGATGAGCTTGGCACTTGAGCAGCAGAACATGAAGCAAGCTCCGATCGCACTGGAGTTGGCAATTTGTTTCAAACGAATCTTCAAGCGCTGTTGGGTTCTGTAGCAGTCCAGCAGGGTTGGATATTGCTATGATGCGAGACGGTCGATGCGTTGGCTTTGGGTACACGAAACACGAACAGGCGGACGCCACTCCAAACCTTGGAACCGAAAGCTTTGTTTTGCTTGGTGTGCTTGAATTTTCTTGGTGTGCTTGGACTTGGCGATCACCTTGAAGGTCAAATCAAAATGTCACACCGCATCGATGCCTTTGGAGATCATGATTGCTGCAGACATTGACGTAGCGCACATGTCACTCGAGCATGAAGCCTTCAATTGGAAGAAAACATGGATCCCAAATGTGATAGTGTGGCCCACTTTTGGCGGGTCATCAAGCAATCAGGGGCGGTTAACGTCACTCAGCGCGCCACAGGCCCCTTTCTCATTTCTGTGGCTCAGTCACGTGCCTTGTTGGAGACTGGAGCCTTTGCTGTGTTGGTAGGCGCCCTTGGGTGCTCAGTGATCCAAATTCTGGTGTACATCACCAAGACAGCCTATACTAGCACTGTTTTATCGACCAGTATATTGGTGATAATGCTGTAACAAGACGAGATTGGGCGCCGTCTGCGGTTTTGGCTCTTTGACCTTCTGGGTTAACTGAGTTTCCCCGGAGGAAATATGCAGATGATTCGATGCAGCTGGCACAAAACGGTGCCATTCGAGTCTTTCCCTTTTGTTAGTTCTGTTGATTTTGTTGGTCTGAGTCTCATTGGTCCCATGGTCCTGTTGGCTTCCAAGGCTGTAAGTGAAAGCGGCAATGCTCTGGCTGAACTGTAGCCAAGATCAGGCCAGCAATCCTCATATGTATGCCATATGTACTCCGTAGGAAGTCGTAGGAGATCTTAGGAAGTTAAAATGGAAAGGAAGAAAAGTACTATTAAGAAAACTCAGCCCTACGGGACGGGGCATTCTTTCGGCCCACAAGGCTGCGGCTAATGACTGTTGCCTATCGGTTTCACTAGCGCCCTGCCTGCCCCTTGTGATGCCCCTCCGCCTTCGTCTTCCGCTGAGATCGCGCCTTGGGCCCGGTCGTGTTGCAACACTCTCTACATCAGTTGTAATGGGATGATTTGCTATATGTATCATCCATGGATGTGAGTTGAGACGGGAACCATCCACAGACCTCACGCGTGTTTACAACATGATCCTGCTGATTAAATGAGCATACCACACATTTCTGTGCAACCAGCCTCAGAAGGCTCGCCCTTCGAAGAATACCAGTGAGCAACGCGACCGCCACTCGCAATCGTCGAACATGATTATGCGGCCGTGCGATATTGCTGCCGACAGGGACATTCCCTACCGGCTGGGAGTCGAGTTCATAAAATGAGGGAAGTGCATGATGACTGGCACAACCAGTCCCGGGGAATCCATGCCGCAACAAAACCATACCAACCAGACCACCAGCATGCGGGCCTCCTGCATACAGACCGTCGGTACAGACCGTCGTCGAAACCGAGTCCGCCCAGACCAGCTTCGCGCGGTCGAATGAAATACAATGAGAAAGAACTCAGAGCCTGACGAACCCATTATTGCTTTTGACAGTGGTACGCGGGTGACACAACAACTACTAGGCAGGGCCCAGGGGTATGTGTCGCGGTAGGTTAAAGCCAAAGCGATGCGCGAACCGAGTACGGATGTGTCAAGGACAAATACTGGATTTCACAGGACATATTGTTTGATCATTGCAAGGTTGGTTTCTAGTGAGATCGCTTGGTTTCTTTAGAAGTATTGATTCACTGAGTAGAGTTTGATATTGCCTTGTCGTTATCATTGCCGTTGTAGGCCACTGCATAGAAAACAAATAAAGTGCACAACTCAGGTTTTCTCCAGTCAAGGAAGAGAAAGAGAGAGAAAAAAGAGATAACAAATTCAGCTGGACATGCAACACCTCACCCAGCCGGTATTTGTTATGCCAGGCAGCCCTTATTTGGCCATTTGACTGACACTTGACCTACCAAAACAACAGAGCAAACTGATCTTCGAACCCCGTTCGAGTGAAGATGTGGAGAAAGTCAATGATAGACGACATTTACAAGCGTTAGGGGAAGATGATTCGAGTAGCAGTCTTCAAGGCCAGGAGCGTTTGAAACACTCAAATTTTGAGACTCGCCTCGTCTGCAGAGGTCACCATGAGTCAAATGGGCTAGTCGTACTCTAACTAGCTATCCACGCTTCAGCTGAAGGGTGGACTTTGTTTCTGTGTGTATCTATTTCACAAAGTTGAAGGATTGATCAGGTCCACGGTGTGTCCTAAAGGTTACTCTGTAGATTAATCGCGGTTGGTCTTCTGTTCTAACAGCTCCTATTCATCTCCACCAAAGTTCCCTTTCCAAGACATACTGATACCTGTACATATATGGCCCATTCTACAAAAATATACAAACACTATACGGACGGTCCACACCTAGGCAAAGCTCGTATAGCGTATAGCGTACATCGCAAGACGGGCCAACGTTGTTGTACCATGTTTGAACGACCCCTATTTTTATCCGGCGAGTGAAGAAAATATCGCATGCAGCGCATTGAACCCAAAATAACCACAAGCCCCCAAAAGCTTGATCAATTAAGAGGTGCTCCTGGCTCTGAGTCTGCGACCCGCACCTGACGTGATATGATATTCAGGGGTAATCGACGTGCACTGACACCTTGTATGATAGGAGCTGCACAGAGTTACCGTCCCCCCTACAATATGTACACATTCTAAGTTATATCTATCTTGACAGGGCAGTGTATGTACGCGTGTCTTGTTCAATGGCGTGAGTCGAAGCGACCCGTGAGCTAATTGGCCAAATGAAGACCGTTCAAGCTGTTGCACTGTGCCGTCTGATCGTCCATGCCAATCTCAGATGGATGCATCAATAGCCCCTCCACAGTATCAAAGATCTCAAACTTTGAATGCAGATTTTTGGACCGATTTCGGGAGGTATAGGCAGCACTGTTCGGGAAGAGAAGAAATCCCGCAGCAGTGGGAAATACTAGGACACGGTAAGGTCCCCGTGTGTACTCCGTATAGAACGGAACACGGACATTAATCAGTCAAGAGGCGTTTCACTAGGAAGGGCTAAGCAATATAATCAAAGCTTTGGGTTGAGACATTGATTTTTGCGCACAAAGAGTGCAGAGGAAGGCCGTTTTTAACAGCCAAGCCTGCCCAGACTGCCGAGACTTAGTTCATTCTTGACAACATCATTGCAAGCATTGATCGCCCTTGGCAACATGAGACAAGCTTTTTTGAACTGACGTACTCTCCGGAGGTTTTGGAATCCATTAATATTCAAGCCGTGTTCAGTTTGAACGAAGGGGAAATATTACCACGCGGAATACGGCACCATAACCAGCGAAATGAAAATGGAGGAAATGAAGAGAGTGAAGATCCACTTTTCCCTCCAGTCAGGGTCCTCCAGGGTCTCTGAGGGTCTCTGGGGGTCCATCGGCTGCCCACGGGTTTACTAGTGTGTACACTTGTTTCAGGGGCCGAGTGGCAAAAGAAAAAGAGGAAAAGGCCGAAGAAGACCCAAAGGGATGGAAAGGGACAAGTGGAGTGGAGGGACCAATGACGTCGAATATTGACTTCATATCATCCTAATTCAACCAATCAACAATTCCAATTGAGTTCCAAAAAAACAAACATAGAAAGTCCAATTGATGTGCAAAAGGCACAGCCTGCGCGTCGAGATCCCCCTTGGTCCACTCCCCCCCTCCCCTTCAACCACACCTTTTCTGACCCTTCGTCCGTCTCTTCCTTTCTCCTTTCTTTCATCTACATTCGTTATAACTAGACGGTGGTGTGTACCCGTCCGACGTTTCCCTCAATCTAGATCATTCTTTATATACACAATGAAGGCCTCTATCATTGCCGGTCTCTCCATTCTTGGAGCGGCCGTGGCTGCCGACGTGCCCAGCATCGAGATCAAGGGCAAGAAGTTCTTCTACTCCAACAACGGAACTGAGTTCTTCATCCGCGGTGTCGCCTACCAGCCCGACTACACTGCCAGCAACGGAGGTACTAGCGATGAGACTTCCTACACCGACCCCATCGCCGACATCGACTCTTGCAAGCGTGACATTCCCTACCTCACCCAGCTTCGCACCAACGTTGTCCGTACCTACGCCGTCGACCCCAGCAAGAACCACGATGAGTGCATGAACGCCCTCGCTGATGCCGGTATCTACCTGATTACCGATCTGTCCTCGCCCTCCGAGTCCATCGTCTCCGACGACCCCACCTGGAACTCTGACCTCTTCACCCGTTACTCCCAGGTCGTCGATGCCTTTGCCAAGTACCCCAACGTCATTGGTTTCTTCGCCGGTAACGAGGTCTCTAACAAGGTCAACAACACCAACGCCATGGCCTACGTCAAGGCTGCCGTCCGTGACATGAAGTCCTACATCAAGGAGCAGAACTACCGCACTTCCCTCGGTGTTGGTTACGCTACCGACGATGACCAGACCGTCCGCGAGGCCGTCTCCAACTACCTTGTCTGCGACGATGCCTCTGACTCCATCGACTTCTTCGGTTACAACATCTACGAATGGTGCGGTGACTCTTCCTTCACCAAGTCCGGTTACTCCGAGCGCACCAAGGAGTTCGCTGATTACCCCGTCCCCGCCTTCTTCTCCGAGTACGGTTGCAACGATGTCCGTCCCCGCAAGTTCACCGATGTCCCCGTCCTCTTCAGCGACAAGATGACCGACGTCTGGTCCGGTGGTATCGTCTACATGTACTACGAGGAGACCAACAAGTACGGTCTTGTCTCCGCCGACGGTGACAAGGTCAGCACTCTCCCCGACTTCAGCAACCTCTCCAAGCAGATGGCCTCCGCCACTCCCTCCGGCGTCGACTCCAGCAAGTACTCCGTCACCACCACCGCCGGCCGCAGCTGCCCCACCGTCGGCTCCGACTGGAACGCCGCCAGCATCCTGCCCCCCTCCCCCAACGCCGACCTTTGCGAGTGCATGTACAACTCCCTCGAGTGTGTCCCTGTCTCCGACATCTCCAACAAGAAGATCGGCTCCACCTTCTCTTACCTCGGTGGTGAGGACGGCGTCATGGACGGTGTCAACTCCAACGCCACCTCCGGCAAGTACGGTGCCTACTCCATGTGCTCTGCCAAGCAGCGTCTCGCCTGGGCCATGAACCAATACTACCAGAACAACAAGGGCAAGGCCGGTGCCTCTGCCTGTGGCTTCAGCGGTGCTGCCTCCACCAAGAAGGCTTCCTCCGCCTCCGGCTCTTGCGCTACCCAGATGAGCTCCATTGGCTCCAAGGGTACCAACGCCATCTCTGCTGGTCTCGCTGCCAGCACTGGTGCTGCTGCCTCCGGCACCGCTGGTGCTAGCGGTGCTACCTCTTCCGGTATCGCTGTCGGTACTGTTCCCCAGTCTGTCCACATTGGTACCTGGCAGGCCGGTGCCTACGCTGTTGCTGCTATTGCTTCCGGTGTCTTCATGGTCATGCTGTAAGCGTGTTAGACATGTTTATAGACAGATCCAACTTTTGGATCGCCTTTTGTAACATTGTTCGTATATAATTCTTTTTAAAACCAGTCAGCTGGCGTTCATTTTTTTATTTTCTGATACCATCCATGGATCCTCCTTTTCAATATACCAGTAGTTCAAGATTAACTTTCCGTTCCATCTCAACTTCTCATTGGACGACTTGACTCCCTAGACCCTTGGTTTGTGGATCATAGTATATGAGCTTCCAAGGTTGGATTGAATGGGGAGCACCGGTCATCGTGATCTGTTGAAAATTCTCGTGCGAGTCGCCGAGCAGGTGAGGTGTAGGGAGGTGTCTCAAGGTCAAAAGGTCCTGCGAAGCTACCCACGAGATACTCAGCAAGTGTGGAGTGTATCATCACCCAATTGTGAAGCTATCCAAGTTTAAACATGCGTCTTTCAATCCTGTGGTGTGTGTAGTGTACTCCGTAGTGTAGTATATCCATCCTTTTTCTCATCGTTGATCATTTCTCGCCTGTCTACTGGGTGGTAGTCTAAAAGCACACGCTTTAGAATATTTACTTCCAAGGTTTGAGTCTGATAATACATGTAAGCGCACACGATGTTGGCCCCAGACTCCATATCTATACTTCGGAGATTTCGGTCCCATAGTCAAACACCACGGAGGAAGGTAGTGTGCTCTTGATTGTTATCCTGAGAAATAACTTAGACTCATCTTGCACCTCTCAACATCTTTTCTTCCATCCCCCTCCCAACCTCAAAACCCACCCCCCTTCGATCTACATCGTTCCAAACAATCATGAAATTGGTCGCAGCAGCCTTCAAGGCAAGCCAAGCACAGAGTCGTGCTGCACTAATCACCCACCTCACAGCTGGGTTTCCATCCGTGGATGAGACCCCGGAGATCATGCTTGCCATGCAAGCTGGCGGTGCAGGTACGTATCCACCCGCATCCAACGCTCATAGCTACTGACCATAACACACGCATAGACATCATTGAGCTGGGGATTCCCTTTGAAGAGCCAAAGACAGACGATCCCGTCGGCAAGAGTGCCAACGCTACAGCTTATGACAATGGTATCCGGATTCCTACTATGCTGCAGATAGTTCAATCAGCCCGCTCCCAGGGCCTGAACGTCCCAGTCGTGTTGATGGGATACTACGAGCCCATCAGAGACTATGCATTTGGAGAGGAGAAACTTTTGCGCGATTGCAAAGCTGCCGGAGTCGACGGATTTATCATTGTTGATTTTCCACCTGATGATGCTGCACGCTTCAGCGAATCTTGCAAGGCCAAAGGGTTGAGTGCAGTCCATACTCAACTACGTGACTTACTGAACTAACAAATGATAGCCTATCGTACATTCCAGTTCTTGCCTTTGCTACCCCGGAAGATGACACGAAGACCCTCTGCAAGTCTGCTACCTCCTTTGTTTATCTTGTTTCTCAAGTTGGATTCGGCAGAGGCTTCGCAGATCTGGACGAAGGATTTCCCGCGCTTCTGAAGCGGGTTCGTCGTTTCAACAGAAATGGTGTTTCGTCAGTTATCGGATTTGGCGCTACGAACTCTTCGCAGTTCTTGAGACTTGCGTGTCTAGCCGATGGAGTTGCGGTTGGGAGGCCTATCGTTTTCATTCTGGAAAATGCACACCCTGGCACTGGCGCACAGAAAGTGAAGGAGTACTGCCTGAGAGTTGCTGATCGAGCTGAAGCGCATGTCATCATACCACCGGGAAGAAAGCCTGTGAATCAATCCATGTCACCCACTACCGTCTACCTCGCCGGTGGAGACGGGGCCGATGACTCCACCACGTCCGAAGGACCAGATAAGGAGCAAAAGGATTGCAAAGATCCACCCAGCAGTCCAACTGGTCTTACAGGCCTTGATAGCCATCATAAAGCCCTCAGCGACTGTCTTGCGGAGCTCGAAGCAGCTTGGAAAGTCGCATATGCTGAAACTATTGGGCCGAGCGAGTATCACCCTCAAACAAAGTCTTTGGATAGACTGTTTGCTCTTTACCTTGCCAGGAAGGCCACCGTGTCCGCCAATGGTTCCGGTATCTGGCTGAAGGCTGCGGATAGCGATGAAGGAAAACCCCACAATATCAACACCGCCATAGCCCACGTCATCTTCGCCAAAAGTGTCGGCAAGACATCCTTCATCGCTGGAACGGCTGTCGGGGAGTATGGACAAGCCGTAGCCATACACTGCGCCAAACTTGGTCTCAAATGCACGATCTTCATGGGTTCTGAGGATTACGATCGTTCCCTGTCTCAAGTTCGCGATATGAGACTAAGGGGCACAACGGTCACCCCCGTCGATGGTGAGCATGGCAAAGGTAAACTCTGCGATGCAGCGAACAAGGCATTCGGAGCTTGGATCGCCAATTGTGAATCATCATACTTCATCGTCGGTTCTGTGTTTGGCTCCGGGCCGTGTCCAACGGAAACCACGTTCCAGTCTGCCATCGACGAAAAGCTTCGACCTACATTCGAACTCATGTGCAAGATGCTGCCTAATGTTATCGTCACTGGCATAGAGGGTAAATCGGATGCTGCGTCCCTGCCACACGAGTACATGGAAGAGTCGGAAATTGCCTTGCATGAGGTCGAAGAAGACTTTTTTGATCAAAAGTCGCGTTTCGTTGCTGGAGTGGTTCATGTAATGTGACTGGTGGCTTGGCTGATGCTTTTCGTGGTGCTTGAGTCTACATGGCTCGGACCTAAGACTGGCATATGCAGAAAGTTCGTTATGAAGGTTTCGCGAAACTGAGTTATCCTAGTATCGGACCTGAGCTGTCCAGTTGGAAACTGTCCGCCGTGACTCTCGTGTCTGTCTCTTTCATGAGAGCTTTGGCGACATTGAGACATTAAGGTATCCATCATTGCCCTTTAATACTATCAATCTATTCATTTCAAACCGCGAAGATGTGTCGCACTAGTGCCCAGGTGACAATTGCCAACATCACCTACAGAAACCTTGCAAGATGATTCAGTAGACTACGCAGTCCTCTTGACTTTGTTTGCTGCCCAGGTGGTAAATGGATATAGATAGATGGATTAATACTGATGGGTACCAACCTTGGAAGTCTACCAGTGGACTTATATCATAGTTTGTACCCAGTCACCAATAGGACGCTGGAGTTGCGAAATATCACCATGGACCCGAAAGACTGCCCAGGTAATCACTAAACCTTGGAACAGATTAAAAAATGTAAGTATTTTCCCTTGTGCCAATCAACTGATTGGTGTCGCACCATTCTCATTCTCCCACAAATCGTTTCCCCTCTTCGCTTGACCCAAGGCTCGCAAACTGGAGGTTGCGAATAGCGTGCCCTTTCCACATGAGAAGCATGACAAACATGAAGGAGAAAACAGCGAAGAACGCCATCATACCATAAACCCATCCGACATCAACAGCCTCAACCCAAGGGTTGATATAGAAGCTGATCGTTAGTCCATAAACAATTCGATAAGCACCGATGACGATACCTGCCTCCGCAGGATGCTTCGTAAAGCATTCGACAACATAGTTCACCGTGACGGGCACACTAGCCAGTGATCCGATTGTAACAATAAACACAGCAAGTGCCAAAACCATATAATGCAGATGGTACTGCAGCGCGGCACCGAAGATTCCCAAGCCAATTGGGTTGAGGATGAGGCTAGGCAGCCAAAGTACATGCAGACGATACTCAGGCTTCCATACACCGCCATTATACCTCCTCGCGAGTGCGAGTGGGAGTTTGTCATTCAGGATATGGCCATAGAATTGGACGAATATGATTCCGATCCAATGACAGAATGTAAATGCGGCATTTTGCTCGAGCGAGAATCCATAACCACCTTCGGAAACGGGCTTCTGGAGCCACACCGGCGTGAGAGCGTTGACTCCGACGTAGAAACCGAAAGAGATCAGTGTAAAGATTCCCATGATGATTGTCACAGGGCACATGCCAATCATGAAAGGTGTAACTGCAACCTTGGCCTAGATAGAGTCTTGTCAGGTCTGAGCTCGATAGTGAGATATTGAGGAAAATTTACCGTTTCCCTCCAAGTAGTCGGCAAGATGACACCTTGTCCAAAGAAGAAAGTTGCAATTCTGTTTGCAACAATACCGCTGGGGATATCTGGATTGCGGTCCAAGCGCTCGCGATCGAACCCAGTCTCCTCAAGAAAACAAAAGCAACAGATAAGAGTGAAGCCCAACAGGCCTACCGTCCACCAAAACTCGATGGGAAAGAAAGAGTGTGCTGAGACAAAGCCGGAAAAGGTTGGGCCAGCAATAGTACCGAACAAGAACGCCATGTGTAAGACGGTGAATGCGCGACCACGCTGATGCAAGTAGAACAGGTCGATGACGATACGAGGACCAAGTACAGTAGGCACAGCTCCAAAGAACCCGGCAAAAAGACGGGATATCACATAAGGGATATAATCATCGGCACCGGTCATAACGGCGCCCCAGACCTGGCAAACCAGGGTGAACAGCACACACCAAAAGATCGTGGAGCTGCGCCCGAACACATAGGACACCGGCGCGAAGAAGAATGGGCCAGCGGCCATGCCAGCTAAAGCGGCCGAGTTCTGGTTTTGTTAGGAGCTAATACTTCGACAGACCCAAACGAGGCGAAGGTATGGATCACATACCGCATAAGACTCTTCCAGCTTCGTCTTTTGGTACAATTTCTCCTGGTCAGCGAGATTCAGCTGTCCCGACAGAGGCGCAACAGCACCAGAGAACGATGCAAGGCATAGCACTGCGAGAATGACATATTTGCGGCTAATCGTCCAATTCTGCGATACGTCGTTCAGTTTGGATCTAGCAAAGGGATGTTTTGGTGTTTAAGCCATACCAGAGGGTCCCGTGGGTGTGTACTTGGTTGGGGAATCAAGACTATATGGTCTGTGCTCTGTTTCTCTGGGCTCGATTCGTCTTTGTCCATGATCATAGCTGTCAGGGACCTAACACAGGTGGTGTGAGTGACCCCTTGAAGCTCTGGTATTTTGGACACCAGATGTCTTGGCAGGCCGTACCGAAAGCTTTAATCGCGCCAAGCTCTTTTGCCGAGCACAAACCAAAAGTTCGCGTGGGGACGCGTCAGCTTGGCCGCGGAGGCAGACCACCACTCAGCTAGGGATGCTCCGTATGGCTTTGGAGTACGGAGTATTGACTGGTGGGCAAGCTATCACTTCCCGCAGCAGAAATTATATAGTAGGTGCCACGGCGCCGAATGAGGCTTTTCGAAGGTTGCTGTGTCCACAGTACTCCGTAGTTAGTTAGTTACGTAGTTAGTTAGTTAGTTAGTTACTCCGTACCTTGCATGCCTGAACTCTCAGGCCGGTAAATCAAGATCAACCTTAACCTAATCAACGAGATAAAACTAACTGATTTGTTAGTTGACTTATTATCCTTTAGCCTTCCAACCTTCATTATCAGGACTTAACCTCACAATGCGTGCTCCGACTTAGGCCTCCCCAATCCTCCGGGCACCCATGCCGATCGGAGCTGGATCCACATCGGAGAAGAATTCTCCAAAAACGGGCTTCGGCAACAGCTCCAACATGCCGAGAGCATTCCATACATAATGACGCCGGGAACCTGCCCAGCATTCTGAGCTTCGATAGCCTCAATAGCCCTGGGACATGCGTCCAATATCCAATGATCATTACCGACACCTTTAATATTTAATTATGGAGAAGCAAGACCTGGAGTCTCAAAAGCCAACCCCACGGGTTGATCCCGACTCGGAGGACGACCTGGCACTCAAACCTCAACAGTCAAACGCCTATGGCATCCCAACATGGCGCAAATCTCTAATCTTGTTCATTGTCAGCTGGATGACTCTGGCCGTCACATTTTCAAGCACTTCGTTGCTTCCCGCAACCCCCGAGATCGCTACCGAGTTTTCGACGACATCGGAGATCCTCAATGTCACTAATGCCGGCGTGCTGCTTGCCATGGGATTCTCCTGTCTCATCTGGGGACCCATCGTTAACATCTGCGGGCGTCGAAATGCCTACAATGCAGCTATATTGGTCCTGTGTGCGTGCTCGGCCGGCACCGCCGTGGCGACGACTTTGCATATCTTCATTGCGATGCGTATTCTGAGTGGTTTCACCGGTACCTTTTTCATGGTCGCTGGACAGACCATCATAGCGGATATCTTTGAGCCAGTATGACAGACCGGCCCTTGTTTCAATCAGTGACTAACCTCTGAGCAGACTGTACGTGGAACAGCTACGGGATGTTTCATGGTTGGATCAGTCAGTGGTCCTGCTATTGGTAAGTTGCGATGTGTACCAGTCAGGCCGTTGAATAAAGACTAACCAGCTGAACAGGGCCTTGTATCGGTGGCATCATTGTCACATTTGCCCAGTGGCGTATCATCTATTGGCTACAATTTGGAATGACCCTGCTTGGTCTCATCCTATCACTTCTTTTCGTGCCCAGTGTGCAAGAGAAGAACCTAGTCATCGGCTCTGGCCAGCCATTGAAAATTTCCACCGTTCTCAAGATGTTCAATCCTCTTCGCATTTTTCGCCAGTTCAGGTACCCAAACGTGTTTATTGCCGTGAGTATTTCAGCTACACAAATCTTTCTAGTCATCTAACAGAAGCAGTGCCTCACATGCGGTCTTCTCTCGACGTTTCAATACGCCATCTTGACATCAGCCCGCTCCATCTTCAATCCCCGATTCAATCTCACAACTCCTCTCGTCAGCGGCCTCTTCTATCTAGCCCCGGGAATCGGGTTCCTCGTTGGCAGCGTCGTTGGCGGCAAGCTATCCGATCGCGCTGTGAAGAAATGGATCAAAAAGCGAAATGGTGTTCGGTTGCCACAAGATCGACTGAATAGCGGCATTGCTACGCTATTTGGAGTTCTGCCAGCCGCAACCTTGATCTATGGCTGGACCCTGGAAGAGGAGGTGGGCGGTATGGTAGTCCCGATCATTGCTGCTTTCTTTGCAGGTGTGGGGCTTATGGGCGCTTTCAACGCCTTGAATACCTACTCAGCTGGTGAGACCCTTTGATGCTTGAATTTAAGAAGGCAACACTTGACTAATCCCCTCGCAGAGGCTATGCCCCAAGCTCGCTCGGAAACTATTGGCTGCAAGTACATTGTGCAGTATATTTTTGCTGCCGGAGCAACGGCGGCCGTTGAGCCGCTGATCAATGCTATTGGAGTAGGATGGACGTTTACGATTTGTGAGTTGCGCCTCTTTGATTCTTGGGAGCTATCAAATCTGACTATCTGGATAGGCGTTTTCTTTGCTATAATTGGCGGGTTCCTTGTTCTCACCATCATCAGATGGGGCACTGATATGCAAGAATGGACCGAGAGGACATACGGGCTTAACAAAAAGCCCTAAGCCTGAGGATTTCACGTTTCTTGCATACATTTGTGTCTTTGCATATTTGGCGATATGAAATGCCTGCATGATAGAATTGATTTATAGATACACGCTAGGCGGATACTCTGATTTGAAATAGAGATGCACATGCCTGGAAAAAAGTGAATCTGATTGATTTCTACATCCAAGGATTACATTTGACGCCCTGCTGGTTTGAAATGCCAATCTGTAAAACTCCCATCATGCATGGACCGGGACCGGATCGGAGCGCCGATTAGTAAGTTCGGCATCCTTCCTTTTTCCGCCGAAGCCTCGGCAAAGACTGCATAATTCCGACCGCATTCGGACGTCATTTCTCCTCACTTTGAGAAATAGGAAACAACTCTAAGATAAGATCACATTTGCTCAAATGACGAGGAAAAGACGTGAGCCCACGTCAGACCTAGAACAGGAAGGTCGCGAGTCTCAGAAAAGGAAATTTGTCGCGTGCGTTTCGGACGTCTCGCCCGAGATCTGCTACTAACGCTTGATAGCTGCCAGCGATGTCACTCGCATAAAATTAAGTGCTCCGGCGACTTGCCATGTAGCAAATGTCGTTCGGTAGGCTGTGCCGACGAATGTGCTTATGCCACTCGGGATCGCCAGGTCAAAGTGAGCGAGAAGTACGTGAGCAAGTCGATAACTTTCGTCAAGCTAAGGGCTGAGCAAAAGCTTTCCCGCGCGGTTCGGTTCGGCCACTAATCCTATTCTCGTTGATCAGCTATCTAGATCAAATCCTTGCAGAAAATCAGCGGCTCAGGGAGCAGTCGTCAGCCTCGGCCAGAGCAACCGAGATCCATGACCCGCAAAGGTAAAGTACAATCTGCCCAGTAACATACCTGCTAGCTAAATGAATTCCGCTAGAGCACCTTCTCGGCCCGCAGATGCTCCAGATAGCACGGGAATCCAGAACCCTCTTATTGGAGATCGTGCTTGGTTCCATCGGTATGACCCATCCTCGCCGCCCATCTACATCGGCGAGGCAGCATGCTCAGCATTTGCAACTCGATTTCGTCGCTTTTTGTCGGGAAACAGTGCGATGCCACATATTGCACGCACTCAATATGAGCGGGAGGAAAAGATCGCTGCAGCGAATGAAGCTGATATACAGTGGCCAAGTCTCCACCATGCTCGGCTACTGGTCCGGATAGCAATCCACCAAATCGGGCACCTGTATCACCTCATGATGCGCAAGTCAACGTTGGACAAACTGGAAGAAATATACCAAACACAAGACTTTGACTGCAGAGCTAGCAAGTGCAAGTTCTTTGCTTTGTTTGCCTTCGGGCAGGCATATTCGATTCGGTCTGAGCCATATTCTGGGTCGAGGGTACCAGGGACGTCTTACTTTGCCCGGGCTATGGGTCTGGTTCAGATCCTCCCAGAGAGAACAAGTGTTACACATTTGGAGACCTTGTTACTGTTGGTGAGCACCTCGGCAGGTATATCATATTTCGAGCCAGCTAGGCTAACCTCACCTCAAGTCTCTTTTCTCGTACTATCTCAACCGACGCCATTCAGCATACATCCTGATTGGGAATGCCATGCGAATGGGCCTGACAATCGGACTGAACCACAACATCCCTGAGTCCCAGCTCATCGACCCAGCCGAACGTCAGCACCGTATTCAAATCTGGTGGACTATATACATCTTCGACCGGATGTGGGGATCTAAGATGGGGCTGCCGATGCAGATCCTGGATGAAGATATCCATGTTGACATACCATCCACAATCTCCCCTCGCTGGCGGCACGAAGAAGAGCTCTCCGACAGCGAATACATGACAGCAAACATCAAACTGGCCCGGATAGTCGGTGAGACAATCACGAAGCTCTACAGCCGACGAAAGTACCAAGAAACCTTCCTCCAACGTGTCCAAAAGCTTCTCAAAGCCCTAAAGCATTGGGTTGAAACACTCCCGGAGTCCTTGCGACTAAATATGGAAGACCTAGAATCCAGCAAAAAGCCCGTTGTCTCCCTGCATATGGCCTTTAACCAATGTGTCATTTTGTCCACACGCCCCACACTCCTCCACCTCCTGATCACCCTACGCCAAGCCAAACCGGCAGCAGACAGTGCCGGAACCGAAAGCGAAAGCGAAAACGAAACCGCCTCTGTGTCACAGCCAGTTTTGACGCTAAGCGAGGCATGCATCCATGCAGCCCGGCATTCACATTCCATGATCCTGACCCGGTGGATAAACGGCTCTATGCCAACGTTCGGTTATTTCCACGCACACTACCTATTCTCCTCGGCATTGATCCTGGCAATGTCCAGCTTCGTCCCGATCGGCAATCCGTCCGATATGACCGGGTTCGACTCTGCGCTGGACTTGCTGCGCTCGATGACGGAGAACGGGAATCTTGCCGCTGCGGAGTTCTGCACTAATCTGGAGCAGGTGAAGAATTGTCTTGATGCCTATCGTGGGTTGAAGGTTGGTCGGAGTGAGGGTGTCGTCGAAGTAGCACCAGCTACAAATGTCCACCCTGATAACGGCTCTGCGTCTGGGTTCGCTGGGCTGTCGACGTTGGCGAGTATGACAGCTAATAGTTCTATGCATGCTTTGGCACCAAACACATCCGCATCTGCGCCTGCGTCGGTTGCGCCATTGATGTCGACTCACGAAACGTTCGCTTCTGCTCCCACTGCCCAGCCAATTCAACAAGGAATTGATCCATATTCGTTTCCAGCTCGTGATACCGTCAGTGGGTACACCACTGAGATGGCATTCCTGGAGCCGACCATGCAGGATTTCCTCGCGCAGTCAGATATCGACCTCGGCCTTTTGCATCCCGTTGATGCCTTTTTTAACGAAGCGGAAAATCTTTATACATGCCACGAGTTATAGACCGGATAGCTCGGTGTGAGACTATAATCGAACACAATACAAGGCTGGGTGTTTCAATGCTTGAAGAGAGCAGAGGTATAACGGCGTTACCAGTCGAGACAAATTGTGCTTAATACGGAACAGAACACTCCCTGGTGTGTCAAAATGAGATGCTGCCGACTCAACTGACCAAAATTCCCCCAATGATAAATAACTGATACATTTCATCAAATATTCCAATGTCAACCCAATGATATAGAGAGCTTATGACCAATTCTCACTAAAGAATGGCTGCTCCGTGAATGCTGGAATTCGTCACCACGAAAAGCAGCGAGGGGAAACCACCACAAATCAAGCAAAGGATGCATCTCTAGTCGCGGGGGAACGCTTTCGGCCCAGCGGTCAAATCGGCATGTAGACGTGAATCAAACTCGCCGGCTTCGGGTAAGAAACAATAGCAGTGTGGGCTCAAGAGCTAGACAGGCCCAAGCCCAAATCTCGACCCATGGCGTGAGACAATTTCAGTGCAGATAATCCAGGCGCGCCGCGAGGATTCGTCCCTAGCAGACATTTCGTGCAACCATGCGATAGCTCGCTTCAGCTTAGTGATTATGCTGGCAGCTTCGAGGGTGTGTGCAGTCGTACGAGTCAAAAGCTCGGTCATCAAGATGGTTGTGGCTTGCATGACATTGTGCAGGATGCACCACCAAGGAGCGACGCAGTGGAGCCAATTTGTATCTCCTGTTCCAGGCAACAAGTCCAGCATTTGGCCGGCTATCTGAACACATATCGCTGCCATGCTTTCACATAGTGTACCCGGAGTGCTTGCTTCCGAAGTCTGAGAGAGGTGGCGAATGCAAGGCTGTAAGATGATCATTTTGGTAGCATAATATCTGCAAGTGAGACTGACGCGCTGTTGCGCGAATTCCTGGCTTGTGTCTGATGCTGGGGATTGGAACTCCATCGGGAGACGAAGTAACCAATTGTCGGCATGGGTATTGAAGGTTGAGATTTCCGCTTCGACTTCATGCCACGACTGCCGCTCTAGGCTAGAGATGTAGACAGCATCCACGGCCCGTTGCAAAAGTTGGGCTAGATCCACAGCATACAGAAAGCAAAGAGAGGCATTTGGTGTCAGGTTTTCGGCGGCCGTCAGATCAGGCTTTTGTTCAACGTGCTTGTCCTTGCCCAACGACTGCTCTGGATCTTTCGAAGCCAATGGGTCTTTGGGCGGAACGTGAGGATGAGACAACAAGGAGGTGGAAAAGGCACTCCGTGCCCCTAGATTGGTGACCATCTGGACGACACGCTCGTCTTCCCTATCCTCCTCGAGGAATGGAACTGGAAGCGGAGTTGTGCAAAAAGTATGGGCTGCGATGGACGCACGACCTGTCATCTCACACAGTACCGTATCCAGCAGATAAAGCGCCCACCAAACCCGGTACCGAAGTTCTCTCGAAAAGTGTGTGATGCTATCGGTTTCACTTCGAAGGTTCAATCCCATCGCCAATGCCGAGCGAATCGCGACTCCAACCGTTCTCCAAGACCTGAAGTAAAACAATCCTCGTGAGTCAAACTCGAGATTTGAAGGGGGGGGACCTGTAGTCGAGGACTCACCTGTTGACCTGGCCAATTGACAGGAGATAGAATGCAGCTAGGCCCTCCACCTGTGTTTGTTGTAGATCAGGATGATCAAGTAAAATTTTGCTTCCACTCAGCTTCCAAGCGCGGGCGAAATACACAGAATGTTCGCTGTAGTCCGTCTGGGGCTGGTCTGTAAGGGACGCATGTCTGGTAGCGATGGCAAACACCAAGTTCAACACAGCCAGCCAGCGTTTCCCAGGCCGTACACTCGGGTTTGAGTAGAAGGATCGGTACTGATTTAGAAAGAGAGCCTTTCCAAGGATGGGGAACGCGGAATGAAGGACGTGGAAATAATTTTCAACGAGCTTGTCAGCGATGTGTTGAGGGGGCCGGCGTGCAAGATCGACGGTGTTGGGAACCGAAATTTCGGACTCGTCTTCGAAATAGTTCATGGAAGATATAGCAGGAGGTTCGGGTATCTCTTTGATTGGCGTGGAGTTGCCATGGTCAAGGCTGCGTTTGAGTCTGTACAACCATGCGATCTCTGAATGATCGCCCACAAATCCCATCGCTTGTACCTTGTCATTACGGTTGAAGTCCTCTTCGGTGTAGTCGACCACCCCCGTTGGGATGGCCAAGAGGCTATCAATTGCATCAGACGGAGCTTGTTGGGATGATGCAAGAGTTGAATTGGGAAGGGGGTGAGGGTGCAAGTTTAGATCCCTCAGGCGTTGATCGACCTGACGTGCTGACGAAGCATCGAGTGCGTGGTAAATATCACACAGAAGAGTTTCAAGGGATTCAACTTTGGAGGATAACTCGGTCAACTGTCTTGCGTGGGGGTTAGAAAGAGAATGCCATTGTTTTCTTCAAAGCTGTAGGGTTTTTTTTCCTTTTTTTTTTTTCCCCTTCTTCTTTATCCAGGGAGTAATAGAGAGTAACCAACCCACTTGACCATCTTCTCCCTTTTCCGGTCGCCATATGAACATTGAACCCCGGCATCCTGGCACCGATGGCAAACCGGATGATGGCCACTACATTTGGCCTTTTGTTCTCGACAATTTTCACATGCACGACTGACCCGACCAGTGGTAGTTGAGCTACTCGATGGAGTGTTGCGGGGGATGGCTACCTTCGCATTGAGATGATTGCTGGTTTCAAAAGAGCCAAGGGTGGAGCGTGGGTAATCAGAAACCCAGTCACGGTTGGGGGTCGAATCATTTTTCGAATACTCGGGGAACGGGAAATTCCCACTCATAATTGACGAGAGTATATGGGGATAGCAGTGACTTTGCAATAACTTAGCGGAGATAGACCTTGGCGATGGACACTAGTGGGAGGTTGGTTATAGGCCGATGAATGGCCCGGACGACCAGCACGGCCTTGCAGATATAAAATTTAATCAACGAAAATCTTCAGCCACAATGCTGTGGATACCTCACAATTCCCACTCATGAAAATGAGCTCCTGTGGTATGCTGGAGTTATTTGCCGGCGGGTTCGCCACTTGGACAGAGCGGTCGAACATTAAGACCAATGAAATAATGGTATTCTGATTGAATGCTGGAAGCATATACTCTGAGAAGAGGTTGCGTAGACCCAATGTAGGAAGCCCCAGGTCAATTATAGTTGTCAAAACTTATGCTTTCTTGCAAGGTCGCTTGTTGCGATGCCATTCAGGGCTTTGCGTTATGAAGGGTTGCTGACCGCGCACGAGCGGGTATCGTTGTGGGAGACTGGATCTGCACACAGTATACACAGTCCCTTAGGAGAAGCGTCGAGGACCATAAGAAGCCGTTCATCTGTCACTTGAACGCAATTTGCATCAAGGTTTTTGGAGAGTTCAAGTAGCATACCTGACAATCGTAGTGACGGTCTCCCGTCGCTGTCTTAGTAACGTTGCACGTTCCAAATCGTCTTCCTGTTTCCACTTGAATTTGACCGGAATTCCAAGGCGTAGCATAAATTCCGCTTCGCCATCTTAGCGAACCTTTTGTTTCCCTATTGAACAAGCTTTGTCTGAAGCATGCCATGAGCTGGGGCGAAGCGATAGTCTTATTCTGCCACTCGAAACTGCGTCGTGACTCGTGCACAGGTAAGGTTCACACCTAGCCCTTTTATTCCTTGATCGTCGCTTTTGGTAGCTCGGGAGGGAACATGCAGACACTCGGTTTGCAGATGCTTCCTTTGGAAGTAGTCGGCTTGGGTTGGATCACTTCTGGGTCATTCTTCTAACATATCTTCTTAGTAGTCTCGTGTCCTTCGCACTCCGACTGGAGGTCTGGGTTCCTCACGAGACAACGAAGCTGCCGAAGCTGCGAACATGAGCGTCCCACCCTCCTTTCCCTATGCGCTGCCGGCATAGAAGTCGATTGTCGAGACAAGTTCATTGGTCAATTGAGAGTTGGTATCATTCAAAAGATAAAAGATCTGCGGGTACCAGACTTCTAGGATTCCAGTCGGGTGGTTTCTGGTCGCAGGTGACAACCATTTTTTCTCTTGTCCAGCTGGGTTTGACCGGTCACAACTTTCTGCTTGCTAACAGGGACTCGCGGTCGGGATCTTTGCAAAGCATGGCAGTGTAAATGAGTTGTTGATTCACATCGTTGGTGGTCCAGGGGAAATTCGTCTGCATCACCAGGAGCGAACTCCAGAACACATTTACCGTCGGGTGCCGCCGTTCATCCGTATCGCAGGGGAGGGGTTAGCCTAGGTCAGGTATGATGCTTTTTTCTTCCATCACTGACAAGCAGGCCCTCGCGGGACAATGCCATTGTACAAGTTGTGTTTTGATCGCTACTCAAAATCTCAGGCGCACCGTTGCAATCTACCACCCGACAAGGACCCAGCCCACAAGAGACCAGCCTTCGCAAAGACACCATACTATACGGGAATGAGTGACATTCCTCTCCCAGGATTTTCAAAGCAGACTGAAAATGATCCAACGCCTCGTCGATGGAACCGTGAAGCACTTCCGTACCGCTAGCCTTTCCCGAGCCCCGACGATCGAGGATGAGAAATGATAAACAGAGAGTGATGGTTGTTGATTGAGCATCAAGGATCGGGAGACCAAGAGAGCAAAGATGGTGTTTGTTTGCGAACATTGTGGCCGCTGGCCACCTGCAGCAATCCGAGAATTCATGGCCTGGATACAATGCTCAGGCAAAACAAGATAATGCCAACGGCGGTGATGAGGTGCATCTGGTAGTAAGGCGTTAGTGCATTATACGAGAACTGGCTCTGTATAGCCATAACGGCTGTCCCATCTCGTCTCCTCGCCTCTGGGGCTAGATTTGAAGACATAACCGTCTGCTATGAACAGCACGTTTTGCCACTCGCCGGAACCGTCATATTCACCGGGAGTCAGAGAGCTTTGGTGAACGCAGGATCCAGCCACAGAGACGATATGATCACGACCAAACGTCTGTTGGACTTTCGCAACGAGAAGTTTGAAGCTTGGCGCTGTGCTGAGAGCCAAAGGTACCCAGGTCTGGGTTGATGTGTACCTCTTGAGGGACCGCCAGGACTGATCGACGGTGCTCCTGAGCCAGGCAGTTGTGCAATCTGGCTTCGGCAACGGGAAAGGCTCCCTGAATCCAGAGCGTCATTGTTGGGGATAACCTCAAAGCTGTCCGATTCTCTTGGAAGAAAAAACGTGATAGACAACGCTGACACGTCATGTCGCGCCATGGGAAAGTTCACACTGCGAAAAGCTATCGGTCATCAGCTTATCATCAAGCAAGCGGGCAAAGGAAATGACTTACCAGGTTAATGATGTGAGGACACATTGCTTGGACCTCCATTTGGCGGTTTCGGTCAAATGTGAGGCGCTTGGCTCTAATCGCCATGGTTTCACGGCGGTGCCAGCCCCCGTGACATTGGAGGAGTGCGTGTGCTCACAATTTCACTCCAAGACTTCAAGTGCAGCACAAGCTGGCGCTCAGGATTCGAAGCGATGGCGCCGGAAAGATGAAGTCAGAGTGGTAGGGATGGGGATGGGAATATTCGGTCTGCGACCGTTGAGGGTTGTTGCTTTGAGGACAAATTAATAGCGAAAGAGCGATCCACTTTGACGACGGCCTTGAAACATTTTCTCACAGATATTCGACAACAAGGAAAATTGCTCTCTGGGCGCCATAGTGCGAAGAGATGTCGTCTAATTTTGGTTGAGGCGAACACATTTGGACTACACGGAAATCTGTTCCGTCAAGCCCTGACCCAATTAGGGGCCCAAAGGGAATGCAGATCCCACCCTCCCGTGCTGCGAAAAGAAATATGGACCTTTCGCCTATCAAAAGCCTTGCTGGGAATTCCGAATAACCAGCAGTCCTACATATAATGGTCTTTCGTGGTCTTGACTCTTGGGGGAAAGCCGGGCGCCAGGTAGCACTATCCACCAGTGCAGGACAGCCGTACAAAATCATGGTCTTTCTGCCTCAATTGGTCGAAAATGACCCTCGCCCCTCGGTTACATGTGTACGGTACATCAGGGAAGGAAGTATCCTAAAAGACATTCCCACGATATTGTACACTCGCGAAGCCACATAGCTGTGCTCTGGGTTTGGAATCAAGTGGTTGTCTTTTCTCGCCTTGGACCCGACCGAAACGAGCCATCACTATGATATAATACCTAAGCTAGATCTGCAAGAGAACTTGTATCTGTCTCCCATCATGGTTGGTTGTTCCTCGCTCAATTTTCTCCGCTTTCTCGGAACAAGTCACTGCTGCGTCCAGACTCGTTTTTCTCTGTTCTTTTCAAGGTCTTTGATCATCTTGGCTTACATGACTTAAGAACCTGCTCATGAAAGGCGAGACAGCTCGATTATCAGGAGAATCTAAGCACACATACTCCGGAGAGATGATGGACTTCAGGGATAGCCATCAATCACCTGGGCAACGACTCTCCTCCGAGGGATCTTTTTGAATGACCTGCAATAAAGATTTTCTGAGCTCATATTCTTTGTGCCGATTGACTCCGTCCATCTTTCACCAACCATGAAGGTACCTAGAAAGTGCCCCGAAATGATTCGAGAGGACAAGGAGCCTGGACTTCTTCATTTACGACTTTTGGTCGAATAGTATTTAATTTCCATCTGTTTTCTTGGAAATTTTGATTTCCTGGAAGGTTATCAGATGCAAAAATTCAATGTCTAATGTACAATTGTAAGCAATTTGAAATATATCTCAAAATATTGAAGCTCGCCGTGTTACGGACATGCTAGTCACCAATCACATGTGGGGACTACAAACACCAATGGGCCATCGAGAGCCAACCAACCTATCTGGCATCCAGATCACGTGCAGCACCCAATACCCAGGCGCCCCCAGGCTTTCAGGAAAAGAGAAACCACGATCATGCTCAGTGAGCAAGAGCATGATCCGCCCTGATCGGACCCACCAGCAGGGGATTTCCGGTACGTATGTGCCTATACATACCAACAAACCCCTGGCGCGTGGAGCCAGGAACCGCCTTCATCCAACCGCCCCGAAGTATACCTCACTTGGGAATCGGACGGTTAGTTACCACGTGAATATGCAGGTAGTAGAATGGTAGAAGGTCGACAGGTAGATCTTGCCAAGCCAAATCTACCCATCTACATTCTACTCGTCTACTTAGGAAGAACTCAGGAATATATAAGGACACTCATTCATGTATCTAGTTTAGTTCTTCGTCTTCAATCATACATTGTTACTTGTGATTACCTTTGGAACTTTAGAGACTCGATTACTTGATTATAACTTGACAAACACTACGAATCGACCAACACCCCAGTGTAGATCTATTCGGCGCTCTACCTGGCATCGCTCCTCGATACCCTCAAAAGGACTTAGCCCGTATAAGGCCTCGATAGGCAACGGTACAGTTGAGAGACAGATCGTTGACAGTTGGCAGTCTACAGGATTTCAGAGAAGTATCTCCCGATTCTATCTAACCTAGCGACGACCATTTAGTCGTGCGTAACACGCCGTCGCATCATCTAGATTAGGGTTTGTTTACGCCTCAGGCATTAGCAGTCATGTGACTTCACGTGATCGCGATACCATCTCCCCTTAGGTTTATCTCCTGCTCCTGGTGCATTCACGCATTTGAGCTTCAATGAGATGAAAATAGGATCATAATGTCATTGCGCGGGCCGATGCGGCGGTCGCATCTGAGGCAAGTGAGCGCGGCAAGCTTGGAGAGTAGTACCACCTCTGCCCACTCACAAGAGGCCCACCAACATGACCTCGCTACGGATGACAGGACAGTCCGGCTCTCGTCAACAAGCTGGACGCGGCATCAATGTGCGATGTGGGTGCATGACGAAACATTTTCGCGCGAAGAGATCTTGTTAAACCCTTCGGCTCTCGGTGAAGCTGAAGTCCAAGTTGGAGATGTTGTGGAGATCTTGCCCATGCGGGTAGCTGGAGACACCGGCTATTCCAATATGAAGCCAGAGGCAGCTTCCAAAGCAGCCCGTGAGAGCCACATGGAAAAGAACACCACGTCCCAAGCTGAGAATACCTCCAAATTCAAGACACCCCTGCAAAATCGCTGTCTTTTCGTCGTGAAAGCTCTCCCGCCGGAGATCAAGGCCCGACACCCCCAGCTGGAGCTCTCAGTGACTAACAGTGTCGCAAATATCTTTGGTTTCAAAAATCGGACGCAGGTATTGTTGTCAACCGTGGACCGTGACCAATGCGCCGCATCCCATGTCGATATTGCGTTCCGCGACCAGTACATGGTCCGCTCTGATATGTGGAGGCTTGTCATGTCAGAACTGGTGGATAAAATCATCTACAAAGGACAGAAAATCATGTTCATGGGGAGCATCAAGGCCACTGTTAAGAACATCTTCATCCGGGAGAAGAAATGCCTTTCTGGATACTTTTCCCCGCGAACAATCCCCATCTTCCGCAGCGAGTCTGCCAAATATGTTCTTTTCATTCAAATGTCAAAAGAGATGTGGGATTTTGACTCCGAGGGAACTGGTGACATCCTTTTTAGTCGCGTCATCAATGGTTTCTTGCCGGAGCTTTTCAAGAGATGGCTCAATTCTGACGCGAAACACCTGGTCACGATTGTCCTTTTTACCCGGGTCGAATATGACGCGCCTGTGAACTTGGGTCAAGCCAATTTAAATGCGGGTAATTTCAACAGCACCTCCGGGCCAAACAAGGTTCCGACTCGAGACTTTTATCGTGTGGTGGTGAATGACATGGCAAGCGGCCATTGGACCACTATCCTCGATGAGTTGAAACGCGAGTTCAGGTCTTTTCTGCGTGATGTGTCGATACTCAAAACAGACGATATTGAGGCTGCGTCCGGCAGTGGTGTTAAGATTCCCTCCAAACCACACATGGCCACGATTGCTGGGCGTCCTAGCTCGGCTTTACGGGGCAATATTCTAGAGGCCATTCACCTAGCCTCTGCTCACTTGGCTTTCGATCATATCGATCGAGATATGGTTCATACCGGCACCTCAATCATCGTTATCACTCCTGGTAGCGGTGTTTTCGAGGTCTCCTATGAGTCATTGGCTTCTACAACAGAGGCACTGGCAAATCGTGGCATAGCCATTGACTTGGTTTGCTTGAGTCCAATGCCTCTGCATTCTGTGCCTCTGTTCAAATATCGAGAACCAGTCGATCGACAGTCTGGCGTTAGCGGCGGGCCGGGTGAGGATCGACTGGGCAGAGTCTCTCCTGAAATGCATCATTCTCTGTCGAGTGTCGTGAGCCGATCTTCATACCTGTCCCCCAGCTCATATCTGTCGGCAACCAGGATGAAGGAGCGCATGAGTCCTCAAGCCAAAGAATGGAGCTACGGCATTCCTCATTGGCTCGACATATCCTATTGGAACCCTGAAACGTATCGAGAGGCCCGGCGCATCTTGAAGAAGGACCCCAATGCGCCAATATCTTCCACGGTTACTCGACCATCTAAGGCATTTACGCCACGAGTACGCATGTACGAGATTCAGATGATGGGAGTCATGGAGAGTGAACAGTCGAACATTTCTATTCCATATCTCACCGAGGGCCGTGGTGGAGCTAGGGCTCGTAGCTCTTGGCCTGGATACAATTCGACCGGCCGTGTGCCCCCCAAACCTCGCTTAGGAAATCAATCGTCTTTCAAGGCACAGCTCAGCGACAGCTTGCGCCCAGGATCGTTCATACAGAGTGCTTCAGAGCAGAATGAATCACACCTGAGGGATACTCAGGGTTCGCGAAAGTCTGTGATGGCCTGGATGGATCAGTATGATGAAGGTCTCTTCAATGTCACCCCAAGGCGCATCCAGACTCGCCGAACTTCAAAGCCTAAACGACCCAGTGAAACAGAGATCCAGACTGCCGGTGCCGGTGTACATGAGCGATTGTCTGCACGGTCAGTCATGCGTTTACGTGATCATGAAACAAACCCAGCGGAGGGGAATAATCCTCTGCACTCTGGGCCTCGAAGGATCGATTCAAATATGTCAGCGCCCAAATCTCAAGGCCCGGTGAAGAGCGTCTCCCCCATCAAGCCAGCGTTGAAAAAGGCTCCGGCTCCGATGACGTCCCGAATTTCCAGAACGATCAGCTTTGCCCTTCGAGGTTTGACTGCCACACCAACCAAAGCTCAGGCAAGCACAGTAGTAAATGTGGAGCATGCAAATGCTTTGCCAATGACAAACCAGACAACTCCTGTGGGATCTATTTCCGACGCCAAAAGCATTATTTCCCTCAGCCCCTCGGAGACAACATCAATCAGCACTGCTCTTGAGTTACCATCGACTCCTTCTACTCCCAGCAAACCCCAAACTCCATCGAAGCCGATATCTATCAAACTTCCCCCGAAGAACCCCCCAAAGGAAGCAGACCAACCAGAGCGTGCAGGAGTTCGTGGCTCGTTGTCTTCTTCTGCGGTAGAGACACCAGCGCATGAAGATAGCCGGCATCAGGGCGCTGGTCGTGCAAATGATCCAAAGATCGAAATCACCCTAAACCACAGCTCACGCGAGCCACTCTCACGGGACTCCCCAAGCAAAGCCTTGTCGCCATGGGTTCGGTCGGTCAACCCGTGTAACACCCCTAAAGATGTTTTGAGAGACACTAGCTGGTTCGGTCGGTGGCAGCACGCATATCCTCGGCCCCCACACGTGGCGGTCGTTAAGTGGAAGAGTTTGAAGTCCCCTGCGGTGCTTCCGCTGACCACTGAAGAGATCCCGACGGCCAGTGTGCTAGCTTCGGATTATCTGCAGACGCCGTATCGAGTGTTCCCTAACGAGGATATGGAAGGAATCGAAGCACCAAAAACCAGGGGTGTGCTTTTACGAGAAATGATATCCTTGCGGCTCTCGCATGGCTTCCAGATTATTGTTGGCAAACGTGTTGCTGAGGTCTCAGCGCAGCCTGCTCTAGAATCACTCAACGTCTTCGATTTTCGTGGGCTTGATCGTGACGGGCTCACCGTTTTTCTGTCCAAAGGCAATACTATTCATCGATTGGTGTGCGTGGTTGGGGGCGAGGTTGAAGTGACACGTTTCACACATCAAAACTCCGCAATGCCCACTTACCCCAAGAAACCCAGCTTCACTCTCTACCAGCCTGCTATGAAGACAATTCTGAGTCCGGAATACGAAGTAAAGGACATCAAGCTGGACCCTACGTCCGAGGAGTACAATTGGAACTATGCTGACAACTATGTGGCCGGTCATCGAGATTATCTCCAAAATCCGGCACAGCAGCTGCATTTCTGGCGAGTTCGTTACGTTTTGATTCCTCTTCAACTTCACCCAAGCTCTCGACCTCATCTACATTCATTCAGCGAGGACAATGAGGAAGAAATCCATCTTCTAGGGATCAGCCAATTGACCCACATTTGGCAACGCTACAAATACGTCTCGCCTGAAGAGAAGCTCTTTGAGACATCGAATCCCAAAAGAGATCAGAACCCTTTGAACATCATGTACCAAACACGAAATCCCTCGGAAATCGTTACAGCAGAATTAGATCGGTTGTTGCTCACTGATCCGGGGCTTGACAACGCACCCGCTCAGCTTTTGCCTGAATCTGAATTGTTGGACAGATTCAGCCTTAGCCTCTCATCACTGGCGCAAACTATCCAAGGTGAGAAGGGCGTTCGGATGATGGACCGTCGGTGGCATTGGAGATTGCACTACAATTGCTTCATTGGATTTGAATTCACGACCTGGCTACTGCAAAATTTCCGAGACATCGATACTCGTGAAGAAGCTGTCAAATTTGGCAACGAATTGATGACCAAACATGGATTATTCCAGCACGTTGAAAAGAGACACAACTTCCGCGATGGCAACTACTTCTATCAGGTCTGTGCTGAATACCGAGTGACCCGTCCGGAATCACGAGGGAGCTGGTTCCCCCAGCTCAGACCGGATAAGTCGATGCCCTCGACGCCTGCCATTGGAAATCCGAAGGAATCACCTGCTAGTCTCAAGGCCCGGTCAGACAGTATCGACGATCGCACCCCACAGACCCCCAACACACCCTCGAAAGCTAAGAACAAGGTCGCAATCATGCTTTCCAAGACAATGAAGTATGATGTCGATCCACGCAAACGATCGAACCGGCCAGAAGTGATCGACCTCCACTATGACCGACTACACAATCCTGAGAATTGTTTCCACATTGAGCTCAGCTGGATGAGCACAACTCCAAAGCTGATCGAAGATTCTGTCGTCTCCTGGGCATCTACTGCAGAGAAATTTGGTTTGAAATTGGTGCAGGTCCCAATTTCCGAAGGATGCGCGATTGACAAGACTCAGCCGTTCCGCAAACCTTACGAGATCAAGCTCAAGATCCCACCTCCAAAGGGGCCACTGCATACTGTGTTCAGCAATGCATCCTTTGCGCAACCAGGTCCGCCCGATCATCTCTACTACCAAAAGGCTTTACTGCGGAAGTTTGATTTCGTGCTTGACTTCGAAGCCTGTTCGGCATTCCCGGCAGACGTAGAAGTCTCCTACTCCTGGGGAAAGCCTGACTATCTCTATCCACAATTCATCCATCGAAGCGGAAGTCTTCTCGCTCAAATTACGGACGAAGGCAATTTCCTCCTCCTCGCCAACCGTCTAGTGAGCACCCGCGGTACCGCAAGTCGAGACGGCGGCCGCTTCGAAAGCCACAATAGGTCGGAATTCCGAGGACGTACAGGCAATCATGATGGGATTGACCGTGATCGCATTTCGCCTCGGCTGTCCCCGCTTGCCCGCCCCCACGATATCGGCAGCCCAATGACCTCATCTTCTTCCTCTAACATCGACGCTGCCAATCTTTATCGCGCCCCTGAGCATATTCTGAATGGTCTGCTCGAATTCTGCAGTGATGCTGCTCAGCTGCAACAATTCTACTCGGAGTCACACGCCCGACCAAGATCCACTAAGGTGGAGCCCTCCACGACGAACCTGATGGATGCATCGATACCATCGCTCGAACTCCCTGCCAGTGTGGTCAGTCATATTTCGCCGCCACCTGGTCTACCATCACGAATCACCAGTGAGACCCAAGGATTGATGTCGCCGGAATTCACGCGGGCCAGAGCTCGAGGAGAAAGCCTCAGCTACAACGCAAGCCCCAGAAGCGGCAGTCTACGACCTTTGATATAGCCTGAAGATACCCATTGATGCTCTGATGATTTTTTTGCGGATGAGAAGCGATATCCGTCATGGATTATGTTGGTCTATCTGTATAGCAATAGTTTTAATGAAGCAAAAATGACCACCACACCTTTTTGGAGATCCCGGGCATGTCGTAAGCGGACAGGCCTCTAGATCTATCATCCGCAGTCTAGAAGCGCTAACTCAAGCCACCATTCCATTTAGCCGAATATCTTCAATTCAGCCGACATCTCAATGGGCTCTGGTTGGTGGACATTTCTTTTAACGCAAAAGTCCCATGCCCCTCATGTGGCACCCCGGCTTTCGATGACATTCAATGCCCAAGCAGAAAAGCTGTGGTACACGCTATTCGCAATCAGGCGACGGGGAGTGCTCCGTGTCAAATCGCACCGTCCAAGTCCTAAAACTTGGGGTGATAATTCCCAGCTTTGATCTTTCAACTCTTTGCTTGACTTTGTTCTTGCGATCACGCGCTATCCCGGAACTCTCATACTCGTGTTCATCTGTGGACAAGCTCCGGGCAGCTCAAATTTACTACGTCTCAATCAATCACACTCTCCGATTGTCAAGATGAAGTTCACTGCGGGGATGTGGTGTCTGCAGGTAGAATCACGCTGGGGAATCCTGTTCCTATTTAGACACTAATTGATATCTCGCGATATAGGAGGGTGTCAGCATCGAGTGGATGAGCAATGTGGAGCACGTCTCAATTGAGGGCCAAACTGCCAATCTACTGTTGAACAAGCTGCAGAGACACCGAGGCGATACACTCAATTCACGTAAGCTCAACCCTAGTTGAATCATGAGTTTAGAAGCTGAATTTCGATTTCACAGCAACCGTCTCGGCCCGCATCACTTCTCCGCTGGAGGGCATCATAGGCGTGAAGCTCGTGCACTGGTCAGAATTTCACAATCAGCATGCCGCTGATAGGGATCACATGAGTACTAATTTACAACAGGGCTGGGCTAAACGATAATGGTCCTCACTATCAGGTGAATCAGAGCACCGGACACACGAAGATTGAGCATAACAAGGACAATAACATCCTTAAATACACAAGTGGGCCACTCGATCTGAATCTAAATACTGCAGCAAACGAGCTCGACTTGACATTCCGCTCTCCAACTGGCAAAAAGCTCACAGGTCAATCATTCCGCTCCATTGGGTATGTGCGTGACCAGCGAACCGACAAGCACCGCTATGAAGACGGGATTTACGCTGAGCGCCAAGGGTACATGCTCGCAGGGCTGGACCTGGGTGTTGGTGAAAAGGTCTACGGGCTCGGAGAGCGGTTCGGCCCTCTAGCAAAGAACGGACAGACAGTTGACATCTGGAATGAGGACGGCGGTACTTCTTCCGAGCTCGCGTACAAGAACATCCCTTTTTACATTAGCTCGCGGGGGTATGGTGTCTTTGTGAACCATCCCGGCAAGGTCAGTTTGGAAGTTCAGTCTGAGCGGACGACGAGAGTCAATATATCTGTTCCTGGGGAGGAAGTTGAATATTTCGTTGTCTATGGCGCTACGCCGAAGGATGTTCTCAATCGGTATACTTCTCTGACCGGAAGACCGGCTCTGGTTCCTTCGTGGAGCTACAATCTTTGGCTTACGACCAGTGAGTTTTGGTGTTGGTGTGTGGTCTCAGATAAGCTAACCACCTAAAAGGTTTTACAACAAACTACGATGAGGATACTGTAACTGGGTTCCTTGACGGTTTCCGTGATCGTGACATTCCTCTCGGGGTGTTTCACTTTGACTGTTTCTGGATGAAATCCTATCACTGGTGTGACTTTCATTTCGACTCCGAGATGTTCCCGGATGCTGTGGGATACCTCAAGCGTTTGAAGCAGCGTGGTCTCAAGATCAGTGTGTGGATCAATCCCTATGTTGGCCAAGCCTCGCCGCTGTTCAACGAGGGTAAGAAGAATGGGTACTTTATCAAGGTATGTGTTGAAATGATCTCTTGCAAATGAGAAGATAGTGTAACCTGGGGAAACATTCTGACACACTGCACAGCGCACAGACGACTCCGTCTGGCAATGGGACTTCTGGCAAGCAGGAATGGCCGTCGTTGACTTCACGAACCCTGCCGCATGCAAATGGTACAACAGCCATCTTGAGCGACTGATGGAGATGGACGTCGATAGTTTCAAGACCGATTTTGCAGAACGCATTCCCATCAAGGGTGTTAAGTACCACAACGGTGCGGATCCAGAGCGAATGCATAACTACTACGCTTTGCTTTACAACAAGACAGTTTATGAGACCCTCAGTGCTCGTGTCGGACGCAGCCAAGGTCTCCTATTCGCGCGCAGCACAGCGCCAGGCGGGCAAGCATACCCCGTCCACTGGGGTGGTGATTGTGAAAGCACGTTTGAAGCAATGGCGGAGTCTCTGCGCGGTGGCTTGAGTTTGATGTTGTCGGGATACATCTTCTGGGCGTCTGATATCGGTGGATTTGAAGGGACCCCACCGCCGGCACTCTACAAGCGATGGGTGCAATTCGGATTGTTGTCATCGCACTCACGTCTGCATGGCTCCTCGAGCTTCCGAGTGCCGTGGATATATGGCGAGGACTGCTCAGACATATTGCGGGATTGTGTGAAGCGTAAAATACTGCTCACGCCGTATATTCTGCAAGAGGCGTTGAGAGGTCATGGAAACGGAACACCGCTGATGAGGCCACTTTTCTTGGAGTTCCCCGAGGATTTGAACACATATGCTGTTGATACGCAGTACATGTTCGGGCCGAACTTGCTGGTTGCGCCGGTGTTTTCTGAAGAAGGCGAGGTCACTTTCTACGTGCCTCACACTCCTAGTGATGAGGACGGAAAGTGGGTGTCGTGGTTTGATCATTCGAAGTCTTACGAGGCCGGTCGGTGGTACACCGAGACTCATGGCTTTGATACTTTACCTCTCTTGATTCGTCCTGGATCGGCGACTGTCATCAACCCCACTATCAAGGCCCCCGAAGATGATGCTTTATCGGGAGTTGAGCTCTTGATCAACGGCCGCCTTGGGGGTGAGACTTTGATTGAGCTTGTCAATTCGGCTCAGACAGATGAGGTCCTCAAGACTGTCCGGCTCTCTCCTGGAGTAGATGGAAAGCTGGAAGTAGCTGGTCATTCTGTTAAGATAGTCTATGTTGAATAATGTGGATTTGCTGACAAGTTATTGAAGGTTCTCAAAGTTATCATATTGTTCAATGTTCAGAATTAAAAACTGGGGGCTCTTCCCCCACAAACTCAAGTAGACTTCAGCATGAAGTGGGTGGGTATCATATTCAAAACATGTCGCAATGCAAGAGGCAAAGCAATGAAAGCAAAAGAAGGAAGAGAGTAGTAAAAGACACGCGAGGCAGTAAAAGTCAAGACCAGTAGATGCAGAGATGGAATGAAGGAACAGAGAAGGGAAAAAGAGTAAAGAAGAAAAAGGGGGGAGGGAGAAGAAGAGAGCCTGGGCCCAGGGCTGGTAGGTTGAAACCGACTGGGTGGGAAAGAAAGATAATGATATCCAGTATGAAAGAGTATCCGCACTGGAGCTAGGTTGAAGTCAGATCACCAAGCTTCTTCAACGTCAAGGAGCCATTTCCGGATTCCTTCACGCAGAGTATTATCAGCGCCCGAGAGTGCTCTCCTGCGCTCGCGATCAGCGAGACTAGCAGCGCTGTCCACGTCTTCGCGGCAATGTTCGGCAGTAACGATACGGACGACTTCTTCAAGTGCTCCAAGGATCATCTTGCGACATTCGCCGCGAGGAACCTCAGGGGGAGGGACTTCATCTGGCCGGGTGGTATGACTCTTGTCTCTGTCTTCGGCTTTCCGAGCACGATTTGGAGAGGGAGCACGTGACTGTGCGAGTGAGGAGTAACCGCTCTGTCCTAGAACGCGTTCCACTGCGTCAACCAAAACACCATCGAGATCCATCAGAGGCTCCTCGATAAATCGCTCTTCCACACAGCTCTGCTCCTGTTCATCGGCGTTGGGGCCGTTGGAGAATTTGTCGTGCCCCGAAAAGAAGCCAGTGAACTGCGAGACAGAAGCGCTACTCGTAGACTGGCGAGACTTGCCATTGGTGGGAGAAGTGGGCGAGTGAGACATGCCAGAGTCATGGCCTACTGTGTATTTTCGTCGCAAACGGAGTCGTTTGACCGTAGAGGCCCGTGTGTCTGCAATCACGGTAGTTGCAACGTCCACCCATCTCTCGGTGCCATCAACATCGGACGTGGGAGGAAGATATGGGGAAGGTTCGGCCCGCATAGCACGTTTGATTTCAGCTTCCAGAGAAGCATAAGGGCGGACTGCCTGTAGTGAGAAATCTTCATGGAAGGACTTCAACCAGCCAGCAACATGAGCCGACGGGCTATCGTTGTCTTTCGTGGTACCAGGGAACCCAGATCCACTGCTGTGGGTTGAAGCAACGGCATCCATGCTGGTGATAGATGTTCTGGTCTTCTTTGGTGATGCAATCGTCGAGTCACCTGATGAAGAAAGTGACATGAAGCCAGGGAGAGGCAGATCAACATCTACCACACCTTCCTGTGCCCGTACGGACAGCTTCAGCGGGGACTCGCGGGGTTGGCTACTTAGCGACGATGGCTCCGTTGAGGCAGCGGGAATTGAGATGTTCCCGCTAGGCGCGGTTTCAGGCCGATATTCATCTTCGTGTTCCGTCACTTCCTTAACCATTCGGCTTAAAGCGGTAGATCCACGCCTAGCTGGGCCAGAAATAGTGGAAACGGATGTCTTGCGAGAAGCGGCTGGAGGGAAAGGCTCACTTCCTTCGCCGGACGATTCTTGGCGGGAGCTCCAAAGACCCGAGAAAATGCCACCCCAGCGGCCTGAGGCGGCACCATCGTTGCTGCCCAATGCAGAACTATCGCTTCGTTGAAGACTCTTCAGCAGGGTCTCTGATGCTAGGCTGTCATTGCCTTCTGCTGCACCAGTTTGGGCTCGAGTTTGAGTCAAATTGCTTGGTTGGGAAGTAAAGTGTGGAACTGGGACAGTGCTGCTTTGGGTCGTCATGGAAGTAGTCGCCCCACTCGTGTTCACAGCTCGGACGTCCTTGGGGTTGATGTTCGCGCTGAGAGTTCTGACCGAACGAGCGTCGGATCCTCTGCGGGCCGCAGCTGTAGAGTATTCCGCAGGTGGTGTTATGACATCGGACCCATGGGTAGTATCCTGCGAGGAAACGCTCACAGATCGATGATGGTGCTCGTTGTCGCCCATGATATTTCGTTGAGCGCGAGCGCGTCGCTCAATCGCCCTCCGAAGGGACTCTTGGCGAAGCACCGGCACAGTTGGCGGGCTTTGGGAGACTGCACGCATCGACGCTGATGTGCCAGGTCGAAGTGGCGAGGGCAATGGCTCAAGGCGCTGCTTAGAAGGCAAGAATGCAGCAAGTAGGAACACAAGACGGCGTGCAGTCATCTTATCAGGACAGACGATGACGGTTCTGTTCGCGAGGAGAGGTTCCCCGTCCTGCTTGGCCCTTTGCTGCTGATTGTGGCGGCGACGATACCACTCCGGACCAAGGGTGTTGAGCCACTCTGTATGATTTCCCAGGAAAGCGGTCAATATGACCAAGAAGAAAAAGTTTTGCTCTTTGTCGCCAAGGCCACGAACAATCGAGCGACCTTCTTCCCGCCAAACGCCCCAACGACTCTGTCCTGTGACGACATACGGGGTTTGAAGGGCCAAGCTTATTCGGCGAGAACTACGAATAGCTTCTTCCTTTAGTTTCGAATTGACCGATAGGATATTGGCCGGCAAGTGCACGTTGGTCTGGTTGATGCGTTGCATGTTTGGAGGCTTCACTGGCTTCGGATGCGGTCCTGACAGCGAGTCTACCTTCTTCAAGAGGAATAGAATCTCGTTACGAGCAAGTCTCTCGAGATGAGAAAGGGTTCGAGTGATGACGTCCCAATGGTCAACAAGCATGTCCAGACGCTCATCCAAACTGGCCGGTGGAGATGCCGAAGACAAGCTGTCGTCGAAAAACCCGCCCGGCCAGCGATGATCAGAATCAAGCGAGCTTGAAAAGCGTGTTCGGGGGTTTTCCGGACCAAGTGTGCTGAACCTTGATACAGGCCGTCCAGAATTGCGTGTCATGAGAGGTATCTGTATCGTGATAGCAACCGCATACATTGGGGTTTTCTTTTCCTTGATTTTCTTGCGCTTGTGAACATCTGGGAATGGAAATTCCATCTCGGGTAAAGATTCCTGGTAGAGCGCACTGGCATAGTCATGGCGTTCAGCGGATGCTTCAGCGCCTTCCGGGAGATTCACACTGAACATGCGAGTCAACAGAACCGTCACCTTGGAGGGTGGCTTGTCCTCTGCTCCTCGGGCTGCACCCATAGGGCCCAAGGGACTGCCTGTGGTATAAGCTCGGGAGAGGGGACTGCGGGCAGCGGGGGATGCACTAACTCCGGTCCCGGTCCCGGTCCCGGAATCCTCGTCCGCGGAGATGATGTGCATTTTGGTAGACGAGCCTCGGTAGCTGAAGGCACTACTGCCAAAGATGCAATTCAAAAGTCCAGTGACATTGGAGTCGGAAGAGTGTCGAGACTGGCCAGGGTCATGCCATGTTCCCGAAGGTGCCAGTGTGGAACTGCGGCCGCGGGCCCGGGAAAATGCGCCAGGGCTGGCCGGTGACGCCCGGCGTGCATCTGCGGCGGTAGAGATGGGACTTGATTCGACGAGAGAAGACTGGGCAAGGAGGTTGCGGCGTGTCCCACGGGAGAGGCTGGATACCGCGCGGGTGTGTCTGGGGCCGGACTGGTCGTGGCTCTGTGGATCGATTCCGAGACCGGTGGGTGAGGAATCAGAAGCACGGGTGTCAAGTAGGACACATGCATCACGGTCACCCAACGCATTTTGTGCAACAATCACACGAAAATCCTTGATGTGATCCAATTCCATGCCCCCACGGTCATCATATGCACCTGCGGTCGAGGCATTTGGAGAATTGAAAGTTGTCTGTAATGGGTACGCGTGGGTATGGGAACGTCGGAGGAGGCTGGCATCGGGGAAAAGAAGACCGGAGGTGTGTTCCTCTTCGGTGACCGATTCCAGAGGGGTACCGTTGTTTCGTGAGGAATATGCCGCCGGGTTCAAGGTCGAGGCGGCGGTGCTTAGGAGTCGGCCCAGCATGGTGAATTAGCGGGTCAACCCACGAAGAGAACCGGTTGGAGATGCAGGGAAAATGATAACGGGCTGGTCGATTAACGCGGTGTAACGATGGGTATCAGACAGCTAGGGATCACTAGGCTGCATCCACCCATAGCTTAATTGGAGTGAGCAGGAATCATCATCAAACGATGAGAGAATTGAGAGATGTCCGGAATGGAGAGAGGGGAGAAAGGTGGGATGGGCTGCATGCAGTGGGGCTCGAGATCAGCAATTGAGGAATTTGGCTTTTCACCAACGACGACTCCACACTCTGATAATTGTGTCGCAGCCCGGGAGATCAAATGAAATTATCCCAGAGCTTTTAAAAGACCCAGTCACTTGAATAGACAGATCCGTTCCGAGGGAGTGGAGAGCGAAAGTGAAAGGGCGGTGAAGACTGTCACATGATATCAGATTTATCTGCCATGCGCTATAGCGGCCAGAGGGCTCATTTCCTACATATGGGGGCATCATGGGATTTGTTGTCGCAAGGATAACCCGCCTGCAGAGCAGATAGCTTTCAGAGAATGCATGCACTTGAGCCCAAAAGGAGCTGAGTATATCTCACGTTTCACGCAAAGCCACCGCGATCGCCGCCGGCGTCTATGTCGTTATTTCCTACCGTCATTGTGTTACCGTTATAGGTCGGCTTTGCAAGGAAGTGTGTCATTTGGAGGCGTTGGTTTTGTGTGATGTGAAGTGGCAATGAACCTCGGATTGGAGGAAATTGACCGGTTTCCCAGATTGTTACTCAACGTGGGCATATGCTATCTACACACCGTCAATCACACCTCACGTGAGACAGGCATCATGCCTGCGACTGCAACCGTGATGGCGGGATTCTGATGTGGTCGTTATACACCGACCGAGAAACACACTGGGCTCTTTCCAGCCACGTGTTGCTGGTTTAGCTGAGGGTTCCCTTGCATTTCCTGGAACAGCGTTTTGAAATGTTCAAACCTCCACATGGAGATCGCATATACACCATATCTACGGAGTAGCATCGCAATATATGTATAAGGTGTTTGTTGACAAATATCGTTCAATCAAATGGCTTCCAAAGTTTAAATGTACATCAACTTCAAGGTTTCAATATAATTTCGAGGTAAAATTCCACATTTTCTTTTTCTTTTCTTAGTGAGAACGTTTGACCTTGTCCACCAGACGCTTCAATTCCTCAGAGTTGGATTCCTTGGAGGTCTTCTTCTGCTTCTTCTTGCTTTCCCGACGTTCTACCGGTGCCTCGGTTTCTGCGTCATCACCAGTGCGTCGGCGCTTGCGTCCTTCGTCCAGAAGAGCCTTCATGCCGGATGTTGACTTGAATCGGGGGTTGGTAGGGTCAATGGCAAAGTCGTGGCTGTCGTACAAACGGGAGAAACGAGGATCGCTGACGTTGACATTGAAGTCATCCGTGGGGGCGGGTTCCAGCTTCTTGTTCTTCTTGCCCTTGCCCTTCTTGCGGGCTTGCTTCTCGGCCTTCTCAATCTCGTTCATGTCAAAGTGCTTGATGTTGGCCTTTTCATCGTCCACCATCAGCAGCTCCAGCTCAGCCCGCTGAGCAGCCGATGCAGCTTCCTCGGCAGCACGTTCCTCGCGCTTCTTCCGCTTTTCTTCCTTGCGCCGAGAGATAGCTGTGGCCTTGCCATCGGGGTCCTCAAAGAAGGGATCGTTGAATCCAGCATCTTCCTCATCCTGCGGCGGTACCTCGGCTGTGCCAGCTTCGTCCGCGCTGTCTGCGCCATCCTCTTTGCCAGATCCATCCTCCTCACCACGCTTAGAGGCCTTGAGCTTCTCCTTGCGGCGCTTCTTGCGCTCGCGCTCTTTGCGCACGTATTTTTCAACTGTGGTCTCTTCGATCTCTGGCTCATTCTCGAAAATGCTGTCCTTGCCGCGACCGCCAGCCAAGCCTGATGTGAATGTGACCTCCATCTCACCGACAGGGGCGTCCTGCTTAGAGCGGGTAGGCTCGGCGCTCAATCCAAGCAATGCCCGCATGCGCTGTCTTTCGGCTTCTTTCTTGGACAGCTTTGTGGTCGATGGCTCCCCTCCTGTAGTGTCGACGACTTCCACTCCTCCATCTTCGTCATCCTCGCTCTCGTCATCTGAACTATCGCTGCCGAGGTAGGCCTTCAGATCGTTCTCATCAATGTCTGCGCGCGAGCCGCGGAACGCACGAGCTTGGGCTTCCTTCCTTGACTTGTCGTCCGCGTCCCATGTCAACTTGACTTTGCTGTGCTGCAGAGCATCGGTAACAAACTCAGTGGGCTTATAGTCGTCAGGGATGCGAGAACACTCGTCTCGAGGCTTGTCGTCAGAGAAGTCCGTCTCATCGGGGACAAATCGAAGATCGAAGAAATTGGCACTGGAGAGGTATTCGGCACCATCAATTAGATCGTAAACGTGCTTGGCGACGTCCTTTGATGAAAATTGGACGATGGCGTAGTAATAACGCAGACGGTCAAGCTGGTACCGTCGGAGTTGCGTAGAGTTGAACTCTTCACCATCATCACCCTTCAATATCGAGTTTTTGATCTCTTCCTCTTCCTCGTCAGAGTCAAGCTCCTCATCCTCTGAGCCATCGTGCTTGCTCTTGTTCTTCTTGCTGCTTGCGAAGATCTCCCGTGGGGGACCTTCTGCTTCTTCCCGCTCCATGCGCTCCCTGCCGAATTCGCTGGGATAGACTGTGACGTTCAACACTCGTCCACTGGGTGGCAGAAAACTGGAGACGACAGTCATCAAGTCCTCTGCGCGGATGTTGTCCCAATCAAGATTGACCACAGCTATGCGATTTGTCACTTCTCCGATTGGTACATCAGACTGCTGCTTGTCGGGGAACTGTGCCGCTTCGTCCTCATCATCCTCCGCCTCGTCTTCCTCCTCTTCACTGGAGCTTTCCTCAGAGGAAGAAGACTCGAAGCCACCATCACGGGCAGGGTCATAAGAGCTGGCGTTGACGCGTTTCAGTTCCTTCTTGACTTCTTCATCATCGTCGGCCTCGTCGTCTTCGTCTTCCTCGTCGTCTTCATCCACTTGGTAGAACTTCTTCAACTTTTCCTTGGTGTCATCTTTGGAGAGCTTTCTTCCGTAGCGGTCGACAGCAGCATTGCGAGAAAAGTCCTTATCGTCAAGCATGTGCTTGAAGCGCTTATCGAGCTTGACATGAGTCTGGCGTTTGCTGGGAAGGCGGTAGCGAGGATCGGTCTGGATGTTCTCGAAACGAGAATCAGCTGCAATGGCACATAAAGTTAGTACTCTATTGTGTCTCTCTTCAATATTTCGAGTATACATACTGATCACTGGGCCTTTTTCGGCTTTGGACTTGCTGCCCTTCTTTTTCTTGTCTGGGCCTGCCATGGTGATTGCTATCTGAATTCACTAGAAACACCAGAACAAAAGCAGGAGGGGGTTTGCGGTGAATGAACGTCGACGGGGGATCGTTAACTTTACAGCGAAAGTCGACCGAGACCGATAAATTATTTCTTTTTTCTGCCCGCCGCAACTAAGGCGGTCAAACACGTGCATCCATCACCGCTAAGTCATGCGACATTTTTGTTCGAATTAATTGATGCACTTTGGATGTCTTTCTACTATTTATCTCAGATTATCCTCTACTGAAATTCACTATTAACAATATGTTTAACAACATCCTCCTATAGGTTTGGGAAAATTGAAATACCACCATAGTATTTACTGGTACTCTGTTCAAGCTTGGTTGAGGCTAAGGAAAGACGCGAAAATGTAGTGCTGAAACCACTCCCAAAAATGCAAAGCTCAGCTCGGGGTTTTTCATGAGCAACTTATGTACTTATGTCACCGGTAGGTTAACATCCAAAGTATCGCTTCTCTATCCAGCGAGGCTCTCCCTCTGCCTCGATACGCCCAACAATCACGTTGATCTTGGGATACACAGCGACAAGTCGCTTGAGGCCCAGTTCACCTGCCGCACAAGTCACGAAGACAATGCGTTCCTGTGCTACTCCGTGATCGAGCAAAACACGAACAGCCATAAGCGCGGCACTGCCGCTAGTCATCTGTGAATCCATGAGGATGACCGTGGAGTGCTCCTCGATGTGTGATGGAAGCTTTAGATAATGCAGCTCGGGTTCTTCGTTGCTTTCGTTTGTTTGAATAAGTACGCGGCCAGTGATGCAGTCAGGGATAGATCGCTTGAGTGCTGTTTCCAAGCATGATCCTCCACGCAGCAAGGCCACGGCAGAGACGGCTCCTTTGGGGTGCAGGCCAAGGTATGTATTTCCTTGTGGAGTTTCCACATTTGCCGAGACATATGTGGTCATGTCCAAAGCTCTGTTTCTGATCAGCATGTCTGCTCATATACCAGGAGAAAGAACCAGCAAAAGAAAAAACGCAGTAGAAGAGATGATAAGCAGTACCTTTCAATCAAAATTGACGCTAGTCGATCGAAGTAGAAGACAAAGTCCTCTTGCTCGGTCTCTGGGTTCTGTAATATGGTATTCATACCAACAAACTGTGGAGTTGAAGGTAGCACGTGCACATTAGAAGGTAGTTCTACCTTGGCTGCAATCAATCCTAGTCTGTGGAGCTCTTCACTGTGATGTTCAGACTTCTCTTGAAGCTTGCGCTGGATGTGTTTGACCACCATATCTAAGTCCAGTTAGCACTGGGCTCTTGAAGCAGCCGATGGGGGTTCCTACCGATGGCAGTCTTGTTTTGAATGCCGCGGGGGATGATGATATCTGGGAGGTCAGAATTAGAAACCGATTTTGGGGGGAAGCAATGTTGTACGAGAAACCTGAGATGGAGCGTTGGGGTTCCACGAATTTTGTGTAAGAAGGCTTCACGTAATCAAACCACTGCTTGACAATGCCTTCAATGTCACGCCCTCGCTCGCGGACATCACGAAGAACTAGAGAATTGCTTGTCAGCTAAATCATTGAATGGTTGCTTTGGGAAGACTGACTTCTGCGACCTAAGCACACATCCATATCAGCTTCGACGAATATCTATATTACTATGGTTAGCAATCATAATGAGAGCAGCAGTGGCTTCAATATACCTTGACATCAAGCATCTCCACAATTCTGGGATCATGCAGTGCCAGAATACCCTCAAGGATGATCACTCGGGGAGAATAGAGGGTTGTCGTTTGAGGTTGGCGCTGGTGATCAGCAAAAGAGTAAACCGGGATGTTGGCTTTTTTTCTAGATAGCGCTACAGTCAGGTCGAAGAAACCAAACTCGTCCAAGGTGTTAACCTACCCTTTCTTGAGGTCCCGGAGTGTTTGAACCAAAAGGTCAAAGTCGATCGAGTCTGGGCAATCAAAGTCATAATCATTTGCATGAGCCCTGTGGTGTTCCTCGGAAGATAAGGTCTTGTAAAACGAGTCCTGCGTGCAAAACATCAGATCAAAAGCCCGTTACCAGCGTTTAACCCTGGATGATAGGGCTTTACCATTACAAGAATCACCACCCAAGGCAAGTTCAATGATCTGACGATTTCCATGGCCACAGAGGTCTTGCCCGAGCCGGAGCTACCAGCAATGCCGATGATACTCAAATCCTGCCATGGGGGAGAGTACCGCACCTCGGTGGACATAGAGTAAAAGGGTGAAATCGACTCCATATCTACAGATCTCCTACAAGAGAAGCAGGTATCTTTGGACTTCCACGAATTTTGAAACTGCGATCTTGAAAGAGGGCCCACGATATTACCTAACCAGGATTGCCCGAAGTAGCTTAGTGGGCGGGCTGGAATATGATTGGATCGAAAAGACTGGGTCGATGCTGAGTCATTGTCTAATTTGGGTTTAGCGCACAACATTCGCTTAAGCTACTTCTTCTGCCGCGAGCAGTCTCTTCTCTTTTCACTTCCGCATCCAACCCGGTCTTCTCCCACAAGCGATTTGCCTCTCCCCATGGCCTTCGTCTCTCGGGGTTTCCAGTTTTACGGATAGCTTTGAACCAGATATCAGACTGGTCAGCTCATAATGTCGTCGGCTAATCTCGTATGCTTCTCGGGTTGAAAACCGTGGTCGCTGGGATTTTAACACTGTGCAGATGTCTCGCACTCCCTCGACTGCGACTCCCACCTGGCATCACTTCGAGCGAAAGCTCGAAGACGTCAAGCCATCTAAGACGTGAGTCTATCTCCCTACCCCTATCCCCCTCCACACCACCGTGACATGATGCTCTTGAAAATCAAGTTGGGAATCTCTCTGAAAACATGTGAGGAGAAACTATTGACTTGTCCTTCTGATTCACGTCACCAATGCACAATTTCACTCAATCATAATCCCAAATGGTTGCTAACGAGGTTACTGCAGTGATATCAACTACCTAGTCATGGACTACCTAGTCACGAACGGATACCCGGCGGCTGCGCAGAAATTTGCAGTCGAAGCCAATATCCAGCTCACGACGGATCTCCAAGCCATTCAGGAGCGTGTTGATATCCGTACTGCCATCCATTCTGGCGATATCCAGGTGGCAGTGGAAAAGATCAACGAGTTGAACCCTCAGGTAAGATTTTTGATCCTTCACTTTTCACTTTTCCTGTTTTCCCCATTGAGGCCCCACCGGCCTTTTCCCTTTTTGCTATGATTATACCAAGTTTCATGCACCACTCTTAAGACCCCTTCGGGGGCATTTGCAGAAAAACAAACATCTTCAGTCCTCAGTATGAGCAATTGCCAAACCATTGGATCTCTCTTCAGCATATCACTCAATCATTTTGAAGTGCAAAGGCTAACCATGAATCCAACAGATCCTTGACGAAGATCCATCTCTGCATTTCGCTCTCTTGCGCTTGCAATTGGTTGAGTTGATCCGCGTCTGTATGGACACCCCTGGAAGCGACATAACCTCGGCCTTGGACTTTGCTACGTCTCAACTAGCACCACGCGCTCCCACAAACCCTCAGTTCCTTTCGGATCTCGAGCGGACCCTTGCCCTCCTTATTTTCCCGAGTGATAAACTTGATCCTGCGTTGGCGTCACTCCTAGACCCTTCGCTCCGTAAAGAAATCGCGACCCGAGTGAATCAGGCAATCTTGCAAAACCAGGGCGCTCGTAAAGAGGCCCGGCTGCGCAACCTTGTGAAGCTCAGGGCTTTTGCCGAGAAGAAGGCACGCGACACCAAGAAAGACATCCCGGATACCCTGGACATCGGCTTGGTTGGCGATTCGAATAACACCAGTAACAGTAACGATCTCGCTAATGTTAGTGACATTTTGATGTCTAACAACAGCGACAACGACCACACGGTCTCTTGATCGAATGTTCTCACGGCACCCCCCGGAAGCAGTAGCCAGTCCTGCCCGGCAGAGCTTTTTACGTCTTTTTTTTTGTCCTTTTGACCGTCTAGCGTGGCGTCTGTGATCCACATCTTCCGGCGTTCAGTGGTTGGTTTCCACGGTTTCATCATCGGCGTCATGGCAACACGTCCACAATACAAATGATTTTCATATTCCAGATCTTGGCAGAGAATTTTTCGGTCTTATTACGCTCCCGCTGTTCTGTAGATGCTGCGGATTGAACTTTCATTTCGATGCAAGCAGAGCTTATCCAAGTCCTTTGGGTTGGGTCAATGTTCATTGAATACGATCAATTCTCCAGCGTACAATCTTGCAATTCCCAACCTTGGAAGTAAAGGGGCCATGTATGTACTTTCATGATGTCACAGAGGTACGTAGTCATGTCTATCCATGGATGGATGGATGGGGTGGCTGCTCCCGGTAGTCAACAAATACTGCCCAGGCGAACCTTGGAAAACTTGTGTGCTTTCACTGGTCGCCGCAATATTGAAATTAGGTTATATCAAAAAGGCAGCTCGCTCATGCGTAGGAGAATCAGGTACAACAAACATTTCTTTGAAAGCGCAAGTCTAGGTAAATCACGCTGAGCTACAAGTATAATCAAAAAAGCAAGATCTAGTACAGATCTTTTAGATGCCTCGAAGTTGGCAAGAGATGACCAGGCTGTCTATTGAGCACAGAGCACATGCCTGTCCATCTCAAAGAAAAGTATGTTCTTTTAGAAGCTCATGAGATCTGGAAAAGGAGAAAGTTAGTCCCGAGATATAGATAGAGTACAGCATGTGCTGTCAGCAGGGAACCTTACCTCTTCCAAAGACCGCTCTCTTGGCCCAATCCATAGCCAGCATACAGCGAGTGCGGAAGCTCACACTCTCAGCGAAGTAGATACTGCGCCAGAGATACATAGCAACCACACCACCGCTGAAGCTCATACCACCAAAGTCGAAGATAGCTGCGTTACTGATGTACGCCAAGCTTCCAAGATGTCTGTACTTGAAAGCCTTGTAGACAGCCTCATCAAGATCACCATAGTCGATCTCGTTGGCCTTGAGTCCGGGAAGAGCAGCCGCAATCTTGGTCAGCTTACGGCCGAGGTACACGCCCTGCTGGTTAGCACGCTGAGCGGTAGCGGGCAAGGAAGTGAGCTTGGTGTCGATCTGGTGCAGGAGCTCGGAGAGCTCGCCGTAGTCGAGAGTGCCGGAGTGGTCCTTGTCATACTGCTCGAAGAGCAGATCCAGTCTGCGAAGATGGTTGGATGCTTGCGGGAAGCGCCTCTTCACTCGTCCGGCAAACTCTGTCCACTCCGGGAAGGTGAGGTGCACCTTCTCAGGGTCACGGCCCTTCTCCCAGGCGATCGTGCGGAGGAATCGGATAATGTTTTCAGCAACGTTGTTCTGAACTGTCGAGCAGTCGCCGATGGCGTAAACATCGCCCAGAGGAGCACCGATCATTCGGAGATGAGCGTCGGTCTCAAGGGCATGCTTGTTGTTCTGTCCCTCCAACTTGTTAGAGAGGGTTTCGGAAATCTCGGCGCGAGCTGAACAGATTGTGTATTAGAATCCAACATTTCCATAACAGCATGTGTCCAATATATGCTTACCAACACCAGTCGACCACAGGCAGAATGCGGTGGGGATCTCTTTGATTACGGCTTTGCCGTCTTCTATCTGGGTGAAGAGAACCCGATCGCTCCGGATTTCCTTGACACGGGCATTGGTCAACACCTCAACGCCATCGCGTGTAAACCGACTCTGTTATAGATTAGCTTCAGGGAAATATTTAATAGATGGCATGGAGATCGAATGTACCTCGGCGTATTTAGAGAGAGCTTCGTCGTACGTGTTCAAAATATGAGATCGGCTTTGAACAATGTGGACAGAGATCTCATTTCGGACAATGCGAGGGAACGAATTGAGCAAGTCCTCATTCAGCAAGTCGTACAGCTCGGCAGCGAACTCAACACCAGTGGGACCACCACCACAGATCACGAAGGAAAGCAGACGTCTGCGCTCCTCGTCGGTCGTAGTAGGAAGACAGGCCAGCTCCATGTTCTCCAGCACCTTGTTCTTGATCCGGCGAGCATCGTCAATAGTTTTAAGGAAGTCACAGTGCTCGAGACCCTTGACTCCATGTGGGTTTGTAATACATCCTGGAAGACAATTAAGAATTTGAGACATGAGACATTTAGCGGAATGAACATACCGACACCAACAACAAGCTTGTCATATGGCAGATAGAAATTTTTCTTCACGCCATCATTATCCACCTGAGATACTTCAACCAATTTCGCGGAGAAGTCCACATCAGTTGCAGAAGCCTTGAGGAAGTGACCGTTGACCCGCTCAATGATCCGCCTCACAGGTTCAACGAGAGACCGAAGACCCAAGGTGCCCACGGTAGCAGACGGCAGCATGGGAGTAAACAAGAAGTAATTCGTAGGCGAAACGACGGTAACGTGGTAATCCGAGGGATTCAGGTTCTTGAGTAGCGCAATGCTACCCCAGCCAGTGCCCAGAATGACCAGGCGAGGCTTATCCTTCTGCTCAAGCATAGACTCGGAGTCATAGTCGCCGACGAGCACATCGGCAATAGGCAAGTTCTTGGGACCTCCACGGCGCGGGTTGAGCGCCAATTCCGACACAGGGATATCGGCGGCCGTCGTGCTCTCGTGGTAGGTACTTGCGTCATAGATAAAGAAGGCTACCACAATAGCACCGCTAGAAACGATGAAAACACCGCAGTATGTAAAAAGTTTGGTCAGAGCGGTCGCAATTGCAGATCGTCGCAATGGCTGCACCTTAGCTGCGATTTCGGATTTGTCGGATTTAGACCGGATCGGCGTGGATGTCGGTGCCAAGGTGCGCCATTGGAGAACAGGCCGTCGGGGAGTGTGTAAGGAACGTGCGGAAGACTGGCGACATGTCACGGACGCCATCGAGGCATGGACTCGACCTGGTAATGATTCCACAGATCGAAGCGCGGTGCCGGTTGCCCGACTCCGGCGCAGCATCGCGTTCAGCATTGTGACGTGCAAGGGGAGAAAGCTGGCGCTGGGTATGTTCAATATACAGAGACGAAGCAGCTCATGGCTCGTCCCTGTGGACTCAATTAACAAGGGGCTCAAAACAATCTGAAACAGAGGGGAAGGCTGCAAGAGAACACAACTCAAAATAATATGCTAGGAAGACAAGAAATGATGCCGGTACACACCTGCATCGATCTGCGACGTCATCTCGTGCCGGTCACGTGGCAGATACTCGGGATCCCGGCATCAGAACGAAGAACTCATACGACAAGCCGGCTTCCGTTGCAAATTTTCACCGACAACTAGTTCGAGATAGAACATTATCTTCAAGCCAATCGCTTTTGGTGATAGATTTTCTATTATATACTCATAGCTAATGGAAATCGGCGTAACCTCCCAGGGTGTATGGACAAAAAGAACAAGCCACTCCTCGGAAAGCAAAGAAGGTCATTACCCATGAAACTGTGAGATAAATAAACGCCGGCCTCGCTTTGACATGCAAATGTTTTTAAAAAAAAAAAGAAAAAAAAAAAAAAAAAAAAAGGCTAATAACCCCAGTGTGAGAATGTGGGTACGCAAGATCAGTCCCAATCTAGCTCGTCGTCCGGTTCAGCGCTGGATTTCTTCTTTCCGGATGAACTTTTTCGGCTCTTGGATCGCTTGTTGTGGTTTGAACTAGAGACGGAGCTCTTGCGTTTCATGTTCCGGGGAGCCACCATCTCATCAACATCGGCGGCGGCATCTAGACTATCCCCTTCTGCATCCTCATCCGGGTCGACTTTGAACTCCTCGTCGATGGAGAGCAAAGTTGCAAATTCACGGCACTTTTGGTGCATTGCCTCTTCACTGTCCAAAGCGCTCATGTTCCGAGCGATAACCTCCCAGAATTTGTCACCAGTCACTCCGTGGACCTTGGTGGCAGCTTTGTTGAGATCCTTCGCAACAGGCTTACCCTCCTTGGTCTTGGTGTGGGAGTTTACACCGTAGAGACGCCTGAGATGGGTTCGAGCTTCCCAGAGCATAGATAGCGAAGCAGCAGCAGTAGCCAGCAACCTCAAAGTCGCTGGATTGGCTTGTTGCGGTATCATTGCCGGTGGCATCTCAGGCGCGTATCCTGGGATCATATTGCTCGAAGGATCAAACTGAGGTACACCGATTGGGGTAGGGGATATATCTGTCTCAATCGCATGCGCAACGATGGTTCCAGTGGCAGAGACAATGCGTTCAACGCAAGCAATGGTTGGAAGTAATTCAGCCAATTGGCCATAATCGAAGTAGGCAAGGTTTTGAGAGATGAAGCGCGAGAGTAGGAGGTGTTCTGGAGGATTACCAGTCGTATCCAGTTTCTTCAGCTCAAAGTTGACCTTGGAGCAAAGATTGGACAGGAACTTCTTCTGATAACGACTGTTGCTTATTTTGACAATGTCGAACAGCGGCGCAAGTTTCGAGACGTAAGGCCGAGCAGTGGCACCTTGAGAATCCCCAACAATGTCCCGCTGGTAGCAGAACGCTTCCTGCACAGCTCGCATGTATTCTCGTTCGAACATGGATTCATATTGCTGGTGAAGCATCTTATGTGTATCGAAAGCCACCTTTGCGATTGCCGGGACCGTGGAAGTCTCCAGGGAGACCAGAGCACCAGCACACTCCTTGGGATGCACCAATCCTTGACGGTTGATGCTGGCAACCAGCTCGATGGCGGTCAAGGCATAGGTGTCCTGGCGTGACTGCGCCACCTGAAGCATGTTCGAGAGGAAATGCTGAGCGATTAAAGCAGCAGCACCGTCATTGTCGCTGGCTCTCAAAGAACCTCCCAGTCGGGTAGTGTCTTCCTGAGCGGCTGCATCTGCAGTTGGCATAACGGCCTTTTCAGACTTGCCCTCGTGGATGGCGAAGAAGTCCGCAAACGACCGGAGGACGATGTTCTGCAGTGCAGGTGCATCTTCCTTGAATGTCTGCGCGAATGTCTGTCGCGTGCGCTCTCTACCAAATTGACCTGGCCACGACTGGCATATAGAACCCAAGCTTTCCAGCGCCATGACTCTCAGGTCGGAGGGCTGATTGGGGCCGGTGAAGGGGATGATGGAATCAACCATCAATGTTGCCACCGACCCACTACTACCACCGGACCAGGTGGTTTGGAACTCGCTTTTGAAATGAGATGCATACTTCTCAAGATCGCAATGCCGTCCAACGCATCCTGCAATCCGGATGTAACTCTTCGCACGAGCCAGGTGCGCCGCATGGGCGTCCGAGGAAAGATCCATACCCTTATATTGTTGCAGCGGCTTGAGCACAGAAACTGACAGTTTGACCAGTCGGTTCGTATTTTGCAGAACACCGTTGATGGTCCACAAACAAGCCATGACTTCATTTAGTTCGTGGCGAGAGAGCTTTGCGACGCTCTTGAAGAGGTCGTTTTGAACTTCTTTGAGGAGGGTGTTGTGGGAGGTGGATAGATGGGGCAAGACGCAGCGGTAAATCACCACCACCGAGCGGAAAATGAAGAGATCGTCGGCGGTTGAGAGATTACCAATGTAAGGGTGCAAGGCCTCCAGCTGATCCGGACTGAACAACTTCGCATTCGCCTTGGCGAAGACAGTAATTGTCTGGAGAAGGGCTTGCTGGAATTCCTTGCGAGAACCATCTGAGTCCTCCACCAGTCTTTGGAACATGGTCGCAACCATTGCCTTACAAACCTTGAAGTTTGATGCCGCTGACTTGGACTTGTCAGAGAGTACCGCGCTGAGACAAATACTGAGGGAGTCCAAAGCGGTCTCACTGCGCTCAGCCAGGCCCACGATGAGGTTTACCTGCTCCCCGAGCGCCATCTTGAGCTTAGGATCAGACGTCGAGTCGATGGAGTTGTGGAATGGAATGAGCCATATCTCTTCAAACGTCTGGCGAGCCAGAGCGGCCACACTCTCCTCGTGGTCACCCGTGCGCTGTAAAAAGCTATCCAGGATGGCCAGCTTCAACTCCTTGCGCAAGGTCTTGTGGTAGATATCCTTAAGCAGGGCAATGCAGCGTTTGCGAACACCTGCCGTCTGATCGGCTGCGCAGGTCAAAATGCTCCGACAACCTTCTTCCTCGAGCTTCGGCTTGAACCCGATGCACTGTCCGATCAGCTGCAGTGCCGAATCTCGGACCATAGGGGAAGCGTCTGTCGTGCATCGGTGAATCACGCGCAGAACCGATGGGTCTCTGTCCAGGAGGTTTGGGTCTTTCTCAAGCATGTAAATGACACTCTTCAGACTGCGACTACGGACCTTGGCCGAATCACCAAGGAACGAGGCCAAAAGAACTTTCAGAATGGCATCGAAAGCTTTGCCGAAGTTCGAGTTCAAAACAGTCAAAATGTAGGCAAATTTTCCGTGCACATGCGGCACACTGTCAAACTCTTGGTGAGTCTCTAACCAGCGTGGATCAGAGAGAGATTTGGTCAAAAAGACGACCAATTCATCGGTTGCATCATCGTGCACGATCTCCTCGCTATCTTCAGAGTTGTAGTAAAGCGCAGAAGTGGTTTTGGCCCACTGAGCCAGGTAATAGCCTCGCGCACTGGCGAGTTGCCAATTATCCCCGGTCTTCTTGTCTTGCAAGAGGTGCTCCAGTGCAATCCTGTGTGGGCCAGTGGGTGCAACAAGGTCTTGCTGGTGCAGCGCTCCAGATGAAAATTCCTCGAACTGTTGCTTCAAGTAATCCGTGAGTTCAGAATCGGATGAGTCCTCAAGGGCTGGGAGCATGTGCTGAGCGGTTGCTATAAGGTCTGAAATGGCGGATCCCATCCAGCCCAGCAGTTCCAGGGCCATGCTCTTTGCGATAGCCGCGCTCTTGTCTTGATCGGTAATTTGAATCATTCGCAATGCCAAGATACGCAGCAACAACTCCGCAGCCGGCCAATCGGCCAATCCAAGTACATTGATCAAGTCTTGGGTAAACAGGTCGAGGATGTTCCGGTATGGCTGATCACCTGTCTTGGTCGAGTTCATAGCACGCTGAACAATGAAGTTGATGATATATTGCGCCGAGCGCATTGCATTGTCATAAAGCCGGTTAGCCTTGCTAGCCAACCGCTCCAGTGAAGCTTCTGTCTCTTCGTCGGATTCGTCATCGTCGTGCTTGCCATCGCCCATAAGCTCATCATCGTCATCATCATCAACTTGTGCCTTGACTTGACGTTTGGCCTTCGATCGGGACTGGGTTTCCAGTGCAGTCGTCTGAACTAGCTGCAGAACTAACGCGGTAAGAAGCTGAATGTTCTTTCCATCTGCAACCTTAAACTGTCTGGCATTCTGACGCGTAGTAGGAAGTTTTTCGAGCGAAACCAGAATTTCGTCGAGAATGAAAGGTCGCTGATCAGGGTATTTGGAGAAGATTTTTGCAAGCACGTCCATGGCGCCCCGTCTCGCGGGCTCGTACTTCTGGTGACCCAGAGTGGAGTCTTTGTCATGGTGCGCGTTTTCCACAAAGATGAGCTTGGCCGCGAAGAACTCTGTCGCCGTGATAGTGCCCTCTGAGACGTCAATGCGTGCCAAAAAGTCCGCGAGCAGGGAAATGGCCTTTTTGCTCTGGTGGACAAGGCCCCCAATGATCCGCTTCTGGGCCGAGAGAAATTGGAAGTGTTGACCGTCCTTTCCACCGGGACGCGATTCCACAGCGGGGATAATACAGTGATCAAAGACTTGATTGAGCACTGTTGGAATAGCCTCGATGAGATCTTCGGGGCAAAGCTCCCGCTCGGTCTGTCGCCCGGACATGGTTTGGAGTAGCGTGCTGATTGCAACAAGTGCAATTGACACATCTTCGACCTTTCCAAGCCATTCTTGGGATTCAAGTTCATTGCTGCTTGTTGAATCACCCAAGGCCAAACCCAGAGACTGTGCCGCAATTATTGGCTTTTCGCAGAGTTTCTGAATTCGAGACAGATAGTCAGAGGGTATATCCTGAAGTCGGTCGAACCCTGCAACTTTCCGGAGGGCTTTCTGAAGGCGAATGTGAGCATCGGCTGACAGCACCAATCCATGTACCTCCAATGACTGCGGGCTGACAAATATAGGGTTTTGCGTATCGGTGGGAGGATTTGAGCCATCGGGTTCGATTTGATCTTCCGCTTCAAAGACTTCGTGTAGAAGGTCTTGCAACTTCTGCAGAGCCGCATCCGCTTCTGCTTTCTGGTCCTTCAGCCGCACCGCCATCGCATCGTCCCCTTTTTGCGGATTCACGTGATATATTGGCGAAGGCAGTGGTTTAACTGGAATCACCACTGACAATTGGCTCGGTGTGGGGGTGTTGGAGAATGAGGTTGTTTTCGATTTGTTCAGCAGATGGGCGCGCTGGTTTGGGGTTTGGGGTATAGGAGTCTCTAAGGCTTTGAAATTGGAGCTTGCTTCGGGGTCTGCAGGTGGAATCAGCGAATGTTTCGATATGTGTGGGTTGAAAGAGCTCACATCCAAACGCAATCTCAGTAGAGTCAAGCATCATACGTGCAAATGACCCTAGGTTGTCGCGGCCCGAAGAGTTGTCTTGAGACTCATCTTTGCTCAACTGTTGACTCCGGACTGGGAACTGAGGTAGCTTGAATTTACTATAGAAGTTCAAATGAGCTGGGTTGTAGTTCCGAGGGGGACTTTCACGTATTCCTTACAATCTTGTCAACTGATCCCCATCCAGAAGCTGTTGAATATATTCTCGGGACGTCTCAAGGCGACTCGACTCATTCTGTCCACCTTGTTGTATCTCCGCATCAAGTTCACTAAGTGTCCTGCGGCCTTCTTGGAGTACGTGGTTTATGGAGGTGGTATTCGAAGCTCGGCCAACGTCGGGGCGAACAATGCAGTCTAATATTGTCAGTTCTCACTCATTCTTTAACACTCAGCACGGGTTCAACCAACCGAGACCGAACACTGGCGCGCTGGACATGGATGAATACTGCAGTGCTTCGTCCACAGACAGCGGCCGGGGCTGGTTTTGGAACTCCATGTTGCTTTGGGGTCGTTGCATTTGGCTATGGCCGTTGATGACCACTTGGACAGTTGGGCGTCCATTCTGGTCCATTATCGCGTTTATATCAAAGGAGGAAGGCGCGGGTCACAAAGTTGACATGCTCCTGGTAGAGACATGGCAAATAAGGCAAAGGTGCCTTAGGACATCTCTAGGTCATTCAAATAATTACCTGAAATCTGAAACCTGCGAAGCACTGCTGAGCTACAATCAGAGATGGGTTCAATGAGTTCCGTTGTAGGCATTGGCTCTACTGCCGCGTGTGACCGCCTAATTGAGGCTCGTGCGTCTAAAAAAAGTTGCTTCAATGGCGTCCGCCCACTCATTCTCGACGAATATCCCAAGCTAAATATGTCGGTCATTGGCTCTTTGATTTTCTGCACAGATTGCGGTAACCTCTTGCGAGAGTCTACCGGCAATGCAGATGCGATCCTGCACTGTGATGTCTGCGGCACTCGGAACAAAGGTGGGACGCTTCCAATTGCATGTTATGCGCTTGACTGACCTTTTAAAGACACGATACCCCAGACCACCGTTTCCGAATCTAAGCCCTCCGCATTCCCTTCATCACTGAGAGCCAAGCAGTCCGCAGTTCAGACACTGTCCGCAGACGACCGGAAGACCGAGGCTGTGATTGAGAAAACGTGCCCCGATTGCGCCAGAAAAGAGATGTTCTACACCACTGTACAACTGCGCAGTGCTGATGAAGGAAGTACGGTGTTCTACAGATGTGTCTGTGGTTTCAAGTATGCTATTCCCGCCTCACAAGTTCGGGTCCAGTGCTAATGATCAATAGGGAAACCTCCAACAATTAGTGGAAGATGGCTGTACAAAATGTGGAACAAGTCTATGTTTGAGGAAGGGCTGTATAAGTAGCGGGACAAAAATAACACAATCACGACGTCACGAGACAACTTTTTATCTTTTTTCTTTTGCACGAAATGTCCCTCATGCGGCGGCAACGGGGGCAGCACTATCCGGCATCAGCGCATACTGGGTCTCGCCATTCTTCTCAAACTCTGCCATGTCAAGAGCAACAATGACACTGTCACGAACAACCTCATCGGGATCATTCAAGAACTTCTTCAGTGTCTCCTCAACACCCTCCTCATCACCCAGACTGCCAAGGGCCTCCGCCGCTTCGTGGCGCACCATACCAGCCTCGGAGAGATCACTCAGAGAAGCTGTGAGACTGGGAATCGAAGCGGGGTGGCAGAGCTGACCAAACACAAAGGCGACCTCGTGGCGGAAAAGGGCAGAAGGGTCCTTGAGACCCTTTGCCAGGGCATTAACGGCATCGACTGCCGTGGGAAGGTCCGGGGGCGAGGCAAGGTCACGCAGACCGAACATCGCACGGTATCTTTGGAACAGAGGCTGCTTTGTGTCGAGCAGTGTCTGCTCCAGGTCAGGGATAGAGGGCTCGCTAGACTGGAGGGGCATGGGAGGAGCAGGATCAATAGAACCGAAATCACTAGAGAAGACAATGTTAGTCCATGAACCGGAACCGTTGGAGACTCCGTAAAATTGAGTTGCGCGTACCTGGGCTTCAGTTGTTCCGCCTTCTTGGCCTCGGAGTTCTCCCAGATAATGCGATCGACCGCGATGTCGCAGGTCTCACGAATAATATCCAACTCCTTTGTATCATCTCTCAGTCGCTTGAGCAGATCCAAGCTGTCTTCGTAGCCCAGGGCACCCAGTGCCTCTGCGGCCTCATGGCGACACATCGCATCCTCTTCTGTGTCGTTCACCACATGCTTGAGGTATGAGACAGATTCGATGTTCTTTGTCTGACCCAGGCAGTAGGCCAATTCGTGCTTGAGCAGGGCGGAGGGTGACGCGAAACCCGCGGCGATCGCTTCGATGGCGGGGAGACTTTGCTCTGTGGGAGGCTGCAGGCAGGCCAGGTGCTTGAGGGAGAAAAGCGCGCGGAATCGGCGAGCCAGGGGCTCAGATTCAGAGGTCAGAACCTTGCGCAGGGAAGGGACGGTGGTATCGTCGGCAGACATTTTGGAGGTGGTGGGGGTTGGAAGTATAGAAAGGAAAAAAGTTGTTAATCTTGATCTTATCAATTTTTCGAGAGTGGGGGCGGGGCCCATGAGGCGCATAAATTTTTGCTCGTACGTTTCTTTGCGCCTGGACCCGACCGTATTTACTTTGTTCAATGGCTTATTTATGCTGCCCAGACTAACTTTACATTACACAGACTGACTTTTCTGGCAACTTGGTCAACACTACCGCAAACACCTAGCTATAGACCTTTGCTCGGTCTTCCATATCCCTGAGGACCTTCCAGGTTTGAAATTTGGCTGCCATAAGGACCTGTGGCTAACTAGCTCATACTATACGTGGTTTCAGTGTGTCAGACAAACCTTGGATCTGGCCCTTTTCCGTCTTCATTGGACCAACTTCTTCAATCTCTGGACACTGATGCCTCCCTCTTATGCCCTGTGGGCATGACATGAGGAGCTGGTCAAATAGCCAGCAATCTGTTCCTTAATCAGAATAAACTGCTTGCGTTATATACATCGTTGCCAGCGGCCTGTTCTGCTTAGACCTAAGCAATGTATTTGTGTAACAGAGCAAGATAGCACGCAGACAACAATAGTGTAGTGTCGCGAGAGAGAGAGATACCAGATAACGACCTGGGGAAGAGGATGTAAAGCTTCAAAGGTGTATTCTTTATACTTAGGTAAGGCTCATTTAAACATGTCTGTTATCTTCACTTTGGTACCTATATTCAGATGCCAGTACCTACCACCCGCTTCATTTAAGGCATTGACTGCAACCTTGAAACATCGAGTCATTGCGGAAATAAAAGTACATTTTGGATATCAACACATTAATTATAAATTCATACATGCTCCCTCGTAGTCCTCCGTCCGTTCTCATGGGTATCAGTAGTAGTTTGTGTCACCTCCGTAGTTCGATGAATGCCGAGCCCCATCTCGCCCTCCACATTTGGCACATGGCGATCAAACGTCAATCTCTCCTCACTGCTACTCGGACTCGAGGAACCGGCGTATGTATCAACATCCCGCTGACTCTTAATCGTCGTCACGGTAACAGCAAGCTTGTCCGGTCTCAGCCGAGAGTGTTGAGCGTCATCTATGGAGCCAAGTGGAAACGGGCGATCGTGTCCGCCCAGGTGGCGCGAGGCTGACCTTGATCGTCCACCGGGAAACCCACTGGAGTAATCTGGGTCGGTGCGAGAGCCCATGATGACGCGGAGGAGGGGTCGCAGGGTTGCGAGACTGCCGGCCGTGATACCAAGACCGGCTTCGATGTTGGACCAGATGGCGATCTGGATGGTGGCGTCTGGATGTGGGTGTTAGTAATCTTGAATAAGGCTCATCTTGAGGAACGAGGATAGCAAGAAAGACTTACAAAGGAAATCATCATCGGCGAAGGTCTTGACAAATGGAATGCGAACGATAACCGCTGATGAAGCACTGAAGATAACGTTGTTAGCCGCTTGGATCTACCGGGGATCAGGTAATCAGAACATACATGCAAGCCATGCCCAAAATTCCCATGACGGCAATCTTAGTCTGGCGTTTCATGTGCAACTTGTGCACAAGGAAGATGGGCAAGATGCCCACTGTGAAATCACACAGCGCGGCAAAGGCACTGTAGACATATGTCATGCTGATAATAATGTCGATACTGATGCACCAACCCCCGTCGGGGTCTGCTGCGCGCGTCCAGAAGTATGCCAAAGGATGGCACTGTAACAGCATCAAGAACATGAACACCAATCCAGCAAGGACAGTCAAGGCCATGACAATGTAGAGGGTCCAGATATGAAGGCGTCGAATGGTAATACGCATCAAGAAGATGCAAACGGAGATCTTGCATCCGATAGAAGAGAAGCAGTATGCGATTTCGCAGAGCCACCAGTATTTCATGGCAATGGCAGCGTTGGTAGGTTCAAGATGTGCAAACTTGTATCCCGTGCCGTAGAGGGTTCCTCCAATCATGGAAGCGCAGAACATGGCGTAGAATAGCTGTCAAGCGATGAGGTTAGATATTGAACTTGATATCTCACATGGTGGACTCGGCGGGGAAAGGAAGGATCGATTGGAAAGATCGCAGGATTCAAAGGATTTTTGATTCACGTACCAATGCTACCACCATCGCACCATCATCCCATCCAAAGGCCTTGACAATCCACCCACGCACATAGATGCGCAGCATCACGGTGATAGTAGCGATTGGTAGGAAGACCGCGGCCACGGTCTGGACCGTGATCTTCCTGCTATGTTCTTCACTCATGTTATCACCTGTGTCGCCGGTGGCTTGTCATAATCGACCTTTAATATAAACAGTCTTGTAAGTGTGGGGAGGAAGGATCCTTTAGTAATAACCACCCCTGTCGAGAGCTGCAGAAATCTTCAAACCTTAGGGGGGCAAAAGCAGGGATAATTTGGTTCTTGGCTGATATGGGCGTTTTTAGGCCGGAGAATACGGAATTAGCCCACGCGGAGATCGACAGCATGGCTGACTCGATTTGGATAAAGTAGTACATGCATAAGCACGATAGACTAGAGTCGGGATTCTAATTACCGCGGATGCGGTAACGAACAATAATGTGATCTAGACGCCAATTGTGGGACACCGGACATTGTCGACTCTACCTTCAGACAGAGCGTTGTGAAGCAGATTGCCGAGTTGGCAGGTGGGGGTTTTACTATGCTATTGACAGGTGTCTGGGAGTGTAGCGTAATTGACTGCAATCAGACTTTTCCAATCTTTGGAGAGGTTTCAGCACTAAATCAAGTTCGAGGTATGGTCGCAACGAGTGAGAGCTAGTTCGCCAAACTTAGCGATCCACCGTTGGGTCTAGCTTCGTTTGACCCTGCGCTGGGTGATCCACCGTCGGCCACGGAGACCCAAAATGGAGACTGCCGGGGCCTCAGGAGGTCAAGAGTTTGGGACGATGGAGCATTCACGAAATTAGCCACGAGGCACTGCGTGTTAGAGCAACAGGATGGGGCGATCCTGACTCAGACGATCTCGGTTTGCGCTAACAAATTATGGAAATGACTTCCCGTGAATCGCGTTGATGATGTATGACAGCCAAGACGCTCGATCTCATATCGATTTGAAGCCGGGATCGACCCAAAAATTGGGCTGTCTGTCAAAAAACCAAATTCTGATAGTTGGGGTTGGTTGGAGCTGGCTGCTTTCGGCCATGACAAGGATGTGTTTGCATTGTTTGCAACGATCAATGATGCAACACGGTCTCTTGTATTCTAGGCGATCCGTTGCTCGCGCATACTCAGCCCTGGAGGCTATAGATATCAAAATGCTGGAGATGTGTATGTCTACCAGTTATTGAGCGTTGCATCAATACTATATCCATTGTACAATATTCAAAGACACCCTATGTAACCTGCAGATGTGAAGAATCTTGCTTACATAGTAGGTTAGCGGAATTAATATCGGCCCCCGCAGGTAAACACCCCGCAATCTAAACTTCCTCTTCAAGCTCATCAGATCTTCAAGCCTTCTGATACACTATACAATGGCCAACGTAGATGTTCCGAATACCCAAAAGGCCTTCGTGCCTCTCGGTACGACCACATCCGCACATGCGACTACCCAACTAACATAGCCAGAAAACAACCCGGAGGTGATGTCACACTTAGTGCATCAACTCGGCCTATCCCCAGGCTTTGGCTTCACAGACGTATTCTCAATCGACGAACCCGAGCTCTTAGCCTTTGTGCCACGTCCATCTCACGCCCTCCTCCTCGTCTTCCCCGTCTCCCAAACATACGAGGCATCCCGTGAAGCTGAAGATGCCACCAAGGACTCCTACACAGGCTCCGGTCCCAATGAGCCAGTCATGTGGTTCAAGCAGACGATCCGTAATGCATGTGGCTTGATTGGACTCTTACATGCCGTGTCGAATGGCGAGTCACGCCAGCACATCACCCCGGGCTCGGATCTGGATGGTTTGCTGAAGGAAGCCGAGGGCCTGGAGCCAATCCAGCGTGCCGATCTGTTGTATGACAGCAAGGCACTTGAGAGTGCACATGCCGATGCCGCGAAGCTGGGAGATACTGCTGCGCCGCAGGCGGAGGACAGTGTTGATCTGCATTTCGTGGCCTTTGTTCGCGGCGTGGATGGTACACTTTGGGAGCTGGATGGTCGACGAAAGGGACCTTTGGCTAGAGGCGTTCTGAAGGAGGGAGATGACGCCCTTAGTGAGGCTGCGCTTGATCTTGGCGTGCGGAGATTCCTGAAGACCGAGGCACAGGGTGGAAACCCCGACCTGCGGTTCAGTTTGGTTAGCCTTGGTCCTCTGTTTGATTGATAGGTTGTGTCTTGGTGGTTGCTCTGTTTCAGTATCATCATGGATGGCGTTGTTGATTTGACATGACGATGGATACGTTATCTTTTAGCCGAGACCCTGATTTATCCCCAGTTTCAACAAGCTGACAAGGAAGAAAAATCCACGTCTGTTCATTCAGGGCAAATATTAGGAAATTACTATGCATTGAGATCTATGGCGTCTTTAATATGTTTTGCTATGGTGACTTCTATCACTGGGAACGGTGTGCCCCCAGCTATCACTTTTTGGTAGTAACCTCCAAAGCAGGAGAAACCACAGAGCCCGTAACACCCGCGACTGGGAAGTCCGCGGCGTCGGTGGTGGTCATTTCGCCAGCTTTCGCATCGTTGGAAACCAACTGATCATCTTGCTCACTCGGTGGTACAGCATTTCCCTGCGTGCCAAGCTTCAAGAATGGCACCATGACCAGAGATATGCCCGCTGCCGCTGCTGCGAACCAATAAACAGCCAGGTAAGGATCGATAGGGGCCGAGGAGCTCGTCATCCCATTGGAAATGGAAGAGCTGACAGAAGTCGCTATGCCAAGGCCCAAATTGTTACAGAGCTTGTTGACAGTGTTGAAAATTCCGCCGGCAATAGATTGTTGTGATGGTGGGAGGGAAGACATCACGTACATCTGGGCTGTGTTAGTCAAGGCGATATCTCAAGAGATCACGGGAATGAATGCATACATTAGTCACGTTGAATTGAATATCAGCTCCAACAACAACAAGAACCAGTGCGGGGAAGATGAAAGCCCAGTAGGAGGCGTCCTCCTTCATGAAACTCAATATCAAGAACGAGGCTGTATATGCCAGCGCTCCGATTCCAGTTAGTATCTTGTTGCTGACGCGGTGTAGTAGCAAGCCACAGACAACGTTAACAAGTACGCCGCTAACGACCATAGGCAGCAGTCGAAGGGTTATCTCAAGAGCAGTCAAACGCTGGACCTCTTGAAGATACAAGGAGAGATAGAAGGTAACGGCAGCGAAGCCCATGAAGCCGAGACAGAAAGTTCCCATAAGCTACTGGAGTGTCAGCCATCTTCACACATGTGACATTCGTAAGAGAGCATTGAGGATCACGAACAAGGGAAAATGTGCGATCTTTCCACACCCAAAGAGGCATCAAAGGGTTCTCTGCAATAGACTGCCAATACAGGAATCCAACAAGTAGGAAGAATCCCACAATGAACAGCGCGAGAACATAGCCTGTCTTCCAACCATGTGGTGCATCACCCGCCAATCTATGAATAATGTCAGTCACATCGCAACAGAATCCCACGGGAACAGAAAAAACGACATACGAAAGGGAGCTCGAGAACAGTGCAAATCCAATAACAATCAGCACTGTGCCAAGAATATCAAACTTCTTGAGCGCCTGCACACTCAAGGGCGTTCTAGCAAACCCATCTGCAGGTACAGTCCACACGGTCAAGACCGTAAAAATAGCGTAGACGACGGCATGGGCCCAGAAAGAAGCACGCCAATTATAGAGATACGAAGCGACACCGGAGATGATCATACCACCGACAAAGCCAAGCGGGTTTCCAGCGCTAAAGCAGGCGAAAGCGAGGTTCTTGCGCTTCGAGGGCTTCTCATAAACCGCACCGAGAGCACCGACGGCCGGTGGAACAACGGCTGCTGCGAAAAGACCAAGGACCCCCGAGAACACATCCATGTAAATGGCATTTGTTGCAAAGCCGGCAATCAGTAGTGAGATAGAGAAACCGGCCATTCCAATTATGAACAGCACCTTTCGGCCGAACATATCGGCCAATTTGCCGAATGTTAGCAAGAATGCACCACTTGTGAGACTGTCGAATATGGTCAGCGTGGCTATACATGAGAGAACGCCCAGATTTGAAGACCACAGACAAGATGTGTAGATCGCGGAGCATTGAGAAAGAATTTCTTTCTAGAAGAAAAAGGGAGAATAATAAGAAGAAAAACTTCACTTACGAAGCACCGGCATTGATCCAGGTAATTTCCGCCGAGTTCATATTCAAGTCACTGCCAATTGATGCAGTAACCCCGACAATGCATCCTTGAAAGAACGACTGTTGACCGATAGCCATAGTGGCAGTCAACACGAAAAGGACCTCTTGGAACGTGCTATTAAAACACTTTGGCCGTTGTCCATCGCTTTGCTCTGCCACTGTGACTTCTGAGCCATTTTTTTCTTGATTTTGTGCCATTTGCAAGTCGATCTGATAAGATGAAAAGGAGAAATCGATGGGAGTCGCGACAATGAAAAAGTCTGCCTCCGTTGAGATTACGACGCTGCGCTAGTCAGGTTCAGGGGTTTGCTGGGATAATTGCGAAAAAATGACAGTTTCACAGAGCCACCGGCACATGGTTTATATTTTGCTATGCAAAATTCACCGCAATTCTTGTACTTTGTAAGCTTTTTGTATTTTGTAAGCTGCGGAGGTGTTCCGCGCTTAGACGTTGGATTATGCGGGGGCCAAAGAGGATGAGATGCTTGCACTAGTCGGATACAGCTGCTTTAGCACCATTTGCGGGGCGCTCTTTGGAATCATTTTAGGAATCATTGCAGCAATGTCGAAAAGAACATGCACCTGCTCCCGCCAACTGCAAGAAGGCCAAGTAAGCGGGAAATGTGATGTGGAACACCTTGTTGTCATGACGGTTCCTGGAACCCCCATATCCAAAGTGCGCCTGGAGACAGTCATAAAAAATGCGTGCAATATCAACCGTACTCACATGGCGAGAATTGATGAGGACCGTCATTGTTCCGTCACTCATTCCTCACAGCCAATCTCGTTGGGATCTACCCAGCACTCTTGAGCATTGAACCTCAAAACCTCATTACCAGCCGCCCACCAGCCCGCCGTCAAATTTCGTGCAAAAACCTCAAGAGCAGAGTATGACTGTGGCTGACCGGGCTCGAAAAAGATGCGTTCAAAAATGCCCTTCAAGTTTGGTTTGCGAGAATGCAGGTCCGGGACTGCAGCGATGACCCGTCGAGTGGTGACGGCCTCGCTTATCGAAGTCAAGTCCTCGAAATTATGTTTCGAGATATCCAAGCTCTCATCTCTGTGACCAACGACAAGGATCTCGTAGGGCTTTCTCCATATACCGTCCAGGGCGGAGATTGGCTGTCCATCTAAGGTGGTCTTGACCCATATCCATTCCTCGCAGACGCGGAACCCAGAGCCCATCATGGCTTGGTATGCTGCTTTGCGAGACTTCTCGGCATTTGTGATCCATATAGCGGCTATAGCCTGCTGGGTGCCGGGCTGAGATTGAGATTCAGCAGGGTACGAGTGTACCCGAAGAATATCACGTAGGCCTTCGGTGAGAACGTCCATTTCGGAGTAGTGATGTGTTTGATAGTGACCGCTGCGACGGACAGATCTGTTTGGCCACGGCGGATCCATGAGAATCAGATTGAATTTCTGATGCGAGGACAGACCAGGAATAGGGTAGAATTGGGATGACCGGTGTTTCTTGGTCTCGAACAGAGGTAGAGTACAAAGCGTGAAGCTCGACTCTGGTGGGATCAGATATGAGATAGGATGGCCGGTACTATCATTGTCGTTTATGTGAATTATCGCCAATGCTGATGAGGTGTTCTTCACAACGCTCAAATCTGATAGTGATCTAAACTCATTCGGCGAAGTAGATGATAGGATCACCGGCGGCTCATTGCTGGAAACATGTTCATAACGAATGGGCGAGGGCTCCTCTTTCCGGCGCTTCCGCGGGCTTTCATCTTGCGAGTTTGGGTCTTTTTTGACCTCCAAAGGCACAAGCCGAGGGAGCCCCCAGCGAAAAGTGGAAACAACTTCCCTGATGACTTGCAGAGAATTCTGCACGAGGGGCAAGATTAGTTCAGAGTGGAAGCGTCTTTCGGACAAAGGAATTGTCTCAAGCACATTGGCACGCGCAGTGGGGTTTTTAGGCTCGGTAGATGGATATGGCACCTTCAAAGGTGGACATGAAAGTAATCGTCTTCTTTCGATTAACGTGTCTTTTGAACGTCGCTGCTGGGGGGTCAAAAGGTCCCCTTGCGCAAGAGTGATTGACCATGGAATATCCAGCAAAAATACTTCGTTTTTTCGCTGGCAGATAATTGCAAGATCTTCCCGGTCGTCGTAGCCCATGTTTATTATGACAACACTGGAAGGGGTTGTTTGGGCGGGATGACAATAGTGAATATGTCTCCCGAGGTCTCCGCCTTGACCTCAAGATTCACACAACCTTGGATTGTTTATAGCCTCCGTTTGGTGTACCCAGGTATCTATTGTTATACCTAGTAGAGTAGCCCTGTTTTCACCTTGCGTCCGAGGCTGTGGACTTTTTCCAATGCTATGATAGTGCCGAAGAACAGCCTACGAGGACCAATCAAGTCTGCAAAATGAATTCATGCAACCAACCCGACCTTGAAACAATAAACAAAAGGTAGAAAATGGTCCCATCGTTAGATCACAAGGTACATGGTCATTCCGAACGCTCCAAGATATAAAAAACAAGGTCTCTACAAGAGACACAAGACTTTTTCACCACCAAAATGCCCCGTTCCCCGGAGTCCGATTCTCCCCTGCCGGCGATCCAGCGTCCGATCAGGGCGAAGAGATATAGGACAGTGAAATCACACGTTAGATAAAAACCCCGATCTCCATGAAATACTTTGGCAAACAACAATAAAAAAAAAAAGGAAAATAGATGATCAAAATTTGTACATATGGGAAGGCAGATCCATTATGAGACAACGCGCCAGTTCAACGCTGTCAGGTGTCAGTGGGAAGGACGAGACGGTTTAGGGACGATCAGAGAATGAACTCACCCGTCCACGTCGACCTCCACCCTGCCCCTGCACCGGCTGTGCCTGTTGGTAATATTGAGGGGGGTACTGATACATCTGTGCGGGATTGACAACTGGGCTGAATTGCTGATAGTTCTGACCAAGCATCGGGTTGGGACCAATCTGACCAGGTCCAGCGGAAAGCGGCGCAGTCTGCTGAGGCTGCAAGGACCGAAGGTTGTCTTGGGGAGATGGATACCCGTAGTTGACGCCCGGCATTCCCGGGTAGCCTGGGGAGACGCCACGGGCCTGGGCAGCAAGGTAGGCCTGGTATTGCAGCTGTTGCTGGCTGATAGGCTCCTGGCCGAATGGTCCGCCGGGCATGCCGTTCATTGGGTTGGTTCCTAGGCCGTTGGAGTAGGGGTCAAGAGGTGGAGGGTTTGCCTGATCGGAGGAGATGGGACGAGAGTCCGGGTTTTGTCCATATGGGTTGGTGGCAAATTGTTGTTGGCCATTGTATTGTCTATCCATGGATGGCTGAGCGGCATAGCTTGTACTGCCGTGGCGTGAAGATTGACGGTGCTGCGACTTCTCTGGAGTGCCGGCTCCCTGCTCTCGTCCATGGTGTTCACGACCACCACCGCGAGAGGAAAGACCGACCTCATCCATGAGGCGCTTGTAGCCCTGGCTTGGAGAAGCCTTGAGCTTGGTGAGCACCTTCGACACGTTCTTGACGACTTCGGCGCGCATGGATTCATCAAAGAAGGGGGTGGTGAGAACCTTGAAGATCAAGGTTGCACCAGAGGTCTGGTCACTCAAGATCTTTTCCAAAACTTCGTCACCGGGGCTGAAGAACAATGCCTTGAGGACAATGTCGCGAGCCTCCGGCTCATTACGCTGGTTGATGACCTTAAGAACGGTCAAATAGGCAACCTTGTGAGTGCAAAGATGAACAAGGTGGGGCACAAGTCTCGGGGCGAGGACAGTTCGGCGGCGAGGGAATGTGCAGGTGTCAAGGAACCAAGTCAGGAGGAGAGCACCGTTGGCGTTCGTAGCCAATTGCACACCGTGAAGCGCGATTGCAGACGCAAGCATACGCTGCTGGTCCTTAGTGGCATGGTGGCTCTCCAAGCAAGCCCGCATTGCCCGAGCGCCGAAACGTCCCTGAGCCACTTCCCACAAGCGGTTAAGCATGGATTCAAAAATGAAGCTGTTGAAGGGGCTGGCAAATCGTAAGCAGCATTGCAAAACGTAGTTTCCGTATTGATCCAAAAACAGAGGCACAGTATAAGGTCGCAGAGCATCAACGATCAGCTGCATCTGTGCAGGAGTCTTGGCGACATCAATGATCTTCTGCGCAGCCCAGGTGCCATTTTTATGGACACCAATTTCGGAGAGGTGGGGAGCAATGTGACTGAGCATCTGCTCCTTGGTGGCCTCTGAGCAGAACTCGAATAGCTTCTGAACTACAGTGTTGCCCAAGTAGTCGGAAGCCAGCTCTGCGATCTCAGGTAGCATGGCCTCCGCGGTTTCCTCGATCTCCTGAATCGAGCAGGCACCATTGTCGATACGCTTGCGAATGTCGCGTAGACGAGGCGCATCAAACATACGTGACTGACTTGGTTCCTGAACAGAAGGAATCTCATCCTCAAACGCCTGGAAGGCGATGGAGGTCTGAATGCTTGCCGTGATGTTCTGGAGATCAGTCTCGCTGGCGCCAAACTCCTGCACAATCTGGACCATCTCAGGCAGCATGTCAGCCAATGCTGGGATTTGAGGAAGACTATGGACATTCTCGGTGCGATCCGAGCCGTCGCCTGCGGCAAGGTTGGATCTGAAGGTGGGATCAGGAGTCGGGGAGGACTGGATGCCGTTGGCACCGGGAGTGCCAGTTGCCGAAGCACCAGGAACCTTAGCGTAACCGATTCTGACAGGTCCAGCACCAGGGAAGATCTCTTTGCCATTGAGCAAAGATTTAGCCTGCACGGCACTGTCGAGCCGGTCGAAGTTAACAAATCCACAGTTTTTGTGGGTAAGAACACGAGTCGACTCGATCTTGCCATACATGCCGAAGATAGCCTCCAAGGATGTGACAGTTGTGGAAACGGGGATGCTACCGATCCACAATGCCCGAGTCGGCCCATCCTGGTTGTTCTCGTCGGACATCTCGCGGGCCCCCACAGGGTTTTGGGAAGTGAGATTCATCAGCTGAACAGCCTCGGACAGCTCGTCGTATTCAAGGTTTTCCGGGATCTGCAAGTCCGCCGCACTGAAGCTGTTGTCAAGACGAGAGGGAGTTGCAAGGTAGTTGCGGATAGAAGATCGCTGAGGGGGAGCCTCCAAAATGCCAGCAGTCCGAGCCCGGGGCCTGCTAACGGAAGCATGGCTGGCAAAGGCCTGGACAGCAAGATTGTGCTGGTGGATTTGGGCTTGCGTGGCTGCAAGCTGAGCAGCGGTGGCGGCGGCAGAGGGAGTCATGGTGCCAGAGGGGACCTGAGAATAGCGGTTCTCATATTCGAGATCCTCGTCATCTGCGTACTTCTCCTTGGCATTGACGGAGTATGAGCGGAATCGATTGTTATTCTTCATCATCGCCAGCTCAGCCAGGAGTGGCGGCAGCGCAGAAGCTTGCTGCTGTTGCTGCTGCTGTTGATGTTGCATCAATTGTTCCATCGATGGACGCGCAAGAGATGCCATCGCTTGCTGTGGAGTCTCAGCGAGACCCAAGTAGTCCAATGTCTTCACGTCGGTGTCCGCCAGGCCATCCCTCGAAAATGAGGAGTGGCTTGGCGACGTCGGTCCCTCTGAAGATCGAATGCTCGTCAATGTTGTGGCCCTCTCGCGGCCCGTGGACCAGTTGGTTGAAAACAGCGAGGGACCGAAGGGACCACCTGCGCCCAGGAAGTTACTCCTTTGTGGCATGGAACCTGCGCGAAGGCGTGATAGAGATGCCGGGGCAGGTCCAGCAGCGGAACTCGCAGGCTTGGAGCCCGTGTCGATTCCAGACACACCGGGGGGTCTAAAGGGACTTGTAGAGGGTGTGGGCCGGGAACTCTGCGACATGAAAGGCTGCTGGAGATCCATCTCATTCAGCGTGCTCATCGGAGGGAAGCGAGATGGAACCGTTCCAGCACGAGCTCGGCGGCCGGGGCTGCCGATGGAGCCATTGGTGGTGGGGATGAGATCGGGAAAACTGTCCTGGCTCGGCGATTCAGGAATATTTTCGCGAAGCGGAGTTGAGTGGCCGCTAGTGGGAGGGCCCCAGATACTGGGCGAAACACCTTCTTGCGCTTGAATTTCGCGGGCTCTGTGATGGGGTTATCAGCAACTGTCGAGAATCGGTTTTCTCCTGATCACCTACCGTTTCGAGTACAGCCGTGATCCCAAGTCATGAGAAGGGGAGCCAGCCCCCGGCCTCGAACTACCGATGGACCCCGGAGATGGACCAAATGGCATCCTGGAATTACCAGATCCCGGGTCACTCGGAGAGCTGCGGCCTGTCGAGGTGCCCGACATTGGCTGAGTGGTTGGGATGTAGTTGAAGCTCATGTGTCCCTCTGGTCGTGAAACTGGCAGCATTATGGATTATCGATTGTGGCCTTCAGTAAGGCAGTACCCGAGTGTTTTCCAATCTGTAGCCTCTGCGCGGATTCCAAATCGGTCTGGAAATGTCGCTCAGAAATGTGGGATGGGCATAGAAAAAAGATAGGTTTAAGAATCTGAACGCAACGTCGATAGGAATCAAAGGCGTACTAAATGTAAGAGGCGAAATTAGAAGATGTTCGAAACGGGGGTTGTGTTTTGCCGTGACCGGAGGGGAGTCGCAGAATCGGGAGGGGTCGACAAAGCGCTTCTCTAGGATCTTGAAACAAGGTCATTTGCGATGTATTTGCGTACCTGATCCGATTGTTTTCCAGATGCAATCACCAGTTTTGGAGGTTCTGAGGGATTCGCGAGCGGTTTGTGTATGACAATCTGCGGGTGTCCCAAGCGATCGAGTCGAAGAAAAAAAAAAGTAGAAAGACTTTCTATGCCGGCGATTCGTCAAAGGCTTAAAAACAATATGCACAATGATAGTCAGGCACCGAGTGCGTCGAGTAAGAAATCAAAGGAATAGGATGAGAAGGATGATCCTAAGGGATTGAAGGTGGCTGGACGAATTAGTGGGAGAAGTGGAAAAACAATGGTCATCACTAACGGGAAATTCGGGAGTTCACCCTAATACAAGAAGCAAGAAACAAGCAAAGAAGAAAAGAAAGAGGGAAGAAGTCAAGGGAGGATGAAGGGGAAGAAGGAGAAGAAGAAGAGAGAGAGATGTTGGGGAGCTGGCCGGATGCCCGAGGAAGATGGCTGTGGTTGGTGGAGAGCGGTCCTCTTCAGCTTCATCCACAATGCAATTGTTGATTTCTCTGCGAGTTGCGAGTTTTCCCTGGTTGAATTGTGATGTTATTGGTTCTATTGATTTTTGGCTATATTTCGGGTCTAACAATATCCCCCTGTAGCGTGATATGTGCATAGCTCACATCTATATCAACCCTGGACTGCACTGTTTGGATATGACCCAGCCTCATGTCATTGATACTTGAGAAAATGAACAACACTCTCCTGGGATTCGGGAAATGATGTCTAAATCTCCGCGTTTCAAGCAATATCCCCCGTCATTTGACAGTCTGTTCGGTGAAAATAGTGAAGCAGCCCCGCATTCCGGTGCGTCATGGTCTCAATATGGTTCCATGGGCCCCTTCAAGCGGAGTTGTAAACATTGGAAGGTTCATTGTACTCTGTACTCCGTACATCGCTCGGGTTTTCTCTCTTGATATGATGCAATCATGCAAGGAGATCTGGCTTGATCTGAAACCAAGACTGTATGTGTCTGGAGGCACGCAAGGGATGGGTCAGGTACGTGTCCTCGGGGCGATTTGCTTCGTGTGTCAGCCTCTCACGGCACCTGCGCATCTGCACAATGCTTCGACAAGACCGACAATACTCGGGGTACTTCATACAAATACTTCCATGCCTACGCTGGAAGAATTGCTTCGTGATGGAGCCCCAGTGCGCCAAGCTTCTGGAAGACTTCGGCACGGAAGAACCGGGAGGTTCGTGGCTCCTGGGTCGCTTCTAGTGTGATAGTTAATAATGGACAACCTCCAATGTAATCACCGATTGTCGGGCACAAAGCCCTCTTCAAGGCTCCAAATAATTGCCAAAGTAGTGACCTTGTACGGAGTAGGTGCTCGAAGGTCAAATAGTCCATAGTGAACACGTTCACAGTACGGGTTGCTCCGTATTGGTCGCAAGGCTTACACCTGAGGCATCAACTTTCTTTTTGCGCCACGAGCTGGTCAAGCCACAGCTCTCTTTCGCATCCATCCATCCTTCATTACTCCATACAACTGCTCGCATTCAATCACCAAGTCCCGCACACATATGCTGGGACTACTGGATCTGTTGTCGCCCGATACAACGTGACGACAGTCTCGTCACGCGCCGCGTTCCCCTCACGCGTTCAATGCCAACCCGACCGTGTTAAAATCGCCGCATCACATCCGCCATGGCCGACCTTCTAGAGGAAGACCCAACCTCCGGGATTCAATCCTCGGAGGAGGTTGAGGAGGAAGAGGAAGAGGAAGAAATCCCAGTGGAATCATTGGTCCGAGGACGAGCAAAACGAAGCACCGCAGGACGGCACATGTCCGCTCTCCTTGAAGCCGCCGCAGATGACGACCTAGCACTTCTCTTCGAGGAAGTGGAAGATGACAACGAATTTGCGGATTTGGTTGATCCTGACGCGGAGGATGACGTGGGTCTCGAATCCTCAGACGACGAAGACGACCAAGGACCGAATGCACAGAATGATTACGAAGGCGAACAGCAACTACAGAAGGAGGAGCGCAAAAAGCGCAAGACGCAAAACGACCTCAAGTTCCAAACCTTGCGCAAACGAGTCAAGATCGATCCGACCGCCGTATCTTCCATGCCCGCAGCGCCGCGCCCGAAGAAGAAATCAGAGCGCATCTCGTGGATTCCCACCACGGAAGACGGACCGACTCGCCAGTCATCTCGTCGGCAAACAATGGTCAACAAGGAGCTAACGCATGCTCGCTTGAAAGACAGCCAGGAGAAGCGAGTGCGCATCATCGCTACAATGAAGGAGGCAGAGAAGCGGAAGGCCCATCTGAAGCCAAAGGCTATGACACAGGAAGATCACCTTGCGGAGGCTGCAAGAATTGAACGGCTCAACAGCAAAAGTCTCAACCGCTGGGAGCTATCAGAAAAGAGAAAGGCAGACGAAAGACGGGCCAGGATCGAAGCACTCCAGAACCGCCGTCTTGACGGTCCAGTCATATCCTATTGGAGTGGAGTTGCTACTTTTACTAATGGACGTCTCACGCGAGTTGGCACAGTCGACATCAAACCCAAGCCGGACAAAGAGGAGGCCCGGAAAAGGAAGAAGGAGAAGGAAGATAAAGAAAAGGCTGCTGCAGATCTACGCGCATTGCAGTCTGCTGCTCCTATCGCCGAGGGAAATATGTTACCTCCAGCCACTGGGCCTGCATCTGCCGCTCTTCCAGCCACATCACAGCTACTGCCCAATTCCACTCCAACTGTGGTTGCTGCTGCCCCGGGCTCCTCAGCCCCACCTGACCCCGAGGCCCCGTCAGATCCAAAGCCATTCAAAGAGACTATTCCTTCTGAAAATGCCACTGTTTCGGTTCCAGGGGCATATGATGGCACTACTGATACCCCTGTAGCCTCTGAGGGGGCGAGTGCCAGTGAGCCAAGTGCAACAACATCCGGTACGAAGGCATCCGCGGCGGTGCCTCCTGACCAGGGAAAAGAGAGCCATGCGGAGGAATCTCTGGCGCAGGAAACTTCATCGGACCTTCCTTCCGTGCAGGATAAGGAACTTTCTCCTGCGCAAGATAAGGTGCTTCTTTCAGCGCAAGATAAGCCCGTGGAAGAGGGACCCTCAGAGCCCGCACCAGAACAACGGCCAGCAGCACCGATAAAGCGCGCATCGTTTGCGGTAGAGATTACAGTTCCCCGCCATTTAGCACAATCTAGCAAAAGCCCTGCGGAGAAGCCGCCCGTGCCGTCTTCTACCAAGACCGATGAGATGGAGATCGATTCCCCCGCATCGGCTGCAGCGGCTACAAAAGGTCCGGGTGCTGAAGAATCAATGACCAAATCCCAATCGGCCACGCCAGATGTGGCAGGTGCCCAACCTAATGTGACTGAAATCCCCAAACCGCATGTTGAACCAACTGCAACGACATCGCTGGACGATTCCCGGCCTATTGATAAGGTCACGCCTATCGATGCTGGAGGGGCACTGGCCCCTCATGCCGCGCCGGCCGCCGTGGTACCTACTCAAGCCACGCTGCCCGAAAGCGCCCTCCCTCCGAGCCTAAACCAACCGTTCACGTTACAGCCCGGATTGCAACCGCCGAATGTGAAGATCGAACAACCCGCGCAACCCGAAGTACCACCACCTCCTCCAATTGTCGAGACGGCAGGACGCACTCTCACGATCTTGGAAAACTTCGATTATGCAACAGCGCAAAAGCCAAAGTACAGCATGTACTTCAATGCCAAAAAGCCACCCCGGTTGACTAGTAAGTTGCATGTCTAATTCACAAATGACTCGTAGGGCTAACCTTGCATCACAGAAATCTCGTCATCCCTTTGCGTCATCACTTCATTGCCATCGCGATACCGCGACCCGGAGACCGGTCTACCTTACGCCAACTCCTACGCCTATGGGCAAATCCGCCGTCTCATCACCGAAGGGTACATCTGGAGTGCGATGTTGGGATGTTTCGTTGGCCCGGCCGAGGCAGCTCGTGGAGTCCCTGAGCGATTTTCATTTGCCAGTAAGCATGCCCCAGCCAGGGTTTTAACAGACCGAGATGGCCTGGCCGAGCCGATTGCAGAGACCCCGAAGGCATCTGCTGGTGATACTCCCTCTACCCCTACCCCGGCGACTAAACCGCCACAAGCGCCTCAATCAGCGCTTTCAGGGGAGCCAATGAAGATTGATTAATTATGAGCCCATTAATGGCCTCATATTCACAATGTACGATACGCTAGCAGATACCCGAGAAAGAGAGCCGTTTCAATGTATAATGTATTACGTCTGTTGACAGATGTCATTGACCCACCATGAGCCCTGTGTTGATTGTGTTTTCCGGCTAGACCCAGGGTTTCAGCCGTGAGTTTAACTCAGGGATCAACCACAGCCGTGACTGATGAGGACTGACGTCTACTCAAGTGGAGTCTGTAACGTAAACAATGAAGAGTTTTTTTCTCATCCCTCATTTTCCCACACAATCTGGAACAATAGCCCCGGTTTTTTTTAAACAGACGAAACAACTCCCGGAAGATCGACAATTAGGCCAGAACCCCCATCTGACGACTCCCGGCCCACGTACCCCGTGGTTGTATGTGTGTATGTATCTCTTGGCCTAAAACATACGTGTCCGTGTGGCGACAATCATTCTCGATCCGAGGGATTTTCGTCGATCAGGATCTCCTCGCCTGGCCCACGAAGCCCTAAGAATTAACCTTGGGAGCCTAAGGAGGGTTGCGTGGGTTCACGGCAGATGGGTCAATGAGGTATTGGATTGGATGGCGTCATTAGCATTTCCTTGGATACACACACTACGCAATTAGGGCATTAGTTTATTGTCAAACAAGAGTCTGGAGAGAATCACGCCAGATCCGACTCCCTCCGGAGATATGCACCCTGCGCTACTGCAGCTCATATGCAGCTAGACATGGAATTTTCAAGGAATCTGTGCGTTTCAGAAAGGGTCCGTGATATAATCTAGCTCTAGAAGTTCTGATGGATTCTCTACTAGAAGTCTAGATGTCTAGAAGTCTAGAAGCAAACAAGTCAGAGAGGTCCACATCACAAACATACACATAGAGAATAACAAAAAAATAAAAAACCACATCCCAAGCAGATAATAATAGAAATCTTCAATGTGACAGTGACTCAGTCTAGAATCAACAATTGCGTGTTTGCGGGGCCCAAGTATCTGGGAAGTACCTTTACAGGGACCTTTGGGTGTGGAACAAAGGGAATGACGAGAGAAAGTGACTTCCAAGGTACCCGGATCTATCCACTTGGGTCTAGACGTGATCGTCTTATCCTACCGCCGGAGCACGTTCTCTATCCTCCCCTCCACACCATCCACCCACACCACACACCCACACACTCCCTTTTCTGTGCTTTTGTATTTATATTCAATCTTTCCCCCTCTTCTCTTCTGTGTTACCAGTCTTCATAGTCAATCTAGACAAATCTCATAAACATTCTCTCTCTCTTCCTCTTTGGTATGTCAAGTGCTCAGATTCCTGTCTCAGAAACCCTTATCTCCCCCACTCAGCATGCAAAGATAACACACACATCGCCTCTCGGGATGTCCGTGTGTATTTCGAGTATTGTGTCGTGTGTGTCATATGAAGATGATGGCTAACCTTATCAGCATTCTAAATCGCCTTCCATTCCTCGGAGTATACATACATACTTGAGGGTCCTTCTTATTCCTTTTTTTATATTCCCCAGACTATACACCGGCCCGGTTCATTCCCGGATCTATCATAATCCCTCAGTCTGTGCTCCCTAGGGGCTCCTCGTGCTCCACACTTGATACATGCTCGGTGCAAGGTCACGATAAGAGACATTTCAACGCCGAAAGCTTCACCGCCATGACTCAAACATCTCCTTCCCACCGTCGCTCTCCCTCTACTCCTTATTCCAAGTCCAAAACCTCTCGTCCAGTCTTACATCGTCGAGGAACCTCCGGTGCAACTGTCACTATCTCAAAATTGGGCTCAGGAAAGGATCGGGGAGTGAAGCCATCCCAAGACGACTTCGATATGGCTAGTTTCTTGAACTTTTGGTATGTGTGACCCATCCCAGTGCTCTTATCTATGAATTGCTGCATGGAATCTTTTCACATGCCTGTTGCCGTCACCTGTGTTTCACTCACCGGTTTTTGGTATCAACATAAAAGCTAACCCAATCTCCAGTGCTATGTGCGAAAACCAAATCACAACCCCCAACAACTCTCTCCTATATTGTAGCGAAAGGTACGTGTTTGTGGCGAATGTCTATATTTAGGATCTCAGATCCAGCCCAATTTCCAATGCCCCTAATTCCCATTTCTTTGTTTATCTTTGGGACCTGCATATTCAATGGAACTATAAACTAATCCATATTTACAGCTGCCGCCGCAAGGACTCCTGCAAACCACTCTCAGCATCTCTCCCATCTATGTCCACAATGTCCACAACACCTCCAGCATCTCCCCCTCTCTCTCCACGCACCATCGTTGCACCCATGACTCCTACCGGAGCTCCCTTCCACGGGAATACCAGCCACACCCACGATGCCAAGTCAGATCTTGACCCCACCGAGTGGAAGCCCGTCTTACTGCGCAGCAGCTCGTCTCTCGCATCTTCTGACGCTTGGAACTACCTGTCCCAGTTCCACGGCGAGCCAATGCGACCCACCGTCCACCGCAGCTCTTCTAGCCTGCCTGCCCTGGCCGGCGGCAATGCCTCCAGCCACAGCCGCGTGCCCTCGCTGACCAACACGCCCTCCGTGGCCTCGTCCTTCAGCAGCACCGCCTCTGACTACCTGGGCAGCCTGCACGAGTCTCGCCCGCTGCCCCCGCGCCACAACCCGTACTTCTCGGGAACCAGCGTGAGCAAGGGTATGGAGCTCGTTGTGCCCCACATCGCTGTTAACGACGATCTGGATCCCGTTGGCTTCTCGGACAGTGGCTCCATCTTCCCGGCCAGCAGTGCTGTCTGGGAAGATAGCTGTGACAAGCGCTCCAAGCCTATCACCATGGCTCGGGGAGTCGGCGGCCGGCCCGCCGGTGCTTTTGTGAAGAACTAAATTCAAACAAGGAACAAAGAAAAGTCATTCCCATGTATCTGGGAAATATCTTTCATTGTCGTCTTGAATTTCACTGTCTTCAGTCCGCACTTCTTCGATTCTCGGACCCCCTTTCAATTCTTTCAATTCTCTTCTTTGATCTCAAGCGAGCTGCTTTTTACAGCGAGGAAAACGATATGACGGATTTTGGCTCTTACACTTTTTTATTCCCTACCTTTCGTGGTGCGCCTATAGATTTTTCTTAATGCGATATATGTCCTATCTAGACCGAATGAACTTCGAATCTTCGAATCTTCTTCAATTTTCCATTTCCTTTCTTTCCATATTTTACTCGCTTGCTATTCGGCTCAACATGACGCCTTCTAAGGCCCGTACCAAAGAAACGATGTACAGCGTTTCTTCTTACTGTGGATGGCAAAATAAACCTGCTTTGGTGATTCTGAGTTACCACAACGGTAGGAAGACTTGACATGTTTGGGACGCGCCCATGATCATACACTGGTTCCAATGTTCCGATCGAGTGTAGGCACAATACCTTTACTCCGTAGATAAGGAAGAAATGAGCCGGTAGAATTTGTGCCAAATATCGGGCCGTAGATTGATTTCTTTGTCGGATCCCGAGGTCTCCCACCCATTTCAAGGTCCATCTTTGTCAATGAAACGCGGCCTTTGCCTGTTGATTCAGCCTTTCCGGGACCTCAAAGAACCAATGAAAGATATGAAGCTATTCTTGGTTATCCCGAGGTCACATATAGCGACCTTCCAAGGGTGTTGGAGAATCTCGGAACTCCTTTCGGTGGACATACTTCTCTGCGCAGCTTATTCTATGGGGTTTTCTCGTTGATTCCATTATACTGTCAAGTCATTCCAAGGTTGAGGTAAATCACTACCAATTAGGTCAAAGTAATCTACCTGATAACTAAATATCCACCTAGGCATTATACAAAGACTAAACACGGGAAATTTAGTTCAATGGGAGACAAATTCCTTCGCCTCCATGTCAGATGAAGTAAAGACAATCCCATTTACTCTAGCTACTTCCGACACAACTAATCTGAGTTTCTCACACAAAAAGAACCTTGGCTATAGTGAATCAGAAATCGCCAGCGGTAAAGCAGCACGAGTAGCAGCCCTTAGAAGGCTTGTACACAGCCAAAGTCTAGACATCCATTAGCGAAACTCAAGACAAAATGTTCAAAGATTAGTACTCACCGGAGGCTGGCACTGGGCATCATCCGCACTAGCAAAGCATTGACCAAAGCAGAAAGCGTTCCCCTCATCATTACCATGTTGCGGCTCATTGGCGACTGCAGGGGCAACATTGTTACCAGGCTGGAGAGTGTTGTCGGCTGGGGAACCGATAGGTGCAATTCCACCAGACAGCGAGTTCGGATCCATAAAATCGCGTCCATAGACATTTTTCCCTGGAAGGGAGTTCTCCTGAGGCTGGGTTGGTTCAGAGGGAGAATCGCCGAGCATCTCAGGTGCCCGGAAGATCGGAGAGTTGAAAACCGCAGATGGAGAAGGACGGATATTGAATGTAGTGTGAATGGCGAATGTTTGCAGGGATGCATGGCCCTGAGCAGGTGTTGGTGTTGGGGCCTGGATGCTGTGGACGGCGTTTCCATCAGAGCCGTCGGAGTTCCCGTTCATGCTGTCGTAGTTTGATTGAGGGTCATTAGCTTGACCCTGGTTTTGGGCCTGCTCGGCGTGTTCAATGAAGTTATCCAATTGGGCCAAATCAGGCATGAACTGTGGGCGAGCATGCGCTGAGGCAAGGGTAGCACCGAGAAGGAGAGTGAGGAGACGCATTGTGGATTGATGTCTATCGACGATTATTCCTGCTTGAAGATGTTGATATGGTCAATCGAGAGAAATCCCCGCAGGAATAAAGCAGCTTATTAGCGTTTCACGCGTCTGGCATTCCCTCCCCGTAAGTTGCTTGTGCAAGGGATTGTGTTTAGGGTTAGCTGCACTGCATTCCAGAGCACGCGCGTGGAATGCGTGGGGATCGCCATCAATTCCGTGAGGGGGTGACAGGGACATCGATATACAGTACTACGTAGTTGAATGATCTGGCTTAGTCTTCAAATAAATGTCTTCGAGTTTCAGGGTTCGAAAGGTGGTGTTTGGCTGCGTCAAGGGACAAGTTATGAAGTATTAAATTCATAAACTTTTCAAGGGAATTTCCACGAAAACCGAACCTGACTTTTACCTAATTTTATTCTATATAGGCCAAAACATTTGTCAAAATATAAATTCGATAATAGTTGGTTCAAATGATACGTATATCACTGTGCAGAGTTTTGTAGACAAAATTGACATTCTACGCCATATACTTCGTAAGCACAACATTTGAAGCTCGGCCTCACGCCCGGGCGTTAGTTTAAGGCCCGATGCTGAGCCCGGGGTCCATAAACAAAACCAGAAGGTGAGAAGCCATGGTAGATGTTTTGCCTGAAACCTACGTGGGTGAGTTATGACCAGCTAGTGACTCGCTCTTATGAGTTTTGGAGTTTCACATGCTGTGATAATATCAGTATGCGGAAGTGGCTGCTGTAGGATCTAAGTGGCTATATCGCCGAAGGTGTTCTGGGATGCATGCGTGGAACCAACGCGATCACTTCCGGTATAAGTTGTAGTGGCGATACAAACCAAGCTCCAACCCCATTATAAATGCGCATTATGACGGAGACAGGCCTTCGTCGCCCTCCAAGGGGCTGACGGGCCACTGCTTGGGTCAGTAAAAGGGCTGTTCGGGCCACTATGACGTTGACACCTCATCTTCAGAACCAATTTGGCGCTTGTCTGGTCAAGGCATTATTAGCGGACCAAGGCCCCGAATTCTGGTCAATGTCTTCGCAGTCCGAGGACCACAGCGAAATTGAGGAAAGCTCTGACGCTGGCGCAGTTGTTTGGTGGATCCCCCAATAGCCTCGCCAGGAACTATTTTCCCTGTATGGTGGACCCAATCGGCGGCACGGGGTGAAGAGAAGGGCTGCCATCTCTCCTCTGTTGAGCGGGCCTGCAACCCTTTCAATCTGAGCACTCGTTGCAAGTCGTACACGTTCATTGGAAAAGATTTTGGGGTGCTCTTGGGATTTGACCCGTTGGCTATAGACAGCGTTGAGCATCGCTAGGAGCCAGGGGCCATCACGAAGAGACCAAGGGTTGGATTCAACGAAAGTCTGCTTTCTGGAGAGGCTGGTCTTGCAGGCTTTCTTTCCATCTCGTCTGGATCTTGTGTTGCTACTGCAATACCTTACCATCGGTCTCAAGAAAGACTGATAGCGATGGAAGATCAACAAAGGGCACCGCCTAGTTGTGTCGAGAAGATCACACCGAAGCAACCCACCAACTGTGGTTGAAGAACTGACTAGGAGCAGATCGAGCGACCCGACCCCTAAGCGATCAATAGCAGCGAGATTCAATACCTATCAACGAACCAAATTGCACCGCCTAAGAACGAATCAACATGATCGCCGTCGCCTGATCGGACACGCTTTCAACGAGTGGTAAGAAGGATAGCCACCCACCCGGCCTCTCTGCAGCGACCGTTCAACAGATACGGATGAACGAATATGTTCATATCAAACCACTTTGAGCCAAACCTGGGATCCCGCGGCGCATTTCTCACTGGCCCGGGACTCAAGCATTGTAGGGGCTGGGGTTCGGGATGGGTTTCTTTCAAGGACATCAAACATCCGCTTCCAAATATTGCGAACTCGAGACATGATTCTTACCTGATACCACTATCGCTCCGAGCTTTCTACACACGAAGGATGCGTACCGGCGACATCCGATGACATCTGACGAACTGCTTTGACCATGCTGGTGACAGTGCCAATGATCCGATGGATGCTGCAAGACCAAAGAACAATCAGACAATCAGTGAAATGCATAGACGCCTATTATGGGTCGGGTATCAAAACCCATTTCGTATCGCGATTTTGATCGATCACCCTCATGTGGCGTGGACTCAGACCCTAGAATGATGTCCGACATCAGCATCACATTTGACTCTGAGGCACCACACATTCTGGAACGACTGCGTGGACATGGTCTTGATCCAAATCACAGAATTGTTGACGTCTGTCAGCTGACAGATTCAACTCGGTCCCGGACCAGGCTCTGGGACGATGATGGGCTCACAAACATGGTTGTGGATTATTGGCAGGACCAAGTATGATATTGATACCATACTCGAAAATGTACGGCTTGGTGGTCGTCGTTTCTCCGCATACACTGTCGGTCTCGTGACACTGCACACCTTTGCCACTCTTGTGGCCGAATGAGGTCACGCCCGTGATGCCACAACATCAAGCGTACAATTAAAAGCGAAATTGCTCCAAAGGCACCAGGAACAATCTCAGACATAATATGACACACACGCTCATTGTAGCCGCCTTATGGTATTATGTGTCATTGGGCTGCGTACCATGTCTTGCAAAACAGTGTTTATGGGCTTTGTTGTCGGTCCAGGCAGTGAAGTACACCATACGCCATATGCCATACGCCACCCTTGTGGTAGCCAAGGTGTACTCGCCTCGAGAATCAAAGTGATCGTGACGGTACATTCAGCCCTTGTTTCAAATCCTGTCGCAGTCGTCCACCAAGTCCTGAGTATGACATTCTTCAAATTCGGGTTGCAATGACGAGAGCGAGCCTGCCCTATTGAACCAAAGGTCGAAACGGGCATCGTGACATCACTGGTTTGTGATGACAGTCATCCAGAGGACTTGCACCAGTTTGTCTGTTGTGAATGCTAGGTGCCCAGCTCAAAGAGTTGCGGATGTTGTTGGTAATGTGCGCAAGTCTTGGTGATGCGCGATAACACGCCAGTCGCTGTAGTTGTCGACGTCGTGTCTTGAAACTCTCTGACATGGCGTAGAGACAATCGAATTACATGAAGGCAGATGGTGCGGTCGAAGAGGAGGCGATCAAATGATGAAACCTGGATGAGAACAAACGGTGCGGTTGTCGACGACCGGGCGAGGAAGCTGTGCTTTGGTAAAACTGACTGCCCTGAGAACCCTACCTTGGATGCCAGTATTCACCCAAGGTAGGTCAACTGACAATCGATGTGTCCAAGGTGCGCTGGAATCGAAGACGTGGCGTCCGGAAGATTGGTACAGTGGATGGGCGAGCAAAGGGGTCGTGTTGGTATCGGGGGTTGAAAGCGTGCGACGAGGCTCCTTTATGGACCAAACTGTCCAATGATCAGCTCAATGCTTGAGTTCGTGTCGCAGTCTCCATGAAGACTGTTCAAAAGAGGCGAGACGAACTTATGGTCTGGGGAAGGGAGGACGAACTTACCAAAACCTGACCACTTATAAACCTTTCCAAGCGCGAAAGGCATCTACCAACTGTGTCTTGAACAGCACGCAGAAGCCACTGATATAGCTCCAACACCAGCTCCAGCTTATCCAGGTCTACCGAGCCTCCTTCGTCGATTCCGATGTTCGAGACTCAGATCATTGCAAAAGTCAGAGGCGGAAGGCCCCGCGCTGGGTCACAGCCTCGCAGTGAGTCTTGTTAGTATAACAATCGTGACATCTAATTCCAAGCAAGATCCAGTGGAATAAGAAGCATTGTGGAGAGAACAACACTTGAAGACGGGGTATGGTTGGGGTGAGAGGTTGGGTTTCCAAATTGGATCTGAACACTCTCCTCTCCACGCTTACCATTCAACCTCTACCTGAGCAGAACAGCAAAATTCCAGAACAGCGAAGAAATGTTTTTTTACAAAAAAAAAATTGACCAAGCTCTTTTCTGAGCAACAGACGAATTTAGCCATTCCCGAGCTTCGCCGCTATTCATTGGCTGGTACTTTTCTCCGTTGCGGGTTCGAGGCGAGAGCTACTCGGTATTGCTCAGCTGGATTTAATTCAACCTTTGGCAAATTTGTCTTCATTGGACCTCTTTTCGCCTCTTTCTGGTCCAAAGATGAAACCGCCCTTGGTTGATATACCGGAAAAAGCACCCAGCCTTGGAAGTTGGTGCTGTGACGTGCCTAGATATCTAGCTTCTTTAACTTCTTCCATCGTGGGAATTCCTCTTTTTTTCTTTCGGTCTTCCCTGTGCTCCTCAACTATATCATAGATATTCCTTGTTATATGCCTGCACCCTTCAATTCACTCGGTGGGGGGTTGATTCGGAATCTCATATAGTAAGGCCGACCGCTTTAACCTCCCCCTCTCCACACCATTCTTCCGTTCCTTGTACTTTGTGCCTTCTTCATGGCTTGGTGACCCGATACATCAAACCTGGTTGTGTGATTGTCTGCTTGCTGATCTTTCATTCCTAATCTCGATTCCAGGCAAATTTGCTCCTCACACCAAGTCCTGGGACTACCGCCCTGTCAAGTCCGTACAACGTAAGAATACGCAACACGACAACCCATCAACATGGCAGATAATACTGCATCCAACGGCCATGGCCAACACAACGAGAGGCGGCAGAACACGTCCGCAACGACAGCAGGGAGGTAAGCTAGAAGCCCTGTGGCGTTCTGTTCACTCTGCTCATGCCTTTGATTGCTCCCTTCACTGCGAGTTTCCCTTCTCTTCCTGTTCCTGTTCTTCCCCCTCTTGCTCCTCGTATCTCTCTTTCACTCCTGCCACCTACCTTTCTTCTTGTGAATCCCTTCTCCATCCTCCTCGCCAACACCCATGCCAGCATTGTATGATCATCGAAAGCTGAGCCCGTACAGCCCCACCAAGGATGAGCCCCGCGCCAACAACTCGTACCGCCAGTCTGTTCAACCAGGACGGGACCTGCACTATTACCGCACCTTCCTAGAGGATCTGGTCGCGGTCGTGCGTGATCATGATGCCGACACCGTCTCCCGAATCGTGGCTCTCATCCGCTCTGGTGCGTCGAATGAAGAGATCTACCTCGCCATTCAACAACTCCAAGCCCACTGAACAGTTCCATGTGGAGCATGGATCTCACGTCGTCGTTCTCAAATTTTGGATGTTTCATCTTCAACCAGGGTCTTCGCGCTGCGGCGGCTGGTTTTGAGAGTTTGTCGGTGGTAGCTTTCATCGCGAAGCTGAATCAAATATCTTAATGCTATATTGATTCTTTTTCACTTGGATAGCTGGAAGAGTTCTAAAATTTTTCAGCTTTTTTGCTTCTTGCTTCACTCTTGATGTTGTCCCCTTCTCAAGGTTTGGCGGATTCTTGATGATCGTCAAGAATGAGAAAGAAAAAGCCAAGTGATGGCTGACAAACTGTACAAGACTGACAAACAGCTGATTGAGTGTCTTCAATTCGGAAAAAAAGTTGATGACGCTTCGGAAGTGTATATCCGGCGATTTTGTGGTAACTTTACCCTAGCGCTGTCAAAGATACGCATGTAACTTTCCATGGATTAGCGCTGGACGGAACGAGCCACTGCCTGATCGTGGCCCATGAAGAGAACAAACAGACAAGGTGGAGCAACGGAAACGCCATATGCCGCTGAAGGGCGAACAAGTCTTGGAGATCGTCACTCACGGCAAAGAATTCGACATCACTATGCACCTGATCCATTTACGCAGGCGGCGGCAGGGCATCACTGACCACATGGGTGGACCCAAATGATGCATGCCCGTGGAAGTGACGACCCGCCGATCTGTGCATGGCGGGCGTATGATCGAAGGGATGGGCAGGTGGAAAAAGAATACAAACTCCATGATAGGCGCACAAGCACGCGGGTGGCGGAGCTCGGGTCACCTCTTTTTTCTGTGTTCTGGTATCTCAGGAAAAAGCTTTCGTCGAATCATTCTGGGCAGTCAGGGAAGAAGCCGTCGTCATGCCTCTGCTCTTGACACAAAGACAAAAGAGATGAAGACGACGACTGTCAGTTCTTTTCTGCACCGGGCGTACTCCGTACTGCACCAAGACATTAGGGTAAAGTATTCTCAAAGGGGTCAAGCGGAATGAAACCCTGTGGGCTCACGGATTCTATCTCCGTGCGGTGTCCAGCAATAGAGGCCCAGGGAGTGGTGGATCACCACCCTGCATAGCTGTGCTCCATCAATTGGTTTTCTTTCAGTAGACTCAACTCTCCGTGTGAGCTCCAGCTTTCGAACGGATTTGACCATTTTTCATTTGGAGGAACAGATCTTCATCTGGGACGGCTGACGTACTTACCAGAATGAGACGGAGCAAAAGCATCTCTGCGTGATCAGCACACCACCTCCTGTCCAATACACCTCTCCACGAACCCCCTGACCGTTCCTGCGACCGCAACCTATATCCTCGCTAACTAGGCCACCCATATCGTATCCGTACCTCGTGAAATGGGTTATGATGGAGACGAAAGGAATTGCGTGTCCAATCGATGACCAGAACGACACAACTTTCACTTCGCCTCGAGTCACCTCGACACTGTCACGATGACCATGTCCTCACGGGACTTCGCTTTGATGGATTTGATTCGAATCCTTTTCTCGCCTCGATGGGATGAATCTGAGATGAGCAAGGGAAGTTGGAGAGAAGGTGACCGTACCACGTCGTGTCATCCTTGGCTGGCTGTAGTAGGAACAAGTCTGCTACTGTGAACATGGATTGGCACTCTTTGTGGATATTGCCATAATTCTAGGATGATACAGGTGAATCAAAGAATTGATAATGTGGAGCAAAGGTTGCGCCCTGAGCAAGAACACCGCCTCGTCTCCCCGTGACCGGCACCGAGACTACGGCAGCACACGCCTGGGCGTTCACATACAACATCTAGAGAAATTCAACATCCTCCAGCAAACGAAACTTCGATCCCATTTTCCCATATCCTCGATCCCTCTACAATCAGACCTTCGGCCAAACCCGACGTGTTGTTAGACCTGGTTCAATCTGGTTCGAGTCGACCATGGACCAGAAACCATCTTCCAACACTTGGACACTTCTCTAAGTCTGCTCCGCAGGGCCCACAAATATGCAGGAGAAACATACAACTGCAGATCTTAGTCGTAGCACGGTTGTGTTGGGAACTCGACTACTCGAATGCGCATGCTTCCGTGGTCGGTACTACAATCCCAGGCACCAGGGCGTCGGATTGGACTACAACGGTTTTGGATATGGTGCGAATTAATACATCCTCTTTGGATTTCACGCACCCTGGGTGATGGCTTGTCATGGCATATCGGTGTGCGAGTGGTCTCTTGTGTGTGTGGTTGGTGTCGTTTGAACGACCCGTAGCATTGCGTGTTTATTGAGATACCGAAATTAGAGGTTTTTCTTGCTTCGTTCATATGGCAATTGGGAGTGAACCGTCTCTAAAATCAGTGTCATTATTGCAACTTTGAAATGAGTGAACAATGTTTCTTGATCAGTGCGTGCACTATTCACTGTCTATCGAGTTACTTTGTACTCCGGATGGCTCGATTTTTGGTATGCATATATGCAGGCTTTGCCTCTTCCACTATCAGATTGAAAACTCTAAGAAACAAGTCGTTACAAGTACCAATTGGAAACAGCGTAAAAAATCCACATTGAAATGAGACGTAGGACACCAGTTTTCCTTCATTGCAGCATTTCTCGTCATGCTACATTACCCAGCCTATCGTGATCATGCTAAATTTTTGGTTTGCTATGTTTAAGGAGTGCAACGGCCAGTGTACCGAGGGTACAGAGAGCAGTCGCGGACGGTGTAACGAGCGCACAGCCAAGCGAGGAAACGCTCGAGACCGAGTCCGTAACCACCGTGGGGAGATGTGCCGTACCTATTTTTATGTGAGTAATTGGACATCAATTGGACGAAAAGGGAACTCGATCAAACTTACTTGCGCTGGTCAGTGTACCAGTAGTAGGGAGAAGGATCCATGCCCTCGTGCTTGTAGGCGCTCATCAACTCATCCCAGTCGTCCATTCTCATACTTCCACCGACGATCTCACCGACACCGGGCATGAGCACATCGACACTCTCGGTGACACGGCGGTCCTCGGGAGCCTTCTTCATGTAGAAGGCCTTGATCTCAGCAGGGAAGTGGGTAAGGAAAATGGGCTCGTTGATGATATCGGTCATGCGGCGCTCAGCAGCCTCGGCGATGTCGTCACCGAACTGGTGGGGCTGGCCCTCCTCGTTGGGGATCTCGTGCTCGATCAACCACTGGATAGCATCGTCGTACTTCATGCGGCGGAAGGGGCGCGAGGGCTTCTTGAAATCGGGGTTGAGCTGCTTGATGTAGCCAGCGATCTCGGGCTCAGCGAGAATCGAATCAATGACGCTGCAGATCATCTCCTCGAGGTGGTCAAGCAAATCAGTGAAAGTGATGAAGTCCAACTCGGCTTCGATGTGAGTGTACTCGGACAAGTGGCGACGGGTCAGCGACTTCTCCGCGCGGAATGACGGGCACACACAGTACACATCACCCAGCGAGGGGAGACATGTCTCCAGGTACAGCTGGGATGACTGTGTCAGGTAGGCGTTCTCGCCGTAGTAGTCGAATCCGAAGAGAGTGCTGCCACCCTCGACCTGGGTCTGCACCATAGCTGGGGGGTCACTTCAAGCATAGAGTGCTTTTCGAAGGCCGAGCGGAATGCTCTCAGGGTAGCAGATCTAACCTTCATAACTGAAGAAGATGTCTCACCACGCAAGACGAGGTGACGGTTGTCGTACAGAGTCTGCGGGTCAGCGTCCGGCGCCACACGGGTGGTGATAGCCTCCTTGTCGCCAGCGGCGCGACCGATGATCTCGAAGAAGTCGGCGTGCAGCTCGCGGTCGTTGGGAGCGTGCTGCTTGGGGGGCACGGAGCGCATCTCACCGTGAATAGACATGGAGGTCTCCAGGGTGAGGGTCATGATATCGTAAGTCTTGACCATGTCGCCGGTCAGGATACACTGGAGGTATCCGTAACCGTCAGTCAGAGTGATGAAAACGACATCTTTCTGGGCGCGCGCACGGTGGACACGGCCCAGAACGCGCACGCGGGTGCCCTTTTCAGACTCGGGCGAGCCCAGCTTGACGACGGCCGGGTCGGTGTTGTTCAGACGAATGCGCACCGGCTTTTCGAGCGAGGTATCTTCCTTAATGACGACCTTCTTGGCATCTTCAAGGACCTTCTGGCGCTTGTCGGCCTCGGCCTTCTCGCGGATAGCCAACTCATGTTCCTTAGCGGCCTTCTTCTTGCGCTGCTCCCAGAGGTTGTTGGCCTTCTTCATGGCCGACTTGGTCGCAGGCTTCCACTCCAGCTTGGCCGCGGGGTCGACATCCTCACCGGCTGCGTCGGTCTGGGACTTGCGCGTGAGGTACTCGATGCCTTCGGTGGTGGGGGGGTGTTCGAGGTAGGCGTGGACGAGAGTCTTGTAGGGGGCGGTTTCCGAGCCGTTGGCGGACTCGTCCTTGCCGACGTCCTCGTCGATGTAAATTTTGGTAGCCATTGTGTCTTGCAACTCAGTGAACGGGAGAGTTTCTGTGGACGGAAGATAATTAATATGGGCTACGCAGTGAGTCATACACCAGGAATGCACATGGTGAGAACAGAGATTAGGATGCAGGACTTCACTCACCCAATAAACCAGAGAAGCGAGCTCTTATCTCGTCCCAATTGCAAGTTGTTCAACGCAAGGAGGAATCGCACATTGAGGTGGAGGGGTAAATTTCCGATAGATGCGGATTTCCCCACGGGAGCCTCAGGCACCAATCTCGAAGCACTTGCAGTTACTTTTTATACTTGGGATGAACACAATGTTTTCCTTACTCCGTACTGACGTGGAAGATGTGGATAATTGTAGTGATAGTTTAGCTATCTTCATTCGTTGCTCTTTGATATGTTTTACATTTCCCCTGATCTTTTTCTTCTCGAAATAATCATCCAGATCAAGAACATACACTTTCAAATGCATAGGTTTCGGCAAATATCCATGAATTAGGCTGACTATTTAGCTCCGTATTCTGTGTCAAGGTCGTATATCAACATCTTCTTCGTAGTCATGCAGAGACTGTGTGAAAGCTTTAGTGTCGGGGCTAATCATCCCCAAATTGTACTCCGTATTATTGTCTCAAGTTCACTCGGCATGAACGCCTCTATATACGAGGTTACCTTGGACTACTCTATGAGAAGCATTTATACAAAATAGGGGTCCCAGGTGACGAGGTTCAAGATGTTTCAAACCATCAGACTAGTGCAGCTGCACTCCATTTTCTGCACCCCGTAGTACGGAGTACTTACATTGTGGTTTATTGTCGAAGATATGCCAGGGGGTCAATGGGCCTGATCCAGTTCTGCAGGAGCCACGGAACACCCCAAAAAGACCGACTTTATTTTTTTTGAACCTCGGAATGCGTGTAGTTCCTGGGGTTTAGTCCTCACTATTACTCTGTAACTCCGTACGGAGTTCCCTTAACTAAATCATACACTTGTATAAGATCAATTCAATTCAGTCAAGAGTAGAAATAGGAGTTATACTTCAGACATCGGGAAAATCGGGCCCCCTTAACCCACTTCGATATTCTGCCCCTTTTATCTTTTTTTTATGTTTTTCTCGACCTTACCTGGACTCACTTCCTTGCCTGTTTTCCTTTTGATTTCCTCATTTTCTTCGGGAATTATTGGCTTGTAAATCCTCCCCTAATTGTCTTCCCCCCAAATCCAATCTTATTTTGCCCCCCTTTTTTTTTGCGTCTTGTCCCCTTTTAGTTCCCACTTAGCCTCATTTAGCTAATGACTGTTTGTCCCCAGTCTGGAATCTTTCTCTTCTCTCTTTTTGCCTCTTGCTGCATGGCCCTGAGTCCAACATACATATGGGCATTCTCTAAGGCTAGGTTAGTCTCATTCCCCTGCTCCCTACACATTCCAATTGACTGAGCTTTTTTTTCAGACACGTCTCCATTTGAGAGCTTCTGATTCTTCTTCTTTTTTTCCCGTCTCTTGATATTTGAGGATCTCCTGAATGGTGATCTGATAATCCCTGTCCCTTTTTTTTACTTTTTTCCAAGAGCCTCGTCTGGTTAGGGTCTTTCCCCCAGCACAGGTCCTCTTTCAGGGTCAAGTAGACTTTCCTCGCCATGCAAACCTCGGATGTCTCCAACATCCCGAATAATTCGCGTCTAATTCACCCCAAATACGCGTTGAACGGCGACACTGGTTTCTCCCACGGGGCTTATCATAACAATCACCCCAACTCAGTTCAAGGATTCTCGGATCGAAACGCCCGTCGTGCCAATATTCCCAATATCAACACTGCCGCCGGCCAACCCTCCGATATGGCCTCCGGCTTCGATATGAACTACACCCCCCTGCTTCCCTCCCAGCTGCTGGTGGGCAGTCCTTTCCAACCCGGAACCCCTTCGGCCTTTGCCTCCCCTCAGTTCCAGAACTTCGGTGGTTTCCCGCAGGCCAATCCCAATGGACATGCTCAGAACAACCAAAACCACATGCACAGCCCAACCCAGGGATTACAGAACCACGGACTGTATGGAATGATGTCGCCTGATGGTATGGGACCCTCGCAGATGATGGGCGCGCCTCAGTCGCCCATCAACGGATTAGGGGGTATGGGCAATGCGACTCTGGGCAGCCCCCAGGCTTCAGTGGCCCCTGGCATGCTCTCAGGGACCAGTCGCACGGTCTACCTCGGAAATATCCCGGCGGAAACCTCCGCTGAGGAGATTCTGAACCACGTGCGCAGTGGTCAGATCGAGTCGGTGCGCCTGCTCCCCGATAAGAACTGCGCTTTCATCTCGTTTTTGGATAGCAGCTCCGCCACTCACTTCCACTCCGACGCCATCTTGAAGAAGTTGGCGATCAAGGGAAATGATATCAAGGTAGGATGGGGCAAGCCTTCCCAGGTCCCCACCTCCGTTGCTCTGGCGGTCCAGCAGTCTGGCGCGTCGCGCAATGTTTACCTCGGCAACTTGGCCGAGGAGACGTCCGAGGACGATCTGCGCGAGGAGTTGGGCAAGTTTGGGTCCATTGATACCGTGAAGATTGTCAAGGAGAAAGCGATTGGCTTCGTCCATTTCCTGTCAATTAGTAACGCCATGAAGGCTGTCACTCAGCTTCCTCAGGAACCCCAATGGCAAGCTCCGAAGCGTGTCTTTTACGGAAAGGACCGTTGTGCCTATGTCTCCAAGACTCAGCAGCAAAATGCTGCTCAGTTCCTGGGAATCGCACCGGGATATGCGCACGTGCTCAACACAGCTGATCGTGACCTGATCTCGAACGCGCTTGCACAACAGTCTGTCGCCGCGGCTGCCGTGGCTACAACCGCGGGCGGTGTCAACAACCTTGGTAACCGCACCATATACCTTGGAAACATCCACCCCGAGACCACTATTGAAGAGATCTGCAATGTTGTTCGCGGGGGCTTGCTCCACCATATTAGATATATCCCCGATAAGCACATCTGCTTCGTCACTTTCATCGATCCCACCTCGGCTGCCTCTTTCTATGCACTGAGCAACCTGCAGGGTCTGATGATCCACAACCGACGACTTAAGATTGGCTGGGGTAAGCACTCTGGTCCTCTGCCGCCTGCTATTGCTTTGGCGGTCAGCGGCGGTGCGTCGCGCAATGTATACATTGGCAACCTGGACGAGGCCTGGACGGAGGAACGTTTGCGCCAGGACTTCTCGGAGTACGGTGAGATCGAGCTGGTCAACACCTTGCGTGAGAAGAGCTGCGCTTTCGTCAACTTCACCAACATTGCCAATGCTATCAAGGCAATTGAAGGTATGCGCAACCGGGAGGATTACCGTCGCTTTAAGATCAACTTCGGCAAGGACCGCTGCGGAAACCCACCACGCCAGGCCGGAAACACCCAGCAGAACGGTCAGCAGGGCCGCAATGGATCAGGAATTGAAGGCCCTCAGTCCCCGTCCCCCGTACTGAATGGCTTCCAGCCAAACCTCAGCCACAACGGCTCCCAGCCCAGCCCAACTCGCCCGGCACTCTCCCCAGCCCCGGGTTCTACCGGCTCTCAAAATGGCCCGCAGCACCGCCACCCGCTGCAGACCGTGTCCTCTCCATCGGGCGTGCTGAATGTTGGCTCCAGCAACCCGCTTACTATGTACCTGAACCAGATGTCCCACCAGGGCCAGGATCAGGAGAACCACCTCAGTGATCCCATGCTTGCAGGCCTGCAAGCACAGCAAGCACCTCAGCAGCAGCTATATAACGGCGCCAGCAACGGCGACCTCTCGAACGGAAGTATGGATCCTCCCATGCACCCGCACAAGCCCACGAACAACAGCTACCTGAGCGTGGCCAACGGTCATGGCCACGCGCACCACTCAAGCACCAGCAGCCTCAGCGTTCCCCGTGCCTCGCACTCCCGCGCTGTCAGCTTGCCTTCGTTCTCTCAGGAGCCATTTGGCCCCGTCTCCGGTGCACCTAGCCACCCGCGCGCTGGTGGTGCCCACCAGCCCCAGCAGAGCTTCTCCAGCTTCTCCGGTCTGGGTGGCTTGAACCACTCTGGATTCGGCCTGGCTATCCAAAACGAAAACTCGCTGCCAGGGTGGGCTGAAGAGGAGATCGGAGCCAAATAATGCATGCTCCGATGAAGCTCATCTCGACTCATTCTCGGCGAAACTAATACCTTTTCGTTTCTTTTTCTTTTCTTTTCTTTATATCACATATAGTCCCTTCTTGATTGTCATGTCTTCATCCCCATCTTTTTGATTTCAATTCGTTTCTTGTATTGGTCATAATCTCCTTTTTTATTTTTTCCATTCCTTCTGACTCTGCCATTTACTCTCGAATATTTCTCTTTTTCTCCTATGCCTGTTTTGGATTTTTCCCACACCCCTTTGTCCGGACATATTCCGTTCGCCGATGATTTTATCCCCCTATTAATCCTTTTCATGCCCACCTTCTCCTTCTTTTACCATGTTGTATTGCTAGCTGGCTACGAGTCTCTTCCCTTTTATCCTTTTATTTCTTCTTTATTTTGATCTAGGGGCCGTGAGCAAACGGCTTGCTTCGCTGAATGATGCCACGGAGAGGATGAGTTGGATGAGTTGCGGTGATTTGTCTCGCCTCCATATACCATCCATACACTCGGGCATTGGTTGCCCTTCTTTACTTTGGCCTCTTGGTTCATACTTTTCCTTACGCCGTCGGGCCGATTGCACGGATGGTGTGGCCAATTGAACTACCCTGCCCTCTTGTCTCAGAATACTGATTCACAGAGATGGCCGGGGCTACAAATGTGTAATTAGTGGAAAGGTCCTGGGGAAAGAATGAAATGAGTCGATGAGAAAAATCTATTTCTTGTATGAACAAATTAGTCGGATATCCCTGAAGTACAATAAACATTTGTCCTGCAAATTCGTCTGCTAGATGTCTTTTTTCAAGAGCTACATTGCCTACCCTATGGTTCTTGACAACCGGCTCGACTGTGCCAAAGAGTGTGCCCACTGCAGTGTTGTTGCGTATAGTTCAAAGCATCACGTGACCGTCTATACCGGAAGTGACCCACATCAAATTGATGCTTCACCATCTTGTCCTCTTCCACCTCCCCACACAACCCCGGTGATTGCGGAGTTCTTACACATCCCAAAATGGCGCTCCCACCAGAGCAAATCAACATCAAACGTCGGCGCGAGGAAGAGCCCGTCGAGACTCTGTGTACGAAAGCTGTCCCCTTGTTTTCCCCCACGATATAAACCCCTCCGAAAAAATATATTCATTAGATATTCTCCCCTTTACATGGAATCTAGACCCCTAATGTATACACACATGAAAGCTAACATATCCTACAGTCATTCAATCAGCCGTGCATCAGACAAAGCGGCGCTTCACAGACTTTGTCTTCGAGCGAGTCGCATTAAAAGCCAGCCAGGTCACAGATGGATCACCAAGTCCGCCTCTACCAGCTCACCCCGCAGCGCAGCGGCTACTCCGTAGTCCCCGCTCAGTGAGCAGCTTACATGTAAACCGGCGAGCGCCAGCATCATCCACAGGCGTGCCCACAGTGCGTGCCACCTCTCCAGGGGCTGAATTCCGCGAAGCGCAGCGGATCGCAACAGCACGCAAAGAAGCCGAAGAAAAGCGCAAGCATGCGATCTACTCAGGTCCTTCTCCATTCTCCGACCTCCCAGTTCTTCCAAGCCCTGGATCCAATGCATCTGGTGCATCGAGGACGCGAAGCCCCGCACCGAGGGCAACATCGCCCACCCGCGCGCAGGCTCTTCGTCGCTTCCAGATCTCGCGTTCGAATCTTGGTTCTTTGAAGAGTACCGGGGGCGGAGTTCAGAAGAAGCGCGCTGGTGGGCCTGCGCCGGGTGTTGCTGTATTGGTCGAGCAGCTTCAGCGAAACCCCCATTCGCGCAAGGGTTCTATGGTCTCTGATATGATTGCCGAGGGGGAGACTCATTCCAGGGGTCTTTCTGCGTTGTCCAAAGAGCTTGTTGCTGACCCGGTAGCTTCGTCACCTACCAAGCCCCGCAAACGCCCTGTCGTCAACCAGGCTGAGAAAAGGTGGCGGGAACAGCGGAAGGGTTCGATATCAACTGCCAAACAGAACCTGTCTGATTCTATGGAGAAGTCTGCACAGATCCAAGATCGAAACTGGGATGAAGAGTCTGATCGCTTGGCACGCGAGTTCGAACAGGTCGCACTTGAGCTAGAGCAGGATCAAGAGCAGGATTACGGAATGGATCTTGATTCACGAGTCGGGACTAACCCACCGGCGCCTCAACCTCAGCCTGTGTTGACCTCTCTCCCGAAGACTCCGCTCAAGCACCAGCCACGACTGCCGAAGGAGCCCCGAGTCGTTCCATCGCCTGCGGCTCCGCAGGAAGTCAAAAGCGAGGAGGCTGTGGAGGAAGACGATGACGAGGACTATGTCTACGACGTGTATATCCGACGACCTATTTCGGAAACCGAGATGCTCAAGAATCCCCTGGCCGAGTACGAATCCGAGCAGCAGCAGAAGGTTATCGCGAAGGGACAGCCGGGTGTTGGTGTAATTGTGATCACTGCGGAGGATGAGCAGTATTGGGAGGACTTCGTCGAAGACGATGAGGAGGAATGGGATAGTGAAGACGCTGACTCTAATGGTATGTTACTCTTGGTTTTTGCTCATTGTGTCTACCATTTGGATATGAACTGACCTTTTTCAACTCCGTAGCCGAAAACAATCCTGCGAATGACTACCCCGATGAAGAAATCTCTTCTGATGACGATGAGTTTGATTTTGATGATTCTGCAAGTGAGGATGGAGGAGATGGGTACATGTCTCGTTGGCGCGGGCCGGTCGACTCTGATGATGAGTACTGATTTGGGCTCGCATTCTTTTCAAGGCTAGTACAGAGTAGACAGACCTGTGTTGTCTGATCCGCTGTTTCTTTATTTGCATAGGCGCTGGATTTTGCTTATACACCCGGCTGCTCAGGTGCCTTGATTTATTACAAATACATAGGTTTGATATTCGTTGTCTTCAAGTATACAAATTTAGTAAACATTTGGACAGATCCCTGGATGTTGGAAACAGTCAATTCTCGCCAATGGTTATCCCGAGGTCTGTCATACTGGGTTCATGGATAAGCCCTGTGTGGGCTGTTTCATTCGGACTGGAGCCTAGGCAGATGAATAACACAGGCAGTTTCTGGATCGCAAACGCCCATGCCGCGTCGTGATCCATGGATGTTTGTTTGACCCATGCACAAACCAAGCTAGCTGCAAGGTTAGCACACACCACCCCTGCAATGGTATCAATACAACGTAGTATAGAATAAACCAACATCCAACAAACAAATCTATTAGTCTGAAGGATTCTCCACCTAGTCGATCCTACAATGACCCAAAAAAGGATGCTGAAACAGGAAACAAACCACACCCATGTCCCATCCGATACAAGTGTGGGCAGCGGCAGCCAGTAGCAGAAAAAGCCGCAACCAACAGCGCCAACTCACAGCCATGCCACGACACCGTGTGATTTACAGTTCCCCATCGCTCCCCTCCTCCAAAGCCCCTCCCACACAAGACAAAGGCCCGCTCAGATCAGGATATTGGCGGGATATCTCCGTGAAACTATATTGACTCGACCGGACAAGATTTAAAGCTCCGATCTACCCCGAAACCAAGCTGGATATACGCATGAATCTACATTCTGAGGTCGAAATAGGAAGGACGTTGTATCTGCATCCACGTGGGATTGGAGATATGCTGCGTAATGCGGGGTAGCAGATGTCATTTTTGGCGGGTAGAGTCGGTTTGGCATAAACATCAGGTGAGAAAAAGGATCTTGCATCTTACAATCAGATATGATGACCGAAGGCTATTGGGTGGTGGACAGCACGACGTGATCTCACCACTTTAGTTCTTGGATTCGGAGCTGCCCCATCTAGCATCATGTCGCGATACCGAGCACTTTTCCCCTCCTCCAAGATTCCGAGGGATTTTTTGTGGATTACTCCGTACAAATTGGTCTTGATACATTTGAAACACTGCCGATCATTTGAAGACAAAACGGTTTAGTACTCTGACAAAGAGTGGAAGGGCTCGGCATTCGAACACTGCCCTACAAAAAGTGCCAAGACAAGGCTGCCAGCTGCAGAAACAACACGGCCTACAACCTAAAAAAAAGTCGAAAGACATTGGGCAAGGGCCATTGCGCGAGATGATTCGCATTGAAGATCAGGCTCCATGTTCTCCGGTTTGTAAGATAGGCCAAAAATACCGAAGATTACGCAATATACAGCAGTATCCACCTCGGCTACCCCGAGGGCTAGTTATCCATGGTTCTGCTAATACACAAATGACTCGGTTCTTGGGTGTTTCACTTTTTCCCAAGCTCTGAGGCTCTGCGCCAGTACCGTATTTTTCAGTTTGTAATAGATTACAATACACAGTCCGGAGTACTCAGTACTTGTTTTCCGTAGGGTTGTAGTTTGGCCCTGCACTTGACGGCCGAAGCAACGTTCTGACTCGTAAAACTGCAGAAATCAATTAAAATGGCGTCACTCCTGCACAGCCAACTTTCGATCCCTGAGAAACATGAAAAGGATTGTTGCCAAACGTAGTCAAGATGTGCGAGAGAGGACAGTACTACGAATCCACTATTCCTCGTATACCGAATGTTCAACGGGACGCCTAGTCAAATCGCCCAAATAGACTCAGATGCCTCCAATTTTCAAACTCGACAGAGTTAATAGTCGATCCACATTAAAGTGATATCAAACTTTTGCAATTGCCGATAGTCAGACCTGCCAGAGTCGGCTTGGCTGTACGGAGTACGGACTAACCTCCCCCCCAAAAAGCCATTATACTCTTGAAGACAACTCGTATTCCCCCAACTTAAACTTCGGTGAAACTTCGCCTGTCGTGAAGAACCACTTGTAGACATCCGTATTCATCCTGGACGAGGCACAGTGGTCGCATGTCAGACCGAAGCCTATCTACGCCCAGATACAACCTCGTCAGACTGCTACGTACCATCCACTGTGACTACAAGTATGAGTAGACCTTGTCTCATACTATAATCTCAATCCATCGCCAACAATTGAACATAGACACGCGCAGACTAGCCCATCCTAGGAGGTCCGTTCCCGAGGCTAGAGACCCGGGTCTCTGGCTTCGGTGTGATGTCGGCAGCATTAGCCTTTTGCCATTTCGTCAATGCCTCGGGAGTGATTGGCGTGGATGGGAAACACCTACAACTCGACTACCACATCGGTGTACACACCGATAGTTGTTGAGGTTGGCATGCGTTGGACGACTCCATTTGGGAGTAAGTGCGAGGTGCATGCATCTCATGATCGCCGCGGTCGCTCATGACCAGAAGTCGAGGAATTGAATATGTCGGTGAAATCATTTCGATTCAAATTCGACCAATAAGAAGCACTTCTAACTGTTGGTTTTCAATAATTTTTTACAATTTTTTTCCAAAAATGATTTCGATGGAAAAAGCACGAAGGATTCATGTCACACCCGACCCCCCTTCGCTCACCCCCAATGCCAAAGCCTTGCGGTGAGATTCTCAAAGCATTGTAAATTGTAGAATGAATGAACGCAGCCATTGTTTAACAGCTTAGCCTTCGATCGCCCGTGTAACAATTTCCTAGATCAGGCCGCCCGGGCAGATCGAAACCCACTGTGGAAATTTGATTCTGCAGCTTTCAAAACCTACAGAGTCCATATCCACATCTCAAATTGTGTAACCGTGGGTAATCTCAGAATATTCAGAAAGTCTGTCACTGCGTCTGACAATGGGTTTGTTCTCCACTATGGAGACTAGCCACTGTGCATATACGGGACCCCGTGCATGATATTTACGCTGCCCTATGAAATCTCACGGCGAGCCGGCTGTGTTTCTCCGGCAGTTAGTGGGCCTTTATTTTGATTAAGGTCCGATGGATACCAAAACGTACTGCACAGACCAGTGCGAAGAAGATCTCATCCCGTGCAGAGTCGAGCTGAAGAGTCGCAGATCCAAATCCATATTGATTCCTCGGAAATGCATATTCAAATCCAAAATCTCTGCAGTCTAGACGCGAAGGTAGTCCCACTGTATGTTTTGTGATCGTCTTGCACTTTCTCTACTTGGAACGCCTACAATAAGCGAGGTTTTGTATGACTCGTTTTATTCCGAACCAGTGGTCTTTTTGCTTCTCTTTTTTTTTAAAAAAAAAAAATGAAATTATGAAAAACAAATGAAGCTAGTGAGGGTGCAAAGAGGGAAAGATCGCCGAGCACACGAAAATAAGCACAACATTCGGTTCGGCAAGAAACGAATCGTCATGTAGAACCACGTGTTGTTAGTGCTTACCCCTTGCTGAGCCGGTCTGCATGGCCCACGGGGGTGGCTATGGCGAAGGATCACGATGTGTTCGTCCTGAGAAGTGAGGAATGACCTCTCAGCTGCCTCGGGAAGAACCCCACACGACTCAGCCAAGAGAGACGGGGCACGAACGAGGAAATACATCATATGTTGTGGACTGTACTCCGTCCGGAGTACGTGTACTCCATCTGGACTCCATTCCCCGAATACGAGTGAAGAAGATCCGCAAAATGGCGCCCAATAGTCCATGGTGGATTAGAGAGTTCCCAGACCATACGAGAAAAAATCCTAATATTCGTGGATATTATTCGACACGCGCGAGTCAAGGTTCACGGGCATTGGTCGCCTCGTATAATTTTTCAATGTTAAAAGATAAACCAAAGACCTGGCCAATGCAATATCGGCTGGAGAAATGTCTTATTGATTACCTCTGTCCCATATTCCTAAAGAGTTGCTAGGTGTGAAGTGCGGAGTACTCACTCCGAACTTAGCCCTACCATTATCCGCAAGTGTACTCCGTAATTACGGAGTCGCGTGTGATACAGCCAAACGCGATGTAATTTACGGTACGGTATACAATGATCTCATACCGCCTGGGTACTTTTCGCCGGGGTTTCTCATTCGCCGCTTCGCTTATCATTTCTTTGTGTTTTTCAAGTGCCGATCGATTCCTTCTGGAATCCGGAGTCTTCGAACAGGTCAATTCTCGCGTCTCTTTTTAAGTTCTCGTCTGGTCAGCTTTCTTTATTGCAAGCGTTGAAGGCTAACGGTGCCGAAAGCTCAGATCTCCTTCAGACAAAGGTGACAGCATGACCTGCCTCGCCCTAGGCTGAATGTGGGAAATGAAGAGAGGCACTAGTAGTTGATACTGTATATTGAGGCTGCTTGGCAATATCTTCTCACTCAATTCTTGAATTTGAGATGATTACGGAGTACACTGGGGCCACAGCACCTGGGTTGTAAGGGGTTGCACCTTGATGATTGTATGACGGAGCTTGCTGATTGGACTAGCGATTGGGTTACCCCATTTGGTAATTTAACTCCATGAAGACAGATGGGCAGTTGTGTATTACTCAGTACAGGTACTAGCACAGAGGGACTACACAAAGAGAGAAATCAAAATCGGGGGCGATGTGGCCCCCATCGTGCCATCTCGATTCAGTGGTTCATCGACGATGCGACTAAAGGTCGTGGGGTCCAAAAAGCGGAGGCATGATGTGTTCACCTCTTTCTGTATGTGTGCTGCAACGATTGCTTGTATGAGGTGTGTTTGATTTTTGATTTGCAACATACAAGTACTGTGCAGCTCTGTCTCAGTGGGTACGGGACTAACGAGTCAGTCGCTGCTAACGAAGTACAGTAAATGCAGAAATTCCTCATGTAGTACGGAGTACGGAGTACTGCCCCTGCTTATAAAATTGTGTCCTAGTGCAAGTTCCCAGGTAACCATGCGTAATCACTTATGCGACTTGAACATGTACAGCCGACTCGACACACAGGTTCTCAATTGTGAAATAAAGACTCGGCTCCGAGAAGCGGAGCTCGGTCCACAGAGCAGGGGCCACGAAGCAGCTCTTGAAGTGTGGCTGGATTTAGGAGGATCGCAATGCTTGAGTAAGACACGCCTCTCCCGCGGATCCAGGCAAGATCGCAAGATGTAAAGTTGCAAAGCCGGCGCCTGGCTTTTGCGGCTTTTGCGGCTTTTCCTTCCGGCGTCCAATAATTGCGGAATTACCGGGGTTCTCAGGGAGCGTTACATGCATACACCGTCAGGTGCTCGCCAATGCAGGACGCCCCAGTACGCAAGTTACCGGGATCTTCGGGCTATCTTAACTCAAACAAATATCACGTTTAATGTCTAAATCCCTCCAAAATAAACGTTGCCGCATTCCAAATACTCTGCATACACCCTACAGCTTGAGAATGTCATGCCACGCGTACCAGATCTGACAGCTCGGCGTAATTCGGGGGATCGACTCCGATCCAAGGTTCGCCAGGAATTGCCTGAGCCTCAAAGCCCGATCCATGGTTGAAGGGAAGCAATTTGGAATTTCCTCGCGTATATACGAAACTACTTAGTGTACCCGTCACTTATTGGAGTAACAGGCGCGAAATTCGGAATTAACCGTCGATTTTTCACTTCTTTTTCTTTGGTTCGTTGTGGGGGGTGGTTGTCCCGCGCCCCCTCTCGGGCTTCCCATTGCAAGTAACGGCCCTGCCCGCAAAACTGTGGGCTTCCCTGATCAGTGCGCAATGTTGCGCAGTGACTGCGCGTCTCCCGTCCAGGGTCCAGTCCAAGAGTAGAGAGGTCTTGTGGAGAAAATGAACAAGTCACCTCGAGACGGGAACATTCCGTTCCAGATTTGGGATATTGGATGATTCTCGGTCTCAGTCTAGATCTTCGTTGTTGGCCCCCAAATCCAAAGATCCATAGCTAATCTTGATCTCCGTTCTCCGTTCTCCGTACTCCGTAGTCCGTACGGGAGGAACAAGAACAAAGCTAGCAATGAACTAACTGAATACCGACATCTCCGATCAATGTAGCTTTTTGCGTGCTTTTGATAAGCGGCTATCGCTAACGCTTAGCTGCTAGTGTCTGTGACGACCATACGAAATAGAGGTTTAACATGGATTTGGAATCAAACCCTGCATAATGTAGATTTTGTGTAAAGTGACACAAAGGAAAGGAAGGGGGAACAGAAATGGTCATGGAATAGAATGACGATTTCGACACATCTCACCGATCTGCGCGGCTCAGACAAAGAGTCAAAAAACGGGAAAGTAGAAAAACAAAGAAAAGAAAAAGAAAAAGACCGAAACCGAAAACCCATGTAAGCGATGACATTGATTGGCTGGTGGGAAAGAAATTTTGGAATTAAGAACCAATCTACACAACGTTCTCTCCAAAATTAAAACTCAAAAATGACACCTTTTGGTTGGCCGTTAGATTGATGCCAATATGCACGGCATGACTCGCGGAGCAGGCAATTTCACTAATGCCTAATTATTTTACTCGTGTTCGATTGGAGTCAGTGAATGCGGGCGGTACTCCGTATGCAGAGTAAAAACAACACCATTGAAGCTATTCAAAAGTAATGGGAAAGGGAAATGTCTATATCAATACGGAAGTACAGAGTACTCTGATGACGGTATTGTAGACACGTGACTGAAATGGCCTGCGGCTACGCGACTGACGAACGCCAGGGATACCCCGATTGGGCTGGAGCGTCAAAGAATATCGAGCGGGGAGGGCTGGAATAGTGATCTGATCTGCACGGAATCGGGGCCCTCAGGGACTAGGATAATGACCGGTGAGGAGATTATTGCCAAGGGGTTTCGGAAGCAACGGGCCATACAGCGCGGGAAAGTGACGCCCTAGTTGAGCATGGGTTTGGCGCTTGCGCAAGTTGACTGCGCCGCACGAAGATACGATTCCGGTGTTGGTCACTGCTCGTCTTGGTATTTTTGGGAGCCTTTTTCTACTTTCTTTTTCTCGATAGTTGATTTTGTTTGATTCAATTTAGATCTTTTGTTTTCAACTTCTTCTCTTTTTTCAATCAACAAGATCAGCCCAGTCTCCTACAGTGTTGATTTTGATATATCCTGGACAGCTTGACTCGGAGTTTGCATCTGATCGTGCCCAATGTCCGTAAAGTACATTTGATACCTAAATTACCAGTGAAGAGAATCCAAGTGAAAACCGTTGGCAGCTGCAGATGACCGACGATCTACCTGGTCAAGGCGTAGATCGAGGGAAAATGGCGCATAGGGGGAAATTTTTTATCACGCGAGTGTACGGAGTAGAACCGCTATCGTGTAGGATATGAAAAGTGGGTACAGCTCGGCTGTATGATGGAGAGATTTTCAATATGCCACTGGACTACGGGAATCCCCTCTTTCTGTGCACCGGCTGCTGCCGACTAACGCTAGAGCTTGTTATTGGATCCCCGCGCATAAACTGGAGCTGGTTGGCGAAATTGAGGCCATCCATGGTTCGATTGAATCTCGGGGGCGACGAGCTGAAAGAGATACATGGATATCCCGGAGTACGGAGTATTGAGCCGCAAATTCAAGAGCAAAAGCTGTTTCGCGTCTCTTACCTCATACTTGTAATGCAACTTGAGATGCAGCGACAAATGCGTTGGCATTTTTCCTCTCTGCATCTGAGGCCAAATTGAGCCTGCATTAGCTCCTGGCGCTCATTCGTTCCGAAGTCCCAGGGCCATGGCGTACGTCGCAACAGATGACTTTTGCGTCTACCAATAGACGCCGCGCGTTTGTGTTGGTTTTTTAGTGCCTTTAGTGCCTTCTCTTGGATTTTCTTCTTCTTCTGCTTGTCCACGCTATTTCGTTCTAAGCAAATGGGGACCAAAATATTAATCAAAAAATAATAATACACAACGTCTGACTGTGTCTAGGCGGTTTATCCACTTCACATGAAGAACGGGTAGCGTAGTGCAAATGAAACATTCCATACTAAAACAGAAAATGCACGCGAGTTTTCTTCAATTGCCTGCCTTCGCTCTATTGGCTCACATACTTATGCTGCCGTCTCATTTGAGGACCTATCGTCTAACCGCTCATGCAGTGGCAGGGCTGCAGATGTCCTGTATAGGCATGAAGTAGGGCAACAAAAATTCTGGTTTTATCCCATGTACCTAGGTATCTTGCTTGTTATGGAACGATTTGGAATATCTCGCTCAACCTGACAATGAAGATTGAGGGATGCTCCTGTACCTCGACATCTATTCTCCGGCGTTCTTTGTTTGAATGCCATCTACTCATGTACTAGATGCTTCTCCAGTGCCTTACGGTCGAATTTGTCATAAACTTCGTCCGCGCTAAGGGTCGTAATAAAGAGGTCAAAGGTAAAAAAAACCAAGGTCGGTAATTTTCAATACCCCGTGGCCCCCATTTTTTCTCGTAAATGCATACGGAATACCTACAGAAGTGATCGGCCGAATTGTGTCATATTCAAGCTCCTTCAAAATTTGCCGCGAATGTTAAGACAAAGAGATCGTCCCCAAACCAGGTCGACGTCTATTTGACTCGGAGTAGACCGTTACAGATCGCCACTTATATCAATTTACCCAGTGGCAAATCGACTATCATGGGTGTAATTAAATACTAACTTGGAAAAATAGCACGTTAAAAAGTCCAGAACCATACGGAGGTTAATGCTGCTCTCCACCGGACGCATCCTGCCTGGTTCACCGATATGCTAATAATAATAATAATAAAATATGTCTCTGGGGGTGGAACCTCTTGAAAAAACCCCCCATCGGACTACCCCCCCCCCCTGTTACCTCCAAGGAGCCTTGTCATGTATCCGCGGTACACAACTATACAGGGGGCCAAAGGAGCAGGCAAATCGCACCCAACAGATTGACTTGGGAACTATTTTTTTTTTTTTTTTTTTTGGATTTATTTCCAATCCCAAAATTCTCATTTAAGACCCAGTGCTCCAGGTGATCTTCCTTTTCTTCTAGAGTTTCTGAGATCTATAAACCTTGCCCGTTACCCTCTATACTTTATCCTCTTACCTCCCGTACTCCGTGCCCTCCCTTGCTTATACGCATGTTACATCAGATCCATTGATCTGATATACTTACTCTTCACACCTCCACACCCTTCTCATTCGGCCTAAAGCACTTGGGGAAAATACTTCCAACCCCAGATTTGTCGATCAACTATAAATCTTAAAACGACACTTGATTCCATTTTCTTGACACATGCCCTCCAGAAAGGAACACTAAGAATCATACGACAATATCCCCTCACGACCAAAGCAAAATGAATATCGACGCTCTACTCAACCCAGGCGACGGGGACTCAGCATCTTCACAGCCCCAACGTGCCCCAATCTCCCAGCGTCACAGCTACCATGGACCTTCACCAAGCTTTCCTCCAAGTCCCAACTACTGGTACAACCAAGGCTATCACGACAACTCAGATGCACAATCTACCAATCAAAACTACCCCGGCCACTACCCCCAACAGCAGCAAGTCTTTGTTAGCTACAGTCACAACAACCAGCCACGAGGCAGCACGAGCACAAACAACAGCATGCCCCCTTCACCAGACCCTTACCAATCCCGTGAACGTTTCTCCAGCGTCTCCAGTGGTTCCTCTACGAACGGTGACCGCCGCCGCGCTCCCCGCCCCAAGTACGAGGAGGAGGAGATGTACTTCATCTGGTACCACCGCGTCGACCTGGGTCAGGAATGGAAGGATGTTCGCGAGGCTTTCAATCGCCAGTTCACCAACCGCCAGCGAAGTGGTTTCCAAGGCATCCAGTGCAAGTTCTACCGCTTCATCAAAGAGAAGAAGTGTCCGACTCTGCGGGAGCAGAGACGCTTGCGGGATGGGCTGTTCCTTCGCGAGGGGGCCTCTGCTGCGCTCGTTGACGACGCTAATGGGGCCCCCAGGTTCGGTGTGAGGGAGTACACTAAAGTCTGGTACCCTTGGATGCGGAAGGGTGATTCAGAGAGTGTACTGCCGCGCCGGTGATTTTAATGTCTACTGGATTTTCTTTCTCCATTTTTTTTTTTGTCTTCATCTCGTTGTTGAATTCTCATACGTCTTCGCGTGGGTCGGTCTTCGTCTTTTTGTTTAAAGATACCTCACTGGAGTTCTTTTTCTCAGTTCAGCGTGGGAGGTCTGTTGTCATTTTGTTCCGATCGTTATACCAGGCCTTGTCCGTCTCCAAAGAGGCTCCTGTCTTTTCTTCGTCATGTCTTTCTACCCGCCCTTTCCCTTTCTCTACATCAATTTGGAGCTATTCGTCTACAATGTACAGTGTGGAGCCATTCACGACAAATGTCAATGCTGTTTGAAAAAAATGTTGATCTAGATTTAGACACCAAGACTTAAAATGTAATCTGACATGTCACATCATGAATATGCGTCTCTGCAAGAGCATTCTCTACAAGAGCATTCTCTACATTCAATATAAAATGTACACTGTACGGAGTACGCACCACGGCATCTCATGATTGCTCACCGCACGGTATTCAGCACAAGATCAATTTCCGCTACGAAGTACTACCAACCCCTTACCTTCATTCCTGACTCGCCAACGCGCCCAAATGCATCCTTCAATGTAACAGCCCTGTGCAATGTGTTGTCATCGCCATCATGCCAGCCTCACCCCGGCCCCAGTTGGGAGGCGGAGGGGGAGGGCGCTACACCAACAACTGTCATAGAACCAGGGGGCTTACTACTTCGTACTCCGTACTCCGTACACACAGTCATACCACTACTTGTGAGGAGTACCCAGCTCTGACGACTTGGCCGCAAGGATAAGCACGAACCAACTAGTCTCCTACGAACCATTCCACCCGCAGTGGAGCAGAGCCCCTCCAAAAAACCAACACCAGGACAGACGCTACCCCCAAAGAAAAGAGCGTGTGCACAGCCATCTTCAGCTCGCAATCCCAACACTACCCCCTTTAGCCGCCCTCTCCCCGTGGCCCCTCCAGCCCTCTATGCTATTACGCGCCGGGGTCTGTCTCGGATAAGACCAAGCAAGGCAGAACAAGGCGTATGCCAACTCATTAAGGGATCCGACAGTAGGGCGGCATTCGGTTCGCTGTCGCAGTCTTATTTACACTGTTCAATTTCCGAGGGTGTTGGATCCCATTTGTCGACTGCATCGCTGCATCGGGCGGGACATCGATAGTTCACTACGGTTCAAACCGTAAGTATTCTCGTACGAGGTGATGGGGGCGGGTCACATTACCAGTGCTCTACGTACGCCGTAGCAAGGATGGCAGCCGCATCGATCAAAGTCCCCTGTCCAGTCTCTAATCTCAATTTGGAGATCGGGATTTCTTCGCCGACACCTCGATCATCCGCAGCATGATCTGCGTTATTAGTGCCTTTTACATGGCACTTGGGTTCGAGTGAGGTATCGAGAGAGGCGGGTGAAAGAACTAAAAAGAAAGATGGACAGATGATAAGGGGTAGAAATGACATGTCGCGCATCTCTATGGCATTTGATCTGCAAATCGAGTTTTCTTTTCTTTTTGTGAGTTCTCCATTCGCCTGTCTCGATGGAGAGACGGAGCATGATAAGTGCTAGTAACTAATACGGAGTACTTCGTGCTCCATACTATGTCGTTGACGACGCAGATTGACATCGAGGGCCAAAAAAATGAGGGGCCAGTTTTGTTCTTAGCGTGCTGTCGGGTTCGGGGAAGCAGCCGCGGGCTCCATAGTGGTCAGGTAGTTTTAGACGGGGTGATCCCGGGACTTGATCTCCGATCTCTCTCATGTCTTAGCCTCATCTTTTGGAGATTCGGGGGAAGGATTGATGTGGGGCGTACAAATCCGGTCTCAGAACGGTGAAGAATTGATCGGCAAGGGTATGAATATGATGACATGGTTAAACGAGCACCTGGGCAACACTCTCGAAGTACGGAACAACCGGCTGTGATATCCGATTATCAGGGGCAAAACAGGTGAGTTATACGATCTACTACATAATATTGTCGCACAGCGTAATATGTATAATGAGTACTCCGTACGGGAGTACGTAGAACATGCACTGCAATGCATGTTTCAACAAATGATGAAATCTCATGTTTTTCATATGAAAAACCACCAAAAATCAAAATAAAAAAAAATAAAAAAACAAAACAAAAAAAACACCGGGCAAATCCACCTTGGAACATCCCCGGCGCCATAGTTCGCACTAAAGTCGCACTCCCCATTCCGAAATGCCCACCATCCCCTTTCCGGCTGTCGAATCGACACGCTAGTCCAAACTAGGTAGGAGGGGCCCTTTTTGGCACAGATATAGTTCGTGTTAGCTCATCCTATTTCCACCAATCATCGTCCTGAATTACCCCTGTAAAATTCACCCGTGCTTGCACGTTCAAGTAATATCGGACTGGTGATTCGTATATGCCGTACAACACCATTAGGTACTGTTGCATCGTCACTACATACGCAGTATTACTCATTGCTACTGTCATGCACCTGGATAATTGGCCCGGCTTCCATGGCCAATGTGAACATATCGTATTGAGCTATCTGTCGTAGGACAACGTCCCCTAGAGGATGGAATACCTAATGTAGATGCCGCGAAGATCCTGCCTCCCAGGAAAGAAATGTGAGATCCGTCTCGGTGCCCATGATAGGCTGTGAGTAAAGGTCGAAATGACATGCGACTACTCGCGGATCGACTCGAATGCAGGGTTTGGCTCGTCGATGAAGTGGTATGCCGTGGCGCGAGCACACCTAAAACATCCGTCAACATTCATAACACTTCCCTCCCTGGTCTTCTGAAAAACTTACGGGTCAACCTCAAAGCGGGAGATACAGTCATACGTGCCATCCTTGATGTCCTGGTAGAACTTCCAGGCATCGTGCAGATCATAGAAAGAGATGGCAACATCGACACCAGACTGAAGACGGTAAGCAATGGATCACACTCAGGCATAGTATTGATAGTCTCTGAACTCACCTCAGCCTGCGTAATCAGGATCCGCTCGAACTTCAGATCATGCCATTCGTCCTGCGCAAGGACACCCAGAATGGGAGTACCGTCGCCATCCTTGAATCCGGGAGCGAGACCTTCCAGGCAAACGACACGGGAAGCACCCTCTGCAACTCGCTGTGCCAGCTCGGCATGGTCACGAAGTCCTTCCTCGGGCATGGTAACGGTGATGATAGCCTCCTCACCATCGGCAGTCACGTACTTGATGCCGTCGGAATGTTTCTCATAGTAGTCAAGACAAGCAGCCTCCTCGATGAACTGAACAGCGACAGTTCCTTCTTCGTTCCAGGCATATTCGACAGCGCCCCCGTGAGTCAAAAGAAGCATGCGGGAAACAGTGGCCCAGTCAGGCAGGTCACCGAAAATAACGCGGCGAACAGGACCAGCAGCAGCGGCCTTGGCCGCCTTCTGCTTGATCAGACGCAGCTTGCGGAATTGAGTCATGAAATCATCGGGATCGGCAATACCCTGGGATCGGCCGGTCTTGGGGGTTGGGGCAGCCGGTTCATCTCCATTTCCGACCTGCACCTCAGCTGAGCCGTGGTCCGGGTTGAAGGAGGCAGCGGCTCCCGACAGACCAGATGCGTACTATGTGTGTTGTTAGCATGAGATGAAGCGTCGATCACCGTGCTGGAATTTTGAAGCAGAAGGACGAAGCGCCAATGCTGAAACATATTCAAAATGTGAAGGGGAAGATGGAGCATACCTTCGACTTATCCATGATTGCGATGGAGATGGAAAGTGGGGTTGGGAACCGAAGACAGGGAAGTGAAGCGCGAAGGGAGAGAAAAGAAAAGAGAGGCGAAAGAAAAACAAAAGAGAACATGGACGCGTTGGGGTCATGTTGGGAAGGAGCGAGTGGTGGCCGGGAACTCTGTGGGTGTGCCTGCCCTGGCAGACACCATTGAATGTCTTTCCAATGGCATTTTGTGTTCGAACGGGGATGGAGGTCTACACTATCCACAGCTGTCCCTACGCCCTATAGTGAGATATACGACTGCTACCTGCCGAGAACTTGGGCATTAAATGCTCAAAGCTCTTTGACAATACACTGTTTGATATCACTGACCACTGATGAAGGCTCCATTGCGTATGCATGTCTTATACCTCCATATGATCATTGTCATTTGCCTATTTGAATGAGTTCGGAAGTGTCACCGGGTATTCACTAAGATATTTGACTGCCCAGGTGGACATGCATATCAGATGCTCCAAGAAAGAGTATAGGACAGACATAGTTGGATATTGTATTGCCCAGGTGAATGCGAAGTACCTTTGTAGCAAACTCATGGCAACCTTGGAATAAGAAGAAAAATGAAACTCTGGATCAAATTGTCATAGACTAGTTGAAGAGAGCAAGTACTGGTAGACCAGCATGGTCTAACTATATTCACGATTCACGCCTGCAACGGCGATGTTGCTTGACAGTATGGTTGGGACAAACAAGAACCCAGCTGGAGCCTTGGAAGCATGTGATAGCTGTGACCCAGGTGCCACGGTGCCCGACTTAAATAAATAATTGATTTGCATGATAATTGTAGATTGACGAGAACCTGGTGGGGGAGCTCAAAGACAGGGATATGTTGCCCAGGTGGAAATGTTTGATGGCCGTGAACACAGAATGAAAGTGTGAACACCCTAGCGTAACTTCGATAAGTTAATTCAAAGGGTCTATATAGAGCCTCAAAGACAGCAGGGTTTACAGAACTACCCATGGTTCATGTCGAGTGACTGCCCTGGTACAACCTTTGTTTAGTACTCTTTGTTTGGTCCGTATGAAAGAGAAAAATCATATTGAATGATGAGATTGGGTATCATATTCTAATGTCCAGTGATATTATGAAGGAACAGGAATATTTTCAAAGCCCTTTTGTCCAGGTTTGCGATCTTCAACAATAACCTGAAGACCACGGCGTCCACAATATCCATCATTGCCAGCAACCCGATCAACAAGCTGGAAGGAGCCGCCGCCGTCCACCTTGGCATCCGGGATCCAAACCGTCTCTTGGACGTTCTGGCCAGGAACCTCCGCTCGCCGTGGGTTGTACCAAGGCAAGCCAACGAGGTGATTACCCAGATTGTGGAGGAAGGAGTATAGTCCTTCGAAACGGCGAGTGACACCCAGCCATGAAAGTGTGCGGTGGTTGTAGGCCGTCCGCACAAAGGGATTCATGTAGATACCGGTGTCGGAGATATTGTCGACGTCAGTCTGAGGATCCTGGATGTCTGCATGAATAAGACAGCACTCAGATGCCTCCCAGAAGAGATCGTGACCAGAGCGGAAACGTGCCGGGTTGGGCGAAGTTGGCGGCGACCCGGATTGGAAGTACTTCGCGTCGAAAGCGACCATTCCACCCCAGCAGCTGCGCACCCGGACAGCATCTTTGCCGGCTAGCACGTCACGCCGACTCTCGCCTTTGCCGGAGGTTGTGAACCATGGGTAGAAGGGAAGACCCATGCTGTAGCCCTCGAGGTCGCGAGTTGCGTATGTGTCGTAGAATTTGAAAGGATTGTCAAAGTCCACGGCGCACGCTGCGCGGTATTGTGCAATGCCCTCTTCGTTGGCGTTCGTCGAGAAAAGGAGCTGGACGGTGTCGATAGGGTGGAATAAGATATCGTTCATGTATAGGAGCTTATCAAATTTCATATCCGGGAGGTCGGTCAATGGCTGGAGCGCTTTGTTCCGTACCTGAGCCAGATATTCGATACGCTTAACCCGGTTCGAGCCACCAGGAATCGTCACGGTTGGAAGGGTCTTTGGGTCCAAGTGTTTTTCCGACACAATCGACTTTGGACATCTCACTTTCTCTTCCAACTCGCGGAGTGCGCGCTCTCCCTCGTCACCACTGTCATTCTCGTATATACTGAGGAATACATTGTCGTGTCCGAGCAGATCAATTAGATCCACCAACTGTTCTCCCCATTGACCCCGAGCAAGCTCACCCCCACTGTCGTATAGACTTGCCGCGATAAACACCTTCTCGCCTCGCGGGTTTCCGCGCCCAGAGTATGAGCCCCCAAGAACGGATTCGCGGAGCGTGGCGTAGTGCGCTGGCGGGTGCGTATAGGAGGGGAAGAGGATCGATGTGAGCAGCGCAAGAACGAAAACGATGCCGACAACGACGTGGATGTAACAGCAGCGGCGGATGCAGAATCGGCGGGAGCAGCTTGGCCGTGGGGTACCTGCGAGGGCCGGTCTGGAGTTGGTCTTTAAACGGTGATATCCTGTGGAAGCCGTTGAAAATAGTCGAGATAGCCAGGGCAGTCGACGTTTGCCAAATTGGGATGTGGGAGGGACTTGAGATTCAAAATCGGCCTCGTCGAGGTTGAATGTACCCTGCGAGTCGACCGATGATCGCGAGGCCATCTCCCATTCATCGGGATGGAGCAATCGGGCGGTCATGGCGGGAACAAATGAGGGCGATTTGCCCCTTGTTTCAACTGCAAAATGATCTGGTGTTGGGGGAGAAGCCGCAGCCATGGTTAAGGGGTCTATGAATCCAAGTGTTTGGTGACTTGATCGTTTTCCCCCCGGACCCATAGATAGACTTACATCATCCAATCACGTGGACCTAAAGTATAACCATCGCCATTGCCATCAGCTCAACGGCTTTAGGCCTCAACGAAAGGCTTCAAGACTTACAGAGGCTGACAAATTTGATTTTTATGAGCGATCTAGCAAATAGTAACATTCTAAGGGCACTTGGATTCCGTCATTTGGTGATCCCAACATGAATTGTGCAACATAAGCTTCCGATGGAAGCTCCGGTACATAGTGACGTAGCTTCAATCTGACAGGCTCGAGTACTTCTTCTCGCCCCGACGATTTGTCTTGCTTTAATTTATCCTCTTTGCACCCTTCTACAGTCACTTTGTAACTTGAACATACATTGATCCCCTTGTAATTGCCTCTCCGCATCTCACCATGTCGCAATCAGCATTCAAATTCGCCAACTCGAATGCCAAAGTACCAGGCGATGGTACCCCGCCTCCAGAATTCACCATCGATGCGCCAGCTTCGACAGACATCTGGGCCAAACCTCCCTCCACAACTCGTTTCTCAGCCCCAATTCTGTACCAATCGATGCCGCTGAAGTCATTCAAGCGGGCCCGTGTCGCTTTCAACGCTCTTTGGAAGAAGAATTATGACCAAGGAGGCTTGGTAATTGTCCTCAACGCCGCCGACGGTAGTCAGAAGTGGGTGAAGAGCGGCATTGAGCTCACCCATGGGCGACCCCACCTCAGCGCCGTCGCCAAAGACAACTGGGCGGATTGGAGCTTGCTTCCGGTTCCATCAGGTGGTGGCGCAGCTACTCTCGAGATGGTTCGAGAGGAGGACAATAGTCTGTGGATCTATCTGGTTGAGGGTGTGCAGAAGTCGCCTATCCGTGAGGTCACTTGGGTCTTTGATCAAGATGTGAAAGACATTTGGGTTGGTGTTTATGCTGCTCGACCTTCGAGTGAGGGTGGTGAACTGCCTGTCAACTTTGGCCATTTGATTATCGAGCAGGCTTGAGTTCTGGGAAGATCAAATCTCAATAGTCGGATTCTTTGTCACTTGGTAGAACAGGGGTGTTACTGTGGTTGATATTCGTCATATAGCCAATAAAAAGATGAAAGATAATGTCAGTTTGCTGGTTATCTATATAAAATTACCAGATGATGACTGTGACCATCCACAATTCCCGATCAATGTATTCATGCAAAGAACAATAGTTACCAGGTACAAGGCTATTATACTATCTCTCTATTCCAAGGTTAACATCAGAATGGATCAATAACTATGTAATATTTCGATTGTTATTAGAAGAGACGGGCTATCATCGACTTAGGGGGTATCTATAACTTGGCTGTCCTTCTAGCTGTCCTTCTACCTAGGTAGCTGTCTTTTTCACTATCCTTCTGTTCGAGAGGTTTGCCCTACCTTCCTTCCCAATTGGAAAGTATGGCTCCTCCCTCTCTTGTTTGCTACAGCTCGCTCATCTCCCTTCCTTCCTCTCTCTCTCTCTCTCTCTCTCTCTCTCTCTCTCTCTCTCTCTCTCTCTCTCTCTCTCTCTCTCTGTATCCATCACTCTCATTGACTATCATCATCAACATCACTTCTTGCTTAGTGATCCTTTCTTGCTGCCCAGGTGCGTAGTCCGTGAAACCTGCTTCCCTTCTAAGACTTTTCAACTATATACTACCTATCAATACTTCCTTTCTTTACTCAGTACCATCGTCGAGTAATTATGTCATGGGGCGGATCTGGGGCGCATTCCAGACCTTATCCCACTGCGCCAGGGCAAAAGACCAGGATTCCAAGATTGGTTCTTGGAACTGTGCTCGCTATATATGGGACCAGTTCGTCACAAATCATGCCGTGAACAGAGCATTAGGGATTGGGGATTCCCGAGGTCTATGATCTGGTTGAATTGATATTGGAATCTTCTACGTTGCAAGGTTCTTCCTGGTTAAAATGGTTGTTTCTATATTACCTAAGGTTGCTAGAGCTGTTACTCCGTTGATTTATTCAATCGTCCAACATTATTTACATATCTCTAGTATGTGGATTTGTCATTAATATAGCATCTGCCTCGGGAATTGCGAGTTAGATTTCGGGTCCGAGTTCGAGTCTGAGTCTAATTGAGTCTAATTTCGAGTTCGAGTCTACTAAACCGGACTTCTAGTATGTGGATTTGTCATTAATCTAGCATCTGCCTTGGAAATCCGAGTTCGAGTTCGAGTTCGAGTTCAGATCTGATTTCGAGTTCGAGTCTGAGTCTAATTGAGTCTAATTTCGAGTTCGAGTGCAATAAACCGGAGCGCATTCTAACAGCCACATTTTCCCAACGGAGGCCTGGTGGTCTAGCGGTATGATACGCGCTTCGGATGTCTCAAAGACCTTCCGAACCCCCTCCAAAAGGGGGTTCCCATGTGCGCGTGGTCCCGGGTTCGATTCCCGGCCAGGCCCCCTTTTTTTCCATAAAAATGGTCTAGAAGAGTGCTTGCTGGTATGAACAAGAAGCAGAAACAAAAAGATATTTAGAAGAGAGCGAAAAGCAAATGTAAAGAGAAGAAAGAAAGTACAGTAAGTAATTCCCGAAACTGGTGTCACTACCTACACTCTTCGATTGTTTCTTGAACCCTAATGCCAAGACATACTATACCATATTGGGAATAAACAAGGAGTATTAATTTTCCTGTAACATTACTCATACAATATCTTACTGCAAGGGATACATGGCTTTATGTACCGTCACTGTATGGAGTAGCTATATTCTAGAATTTTTCATAGTTAGCGATGCAAATAACTAAGTCAAACACGAGGAGCTAAAGAGCCTCGAGAGTCTCGCTAGCTGTCACTTCCCTTTCCCAGTCCGTGTCTAAATGACAATCCAGAGCTTACTCTGTAACAATTATATAGCACGAACAGTGTCAGGAAGTGACAGGACTATGACTCGAACCCATGACCTTGGGACCAGATCCTTGCACAGGAAGAGACGGGAGCCCAACATGTCTGCCTCAGGCAGCACCCCCATTTACATAGATCCTGCTAGCTCTCTCTCTCTCCCTCTCTTTTCTTCCTCAGTTCTATTATCGTCGTTTCTTGGACAATAAAAGCGATCTTTTTTCTTTTGTGCTTTGCCTGCCTGACAAACAGTGACTTACGTACATATATTTTTCTTACTGTAGTTTATACTCATGGCCCTCCCTGCTCATCACCATGGTCAGTCTGACAGTCACCTCTTTTTCTTAACGCCTCCTGAATCGCTCCTGATCTAAGCTTACGCGCAATGATGCTACTAGGCTTTTCAGCGGGATATATTTCTTTAGAAGGATGACCTACACTCTTTTTAATGATGATTATTATGATACCTACCAACCTGATCTATAGGGCCGGGCTCCCTTATAATCTATCAAAGATACAAAACATAACTATCAAACATAATTTTCAACCTCATTTCTGACACTAGCTCTCCACCCAGCAAAACTGTTCGCTATTCCAACCAAGATACATTGTGAGAAATTTTCATTGACTGTCAAGGAAAAGCAAAGAACGCGTTGACTTACTGCAAGAAAGCTTTTGCGTCAGTTCACCCAGAGCATCCGCTCAAAGCACCCATTTAATACATGCACCTCCACGACATACACATCCGGGTGGGCATAGCCAATCATATTGGCATTTCTGGCCTGGACAGCCAGTCCATTGGTCACTTGTAACAATGTCAAACTGCATCCCACCCCCAAATTGGGAGAAATCGGAGGGAAGATCGGAGGCAGGTTGCTTATGCGCAAAGGCACCAAGCTGCACACACGGTCCATCGACATATGTCCCACAACCATTATTGCATAACTGAACACCGATTGGAATTGCGCCAAGGAACTCGCATTTGCAGTCCGCCGGACGAGGCGTGCATGGGGAACTGTCTTTTATATCGGAGCCACACTTTTCACAAATCTGCTTTTGACCTGTATAACAATGGGCGCCATCTCCATTGCTATCAAGTATACCAGTGGCCCTTTCACCACTTGGACAGTCGCTGTTGCAAAAAGGCGCAGTCCCTTCCCAGTGTTTTTGACAACCAGCGTATACACCGCATGCAGATGCTAGAAGTAATAGTTTTATCTGCATTTTGGGGTATATTCCGTCGAACGCTTCGGCGGTGATGGGGAACTGGTTATGATGTTAGCTTGTCTCATTCGGCGTCACACAAAAGGAATGTAGGCCCTGACTACCTTTCGTGAGATGCCTATTCGATTTGATAATCTCTACCTTCTGGGAGAAGTTCTTGAAGAAAACTTCTAATCATAAGTGAACGAACCACTACTTTATATCTCTCTCCTACGCGCAATGTAAGCGTCAGAGGTCACGCGAATCGAGTGTAGGTTTGTGTAAAGATCATACGAGGCCTGGATTTAGTAATAGACGTAGTGAGATCAAGGTGATCTCGGCCTTGTTCAAAGTACGGTCGATAGCTGCCAAAAGTGAGAACCATTGTATTACTGTAACTCTATTCCCTCATTCGGGGATATTTTCCCATATTCGTTTAGGCCGGAAAGCTAAGATTTGGGAATTCCATCAGTCTCGACAGACCTATATTTTTGTCATGTTTGTTGGTCAGCCAATCGACAAGCTTTTCGAGTACATGGTCTCAGCGGCCTTCTAGCAAAACTGGGGTCATACACCCGTGGCTGCCCACCATTTTGAGGCGGGGCTATGACGCTACTAAACAATCATATGTTGGGGGAGATCTCCAGAATCGTACGCTTGCTACAGCCGGCAGCCCCCGCCGTATGTGACGTGGGATAATTCCTCGCTGATGACCATGTCATAAATAAGCTCATTTTCCGAGGCGCCTAGATGGGCGCCAACTTGGTACGAAGTTCGGAGACAATCTAATATAAGTGGCTAACCAAGGGACGTTAGTTTTTTTTAAGATGAGGCGACCGGTGTCGGAAGTACATTGACACCGCATAGGTTTTCAATCCATTAAAAGATTCTGCTGGCAGGACGATGATTGACCAGTAGGACCTTCAAAATGGCCAGCGGTATGCCTACTTAAGAAAGCGGTAGAGACCGGGGTGTTAAAACATCTATGTCACTGTATTAGTGATACAGGTAATATATGACAAGCTCAAATTTTGATTACCATCCGTATGACCAGATACAAGCTTCAATAACAGGGATTGCCCGGAAGAATCCCAATGGGGGCTAGCGTGTCTTGGCAATTAGGGCTGGAGAAACAATGAAAGAGTTTGACTGGTGACACCAGTTATGGGATGTACTGTAAAGAATGAGAATGGGAACAATACAGTTGAAAGAGAGTGGATAACTGTCAGACCGGGTTGAGGGCGGGAAAAGTGCTAGTTATAATTAGAGCTGAATAGGCAGAATAAAGCTTTCAGCCTGTGTAGTTAAAGGTGTGTAAATTCAGCAATAGCTGATGTGGTACTCCGTACTAGAGGGCTGGTATCTCGATCGTATGTCTAAACGCGCTGTTGGATCGATATCAGTTGCTTTTGTTGCGTAGCAATAAGTATACCTTTCACCTGGGGGGCAAATCTCGAACTTTATAAAGACATCTTCATTACCGAGATCATCACTTAGCCCAAATTGACAGCATAGTAGTCAACGCGAATCAAGTGTTTATTTCCCCTGGGTGGTTTTGACAGCACATTGTAGCCGTATCCTCTCCAAAATGCGCAGAATGAATTTTATCTTTCCAGGCATTATGCGATAAACCCTTCCTCTAGCTAGTGGTGACTTTGTATCTAGGCCGATTTAGTATCCCAAGACTAAAAGCCTCACGAGAAATTGGTATCAGATCTGCCAGACTGATGTCTTGCATATCGCTGTTGTCGATTAACTCTCTCTCTCGACGAGAGTGGATAGTATGTGACAGAGCGGACCGGATCTCTTTAATGTTGTCGAGATCCACAGTCTCCTTTCCTTGTTCGACAGAAGAGTAATTCCAATTCTGTAACCTTGTTCTTTGTTTTCCATAGAGGAAGCGCTCTCGGTGGCAGGTATTTCTGGTTGCTGTAGGGGACTTGTTGATGTCTGCATAGATGATTGCATGAATTCCTCTTTGGCATTGGAGACAACACTTTCAACCTCTGAAAGATCTGACCAATTCCAGACTCTCCTGTTCTTGGGCTTTTCTTGTGGGGGGCTGTGTCCGGGGCTGTGGCCGCCTCTTGAAAGACGTAGTCTGTTGTGATTGTTTCTTGATAGCACATAATATCATGAGAAGAACTTGAGGGAGAGTTCCAGCGATTTTGACAATATCCTTAAGGATCTCGTCTGTTATCCCCTGACGGCCAAAAAGCCAGAGCTTAACGTCGAGATCCATGTTTTCTTGCATCATGGATCCCTTCCCAAGTCTCTCATTCCTTGCCCATCCAAGGATAGTCCCGGATATAGAGTAGCTTTCGATCGAATAAGGCCGAAGCCCCTTGAGACCAAATAGTTTGGTTCCAAAGTGAATTGCTTCGCTAAGCTTCGCGCTTTTTCCTTGACCATTGGACCATATTTGTGCGCGGGAGTACCATGACAGAGACCAGAAAGACGATGAGAGACCTTGGCAGAGTTACTTGTCTCAGTGTAGAAAGGGTAGCGAAACCCTCTTGACATATGGAAAAACCTTGGAATTGTTTTCCTTTGAAAGCGAGGTGAAGCGCTCGCGCCGTGTAAAGCCCACACGCAAAGATAATCCTAGCATTGCTATGATCCAGCAATTTCCGGTGGCTATTGAGAGCTTCATTCAGGCAAGACGTATCCGGAGTAGGGAAATGTGTATGCTCTTTTTCCAAAGGCAATTTTGGCAGAACGGTTGCCAAAGTGTTGAATATATATCCCGTCAGAGGCTCGAGATGTGAACTGGGGCGTGGAAATGAGAGTTTGATAGCTTCAAACAAATTGTGGCTGCTTGACACCTCGTTTCATGATTTTTTGAAGTCTTCATGATAATCAAAATTCCACATACTGAATGAGGATTCTTATCTTTCTTTTTCTTGCCTTTGCTCACGGGCCTTTCGCTTCGACCGAGCCTCCCTTTCGTAGAATAGAATTTGAGGCTTCTCCTCTCCATCGAATCTTTCTTGATCTTCGAGAACCCTGCCATTTGTCGCATGACTAGCCTGGATCCCCAACATTACATATTGATGAGAGCACCACAAACAGACATGTACGATAATGTAATATTATAGGAGACGAGGAGAGAAGAAGAGGGAGAGAAGGAAGCTCTCTCCATCTGCGCTAATTATCTAGACCTGGGGCCTGACAAACAGGACAAACATCACCAAACAAGATTGACTCTCAAAGAAGTTCAAAATAGGAGCAGCATGTTATATGGTCCTTCAACTCCTCAACGGTTAGCTTTGGGTAAAGAACTCTTATGTCTCAGAGGATTCATTCGCAGATATTATTCTCACATGGTTGTGGGTGTTGGTTATGCCTACAATCAAAAGTACCAAGCTTGGGAATCAAGTACGGAGTAGTACGAAAGGAGTAGTAGGTCTGACAGCGGCTTGCGGCATAAGACCCCACCTGATTTTACACTGGAGATCTAATGTTGCCTATGCCCCAAACACACAAAGAGTGTCGATCAGCCGGCGGACAGATTTCAGTCACACCATAGCATCATTTGATAGGCCTATCGTTGTGGATGGTCAGCCGCAATGTGCTCAGGGCCACCAGGTGCATGAGTGCATGAATGCATGAGTGGAGCGATCAACGTTAATCTGGACATCTGCAGCTGTCAAAACCATACTACGTACATTCACAGGCTATATCATATCCTTTGGCACAAATTTAGGGGAATTCCGGGTTCCATCTCGGGTGTTTCATGTCCGACCTCCACATGTGGAATCACTAAGCGACCGAGTTAGTTTCATTAAGGATTCTGCAAAGGATAGTATATGGAGCACCTTCCTATTTCTATCTAATGTCAATTCCGATCCTTTGCCCTTGAGAATGGCTGGATGTTATACTGCATTTGTAAGCCACCGTGTTCAACAGCCCGGATTGTTATCTGATCCAAGCGTGTAACGAGTGGCGGGTATATGCGCCGCGCAGGGCCTAATTTGGATGCCGAGGTCACAGCACACTAGTCGCGTGGTGAGATGAATGACGCTGGTGGAGTAAAGTAATTTATCTCCTCTGTACTCCGTACACCGTACACCGTGGGAGTGTTTGTCTACCCAAAAAAAGAGTTTGTTCTTCTCATCATGGGAGTGGCAAGTCAAATTATGCCCAGGAATGTATGGTCCGCATGGTTTTTTTTTGGTATAGATAGTCCGATCAAAAGAGTATAGTTGTATGTGGAGCGGAATGGTCGGAGAAAATTGTACATACTTAAGACGCTATATGAGTCACTAATATAGGATTCCGTACTTTTCAATGAAATCCGCCAAATAAGACCAGGGAATCCCGGGCAATCAAACTTCCATCTTATCTGATGAGTACCAGAAAAAGGTGACTTGGCAGTACCAAGGAATGTGCCCCTACCAGCTGGTGGACTGAGGTATCTGACGGGTACCCCGATTGTCCGGCAAAGGTTCCGTGCCTGGGCGCCACCTGAACACTCCACTAGAAATTCATTTTCCTCTTTGACACAACCCTCGGGGGCTTTCTGTTCACACACGTTTTAGACGACATCATGAGCAGTGTCTTGCTCATGTCTTACTATCTACTCCGTACTGTGGCACCCAACACAGACTGAGCCCAGTGATCCCAAACTCTCTGCCGCAGACCCCATAAGCCCGCATAAGTGCGACCGGCGATCGGGCTCCTCCATTTACACAGCGACTTGCAGGGCCTAAACTCTTCATAGCCTTCCCCTTACAGTTGGGCGTCCCTCCGAAGCACGGCGGATCTACCCACCCGCCAATGTGCCCCATAGCTGCCTACCGGATCCTGATTCTTACATTGAATTAGCCCTTCATGGGTGGTTCTCCCCAGGCAAGCGCGCTTCGACATATATTTACTCATCGCATCGCCCCATATTTCTGCTCGTTCCTTCCCTAATCGGGCTCCGATTCGTTCTGTTCATCTCGTGTTTCCTTTTTCTTTTTCCCTGCGAGGATATGACTGGTTCAGCTCCCTCCTAGCTGAAATTCCGCCTGCGTGCTTAGTAGAGGTTTTCCATCCCTTTTATGTGATACGCCCGCTGCTAGGTTGGAGGTTGCATGAACTCTGTTTTCCCTCCTTGGAAGATTTTTGATCATTTTACAACTGTCGCTTAGTCGTCGCTCACGACTGTCGCTGAGTCGTCGCTCCCCAACACCCACGGACCGCCTTTTTGTGTATATGCTTTCTTCCCAAACTTATACTCTCTCGCTCTTCCTTATATGGACCATCGTTGACCAATAACCACTGAGGCTGATTCTGTGGTGAAACACCGAGATGCCAATCATTGATCCACGCTCCGGACCGTCCTACGGCACTATGGAACAAGATACCGATGTCGAACGTGAGGAACTCTTGCGTGAGGAACATGATGCAGAGGGCCAGACGAGTGGTGTCTCTACACCCGATGAAATGCAGGAAGGTGTTCGAAAGATCGAAGCCATCAATTTGACCTGGACATCTAAGTCCTTGATGGTGGCCTACGTCAGGTTCGTGTGGCTTGCAGTCCCGTGTCGCTACTTAGACCCCCCTGCTGACTTGGCACCAAAGCATATTCCTCATGGCCTTCTGCACATCATTGGAGGGCCAGACTGTCATGTCGCTGTCGGCGTATGCGACGAGTGCCTTCAGTAAACATTCTTTGATCTCGACTGTCCTCGTTATTCAGAATGTGGTCAATGGTAAGAGCCTAACTGCCCCACCCCCCACTTTGGGCAAGTATGAGCTTCTACTAACATCGGACTAGCCGTCATTAAACCTCCCATGGCTAAAATCGCCGATGTGTTCGGTCGCTTCGAGGCCTTCTGCGTGAGTATTCTCATATACATTCTGGGATATATTCAGATGGCCAGTTCCACCAATGTTCAGACCTATGCTTCTGCGCAAATCTTCTACTCTGCGGGTTCCACTGGCTTGCAGATCCTCCAACAGGTGTTCATTGCCGACAGCAGTGACCTGTTGAACCGTGCGTTCCTTGCGCTTCTTCCTGAACTCCCGTTCCTGGCCACGGTTTGGCTCGGACCGACCATCGCTGGCGCAATCCTGCGCACCACTTCATGGCGATGGGGTTATGGTATGTGGGCAGTGATTCTGCCGGCATCGTTCTTGCCATTGGCTCTCACTCTCTTGTTCAATCAACGCAAGGCACAGAGATTGAACCTGATCAAGAAGCGATCTCGACGGAACACGAGCTTTGTTAGCATCCTGCGCCGTACTTGGTATGACCTAGACGTCGGCGGTTTGGCCCTTCTCTCTGCGGCTGTGACTTTGATCCTGGTACCCTTGACCCTCGCAGCAACCGCAAAGAACGGTTGGAAGAATGTGAATATTCTGGTCATGATCGTCCTTGGCGTCGTCTGTCTTTGTCTCTTGCCATTCTGGGAATCTTCTAAGAAATTGGCGCCCAAGCCCCTCCTCTCTCTCCATCTGCTCAAGCAGAAGACCGCCCTTGCGGGTTGCGCATTGGCCTTCTGGTACTTCAGTGAGTACACGCTTCTTCGTCACTTTCCTCCCATCGCGAAAATTCCCAGCTAATCTTCCTCACAGTGGCTTTTTACTTTTCTGTCCAGCCTTATCTGTACTCCTACCTCCAAGTTGTACAGGGCTACGATGTCGCCACGGCCGGGCGCGTCACCCAAACCTTCGCCTTTACATCTACCATTGCTGCGTTCAGCGTGTCTATTCTCATTAAATACACCCGACGATACCGCATCTACGTGACTATCGGATGTGTCGTCTACATAACCGGTCTAGCTCTGATGCTCACCTGCCGCGGAGAAGGCGCCTCGCACCTCCAAGTACTAGGAACACAGGTCATTGTCGGTATCGGTGGTGGCTTGGTCAATGTGCCCGTTCAACTGGGTGTCCAAGCATCAGCCAGCCACCAGGAAGTTGCCGCTGCAACCGCGATGTTCCTGACTTCCATGGAGATGGGAGGTGCAGTTGGTGCCGCCATCTCAGGAGCCGTCTGGTCTTCGGCCATCCCACACAAGCTTCTGAAATACCTCCCGGAGGAGACCAAGGATCAAGCTGGCGACATCTTCGGCAAGCTGACCACCGCTCTGTCTTACCCGATGGGCTCTCCTACTCGCATCGCGATCAACCGCGCCTACCAAGAGACTATGAACCGGCTGCTGTTGCTGGCGTTGATTGCAACTATTCCCCTGATTCCCCTCAGCCTGCTCATGGTGAACTACAAACTGGACAAGGTGGGTTTCTAATGACGCTCTGCGTACTTGACTTTTGCTAAAAATTCTCTAGATGGGCTACGGTAACTCCGAGCCGCGTGGTGAATCTGCTCCAGTTGAACCAGAGCGAGAATCCGAGGACGGACATTCGAAGCGAACTTAAAACCATGCACCTCGGTGTGCAGTGTAATTTAATTTGCACGACTATCACGATCTTACGAACCCAAGCCATCTGGCTCCTTATTCTTTCATCTTAACTTACTGCTGCATCTTTATTCATACCAGCAAGCGTCATTTTCATCTTTACATTTCTTTCCACGCTACCTACAGTGCACCCTCGCGGTGCACATTCTCGGGAGCTGATCCCCACTTCAGCTCGTCATTGCATCCGGCGTTAACGTTCACCTCTATACGGTGTGCTTTTTGGAGATATAGAGGATCCACTTAAGACTGTAAACATCAATACCCAAATAGAAAACAAATACCCAGGTCACTTCCAGACTCCGAGGCATACTCCGTACTCCCAAGGTTGCAAGTCCAGCCTCAGGGCCCGACGAGTATTCCAATACGGCCGGTTTGCCGCTCTGAGACGGATATACCAATCTCCTGTGATTCCTGGTGGGTCTGATCCATTTGCAACGTCAGAATAGGGCTGGTTTTCCCCTGACGCGTTAGGCGTTAGGCGTACGCAACAAGTACCTATGCGCAGGTACGGAGTACTACTATGCCGACGGGTGCCCGACAGCCTGATATCCCAAGTCAGCAGTTCCCAAGGTCCCAACCCAGTCCGACTTCGAACCTCACGGCTTGGGACATACCGTTTCCCCCAGCCAGACGGGTCGAGATTGTGATCTCCTGCATTGGCATTCAATCTGTCCCAGGCCTAGATTCTTTTCCACACCCCCCCCCTTTTTTTCCCTCCCCCCTCTCCCCCGAACTCCCTGACACCATAACTCGTATTACCTCCACGTCTCTCTCTACCTCTAAATTGCGCGTGCATGTACCTGCATATATGCATGCAGACCAATTTCCGGAGGCTTTGCCTGTTCTTTTGGATTTTTGGATTCTTCACGTGTATGCTGTGTCGTTAGGTTCAACATGGAATGCTCCGTAATGAGTTAGGAGAATTACGATATGCTGTCAAAGAAGTATGTCATGGTCTAGACGTTAATGGGTCGCGAGGCTAAGGGCGATCTCATACGCCGGTGCGGATATTAAGGCGAAACGGTTAGAATGAAAGGAGAATTGGCGTGAAACGGGAATCTCAGATGGGAACCCGTTTAGGAGTAACTATAAGACAGAGTGCAATACGGAGTACTCCGTACTTTCATGGAATTAGTGACATATAGTGAAATAGCAGAAATATTTGTATAGTCAGAAAAGAGTCAAAGGGATGAAGTGAAAGAGCAGAGTAAAATACCACCCAACTATCTCTCCAAAGTCGGTGAGATGGCCTCAAACTCGAAAGCGCTTATCTGCGACCGTCCTTGGATTTCCTCTCAGTAATTATCTTCAAATACTGGATATTCTTTAATTCCTCTAATATTCACTTCTCCTTCATCTTCCACAAAAAAGAAAAGAAAGACAAAAAAGGAGAATACTGAAGCGAGGTGTACAGACCGTGTATCGAGACTAGCCGTCTAGACTCCATACTCTGCGGGTTGCCCCATTCAATCCAGACCACAGCTTCTTCCTCCCTTTTTGTCTCCCACAGTCTCCCTCCTCCAGTCTCAGCAACCCTCCAACCATTACTGTTTCAAAATGGTCGTCGCTACCATCAAGTATGCCGCCCCCCTCTTCTCTTGACATCCCCTCATTTGCTAACCTCCGCTAGGTGTGTCGTGGTGGGGGACGGTGCAGTAGGAAAGACCTGCCTGCTCATCTCATACACAACGAACAAGTTCCCCTCGGAATATGTCCCCACCGTTTTTGATAACTACGCCGTGACGGTGATGTGAGTCGACACTCCAATACCCTGACCACCCCCCTTGACCTCATCACTAACCCGCCCTCCAGGATCGGCGATGAACCCTACACGCTCGGTCTCTTCGATACCGCCGGTCAAGAGGATTACGATCGTCTGCGCCCCCTCTCCTACCCGCAGACCGACGTCTTCCTCGTCTGCTTCTCCGTCACCTCACCTGCCTCCTTCGAGAACGTTCGGGAAAAATGGTTCCCCGAAGTCCACCACCACTGCCCCGGTGTCCCCTGCCTGATCGTCGGTACGCAAACTGATTTGCGCGACGATGCCGGTGTCCGGGACAAGCTCGCTCGCCAAAAGATGCAGCCTATCCGGAAGGAAGACGGTGATCGCATGGCGAAGGAACTGGGCGCTGTCAAATACGTGGAGTGCTCGGCTCTGACACAGTACAAGCTGAAGGATGTGTTCGATGAGGTACATTCATTATTTCCCCCGCCTCCCCGCTTTCTCACCGTCTCCCCTCGTGTTTCTCAATGTCACTAACACCCTTGAACTTAGGCTATTGTTGCGGCGCTCGAGCCTGCGCCCAAGAAGAAGTCAAGGGGCTGCCGCCTGCTGTAAACGCCTTCTCGGACCTCTCATCAGGTTTGGACCGAGTGCGACAGAATCTTGTGCGCTTGGGTTGATGCCTGGTTGACGTGCGCCTCGAAGCAGCTACGATGGAATGAACCTGTTTTGTCTCTTTTTCTCTTACGTTCTATTGGGCGGCAAATAAATTGGTTTTCTGGGATATCCAAATGCGACACATACAAGGGGAAGAAAGGGGGATCTTTTTTTTTTTTTTTTCAAAAGGGCTAGTTTCGCTATGTGAGGCGTTTGATATCTACGTTTCCAGTTGAAAATGCCTTTTGGTGCTTGATCCCCTTTCTTTTTCTTTCCAACTTCTGTCTCGCATTATCCCAGTTCTCCTCTCCCAATAGCCAGCTCTAACCTGCTGTATCTTTCTTTTTTCTCTCGCCTTTTGCTCGTCTCTTCTGTGCTTCGCCAGGCTGCGTCTATCTGCCATCTTCGACTTCCTGCTCGATACTCATGTTCCTCTACCCCCGAACTTCCAGCGACAGCTCTTTTCCTTTGAACCTCTTTCCGTGTCGCTACAACCTCCCCTCTATTCCCATCCCGTGCTTTATTCTTTCATCGTCTCTCGGCGTTGGATGTCAGGGCGTCGTGTTTTGGTCTGATGATATCTGTTACATTTTCATCTTGAATCTCCCGTCGGTTTTTCCCCGCGTTCTCATTTTCACGTATCAATTTTACCCCAGCTTTGCAATCCCCGGAATGTGATTTTTCTTTTTTTGTCTTTGAGCTGTACCCTTCCCTTGCAGACCAGGTTTTTGTTTCTGCGTTTGTTTCTTTGGTCATACGATCTATTTGCCCATTATGGTTTTGATACATGCATTTGCGTTCATGGTCTGCGCAAGCTGATGACTGGTGATAAAATCACAGATAGTGTACTCAATGCAGACTCGTTCTCTGACTTTGTATCAAGCAACGTACTTGGCGTACAAGTTCTGTAAATCACTACTTGAAAGTAGTACGATACCAACATCTGTTTATCTGTTTATGCTACTACTAGGTATGTTATCTCTTCCGTCACTTCAATATCTTTCTGAAGTTCTGAGGGTATATTGGCTCATATGGCATCAATCTACAACTTCGTGTCAGCTAGAAATACAGCCCCGGAGAACTATAGCCATGGAGTACACACAACCTTTGATATCAACGTTCCATACTTTTTGTACCGGGTACTTGTGATATCATGGACATCTGGTCCCGCCCCGGGGTTCGGTTCGCCTCGGGTAAGCATTACATCATAGCCGTGACATCAATATCTTAGGTCATTCATTCTTCACTTCATTCATCTCGTATATATCTACAAATCCATATATCAAAGTTCATCCTTGGCTTCCTTTTGCGCCGCCTCCTGAGCCTCAATCTGCTCCATCCAGCCGTACCAGCCGCCAAGCTCCTCATCAACACCAGACTTGACAATGCTAGTAATAATCTCAAAGGCAACCTGAGCAGCAGCAAGAGCCGTAGTCTCGCCCTTGTTATCATAAGCAGGCGAAACCTCCACAATATCAGCACCAACAACATTCAGCTTCTCCAGACCGCGCAGAATGCGAATGAACTCGCGCGTAGTCCAACCACCAGGCTCCGGAGTACCGGTACCAGGCGCAGTAGAAGGATCAAGCACATCAATATCAACAGACAAGTAAACAGGCTGCTCGGGGTCAAGACCAGTGCGCGCAATAATAGTCTCCACAACACCCATAGGACCAAGCTCATCAATATCATCAGCATGGATACGGATGAAGCCCTGCTCAGGTCCAGGGTTCGTGTAATCCCCAGCATCAACGCCAGTAAGTCTAGTGCGCAGACCCGCGTGCGCAGAAGTAGCATTGCAAATCAGACCCTCACGACTAGCCTTGTGGAAGAAGCTACCGTGGTTGAATTGCGTCTGCTCGCTCTGCCAGTAAGCGCTGTAACGCACAGGGTTCCAGGTATCAAGGTGCGCGTCGAAGTGCAGCACAGTAATCGGCTTCTGGTAGATCTGGTACAGAGCTCGCAGAGCAGGCAGAGCGACGCTGTGGTCTCCGCCCAGAGTGACGAGCTTCGGGTGGGTGTGGCCGATACCCGTTGCCTTGGGCGACTTGTTCACAATCTTGCGCGATCCAAGCTCGAGGAAGGCTTCGTACATCTGTCGCTCTGCCAGACCGTTGTCGAACGGTGTGATGGGGATGTCGCCGCAGTCGGTGATCTTGGCCCATGACTTGTAAGGGTTGATTCCGGCGCGCGTGTTGTAGCTGGTCGGGGCCATCTGGCGTGCGCTGGCGGCGCGAATCGCCCGAGGACCGAATCGGGCGCCTGGGAGAATTGTTAGTGCTCTGGTTGCTATTTGGTGTAGGTCCGGGTTAGGATAGCTTACCCGGTCGGTAGCTGACGGCTGTGTCGAAGGGAGCGCCAATCACGGCGATATCATAGTGCTCATCGGGCTCGATCAGGCACTTGACGGGCTTCAGGTGGGCAAAGCTGGCGATGCCGGAGAATGACCACTGGATATTTTGTTAGATCGGGGATTTCTCAATTCAATTGCGATTTCACTGGTTCATACCTCCTGATCCCACTTCTTGAGCAACTCCGCGCGCTCGTGTTCGGGCACGACCTCACCGTCATTGTGGTGGGCGCAAGCCGTCGCGGAGCCGGCCAGAGCCAGGGCGCTCACGAAATTCTTCCAAGAAGGCATGATTGTTTATTTTGAAATCAGAAAAGAGGGGAAGAAACAATTATATATCTACATAATTTTTTTACCGCTCTCCGGCGAACTTCCTGAAGCAGCAGATGATCTAAAGGGAAGGACGAGCAGAGTCCCCGCCACAAGTCCGTGGATCGGTCGTGCAGACTTTCCCTTCTTGGCCTCGGCCCGCTTTTCCCTTCTCCTTCCACTCTACGTGAGCTTTACTTGAACTACTCTTGATACCGCTTGGTCAATTCAAGCAACATATAATGCTATGCGGCGCGTTGTTGTAACAGGTCTTGGGGCGGTAACACCGCTGGGTGTTGGTGAGTTCGTCTTTGCTATCCCCCTCCCGGCCTCGAGCTCCGAGTCTTTTGCTATCTACGGCTAGAGGGAGCTTTCCACTGCACCTCTGATTAGCCGAAAGCTCAACTCCGATATCCCCGGACTCTCGAGCTTTCTGCGTCCCCACTTCCCACTCCGGAAAGGGAAGGTCTTGACAGCCAATCGGCGGAGCTTTGTTGGTATCTGGAGATTCAAGATCGGATACACCTGCTTTCTGTTGATAAGCCCTGTTGATCATGCCGCTATGCACCTCGGCTCTGACTGACTTCCGTGTCGCGTAGGTGCTCGGCGTACTTGGAAACGCTTGTTAGATGGTCATTGCGGTGTCGTCAATGTGAAAGATCGCGATGAGCGCTTCGCAGAGCAGCCCTGTCAAGTTGCGGCTGTTGTACCACAGGGATCACGCGAGGACGGCGGCTGGACGGCTTCGCAATGGCTAGAAAAGGGTGTAGGTGCTTTCAATCTATTGTGCCAAGTTACTCTTGTACTGATAAAATGTAGGAGGAGCGTAAAATGGCCAAATTCGCCCAGTATGCCATGGCTGCCACAGAGGAGGCACTTCAGGATGCAAATTGGAAGCCTAAGCCTTTTGAGCAAAGAGAGGTGACGGTAGGTCTATACTTCCAAACTGAGCCGATTGAGTATTTATGTGGTATCAGGGAGTCTGCCTTGGGTCGGGTATCGGCAATTTCGAGGAAATGTACAACACAGTTGTTGCGTATGAGAAGGGAGTGAGTATCTACCTCGAGCCTGCATCTGGAAGCCCGCTTGCTGATATGTTGTACAGGGCTACAAGAAGGTCAATCCACTTTTTGTGCCTAAGCTGCTGATCAACCTTGGTGCTGGGCATATCTCTATGAAGTATCAATTCATGGGTCCCAACCACGTCGTAACCACGGCGTGCACAACTGGTGCTCATTCTATTGGCGATGCAGCTAGATTCATCGCCTGTGGTGACGCCGATGTGATGGTGGCCGGTGGCGCCGAGTCTTGCATCCATCCTTTGGCTATTGGCGGATTTGCTCGCGCGAGAAGTCTTGCCACGGCCTTCAACGACAGCCCTGAGACCGCATCACGGCCTTTTGATGCTGATCGCGCTGGCTTTGTGGTTGGCGAGGGTGCCGCTGTGTTGATCCTGGAGGTAGGTTCACGGAGTGCACTGGAAAAATATGCGTCAGCGCTGAAACTTTGATATAGGAACTAGAGCATGCTCTTGCAAGAGGAGCTAAGATATATGCAGAACTCAAAGGATATGGCTGCTCTGGCGATGCACACCACATGACATCGCCGAAGGAAAATGGAGAAGGCGCATACATGGCCATGAAAAAGGCGCTCAAGCAGGCCCAGCTACGCCCTTCTGCCGTTGACTATGTTAACGCACATGCCACCTCAACTATTGTTGGTGATGCTGCAGAGAATGCTGCTATCAAGGCTCTGTTGCTGGGCCCCGAAGGCAAAGATAAGGCAGCTGAGGTTAATGTCAGTAGCACCAAGGGAGCCCTCGGTCACCTTCTCGGCGGGGCTGGTGCGATCGAAGCTCTGATCAGCGTGCTTGCGATCCATGAAGTGAGTGAATTGTGCATCATTGGTTGAATGTTGTATTGACCATTGACAGAACACCATGCCACCCACCATCAATTTGGACCGGTTGGCAAATGGGTTTGACTGCAATTATGCTGCAAAAGAACCGCAATCAAGGCAGATTGATGTGGCTTTGACAAATAGCTTTGGATTTGGTGGCACCAATAGTAGCTTGTGCTTTGCGAAGTATTAATCACTGATTCACTATTTTGTACTATAGATTTTGCTTAGACATTTGGGGTAAATTGAACCTGGCAATGAATGGCCCAACCCCATTCACTTCATTCAAACCATTTTTCCAGTCTTCGATGAATCAAATTCCAACCTCGTTGTACTCCGTATAGGACGGGGTGATCACGTGCCGGCTGTTGATCCCAATGCGGAGGAGCCCCAAGCGACCTTGACTCCGGAGACCGAACCCATTTCGCGGTAGCCAACCACCAACACACCCGATTTAAGACTTGCTAAGCGATCCGTGAGCGCTTCGATTCTCACCACCTCTCAGTATTGCGCCCACCATGGCGACCAATGGGGACTCCGGCCGAGGTAGGCACCACCTGGCTCACATTGATAGCGCGATACACTAGATCGCATCACCATCACTCCCAATCTACTTGGGTCTTGCCTTCTATCTGAGCTAACTTGACACTCCATAACAGGATCGGGCAGCTTGGTTGATGCGTCTGGCTATACATTTACGGATAAGGACACCAAGCCCGGCAAGATCAAGGTGAAAAAGACATCCAAGGCGTCCACCAAGAAGAAAGCAGATGGTACGATTTCTCAGCTGTAATTTCTCAATTTGACCCAGCTCTAACGGTACACGCAGATCCCAAAGATGGACCCGCCGACGTCTCACCTACCTCCTCCCCTCTTCCCGTCATTGACAGCAAGGTCATCACCGCATTCCCGACCGGCAAGCCACGCGAGGAAGATCTACTCGAGACCGTCATTTGCAAGGTATGCAGGCGCCCTACGCTCAAATCCACGGCGGCGGAGCATGTCCGTGGCTGCTTGAAGGCGAAACAAGAGAAAGCGCGCAAGAAGAAGGAACTGCGCGATGCGGCGAACCGCGCCAAGGCCGGCGACGACAAAGACGACGATCCCCACGATAAAGATGGAGACGGCTCTATGATGGGCCAGAAGAGCGCCAAGAAGAGCGCTGTCAAGGGCACCGACGACAACAGGAAGGGCAAGAAACGCAAGGCGGACGAGGATGATGGCAAGGAGCCCAAGAAAAAGAAGAAGAAAGACGAAACCAAGCCAAAGACAGCCAAACCTAAAGGTCCTGTCGATGTTGAAAAGCAGTGTGGTGTCACGCTAGGGAACGGCGCGCAGTGCGCTCGTTCTCTAACCTGCAAGAGTCACTCGATGGGCGCCAAGCGCTCAGTGCCTGGGCGCACGTTGCCATACGATATGCTGCTTCAGCAGTATCAGAAGAAAAACCAGGCCCGTCAGCAGAGTAAGCACCTCGATTACTATACATCTACCATATTTCGCACAGGAAAGACTAATTCATCGCGATTACAGAGGCCGCTATCGATGCCAATGCTCCTTTGCAAGAAGATATCGAGAACACAGGTCCTGTGGACTCCGACGAAGAGAGAGACTCTGTCATGGCTGCTATCGCACGTTCGGCACCTCAGCCTCTTGTTCAACACCCGCTCATTACCACCAAGTCAAAATATCGTTATGTCCGCATCAAAGAGCAAATGTCACATGCCATGGGAGTCCGAAATGGTGGTGGACTATTTTCGAATGACGACAGCCAGCCTCTTTTTGGAAGCCAGCTGTTTGGGTTCCCTGCTGCTGATGTTGAGAACTCTTCCGTTGACGCCCACGGAGAAGTAGACGACATGGACGTCGGCGCGAGAGCTGCTGTTTCAGGCACTCGCAAAACCCCGATCACGGCAGGGTAACAGTCCGCACTCTTCATGACTTATGACACTCTTTTTGCACTGTTTATGGGCTCATTTACTGGATATTGGATGCTGGCGTTCATTGGCATGGCTCTCGAGCATCACACCGCTCTTTAATTCTCTTTGTTAGGTTTTCCTGGATTGCCCTGGGCTCAGGCTGGTTCTGTTTGGTTTGAAAGGTGACGACATGATACCCCGGCGTGATAATACATTTGACATTGGAAAGTTAAATATGATCCTTTCCTCATCAATTCCTCTTTGGCTGTGCTATCGAGGGAGCTTTACTGTATTAGTTGATATAAGTTCAATATAGTACATTTTGATGCAAGATTTGTTGAAGTTCGTTCCCGCTGGACTCTTCACTCAAATTTCTAAGATGCTTTTCATAGTAAAATCAGATCAAAGTCTAGCAGCTTCACGGTGAAATCAGATGTACTAGAAGGTCATTTGAAGCTATTCACATGTGATTACGTGATGCTTCATGCCTCAGGTGTCAACACCTCTGTCGTTCCGTTCGCCGATCTCATTGTCCTTTTGCGCATTACTCAATCTTTGGGCCTCAATATTTATTCTACTTCTTTCTGAACTTGAACCTTGTCTGATTTCTTTTATTGCGATTGCGCGCGAGCGCCCTTCGCATCCGGAGACCTTACCAAGCCGGACGACCCTCGACCCTCGGTCCTCGACTTCCGAGCAGCATTGGGCATTGTGAAGCTATCTATACCTTTTTTCAGAGAGGCCTCCTGGCCTGACACCTCCCAACATGAGTCATGCCGTCCCTGATCTAGATGCTATCGGCATAAAAGCGGACCATGATCTGGCCGATCAATTCCGTCGCGAAGTCGCCAACCTCCTCTCGCGCAACAACCTCAACTTCCCCGGCGCACAGCCAGTCAGCTTCTCGTCAAAGCATCTTACTGAGCTGCAGCGCGAGGATTATTATGTCTGCGAAAAGACTGACGGCATTCGCTGCCTAATGTACTTTGCGCGCGGAGACCCCAGCTCTGAACAGCCGGAGATTCACTATTTAATAGACCGCAAGAACGATTACCGCTACGTGCCAGGCTTGCACTTCCCGCTCCCCAACGACGACACGTTCCAGGGATTCCACGTGGACACATTGGTCGACGGCGAGCTCGTCAACGACACCTACGACGATGGAACAACGCAACTGAAATACCTAGTATTCGACTGTCTGGTGTTGGACGGACAGAGCTTGATGCACCGCACATTGGACAAGCGACTGGCATATTTTAAAGAGAAGGTACTCAAGCCTTACCATGCCATGTACCGCAAGTTCCCAGAGGAGAAGCAGCACCGCGCTTTTGCCGTCGAGGATAAGTCCACGCAGTTCAGCTACGGTATCGAAATGATGTTCCGCGAAATTATTCCCAAGGTCAAGCGTATCCACGGAAACGACGGCCTGATCTTCACCTGTCGCAGTACCCCATACCGCATTGGTACCGACGAGCACATCCTCAAGTGGAAGCCTCCACAGGAAAACACCATCGACTTTCGCATGCGCCTTGAGTTCCCGACGCTTGAACCAGATACCGACGACGAGGCTGATGGTGTTCATGAGCCATTTGTGGACTACGATGCTATTCCTATCTGCCACTTGTTCGTGATGCTTAGCGCTGGCGAGTACCGCCATTGGGGGGAGATGTTTGTAGAGCCCACAGAGTGGGAAACTCTCAAAGGTATGGGCGTCCCTCTCGACGACTCAATCGTGGAATGTGCAAAGGACAATGAAGGGCGTTGGCGCTTCTATCGTCTGCGCGAGGACAAGAATGATGCAAACCACATCTCTACAGTTGAGAAAGTCCTTGAGAGTATTGAAGATCGTGTCACCGAAGATGATCTCATTCGTCTCGCCCCGGTCATCAAAACGGCCTGGAAAAAGCGCCAGCAAAATATGGCTGCGGGAGACGAGGAGAAAAAGCGAAGGGCTCAAGGAATCCCGGGAAATCCTAATGGTGTCAAACGAAAGTACGAAGAGTGACATTCAAAATCGAAGTGAGCATTTGCTTCGCTCATTGCAAGGCGCCTGGTGTTTTGGGTAACTTTTGTATTCTATTCAAATCAGATGAACAGGCTGGAAGACGGGGCTCATTTGGGTTCGGATCACGTTCAATGTATAGTGCATTCTCAATAATCTTGTATACATTGTAGAGAGTCGGAGTGTACCAGTGTAGATGAAGGCATGCCTGATGCGGACAGCCAGATTACTAACCTCAGAATCCTGCCCGCGACGGATTGTCTCCCTTTCCCGCATCACCACCCCAGGCCTCACATCGGCTATCATCACTCCAATATCTGATCTTGCTTTAGTCTGAATTGTCCTGCACAATGGGCGTCCGAGATTCCCACGGGGAGACCACGGGGACGCCCGACCCCGTCGAGAAGGGCTTCGCCACCCTCAACACCATCAGGTATGATCCTTTTTTCGCTTGGAAGAATTCCTTCAGGACTTCTGGGGTCAACTTTTATCGGTCGCATATGCTAATTATTCGCATAGAATCGGCGTGAAGGCCATGGTACAAAAGGTGCGTTTTGCCCTGGCAGATTTTGGTCACATCACGTGATCTTCAATCCGACGTCAAGGCATTTCATACTGACTGGCTGCAGGATGGGGAGCTAAGAAAAGCTGAAATTTTGTCTATCAGGCAGCGCAAGGATGGGCCCTCTTTCTAGTAAGTTGCCGTGCTCGCGGTTCCGCTTCTTGATGCTGATATCAATTCCAGCGTCCACTATGTCGACTTCAACAAACGTCTTGATGGTAAGCTTTAACCTATTGTATGTTTGCTCATCATGGAAAATCTCTGACTCGATTTCAGAATGGGTTGCATCTTCACGCATTGATCTCTCCCAGGAGGTCGAATGGCCCCAACCGGAGAAGGCTGATAAGAAGAAGACTGCTGCGGCGAACAAGGCCGCGCCCAGCAAGAATACAAATGCCAACAAGCGTGCCCGGGCTGACAGTCGGGATGTATCGCAAACACCTGATATCCTGGGTGGTAACAACTTGAATGTCGGCAAAGCCTCGCGGCCCTCAAAAGCCGGAGGAAAGGAAAATGTCGAAACCCCCGGCGATTCCTCGCAGCTGTTCCCTTCAGAGGGAGTGTCGGCAGCCGGCACACCCAAGGCCACTGATTCAGAAGATGTTGAAATGGCGGATGGCCCCACAGAAGGCCAGTCCATGAAAGAGGACGAAGTACAAACTGCCTCGGGCGAAGTCATCACCCGCGGGGAGGAGATTGAACGACTGCGCACAAGCGGTAGTATGACCCAGAATCCCACGGAGATTCATCGTGTGCGTAACTTGACACGCCTTCAAATGGGCAAGTACGACGTCGAGCCGTGGTACTTCTCTCCATACCCGGATTCATTCTCCGACGTCGACCTGGTCTACATCGACGAGTTCTGTCTCGGCTACTTCGACAACCAGCGCGCCTTTGAGCGCCACCGCGCCAAATGCACCCTCACGCACCCTCCCGGCAACGAGATCTACCGCGATGACAACATCTCCTTCTTCGAGGTTGATGGTCGCCGCCAGCGAACCTGGTGCCGTAATCTGTGTCTTCTAAGTAAGCTCTTCCTGGACCACAAGACTCTCTACTACGACGTCGATCCATTCCTCTTCTACTGCATGTGCACCCGCGATGAGACTGGCTGCCACCTCGTCGGCTACTTCTCCAAAGAAAAGGACTCCGCCGAAGGCTACAACCTTGCCTGTATCATGACTCTCCCACAATACCAGCGCCGCGGCTTCGGTCGTCTCCTCATCTCTTTCAGTTACGAGCTCAGCAAGCGTGAAGGAAAGCTCGGTTCCCCCGAGAAACCTCTCAGTGATCTGGGTCTGCTTGGCTATCGTCAATACTGGCGCGAGACCTTGGTAGATCTCCTCATCGAGCCTAATCGAGAGGCCATGAGTGAGAACGAGCTTGCCATTCTCACTTCCATGACTGACAAAGACGTTCACGAAACCCTTGTTGTCTTCAACATGCTTCGGTACCACGTAAGTTCAATACACTCTGCATTCATCTCTGACTCCCTTACTAACCAATTCACAGAAGGGTAACTGGGTCATCGTCTTGACGGACAGCATAGTGGAAGAGCACGAGAAGCGTCTCAAAAAGGAGGCGATCAAGGGCGCGCGCAAGATCGACCCTGCTCGCCTACAGTGGAAGCCTCCTGTCTTCACTGCTTCCAGCCGGACCTGGAACTGGTGAGAGTGTGCGTGGTCATGTGGAGTTTGGTTCGTCTGTTTGCTTATTTAATTGGCTGGGGGAGTTCTAGGTGATGAAATAATATGTGTAGTTGCTGGGTCCTCATATCATGGATGTCGGGGACACATGCGGGAAGGGCGTTTTATACAGCTTCTGTCTTCGGGTGATACCTATTTCTTGTTTTGTACTTTATTCACTCTACTTTGTTTTTATTCATCATAATCAAACATCCAATCACGAAGATATCTTAACCCAACTTTGGAAGACCTGTATGCATCCATGGATAGTAAGCCATGCATGAGTCAGCAACGCTGTATCTACCATTGCAAAAAGAGCGTTTGCAGGAGTCGCTACTCTACGGTCTATTTAGGATAATGGTAAGACACGTGAAATTTAAAAATGGTTCACTAGACTTGTGAATATCGAGGTTAATCCAGCCGTTTACTCGGAACATGGTTAACGTTGAGAGACTGCTTGTTCAGAACAAAGCACGCAACCCTGATATTGGGTGAGAACGGCACGCGAACAGGACGCTGAATCGGTAGACGATTGTCATACACACATCACAAAGCCAGAAAGGCTGCAGGTCCTGCATTGAGGTCGAGAAAAGGGTACACAGGTGATCGGGGGAAACGTAAAGGGAAAGTACATTTCAGACACGAATCATGGAGTGAAGCCAGGGAGGTATCATCGCGTCCAGATCCGAAAGAGCAAGGTTGACAACGGGCCTTCGTCCCCGCCGCCGATTATTCGAGTGATAGAGTAAAACCCGAGAGAAGATGAGAAGAACGCTGGCAATATGCAAGGTTGAAGGGTCCTAGTGGGCAGTGTGGCCCCAGCCTGCTGTCTTGTTAGACTGCTGTCGCGACCCAGTATTGGACGCAGGCTTGCTGTTGCCTTTGCGAGGTCGAGGGTTGCTGTTGTTATTGTTGCGGGGTCGAAGTGGACCGGCCTTGCGTGGAATGAGGAAGACCTTTGGCTCATCTGCGCCAGGAAGATGGATCGTGGCTCGCACATTGCCGTGGGTATCGCGGTCATTCAGCCCAACATTGAATGGTTGCATGGTTTGGGGGTGAACCTGCTTACTGGCCTTGCGGAGCTGTCGAAGAGGAAGTTGGCTCCACGAATTTGCGGGTGCCATTGGGGGAACACGGACAGCAGGCAACGAGCCAGGTTCACGATCCTCAAACATTTCATCCTGCCTCTCGACTTGTTCAACTGCAATATCACCGTCGCCCTTTGGTAGCCCAAACTTAGCCCGAGGGAATGAGACAGAGACTGCGGCAGTGTGAACAGGCAAGGCTTCCTTGGTCGCGGGTGTGACAGCCAGAACGTTCTTGGTGCCTCCGGTCTTGGGGCCTCCTGTCTTGAAAAGACTGTTGATCTTGTCCTGCCACGAGATGACTGCAGGGGGTTGAGGCGCCGCATTGCGCGGGGAGCGGCTGCCATGGAAGCGAAGGTAGGCGGAGGGGCCGGTGCGCTAACCACCTTGGGTGGAAGCTTGACAACAGGCTTGGGAATGGGAAGATGCACATGGGGGCGGCTCGAGTCTCCGAAATAAACCGGGTGGCTTGAAACTTCCTCGGGGGAGGAGGGGAAGGGCTACTGCTGCGTTGCTCCCTTTCCACAACCTGGCGCTTAGGCTGCTGCTCGGTAGCAGATGGGAAGAATCGAGAACTGCGAACAGGAATGGGACCTGAGCGGCTAAGGTCAGACGAAGGAAGTCCATCCACGGGAGGAGCAGCAGTAGCCAACGGGTTGGACAGTGGCTGCACAACGGGCTCGGCGGTCGGCTCATCCTTACCCACAGTCTTGTGAACAACTGCAGTGACGACACGTCTGCCATCTTCGGTGGGCTTGATCTGCTTCCAAGTCTGGTCGAAAGTTGATGGAGCCGTAATGTGCTCTCCTTTCTGGTGCGTCTTGTGGAAATGCTCCATGAAATTCTGCTGATCCTGGCGTTCTTTGTCACCCACGTTCTGAGCAAATGACCTCCATGCTTCCACTCCACGAGACTGGTGCAAGGTCGGCGGTCCAATCGGACTGGGGCGGCCGATGGGGTGCAAAGGATCGAACGAGGGATGACGCGCCTCGGGCGATGGTAAGCAGGCGGCTTGCTCTGCCGGAGCTGCAACGAAGTTGGGAGCGTTTGACATGGCTGATTGGTCAAAGCCTAGTTGGCGCAAAGAATTCTCACGAGAAGAGAAACCAAGAGGTTGGTCGAAAATGCCGTTTCCGAGCGTGGGAGTGCGGTCACTTCCCAGCGGTTTCCACGGGTTTTTGACGGTGGGAGAAGTCGCAGTGATACTAGGATGAGACCAGGGCGACGTGGAAACTTTCAAATTACCTTGCTGCCAACGTTCTTCTGGTTGACCGCTCGACTTAACCGGGGAGTGAGGTGCGAGTGGTTCGCGAGGAGCCTCTTGGTGGGGCGAAGAGACGCGTCGAGTGAAGTGCTTGTTATCAGATGGCCGGTCATGCGCACCAACAAGCTTCTTGACAGAGTCCGGATGATGCACTTTCATCATACCATACTGTTTTGGTGCGCCAGTGGGCTCGGGAACAGGAGGTTTGGGAGGAGGTGAGATAGGGTGAGTTGTTTGGCGCGGGGAGGTGTGAGGAGGGTGGTGAGGTTGAGGTTGAGGTTGAGGTTGCGACGGAGGGGCAGGGGTGCGAGTTTCCGGAGCTTTCTTCTCGGGTGCAGGTCCCATTGCCTCAAGTCGTTGTCGGATCCGCTCTTTCTTCGCGGCTTCTTCCTTCTCCTCCTGTTCAATCCTACGCTGTCTCGCCTCCAGACGCTTCTCCTTCATGATACGCTCTTGCAAGACAACAGGGTCTTCTTGGGGAGGGGCCACTGGCTGCGGCTCTGGGGGTGCCTCCACGGGAACATTTTCAGCAGGCCGGGGCACCAGCCCATTTGGTCCTGGTAGAGGAACTTCCTCTTTGCCATGGTAATGGGGGTGGTGGTGGTGCTGCTCAGGGCCCATCAGTGCCGGATCTATTATTGTCTGAGAGCCTCTCCGGCCATCATTCAGTCGTGGAGGTGCATCAGGTCGACCGAATGACATTCTACGACCAAATCCTCCGCTTCCACCGCTCACGTTTGATGACGTGCGGCGGCGACCACCCCAGCCCATACCATCTTGGTGGCTCGACCTGTGTGTCTGGAAAGCAGCAGAAGGCTCTGCCGGTCCACTTGGATGATCGTTCGATCTCTGCAATACCGCAGGAGCACGAGGGTGCGGGTGTTGGTCGTGGCGCCAAGAAGGTCTTCTGGTGTCAGTCACCGGCTCATATTGACCGGAGCGAGAATTGAAAAGCTCGCGAGGGGCACCTGACTGGGCTTCTTTCCATGTGCGGTTAAAGTCATCTGCAGCAATCTCCTTGGGCGGTGCATGGGGACCGTCGTCTCTCTGAGGCAGGTGTCTCAGAGGCATGCGCGGATGCGGAGGTGGTGCCATGGGACCATTGACAGGAGAGACCCGTTCAACGGGAGGCAGAGGGGCCCATGGGGACTTGGATGGCGGTGCTGGGCTAGTGGAACTAGATGGCACTTTGTCACTTGCACCTTTGGAAGACGAACCTGCGGTCCTCGCTTGGCGTTCAGCGTTTGCTCCAAGCTTAAGGATGGTTGGGTTAGGTCCAATAGAGGTGATAGGCTTCGGCGCAGCTGGGACTTTTGGCGCCACGGGAGCTTCTTTGGGTGCTTCTTGGGGTGCTTCTTTAGGCTCTGGTAGACTTGGCACAGGTTGAGTTGGACCCGGTAGAGGATCGGCATGAGTGTGCGTGAGGTTGACCTTGGTTCCATCTGTCCATTCGATCGTTTCAGGAGCCCAATCATCCTCGTCGTCGTCAATATCCGCCCACTTGGATTCGGAGCTGATAGCACCATCTTCCTGGATGCGAGAAGTCATATGGATTCCATATTGTTGCTTCAGCTCTTCGTCGGTCAAATGTTTCGGGGGAGGTGGCGCAACAGCTATATCCACACATGAATGTCAGTCCGAAGTGACTTTTGATAGAGTGACAGATACATACGCCGGTTTTTGTTCCAAACTTGGCTTCCATCAGGCCCCGACCCGCCAGAATTAGCCCCGCCGGCTCCATTCTTGGAGAGCGAATCACGCATTCCAAGTGTGGTTTTTGCGACCAGGCGGGGACGGGAGGTTGGCTGTGGGGTTCCTAGCGGTGTGGTCGAGGTGGACGGCGCTGATATAATTGTTAGCGATGGACGTAACGAAATGCTGGAAAAAGAAGGCCAGCCATACTCTTTTCTGGCGCTTTAGATGGCGCAGGAGCACCTGGAACCTTAGGTACCGAAAACTTCTGTTTCGCGAAAGAAACCGGCTTGAACGAGCTCGGCTTTTTCACGGAGCCATTTCGCGTATGGTTCCTGCTGTCCGTTCGGCTCGCATCTGATTCCGAACCGCCTTGTGAGGCTGTGTCGTCTCCGCCGTCCGATGCAGATGCCAGTCCGTTGAGCTCAAGCACTCTGGTCGCAACAAGTCCAGCACCCTGTGTTCACACCAAATCAGCAAGGGCGTGTGGGCGCATCCCAGGTCGATTCTTACCGTTGTTGTACGGCTTCCAGTATCCTTGTCACTGCCAGCTCCTTCTTCCGGGGAGTCAAACGTTTTTGCTGTTTCATGGCCATTCGGAGTTTCGTCTTTGGATGTAGTTTTCATTGCGATATGTTCGGTCTTCCCCGCGTCCCCTCCAGCAGATGAGTTGTCGGTGGTGCTCGCAGGAACGTCGGATGGCGAAGGCTCGCCGCCCGACAGGTGATCTACCACATCGCGGCTGCTCTGCTCTGCCATAACAATGCTCGATTCTGCTCAAGATAGCCAATGCGACCCGGTCAGTAAAGTGCACCGGCGGTGGGAAGGTGGTTCGGGAGACGTAACAGGCAGCCGCAGTTTAAACGTGCACACCTGTCCACCACGCAAACATACCTATCGTCAGATATCAAGGATCGCCACGGTTGCACTGCTTCCTCGGCTGGTTGCACCCTGAAGATATGGGATATTGCAACCAGATATGGTCTCGGTCAACTCTCGGGAGAGTTGAGAAAGCTCGTGTCTCCTTGGGTAGTACGATCGCGGAATAGGCGCTTGTGGAAATCCGCAGCCCGAGGAGTCCCAGAAATGGGGAAAGGGGAGGGAAAGGAAGATAATGCGGAAAGCGTGTTGATGTAGGGAGGGATGATACAAGATTCAAGAGTCAACTCGGGTTGAAGCTGAGGGTCGCTGTTTTCGGTTTAGCGTGGCCCGGACGAAAGTTGTGATGTCTGCCCACGTCTGACCACTCCGAAAGCCCTAAGTGTAGTGAGTTGTTGGTTTAAGATTTGAATAGAGCTGGAGTTCCGATTGTTAAATTAAAGATGAGAAAGGAAAAGTCACTAGAAGTCGCAGTAAGGTGGTGGGAGTCTTGAGGGAAGAGTCATATCTCCTCTCCACACTCTCTATGGATATCTACGAAATACTACTGATGTCAGGATCAAAGTGATCTGAGTACCAAATAGGTATTGGCAGGTCTGAATACATGAAGATTTGGAATATTGAAACAATGATATTCTAAAACCACAGCATTCCCTTTCACTAGAACAGATATTCAGTATATACATCCATTCTCTGGTTAGAGGAAAAGGAACAATCTAGTGGGGGTGGTTCTTGTGGTGACCTGTTCGAGATAGAGTCAGCGACTGGAGTGAGAGCGAAGAGTGAGGAATGAATGCTGCAAAGGCATGACGTACGCAGGTGGAAGTAGTACTCCATGCTGTAACCCAGGATCAAGATACCGGCGATGGCGTGAACGAGGGCTGCGGTTGTTAGTATATATGAATGAGTGCGGAGGGATGGTGTGCGAGAACGTACGAGCACCGGAGGCGTTCTTGCCGCTGAAGTAGCGGGCCTGGTAGCGACCGATGAGGCCGGAGGCCTTAACGGGGGCAGCAGGGCCACGGGGAAGACCGGCGTAGAAGTTCACAACACGCTCCATGCGGGCGGCATCCTGGGCGGCACCGATGGCCTGAGAATCAACGTTAGTTATTGATTCAATGTGGTTGATTGTATCGCATGTCGCGGGCTCGCACGAAAACGAGTTCGGAGCTGAACGGGTGTGGAAGGGGTGCGCGAGATCGGAGACGGCAGCGCATTATAGACTCACGTTAGGGGAAGCGACCTATTCATAATAATTAGCATTGAGTCAAGCAGCACGGGGCGACATGGACTAGTCTTGAGGGGTGGTCTTACCTTGGGGGAATCAAGGTCGAGAGACCTCGGCGGGCGATGTAGCTCATCTTGTCTGGGCTGAAAATAGTCAGAAATTGATCGCAATAAGTAAAGTGACTCCCAATGAGCACTCCATGGGGACAAAAACGGGTCCTTACGTTGATTCGCAGCGCAAGTGAACCAAAGAAAGCTGATGAAGGAGGAAGGAGGAACAAACCGAGCCCTGCGGGTGGTCGGAAAGCCAAGCCTACGCTAAACCTCTTTCGGCGGTGTCGTGACTTGCCTGCAATTCGCAGGAAACCACATCGGAACGTGAATTCTCACTGGCAACGACCATTTCCCCGCATCCAATCAGTCAAAATGTCACTCTTCAGAATTGGAGGTGCTGCCGGTCTTCGGGCCAGCAGATTTGCTGTGCCCGTCAATGCCCGCTTCGTCTCCAGCTCTCCCAATGGAATCAAGACCAGCACCTCGGACGCTCCCACCACTCCTAACAAGGAGAGCACCTTGATTAACCAGGAGTCCCCATCTGAGGCTATGACTCGTCACCAGCCGGACTATGAGGCGACCATTGACCATGGCACTTCGTACGCCATTCCCCCGTTCGCCTTGAAAACACTTTTACTAACCCTTTGGGATAGGCAATTCTCCCCAGTGCCCAAGCGCGTCATGGATGGCAGTGAGCCCGGTGAATCCCTTCCCGGCGCTGTTCTCTCCGGCGCTCCCACCGACCTCCAGGCCCGCACTGTCCGGTACGAATTCCTCCCCAAACATGCAAGATCCCTGACTGACCTGAATCATAGTATCTACCGCCCCACTAAGCCCGCGACACAGTCTGGTACCTGGCACCAGCACCACTGGCGCATGGATTGGGATATCCTCCAGCGTGGTCACCGCTGGGAGAACCCTCTCATGGGCTGGCAATCATCCGCCGATTGCATGCAGGGCACCAACATGAAGTTCAAGTCCAAGGAGGACGCCATTGCTTTCGCCCAGAAGCAGGGCTACGAATATTTTGTCCAGGAGCCTAATGTGCGCCGTTTCGTTCCCAAGTCCTACGCGAACAACTTCCTTCACGAGCCCAAGAAGATCAAGAACATCAAGACCAAATGATTTGACCTTCGTGCTATATTTTGTACATATTACCTGTTGTTGCTTGAATTACATTTTCAAAATTGTCCCTCTTTTTGCCCTGACATACCTATGTCTACTCAATCCCCGTCACCTCGTCTCCATGGCTAGGCATGTATAAAAGGTACAAGCCGCCGGCCGTACGCAATTTGTACATATTTGAGTCGCGGGGCCCAGGGCTGTCTATTTCTATGACGATCTTCATGGATGGATGGGCCTTGCAAGTGATCCATCCAAGGGTCTCTAGAGATATCTTATCTCGATCCATTCGCTGCCCGGGTGAGGGCCAAGCCCTGGAGATATATACAGCATCCCAACAGATGGGGATGTGCGGGACCAAAATCCCATTCGCAATAGACACACCACCAAGGCTTGCTTCCAAGGTTCCAAGGACTAGGTAGTCTACCATACCTCAACTCTGGATTGGAGGGGGGGAATTGCCACGCTTTCCAAGGGGTTGAGAATCTGTGCCCATGCTTATCTAGGGCAAGTTTGGCGTTGGCTTTGGAACGAGCTGTTTTGATGCATTTGTCTATTGACCAGGCTGTTTGCCCTGCTTCAAAGGCCCAAATATATCCGTCCATAGCTCACTTGCTTCACCCAGATGGTATGCTAAGTCCACATCTGCCAAACTAGCATCGTCTCCTCCAGTCATGGTCTCGAGCTGCGCGATTAGATTCTCCAGTCCAAATGCTTTACCAGTTGCCTGTGTGGCACCGGCCTCGAGCATGACATTGACCACATGAATGTGGAAGTGGTAGTATGTTGGTTGATCTGGAATATCTAGGTCAGTAAAGTAATTCCAAGGGAAATCAGAAGCTCCAATCTCCCAGACAAAATCACTCACAGTGAACATAGAGCTTCAGCTGATCTTCTTCCAGGTCCGGATACATGGAGACCGTAGCTTCGAGAACGCGCTTCCGCAGGTACCGCAGCCACGATACATGGCTCTTCTTCAAATCGCGCAAGCTCCAGATATCGCGTCTATGCACGAGTGCCAATAAATGAAGTGATCCCATCGTCTTGCGGTCCCAGTTGAGGTCAGGTAACATCAAAAATGCATCCTCGGGGCCATGTCCATCATCCCGCATGATGACATCTTCTTGTTCGGTGCGGCCTTCAAGAATGTTGAACACCCAATTCAGCCTTCCCTCTTCCCGCTTCGCTTGCATGTATGGCCGGACATGATCACGGTAGATGGCTGGTGTCTCGGTGACCATGCGTAGTTGCTGGTCGGAGTACTTTTTGATATGAGATGCAGTGCAGGGCCAGATCAGGTTGAGTTTGAGGTCTTGCTGAGGCGCAATGTATGCTGCTGCTTCAGCGGGTGTAGGGGCCTGGTCGGCTGTGCTTTTTCCGTTGGAAGAGGCGAGATACCAGCGGTAGATGTCGTTGTCGCCTAGGTTGTCGATTCGTGTGATTGCGGCGTGGAAAGCTTGCAGAACTGAAAGTGATTCTGTGGCGAAGGCAGCACGCTCAGCCATCAAGATACCTTGCTGGTCATCAATCGTGCCCAGGAGGGCAATTCGACGGCCATTTTGATCTGCGGGGTGCTTGGTTCAGTTGCGTTCTTCGCATTGCGGGGCTTGTGCGGGCATACCCTGCTTGAGCAGCTTGTTCACCTGGAACTTGGAGATGAGGGCCTCGGGGGCAAGCTTCGCTGTTTCAGTATCACCCATGGTTATCTAGACAGATTCAGATTCAGATTCAAACCATTGTTGGACTTTATCGGGATGGCGGGCGGTCAGGCTTATCGGTCATAGATCTAGATTCTATAACTACCTACTCAGCGAGGCGCATGCCCTAACAAACAGGCTTCTAGGATTTAGAAAGACCATGGTGTGCAGCTTGAAAGACCTCAAGATTGCTATGGGCATCCAATATTCAATGGGTCTCTATCAGTCTCAAATCCAAATGTTTAACCATAGCATGTGTTAACGAGATAATAGCTCGGTTTCTCTCCACCACGCTCCAACGATCAGATACTTCTCGTCATTGTCTGAACGTCAAGATATGATAAAGACATAAAAGTATCAGACAGCAATTAAACAGTCGATTATCGATATAGTGGATATAGAGCATTAATAGTGAGTCGCAGACATCTCTCTCGAATTATCTCGATTTCCCAGGCAACGTATCAAGCAGTAGTCTCCTTTCCATCATTTGCTGGCGCTGGCGTCGTGTGTATCTGATGAGCTATTAGCATGGTTGCTGACGAGGTCAAATTGGCGGGCAATTGAGAGAACATACTGCGTCCGCAAATTGCAGCCATTCTTCTACTCCTTTGACAAAAGTGTCATCTGCCGCAGGAACAGCCTCGTGACCCCATACTACAAAATCATCAAATGTGCCTTGTGTTTCCAGAACTTTGACTGGTTCTTCCGCCTCGGTTTCACCCTCGATACCTTCGTTGCCCGGCCGTTGAGTTGGAGGTAGCATCCGGTCTGTTGGTACCGCAACAACGCCTAACAGCATATGGACAGTCAGCCAGGTGAAATTGATATGTGGTAGCGAGCTGAACAAGTTGCAAGCTCTTTGTCGGAATTGTTCGTACCTTGATAGCCATCAGGAAGGGCGACGCGCCGACCTCGAAGCTTGCGCCCACGGAAATGCGCTGTCTGAGTATTATCTAGACAGAGAGGCGGGTGATTAGCCTCTAATTGATCCAGATCTCTGGGGAAATTTGTGTATCCCCGTACTGAAGTAGCAAGTACCTTTCTCGTCATTCACTGGCATCCAATACCGGTCGAGTGAATCAACCGGTCCGTCATGGTGGACTCGACAGGGGATGATATTTGGTGTGTACTGCACAGTCGATTGATCTTTTTCAGAGGTAGCTTTTGAGCTCTGAATTGCATACATGTCGGGCATTGTGTCGTGATATTCGTGGAGTTGTTCGGGGATGTTCAGATGAAAAAAGGTCGGGAGCGCGACGCGTTCTCCGCGTTAAGTGGAAATCCCGAGGTTAACCAACCAGATACATTTTTTGAGCTCGATATTTCAAATCTTGGAGGTATTCTTATGGTTTACAATACAGCGCAATTAAATTGACAGAATTGGGGGTATACATGCATATGAGCCTCAGCTATACTCGTGTAGTTTCACCTCTTACGAGTGGTCTTCTTCTTCTTCTTTTTCTTCTCGCCTTCGCCCTTCTCTCTAGTATCGGCGATCATCCTGGCAGGCCATTTCTTCAAATGCTCGCGCTCAAACGCATCCTTCTCGCGGCGGTAAAGAGCCATCGTGGCCCTCGCATCTTCAACACTAGAATGCGCCCCGTCTTGAATCTTGATTCCCAAGAACTCCTCGGCCAATATCTTTAAGCGTGGCGATCCACCGCCGGCAATCTTCCGGTATGGGGCATGCTTGCTCGTGTCGCGGATGTCGCGCTTAGGGTGACCGAGGAGCAGAGCGTCCAGATCGTTGCTGACGGCGTGACCCACCAAGATGCGGCCACTCATGATCTCTGCAATTTCCTTCTGGACGTGCTCGAGTGTGCGGGCCTCGACCATGTGTTTCGGTGCAATTCCACTGACATGCGTACGCCAGTCCGTGACCATCTCTTTAGGTCTAACGTATGAATCGTATATTTGGTCGCCGTTGAAGTTGACCACACTAACACGCGCAAGCACAGAGTCGTTATCCGGGTTTGGTCCTACACCAACCATTTCGCAATCCATTGCGACGTACTTTCCGAGTTCGGCACTGTGTGGAGTTAGTAATTGGCCATATCAACAGCCCAGCGCATGTCTACTAACGTCGTGGAACGGCCTTCATTTTCCTTGTAACGAGAGCTTGTCTCGGTTTTCACCGGAGCTGCAGCATTTGATTTTCTCCGTGTCGCCCAAGTACCAGACTCGGTCTCTGTGTCGGACATTCTCTTGCGTTTGAGGGGTGGTTTAGAGTCTCGGTATGGTTTTCGCTTCTCCGCCAACTTGCGTTTTTTGTCATCTGCGTCGCGATCAGAGGGCTTGCGCTTGGGAGTGTCTTTCGGAGCGTCTTTCTTCAAGGTTGCCTGTAACTTCTTCCAATTACTGGAAAGAGCTGGCTTGTCCATGATGGTTGTGAAGAGGAAAGGTGAAAGATAAAAAGGCGATAAGCAAGTAAATTTTCGGGACCCACTTTTAGTCGATAGCGGTTGCAGTATTTATGTGAGTACGAAGCGCCTACGAAGTACAACTCTTGTAGCTCGGATATCTCTTTCAGTGAAGAATCCTTATTCCAAGGTTTGATGTAAACTTGAAAAAAATATATTTGATCTGTGTGACCAACATTATATATGACAAAATGCACCCGCTTTTGAAAATATGCAGAATTATTCGTACCCAGTCCGGAAGTCCTTAGCAGCCCACTTCTCTGTGACCTTTCTCTTGGCCTTGCGAGCCTGTGTGATGGGCGTGCGAGACTCAAGCTTGCCCTGGACGATCAATGTGCGGAATCGGTCGTCTAGAAGATTGCCCTCCGGCTTCAACAGGCGTAGCGAATCCTGCAATTCATCCGGAAGCACCAACTCCAAAGGCTGGGCGGGAACACTGTATTGATGTTAAGTAAAATGCCTGTGAAATGAGAGTAAAATGGAACATACGCTTTCTTGCCGCCGAAGGTCTTTCGGCGGAGGACAGTGTCATCACCGTCTTCAGAATCATCCGCATCTGACTGGTTCTCACCATTCTGCTCCTTGAGCGCAATTTCTTCGGTGATCTTGGCGATGTGCTCGGCCTGAGCCTCCCTCTTTTGCATTTGAGCTTCCCACTTCGCTTTGCGCTCCGCTTCCTTGCGTCGCTTGATCTTGTTCCGTTGCACCTTGGTCTTGCGCTCGGGGCGCTTCTTGTTCAACCACTCGGGCTTCTCGTATTCGCTCTCGAAGCCCTCCCAGGCGCTCTCATCATCCGACTTGACTTCGCCATCGTCGTTCCGGGCCGCCTCGATCAAACGCTGCCTCTCAGCTTCCTTGGCTTCTTCCGCGAGGCGCTTCTTCTCGGCCTCTACGGCCTGTGCGCCATGTGTTTCCAGCAGGCGGTCCCACTCTTCGAAAACGGGGTTGTAACTGGTTCCTGCGTGAGGCATCTTGACAGACGGAACGGCCTTTCCATTGGCAGCAAGCGAAATTGGGGCATGTTTTAATGTGGTTGGCTCAACCTTGGGCTTGGGCTTTTGCAGGAAATCAAAGCGAGGGTCGTCGTATGTGGTGGTGGGCTCCGCATCCTCCGCCCAGGGGTCGTAGAACTCATTCTCAGCCTTCTTTCCCATAGGCTGTGCGTCTCTGGCGACTTGCTTCAAGCGTTGGTATTCCTTCTGGCTGACCCAGTCGCTCTTGGGCTTCTTGGTCTTCGGTTCAATGATTCCATCGGTGACATTGGGGTTACCGCGCTTGCGTCCGTCGAGCGCAGGAATCATAGACCGCTTGGCAAGAATTTCGTCTGACTTGAGGGGCTTGTGCTTTTTGGTGACAGACTTGCGCACATCTTCGTTACCGGTAGTATCGATGGTGAAAAGCTCATCGGAAGCCTTCTCAGTGATAAGACCACTATATTGCAGAGTTAGATTCTCAATTCATATCGTGTATTTCTTGAGAGTAAAGAGAAAGCCTTACCCTTTGATCTCTGCTTCGGTCAAATGGCGCAAACCCTCTTGGACATCTGTGACATCGACATTCTTGCGCCATGCCTTCTTTCCCTTACGAGAAGGCTGGTTGTACTGTTTCGGGGCTTCCAATGAAGTAGACATTGTGAACGACAATAGTTGCAAACAAAGTCGACGTCGATATGAAAATTGACCCAAAGTTTCTTATCAGAAAAAAAAATCTGCTTACGCAGCACCCGCGGGGGCGGTGGGGGCGCCTATCACGCCAACCGCGCTAAATGCGGACCTGCAAACTCATCTTCGAGCTGCCACCAGTGACGCGTGAATATCCCCATCGCCCGTGGGTTGTCCTTTTCCATCTCATTGGAGACACTCACTTTCTCTACCTGCCGTCTCTTTCACCGTTCGGAAATTACACTCGCACGGAGCGCGGCCGTACATCATGCCTGTCGTCAAAGGAGGTGTCTGGTAAGAAACCCTGATTGAAACCGCTCGTCTTCTTTCGGCGCTAATAAATCCCCAGGACCAACATCGAGGATGAGGTGCTCCGAGCAGCTGTAAGTACTCATGCGTTATCGTGGACCTCCAACCTAGATGTTCCAATCACTGACCCGGTCGCAGGTTTCCAAGTATGGTCTGAACCAGTGGGCCCGAGTATCCTCGCTGCTCGCACGCAAAACCCCGAAGCAGTGCAAAGCGCGTTGGATTGAATGGCTGGACCCGGGTATTCGCAAGATTGAATGGACGCGAGAGGAGGATGAAAAACTGCTGCACCTCGCCAAATTGATGCCCACGCAATGGCGCACAATTGCCCCCATTGTTGGGCGCACCGCCACACAATGCCTCGAACGCTACCAGAAACTTTTGGATGAAGCCGAGTCGCGCGAAAACGATGACCTCGGACTAGGAGGACCTGGCGCGGAGGGTGCTGCGCCCAGTGCGGACGATGTTCGCCGTCTACGGTATGACATGATTCCCTATGCCCAAATTTCCCAAGTCGCTGACATTTCTAGACCCGGTGAATTGGACCCTGACCCCGAGTCTAAGCCCGCCCGCCCCGATACTATTGATCTGGACGAAGACGAGAAAGAAATGCTGAGCGAAGCGCGTGCTCGTCTTGCTAACACGCAAGGTAAAAAGGCCAAGCGCAAGGCTAGAGAGCGCCAATTAGAAGAGTCTCGACGAGGTGCTGCTCTACAGAAGCGTCGTGAACTCAAGAATGCCGGTATCAACGTCAAGGTTGTTACACGGAAGCCTGGGCAGATGGACTACAACGCAGATATTCCATTTGAGAAGCCGGCAGCGCCCGGATTCTATGACACACTTGAAGAACAAAGCCAGAACGAGCGGCAGCGGGAGGCCTTCGATCCTCGCAAGCAGCAACTCGCAAACAAGAGAAAGGGTGACCAGGATGATGATGCGGAGCGCAAGAAGCGCAAGAACGATAAATCGGGAAATGCCGCCGCTTCTGCCGCCGCTCAGCGAGCAGGTCAAATGCAGAAGATTCGCGAAGCTGAGCAAAGCAGCAAGCGAGATGTGCTGAAATTGCCGGCACCCCAGGTCGCGGAGAGCGAGATGGAGGCAATCATCAAGATGGGATTGGCAGGCGAAAAGGCTAACCTCATGTCTGGCGATGACGACTTTGCTCAGGGTCTTCAGGGAAAATATTCTATTCTCGGAAACACTCCTATCAGAACTCCGCGAGCTGCTCCTGAGGAGGATCATATCGCCAACGAGATCAAGAACATCAGGGCTCTTACCGAGACACAATCCTCTCTTCTGGGTGGAGACAATACCCTGCTGCACGAGGGCGGTTCGTCAACTGGATTTGATGGCATCGCTCCTCGGCGACAGAACATCGTCACACCTAACCCCATGGCCACGCCCTTCCGCCAGGCAAATGGCATGGGTGCTACTCCTGCACCCGGTGGTACGCCTTTGCACACACCGCGCGACCACTTCTCCTTGAACCAAGGCGGCCAATTGATTGGCAGCACACCCCGTGACATTAAAAACCACGAAAACTTTGTTCGCCAGCAACTTCGCGGCAAGTTGGCTTCGCTACCCAAGCCAAAGACAGCCGACTGGTCGCTCGACGATATCCCAGATGAGACCGCTGAACCCTCTACATCAATGGAACTCAGCGAAGAGGATGCGGCGGAGCGTGATCGCCGTGAGCAACAGGCACAAGAAAAGGCCGCCAGGGCAGAATTCAAGCGTCAATCACAAGTGTACCAGCGCGGTCTGCCTCGACCAGCTGTTCTTGAGTTGAACGCTTTGGTGCAACGCGCCTCTCAGGTCACAGGTGCCATCGAGGGCTTAATCGCCAACGAAGCCGCCGCTCTAATCGCACACGATTCTCGCAAGTTCCCTGTCCCCGGAAGTCAGGTAGAAGGCAAGGCGCCGAAATTGCGCCAGCTGGACGACCGGTTCCTGGATGCAGCTCGGGCTTCGATTGCCGCTGAGATTGCTTCCGAGGCGCAACAGTCAGAATGGCAAGATAAGTTTGACGACGGCTGGACCTCGGCTCGTGCCAAGTCCCTGCCGGGTCTCGAGAACTATGAAGACGACGAGCAAGATGCCTCCGAGGAGGAACAAAAATGGAAGGGTGCCTTTGATACCGTCCAAACAGCACTCTTTGCCACGGCCGAGCGCGGAAACAAGCTGGAAAAGAAGCTTTCATTACATTACGGTGGATATCAATCTCGCGCCAAGACTCTGCGGTCAAAAATCGCAGAGGCAGGAGCTGCTTTGCCCGCAGCTACAAATGAGCTTGACGCTTTCCGTACACTTCAAATCTCCGAGGAGGCTGCTGTGCCCCGGAGACTCGATCATCTCCGTGAGGCGGTGTCATTTGTCATGCGGCGTGAACGTGAGGCCCAGGAGTTGTACAAGAGCCGGAAAGAAGAGCTGGATGAACTTGTTGCCGGGACTGCTACCATAAACGGGTGGCACTAGGTTAGAAACACATTTTTTCTACAGTGCCATCTTTTGTACGATTATTAGCAGTCTAATTTGACATTCCATGAACATCATCCAAAGACCAGCCCATTCTGTCACATTGTTTGCTCTTTCGACTGTTGAAATAGGCAACAGCTTTGTACCCTGAGCCTGGATATCTTAATATCCTGGGAGCTAGATCAATGATCAGTGGATCAATTAGTGAATCAGTGTTGTTCGGTAGGGTCTACGGGTTGAAGATGTCCAACATTACTTGTCTAATGCCAGTCCAACATCAGAATTTGTGTCAAATGAGCATTGATTGTCATAATAATAAATTGTTGATAAGCCCAGAGTGACGATAAAAAGAAGTGACGGTGACGTTGCTCATAAACTCCCTGATCCCGTGCCATCCGTGCATGGCGGTAAACTCCCGCAACCATAATAGTATGCCCGGCATCGATTGCCTTTCCTAGCCCTGAGGTTCATATCGAACTATTTGAAAGAGGGTTCATGTCAGTCACGTGCGAGGATAAACCCGTTCACATATCACTCACCTTGCAACGTCACTTCCCGATCCGAAGGACCGGGCCGTAGCCCTAACTTGGCTTTAAGCCAGACGGCTGTCATACTTCGCAAGATCCTGGCGATCCTTAAGAGTGGGAGGAAACAGGTCGTGAGCTCGGTGCAGGGCCTCGAACATGCGAACAAACAATGCCGTGTTACGATCACTGGCAACGCGCTCGTCCTTGATGTCCATGCGTTGGCGCAAGACGTTAATGGCCTTGTGGGCGTTGGCCTCATAGAATTCACGCGCAACTCCGTGGCCATTGGCCCACACGCGCAGAGTGAAAGGCACTTCAGTGAACTTCTCGCACATTTCGGCCACAGTGGGAATGTCGGTTGTCCAGGCATCCCAGTTGTTGAGCACAAAGATGCACTCAGACTTGGTGTCGCGTGCCTCTTCCATTGCACCTGCAAGGAACTTGGTGGTGCGGCAAGAGATCGACATCTTGCTGTTGGCTGGGTGGATGACTGTTTGAATCTTCTGGGGACGTGATCCGAGATTCCCATAAACCTTGCGATGCTCGGCGGACATAATCACCAGGAGGCCGCGCAGGTATGCATGCATCTGAATGGTGTTCAACACTGTGCCTGGATAGTTGTGGTCACTCAAGTCAGAGGCACGCGCGATGAAGACGACAACCGGGCCCATGGGAGAGTTCTTGACTGATCCATTGGATTTCTCGGGCGATGCCACGGGCGACTTGGTGGTGTTGTGATCGACCGCCGGCGGACTATACTGGTCCTCCGTGGCCTGAATCTCAAGCATTACGGGCGAGCTAGAATGACTGGTCATTGGGAAGTTTTGAAATTTTGATGGTTGAGTGGAAAGATGAAATATGAGTGTGACTAGAGGCGAAACCAAGTGCTCGAGGAGGGTGCTTGACAAAACAGTCCCCAGGAAGCGGTGGTTTGCCCCGTTTGATTTACGATGCGATGTTGACACTAAAAGAGCGTTACAGTAAATTTACAGGAACGAAAGGCAGAATACTGAACATACAACGTGTTGATTGTAAGAAAGCTCGAACACGACTATAGAAAATGGACAATAATAACATAGATCCAAATCTTTGCGCAATTCAACGCTTCTTGATACTGATATCAATCTTCCCAACGCCCCAAGCGGCTACAAAGACTGTGACCATACCCGCGAACAGAGTGAAAGGCTTGCGTAGAGCATCGAACATGGTGTGCTCGTAGGTAACCTACAATGTAAGTTAGCTTGGTTTGGAAGACAGATTGTCAGAATTGGCTACTCACGACAATAATGGCGTCACGGGCTTCGTCAGTAAGACTGTCAACTTCCAGAGTCAATGTGGTACGACCCAGGGTGTCCATGTAAGTCTGCAAGGAGCTCAGGCTTGCAGAGATGTGATTGGGGTTGGGAAGACCGTTGCTGTTGGTACCCTCGAGGGTTTCGAATCGAACGTCGTGGGATCCCTCGGGCAGAACAATACGAACAACGACCCGCTCGTACTGGATTCCCTCGGCCATCTTAGGGCCCTCGATGAGAGGGACCTTGAGAACGTAAGAGTCGGCGTCAACACCCGCAGCACGGCGGAGGAACGAGGAAAGTTCATTGTTCCAGCCGATCTTGAAGCTGTAGTTCCAGCCACCGAAGATGGGGTAGCGGGGCTTCAGCTCCAAGTTCGCATTGCTCTTGCCCTTGCTGGGACGGTAACGGCTAGTGGAGACATTGCCGATATCATCAACAAAGTAGGGATCAACAGAACCAGGCTGAAGAGGGTAAGTCAGCTCACGCACCGCCGAAGTGGGCGCCTTCTGATAGTTGGTAAAGGTCCAGTCAACACGAGAGAACTGGTTGGTCAGCTGGGAGCCATTGTTGCGCAACCAGTAGCGTTCCTCGGTAGCAAGGTTGCCTCCCCAGTGTGAAACTTCGATGTCACGCTCCAATAGGTTAACAGTAATAACAGGCTTGGTAAACTGGTAGCGGACAGCAATTGGGTACTCGGTGCCTGGGGCCACCTTCGCTGTGTCATATGGACCATAGGTGTAGGTGGCGCCCTTGCGCTCGGGGTCGGACCCGGACTTGAGGCCCTCAGTGCTTGTATAGTCTGGTACATCGGTGCTAGGGAACTTCAACTTGGTCTTCTGGGTGATTGTCGTGTATGCAGAAGGAGTATACGCTGAGAAGGAGTAAGAGAGGTATTGCTTGTCGGCTTGTCCAATGGTTGCGGGAAGTGGACTCAAAGAGGAAAGTAGCGAGTATGAGATTCCTAGGGTGATTTGAGATTTGGGCGCCAGAGGCTCAGGGAAGTGAACCACGAAGAATTGGTTGCCGCTGGTTCCATTGTTAGCATTTTGATTCATGGTAAAGCGATAGCTGGATGTTTATGGCCATCAGCGCGCCATTGGCACCCCGTTTAGTACTCACCTGGAAGATACAGCTTCAGTGGCATCCACATCAAAGCGGCCATTCTCAGGAGCCTTCTTGTCCCGCACTTCAAAGCCTCCAACAAGCTCAAACACCTCATCGGGAAAAGGAACGTAGTAATCAGTTTGGGGCTTGCTGTCCACATTTTCCACCACGACATTGATGGTTTCGCGCACATATCCCTTCTCAAGATTGGTATTTCTGACAAGGTTGGTGTTCTTGAAGACTTGCGGGGGCTTGAAATCGGACGCGAGATCCAGTCGATGAGGTGTATTAAGGTCAGATGCGGCGCACAGGCTGGGTGCAAGCAACCCAAGCACCGTTGCGGTGATAAACCTCATTATGACTACCTGGAGAAATCAATTGCTCCAAGCAAAATAGTCATGAAAGATGTGAATGTTTGTGGTTTTTGATGGAAGCTCTAGCTAGTCCACGAGAAGGGGACACATCAGCATTGTACGGTAGGCGCAGCGGCCATTACGCGCACTCCGCCCGGCCTTATCGTAGATAAGAGGAGCTTCTCCTCATCTGCCCAGGTGGATTCTTCCAAGGCTTACTTCCCGCATTGCTGCTTGTTGATCTGTGGAGCATCTGAAATCACAGCTGCTCATTGCCCTTCGAGGAGGCCATGTTGACTCACACTACGCTCGTATCGCGGGCTGTCTTGAGATCTGGCTGTTTGAGACCAACTCAACTGTCGCGTGCTCGCCGTTACCATGGCTTTGCCCAAAGCAAATTCTTCCAAGTATCAGAGGAGGTCCGTGATGCTGTTGCTACCGGAAAGCCAGTCGTTTCTTTAGAAACGACAATTTATACACACGGTGAGTATTTCTTTTCTACGTTCCCGAGGAATCAACACCTCTCAAAAGCGGGGAAGTCGAGTCTAACCAGGTGCAGGTTTTCCATATCCCGATAATGTTGCACTTGCTACCATGTTAGAGTCCGTGGTGAGAGCCAATGGGGGAGTTCCTGCAACTATAGGAATCGTCAACGGCGTGGCCAAGGTTGGTTTAAACGGAGAAGAGCTCGTCCAGCTGGCCTCGACAGTTGAAAACAAGAGCGCTTTGAAAGTGTCTCGCAGGGACCTGGGCTACATATGTGGCATGGTGAGCGAGGCTACATGCTTGGTTTGTTGTTGAAGCTCACGTGAGTTAGGGCCTGGCTGGCAAGCCAATGCATGGCGGCACAACTATCTCCGGCACAATGATTCTTTCGGAGCTGGCTGGTATCAAGATATTTGGCACAGGGGGTCTAGGTAAATCCATGCATCAAGAGCAATTTCGAAGAATGTCCTTCTCTGACTATTCAAGGTGGTGTGCATCGCGGGGCAGAAAACTCCATGGACATCTCTGGTAAGCTCAACAGAAACAACGATATCGAGCGATGAGCTAACGGACCTGAAAGCCGATCTTACCGAGCTGGGCCGAACGCCGGTGACAGTCATCAGCTCTGGGTGTAAAAGCTTTTTGGACATCCCACGAACGCTCGAATACCTCGAAACTGAAGGTGTGTGCGTTGGAACATTTGCTGATGGCCGTGAGGGCGCGGTCGATTTCCCAGCGTTCTACACCCGGGACAGTGGCTTCCGCAGCCCTCGAACCATTCAAAACGAAGCTGAAGCTGCTGCAATCGTTTGTAAGTTCTCATTTTCTGGGCTCCATGCACAGCTTTATTGACAGTTATCAGATGCGCAATCAAAGCTTCCTGTCAGGTCTGGAATTCACTTTGCCAACCCTGTCCCCTTGGAGTCCTCGGTCCCGAAAGCCGAGATGGACATTGCTATCGAAGAAGCGATCCGTCTATCCCACGTAGAAGGCTTCCATGGCAGTGACAATACTCCCTTTGTGCTTTCCAAGATCAAGGAGCTGAGTGGCGGGAAGAGCGTAGTCGCTAACCGGGCTCTGATCAAGTCGAATGTCGAGCGCGCAACCCGAGTAGCCGTGGAACTTGCCAAGCTTGAGAATGCTGACCTAGAAACAGGGTCACGGTGAGTTTTGTTTCTAGCAACGAGATATGAGACATAATAAATGCTAAGTCCGGAGCTCCTTTTCACTATAGACACATGCCAGCAATTCCAAGTGTAGCTTCGCTCAGTCAAGCCACCCAGCAAACTCCAGAGACACCTGAACTGGTTTCAGAGGCACCGGTTGTGCCGACAGAGAAAGCCGATGTGCTGGTAGCCGGGTCCCTCGCCATTGACTTGTCTTGTGACTATACTCCGTTCGGCGATGAACGAACACAAGTCGCACCAGTGCCGCACACCTCCAACCCCGCAGTCATTGGGCAGAGTCTTGGGGGTGTTGGTCACAACGTCGCCGTCGCCGCCAGTTATGTTGGCAGCGATGTGCTATTCTGCAGTGTTGTAGCAGACGATCTCAGCGGTCGTGCGGCGCTTTCAGCACTTGAAAAGGAGGGCCTCAGCACAGCAGGGATCCAAGTCCTGTCTGCCGCAACAGGCACCCGCACCGCTCAATACATCGCCATTAACGATATCAAAAAAGACCTATTGGTCGCAATGGCAGACATGGGAATCGTCGAGCTGCCGGAAGCGCAACTTGACTTCGAGGGTTTCTGGGGGCCTCTTATCAAGCGTACAAAGCCGCGTTGGATAGTCGTTGATGCCAATTGGCGACCCGAGGTTCTCGCTAAATGGAGTAAATTAGCGCAACAGTACGGCGCTCGCGTGGCTTTCGAGCCGGTCTCAACGGCCAAGTCCCGCCGTCTGTTTGGTGGCGATGGCAGCACCTCCGAGGCGACCATCGGTCCAAACCAGACTGTGCCCAATAATGCTATCAGCCTTGCCTGCCCGAACCGACTTGAGCTAACCGCGATGTACACAGCTGCCCGGGAAGCGCTGCTCTTTGAGTCAACGGGCTGGTGGCACGTCATTGATTCAATGAATCTTTCCCCAGCTGGTTCACGCCAGCGCCTCGTTGCATTGACGACACCGGAGCTTGTTGACGAGGGTATCCCGCAGCAGACCCTCCAGCTTCTTCCTTTCATCCCCTGTATTGTCACAAAGCTCGGTAGTGCGGGTGCTCTTGTCACTCAGCTGCTGCCGCCTGGTGATCCTCGTCTCACCGATCCAGAGTCTGCGCCGTATGTCATTGCCCGCGTGCCTCTTAACACTGACGTGCCATTCGGCGGTGTCTATATGCGTCTTTTCTCTCCTGGGGCCGTCCTAGGTGAGGATGATATTGTTAGTGTCAATGCGGCGGGTGATACGCTGCTGGGAGTCTTGGTCGCCGGTCTGGCCAAGCAGGGGAAGTCAGCACGTATTGAAGACATCATTCCCATTGCGCAGGAGGCAAGTCGGAAGACGTTGGCGAGCGCTGGCGGGGTGAGCAAGGATCTTGCTGAGCTGCGATCTATACTGGAGCTGCAATAAGGGTATAGCCCTAACCTTGAAAGCATATTTTTACTTCATAGCGTTTAACGATATCCAAAGCTTGGAAGCTCATATCACTCATTTAAACTACTCTCGTGGGTTATTTTTGCAATTTCAGAGTGACCGGAGTCGACCACTTCCAATATTAGACATCCTCATGTTGTGAGGATGTACTTTCCTTTGCATTTTAGGGAACAGATACCTCGCCTGATCCATGGTTGATATTGAATTCAAATGATTCAAATCTAATTCAATCAACCTAACAAACTGGAAAGCTTGATGATGTAGCGAAGTAAAAGTGATCATTGGTCTAGTACTACAAGGCCCAGCTAAAGAACGACTAATCGCGGGAACGCATTCCTCGCCTTCCAATTTGTGAGCCTCCACTTCCCCGCAAGTCAAAGAACAAGAAAGGCTACCCGACCAAAGACAATGCATATCATGCATCTCGTACTCCGTACCCAACACAGAGAGCAAGGAAGGCAGAGCCGAGCCGCATCCGCATCCTCGGCAGCAAAAACACCCCCGCCAACACAGAGCTACAGAGCCAAGGACAAACTACTGCACGCCCTAGCACAGGCTACCTTTGCCTCCTGCAACAAGGCGACGACCTCCGCATTGACGGCTTCCTTGGGTCGTCAACGACTACCACCTCCGGTCTAGCTTAAGCAAGCACAGACGCTGTTGCTGGCGCTATAGTCCGCAGAGTCAGCGGTATGCTATCTGTCATCTCTTCAGCTGAGGTACTCCAAAGCAGCGAATACAAGCCATCTGTGCCTGTCGGTTTGGCATAGAAGTTTGCCTTGTCTAGCGTGACCAGCACATAGCTGCCGTATAGCGACCACACGTTGGTAAGCTTGTTGGAGCGACCCACTTCGGATGTCCCGCTGAAGCTAACCGGGTTTGCCGAAGCAGTGTCCTGGTTTAGACATAATACATTGGCTGAAAATGGGGCAGAGCGCTCTGTGGAGTCGGGTGATGCTATCCAAGTGTTCGACGACTCTGTTGAGTATGCGACTGTGAGGTTGTTAGACCATGATATGTTTGGATAGCGTAGACCTTACACTGAACATCGCTCATTGCAGCCGTGTTGACTTTGGCAGTGTCCACGAGCTCAGCGGTACCTATGGCAAGATTGATGATCAGATCACTTCTCTGCGTCATACATTTCGGGATTGGAAATACCTACCATCTTTGTAAAACACAGGCAATCCACTAATACCCTTGCCATATGCATATATCTTGAAGGGGGCAGTCGTCTCCCGCACTGCTAGTGGGTTTGCAGAGCAACCAATTCCCACAGCAAGAAGAAGAAACACTAGAGGCAATCGCATTTTGCAGCAAATGCTTTATACAGCAGTCAGAAAAGATAATATCTCGGGTGAGTGTGTTCAGTGAAATCAGAAATCAGAACGAAGAGGGGGCCACAAAGGTATAGTAGCCTAGGTGTTAATAGATGTAGATAGAGGGAGTGGGCGATGGAAGCCACCACTTCCAATTAAAGAGATATCTTGATCGCCGGTTCTCCTTTCTTTTCCCCTTTTGCGTAGTCATTCAGCCATGATTCTGATTTAGCCCGGTACGAGCTGACGGGGTACGTATCTCGCAACCATGACCAGGATCACACGGGCAATGCATTAGTTCCCCTTGCCACTACCATGGGTCCCCTGGTCTATGTTCTACCGAATCAACGTTGCGATCTGAACTACTTCATCCCCCAGTTCTTAGATTAAGATCCACCACCGTGCATGAACTACGTCAACGCTTTCTGGCAACAGCCTACAATCGTGGCAGGGGAATTGGCGCCGTGAAAGAAGTAAACATGCCATATCTGCGACATCGCGAATGATCACTGTACCTTACACGTGAGAGGCTTACCGAAGCTCGTATATCGCTGAAATCGGAATTGCCAGCCCCAAAACAGGGCACTGGCGTCTCGGGGAGCTTAACCCTAATGCAAGCCAATCTGACTGCGGGCGAGCGAGACTTATGCACCCGATACTTGCAAACCTCCGCTATTGGATGGAAGGCTCGTTGTTTCGGTAATCTGAGACAAAAAGGACATACTGGATATGCATCCCTATTCTCTACCGGAAGATCCAGACTACGAGCGATCACCGATACGATCCAAAAGCAATATCAAGTGTGATATCCGGTTCCTGAAACAGTTAGGTCATGCGTGGTCAGATCTACATACCTGCCATCCACCAATCCCGCAACTAGGAAGATCTCCGAGCCGAGCATCTTCTTACACTCTGAATGGTCATTGTTCGGTGAGGGCTTTGAGCAGGCCATGGCGGCTTAGCCCCGTGCCGGGATATGAGCCCATAGCCTCAACACCCGAGCTGGAGGGAGACTGTCGACAATGGCTATTCGTCCGCTGAACCATGTATGTCAGAGTCATTCCAGGTTGCCATCCTCAATGGGGTCTGCAAAGATACCCGGCATATCCTGGTAAGATCCAGGCGCAAGAAAGCTCGTGAAATGCGGCACGTGGTGTTGTTAGCATGGCAAAGGCTCCTTTTGAGCGGCGCTCTACAGATGCTGCTTCTGCGGCTTAAGTAGAGCACATATCTCTTGGCTTCCATCTTCAACAATATCCTCTCGTTTGATATGTGTTGAGTTTTGCTTGATTCTTGCTAGACTGGATGCGTTGAACATTATCTACATTGAACATATTCCTATTGAAACACAATTTTCAAGGCAACCTTCCCAGGCGTTCCAAGGTTGGGTATATAGCAGCTATGAGACTTCAAAGCCTTCTCATTCTGATATTGAGTCTGTGTGCTGCTGTCATTGCCATCCCACAAGAGGTTGAGGTTGCAAACCACAGACCTTCGACAAAGACAAGCACTACATCTACCAAGTCAAAGCCCACACATACGAAAACAGCCACCACCAAGACAACCACCAAGATCCACCAGCCAACAGGAACACCCTGTGCTGGCAATACCGCCAGAACCAGATCAAAATGGTGCAAATACGACGTCAACACAGACTACACTAAGACTGTGCCAAATACAGGCGTGACTCGCGAGTACTGGCTGAGCCTTGAAGATCTCACTCTTGCACCAGATGGCTTCAGCCGCTCGGTGATGACCATCAACGGCACCATCCCAGGCCCTACTATCTTCGCAGATTGGGGCGACTGGGTCGTCGTGCACGTGGCGAACAATCTGAAAACAGCTAAAAATGGAACCAGCATCCATTGGCACGGGATCAGACAGAACTACACGAATGGCAACGATGGTGTCGTCTCCATCACCCAGTGTCCCACTGCACCTGGCTCAAGCATGACCTACAAGTGGCGTGCTGAGCAGTATGGCTCTTCATGGTACCACTCTCACATTGGCCTGCAAGCTTGGCAAGGTGTGGTTGGGGGAATTATAATCAACGGTCCAGCAAGTGGAAACTATGATGTTGATAAGGGCAGTTTGTTCCTGAGCGATTGGTCCCATCAGACTGTTGATGAGCTCTACACGGTTGCTCAGACCGTCGGTCCACCGATAATGGATACTGGTTTGATCAATGGAACTAATGTTTTTGGAAACGATACAAATGCCACTGGCAAGCGATTCCAAATGAAAGTCAACCAGGGGTCCTCGTATCGACTACGAATCGTCAACTCTGCCGTTGACACCCATTTCAAATTCATGATTGACAATCATACCCTGACGGTCATTGGAATGGACTTTGTACCCATCAAGCCCTACCAGGCAGAGTACGTGGACATTGGAATGGGTTCGTGCTTTCTATCTTAACTTCATTGGAAATGACAAAACTAACGACGGACGACAGGCCAACGCTACGACTTAATCGTAACAGCCAACCAGCGCAGAGTCTCCGACTCATTCTGGATCCGCGCCATCCCCCAAGAAGCCTGCTCCGAGAACGCCAGTCCAGATAACATAAAGGGCATAATGTACTACGGCAATCAACCCCGAACCCCAACAACAAGCCCCTTCAGCTTCAACGACAGCTGCATCGACAACCCAGCAACCAGCCTAGTCCCACAAGTCCCCAAGACAGTCTCAGCAGCAGACTGGAGCGACATGACCGACGTAACCGTAGGACGAAACTCCGCCAATCTCTTCCGCTGGTACCTAAACAGCACAACCATGCAAGTCCTCTGGGAAGATCCTACCCTCCTACAGCTATACAACAGCGCAAGCACACCCAATTTCACCGCATCCAGCGGCGTGATAGAGTTGCCGCACGCACACGAGTGGGTCTACCTCATGATCAACACGAGTATCCCAGTTGCGCACCCGATTCATCTGCACGGACATGATTTCTTTGTTCTGGCGCAGGGATCGAATCCGTGGGATGGGGTCGTGCATACTGCGAACCCGCCGCGCAGGGATACGGCTATGCTTCTTGGTAATGGGTTCTTGCTTATTGCGTTTGAGACTGATAATCCGGGGGCTTGGCTAATGCATTGTCATATTGGATGGCATACGGATGAAGGGTTTGCGTTGCAGTTCCTGGAACGGGAAAGCGAGATTGATCCTTTGATTGATAATGATCAGCTTAGGGAGAATTGTGCTTCCTGGAATGCTTATGATCATGCGTTTGATATTGAGCAGGAGGATTCGGGTGTTTAGATCTACCTAATTGAGTTGATAGTCTTTTACTGTTTTTTTTTAGATACCTATGAACTTGCGGTCAAAGGTGCTTTTCAATAGTTTCGAAGACCATTCATCAAACTCCCGAAGTCTTGGGAAATTGGGAAGATTTTTAAAAACGGAGTAGACTTCGATTCACTTCCCAACCTTGGAAGATGTTTGGTTTATGTGATAAGCGACCATGATCCATCTGGGCAAAAGCTCTGGCTAGGCAAGCGCCGCTCAGATAGATAGAAAGGAAGATAGAAAGGAAGAGGGGAAATGATCGGGTGTGTTTCGAAGTGATTTATCCATAATCAGGGCTACTTCGGTGCTTCCGGGGACAATAGCCCGCTCTTTGATCTCATTGGTATATACTACTAGGCATCACCAATCCATATAGCTGGAAAGCATATAACAGGAAAAGGTCTTAGTCTTCAACTAAATCGTGACAAACATTCAAAAGTCATACCCCAACAGGTAAAAAAAAGTATGGTTATACTTCAAGGGGCTTTTCGCTGTTAGCTGAAAATGACAGGAACTCTAAAGCAGGGTCTTCATGTCCTCCATGTTACGGATACCAGCCAAGTTGCCGGCCTTGACGCGCTTCAGGGTCAAGGCAGCAATCAAAGCGGCACCGACACCGGAACCATCCTCGGCAGCCAGGATGTCAACCCGATCGGTCACGTTGGCGGGCCAGTCGAGAATCTCTTGCAGGGCCTTGGCGCCACGTGCCTTGAAGTGGGGGTACTTGGTGAAGACGGAGCCGTCAGCACCGACGTGGCAGGAGTCGATGTTCTTCTTGGTGCAGATGGCGGCGACACCGCAGGCGGACAGACGAGCGGCACGGGTGCCAATGAGCTCGGCGAGACGGCGGGCCAGCTCGCGCTCAGCCTCGGTGGTCTCGATGCCCAGTTCGCTCTTGAAGAGGTCCAGGGTGTTGGAAAGGTTCTCGAAGGGGTCCTCCTCGATGTTGGCGGGGAAGGAGGAGTCCAGCAGGTAAGGCTTGCGGAGCTTATCGAGGTTCTGGCCCTTGAAGATGAGACCAGGGCGGCTGTCGACAAGGTCGACCAGAGCGAGACGGAAGATCTCACCGAGGTACAGACCAGCAGTCATCTTCTCGAATGCCTGTTGGCCGGGGCGGGGAGAGTCACGGTCAATGATCTCATCATACTTGGTGAGGGGGAGGACAATGTGCTCGTTATCGAAGGCACCGTACTCGCAGTTAATGGCCACGGGCATATCGGCGGGCAGGTTCATGTGGGCGAGCTTGGGCACGGAACCCACGTTCTCCATGTATGCGGCGTTGACTCCGGTACCGAAGATGCAACCGATCTTCATGGCATCATCGGTGTAGGCAGAGGCGATAAGGGTACCAGTGGTATCGTTGATCAGGGCAGCGACTTTGATGGGGAGACCCTACAGGATGTCAGTCTTGGACTCAACCTTTCCGTCTTCTCGATTCATACCCGCTTCTTGAGGATCTCTTCCAGAGGGGGGACAACATCCTTGCCCTCAACACCGTCAATGTCGAAACCCTTGGTCCAGCGCTGCAGGATACCGTGGTCAACGTACTCCTGGGTGGCGGGGTAGGAGAAAGTGAAACCGAGGGGAATCTTGGCGATGTTCTTCTCGTGGTGGTGGGTCTCGATGAATTGCTGCAGGCAGTCGGCGATATACTCCCAGAGCTCCTCGGCGGTACCGGTCCGCAGCTCATCGGGCATCTTATACTTGGATTGTGTGATATCGAAAGCACCCTTCTCCTCGGTCAAGGTGATCTCACAGACACGCAGGTTGGTGCCACCCATGTCGAGGGCGAGGTAGGTTCCCTGCTCATGGCCATCGGGGAAGCCCATAACCCAGGTGACGTTCATAGGCTAATTCAAGTCAGCCGCCAAGTCCATTGATGCCGGGTGGGGTAGGGAAGTGTCTTACGATGTTGCCGCCCTCAACCGTCAGGCCTGTGTTGATTGCTGATTAGCTGACGTAGTAGATCAGGGATCTACGGATAAGCTTACCCTTCTCCAACTCCTTGACGAAGTGGTTCACGATCTCCTTGAGCTTCGCGGTGTCCACGGTGAAAGCCTTCTCGAAGTCCTGGATGGGGCCCAGGAGATCCTGAGGCAGCTCATGCGTGGACCCTGTACCACATTAGTACCACGATAACAAGTGGGATGACGATGAGGCTCACCCTTGCGGGAAGGCGGGTGCTTGGGACCGAGTCCGACCATTGTGTGATAATTGAAGAAAGAGAATACAAAGATGTCACAAGTACAGAGGAGGAAGAAGGAAAAAAGTAGGAGGGGAATGACGATGTGAACGTGGGGCAACTCAAAAGATCGGCCCTTGCTTGATTTGGTTGCGGTCAAGTTTCGGCCTGGAGATTGGGGGTGTTTTTACGGGGGGGGAAAGACTTCCTTTTAATGTATTAACCAACAATTACTAACCCCTCCAGAAATAAATAATGGATGAATGGCTTAACCGGTGAAACTCGGGAGAAACTGCATAATTCCTGTTTGTACTCCGAACGATGACTTCAAAAAAAGAAAGAGGATCGGCATAAATTAACCTGAGAGGATCGGCGGGTCTTGGCGCTCGCCATTGACTTGCATACTTCTGACACTTCGACCCTCATTTTTAAGTCTCAACAGATATGGGTCTAGAATGAAGCTGTATCTGCTCTCACTCTCACTAGTACTATTGTCATTGTCATCGTAATTGCCATGAGATTCGTTCAATTCATAATTTCTCAATGTGACAGCTTACGCGCCAGATGGGGGAAGACATGGCCCAGACCTTCAGACTGGCGGTGTGCCTCGTGTGACTCCAGCTTTTCGCGCACCTTGCTTTCATACGCATCTGTCAACCCCAGAGTTCGGTCGACTTCTTCCGTCAACCGCTCCACTTCGTCATGCAGCCGCTCGTCCCTAGTTTGCGGGGGCGCGGTCTCCTCCGCCCGTAGCTGGGGATCCGGGTTGGTCTCTTCCCATAGTTTCTCTAATTCCTCTTCCCACCCTAAAGCTCGAGCGAACTTGCGCACCCCGGCATCACAGTCCCCAAGAAGAAGCACATCGTCGTTGCGGGACCCCAGGCCACCAACTCGCTCTTTGTTGATGAGTACGCGTGGTACGCCTTCGCTGCAGAGCCCGGGTAGGCTGGCAAACGGCTGCACCTGGAGACTGGTTCCCATCACGATGCAGAGGTCGGCCTCGGCGGGTAAGTCGCGGCTATCAAAGAATGAGGATGGCAAGGCTTCGCCAAAGAACACAATGTCGGGTTTGACGAGTCCGTTGCAGTGGTGACAGTGGGGGACTTCGCCCTTGGATACCACAACATGCATCTCTTCATCTGGATAAGTTTCCCTGCAGTCAATGCAGCGCTGCGAGGCAAAGCTACCATGAGCTTCGATGATCTTATCGCCCGGCACACCGGCCTGGCGCTCGAGACAATCGATATTCTGAGTGAAGTGCTTGAGCAGCATGCCCTTATCATGGAGCAATTTGATAAATGAATGCACAATGGTTGGGCGATAGCGACCGGGGTACAGCTCATGTGCCAACGCGTAGAACGGCTTGGGATTCTCCCGGAAGAAGCCAATATCAAACACAGCCTCAGGCTCTGGCAGGTCTAGGAAGGCCAGATTGGCGTAGATTCCGGTATCCGGTGAGCGGAAGTCCGGAATCCCTGCTGAAGTGCTGATGCCCGCTCCGACCTAAGTGGCCATTAGCTTGCTGCGCTCTTATCGCGTGGGGTGTCCGCATACCATTAACACCACTTTCTTCACGTCATGCTTTTTGATGTATTCAGCCACTGCCTCAATGTTGCGCGCTCCGAGCACGGAGGGGGCGGTGGATTCATCTACCATTGTTGATTCCTCGTTACCCATAGTGCAGAGATGTGTGACGATAAGGAATCAAAAAGATAGAAAGATGAGGCAGGATTTATACAGCAGACTCTAGAAACCAGTCTTGAGCATGCGATAAAGGGCAACAATGAGGACCAGCAGTCAGAATTATTCACAGCCACTTTATGTGTAAGGCTGACGAGTAGACAAAGGTACAGAAACGAAAGAGATCTCACAGTTCCGCAGAAAAAAAAAGCAAAGGTCATGCCCAATTGTGATCTTGTACAACTCGTAGCTGTTGTAAAAATTACCCTCACCGCCCACGGGCACCCGTGGACCTACTGGTGTATTTGGCATCAACAAACCGTACAGTGTAGCAATCTTGGAACAAAACACCCAGGATGGCCAATGGACATGTTCCAGACCTCACTGGGGATGCCATTGAAGCATCCCCTCCAGACATCTTCAATGCCAGCTCCGTCGCAGAAATCAAAGCCACCCTGTCCCACCTCCACACCCAAGAAGCCTCCGTAACCGCCCGCCTCGATGCTCTAGTAACGTCCCAGAAAGACCTGTCCAGAGAACTGGGCAGGCTGGATCTGATGCGCGCCAACATCGGATCCCACGCCAGCACAACCCGATCCATCAGCCATGGCATGCTCTCCGAAGCCGCCGGCACCGCCGACCGCATCTCCAGCGCGGTCCGCCGCCTTGACCTCGAACAAGCCCGCGTGAAAGCTACATTGGAGGTTGTGGAACAGGTGGCTGAGCTCAAGGCATGTGCCCTGGGCGTCTCAGGGTCCATGGGCGCACCCCAGGATTGGGAGAAAGCGGCGAGCTACCTGCATCGTGCGGCGCAGATTCCAGACACGGTTCTGAACGGGGCTTTTGCAGCTGAGATGGTGCCTACCGCAGACGTGCCCGACCCTCCAAGTGTGACACTAGACAATGCGGCAGAGTCGCTGTGCGGGCTCTTTCTACGTGAATTTGAGAAGGCAGTCAAGGAAAACGACGGCGCCAAAATCACACGCTTCTTCAAGCTGTTTCCTCTCATTGGACGCTCTGAGGTCGGACTCGATCTGTACGGTCGATATGTTTGCCAGGGCGTGGCTGCGAAAGCTCGCGCCAACCTCAACGGCGCTACTGGCGGGGCTCAGACCAAAGATGGTTTCTTTTATGCCAACGCTCTTACGAAGCTGTTCGAACATATTGCACAGATTATTGACGGTCATGGGGGACTCGTTGAACACCACTACGGCCAGCGGAAAATGGGACCTGTTATTGAACGTTTGCAGATTGAAGCTGATGTTCAGGGGGCATCATCCTTGATACGTGGGGCGATGAACGCCACGTCGACCGCAAATTGATGGACATCAAGTCCTATGCTTTCACATTTTTGGTTCAGAGCTTCCTGCCTGCTCAGCGGGCAGGCCCTCCTCGCTCACAGTCGCCTGCTACGGGGCCAACTGAGGAAGAGGGTGTGGACATGAAGGAGATTGATGGTATTTTGAACGAAATGGCCATCATGTTGGGCCGCTGGTCGCTCTACTGTCGATTCTTGGCCGATACATGCAATGTCAGTTTCGTTCCTCACCCCTTGGATCTCAATACTAACGTATTCCAGTCATCGGATGATCAAGATGATGACAAGAGATTCGCTCTTCCGAGCTTCCTTCAGGAGTCACCTCTGACGCACAAGATCAACGACCGTCTGGTTTCGCCCTTCAATGCCATGACAACCTTCTTTTTCCGGCGCTCTGTCGAAAAGGCTTTCCAATTAGACGAGTCCCCCTCAGGTCTAACGCTAAACATGCAACGTCCACTAAAAGCCGACCCGCCTCACATCACCTCAGCCGTCGACGACATAATGTACATCGTCAACAAGGTCATTCAACAAACCATCGCCACCTCCCAGGAAGCAGTAGTGACAAACGTCGTCCCAACCATTTCCCGCGTCCTCGGCTCGGACTTCATAGGCATGACCCAACGCAAGATGCGCGACGAATGCTACCCGCGCGCCATCCAAGGAGGCCAACCTCCCGAGCAAACAACAATCGCCTTCCTAGTCCAAATCAACAACCTAGACATAGCAGTCGACTACATCCGCCGCATCGTCCAAAACAACACAGGCTCCAAAACCCTCCCTGACCAACCAGGCGACCCAACACCCCACCTCCTAAACATCTTCCCATCCCCAACCTCCGCAGCAAACGTCTACACAACCCTGCACTCCCTCGCAACAACCTTCGAAAGCAGAATAACCGAACTCCTCAACGACGGTATCCAAGTTATCTTCAATAACGTCATCAAGCCGCGCCTACGTCCAATCCTCGCAGACGTCTTCCGCGACGTCGAATACACCCCAGAGCCAACAGCCGACTTCGACGATCGCGAGCTCGTAAAACCCCGCTTCACAACCTCATGGAGCGAGCTCATGACGCCGCACGCTCGAATCTTAACCCCCACAGCCTTTGATCGCGTTCTCGGCGTCACGGTCTCGTATCTCTCGCGTCTGCTCGAGAAGAGGCTGTACTCGTACAATGCGCGGATCAACGCGCTTGGCGCGGCAAGGCTCGAGCGCGATATCGCGGGTCTTGTTGGCGCGGCTGTTGAAGTGGGTTATGTGGCTGGTGCGCCGGGGCGGTATAAGCACCGGGAAGTGTTTACTCGGGTTGTGCAAATGACGCTGGTTATGAGTATGGATGAGGATGAGTGGGATGAAGTGAGGAGGGGTGGAGAGGCTGCGGAGGTGGTTGAGAAGTTGAGTCGGGAGGAATTGATTAGGATTCGGGGGATGGTGAGGAGGTAATGTAAATAGAAGTTTGATTGTAAATTGTTGATCTGATCATGTTTGTGCTATGTGACTTTTAAATTTCTTACAGATTCTAGTACTTGTAGGCATTGTGTGGTTTTGATGTAATGTTCAAATGTAATTGTAATAGCTTCTTCGGTCTATACTGCAAAGAGTTATGAAGGAATCAAAGCAGCCCCGATAACAACAGTTTTGTTTGTGTACAAGGAAACCTCATTTAATATCCAAAGGTTCGAAAACAGTAAAAACGCCGAGCCAAATTAGACCAATAGTCAGTTGCTTTTCCGGAGCATTGGCGGTGGAGGTATAGGGTAGGAGGAATCGCGGAGGTTATATGAGGAGGGGAAAAAAAGAACAAGGTATAACAAAAAGCCCCAGGCTTTTTGACGCAAAAAACACGCTCAAGGGATATCGAAGAAAGAAATCAAAGGCTGAGAGGATGGCGTATGCGGGATGCCATGCAAGAAGTAGGGGGAAACAAGGAAGAATCGAATGACGAGAGGGACAGAGCAAAAACAGCTTAGTTTTCTGTCTTCTCATCAACCGGTCCAAGGATAACAGCCGGTTCACGGGCATGTTGAGTGTTCGGAGGGGTCTGCTCAGCGACCTGGCGTGGAGCAGGAGCCATCTTGACCTCGTGGATCATATCGCCTTCGCTGCCACCGCGGCTGCTCTGGCTGATCTCTCCGTTAGGCGAGTGGCCCTCGAGCATCATTTCGCGCGGCGGGCTACCCATCATCATTTCGCTGTGCTCGTTGATACCGTAGCGCTGGGCAGCGGGGACCTGGTGGCCGTCTTCGAGCTGGTCGTGGTTCTGAGGGGTCCAGGCGAGGTAATCACGACGGACTTCGACGTAATCGTAGGCGAATTCACCGAGCTGGTCGTCGTCCATACCGAGCAACTCAGCTTCTTCGGAGGCGCGCAGGTTGAGGCCCGGGATGGCGTTAATGGCGTAGGCGATGATGGCGGACATGACGAAGGCGTAGGATGCTGTGGCGACGATGTAGGCAATTTGAATGTACAGTTGCTTGTAGTTGTGGATGACCCAGCCGCCGACGGCGGTACCTGTGTTGACACCGTCCAGACCGACGATAGAGTCGTCGCCGAAGAGCGCGTTGAAGATCAGACCGACGATACCGGCGATACCGTGCTCAGCCAACACATCCATAGAGTCGTCGATGCGGATCCAGTACTTGATCTTGGTGGAGTAGTTGCACACGATACCGGTGACAACACCGAGAATCACACTAGCCCACGGAGAGATGAATCCAGATGCGGGTGTAGCAGCCACCAGACCGGAGATGGTACCGGAACACCAACCGACCATTGACCACTTGCGAGCCAGGCGCCAATCGAGCAGAACCCAGGTGATGGCCGCGAATGCAGCGGTCAAGTTGGTGTTCCAGGAAGCCATAGTTGCGCGCAGGTTAGCACCGAAGGAAGAGCCACCGTTGAATCCGAGCCAGCCGAACCAAAGGAAAACCGTGCCGAGAAGGATGAGGGAGACGTTGTGAGGGCGGAAGTTGAGCATCATGCGTTCCTGGCGGCGACCGAGGACCATCGAGTAGGCCAAAGCTGTGAATCCGGATCCGATTTCGACGGGACCACCACCGGCGTAGTCCATCACGCCGTACTTGTAGGCCCAGCCGTTGACGTTCCAGACCCAGCAGGCCAGAGGGCAGTAGACGATGGTCGCCCAGACGAAAGTGAAGACCATGGCGGGAAGGAGCCGACCGCGCTCAGCGACAGCTCCCATCACGATAGCTGCAGTGACACCACAGAATTGCATCTGATAATCCAATCAGCACAAGAAAGACCTCGCTTTCTCTTGACTCAAGAACTCACCTGGTAAAACGCGTATAGTAGGTTAGGAACCAAGGGCGAGCCTGGACTCGGGTCTGCCAATGTCTTCATCAAACCAAAGTTTCGCAGGTTACCGATATAGCCATTGGTAGCGGTCGGGGAGAAGGCCAGAGAATAACCCCAGAAGTACCACTGGAAGGTCACGACAGACAAAGATGCCATACAAGCCCAGATCATACTCAAAGCAGACTTTCTGCGCGCCAAACCGGAGTACAAGAAGCCCAGACCGGGAATCATGACCATGACCATGGCGGAGGCCACGATAATGTAGGCCTGGTCACCGGATTGGAACCATTTGTTCACATTTTCGATACCTATAAGACAGACATGTGTGAGAAATTTGAAGCTTCACAGGTAGCGGGAGAGGTGCATACGGGAATCACCACCGAGGTCTGTGTTAGTGGATAGCTCGTAGTTGGAGGGAGCTCCAACCCAGTTGTAGGAGGCGTACTCCGGGGCGTACGGGGCCTTCCCGTTGAACGCCATTGAGAGAGAGACTCGAAGCTGTGATTGTTGAAAGGTCGATTTCAGAGGTAATTCGAGCACAAGGGATCACTAGAGAGAAGGAAAATGAACAGAACTCCGCGTGGAGAAGAAAGTCGCCACGGGGGAACCGGTCGAATATAAAAAGAGGAATTCTAGCAGTGGACCGGAACAGAGATAGGCGGATCGACAATGTGGGTCAAGGGCAAAATTGGCAGGAAAAAAAGTCAAAGTCGTTGAAAGTACCGAAGAAACCCCCAGATTAAAATTGGAAAAATAAGAGTCAAATTAGAAGCGAATAAGTCCGAAGAGCAATAAGTATGAGGCAGCCGCGGCAGGGGAGAAAATCGGGAGTTGGTGAAAGGGTTGGTCGAAAGGGCAGAGATTGTGACAATATCAATGGGATAAGCGGTTTAATCACTCCCTTTTAAGGTTGTTCCAGTGTTTCCCCATGTTCTCCAGATCGCTTCTCGTATGCCTGGAGGGTATTATATGTACCTCTTATTCAATCCCATTAGTCTCTCCCCCCTCTCTCGGCGTAGAAATCCGTCTCACGGTGGCAACCTCATCGTAGCTGGAGGAGATAACCCTCTTGGCTCGCGATTGCTGACGAACTAGTGAATCGGGGAACAGTTCCTAAGGTTTCAGGGAAGTGGATTCCCAAGGGATTGGATCTATATATACTTCTTCATTTCTTCACTTTTTACTAAAGAGCTAATAGAGCTAGAGTTGATTCCGGATAGAAGATACGGAGTCTCCGTAGTCAAAAGATAGCTTATCTCCATATATTCTGCAGGTACGAGGACGGCTTTCATATTGCGGAGAGCAAACGTCTACTCCATACGGAGAACAGCGTAACTCCGTACTAGTCTCTTATCTCGGCAGTCAACGAGGAAGGTGGTGAGATCACAATCAGCGCGAATTGTCAGTCACCTCGATATGTCTATCTGCAACTCCTTGCCTCTGATTGGTCGAGATGGGCTCAAGATAAGAGCTCTTGCCACAAATCCACCAAGTGGGTCAGCCAAGCCTTCTTGTCCCTTTCTGTTTTGGGACTAGTTCTCGGGCTAGCGCGCTGTTATGGATGCGAGTCAATTGGCCCTAGATAAGCTCTAAATTTGCCTCCAGCCCCTTCCGTTTTTTCCCGATCCCGATGGCCGACTTTCGGGTTCCCACCGGTGCCGGAGGCTTCTGTTCCGTATACTTCAAGAGGCAAATATTGGTCTACTTCGTCCATGGGCATATGGAGTATTTCAAATCTTGTTTTGTAGTCTATCTACTTGGCTGCTTCAAATTATTGTCTAGTAGTGGCTCATCCTAAACCTGGAATCTTGGAATGTTTTCGTCATTCTCACCCGTGAACACGGGAAAGTTCCAAGGGTGTTCCTTGATATATATCTATCTACGGAGTACTTTTTCTGCATACCTAGACACCCCAGGGCTAGTTTCATATCGAAGTCATAGCACAGCCCGCCACCGCGGCACTGGACTTTCAGCCCTAGGCAGTCTTCACCATTTTGCCATCAAAGTATTAATAGCATACTCACCTAGCCCCGATCTAGGTCGGTCGGGAAGTATTCTAGAAAGATGGAGATTCGGGCTCTAGGTAAGACATGGGTTTAGAATTTTGAAGGCCTTCCACCAAGCATGAATATGCTCAAAGCTGCATAGCCACTTGGGCAGGTGTTGATTTCTCCGTAGGACCTCGGGACATCGTCGTCCGTGACAACCTTGAAAGTAGGTTCGCCTGTCGTGACCTCACCAGCATGAACCAGTCCATAGACCTCGGGATCGACGAGCATCAGCAACAGCCTCAAATTTATGGCACAACGCAAATGCACCCGACGACGCCTTAATCGCAAGCTCGAGATCCTCAAGGCACGAGTGCAAGCGCGAGACCGCACCATAAAGTTCCATGTCTGATTGATGGGCGCTTTTGTTACCCACACATCTTCCCCACACCTACGGATTACTCCGTAGGTTGTACATATCTCCCACCCGGCCATTTTCTTGTCGCGTGCAAAAGCTAAGGCACCTGTCTTAGCACCCGATCAGTCATTCATACTGAAACCGTGCAGCGAACAGAAAACAGTTGCCATCCAACACGATAGGCCATAACAGAGCACTCGGGTTGGGCACTCAAATCGAACCATGCCAATCCACATAGTGGAGCCCGGGCACATTCACGTCTTACTCAGACACTGCCAAGCCCCAGAAAGGAACCAAATTCATCCGCATTAGGTTTAGCGTTTAACAAATTCGGCTTAGGCTTATATAGCAAAATTTGGCAAAATCGCCCATCAGCAACGGCCGGCTGGCCCAATGGCAAGGCGCTTGACTACGAGGTCCACAAAAAACCCTTGACATCAAGAGATTGCAGGTTCGATCCCTGCGTCGGTCACTCATAGATTTTTGGCTCGGTTTGAGCCAGTCTGATCTATTGTGGTGGTGTTTTTTTGGGGCATCGTTGATAATTGAAACCAGTGGACGATATGGAGGGGACGGATGGAGGGGACGGATGGAGGGGACGGATGGAGGGGACGGATGGAGGGGACGGATGGAGGGGACGGATGGAGGGGACGGAAACCGAAAACAGGTAAGAGGCAGTCTAGATGGGAGATCTTTGTATAAAGATATCCTTTGCAGAACTCGGGTAGGTAAGGTAGGTCATTGTGAGACGTCGCCTGGGGCCGAGAGACCTTGTCAAGTTAAGCATTTGAAAGATCGGCTCGCAGTGTTGAAAGAGTAGTATTCCGAATCTGAGAGAGTAGCTTGATCTTGTGATCACCGGGGACATCACAGAGTACTTCAGGTGAAAAGTGTCGAGCGACTCTATCCCAGTTTCTAGGTTATAGGTACGCCAGGAGGATAAAGTCCGTGGACATTGGCTATGGTGGGCTTGGGCGCCACGAACCAAGCAAGATTGGATGTCCAGGTGTCATCGTAAAGTTGTTATATGGTCCTGTGAGGGACTTCACAGAGCCTGATGTTACGAGGTGGATAGCGCCGGGTTGAAGTGTAGGTAGGACGAACGCATCAAGAACCTTGGAATGAATAAGAACAACCTTGGATGCTGCAAAGGAAATCCATGAAATCTAGATGAACTGACAACTACATTGATTGTATTGAAAATCAAAGTGAGAAAGAGCAGCATGTGCGCTGGCAACTGACAGTGCTCTATTATGTATATTGAACATCGACCGAGGTATGATAAACTACACATGTCTGTATCATGGTACATCTCTAATATCGTAACAAGAAATCCGACTCATGCAATGCACCAGAAATCAGACGTTGGCACTATACCCCGAGCCGACTCCGCGGCGGCGGCGCATAGCATGCAAATATTTGCGACCTTCATCGACCCAGAACACAGAGCTGGTGAGGAAAACCAGCTTGACAATGGATGCGAAGGTGAGAGGCTCGGTCTGGAAGATGCGCTGCAGGAAAGGCAGGTAGATGACACAGGCCTGGCCGGCTAGGGAGCCCAGCACGGCGTAGTTGAACATTTTGTTCCCAAAGAGCGAGATCTCGCCGCGAAGAACAGACTTGCCTTCGCTGCGGCAGCTTAGCGCATTGAACATATCGAAGAGGACGAAGCAGGTGAAGGTCATTGTCGTATCGTGGGCTGTGACAACCCGGGAACGCTTGTCCACGGGAGATCCGTCGGTGATGTCGCCCATCTCGTGGATGTAGATAGACAATGTACCGATCATAATGACCAGAGCTTGAGTGAGTACACGCTGAATAAGAGGCTTTGTAAGAACACGGGCTGTCTTGGGTCGTGGTGGCCGGTTCATGATTGTCGGATCCACGGGCTCCACGCCGAGGGACTGGGCTGGCGGGCCATCCATGAGAATATCTAGAGATTGTTAGACGAGCACGGTAATTAGATATGGGGTGACTCACTGATCCACAAGATCTGCATGGCATTGAGCGGATTCTTGAAACCAAGCGTGGTGCTCAGAAGCACAAGACTGAGTGCAGCCACACTGGTACTGAGTTGGAATGTGATGAAGTTTTGAATGTTGTAGAAGATGCCCTTGCCCTGCTCGATGGCACGCAGGATGGTCGAGAAATCGTCGTCTGTGAGAATCATGTCCGCTGCCTCCTTAGCAACGTCGGTACCAAGCTTGCCCATGGAGATACCAATATCGGCCTTCTTCAGAGCAGGAGCGTCGTTTACACCGTCACCGGTCATGGCAACCACGTCGCCGCGAGATTGAAGCGCATGGACAATCTTGAGCTTATGGTCTGGGCTCGTGCGAGCAAAGATCGAGACTGTGGAAATTGCTTGAGCAAGCTCACCAAGGGTCATGCGATCAAGTTCATCGCCGCGTATAACTGAGCGGGAATTAGGAGCATCGCTAACCGGCATACCCAGTTTCTTCGCAATGGCCACAGCTGTGGTTTCGGCGTCACCAGTAATCATAATGATCCTGACACCGCCAGACATCAAGCGCCGAATGGATTTGTGCACGTCCTTGCGAGGCGGGTCATTCATACCCACCAGGCCAGCGAAGACAAGACCGTTGTACCGCTCATCCTCATCAACCTGAGCAGATTTTGGCGAGCGGTAGCCTCTATTGCCTCTGGATTCACGAACAGCTCCGCTGGCGAAGGCAAGAACCCGAAGACCCTCTGATGCCATGCTTTCAGCTGCGTTACGGATGATTTGGCGCCGAGGCTCATCGAGAATGACTTCTCGGCCATCCTTGGTGAGGTATGTGTCAGAGCGAGCCAGGACCTGTTCAAGAGCGCCCTTGATGTAAGCGACGTGCGAGCCTCCGTGCGACCCATTAGTGCTACCAATAACAACACCCATCCACTTGCGCTCGGAACTAAATGGCGTTTCATGGACACGTGCACTGATCCGGTCGCGTACATCGTCTTCGCCCAAATGATCCAGCAGGTCAAGAACAGCAACATCAGTCGGTTGGCCGACCCAGCGACTCTTGGAAGCAGAATCACCGTTGACAGTTGAGGAGAGGACAGCCGCAGATGAGGCGCTGGCCGGCGAGTTGGCATGGATCCGCGACAACCGAGAGTTGTTGGCAATGTTACCGACTCGAAGGATCGTCTGTGCCGCAGGACCAGGAGTGACAGAGGTCATGTCCCGCTGCACCTCGAACGGTTCTTCACAGTCGAAGTGCCACATCTTCGTGACTGTCATGTGGTTGAGGGTCAGAGTTCCAGTTTTGTCCGAGCAAACCACGTTGACAGAGCCAAGGGTTTCAACGCTAGGTAGTCTTCGCATGATAGCTCCTCTCTTGGCCATGCGCAAAACACCCAGAGCAAGAGTGACAGTGACAATGATAGGTAAACCTTCTGGAATCGCTGCAACAGCGAGCGAAACACCAATCGTGAACATTTCAAGAAGTTTACGACCCTGCAGAAGACCAATAACGACAATCAGCGCGATGACACCGAAAGAGATGTAGCTCAATTCCTGACCCAAGCGGTCCATAGACAGCTGGAGCGGGGTTCTGGGGCTTTCAATTTCCTGCAAAGACATCGAAATGCTACCGAATTCAGTCTTTGCACCGGTCGAGATGACGATACCCTGGCCATAGCCCGAGCGAACTAGTGTACCCATGAAGGCGATGTTATGCTGTTCATTCAATCGAATGTCAGCACCCACAGCACCGGTAGCTGGTGCATCATAGAATGGTGAGCGAGGTGGTTGTGGTGTATTCAACACCGCAGTGGTTCCGTTCGCCGTGCTACGAAGCGCTTCGGCATATTTGGACACAGGTTCATTCTCGCCAGTCAAGTTCGATTCGTCGATGCCAAGGTCTGTTGCAGCGGTAATCCGAATATCAGCAGGGATGCGGTCTCCGGTAGTGAATAGGACCAAATCGCCGGCCACCAGCTCATGGGCTGGAACGGTTGAGGATGCCTTGACCGCAGCAGACGCGGAGTTGGGGCTCTTGCTCTTGAGCTCGTCCATTTCCATACCAGAGTCCAAGGGCGGAGTCCCGCTATTCTCAGCTGTAGTGGATGTCGTGTTGGGAAGATCACGGATCAAATGGGCGTAATGAGGCACCAGGCGGCTCAGCGCCTCCAAGGACTTCTCCGACCGGTACTCCTGAACAAAGCCAACTGTCACCACAATTGTCACCGCTAGAGTAATACTGATAGCATCGTCATAGTTTCCCATCACAAATGAGATTCCCGCAGAACCGAGCAGGAGGAGAATGAGGGTCTCTTTGAATTGTTTGGCGAAGCGTAGCCATAGGGGTTCCGGCTCTTCGTGAGGAAGCTCGTTCGGTCCATCTCGCGCCAGGCGTACCTCCGCCTCAGCGGGGGTTATACCGTGCAGTAGAGAAGTTCGTAATCGCTCGGCGGTTTCATGAGGCTCGAGCCACGAATAGGTGGAGGTGGATGTCTGTGAGGGTAAACGACCAGGTTAGCTCTCCCAGTCGTGCAACGCCCGTGGCGAGATTGGGTGAATCGATGAATGTCGAGGATGACTCACCGAAGAAGGAGCATTTGGAGATGCGGTCATAGGGGTCGTGGACGGGGGCCGTAAAGAGTCGTTTTTCGATGCATTATGCAAAGGTAATGACGGTGTCGCGGACCTTGACATCTCTCATGCTTTGCTAAAAGGAGATAAAGGCGATTGATTGAATAGAGGCTTAACAATTGCGTGAGACAGTTCTCATTCCGTCTCAATAAGAATTGACAAATGCTGCGACAAACCACGTTAGATGCGATCTGGCAGCACCTTTATTATGGGGCGAGACAAGTGGATTTGCGGAGTCGGCGCAATGCGGCCGACAAACCAAGGGAGACTAACAGGTGTTGAACAAAAAATATAAGATTGTCGTTCGAGTCGCTTCTCGCTGTAGTCCGAACCGCGAATTGACACCGTTCAGAGCATCCAGTCGGCTTGGGATGAGCCAAGTCCCATGATGATGCTTTACCCATTGCGGCTTAGTGAGAGACGGCAAAGGGTTAATCCGAGAGCTGCATCGAGTCTAGCGTACATGTCACGTGCATAATATCTTGACACGTGACCACATTCCCACCCCCTCAATTACATCAGCAAAAATGGGATTGACGCCTGATTTCCACCGACGCGCATCTTTTCTCGGTTCCTCAGCCAACTTGATCTTATCCCTGGCGCGCATATTCCCCTCCGTATCTTTAATAACACCTTTTATGTCTTGAGAGCGACGTGCATCAAGTGCATATTTACCTCCTCTTTCTTTGGGATACACTCGAACCCCTTTAATACAATTACTGAGTGCGAGTCATCGCCCGAGTCTTTGTTTTCCCGGTTCCAGCGCGTCGTGCTTTCCACCTTATCCCCGCGCCGGGCGGGTCTTGTCCTTTACAGAATTGGTGAACAAATCTTCACCATTGTATAGTATCCGATCACGACACAGAAAATATGTTCTATTCTGAGACTCTACTGTCGAAAACGGGGCCGCTGGCTCGCGTTTGGCTGTCGGCTAACATTGAGCGCAAGCTCTCCAAGTCGCACATCCTGCAGTCGGACATTGAGAGCAGTGTCAATGCCATCGTCGACCAAGGCCAGGCTCCCATGGCCTTGCGATTGAGTGGTCAATTGCTTTTGGGTGTTGTTCGAATCTACAGCCGCAAAGCTCGCTACCTGCTTGACGACTGCAATGAAGCTCTCATGAAAATCAAAATGGTAAGCAGCCACCAAGAAGTGACCACGACGTGATCTAACAATATATTCCAGGCCTTCCGCCTCACGAACAACAATGACTTGGCCTCCACTGTCGTTGCTCCTGGTGGCATCACACTTCCCGATGTCCTTACTGAGTCTGATCTTTTCACCAACCTCGACACATCCCTACTCTTCCCTCAGACCCTCGATCTGGAGCCTGCTGCCAAGCGGCCCGGTGGCATGGACTTTGGAAGCCAACTTTTGCCCGACAGCAGCTTCCGCCGCTCTGTTTCTCAGGAACCCGCACGCCTCGAAGACCCTTCCCTGGTCGATCTCGACTTTGGTGAAGATGAATTGCCGCTTGGAAATGACCCGACCATGGAAGTTGGTCGAGACGCCCCTGCACCTCGCCCTGTGGAGGAGGATCTCTTCAGTGATGCTGGCAAATTCAACGACGGCGATGACTTGGAATTGGACCTCGGCGACGACGATGCCCCCCCTGGACAGAATGGACCTTGACGACGGCCATGACAATGTGAACGACCTTCTTCCGGATGCCCCTATGGACTTTGGAAATGATGACTTTGGTGGTGGCGACGAAACACCCCGTGCTATTGATACCCGATTCCAGCGTGACTCCGAAAGCCCACTCTCCGATGCTGGATCCGACCAAATGAACCGACTAGAGGAGGAGTTTAACCGCGAGGAAACTGCTACCCCGGAGGCGACCACCGCCCAGCAGGGCCAGCGTGCGAAGCGCCAGAAGCTTTTGGCGCTCGACAAGGAGGTTGCAATCTCGAGCGCCAAGTTCAAGGATCAGCAAAACGATCGTTCCGCCATCATGAAGCCCGCTTCTTTCCTGCCCCGTGACCCAGTTCTTCTCACACTCATGAACCGTCAGCAGAACGGCGACTTTGTGTCTAGTGTATTCGGTGAGGACCGGGGCCGCGGATGGGCGCCTGAGCTACGTGGGATGCTCTCTTTGGACTCTGTTAAGAGGGCCGGTGAATTGAAGCGCAAGCGTGATAGCGGTGTCTCTGACATGGATATCGCTGCCGCCGACCTCCCTGCTCTCGAGCTTGGCGACGACGAACACACTGTCGCCCTCGACGAGGGTATTTCTCTTGACACCACCATGAACCAGCGCTCTGAGATTGAGTTCCCCGCGGACGATGGAGAGCAATTGCATCTCAGCGACGACGGTGGCATGGACCAGGGTATTGATGAGCTGGACGACACGATCGTTCACCCTGTGGACACCGAGCCGGTCTCGATGGGCACCAAGCACGCCGTGCACATTCTCCGCGAGAAGCTTGGTGACGAGTCCACTCAGCAGAAGCAGAGCGTTTTGTTCCAGGACATGCTCCCCGAGCAGCGCTCGTCCAAGGCCGACGCCACCAAGATGTTTTTCGAGGTTTTGGTTTTGGCCACAAAGGATGCCGTCAAGGTCGACCAGGGCACCAAGTCTATTGGTGGTCCCCTTGAGATTCATGGTAAGCCGGCACTCTGGGGCTCCTGGGCCGAGGAAAATGCTGGTGGTGCTATGAGCCAGCTCACTCAGGCTCTGTAGAGCTTTGACCGCAAAAGCAAACCTTGAATCTTTGGCGCATCTTATTCTTCTTGTACAGCTCAACTTTGGGATGGTTCATGGAATGTCTCGGTTGAGATGTGGAGTTCATGTTTGGCTATAGCATCGCTTGGATGACTATCAGGTGTTTGGCGGAATAGGATTGGTTTACTTCTTTTGGGATTTAAGCGCCGCACGGGTGCCCGGGTGTTCTGGAGCGATTTTGATGAATTGGTAGTGATAGTCATAGCTTAATTGAACATAACAAACAACCTTGGAAGTCTCGCACATCATATCCACTGTATAATCGCGTGTCAAAAGAATTGCACGGGTTCATATAGAAAGCAGTCAGCAATCCCGTGTAATTCTTTTGACCTATCATGGTAGATGCAATTGAACCCCAGGAGGGAGTGAGATTAGGCAGAAGAAACATCTTGGAAAGGGACTTCAGAGCCATGAATTGTAGGAATACCCGACCTTCCAAGGCTGCGGTCTCAATGTTACACGATCCACTAACGTTCCCACGTGGAGGACTCGGAGATTTAGTGCCGCGCGTGGTTTACCCGTACCGAATGCTACCTCACCCCAAACGCCCCAAACTCTGGAGGTCAAGATGACCTGCAGAGTAAATAGATCTTATAGTTCTAGGCATTGAAGTATATAGTTATATCAAACTCTAATAATCCCCCCATTTTCGGCTACTTAGAATGATATCATTCGGCTTTACCAAAAGTGGGCAACGGAAATAAACCCCCGTAATAGACTCACCCCGGCTTTGATTGATCAGCTCGGCTTCTGAGGCGCGAACCTCCCGATCTTTTTTATCAGTCACTCCGCCCAGCAAACCCTTTCCCTATCCCAGGCAATCGTTTCCGATTACTCACCTAGAACAACTTTTGAACCAAAATCGCAAATGAGCTGAGCTCAGTCACCCGCCCACCATGTCATCGCGATCTAGCATATCACGCTACAATCCCGGCGAAAAGACCGAAAGAGCCGACTCGGTGCCAAGCGAAAGCGAATTAGACCGATCAAAGTCCGAGGACGTCACGTTTGCTCCGATCGCCACAACGGCTGTTCATGACGGTGCACCACTTCAAACACAGCGCTCCAATGCGGGGAAATCTATGAGATCAATTGAGCGCAGCTGGTCATTGAATGATGGAACTAGTGTCACGGGCAATGAGGTCGAAGCTGGCGCGGATGAGGATACAGGGTTTACTGTCGGGTGGGATGAAAACGACCCCGAGAACCCCCGCAATATGAGCAAGGCCCGTCGGTGGTTGATCGTTGTTATTGTTTCGCTGGGATCGCTTTGCGTGTGAGCTTCTATCTCGTTGGTTGCGTCTGCGCGCGGTGCACTGACCGTTTACAGGACCTGTACCTCGTCGATGTATACCACGACATATGGCCAATTAATGCAGGAATTCAATTGCTCGCAAGAAGTCGCAACTCTTGGGTTGTCGCTATTCATCTGGGGACTTGGTGAGTTTTTATTACTACATGTCTCCTGTGGGCTTTGTTGACGCTTTGATTCTAGGTATTGGTCCGCTCTTCCTGAGCCCATTGTCGGAGGTTTGTTGTTCGGCTGTCAACAGTATTACTGCGACTTATCTAACTTCGGATAGTTTTACGGCCGGAGGATCATTTACATCGTGTCATTCTCGCTTTTCCTTGTATGGCTTGTCCCGTGTGCGGTGGCTAAGAACACCCAGACAATGCTTATCGCTCGATTCTTCAATGGATTGTCCGGCAGTGCATTCTTAAGTGTTGCTGGTGGTACAGTTGGTGATATGTTTGATCGACATGAGCTCGCTTTTCCAATGATGCTCTACACAGCGAGTCCTTTCGTAGGACCGGAAGTTGGTCCTTTGTGAGTGGTGTCATATTTGCTGGATTATGCGCCAAGTACTGACGATAAACTCCTAGGGTTGGTGGATTCATCAACGCATACAGCAGCTGGTAAGCTTCTATATTGCCTTCAAAGTCAAATCAATTTAACGTGGCTTGCAGGCGCTGGGTTTTTTACGTGCTTTTGATCTGGACTGGCGTATTACTCGTCTCGATGATCTTCCTTGTCCCTGAGACATACCACCCAGTGTATGGATCTTCAATTGCTATAATAAATTAGGAAGTTCTAACAGTCTTAGGCTTTTGAGGCGCAGAGCGCAGAAGCTCCGCCAGGAAACCGGAGACGACCGATGGAAAGCGCCGATCGAGAAGCTCGATCGCTCAGTGGCTCAAACCGTTCTGCGTTCAATGTATCGCCCCGTGCTCCTTTTGACACTGGAGCCTATGTGCCTGTGTCTTTGTATCTTTTCGGCCATTCTGCTAGGTATTTTGTACCTATTCTTCGGTGCTTTCCAGCTGGTATTCTCCGAGGTCTACGGAATGGTCATATGGCAGCGCGGTCTATGTTTCCTTGGTCTTTTCGTGGGAATGGTGATGGCAATTCTCTCAGACCCGATCTGGCGCCGGAACTATATTCGCCTGGAGCGCAATCACGAGAGGGCAACAAACAAAATAGATGACTTCCAACCGGAATGGCGACTTCCCTCTGGTAAGTTACTTCACCGCGCTTGCTCATTATGAACTAGTCATTAATTTCAAAAAAGCCATCTTGGGTGGACCTTTGGTCACGATAGGCCTGTTCATTTTCGCTTGGACGATCTACCCTGACGTCCATTGGATTGGGCCTATCATTGGCAGTGGAATATTTGGTGCAGGGTAAGATCAATTATTGCAATTCACCTGACCACCCCGTCGGTCTTAGAATCCCTTTTCGCTTGGCTCTCCTGATCGTGTGATACTAACTTGCTGTGTCATTGTGTCACTTCCAGGACAATCCTAGTATACTCCGGTATTTTCACCTTTTTGGTCGACGCCTACCCAACATTTGCCGCCAGCGCGCTGGCGGCCAACAGCTTCACCCGATCTTCTTTTGCCGGTATCTTCCCACTTTTCGGCATCCAGAGTAAGTCTGCCTTGTGATTGTTCTGAAAAAAAGCTCCCATTGTCTGTGCTTTGCATGAGAACGCTCCTGCGGGCCGCTGCATTGTATCTTGTATAGGCTAGTCTGCAGCTCTGCTCAATGCTTGAGCTTTGCCTATGCTTATACGCAATAAGTTGTCGAATGAAGCTAACGGCTATGCAGTGTACAACAACCTTGGATTCCACTGGGCAACTTCGTTGCTTGCGTTCCTGACCCTTGTTATGACCCCTTTCCCGTAAGTGATGATTTGTGTTTCTCGATATCCCATTGAACGTGGTTTTGGTCTCGGCCACCTGATGACCCAAGCCCAGTCTATATTCTCCCTCGAAGATTGCATACTAACAAACATTTCAGATACCTGTTTTACCGGTATGGTAGCCAGATTCGAAAGAAAAGTCGATTTGCCACTTCGCGGATGTGATCAAGGCTACTGTGTACAAACTCACAAGTCGTATAGCTACCACCGCCCAAAACTTAGTTCAGCTAGCGTACAACCTACATAATTTTTACTTTAATCTCCTTTCCCCTCATTTGAGGCTTTGATCTTAGAACCTTGGAATGACTTGAATGGGTACTCTTGATAAGTCTTGGAGGGCTACGTGACTTATGAATTAGTTGAACATATTCTAGGGCAATCAATAGCTTATCAATAAGATGCACTTGGCACTCAATTACCTCCCTCCATCAAATTGTGTTGAATACCGGGCAGCTCTTTTACAAGGGCACCCACAGACTTTCCCTTGCTGCCATTGCATATTCCTTCACCGAAAACCAGTTTTGTTTGAATGGAATATGTTGTAAACAGCGACCACGGTCCCCATGAATTTGTTGGGGAGCTTTCGAATTGAGACATCACTGTAGAGAATAGGGTTCTTCAAACCTGGTCTGCAATCCTAGATCAAGACCCAACGCTTCCAGCTGCTGTACTGCCTGCAGTCAAGAAGTTGGTGACATGGAGAATGATACAAGCCCGTATGACTAGCAAGGATATGCCTCCCGTCCGCTACACTAAGGTCCTCGGTAGGTGGGTTGTGTATCTGAGATCTTGAGTTCTCCGCTCTAAGCCATAAGCCCCCAAGCCGAAGATGAAGCTAAAGATACTTCCTAGCGTGTTTGGCGCATGAAGAACTGATGGACCCCATTTCCTCCGTGGATGCACATTGGACGGATGTGATCCGAACGGACCAAGTCCGGTCTTGAATTCTCCGACGGCACCTCCCAATCCAGGCCAGTTGCAAAGTATACGGGCATCATGTGGTCCCGCATTCCCTTCACAGGCAATCATCCCCAACCGTCAATAATAAACCAAGTTTATATGGTGAGCGATATTGTCTACCTAGCCTCGGTAGAGCTCAGCGGTCCCTCGGGACAAAACGGGACCGAACAGCGACCCGGAAACCGTGAAAAGTCTCGCTGAAGCGGGGTCTGTACCGGTTCTTCTAAAGCGTTAAGAGTGCATCAATTCAGTTCAGTATTTTGCTTCAAAGTGTGTTGTCTCTAAAGCTCAAAGGCGGCTATACAATAGCCCTGGTAAGTCCCACACGTGCTCAATTGCCCCAGCCGCGGGGTTACGGTTATCCCGTATACGCTGTACCCGATCGGGAGCTGGACCGTGGTTCAGCCAATCATATTCTCCGGACGCGGCAAAATTACCACCTGTTTTCGGTAATGCATTGAAATCGGTAACCGCTGTTACAACGATCAAATGCCGGCCCGGTGGTTTTTGTTCTTCTCCAGTGGCCGCCGGTCTAAACGTCAGCATGTGAGTATGTGAATCGATCTACAAGGCTGAGGGCAAGCAAAAAAATTGAGCAGATGGTTGAAGGTGAAACATTCCAGGTGATCATTGGGCAGCAAACCTGTAAAAGAAAAGAAAAAGCGCCATTTAAATTAGGTAAAAGTGGCTACGAGTCTTACGAAGTATATCCAACCGTTCCCAGCAGAGAGTGCGAAACATTGCCCTAAAAATTTAGTAAGATTAGATGATAAAAAAACATAGTAAAATACAGTCTTTTTCATCCCGGTCTCTCACGCGAGTTTCTTTTAGTTCTTTGCAATTGGACTGTTGAAGTCTTGCCTGTCGATGCTTAGACACCAGTCACGGGAACACTCCGAAGCCTTCACGTTCATCCACTTTTGACCTTTCCCCGCGCATATCGGCGAGCCCTCTTGTCTTTTACTCCTCATTTCCCACCGGCTCGTCAACCGACCTCACGGTACCCTTTCTTTTTTTTTTTTTTTTGGAAAGAACTTCGCATCTTCCCCGCAGCCGAAGTCGTGTCCGCCTCTCCACTCCAATTCAGCCGCGCCCGAACCGTTGCGGCATTTTTCTGCTTTTGTCAGCTCGACAATCTTCTCGTTGTAAACCACCCTGCAGTCCTTCAATGTGTCAGATCACCTATTCGGCCCACCTTCAGTCTATCGCCTCCCATTACACCGATCCGGCTTGCCGTCACTCCGACGCCCACTAGCTGTAGTCGCAAACGCGCGATTATAGGAACCAACGACCGAATAGATTTCCCGACCTCGAGGAGCAGATTTGGAGGACTGGAAGAGTCCAAAGGGATCACCAGCTCTTTGCGACCCTATAAGCAGGCAGAAAGTCGCGCTGAAGATCCGCTCGTCCGTTGACACCGAGGCGTGGATGGTATCATTCACAGTGTCGCCACTACGCTTGAGTCACTTAGACCGAACATTCCAATCATAACAAGGGCGCTGCGATTCCTGGAATTCGCGATTCACCTCAATCTCGTGGAGGTGTCTATATACTGTGCGTCTCGGAATATATGCCGAAATGAACGTGGAAAGCAAGAATGACTCCCCGGTCCCTGTGGACCCGAGCGGAGATCGCGATTCTGCTGATATGACGGAACACGAACAAATGGATGTAAAGCCCAAAATGAATGGCGATAGCAAGGCGGAGCGCAAGGCTGCCAATGCCAAGGACCCCTCGCGACCGCGGCGCAAGAAGGCCCGGCGAGCTTGCTTCGCCTGCCAGCGAGCTCATTTGACCTGCGGTATGGTGTAGTATTGGACCCTGCGTCTTTTTGACATGTGACTAATTTTTGGCTATTTTTAGGCGATGAGAGACCGTGTCAACGTTGTATCAAGCGTGGTCTTCAAGATGCGTGCCACGATGGCGTTCGCAAGAAAGCAAAGTATCTTCACGATGCTCCAGATGGAGCATTGATGCCCGCTGTAAGCGGTAACAACAACAGTAACGGCAACCTCTACAACAATACGCTTCGCAATAATTTACCCTTGTCTCGGAACGGATCCAACTCCGTCAGCTCAAATCAGCAGCACGCCCACCAACACAGCCAACAACCGACTCCCAATAATAACAACTTCTACCCTACGCCTCAACCTCAGCCAGGCTCCTACAATGTATATCAAGACCCACCGATGAGCCAAAGTCCCTTCACGACGCAATCACCCGTTTCACCCACTTTCAACATGAAGAACAGTACCAATGGTCGGAATTCCAGTCTCTCCTCGACTGTGAACCAGCAGCAACCTACCCCGAACCCCACCCTCTCCGGAGACACGAGCCAGCCGCAAAATCCATTCGCGGGGCCGTTCTTCGATCCCAGTGATCCCGCATTATTTAATTTTGACTTATCAAGCATGAACTTTGAGAACCGTTATGGTGCTCTGGAATTCGGGATGCTTGGCCACATGGCAACTGGGGCTGGTGACTCCCCGACCGACTCTGCAGGACAGCGCGGGTCGATCGGCCGCAGCGGATCTGCACAGTTCTCCACACCAGCTCCTGGATTTGGAGAAAGCCCAGGGAATCAACCTTTCATGTTCGGCGATCCCCTCCTCAATGAATGGTCAACTGGGCCGGCCTCGGGTCAGCATGTGAACGTCGGAGGCGTGTATGGCCAAAATGGCATACTTCCCGAGCACATGAAAGCGAACGCGCCGCACGCGTTTGCGATCGAAAGCGGTCCAGCCAGTTTCACTAGTCCTGGCTCCGCGCCTAGTCCAAACATTGCAACGACAGCATTTGAGGATAGCCCGTTCACTGTTCCTGCTCCCACAAAGTCCAATAGCCTAGTGCCGAATGGTCAACGCCATGTGACATCAGCGTCGATCCTCAAACACCCGAATCTGCAGGTCGGCTCCAAACGGCGCCATCGCAACCCTTCATCGATATACGAGAGTGTGAAGGAGCCTTATGCTTACACCAGTGGATTCCACAACCTGACCGCTTTCATACAACGTCGCTTCACGCCCCAAAAAACAGTGCGAATTGCCAAGGCACTCGCTTCTATCCGACCTTCATTCATCGCAACTACCAAGACGCTCAATCGCGATGATCTCATTTTCATGGAAAAATGCTTCCAGCGAACACTCTGGGAGTATGAAGACTTCATCAACGCCTGCGGGACACCGACAATCGTTTGCCGACGCACTGGTGAAATTGCCGCCGTCGGTAAAGAATTCAGTATTCTGACCGGATGGAAGAAAGATGTTCTGCTCGGCAAGGAGGCTAACTTGAATGTCAACACTGGCGGATCAGGTGTACCGCAATCCGGCACAACCTCGCGCGGAAGCTACACACCGCGAAGCTCCACATTAGAAAATTCCACCGGTGGCCGTCCGCAACCCGTCTTCTTGGCGGAGCTTCTCGACGATGACAGTGTAGTAGAGTTCTACGAAGACTTTGCTCGTCTGGCATTCGGTGATTCTCGTGGCAGTGTTATGACGAAGTGCAAACTTCTGAAATACAAGACCAAAGAGGACATGGAGTCTGCAGCCGACGACAATGGCAAATGGAACAACCACCTACGCAAAGGTGGGATTGCTGGCGAGGCTGGTATGAACCAGCTTGGCTTCAAGGATGGAAAGGTCGAATGCGCGTACTGCTGGACAGTCAAACGTGATGTGTTCGACATTCCGATGCTCATTGTGATGAATGTAAGTTTGGTGTACATCTTTTTAATTGGCCCATCACTAACCTGATCTCTAGTTCTTGCCATGCATTTGATTTCTTATTCTCTTTGATTCTTTCATACCCTCGACAAGGCTCAAACTTCACGCCTGTCTCGATTTTACTTTGATTTTTTTCGGTACATATTTTCTGGATTTGGGATTGTATGATTCCCCCTGATTTCATTTTGTTTTATCTCTTGTCGCCTTACAGATTTCGTGATATTTTCCCACGTTTTCATGTACATACGTTGTGCTTTTCGGTTCTCTGGAGCAAACTCCAGATTTGTCGATATGATCTGTGGTTTTTCGCGGCGCTTAAAAGGGGGATGATTTCTCCAGGATGGGATCGTTACTATACGGGAGCATAATGCTACGATATTGAGTGGGGTCCCTCGTGACCTCGAGCCCTAAGGATAGTTCCGTTCATAAAGAAATAAGCTTAAATCAACCTCAGCCGAGGTCATTCTGTGAAATCCACGGTGCCTGATTTATAAGGTGTTGTATTATAAACCAAACGGGCTTATCGCGATAAACCCCACCGTCGCATTGGACGTGGGAACACTTTCAACAGCATCACGTCGAAACATTGTTTGATCACACAATCCCTACCCCTCGAGCGCAACTTGAAAATAATATAGTTGCTGCCTCCAATCCGATACAACACAAACCACCTTCCCGTGCCCAAATAAAATCACTATGCGCACCGACAAGCCGCGCGATCCGGTGGCCGGCCCCGATGAAGGCCCCGAAGCACCTTACCCCGTGCGATTGTCAGGACCTGTGATCAAGGGATTCGGACGTGGAAGCAAAGATGTGAGTTTTGGACTTGTCTATACCGACTTGCTTCATTCATGCGCGGAGGCCATGCTCGGACACACAGCTGACTCAGAGTGTTCAATGCACAGCTAGGAATCCCCACCGCGAACATCCCCGCCGACGATTTATCAGAAAAGCACCCGGAGTTGGAAACTGGTGTTTACTATGGCGTCGTAGCGCTAGACCCAAAGACATACCAGCATGATTCGTCGAATACATCTGCGGTGATCTTACCTGCCGTGCTGAGCATTGGCTACAACCCTTTTTATAAGAATAAGGTGCGATCAGTGGTAAGTGATATCCTCAAATGCATTATACATTATTGGTTCTACATGCGTTTATGAACTGTCACCCTGGACAACGTTGCTGATTTGATCTAGGAAATCCACATCATGCCCGCTCTCACGGAGCCCTCTCCTACTGCTGGCGGCCAAGAAGGTCAAACCAAATTCCACCGGCTGCCTGATTTCTATAAGACGCGGCTTAATCTGTTGATTCTCGGATACATCCGTCCGGAGTTTGATTACGTCTCATTGGAGGCATTGGTGGAGGATATTCGAGTTGACTGTGAAGTCGCGCGCGAGAGTTTGTTGCGCGATGCTTATAAGGCGTACTTTGTCGAGAGTGAAGCATCGGCATCGAAAGTGGGCGAAGACCGTGCGTGGTTGGTCAATTTTGATTAGCCGAGGGGCTGTAAGGCTGAGATCATCCTGCATTGCGGAATACATTTCCATGCAGATCTCAGCAGTACGAGAACAAAATAGAAGATCATATGATGTTGCATAGCCAAAATCAACAGGTACAATTCCGCTATCTTATCGTTGTGAATCGTCGACGTCACACCAAGAAACCCAAGAAACCCTAAGCATTGGCACCCCATTGGCACCCCATTGGCACCCACAAGGCAGTCATTCTCATGTCTTGACATATGTAATACCAAGACTTCCTCAACCCGAGTTATCCGATAGCTACCGACATTTAAACAGGGGTTTCGACGCCTCTCCAGCCCTACAGCTCCAAGCCATCCGCATCCGGATAACCATGGTCAACGTATTCCGGCGCTTCAGCAGACGCCGAGCGCAAAGCTCGAGCAGTAACTCGCCCGATCAAGCAGAGACTACAGGACCTAATTCTGCGGCTTCCCATCCGCATGGCTTGCAGCGAACCGTCAGTTCAGGCTCCGGCAAACGCAGCCAGCGCTATGAAGAGGTGTCTCCCCGACATCTCTTGCTGATCTCCGACTCAGCTCATTTTGATCCCCATGTTTTTCATTGCTTCCAAGCAGAAGGTTTTGATGTAATGTATCTCCCATTCATCGGGTGTGGAGACGAAGACAAAGATCGCAAAGCACTGGAAAACGAAGTACACCTGAAAGAAGATGAACTCGAAACAGGAGAGCGATATGCGATTGTTGGTATGTTTTGAGTATCTTACTTGGCCCAACTTGGTTGAACTTAGCTATTGAGTCTACATACTGACTACATGCCAGCATACCATCGCCCGGCTTATCTCCTGCTCGCATCGCATCATATGACGTACAGCACCACAAACCCTTTCCCACGTCTGTGCGCTATGATAGCATATTACCCTCTCTCATCCACGGATGAATATACCTACCGCCAAAAAGACAACTGCTCGCCACCAGCTTGCTCCGACACAGGTGCCATATTTGACCCGGGACCTAAATCAACATACCTCCCAATTCAAGTCCACATTCCAGGTCCTCGCGTGCAGGCCTGCGCTCTATGGCCATGGATAAGCCTCAGTGCATCAGAAGGAGACGTCACATACAAGAAGAGACACAGATGCCATGTCTATTCGTACGCAGGGTCCAGAGCCGGCTTCGCAGAGAAAGATATCTCAGAAGACAAATTGGGGGAAGTAGATGAAGAGGTCAATGATGAAGATCTTCTCAGTTCCCAATTAGCTTGGAGCCGAGCTTTGGGGTGTTTACGGCGCTCTTTTGGTGTCGGGAGCCACTGGGCCGTTGTTGATATCGAAACTGTCTGGGAAGAGTATTGGGATCGGGTGTGGGGGGAGCTCGAAAATCGGAAGGAGCACCATGGGAGAATCGCCGAGCCTGCTGTTGATATGTTGACGAGACATGGCCATTATGGTGAAGTTGGCTGTGCTGCCGGAGAATCCTATGTCAAGTGTATTCCCACGGGGGCTGGAGGTGAGTTCAGACAACCCACAGGTTCGTGATATGGGCTAATCACATCCAGGCTCGACGATCTCATCTTTGAGGGACTTTTTCGCCCATGTTTTCATTCCTGCTGGCCCATCTGACCAGCAAGTACGTCTGTTGTCACGCACAGTTGGCTCTGACCGCATTGTAGATGAGGTGATGTTTTCATGTCGGCATACGGCGGAGATCCCTTGGCTTTTACCTGGTGTCCAGCCAACGAATCGAGATATCAAGGTTGTTGTTGTTGTAGTGGCAGGTTTCTGCGCTGGACAGATCACGCGGCAAAGCTTGTATTGGGACCAGGCGAGTGTGCTCGCGCAGGTTGGAGTGATAGATCATGGACTTTTGCCGTTGACACGGGGTGAAGCCCAACATATGTAGTGAACCAGGAAAAGAATTATGATAGCTCACACTTTTCTACAACCAGTCTGATTTGTGCAAAAATGACCTTGGAACAACCATCAAGGATAGTGAATCTAATGTTACTCATATCTCTAGATGAAATTGACATACCCGTGGGCGTGGACGATCCAAGCTCGAAGCTCATCAGATATTAATCTAGGAGAGTTGAATACGTATCTTCAATCTCTGGGCCTTCTGAGTGAGGCCGTGCATATGCAGGTCTATAGCGGCCAGGGTCAATTTCGGTAGTTCAGGTAGGTATCGGTATCGTTCTGGGCTAAGCAGCCCCCACCCCACCTTCTAGAAGAGGGTGTATACGGTAGACCGGGAAGAGAAGATTTAGGGATAGAGAGAGGTCTCTCAAAGGGCCTCGGAAAATATGTGTATAGTAGCATGGAAAAAGACATCTGAAACGAAACTTCAAAAGACACTTCAAAAGACATTTGAGTATCGGAAATTCTGGGATTGACACTGGCCGCTATAGACCTGAGTACTGTGCAGCACTCGCAGTGGTCGAGAACCCAAATATCAATGGTTGGTGTGATCCACTGTCAATGATGAGACGAGTGCCAGCAATAGCACGGTCAAACGCCCACCGATCCTGATAAGAAGAGAAGCGGTACTCTTCTGGCAGCCAAAGAACTCTCTCCCCATTGCAGGTGATCCATTCGCTGTATTTTTCAAGATTGTAGTGTGGTTCAGGACCGGGGAAAAATAGATCCAACGCCTTTTCAGCGGCAGGCTTGTCTCTTTCATTGCCGTCGATACACTTACCGCTGCTTATATCCCATGTTTCAAAGAGTGTTCCATAATCAAGTGATAGCTTGGTGCAGTCAGCAGAAAAACTCAATGAGCTACCAGGCAGATCATGGCATCCCTCCAGTTCAAGGAATTGCGCATAGCGAGAGGAAAGTCGTTCTGCTGAGTGTGCCTTTGTTTTCTTCCAAAGCTTGGTTGTGACCTTCCAAATATTATTATTAGCGTGATTGACAAAGCCATACGATGCAATCATCCCACAAGATGTCATAGCAAGCGCCCTCGGTTCTGCACTATGGGCCTGGAAGCTTTCAAGGCATTTGCCATTCTCCCAATCCCAGACTTGAATGCGCCCATCTCCCAGGCCGGCTAGTATAGTACCTCCGTCTGGCGAGAAAGCAACTGCGTAGACACTTTCTTGAGCGTCCAATGACTTAAGTTTCTTGCCAGATTTTGGTTCCCAGATCTCAATCTGACATGGAGCCGCAGCAAGTGCAAGTAAGCCACCCAGGGAAGATGAGAGTGCACAGTAAGATGAGATATATGCGTCTATTGAGGGGACTGCATCTCCGACGCGCAAGTCATGGAGGCACTCATTAGTATGAGAGTCCCATATCCTCAGAATAGGATACGTGGACAGATATAAATGCGCGATTTTCCCAGGAAGAAATGCAAAGCAGTTCCAAGTCAAATATGCTGACTTGGAAAGAGGGAATTGATCTGCCCTTGAAGACTCCCAAACCTTGACAACTGGCGTGTTCCCCGAAGAGACCAATTTGCCGCCAACCGTACAGGCCACCAATGTCTGATCACGCGGAGTGGTATTGATCTGGTTCAACAAATCCCCACTTTTGCCGTCCCAGGTACACACTTGTCCTGGGCTATGTCCAGAAATGATATTTCCATCAAAGGCAACTGCTATTGATGTGAGACGCCCCCAACCCCACTTTATTGGAGAATCATGATTCACGAGTGTGTCATCCATATCCAGTTTTAGGAGGCAGTCGCCATTCAAGCTCCATATCTTGATAACTTTATGCGAGCCTGAGACAAGAAGCCCATCAGTAGAAACTGCAATTTGCAACTCCCCCCTTGACAGGTCTCCAAAGTCTTGATGCATTCACCATTAGATACGTACCAGACCTTGATTTTCCGAGACTTGTTAAACAATTCAGTGCGGTCGGCGGAGAGAGCTGCAACGTGGTCGGCAGAGAGAAACGCAACTGGGGCTCCCGCCTATTCAATTGTTATAGTGTTCACATAATCTCCATTATGGGGGTTCCAGATCTTCAAGATTCCATGATCTGAGACTGACGCTATCTGACCAGTAGGCGAGAAATCAATGGAGCGAACGGAGTCATGTCGAAGAATTGTCAAGCATTCTCCAGTTTTCACGTCCCAAACTCTGAGGTCCCCCTCGTCCATTGAGCAAGATGAAATACGTTTGCCAGTCGGCGAAAAGCTGATTGAGTGAATAGCAAACGTATGGCCCACCAGGCTTTGCAGCATCTGGCCTGTTTCTTCTTCCCATATTTTGATGGTAAGATCCAGTGATGCAGATGCTATCAAGTTACTAACTGGAGAACAAGCGATAGCAGTCACAATCTGAGTGTGACCATAAAAGGTCTGTACACATTGGCTCTACTCCTGGTCAACAAGGGGCTTGGTTGTAAGCCAATCGGGCTGCTCGCTCTTGAATATTTCGCGAGTTAAACTGCGCATTGGAGCGAACACAAGTGCCGAGATATAAGTTTCTAAAGGGTACCTCTCGATGAAGCCTCTAGATGATAGGATAAACCGACGTGAGTCCTGAATCAAGCCTAGGAACTGTGATTGGTGTGAGAGATTCTGTTCGTGTCAGCCCTGTATAAGTATAATTTACTACTAGAATGAAGCCCAAACTAACCGATATTAACTTGATCAGCTTGATAGATGTAAAGACTGCGACTGAGTAATTTCCCATCAGGCTGAGTGCCTCGAGCCAGTAGAGAAGACGGGTCTTCCAAAACTCGTTGATAGGCCCATCGTCACGTAGACTGATTGTTTGATAGTTCGTACTAGAAGCACAGAGATGGTCTGTCCAATAAACACATGAATACCGAAGGGGCTCGAGGAGAGAATCATCCTCGCAGCCCTGGAGTTCGTCGATGCAGAAGCCAGGCCGCTCCAGTCCATAAATGTCTCGTTGCAATTGGTTCATACACTCAAGTGATTGTGTCACTATCATGTGGTGTCCCTCGATATGGCCATTTGGAAAAATGCAAGACAGTAGCTCAGGTCCATGAGCCTGGACGAGATAGTCTTTTGCAGACATATGAACGAAATAGGCGATGTTGTTATCATCACCCAAAGCAAGGAACCCGCATCGTCTCACTATCTGCTCTTGGTCAGACTCAATTGGCAAATTGGCCAGACCAATCAGCTCAGATAAATGAAGAGGACGGTATGCGTTTGTCATCACCAAAAGGACTTTTTTGCAATGTGTCGCAAACTTGGAATTGATCATGTTGACTAACATGCCCGTATAAAGACCATCAAGATCGGTGGGAATTTGCTCAACTCTTCCAATCAGCTCATCGGCAGTGCAGCTTTTCAGCTCTTGGACAACCAAAGCTACCCACAAGAAAGTGCCGCCAGCTTCCCTTTTTAGCTCGCTGCTGACTTGACTTAGTGTTTGAGAGATTTTGGCTTCACGTTGTGCTTTGAGCTGAGCTTGGTGCCTGGAGATCTTTTTTTGGGGGCGGCTCGGTCAGATACCGATCGCGCAAGTCCGAGACTTTGCGGTCAATATAGGCGTCGACAGCCTCTGAAACAGCCGTTGAGTTTACGCTCTAGGCAGAGCTGGGAGTTTTTCGTATCACCGGCAAGAATGTCTTCAATGTCGTCCTCGTTCCGACTGGACAACAACCATTTCACTTTGTCATTTCCAGCTGTTTCAGTGACCAACTCTAGAAGCTGCTCCATCCCTGGCTCCTCTCTTTTGCACTCATCCAGGGCGTCAATCACGAGGTATACTCTCCTCAAGGAGCTGTCTTGAAGCATTGCTCGAAACGCGCTTCTGAGACTGTAGAACACCGAGTTGTCGTTGAATGCATTTGAGCCCTTGACTTTGAAAGAATACAGGTGACGTATGAGTGACTTTTCTTGACGCACAAGCATCCATATCAACCCCCTCAAAACCGAGGTCGCTGTGTTGACTTTTGCTTCCGTGGCACGACAGAAGAAGTAAGAGAGACAGCATCCATCAAAATGGGTCTCCAGCTGAACCTTCAGCTCCTCAACAATGCCCATGAGTAGCATTGTTTTCCCCTTTCCGGCATCACCCCTCATCCAAAGAAGCCCATTGGCACTGCCGTTGTCCCAGTTGGTGAAACTTTTGTAAGTCTGTGTCTCGAGAACCCACTTGTAAGATTCAGGGAGTAACTTGTCTTTTCGTGCTTGCAGTGATCGGATGTCGTTGTCCATGTCTGTGACATAGCAGTCCCTCAATAGCTCCTCGTCACTCCGATCCTGATGCATGTTTACCAGAATTTCGAGATAAGTTCTAGTCTGCCAAATGCCAATCTCATCGGCTGCTGCCTTCACGGTCTTCTCAGCCTCGTTGACCCCATTCAGACTGCCTTCCCAATCGTCCCACTTGACCATACCTCTCAAGAACACCAGCCCTTGATTGCGGTGGTGTGAGCAGACGGTCTTAATGATATATTGCAGGATGGTTTCGTAAAGATCGAGCACGCGTCCGGCTAGTATTTCACGCAGCTCTATCAAGTTGTCATTTGATTTGGCGGCCTCTTGGTGAAGAATCTTTGTGAGACTCGAATACCATTTCATTTTGGAGGTGACCTTTGTGATTCCATCCCGATTCGTACTCGCTTCGTTGATAGCGTTGGAGAAAATCTGATGAGCCATAAGTTAGCAGTGTCACTGAACAACTAGTGGGTGAAATCAGAAATAATTTGACCTACCTCCAAACCAACGCAGATACCAGTCCACGCAGCAGCGGCAATAGGGACAGTGGTCAACCCAGCGCTTATTGCCTGCTTAACAGACAAGACCACTTTGATTGCCTCCCCAATATTCCCTCTACCTCACCAATCTTGGCTGTCCTGTCCAAGCCAGCATTTAAGAGCTGATCCATCTGGATTACTCGGCTTTCTTCAGTCTGCTCTGGTAAAAGCTCCATTGAAAGCAGTTTTTCATAGCCTTCGAGCAACTCTGGCTCGCTGGTTTTGAGACCATCGTATGCGTGATCCCAGAGTTCATCTGGGGGGAGGTCGATGGCCTTTCTTTCTGATATCTGTCTTGTTTCTTGAGTTTGGTCATTGGTGACGGCAGCTTGATTGTCTGCCGTCGCCAATGAAGCTTGTATGTCTGGGGTTTTGACAACAAGGGAGCTTGAGCTAACGGCGGAACTATTTGCTCCATGCTCTGGACTCGGGTCGTGTCTGGTGGACTTAATCAGGGATTTGAGGTATTCTCGTTTCCTCTCCATGATGGGTACAGCCTCGACGAAAGGTATGTTTGGGTGGATGAGAACAACTTGGAAGGCGAGTTGTGGGAGTTTGATCTCACTTGGGTCGCAGATCTCAGCTGGAATAGCTCAGCGGTGCGGGCCGGCGGCTAACCAAGCAAGATGAACGCTCGGGTTTGCCCCACATATCGGGGTGTACATATCGCGCCCAACCTTGCAAGGGTCAGAAAGTGTTTGGGTACTAAGAAAAAGGACACCAAAAAGGATACGAAAAAGGACTGGATAGGAAGAATTTTCAAATCCCAAGATAACATTCTCTTAGTGTACTCCGTAGCAGGTATACAAATAACCAGCCCAAATAGTGACTGTTTTTGCCAGGCTAAAACCAGGTAACCTCAGATATTCCAAAAAGTTTCCGACCCTTTGGCGCTATATTCAGTCGGTGCCCGCATGATTTGCCCTACTTAGCCATACATACTGAAGTGGGAAGAGCGCGCTGGCGGTCTGACATCGCAGACAAGACGACGGGGGTGCTCAGTGCTCGGCGGGAAGGGTGAGGCATGCAAAGCCCTAGAACGGCCCGATTAGGAAGTAGATGCTGTTTTGCCAAAGAGGTGTAGGATGCTTGGATTGCTATGCTATGAAAACGGGGCTAGAAATAGCCCAGGGATGCCTGAGGCACAGGTGGGAGCGGCGCGGTTTCCCCACTACAATACATGATAGTCAGCTAAGGCAGTGAGGGTTAAGTATACACGAGGCTGCCATTGAAAGTTGATCTCATATTGACTCAGAGAATTACCAAAGGACGCTAGAATTAACCAATGTGCACGGGTGGCGCAAAGGAGCAACAGAAGATCATTCCAAACAAAAGAAAATCAAGTACATATACGACAAGGTACTCTTGGAAAGGAAACGCCCATGGTTGCAAAGGAAAGGAAGACCCAACGAGAAATCAGCGAAGGATTGGTTGCAAACCCTGGAGACAAAAGCCCAGATGTTGTGGAATCAGATAGGATAAGGAACGAACTAGACAAGGGAATTGACCCCAAAGAGCAAGGCATTGAGAGCCGTACAGACAAGGAAACAAAAAAAAAGCGACCTGATGCAAAACAAGCATTGATATCAAAAGACATGAACTCCCCGTTCCCCCAAAAACCTGTAAACGCCAGACTGAAAGAAAACAAACCATTCAAGTTCTCGGAAAAAAACACCGGATCTTCCTTTCCCATCCATCGGTAAATTTGATATCACAATAAACCATTGCCTCGAAAAAAATAAATGAAAAAACGCGAAAAAAAAGGAAGGAGCTCATTGCTGTACCTTCCCGCTGCACCGGATCACAAAGTGACCCTGACTGTCCCCTCGGACTCAAACGCGTGTCGATCGTTTCCGTAAACCAAATTCTTGTTCCTGGAGCTCTCGTATCAAACGGAGACTTTCCTCATCCCCTTCCTCCTCCCCCGTCACATGTTGAACATGCTTGTGCTGACGCGGGGATAGTGATGTAGGGGCATGACGATGGAAGTGCTTCTCATACATGGGAGAGCTCTTTTTCGCATGTGAGGACGAGGGCCGCGAGGAAGGTTTTCTTGTCGAGGACGGCGGCGGGGGTGTTGTCTTGCGCGCGCCAAAAGTGGAGGCCCTTGCATGTGCTGCAGGCTTAGGGGCTCGAGTCGGGATTGCTTCGGGCGCAAACCGATCAACATGCCGTGGCTGACGAGACGAGTGCCGAGAGCTGGAATTCGGGGTGTGAAGGGCAGCAGGAGCTTCTCCTTCCACAGATTGTACAGCTTCTTCCCCTTCTTGGACCCCATCCATCTCGTCGGCCAGCGACGTGGGCGGTGATACCAAGGATGTGTTTGGTTGCGACGAAGACACATGCATGGTGTTCAAATCCTTTGCATCCACGGGATCAGGCTGAAAGGCGGGCGGTGAGACATACAAAGCTTCATCCCGAGGTGCGTCGCTTTGTTCAGGCAGATAGTTGCTTGAACTTGCTTTCAGGTCGGGGCCAAAAGGCTCCATGAACTCAGGCTGTCGCATCTGCTCGTCTCCGTCGCCATGATGGAAGAAAGCTGCTGGCTTGGTTGTGGGTGATGTGCTCTCCTGCTTTGTCTTCTTTGCCGTGACAGGAGATTCTTCTTCTTCGGCAGGACGTGCTCGCTTCGCAGAGGCATTTGCACGAGGCTTGGAGCGCTCTTGGGCTTTGATCGGATCTATGCGGCCATACTCATCATGAATGCAGCGACGCTGTGACCACATTAGTAAGAGTGGAGAAGAGACGAACTATTGGAAAATCACATACCTTGCTTTTTCGACAATCATCACACGCCTTGCTGCGCCCTTTCTTCCCACCATTGGCACCGTCAGGGCTTATATCAATAAGACGATTAGCAGCCGCTGTTGAGTTTCCCATGACCGCTGACTGGAATCGTGCAGAGCTTTCAAAACGTTCAAGGTCGACAAGATGGCCATTGTTTGAGAATCCAGTTTGAGACGCAATTGCTGCCAGCGAGTTCAAGGCAGAAACCGCATCCTGGGCGAGAGAAGACGGTGTGCTCACCCCTGAGCCGGGCGTGAAGGTATTGACTGCCACCTGCCCATTCAGCACCAAATCGCCAGGCTCATCCTTGTGCCGGCATCGGATGCGTCGTTTGCGACATGCGTCACATGCCACTCGCTTCGGTCCAAGGCCCGAGCCTCGTTGGACGACACGGGGCTTGGGGGTGATGGATTCTTTGATGCCGAGTTCTTGAGTAGTAGAGTTGAATGGAGCCGGAGTTGAACTCTCCTCGGACTGCGAATACACTTGGGTGCCCTGCTGAGGAATCGGCGTTGCTGGGATATCTTCTGAAGGCCATTGAACCGCTTGCCTTTCGGCGTAGGTTCGTTGGTTGTCAGCATTGCGTTCAGACCGACGACTAGGACGCCCCGCTGGCTTCTTGTCCACTAGAGACACCTTGGGGTTGCTTTCAATAACACCGGGCCGAGTCCACAAGGGAGACCTCTCGTTACCACGCTTCCAAGCCACCCAGACACCAAATCTTCTGATGATGTCTACGGGGTCACCAGTTCCTTTTGGAATGGAGCGCCTGACGGCGTTTCGGGTTTCAACAGAGATGTTTCCATCGACAGAATAGCCTCCCGCAATGAGCGCAGTCCGCAATAGGTACCTGGTCAATTCTGGAAGACCTTCCAACTCCGCCTGTGAATAGAAACGTGCGTTGTGCAGGGGGTGTCCCCGAGGTTCTTGGTTGGCACGCTCACCAAATTCGTAATAGATCGGATATTGGCGGTGGAAACGATAGTTTTCATCCTGCATGAAAGCATCGAGCACATTCTGCGGTATGGGGTCGTCCTCCAAATACTTCAAAGCTGTGTACCACTGTATCTTCTGGAAGAAGGGATACCTGAACTTCTTAGGGACCTTGGTGTCCTTTTCAATGTTGAGCACCTTAATTTGCATCCCGTAGTTCAGTTTGGTAAGGAAGTTACCGCCAATCACAAGGCTGTTCTTCGGAGTCCACACCGCATGAATCCAGCCAGACGGGATGAGCATAGTGTCGCCCTCGGAGAGGTCCACACGATAGCACTCCTTTGTTTGATTGCCAAGGAATATCGAGTCCTGAGCGGGCGAATTGCACCATTCTTCATATTTCTTGAGGTGTTTGTCTTTGGGTGGAATAAAGAAGAAGGTCTTGCTGCCCTTTAGGATGTGGTAGTACACGGAAGACCCGCCGAAGTCGATGTGAAAGTCGGTGTAGCAGTCGGCGACAGACATCAGGCAGTAGAATTGGACTTTGGGATAGTCTCCAATGGCCTTTAATTCATCTGGCCACACGGCATCTTGCAGATCGAGATCGCGTACAATCTTGGGCCGGCGAATGAGTCTACCCAACTTGCTCTGCGAGACCTCCAGACTGATGACGTTTCTGACTGGCTTGTCTGGTTCCGTGCTTTCATAGTAATCAGCCCATTTTTGCATGTTCCATCGTTTGTCCTCGCCCTGTTGAGATTTGACATCGATCACCTCAACCCTCTCATCGGGCCCGTATAGCTCCGCCACAGCGCGCACGGTGAGGCCTTGCGGAATGACCATGCCCAGGAGATCCTGACCGCAGTCAATAGTCTCTTCCACTTGTGGTTCGTGCTCCGGAATGTGCTCAAGCAGCTCATCAAACATCTCCTGGGAAGAGGCTTCCTGGGCCAAGGACTCAATCTCGGATGTAGCCTCTTCGGGGGTCACTGGTTTGGAGGTGTTCCAGCCGGCAGGAATGACAATGGGCTCGGTCCATCCATTTCCTCGCTCAAAGTATTCCGCCGTTACGAGCTCTGGCTTCATTCGAGGGAATTTTTCGGGTTGGAATCGAATCTTGCCTTGACGAATGGGCTCAAGGTAGTGATGCTCGAGTGAATCACTGGCAGCCTTGACGAGGCCTTGGTTGAGTCCGGCGTAGTCAATGGCCGTGCGTGCCCTGGAAGACTTGCGCACAAAAGTGGTTTGGCCAAACGTCGTCCGACATAGCCGGCAAATGTACTTGTCAATTGTGCGAATTTCCCGATCCGTCTTGAAACCAGCACAAACAATGTGGAACCATCGATTGCATCCGTCGCAGTTGATCCACGTATCTTCATCCTGCTCTTCGCTATCGGCTGGAATTCGCACTAGATGGCATCCTGCACAGCTTGCCAAGTTGGTGTCACTTTCATCGGACTCCGTTGGTGGCGGAAATGTGGGCGTCTGGTGTAGAAAGTGAGGTATCGGAGACGCGGTGGACGGAAGACCTTCGAAGGGTATCGCTGACGGATCCCAGGAGGTATTTTCGCGCTCGTCCTCCCACACAATGGGTGGCAGAGTACCGGCACTTGTAGTGGGACGTATCCCTCGAATCTCAGGGCGGGAGATGAAGGCCGACCCATCAGAACGAGAGCGCATTCGGGATGTGGGAATTTCATTGGGGACGTGGCTTGCTTTCATTTCGCCTTGGTCCGTGTATCCGCCATTGGAGAATCCAACTCGAGGTTGATGCATCGCATCATCTGCATATTGATTGAAGGACTCGTCAATGCTGACTCTCTTGGAGTGATTTCCGGGAAAGTTCGCCCCGTGGAAGGTCGGGCGCGCAAGGTTGAGCAGAAGCTCGGCATCGGTTGTCATGCTTTCCAATCCAGCTGGCCGGACATTTTCTGTGGGCGCTCCTGGCCGCGGGCGGTAGGGTGACCGGTTTCTCGCCGACCGGGCTCGCTTTGCTGGGCGCTCAGAATCCGCGGAGTCAGAGGGAAATAGAGGAATTGAAGATCGGAGGCCCGGAGAAGGCGGATTTGGAGGTAGTGGAGCGAATGTAGGGCTGGTTGCGAGTGCGATCGTCGCAAGTGTGTCAATGGTCGAATTTGAGCGGCCATGGCCCGACCGCTGGTGCGAGCCACTTTCCGTAACATCTCGATTGTGATTTGACAGACTTTGATCGTGATCAAGACTGGCTGCTCTGGGAGGTCCGCGAGCAGCCCAAAGGGAGGAGAAGTCTGTGGTTGTTGATGGAGTGATGGGCTCGACGGCGCGTAACGGAGGAGACGGAGTACGGTATTGAGGTGGGCGACCGCCGATGGGGTTCGCGAAAGATGCCGCGCTCATCATCTTCGCAACCCGGGAAAGCGTGGGTTACAGTGTATTGAGGACGAAAGGTCGGAGGTGCGAAAAGTTGCGCTTGCGGTAGGTGGGTGCAAAGCGGGGATGCTGGACCACACGGGCTAGCGAGAGGCCGGCGCAGGCGAAGGGAATGTCATTCCTGGCAGAAGATCGTGCGCACGGGGACCGCAATAATATGGTTGAAGATTGATGAAGGATTGAGGACGGAGGAACTGGTCGACGGGGGTCGCGGAGCGCGCTGCGTTGAGGGGGTCTGTATCGAGCGGCGGGAGGACAAAGGCGCCGAGAGTCGCGCCGCACCTTGCGGGCAGGTAGGAAAGTGAATCGAGGAGTTTCCAGTAGGTAAGGATCAATACCTGTCAACCGGATGAGAAGTGACAAGTATGCGAATGGATGAAGCACCGGTAGAGGAAGATGAGTGCGGAGTGTTGGGTGAAGGAGGAAGCGGGAGTCGAGTAGCAAAGCAACCTCGAAGGTTGTATGTACACGACACACCGGCCTACATAAATAAACTACTCTTCGGTATAATTCATCAAAAAAGCTCCAGTAATCCTCTACAGAGCTCTATTATGCTCATCTCTGAATGCGATTGAATCTATTTGGGTTGTCCCCCTTCTCTGCTCAATTTTCTGTAGACTGAAGATGCGACGCTCTCGGTGTTTTGTCACAGCGATACAGTCCGATAGTGTCACGTGCTGGGTCTCACACCCAAAACCTGCACTTCATAATACCAAATCTGTTACTTACAGGTCAGAAGTAAAATACAGCTAAGCCCAGACGAAGTAAGCGTGCTGCCAAGAAACCTCGTGGTTGTTCTTGCGCCTTGCTCTCCGACTTCTGCTTCTTCGTTATTTCAACCTGCAATCGATACCTTGCGTATCTTTTAGTCAACACCTCCATTCAACATCTCCTCGACTCTCTCACCCTCTGAGAATGAGCCGAAAGCTCGCCCCCGAAGCCAATCGGTACGTGCAAACACTTTTTCCATGCCCCTCTCCCCGGTTGTCCGCAGTCGAGCATCTTGCCATCAACTGCATGAGAATCGGGTCTACTGGCAGTCTGTCGCCTCAAATGTACTGATTGCTAACTTACTCTTCGTTTTGCAGGATTCTCTTCGTCAAGAACCTCAAGTACGTACCTCATCACCGGCCGCTTTTCCCTGGCTCGATATCCCGGGGCTTCGGACTTGCATACTCTTATTCGACAACTGTGGACGTGTTACTGACATTATCTCGCAGCTACAACGTAACAGCGGAACAACTCTTCGACCTGTTTGGCAAATTTGGCCCCATCCGGTAAGTGCTCTTCATAGCTCAGTTCGGAACTCTATCTAATACGCTTTGGATCACAGTCAAATCCGCCAGGGAATCGCGAACAACTCCAAAGGAACCGCTTTTGTTGTCTACGAAGACGTCCACGACGCCAAACAGGCATGCGATAAGCTCAATGGATTCAACTTCCAGAACAGATACTTGGTTGGTACGTTTACACATGGAGCGTGGGACTATTGGGCGCCGAACATAAATGACTGACCTGCGGCATAGTCTTGTATCATCAGCCAGAGAAGATGGTCCGTACGAAAGAGGACCTCTCCGAGAGGCAAGAGAATTTAGAACGGCTCAAACAGCAACACGGGATAGAATGATGTGACGACTTCCTCCTTCTCATGATGCCCCCTGCTAGCATAAGGCTGCGCACGGTGTTGCGACAGCTCTACTATTCAATCACGGCTTGGTTGAGGGGTTTCCGGCGTTTTTTTATTCCCTTGGGTTTCTTTCTTATTTCGGAGGGTTTGGTAGTGGGCGAGGCTGGCTCTGGCCGTCAGAAATTGACCCAGAAATGATCGTGCGACACGTTCCGCGAGATTTTTTTTCCTGTCTATTCTATTTAACCATTACTACTATTACTTCTGTCAATCTGACCCTCCACTTTGCTCCACCCAATCTTCTTGTGGTATGGCCAGATCATGATGAGAGCTTGACCGGCTTCCTTCTCATGAGTGCTGGCACCTTGGGGTTCACTTAGAGATCTGGATCTGCAAATCCGGGCCTAGTGAACAAGGTTAGTGCTTCGCTGGGGCAGTACCCACCTTCATGCAGGCAACGAGAGACCTTGAAGAATCGACGGGGCCTAGTCAATCCGCCGCGGCCAGCGCAAGACCTTTGCGATTGATGCTCAACGAGTGCAACAACACTGTAGTTGTTGATAGCGCAAGACATTGTGCCAAGACACGGACCCTTAAAATAGCGAAGGGAAATATCAGCCTTGTCGATCCCGCTGCGGGGGGACCCTGACACCGCCCCAGGCGCAGCACTTGAAAGATACCCTTCTCCGTGCCGAAAATTCAATTTTGTCCTTAAGAAACCCATATGGTCTGTTGGGAAATAACTTAAATCATTCATCTCCGGGTCATTTTGGTCCTGTTTACATCCACCAGCCGCAAGGTACACCTGACTATCCCCCCATGTCACGCGTATGACGTTCCAGCCGCCTCCGCCTTGGATAAGCTTTACCCACCTTCGACCTCATCTCATTCAACCATCAGTCGTCGCATCATTCTTGTATAGCCTTCACCTATCACTGCTTCTGCCTGGAAGATGATGGACGACGTCGCCGCGTCGTTGGCTTCAATAGCGACAAGCACACTCGTCGCTAGCAGTCTCAACTCATATTCCGGCACCGCGCTCCCAACGCCCTCGGGCTCACATTCGTTGTACTACCATGGCTCCACTTCTGAACCCTCGGCGCAGGATCCAAATGGGGATGAAGGGGGAGAATGCAAGCTGCTCGGTCCCTTCTCCGTATTTGTGCAAGTTGCCCTTGGTGGGCTCGCGTTACTATCACTCGTTTTCAAAAGGTGGAGGGAGCGACCACAGCGCCCAGTGAAGGTGTGGGCATTCGATGTATCGAAACAAGTCTTTGGTTCGGTCATGCTCCACATGCTTAACCTGCTGTTGTCGATGTTTTCGGCGGGCCAACTGGAAATTCGGAATTCATACAAGCCGAACCCATGCTCTTTCTATCTACTCAACTTGGGTATCGACGTGAGTTATGGTCAATATGTAACTATCGGAGAACCGCTCGCTAACCATTTCCACAGACTACCCTCGGTATCCCTATTTTGATCCTCATTCTCCGCGTCCTCAACTTCCTAGCTTCATACACAATTCTCGCAAACCCTCCCGAGTCGATCGAGTCAGGAAACTATGGCCAACCCCCACGCGCGACGTGGTGGCTCAAGCAGGCCATCATTTACTTTATGGGACTACTCGGCATGAAGATCTGCGTCTTTTTCCTTATTCAGCTCTTACCCTTCATCGTCAAAATCGGTGATTGGGCCTTGCAGTGGACTGAAGGGAACACCGCTGTTCAGATCTTCTTCGTGATGCTTCTGTTCCCTGTCATCATGAACGCGATCCAATACTATATCATCGACATCTTTATCAAGAAACCGATCTCCCAGTACGCCGCAGAAGATGCGGGTGACGACTCTGCCGCAGGAGACGATGCTCATCGCCGAGAGGCTCTCCTTGATGGTCTGGATGAGTCTTACTCAACTGATTCAGATGACGAAGGACCTGGAAAGCCTCAGCTCACCACCACCCATCCAAAGACCGCCAGCGCTCTTCGCGAGTCGGAGCATCTACTTCCCGAGGACCACTCACCAGTCCCTCCATATGAACCTCATAGCTCAAGTAGTAGCCCCAGTGAGCACGATACCAAGCCACAGTCAACTCACCTCTGAACACGCTACTGAAATGAGACCTGGGGCTTGATTGTTTATTATCACTTTATTTGGATATTTCTTATGACTCTGAACGTGTATACGATTATCGCTCATGCTTCTTAATTTTTTCTCTCTCCTTATAGTATTTGACATCAAGTATAATGGAGCAACCGCAAGAATGCCCTGGGCCGCATCAAGAAGTTTTTAGACCTGGTGGTTCAACAATACCTAGGCAACTGCCAGTGACTGAGTGCTGGACCTGGGCATTACCTGGGCACAGAATTTTTGGGATTAATTCACGGTTGATGACAGACTTCGAGTATTGATTCACAAAATCATTCAAAAGAAAGTTGCTGATGTATTACCAGTAGTGGGATGGTTATCTCGTTCGTTACCAGGATATAGTTCCAACCTTGGAAGGTTAAAATAGTTAAAAAGAGCTCTGTCCCCGAATTTCAAAATTGTAGAGACCAATTTTCTCTCTTTGTGAGATAATAACACTTTCATCCATGAAATGCTCCAGCTGTTTTCCATTGACTGCTATGGTCAGGAAGTTGACTGTGAAGCTCAGTTCCGACGTGATACAGATCAAGTGTTCACCGCCGGACACACCGCCCATTTCTGCCAGCCCTGGAAAAATCAAAGAAGAAAAATATTCTAGCTCCGCCTTGGGAATTGCGGCTACAATTAGATTATTGCTTGCCAATTTTTGTACGGCAGTCGGATCTGAACGTTATCTTCTACAGATCTTCGAGTTCTGTACACACTGTTCGCCATGCCCAAAGCAGGCCTGAAAGAAAAGTCCAAGCGGACGGCCGCACCGTCTGCGTTCGAGAACATCGCCAATTCTCGCCCAGAAGACTCCGATGTCGAGATGGGCGACGAAACCAGTTCAGATGAGGAGGATGAGCCCGAAAAGGATGAAGCGGAGAGGAAACTCGAGCGCATGCTCTTCGGCGACGACGAAGGCTTCATGGGCGCATTGAAAGCCCAACAAGACCGCGAAGCTGGAATGGCTCTTACTCTGAACAGTGATGAAAGCGATGCCGCGGAAGAATCCGAAGCCGAGTCTCAAAATCTGGCCGATATGGCCGACTCAGATGTATGTGATCTTTGATCTGTATACCCGTCTTCAATCTAACACAATCGTCTCATAGCTCTTCTTCCTTGACTCTGGTGCTCCTCCCACTACCGACCTCGTTCCCTCGCCGGAAACCCCATCCGATGCCGAGGATGACGAACAAGATGGAGAGGCCGCAGTCTGGTACGACAGCGACGACGACCGCCTTGCCGTTTCACTACAAAGCCAGGCCAAATTGCGCAAATTGCGCGATACCGAAGCCGAAGACGTGGTCAGTGGAAAGGAATATATCCGACGACTGCGCAGACAGTTCACCCGCCTACACCCCACACCCGAATGGGCGACCCCAGAGCAGAAGCGCCGCAAGACCGACTCCGACTCCGAGCAAGAAATCGACTCAGATGACGAGAATGAGCAGCTGTCCATGCAGCCTCTGGCCAAACTTCTCCAAAACGCCTCCGACCTCACTCGCATAGAAGACAACTCGCGCTCCGGAAAGCGCAAGCTGCGCCAGGAAGTCGTCGACATTCAGAGACTCAAGGATGTCGGCAAATCCCAACCTTCCTCCGTCGACTCTCTCAACTTCCACCCGCACTACCCCCTCCTGCTCTCCTCTGGTCCTGCATCCACTCTCTTCATGCACCACATCTCTCCCTCAGCGCCTGCTCCTAACCCTCTTCTCACTTCCCTGCACATCAAGCGCACTCCTATCCACACTTCTGCATTTGCGCCGCCAACAGGGAACAAGATCTTCGCCTCCGGCCGTAGGCGCTACTTCCACATCTGGGACCTGGACACCGGAAAAATCGACAAGGTCAACGGCTCCGCTGACAGAAAGGAAGAGCAAAAGTCCATGGAACGCTTCAAGCTTTCTCCATGCGGCCGCTTCGTCGGTCTCGTCGGCACATCCCGCAAGGGCGGTGGTCTTATCAACGTCCTAGACTCCAACACCGCACAGTGGATTTCGCAAGTGCGAGTTGACGGACGTGGCGGTGTCGCCGATTTCGCCTGGTGGTCCGACGGCGAGGGAATGACCGTTGCCTCTAAGAACGGAGAAGTCTCCGAGTGGGACGGGCGTCTTGGACGCGTTGTCGCTCGCTGGGTCGATGCCGGTGCCGTCGGCACTACAGTCCTCAGCCTGGGTGGACGGTCCGGCCGCACTCAGCTCGGTGGTGATCGCTGGATTGCTATTGGATCTTCTAGTGGTATTGTCAACGTCTACGACCGCCGCGAGTGGGCTGCTGCGTACGCCAATGCTTCTGCTGCTGATAAGGAATCATCGGTTCAGGCTGGTATCCCGCGCAGCCCTACACCTGTGCGTGTCTTGGATCAGCTCACTACGCCTATCAGCCACCTGGTGTTTGCGCCTGATGGGCAGATGATGGTTATGGCGAGTCGCTGGAAGCGTGATGCTTTGCGTCTTGGTATGTACTGCTTTTTTTCTTGACTTGATCTTTACTAACGATTCTTTCAGTCCATCTTCCTACTTGTACAGTATTCCGCAACTGGCCTACCTCCAACACACCGCTGGGTCGCATTTCCTCAGTTGCTATCTCACCCAACTCAGAGCAGTTGGCTGTTGGTAATGAACAAGGCAACATTCGCATGTGGGAGATCCGTGGTTAGGCTATGATATACATAACACAAAATATTCAATTATTGTCATTATTCAAACCCTCGCTTGTTTTCAATTCATGGATAAATTCTTTTATCCCACGGCCTTCTCCAGCCCTGCAGATAGCCAATTCCTCGCGATCAAGCTAGGATTGAAAGTCGGAAGGACAGAGGCCTTGGTAGCAGATATCATGTTGAATCTATACCTAAGCGCAGAATTACCCACTCTACCATTCCGAAGAATGAAAAAAAGCAACATAATAGTCTAAGAGGTATCATATATCCCTGTAAGGCCAATATTTGTTCCCCCATGGTGGTGAAGGGTTTCTAGCAAGACAAACACGCAGGACACCAAAGAGAAAACCCAAAATGAGAAGAGTAGCCCGTCAGCGCCAGGCTCCAGTGGTGAGGGGGAGGTATAAAGCAAAATAAGTAACATGTGAGTCGTATCAATCAAATCAATCAAGTTCGTGGTATCATTCGTAAGGACGGGTCTATACTGTTGGCCATTTGGATCAAAAGTATTCAGTCACAGGGGTATATGGGGTAAATAGAAAGAAGTCATAGGGAAATTCAAGATGTCAGCAAAAATCCAAGGGGTATGTTTCGGTCAATGTGGGAAGGTTGTCGGAGCGCACTATTCTCCAGGGCCGCTGGTTGCCCATCGTTGAGGTCGCTTTCCTTGTTCGATGTAGTTTTTGATCACACAGGGAGCACGGTCAGGGCCCTGGCAAACCTTGTGGCGATTGAGGTGTTTGAACTTCGGGCCAAGAGGTCCGTTGACGTAGTGATACTGCCCGGCGAACCGGTACTGCCGCTCATCGCCTAAGGGGTAGAACTTGTCGCCCCATTTGCCTCTGAAATGGAACCATTCAGTCGGGGCGGATGGAGTGAACGTTGACGCTCGCAGATCTTGACTCTCAAAGTCATAGGTGTATGTTTGAGAGTTGAGAAGGGGATCCCACAATGGCCCACGATCTGTGACATCGTGCAGCAGTCCCCAGGGGAGAATGTACTCATGTATTCCGGTTGTGGCATACATGGCGTGGCTGCCCTCGGCAGAGTATATGACAGGCTGGATTTGTCAATTTGGCGATCATATTGGGTCGATTGGAGACTTACTCGCTGTCCAATCTTCTCAACCGCCTCATAACTGTAAGCCTCTCCACCCTGGTGCGCGCTGAAAAACAGCGCCTTGGGGCTGCCATTGTGGAAACGCATCAAGCAGTGCTCCCAGTCGCCAACATGATTTCCGAATCGGACATTGACGACAGTGTTGCCAAGATTGAAGCTGTAGAAGTAAAACCAGTACGCATCTATGATCCCGTTGCCTTTGTCCATCACTACCAGGATCGCCGGCGCATCGCTTCGACCTCCTTGGCCGTTGTCATCGCGGATCTTTTTCCCACCATACCGCTTGCGCAGCTCTTCTTTGAGTATGTCCTGAGCTTGCGCATGCTCATCGGGACTCGAACTTTGGGCAGGTGTGACTTCCTGTGGTACCTGCCGGAAGTCGTACCACTTTGCACGATTTTCTTCAGTGTCGCCAGGGATATCGCCATCCACGCGGCCATCCCAGTCCGCCCACGATTCAGTATCTTCGGCGCCGCCTTGCGGAATATTTCCTTCGCCCTCCAGCCACGGCGGACGCGTCTGGACATCGTCATTGCTAGTCAAAAAGACGTGCCTACCCCTTTCCCATTCGTTCAGACGATCCAAGTCGCCCAGCGTTGGATGGTCCCATTCAGCCTGGATAGGAGTGTAATTGAGTGTAGGGGTGGTGTGGTATAGATGCTCAGCGATATCCCCGGGCCAAAATTGTTCGCCAGAATAAAGATGGACAAGTGGGGCATACTTCAGCACATAGTCGGGGATCTGCCGCCGAGCCCGCTCTTCGGCATTCCACTCGGCGTCGCTAGCCCCGCTAAGCCAAAAAGACCGCCAGGGCTCCTCTGGCTCCGCAGTTTGTGCGTTCGCCCACTGTGCCGGATCTCTTTGTCCAAATTGACCCTGCGCAATATGTAGATGTGCCGCACCGCAGACACTAAGCCATCGGCAGGATTTGCGGTCGAACCACGAGCGCGAGCTCGCAATCCAAGACCGCTCCTCCCGATCCTCCACGTACCAGACAAATGCGTTCGGTCTGACTATGTGGATGATGCTGTTGATGGATACATAGGCGATCAGGGTCGAGAGCACGGCAATGGTTGCCTTGGCCTTGCGGGTCATCTGCTGGAGCGAATGGGTATAAACTGCAAGACCGGATGAATGTGGAGGCTCATAGACTTTCAGTTCAGGAATTGGAGTTGGTGTAGATGTAGATGCCTGATCAATGCAGTGGGTGTCGAGTAGGGCTGCAGGCGTTGGGCAGTCTCCAGGGTCTATAGTGGGACGAGAGATAACGAGTGGGATAAGAAAGGCACACAACAGAACCGCGGGGTCACCTATATAAACACCGAGATCATTGTTAGCAATGCCGGGCTTCCGTGTCTAGTAGGTATCCACCGAAAGAAAGAAGTGAAAAAAGACAGGGAAAAACGGCAGATATGGATCTCGAACTAGTCAGAGACACCAGCCGGGAGCGTGCGGAAATGCTGAGAAATGGCCAAGGCGGCTGCGATCGCCACACGCCCCGAGCCACTGCAGTAGGCTTATCCGTCCAGAGCCGGGAAACAACTTACGAAGAAAAGGCCCCATGGTTGTTGCGGTGAAGAGTGAAGGTGGACTATCTGTAAGGCTGAAGGGCGGTTATGAACAAACTCTACTGGTTCCGGGATAAAAGCTCCCATGCAGACCAAGGCGACCAAGAAAATTAAGCGGAGTATTACAGTGGTTTTGAAGAATCAGGGACCAATTGTGAGAAGTAAGATCAACGGCATAATTAACCCGATATTGCCACTAAAACTAGATTATTTGTTGATTTGATACTCCGTACTCGAATCACATCAGACAGGCGGGTGGATCCCTCAAGAGGGGAAAAGATCCCCCTCACCGCCTGACCATCTGCCACTTTACGTTATCTTATCTTTTTTCATCGCAAGGAGCTCTGCTGCACGACTCTTGTATCTATTGAAGATGGCGACTTCAGACCAAGATGAAGAATACGAATATGAATATGGATCAGAAACCGAGGTATGCTACCTTTGTTCACATCACTATCCTCACCTACTGACTGACGTCAATGATTAGACATTCTACCTCAATCTTGACCTGACCTCCCACCATGGTGCAGTGCGCCCGCCGCGCCGTCGCAAGGACCATGCAGCAAATGATACCCAGGCCCCTCTAGACACCCACCATAGCAGACATCCGAGCGAAGCTTCCAATCCAATGGAAACCACCGAGAGAGGCAGCTTCTCAAACGAGCGAATCCAAGTCCTCGGTCTCCACACGTGCAACCCAATCGTCTCATACCAAAACCATATGTTTTCCTGCTCCTGGGCAGATCAGATCGGCACCGAGCTAGTCTTTTCAAGTCCAAATACTGCAGACGATCCCGCCAACCTACCTGAACCCTTACACCGTGGTCCTTCCTTCGAGCTCGTAGCCGCCAATAGCGTGAAGATCCTCGGCCGCAAGGCGCACATCACCTCAAGCTTTGGCTCGACAGTACCTCAACATACCGAAGCAGGAACCCCGACCACAAGCCTTGAATCCGGCGCAACCTCTCAGGAACCGACACAAGGAAGCGTGCCCCGACGCCCAATCGCGCCTTCACATCAGGCGCAATTCCTCAGCCGACTGCAAGATCTGAAAGAATCTCGAGGCGAACCCGATACTGTCCGCACAGTCGTGAGTGGCCGACGACCTTTGAATATGGACAATGTCAGCAATCTACAAGGCTGGGTGCGGACGGAGACGCAGCTTGCTGAGATCCGCCGGCTCAACGAACGCGCATCGAGAGGAGATGTGGAGGCCCAGATGGCCCTTGAGATGATGATATCTGGGTTCCAGACAGGATCTGAATATGAATACGACTCTGGGAGCGACAACTTTACTTTTTGAATGGGCAGTCACCAGGGTTCTTTATGACTTGACTTTTAGCGGAATAAGATACTCCCAGCCCTTTGACTACATTCTGCTGTGAAACATCTTACATAACTTTTATCAATATGGAACGCTTCGAAAAGCTCATATTGTACATAATCAAGTTGAGGCGCGGTCGATTCATGCCTAAATGTTCTGTTCGTGTCTACGGGATTGAGCTTGGAGCCAAATCAGAGCATGCGACATCTCACTCGGGATGATAAGGAGCCCTGTCGAGTGCTCAGGTGCTTATCTCCAATAGTAAGAACCATTGAGACCTTCAAACCCGAGGGTACCGGCTGTAGTACAAGAGGTGGACCCACAGATACGCTAGATGAACCCTGATCTTCGGATTAACCAGGTAACGTCATGCTCAAATCCACCTGGGCAATGCCGGGATGATGTCCTTGTTCTTTGAGCCCAACAACTTGACCCTGATACAATCCCAGAATTGCGCACGACGTATAGACAATTTTATCACGAGCCAATGAGAATGTTCGCTCTGTACGTTCCCCCTTTATGGAGCATGTATGACTTCCATAAAAAGGATAGGGCAGACTGTGCAACCCAGCATGTTTCCACGAGATGAGTGACGTCGTGATCGGCATGTCCTCACATACAGTCTATCGTTCGTCAGATCCAAAGATGCTTCCCCGGTTTACAGATAATCCATACTGCTATGTACAGGGTACTTGACCGGTTCGTTGGGGGAAAGTCCTGATATACCTGTCTCAAATACGACAGTGAGTCACCATCACAGCGAAGACCCGATTTACAGAGACTAGACCTAGCTATTGGACTACATCGATCAATAATCCTGTAGTTATCGGGTATACTATTGCATTTCAGGTAATACATGACACCCTTTCACACCCTTCTCACCTACAGTTTCCTAAATTCTGAGTAGATTAAAAACTTTACGAAGGATGTATCAGTTTGAATCAATATGTAAAATTGTTTTCACAAGTCCAGAGAAATTAAAGATAACACCGTCATTCCAGACCTTTTGAGATTGCCCCTGTTGACAGGAAGCATTAAATGAATTCCACGCCGCCATGCACACGCTAAATCCAACAGGCGACAAGATGAAAACAGAGACAAAATAAACCCAGCAACAATAAACCAACGCATCAGGCTGAAAGTATCGCAATTTCGAAAGCATGAAAGGTCAGGAACATTAGCTCAAGCTCCAAACCGAGTGAACAGAGGTTCAAAGATAAGAGGCAAGAACCGAGAAGTAAAGACAAGAAAGTCAAGTTACTCTAGACACAAGCTGGGGATGTCGTCGTAAGAGCCCTTAGACTTAAAAGTCACAGGTGATGGTGGAGGAGCAGGAGGCATGCCATCGATGAGAGTGGAGCGGTTCTTCTCTGCCTTTTGAGTTGAGGCGGTCATGATAGCGCGGGAGATATCTTGGGACATGCTGAAGGAGGGAGGCATAACGGGGGTTGCAGTCTTGGTTGAGATAGAGGCCATTGTGTTTGTTTGTGTGGAGTAGATTCGAAGATCGAGAAGCTGGACGGTCGTTGGAGTTTTATAGATGCACGGAAGTATGGGGAAGTTCTGATCGACTACCTCGGTTGAACCGGTATAGCTTTGACGTCTGTTTTGTAGGGGCTATGATTTCACTGGAAAGTTCCAAGGTTAGCTTTATGTCGTGCAAAGTGCTTATGCTTTGTATTGAGCTGGCATATGCTTGTTCCTGTAGATGGAGCTTGTGGTTCCGGGGTTGCCCGAGGTCCCGGTTTCGGTGGATCGGATCGGGGAGACCAACGGGAGGTGGCAAGTACTAACGGGAATTCTACTCACATGAAGAATTAGGTTTTGAGAGATCGGAATAAGTCGATGTGCTTGTGGCGGACTGTTAGGTCGGTTGTTGTTCACGGGTAGATGTAGTGGAATTGGCGGGAGTGATAAAATAATGATATGCTCGATTGAGATAGTCTGAGCAGTGTTGTCCAGGTATTTAACGACTGAAGACAACTAGTGAATGGCGATAGAAATGTTGAGTATGTTATGGTTGATACAGTAGAAGTATACAAGTGAAGTGAATGAACAAAAGAAGAAACGAGACGAAACGCTGGCTGGGAGGACCGGGAATTATATTTCTGTCAGAAAATAATAAACACCGAAAAAAAGAGATGAGACACAAAATACTGATTTAGAAAATAAGAAAAGAGAAAAAAAAATATCTTCCCCGTAAAAGTGTGGAGGATACATTCCCTGGGGAAGAGAGGAAGTACCCTGTACACGCATACCTGGCCAGGCCCAAAGCTTACTGAAGATCCCGCCAAGTCTCGCCTCATTCTAAGGCACTCAATAACCCAACCATCAAGGTAGGGATGGGGAACATTCCCCATCGGAACAGCGGGAGCCCAACCCGGAAGCCTGTCGGGGAGATAACAAAGGAGGAAACGGGGCTCGACGCGTTAGTGTGGGGAGAAATTGATTTCCAGGGGTGAGAATCGATGAATCGATCGTCTTTGCATTATCATTTGCGGATGAGTACGGAGTATACAGAGTACTAGTGGAAGACAGAAGCGGCAGGGCTTTAGAACAACTTCTTGGATTTACGGAGGCTATCGCGATTCGAGATCCTGTCTACGGAGTGCTCCGTACGGAAAACGGGGTAAACTATGTAATCCGCCAGTGTGATTCTACACCTTCTAGCGCTTCCCGGAGAAAGCCCGCTTAAATACAGAACCTCGGCACAAGAGCGGATACGGCGATCCTCCTTTCGAGAACAAATGGGGCCCAACAACCGCACTGTCGGAGTTCACGGAAACTTCCTTCTTGCGGTGTACGGAGTAGCAAAGATCGACTAGTGGCGAGAAAGAATATTTCTTTTTTTTCATTTTGTTTCAAATAGAGCACGCATCGTGTGGGAGCTGCAAATCGATCTTCCGGGAAGAGGTATCATCCCACCCCGGCATTAGGAGACACATTGCAGCTTCCACCGCCGGTATCGCGCAATATGAAAGAAAAATCTCTTCAAACAGCCTCACCGATCCAATCTGCGTGGATGATCAGGGCGATCAACCAAAATTTGAGACAGCTCTTGTAAGCTTACGTTGTTAAAGACCCGTCATCTGTACCGCTACATCCGCCGATAGTGTGAAGTATACCCCACGCACCTCACACAATGTCTGACTAGCACGGAATCTCATTGATGAAACCCATCGTAGCGCTGTGTTCCAGAGCCACACATCTTGATACATCGGGGCTTCGCTTAAATGCTGATGCCCAAGAAAAAGGGACTGATATCCGCCAGGGGCCGAGACAGTCCTGGAGTCCAGGGTGCATATCAAATCTTCCTTTGTTTAGATACCTTACCAGGGTTAGATGTCATACTAGGGCAGTGGTAGGGATACATCTGATTCATGATCCGGGGTTAGCTTTCCCAACGTTTCTCTGCACATCGCCATAGTCACCGCTCAGGGGTACACAAACACACAATATTGAGCTGGACAAAAGTACGAGAGGCAGGTCGTTGATCGACGTCCGAATAAAGAGCTCCACAATTGTCCTCCCCCGGATTCAAGGGGCAGCAGGCTCTGTGCTATTTTTCAATACCTGCGACGCACTCCACTGCCACCTACGTAGTCTCGAAATAGATATCTGGGGGAAAGGGGGAAGACTCCAGAATGTCCCATGCCGCACTCTGGATTTCCTGGGTGTCGGGTCCCAGCAGTCAGGGTGCATATTTGTGGGAATGCCCTGCGATTGCGGGACTTCCCCGGTATCTCTGTGAGGTTTCAATATCACATACGGGGGACGAGTACTCCATGCTCCGTAGTCTTATCCATGATAAAGATAATTTAACAATGCTAAGCGGCAGTCAACGGGGTGTAGCGGCAACCTTGACTCAAGGTACACGATACTTGCATATCGCTGTACATTATGTACCCCGACCAGGCTCCTAGGATGTCAAAGAACATTCCAAGGTTCTTTGCGCGTACATGGGTGTGATAAGCTCTGCGCATGACTGGTGACTTGTCCTCTTCACCGCTCCTCGAATATACCTTTTTGAGATTGAACCAAAGCGTTGAGATAGATTGCTCTAGAGGGGAAGTGATGAGTTGGCTGTGGTATGGCCCAGCCCGAGCTTACTATTTGCAGCCGTGGCGCCAGCCGTGGAATGGATTCGTCAGGTACAACCTGTACAACACATCCCCATGCATGATTGTCGATGAGCTGACGACTCGATGGCAGTCTGGGATGCACAATGTGCTTCGTACATATACAGAGCTCTAGTGTCTGCTCGGTGATATCTATACATAAGGTCGATGTTGGTCTACCCGACCGTTCATAACGCTGCGGGATACCCTACATATGAAATGCCTGACGGTTTGATTTAGCTTTTCGTTATCTCTGGTTGCCGCTGCGTCAACTAGGTTTGAGTCAACTTTAGAGCAAACAGAGTTCTTGGGCACACGATCAGGGCACACATCGTTTGGTGTTACATCTCAGCCCAACCATTTATCGAGGGCAGGGCTACACCTATATCCATATTCCACGGAATACGGAGTACGCAGGGGGTGGATATGGATCGGGGAGATCACGATTGAACTGGACCCCCGGTTTGTAGATGTTGGGGAGCCCGATCGACAATTTGCTGCAGAAAGTCGGATTTGCAACTCGCTTATCTGTGATTATCCTAGCCCTTGCGATCACAAATACTTCCAAGGTTCGGAGTCTTCGTCCAGCAAGGGCCATATCCCTTGTGATGATTTACGAAGTACCCCGTACGCGGTAGTCGTATGCCCAACCTATGCGAGAAGAGCCTTACACTGAGCGTCCAGGTGATTGAGAACACCTGCTCAGACTATGTACGCCTAGCAAAGCACTGATCTTCTGACTCCGCGGGCTCTCTCGGCACCAGGATTCTTCCGCAGACACACCAGTCAGAAGAGAATGTAGCAAGGCATCAATACGACTCAGGTGTCAGATTGCCCAAAACAGTTGGCAGTAGTCTGGGCATCGCAGGGGAGGTCGGAGTAGACTGTGAGGCTCGGAAAGGCCTGCCGACCCAAAGTTTTCCCCCCTCCCCCAGATTTCGACGTTATGGCCTGAGGCATCAAGTAAAAATTTCTGCTGTTACGTCACTGGCAGGTCACGGGGGGCGCGGAACATCTTTTGCCCCCAGGAGAAATTAATTGGTCGGTGGCATCTTCCAATAAGCATCTCCATGCAAGCCGTCAGAGTCCGCTATCACGTAAAGGGCCCCGCCAAAGACCCTTGGAAGTTTGGGATTGCGTGAAAAAAACATGACAGTGTTGGGGTACGGAGACACGAATGCGCTATTTCTAACGAATCGCAGCGGCAGACCTCCCGAACGTGCACGATTGGGATCGAGGGGAAAGGTCTTTGCGATGGAATGCTACCCCGCAAGTCGACGATCCAGGTACCAGAGCCCCTCCGGTTGGAGATGGGGATATATCCTGTGGTCACCGGGCCGGTAACATTCGCAACCAGTGCCAATTGTAGTGTCATTAGTTTGGTTAGGGCCTTCCTTCACTCATTCCCAGTCCGGCGATGGCGAAAATCCCCCGGACATAGGGCGATCGTTTTCAATCTGGGGGAGACGGCTGGAACCATTGGAACGTAATTGAGGCATTTAGCACGGTGAGAATTGAAATTTCGTGATCGGGGAATCTCTCATTCATGACACATTGCATTCCACGATGTTCGGCATAGATCGCATCATCTTGCGAGCTATACACTCTACGTGTACGGTGTATACCCTTACCTGGTCTCCGGGGTACCTAGCCGGTCTATAGTCTAAGACACCAAGGCTCAGGTGACACCTATTTTTGTCAAAGTCACCCGCCACTTGCCCCTGTACCTGTCCAAGGTCAGTGCCTCCTTCGATACAGAGTGTATTACCACGTAGCCACGTTCCAGACTTGAGGCAATTGTTTCGGCCCGCATGACGCAGCGGCCTTTTTCTCACAACACTCGGCTTCAGCTCGGAAGGAGGGGCGATGAGAGCCAATCAGAAGGACGCCTATCGCCGGTTGTTAGTCAAAAGTGGAAAGGGAATGAGCGTTTGGAGTGGATCTGTGAATGGAAAACTGGGCTTCGAGACTGTATACGGTTGACCTTTCCGCCTAGCATCGGTTATGACTGGTCGAGGATTGTGGGAACGTAATAATAATAATAGAATTCACAATAAAAACGAAATAAACAGGTAACAGACTTGGGGGGAGGGAAATCCATGGAATGGGTAGGAGATTCCTATCGTATAAAAGAACCAGGGTTCCCCGGATTTTCATAAGGCTTCACACTTCTTCCTTTTTTCTCTCTCCAACTAGTCACCTTCGGTCCATGGCGACGATAGGTGATCTTTTTCTTTAGTGTAAGTCACAACGTCACCCTGGCCTTCCTTGCATACAAATCCTTATCGCCCCTCCACGAGATAAGAGCATTACTGGCTTATCTTCCCGGCCTTCGATGATTCATCCCAGCTAATGCCTACATAAAGAACAGCTTCACCTTGTTCTTACGTGTTGAGAATTTTGTCTTATATACACCATGTCTTCTCCCGTTTCCACCCCACCCTTGGAGACCAATGGCAATGGCGTGAGCTTGCCTAACCGCCCTCAGCCCAAGCTCTTTGCCAGCCAAGATGGAAGCTCCGGCTCCGGTACCCCCATCGGTTTCCAGCGCTACCCTCCCCACAACAAGCACCTGGATCACGCCGTAGGCAATGCCTTGCGACAGCCCTCCCCACAGCCCACCCACCTGGGTATCCCCGGTACCCCGCAGCACCGTGTGTTGTCGGAGGAGGACCCAGGCTACATCGCAGCTACCTTCGAGGGCAAGCAGAAGCAGATGGAGCAGGGTGAGTGCAATTGGACCCCCACAAAGAAGAACAAAAGCTAATTCGTCGCAGTCATGGACCAGCTCGAAGAAAAGGGCTTCTTCCCTAGTGATTTCGTTATTTCCGAAACCACCTGGTTCTACAACATGCTTGGCATTGACGACACCTACTTCCAGACCGAGTCCGTGGATGCTATCGTGACCCAGATCCTTTCTCTCTACGCCGCCAAGGTTGCCGCCTACGCTCGCGATGACAAGCAATTGGAGATCCGCTTGGACAAGGAGGCCGAGGACCACGCTGTCTACATTGATACCAGCAGGCCCGGTATCTCCTCCATGGATGGTCCTCGCTACGAGCAGCGTATCGACGAGAAGTACGTCAACCACTCCAAGGGCGCCAACAGCTACCGTGTGGAGACCTTCCGCTCGCCCAGCTCTCTGCCCGGCAACAACGGGCAGCAGCTGCGTTGCTACTTTGTGTACAAGTGCCAGTTTGTTGAGCCCAACCCATCCCCCAATGAGACCAACATCGACATCATTGGAGAAAAGCGTTTCCTCCAAAAGGCCACCCCCAACACCAAGGCCGTCTACCAGGAGATCATCGAGACTGCTGTCAGCCGCTCCGGTCCCGTCATTGAGATGTTCGAGATCGAGGGCAGCCGCGAGAAGCGTCTGGTCATCGCCTACCGCCAAGGCTCTGCCATGGGTCTCTTCAGTGCCCTCTCCGATCTGTATCACTACTACCGCTTGACCAGCTCACGCAAGTACCTGGAGAACTTCTCCAACGGTATCACCGTGATCTCGCTCTACCTGCGTCCCTCCGACAACAATGAGATCTCGGCCAAGTTCCCTCCCATCGAGGCCGCCATCCACCAGATCATGAAGGAAATCTCACTCCTCTACTGTATCCCTCAGAACCGCTTCCAAGGCCACTTCGCCAGTGGTCGTCTGAGCTTGCAAGAGACCATCTACGCTCACTGCGCGTGGGTGTTCGTGCAGCAGTTCCTGAACCGTCTTGGATCAGAGTACACTTCGCTGTCCGCTCTTTTGGACAGCAACAACAGTGTCCACGCTGAGCTGCTTTCAAAGATCAAGAAGCGTCTGCGCACTGAGACTTTCACTGCCGACTACATCTTCGAGATCATCAACAAATACCCTGAGCTGATCCACAAGCTTTACCTTGACTTTGCCAGCACCCACTACGTCCAGACCCAGGGCCCCAGTGGTGATGACTTCCTCCCCACACTCAGCTACCTGCGCATTCAGACCGATGAGGTCCTCGACAGCGCCAAGCTCAAGCAGCTCATTCGCGGAACTGCCCTCAACGAGCACGACGAGATGGTCATGACCTCCTTCCGCGTGTTCAACTCCTCCATCCTCAAGACCAACTTCTTCACCCCTACCAAGGTCGCCCTCAGCTTCCGCTTGAAGCCGGACTTCTTGCCTGAGCACGAATACCCCCAGCCCCTGTACGGCATGTTCTTGGTCATCAGCTCCGAGTTCCGCGGTTTCCACCTGCGCTTCCGCGATATTGCCCGCGGTGGTATCCGTATTGTCAAGAGCCGAAACGGCGAGGCGTATAACATCAACGCACGCTCACTGTTTGATGAGAACTACAACTTGGCCAACACCCAGCAGCGCAAGAACAAGGATATCCCCGAAGGCGGTGCCAAGGGTGTCATCCTCTTGGACGCTGACCACCAGGACAAGGCGCGGGTCGCCTTCGAGAAATACATCGACAGTATCCTTGATCTGCTCCTGCCACCCGTCAGCCCTGGTATCAAGGATCCCATCGTTGACCTTCACGGCAAGGACGAGATTCTGTTCATGGGTCCCGATGAGAACACTGCCGAGCTCGTCAACTGGGCTACCGAGCACGCTCGCGGCCGTGGCGCTCCTTGGTGGAAGTCCTTCTTCACCGGAAAGAGCCCCAAGCTGGGCGGTATTCCCCATGATGCCTACGGCATGACCACCCTCTCTGTCCGCCAGTACGTTCTGGGTATCCAGCGCAAGCTGAACATCGAACCCTCCACTCAGCTTAAGCTGCAGACCGGTGGTCCCGATGGTGATCTCGGATCTAACGAGATCCTGCTCGCCAATGAGAAGTACGGTGCCATCGTTGACGGTGCTGGTGTGATCTATGACCCCAACGGTCTTAACCACGAGGAGCTCCTCCGCTTGGCCAAGAAGCGTGCCATGATCTCCGAGTTTGACATGTCTAAGCTCTCCTCCGACGGTTACCGCGTCCTGGTCGACGAGAAGAACGTCAAGCTCCCCAGCGGCGAGATTGTCCACAACGGAATGATCTTCCGCAACACCTACCACCTGCGCTCACAGGAGAAGTTCGACGTCTTCGTCCCCTGCGGTGGTCGCCCCGAGTCCATCGACCTGTCCACCGTTGGCAAGCTGATCAAGGACAACAAGTCCATCATTCCCTTCATCGTCGAGGGTGCCAACCTCTTCATGACCCAGGACGCCAAGCTGCGTCTCGAGAAGGCCGGCTGCATTCTGTACAAGGACGCCTCCGCCAACAAGGGTGGTGTTACCTCCTCTTCCCTCGAGGTCCTTGCCTCGCTCTCCTTCAACGACGAGGAGTTCGTCGAGCACATGTGCATCCGTGAGGACGGCACCGTGCCCGAGTTCTACCAGTCCTACGTCAAGGAGGTGCAAGAAGTCATCAAGCAGAACGCTGCACTCGAGTTCGAGGCCATCTGGCGCGAACACGAGAACACCGGTGTCCTGCGCAGTGTCCTCAGTGACCGTCTCAGTCTGGCCATCACCAAGCTCGATGAGGAGCTCCAGATGACCGAGCTCTGGGACAATGTCGCTCTCCGCCGCTCTGTCCTCGGTGACGCTCTTCCCCGTCGCCTGTTGGACAAGATCGGTCTTGAGACCATCTTGGGACGTGTATGTCTACCTCATTTCCCCTTACTGAAGAATCTTTTACTGACAATCCCAGGTCCCCGAGAACTACTTGCGTGCTATCTTCGGTAGCTACTTGGCCAGCCGCTTCGTTTACGAGTACGGCAACCAGCCCAGCCAGTTCTCCTTCTTCGACTTCATGACCAAGCGTATGTCTATGATTCAGGCTTAAGATTTGGACCTAGACATTGATGCAGCGCGAGTCTTGTGACTTTTGTTTGTTTTTCTTGATGAGATTTGAGCCAACGATATTACTAATTCGGAACAAAAAGATTTGTTCCTTGACGAATGTATGGTTAGAAAAGTTTAGTGGCATTCAAAGATGAGACGCCTTTCGGGGATCCTTTAGAAATGCAATCCTTGGATTATCATCTGGTTGATATTGTAGTATTAAACCCGTAAAAAAAAAGAAAAGTGTATCAGATCTGCTCTAAGTAGTAATCTAAGTAGTGCTGTCTATAACTTGAAATCCCAAAAAAAAAGCCGCGGGGCCGTCTCATATAACGTTCATAACATGTGATCTCATCTCATCTCTCATCTCATCTCGGCGATTCCACCTCGGTCATAATCAGAACAACATTCACTGCCTGGAAGAAGTTAGCAATACTCAACTTGATACCGAGATGTAAAGGACAGACTCACCAACAATAAATCCACCCCCTCTGCAACCGCAACCTCCCATCTCGGCTTCAACCTCGACTTGGACCTGCTATAATCCATCGCATTATGCCGAGTGATATGCATCACCTTATGATTCCCCAACATAACCCCAGTCCCAGAAGCCGACTGCACAGTCCTCAATTCAACCGTCGACCCAGCCCCAGCACTTGACCTCTCAACACCAGAACTAGGCCTCGGCGGAAACTCCACCACAGAAGCCGGCGCAGGATCCTGCGGCGACTCAACCGCATCAAGCAAATCATGCAACGCACTACCCCCATAGCGCGCCGAGTACCCAGGCAAGATATCAGCAACATGACCCGACCTCACCCCGAGTTCCTGATCAGAGCCGAAAAACAATGCATCCTCAATAGCCATTCTGTGGCCCGCACCAGGCGCATGCGAATAAGGCGGTGGTTCATCACGAGCCGTTGAAATCGTCGCTCGTCTCCTGCGCGTCGCGAGTGCATTCCGAAACCTCATATCTAGTCTGAACCCGCGCCCCGCACCAATGGTGTTTCCGTCTGTCCAGGGCATCGAGGCGTCTAGTAGATCAGCGCCTCGGGCCTTGCCTTTACCTTTTGGTAATTTGACGCCCCATTTGCGGAGACCGGAGAACCAGGCGCGGCGCAGGACGAGGACGGGGGTGTTGCGGGCGTAGATTACGCGGGTGCCTGTTGGCCATTGCTTCTCGAGGACGGTGAAGAGGAGCTGTTTCTCGGGACTGTTGGAGGGCTCATGGGGCCGTAGACGGTGCACGTAGAGAGTGTTGCTCTCTTTCGTTATGGATAATGTTGTTGGTGTGTTGGTTAGGCGGTCTGGAGGTGGGGAGAGGAGGTGGCTTGTTTGGAGGGCTATGGGGATTGCGGGGGCCGTGAGGGGGTGCGGCTTGGACATGACGGATTTGTGTGGGAGTTGCTGGTCGTGTGCTTTGCTCAAGTGCTGCTTGTGTTCCACGGGTGGTATATTGTAGAGTCTATTGGAGTGTTTGTTTACGGATATTCGGATAGACCGGCTATGTATGTTTAGCTTACCTCCACCGTGTCAAGTTTACGTGCTTGGCTACGGTCTGAGTCCCTTAGATTAACCTGCTTAACTACTTTGTACTAAGGACTAAGTTGGGAAGAGGGGCAACCTGCGATAAACTTCCGTGTTTTGACGCCCCTGGGAGTATATTCAGGTACCATAGATGTATCCCGGTTCAGGTACAGAGTAGTTCAGGTACAGAGTATGCAGTACATCAACAACTACAATATTTAATTTTCCTCTGAGGCCCTTCATACTCCGTACATAAAATTGGGTATACTTCAAGAACAGTCTAGCCCCTCGGACATAATTAGAATGGCACAAATGCCTAGTGGGACTAAGGCCCACTTCGTACCGGCAATAATAGCCCTGAGGCGCAGTCCAGCCCAAAGAAAAATCTGCATCTCAAGTGACTAGGATGTGTTTGAAAGGGGAATATTACCCTCTCAAATTAATTGCTGACACCATTTGAAAAATTAATAAGAAGCCATTCATTGCGATCAGCGAAGGGTTAGTGTGGGTTAGTGGAGGACAGGAGAAGCTTGTTTTTTGTTACTCGGTGGATTGTGCGGGTTTAATGAATTTATGCAAAACACGTCAGACTTTTAACTTAGCATGTCTTCTATACGGAGTATACGGAGTATAAACCTGGCCATGGCCTGATGGTTATGGACCACACACGAATTCCAGTACCTATCAAGTCCCAAGGTTCGGTCCAGGAACGGGATTCTGTTTCGGGATTGCCAACGCGCCCATTTCGCCATCTTCTTTGAAACGAATGGACTGACGCGTTCCGAGGTCCATGGCTATGACTTCAACCCGCTCCCTACGGAGTAGGTGGGTCTCAATACTAACCATGAAAGGAAGACTTCTCCTCTTTAAACAAAAGGACCCTTCCGCCCTCCTGGGTCTCGTTTTTCTTCTTCTCCCCGGAGTATGAAGTGTCTGACCGTTTGTGGGGTATCTTGACTGGGCGTTGAGCTGCTGTACAAGTCTAGGGCTAACCCAAGATCCCCTGAATATTCTCACTTTCCCCACACCAAGAAGAACTTCCGCTCTCTTCCGCTGTTCTTGAATCTTGGAAATGTCTGAATCGGAGAAGTTTCCACCACTGCCTCCCCAACCTTCCGTAGAGGATGCCGAGAGGGAGGGAGTGGAAAAGGAACATACTCAAGATGATAGCACCAACCCAGACACACTGGTGCCAGAAGAAGCCAGTGTGGGCCCGAGTGTCTCGTCCTCCCAACGGTGGCGGACTGCAAGCCAACGCATTCGCAACCGTGCCACCACAATAGCAGAGAGGCTCGGCCGGCCTCACGAGAGAGAAGCAGATGGTTTGGACTCCCCAATGCTCCCGGAGTACTATGGAGCAACGGACGACATCCGAAGCTACGAGGCCCGACGGGCAAACGACGAGGAGGATCGTCTGCCTGGCACAGACTACGATGCACAGGCTCGTCTGCTGGTGGAAAGACTGGGCTTCCAATCCGACCCCAGACCTCCTCGAATCGCAGAACCTGCATCTGGGGCCACGACCCCGGGCACTCCAGAGGGGATGGCAAGCCCCGGAGGTCCTCCAGGGGGCCTTTTGTCACAATTGCTCCGTGTTTACGCCAACAACCTTCATTCAGCGAGCCGCATGAGCCTCGTGTCTACCGCAGCAGAGACAGATCCAGACACGGAGACACTGGCGCCGTCTGTGGCACCGTCCGGCACAACAACGCCAGGTGGAAAGAAAGATAAATTGAAGTGGTACGCTAATGGTCACAAGCCCACCAAGTCAAACCACAGCTACACATCTTCCCTCGTCCAGGCCTCCATGGACATGGGCCGCGTCGGTGTCCCCAATGCCGCGGGTCCCCCTCCCGCCAACCCCAAGCAGCTCAAGAAGGAGAAACGCAAAAGCAAGAAAGACGTCAAGCTCACTATCCACATTGCGCAGCTCCTCGCCCGCCAGCAATACATCATGCAGCTCTGCCGTGCGCTGATGAAGTACGGCGCCCCGACTCACCGACTCGAAGAGTATATGATGATGACCTCCAACGTGCTCGAGGTCAAGGCTCAGTTCTTGTACATCCCAGGTTGCATGTTCATGTCGTTCGACGACCCTCTGACTCGCACAGCGGAGGTGAAGATCATCCGTGTGATCCAGGGACTTGACTTATCCAGACTCGCTGAGACGCACAACGTCTACAAGAATGTCGTGCACGACGTCGTCGGCGTCGAGCAAGCGACCCAGGACCTCGACCAGATCATGCAGCGGAACCCGCGCTACAACCGCTGGATGCTAGTGTGTCTGACCGGACTAGCCAGTGTGGCAGTCGGCCCTTACTCATTCAGCGCACGTCCAGTCGACCTCCCCATCATTTTCATCCTGGGATGTCTAGTAGGCCTAATGCAGCACGTCCTCGCCCCAGCCTCAGCAACCTACTCAAACGTTCTCGAAGTCTCCGCCGCAATCCTAACCTCCTTCCTCGCCCGTGCCTTCGGCAGTATCCACAAGAACGGCGAGCCCGTCTTCTGCTTCTCAGCAATGGCCCAATCCTCCATCGCAATGATCCTCCCCGGATTCTCGGTGCTAAGCAGCAGTCTCGAGCTCCAATCCCATCAAATGAACGCCGGATCTATCCGAATGGTCTTCACAATTATCTACTCCCTCTTCCTCGGTTACGGCGTAACAGTCGGCACAACAATATACGGATTAATGGACGGAGCCGCAACCACGGCCTCAACATGCTCAGGTCTCCCAGAAGCCTGGGGAAATCAATACATCCAACATTTCCCATTCGTCGCACTATTCTGCCTCTTCGCGGCTCTGATCAACCAATCAAAAGCCAAACAACTCCCTGTCACCATCACCATGGGCGTATGCGGATACGTCGCCAATTACTTCAGTACCAAGAAACTAGGCTCCAACCAAGTCGCCAATACCATTGGCGCATTCACAATCGGCCTCTTGGCCAATCTGTACAGTCGAATCTGGCACGGCCATGCCGCTGCCGCTATCATCCCGGGCATTTTCACGCTTGTTCCGTCTGGTCTTGCGTCCAGTGGATCTATCATCTCTGGTCTGGAGTATGCGGAGGCTGTCAAGTCGGGGAATGTTAACAGTTCTTCCGGGGCAACGAGTAATAGCTCGCTTACCTCGCTTGGATACGGTATGATCCAGACAGCCATTGGTATCTCGGTTGGTTTGTTTGTGTCGGCTTTGCTGGTTTATCCCTATGGAAAGAAGAGGAGTGGTATTTTCAGTCTTTGAATTTTGTTGACCTTGTGTTTGTTACATTGGTCGATATGCATCTGCATCTGCATCAGCGATTTGAGAGCATCTTTGGAATCATTTTGGTTCATTTTGTACATTAGTCACTTTTGAGCGGTACCTACCAATGCATTCGTTGTACTTTCCTGTTTTGGTTTACAGGTCTGAACAAATCCTGGATATTTTGAGCACTTGCTCTAGAAGAACGTTCGCAATCAAGCTTCATCGCAAGAGAAAAAAATCGTATTAACCTTATCTGTCTGTTGTTACACTGCTACATTGTTCGAAATGCCATCAAACTTCGGCCCCTCCTCGTGCTCGGTGCGGTTCATCGTCAACAAGTGTGCCCAATGCTCAGGATACTTCTCGCTGGCCCACTTCTCAACCTCATCCTTCCAGTATTGATACGGGATGGCATTGTAGAAAAGTCCAATACTACAAAAGTTAGCATCGAAACCACAAGTACCGAATTTAGAAGTATAAACTTACGTATTGCTCGTAGGAGGGAGCCCGGTCTCAGCCTCCATATTGTTGATAGCCTCACAGGCGAGGTCAAACTCGCACTGCGCCGCCAGTGACTCCATATAAGCCGAGTACAAAGGACGATCCATTGTAATCTCCAGCTTCTTGACCTTGCCCATCAACTTCATTGCCTCCTGAGCGCCATTGTGGTGCTTCTCACAGGCCTTGAAGAAAAGCGTGATCGTCTTCTGCGAGGGACCTTCTTCAGACTGAAGGATCTGGCGGAAGATCGCCATGCTCCTATCCGGCTTCTCGCAAGCGGCATACGCCATCATTAACCCGTTCAGGATCCTCGTGGTGAGATCCACCTCGATATCAAGCTTCAGCATGTTGTGCACGAGCTCGAGGTTGGTTGTGTCCGCGGTGCGGGCTAGTCCTTGGAAGCAGCGTGCGTAAGTGTCGCCTTTGGGTCGACGGGCGGATTCATCCGCTTGACGCATGTGTCCGAAGACCAGGACGGCAAGGTCACTGCGCTTTCTGTCGAAGAAGGCGGTCATGATCTTGGTGCGGTAAACGGTCCCCGTGGATGGGAAGGCGACTCTCAGGAACTCGTATGCGTTCCATGCATCCGTGTCGGATTGATTCGTATCCAAAATGAAAGACATGATTGCGGCGCGCACTGGCGCTTTCTGGCTGTCTTCGTAAGTGCCTAGTCGGGGACGAAGCAGCTCTGATACAGCATCCAGATCATTGCGGTAAAGAAGCAAGTGTGTCAGGGCGGCCACCGTCTCTGGTTCCAGGCGGACGTTGTCTTCAAAGAGGGGGTCAAGAAGGGATGAGATTTTGTGGAATAGCTCGTCTTTCTCCTCGGATCGACAGAGCATTGTGATGAGCTTGTTGGCAAGTGGTGTGTTATCACCCGTGAGGGAAGCGGGATCAACTTGGTCTTCGAGAAGCTTCAAAGTCTTCTCTACATCGCCTGCTTGGATGTAAGACTCGAGCTGCAGCATGTATGTTTGACTATTTGGTACAAGTCCCCACTGACTTGTCAGCGTCATGAAGTCTGCAGCCCATTGTGGGTTTTGCTTCGCGTTGGCATATCGGAGCAGCTTGTTGACAATCTCAATTGTGATGGACTCAAATCCGGAGGCTTTCCACGATTCAACCTTTTGTACAAGAGCAGAAGCATTGTTGCCCATTACCGCCTCCCAGAGCAAAGTGATACCAGTAGCATCTCTAGCATCACTGGGAATGGAGTTGAAGATATCTCCAGCCGCGTCTAAGCGAGAGCTGAAGATACAGTACTCGACGACGGCCACTTTGGTGGCTATAGATGGTTGCACACCACCGGCGAGTGGGCAGGCATAGACAAGCTCAACAGCCTTGAACTGATCATGTTCAATCAAAAGTTTGATGATTTCTTCATGAGATTTTTGGTCAAAGCTGTTGCCGTGGACCCCCCAATCATCAACAACCTTCCGCACCTGTTCTAGGTCCTCGTTCAGGGCGAATCCTTTCAAGACCGTGAGCCAGGGCGAGGGTTGATATCCCCTCATTTGGCCCCAAAAGTGGAGCAGTGTATGCCTAGCGCCCTCTGGATTGCCGTTCATAGCCAAAATATTTATATATAGCGAGAGGGCGGGCCGACTGATCCTATTGGGACCAAATCCGTGATCCAGAATGAGCTCCTGATACGCGTAACGAGCGAGGCGAATGACGGTCTCGCGGGCCTGCGGCGCGGTTTCACATTCTGACAGTACCTGCAACATCTTTTCCAAATTTTCGGTTGAAAACATATTCTGCCAATCTTGCTCATCCAAATCATTCTGCAGGGCCTTGAGATGTTTCCACGTGACGATCAACGTACGGGCATGGAACTGGGTGATCACACTAGGATTCTCCAGCCGCGTTGTGAAGAAAGTCTGGAATGCCTTTGCAAGAAGATAGCTCGGAGGGGCTCGGCTTCTATCTTTAAGTGACCTCAATAAATCTGCCATTGGTTGTAGGCCTTTCTCGGAGGGCAGAGTGCTCGGTCGCCGTTCAGGGTCTTGACCCATCGTAAAGGCAAACATGTTGCGTCGCGTGGTATAAGAGAGGCCAGGCATGGCGGAACGTACTCGCATAGGAGTAATGGTATGCATCAGGCGAGTTCGTTGGCATTGTGAGAACCGAAGCGGCTCGTTGTTGATGATGGCGCGGAAGACCCGTCTCGTGAGATGGGACTGCATGGTGGGCAATTGAGAGCCTGAAGCTCCGAACAGGCAAAAGTAAGAGCAGTAGAAACGCGCAGCTTATGGTAGGGTCAGTCGGGAGTTCGACGCGGAGAGATCTGGAGGTTGACTAGGCGGGAAGAAGTCTTGGCAAAAAAAGATCTCACCTCCGCGTTGGCTCCGGCCTCCTCTCAGTTGAGCTACATTTCGCGGAACCACCCTGCTAGGTCTTTCTTCGCAAATATGTCTTCAGCCATTCTTTCTTCATCAGCATTGCTGCGCAATGTGACTACCGCCAGAGTTGGGCTATCGGGCTGTCGTTGGAGCTCCACTGGTGCCATATCTGAGTTCGCTTCGCAGCGTGAATCCGTGTCGCGAAGTAGGTGACCCAATGCAGTGATTTTAGAATCAATGCCACTGGCAGGAAATTGGACTGTTTGTTAATTCTATGGCAGATGCAATCTTCAAACGACGAGAGCGCCAACCCAGCCGCGCGATTTACCTCGAAGAGCAGAAGTCGGCGAGTGAGAGCCGAGGTCTCGAGAAATTTCACCCCCGTGATTACAAGGCCGGAGATATCGTTGCCCCTAAAGATATGAGCCCAACTCAGATGAAGAAATGGGGAAAGCGCCAGAGCCCCGGCACAGACGCCTTTGACGCATTGAACCTGAAGCCATTGGATATGTACAAGGTATGCTTGCTGAGACTTTATTGCGACACTTATCATAATCCCCACCGGTATGATGGACTGTAACTGACTATTTGCCCTGTGATAGAACTTCTCCGTCATGTCCGAATATATGACCAACATGGGCCGTATCAAGCCCCGAACAGAGACTGGCCTGCGACCTGTGAACCAGCGCAAGATGGCCAAGGCACTCCGCAGAGCCATTGGAATGGGTCTTATGCCCAGTGTCCACCGACACCCGGAAGTCATCGCGTCCGAACTGCGGGCACGTATGGAGGGACCCGGTGGTTTCAGTGGCTCTAGGGCCTTCTGAGTATCAGCTCCTACAGATTGGGTAAGACGTGTCTTTGTACAAGTACAGGCCGGCGCCTGAAAGTGGCACGCTTCGTGTATTATTAGTCTTAGCGATATGCATTGATTTTGAAGATCTTATACCATAAGTAGGATCATGAATTCAGAATATACTACTATTCTACAATCTACTTTGTGCAAGTGGATTATTCCACTGACTCCTAAGGCGTGTGCATAGGCGTGGCTGTGTTCCCCGCTATTGTGGCCCGAGTACGTCAGTCGATAAACAACTTCCCCTCCGTCTTTCTCCAACTTGTTCGTACAGCTTCTGTGCACAACAGCAATGTCACTTACGAATGGTGAGTCTCCAAAGCATTGACCCGCTGCCGTTCTCTATCCTCACAATATTCAAGAGTCCATTTGGGCTGCTAGCCCGTCCACCACTCGCGGACAGCCCACCCAGCTTTCCTCCGATGCCAAAGGCGAGCGATTGGCTTATGCAGTATGTGCTCCAACCTCACATGCCAACGAAATGATCTTAACTCAATTACCTAAAGTCCAACAAATCCATCTTCTTGCGCTCAATCGACGACCCCGCAGTCGCCAAACAGTATACCGAACACAAGGCCCAGACAACTGTCGCGCGGTTCTCCCCCTCTGGCTTCTACGTCGCAAGTGGTGATGCTGCGGGAATCGTGAGAGTGTGGGACTGCGTTGGTGACGGAATCACCAAGGGCGAGTACAGCATTGTCAACGGCCGGATCAACGACTTGGCCTGGGACGGCGACTCCCAGCGCATTATTGCCGTCGGTGACGGCAAGCAGCGATATGGACACTGCATCACCTGGGACAGTGGAAACACCGTTGGTGAGATCACCGGCCACACGCAGCAGCTCAACACCGTGTCCATCAGGCAGCAACGACCTCTGCGTGCTGCTACCGCAGGTGACGACCGGAAGACGGTGTTCTACCACGGCGCACCTTTCAAGTTCAACAACGGAATTGCGGACAAGCATTCCAATTACATTTACGGAGTTGGCTTTAGCCCAGACGGATCACACCTGGTTAGCGTGGGTGCAGACCGCAAGATTTGGCTCTACGATGGCAAGTCGGGAGAGACCAAGGGCCAGATTGGCGAAGGGGAGCACAATGGCAGCATCTTCGGAGTGTCTTGGGCCAAGGACTCCCGGAAGTTTGTTACTGCAAGTGCTGACCGGACTGTCAAGATCTGGGACGTGGAGGCTGGTAAAGCCACGCAGACCTGGACTTTGGGAGAGGAAGGCGCCATGGCTGTTCGCGACCATCAAGTTGGCGTGGTCTGGCCCCACGGTAGAAGTGATGATCTTCTCATCAGTTTGTCCTTGAGTGGAGACCTGAACTATCTGGTAGAGGGCACCCCCAAACCCCGACAAGTCATCTCGGGCCACCAGAAGAGCATCACCTCGCTGAACCAGACCACCGTTGACAACAAGGAAACTCTTTGGACTGGAAGCTTTGACGGACGGGTCTGCAACTGGGACGTGGCCACGGGCACCGCTGAAGAGATTGAAGGAGACGCCCACCCCGGCTACGTCGCTGGGCTTGCGGCGACACCAGAGGGATCGGGCAGAATTTACAGTGTCGGCTGGGACGACACCCTCCGCTCCATTGATGCCTCCGCCAAGACCTACACCGGCAGCGCCGCGAAGCTCAACGGACAACCCAAGGGTGTTGCGGCCGGCGACACCACGGTGTTGATCGGCGAGTCTGAAAGCGTCGAGATCTTCCAGGATGGTCAGAAGACTGGAGAGTTCAAGACTGACTTTGCAGCCACCACCGTGGCTGCCCACGGTACTATGGCAGCCGTTGGAGGCGAGAACGGATCCGTTCAGATCTGCGCCATCTCTAGCTCTCGACTGTCTCCGCGGGCGGACATCAATGCCTCTCGCAACCCCATTTCTTCTCTTGCATTCTCCCCCGACGCGTCTCATCTGGCTGTCGGTGACTTGCGAGGACGTGTCCTTGTGTTCAAGGTCTCGGATGGCAGCTTGGTGACAGACCGCTGGACGGCACACACGGCGCGCATCACATCTCTTTCTTGGAATGCAGCCGGATCTCACGTTGTGAGTGGATCGCTCGATACAAACATCTTTGTTTGGAGCTTAGCAAAGCCAGGAGACTGGATTGAGCTGCAAAATGCCCACAAGGAGGGAGTCCATGGTGTCGGATGGGTTGCAGGAAGCTCCAAGATCATCTCAGCTGGAGCCGATGCAGCGGTGAAGGTCTGGAAGGTCGAAGGGCTGCAATAGATGTTACATACTGCTATAAGGGTCTGATATGAGCGATTCAGTCTCAGTTCCTTTGATTCAGGCGAATTTGAAAGATATGTTTCCGTATTCCGCACTCCGTAGTTTTCAAGTGTAAACAAAGAGGTGCGTGGAGATGTCAAGTGGAGAGGGTGGCCGTACCCGCTGCCAATCGTAGCCAGCCAACAAATTAACCTGCAGAGCTCTGCACCTCCGCACGAGGATCTTTGGCGTCTCAATCAAGTCTGGAGCAAGGGTGACCTATCTTATTTGTACCATGAGGCTTGTACAATGACTCGTCAAGAGACGGACGTGACAGAAACCTGAAATCAAAAAATGCCGTCCGGAACTCCAAGCAGCTCCCGCCGCTCGCGCCCTACGGTATGTACTTGCGCCTTCTGCCCAACGGCGCTCGAAATTCGCCTGCTAATTGTCGGTGAAGCTCCGTCAAGCAACATTTGTGCTTCCCAAAACCGGACAGCGTCTCAAAGGCCTCGTGAATCTCCGCAACGCGGTGGCTGCTTCCACTGAGAACGATGACGAAAGACGCGGCCTCCTCACAAACGAAATCTCAAGCCACTACGAGGGGTACCTGACTTTGCTCTGGCGCCGAATACACAATGCAGGGATACAGGCGAACCAGTTCTTCAGATCTGAAGCTGGCATCGGGGTCTTGAAGTACAGTCTTGCATATTTCATCGGATCTCTGGCTACATTCATCCCAGCAATTTCGGCCTTGCTGGGCCATCAGGATGGAAAGCACATGGTGGCTACGGTCACAGTCTACTTTCACCCCGCCAGGTCCCAGGGTGGGATGATCAAGGCGTTGATTTGCGCCTTCTTGGCTTTTTGTTACTCGGCTTGCTTGACAATTACCAGCATGTTCGTGGAGATGTTCTTCCAGGACACCTTGGAATTACCGGCTCTCGGCCACGCTGTAGTGTTGATTGTGTTCTGTGGCGGTGGACTTGGCTTCGTCGGTTGGACCAAACAACGGCTGGGTGACCCTCTGGTGAACGTTGCTTGCTCACTGACCGCTCTGTCTACAATCACCGTCTTGACCAAGGAAGGTGCTGTTCAAAGTGGCGACTTGTCACTTGCAAAGATCTTCCAGGTCTTGAAGATGGTTCTAATGGGAGTTGTCGCTGTCATTATTGTATCGTTCTCCATATTCCCCATATCGGCGCGAAGGAAGCTGCGGTCAAATCTGGCTACAGTCACAGATACACTGTCTACAATGATGGCGATCATCACCGAAAGTTTCTTGAGCGGCTCGGAGGATGAACTGACTTCGGCTGAGTTCCTTGATGCGGAGGCCAAACACCGCAAGGCGTATAGCCAGCTCGACAGGCTCGTCCGAGAAGCTAAGCTTGAGCACTATGTGGCTGGTACCGAAAAAGAATACAGACTTGAGAAAAAGTTGGTCCGCTGGGTGCAGGACATCACGCATAACATGGGAGGCTTGCGCAATGCAGCTTCTCTGCAGTTCAGTCTGATCCGAGAGACCATTGCCCGCGAATCCGGATCACTGGAAGAGCATGCAATCATGGCCCAGGCCGATTATTTCACGCCACTTGAGCGCTCGTGGTCATTCCCGGATGGATCGTTTTTGGAACCTATCGTCGAGCGACCTGAAGAAGAACTATCTCCAGGCGTCTCTGTAAATGCAAGCGCAGAATCTACCCCCAAACCAGCACTTCTTCCTGCGGATGTGTTTACCATATTCATCTCACATCTAGGCCCGTCAATGGTGAGTAAATTGCTCCGCTATATGCTCAACGCTAACAGGAACAGCGATCGTTGGCCTTCACTCTGAAAGAGATTTTCAAGGAGATTCCATTCGGGCCTGCTCCGCAATACAAGGTCTCAGTGAACGGCCGGTTACGCATCAGCCTTGATCGAGCCCTGGACCTCTACAAAGAGTCACGCGAGAAAACACTGGCCTCTCTGTACCAACAAAAAGAAACCATAAACCTAAAGACCCACGAAGCGGAGGCGGACCTTGAAGAGGTATCAGCCAGCTGCGGCCATTTCAGCTTCTCGCTTCTGGAATTCGGAGAGCAACTTCAAGAGATGCTTGGCATATTGGATGAGCTGCAACTCGAAGTTGAAGAGCGTCCAAATGGGCGGTCTTGGTCATGGCTCAAAGTATGGCGGTGGTCAACCACGGCAGATGCTAAAATGGATGCTATTGATGCCGGTGCGTATACAATCTCTTGATGCAGAACAACCTTACTGATATCACGCAGAGCCAGCTTCAGCGGCTTCCGGCGTGGCTACGACACAGCAAAACCACAGACATGCCAGACACGCATCTGACGGCCTGATTGCGCATGACAGGGTGCCTATAACCGTCCAAACTCTGAAAAGCACACCTAAAAACAACGCCAAGCAGAGATTAGGCTATCGGATATGGAAATGCCTGGGTTTCTTCCGACGGGATGATACGAAGTATGCGATCAAGGTAGGAGCTGGAGCTGCCATATATGCCCTACCAGCCTTCCTCCCCTCAACGCGCCCTTTCTATGGCCGCTGGCGGGGGAGTGGGGTCTCTTGTCTTACATGTTGGTCTGCTCAATGACAATCGGAGCCTCAAACACGACAGGATATGCTCGTTTCCTCGGTACCTGTCTAGGAGCAGTTTGTGCTATCGCAGCATGGCACATCACAGCGGCAAATGTCTTTGGCCTTGCGTTTTTGGGATTCTTGATGGCCATTTGGACTGGGTTTATCACAATTGTCCGAGGGAATGGACCCATGGGACGGTTCATTATGCTCACCTACAATCTCTCCGTGCTCTACGCGTATTCTCTTGCCCAGAAAGAGGCAGCAATGGACGAGGATGAAGGAGGCGCCCATCCGATAATGAGTGAGATTGCCCTTCATCGAGTCGTTGCCGTCCTGTCTGGATGTATCTGGGGTATCTTCATCACCCGCATGATTTGGCCCATCAGCGCAAGACGACGACTCAAGGAGAGCCTGAGCCTTCTCTGGCTACACCTGAGTCTCGTCTGGAAACGTGACCCCCTGTCACTGATGGTGCAGGAGAGGAAATCCGTTGTTTACATGACTCCTCGAGAGAAGCTCGAGATTGAGAGATTCCTCGCTCGGCTAGAGTCCCTTCAAGGCGCAGCAAGCTCCGAATTCGAGCTGAAGAGTGCCTTCCCTCAAGCTTCCTATGCTAATATCGTTCGGCGTACGCGCAGTATGGTCAACTCTTTCCACACGATGAACATTGAGTTGATGAAGAATGACCCTGCCACCGAAGGAGAGATCACTCTTCTTCAGTACACCGCACTGGAACGACAGCAGCTGTCGGCTCGTGTCAGCCATCTACTATCGGGTTGGTGCATGTTTCTGCTTTTGTCTTTCCACGCTAACCAGCTCCAGTCATCGCTTCTTCCATGAAGCTAGAATACCCCTTGAGTGACGTACTCCCCAGTATCGAACATGCGAGAGATCGGCTGCTTGCTCGCATCTATCGCTACCGTCTAGATCGTGAAGCCTCACAGCAGACCACAGACGAGGACTGCGCTCTTCTGTATGCATATAGTAAGTTTTTGTCTATTTTACCGCTTTGGCAATAACTGACGCTGTCAGTCCTGGTCACGGGCCAATTATCAAACGAGATCATGGAGATCATTGCGGAGATCGGGCAACTATTTGGGGTATTGAGTGAAGACGTAGTACAGCTAGCTTGAAAATCTAGTACATTGATTTAAAAGACATCTAAAATCGCAAAGATAGAACGTAGAGCGTTGAACTGAGGTATAACAGAGAGCTTACTGAATTCGGTGCACTTCGATGTATCCGTTTCTGGCGTCTGGCGGGGAACCGCAAGTTGGAACCTCCTTCCACCCAAACCCATCGCCAGGTCTTTCACCGCATCAATTCTCATCATCAATTCGTCGGTCTCTCACATGAAATTCCGTTCACTTTCGTTATCCCTGGTTTAGACCCTTGGATCCTTCTTCATGAAGGCGTAGGTGCCTAGATTCACTGCCGCCCTTCGGCCTCCGTCGCGCTCTCGCGAGTACTGCAATCATGCAGATCGATCCGGCGGCTTTAAGTCGCAATGACTCCGTCTCAAATACAATCAAGGGCACAGCGCCCAACGGCTCGGCATCAGTAAAGACCTCCAAGGCCCTGATATCGGTACCGCGGCTGGAGCTGGAGCCTGCGTACACGGACTTGAAGGCCGCCATCGGAGACAAGTGGGCCGAGTACAAGGAAGCAACAGCCTTGTTCTTGTTAGGTGAGTGATTACGCGCGTGGGAAACTCTAGCCACACTTCTATTGCTTGAGCTTCACCATAGCTCTCTCTCTAATGACCTCGCTGACCTCCTGACCTCTTGCCATTCTAGGACAATATAACCAGAACGAATACGCGTCGCGAGTCGACCACTTCCTATGCGCCGATCCAAAAAACGAACATCTACACAACAATTTCATTTGCGCGCTCATTGGAAACCTCACAAGAGACCTCCCCGATCATGGCGTCGCAAACTGGGTATCGGCCAATGACAAGCCGTCAACGGTCTCAAAACCTGTGTCCGGAGATGCTGCAGAGCAAAGGTTGAAAACTGAGGTCATGCAGCTACCTCCAAGGGACCGCCGGCGCATAAAGGGGATCCCAGAGGTATGTCGTCGCAAACAGTGTCACCCAACCACCCAACCACTAACTTTGAGCAGCGAGATCCCAACGAGACAATACTCACCGAGCTAGAGCAAAGCCACCTAGCTAAGCAGATCAAACTCCCCAGCCAAGTCCCTGCAAGTGCAGGCGGGCTCAACAAGACTAGTAAGACGACACCCAAATTCCCGGAGTTCAGATATCCACTTCGTTCTCGAGGCCACTCCAACCCTTCCAGTATCTAACCGTCCCCATTACAGATTGGGAGCTCGAAATTCGCAAGCGTTACGCCCAACCCCTCGCCGCAGAAACCGGCGAGTTCCCCGATACGGAATCGATCCATTCCCGCATGGTCCCCATATGTTACGAGGAGTCACTACCCGGCGGTGCTGGGCTCCCTTGTGCCGAGTTCATGGCCATTGCGACGGAGACATTCGTCAAGGAAGTTCTGTCCGCGGTCTTTTCACGCACACGATCAAACGGACCGTCAGGAACGATCAATAACATGATGATGCGCAAGTATCGCCAACAGCTGGAGGTCGAAGAGCTTGCCTATACTAGAGGTGAGATTGCAAAGGATTCTGCTACAGGCTTGCTTCCTATCGAGGCCAAGGAGGCTAGCGGTCGACAACCATTGGGCGTGCGGGACCTCCGTCTGACCTTGGAACTGGGCGGTGGCGTCCTCGGCCACATGCCCCTAATTGTGGACCAGATCATGGGCGGATACTTTGAAGATGAATTAGAAGCCGATAAACAAGATCGCCAAGCGAATGGCGTTGGCGTTGGCGAGCCCCATGAGCACATCAAACAGGCCGAAGATGAAATGGACATCGACGAAGACGAGGATGGCTCTCTGCTGGACTGGGAGGGAGGCACCCTCGGCGATCGAGATCAGCTGAGCGGATTGCTTGATGAGTGTTTGTCCATGGCCGCGTGAAAATTTTATACCCCCGCTCCTTTGCTTTCTTTCTGTTACTCGCTATCATATCCACCCTGCTACATTACCATTTCTCTTCTTGTCCTTTTTGATGTCTTTCTTGGTCTGGGTGGAGGGTGGCTCACGGCGTCTAGGTACTACCAATGGAGGCTACCACTGTTTGCATATTTTGGAGTTTGAAGACAGGTCGTTACTGTCTATTCTCAATTACCTCGGCCTTGTTCTCATGTTTGCCCATTTCCGTTTTCAGTTTGGCCATGCTTGACATGACCTTGCGATGTATAGTATATTCTCACAAACATGGCAGAGTATTTGGGGACAAGATGATCTTGAAGAAAGAGAAAAGTTCCAAAATGCCGACACAATGACCGTGACAAGCGGATATGGTCACGCTTGTTCGATATACCCATGAAATATACTTCTTATGCTGTTTAATCAGTCCGCCTCAGAGCTCGAGAACTGTAGTATGAGGCTCACAAAGTAGAACCATTGATAATCCATACAAGAAAGATGAAGATCAGGAGATGCTGAAGCCCTGGAGACAAAATACAAGTTGACGTCTATAACTTTGAGCAAGGATGTGTACTAGTTACATTTGGAGGACTCCTGCAAAACATTGCGTAATTCCAAGGTTGATCATTTCATGAGCTCTTTCGCTCCCCGAACGCCGGATAATGCACGTTGCAAAGAACAAGCCCGCTATTTGAGCTGGTTGGCAACCATGTGGAGAATCTCCTCGGTGGTTTTGTATGTGTTGGCCGGATCCTTAGAAATGGACTGCCACACCTCACCATGCTTGGGTTCCACTGTGACGCACTTCGTCACAACGTCTGCTCGTTTTTCCTGCGCGCGAATGTTAGCTGAATGCTTTAGAACTGGATATCTGGAAGTACTAACCTCGGTACCGTATTCCATAAGGAAATTGTAGTAATAAGCCCAACCATCACCATAGTCGCTGTCTGACACGATTGCCTTCTCGAACCATGTCATGGTCTTTTCCAAGTTACGCTCAGCCCAGAAGACGCGCGCAATAGCAATGAGCAGCACTGGATCATTATCACACTTCCTCATGGCCTCCAGACCACGAGCCTTGCGTTGTGAGCGTGGCTCAAGATGCCAGATCCTCTCGCTCCACAATAGACCTGAGGTGGGGACTTCTTGCAGAGCACGCGCAGCCAGAGTCTTAGCCTGAGACATGTTCTTGGCACGGCGTTCGATGCGTACACTTTCGAGCCAGAGCTCGGGGTTCTTTGGAATGGCCAGACGAGCCCGGTCTAGGAGGGAACGGGCGCGAACGATCACACCGGCCTTTTCTTCGAGTCGCGCAGCGAGCAGCCACAACGCGGGTGACTTGGGACAGGCCCGGGTGCCCGTTCCGTATGCCTCGCGCGCCTGGGGAATTTTGTTCTGTGATTCGTATAGCTGTCCCTTCATCATCCATAGCTTGTCGCCATTGGGGAATAATTGTAGACCTTGGTTGACCAAGTCCAAAGCTTCGTCAATATTGCCAAGCTGTCGCTCATAAGCAACGCTCTTGGTCCACACGCGATCAGTGCCGGCTTCACGACGAGCGGTGGCCAGGAGTTCCCGAGCCTGGTCGGTTTGGTGCGCATCGGCTTCGAGCTTGACGGCCGCGAGCCAAATATCTTCGTTGTTGGGATTTTGGTTGAAAGCACGGCCAAGGACACGTCGAGCATCGTCAATCTCCCCGGACTGCCATTTCTCCTTGGCAAGCTGGAGCCAAAGTTGCTCACTTTGAGGGCAGGCTTCGACGGCCTTCTCAAGAACCTGCCAAAGCCCTTCTTTTGTGCCGTGGTTGCGCTCCAGGTCGGCTGCTGCGATCCAAATTGACCGGCGGTTGACGAAGACACGGAGGGCGTAAGCGTAGATGGCCCGCGCGGTTTCATACTTTCCACGGGCAATGCTAGCTTTGGCGTCTTCCATCCAAACCTCCTTTCGATCATCGTCTTCGTCCAAACCCCATCCAAGGGTTTCTTGGATGATGGCACCACAAGTAAGGACGGAGCCGTCTGTTTCGCACTTTTCGGCTTGCGTGATCCATTCCTCTCGTGTCAACATGGCATTTTCACGAACCAATGACTGAATAGCGCGCTTCATGACATTGACCTTCTCAAAGGTACCCATCTGCTCCTGCAGTCGAGCTGCTCCGATCCAGATTTCATAGCTGGTGGGAATGGCTTTGCGAGCAGCGTTCAATACCTTTTGTGCGTTTTCAGGGGTCTCGAGACGAGCCAGGGCAATCCACAACTCGACTGACAGGGGGATCATTTCAACAGCCTTAGCCAGCAATAGACGGGCGTCGGCAGGGTCCTCTTCCAAGTTCACAGCCTCTTTCCATATTTGGACGGATTGGGGAACGTGCAACAAGGCTTGTCTTAACACGTTCTTTTTGGATTTTCGATCGTTTTCTAATCGCATAGCCGCAATCCAGAGTTTCGTAGATCGATCGTTGTTCTTAATGGCGTTTGCTGCAACGACCTTGGCGTTGTGGCCCTCGTTGAGACGAATATTCTCCATCCATGCGTCTTCACTCTTGGGGCAAAGCTCACATCCTTTGGCCATAGCAGCCCTGGCAGCGACAAGGCGACCAGCAAGCTCTTCAATGCGTGCAAGGGCAATCCAGCCGGGTGCATGTTTAGGATTGGTCTTGGTGACAGACGCCAACAGGACCTGGACTCGCTTAATGTCGCCCACGTCGTTCTCGCCGGTCTTAGTCTGTTTCACAGAGCTTTCCAAGCTGGTCAGGTAACCGGTGGGATCGATGCTCGTAGCGCTTCCCGATGTTGCTTCACCTGAGGCAGCCTGATCCAGCCTGACCTGGAGGACTTTATCACGCGCAGCACCAATGTCTGCAAAATTCGTCATGGTGCCTTCTGTCGTTGAGCCCTCGGCGCTAGTTTGTGTGCCATCTTCGGCGATCGTCGTTCCGTACTGAGCTGAGTCTCTTGCGCCCGCGAGAACACTGTCCGGGACGGCGTAAAATCGTTGTCGGCTGTTCTCCTTGTCTCGTCGATTCTTTCCCGTGAGATCGCCGACTTCCGGCAGGTTGGCCCAGTCATCCTCGGACACGGAGGCGAGTGTTCGTTTCAGATCCGCGAATTGTTGTTGGATCTTCGGGTTCTTGCGTTCGAAATCCTCTCTTTCGGCCTTCTCTCGAGCTTCCCTGCGAGCTTTCCGGCGCCTGTCCATCTTCTCATCTACCTCCTGATAGATGCGATCCGCTTCATCGTCTTCCTGGTCGAATTGACCGTAGGCAAAGAGTCCGACCTCGTTGTCGGGATCTTGGAATCGTTCATCTTCCTCCTCCTTTTCATCTTCTTTGCCACCCTTTTCGCGCGAGTTGTTACCGTAGGCGGTGGGCGCAGCAGCTCCGAGCTGTTGAGCTCTTTTGGTGAGGGCAGCTTGGATTTGTTCGGGTGTAGGACCTTCGCGCGCCGGGCCAAGATCGGAGCGAGTGGTGAAGCCTGTCGCACCACGACCGAGACCGGCGACGTAGTTCTCAGGCGCTGCCTGGCTCAGAAAATCCTTTCGTCCGGACGCCATAGTGGGCACAACCTCAGAGGGAGATAGTTCGAGGTCTCACGAAGAAAGGCGGGTTGCGTGAGAAAGTAATTCCGGAGCCGACAATCTTATCGCCAGAAAAAAGTTGTCCGCCCACATTGAAGGTGGCGCGCCGGGCTGCAGAACTTCTCTAATTTGTTTATTACTCTTGGATCTTACGGGTTCAATACTTCAGTATGCCCAAGGTTCAGAAATCTAAGCGCAATGGCGCTTCGCAGGGCATGTCCGATGCTGCTGCCAAGACGAAGGCTGCCCACAGCATCTTCAAGATGAACACTGATATCGGCCAGCACGTTCTGAAGAACCCTGGTATTGCTGGTAAGTGCTCACTCACAGAAAGCTTGGGCACTGCTAATGAAAAGTCATCTAGCTGCGATTGTGGAAAAGGCTGAGCTTAAGCAAAGTGATGTGGGTTATAACGGTCATTGATCGGATTCATCATGCTAACAATGTTAATAGATCGTGCTTGAAATTGGTCCTGGTACTGGTAACTTGACAGCCAAGATTCTGGAGAAAGCAAAGAAGTGCATCGCCGTCGAGCTGGACCCTCGTATGGCTGCTGAAGTCACTAAGCGTTTCCAATCCACCCCATACCAGAAACGCCTGGATGTCATTCTTGGAGATGTGATGAAGACCGAGCTCCCATACTTCGATGTCTGCATCAGTAATACCCCCTATCAGGTATGTACAATACACATTGCGATATACAGACCAACACTAAGATCCTTTAGATTTCCTCTCCTCTCACATTCAAGCTCCTGGCCACCTCTCCAGCGCCTCGTTCCTGTATTCTCATGTATGTCATGTCTACGCCTTCGGCAAATATCTCTCAGTAATATTGTGTCATTGAGAGCTTACATATACCTCTAGGTTCCAACGTGAATTTGCTCTGCGATTGTTCGCCAAACCTGGCGACAAGCTCTACAGTCGACTCTCCGTGAATGCCCAAATGTGGGCCAAGATCGACCACATCATGAAGGTCGGCAAGAACAACTTCAAGCCCCCACCCCAAGTCGAGTCCAGCGTCATTCGGATGGTTCCCAAGAACCCGCGGCCACAAATCAGCTACGAGGAGTGGGACGGTCTCCTGCGCATTGTCTTCGTGCGAAAGAACAAGACTCTCCGCTCTAGTTTCATCGGTGTCACCAGCATCATGGACCTTTTGGAATCCAACTACCGAACTTGGTGTGCGCAAAATGACATCCCTGTGGAGGATGGCCCCGCTGAGGTCGCCAATGACGACACGGCAATGGACATGGGCGAGGAGGAGGAGGAACAAGTTGCCGAACCGGCCGACGAGGTCATGGATATGGACGACGACGATGTTCCCGACTTTTTCAAGGAGGAGACAAATGCTCGCCTCGAAGCTGCGCTCAAGAACGGAGCTTCGCGCAAGAAGCGCGGCAAGGTTGCGGAGCTAGTTCGTGAAAAGGTGCGCAGTGTTCTCGAGGACGACACCAACCTCGGAGACAAACGCGCAAGAATGTGCGACGAGAACGACTTCTTGAAGTTGCTTTGGGCATTCAACCAGAAGGGCATTCACTTCAACTGATCGGAAGGGGCTGTTCCAGGTGGAAAACATCTGCCGGTAATTCGGATAATGAATTATGATTACTATCAATAAAAGATACCAGTTTCAGGAGGTTCATCGCCAGCGGGCCGGAGATGAGCTCGCGAGTCTTGAAACAGGCTTTGCCAGATGTAAGCTTCGCTCAGTAAAAGTTCAATGTCTTTCTCTGTCCATCCTTTCGTGGGCAATGCTTGGAGGAACATCATCACCTCCTACATATAGGTTAGAATTCTGACTTGAACTAATTTGATTAGAAGCACCCACCTGGAAATCCATCTTGACCAATTGATCGGTCCATTTGACCAAAAATGCAGCGCAAACGTAAAGGTGAAATCGGGAGAAGCCCTGCTCCTCGGCCTATATAACAGTCAGTACCAAGAGGGCGCTGGTGGAAGCAAGACCTACCATATAAGTGTCCCACATGCGTATCGTATTCTTTATGCTCATTTCCCGCATGAGCAGGCAATTCATCCATCGGAAACTAAATTGCATAAACTCCACGCCTTCTTGTTCCAGATGTTTCGCTAAGGCTGAGTCGATGCGCACCGTCAGATCGCGAAGGGCCCTGACCTGTCGATGGATTCCCGGCTGGGCGTAGATGTAGTTGTCCTGAATGCCGTCCAACAACTTGGTGAGGCACCAGAACGTGTCAGCCTCCACGGCATCCAACACGCTGCGGGGCAATTGACCAGGGTCCATGCCCTCTTCGACGTTCAGATCGGTAATATAGACGCCCAAAAAGACCTGCCAGAATGGCGTGACTAGATCGTTGATACCTTGGACATAACCACTAGCTGGATGCCGGATAGCCCACACATAAAGAATGCGCTCCAGGGATCGCTGAGTAGCTTCATAGCCATATAATGGAATATGAGGACTGGTGCGCGGGACATCGATACTGATCTGATGCCAAACCGCTTCGTCCAGTCCTCTGCCGCGGCCTTTGGATGAGGCAGGGGGTTTGTGGAGTTTGCGCCGCTGCCGCGCTCAAAGGCTTGTCGAACTCCATCTAAGTACTCCTTGCGCTTTCGCTCAAGGGTGGAAATACGTCGCTCGCTATTAGTAGGAAGATAACCAAGAAGAAGTTGCCAGGTCATTGGCCGAACTTCCTCCGGAACGCCAGACCAAGCGAGGTTCCGCAGCTCGGTGGGCGACACTGTGCTGGCTTGCAAGATGCGCTTGAATTTGTTAATTCGCGTAATGCGGCTCGAGTGAATATCCCTTTCCTTGGAAGAAGCATCTGTTGGCGGCGGAGAGTGATTGATAAGGTTCAAAGCGTTTGCGGGATCTAGCAAATGTCAACAAAGTCCGGCCTGTGCGTCACCAATGCGATTACCTTGCAGAATGTCCTTGTATTGAGGCCTGAGGATCTTTCCTTCTCCCTTTCGCGCTGTCGGGTACATTGGGGCCCCCCGCTCCTCGGCGATGTCTGCACTATTTGCTCGTTGTCTGCTGCTCGCAGACAGCCCGTACCCCAGTGATGAGAGACTGCCTCCTGCCCCACCACTGGAATTGGCGTTCTTTGACTTTGAGGGCGCGGACTTCTTTCTTCGCATGCTGGCAAGACTGGGGAGTCCAAATTCATCTTCGTCATCATCATATACAATCTCGTCGTCGTCATCGTCGTCATCTTCCTCGGTGGGGTCACGACTCCACTCGTCAACGCCTTCAGTCATGATTCCGGGGTATGGCTGTCGGGGAGGCGATGCTACCAGGTTGCCTGATCTGCGAGCCAAGTGCGCTGTAGAAACCGCAGGAGACGACTTTGTCGGCGTTCTGGGACGGGGGTGGGAGGATGTAGGCCTGTGAGAAGAATTGTTAGCAAATGTTCCCAACTCAACAGACTGGACAAGGGTCGCAGCATACTGTACAAGACTGGCATGTGAGTATGAAGCTCCAACAACGGTATTCGGACCATAGATCTTGGATGCTTCCTGACCGAGGGACGTGCTTCGACCAGCCCAGAAGGGCGATTCGGCGCGTCTTGGAAGAATGTCAGTACGGGCCCGATATAGAGAAGAACAGCTGTAGCGCAGAGTGTATATGGATCTTGACTCACTCTGACTTGTCTAAATAGCGTGGATAAATGCCATGTAAGCTATAGCTGCGATTAGAATGTAGGGGGAGGCAAAAGACACGCACCAACCTGGACCATCTCCTAGGGATATATAGTTAGCTCAATGCCAAGGCAAATGCCATCAGGGCGCCTCAAAATTGGGGAGAGAGTCCTACCTGTTGCCCTTTTTTGTTCGCCATCTTAGTGGTATTTCACAGGAAGCGATCTCATGAGTCTCAATTGCGCGTGCGGGGTGCTGCAGTGGGATCAATGGTGTGTTTCCTCCAACCAGGCCATATAAGGACTGGACCTCAAATCAGAAGAGCATTTTGAAACAAGTGATAATAAGGTAAGACGTAATTAAAAGCAAGCTTGAAGTCTATAGTTAGATATAGCCAAACGCCCCCCCAAGGTGGGCACTCAATTCTGATTATGTAATCGTGGTTCTCCGCCCCGTGATCCCGCTCCGTCCAACTTCCTTCCCTTCTTCCTCCAATTTTCCGCGCGTGACTTCTCCCACTCCACCGTTTGTACTCATCTCGCTTAGAGCTTTCACCTCGCGCGTGACCTCAATTATCTCGTAATACTTCTGTTTTAGGAACCATGGCTGACCCAGAGGACGGTGACGATCTCTTCGCGGATCTGTACGTGTTTCTCCTCCTACTTCCCACTCAAAAGCTTACTCAATTCTTCCCACAGTTATGATGCCGACGAATCCACTGCTCGCACAACATCTGCTGTTGATGCATCAAAGCCAGCTGAGCCTGTCGCAACCCCCGCTGCACCCGCCGCGTCTACTACACAGGGCACTGAATCTGCTCCCGTTGACACTCACCAATCGCAACCCGCTGCTCAGCCTTCGGGATATGATAATGGGTACAACAATGGTTCTGGAAACCCTTACGGCGCTGCGCCCGCAAGCGAGGCGCCTGCTGAGCCCGAGTCTCACGGAACAGGAATCAAGGAAGACGGGTAAGTTCACCATTGACATTATACACACCTCAATCTTTGAAATTGGCTCCAATGCTGGGTGCTTCAACCGGTATCGGGCTGTGCTCTGGCGGTATGAACTTGAGTGGACAAATTTGCTATACACGGGTTCGACAGCAATTGTGTGCGCTGGAGAAGAGTTTTCTGGCTAGAAGAAGATAAAAGCGATCGAGCTACGGATACCCTGGGCTATGTGAGGAAAGACTCGCCGGTTGGCTCAGGTGCCTCAACCATCTGGGCACCGAAGGATGAATTCCTGGAAAGCGACAAAGCGAATGCAGCGACCAATCAGCAATTGCGCTTGAGCTCCCTGTCATACGGCCACCAAGGTGCATACAAACCAATTTGCCGTTGCAATACGCTGCTCAAGCTCCGACCTCCATCCCGCCAGATCAAACAAGAATCCAAAGAAAGCTGTCGCCTGAACCCTCCGTTCAACAACATCTTTAGCACCAACCAACTCAGCACTACCCATCGCCTACCATGGACCTTGTCACAAGCCATCCATATATAGTACAGCCGATACTATATAGATTCTTGTCGATACACCTTGATAGGGCAGAGCAAGAAGTAGCTATCTAGCTTGGGACTCTGTGTTAGACAAGGCGAAGGTTTTCGCGGGTCAGACAGACAGACAGTGACAATTCACTTTTTCCGACTGAATTACTTGCACCTCTACGCTTCTCATGTCGCCTGCTTCCCGGCTTGAGCGAATCAGAAAGAGGTGGAAATGGATATCTACACCCAGGCCCGTGTAAACCAGTGGACTCGACGTTTAAATCCCGTTCAGGAGTATCAGATCAATGGTTCGGGTTTGCCAGACTCCCCATGGACAACGACTTCAAAGTACACATACCCTGGAAACGTGTCTCGATGTCTTGGATGGTCGACTCTTTCAGGACAACGACGCTTTTATGGCGCGCGCCCACACAGACACACCTCATTAGCCCGTGGATAGCAAAGCGTCTATACTCAAAAGTTCTAGCCAGGATACCGTGGCCCACTGCCTATTCTTCCCCTACATCACCATCATTCCGTTTCCCTTATGAGCCCTCGCCCCCGTCGCTGCCAACCGGCAAGACCCAGATCCATTATGCCTAGATGACACTTTGGAGATATGGAGCCATATACATCTACTCTTTGTGCTATTTTGAAGGAGCTTCTGCTGACCGGGGATCAATTTATCTATAGCAAAATGTTCATTGGTGGTTTGAACTGGGAAACTACAGATCGTACGTATATCGTTACTACGCAGAACTCGCAGATTAGACTAACACAGAACTCTTTTTCCACATTTAGAATCTCTCCGTGATTATTTTTCTCAATTCGGCGAAGTTCACGAATGTACCGTTATGCGTGACAGTGCTAGTGGCCGCTCTCGTGGCTTCGGCTTTTTGACCTTCCGTGACCCTAAGACTGTGAATACTGTTATGGTGAAGGAACACTATCTGGATGGAAAGATTGTAAGAACCATTCTATGCAAAGGCTTATATATAGCATTCGCTGACAACTCCAAAGATTGATCCCAAGCGTGCTATTCCTCGTGATGAGCAAGAGAAGACCTCTAAGATCTTCGTTGGTGGTGTTAGCCAGGAGGCAACCGAGCAAGATTTCAAGCAGTTCTTTATGCAGTTCGGACGCGTTGTGGATGCTACTCTCATGATTGACAAGGACACCGGCCGCCCCCGTGGATTTGGCTTCGTTACATTCGACAGCGAGGCTGCCGTTGAGAAGACTCTCGCTCGTCCCCTGGACATCCTTGGAAAGCCCATTGAGGTGAAGAAGGCTCTTCCCCGTGGCAACTTGCGTGATCAGAACAATGATCAGCGTGGTGGTCAACGCAACGGTGGATTCCGTGACCAAAACCAGAACGACGGAGGCCAGCAGCAGGCGCCCCAGCAGGGACAAGGCAGCAGCATGACCCCCCCAGATGATGGCCCAATACTGGCAGCGCATGCAGCAGTATTTCACCATGATGCAGCAGTCGATGGCTCAGGGCCAAGGAATGCCCGGAATGGCCATGAACCCTGCCATGATGAACCCTATGATGCAGCAGCAAATGCAAGCAATGCAGATGCGCCAGCAGCAACAGCAGATGGGCGCCCAGCAGCAAGGTAGCATGAGCCCTGGCGGAGCCCAGAGTCCCGGTGTCCAGCAGCCCATGCCCAACATGATGAACGCCGCCATGATGCAGCAGAACCCCGCCGCCGCCGCCGCCGGTGCCGGAAACGACAATGCCAGCCCAGGTCCCAACGCCGCCGCCCAGCAGGCCGGACAGCCCGGACCCGGCTACAACGCCCATGAACAGCTTGCCTTCGAGCAGCAGAAGTACGAACAGCAGCAGGCCCACCGCACAATGGATCCCCGCGGTTTCTCGCCCTACCAGCAACAGGGAGGCCCTACATCTTGGGAGGGAATGTACGACGAGGTTCCCCAGCCCCACGTCCCAGGAGGACCGTCAGGTATGCGACGCATTGGAAGTTCAGGGCGCGGTATGTGGCTCTTAAACGAGTCCAGCATATTACACCACTTTCATCCCAGTTTGACCCGTAGCTAACGTTACAAATAGGAAATACCCCCCAGCCGCAGAGCACCGCTCCTGCCAACGCCCCCACCGGTCCCCGTAACGCTGGCAAGCCCGGCGCAAACTACCGTGGTGGTCGTGGAGGCGGTAGTCACCGCGGTTACCACCCTTACCAGCGCTAAGGCGCTTGCCGTGGATACCCCGGAGGCTTCAACCCAGTCTCCTGTTCATCAGATATGACTTCGTTTCTTTCAAGTGTTTTCTAAGTCTTTTTTAACCCGGTACATTAAGCCTGGCGAGAGGATTATCTGGTCCTACGGCTGGCTAGGGCAGGTGGTCTTGTGTTCGTTCCGATAGCCTGCAATTAGTGCCTAATATGATCACGTTTATCTCTCATTCTGCTATGGTGGCATATTTTATAAATGATGGCTGTAGGCTTCGGTTCAAAAGCCTGCAAAAACTCATTTGTGTATGAAGTGGCCATTTCAGGAAAGAGAGGCCATTCTTGGAGAGGTCGGAAATGGAGGCTTTGGAGCAGTGTTTACAGCTCTGCAATGGATAGAAAAATGAAGATCATGTGATTACTTTGAATATGTGAAGACAGATCACATGACCCGCGTACAATAAAACGGATTCATGATCACGTGACACCTAGATATAGATGTTCCAAACAGTATATGTTGGCACCAGAAAATGGTTCTATACAACTCACCATCTCAGATAGTGCCGGCTTCCTGCTACAGGGCTTTCGACCCAATCTAGACCCTCTGATCACGTATTACCCAGGAATTTCACTGATTGAATAACTTCACTTCGTTCCGCAATAAGCTTGCTACATAGTTCAAACAGTTTGTGACACTCACCATCCCTCACTAGCTTTGCCATAATGAAGGCCACGGCCTACATATCCCAAAGCATTGTTTCCAAGGTTAACAGGAAGTCATATATCATGTGATCAAAATGGTCATCAATTGCAAGCTGTAATAATAAATGATAGATGGGTAAAGATGATAAAAAGAACGAGGTATGTATAGAGACAAGATCAAAAGAATGGAGCAAGTGATATCACAAGAAAATGCATAGAAAAGGCGAAGAAGTGCGAAAGGCTCAACCACCATGCTCAAGCACGCTAAAAACCGTCAAAAAAAAAAAAAAAAATAAGTTAACAAGAAATCTCTATTCCAAAGCGCGTGCCCGATCTAAGAATTTGGTGAAAGTGTGAGGTGACAAGAGAAGTAAGAATTGGGGTAAACGTCATAGCGATTCGGTGACGTTTTCGTTTGGTTTTTTTTTTTTTTCGGTTTTTCGGTTTTCTTTTTGTTCGTGTATGTCTTTTTTAGTACGCCATTCCATACCCTGGTTTTGTTGGATGGCGGCCTTCAATCGAGCTGCGGCTGTCGGGACTTGTGCTGCGACCGTGCGCGACACCGTAGTCGTTGCCGACGAGTCGCTGGTGCTCGTTGCTGCCGTTGGACCCTGGTCGGTGGGGTTGGTCGCGGTATGGCTCGTAGGGACCGGTGAAGTTGAAGTGGCTCATTTCGGTGTATTCCTTCCGTTGGGGATGTTCCATGAGCAGGGAGTCCCGGGCGTCCAAGGGGGTCAGGTCGTCCAGATCGCGATTTTGTTTTTCTAGAAGAGTTTTGTTAGCAATATTCTTTAGAGGAGTGCATTTATATGAGCAATTGGACTTACCAGCTTCCCTTCTGCGTCTAGCATGAGGGTTCTCGCGACAGCAAGAGATGATGGCGTTGACGGTGATCAGAATGGCGAGAACGGCAGTGAGGGTAGACTGCACGACAATGAGGACGATTCCAGTGACCGTCTTGGTTGTTTGGGAGAGACCAAGTTCCTCGACGAACACCAAAACACAGGCAATTGACAGAACACGAACGACCTGAACGGCAATGTTGATACCCATAGACGCCTTGGTAGCGTACGGGCGACTCCAAACGAGAAGTCCAAGAAGAAGGATCTCGCAGGCAAGCTGGCCGGCACTCTGGAACAAGCCGTGGCCTTCGCCACCAGCGATGATGCAGCCCTTAACCAATGCATATACAATAACAGGGATGAAGATCCACCAGAAATCCTTCTTGTAGTTGTCGTAAAACAGACTGTACTTCTTCCAAGTCTCCTTGTTCTCGTAGAGACCGGAAGAATCACCTTCGGCTCTCTTGTACTTGCGGGCCATGTAGACGATGCGAACAGCAAAGAACAAAAGAAGCGCCGTGAACAGAGCCAATGTAATGGCAGCCAGCGTCTTCGCGGCCCAGGAGTCACCCTTGCGAAGTTGGTAGACACAGTAAAGAACCCAAATACTGTACAGCACGAGAATCATGTTAGTGATTGTTCGCGCCATGATGCCCCAGTAGTCCTTCCGGAAGTCGGAAAGCTTCTCGGGGAATCGTCCGTATAGTGCCCAAAGTTCCAGGACAACCTTGACAAGAAGAATGCCAACAACAACGACGGCGATGACAATGGCGAAGATCAGCAGAACGGTCATGAAGACATCCGCAGAGGGAATCAGGAGCTCTTGAGAGATCTCCTTGATCTTATCCACGTTACTTGTGCTGCCACTATCCTCGGTGCTGCTGGAAGAGCTGTTCGAGACATCAGAGTCAGAAGAAGCCTCAATCGAACGAGCAACAAGATCGCCAAACTCGATCGCATAGTCCCAGCTGCGCTTGGTTGTGTTAGAAGACGAGGCGCTAGTAGAAAGCGAAGCGTTCTTCAAGAAAGCATAGCTATCTTCAGTCGTGTTGACGCCAGTGGCACTCCGGAACTTGTCAATGGAGTTCAGCATGCCGGGCCAGGGGATCATACCCGTGCTCCACATGAAGTTCTTGGAGAAACTGCTGTAGACGGACGGGTAAGCGACACTCAGCATACCGTTGGTGGCCATAGAATGGAACCAGCCCATAATATCGCCGAAGCCAGGGCTGTGCGAAGGCGCGCCAACACCCCCGGCCGCGCCGGCAGCAGAGACACCCGTGAGTGCCAGAGCGCCTGCAGCGATGCCCGCAGAGACATAGGTGACAGCCTTGACGTTGGTGGAGTGGCCATTAGACAGCTCGGACTGAATGCAAGCGACGTTCTCGTCGTTACCCTTGGACTTGAGGACAAGCTTCGCTTGGCCATCGAGATCGGGCATGTTGAACGCGATAGACGGGATCTGGCTCGCGATGTTCTCGGGGACTTCCATGGATCCACTGGCTTTGAAGGTGCCCTTGGGGACCGGGCAGAGCTTGTCGACGTGGATTTCATCGCCGCAGGGGTCGAATTCTTTGGTGTATAGTTCTCTTCCGTAGGCCGTGACCGTAATGGCGGCCGAGACCTTTTGTTCCTTCGCGTTGGTACCAGCCACGTCGAAGACAACAACCCCGGAAGAACGGGTGTAGGTGACGTCCATCTTTTGGACGTTGATTGCTGAGTCGGTCATACAGAGGTTGAATCCGCTCGTGGAAAGAACGTCGGCTGCCAGTGCCTGGGGCACGGCGGCCAAGCCCAGCAGAGCCCAGATGTAGTTCCGCATGCTGGCAGGGTAATGGTGATATTCTAGTTGGGTGTGCCAATCCAAGACCAAATTTATAATGAGGGGCGGATATTCATCAAGGATGTAGGGCTCGATCGAGAATTGCGATGGTTCGGTCGGATTAAAACGTATTGAGCGACGATAGTTGAGTTCGCAGAGATCAAAAAATAGCAGGATCAACCCGCTAGAGAAAAGAAAGGGATGTGGTGATGGTCGATAAACGAGTTGGAAGGGTCGCGAGAGTGAGCGCCCGGTGGTAGTGTGAGATAGTTGGCACAGACAAAATGCAATGAGCGACAGTAGCAAGAGAGGAAGCAATTGAGGAAAGCGAATGTAATTCCCCCTCTCGCGGATCAGTGAAGAAGGAAAGTCTCGAACGTACGGAGTCGAATTGGCAAGGCTGCCCCCTGAATTTGAGTTGGCCCTTTCGTTTCAGAGTCTAGACCCAACTGGTATGTTACTATTTACATTTACTTGGGACTAGAGTCTTTTAAGGTGTATTTTTATCTCTTCTATTATTCTTATATTCTCCTCAAATCTCTCAATCAAATCTCTATACGCAGTCAGAATGAAAAGGAGGTGAGGTTAACAATAACAGTTGAAGCTAGCAATGAGCTACCACATCGCAGACTATTGGATCCAAGGTTGTCTTCCGACCAAAACCAAGGTTCCGCCCTAAATTGATCACTTAACCAACGGAATTGCTGCCCTACGCTGTGCGTGTCCCACTCCACCCTCAGTGAACAACAAACGCCACAACCAGCCACACGGCTGGCCAAATACTACACTCTGGCGAATGGCGAAATTATCCTCATTATTTAGATTGAAAGGTTTTCAAATCCTTATACTCCGTGTACTCCGTGCTCCGTGCTCCGTGCTCCGTCCAGGAGCACCTACAAATCTGAAACTCGCTTAACCATGGATTCTTCACAACAGACCCCTTCGACAAGAAAAATACATACTCGTACATATATGACGTTTGACCCGCGAGGGGCTCCCTAAGTCCACAGTCAAGCAATAGAAATTGCCACACAAGCCATGCCGATCCAAGATCCTCGGAAAAAACCCAAGTTCTAGCCTTCGGTGGGGCCCCCTTACGCAGTACGGCCCTCTGGATGGACACATAATGTGCTTGGTCTGCGTGTGTTTGTGCCTGCATACGACCAATCGAGCCCTCCAGCACCAACACCATCAGATCACATCCAGCGCGTATCGCACAAACACTCAATGTTCGCGGATGGAAATGAGACCTAAGTGGGTGGGCATCGTATCAACGTGAGACACAGCCAAGCGCTAGGGTGCCGCCCTATATGGTGACAGATATCTATTCTTGTCGTTGGGTTTGATGGCCTATGACACGCGACCAATTATGATGATCTTCACTTCATGTTCAGCGTTTAAGGGTTTGTCCATACATGATTCTTGGAAGTGATACTCCGTACTCCGTACCCTGAGTGATGAGCTGAGTTTGAGGAATTTCTTTGACTTTCTTGATCTTCGCGGGTTCATTTCTGGGTTTCAGCTTGATTGTCGGTAATGAGCAATCAAATCCTTCATAATACTGGTAATTTGTGCAAACGACTTACCGTTTCCAGCGGCTATAACCGATTTTTCTATGGATTTAAATTCAATAATTACAAAGTAGTATATGAACAAGAAGAGGCAAACTCTCCTGAATATGAGTGATCAGTTGGAATGATGTAAATGTCATTACTAACCTTGGAAACACTCTGGAGAAGACCCTGATGACACCTGCGCATGTTCCTCCCCACGGAGTACTCCCTTGGGGACTCCGTACTTGAGTGAGAGGTTACCCACGCTTCTAAGGATTGAGTTTAAGATCGCTCAATTTGCAAGATTGTGGAACCGGCTTACCAGTGATGCTTTCTGTTTTACATACACCTAGCAAGGAGCTCATTTCTCCCTGGGTCTGTCTGAGTAACAAAAATTCTACGGCATAGATCTTACCCAAAGCTATCCCTCCCGAGGTCAAAGCAACACGTCTCAGCATCCAATGTCTAAGCATATGCTTTTTTGGGCTGGTTCCAAGCCAGGTACTCCGTAGATTCCATCAAGATATAGAGAGGCTGTCTCATGGCTCAAATCAAATTTTGTCTCTTCCTACAAAACAAGCCCTAGCGATTGTTAACCATCAAGACCTCCTGAGGTTCCGTAGATATTGTTCTTATTCCCGTTCACGTGTCCTACGATCAATGGCCCTCCAGGGCTACAGCACTGCATCGGAAGTTGGAATTGTATTGGAGAAACCTCCTCTATTGGTACTCCTAGGTGAAGTACTAGATACATAAGTCAAATCCAAGGTGACCCCCTCAAGCAGCACGTGAAATGAAGACAAACCCCCACCTAACTAAACCTCGGAACATCCCGAGGTTTATCTAAACGGTAGAGCAATTGGACAAAGTAATCGCGATTGTGACGGGAAACAAAACTGTAAATTGTAAAAGAATCCATGTAAATCGTCCCAGTCTTTTTGTTTCTCTGGTATCTCTTGGCTAAATTAGATCAACATGCAGGGCGTGAGGACTGGTTTTGACACGCCGGAAAACCCCCAATGAGACGACAAAAACGAATCGAAAAAAAAAAATCAAAATCAGCGGTGGTGCATATCCATGCCGCGCTGCAGCGATGATTCCAAATCATTAGGGTTGTAGCTACCGCCAGCGGTAGCCTCCTGAGGTCTGGGATCTTCAGTCTTCCACGAGCCCTGCTGATCCGGAATGGGGACATTGGTCTGCTGAGCAGCCTGCTGCTGGCCCGCAGCGTGACCTTGAGATTGTTGGCGGACAGTAGCGCGGAAGCGCACGACCTCGTCGAGGATCATCTTGCGCATATCGGGGACCTCGTCGACGACTTCGAAGGTGAAGTCGAAGGTGGTGGGGCAGTTGGGCTCGTCCGAGGCGTCGTGCCAGATGTGCAGGTAGGGGTGTTCGAGGGCTTCCTCGACGGAGATACGGGAGGAGGGGTCGAAGGCCAGCATGCGGTCAAGCAGGTCGAGGGCGTCTGGGTTGGCTTGCGGGAAGAGGGTCTTGAAGGGGACCTTGGGCATGAAGGGGAGGTTGCGCACGTATTCTTGTGCGCGGGGGGGATCCGATGCGTGCCAGAGTCTCTTCGTTGGGTGTACCCAGGAAGTGAAGGATCTGGTTTAGCTGGTCGACGTAGTCGCGGCCCTTGAAGAAGGGGCGGCCGCCGAGGAGCTCGGCGAGAATGCAGCCAACGGACCAGACGTCAACTGTAGATGTGGGGTTAGCGTGGTCTCGGCGGTGGCGAATTCTGTGGCGTTACTCACTTGCTTTAGTGTAGCTCTGGAAGCTCAACATGATCTCTGGCGCACGGTACCAGCGTGTTGCGACGTACTCGGTCATATATCCGGCGTTCTCCTCCGGGTCAATGGAGAAACCACGGGCGAGACCGAAGTCACAAATCTTCAGCTCGCAGTCGGCATTGACGAGCAGGTTACCGGGCTTCAGGTCACGGTGCAGGACGTTTGCGGAGTGGATATACTTGAGACCGCAGAGGATCTGGTAGATAAAGGACTGGAAGTGGGCATCGGTCAGCGGCTGACCGGAGCGGATGATGGCCGCCAGGTCGCATTCCATCAATTCTGCAAGAACATCAGTTTCCAGCTTCTCTCAAGAATCGATCCAGCGATAGAACCCACCCTCGTAGAGATATGTTTCGTTGAAGTTGTCCGGTCGGGGAATATCCATATCGTAGAGGCATGTGATCTGCGCAGCTGGGATTAGCGCAAGGCATTGATAAGGGTGGGATGCAACCTACATTGCGATGACCGCGGAAGTGCTGGAGCAGCTTGATCTCACGGAGAGCGCGCTTGGCCAGGATCTTCTTGCTGAAGACATTGGTCACCTTCTTGACGGCGACACCCTCGCCGGTCTGGATGTTGGTAGCCGCGCTTTCAACTGTCAGCACGTGTCCAACGAGAAACTCCACCACACGGGCAGGATACCTACCACACGATACCGTAGGCTCCTTGACCGAGCTCCTTGGTGACATTGTATTGTTCGTTCACGATAAAGTCCTGGTTGAAAACCTTGAAGACCTTGCGGCCCTGCAAATCAGCCATGGTGAGGAGGCGCGATGAAGCGATGCGAAAGTGAAAGCGACAGAGATGTAATGGATAACGAGGGACCTTTAAAAAGCAAGCAGAGAGAGAGGGAGAAAAGTTGAGAGAAAAAGGGTGGTCAAGTGTGATGGGATTCAGCCCCGCAGTCCCCGCGGGTGATCCGCCACGCAAAACACTCCCCTCCACTTTGTTTTTTTGGGTTGGTCCCTTGTTTGCCTTTGCTTTCTACTTCCTTTCCTTCAAAGAATTCTAATTTAAGTCTTGAATGATAAAGAATCTCGAATTGGTTTTTTTTTATGGCCCTCGATTAACACAGGAACCGCTCAAATTGTTTCTTTGTATCGTCCAAACCCTGTTCATTCGCGCGCGCATCCACGTATCCAGGGATCCCGGGCTGTCTTCCTATATGCGCGGTATGCTGATAGTCAACAAAAAAGACTCGAAAGAAGCATGAACAAAGACAAGATAGGTGGCTGAAACCGGTCCTCGACTGTTTCACTCATGTGGGCCGTCAATATGTGGGTGTCATATGTCATGTCCCGCGGCACGTCGTCTGGTGAAGAATCTAACCTACAGCCAACGTCAACGGATTGTGAAAAAAACATATAGCTCAGAATAGGCCTTCGACTATTCTTCCAAGGCCTTTTCAACTAGATAGTTTGATAGTGCCAAGGCTATCATAGTTCTACCTATCGTCACGACCTCGGGATGCTATTCGCATTGGTACATTGATGGTGTAATTGGCAATTTAGGGGAGGAGCAAATACACATAGGTATGACTTCACTTTATTTTTCATAACTCACAAGCGAGAAACTCACCCAACTACCCTCAGATCTCCCGTTTTTTTCGCCTTTGGCAGCTCAAACTGTTCGAGGGTGCGTTGCCTCTTCCCCGGGCCCGAGTTTACTGTTTACTCCATTGCCGTTCCACATCACCCGCTACTTCACGGGCCGGCACAGGTCGACAAAAAAGAGTGTCAGCAGCGCTAACTGCTGAGCATCCGCGAGAGCATGGTGGTTTTTCCCGGCGAGGGGGTGATCAAACCCACAGAGTACCGGGAAGACCGTTTCAAGGGAGAGAGGAATTGATCCGCTTTTCCAGCACGTGGAGCCCAAGATCTCTTTCAGGTTTTGTCGGAACTCCATACGATCTCGGTGTAGATATTTATCCTTGGGCAAAATGCCGTCGAATCCTTCCTGCTCGAGCCAGCCTCGTAACAGGACACATCATTGAATGGCGAAGACCAAGACAAAAAAATCATCCTTGGCCATGCCACTGGCATTCAGCTTCTGGGCGACCTGAGCTGCCCTCAAGCCCCCGTAAATGATGGGATGGGCTTTCCATCCTCTCTGGTGATAGTTGCTGATGTGTTTCCTCTTCGAAGGCATGTTTTGGGCGAGGGAAGGTAGACAGGGACTCGAAGGCGGGTCGGAAGTTGGCTGGCTCGTACAACAGGTAGTGGCACTCATCGATGACGATGCGGTCGAGGCGATGCTCCGCAGCAAGGCGGTTGGCAAAGGCGAGAAAGGCTGGGGAGCCAGTCGCCTCTGGGGTGACCAGAAGAATGGTGTCCCCCGGCGGTGTCTTCTGGCCGTTCCAGATCTCGCTCCGGAGGTTCAGGCCGCGATTGCGGGCGTGCAGGTTATGCTGCAGGGCGATTAGAGGGACCACCACAATAGTGGTCTTAAGGCCGGAGCAGAAGGCGTGCAGCTGGAACAACAGGCTCTTGCCTCCACCGGTTGGGAGGATGGCAACCACGGACTGCCGCCCGGCCTGCATGGCCTGGAAGGAGAAAACCCTCGCCATATCGAGTAGTACATTCCAGGGCTTCCTTTCCTTGCAATTCGGCTATGCCGATTTCCAACACTTCGTGTGTTAGAAAAGCATATTCCAGGTCAATGCTGGGTGGATGCAAAGTGGAGAGATGGAGAGATTGAAACTTCCACCAGTTTCAATCATTTTGATGATACCGGCCATAAGTCTTGTCTTGGCAGACCATTTTATGGAAGCAGCCTTCTGCAACAAGCTCAAAAGCTCCTGTGCTTGAGCTGGGTCATTTCGAATACGGGCAGGTTGCCAAGTGAGGAAGTGCTGTTGGCAAAGCTTTGAACTCTGCCGCAGATGAGGCAAGTCTCATGGTGGCAGATTTCTTGGCCGTCATCTGCTTCCAAGGTGTGATGTGTCATAAATTCGTTGAATTCGAAGCGTCCATTACAGGGCGCGCATGGGGGTTCGCCATCGAGCACCCATGTGAGCAGAGAGGCAGTGATTCTTCATCAAATCACACCGCGAACGCAGCTTATCACGATTTCGATCCGGACAATTCCTGGTTTCGCTGTTCCAGACTAGCCCTGGGAGCTTGTCCCACCCAGGTATCGCTTTCCCCTCCCCACTCCCTAGAGCAGTCTTGGATGATGTCTTCGACCAGGTCACAATTGCGTCTCGACTTCAGGATGTTTGTTTCGAGCGTGGGCGTTTGTGTTGCCTTTTGAAATGATGGTTGCGGATCTTTTTGATTTGTGAGGGATCTCACGCCACAAGTCGTCCTTGCGGGGGGGCAGCAACTCTCTTCTTCCTTCCTTCGTGTCCTCTTTGATGTGCTTTCGCTCCAAATAAAGCTTTGCTGTGTACTTAGAGCGAGACTTTCGAGTGCACTCTTCCTCTTCTGCTTTGGGACAGGGATATCTGAACCTGTCGTGGACCACTTCGGCATGCATATCAGCTAGGACTTTTGCCGGAAAGAAAAAAGTGCGTCCATGGATTTTTGCCTCGGGGCCCGAGATGTTCTTTTCTCCCCATGGTGATAGCGAGGATGAGTCTAAATAAGGATTTGATCAGTCAAAAGAAGCGAGTCATGAAAAGCTGCCAGTAAAGTTGAGATTGGTCCGGTGTGGATCAAGAGGGAAGATTCCAAGAAACTTAGGCAACGTAGTCTGGCTGAGATTTTCTGGTAGGAAAAGATGTCAAAATTGGGTGGGGCTCAAGAAGTGAGAAGAGCCAGTAGCAAATTGGGAGGTTGGTTGAATGAGATCAAGGTGCTCGAAGGTGTCAGTCAATTAATGAGTCAAGCAGCGGGCTTTGGGTTTGACTGAGTGGGATCAAGAGACTGAGAAGTGAGAAGTGAGAAGTGAGAAATGAGAAGTGCCAGCAGCGAGTTGTAAGGTTGGTCGAGCAGGATCAAGGTGATTGGGCATATAGAAAGCCGAGTAGATTAGGTATGACTCAAAAGGATTTAGTACTGCCAAAAATGATATGAGGCAACTAGCGGGACAAAGAGTCTGAATCTAGAGTTCAATAAATGTAGCAGTCGCTGCAACTGAGGAGATCAGAGGGAGGGATGGCGAATATCAGATGGGGTGGAAGGGGATGAAGCTCGATGGATTTCAAGCTCGGAGACAGACCACTTGTTTATATCATGAAAGCCTAACATACATATGACTACCACTTCGGAATATAATAAGCTCGCATTCCTGATTCTTTTAGACTCAACTCTATTACACGCAAAGGGGGCCCTGATAGAATACGGCTAAACGGCCTCGGAAGCCCACCGACACTAGACCTCTAACAGAAGTAAAATCTTCAAACGTTACTCAATATGTGGTATTCGTCAGCTGGAATAAGCCCATTTGACGAAAACCGTACCATCTAATGGCCTCAAAGAATGGATAAGCGAATCCAGCGTATGCCACGGCACATTTTTCTTGGTTCATCAACGGGAGAACTTTGGAAATGGTATGAATTTCTAAGTCTGTTCCAGAATCAAGAAATTGGCCACGAAAAGATCTTTCCAAGATTCGGAGTGATTTCCCAGGTTGATGACCTCGCGGTCTTTTGAAAGTCAAACATGGTTCACGGTATAGATTAGAATATTGACCACCATATTTTGGGGGCCGATAAGACCTTTGTTGATTCTCGTACTTTTAGGGATTGACTGAATTGACCCATGTACCTAGCATGCACCTTTTGTCCCGTGTCCACTAGATAGTCATCCCATTCAGGCCATCTCAACAGGCTTGATGGCTTTCTTGCCTTATTTACTCTAACACCAGGAGAGTGTCTCTTATATAAATTACTCTTGGGTCGCGAGATAGCCCCCATTATCAATGGAACAAACCTAGAAAGTAGGTCTTGCAATTATACTACAAGCTATAGGAATTAAAGACGCGGAGCTCTCAAGATCAATCCATGCGCCCCAGGAGCCACATCGAACGCTTACCTCATCCGGGCTTGGCTTAGTATATCGCAGAACAATCACCGATTGACCCTGAATAATACTAGCTGACTTTAAAGCCTCTGTGTCAGATAATTGAACCAGATTCAGCAGGTGGGTGGGGATCCTGAAGCTGGCGGAGGATGCCAAGCCCTGGAGATCGTTGCAGCCCAGATAGGAAGGTGCTGGTTCGATCCTTCAGGACTACTCCCCCATCCTGAATCTGGGCACTACTTCTATGATTACGCATGAGACGTATGTCAAACATCCGCATGTATTAAATCTCAAGTTTGGTCTGTAGAACATCTCCATGCATTTCATTTCACTTTTCGTAAATCAGTAACAAATCTTCCCCTACAAAGCATTCTCCAGGCGACGCTCCTTGCGTAGAGCCTTGAGCTTGGGGCGCACATCCTCAAGGGAGACCATGACTCCCTGTTTCTGAGTGGCTGGGTCATCGCGGTTGCGGATGTTAACAGTGCGGGATTCCTTCTCAGATGCACCAACAACAAAGATGAAGTTGTACTGAGCCAGCTGACCGGTGCGAATCTTCTTCTGCATAGTGTTTCCACTAATATCGATATCGACGTTGAGCTTGTCTCCACGCAACAACTGCTGCAATTCCTCAACGTAGTCGTTCACAGCGGGCATGACAGGGACAATAAGAATCTGGCGCGGACTGAGCCAGAACGGCCACTTGCCACCAAAGTGTTCAATCAAGATACCCAGGAATCGCTCGAAACTGCCGATAATGGCACGGTGAATGACCACAGGACGCTCACGACCAGGACCGGGCCCGTCACCCTTGGCCTCGCCCTCCTTGGCCTGACTTTGCGCCGATTGGCTGTGCTCGTTCGTCATGTACTCCAGCTTGAAGTTGATAGGAGCCTGGTAGTCGAGCTGAATGGTAGCACACTGGAACTCACGCTTCAGAGCATCCTCAATCGTGATATCAATCTTGGGACCATAGAAGGCACCATCGCCGGGATTCAAAACTTTTCTTTGTCAGCCTGCGCGTCGGAAAAATTACAGAAACTGACTTACTCCAATCGTTGCCACAGAACTTTGTGAGAGCCTGCTTGAGCTGCTCCTCGGCCTGGTCCCACGTTTCAATCGAACCCATGTATTTCTCGGGGCGAGTGGACAACTTTAACTTGAAGCTGAAGCCAAACAACCCGTAAATCGCCCCCAAGAAGTCGAACAACCCCTCCACCTCCGACATAATCTGCGAAGGACTATGCACAAGTTAGCACGACCTCTCACAATGCACCCCACGCCACAGGGAGGGGATATAAGAGAATTTACCGCAGGATGAGATGCGAGTCGTCTTGTTGGAAGCGACGGACGCGTGTGAGGCTGTGATGAGGTGGTTATTATCTGTGCGAGTGTTTTTTAGTTGTGCGGCCGAAGTTGAACTTACCCACTAAGTGCCCCGGAAGCTTCGTTGCGATCTGTTTAAAGCCAGGTTAGGGAATATTCCAACTGCAGATGAGTAGGCGACGTACGGAGAACACCAAAATCGGCGATACGCATGGGAAGTTCACGGTAACTACGCTCACGGTGGCCGAAGAGAAGGAAGTGTCCAGGACCTAGAGTCGATGTTAGACAAAGAACCTTAATTTCTTGGCGGGCACACGCTACAGTTCATGGGCTTCAAGGCGTAAGTTCTTTCACCCTTGTCGGCTTTATCGGTGGCAGCCTTGTCGGTGGCAGCCTGTTCGGTGGCGGGCTCATTAGTATGGCCACAGCAGCCGCCAGAGCTATTCGCAAGTGAGAACATGTCTTCCTTGTAATGCTGCCAGTGGCCAGAGGTCTTGGGTTAAATGGTCAGCAAACGTGATGTCAACAAAGATAACTGGTTCCAGGTGACTCACTTTCCAAAGGTTGACATCGTACATGTTGGGGGTCTGGACCTCTTGGTAGCCACGCTTGCGATACTCAGTGCGCAGGAGTTTCTGGATTTGGTTGAAGATCTTGGTTCCGTTGGGAAGCAGGAAGGGCGCCCCTGGAGACAACTCATCGAAGAAGAAAAGTTCTTGTTCTTTTCCGATTTTCAAGTGGTTACGCTTCTCAGCCTCTTCCAGGAACTTGAGGTGCTCGGCCATAAGCTTCTTGTCAGGGAAAGCAACACCACGGATACGCTGCAAAGAATCGTTGCTTTGATCACCGAGGAAATAGGCAGAGGAGTTCTGTGTAGATGAATTAGTGTTTGCATTCATGTCTGGGTAATTTGGTCAAGCTCACCTGCATGATCTTAAATGTCTTTATCTTTCCGGTGTTCTGGATGTGGGGGCCTCGGCACAGATCGACCAAGGTACCGCAGCGGTAGACAGTGCTGCTCTCTCCAGTCACAAGCTTGTCAATGTAGTGAAGCTTGTACTTGCTGTAGGCGAACATCTTCTTGAGGTTCTCCTTGGAAACCTCCAATCGGTCGAAGCTTTGCTTCTCCTTGAAGATGCGCGAGGCCTTGGTGTCAAGCGCCTTCCAGTCAGTCTCACGAACGACACGTCTAGATTATTGAATGTTAATATTGATACAATTATTAATGCAAATACTACATACCCATCAGGCATTGCCATATCGTAGAAGAAACCCTGAGCAGTAGGGGGACCGTGAGAGAGAAGACATCCATATTCACACTCGCATGCTTCTCCCAAGCAGTGAGCACTGGAGTGCCAGAAGACCTCACGGGCCTCGGGGTTGCTGAAAGGCAGCAGGGCGACCTCGCAGTCCTTCTCCAGTGCCCGATTGAGATCCCACAACTCTCCATCAACCTTGGCAATAACGATGTTGGCGCTCAGATCCTTGGGAACATCGCGCAAGAACGAGCCAGGGGTGGTCTCGAAGGCTTTGGCGGGAACCGAATGCGGGACATTGCCATCGCCAATATCGAGTTTGACGTTGATCTCGGGGTGAGGGCGGTTCTTGATATCCTCGAGGGACTGTTGCCAGAGTTCCTCGAACAGGTTGTTACGCTCGATCATGACCTCTGGGAGAACATCGGGGCTCGGGGCCTGCTTGGATTTCGCGTTCGCATCTTTCGGCGGGGCAGCAGGGGCTTCAGAAGCGTTGTTGGCCTGCGCTTCGGCGGCAGGACGCGCGGGGAGGTCCTTGGGGGCTTCGGATGCCATATCGGAGACCCTTAAATCAATAACGCGAGGGAATTGACTCGTTGGAAAGAAATCTAACTATATCCCACCAGTGGAGGGGAAAATGAGTCAGGCGGTGAGTCGACGGTCACGTGTTGTTACTGCCCTTAGCCGACACTTTACCGCTTCAAGTTTCCACCAAGCGAAAACTTCTACAGCTATACAAGCCGACAATCACCCATAACACCACAAAATGTCTTTCCGTGGTCGTGGTAATGCATCCGGTGCCAACCGTGGAGGTTTCGGCGGTGGCCGTGGAGGTGAGATTATTGCGAAGTTTCAAGATGCGAAAGTTCAAAAGGAGCTAACGAAATTTTTTTTGTCGCAGGCCGCGGAGGTTTCCAGCAGTCATTCGGCCCCCCAGCCCAGGTTTTGGGTAATTAAATCCTGCATTACACGATCTAGGGTCCATGTCACTGATATTTGAATAGAGTTGGGATCCGTGATGCACTCTTGCGAGGGTGAGATGGTCTGCGAGTCGGTCAACCCCAAGATTCCTTATTTCAACGCCCCGATCTACCTCGAGAACAAGGTACCCACCAACCCGCCAATTCCGTAATACATTTCTAATCTCAATAGACCCAAATCGGAAAGGTCGATGAGATCCTCGGTCCCATCAACCAGGTCTACTTCACCGTCAAGCCCCAGGACGGAATTGTCGCTACCTCCTTCAAGGCCGGTGACAAGGTCTACATTGGTGGAGATAAGCTCCTCCCTCTTGAGAAGTACGATTGTCGCTCTTGTTTCATTGTGCTTTTACTGACTTGCTCCCCAGGTTCCTTCCCAAGCCCAAGGCTCCTCCCGGTGCTCCCAAGCCCAAGCGCGCTGGTGGTGCTCGTGGCGGTGCTCGCGGTGGTGCTCCCCGCGGCCGTGGTGGATTCGGTGCTCCTCGTGGTCGCGGTGGCTTCGGCGGCGCTCCCCGTGGCCGTGGTGGTTTCGGTGGTGCTGGTCGTGGTGCTCCCCGTGGCCGTGGTGGCTTCGGTGGTGGCCGCGGTGCTCCCCGTGGTGGTGGTGGCTTCCGTGGTCGCGGATATTAGGTCCGATGATCCTATGTACTGTCTTCTTACGGCGTTTGGGGGATATGGGAGCTTTGTCCAGGAATATCTTTTCCGTCTTCTTGTGCATCCTGTGCAATTGCAACTTAACTGGCTGCAGGCTGTAGAATATCACCAGTCCAAAAAAAATCTTTCTGTTCAATTATTCAAATGTTTCATCCTATTTAGTATTGATAGTGATGCTGTTTCACATATCACACACCTATCCAATGTGAATGGATACATGTACATCGACCTGCGGCGCCTGTCATGTGGTTGGTGTGTGGCGCAGCCACCGCCTTACCGCCTTTGGCTGCAGTTTGGAAAATGACGTTGACCGCTCGCAGGTGCCTCTGTCAACACTCCAAGCAGGATTGTCGACCGTTCTTAACTTTTCTTACCCCTCAGTGTTGCTGCTTAGACATATTATTGTGCCAGGTTGCCTCTCTGTACTACATTCTTACCACTCTTGATCTCGGTTTGAGCATGTCTCGTCGGACATCGGCCATGGCATCCAGCGATTCTTCCAGTGGTGTCCCACCTTCCGGTGATGGAGGTGTGTTTGAGCTCTCTCGAGCCTCTTGAGCGCAGCAAAACTAATGTTTGGTAGGCCAAGAAAAGCAGAAAATGCTTCTTTCCTCTGATCATGGACATTTCAGCATGGTGAAGTCAGTCTAAGCACTTTCTCCTGTCTTCTCGACCCAACTGACACTCGACAGGGCTATGCATCTTGCCGATCTGATCACTGAAATGAATGGTAAGATTCCCATACAATTTTGAGGAATCGCGTGAACAGTTTGGCTAACTTATATTACTAGGTTTCTGCGGAGGCAAGCTCGCTCTCACCAACCGTTGACGACCCCACAGCTAACATTTTGAGCAGTCATGTCGGTGTTCTCCTCCATGCGCTACTGTCTCGGCGAACCGACTGAATACGGCGCCATCTGGGCGGCCCTGGCTTTCATGCCATTTGGTCTGTTCTTCGACTTCATGGATGGCAAGGTTGCACGGTGGCGCAAGAAGTCGTCCCTCATGGGACAGGAGCTCGACTCTCTCGCGGATCTGGTACATCATACAAAGTGACTACAACAAACCAAGTACTAATTACTTCGCTAGATCTCTTTCGGTCTCGCCCCCGCTGCCGCCGCGTTTGCACTAGGTATCCGCACCTCGCTTGACCACGTTTTCCTCACCTTCTTCGTTCTCTGCGGTCTTACCCGTCTTGCCCGGTTCAATGTGACCGTGGCTGTGCTGCCCAAGGACAAGAGCGGGAAATCAAAATACTTTGAAGGCACCCCTATCCCGACGACACTCTCCATCGCCGCTCTCATGGCATACTGGGTTTCCCAAAAGTGGACCCACGAAAACATTCCTCTTGGTCTCTTCGCGGAAGGCACCATTTTCGAGTTCCACCCCGTCGTTCTGATGTTTGTTCTGCATGGATGCTTCATGGTCAGCAAGACTATACACATTCCCAAGCCATGAGCTAAAAACAAATCTGGCTGGGCATTTATTATTGGAAATAAATGTCTAACACTGTTGTCTTTTTCAACTTGGGCAACTGAAAATAAACATTGATAGGATCATTGCTTCTAGCCAAGGCAAAGATTGATCTCAATATACTTAAAAGAGGATGAATGAATAATTGACTTTTTCGCATGATTGGCAATATTGGAACATTGTTCCAACCTAACTCATTTGAAAGCTAGAAGAACTACCTTGTAGAGAGCGACTCTGAATATCGAAGTGCCGGGGTATTGACCGCCTGTATGCAGGTACCGAATGTTCAAGCAGCTGTTTAATGACGCTTTCTTCAAACATGTATACCCAAGAGCCAGCGACCTTGGCAATTCGCATCTTGCGGAGTATAATATGAGAGCGGAGAGCCCTGAAGAGCCGCCACTGCCACCGACTACTAATATTGAAAGTTGGGCCAAAGTCCTAGCTGTCGTGCATAGTCAAGCTTCCGACGAACATCGAAAGTTCGATGAAAAACGGTCCGCAATGTTGTTTTAGCTTTATATTTGTGGGCAAATCAAGCAACGTCCACGGGTTCAAATTATGCTGGAGCTCCAGCGAGGAGCGGACGAGGCATTCGGCCTTATGAGTCAGGGTCTATTCCGTACTTCATTCGTCTAATGTGCACATCCAGGAAGTAAAAAATTAACTCATGTTCCCTAACTCTGGTTCACAATCCTCAACGAGTTCAGAGAAATGAAATCTTGGTACCGATATCACCGAACGTGTTCGATAGGTGTCTTACAGCTACGGACCCTCCCAAGGTTCACCACCCAGAGATTGGGTTCACCCGGGGATTTCAGGGTCAGGATCTGGGGTTGATCGGTACTAGCAAATCGAGCAAATAGCCATGATCATCCCGTAACACATCTGTCTAGCCGTACTAGTACTCAATTTTCTCCCGAGGTTTCTCAACGCTCAACCATTGAGCCGAGCGGCCCGCCAGCTCCGGAACTCAGTTTCGAGTCTAGAAGATGCCAGATGCCAGAAAAGTGATCAGAGTTTTCACAATACCAGATGTGTATGATAATTCTAGAATGAAGTGTCTAGACCGAGTCGTCAATATCATACATGTAAGTACAAGGGTACGTGGGTCAGGTACGCAGGTCTAGACCCCAGGGCAAAGTCTCGGGTTGATATTCGAATCGACGGGTGTCCCCATAGTTTGAACATGTTCAACTTGGGTTCGCTGGTAATTCGCAATACAAACTATCCAGGTCAATGGTGAATAGTTCAAATTTGAAGGCTTTTCGTGTTGTGACTCTTGTCGGTAAGGGGGCATACTCTGGTACCTGATTCTTCCAATAGGTGGATATTTCAGCTGGCCTAGTGGGCGCCATTGGTCCCGGGACTTATTTTGGTCTCTCCGGTCTCTCCGGCCTTCTGGAGTATACTGCTCTGCAGGAAGCGCAAGACATGCTTGTTCAAAGTGGTGGTAGTGTTCTGCACAGCATCTAAATGGACTTTGATAGCAGTGCCGCTCATTGAAGGTCAAAGGTACTCCGTACGGAGTAACGTGCTCCTCTTTCCTCCATATTCCGTAGCGGCTCCGAGTTCTCAACGTTCGGATGTCGGGTCCAAGCAGGTGATTAGCAATATGTCTCACCATGAGGAAGATCGCTCTTGATTCGGTAGCTATTGGCTGTTGTGGCTGTGTACGAATGGTTACGCTGCCTGTACAAGCGAGAACAATGTTTGCCAGGTGGTATTTGGGATAGAGGAAGCCCATGGACGTTGTGCCGAATTCCTCGCACATCGATAGCAGATTCATCCCGCTAGATGGAGCACGCTATTCAATGACCCCGGAGACACACACATGTACGGAGTATCCGAAGACCCATCGATAATCGTACAGGGTAAAAGGTCACGAACTCTGTGGCTCAGGTTATTGCAAGGGGCTCATCTTTGTTCAATCTGCAAGGCGCAACCGATACATCGCAAACGATGTTATTTGTTGTGAGCCAAAGCCTTCGACCCATAGTCTCCAGTAAGGTTATCGATGTGCGAATTAAAGGGTCCATAAACGTTTCAAACGAATGCTCGCATGCCGGTAACGTGGCCCTATGAAATACATACATTAAGTTCCGAATTTGAAATGTGTTTTATCCAACGGAAAAGGCGCCTTCGGGGACATCCAGTTGGTTTTGTCTTTGTCACATGAGTACGATTCCTGGCCACGGATTAAATGCTATACAGACCATTTAAACAATTCAGTCTTTGCAAGTCATCCCATTTGCAGTGTCCAAGAGTATATACAAGTGTAGAATGTACTCCATATTGTAGATCGTGAGCCACACTCAAAATTCAGTGCGTAATTGATGCGGATCATACTCCGTACATAGAAGGATTTGATGCAGGGCCTTCCGTTACAGGCACAATACGCAATACCCTGGTTCCACTCGGGAGCGGCCGTTCATTACCCATGGAAACGGTACGGCCGGTATGGCAACTTGATACGTATTCGCAAATAGCAGGGTAGTCAGGCTCGAAATAAAATTCAAAATGATTACATCTACGGAGTTACGGAGTAAAGAAAGTGAACTTCAAGTCCGCGCTCAATATTACTTGACTGGGTTCTTCAGGCCTAAAACGCGTTGGTGAAACCCACTCCGCTTGGGCGGGAAATGACCTCAGGAGCTCCATGGTGTATTTGTTTTCCAGCGGTAAATCTCGGTTGCAAGCTGTCAAATGGGAAGTGTGACGATCAGAATTTTCGTTTCAACCCTCGAGGTCACAGCCAAGGAATCATTGACCAGCCACAAGGGCCAGTGGCGTGAAGCATGAAAGCCCAAGACCTGTCAATGAAAAAAAAAAGAACAGCGCAGATATCCAGTCAAAATAGAGTGATGTTAGCCGATCGACGGTAATACGCATAGACATAAATATAGAGTCTTTGAGGGGTAGGCGTCATCAAGGGTCTGAGTATGATCAACGTGAAAGACCCGAAAAAGTGCAGCGTTTCGCACAAAAAGAGTCGACTAGCTGCATGCTCCAGTCTCCATCGTCCCGTGTCTGACTCCATTTGGAAGGCGATCAGCCACTCGTCCCCTGGTTGAGGGGCGCGGGTGCCTGATTACTTAATATACTACTGCCTGCTCATTGGTTGGTAATTTATCCTTTCCGTGGTACCACACCATACAAGGAGCACAAACAAAACTGAAAGGTCAAAGTACCCGGTACTCAAGTGCACCAGGCATACTCCTCTGTAATTCAAGTACCTCATACCTGGTCTGGGGAACACAGACCCCTTGTCCCTTTCCCAAGGGATCCATCCGTCACTTCGCTCCCTAAACTCCTCCTTCCCTCTCACACACATTCGTTACTGTTGACAAATCCTCGATTTCCTTCTTGTTAATTCCAAGCGTTGAGGGGACTCTTTAACTCGATCTCGCTCACTTCCCTGTAGGGAGCCGCTCGAATTTCCCCCGTCAAACGCGAAGTCACTCTCTTTTACTCCGGTCGCTCGCCTCGCATACGCCAAAAGGATACCAAACAACACGAAAGAAGGGTGTTGGACCTGCGAGCAAACGCCTAACAGCGTTTTTCATACATTCAAACAAGAAGTTTAGGGTTGCGCGGGCCGTTCCTACTTGCTTCACACCCTGTGCGACTGTGTCCCAGTGGTGTTCGTACTTTCTACGCCTTTTCTCCGAAACCCAATATCCCATTCCGTACAACATGTTGTTCTCTCTTCAAAACGCACTGGCAGTGACTAGTGTGCTCGTCGCGACCGCTGCGGCAGATGGTTTCCAGGTTCGCCCTCGAGGATCCCAGGGAACTCTTGTCGGTTGTTTCTCCGCCATTCCCGACTATGGTGCTTCGAAGAGCTGGACCTACCAAAGTTCTGGCTGGTGTTTGGACCGCTGCTATGGCCAGAACAAGGCAGCCTTCGCTTTGACTGGAGGATCCGACTGTGTCTGCGGTGACACGATACCCCCTGATAGCGACAAGGTCTCGAGCGACAAGTGCAGCAGATCATGCAGTGGATGGCCCGAGGACAAGTGTATGCGAATCCCCTATCAGACTTGCGAATATGCAGAATGCTAATTTTGTGACAGGCGGTGGTAATGGTTACTACTCCGTTTACACTACGAACTACGAGGACGATGTCCCCACATACTCCGATTCATCAAGCTCAACTACAACTACTGGAGGATCGACCACCACCGCAACCGACGCGACTGCTGCGGTCTCTACTGCCGCTAGTGGTCAGACCACCATCGTGACCTCTCACAGCTCGGCTACCCCGACCGCTGAAACAGCAGATGAAAAGAAGGCTTCAAGCAGCAAGAACACAGCCGCCATTGCCGCTGGAGTTGTTGTCGGAGTCGTCGGATTTGCCGCTCTCTGCGGTGCCGGCTTCTTCTGGTGGCGATCCAAGAACAACAAAGCCAATGCTGGCATGGGCGGCCACGGCGGTGGATATGGTCGTGACTCCAACCCACCTTCAATGTCCGGAAACTCTCGCTTCGATGGCGATTACATGGCCCAGCGCCGCCAGAGCAACGGCAGCATTGATGATGATCACGACTTTTCCCGTCGGATCTTGCAGGTAAATACTCACGGTTTCCAGTGATTATGTTCCCACGCTAATTATCACAGGTTACGAACCCGGATCGCTAAACCATTCCTCCGAACCATTCACGCACCCCATTTCCTTCTCTTCACTCGGTATTAGCGCACCCATGTCCTTTCTCGTCTCAACCTGCTCCATGAGAGCACATTTCCACCATTTTTGTTTCTATTCGGGCCACTTGGCGGAGTTATGATATCCGAAAGACATATTGCTCACTTGGGAGCAAGTGTCCACAGTTGGTGTTTTTGTCCCTTGACTGCCTTTCAATCGCGCCTCGATTGTGCTCACAGCAACTACAACGACATTGCCGTGTGCGCCTCTTTTCGCACTTGAAGAGTCCAGACTGGGGAGTCATCCATACCCATCGGCGTCTCCGCTAAACACCCAATGTTTGTATCATGTTTGATTATCGCGAGGTCTCTTTGGATATGGAGACTTCTTATCTTAAAAGGAGCTTTTCAATCTCGGCTCTGTCACCGCTCGTCACAAGTCCTGTCTATGGGCACACCATTCCTTTGTGTGAATCTCTTTTACCCCCTTTTTTTTCTCCTGATATCTCTGGTTTTCCGTTGGCTCTTTGGTTATCAGTCTCACTTCAGACATCTCGCATTCTGCATCTTGCTCTGGTTGATCTAATTCAGGAGAGGTGATTGTAAATAGGAGTGATCAATCAGTTGTACTTAATGTGAGAATGGATATGCACAACAGTCTATGAATATTTGCTTCTTGCCTTGGAAGTGTCCATCGATGTTGTCGTCGACGAGTTCCTGTCTTAATCTTGGGGCTCCATCATTGGTGTCCTCGCTTCTTTCAATCAACCTTGAGTAGGTATCCATGGGAGATATACTTTCAATTCGCTCTGATGTCTTCACTTTTATTCATTCGTTCTATACTCCGACGCCCCCACCTTTCCATCCACTGTGAGATACGCCAATGGTGAACTAGGTCGTGTAAGAGCACGATCCTTTGACTTCCGAACTCTTGCAGTGCCGAGGTGCACAATCCTGTGCTCGTCCGCTTGCTGCCTATTAATACCATGAAATCTCACTTGACATGCCATAGCTGCCGACAACGACGCCAACCCTAACTCGGAATCGGAACCCCATACCCCCAGATATACCTTCACAGCGTCGTCTGACACCAAGACAAGCCCGGACATCGGCAACTTTCACAGCTTCTGGAACTCCCAAGGTTTCTTTACGCCACCCACCCCTAGTCTGGCGGCGCCATTCCAATCGATTGCGCCAGCTTTCACTGTGCACTCGCTTCAGGACTCCTCATGCAAGGAGGGCCTCTTGTCTCATCCAGGCCCAAACACGAACTGACTCTGATAATTGTTGACATGAATTTGTCAGCTCGGCAGGAGGATTGGAATGCACTCGTCAACGTCGATAGCCGCCATTGGAGCCTCAAGTCTGTGGACCATTTTTCGCACATCCAAGGTCGAGCCAGATCATGATGGCACGCGGATCCTGGACACTCATTGATAAACCGCAGCATCAGGTTCGTCAAACAGTCAATGCCCTACTCATTGGGCCTTGGTCATGCAGCCAGAGAATGGTCGCAAATGAACAACGAGAAATCACGACCTATGAAGCTTTCCGCTATATAAATCTATGACGAGTTCATGCGCAGGAGACATCTACTTTCATCTAGCTCCTGGCATCCACGCGCTTTGAGTCCATATCTTGTGGGTTCAAGACTGAACAGTGCATCGTCAAACTTGATTACTTTTGTATATTTTTCTTGATGAGCTCGCTTTGCAAACTGATTATTCTCAATGGACTCACATGGATATATATTTCAGCTACTTGTCGGATTCTCAAGGTGGTGTTATCATATGTTCAACCTTGGAAAGACTCGCACGTCACATTCATGAGCCTCGGAAGAACAAGCTCAACATACCACCTGGGTAGGTGAATTGACCTTGCATCCCACGACATAGCCCTCGGGACTGCCCAGCTCCTTTCTCCTTGAAGCGAGGTGCGATATCCTTATTGGCTTGAATTTGCATCATACAATTGTTATTTGAGAGCATATGACAGACCGCCGCTGTTGAGTGCTGTCGAACGAACTGACAGCGCCAGTGTGCAGTGCAGTCACCGTGGACGAATAGAGGATTTCAACACCGACTGGGAAGGATAACCACAGTGTTTCCCCCAGGCGTTGCTGAGCACTCCATCTAATGGCAGAATATGAACATTCTTGTGGACCAGACTGCGATACTCTCAGTATGAGTGGAATGCGAGCCCTAAAGAGGGTTGAGAGTGAGAGTGCCAAGAGGCTCGACGGTTGGTGCTACCGGCCTTGCTGTCCAGGTGGTAGGATACTTGAGAAAAATGCCGAGGTCAGGTCGGGTCAACCTACATTTTCATTCCATCAGTCTCCCACAAACACAGGGACAACATCATTTTACCCAGAGGCAATTCGATGGGACTTCGCAACGTGAGAGCTAACTTCTTTTGGAGAATACCAGTATCTATGGAGCCTTCGGAGCGGACCCAAAACTTTCTTTGATGCCTAGCACCACCTTCCCCCACCTTATATGACATCAGAAGACACACAAAGAGACCAGAGAGAAGCCACCGAGGTCATAATTGACAGTTGTCTAGCCTCGGCGCGTACAAGCTCGCTAAACACTTAGCCGCCCGGCGGCGCATATACAGTCCTCGAGTGAATGGACTCTGCAAACCAACAGCGGCAAGAAGCATCCAAATCCAGCTTGACGGCACCACAAGAGGTGAACGGCGGATAGAGGTGAGTCCAGCGACCATCTAGACCGGTGGTGATTATCAGGAAGCGTGGTGAGTTTGGTCCGATTGGTAGGTCTTAGTACAGATGAACATCAGATGGACGCATTATCCTCCACCCTCCACCCGCTGAAAGCAATTTTGGGGCAATCGGTTATCCAATTTGATCGACCCCTCCGGGATATTACGCTCCAGGGCCATTTGCCAAGCAAAGGTGCTAGGTAGAAGAATAGGCCAAGGCAGAAAGCCTATGCGGCCGAGACCAAGCAGAACCTCCGGGGAAGTAAATGGAGCCGAAGTTGTTCATCAAATAAGACACTGTAATTTAGTATACTATGTATAAACCAGGACAGTGGTGGCACTTCTTTTGGCTGAATCCATTTCTATCGATTTTGTACAATATATCAGATACTACCTGACTGAGATGGCGTTGACCCGAACCCATGATCGATATATACTGCGTGCTACCTAAAAAGTCGACAGCAATAACACCCCACTAGAGACACCTACTTCAAGCCATCTTCCCAATCGGACAATTGTTATACGACAGTCTGCAAGATGCAGAACGGGCAGCCAACCAGATGTACCGAAAAACCAACAGCGTTTACATGTATACGTGCAGTCTGCCCAGAACAGCACAGCATGATGTCATGCAAGGATATTTACGAACTATCCATCCCAGTGTATATTTAGTAAACTTATCCCCTGGAAAAGGAAGGACAAATCTAACGGTAGTTTTCATGCAAAGCATGAAAGTTTCCTGCAAAGCCCCGCGAATGGGGATCCTGCCGTCGAGCATGCAATGCGGAAGGGACAAAAGACGGTGAAAATGTTCCTTAATTAGCTGGGACACTCGCCACCCTGGACGCCTGTCTTGTATTATTTTTTGAGTTGGAAAATTGAATGCAGATGTAGAGTTGATCGAGCTGCAATGTACTTACATTCCGCAGTTGGCGGTCGGTTTCAGGGCATCGCGTGTGACACCAACGAAGTCTGAAACGACGTGGAATGATCTACGACCATGTGTATATGCATGCACTCTCTCAATCAAGCACCTCCAAAGTAACGTATCAGTTTCATGTTGCTGCTGGTGCATATCTCAAGCCGAAAGGGATGGTAGAAGTATACCATGGACACGTGTAGATCAACTGAGGTCGTCCCATGGTCCAGATGACGAAGACCGTGGTACAGAGTAGATCACTAGGTTCACGGTCTCTACATCACACATCCGAGGCTGACTTCTACTTCCTTTTTGCGTATAGTAGACATGCTTACACCCCCTTCGAAGCGCTGATCGCACCGTTGGCTAGCTAGACAGGTATAGAGTTACATTGATATTTGACAGTGACAACATCAACTAGTGGGAAGTTGATAAGAGTGACGTGGGACTAAACCCGAGGACACCGAGCATTTGTCAGGGCCATCGGTTTTTGTCGGGTTTAGGCGACCTGAGGGCCAAAATCCCAGGTGTGCAAGTGATTTTCACTCTGAAACATGATCAACATGTGCCTGGCTATGCTGCCAATTCTACATTAGTTCTTAGTGAGCTCTAGGATCCTGATTGACGGATTTGCAACAAATACTCGAGCCCTATAGGCCAAGCAAAATTATTGCAGCCGATCGTGTTAATCATGTGATAGAGAAATTGCGGCTAACACAGCGAATTGAGTATAAAAATAAGTTAAAAGGAGAGTTAAATGCCTCGATCGACAAAAATACCTTCCTAATTTCTCGTCCCCCCATGCATGATTGCGAGCGACCACGTGAACGGGTGGTCAGCAACATGAAACACCTCGAACGAGTCTGCGACCATGCCTAATCGAGTTCCCAGCAAGCTAGCACAATTGACCAGATATGGCTAGAGTCTATGCAGCATGCATGGGCTTTATATGGCTTGTGCATTAGTTTGCTGGATTATTGCGTGCCCTAAATTAGTTCGCATTCCCCGACTTCCTAATTGGGATTTAGCATGGCTTTTGATCCTGGGGCCACATCTCCAAGTGAAGTGCTGATTAGAAAGTCTTGGCATAAGCCCGTTGCAAATCGACCGAGAACAAACGGCTGACTCGTCTGTGATGTTGACGGCTCGCCTGCCGGCTCGAGAGTACTTGCAGAAGAGCTTAGACACGCGACATCATGCATTGCAGGCTTAGGATCTCCAAAGCATTCACTTTGGCAGTATGAATTTGTGATGAAACACATCAGAACCTTGGAACCGAATATTCAAGAAGACCATCGAATCCACAGACGTATACTTCGTACAGCTCTCTGGTCCCCGATCCCCGAGCAACGAGGTC